GCGCACATCTGGATCCAAGCCTACGATCAAGACACCAAGCACGGCTTCTGCTGCGCCGGTGGGCAGATATTAGGCATGGAGGCCTTCCTACTCGGCTACCGCAGCGAGGATCTCACCGTCGATTTCCGCCCGCCCTTCGCCGTTCGCGTAGCGGGGCTGAGTCCGTTCATGAGCTACACCGCGGACTGGGAGCGGCGGACCTTTGAGCTGAGTGTGCAAGGACTGTGGCAGAAGTTGGAGATCAAGGCGGTTGCTCCGCAGGGGAGTTTCTTTTCTCTGAGTAGTCCCTTTCCTGAGGGCCATAGGGAGAACTTTCTGGGACAGAGTTTCCAGGCGAGGATTGAGGTGAGGGTGTTTGAGAGTGAGACGTGGTGGCCTTGGGGTGGGTGGAGGTGTGTTAAGAGCGATGTGTTTGAAGGGGGGAGTTTGGAGTTCGGGGGCGGTTATTATCCGCCCAGGGGAAGCGGGAAGAGGTTTAACTGAGTGCATGCAAAGTCAATGCCCGAGCACTAGAGGGGACATCAACGCTGTGGCTCCTGTGTCCAGCTTTGGATTGCTATCGCCGAGCATACTGGTTTGAAGACTGCAGCACGTCAGCTTAGAGCGACATATTCGAGTCATGTGGCAAGGCGAACGCCATGGAAGGCAAGATAACGACAGAGGTGGTGGAATAATATGCGACACTACGAGCATCACGCCGTAGACTTGGATTCGATTCCACAGGACCAGCTTCATACCCGCGTGAGCTAGCGGAGCACCGGGAGTCGTCCGCGGAGGGATTCAGATTGTCATGGCGACCGAGTCGTTCCTACCCAAATATCTCCACCTCAATGTGGCAGCTGCAGTGTCTCCACCAGCATGTCCAGGATTCCCATTCGAAGCATGCTTGTGCCACCTAATGTTCCGACCACACTTTCGGCACTATAGAGCTTACCCAGCAATAAGCCAAGTACCAACGCTCACAACTTTGCAAATATGCGGGCGCCCATCGGTCTCGTCTTCGCACTCGGTCTAGCTCTAGGACAGGCGTGAGACATTGCTCGATACCGCTCTGCATAACATGTACATTGACATGAATGAAGCGACACTTTGACTACGCTGCCTACGACCACCAGCCAAGTGGTCAACCCTGGCGGACCGGAGCAACTGTGTATGCTGAGTGTTGGGTTCAAGCTTCCTCTCATCCTGGATTGCACCTTCGCTTCCACCACCGCAACTGCGACTTCATTGATCGACTGCGGTGGCTGCGTGCTTGAGACGATGAACCTGGGGATGGGACTCGTAAGCTTCAAACGCTTCGCCAGACTTCCGGCTGGCTAAGACTGGTTCAGCCGTGTCAGGAGACAACAACGGTTGCGGGCGTTACCACCACCACCGTACTCTCCTGTAGTTCGTCGTACAACCTTCTGGCCATACGCACTGCTGGCTATGACCCGAGGACCTCTGCGCCGTCATGTACTCCGAGGGCACGAGTAGCAGACTCCGGCGTGTGAGTAGCCACTGCTGCGGTACTTTACATGTCGTCGCTGACTGGCGAGAAGAACGAGTGATGTGCTACCGGTGTGACCGTGCCGAATCGCACAGAACCCATCTTCTCCCGCAACATATAACGCGGCGAAGGCAGGTCGCAGAGCGAGAGCGTTCCTGAGAGCTGAAGGGGAGTATTTCGAGCGTGTGTTAGAGAGGTGACGATTTTGGGGGTTCGAAAAGTCCTCCAACATAGCTGTATCCCTTCTACAATTTGGGCTTATTTGGCATGCCCGGAATTTGAATGCCATTGATCGCATTGACATACTCTTCGCTCATCTGGCTTCGCTGCGCGACCGGAACTTTGAGCCACTGCGCACGGTCTGCATCCTCTATGGCTCGCCACCGCTCGAGTTCTGGCTCCAGCCATGCAGCACATGCGTCAGCGGTCTTGCCGACTTCTTCCATCGGAATCAGATGGCCAACGCCATGAAGTGTGACTTCGCTGACTCGACCCTTCTTCACGCCGCCGGAGCCGCCAACACCGATGCCGGTCTGCGCGAGCTTGTCGGCTTTCATGATCGGCGCGGATAGGTGCGACTCGTCGCCAAAGACGTAGAAGACACTCGGCCGTAGGAAAGGCAGCTTTGTAAAGGTTTCGAGCGGCTCCGGGCGGTACATGGGCGTAACTGGCGGGGTTGATAAAGCCACGTCTGGGTGAGTAATTGGGTTTGATTCTGTTGTAGGGTCTGGATATTCTGCGGTGGGGAGATTGAGGCGTAAGAATTGCAGCACTTCCTGATGCTTGGTGGTGGTCAATGTGACCTCCTTCTCCGTCATCGGCTCTGGCGGTACCGTCGCTGTGCTCGGATCTGCGGTGATTGTTGGTGGAGTCGATGAGGCTGCTGTGGCGAACGGGTAGAGGTGGGTAGGTAGATCGCGAAGGCCATGCTTGATCCAGAGATCCAACACTCGAGGGTCCCATCGCTGGTAGAATTTCGATCGCTTGAACGACGTCTCTGCGGCTTTGCGGCTTGGCCAACGGTCCCTACGATTCGCAGAAGCCCGTGCTGGGCCGAAGTTACCCATGACTGAAGGGAGACGCTGAATTACCGGATCTATGAGGATGAGAGTCGTGAAGAGGCGAGGGTGAATGAGAGACAGATTTACGAGGTTGTTGCCGCCCATACTGTGGCCGACGCCAATGATTGGGCGTCGCATGTGTTGTCGGAAGTGGTTCACCATCAGAAAAAGATCGCGCGGATGATCCATCCACGAGGCTGCGACCAGTCAGCTGTGTGTACAAGCGGAATATGGCAAGAGTTCACCAACGATCATTGCCTAGCTTCTTCTCATTCAGCACGCCGGATGCGCCTTGGTGAGCGACATCCGCAATCCAGATGCTGCTGATAGAAATGTCCTTCGCCTTCAAGCGTTCGTACAGTTCGTCCCATAACGGCTCGTAGAGCTCCTAGAAACCTGTTCAGTCCTGCGCATTCGTGACTTGGTATCAGTCGAGATAATCCTACCTTGGGAAAGCCATTGGCATGCGCACCGATCACCGTCACCTGGTGCTTGCACTTGAATGCATGCCTTGGAGTGTACTGCTTTACAGCAAGGTGCAGCACTTCTTCCTGGTCATCGATGGTGGCACGGGGATACCCTCTAATATGCGCAGACGGGATGGTGTGCTCATGAACTCGAAACGCTGCGGTAGACATCGTGAGTGCTAGTAATCTGTTGTCAACCACAGATGCGGAGACGTTGCTTCAGTAATTCATGTTCGAATGAATGTTCAATGTACGGCACAGTTGCTTGGTTACCCTAGAGCTGCCAGCATTGCCGAGGTTAGAAACGACTGTCGGCACGTTGAAGCGGTGATGGCATGAAGCGAAGAACACTCGTAACAAGCATACCAGAGCCCACACAAAAGCCAGGGCTGTCATGGCTACTACTCTTGCATCATCTGCACGAAGAGATATCATGAGAAGAGCGTGATGTATGTAAAGACCTCGAGCACGCCAAACCTTCACTCGTCTCGACGCCTCGACTTCACCTCACCTCTCGTCCCCGCTCTGTTCCGCATATGAATTGCAGGACCAAATAGCCCGCAAAGATTATCGTTTGCCCATGCTCGCTCAGAAAGTATCGTGCTGTTCTCATCTCGATCCCTTACTTCTATCCTCCGTATTGCCTTGTTCTTGCTCATCTCTCCGTCCTCGTCATCATGCCAGGGACAAACGGTATTGCCTCAAACCTCGACACGGATCATGCTCCGAACGGTTTCAATCGACCCCCACCCAAGGGTCACACTTTCACGGTGGATGGCGAAAATCAAATACCACCAGCTGAGGCCCATAATCGCGCTGACTATGTGAGAAAAATCACTATCCCACTCAATGACGCCCCAGTGAGTTCTGCCTCGATTTTGGGAGACGGGTCTTTGACAGTACCATCCAGGCGTGGACGCCAACAAGAAGGCTGCGTGTTGCAATCATTGGCGCCGGCTACTCTGGCATGATGATGGCACACAAGCTGCAACACAAATACGCCGACGAAATGGGCGGGCTCCTCGACTTCGTGATTTATGAAGCTCGGAACACTGTTGGTGGAACATGGGATGCCAACACCTACCCTGGGTAAGCGTCCTGTCGTCTTCCATCGCCGTCGTTGACACCATGTTGCCAGTGTCCGTTGTGACGTCCCCTCCGCGATCTATGCATTTCCGTTCGAACCGAACCCCGAGTGGAGCCATTTCTTCTCCAAGGGCGGCGAGATCCAGGAGTACTTCGTGCGGACCGTTAAGAAGTGGCGGCTTGATCAGCATGTCCGCCTCGGTCACCGTGTGGTGGAAGCCTCATGGCGCGAAGATGCAGCGCACTGGCAGCTCACGATTGACCACGACAGTCAGAGATTCCAGGACCACGCGGATATCTTGATATCAGCTCGTGGGTTCCTCTCGACATGGCGTTGGCCCTCAATACCAGGTCTTCACGGCTTCCGTGGACACAAAGTGCATTCAGCAGCATGGGATCACGCATACGACTATTCGCACAAACGCATTGCTGTAATTGGTAATGGCTCATCCGGTATACAGATCTTGCCAGAGATGGCTAAGCTCGGTGGTACGGAGGTGACGAGCTTTCAGAGCGGGCCAACATGGGTCGTTTCGAGACATACTCCAGCCAAGCTTGTTGGAAGCGACGATCCGAGTCCGAATCCAGCGTATCGTGAACAGGACAAGCAGCGGTTCCGAAATCCAGAAGAGCTCAAGAGGTACCGCAAGACGGTGCAGGGTAACGTTAATGGCGCGTTCAAGTTGTTCGTTAAGGGTAGTCAGTACAATGCAGAGACGACGGACTTCGCTAGGAAACAGATGGCGGCCAAGCTCAATCATGATCCTGAGTTGTGCGAGAAGCTGATCCCAACATACGAACTTGGCTGTCGAAGGATCACGCCAGGGTCAGGGTACCTTGAGGCATTCACGCAACGCAATGTCCATGTGACAAACAGTCAGATCAAACTGGTCGATGCAGGCGGCATCCACACCGCAGATGGCGGGTACTATGAACTTGATGTCATTGTCTGTGCCACTGGCTTCGACATCTCGCAGACACCCAGCTTTCCAATAATTGGCAGAGAGGGAGTTAGCCTGGCCGAGAAGTGGAAAGACGAGCCCGAGAGCTACATCAGTCTCGCGTGTCCAGATATGCCTAGTAAGCTATTGCATGCTCACTGAACTTGATACGAAACTTACACTCTCAATCTCAAGACTTGTTCTTCTTTACAGGACCGAATGCGACAGTCGGCCACGGCTCGCTGATATACTCTCTGGATTGGTCCGCAGAATGGATGGTCTCGTGGTTCAGAAAAATGGCCGAGGAGGATATTGCATCGATAGCGCCGAAGCAGGATGTTGTTGACGAGTTTGTGCGGTATGGCGATCAGATCCATAAGACACTAACCTGGTGCGTAACTGAAGGGCATGATTTTTGCTTGCAGCGTAGGATATCGCTAACGATGGCACGCATCCTGCCGTAGGACAGGAGGCTGCAGGAGCTGGTATGTAGGACGAGTTTCTTCTGTCTGCACAATTCATGCTACTAACTCGTATGTACGACAGGTATAAAGCAAACAGAATCGATGGGCGGGTAACTGCGACCTTTGCAGGTAGCGCCACTCTGTACGAGAAGCTCGTCAACGGTCGGATAAGGCCAGAAGACTTCGACATTCGCTATCGGAGCGCAAATCGGTGGAGATTTCTTGGTAATGGTTTCACGCAGTATGAGCTTGCGCCGGGCAGTGATCTTGCCTACTATGTCGACACCTAGTGTCAGCGGGAAGGATCACTGACCACCGTGTTGAGCAGTGCTTCGGGAGCTGATGCCACAGATACCAAAGATCTTGGTCAATGCTGCGCTTGTGAGGTTGAACGCAAATAGTGGGAGTGTTCATGGCTAGCTCACGTGTATGAAGAATGTGCACGATTCATGCTAATGTTAGAGCTGAGCTGTGATCGTGCACGGACAACATATGCGGATCTAGCCTGGCTTTTGCCACAGGGTCTGGCTCACGTGCGGTATTCCAGTAGCTCGGCCTCATCATTGCGATCATTTAGCCACGCTGCATCCCACAAACACACTCCTCTCCGTGCGTGAGCACATCCAAACCTCAACATGCCGCCCATATCGGGCTTGGTGCATTGGCACCACTACGTCGCACGCAATCTGAAGACGATCAGGACTGCTTTGACGAAAGCGGCACGCCTCGTCGATGCGTCGCTCGGCGGCCAACCACAAGCCAAACTCGAGCCGGTGCTTGCTCGCAACGCGCCAAAGCAACCGCTCCACCCACTCGCCCGCATCAGACAGAGCCAGTCTCGCTGGTACAGCACTGCAAAAAGCGCCGTCAACAGTAGCACCCGGCAGTTCACAACTACCGCCTCTGGTCGAGCTGGACCGAAGTATGACCGCGCCTCATTCCCAAAGTCAAGAGTCAGCGCGCAGATCAATCAGTCATCAGGCAGGGCGCCTTTCGCGCACACCCTACGGCCAAACCTTACTGGTGGTACCCTTGGCCGGACGGCTGGCGGATACACGCTCGGATCTGGCAGGGTAGGTGGCGCCAGATACTTCTCGCATACGCCTGCGGCACAGGCACAAGTGGTCAACAATGTGTCGCAAGCCGTTCGTGCGTTCTTCGTCGGTGGGCAGAAGGCGCAATTCGATGGTATGTCGCCGAGAGGCGAGAAGCGCTACAAGGCGGTGACTGCGCTTCAAGATGAGACTGGTCGTAAGATGAGGAGCATACCGAGAGCTTCGCCAGGGTCATACGTTGACTTCCGCATTAACCCGACGGTGACTGCGATCACTCCAATGACCGCCGTGACTGGTTTCACCGAGAGCGAGGCCAGCCCATTGGATCACCTCAACACCGACGGCTTGCTTGATGTCCTTTCTGTCGATTTCTCGCGGGCCCTCAAGGATCTTGCTGCTATCATGAATGATTTCAGGCGTCTATCAGCGCTAGGTGATTTGCCTATTACTTATGAAGGCTCCAATCTGCGCATCCACTTCCCAGGCTGCGACGCAGACACGGTGGAGCGCTTGTGCGAGGAACTGGGCGTCAGCCGTGGAGTGGTTCACCAAGACGCAGCATTCGATGCGTTCACAGGCACCGAGATCGCCTTGCTCTTTCCATTCGCGCCGAGTCAGGCAGCTTCAAATACCGACAGTTTGTACGACTACCCGACTGCGAAGCCTCTTTTGAAGAAGCGCTTGAGTGTGCAGAGTATGTTCACTCCGTCTGAAGCGCCAGCATACTCGACCCAGTCTGCGAGATCAGACTCCGACTTGGAAGATGCGGTGCTGATGAACCCGAGGCTGTCCACCTCGTCTGAGTACGAGTCCGTCCGTTCCGGTACGGATAGCAGCGGCTATGCATCCGATAGGCATAGTCCACTGGAGTATCAGGGCTTCGAAGGCATTTATCGGTTCATCGAAGAGCTGGATGCGGTGCGGAAATAACACCTTGATGTCTGGGAGCGGCGTCCTGGGGTTAAGGGAGCTACCTGCGGTTACAGAATGATATCCCCACTCTGCTTACGGCGTTTGCTGTTTGACCGAGTCGTTTAGCCGTAAGCGCACAAGCATATACAGTCCTGATGATGATTACGAGGTTGTCAAGGCGTGAGACTTATGCTATGCTGTTGCCGTCTCCTGTCATTCTGCCATCAGATTGGCCCAGAACTCTTCGTCGAGCACGCCGTTCTCGAACGATACCAACGGGTCTAAGTGGTCGGCATCGAATACGGCCTGCATTATTGGCGGTAGAGCCTCGTTAGATATGGGAAGCGAGTCCGCCGGTCTGAAACGAGCCTCTTCTTCTTCCGCACGCCGTTCGGTCTGCCCCAGAGAGTGCACCGTATCATACTGAGACTCCTCGTTTCGTAGTGTGCTATCGCTACTCGCCTGTTCGTGCAATATACGTTCTTTGATGCTAGCACACACGCCTCGAAACCAGCGGAGCTGTCCTTCATGCCGGGGCGCAAGCGCATCGTTCGTGGGTGCCGCCGACATGTGCGCGCAGACTGCGTCGAGAACAGCATCTGGCTGCAACATCGACGAGAGCGCTCCTGCTTCCCAGCCCATAGTGTTTGGCAAGGACCGCCATATGCGTGCCATTAACACGAGAACCTCGAGCAGATTCGCCCAGTCTAGGATTGTCACTTGGTGTAAGGCACTAGGCGGCCTTGCCAGGATATCATCGAAGTATTCCTTGATTGCGCAAGCACACTGGATCAGCGTAGGCTTGTTGGACATCTTGCACCCTTGGAGTAGCTGGTAATGGAAGTGGATAGTCGCTGCGCCAAACACCAAGGTATTGCCCAGGCTGGGATACTCGCGCTTCAGTGCTTTGAAGCGGTGGCTTGTTGCTTTAATATGCATGTCAGTATACGGCATTCGAGTCCGTTCTTTAACATCACTTTCGCCTGGTAACGAATCTTGTATATCGTTGATAGCGCGCATCAGCTCGATTAAGCCGACTACATCCCGGTCCGTCGGCTGCGAACCCCTAGAAGCAACGGCTTCTGCGAGACGCCGGAGATTATCGGTCCAACGAAGTGGGTTTGGTTTGTTGAAGCCCAGCAGCGACAAGCCACAGCATAGATAGTAGCACCCAAGGAACGCACGATCTCGCTCCAGCTTATTCGCCATCGTAGCTGCTTCAACCTTGCTAGGTTGTCGGTGTAGGCCGAGGTCTGCCGCCATGCCTGCCAGAAGGCACATCAGCTGATAAATCTGGGGCTTAGCCATGTAGTTGTGGTGCCAGGTCAGGAAGATGAGAAGACCGGCAAAGGCATCCAGGCTGCGGTCTCCTTGCACGATGACTTTGGCGCTCAGCGATAATCTAAAAGCTTGCGCGAGACGACCTTGAAGATCAGGTTTGGCCAAGGAGGACACTGTGCATATGGCAATCGTGGTAAGACTATTTGCAATTGAATTAGCTCCTTGGTGATAGAGGACAGAACAGGTAAGCAAGCGTACGGTCTGTTGATCACCATCTCAATTGCTGTGGCGGCAGAGTGTACAGTCGCAAAGGGAAAGTTGCTTGCCAGGCTCCGGAAGACCGTCAGGGCAGCGTGGATATAGCTGTGATCGACCCCGTTCAATGCGTGCTCCTCAGAGCTTCCGATTGCGAGACCGTGGGCAAGAAGTGTGAGTAACGACTTGCTGCTGGCTTGGTACAGGTCTGCATTGCGAAGTAATGAGTTGCGCCTAGCCTCGGACGCTTGATTCTCATCGTCAGAGTATGGTGATGCGTAGCCATTGGGAACTCCAGCGGGTGAATGATTAGCGATCCAAGGCTTAGAGCTTGTCATCCGACGCTTGCGAGGCTTCGGTACGGCTGGATGACATTCTTTCCGTGTACGATGGCACCTTTACTGTTAGGTCAGCACTTGTGCAAACGGCAAGTACTTGAGGAGCGGGCGTCTGCGACGCGAGTGACTGCTTGATAATTGGCCGTCAAACTGCGGTGCATTGACAAGCACCGACTAACCTCTCACACCTCCCGGGTACCGGCCCGGGAAGACATTTCATCTTGACTGCCGCGCATGCCTGACATGCTGTATTTCGAGGCTGCCGTTTGCGCTTCTCCCGTTCGTCCAACTGAGCAGATGGTAGATCTTGGGCGTTGGGTTGGTCACCGTGCGTGTGTGGTTCTTCCATGTGGCCGTATTCACCATCGTGACTGTGGGAACACACGCTGATGTTCAGCTGCTTCACGAAGATGACGAGGACGATGCCGGTTGGCTAAAACAATCAAGCTCCGATGCTGGTCTACGTTCGAGCGTTGATAGCTCGTAGGCACCAACAATGTCTTTGATGCGCGAATAAATGAGGTCGAGACGGCCGCCCCACCCAAATGTCTGTCCGGAGACTCCTCACTACCTCCCTGAAAGGCAATGATTCACGAACACAAAGTGCTTCAGGCTGAGTGTACGACGCTCGCAATAGAATCTAGACTACGGCTCCACCGCTTCTTGTTCCCCTGATCTGTCGTACCGTACATTATATACATCAAGTGGTTGCTATGAGCCTGCCGCCAACGCCATCGCTAATTGCATGTAAGGTAATCATTACCGACCTTGTCCGCCGAAGCGAGCAAACACACGCGTTTCAACCAGCACAATCGCTATTCAGGCAGTAACAGTCTTGACAGAAATCTCAAGTCCCAATCACTTGGACACGCCTCAGGTCCGGGAATACCAGCATCGCGTCTCGCTTCCAGTCCACCAACCATGAGCCTGGCATCATCGAGCCAGGCAGCAGCCATCTTCAGCTGCTCGTCCTTCTCACTATGTGGCCAGGCCCCATCTGACTGCGCAGGATTCTGGTGGTCCATGTCGAACTTAAGTGTGCCGTCGCCTGCCCGCGCTGTTGGCGGTAGCAGCGCGCGCATTCGTAGGAGCGTTGTAAGTAGCTCTGAGAAACGCTCCCCTTGAGGCCACATGCTGCCTGGATGATTGTAAAGGGCCCAGTCCGGATCTGCAGGTCTCGTTGGATCCTTTCCGTCTGTGCTGAACCTGCGGTACAAGCCCGTCATGCGCTCCACAGAAGCGAGCAGCATGATAGCGGAGACGAAGGTCGCGAAGCGGGACACCTGCTGGCGTTGCATCAGGCGACGTTCCAATTCATTGATAATGCCTTTCGCAAGGACAGCGCAGCGTGACTCTACAACTGCTAAGATCTGGGCTTCGATCAGACGGTGGGTGCGTGAGCCGGGTCGCAGGGGACGAATCGCCAACGAGTCAGTTGGTGCTAGAGCGGTACGCGATGGGTCGTCAGATGATGCGTCCACCGGTTCGTACCGAAGGATCAGCGACGACCCTGACGCGCCTGAGAGTAGGATCGTTGCTGCGGAAAGCTCGATAGTATCTCTCAGCAACTGACTTTGCAGATTGTAACATGAGCGGCCAGACGAGGTTTTGGGATTGGGATCGTTGACAAAGTTAGCGTGCTCATCACTTATGATTGACTGTGCGTGCCGAATGGTTGTCTTCATCAAAGCAGACGTATCACAGCCGATCAAATCAGCTTCAGCCAGTCTGGCAACATACTGACCGATCTTCTCCGCGAAGCCTTCGGTTTCATCGACTACCCAGATCGTGGGAAGCACTTCTTCGCCCACAAGGTTTACGTTCAAGGCCTTCGTGTCGTCGAAGTATGATACGCTACTGTACTGCTTGATGGCAAGGCGCATAGACAGGTCGCTGACAGTGGTGAAGCGCGCCTCGATCTGACCGTAGCCAGCGTGCTTTTTGAGACCCCGGACTGCTGCTGACACCTCAGCTCTCGCAGTGAGCGTAAAGAGCTTTGCTGACCACAAGCCCATCTCGTCGGCGAGCTTTGTGCGTAAGCACTTCCCTTTCCACAGTCGAGCGGACTGCACATGAGCGCACGTGTTGCAAGGCGTGCCTTCCGAGCATGGTTTCTTCAGCATCCGACAGCGTATGCAGGCTCCTCGTTTACGAACCTCTTGGACCTCCTTTCGTCGGCTATCCGTAAAATGACCGCGAGCCTTTGGCACGTGCCGCTTACGGAGCAGACCGAACCCGGCCGACAGCTTGTCTTCCGGTGCAGCAGAACCGTCAAGCACTAGATGCCCCTTTGGTGATAACGGTCTCCAGGTCATGGTGTCGTCTGCAGCGAGCAGATCATCATTGCTGTTGAAGTCAAGAAGCTGATTATCAGTATGTCGCAGCTGCGGGTCGATGTATGTGTCTCCAGCTTGAGCGCCGACGGCTGGCGAGTCCGACTGATAGAAAGCGCTTCGCGCGGAAGTAGCATCTGATATCGCCGTTGCCGGCCCCGCTCGCGCGTCTTCAACCAGGTCGCACGATGTGGCTACCGGCTCAGCTACATTTTGCAGCTGTAGCACAAAAGCCTGCTCGGCAGTTGTAGGCGCATCGTCCGCTTGGCGTTGCTCAAACGCCTGGAGAGGCAGCTGGGCTGTGTAGTTGAGATGCTGACCGGAGACCTCTGCAAGGGTGTTGAGGGCGGAATACTGGTTCAGGTGCGGGAAAGCATCTTTGACCTCATCTGTCATAGCAAAATCTGTGAAGGAAACAGAGAATGGTACGGATGGTGCGAACACTGAAGCCTTGCTAGCCGGAGGGCCCGTCGTGCCTATCTTCTGCTTCGAGGGCGCTGAAGGGTCTCTATGCAGATGGTGAAGGATGGCTGCATGATCGGCCTGTGCAAGGTTCGGACAACGTCGTAGCAGGTGGCCTACCAGAGCATCGATGCGGCCCTTCTCAATTAGTTGACCGCACTTCCTGCAATTGTGCTCGTATCTATTGCTTGCGTCTTCAAGCTTTTTGCCACGAACGAAGTAGTCTGAAACCAGCTGATTCGGACGGCGGCCCATCTCCAACTCTGCACCGCCGCCGCCAGCAGCGGCGGTCTAAAGGCTTCGAACGGAGTGCTCGTGACTATAGATAGTGGTATGCAATGCGTGACTTGCGATCAATGTGTGCATCCTTCTGCCGAAGGCGGTGTGAGAGAACTGATGGGCGTGTCCAAAAACTGTGGTCGTGCGGCGGAGACTTCTGACCACCATCCTACTAACACTTTTGCATCAAAACATCGCTCTTTCACTGCAGATCAGTTCGTCAAGACAACAGCAAGCCAGAGACGTCCTGGTCAGCTAACTTCCCGAAGGCCTAAGCCATCAGACTGGTCAGTATCAGCATGACATCTCTGAAGCGGTCTCATGCTTCCACAGCTCCGACGACAACACTCTCAAGCAAGACTTACCTTCGAACATTGAAATCGGGCAAAGTCCAGAAGATTGTACGAGAGCTGTATCTACGTCAGGACATACCATGCTCGTCCCAATTATGCACAGCATGCCTGGATCTAGCTCCGCCGAGCTTCCACCGCAAAACAGAGCCGTTTGTGCTGTCCGCCACCCCAGCAGCAACAAAGCAGTATCCCCAAGGCCACTATCTCGTCCCAGATACCAATGCGTTCCTCTCTGCCATGGATCTATTCGAGACCGAAGGTGCTGCCTTTCAGGACGTCATCGTGCTCCAGACCGTCCTAGAGGAAGTGAAGAACCGTTCATTGCCGCTATACAACAGACTAATTGCGTTGACGAAGAACGAAGGGAAGCGCTTCTACGTCTTCTTCAATGACTTCAGGTTGGAGACGTATGTGCAGAGAGATGCTGGTGAAACCATCAATGACCGCAACGACCGAGCTGTGCGGAAGGCGTGCGCATGGTACGCCGAGCACCTGCGACAGGCTGTCACAGCAAGGCAAAGCGCACGGTATCCGGCCGTCATAATGATCAGCAACGACAAGGATAGCCTACGGAAGGCAAACGCTGAAGACATCGAGGCTTCCAACCTTGAAAGCTATGTGAAAGGGTTGCCGGATGCGGACCGCTTGCTGGACATGGTTGCATCAAGCCGTGAACAGCGTCTAGCCAGAGAGACCAAGGCTGAAACGCTCTATCCTGAGTACCTCTCAATGTCTGCAATGCTCACCGGCGTCAAGAACGGCACGCTTCATCAGGGAATATTCAACGTCTCACCCTACAATTACCTTGAGGGCACGGTCCATGTGCCAGCTTTCGATCGTGCCCTCATTGTCCAGGGCCGTGAAAACAGCAACCGGGCAGTATCCGGCGATATCGTGGTAATCGAAGTGCTGCCCAAGGACCAATGGAAGGCTCCATCGAGCAAAGTCATTGAGGAAGAGGACCTGGGCAAGAACGAAAACGCCGAAGTTGACGAGGACTCATCCGAAGCAATCGTTACTGAGCGTGAGCGCAGGGCCCTACAGGAGGAAGTCAGGAGAGCTCACGGTCAGGTCGCGGAAGGCAAAAAGCAGCCCACTGCTAAGGTTGTGGGCATCATCAAGCGCAATTGGAGACAATATGTCGGTCATGTGGACAAGGATTCCGTACGGACCCGTACAAAAGACAGTCGCGCCCAGCAAACGGTCTTCCTCGTCCCAATGGACAAGCGCATTCCCAAGATTCGGGTTCGCACGCGGCAGGCTGCAGGTCTGCTCGGGCAGCGCGTGTTAGTCACGATCGACACATGGGACCGAGAGTCCCGCTATCCTGTTGGCCACTTCATTCGTAGTCTTGGTGAATTGGAAACGAAGGGTGCTGAGACCGAAGCGCTGCTGTTGGAGTGGGACGTGCAATATCGGCCTTTCCCGAGGACTGTGCTCGACTGTTTGCCGCCAGAAGGCCACGAATGGGAAGTGCCAAAGAGTGTCGATGATCCTGGGTGGACCGGCAGGCGCGACCTCACGGATTTACTGATCTGTTCGATCGATCCGCCGGGTTGTGTCGACATTGACGACGCTCTGCATGCGAGACTGTTGCCGAACGGGAATTTCGAAGTTGGCGTACACATTGCCGATGTGTCACATTTCGTTAAGCCGAACAACGCCATGGACAAGGAAGCCTCATTGCGTGGCACCACAGTTTATCTCGTTGATAAGCGAATCGATATGCTTCCAATGCTGCTCGGTACTGATCTGTGTTCGCTGAAACCGTACATTGAGCGGTATGCATTCAGCGTCATCTGGGAGCTAGACAAAAACGCCGACATCGTCAGCTCAACCTTCACTAAAAGCGTGATCCGAAGTCGGGAGGCATTCAGTTACGAAGCTGCGCAATTACGCATCGACGACAAGTCTCAGCAGGATGACCTTACGAAGGGCATGCGGCACTTGATGATGCTGTCGAAGAGATTGCGCGCAAAGCGCATGGCTGCTGGGGCGCTTAATCTTGCAAGTCCGGAGGTCAGAGTGCAGACGGAGAGCGAGACGTCAGATCCTGTCGATGTGCAGACGAAGCAGCTTCTCGACACCAATCAGCTCGTAGAGGAGTTCATGTTGCTGGCCAACATAAGCGTCGCTAGCAAGATCTATGAAGCGTTCCCACAGACTGCACTACTACGTCGTCACGCTGCGCCACCCAAGACCAACTTCGAAGAACTAGGCAACCAGCTCAAGGTCAAGAAGGGAATGGAGCTCCATACCGACTCATCAAAGGCGGTAGCGGACAGCTTAGACAAGTGTGTCGACCAAAGCGAGCCCTTCTTCAACACCCTCGTCCGCATACTGGCTACACGCTGCATGATGAGCGCAGAGTACTTCTGCTCCGGCACTCAGGCACCGTCTGAGTTCCGACACTACGGACTCGCCTCCGAGATCTACACCCACTTCACCTCGCCCATCCGACGTTATGCGGATCTCGAGGCCCATCGTCAGCTGGCTGCTGCTATAGATTACGAGCCGCTTGACGCAAGCTTACAAAGCAAGAGCAAGATCGAGGCTGTGTGCAAAAACATCAATGTTCGGCACCGCAACGCCCAAATGGCAGGTCGTGCGAGTGTGGAATACTACGTCGGTCAAGCGCTCAAGGGCCGCGTGCTGGAGGAAGACGGCTTCATCATGAGGATCTTCAGCAACGGCTTCGTTGTCTTCGTTCCACGATTTGGGATTGAGGGACTGATCAGATTGCGTGACTTGCCTGAAGAAGTTGGGCGTGAGCAAGATAGTGTCTTCGACAGTGAGGATTATTCGCTCACGCTTCGAGGCGGCAAGGTGGAAAGGAAAGTGGAGCTCTTCCAGAAGGTCACAGTCAAGATTAGCGACGAGGCTGAGGAGAGCACCGGCAAGCGAAAGATCAAGCTACAACTGACCAAATAACGACGTGCCTAACTGTTTGTCAGCTATAGCGTAGTGTCTTGGTAACCAAGCTGTTGGTAAGCATGATAGCAGGGCAAGCGCCGAAATGCAGCTTGATTACTCCGAATTCCAATCTAGCTAGACTATCTCGTTCCCAAACCACTGAGTAGAGTATGCGAACTACGCAGGATCAAGCATGTGAACGCAGCAGCCGGGGTATATTGCAAGCAAAGCCGACGACCAATATTCTCCTCGCTATGCTATTATGCCTTCTCCCGTTCTTGAGCCTCAACGTTAAAATCAGCCGGAAACGCTAGAAAGCCAGTCATTATCGAGCCCGCAAATAAAGAAACCATGCAATGAATGGTACCTCGCAACGCTCGATGCGGTGATGGTGTAATGCTGAAGTCCGAGGAAACGCCGTGTGAATGCACGACTTTCGCCGTGGTAGCCGGTGCAATATGACCAGAGAAGGCGTGATTGTACTTCAAGTGCTGCGAGCAGCCTGGGCTGCTCTCATTGATAACGTTGCTGCCAGTCTTGTGGCATGGAGCTGGGCGTTGTCCAGCCCTGCATACCAGGCTGCTGATTGGCACCAGACAATTGAGTTAGGTTAAACTGTTGTGGACTTGGGCCGGGTTGGTACATGCTTCGATTCATGCCAGCATATGCGCCAGCGCCCATCTGGCCCATTTGCGCGTAGTTCATGCCAGCTTGAGGGGGCATCTGCGGCGGCGGCATTGGAGAGTGATGCTGTTGCTGTCCGTACTGCAAGTGATGTTGTTGAGGTAATGGTGAAGGTTGAGGTTGCGGAGGTTGCCACATCTGACCAGTTCCATACCCGTAAGATGGAGTTGGACGATGGCCAACCGACGCTCCCATAGCCATGGAAGGTGAGCCTTGCGGCAGCTGACCAGACGTCATTGGTCTATGCATGGCCTGCACCGGGGAAGCCATTGTATTTTGCTGGTTCGAATACGTGCCGTACGACTGTGGGATCATCTGAGAGCCAGGATGGGTCATGTGATCTTGAACAGAGCGAGCCTGATTCATACCAGCAACGGCTTGTGGAGACTGTAGGTGTTGCGGAGCGACTGTCGCGACATCTGTCGCGGTCTGCTCGGGTTGAGTTGCGGGTTGCTCGTGAGGACGCCGCCAGTAGTCGTCGAGGTAGTTGGCGCGGTGAACGCGGGTCTGTCCAAGCTGTTTGTTGTACTCTGCAGCACCTGTCGCATTCGTCATAATGTCCGAGGCGCTGCTAGGTTGAATGCGATCCTGGTACGGTGGACCATTGATCTCTTGTCTTGGTCGGATCATGTTGCCAAAGGTATTGGCCGGTAGTTCATCTTCAACTAGGTGTATCATTGGCAGCGGACCAGCCGGTGCCAGCGTCATGGGATGCGGGCCTGGTGGCTGCCCATCTCCCCCATTGCTATATATGATCTCGCCTTGAGGCAGTGAAGTCACAGCGTTGCGGGCCTCAGCAGCTGCATGTGCGTCAGCTTCCCTCCGCTTTGACGCCCCTGGTCGCTTGTCGCCCGCCATGTCAGCCTCGGTGAAGCCTTGCTTCCTGGCTTTCGCCTCCCAGTAATCATCACGCACTCGTCGACCGCCTTCAATGAGGCGACTGCCGAACTGTCGGAACATCGACCTTGCGGTAACAATTGCGATTTGTCGTGAGCGGTAAGAGTAAGGCAGTATCTCTTGATGAATCAGATTATCTTTCTCCTGTTGACTCGCAATAATTTTGTGTAGCGAGCGGTTCTTGTTGAACAACAGGTACGAATCACGGTAGCCAAGCACACGTGCACACTCGGTGGCAAGCATAAATAATTTCTCGCCGCGCTTAGGCAGCTGGAACGTGCGGCATCTGTAATTGCGACCATCACGAGGGTAGCCAGTCTTGGATACTTTCGTCTCGCCGGCTTCGTCAATTTCTCTGGGCAGATACTCGTCACCTTCGGGTCCGAGTTGGTCGGTCGTGTGGTCACGAACTGTTGGCAGCGCTTTCACTACCGTCGACTTGGTCGCTGAGCCAGGTGTAGATTGCTGAGGTGAGGTCTGACTGGGCGATGACTGCGACAGAACCTGAGTCTTTAGTTGCGGAGTTTGAACCGGCTGCTGTGACAATGCAAGAGGCATTGCTTGAAGGTTGCGCTCGCCAGCAGTTAACACTTTGCTACGTTTCACGGGCTTGGTATCCTCTAATCGTCGCATTAGCATTCTAGACGTGATCGTCGCGTCGCAGGTGCGGGACACGAGCAGCGCTCGGCACTCCATTATACGTACCAACGCCTAAGTCTTGACTCGACGCACCACCGTAGGCGTCGGGTGACCGCTCGCGCTTGATCCCCCGAGGGCTGGGCTGTGCTAGCAGAGTTGGGGCGATTGTAGATGCTATTGTTCAGTTCGGGTCAGCATGGCTCTGAGTTCGGAACATAACAGAGTAGCCTGCTGCGACGATGCGCCTGGGAGCCGTGTGTTGCAGCATCGAGCACTGGCGGAAGATGACTTACAAGGCGCATTCAGTGCCGCTGGATTGATAGTACCGGAGTCGTCCATGTCACCAAAGTGGTATGAAGGCACGGCTGAGAAGCTCGGATGCGACACGGCTAGCATCACATCCCTCTCTCCTCCTTAACCCAGCGTGCGCGCGCACTACCGGTCCCTTGTGTCGCACGGTTCCCCAATCCTCGGTGCTATCTTGGACTGCGCGCCGGTGGCGCTGCCGCCGCTGGAGGAACTCGGTCGCGCTCGCCGCTGTTCGCGCGCATCGGTAGGGGACGGATTGACGACTTGGCCCGTAGGCGATGGACTAGGCGGCGCACAGCGCGGAGGCGGAGGATCGTGCAGCACAATTAGGCTTTGGCAGTGCTAGAGGGACCCTGTCGGTCACAACGCGATGACTAGGATGATGTCGGGTGGAGCCTGTGAACAAGCAAGGTCAAGCTGCAAGAGAGCGTTTGATGCGCCGAGAGGTGCCACAAGCCCTCTGCCAGCGGCCCGAGCGCAATGACGTTTCAGTCCCCGCGAAAGCCCGCACTTCTGACTGTGACAACCGGTTGTCGACTCTATCCCGTCGCACGGTCAGCTCCTCGTCCCGTCGTGCACAAAAGCCGAACACTTCGTGGCTCGTCGCAATAGCGGAAACGCTGCTCAGTCGTACTGTATCCCTGCTTTGCTGACAAATGCGTTAGGAGTTGGTGAAGAACGTTGGCAGACTGCTCGTCACGCAAGGGATAGACGCCCACGGAGTCAAACCAGCATGCTCCGCAGATCGCACAATCACCGCTTGAGGAGCAGTGTATTGAGTGAAGAGCAGTTACTTACATGTGACTACCAAGTACGAAAGGTGGAAAACAGTCCAAGGTGTATTTCCGGAACAGACCGAGCCGAGTCGCGCTCGAGAAATTCTTGGCCTGCCTTGTCGAGACACTCGCCAGCGGCTTGCAAGCTTGTCGCACCGCAGGAGAGTCTCCCTGTGCCTCTCTAGCACCAGGGAGTATCTAGACCTGAATCCCTCTTCGGGTAGTTCGCCACAATATGGGGTCGTTCAGCCGATGGCCTTCGATCTGCGTGGTGACGATCCGGGAAAGACCCTATAGTAGATGTCGGTAGGGCCTAGCTAGCCGACGTCGCTGGATCAAGAGAACCACATCCTGATCTTAGCAATCAATGTCATTCGTGGCGGGACGTGATGCAAGCCTGCAGTTTGGAGCCAGCGAATCGCTGATGCACCGACAAAGGGAGCAAGGTGGCTTAAATGCCACTAAGATCTCACTTCAACGTGCGCATGATTACTTGCAGGAACATCGAAGCTAGTGGCTGTCCTGCACATGCGGGAAGCGGTACGTGCAGCTTAGTGTTGTGGTCGAGTAGTCCTAGTACAGTCTACGATGAGCACTCGACGACTACTGTATGCTCCGCCTGCGCAGGTGGTTTAACCGTTAATTTCATGTGACGATGGATGGGAACAACGATATTGCATATAAGGTAAGGTAGTCTTGCTTGTCAGAACTGCGCCTACCTTTAACGGAACGCTTCTTTGAGTCCGAGCGTCCCGCCTTCACGGTCCGCTGTAGCGCTCCTGCGATCATCCAGTGCAGTCACGAAGTTCTTTGCAAATTGCTCCATCGAGACATTCCCCTTCGTCTTGAATAGTCATACAAAGGCCAATCGAATGTGTGTCTTACAGCCTACGACTGCTCGAAGTTCACAGCACGTGATACTCGGCTGTTATGCCCGTGTCGTTGTACGTTATTGGCAAGGTTCTGACATATGCTGGTAGCCGCTGTCGCGCAGGCAGCCGTGACGCAAACATCCGTTCGAATGATACCATGGCACTGCTCGCGGAAGAAGGTCTTTGTCTACAGATATTACCTTTTTTACCGGGCCCCCGGCTTCCAATGTCGATGCTCTCCACAGCGGTCTCTTTGCTCTGGTACTTTTGGCTTGTACAACTTCAATGCACATGCTCGTCATTGCCGCGCCTTATCGGTGCGGCTCTCAGAAGCACATGGTCAAGTGATTACGGATGCCTGCATGAAGCTGGCGCCGCCCGCGCTGCGTGACTTGCCCTTATCGTCAGCTGCAACTGTAGCCTGTTTCCGGTCTTCGTTGGGCCTTAGCAGACTGCGACTGAATGCCCGCAAGCTACGAAGCAGGACAGTCATTGCTGCTCACACCAGCATATCCACCCCAACCCATGCTGAGCTCTTTCGTCGCATAGGTTAGCCGGCCGAGGTACGTGCAGCATGACATTATCTCATTGATTTTCTCATTGGGAAGGCGTGGCCATGCAGGACGGGTACCTACTCCAGGTCTGATATGGCAATATTGGTGGCTTATTTTCTGTATACTTCTGTGAATTTCGCAAAGATCTCCCGACTAAACTATTCTCTCGGCCGGCCATGAGATGATTTGCCCTACAACGATCTTCCTTTTATCTCGAATGTGTCTAAGACAAAACAAATGGCACCTCACGCGGGACTCGAACCCGCAACCTCCAGATTCCGATATACAAGTAGAAGTCTGGCGCGCTACCATTGCGCCAGCAAGGCTATATTGAGGACGAAAATCGGGTCGCGAGCAAATCATGTCGGATTTTGCGGAGTTAAAACATTGCTCAATATATACCCATCTATGAAACCCCGGGGTGCTTCCGAGCTTCACAAAGCTCGCTTGCGGAAAAAATCATGACTTGAAGATACAACCTCACGCCCGAAGTTCCCACTTTTGCTGCAGACGACGTGGTGGAAGCACTGCAAGCAACCCCAACGCCACGCTAGAGAACTAATCATGTCGGCAGAGCGTTGCTAATCGCTGTCGGGCTCATCCAGAGCCTCATCCTGCATTTCGCCCCTACCATTTAGGTCCTCAACCGGATCACCCGCATCTTCCTGCTCTCCGTCCTCATTAACCGCATCATCTGCTTCATCTTCCTCCTCGTCATCATCGTCAGGGTCATGCTCGTCAGGATCGTCATGGTCAACCGATGGTCCGTCGTCAAACATTTCATGATCCGCAGGGTAGGTACCCGGTGCAACCGCTTCGCCACTTCCGCCCTTTAGCTTTTTTACGGGTCGCTCGTCGTCGCCCAGGGCATCGTGACCGTTAGCGACTCCATTGGCAGCCTGAGCGTCGTTCTCCTCTGTAGCGGAGGGTTCGTCGTGCTCTCCAGTAGCAGCAGCTGCCGCCTTCTCCTCCTTGACCTTCCGGCGGTATGTGTTGCGCTTGTCGCACTGTACATCATTGTACTCTGAGCAAACTGTCAGCAACAAACCATCATGCTAAAACCCGAGACTATTCCAAAGGTGCGCGAGACGCATAACGTACTCTTGAGCTCTGCATCAAGCCTCGGTAGGAAGTTTTCAAACTCGGCGTCTTTCAGAGCGGCCATAACATCTGGTGGCATGACCGTCTTCTTGCCACTAGCTTGTACATTCTCGCTCGAGCTGTAACCAATATCAGCGTGAGTCAATTTGGGGCTTGTTCAGGAGCGCCTCGTCAAAACAGCATAAAGACGGGTCGGTAGCCTTTCTATTGAGCTTGGCGTACTTGGAAGCAATATAGCTAACGAAAACGGTCGCACTTTTATGTAGTGCTAGCAGCGCGTCTTTGTGTATCTGGGTGTTCGCGGGTAGGACACCTTTGGCGAGGCGTGCAATCATCGATTTTGGAAGGCTGAGATCCTACATGACTTGTCAGCAGAAACTATCGGCTGCTGGACCGTGAACATCTAACCTCTACATTTACGCCATCCTTAGAACTTCGTGCTGGTGTGTCGTCTGCGCCCTCATCTGGTGCATTGGACGCCACAGAGACGTTGCTTTTCCGTGGTGGCATATTGGCAATTTATGTTGATGGCAGAGAATGAACAGTCAAATACTCGATAATGTCCTGATCTCTGGAGTACAAAGACTTTCGGTGCCTCGTGGTCTGCGTTGAACAACACGTGAGTGACGCGAGATTCTTCCATGCACGCGCTTGGTGTGTGCTGTGGCTGAAGTGGGAGTGGAAAGTGCAGCGAGATTCTTTCCTGACTTTCCCATCTCTACAGGGACAAACATAATCGCAATACTTTGCTCATGTATTGTTCGTCTCGTGACGAGACAGGCACTCAGGTTGTGCGCGTGGAGTCCGACCATGCATGTGTATACCACAACAGCGAAGCAGTACAGCGAAATCGTTCTCAGGAAGGTGTCCTTTCCTTAGCTGATTGATCCTTACGATCAAGACCACTCCTCAGCTTTTTCTGTGTCAAGATCTGTCCGCAAGCATCCTGTCTATGCTTAGGAAGGACTGATTGCAAAGCTAAAGTTTACTGTACAGCCTCTCATGGCAATACTCACAGCGAAGCTTTACCGCACTCTTCGGCGACCAATCCTAACCACATTTGTTCGTAATAGTATCTCTGCTGGGATTTAGCGCCACATCATGGGTGCTTATGGAAACATCGTCTACGGTTTGTCGGCTGTAGGAGGTTATACAGCGCTAATGGCGCGTGGGAACAACCAAGAGCTCCTGAAGCCGGCATTGGTAACGCATGTGGGATGAACACTCTCAGACAGATGGCTAAACTACGCGCTTTGCGAACCAGTCGTCGATATGGGTAATTGCACAGTACACCAAGAAATAAAACAACTATCATCTCAGCACACTCCCTGCTCCAAGAACAGAGCATCCCTACAGCTTTGCAGCCTTCTAGATATGCCTCTCAGAAAGAAGTTATCGACCATCTGGAACCGGATCAATTCTACAGCTGGTGAAGGACGATGTACGGCTGGAACCAAGCCTGCACAAATAGTAGTGGCACGCAGCATAACCTACTTGAATGTAGCAATCGAAACTTCGGCGCTGGATCTGTCTGACATACCGTACGGGACCAGGGGCGAACACACTAACGTACTGGGGCCACCTCTTACGTCTTATGCACCACTATTGCAGTGTAACGGCACAGCACCTCAGAGAGCTACAGTAGACACTGCACTTGGGCAACCCGCAATTGACCTCACGTTCAGCAAGGAGATATTAACGGCCCGCAGAGACACAGCAATCTCCGCCGAAACCGGACAGCAGAGTACCCCTCCGTCGTCGGACCATGGTCGCCCACTTACCATTCTCACGATCGTGCAGGAGCTGAGGGCCCAACTAGCAAGCGAGGAGGAGGCTGATGGCTATCCTTTGAAAACCGTTGCCAGCCGACAGCATGCACACGGAAGAGCTACGAATGAGATCAGCCAGGCAATGTCCCGGGAACTGTAGATCTGCGCGACCCTGTAGTGTACATGCTCTGCATTGAAGCGAGATACAAATTCAGCAAGACCGTTGGTTCGTGGACGTAAGCAGAATGAACGCTACAGCTCTACAGCCCCGCCGCGCCTATTTCGGCGCAAAGCGTCATAAGGGTTGTTGGTTCGGTGGTAGTTGCAAAATTTTGGCGCGGATGGTTGATGAAAATGGTCTCAATGGTCGTTGTTGAAGGGGAGGACTTTGTAAGCGCAGTACAGCCGTAAGGAGACATGCTGCAAGTTTGCATTTGGCGATAAGAGTGCAACTTGATGGATCTTGGCTCCGATAGTCGTATGCTTGTCGAATCATTGCATCTCACTTCGTTACAGCTTCGACGGCAGCTTCGTCACCACTGAGATACGTTCCTAGCGTCCTGGTACCTGCCGTAAGCTCGACCTTTCTAGCCAGCGAACCCCCGCGGCTTGCGGACAAGGTAGGATCCAAACAAAGCTCATGTGCTTCCTGTTCGTCGTCACTGTCCCATGGTACGGGCCCTTGGTAGTCCTCAGGCCTCGCAAGGGGCTCTTCTTCATTTGTTGAAAGAAAGAGCCGCAGCTTCAGCGGCATAATACCTAGACGTTTGCCGACGAATCCTAGCAAAGTATACATGGAACATGAGCGAGGTACAACCTGCTCCCATTGCAGGGATCCATGAGTGAAATGCATTTTGACGAGGCGGGCAGCTAGTGAATTTGGATCATCCCGGTCAATGGTCGCAACGAGGGCATGCCGGTCACTGAGAATGGTCGGCTCACCATATTCAGCGCACAGAGCAGCAAACCGAGGGTGCCGCGCTAGGACAGCGGGTCGAGCAGCAGGTGTGCTGGCGGCTGCCTCGGCTACGATGAGGTTCAAGTAGAAGACATCGGCGTTCAGACGGTCCTTTTCGGTGATAGTGCTGTAGTTGAGCGAGCACAAACCAGGCAACCGAGCAATTGTAAGCATGTAGCAATCCTCAGCGGCGAGCTCCTTACCGTCGTAGCGCTTAGACAGTGTGTAGAGCGGGTTGCCAGCGCTGCGCAGATGCCGGAGATTCGGACACATTGTGATCAGTTCATCGAAAAAGAACCAGTCCTCGATATGATTGTCACGAATGTCAAGCTCAGTGACGGAGGTGTAGGCCAGCTGGTGTTCGGAGGATGCTTGAGACCAGACTGCGGATACGTTGCATTTCCTAAGCAGAAGCGTCTCCACGTTGCTCCCAGCAACGCAGCTTACGTCGCTCAGCGATACAAACTCATTGCCTGAGAGTTCGAGTAGTCTCAGCTTACTAAGTGCTAGTCGCACAGTTGCGTGAGTCCACTCGTTGTTGCTGGCTGTCAAGGCTTCTAGATTCGGGCAGATTAGAGCAAGCACCTTAACCACCACGGCATCCCAATCGAGCAACACGTTGCCGAGACTCAGCGCTTTTATCGTGGCCAAGCTGTGATCGCGACCACCGAGAGCATCTAATTTGCAGAGACGGTTGGCATCCGCTGTAAGGCTTCTCAACTTTGGAAGGCATCGGCAGAGTAGTTGAACTTCTTCGAAAGTCTCGAAGAGGTTGCCGCTGATGTCGAGTTCAGTAACCTCTCCACAGAGCGCAGTTATCTCGTTGGAGTCTCCGTCTTCGGAAGGACTATGACGGATACGCATACGGTCAAGTACAAGTGTACGTATGCCGCGCAGCTCTGCCTGTCGTGCGGCGAACTTCTCGAAACCCACTTCCTCTGCCTGTTTGCTCGAGAAGTAGATAGCACCCTGTGCATGGATGGAGAGACCGACATTTGGTAAGACGTACTTTTCCTTCAATGCTTGTAGGAAAGAACTTGGCTTGTCCCATTGCTGGTTTGGACGGATGAACGATGCAGCAGTCGCAGACTTCGACCAACCTGAACCCTGGTCAGTTCGCAAGATCGACCGAAAGGTTGGCATTCGAATCCTAGGCTGTGTTATACGCACATCGGAAGTAAGTACTTCCTTCAACGGTGCCAGCATTCTTGCCGCGAGTAGTATCATCCCATTCTACGCCCAGCCATTCTCCAGATTTTCCTTCCACAGCACCCACGTAACGTACAGTGCATGTTTGACTCCTCAGCGACAGTCTTTGGCCAACGTAATAGCCACTTTTCGTCGTCATCAGGAGCAGACTGTGGGCACTTTAAACTTGCTAGGTGTGACTAACATGGCGGGCCGCTTCGATGCGATGGCGGCCGGGAAGACAGTTTGCATGGAGCAGAATGTGAAATAGCAAATTTTGCTTCACATCTATTGAGTGATGTGGTGGCGCATACAACACAATAGACGCCAAAGCAATATGTTGACGCGGAATCACGTTACCAAGGGATCCTCGCGGATGAGCATCGGCTGGCAAGTAATGGCTGCGTTAGAATAGGAAATCCCACCAGTGGAGAAACAGACCACCACGAAACGCAGGCAGCCGCGAATATACCTACAATGCCCCGGAGTGTTGCCCTCGAAACGCCACGCTAAATCGCAACACGACACTCGTGGCCCTACATGCTGCGCGCTCATTTCAATACAACCCTTGAATTGATGGCAATCAACGACCCCTATCCGTCGTCGCACGTGCTCATCTGCGATGGCCCACCGTGCTCTAAGGTGCTGCTGCCGCTACCGCCCAACATATCAAGTAGCTGCGCATACGGTACCGTCACCCGCTGCAAGTCTCTGTACTTGCCAAGCACAACCACGACCTCACGAAGCAAGTCTTCGCGCTTCCAGCCCACGATCTCTGACCCTTCGCCCCATACAATGCCGTCGGGTTGAGTGATGCCTATTCCACCATCCTCGACGTCTTCTGGTTCGTCGTACATATTCCCAGTCATGCCGCGTAAAAGTTCTTCCACCTTGCCCTTTGCACCTTCGGCACCTAGCCGCTTCGCATACATTATCAGGTAGACCCGGAACTCGTCCTTTGCGCCAAGGGTGAAAGCCGCAGCTATGCGATTCTCCAGGTGGGCAATCGAGACGCTGGATTCGAAGCCTTCGAAGCCCTCGGCGGAGAGCAGCTGCTTGACGAGGCGCTGCAGAAAGTAAGCACGACCTTTCAGTAAGGCCTGGGCGGTTGTATTGCGCTCCAGAATCGGTATGATGCCAGCGGAGATATTCTCGGGATTGATGTCGTCCATTAGGCTTGGCTCTCTGTCCTTCGAAGCTCCGGTCTTGTTTGTTAGTCGTAGCGCCGATGTGAAAGACGTATAGGCTGTGTTCCAGTATTGGCTACCAACCGCCCACCAGCTTTCGCTCAAACGCTGCCAGACATACATCCCTGCATTGTACGCGAAACCATCACCATTGCTCAACCCAATAATGACCCTGCCCTGACTGTTCAACCGTGCAAACATCAGACTGGGTGCCGGAGTCAGATGGTTCTGCATCATAGCACTAGCCGCATCAAGCACAGGCGCCAGGCTAATGGGCGGATGCGCAGCGCTCATTGTCCGAACATTCCAAACATAGCACTGTCCGGCCGCGGTTACGGCCAAAAGCCACCAGCCTCTGCAGTCCAGAATGACAGGCTGCGCTTCTAGAACGCTGGCGTTCATAACACGCCTCCCGGCAGGTGTCCAGAGATGCAGACTTGCATCCTCGCAAGCTGCAGCCCAAAAGTTGCGATTCCCCGTCACGAGCAAAACCGCTTTGGGCAGAAAGTCCTGCCATAGGGTCTGGTTGCGCTTCGAGAGCGTGATGCGCGTCGGTTCTTTATCCTGTACACGACCGGTTCGGGAAGGACCGGTTGCGTTGCGCGCTTCGAACACAATGTTCGCGTCGTTCTCGGGCACGCTTCCGTTCGTTATACCGTCCATCTGATGTTCATCGCTGACGGATTTATGCACATCGAGCGGTCGCAGCACTACGCTGCGCACCAATGGTACTGCGAGTCTCACTTGGCTCACCGTCAGACTGGGATTCACGATTGCCGGTCGTAGCGGTTCCGGCGTGTCAACCGGAATCTTTTGCGCAGTGACGGTAGAGGTTGGCACGAGCCCGTCTGCAGTATTATCGACGATGGGCGTGGCGCCGGTCTGCTGTATGCCATTGACTCTCTTCTCCGCACGCTTCCTCTCCTCCTCGTCCTCACTTGCGAACTCGGCATACTTGCGCTTGTTGCCAAGCAGTAGACTGGCAAGGCCACCTTTCGGCAGCCCATCGTAGGGTTTGCTGAGGTCAAGAGTCTTACCCGCAGGCTCATCGGAGAGTCCGCCTTGGCGCATCGAGGCCTGCAGCTGTGGACGTGGAAGATTGGCTTCGCCGACGTTCGACGAGGACACGAGCAATGGTGCAATCCGCTTCTTTCCTTCTTTAGTGAACGTCACTCGGTTTTTCAGCTTATCAATCTTCTCTTGTTGCGCGTCAACGGGCGCCTGGGGTACGCTGGCTGCTTCAGGTTCAGGCACTATGCCGTCCGTGTTTGATGCAACGCCGTTAGGCCGGTTCACGTGCGCCGAGTTGCCGTTCGTAAGTCCTCCATTCTGCGCATCCGAGCTATCACCCATCAACTCGCCCATCCTGCCTTCCGCACCTTTGAGCTCTCCGGCTTTGCTGCCCTCCTCTAATCGCAGAGCGTCTGCGCCTTCGATGATGCCTGCTCTTCTGCCAGCACCGTACTTAGCGAGCCGCTGTTCATTGTCCGCGGGCGAAGTCGGATAGCCAAGCTCGCCTGTATCGAAGACTAGGACTGCAATTGTACCGTCTAAGCTTGTAGCGTAGAGCGTCTCCCCGTCTGGACTCCAGACCATGTCACTGATAGGCTTCGTGCAGACCTCCGTGGTAATCACAAACGGCCTCGCCAAGGACGTGTTCCAGACACTGATGGTCTTGTCTTGGCCAGCGCAAGCGACAACACTGACAGCGGGCGGCATTGGTGGGGCATCTTTGGGGTCTGTTGGCAGTGGGGGAGGAGGTTGATTGTAGAACAGACGCGTTGAGAAAGCGCATACCTCCACAGGCCCTTCATGTCCAATCAGATTGATATGACTGTCCCACGTACCTCGCTCTACAACAGCGATAGAGCTCACCGGGCCATTGGTGGCGTTGGCAGCAGCGATATGCGCACCTTCGGGGCTCCATGCGCAACGTCTGAAGTATGTTGTGAGTGGACTAGCACTGAAAGGCGTGGTGACTGTTGCCTCAAGGGTAAAGTTCGAGGTTTGGTCATACGCTGTCGCATTCGAAGGAGGCGACGTGAAGCGGAAGATCTTAATTGTCCGGTCATCGCTGGCGGTTGCGAAGTACTTGTTCGCAGGATCGAAGCAGATACCCTTGACGTGACTCTGATGGTTCACCAGCGTTTTGAGCTTCTCGAATGTGCTGCCAGACCAGACCACGACCTTGCTATCCAAACCTACGGAAACCAGGATGCTGCTGTCACAGCTCCAGCCCAAATCTTGCACGTCATTGTCATGGCCGTTCAGCCTGCGAAAAACCCTCCAGTTCTCTACCTGAGGCGCGTCATTGCTGCCAAAGGTCGCTGCCGGTGCACCCGGTTCGAGCGCATACACACAGACAAGCTTGTCATCGGCGCCTGAAGCCAGGTATCTCCCGTTTGGGCTGAATCTTACGCTGTGGACAGTTCCGGAGTGGTAGGACAAGCTGGCCAGCTGCTTAGGCTTGGTGTATGAAGGGTCCGATGCATTCAGAATGGCATCCGTTGACCATATCCTCACATGTCCATCACCTGCCGCTGTCGCGAGTCTTGCGCCATCAGGACTGACCGAGCATGAGTAGCATGGCTGAGGCCGTTCGAGGTTGTGACTTAGCCAGGATGGTTTCGTAAAGCGCATGATGAGGCGACGTTCATCTTTCCATCAATGGTATCATACGCATTGACGAAGTTTTACCCAATGGTGGAGGCTCTGGCCTTCATGCGTGGACTATGTGACAGCTGGAGACGCGACTCGAGGCGCAAGCACTCCGGGAGGACCCGTGATCTAAGAGGGCCTCTAGCGCGATTACAGCACGTCTTTGAAACACCATTCGCCATGCATCTTCGTGGTATGTTGCTTCAACAATTCGACCATACCCCCGACCACAACCTGGTACAGCTTGGCGGCATCAAACATGGTGGGACCAGCAAGGAAGCGTCAGAAGCGGGAGGAGAATGTGGAAGGTTCGATGATGCCGCAAAAGAAGTCAGATCAGCTCCTACAGCCCGTGCAGCCAGCTTTCTGTGCTAATAGCTATACTCACTTCTACAGGTTCTATAGACAACGGGCTCATGCGAACCCTTTCTCCGACCATGATCTTGTGTAGTACGTGCAATTAGAGCCATCGTGGGAAAGGGAAAGCATTGATCGGACTATTGCAGTCCTGCAACTCCCCAAGCTATGGATTGGTCCTCCTACTATCCGGTCCTTGTCGCCACTGATGCCACCAAGCCAACGCCGAAGGAGGGACCGAATGCTGACACGCGTTATTCTGCAAATTGGGCGCCCCTCATGACCAAGCAAGTCGAAGTCGCAGACATCGGATGCGGTTACGGGGGCCTACTATTCGCGCTCTCGCCGAGGCTGCCAGACCAGCTGATCCTGGGCCTTGAGATCCGCACCTCTGTGACCGAGTTCGTGCAGGAGAAGGTCAAGGCGTTACGGTCTCAGCACGCATCCACTGGGGATTTCCAGAATGTCTCTTGCATCCGGGCCAACACCATGAAGTTCTTACCCAACTTCTTCAGCAAATCTCAGTTGAGCAAGATCTTCCTCTGCTTTCCAGACCCGCAATTCAAGGCTCGTAAGCACAAAGCCCGCATCGTCAGTACTTCGCTCAATTCCGAGTACGCCTTCGTCATGCGGCCGGGTGGTAAGGTTTACACCATTACTGATGTTGAAGACCTTCATTATTGGATGGTTGAGCACTTTGATGCTCATCGCAGCTTTGAGCGAGTGTCCGAGGATGAGCTGGAAGCTGACGAATGCGTCGAAGTGATGAAGTCGGAGACGGAAGAGGGCAAGAAGGTGGAAAGGAACCGGGGACCGAAGCATGTCGCAGTATTTAGGCGTCTCGAAGATCCGCCCTGGCCATAGGCCGTTGTGGTCCTCCCAGTTTCGAGCGTGTAGGTCCAAGGACAACGAAGTATCAAGCTGCGATGGACGCACGTCCGTGCTGTTGCTGTCACGATCTCGGTTTCAGCAATTTCCCCCGGAGTGCCGGCGGCCGAATTCCATAAGCCCGGGCGGTTTACCGGGTCTACTCCGTCGTGTACTTCTTCCCTCACGTAAATGAAGGGCTCTTGTATGCTCCCGCATCAATCACCGCTCCCAAGAAAGTCGAACAGTCCATGCACGCCATCGAGAACTCCGGGGCAGTCCAGCTGACCAATATCCTTAGCAGGCTTGATGTTTCGAGACCCAGTGTCACTCCAGTCAATGAGCTCTTTGACGTCCAGCCACTCACCGTCTGCACCATTCGGTCGCAGCCGCAGCATTGTTGTCACCCTTGAACTGACTTCATTCGAGTCCCATCCCTCAAATCCAGTGCTGTGGATCCGCCGCCACTCTGGTATGTCCTCACATCTCGGCGAGGGGTGATCGCAAAGTGCCTCTTCGAATCTAATGATGAGCTCCGCATTGCGAGTCATTGTCTCGACATGCCATATGCCCTTCCGCAGTGACAGGCGCTTCATAGCGGCCAGCGCCTGGTGACGAACACGGCTCTCTCGACAATGCGTGGCAATAAAGTAAAGAGGAATGAGCAAACCCTCGTCCGTTGCAACTGAGAAGAATCTTTTCTCTGGCTCATCATTTCCAAGAACATAGACGCATATTGCCAGTGAATCTTCATAGTCTGTCAGGAAGGGATCATACACCGTTGTTTCGGCGTACAGACAGGTGGCTGCGGTAATCCGATCCATCTTTACTCGAACCCTCAACAAAGCAAGACCATGTTGCTCCCGCGCGGATAACTTGACCGTGGGCTTATGCGTGTACATCCACAGCAACCGCTCAAGCTCGTGAAGAGTTTGTGCGAGCTCGTGAGATTTAGCAAGTAGCTCTATGGGTACGTTGCCTGGCTCCCTGAACTTATAGCGGTCCGCATGCATCCGCATGAAATGGTACAAGCGACAACTCCAGGTCGCAACTACATCGCGCGCGTGTGTCGGACTACTGATAGTCGTCGGCAACGTACTGTCAATGAAAGCTGTATGGAAAGGAAGGCCAGGCGTTCGTTCTCCGAGCAGCGTTGAGCCCTGGACATCGATTCGCATAAGTGTTCGTACAAGGGCCGGATCAATCTTCCTTGGGTCAAAACTGGTGTTGGAACTTAATAGTCTTATAGCATGCTCGGCATGTATTATAGCCGGAACAAAGCTTTCGCGCAAGGCCTCAAAATGAATCATGAGAATGACTGCCACAATCATAACATCCATCGGTACCTGAGTGGATGTAAGCAGCGACCGCATGTGCTGCAGTGCTCTCGCATATTGCGCCGCCGGAAAGCTTGCATTGACTACAACAGCAGTCTGTCCAGCGGTCGAAACATCCCGTTCTTCGTGTAAGGCTGCAAGCGCATTGACGGCATAGCGGATGGTCGGTTCGCTTTGACTGAGCTGAAGAACGTAGCGGTCCCATACGGAGTCGTTGAAGTAACCAGAGAGACCTGGTCCGGTCTTCTCGCGGAAGAAGGCGAAGCTTCTCAGCTCCAAAGAGCTACCAATTGACGTGCTCAAGGCTGTAGAAAGAGGCTCGGGTTCCGCCGCAATGAACGGCGACGGATAGCCATCACATTTCCTTCCAGTACTGCTGCAGCGATTGCAGCTTGGTCGTTGTTCGTCGCATTTCACTCGTCGAATCTTGCAAGTAAGGCATCCTGTCCTCACCTTTGGGGCGTACCGGCGCACAACACGCCGGTCAGCATTCGGGGTCGCGACCTGCAGCGCGGCCATTTGCATCGTCCTGTGAACATGCTGTGGAGGTAGTCGAGAGTGCTGAACAGATCTGGAGGCCTGGAGGACGAGCTTTGGCGTCGATGGGTGGCAGTGCAATCGAAGCCTTACCTCAGCGACCAAACGACAGCGAGCGGGCCAATCGCATTGCTCGACGACAGCGGACCTCATTCCGACTCCGGTCGCTCCTTCCCCACTATGCTGTTGCTTTCGACTAACCACTACCTTCGGGTTGTTGTTGAAGGCTGCAGTGAACTCCCGGGTCGAGTATCGTTATCCTGTGGTTGCGCGTTGCATGGATCCTGCACTGCAGCTGCGACAGAGAACCCGGAGTGACCCTATCATGCTAAAGACGTATTTTGCAAACATGCAAGACGCACGGTCGCTGTGCAGCTTCTGCGTAAGAAGCCGTCTGTATCAAAACCTACGACTCAGGAACGGTTGAAAGGGTGGCAAGTCATGCGCTTGCAACATCTCCTCGTCTATCAAGCCCGCTACCTGTGGCGCCTCAGACACTTCGAATGCGTCCTCGAAATGCGATGCTCCAGGGGTCAAGCTGCTCATGAGCTCGGTGAAAGAGGCATCAATCTCTGCTCCAGCTTGCGGCAGACCCTGTTGTTCATTGTTAAACTCTCGCTTGCCATCCCATATAGATGTGGTGGCCACTCACCTGCAAGAATTTGAGACACCTGCCGAGATTCTCGTTCTTAGCAGCATGCCGAGCGCAAACATCTTTGATTCTGCGTACAGCATCGGCCGTCTCATCCACAGTTGGTGCGCCCTCGTTGCTTGATACGAACAAGGCAAGGCAGACGGCGGCGAAGAAGATGGTGAAGGTCACGAACCACTGGCTCGGATTGAACAAGCCGGACGCCTCGAGTCGCTCTACCAGCCATACAGCCTGCATGGCTGCCTTTATGCATGCGCTGCCACACGCGTAAGCCTTTAGGCTCGGACGGTTGGTCTGGCGGCTGCTGTCTCGAAGTGCGTGGTGCAAGAAAGGGCGATAAAGCACCAATTGTACACGTGCGTGGTAGAGTCGGAGGATGAGCTGGGATCTGACATGATATGTTAGCAAAAGGTATGCAAGCAGTGACCGACATTCAGCGTAGTGTACCTCATAAGGACGGGGTCAAGCGTCTCTGGTGGTCGCTGCAGGAGTTGCTGGAACCAAGTGTCGAGCTTGGCCTGCACATATGTTAGCATAAACACTCACTTAAGACGTGCGAGATCATGCGACCAACCTCAATCGCGACTATCTTGCTGTGTTCCACGCTGTAGAATCCATTCTTGGTCTCTATTGGCTTGATGAAGGGATGATTACTCTCAACCGTCAGCGCCAAAATCTGCGCCAACTGCGAGTGTAAGTACGTTCCCGCAAGCGGATCATGAATATCTGTTGGTTGTACGGCAGACGGCAAGCCACGTTCGGAGTCGATATCCCGCAGTGTGCGCGGTAGACCAAGAGCGGCTGTGACGTATACGTCTGCGATATAGAGCACGCTGTAGATTACCCGACGACTCTTTCGCTCCGCATCGTCAAGCTTCTGGTGTGAAACATCGTTGAAAAGGCCCATCTGCAGAGCCGCTGCGACAGCCATGCAAATGTAGGAGTAGCATGTTGACATCATGTTCGCCGCGCCTGTGTACAGGATCATGCACAGCAATGTCCGAAGCGCAGTTAAGTCCTGGCAGGAAGCAGGATCCAGTAGCGCCCGGCTCGCACGAAAATACCGGATGCCGTTGGTCTTCGGCGGCTGCACCTCGCTCGACAACGAGGCATCAACGTGTGAGAACTGCCGACTTAGTGCTAGCACAGCATAAAGCAACGCCAACGCCTTTCGATCGTAGTTGGAGTCGTCCGCTTCAACAGCACGATATACGTCGTCCGCGAGAGCAACAAGAGTCGTCCGGTCAAGGAACTGCATGTTGCAGCATGCCTCATCCACAACGATGTCAATCGCCTTATCAACGGCAGCTCGCGAGGGCATCATCGCAAACGCTTCCCACGAAATGGGCGTGCTCATCTCCTCCGGCGGCGCAACCTCAAATGCATTCGCAAGGCTTTCGTCAACGGCCTCAGCTCGGCCTCGTTTTCCAAGATGTTTGCAGAGATTGTGTACTCGTTTCAAAATTCTCAGACCGCCAAAGTCGACCGGGTCGAGTTCGTGCGATTGCGACTCGGTACCGTCCGTGCTATGTCGGGGCTGTGAGTCGTCCTGTACAATCGTCTCAATATATTCATCGTCCGAAGGAGGTGACTCATCCGGTTGATCCTGCTCCGACGAACCCGTATTCTGCCATTGCATCTGTGGCGTAGATTGTACATCATGGGTAGGGCTCGCCTGCGTTGGTGGCGACGTGAGTGAACCCGGGCTTCCAAGCAATTTCTCGAGTTGACCAACTTTCCTCTCCAATTGCCGAATATACTGCGTCGAGGTCATGCGTCCTCCGGAAGCGTAAGAACATTGCAGCTTGCTAAGTCTGCACGGATTGCATGGCGTCTCGCCATTGCACTTCGCTTTCCGCCTTCTGCAATTCGTACACGCCCAAGCGACGCGTTGTCGTTTTGGCACCTCGTCCTCCATATCAAATGAGTTTGGTCGATTCGGCCTGTCGGGCGATAAGCACCTATATGGGAGTGATTCGGTAGATGGAAGAGGCTTCAAGGGACAGTTCGTGTGACCAAACCGTGATATCGCGCATGAACGGCTGTGCCCCGCGCTATCTGTTTCTTGGAAACCTTCACGGTCAACTTCCCGTTTTGCTGCATTTCATGGGCCAGCTGACGTTTCTCGGAAACGTTCCTGGTGGAGACTAAGCAAAGCGGGAATCTCCAGATCGCTGGCGCGGTTTGAACTGGTGCAAGCGTTGTTTAAGCTTGAGTCTGCATATAATCTACACTTCAGCCCGCAATGGTCAATGCGATACAACATCGCTCCTTGTCCTGCCATACCATGCATCTCCCCTCTTTCTGTACATTCACTTCCTGCAAACGAAGACTTTCTTCGCAACCAAGGGTATCTGAGTAGTCGCTATACGCCGCAATAGAAAAACTACTTCTCTGCGCACTCAACGCAGCCCGATGACACTCTAAACCAAAATATGTAAGCACAACATCCTGGTGATTCAACAAGCGCTGTGTGGCGGAGGTACGTACCATTTCCAAAGTCCAGACCCTCCGAATCCAGACCTTGAGTCTCTTACCTGCGTCGACACCCTCGACATTGTCAAGCTCCACGCCTTCCCACCAACATCTACGCGCCGGCTTTCGCCAGAACAGCAAGAGCTTCTGCGCCATACCAACCGCGTTGCTGTTGGCGCCGTTCGTCGGATCCGAGACGCTCGCACCTCGGATGTCGGTACGCAAACGGGCGAGCCCGATGGAACAGATGACGGCTTTGTTGGGCTCTGCGGCCCGGTGGCCCCAAGTGTCTGCATGGTCGAAGCCGCTGTGATAGCACATCAGTACGCGTTGATGGAGAGCAGATTAGACTTGACTTGGGTGGAGATAGGCTTACCCTGCCGTCAACATCTCGATGAGGTGTTGCTCAGTCGTGCCGGGCTCTTCGCTTTTCCGCAGACCGGAGAAGATGCCATCTTGTCGCAGTAGGGCCTTGCCGGCCGCACGCTTGACATCGATCATCTCCGCCTGCTCGATATCTTTCCGTGGAGGAATGACATAGAAGTCAAGGTCTTCTCTCAGCACGATGATGCCGGCGCGGTCGTGTAGCATGTCTCGCGCATTGCCAGGCATGGGATCAATTGGCATTGTGCTTGCTGATGATGGCTCGTGCGCCGCTTCCTCCGAAGATTGCGGTATGGTCTGCGCCACTTGCCGGAAGAATTCGAGCATGTATTGCAGGGATGTCGGGTCGTACTGTGAGCGATATAAGATGTCAGATAGGTATACATTGTCGTTGGAGAGCATTCTCTGCACTTCGACCACAGACACCGGGCGACCTTTGGTTGCCTGGGTCACGATGCGAGTGGTGGCGGTGGTTTTGCTTACGTCAACGGGATACACGTCGCCATCATGATAGCTGCTCATGTGGCTATCGGGTAATAGGCCGTTCGGAAACAGCGAGAGCAGGACAAACTCCGGGAGCGTTAGCAGCTCATCGCGGGAAAGAGTAAAGCGAGTGCCGCTATCGAAGTCAGTGTCTGACGCCATTAAGCAATGACTGCGCGCGCTTACCGCAGCTCAAGCGTGATATTCTCCTCGGAACCTGCACACAGTCAGAATGGCTCACATGGAATCTGACATCAGTCTTACCTCCTAATGAAGTATTGATCGGTGCGGGTCCACCCTGCTGTACCTGCGTTATGATGCTCGCCGCACCTCCCGCCGCAGCCATGACGTACGTAAACCCCTCGAGCGGGCTGGAACCCTCTGTGTAAGGAGGCGGTGGCTCGCCGTCGTCTAGATCCTTGCTAGACTGCCCGTCCTTTGTGTCGCGCGGGAGCGCAGCCTTGACCTCCGCAACAGCCCTCGACGCGGCTTCCGCAAGCGCAGTAGTCGGGCTCTCTTCGAAGCTCGGCGGAGCAGGCTCAAGAGGCGCAGAAGCGGTAAGAGACTGACCGTCGCCGCAGGTGGTAACAAGGGCACGGTACGGGTCGACTTCGGACGGGGCGGGAAAGTAGCGGGAGGGGAAGTTGTGGGAGGAGAAGGTGGGCGGCGACTCGACAGCCGAAGCCGAGGGCGCTTGTTCCGCACGATCTGTTTGCTCTAGCCGGAAGTGAGACTCGACGTCGGTTTTGTTATGGAGAGTGTCGTGGGTGCGGGCGCGCAGAGAAGGGGTGGTGTGGATCGAGTCGCCGTCGGAATCCACCTTGTTGTCGGTCTCGTTCCTGCGGTGTACGCCGATGGGAGGTCAGGGTCGTGGAGAAGGCGCGCTGCTCACATGGGTAGAGGCACACGAGTTGGTAGCTTCTGTGTTTTAAGTCTTGGGCAACAAGAAGGCGCGTCTTGTATGCTTTGGTCGAGGCAGTGACGAAAGAGATGGCATCTTGATGCTGTTCGTCCAATGGGTGAGGCTGGAGAAGTGGTCCCTGCTTTCCGGCTCGATCGGCCGAACATGAGCCGCAAGAGGCTGAAAGCGCCGTAACATTGTGGGCAGGTTACGGCACGTTTACTTGTGTACATATTACCAACGGAACCAGGTGAAGGAAAAGGGCAACATGTACTGGAGATGCTAATGCTTTATCACAATGGTTCTGTAACCATGAATTGCGCAAAGCGCAGCCTGTCCGACAAAAACCCGGAAGCTCCCAGCGACACTTCCCACACTTACAACCATACCCAGATGCCCTTCGCTCAATCCTTGTTGAAGTCAATAACCACACGACCAGCAATCTCACCACGCCTCAGCTGCTGCACACTCTCCGGAAACGCGCTCATGCCTCGTACTTCGCAGATATTCTTGAGTAATCCACGTCTCGCATAATCCAACGCCGCCGCAGTATCTTGCATCGTGCCGACCAACGTGCCAATGATGTGCAGGTTCTTGAACGAGAAGAAGTTCGGATCCGTGCCTAAATTGACCGTACCGGCTGGGGGGAGAGCTATGCACATGATGCGGCCGCCGATGCGGTCACCGATGTATGAGATGGAGTCTGCGAGGTCGTTAGCGCGAGTGGTGGTGGTGAATGCTGGAAAAGCTGGTGGACTGACCTTTGTAGGCTTGGTAGGCTGTCACTAGCACGCCATGAGCACCAACGCCGTCCGCGACCTCCTTGATGCGTGCGGCAACGTCCTTGTGCTCCTTGAAGTCGACAAATTCCTCGGCGCCCATCTTCATGCAAAGATCCTTCTTTGCTGCGCCGCTATCGATGACGATTGGTCGCATGCCCATGGCTCTGCGGAGCAGTAAGCATACTGGACCGAGCAGTAACGGTAGGAGTCTTGATACTCACTTCGCCAACTGCACGCCCTGGATACCAACACCACCGCCGCCTCCCGGAAAGACCACCCAATTGCCAGGCTTCAAGCCCGAATCTATGAGCGCGCGATGCATGGTGCTTGCAGAGCACATAATTGGTCCGGCCACTTCATCAGGGACGCCGTCGGGAATGCGGCTGGTATACTTGGCCGGACTAGTCTGATCCCTCGTGTCAGCATAAACCCTAATGCAGATACATCCCTTCTTCCGCGAAAACTTACGATATACTGCTGGTATGTTCCCGTCGCCACGAGCCCAGTATACACACCCTTCTGACAGTAGTTCTCCCGACCATTCCAGCATTCCTCGCAGTTGTGGCAGACATCCCACAGCGGCTTCACGCCACCGCGGTCACCGATCTTCCAATCCGTGACGTTCTTGCCCAGCTTGACAACAACGCCAGCGCCTTCGTGGCCGGCACACTTGGTGTTGAAGGTCGACATGGGCGGCACGGCCCAGTCGTTCATCATCTACAGTATGACGGTAACCGTCAACATAGTCTCACACCACGGGTAGGGTTGTGCTTGAGGATGTGCTTACGAAGTGGACATCGCTCATGCAAAGGCCGGTAGCGTTGAGCTTCAACAGCACCTCATCGTCCTCTACACGAACCCTTATGTCAGCACTGGCAATATTACGGACAGGATAATCGAATGCACATTGATGGTCAAGATCAACTCACTAGGCTCCGGTACATCTACCATCTGCACCTCCACCCTAAAGTCCGGTCCCTCATTCACCACAACACCGGCTTTGCATTGCTTCGGGATCTCTGGCGCCGCTGGTTCACCCATGTTGACTTTGTGTATTGGTGACTCTGTTTCTTTCTTGTGGTTCAAGCGGTAAGGGAAGAAGTATGAAGGAGATGGAATGGAATGCCAGGCCTACCTCAACTTCCCTACAAGCGCCCGCCCGCCGCAACCCTTTACCGCGGTTCGTTGTCCCTGCGGAAGACGCGCGCCCGTTGCTCAGCTGCTACTGGTTGCGCCTCGGGCGGTCATATCATGCGCGGGGTCGTAAACATCGGCGCGGGGTAAAGTTTACGCATGGGAAGCAACAGCTCCGCCCAACGCGTGAATCGCGGTAATACTTCCGGGAATGGACTACGAAGGCTTCGTATCTGACGCTACTGTTTTGGTCCCTTGCTCCTCGGACTGGTGCAGCAAGCTGCGGAAGGTTGTACTGCGGAAAGGCTCCGACGGTCGGTTGGCCGGAGCGAAGATTAGCAGGCTACCCTAAGAGACGTCGGCCGCTTTATGAGGTGGTCAACACCCGGTTCGGCTTTCCGGGATGATTCTTGTGTGTACTTCCTTCAAAGCAAGTGGCGGAGCCGAGTAAGCGTTTGTCTTAACTCTCTAGAGCGCCGTATTCTGGTCGAACCGACATGGCGAGTCCGGACCATGACCAACGGCCCGGGCAGGAACACGGCTCCGTATGATTTGGATGTTCCATGATGGTGCAGAGGTACGGCTGGGATGAGCTGAGATGGTCGTCGCAAACAGAAGGGCCACCAGCATCTCACGTCTCTTCACCCTCCCCCTTCTTCCCCACCTTCTCCTTTCCCTCCGCAATCCTCCTCGCTCTCACCTCATCCTCCCCACTCAACTCGAATTTGCGCATCCTCGCCGCCAACCGCTCATCCAACACCACCTCCTCAATCCACACACTCTCCTCATGCTCTTTCCTAGGCTCTCGTACCGTCTTCCACCACTCCTTCTCCTCATGCGCCAGCACCTGCGTCTGCTCCGGCACCGTCCTCTCCACCCCCGGCGCGCTGTCTTCGTCCTTCTGCGCGACGTGGGTGTATGGTCGATAGCTCGAGGCAAGTACAGCGGCGGCTACGTCTCGGCCGACGGCATCGGCGAGGTAGCGACGGTTGAGGAAGCGGTAAACGCGGATGGGCGTGTTGCGGATGCCGAGAATGTGTGGGAAACGGATGGGCGCGCTAGGGCCGATGGTCTCCGGGGTGGAAGGGGAGAGCTGTGCAGAGGCGTATGCGGAGGGTAGGATGTAGGGGGGTGGGTGTCGCGGCTTTGGCTTTTCTTCCTCTTCCTCTTTCTTCGCTTCTTCTCCCGCCTTGCTTGTATCAGACTCCGCAACTTGAGCATCGCTGACGTCCGACGGGTGATCCTCCGATTGCGCTGAGCCAGGAGTATTCGCCTCAATCACATTCACAGCACCCTTAACAGCCGCATCGCCAAGCGACGCCTGTCCCGGTCTATGCGCCGCCGAATCCAGCTCATCAACCACGCCCGTCTCTTCCAGTTTCGGCGGCGCATCCGGCGGGCCCAACCATCCCTCATGTAACCCCCGCAGATACTCCTTCCACGCATGCCTCCCTATAACCAAATCCCCCGCCACACCCGGATACTCCGTCGTCCCCGCCTTCTCCCTCAACATATCAACCACAAACGCCTTCTCCCTCTCCTCCTCCGACAACACCTCCCCCTCACCCCCCCTCTTCCTCTTCCGTCTCACCCTCTCCGCAGTCTTGAACCTCACATCCCCCTCCCGCCTCCCCTCCACAACGTCCCAATCCATCCCCCCCGCCACAAGAATCGGCTTGATGTAATTCGTGAAATGCTCGCGTGCGCTTCTTAACCCGTCCGCGGGCGGAGCGGCGAGGTAGATGGTAAGACGGCGGGGCATGTGGTGGGAGGATAAGGGTTCTTCGGCGAGGTGCGACACGAGGTCGCACCATTTCTGCTTGACGCGCCGGGTTTGCCAGCGGTCGTAGGTGATCGCTCCCGCGATGCTGCCGGTGATGGAGAGGAAGATGAGCCAGTTGCGGGAGGGGAGGCGGAGGCGGGGAAGGCCTGGTATGCGTTAGTAAGAATATATAAATCCTCTACATCGCGCAGATTGTTGCGAGGGGGGACTGTCGCACCCATCGCCTTGAAGGCCGGATTTTGATCCATAGCCGGCTTCTTGTTGGGCGCTGTGGCCGCAGAAGCTGCGCCGGCCGTGCCATTGCCACCAGCATTCGTATTGGTATTAGTATTGGATGCTGGGGCAGGCGGATGACTGGGTGGCGGGTCTGACATGCTCCAGTTGGAGCGGTGGACGTGTCAGGTCGAAATATATTTAACCCGATTACTACTTCTTGTCACATGTGAAAGCTACCTTAGGGGCCAGACGGAAGGAGCCGTTTCCCGCGGAGCACTCGGTAGCCTCAGTCACTCGATGGAAGCTCATACACTCGCTGTGGAGAGCTGGCAGGGTTCTATCACGTCTTCAATGTCAGAGCTAGTCACGAAACGCTCCTGTTCCCAGAAACACTGCGTGGGAGGAACACGTAGCCATAATGAACTCGTAGACTCCCGATCGCAAAGATCTAACCCAAGATGAGTATGCAACAAAGACTCCGTAGCCCCTCCCACCCACCCCCTCATCCACATAATCACAAACCTCCAATCCCCGCCACCGCCTCCACCGCCCTAACACCCTCCCTCTCCAACACCCCCACCAACCCCTCACACCTCCTCCTCAACTCCCTCTCCCCCTCCCCCGCCCGCCACCGCACCCACTCCTCCACACTCATCCCCTTCTCCCTCTCCGTCAACATACCGCCCGCTTGGAGCAACCTTTGCGCCAGCGAGCCAGGAGTGGTGGGTTGGGGAGAAGCCATAAGTACCGTTTCTAGGTCTATCGCCGTCCAGGGATTGGTGGATGTGAGGTGGAGGGGTTGTTTTGCGGGCGAGAGTAGGAGGGGGTGTTTGGCGGTGAGTGTTCGGTTTGGCGTTCCCAGGGCGAGGGGGATGCGTTTAATGGGGCTCAGGATGGTGGTGGCGGGTTTCAGTGCGGTTGTGGGGTGGGTGTGGGAGGAGGGGTGATTTTCTTTGTCGCTGCCGTTGGGTGAGGGTGTGAGTGCTGGTGTGAGTGTCGGTGTGGCTTGTTTCGTCAGAGCCATTGCTGGCGACGGTGCCACTTCCTCGGCTTCGTCTTTTGCAGCGATTAGACCGTCCGCTTCTGCTTGCGCCACAAGTTTGTCGAGCTCAGGCCTGCCCCCTCGCTGACCCTGCGAAGGCGAAGGTTCGTACTCCTCCACCCTCTCCTGCTCCGCTCCAATAATCACTGCCTGTTCGGCCTGCTCATTCGCCATCCGTGCAAGCTCCGCCTCAATCTCCGCCTCTTCCGCCTCGAGATCACGCTCGTTCTCCTGCCACGGGTCAAGCTCAGGTTCAGACGCAACAATCGTAGCCTTCGAACTGCGCGCGGAAGAAGTCTTCTTCCCCTTGCCCTTCTTCGCCGGCGCTTTCTTGGTCTTGCTTGCTTTCTTCGGCTTTTCGGCTTCCACTTCCATCTCGCGCTGTGCCGCTTCCTCTGCTGCCGCCACTGCCGGAGGGACAAAAGCAGGCGGCGAGCTATGCACCACCACGATCTCCTCGCCCACATCCACATTCTCATCCACATCCACAGTAACACCAACAGGCTCCGACGTTATTTCAGCTTCAGCCAACAAACTCTGCCTACTAGGCCTCCCCCGCTTCCTCTTCGGTGGCACAACGACATCAGCAGCAGCAGCAGCAGCAGCAGCATCATCTGGAGCCGACAGCCTCGCAGCTCCCACACCACCCGCCGGCGCCGCAACAGCAAAATCCTGCTGCTGCAGCTGCAGTTCCTTCGTCATCCCATCCGAACTCCGCTTAACACCCCTCTTTCCCTTCACCACCACCGGCGCCGCTGCAGGCCGAGGCGTCGACTCATGATCCGGCGCATCCGCATCCGGGCACGTCAACGAGTCTTCCAACTCCCTCTGCAACTGCGCGGAGGCTTCGCCGAAGCGCCGATTCACCGACGCTTCCGGTTCGTGTTGCGGCTCTGGTGCTGGCTGAGCTTTGGCTTTGCGGCCGCGCGTGGGCTTCTTGGGCGGGACGTCCATCTGGCTGGTTTCGATGACTGAGGAGTCGGTTTGCTTGGACGGTCTTCCACCGTTCTTTCTGGTCGTTTTGGCTGGGACGACGGGGTCGGGCGCTTGCTGTGGCGGTGGTGAGAGGATGCTTGAATCCGGGAATGAGCCCGGTAATTGACTCTTGCGGGACTGGCTCAGCTCTGGCGAACGTACGTCCGGCGCGGCCGGTGGATCATCGATCTGTTTGTTGGCTTGCTTCTTGCCCTTCACCGGTCCCCCAACAGCCTTCTTCCTGCCCTTGACCGTCGCTTGCGAAGCGGTCGTAGCAGTGGACATGACACTATCATCCATCGCCGCTGTACCCACATCGCTCAGCTCCCCAGGCGCATCAGACATGATACTAACAACACTCTGCGAGCTAACCCTACTAGCCACACTACCTCTCGCTTTCCCCTTCTTCCCTTTCATCTTCACTCCAGTCGTCGTCATCGTCGTCGCCGCACCAACACCATGATACCGTTCGCAAAGCGCAAAAAAGTGACACTCCGGACTCCTCCTTTTGTGTTCCTCCAACGGATCATCCTTCGGCTCCCACCCATCAAGACTAAGGTTACAATAAAAACACGTCGCCCCATCTTCGGAGTCGGGGGAGGGGTCGAAACACCACCCCGCCTCCACCATCTTACCGACTTTACACCGCCAACCCCGTTTATCCTCGTGCACCCATCCCGCGCCAGCTTCGAACGTGCCTTTGCGCGCGGCACTCAGTTCGGCGCTTAGGGGATCGCGGAATTCTTCGTCGACTGTTGGGAAAGCGACGGAGAGACTCAACGCCCACGCACAGGAGGGGGAGTGGGAGAGGTGTTCGGTGAGGGGGGAGTCGGTGGGTTCCCAGCCGTCGAGCTTGACGGTGCAGAGGAAGCATTGCACGTTGTCGGGGGAGTCCGGGGCGGGGCGGTAGAAGAAGCCGGCGCGGGCGAGCTACACCCATCTCGTTAGCATGACGTGGAGGGGAAGACTGTAATGGTGGGATCACCTCTTCCACGGCCGGCTCGTTGTGCGGCCATTCTACCGTGTTGCTGTTGCTGTTGCTGTTGCTGTTGCCGTTGCCGTTGCCGCCCTTCTTCTTGCTGCTTTGCGAGGAAGCGCGTCGTTTGCTGAGTTGGTGCGGTGTTTGGAAGGTTGCCAGGCGCGCGGCGAATGACTGCATCTCTGCCGAAGACGCCATCTCGCCGTCCAACGAGCAAAAGCTGTTCCAGTGCTATGTGAGGGAGTATTGACTTGGGGTTGACGCGACGAGTAAACAGCGGGTGGTGCCGAAAGCTGCCCGGCGGAGTTAATGCGGAGCTAGCCAGCGTGGCTGTAGCTGTAGGGCTGAGTGGAGCTTCGTGATTTGTTTGGGGGAGAAGGAAGTCGCGAATGCGCTCATGCCTGCTCCACCACTCCACCACTCCACCACTCCACCACTCTCCTTCGCTGCTGCCCGTTGTTGTCTTCTTCGTCACTTCCTTGTTCGTGTTGAGTAATGAATGGCTTCTTCGGGATGTGATGAGATGGTGTGAATAGTAACCGGAACACGCCCTCCACCTCCTCCGACCAAACATGGCAATGCCGAAGCTTGCGGTAAGCACATGCAGCCCATCACCACGCACCACTCACCACTCACCACTCACGCTGCTCTTTCTAGGCCTCACCCGCCTACTACTCCCTCGTCGGCGCACACTCCTTCGTCCTCGGCCAGGCAGCGTGGCACTCCCGGCCCTCCTTCCTCCGCTCTTCCGTCCCCCAGAAACGCTCCTTCACGGCCACACCACCGCAGCATGACAGTCAACCATCCGCCAAGCCACCAACCCACTCCTCTAGCCCGCTTTCCCCTAGTGCAGACCCTTCAACCACCCCATCCTCTTCCGAGACGAAAGATGTGAAGCAGACCGAGCCCACCACCTCCGCCGCCGACTCCGCCAACCACTCCCTCCCCCCCGGCTGGGAAGACGACCCCAACTACCAGATCACCGCCTTCTCCGAACTGCCCCACCGCTACTTCGGCCACAACCAACACATCCGCGTCAACGAAGATTTCAAAGAATCCCTTCGCCAGATCCTCTGGCGCTTCCGCGCCCCCATCCGCTATGCTTTCGCCTACGGGAGTGGCGTCTTCGCCCAACAAAGCAGCAAAAGCATGACCGAGACCAGCATGTCGCCCCACCCCAATCCCCCCAAAGCAGTGGAAGACTGGCAAAAAGGCGGCGCGAAAATCATCGACTTCATCTTCGGCGTCTCCCACACCCAACACTGGCACAGCCTCAACCTCATGGAGCACCCCGACCACTACAGCTTTCTGCGCCACCTCCCCTACTCCTCCGCCGCCATCTCCCACATCCAAGACGACTTCGGCGCGGGCGTCTACTTCAACCCTTACATCACCGTCAACGGCACCATGATCAAATACGGCGTCGTGAACCTCGACACTCTGTCCCGCGACCTGAGCGAATGGAACACCCTCTACCTCGCCGGCCGCCTGCAAAAACCCGTCAAAATCTTGCGCGACGATCCCCGCATCCGTCTCGCGAATCAAGTCAACCTCATCTCCGCCCTCCGAACAGCCCTCCTCATGCTCCCGGAGAAGTTCTCCGAACGCCAACTCTACGAGCGAATAGCGGGATTGTCATACACGGGTGATCCACGCATGAATCCCTTGTTCGCCAGCGAAAACCCGAACAAAATCTCCAACATTGTCGGCGCGCAACTCCCAGGCTTCCGCCAATTATACGTCCCCTTGATCGAAAACCTGCCGAACGTGCATTTCTCCGACCCCCGAACACCCAGAGATCACGCGTGGGAGAAGGAAGACGCGATCAGGCATACGGGCACGAACCCGCAACTCGATAACGTGCTCGGCGGCGCCGACGGACTCGAGCTGGAACAGAACATGGATCCCGTGCCACGAGGGAATATGGTCCGTCGACTCCCCAAAGCGTTCAGACGGAAACTCTACTTCCAATACAAGAAGAAGTTCGGTATCCCCGGCGCCGCGTTCACCGACGTATTGGAGGCGAGCGAGGACGAAGACGCGACGAGCATGCGCAAAAGGGAGGGTGGAGATTTTGAACGCCGGATTGCGGCGGAGGCCGATTTGCCGGAGACGGTGGGCAGGTGTGTGCGGAACACGGTGGGGTGGCCGAGTACGACGCAATCGATCAAGGGGGTGTTTACGTCGGGGTTCGCGAAGTCTTGGAAGTATTTGGGGGAGAAGAGGTCGAAGGGGAAGCGGTCCACGTTGTCCGTGGGATCCGCGGCGGATGGGAAGGCGGAGGGGAAGAAGGATTGAGCGGGGTCACGGCCATGTATACAGTTGGTGGTGTTTTGCTTACGGCGTTCGACGGACCGGGAAAAAAACGAGGATTGCATAGCGGCCAAAGGGCAAGCTGGACAAGGGCGTTTTCCAAGGGGACCCAAAAGATTTGCCTTTCTGATCGCACTGCGGAAGGGCTGCCGGGGTAGGCGCTGACACTATAAAAGCACGGCAAGGCAAACGCAAAGGCGGCGACTTGCTGTTGGGAGGCTGATATATGTTGCCCCATTTGTATAACACATGACCTTCTCGATCAGAACGAAAGCGACCACCGCGCGCAAGAGCGCTTGAGTACGATATGTTGCACAGAGCTTCTTAACAGGTGGCGGAGAGATGGACGGAGGGGAGTAGTGTCTGCATTTTCGTATGTGCCGCAGGCCTTGCAGCTGGTACAGTAAGCCCGCTTCCCCCCAGAAGTGAATGGAAGGGCTTGCACGATTACTCCCCCATGGCCGCCACGCTACAGAGCAGCAGCAAACGCCCATTACATATATTCACCTGCTTTGATTCGAACATTCGGACACATCTACCGATTGTAGAGGCTGAACGTGGATGGCTAGGGTATGTTATGTCCCCCCACTACATGTACATGTTACGCACAGATCACCCATCCTTAGCAACCGGTATGGTATGGTATGGTATGGGCACACTCTCGCCCATATATCCGGGGAGGGGGGGCCAGACGCAGACACGGTGGGTGTTTCATTCTTCGTTCTGTCCCATGGATGGCCCCGTCATTTACACAAGACACGGACTCGAGCGACGTGCCTTTTGAGCTTTGAGCAAGCCCGTCGACGTCCGTACAGGCAGGGTGACGAGCTGCACGGGACGAAACGAAATGAAGGCGCCTATGCCCGGAAAGTGTGCGGAATGAGTGGAGAAGGGGGGGAGATGGGGGAGAGGGTTTCGTTAGTCGAGTACCAACTCCAAGAGGTATACTGCACCCTCTTCTCTTTCTCCAAACGCTTCTGCCATGCGCTGACCTTCTTCTTCTTCTTCTTCTTCTTCTTCTTCTTCTTCTTCTTCTTCTTCTTCTTCTTCTTCTTCTTCTTCTTCTTCTTCTTCTTCTTCTTCTTCTTCTTCTATTCCTACCCTCTATCTACTACACACAAACACACACGCACACACGCACACACCACGCACACACATCTCACACACACACATCTTCCTATCCCTGAGTGTTCGTCGTGGCCCACCCCGCCTCCCCCAAGCCCTCCCTATTCTCACTCCCAGCCGTTCCTCTTCTCTTCTTCGCCGCAAGACCGCTGTTCGCTTCAATTTCCCGCTGCACCTGCCCCCCCCCTCACTCTGTCCTCTTAGCCGAGTTCACATGTCTCCCTGGCTTGCCCAACCGGAAGCGTGGGGCGCCGTGTGCGCCCCGGGCGTTGGGACATTACCACGACGACCATAGCATCGCGACTTCGATGGTGTTCAGCGTGAGGTCAGTTCAGCTTCGAGGAGTAGCATTTCGGCGAACACACGGACACTGCTGCTAACGGACGGCTTGGTAGGATCTTCACGGTCATGGTCAGTAGGGTGGACGAGCATTGTGACGGGTCGTTGCGAAGCCGCCGGCTACGATGACGGTGGTGAGAGGTGAGAGATGACGATTGATGGTGAGCTTGTTACGTGACTGACGTTTTGACTAGTAACCGCTTACGGCCATACTAGTAGGGTGTCAGTTTCGCACGGCTGCTCTTGAATCCCCTGAAGTGGGCATTTCGTCGACTGTACAACGCAGTACAGCGACCGATACTATTCCGGTAACGACGGGGCGCCGAAGATTCCTTCGTCGCCACCTCGACCGGGCCGTTGACTGCGTGAGCACGACCACGTTTACTTGCACGTCCTATACGCTGAGCTTGGCCAACACAACACGCAGCACCTCCTTCGTCTATACCTGCCCGCTACCCATGACCGCCGGCAAAAGCAACCTTTCCTCAAACCTCTTCGATCTCCCCAACTCCATCTCCATCCCCAACCGCAGCACCAAGGCTAGCTCGACGGGAGTCAGCGTCCAGTAACGGCTGCCAAGCCGCGAACGGGCGCACGGCGTCAAGCGTGTATGCTCCGTTTGTGTGGGTCATTAGCCCTGCGACAGTGACGAGCGATGTGGTGGGGAGGGTGTATGCTGCGATTACATCACCACGGTTGAAGTATGGCATGAAACTCAAAGGCAATGGTGGGTCACAGATTGGTACTGACAGGGCAATGCAGGTCGTGGGTACCATTACCACTACGCAGACTGTTACGGCTACGAGTTCGGTACGGCAGATGCGACGAGTTATGCTACGACAACGGTGGTCACTGGCGTAGGTCATTAATCATGTTGGCAACAAGGCCTGGCTTCCTTGCATTCCCATTTCACCACTCGCCAAAGTAGCGGCATCGGCCTCTCCCAACTTCATCATCCAGCAGTAAACCTCGGAATGGATAAGGGCCTCGCTCCTTTCGAGTACTTAGCTGAAAACCTGACAAAGCCGCTGTGACCGCCAACGCTACACCATCTAGGAACAGGACAACCACAATCGTCCTAATCACAGCTTCTGCCCCGCTCACAGCCCTCGAACCTTATTACACCACCTCCACCGCCGCTTCAGCTTCAATCCAGTCACTCTACGCGGTAGCCGTCATATTCACCGACACCGCCGCAAACGCAAACACCAACAAGAACACACCCAACACAGGAATATGCTTCTCCCCTAACAGCGCCGACATCTTCGGCATCTCCTCCCTCGGCTACTTGGAAGATCATGCCGAGTCCGACGACTTCGCGAGCAAGAACAGCATCGATTCAGAGCCGTGGCTATTGTTAACAGTGGGCAGGACGACGGCTAACACTGCGTTGAGTGCGGCGTGTGAGGGGGTTGTGGACTGTCAGTTTCCAGGGACGCGTGGAAATGTGTTTGCGGTGTGTGAGGTGGCCGGGTCAGGGTGTTTGGCGTTAAGGCCGCTTGGGAGTTTGGATTTGGAATACTGTGAGGTGATTAGGCTGGAGTATAGGTGATGTGCGGTGCTGGTAAGGCGGGGTCGGGCTTGCGAAGGCGGGTGAGATTGAAGCAGAAGTTGAACTACAGATATCGCACCATTATGGAGTTCATATATTAACACATCGTTGAGATTACAGAAATGTGTACTTCCATCATGGTCGGTCACCGCGCCATTGAAAAAGTGTCGTCACATATAGCGCACTATCATGCCTATTACGGCTGACATTGTTGCTCGAAATATGCTCATCAGACAGAACTGCCACCTTGTAGTCATTCCATCACCCCTCTCGTCGGGTCCTTCTGAGTCGCCTCGGTGGGTTTATTGCCAGAAACGTGGCCTCTGAACGTCGAATTGTACCAGCCACTGACGAAACCGCTAGCGTTCTGATCGCTGTGGCTGGCACGACGTTCGCTGTAATCCTCACTTCCACGCTTGTGGGTCGTGAGATTGCCGAAGAGGGCGGTATTGGAGGACTGTACGACAAGGAACGTAAGCCTGCGGTTGCAATGAAGACGTGATCAGTAGATCAACGCACCCTTCTCCGTTGACTGGTTGGTGATGAAGGGTCCGAGCTACTGTTGCTCGTAGTACCCGTCACGGTCTTCTCCAAAGTGTTGGCGGAGCTGACAGAAGCTCTCCTGACTGCGTCTGCGATGCCGCCGCCTGAGTTTCTACGCTCGCTCGGCACGCTTGGCTCGTGGACCTCCTTGCCCTTCTGGAACATGCCTCGTCGGTCAGACCAGAGCGACATGATGGACAGTGATGGTAAGATCGAATGTATTCAAGATTGGGAGGCAGTATATCGAGGAGAAGAGCTGTGGTAGCTCCAAAGCTGTAACCGCAGTCGATCTCATATAGCTTTCATGATGTCAAAGGCGGCTGACAATCACATGTCGTGGGGTGATGGTTCAGGATAATGCGGGGTAGCGCATGAGCCGTGCAGGCTGAAGTGAAGCTCAGATTGGCTGATAAATCGCCATAAGCGATCACGAGCCGTGTGGCTTCCCTTCAGGATCGGCTGTAATGTCGTTTTTCGCTCGCTTTGAGTCGTCCCAGTACGTCTTGGTCACGAACACAATGCTCAAGGCCAGACCTAACCCGCAGAGCCCAGTGCCCATGTATAGTGCTCCTCTGTAACCTCGCAAAGTGTCGTTCCATGTGGTGCCGCCCCTGTTGACATTGATTTCGACGGTACCGGCAAAGCCTAGGCCTAGCGAGATGGAGTAGTTGACAATGGTGTTGACCAAGCTGGCAGCGACACCCTGTCGTGATTTCTCAATGGTGTTGCTGAGGTAGATTGTTGCGGACGGAAACGACATGTCCATGCCGAATGGCGCAACGAGCGTGATAACAAAGAACTGGGCCCAGTAGATTTGGTGTGGTGGGACAGTGACGAGTAGAAGGTTGCCCGCCAGAAAGAAAGCCATTGCAATCACCTATGATTTGACGGATCAGCTGTGTCCTTAGCATTCGCGAGGAGATCTAGTGTCGATCTACTTACCATCAACCACGCCGGTCGTAGCTTGCTCAGCAGGAAGCCAGTCAGAAGCGCCGCAATAGAGCCGGTTATGACGAATGGTGAGAGGTAGGCACAAGTTAGTAAAGGTGAGCTTCCGCGTAGCACTTCTATTATGTTGATGAGATAGTACACGAGGATGCCGAAGTTGGCCCTAAGCGTCGCTGTTAGCACCACTTCGCTTACAACGGACACCAGTATGTACGTACCAACCGCAGGCAATGCAACCTAACACGAACGCGTTCGTGCTGTTCAACGCGCTGAACGGTATCAATGGTTTAGGCGCCACCTTGATCTCTAGGTAGAAGAAGACCGGCACAAGCAACACCCCAAGCACCAAACAAACACATACGTACGCGGAATGCCACCCCACGATTGGCGCCTGGTTCCAAGCGAAGTTGAACAGCACCAGCGCAGTAATTCCGACTGTTGCAGCAGGAAGGTCCAAGTCTTCGATGTACTCACGTACTGATTCGGGCATCAACCGGCTGTCCTGCGGGTCCGGGATCAGAAAAGCAGCACCCAACGCAACAACAACCAGTACCAGCGCAAAGGACCAGAAAGCCCACGGCCACCACGCCAATTGGCCAAAGATGGCGAAGAACGTTCCGCCAACCAGAGAACCGACAGGCGCACATGCACCGAACACGGCAAAAGCCATATTTTTTCTGTTACCAGGCTCATACATCGCTCCCAGCAGCGCCAGTCCGTTCGGAAGGCATATGGCAGGTCCGATTCCTTGGAACACCCGCGCGAAGATGAAGAGGACGTAATTGCTGTACACGGACAGGCCTGCCACCAGCGACCAGATGGCGAACCAGAAATATCCGATCACCAGCATGCGTTTCCATCCGTAGACATCTCCGAGTCGCCCAGAGAGGAGGATGAAAGTCCCAACTGTGAGACTGTAACCGGCGATGAGCCAGCTCTCAATGCCCGGGTTAGAAATAGAGAAGCTGTCGCTAATGATGTGAATGTCCACGAGCGTTCCTGTGAGGCCGACTTGTGTCAGGAATTGGGCGAGAACGATGATGGCTACCACAAGGACCTCGCGAGGGAGAGAAACCGTTTGTTCAAGGGAGCGAACTTTGTGTAATTCGGCGCTTGATGGATGGGTTGCCGGCGCATCGCCTTCGTGATCACTTGGGAGAGGTGTAAGCTCCTCTTCGGGCTCCATATTGCCGATGCGGTCTCCCATAATAGCGACTGTTTTCGAAGCGCTATCGTTGCGGTATCCGTTCACCGCATGCCGTTGCGAACGAAACGGATGAGGAGCGGACACTGTTGGCAGTACGTTGTATGCGTCATTGCGCTCGCAGACGATGTATAGAAGAGGACAATGTGTAGACGCTATAGGTGCCCAAATTGATACTCGAGCCTTAACTGCGCACGCGTTCCGCCTATCGAACTATTGACAGCCGTTGCTTTCCAAGCATCATAAACGTGTGGTGGATCTAAGGCGGGATCGGAAGAAAGCACGATTAGATCAGCGTTGCGTGGGCGTGCACGAATGCGCTCCAAATCTACTTCGGACCGATAAGGAGCCGAAAGTCCGCAGGTCCAAGAGAACTAGCGCCAGCAGTGAGTGTGTTTGCCGGCCTGGACCACTTGCTGACTTCCGATGCAACCGAGTTGTCGCCAACACCGATTAGACACGAATAGCGCCAATTGCACTTATTGCGGGAATAAGATGAATGTGTCTTCCAGCGTGTACCCATGGAGTCCACAGTATATGAGCGTAAGCGAGGATTGACGTGGTGAAGACGGCGCCCGTTTGATTCCCTCAAGTCTTCATAGTCGAGTCTGGTCGCCATTGAAGAGCGCATGGGAAAATGTGAGGGCCTAAAGCCATGGCAGCCACCGGTTTGGCGGTTCCAACGGACTCTGACCTCGCCAACACTTCCTACGTAGCTCGGCTGCGCATAATGTTCCGATGGCTGTAGGATCGAGAGCAGTGCCGTCATGTTTGCCTCGAAGCAAGGTAAAGAATGATTACCGCCTCTCCTCGCTTTGCAATGCTTAGGTCTGTGCAAGGATAGCATCTGCCTCCCGCCATCCGCTCAGCAACGCCCCATGCACTGTAGCGAAATGATTGCGACTGGTATGCTCCCCAGCAAACCTCAACACAGCACCCTTCTCGCTGACAACAGGCTGCTTGAACACGTCACGGTGCTCCGCGTCGGTCAAACCTGTAATCATATGGCTATAGCTTCCATACGAAAACGGATCTTGCGCCCACCGTGTGACATGCACGGCGGCAGGCTTCGGCGGCTCAATACCAAGGCTGACCGTAAGTGATCGATGCAGGATCCCAGCTGCTTGGTCGTCGCTTAGTGCCTCGACATGACGAGCATTTGCACAAGACACGAAGGCGGAGAGTACAGGGAAGCCCGTGAGATTGTGGAGGTTGACAATAAACAGCACTCTGGCGCCTGCCGTCACTGTGCCGTCTGCATGAATCTCGACTCCGGCAAGCTCGTCTGTGAAGCACATGAGATTGTCGGGGGGTTTGGTACCGCTCTCTTCGCTGTCATTGGCCTCGTCATCAAAGGGCCGCTTGTATAAACCCTTCTTAAGAATAGAGGCATAAGGCTCGTCTGCCCACCATGGTTTGTCGAAGACGAGGAATATTTTGTCTAGGGTGCCGAAACCGAGCTTGGAAACCGCTTCTTGCATTTCAATTGGAAGTGCGGGCTTGAAGAGTGGGCTTTCGGAAGAATGTTGCTTCTGGTGGTGCTGCAACACGCCCAAAGGTAGTGTACAAACGACCTGCCGTGCGGTATAAATGCCAGTGGTAGTCTTGATCACTACAGATTCGTGCTGCCAATCGAGGCTTTGCACCTCCGTATTTAGCTCGATGACTCCATTGTTGGCGAGATCTTTTGCGATCTCGTCAATGACAGCTGTGTAACCATCCTGCAGAAAAACTTGCGATCCTTCGAAGTCTTCCAGCGCGTACTCCAGCAAGCTGACTCCAGGCTGCGCTTCCGGGTGTTCTGCAGACTGAGCAACCAGCGGTGCAGCTTCCATGCCTTCGACAAATTGCGGCATACAACCGAAGCTACTGTGGTACTTCTTCGGTACGTCTTTGTATGCGTTTTTGCGCTCCTCCGAGTCGATAATGGCCCGTAACATAGAAGTGGCTTTGGCCTTGGCCGCCGAAGTACGTTCAGCTTGACCGCGTAGTGAGCCTATCATGCCCCACAGTGCACCTGCCATCATACCCGACGTCTCGGCAGGTATTACGAGATCCGTTGGCGGCTGTTGGGAAGGTGAGTTAGCCGCTCTGACATCCACCCACCCTCCATCTTGCTCGTGGTCGGAAGCTGCGGCGTCGTCCGCTCGTCTGAAGGATACCGTGCCAGCTAGGCTGCGATACCGCTTGTGCGGCAAAATGCTCACGAGCGGATTTGGCTTCTCTTCAGTCCCGGTGCCATGTATCCAATTGGCTCCGGTGTCGAGACGGCACCCCTTGACATGAACGGAGCCTATGCGGCCACCAATGCGATCACGGCCTTCCAGCACTAGCAGTGAGCCTGCCTGCCTGAAGTTCGGATGCTGATACAACCTTGAGGCGCACGCAAGACCAGACATGCCCGCGCCAATGATAACGGTATCATAGTGGCGAGCTTTGGTTGACGGTGTCATGTTCGGTTGCCACTTTCGCATTCGCGGGAATATAAACGCACACCAACAGCAAAGATGGACTGCTATATTCGCCCTGTAGAAGACTGTGTGCAAGGAAAGAGTCTGGAATAGCCGATGGCTTCCCACTTCAATGTGCGTCGTCCCTGCGCTCCTATGGCGTTGATGGTAGCACTTAACGGCTATGAGAATGGAATTCGGTGATGTTCATTTTCTTGGGTTGACGGTAAGCGGCAAATCTACCTGTGCAGCCATAGCAATGCATTGTAATCGTCGGGATGAGAACAGTGGCCACAACCTAAGCCGATGATCGTCGTTGTCAATATCCGGCACGCTCCGCTCGACGAACTTCGACATTATGGCAACCATTTCTCACAAACAGAAGGGATATAAACGAGTTGGCGCTAGTCTACATCTTTATCGTCTTCGTCTTCGCCATCTTCAGCATCCTCTTCGTCTTCCGTAACATCTCCGCCCAGCTCCTTAACCTTCGATCTGTAAGCGTCCCGCTTAGCCTCGATGTCGCTCATGACAAGTAGCATGCTCTCCATCTCGTCCTTCGCACTCTTCTCGTTCTCCTGCGCTTCTCTGTAGCGCATCTCTAGTTCTGCCAGCTTCTCAGCCGCCTCAGTGGGTTGGCTGTTGGCAGAAAGAGCGGCCTTGGCGCCTTCGAGCTCCTTCTCGAGGTCTTCGAAGCCAGCACGCTCGGTAGCAAGTTCGTCTTCCCTCGCTTTAAGCTCTTCACGAAGGTCATTGAGTTGCGCTGTGAGTAACGTGATGCGCTCCTGCTTCATCTGACCGTCAGCGCGAAGCTTTTCTAGCTCAACCTCCATCTGCGCAGAGCGAGTCTGCAGTTGCTGATGCTCACGCGCCATCTTGCCGTGCTGGTGATTGAGCTCGTTGAGCTGCTCCCGTAAAGTCCTCTCGCTCGTTCCAAGTTCGGCGTGTCGAGCGGTGATCGCCTCTAGCTGACGCACCGTCTCGACGTGCTTGCCCTGCTCTGACCGATGACTATTGCCCAGCTCGACCAGTCGTCGCTCGTACTCTTGGATCTTTTGCGCCGCAGCAGCGCCTTGCTCGCGTAGTCGTGTCTCGATTTGACGAGCTGCTTCTTGTCTAGAATGCTCGATTGTTCGCTGATGCACGGTGGATAGCTGAGCCCGCTGTGACTCGTGCTGTTGCGCCAGCTTGCCTAGTTCGGCTTCGTGCCCTTGTTGCATAGCCTGGTTAATGCGCCGGAGTCGGTCAATCTCAGCATTGGCGGTCTGCAAGTCCTTGGATGCGCTCAGCCGGTCCTGTTCATGCTGTTGGCTCGAGGCGGTGGCATCTCGCTGGGCGTGCTCCAGGGCATCCTTAACGGTCTGTAACTGCTGCCTCAGATCATCGAGTACGTCGCGGTCCACACCACCTTCGGCGGCAGATAGTGGCAAAACCTCGAAAGCCGGATCCTTGTCGATGGCTTTGCGCAAGCGGGAGTACTCAACGAGGAAGAGGTCGACGAATGCTCTGCTCAACAAGCCGCCGTGTGCTGCGCCATCTACGTCGAAGTCGCGGAGGGCAGGCTCTCTCCTGAGCTGGGCCAAAGCTTCGAGATACTTGCCCCGGCCAAGCTTTTGCGTCAGTAATGGCGCTAATGTCCGTCGCGGTATCGGGCTATCCTTCGTACTAAACTCGTAGATGGTGCCAAGCGAGGCGGCTGCGAAACCAGCAATCACCGGATTGCTTGCACCAGAATTTATGGCCGTCACAAGTGCTTGCAAAAGACCCGAGCCCTCCGCGAGAAGATTGTCGACACCGTCAGCAAACTCCCACAGTAGGACAGTAATAAGGCCAGCATAGGCAGCTACCAGTGTCTCCTCAGTCGCTTGAAGCGCGGTTGACAAGTGGGAGCCGAGTGCTTGAATCAAGGTGAGCACATCCTCGCCCTCGGTCTCAACACGTTCTTTCAGCGCTGCCAGGACTGCTTTCGCGTCAGGAGAGTCGTATACAAGATCTGACACGACCCAAGAAGCGTAGCCTTTGCTTGCTGAGTCTTGATCGCGCGCTAACAGCGTGATCAGAACATTCGCCGCTGTTTCATGCTCTGTGTAGCCTGCGATCGCACGTTGCAGGAAGTGAAGTTTTATCCTGTCGTGGTTGGTCAAGTATGCTTGAATGACAGAGCATGATGCAGCCCTCAAGCTGCCGTCCGCTTGAGGCTGCTTTAGGGTAAGGTCCAGCAGCGCTTCGATGATGTAGGTGCGTGGTCGCTCCGCGCTAGGTCGAGCACTGCCTCGTGCAGATGCAGGACCAGATCTAGTTCCGTTCAGCTGAACAGAAAGCTTGTCTTTTTCCGTCCTTGCCTGCGGCGTTTCCACTTGTAGGGCAGCGAAAGCTTCCTGAAGCGGTGCGTTCGCCGCGATGAGAGCCGCCGCATCCTTGAGCGCCAATGTGCGAATGGGAGGTGGCAGCTCTGCACTAAACGCCAGGCCTATAAGTACCTGCGCGGCACCTGCACGGAAGAAAGACGTCTGGTTCTGTGCGCTAATCCTCTCGCCAGGCTCGAGGAATAATGCCAACAGTTGAAGCAAGCCCCATGCCGCCTTTTCGCGTCCCTGGCGAACGTACGCCGACTCGAGGTCTTCAGGTGGAGAACCTTCCTGGAGTAGCCGGATCATTTGTGCCACGCAGCCAGACTCGCGAAACATGGTTTGGTTGCTCGCAGAGCCTTTGATCAGGTTAGCAAGCAGACTAAGACAATCTTGTGCAACGACTCCAGCATCAGCAAGGCCACCCTCTGCGCGTATGAGCGCGAATACTTTGACGAAGACATCGTCGAAAGCGACAATCTTGCGAAGATCTTCGTTTGCACCACTTGTCAAGTCCACAAGGAGTAGCAAGCCGGCGTTGCGAACGGCATCTCTACCATCGTCTAGCGTGCCGACAAGCCTACTGACGCCAAGAGGCGCGCTGAGAACGCATTCCTGCAGCCTCTCCGGTCTCGCGGCGCAGATGGCGGAGAGTAGCTGCACGCTGTACAGACGCGAATAGTAATCCGCGTATGGCGACGATGGGTCGAGGAGTGACAGAAGCAGAGTTACATTGTCTTGGCGCTGGCATTAGCTTAGCTCTAGCACTTTTCAAATGGGCTCGCAACAAGCGTACCATTGAGAACTCGTCAGCCATGAAGTACGCTATCTCATCACTAGCCTCAGGGCTATTGCTGTCCGGGTTGAACAGCATGAGCAGCGTTTCGAGCACCAGCCTAATCGTGTCCACGTCGCCAACGCCTTCTTCGCTCTTTCGTCCGGCGCCATCCTTGGCATCTTTGGCACTGCTGGCTTCACCCACCCCATCCCTTCGAAGGACAGCAATGAGCTCACGGAGTGAGCCACTTGCAACCGATGCAGGGTACTGCTTGGCGAATGATCGAAGCCCCAAGACTGCTGCTCGACGGTCTTCCAGTAGCGTCGTGGACTGCAGTCTGCCACATAATGTCTCGATTGTCGCGGTTGCGGTCTGGAGCGGTGGTGTTTTAAGCATGACTTTTTATGCCACCTCACGGCAGTCCCGTGATTGGCGACATACTACTCCATATCTATATTCTCGGTGGTGCTCCAAGCGGCTAACAGACACGTCTCAGCAGTCACCCAGTGCCTGACACGTTGAACGTCGTCGCGACTGAAGGCTACCTCGACTGTATGCAATACATTTGATGGTACCTTAAGGACCCTGACGCGCTAAGACGTTGGCTCAATGCGGCTTAGTGTTTGTCTAGCGAAGACCCTCCGAGCGCTACATCTGCGCAACGAAGCATTCGCACCTGCATCAACTCTCATCAGCCAGCAGCCTCATCAAGCCCATCTGCTCGGCTCAGGCGTGGCCCAATACAACAGAACATATTAGTGAGAAGTCGCACCCTTACGGTACACCGTTGCTAAGGCAGGGAACCGCGCCGCGCCGCGCCAGCAGAAGGGACTGCGCACGCGACAGTACTACATCCTACTTTGCTCGAATTGCACTGATACCGCATATATTTGATCCCATCACAAACGGACCAGTGACCACCTGTCATGGGTGTTCCAGCGCTCTTCCGCTGGCTGAGCAAGAAGTATCCAAAGATCATTAGCCCGGTGATCGAGAAGTTACCGGAAGAGATTGAAAACGACGATGGCACGAAGACCAAAATCCCCATTGACGCCCGAGAGCCGAACCCAAACGGCGAGGAGATGGACAATCTATACCTAGACATGAACGGCATCGTGCATCCATGTTCACATCCAGAGGACCGGCCGCCGCCTGCCAACGAAGAGGAGATGATGATTGCCATCTTTGAGTACACTGACCGCGTCGTGAACATGGTGCGCCCGCGCAAGCTGCTCATGATCGCCGTTGACGGTGTTGCGCCGCGAGCGAAGATGAACCAGCAGCGCTCGCGACGTTTCCGCTCCGCCCAGGAAGCCGCAGAAAAGGACGCGGCGGCGGCGGAGTACCATGCCATGATGCTCGCCAAAGGTCAAATCCAGGACGGTGACGGTGATGGAGCCGAGAAGCCCAAGAAGACGTGGGACTCGAATTCTATCACGCCTGGTACCCCTTTCATGGATCTGCTTGCAGCCAGCTTGCGGTATTGGGTGAGCTATAAGCTAAATACCGATCCCGCGTGGGCGAAGTTGAAGATCATCATCTCCGACGCTACTGTACCGGGTGAAGGTGAGCATAAGATCATGAACTTTGTTCGCTCGCAGAGGAGCAGTCCCACTCATGACCCCAACACACGGTAAGTCGAGCTCGCCACCTCTCCTTGGAGCTTTCTTGTTTCGTCAAGTTTCGCTTCCGGGAGTCTGTGCGTCGCATGTGATACTTGGGATATTATGCTGACATAACCAGCCACGTAATCTATGGTCTTGATGCCGATCTCATTATGCTTGGTATTGCAACCCACGAACCGCATTTCCGTGTCCTACGGGAAGATGTATTTGCCAACGAAACGAAGCCCGGTCACTGCCGGAAATGTAATCAGCCAGGTCACATTGCGGATAACTGCCGAGGCGCACCGAAACCCAAGCCTGGGGAGGAAGCCATCGAAAAGCCGCTCAAGCCGTTCATTTGGCTGCACGTTGGTATTCTGCGAGAGTACCTTGCCGTGGAGATGCATTTACCAGGCCAGTCGTTTCGCTTCGATCTCGAGCGAGCTTTGGACGACTGGGTGTTCATGTGCTTTTTCGTAGGCAATGACTTCTTACCGCACTTACCGTCTCTGGACATCCGTGAAGATGGCATCGACACCTTGATTGCTATCTGGCGTGACAACTTGCAAGTTATGGGTGGCTACGTAACGAAAGACGGACATGTCGACTTAGCGCGCGCGCAGATCATTCTAGAGGGCTTGGCGAAGCAGGAGGCTGCCATCTTCAAGCGGCGACGGGAGACGGAAGTGAAGAAGGAGGCGGCGCAAAAGAGGCGGGAGGAGCAGAATGACCGACGCAACTCCCAGAAGAGGCTGAGGATGTCGAACGACGCGTCCAGCTTCGGTAACTCTGGCTACGATGAGAGTGTCATTCGCAGGGGACCTAAAGGTGGCATAATGAGGGGTGAGCAGGCGCCGGACGTCAACGCACTGCCTACTTTTGCTCCTGGTGAGGCGCAGACGAGAAGCGATCCACGGTTCGCAAATGCCGCGAACCTTACCCACGCGGACATTGTAGGCAATGCGAACCGAGCGAACAAGTCAGCTGCGGCGGCTCTGAAGGAACAATTGATGAACAAGAAGCCGGCGGAGAACCAGAAGGCAGAGCTTGATGCGCTCTTCGCAGGCGCTAATCAAGATGGTGGTGTGCCACCTGTGCTTGGCAAACGGACGCGAGACATGATCGACGATGCGGCGGATGATGCTACCTCAGATCCTTCGACGCCCGGTCGCAATACACCGAACAAAGAGATCGCGAACCCGATTACGAACGGCGCCGGAAGAGGTGCCTCTGGCGCACTAGGCGGCAACTCACAGACCGAAGACGCGATGCCAGAAGATACCGTCAAGCTGTGGGAGGAAGGCTACGAAGGCCGGTACTACGAGCAGAAGTTCCATGTCTCCCCAGACGACATCGATTTCCGCCACAAAGTCGCGAGATCGTACGTCGAGGGACTCTGCTGGGTGCTACTTTATTACTTCCAAGGATGTCCAAGCTGGACGTGGTATTACCCCTACCATTACGCACCCTTCGCCGCCGACTTCGCCGATATGGAGAAGCAGGTCGTAGCCTTTGACAAGGGCAAGCCTTTCCGGCCGTATGAGCAGTTGATGGGAGTCATGCCAGCTTTATCCAACCACACCATCCCCGCCGTCTTCCACCCGCTTATGACGGAGGAAGACTCCCCAATAAAAGAGTTCTACCCCGTCGACTTCGAGGTCGACCTGAACGGGAAGAAGTTCGCATGGCAAGGTGTGGCATTATTACCCTTCATCGACGAGAAGCGCTTGCTCAGCGCCATGGCGGAGAAGTACCCTCTCCTCACCGCCGATGAGAACAGACGTAACGCTTTTGGCAATGAGGCGCTGATCTTCAGCTCACAACACCCGCTCTACGAGGAAGTGGCCACGAACTTTTTCGGCAAGAAGCAGGCTGCGCCTATGTTCAAGCTGAGTCCCAAGACATCTGAAGGCTTGCACGGTAAAGTCTCGAAGGAAGAGAAATATACGCCGAATGATCGACTGACGTTCCCACTCGAGGGCAGTACGAATGAGGTGTATACGTCTTTGGATCAGGACGAGAGCGTGACGGTGGTCTATCACATGCCGTCGTTGCCGGGCGTACATAAGAGCATGCTCCTGCCTGGTATCAAATTTGATGATCCGGTGCTGGATTATCAGGACATTCAGATGACGAGGGAGAAGGCCGGGAAGAGCGGACGGTCGTTTGGCGGTGTCCAGCTCAGTCAGAATGGTGATCGGAGTGATGGTCGACGGATCAACTATGCTGCGAGAGATAATGGACAGGGCTATCAAAATGGAAGGGATCACGGGCAAGGGTACCAGAACGGTGGTGGTTATGGAGGGAGCAACGGTTATGGCGCGAATGGCGGCGGCGGGTATGGTGGGAATTACCCTCCTCCTCCTATGCCGCCGCAGCACATCCCACCACATATCATGCAGCAGGCTGCAGCGATGGGATTCCCGCCGCCGCCTGCTGGTATGCCGCCGGGCTTCCCGCCGCCAATGCCGCCTCAGGGGTGGGTTCCGCCGCAGCATCAGCAGCAGCACCAGCAGCAGCAGAATGGAGGATATGGACGGTACGATGATCGACGTGATGGACGGGGGTATGGGAGTGGGAGGAATGACGGTGGCTATGGATACGGAAGCGGAGGCGGAGGCGGTTATGGAGGGTATGGGCAGGGTGGTCAGGGTGGTGGTCGGAGGTACTAGCAATACTGATCGATACACTGCTCAGACAGAGAAGGGAAGCTGTTGTAAGAGTAAATGCGTAAGGGCACGCGAACTGTGCGAAATGGTCCGTCTGCGATGCTGTACAAGTACGGGCTGATATCAGGAAATTACTGATGGCGAGGCATTCTACATCCTACAGGCGCTTAAGTGTTGCCCGTTGCGGCTAGGAAATGCTTCTGTGTGAGAGCAGTAGCTTTACATCATCTCTGGGGAGGACATAATACCTTGGCACCAGCTGAATGTCTACCCAGGTTGAAATGTAGAGCTGTACCATGGGCCCCTCCGAGCTCGGCCTTTACCATGGTCGTGAACGAGAGGGGCGTGCATGCTTGCTTGCATAAGTGCCTTCAAGCCGTGGGGCGAGACTGCGGCGGGCTCAGACCCTGTAGAAAGTCCTCGTGGTCGATGTGGACGGCGTGATGCTTGGCGGGTGACCGTCCATCTCCCAGTCCAACACGCTCCATGGGGGCGGATGCGACGTGATTTCAGGGTATAACAGTCAGCAATAAGGGGCGCAGTACACGCGGCACGGCTGAGTGAACGTATACTACGGGTGAATGCCGTCGCCAGTACGTGTGATTTGATGTGCGGTGTTGACGCAGTATTTGTATCATTAGGCAGAGTGAACGAGCTCTGAAAGCTGCACACAACCAGGTTTCTGCGAACACTCGATCGAGAGCCAATTAACGTCCCACGGCCGCGACACGCGGAGAGCCTCTTGGTGCAAGTCCAGCTGCGGAATGAGCCGGAAAGCCTAATCAGCGATCTGGATACACAGCGAACACGCCCACGCTATCGTCCAATCAGCGCGAGGCAGCCTGGCACCTGGTGACGGGTGACAACCGGCTTCGTTGCTCCTGCTCGCTCGCGCCCAACACACACAGTGAAGGTAATAACGACAGCTTGCTCCATCTACACGCACACAAAGACGACATCCAACCTCCCTTGTTCAACGATCTCTTCGTTGTCCAAGTCGATAGCAAACGCCCTCGCCTGCACGCCTCCGCTGCCCATCGACAACGCTCAGTCCGCTTTCGGCCACGCAGCTATCCGCAATCAGCACCACGACCACGACATCCACCACACCTCCACCAGCTTTCTTGCATCGTCAAGTAAGTCGCCAGAGAGCAGCGATACACCTGACACACATCACCGCCACCGCACCTTATCGTCGCGCGTCTGCCTTGATCGCGCCGGATTCTGACTCACGCACAATAGGGAAGCTCTTTCGGAAAGCGACAACCGCACTCATGGCCTGCGCTCACACCGCCGCCGTGGCTCCTGCCTCGCCAGCTCCTTCCATTGACATGCACCACCTCCACGACACCGCCAAAGTCGACCTCTCCACGCTGGAGAAGGTGGCCAGCGCGTTGCTCACGCCGCCCAACTCCGTTTCTCCGGAGCTGTCCGCGCACGGCACCCACGCCAGCGACCATACTCCGCCGCTCATGAACATCGAGCAAGAGCTGGATCTAGGACCGGTGGCTGAGCATACGCCGAAGGAGGAAGGCGCTGAGTTGGAAGGTCCGACGGGGACGCCTCTCAGCAAAGGCGCCTTATCCGGCCTCGATGCGACAGCGGCCATCACTCCCAGCATGCTGGCCAAGCACCACCTCCCAGGCATCATGCTTGGCAACGGTCCCAGGCCAATACGCTATGTGATGGGCGAGCTTACCCACACCGTACCCGGCTTCTCGCGCATTCCGCCTGCCAAGGCCCGCCGTCTGGTGGTGGCCGCGCTAGAGGGCCGCAGCGGTGGCGGTCCTGACGGCACCGTCGCCTTCCACAAGACCGGCTGGGGCCGGTGGGACGCGCATATCAAAGGCTCCTCGAGGGACTCTGGGATCGGCTCGTTCCATGACGGCAACTTCTCACCTCCACGAAGCGAGCGCAGCTATGCCATGTCATACGGCGACTCCGGCGTGCATATGCATGGCCCGCGCCTGACGTCCGGCTTTCACGAGCAGCCGTCCAACAGCAGCTGGTCCAGCATCCGCGAAGAGGACGAGCTCGACGCGGACATGGACATGGATATGCCCGAGCATGAGGCTGACAAGATGTCCCTGGATGACATGTCGCTTGACGGCGACGACAGTTTCAACGACGATACCGAAGATGACGAGATACCGGTAGACACATCGCGAACACCGCGGAAGGCTTCATTGCCCATTCCGGGTGGTCCACGAAAGAACTACAACGCCATCAGCGCAGCGTATGCACGGCGCTATTCATCTTCTCAATCGTGGTCCCGGCGGCCATCCGGAGTTACATCTCGATCACTCCACTCCACTTCTATGCCCACAGGCAACCGCATGAGCATTGTAAGCCACGCGACTGCGACGCCTGAGGAGCAGGCTGCAGCCGCAGCATTGCTCAGCATGGGTTCTATGTGAGCTTAGACTCACCGGCGTTGGAAACGGAAAGGGTTCGCTAGGAAGCGATCCAATGATACCCCCAAATCTCTCTTGTTTACGAACTGCGACTGGGCACCTGCTTCACACGATTATCTGAAGGCCAGGATTGACACGCATCGTGGTCACCCACGCACCACCCTCGACGACGACGAGAGACACATCTACCATTCCTTCTTGCAGATACCACGACCACATTCTCTTCATTTTACTCTACGGAAACTTTACCACGGAACGATCGGAAACGACACTGGGCACCAGCCGCAAGTCAAGTGCTGACAGCGGTGATTGGACTGACACGGGTGGCGTTCTGACGACATAATCATACCAATACTTCTTCTTCTTCTTATCGTTTGCTGAGCAGATGTGACGACGACATTGTCGCCATGCCAGCACAAACATTTCATCAATCAACAAACACGAAACAATAACACACACGCTATCACAGCATGGCGAGGGCTTGATGGAAAGGAGGAGCGATGACAATCTTGAGCTCACGCACTGAGTCGTTCGCAGCTCGATGGAGTTCTTCTTTCTACTTGCTAGTTGCGCAACGAGTAGCGCGGATGGTGGTGGCGGAGAGGGAGACGAGGAGGTGACGTATGAAGGAGGATGAGGCTCTTGGATGAGCGGACTTCAACACCACTCTGACACATTTCCCAACCTCGGAGACAAGCCAAGTGAGCAACGGGGCTTGTGTAGCGTTCTGACGTCCCATTCAGTTGGTTTACGTCTGTTACTGCTCGCTCGGTCGCTCGGTCGATTGCGTGCGTAGCTGTATCTCATTGAGCTAAGCAGAAGCTTCTCCATCACACATGATGCACTTATGTTTCGCGTCCAAGTTGCCTTCCTGCCTCCTCCCGTTGCGAAACAGAACCGCTGCCTCTCTTGACCCCACGCAATCCTTGTCAACTTCAATAACCCCTACTGGTCCTGCATGTGTTCCTCACTGCTACTCGAGTGTATCACGTGCACGAGATTCGGTCGCACAATGCGGATGAGCAGTAGGCCTTACCAAGATGGGGCCAGGAGGCGCGCTAGTAATTCGTGCGCCAAGTTCGTGCCTTCCTTGTTCAACGCGGGATCTGCGCAACGATTACACCTACACGTTGACCACCGAAGCATTTTTTTTCCATTTCACTCCAGACAATGCCGACATACCACGGCATCACGATCGCACTACAACGCCAGAATACGGCATTCTGCCGTTACATGAAACGCCATTGCCAAAAGCAGTCGTTGAGTGGGTTCGAAGGCGTATCGGAACCTCTGCAAGAAGGGATTGCCTACTTCACCAGCTCACGGGGCACGACCGTCACATCAATCAACAACGGTGTGTCCGTAGACGTCAGCATCCCAGCGCGACGTTCAAACCACTTCTGGATCGCATATGACTGTCCGCGCCCCACGAGAGATCTGGAAAGTCGTGCCTCAACTCTCCAGTACTGGTACCTCAAGCTGCTTATCCATGGCGACCTCTGGGTGAGCTGGGGTATGGGTGAGCGCGATCTGGGGTGTGGTTGAGCGCGATCAATGGAGTGGGAAGACGATGTTCGGGTTGTTTGATGGAGGAAGTGATTGTCAAGGTCGGCCGGTGGTTGAGAAGCGAGTTTTCTTCCTCCCAGCAAGACGCGAAGCTGGTTGGGGTGGGTTCAGATTAGGGTGTACCGGAGCAGTATGAGGAAGCGTAAGTTGGCGGACCTTCAGCGCTTCGATGGCGCAGCGCAAGGTGCTAGCGGAGTTTATTGAGCTCATTCCTTACTCAATTTCGCGGACCCTTAACAGGGACCTTGCTGACCACAGCAGGGCGATTCCGCTCGGTAGGCTTGGGAAGGGCGATCCGCAGCACTTCTACACATACGCTCTCATGGAGCCGCTGGACCGGCCGTATGCTACATTCCGTCACCATGTCAACGGAAGGACTCAGTAGTCACGAAGCGGACGTCAACGGAGTCAGCTTCATCACGCTTGACAAGAATGCCTTGAAAGATATTGCTGGAGAGCTCGCTCAAATACATTAGTAGCGGCAGCCTGGCCAGACGTCTCTCCGTCCCACCTCGAGCTTCAGTGCAGCTACGACTGGCTATGACGCAGGTTCACCCATCATCTCCGGGCAACAAGCTGAGCATGACTGAACCATCTACTGTCGGCGGAGAATATGGCTATTGCTGAGATCACCTTAACGACGACAGTAGCGGGCACCACACCCCGCGTTCAGCCTGACAAGGCACTATTGTGGGCAGACGGAGCCAACAACGGCTCTTCAGTGAATCTATCGCGTGGAGTCATGGCCAATGCTCTGCGGAGGAAAGCGGTGTAAGGAGATGGGATATGCTGTTGGAATCTCAAGAAGCACGCCGTGTTCAGATAGTTCTGCGGGCCGGTCAACGTTCTTGCAGCGGATAAGGATGAGGCTAAGTAGGGCTAAACAGAAATAGAGCTCTCGTCCGTGCTTATATATGCGTGGCGCATCTGCATTTCCCACTGAATGTGCAACACTGCATCAGTCGCAGAGTCTTACTCATTGTGTTAGTTAGCTCATTTATAAGTGCGAAATGAGCGACGAGTTTTATTAAGCCGACCCGGAGCGGCCAGCAGAATGGGTTGGGCGTACCGGTTCCTCGACCTGACGCAGGACCAGAAGCAGCATCGGCGACAGCTCCTTGACACTTACGCTGCGGTAGCTCAGGTCTCCGTCATCATACCACTGCTGATTGCGCAATGTTACTTTTTCGCCACTTGGCTTATGAGAAGATCTCAACATCGGTCTGACAATGAGCCTCCGCGATCGCCACATGGACACAATGCGAAGCATGATGGTAGCAGAGCATACGCTGTACTGGCTCGGAAAGTGAGCTGGTGGCTAAGTGATCCACTGGACCTCTTCGGCTACCATGTTGGAACCAAGGGCGAGCTAATAGGAGCATTCATATGGACCTCATGGTTACTGACGCTCTGCTTCCTACAATCCGGCGACGACTACCTCCACCTAACCAAACGCTTCGGCATTGTAGCGGCATCGCAGCTCCCTTTGCATTACCTTCTGGCCTTCAAGTCGCCTTACTTCCCACTCCAAACGCTTACCAGATGCTCCCATGAGACTCTCAACAAGCTGCATCAGCAGCTCGGCCGAATTGTAACCTTCCTCCTGTACCTGCATGCCGCCTTCTACATATACTTCTACGTGCAAAAGGATATCCTGAGCACCAAGATCAAGGAAGCCTACGTTCTCTGCGGCATCGTTGGTATCCTTGCATTCTCAGCGGTCGGCACAACTGCTCTTGCTCCGGTAAGGCGGTGGAGCTATCGAGTGTTCTACATGGTGCATGTGTCGTTGGCTACCGCTCTCCTACCGGTCCTGTTCTTCCATGTCAGTCATATCCGGGTCTACCTTTACGAGACAGCCTTGCTATATGCGGGAAACATTGTTCTGAGAGCGTTGGCGTCGCGAACCTTCTTTGGTAGCATTCGCATGTTACCAGATACCAACCTTATTGAGGTTGATGTGCCACTGCAATTGACGGTCTCTGGGGCCCGTAAAAGCTGGTCGTCGGTATGGCAGCCGGGTCAGCATGCATATCTATCCCTCGCAGGACACCCTATGCTCAGGACCTTCCGAAGCAACCCTTTCACTGTCGCGTCGCTTCCACTCATAGACGGGTACTACCGCTTCGTGGCAAAGGTCCTGGATGGCAACACCGCCAAACTTGCTCAAGCAGCGGATGCGGACAAGGTCGCTTCCAAAATACCTGTTACTGTGGAGGGCCCCTACGGACTTGCGTCGCACGGTGAGAGGCTGCTCGAGTATGATAGAGTTCTCCTCGTTGCAGGTGGCGTCGGCGCGACGTTCATCGTACCGTTGTATCGGCAACTGCTCGCAGACTTGAGTCCGAGTAAAGGCAGCTATCGGAGGCAGAAGGTTAGCTTCCTGTGGACGGTACGATCGAAAGCCGAAATCACCTGGGCAATACCAGAGGACAGTAAGGACAGGGAGAGCTTTTTGGAAAGGCTGAATGTGTGCATTACAGGCTCCGCTGACGATCTGGGCTCGACTGTCAATGGGAGCTTCGCCATAGGCGCTGCGGAAGAAGACAAGGTGCCGTACGGCGAGACGGATGATGGCATTGAGCTCGAGGAGCAGAAGCAGCTACTCTCGAGCAAGGCTGAGAGTGGTGTGAGAGGCGCCGCTGACACCATCCCCACCTTCGCTGGCAGGCCAAATGTGGCGAGGGTGGTCGACCAGCTCTTCTCCCATGGCGCTGGTGCGGAGAAAGTCGCAGTCGTCGTATGTGGGCCAAGGAGCCTGAGCCAAGCATTGAGACGTGAGTTGCGCAAGTGGGTGTGGCGGGCCCGCGAGGTCTGGTTTTGGGAGGAGAGCTTCGCGCTATGAGCGCTGAGGATGCGTTACTCAGACGACCGATTTCGGCAATGACAGATCTTTTGTACCGGGTTGCTGGACCATTGTACGTGCAGCTAGTCGTACCATCAGCGGATGGAATAAGCGCTGTAAGCCTTTGTATGGCCATGGTGGCCACAAGACACACTGTCTCTGACGCAGGACAACCTGTCAGATGTACTGCCGGCGGTGAGCTGCCCTTCTCGGACTGTCTTGGACGCACCCGGCGGTTGTGCAACCACCAACCTGTCACCTCAGCAGCCGAAAGCGGCGACTGCCAGACGCACGTCGACATCACTGGCCGCACAGATATGAGTTCCAAAAGGTTCGTGTCACTCGACGAGCTATTGACGCGGTTGTTGTGCGATCAAGTATGCCGGCGGCGTAGGAACCATGTGAGGCAGTGCTCGTAAGCGGGCACGTTGGCGCATTGTGGTGCAATAATCAGTAGAAATGCATATTGGGTATCAGTATGTGATTACAGCGAACGCTAACGAAACGATATCTTCTCGTATCCTTCTCTTTCCCGTCCACGTTGTAGTTGGCCATCCAACTGCGAGCGTGGTATTCGAACATGTGTGCAAGACAACATCAGATGTCAGTACATGCTTGTCGAGCGCCCCGGTGGCGCTCATTCCCACGTCATATAGCCGACCCCAACGCCGGTTGTATGCATGCCCAGTGATAATGTACACTTCGAGTCTCCAGTGCCGGATTGCTCCGCGAAGGTCACCCTCTATCTAGTGCGCCCCTTAGTGTCGCCGCACTGCCCGTTTGCCGAAACGCCGCTGGCACTTTTGTGTAAAGCCCAAGAAATCCTATGGTAGTATTATGAGGGGTGGTGTTGGCGGTGTGAAGGTGTGGTGTGAGAGACAGATGAAGCGCTCAAGTGGGTATTATGCATGCCGAAGGACCGATGATTGTAAAGTCGCTGCAAAGACGCCGGAGAAAGTGTGCCCGTAGTGATACAGTGAAAGGAGGGTGCGGTGCGTGGAGGTGGAGAGACATGCACTGTCTTCAGGATCAGTAGTCTGCGGTGGTAATATGTTTGCGTGGGAAACTTACAGTCAAGATTGTGCATCCTGTGCAACTTCTTGCAAGTCGCGCTGAAACGACAATGGTCGAGAACAGATTGACAGGTGTCATCGCTTTTTCGATCCGCCATTGCTGCCACCTGAGGGCTTCGGTTTGGGCACGCCTGGTGGAGCTTTAGCGCATACTCAGATGAAGATCGCGCCCTTTGTGCACTTACCAGTTGTGTCATATGCTCCGCGACCGTTAAGAGTCATTGTCGACGAACAGTCTTCCCTAGTGATCATTGGCGATGTCGGACTAGGTGGAAAGTCAGCTACCGCGCACCGGGACTCGGAAGCCTTTATGGAATGCATTGGTCGCACAAGGGTTGACTTACGGTAGCAAGGGCAGCAAATGCCAATAGGGAGGTGGCAGCCTCTGTAGGACAGCCGGAACGGAGGCTTACGGCCTGGTTGCAGTCGCAAATGGTTGTGGAGACAGTAACGATGTCCGCTATAAGAGCTGCTGGGATGGAGGTAATGCGTGCCGTGCTCTTCTCAGTGCTCGTGTCGGGAGTCTGGAGTGGTATGGTATGCTGGGCGGAGCTCTGCTGTTAAAGGAGCGAAGCGTAGAGCTTATGATTGTTGGAGTGGAGAGCTGCGATGTGGAAAAGCAACGAAGTGACGGTAGCAAAGGGGCAGCGAGGAAGTCTCAATAATGAACGTCAGAAAGTTTGCGAAGAATGCATTTGTCTGTTATAATCCATCGCTCGCAAGGGGCGGCAGCACAGGTCGCAAACAGCTTTTTTGGCAAGACACCACCACCTCTCTGCCATCTTCCCCGTCTGCTCTCCCTGGCCCGGTAGACGTCAGTGCTCTTAACACGACGGGAACCGGGGAGGGAAAGAAAGGAGACAGAACGTTTTGAAACAACGCAGCCCTGGCAGCCCAGTGCAGGGATCGTCCTCCACCGGCCTTCGGTTCCTGCGCAAGTGCTATCTTAGTTCCGCAGCCGGGCTGTCCACCCACCACATCGGTACAACGCTCCCCTAAACCTTCTCGAGATGCTCGACAGGGGTGCAGAATGAAAGTAGCCAAGTGGCACCGATGCTTTTGGGGTGGTCTGCGGAGGTGACAGTCCGTCAGTCTACTGCAAGGCCGCTTCGCGTTCTACGTATCAGACAACGCAAGCGTTTATGTGGCTGGCGATAGGTGTAAGGCCCCGTGTGACTCCTCTTCTGCTCAACCTGACAGGCGGCCCGGGTGGTGTGATCGTCGCCTCGGTCGACAATCAGGGCCGTGTCGTTCTTTCAATTACGGAACAGACATGATTCAGCGCCGAAAGTAGCGACACACGCCACGGGAACTGAGCCCGACACTAGAACAACACCAGACGGACGCCAGAAGCCGGAGCACCACATCCGCATCGCCTTTTTGATTGTCTTAGGGTCGATCTCTGTCTCGTGGTGAATCAGCACTAGCCCTCCGGCCCTGCCTCCCATGAAGCTGGATGCCGGTTGCTTTGCTCTTGTTAGGAACCTCGGCTTGCCGAAGGTCGCTTGCTTAAGAGAAGCACCGTCCGCGTTACGTTGATTGCTACCTTCAGATCACCCTATCGGAGCCAGCTTGAGTTTGGTTTGCTCGATGACTCGACCATGCTCGATTGCTCGATTGCTTCGGCAGACAAACAGCCTCGACTGCTCGCGTGTGTTTGGCGGCGCCGATGCTCGGGGTCACTAAGATGCTTCTGCCGGCTCCCGTCTGCAAGCCCTCGTCTAGCTTCTCCAGGCTGGCGGTGCGGGTACGGTAGATGAAAAGCGATCAAAGAACCGGTTCGTTCGCTTATGGAAAACGCCAAATGCTATTCATCGTAATTGAGGTTCATGACTGCACAGATCTGCAAGTCCAGCAACAGCAGCCGATTTGACCAGAAACGCCCGAAGCCAGTCTCAGCTGCCAACCTCTCCTGTCTGACTCGACCCGGTTGGCGGCCAACAACCTGGTTATCATAACCGGCATTGCAGGTGTTCGCAGCAGCCCGGAATGTGATCCGTCGCACAAACCGGAAACACCAAAGTCTCAAACGTCACACCCAGCCGACCGTCATCTGATAGGTCTTTCGCCGTCCGTCTTGCCTCGACGTGTCGCATTGCTCTTGCTTTGGGCGGGCCAATAAGCGGTGGCTAGCGTGAATGGAACCGTCAAGACTCAGTTTGACAGTTTTTACAAGTACGCCTAGCCTTAACGCATCGTAACGGGCTAGCACTCTTGCCCCAGAGACAGCCATTCTCACTTCAGGCATTGTACGTGCCACGTTCATGCACTACCACATTCTTCAGTTCCAATGCAGTCTCTGTATGCACTGCTTTGGGAAAGCGCAAGAGTCAGGACGCTATGTGTCAAAGCATCGCTGTACGTGGGCATTGTAAGACCGGAAACGCAGTACGAAGTATGATCGAGAGGAATAGGGAAGTGTCAACGTCCGTCTGCAGTGAGCATCCCTACTTAGCCAGACTTCCAGCTACTCCCCGTCTTCGTCACCCACTCCTCGTAGTTGACCGGCTCCTGGCCCAGCAACTCCACCTGCTCCTTGTACTCCTCCTCGTTCATGCCGAAGCCAACCTTGGCGAACACTTCGTACATCAGCCTCAGGTCTCTGCCCCAACCCGTGACCACGTCCGTCTTGCCACCACTAACCTTAACCTCAAGACGGTTCTCAAAGTCGAGCATGGACTTCTCATCACTGCCACAGATTCTCACGTCACGACCAAGAGTCTGGCCCCATAGCTCGCAGATCTCGGCACCCGTGTATCTGCGAAGCGAGCCGATCATGATCTTCTTCCCAGCCCATTTCTCTGGATTGAGGATGGCGTCACGAACGCTTTATACTGTTAGCTTACTTAATGTATTACGATTGTAGGGAGTTCAAGCGACTTACCCAAGTGCAATGTCCGAGGTATTGACCCGACTGACGCCGACTTCACCAAGCGGCTCATCGAAATAGCCCTCCTTCATCAAAGACCCTCTGGACCGCTCATCGTTCGACATAAACAAGGTTGGTCCGATGACAACAGTCTTCCACGGAAAGCCGGCGTGCGCGAGTTTCTGCTCAATGAGCGGCTTTACCAGGACATGGCCAGCCGAGCACACGCGCATCACAAAAGGAAGGCCTTCATTCGAGATAAAGTCGCCACACGCGGAGAGGTAGACGAGCGTCTTAACGGTACCAGCGCGTTGCATAGCGTCGAAGATGTTGAGCGTAGTGAACAGCTCATCCTGGCCCGTCAAGCAGAGGAAGACGGAACCAACATTGTGCTTCTCGAAGAGCGTCTGGATCCATTGCGGGTCTTGGATGCGGCCTTCTTCCACTGCGACGTTGTCATCGGTTGCACTTGAGGGTAGACCTTTCGACAAGCGTTCTGCGTTGGAGGTTGGGAGGACGAGCTTCACCGAGCCGCCGTCGAGTAGCTGAGGGACCAATTGCGAGCCGATGTGACCACCGGCAGCGGTGATCAGGATGCTGTGTTCAGCCATGGTGTCTGTCGGCGAAGATGGTATGTTGATCCTACTGGCTTCGGAACTCGTTGCTGAGGGGTATGGGTCGAGCCAGTCTTGAGCGCAATGCCGCCTTAAGTACGGTCCGGATAACCATCCTGAACGCCAGCGCTACTGTTAGTTTTCCGTCCACGATAGAGCTCTGGCTCACTCCTGCGTACGAGATATTGCTAGCTCAGACCAAAGCTGCTGATTTCCGTCCGTAAGCGATTCGATCAAGGGTCAGTGTCAATTGTGTTTGCGACCTTCTTCTCGGTCTCCTGGAGCGGGTATCCACTTGGACCAGTAGGATGCACACGGCGATATACCTCTAAATATAGCAATCGCATTGCGAGTTATCTTGTAGCACTTAGGACTTGCTGAAGTTGCTACCATAGCATCGTATGACCGTTGTTTTATGTTTTATGGTCAGAAAGCGCTGCAGCGTGTAAAGTCACTGACCCTTGCTGCTTAACTTCGCGCCGGAGAACAGGAGCAGGTTGCGGCCGAGAGGTAAGCGGGCGACCCGACTGCACACTCAAAGGAAGCGCCTTACCGTCATCGAGGCTTAGAAGATCAATGGAATCATCCTCCATTTGCCAGCGACAGCGGCTGGACCAAACTTCGTTTCATACCACTTCTTCGTACCGTCAGCCGTAACGCCAAGATTGATAACAACAAACAGCAAGGCGCTGGTTATGGTCCAGTTCAGCCAAGCGCCTTGCGGTGTCGCTATCAGCGCGAGAGCGACGTATATGAGGCATTCGGCCGTGTAATGGGGAGCGATTAGACGACTGAATGCCGGGTGTTCTGGAAGCTGGTAATCGCTCTTGCCGTCTGCGGCACTCGCTTTGCTTCTCGGCTTGAGCGAGGCGAGATATGCGTGGCAGTCGTGCTGGAAGCCGGAGGCGAGGATGAAAATTAGACCAGCAATGAAAGTACGAAGATTAGGCATTGTGATGGGCAGGTCGTTCCAGGAGAAGGTGTAATTTTGTATGGCGGCTGCTGCCTGTAAGCACACCACATCAACAAGGCGACCAGTACGCGAATGACTTACGGATGCCCTCAACCCACACGGCAATGCTCATCGCCCCGTAGAAGCCTATACCAAGCAGCCAATGACCGATCCACATCTTTGAAGTCGAAGGCCGCGCAAACTGTAAGCATTCGTACAGTCTGCGGCTACTCTGGACAAGCATCAATGCCCAAGTGACCAGCACCTGTCGAAAAGTCATGCTGTATTGTGGCGGTGAGGTACGAGTTGCTACTGCGCGGAAATTAGGGCCCCGGAGAAGAAGTTGTATCAGCCAGAAAAGTAGGCACGACACAGATGTCACGTAGAAGGTGGTGAACCAGCTGTGCGGTACCCGGAAGTCTGCTAGGCGGTCCAATGCAATAGTGAGGGTGTTGCCCTTCGGCCGCTGAACCTTCTGCCGTTGAGGTCGATTGTCTGACCTTGAAGGAGAGGAACGAGCGCCATAGGCTAGGAAGCGATTCTTCAGTGCTGAAACAGCGTATACGAGAAGCACCTACCTGCCATCAGCCGATAGCATTGATGTGCTGGAAGGCTTGATATACCAGAGCTGCAGACGCCACGAATTCTATCCGCAGAAGGTGTATCACGTCCATCGGATGATCGATAACTAAATATCCGAATGTTTTAAGATACACTGTACCTTTGTGCTCAGGGTTACGGAATGATGCGAGAGGGAGGGATGAAGTCGGTAAGCTCAATACACCTGGTCAGCTCAGCTCAGCATCTCTGTCAAGCTTCAACGTTGCGGCATTAGTTTCCCCGCTTTGTGCGGTCCGTGCGCTCCTGCCGATCAGTCAACTCGCGCTGGCTCTTTCCTCTGCTGCTCCCATTACTCCGCCATCTTCACATCAATCGGACCTCACCTCTGGGTCATCACTAACCCGCCTCTACAATGTCGCGACATACACTATGAACACATGATCCACCGACAACGCCGACATGTCGTTCAGTCTGTCGTCGCTGCTCAATCCGGAGCCGGCGCGAAACGGTGACGGTCAGGGTAGGCCGGAAGAGCAACGTCGGCAATCTATACCACCCACACAATGGCTTCAGTCGCCGCAGAATCATCACGCGACCATGTCTCCACCATCTGTGGAGCAGCAGCGCCATCACAGCTATCCCACCGTCACGACACAGGAGGCGGCCCAGGCGTTGGCATCACTCGCTACCGCACCCACATCACTTCCCACGTATCAGTACGGATACGGCACGCCGGACTACACGAGCGAAGACTTCAGACGGCCTTCCGAGCCGCGTTCAGCCAGCAGCCACGGCGCGCCGATCGAGCTGCCACCGCCAACGCCGACTGCACCCAAGCCGAGCTCGCCGACTCTTGAGGCGTACGCGGTCGCGTCGCGCTCTCCCGAGCAGCGGAGGTCGTCAGTCATCTCTTCCACAAACCCTGCCTTCACTTTACCGCCGATCCAAGGTTTCACTTCTCCGCATCAAGATCCGGCCGTTCGCGTACCCGCTCATCGTAGCTCTCCAGCAGCTTCGAGGACAGGGAACAAGGCAGAGACACATGGGGAGCAGTCGTACGGACAAGAGGTGCCGTTTGGGAACGCCAACGGCGGCCGTATTGATACGATGAAGGAGCCCAGAAATCATCCCAGCGATTCTGCGGCTTTACCTTTCACGTCGCCGTACGCGCCCATGCCTACGGCTTCAAACCCGGCTCAGAGAGATGGTCCAACATCTTCGCCGATACCGATCAAGGAAGAACAGCTACCGGCTCCACAGGCTTCTTCGCCGACAGAGGCGCGCCGCTCCTCACTTGTGCACTCGGAAATGGATAGCGGCCCTAAAGTTGTGGCAGCTTTAAAGCAGGAGCACAGTATGCGCATACAATCACCATTGCGAGAGTCTTCAGTGCCAGTGCTGTCAACCGAGACCACAATGCCTGAGATAGTGGCCTCGAGGAAGCGCCCAGCGCCTTCGAGGACGAAAAAAGGTACCGCTACCGCGGCGAAGAAGGCGCCACCGAGCAAGAAGCGCAAGCTGGAAGTGCCGCGATCAGAGACCCCGGCCTCTCGCGTGTCGAAGGCGCCAACACTGAAGGCGGCAAGCAGTCAAGGCTCGCCGGCAAACTCTTCGCCCGCGCGTTCCACACGTTCGTACTCCGCCGAAGCGGACGATGAGCCATACGGCGACGAAGCGGATCCAGATGAGGATGTAGAAGGAGACGGCGCGGTCTATTGCATATGCCGCAAGCCCGATAATGGCACTTTCATGATCGGGTGCGATGGGCCTTGTGAAGACTGGTTCCATGGCAAGTGCGTGAGTGTTGAGGAGCGCGACAAGGACCTCATTGACAGGTACATCTGTCCGAACTGCACGAAAGCGGGAGTTGGGAGAACGGCGTGGAAGAGAGTGTGCAGGCGCAGCGGGTGTAGAAAGCCTGCTAGGGCGAGCAAGGGCAAGAGTGGAAAAGAAGGGAGCAAGTACTGCTCGGAAGAATGTGGCGTGCTATACTTCCGCGAGATGGTGGCACGGACGAGGAACAGAGAGGATACGGTCAAGAATCGGAGCAATAGAAGGAAGAGCAGCCTCGTCAGCACAGACAAGCCGGACATGGATGACGATCTCGGCGCGAAAGGCGGCGTGCTGAGCGCGGGCGAGGTGAAGAGCTTGGTGAACGCTTCCAAGACTGCCGAAGACTTCAAGAAGCTCGGTGAGGGCGTGCTAAGCCCTCCTGCGACGCCAGATGGCAAAGAGACGGCAGATCTGGCATTCACAGAGGCGGAGACTACGGCCCTCGAGCAAATCCGTCGCTCGAAGGAGGAGGCGCGACGCAGGCATCAGCTTCTGAAGGATCGCATGAAGTTCGTCACCATGGTCAAGCAAGCCGGGAGCCGCACGGCGACGGAGCGAGATCTGAAGCCGAAGGAGTACTGTGGCTACGACCCGCGTATCGAATGGACGGAGGAGCAGTTTGCTACCTGGCGGGACTCTACGTCTGGTAAACAAGCTTTCGAGCTGGAGACGCTGGCGGTAGAGAATAGTGGGAAGGAGCATACTGATTACGGCGGTGGCCATGACGTTGATATGGAAGGTGCGAATGACGACAGCATCTACGCCCAGATTGCCATCTGTGATCGCAAGAAGTGCGCTCGGCACCTTGAGTGGGGTAAGCTGGCTGTGGACGACTTGCGGTTTGAGATGGGCGATAACTCGGATAATATGCGGGCGCTCGAGAAGGAGGAGAAGGATCTTAGGGAGCGAGCGGCGCTGAGGGCGAAGATTGGTGCGAGCTTTCGGGGTGAGGGGGAGGTTGAGGTGCATAGGCTGGATATTGTGAGCGGGGGTAATGAAGAGGACATGGGGGTGGTGGGAGGGGAGAACTCAGTGGAAGCGGAGGGCAGCGACAACCTCCCACCCCCGCCGGCAGCTCCTGTGGCGGGTGGGGAGGCGATGGAGGTGGATGCTGCAGCTTGAGATTTACAAAATGGCGATGCAAAAGCATGTCGTCCTAACGGCTCGTTGAATTCCACCTCACAAACGGCCTCATAGCGTAGTGTCAGATCTAACCTCATCCTAAGAGGAAGAAGTTCCGTGGTAAAAGCACTGACATTGAGCCGAAAGCACTCTCTCCAACAATCTTCGTAGGTTATATACGGTATTAACACACCATCAATGAGCCCTCACTCGCTTACAACCGTCGCATGCTGTGATCTGGATCCCACACTATTCCACCGTAACGCCCTACACCGCTCCCTCAAACTGCTAAACACGAAATGCATCCGCTGCTAAAGCCGCTAAAACGCTATCATAGTGACTCTGTCAAGCTCGCTCAAAGAATGAATGCGTAATGTGAAGCATTCTGGTAAATATGTGCTCATGATCGTAAGCGGTGCTGAACGCTCCTTCCATTTTCGGGATTCGGGACGTCTGAAGAAGCGGAAAGCCGGTGTGCCACTGCGCAGCATAATGTGTTATAATCTGTGAACCGGCGGGCACCGTTGCTCGGAGCATGGTGGATGAGATGGATCTACATCACCACACAACAAGCACACCCTTTCTTCTTGTACGGCACATCCTTCTCATCAAAGTCCGGCACTCTTTGCGCACCATCACGCGGTAACGCCGAATTCTGTCCGCTCGTCGACGGTCTCTGGATATTCGGCGGCGGCGCAATCGTCGGCGTGATCCTGTAGCCTCCGCTCGTGCCAGGCCGCGTGGAACCAGACTCGCTTTTGCTGTCGCTCTTTGCAGGAGTGAGTGGCCATGGTCGTTCGCCTTCCGTATGCGGGCTCATTCTCGCTTCAGGCTTCATGAGACTTAACGTGCCGTTCGGTGACGGTTGTGGTTGAGGGAACGGATCGTGCTCCAGTCTAGGTGTTTTGCTGGGTGGCTGGCGAAACTCTTGATCATTAAGTGGTCTAAAGTCACGATCATACGCGGTGCTACTCTTGCCGCTCTTCTCCCATTGATCCTGCATCATGCGCTTGGCGTGTGTGGGTAGCATTTGCTGGTCAGGTGGTAATCTAGGATCGGGTTTGTACATGGTGGCGATCCAAGGTGCTTCACCCTCCGGTGCATGGCTTGTTGATGGTCGAGAACGGCGCTCAGTCCTCGAGCTTGGCCGCTGGGGTGTGAGAGCCTTGTTTTGATACCCAGAATTCGGCCTGGAGTTGCCATTGGCCGTACCAGAAGTCCTGCGGCCTGCAGAAGTACGCTTTGCTTTGTTCGGCAACCGCGCTTTCGGTGGCGAGTTCTCCGAGGAGTCTTGCATGTACGAACTGTCTGGCCTCGGCACGGCATGCGCTCCGTTTACTTCGTCTTCGAGCACTTGGCTGGCAATACTACTGCTCCTAGCCCTGCGCGCATATTGCATCTCGTCCCAATTTCCAGCCCACGCACCACTGCCACTTCTACTTCGCGGAAGCGGAGAGTCTCGGTCGACCACATCCTGGGGCACCGGCACCGTGCTAATTCTCGAGATGGGTATGCGCGAAGTGCTTGGTCGAATTATGTGCGGTTTGCTTGCTGAGTGCCGTTCTGCGGCAATCTCTTCTTGTGTGCGTATCTCTGAGTCCACATTCGGGTCGAATGAGCGGTCATGCTCGAACTCTTCCTCCTCCGCAGCTGGTATGGTAGACACTCGCTTGCGCTGATGGTCTTCCACACCCGAGTGAAGCATACCTGCACCTTCCAGCTCTCCTTCACCCCTTCTCTCTCGACTCATGCCGCGTTGTGCACCTGGTCTGCTCGCTGAGCGACTGGATCTCCGCGCAACACCAGGCCCGTTGCTTAACGAGCGCCTGGACGAGCGTACATTGATGCCAGCCTCCTCCATCTCCTGGATCTCGATCTGGGCAAGCTTGTCACGGTGGATCCACGCTGAATCGTCGACATACTCCTCAGCCTTGTCCGGCTTCTTATCTTTGAGCTGATTGCGGGAGCGCTTGCGAGTGGCGGAGGCGTTGCTCGCGCGTATGGAGGCTCTCCGTGAGCCGGCTGCCTCGGAGTCGGACATGATGTTGTAGTCGCTTTGGCGATGCTGGGAAGAGCTCTGTGCACTGCCCGTCATGAGCGAACCTTGCGATCTCCGCGTCTCCGCCCGCTGTTGCTGCGAGAAAGCACTGCTGTCGTCCAGCGGTACTGCGTTCGCCCAATGCCCGCTCACAGCTGTAGCCATATTGCCGGGATCCTAACGAGCTCCCACGTGTGCAAAGGTCACTATTCACACTTCAGAATACTGACTATCTTCGCTTAAGAGGCTCGCCGAGGTGTTCCTTCGTGATCATGGACACGACGATGTTCCGGTGATGGCGTGTCTGTACATGGCTGTTGCGCATGAGGATATTTGGGGCAGTGGTGAGATCAGGACAGGAGAGTTAAGCGTCCTCTGCTGCACGATTTAGTAGCGGGGCGCGATGCAGTAGGATGCATATGCATATGCACCACAGAGCATTGGCACAGTAAGCGTTCTATGCATACATACACTTAGAACTACGCTCCCCACGTCTATTCGTGCAAGCAGGTCGAGTCACGCACAAAGCAGGGATAGAGACGATGACCGTGATGGGCGGGAGGCGGCGAGATGGTTAATCAGTGCTAGCATTCGCTTACAGCTCCGCGCCATGTTCCACGACGTTGCCCTCCCAGACCAACTTCTTCGCCTGTCTGTACCACTTTACTTTATCGGAACGGCGACCGTCGAGCGGCTGTTCCCATCGCACTCCTCTGCCAGTCCTTCTTCGGAGTAGTGCAGCCTAATCAAGCGGGATCGTCACCATTGGCCGGCACCTCCAATTTCCTCCATTCCATCTTGGTGCTAACGACGTCGCACCCTTTCACGACACACCTCGCCAGCGACTTGCTGGATAGCGCGATGGCACTTCTCTTTGCCTCAAGTGTGTCGTGCTCGGTCACACAGACTACCGTTATCTCATGAGAGATGCCAGCGTGCAGTAAACGAGGATCTTCCCGCCCAAAGCTTCGGCATTCAGGACTCTGGCGCCGAGTCAGCATGGTCAGCGGCCCGCGGCAGGAGGCTCACCCCGCCGTTTCGGCAGCCTTGGACAACATCTCCGCTTCGCTCAACACACTTTCACTTCGGTAGTCATGACTGTAATATCTCACTTCAGCCATCACATTACTGCTGGAAGTGGCGGCAGTCTGGCCGACCTGGACCGCGTGGCGTTGGAACGAATCAGCATGTGCCACATTCACCAACTTCCCCCGTTTTGAATGACGGCCCGTCATGAGAAAGCAAAGGGTGGTCCTTTCGGCCATGGCGCGGCGATGCGGAGATGTTGGTATTGACCACCATCGCTCCGGCCAATACTCTATGAACAAATAATGCGGCTTCTCAATGTACTGATATGGCTTTGTCAACGACAGCCATCTAATCACGAAACCATGAGAACCTTTCGTAGCGACTACAGGTGCTTGCAAGCCAACCGCTCCCTCCAATAAGGGCTGTTTCCGAAAGTATGTTGGAGAGGATGCTTCGCGGGAGCTGCCCAAGTTTGTTGCTCGCTTTTTGTGCGTAATGCAGAGACATTATGGCTGATTCGCTCATACAGCATCTCATGTTCGAAGGTCTGGAAAACGTACCGTAAACGCCATCACTTATGGACCGCATATTCAGAGACCATGAACTCGCTAATAATGGACGGTTCACGTACGCCTGATGAGGCCGCATCACCGTGAAAGCCCGCGGAGTTTACGAGGATACCTGAATGTGATGCGTCCGCAGCGCGCCGACTGTGGCCCTTCTCGTCTTGCAGAAGTACAGCCTCATTTCCGCCCCTACAGCATTTCACCGTCGTCTTGTGATACGGCATCAACACAATAGGGATGAGACGATCTCATGCCCATTGTAAGCGTCGCACGGCGTGTAGGAAGGTTTGCACAGCGCTTGGTGGTAGTCGAAAGACACGGAGTTATGTCCACCTCAGGGTACGGTATAACATGCCCATTGCATAGCCTTGACGACACTTGTTGACATAGACGCGTGTGTGCGCGAATCCGAATGTGAGCGTGAATGTAAATGAAGTTCACCTCTTGGCACTACGACTCTTCGCGTAGCTTGCCTATGTTTATTGTCAGACACCTGTATGCAACGAACTCGCCCACCTTCTGCTTCGCTTCTTGCACACGACATTATTTCCGCCTCGCAAGACCTCCGCCTTGCAAGAAAGACTACTCAACCGAGCACCGAAGATGTACCAGATCACGCACGAAGACATGAGTGTCGCTCTTTACCTAGCCATCGCATTTCTCGCTATGCTCATCAGCTTGGCCTGGGTCACCTCCCCACTTCTGCAGGACGCGTACTTCCCGCTTGACCATCTCGAACAGCATACAGCATACGGCGATCCTTCTACTTGGGAGGCAAACGCAGGCCAGAACACTGACGATGCCACCAATCACGACAATGCCCATCGCGATGGCGCCGACCACTCTGAGACTGGGGATCAACGTCACGCTGAGGGACCTTCAACCGAAGGACCTGGCGTGATCGCCGATGGTCAACCTCATGCTGGAGAGCTTATGATCGTAGGGCCTATCACTGTCGTGTCCTTCCCGCCCACTGAGATCGAGACGTCTGCGCTGGAGTTTTTAAAGCGCGACGAGGAGGTTTCACGGCTCACCAACATCGATAAAACCCAGGCCAGGAAGATCAAGAAACTTGATGACGTGGTTAATTATTGGGAAACAAATGATAGGGCGCTGAGGAAGCTGATTGACCGTACTCAACATCACAATGTTGCTAAGCTTGAGTGGACTGTCATTACGCTGCAGAAGCGGAACGGAGCTCTGATCCAGCGGCTGCTACACCGTAAGAAGCAGTGCAGCAGGGCCAAGTCTGCTTCTAAGATCGTTGTGAAAGAGGTCAAACGTCTCTGCCAAGAATTTGCCGAGGCAAGGAGGGAGAATCGTGAAGCGACGGTGGAGGCGAAGAAGGAGAGGGACCAGGCTATCGAGGAAGCCCGGGAGGCCAAAGCAGAGGCGGAAAGGTCCCTGGAGGCGCTTCGACGTTACGAGGCCGAATTAGTGGCGAAGACTGGGACCGACGAGCTTGAGAAGCGTAACGCAGCGGCGCGGACCGACATTGACGAGCTTCGGAAGCGCAATGCAGAGGCGCAGACCCACATCACAGACCTTCAGAAGCGCAGCACAGCGGCGCAGACAAGCGTCCAAGAGCTTCAAAAGCGCAACGCAGCAACGATACAGGATCTTCAGAAGCGCAAGGCAGACCTCGAGAAGCATCTGAATGAGGTTAAAAAGCGCGACGCAGCGGCCCAGACAGGCATCGAGGACCTTCAGAAGCGCAATGCAGACCTCCAGAAGCATCTGGATGAGGTTAAGAAGCAATACAGCCAAGCCGAGGCCGCATCCGTAAGCAATGCGAAGGATAACAGACGCCTCAACAATGAGGTTGCCGGAGCAAAGAAAGACCGAGATGATGCCATGGAGGAAGCACGCAAGGCCAAAGCAGAGGTGCAGAAGCACTTGAAGGCGCTTCAGGATCGTGTTGCCGAAGCATTGGCCCAGGCAAACCTCGCAAAGCTTCAGAAGCAGAATGTCGATCAGGCCAAGAGACTCGAAGAGGTTCAGCGGGAATACAGCAAAGCGAAATCCGCGGCCGAGCGTAATGCCAGAGAAGTTGGCGTCCTGCGCAACGATGTAGCCAAGTTGAGGACGGAGAGGAATGAGGCCAAGGAGGAAGCTCGTAAGGCGAAAGCAGAAGCGCAGAAGTCTTCCGAAGAACTTACGCTTGCTCAGGACGAGGCGTTCGAGTCCTACAAGAAGTTTGAGGCGGCTACCAACCGCCTCAAGGCTGTCGAGAGCAACGGCATTCCCAATGCCAATAGAGCAACAAACGGTGCTGAAGGGACCATAGGAGCGTCTGGACCATCCAGCGCCGACGTGATGCCTGCAGATGGGCCAGAGTTTCGGGGGCTTGTCTCAGAGGATTTCGACATGGCGATAGCTCCTTCAGCTACCCATGAGGCTCCCACAATGTTCGCTTTCGCTGGGATGCCACCGCTTGAAGCGCAAGATCCCGCTGGTGACGCGATGCAAGAAGGCCATGAAGGCACCATACGAGCGTTTGGGTTCTCCAGCGACGTTGAGATGCCCATGGCCATGCCACTGCAGCCTCCGCCGGCCCAGTTCGAGTTCCAGATCGAACCCCAAGTCACAGCTGCTCAGCGGAGCGATGAGGTGCCGGCGAGCGCTAACGGTGCTGGGACTGTCGCACCACTTACCGGCGATGAGGAGGTGGCGCTCCGGTGCAGGTATTGCGGTGACGACGTGATGAACAACCTGTGCACATTCTGTGGCGCTAGAGCGACGTGTTAACTCTGCAGTCACTGGCTGACTGATGAAACATGCACGAACGTCGACTGCCTTTGGAACGGCACCCTTTAGGAAGGCGGGAGACAGCAAGCGAAAAGGGTGGCATTGCATTGCTATGCATAAGGCATAGCACTATTGTGTGTAGATGGCCTTCGTGAAAGGCCTGCTTATGTCACATCAATATCATCCAGGCCATCTCTGAGCTCATGGTCTCCGCGAAGTACTCTCAACCTTTGCTTGACCCGGCCAGTCTTCTCCATAGCCTGCCATAGAGAAGTACTTAAGTTCTCGGCGTACATGTCCTGCCCATGCCATCTGCCCCTCTGCTTGCCGAAGAACGGCCAAAACGCGCCGATGCGCAGATTCTGCTGCACTGCTTTGTACGTCACATCCATGCCTGTCAGAGCGGCCAAAACAATGATAAGCGTCAGCCACCAGTTCGGATCCCTTCCAAAGGTACCGCTGAAGCCTCCCTTGACGTCATAAGGAGAGATGTTGTCAGAATAGACACCGGACATGAAGCCATTCCAGGCCCACCAGCCGCCGCTGGTAATGATGAAAGAGACGAACACTATAGCACTCTTGTAGTGAGTGTCTACGAGCAAGAGCTTGACGTTGGTCCATTGGATGCCCAGAGAGAAGCAAAGATCGCCAAGTGCGAAGAGGCCGTTATCGCCATAAGTCATCAATTTGCCGTAGGCGGCCCACGATGCAAACCATATCAGCAGACCTTGCACAGTGGCCACCAGCATCCAGAGTATGTGGTCGCGAAGGTTTAGGCCTTTGTTTCGCTGGCCGAAAGTGTACAACTCGGGCACCGCAAGTAGCGTCTCCGGTCGCAGATCCTGTTCGAATATGGCCGGGACAATCACGCACAGGGACGTGAAGAGCGTGTTCAGCACCGTCAAACTCCAGTTCTCGTATAAGCTTGTGCCGCTGTAGCCATTGTGGCGCTGATAGAGAGCCTGTGGCAGGTAGAAGACGAATTCTTTCCTGCAAAACGAACAATGTAAGCATAGGCAAGTTAAGGAGTGCAATCGTGCACGACTCACCAAAACGTAGCCTGGATGAATTTCGCCGTCCGCATGTACGACCAGCGGCCATGTACGAGAAGTAACCTCTGCAAGAAGCGAAATTGCCCTATACTAAAATCGGCAACTCTGGCCGCTTGAAGCCCTTCTCTACCAGAAATGCCCACGCCGACATGAGACGTCTGGATCATGGCGACGTCGTTTGCTCCATCACCGATAGCCAAAGTAAGCGCGGACGGCACCCGGAGGCGGAGCGACTTGACGATGCCTGCCTTCTGCGCGGGAGTGGCACGGCAGCAGATGACAGAGTCTACCAGTGGCATCAGGGCGTAGAAAGCGTGCTTGTACTCGGGGCTGGCGTCCACATTCGAGAGTGTATGGCCGTCTATCACGATAACACTGTGTAGGCAGCCATTTTGCAGGGTGTAGGTAAGGTCGCTTAACTGACCTGCCAGATCTGCCGCGGTGCTGTCAAGAATGTATAGCTCCGACAATGGCTTGCATATCAGCGCTGAGTGCGCGATGTTGATGGCCGTCTCGCGCTTGTCACCCGTCAGCATCCAAATCTTGATGTTCGCGCGGCGCAGCTTCTCAATCGTCTCCGGTACATCCTTTTGCAACTTGTCCTCGATTGCCGAGGCGCCCAAAAGGCTGAGACCCTGTTCAATCATTTCCGCGGCAGATTCGATGCGCTCCTGGCGGTCCACGAGTGATGTCGAAGCTTCCACATACAGCTTCTTCCAGGTTGCATACTCCATCTCCGAAATATCTCTCTTGGCGAAGAGCAAGGTGCGAAGACCTTGCGTTGCGAATTCGTCAAGATGTCTGAAGCACTGGGCGAACACTGCAGCGTCATCGTCTACTGCCACACCGTCCAGTGCACTCAGGTGTCGGCCATTCTCTGACGGCGTCACCGGCTGCGTCCGTATCTTGATGCTATTGCCGGGCTTTGATGCCTTCAGCGTCATAAGCTCGAGGTGGGGAGCAGATTGGATGATCATTGAGTTGCGTCTCCTCAGCGCAACACTGGGTCGACCGCCGAAACTGTTCCTTGGCGTAAGCTCCTCATCGCGCCGCAACTTCTCGCGTTCGATTTGCGTGCTTCTGCGTATGTCGTGTGACTTGCGGCTGGCCAGACTGGCATTGTGCAGCTTAGGGATAAGGACGCTGTCAGCGCCCTTGCATAGCAGTTGGATGCGGCCATCCGGACAGCGAACGATAACCGACATGCGTTTGCGCTTGCTGCTGAATTCGATGACTTCCAGCATTTCGTAGACCTTGCGATGCCAGTCACCAACGTTGTCGCGCGTTTTGATCGTGACTGTCTGAGATGAGCGTTGAGACAACACGTAGCCGAGATCGCGTGCGGCGTCCAACAAGGCAAGTTCATCTGGCGACGAAGCCTGGAAGCTGATGAAGTCGTCGGCGCCTGTTTCGGGAAGCGCAGTGTGACACAAAGCCATCGCCAGAAAGAAGTCTTGCGCCTTCTGCGAGATTGGGGCTGCTGAATGGCTTCGAACGTGGCGAACTAGCTCGTTAGTGGATATAGAGCCTTCATTGAAAATCCGAAGCTCCTCCTCAGACTGGTGTCGCTGCATTGACAACCTCGGGCCATTGGGCCTTGAACCACCGAGAGGTGATGAAAGACGGCTTTCAATAGTAACCCTAGCACCGGTTTTCTCTTCGTCGAGCTCTGCGCCAGGCACAACGCTTGGTCCCCTGTCCACCACGATGGGACATCTATTACACTCCGCTTCAGAACCTAGTTGCGCGCCATGTCGAAAAACAATCCCACCCACACTCATACCGCGGAAGCGCATGACATTTTCCGTCAGCGTGCCAGTCTTATCGGTGAGAACGTAGCCCACCTGACCCAGATTTTCTAGTATCGTATTCGTATTACAGACCATGGGCGTATTGGTGGACTCATCGTACATCTCAAGGTCCGAGTGCACCATGAGCATCTGCCCGACCTTCACAATCTCTAGGGACACATACATCGCCAGGGGTATATTGTTGTTGAACATAATCAAGAAACCCATGAAAATGTCTCCAAATCGCACATAGGCGTCGTTCAGATACCATGCTTGCACTTCGAAACTGTGATGCCACATAACATAGCCCATGCTTGTTCCGATGGAGAGCACGACGACGTATAGAATGAGTGTGAGCACGACCCGGTTCGCATACTTTTCAAGCCGAGGCTTCTTCGCGGTTGGGTGATGGTTGGCGTTCATACGGATCTTGCAGTCCTCGCCCGTATTTACCACTAGTCCAATGGCGAACGTAGTGTTACGAAGTACACTGCCGCGGAACACAACATCAGTCAACCCGAGTGGCGTAGTAACGTTGTCCACGGTCAGTCGGCCCTTGAAGTCGTGAAGGTTCCGGTTGGGATCTTCCGTAACGAATTCAGCGAGGCATTGGCGTATGCCAGAGATTGTGGAGCATTTGTGCAGGCAGTGTGGTGCTTGCCTACTTTTCAAATTAGTTTCGCCGTCAAGCGCCATGGTCTCCACGTAGGCCACGCGGTTTTCATTTGGCGCGTAGAGCAGCACAATGTCAGCCGGGACCGGGTCGTCTCGATGCAGCTGGATGATGTCGCCGACTATGATCTCTTGCCACTTGATCTCTCCCCACTTCAAATCGTTGTCCCACTCAGTGTCGTCCAGGTCATTCGAGCAGTGCTGCCGCTTAGGCAAGCGCTGTCGCAGACCTGCCGTCAAGCTTGACAGCCAGCCGCTACGTCCCGTCCTGTGTCCGGTGAGCAGAACAGTGGCCACGGAGTTGTTTTCGAGCTTGTCCATACGATGGCGCCGGTAGTCATCGATCGCCTCCTTGATAATTGTAATTACGATGAAGAAGAGAACAGGAAGAATGTTCGTATACGTGCCAGTTGTGCTGATGCCAGGGATGGTTTGCGGGATACCCATGCATATGAAGTAGAAGTTATGAAGTCTTGTTGCCTGAAAGACGATCTGCTTGGGCAAGAAGTCCCACATAGTGTACCGCGATGTACGGATCTTGTTTCCGACGTAGGCATGGCCTCTGCGCTCGTCAACAAGCGGCCTTTTGCGACAGGCTCGAAGGGGAATATGTCGGCCATCCTTGGACGGCGGAAGCACTCTTCTGTGCAAAAGTAGCTCGAGCACGTATGTTTGGTATACAGCTTCAAACGGTCGCTTGATCCGCCTTCCAAACCAGCTTTCCGTGTCATCGTCCGGGTCTCGCAGGCTGACTCTGTCAACGTGAGGCTGCTTTCTCCCATCAGCTTTCATTGTTGTTGGGCTGGTGCCCACTGTATGCGGAATCATCTTTGCGGCATCACGTAGGTTATCCGTCGCCAGCGACACGGGAGGTGAAACCGCGATGTCGCCGCCATTGCGTTGCGCATTCGGTCCATCTGTATTTGCTGTGTTTGCTGCCTACCATATTAAACACTTACATACCGCCAAGCATGGCATTGGCAGTCGCCGGCTCCACTATGCGGGCAAGTCGAGGTTCCTGCGAGGCATGAACGATCTACATACACGTGGAGTGCTGGTTGGTGGAAGCATTTGCTGCTCCGCCGCCAAGGCAGGCGTGCATACGGAGCTATATTTGGTGTCATGGTCACGCTTCTCTCAGACATCACTTCACTCTCTGCTCCCTTGTTGTCTCAAGAACGTACAATGCCACAGCTGGACATGTCTCCTCTGCTATACGCAACGGAAGGCAGCATGCGCTACTGGTGAGCAAAACAGCTTCAGCGCCGGCTCCGAGTTCAATCCGGGCATTGAGACGCATTCCTGACACAAAAGCCACATCAGAGCAGCATATTGTCTCAATCAGCAGCTCGTTGTACGATGAACCAGATTCTGCCTGAGACTCACACTCCCAAATACCCAGTGTAATAGCGTACGAAGAGCTGCTATTTCACACATACTGCTTTCATACTGCCATGCGATGCGATGCGAAGCGATATGTACATCCAGCTTATGCACCCAGCGACGTACTGCGGATTGAGACTTCCTCGATGCTATACGTCTGTATATGCTCTCTGTTTCCCTTTGTTATACGATCCCATCGACTATGGCTCGGAGACGGCTGTCACTAAACACCATTGTATCTTCGTCTTCCAGTCCTTCCCTTCCAATGACTTTGGTATCTGCATTTGACAACCCCTATGGGCATTGTCCTCACAACAACGGTTGTCAGAACTTGTCAATAGCCTGGTTGTGGTGTTGTCAGGAATAAAAGCACAATCTCATATTCACATTCACTCATCCAGCCGCCAGCCAAGGAAGCACTTCAACCTCTACACTCTCTTCCAATACCTCAACTCCCTCCCACAAACATCCCAGAATCACAACAGCGTATCGAAGAAACCATATCGTATCGCCGACGCAATGTTCTTGGGAACGCTTTTCTAGCTGGCCTCCTTTCTGCAGCAGCTAACCATCAAGAACGAGCAGTTGTTCACCGGCGCGTGTGACGCGGATAAGGAGGTCGACGAGCTCAGGCGGGAGCTTGCGCAGTTGAGAGCAGCTGCGAGTGGCAGAGCGCTGAGTATGTGCCTTGCTTGGCTATCGTTAAAATAGCTGCATGGGCATTAAGCATGTCCTTGGGATGGTAACAAGGGAAGTCAAGCTTGTGCCCGCCTCTTCGCATGTTTGCGCTCTTGCCTCGCATAAGTATGTTGGGATAGCAGTACGGGAATTCAGCAAGTCCTTGGAATGGTGTTAAGGGTAGTCAAGCTTGTGCTTGTGATTAGCCGAGCAGTCTCCAGCCAAGTGTTTGTCATGCTCGGTTATGGTGGAGATGCATGCATGGGGAACGAGCCCGTCCTTGGGATGGTGATGTGTTCGTACATACGTTGAGGGTTCAGTTTAATATCACCGTCTGGGCCCGCTCATGGTCCTCTAACCGCATCCTCAATTGCACGGCTTCCCAAGCCCGCCGTATCACGTCTTCCATCACGCTTCCCCTTAGCTTCTCACGCGCATCCTTAATAGGCAGAAGTTCGCTTATGTAGAGCAGCTCGTCCTCATCGACACCCGTGCCTTCATGCCTTTTCGGCTCATAGACTGTTTCAGTACCGCTCGCGTTGGCAAGAAGGTCCATAGCAAGCCTTTGTCTCAGCGTCAAAGTCATAGGAAATGGTGGTGGCGTAACATAGTTTCGTGTACTACTTCCCGCCCCTACAGAAGATGCATTGCTGCACGACTCCTCAACGTCTTTGGGCACGGTCTCGGCAGCATACCAGCTCAGAATATACTGACTAGTGGCGGTCAAAGGCAGCAGCTGGGTCCACAATGGCTCTGTGACGAAGCGCTGATGTCCTTCGTCAGGGTCAGGCTGTCGATGCTTGATGGGTAGCGGGAGCACTCTATTTCGATAGCCAGACTCTTCGAAGCCTTCCCTCTCCGCAGCGTGAATGGTGTCCTCGGTAGCATTACGTCTCCCTTTCGGAAGAAACCAATAACCATCCCGAGAATGATAGCACACAACGACACGTTCGGTAGCAAGGTGAAAGATTGCCACGCCAGCGCCAATTGTGAGCTTCTCAGCGGGAAAGTTTGCGTACACTGGTGCTGAAGCTTTATGGGACATGATGTGCCATCATATTGTGCCGACCTACGTCGTGCTATGCAGCGTGCCCGCTTCTGCCACCAATGTCTTGATTGCAATGGTTCCGCGCATTGGGTTAACCTTCATGAAGAGGAAAGCCGTTGGTCTCAGCCGAAGTGCAACCGTATGGCCCATGCATCAGCCAGCTGACTTCACCATAAGTTTTCACGGGGTGGCTGACTGTCCTCCTTGACTGTTTGGGTGCATAGACGAACCTACAGTGCGCTTGGGGAAAGCTACTGGCGTCATTGGCATCGAGAAGGTCACTATATGGATGCGCACTGTGCAGAGGTCATCATGGTACAAGATGTCATAGCTTCTGCATATCCGGCAAAATGGCGCGTAAGAGGTTCGTGGCGAGGCTTATCAAATGACAGCCTTCACCACTACCACTCTGCCCTTGTGCAGTCACTTGCCGCTTCCCTACAGTAGATCCGTCCTGAGCAAGCTTTTCCGAAGACAGCTTCGCATCAGTAAAATTCTCGCAATCCCCCAGCGGCACATTCTCATCCTATGCTTAGCCGTCATCCCTAATATTCTTCACCCGCCGTGCCACTCTTCCTCGCGGCGAAACTATCCCGATAGTCTTGAACCACCTTCTCCGCTATCTTCATGCTGTTCGGCGAACCCTCTGCGTACCCAATCTTCACGAGCGCAGCGACGGCGCCTTGCTTGCGCTGTGCCTGCATCCTTTCCTGCTGCTTCTTGCCGTTCCGCTGCTTGGCCTTGTTGAGGCCTTCGTTGAAGGATGCTTGCTTCTCGTTCTCAATACTTGCTTTGAGCTGCTCAGCCTGCACCTGGAGATCCTGGACGGTAGACTTGTCGAGGGAAGACTGCTCGGTTACCGTGGTCAGCGCGTTTTGATGCGCGCCCCTCTCAACCTCGATGCTGGCTTTAAGCTGCTTGACCTGCCTTTGGAGGTCCTCGGTGGTGATCCGGTCGAGGGAAGACTGCTCGGTTACTGCTGCTAACGCAATCTGGTGCGCCCGCTTCTCATCCTCGGCGGAGATCCTGAGCTGCTCTATCTCCCACTGTAGTGCCTTCATATCAGCCTCGTGGCGAGAAGATTGCTCGGCCATTGTCTCCTCGGCGGCAGCTTTCTCCAAGTCGAGTTGCGATGCATTAACGTCTATCCGGGTCCTGAGTAGCGCATTGTCCCGTTGATGGCCTTGGGATTGTTCGAGCGAAGTTCTCAAAGCCCAGGCCACCCCGCTGTACCGGCGATGTATGCCACGGTATGCTGTTGCAAGGACACCGATGGTGAGAAGAAGCAGGAGGAGAGCGAGCAGGAGCAGGCGGACGGCGTGGAGGCTGGGCGGCAGGCGGGAAAGGTCGGAAGTGGCGGTGACGGTGTCCAGCACCGTCGGAGCGTTGGTGAGCTTGTACATCCTGGTTGGGACGTAATTGATGGCGTGCGGCAAGGAGACGGGCCCGACCGTCTCGCACTGCACGATGGCGCACTTCAGCCGTAACAGGACGGCTTGGATGTTGACCATGATGAAGAGCATGGCGGCGGATCCGGCGCTCGCCATGTCCGGTGACATTGAGTGTGGTTTCGTTTGTTTTTTTGCTTGATTAAAGGCTGCAGCTTGCAGTGTGCTTGCAGTGTGCTTGCAGACGGCAGAAGCTGAAGAGCTACTGTGCAGGTGGAAGAGAGAAAGGGGATTTCTCCATAGAACAATGGATTGTGGACAATAAGAAGTACGGTGGCTGGGAACAAACGCTAGCGGCGGTCCAAGCCGCGGGTGAAGGTGAAGGTGAATGCTCAACCTCACTTCACATTCACGTCTGAGCCCCAGTCAACAAGACCGGCGTAGCTGCCTATCAGAGAGACAAGCTCCTGTTTTGATGGCATGCCATTGGGGATAAGAGACGGTCTGCTGGAGCATGGCCAAGTCCAGTATCGCTCCCAGAAGCGTTCCTGCCCGATACGGGTCCACCATGGGGACAGTCTTCCCAAGGTCTGCAGCTGCACGGGGATTTTGCACGCATTGGTATTGGCAAGTATCAGTTCACGCAGAGGGAAAAGCAGAGTGTTCCAAGGTAGGGCGAAGCAACAACGGGTCGCAACAGCAGACGTGCTTGACACTGCGGACTTGGGAGCAACCTCTTCTTGCCATGGCACGACAGCCGCAGCGCATGGTCCAAGCGTTTTGCGCCTCTCGTTCGGTACGCCGCGTGAAACGGTTCGGATGTTCCTTGAGGCTCGCAGGACTGCAGCTGTTGTTCAAAGCAAGCACAAAGGCCTATTACTCTGCATGGGTCCATAGCCTCACAGACATCGAGGAACCGAGGCAGCCATGGCATGGCCAAGCATTACAGGCACAGCCCCATGTTGATATCGTTCATTGGCGTCTTAGTTGGGGGAGACCGTGTTGATAGAGTCGGAGGGAATCTGTTATCAGTAGACAGCATGAGCACATGGACCTTTTTGCGGAATAAGGCAGTGTCACGCCGCAGATTCACGTTACTTGCACAGCTTATCTAAGTATACGTGAACATGTTTCGATCCTGTACTCACTACCAAATTGAAACTACAGCCTCAACGCTGTGCCCACGGCGGCTAAGTCTGATCTCTTCTTGTCAGTCGAGTACTGATTAGCTTACCCGTGCCAGGTTGGCTGACGTCTTGCTGGCAATAGCGGGTAGTAACATGACGGAAGTTGGATGTGGCCTAGGCGGAATGCAGCGGTGCTGAAGCGTAGGAGCGTAAGACAGACGTGAGTTGCGATAGCTATGCCGTACATAAAGCTGCGGTCTGCATTCGCCCAGAACGAGACGCCGCTTTGGTAACGCAGAGTCTTTTCGATCTCCGTTATGAGCGGGGAGTGCGGTGTTCGCTGCTTTAGCAAGCATCGAGGAGAGCCTAGGACCGGAGTTCGACAGCGTAGCATGCGGCGACACCTGGCGTGCCTTCTTCGCAAGTGTGGCGGTCCAGATGAGGCTCAAGTAGTTACTGCTAACCCCGACTCGAAGCTGCATCCATTATCAAATGACAACCAGAGCGGTGGCCAAACCGCGTAAATCCTGTCAGCCACACAGCGACGGCGGCGAATAAGCTCGAAGCGAGCTGAAGATGCCGTCTCGGGCGCACAAAAGCATAATGGGTTGCGGTTAGGTACTTATACTGCAGCGCCCACCGCATTTCAGACTGCATCCGCTCTTTACATTGACCCTTTATGCGTCCGTACTCTGCCCATGACATTCAAGTGAACATTTGGATGGCAGCTGAAGACAGGAAGTGCCAAGCGCAAGCGCAAATGCTTCAAAGGATATTACCCGGACGCCCGTTGTGTGATCCCAACCGAATTTGGTCTTCTCCGAACCCTGTAGTCGCTACGGACGCTTTTCCACGTACCACTGGCATGGGAAGCTCGCAAGGGTGATGATGCCCGCCAGCGATCCACCCTACGACAACCATCGCCGCTATCTATCTGGTGGTCGGACTCGTCGCCGCCTCCTGCTGGCTGTGCGCTCGGAATGATGTTTCCGATTTCTCCTCCAAACGAAGCGATACCCGTCTTGGCGGCTGCTTGGCAGCTGCAAATAGAGAGCTAGTGGGTCGCGTGCCGCAGCCGCGAATTCCCACGCCTCCTTTCAAAGGCTAATAAGCTCGGACACGCCTCGCACGAGACCGGATCTTGAGATATCATCATATTAACCACTGCTTGGCTCTGCAACCAAGACCCAGTCGAACAAGGGAGGAGTCTTGGCTCAGTGGCAAGGACCCATGAGGGAAGGAAGGACGCGCAGACGTTTGCGATTACCCTGGCAATGTCTCGACAACCGTAAGTAGCAAATGCCGCCTAGCCAAATGCCACCGACCTTCATCCATACCGACAATTCATACAGGTTCCGCGGCCTTCCGCTCCATCTGGTACACGGCGCTGCCTCGCCCTGAAGTCATCATGCGCTACGCTGCTGCTCTGGTGCCGCTACTTGTCTCCTTCATCCTCTTGTTTGCGGCGAAGCAAATCGCGCAGCCACCATCAGAGCTACGGCCCAAGATTTTCATCATCGGCTTGTCGAAAACCGGCACGACCTCCATTGGCGATGCGCTTGCACTGCTCGGTTACAAGCGTCTAGGCTGGAAAGACATCCGCAGCCGGCACCTCGTGCATACCTGGGCTAACGGAGACGTTGATGCACTCATAGACCAGACTCACTACTATGATGCATTCGAGGACTTACCATGGCCTTTCATGTACCGCCAGATGGCTGAAATGTACCCTGATGCGAAGTTCGTCTTGAGCTTGCGGAAGGACGAGCAAACTTGGCTTAGAAGCATGCGCCGTCACGTGAGCAGAGGTGAGTGGCTGCCATACGAGTACTTTTACGGCGCAACGGAGGTAGACGGCCACGAGGACGTCGTGCTGCACTCCTACCTCAACCACACCGAGAATGTCCGGGCATATTTCCAGCACCAGCCGCACCGCTATACCGAGCTCAACATCGACGACGGTGACATGAACTGGAACGTGCTATGCAGGTTCGCAGAGTGTCCAGCAGGCCGTGTACCATCGATACCGTTTCCCAAGAGCAACACTGCCGCTCACTGGAAGAATGGCCCAATCATTGATTCCCTTCACTTCCTCTGGGCCTGGTCTATCACCCGCATTGAGGAGCTGACCTCAAGCTCGTATTATCAGGGTGGCTGGAGTAGCATCAACGCCGTGCTGCTCGTCATCTGGAAAGTGATATCCGTCATTGAGCAGGCGTGCTCGGAACTCTACTTCAAGGCTACGATGGCTTTGGCGAAACCACTGGAGTTTGTATGAGGGCAGGAACTCAAGACCTAGCGATAGACCGATGGCATATTGCCAGACAGCGCTACGCCGGATATACTGACATGCGCTTGCAGCGTTAAGGTGTCATGAGCATACCTCGAGCTTCACCGAGAATGCCGCCAAGTGCTGGACGGTAATTCACCGGCCCTTGAGGATGGGTGGTCAACATGCGAGGACGCAAGGACGGAGAAGGGATTAATGTATATTGTATTCATGGAGCGATCTGATACCCCAATAGCGAACCGTGTACTCCACCTCTCTCAACTGCAATCCCCCAAGCTTCGCTCGTTACAGCTGAAACGGGTAGCTCACCTTCCAAGATACTCCTGGGATGCGGGAGTGCCAAGCTCCAGCCCTAAAGTACTGTGCAAGACTTGTGCTGTGCAGACAGCTACAGCAATGTGCCGTTAATCGTGTCATGGTTAGAAACGTGGCCCAGCTTGGCACGTTATAGCTCGGACGCGCCGCGCAAGATCTCAGGGATGTCTTGTGAATAGGAGTTGCTAAGCTCCACCAATCCAAGACATTGCTGAAGGTAATACACAGACAGCGATGGACCATGGCATCGACCATGTGATGGTGGGAACGGTGGTAAGCTTCAAAACTGCGGTCATGTGGGCGGAATACCATTCACTGAGCGAAAGACAATGTGGCCAGTAAACGCCCGAGTTCAGATGAGGTCAAGATACACGACGGATTCATGACACATGTCCTAACTGCTACTACCCGTAGCCACACTTGCTGGGATACAAAGGCATTGCAACGCCAAACTCCTCGCTAAATCGCTCAGATTCCCCAACAACATGCGATCAAGCTGAATGCCGCTGCGTATTGATGCTTTCCGGTGCCAACAAGCCCTGCCTTGCATCTACACTCGGTCGTGGCGGCTCCTCGTAGATGGCACTCATCGGCCGCGACAGATCGGTCCGACTTGCGCCAAACGAGCTTCTACTCCTCCGACCACCAGGACTACTGCTTCCGCTCCTCCTCGGACTGGCACTACCGCTTCGTGGTCTCCCTTGCGGACTCTGACCCCGGACGTACGGAGCAGCAGGTGCTAATAAGGGACTAGTTGGCCGTGGATGCAGCTGTGGAGACGCGGGCGCAGATGCTAGTTCTGCCACTCCTTCTCTGGGCTCGGGAATATGATTCATGCTTGAGCTGGAGTTGTTTCGGCTGTGTGACGCATGTGCCAGGCCTGCCCTCTCTTCCACCTCGCGCGTCGGTGAACCCTGGCGTGGTGACATTCGTGGATCGTAGAGCCATGCAACTTCCGGGAAGACACGTTTGCCCCCACTACCATTTGATCGCCGCGAACCACCACGCCCGAACAATGGCTTGCCTAGTTGCCGTCTGCGGAACAGGTATGCGCCAGCCAAGATGAGTAGCACCGCGCCAGCTGCGACACCTGTCGCTATCCCAGCTATTGAAGCATTCTTCAATTGGCCACCATTGGTGCTCGCTGTAGTCACGCTAGTGGTAGGTGGAGCCGTGCTTGAGAACGAAGTCAGGCGGCTGGACACAGTCGAGAAGGTGGAGGGTGTTGGTGTTAAGGAGAGCGACGACTCTGTTGAACTAATCGACAAGATCGTTGGCGTGGTTGATGGTGTGTTGCTCTGCGTTGTTGTTGCGGATATCGATGTCGTCGTTGTTGAACTCGCTTGGTGTGAGCTTGCAGCGAGCAGCCTTGATGTAAGGCTGTCAAAAGCAGACTCGAAGCTTGCGGCGACATCGCTTGGCACGGCGGACAGAAGCACGGACAATGCGTTGGTTGTGGACGTTGGTGCTTCGGTTGTGGTCATGTTGGGCGTCGCAAGAAGGGTCACAATGGGTGTAAAGGTCGGTCTGGTAGGAAAGTTACCAGGCGGCTAACCAGATGTGAGCGGCTGATCTTGTAAAGAGTCGGACTCCAGTACGGATGTGGCGGAAGTTGGGGAAGTCGTTGGCGTATCTGTTGGTTTGCTGTCGGGTAGTATAGAGGTCTCAAGAAGTATGATCTCCAAAGCTAGTGCCGGAGATGGTGTGATGTGTTGATGGCTTGGCAGAGTATTATTGTCGTAGTTGGTAGCTGTGGACTTTGCTTCATTATGTGAGTACCAATGTCCAGCACGCCTAATACTATGCTTAGATGTCTTCCGGAGGCTGATGACCGGTAACGTTTGTGCCGCCAGAATAGGATCGTGATGAGGGTCTGCGCAGAGGAAAGTCGACTCGGGTGAGGCTATGCTAGCGTTGCTACTCCTGGACGGCGCAGTTGGGGCCAAGCTAATTGGCGCCCCGAGTGACTGATCGAATGATGGAGTTCCAACAGTGCTGCCTCATGGTCAACAACAAAGGAAGACTGGCATCGATGAATAAGGCGGACATGAATAATCGTAGGAGTGAGAAACATGGTAAACATGTTTTGTACAAACCGTCAAGCCCAACCCCACTCAAGCAGCGTTTCCAGGGAAAAAGACATGCCAAGCGCAGATCTCCCGGCGTGTTTCATGCAATGGCTCACACGTGGATGATGATGGGGAACTCCGCGCTGCTTGCATGCACGGCGTTCAGAGTAAGGAGCAGCAAGGGCAGGGAGCTACTCTTTCTCGATGGTTGGTTTCTGTCGTAACCAGCGAAAGCGGTACAATAATCCAAGGGATTAAGGCTCGCCGGCGCCGCTGTCAAACGGTGTCGCCAGTAAGCGGCACCCGTTGTGACTCGTGAAGCAGGTCGAGTCTCCCATCCGGAGCTTGCCATCGTCCAGCCCATCAGGCCATCGGTCGTGTGCCGTCCTCAGCTTCGTTTCACGCCGCACGAGCTGTTCTCTCAATACGGTACCCAGGCGTAAACACGAGATAGCCGAGTGATGGCGCTTCGAAATGCACGTCACCTTGCAGCAGATACCATGTGCCGTGGGTGGAACAGGATGGCTTTGCCGCTAATTTCGGCAAGCTAAGCGTGAAACATCGTGGCTTTGCAATGCCTCGGGAGGCGCAGCTACTACCGCGTGCGTATGTACCATTCATGTTCTCTTTGTTCACGAGCTCGAACACCTTCATGTTTGGATTGCGTGTACACCCGGACAGTTGAATGATGCCTTCGGAGGCTAGGGGACGTTGTGTCGACTTGAGTTTTTGGTAAGCGACACTCGCCCAGACCTCATCATCTCGCTTCGTGGAAGGCTAGCGGCGCACTGCATCTGGAGACAGCGACACAGCGTCGAACCCCACGACTTGGCGAGCGTGAAGCAAACGATTTTCGTCCAGACCACGTGCTTCTGAGCTACATACTGCCACGCTGATCCGTGTTCCCGAAACACGGACATGGGAAGATGGCGACGCCATGCGATATTAGCCTAAGCGAGTCTTAACACTATGGTTCGAATGCACACTGCTGCCACCCAGTGTCGATTGGACGCCATTTCGAAAGGACAGTCTCAGCCATCGGCCAATGATAGTCTTAGCATTCGATGCTGGTTGAAGCACACTGCTCTGCGTCGCATACTCGTGACTGTCGAGCTGACTGACTATGTCCATTACTTTATGTTCTACTAGGGTCAGTCTGAGGGCAATCGCCGGTGCAACGGTCCACGCTTAGTTTGAGTCAGACGATAGCCGCACGATAGTGCTCTGCGTCTTCCTGCTAAATGTCCAGGCAGCGCTACGGCTACAGAGCAGGAGCTAGGCGCTTTGTGTCAAAGCTGTGCGTTGAGTAATACGAAATATGCTCAAGGACAGGGTATTTGTATTTGGTACCTATTCATCAAGCTGCTGTCTATATAGCACGGGTCAAGAGTGGCTACAAGCTTGCGTCTGCATATTATGACTGACATGGGCAATGAGAGGCACTTTCATATCGTACAGCATTGCCCAGGTCTTGCTCCTCTGTCAACCTCGCAACCGCCTCGTCCGTGGTGATGACACAGTCAACACCCATCAAAGCTCTTGCACTCATCAACGCTCGCTCGTGAGCTTCCTCGTCTTCGGTTCCGCAAGCATCGCTAATCAGCCACGTTTCGTAGTCCTTCGTAAAGGCGCGGATAGCCGTAGTGTGACAACAGTACTCGGTCATGACTCCAGTTACCACAAGTCTCCTTACATGCGAAGCATGTAAGAGATGATCTAGCTCACCAGTGCCGAAAGCGTCATAGGATGTCTTCGCAACTACTGGAGCATCCTTGACCATCTTCCAAATGTCTGGGCTCAGTTCCCAGGCTCGCGAGCCAACCATGATGGGAGGCGTCTGGTCTCTGAGCAGTTTAAGGACGAGTTGGTTCTTGATCGGAGGCTGAAGCTGCTCCGGGGTATGCCCGTGCTGGGTGAGAATTACAGGCCACGAACAGGAATCAAACAGACGATGTAATTTCTGGATTTTGGGCAGCGGCGCATCCATCATGCCAACGAACGCATTCTGCATGTCGATGATCAGCAGAGCAGTCGCCATCTCACCATCATCCAGTATCTTTGCGCGAATGCATCATCTATAGCGAGGCCTGGTCAATCGCGAGTGCATATGTGGAGCACGCTTCAAGTGAGGAGTCGCTGAACTCTATAACTTGCAACCCGGCCCGATGAGACTACGTGCCCACCACAAACAGCCCACTTTAGTGTGGCGGACTGTGGCAGGAGTCCGACTAGCTGTGTCACCGTTGAAGTTGACCGTGCGCAGTCATCACAGTCCAAATACCGCAGTATAGTCTGCGAAATGAAATGGGGTAGGGAAATGAGCGTGGGAGGTTGGGGGAGGTAGGAGGGTAGCTACCTACCCACGGCACCCATGAGCTGGCCTGTGACGGAATGAAAACCACCCATTTTCTCGCGGAGAACCCTGCTTCAGCCTCTGAGATGGAGGCGCACGTCCATTCCATGTTGTGAAACCTCACCTCTATAGCTACTCTCTTGATTTGGGTTCATGGCTGGGCGCGTTTTGTTCGACTTGCGTCCTCAGTGAATCTAGCTTCAATATCCTACGGAGTGGTACCGTCTCTATTAATGACACGAAAGGCTCTACACTCGCCGCGCCGCTTTCCCTCTGATTACGAGGCAACCTGCCTCATTGGCGTCGCTAGGCCGCTTCCCCAGCACATTCACGGTCCTCACGGCCTCAAAACGGCCACTTCCAATCCGTAAACTCTTGCGGATCTAGCCCAGTCTCATATGCATAGTTCATACTTCGGATCCGCTCCTCTAAGAGCTTCTCCCTCGGTCCAGCACCTCGGTTACCCAATAAGCCCTTCAAGTTGTCAATGGCTAACATAGCGAGACTGAAGCGATCGGCCTCGTTGCGGATTGCGAGCTCGAGAGGAGTGTCGATGTTGCCCTTCTCCTTGTAGCCACGCACGTGCATCAAGTGCTGGCCGATGCGCTTGTATGTCATGCGGTGCACGAGCCAAGGGTATGAGTGGAAGTTGAACACAACAGGCTTGTTGTCGGTAAAGATGGCGGCGTATTCGGCCTCGGTCAAGCCGTGCGGGTGGTAGCCATTTGGCATAAGCTTGAAGAGGTCCACAACGTTGACGAAGCGGATCTTGAGGTCTGGAAGGTATTGCCTGAGCAGGGCGGTGGCTGCGAGAGCTTCTTGAGTGACAACATCGCCACAGGAAGCCATCACCAGGTCTGGCTCCTGGCCGTTGTCGTTCGATGCCCATTCCCAGATACCGAGACCTTTTGTGCAATGAGCGACGGCATCTTCCATGTTCAGGTACTGCAGGTGTAGCTGCTTGTCGGCAACAATCACGTTAACGTAGTTCGTGCTGCGGAAGCAGTGGTCCATGACGCTGAGCAGGCAATTGCCGTCTGGTGGTAGGTAAATGCGGACAACCTCGGGTGACTTATTTGCAACGACGTCGAGGAAGCCAGGGTCTTGGTGAGTGAACCCATTGTGATCTACAGACCCAAGTCAGCTTATAGAAACCTCAAGTATCATCTTGAACACACCTTGCCGCCACACAGTAGATGTGAGAAGAATGTTTAGCGAGCTGACCTGCTGCCTCCAGCTCACCTCCAGGCACTTCTCGATCCACTTCGCGTGCTGGTTGACCATAGAATCAATAATGTGGATGAAGGGCTCATACGAGTTGAGCAAACCGTGTCTGCCGCTAAGAATGTAGCCTTCAAGCCAGCCTTCACAGGTGTGCTCGGACAGCATCTCCATGACCCTACCTTGTGGTGCAAGATTGCCACCGTCCTCGTCCTCAGGTAAGTAGCCGTTCATCCAGACTTTCTTGCTCTCCTTGTAGATTGCAGAGAGCTTATTCGACTCCGTCTCATCCGGACCCATTACACGGAAGTTGGTCGGATTCTTCTTCATGACGTCTGTGAGATACTCTGCAAAATTACTCATGGACGGCGCCATCGTTGAGCCGGGCTTGTCGACCTTGATGGACCAGCCTTGGAACTTCTCAAGCTTCAGCGGCAAACGGATGAGGCCACCGTTAGTAATGGGATTTGCTGACATCCGCTTGTTTCCCTCTGGTGCCAGCGCCCGCAGTTCTGGAATAAGCTTGCCTTCCTTTGTGAAGAGCTTGTCAGGCTCATAGCCGCGCATCCAGTGCTCAAGCGTCTTAAGTTGTTCCTCGTCGGTCAAGACTTTCGTCAGCGGAACCTGATGGGCACGCCAGAAACCCTCTAGAAACTGGCCTTCCACTTTACGAGGCGCAGTCCAGCCTTTCGGTGATCGCAAGATGATCATGGGCCAGGCAGGTCTGAACGCCTTACCGCTGTCGCGAGCCTCTTTCTGGTAGCCTAGAATCTCTTGCACGCATTTCTCCACGGTCGCGGCCATGGCTTGGTGCATTTCGTCCAGCTTGTGACCTGCCACGATGTACGGCTTCCACCCGTAGCCTTCCATGAGCTTCACAAGCTCTTCTTCGGAGATACGCGCCAAGACGGTGGGGTTATTGATCTTGTAGCCATTCAGATGTAGCACAGGCAGTACTGCGCCGTCGGTGATGGGGTTGAGAAACTTATTGCTATGCCAGCTTGTCGCCAACGGGCCGGTCTCTGACTCGCCGTCACCGACAATCGTCAGAGCAATGGTCTTCGGATGATCGAAGACGGCTCCAAAAGCATGGGACAGCGAGTAGCCAAGCTCACCGCCCTCGTGTATAGAGCCAGGGGTCTCCGGTGTCATGTGGCTTCCAATCCCGCCGGGGAAGGAGAACTGCTTGAAAAACCGCTGCAGACCCTCCACATCCTCACTCTTGTTGGGATACGTCTCGCTGTAGACGCCTTCGAGGTAGAAGTTGGAGATGAGGCCAGGCGCGCCATGGCCTGGACCGGAGATGACAAAGGCATCAAGGTCGTACTTCTTGATCATACGGTTGAAGTGGATGTAGCTGCACGGCCATTAGCCCTTATCGTGATTGACACGCGAGCTTGCTCACGTGAAGCTCTGCCCAGCATCGCTGCCCCAGTGACCGAGCAAGCGCGGTTTGATGTGCTCCTTCTTCAGCGGCTCGCGCAGTAATGGATTGTCTTTCAGATACAGCATGCCCAGGCACAGGTATAGCGTGGCGTTCATGTATCGAGTAAGCTTGTCAACCTCTTCATCGCTGAGTGGCTTATCGGTGACGGTCGAGCGCGTACTGCTGTAGACCGACCACTTGTCCTGCTCTTCCGTCAGAGTATGCAGCGCCTTGTCCGACGCCATTGTGGACGTGATAGAGCTTGTCAGCGGCCCGGATGGTGTATGGACAGAAGACGGCAAATTGGTTGACGTTCGCCAGTAGATGATAGAAGAGACTTTACCGTGACAACCTACACCATCTGAGCGTTCATAGTGGTAACTTATACGTCACTAACCGCGAGCTCTTACGAGTTGCACAGGAACAAGAATTAGCTCCATGCCTGCATGTGCATGAGTTGCTCCGGCTGGTTGCGGAACGTAGCTTTTGATGTCATTGGTTAAAGTCAATCATTCCATTCGCTCAATATGCATTCACCGCGGGACGGGCGCAATCGCGAGCGTGGTATCGACGACGGCAGTCGCATCGGACTACTCTACCCGGACGAGCATACTCTACAACAACTCGTCAGCGACACGTTGTAGGCGAATATTTGCTGACTCAGCGCCGGACCTCGGCACCGGTTCGGAGCACGCCGACGATATACCGCAAGGAACTACTGCTTGAGACTGGCCTTGGTCCTTCGGGTGAAGAAGGAATCAAGAGGAGCGCTGATGTTCCCCAAGTACGGCTTGTCGTATTCTCACCATCACCCGCCGGTTACCAGAAACAATTCGTAACATCACGTGGGCTTCTGTTACACTCCAGAACAATCGCGTGCAAAAGTGAGCGTCGAGCTCACTTGTTCTGACCGCGTCTTTGGAGGACCGATCCCGCCGCAACCCAGCAACAAACGGGAGAATCCTTGACGTGGTTAGCATTGAGATTCCCGTGCTGAGAAAGACGGCGCCCTGTCTCGATGCAATGCATGCGTCCGGCGATTGTCCTTGCAATCTGCTTCACCTCTACAGCGTTCTATTCACGCGTTCGGAAAGCTGTAGCAAGCGTGCTCTCCAGTATCTCCACCTTCATAGCTTAAAGTCCCGAGATTGATAGCGGGCTTGACCCAGGAATGAAGGTCTTTCGTGACTGTCCTACCCACTTGTCTCGGCTCGCGACTTGCAGTACACAACAGTAACGTACGAATACTGATTTCAATGTCTTCCAGGTCGATCGTTCTCTAGATCTTGCGGCTCAGCGGGTCGGTTAGCCGACAAGGCAGAGTCGAGGCAGCTCGTCCACGGGCAGTATTATCGTCGATATGTCCATTACACTTGTTATATGTTAAGTTGATATGCTGTTGAACGTTGTGAAAACCCATGTGTCTTCCCTAGAAAGTCGATTGGCTCGCGAAATCTCTATCCTGTATAGTTACCATAAAGCAGCAGCCATTCCACGATATGCCGAGCTCTACGCCGATGGTATCGAGTGTACCCACAGATGTCAAGACACCTCACCTTGCTCCTATGCAAGCAGTTTTGACATCCGAGTCAGTAATACTCTCAAGACATCTCAATATACACCCGAGCTTGACGTAGTCTCGTGCGAATGGCGAACGTCTTTGGGGCTCTCAACCGCTTCATTGCCCGCCTGGATGCGGAACCGCAAAGCCATCAACAATCCGGCGGACGGGCAGGATGGGGCTTCCAGGTGCTTCGCAACAGCGACCTCAACCTTGATCTAGAACCCTGGTTCGACTTCATCATTGGCATCAACGGCCGCAGTATTGACAATGCCGATCCGAACCTCTTCATGACCGAGCTACGCAACTGCGCGGGCGCCACAATCAGCCTAGGGGTCTTCGGCGCGAAAGGGCAGCAAGTCCGCGAGATATACCTTTCCGTGCCCACCGAAAGTAGCTTGGGCCTCAGTCTTCAGTGGAGTCCTCTATCCATCACGGATGAGGTGTGGCACATCCTTGACGTGATACCTAACTCCCCCGCAGACGTCGCAGGGTTGCTGCCCTACAGCGACTACGTTCTTGGCTCACCAGATGGAAATCTCAAGGGAGGCGAGGCGGGTCTCGGTGCCTTGGTAGAGCATTTCATGGAACGTCCACTGAGATTGTGGGTCTATAACAACGAGTACGATGTGACGCGGATGGTCACAATCACGCCGTCTCGAAGCTGGGGCGGTGAAGGGTCGCTGGGATGTGTGCTGGGCTATGGGGCGCTTCACCGGATCCCAGCGCCACTGACAGAGCCTTCGCAAGCTCCAGGAGAGACACTCTTCGAAGCACACGGTCAGCATTTCGAGCCTGAGGATGCGGATCAAGAGACTCAATTCAATGGCGAGCCCGGTGCCACAGACTTCCTTGTGCCCGCGGAAATGTCCATCTCGAGTCCACCGGTAGCGAGTGCGGCATCTTTGGCAGCCACAGCTCCACCACCGGGTAAGGCGAAGAAAGCGCGAGCGCATCATGCCGTCGCTCCCGCGGCTGGGTTAGACGACTACTTTGCGGAAGGGGAGCAGAAGTCACGCGCGGCTGACAATGCACCCTCGACGAACGCAAGCGGTGGACTTCCACCTCCCCCGAGGGCTGGCGGACCGCCTAAAGCTGCGTCTCCGACGCCTGAAAGTTAGCCGGTAAAGGCTGGAGGAAAGTGTGTACGATAGATTGCACGACGGCCATTGCAAACTCTCCCGGATCCGGCGGCCGCTGCTCACACGTACAACAAACGCGTGATCAATGCGAGCAACAGATAGTCTTGCATTGATCGAACGAGTGTAACTTGACGCCGGTAGTCCCGGCCCAAGTTCAGTACAGTGAACCCAAACAATTCAATGACTGGGCTCATACCTCCAACCGCCCTCCCTTACAACACGCTCCCGCAGCTCCATATCCCTGCGCTTTTCCGCACTCGTAACCGCATCCCCACTCTCAATCCATGCCGCGCTACTGCCTCTATCTCGGAACTTCTTGAGCCGGTCCTGGTTCTTGCCACCCTTAAAAACCTCCTCCATCTTCAACTCGGCGATCGGCCCGAAAACGGTCTCCGGATCCACCAGCTGTTGCTGCGTCAACAGCTCGCGCAATGCAGGCGACGCGACCCATGAAGGTGCGCGGAAGCCGCCCGACGCATCGTCTTCGCTGTCCTCTTCCTCAGAGTCGGTGAGAATCTCCGGAAGCTGGATGCTGTCGCCGTTCGGATACATGGGCGATGACTTGGCGGACTTTTGGGCTTGTGCGGGGCGTGCAGGTGTCTTGAACTTGGAGGCTGCGGCGCCGGGGACGAGGTTTTCGTAACCAGGATGTGTCTGCTGGTACGCTGCATACTGCGCCGTGGGCGGATTGGCGTTCTCTGCGAACGGAATACGGGCGTTCGACATCTGCACGGTTTGGCTGGGGTGGCTAGGAGCCGGCTTTCCAGCGTGCTGTAGTTGGTGTTGAGCGGTGACGGTGGACTTGAACATGTTGTTCGTATGATGTGTAGCAGCTGGTGGGGCGTGAGCGTAGCCATGTGGAAACTTGTGCGCCGTGCTCTCCTAGGAACTATGTCAATATCACTGTGTCACTGATTCTGCCGGTCTTTGCAGCTTACCTTCTGCAACACAGAAGGCCGCTTTGGCGGCGCCATGACTGAATGCCGTGGAGCATCCTGCTCCTGCTCCTCGTCCGTCCGTCTCCGCTTCGCCCCATCCTGCTGAAAGCTCGCCGGACCTCGCTGCAATCCAGGCCGTTGCGGCGGTGCAGCATGCTGTGGTTCCTCATCCTCCTGTAACACGCGTTTGGCTGGTTTGGCTGGATTCATTTGGAGCGCTGGCTTCGCAAAGGACAGGTCTGCCATCGTGCTCTTTGCAAGTTGCCTCAGCGTTCCGCCAACGTCACCTCTCGGGTGAGCAGCCGTCTGCTGAGCTCGTTCCCGCTTGATCGCCTCAGCCAGCTCATGAGCCGCCTTGGCCTTTTGCGCTTCCTCCTGCACGCGCTGCTGTTCGAGTCGTTGCTGCTCTCGTCTCCTAGCTTCAGCAGCTTGTTGCTCGGCTTTCCGCTGTGCAGCCAACTTCGCTTCATGGATGCGTGCCTGTTCCGCTGCTCGCTTCTCCTCCTCGATACGGCGCTCTTCCTCCGCTTTCGCAGCGCGCTTACGCTCCAGCTCACGCTTCTGCTCAAGCTTCTTCGCCGCGGCTCGCTCATCTGCTTCCTTCTTCCTGGCTGCTGCCTCCAACACTTTCAGCCGTGCATTATTCGGCGCGGTCGAGCTCCGCACGCTGCCCTGTGCAGAGGCCGTCCGTAAGCCAGTCTTCGGCGGAGGTGGCGGCGCCATTGCCGTTCCCTCATGCTGAGACTTTGACAGGGCTCCCGGCGCACCTTGACCCAGTCGTTGAGATTGCGAAGCTACACGAATAGAGACGGGCGCGGGCTTCGCATTCGGCTCTGCTCGTGTTGGTCGCATGAGTCGGCCGGGAGCTCGAAGCTTCCCAGCGGGTAACATACTCTTTGGTGGAGGTGGCGGCGGCATGTCACCTTGGTCGCTCTGCGCAGAAACAGGGCGCTCAGCGTGCTCTGTCTCCTGCTCCACCCGAGCAGCTTCGGCCTCTTCAGCCTGTCGTCTCTCATCCTGTTGCTTGGCGGCCTTCTGTCGTTCCTTTTCCCTCGCCTTCTCAAGCTCATCAGCAGCCTTCTGCTGAGCCTTGACTTCCTTTTCACGCTTCTTATCGCTTTCGTTCGAGCTTCTTGTCTTTCGACTTGGGCTGGCGGAGACAACAGACACCGGCCTTACGGGACTTGGTGGAAGCTGCTGCTCTGAGTAGAGAGCGCCAGGCATATTGAACACAGCCTTGGTTCTCGATTCGCCAGACATGCCTCGTTGCGGAGAGCGGACAACAGACGGCGAATTGTGTGCTTCAAGCTTTGCCGCAGCACTGGCGCTAGCTGAAGAGGCGAAGATGCTCTTTGCGGACTTTAACGCTGACCAGAGCTTGTTCTTTGAGGCGCTAAGCGGACCATCATGCTGCTTCTTAGCCATGGGTGACCCAAAAGGAGTGGTTGAGAATACAGCGCCAACGGCGTTGGCCAAGCTGGGGTTCGTGACAGATTGCGACTTCTGGTGGCCTATCGGCATGGCTGGCCTGGTGGATGACAGAATGTTCGTGCTGGAGATGGATTTCTGGTGCAAGCTTGGCCTCGCTGGCGAGCCTTCTCGTTGAGGAAACGTCTGAGCAGCGTTAATCACTGGCGCGACATGCTCGTTTCTGGATGACTTCGCTGGCACAATCCAGTCATCATCGTCATTATCGGCGTCGACCATGTGGACGTCTTGCTCCAAATTGCCCAAGTTAGCAGCGCCTTCACGCTGCGCAGGTTCTGCCGACGCGTTTGGCAGCTTCGGGTACGTAGCTTGGCCAGAAACAGTACTCTGCGCCATACTCTTGGAAGTACGCGGCTCCTTCATCTTGCCAAGCATGGTTATGCGCTCGTGCAGTAGCTGCGTTGAGGTTTTGCTGTACGCCTTGCTCTCCTCAGGCTTCTCTGCAGTGTAGACGTCATCCTCTGCTTCGGGTTCTACTTGTCGTGCGCCGAAAGAGTGCGCAAGAACGCTGTTGCGTATGGTATCGACCTGGCTGTTCCTTGCACCGAAACTATGCTTTGCATTTAGCGGCTCACGCGCTGGCAGAGCAGAGAACGTGAAGCTGCTCTTCCGCTGGAGCAGTTTCTCGGGCGTGGATACACCGTCAGATGGCGACATCGGCGTATCGTCCGCGACGTCTTCTGCAACCATCACGGCCTCGATTGAGGTTCCTGCCAGCACAGCTGTCGTAGCCACTCCGGCATTCACGTCAAGGGCTGCTTCCTCGCTGAAGGTGGCATCATCCTCCAACACTTGCACCTCTCGCAGCGCCTCCTTAGACGCGTGACGGCTCTCTTGGTCTTCTTTTGCTGACGTGAAGGACTCATCACTAGTCTGTCCTCCTTCTGCAGTATCCTGCCTTATGGGTACGGGACGAGGCTGATCGTCGCGCAAAGGAACCTTCTCTCCTTCCGCTTCCTGACTTGACGTGGTGGCGGTCTCCGTTTTCGCGTCTCCCTCCATTTCATCCTCTGTCATGCCGTGGTACCCTGAGTCGGTATTGCCGGGCTTGCCCACACGTTGTGGACTCTTACTCCGGCTCATAGGGCGCTGCGGGGCGGCATCTTCTGCGTCTTCCGCAATCGCGAACTGTGCTACGTTCTCAAGGAAAGCATTCGGCCTTTGCGCAGATAGTGGTGCCACCTCTGTACCCGGCCCAAAGATATCCGTAAGCGGTCGTCTAGGCACCAAAGCATCTCGTTTGCGCGCCGTTCGTGGTGTCCTGCCGCGTAGCTTGCCGGGCGTCTTGAAGATGTCGGCGAAATTACTACACAACATCAGCGTCAGCACCACAACCAGCATACGTAGAAGGAGCGGACGCCGCATACACGCTGCCATTGCTGAAGACTTCAGCCATGTGCTCGTTCAGCCACTCGAGCTCATTCCTCACACTGAAGCTGAACTCCTCTACATCCTGCTCGATAAACTGCGCCGCTTGCTCGCGCTCATCTGCTATCCATTGCCAAGATCCCACCGGCGCCGCTCTGGTCTTCGTTGATGCCATAACTGCTGGCGATGCTTAAGACTCTATCCAAATGTGCGTTCCAACGCGCCCAATACTGTGTCAATGAATCGTTGCTGCCATGGATGGCTATCGACGCTGCTGTCGCGCTTGTCGGATTGTTTTGATGTGGAGAAGCTCCCGCGAAGCCAAAGCTGAAAGCTCGGACTTCAACAGCCAAGCCGGTCAAAACGCGCTAGAGCTCCAAGACACGTGACGGCTTAGTGCACCAGTCTTTGACATGGCGGAGACTTCAGATATTATGATTTGTCTTGCGTGTGTAGGAATCAGTCACCGAAGCCTTCAAAGCCATCATCGCCCTCCGCCGCGGTCTGCGCTCTCACTCGCGAAATCAGCTCATTCAACTCCATCTCCTCCACCTTCTCCGACGCTGACATCTTCCCCACCCTCTCAGCCTTCCGCCGGACTTCCTTCCTCTCTCTCCTCGCTTCCTTGATGGCCTTCACTTCCTTTTGTCCGCTCCACGCCTTCTCTTTCCTCCGCCTCGCTTCAGCCGCTGCACCACCAAGCTTACTCGACACAGGCGGCCGCTCTCCACGTGCCTGAGCAGCAAGCACTTCCTGACGGCGCGTCTCACGTACTTTGTCCGCGTACGCCACCGTGTCCAGATCAAAGCCTTCCGTAACATTGAGGCCAAAGGTCCTGTCGGCGACCGCTTGCTGAAAGTGCCGTTTCAGCTCTGGCATCTTCGGCCAGCGAAGCAGGCCCCAGGCGCGGCCTAGCTCAGCCCAGTCGACTTGCTTCAGGTTGAAGATATTGACCGGCAGTGTTTTCGTGTAAGCTTGCACCCAGCTAACGAAAGCTTTCTGTGACCGGTCGTGTAGCTCGCGCTTCTGCTTAATGATATCACGGATCGCCTGGGCGGTTCCGAGCGTTGGCTCTTCGGAGAGCGCTAAGGGTACCGCGAAAGGTTCGAGCTTCATGCCTTGCAGGTCGAGGTATTTGACGTAATCTTCTTCGCTCCCTTCATTTAAGAAGGTGATGGCGAGTCCACGTTTCCCCGCTCGTCCAGACCGACCACACCGGTGTATGAAGTCCTTCGGTTGGCTTGGTGGGTCAAGTTGTGCCACCAGATCAATATCAGGAATATCAATGCCACGTGCCAGCACGTCAGTAGTCAGCAAGACAGCCGGAGAGGGGCAGTCTTGGAAGCGTCGCACGTTCTTCGCTCTTATGGGCGCTTTGTAGTCGCCATGAACGGGAAACACCGCCATATCCAACAAGCTCGGCAGTATGTCTTTCCAGTAGTCCACACCCGCCCTGGTCGAAACATAGGCAATGCACTTCTCGGCTTTTGTCTCCTGCAGAATCCGTTTCAACACCGGAAGCTTTTCCGTGGGCTTGACGACAACGTAGCAAAGCCGCAGACTCTCAGGCGTCCGCTTATCCAGCGCCCCTGACTTACTGCGCACTTTGGCGCTGATCTTGAACGGATAGCGCATTCCCACCCTTACAAGTTCGTTGACAGCTTCAGAAACGGATGCGCTGAACAAGCCTGTCCGTCTCTCCTTAGGCACAAGCTGCAGTATTGTTTGTAGGTCTGACTGGAAGTTTGGATCAAGAAGACGGTCTGCCTCATCTAATACCAGAAGGTCGAAATAGTGTCTCTTCAGTATGACCCTCGAAGATTGTAGGACCTCGACCAACCGTTTGGGGGTTGCAATCAGCACATTGGGGTTCAAGGCGGAGTAGGTTGAGAGGTCTTCTGCTAATTTCGTACGGCCACCGATGAGAAGTTGTGGTATCACATAAGGACCTGGAGGCACTTCCCGCTGCGAGGACGATGTCTCATCACCATCTTCCTGCTCAGCAGACGGTCGCAACACAGCTGAAGACGGGGGATGGAAGTCTAGGAGGCCACGAAGTACGTCATGAATTTGCGTTGCTAGTTCCTTGGTTGGCGCAACAACTATGCTGCGTACATAGCCCTTCTTGTTCGGTTCCTCTGCGCTCAATATTCGGGAGACGATTGGGATGAGGAAACTAAGCGTTTTGCCACTTCCTGTAACTGCCTAGACTAACTGTTAGTTCGCTATGCGAAAGATCATTGCGTGAGCATAAGTTTGAGCATACCTCTACCACGAGGTCCTTGTTGCCCAACAAAAGCGGTATTGCCATGGCTTGCACAGGCGTCGTCCGTTGAAAGCTCATGCTATGTGTGTAGTCGAGAATCCAATCGGCGAGCGATGGCGTGAGCGCTTCGAACGATTTCGGCCTCTTGGGTTCAAGATCTTGCGCCATGATTTCCGTGTCCTGCTCAACAAGGCAGAGTCTCCCTCTCTTGCAAAGAGTGATTCGTCCGTAACAAGGTCTACCTAGAGAGCTCTGCTCAAGAATATCGCCTGTACTATTTCCTGCCTAAGGCACCAATAAGTGACTTTAGGCGATGGGCTCTATATCGTGATATAGTGGAGACAAACACTATTCCACCACAAAGCTTACTACTGTCTTGCAGCAAAAACAGAATGTTCAAAGAAGTGAATGGGCGTAGCACGGTTGCCACCTGTGAAATTAACAGAGCAGAGCACGACTAGAAGCACGGTCACGTGGCGATGACCTGCCAAGACTCAATCAAAAACCCGCTTTGCTGATCACTGCATATCACTATTAGTACCTTTCCTTACCTGACGTTCTTTCCATCATAACCGTCGCATACTCCCTGTTCGACTCATGGTGCATGTGAAGAACTACAGATCACGCGGTCACACTGTGCCGTACGCCAACTATGTAGTGAGAATACCGGCAGATGGGCACGCTTGAGCTCGGGCGGCGTTTCGCCTACGCGCCAGGCTATGTTTCACTTTACCGACCAAGTCTCCTTCTGCACGCTTCAAAGACTTCTACAAGACCACCATCCAGGCCTCCACGCGCGACAGTCTTCGCACCCCGTATGGTGGACCAACCCTGGCGACATTCCAGCGACCGGCAGCGCCACAACATCCTAGCATGATATTGGCACGATGCACGCTCATTGGGAACCCCGTCTACGCCCGCATCTGCATTCACCCACAGCCAAGCGGTCTGGTGAATGTGGTGGCATGGTGACTAGCGATTGTGTCATGACAGTGTTACAAAGCCTTTGTTTCACAGCATGCATGCCACCTTTCGTACTCCCCCTACATATATCTTTCTGAATCCCCTTGCTGCAGAGTAACATTCAACCTCTCACTCTTCCATTCCTTTGCAGCTTCTGGCAAGCTCAAGTAACCTACGGTCATTTCCAACAGCATTTCCAGCATAACAACGATCCAGGAAGATTCTCGCAGGTCGAGACATTAGATCTTCCCACGTCAATATTTCTAAGCAACAGTTCACGATCGAAGACAATCATGTCTTTCTACAAATCATCCGTCTTCGCTCTAGCTCTGGCAGCTGCGATGCCACTCTTCGTCAAGGCCCACATCATCATTGTCAGCCCCGAGCCATTTACCTCGCCAGCGGTTACGACCTCCCCACTTGCGAATCTCGCACCTGGATCACCGGGAAGCAACTTCCCTTGCCAGCTTGCCGCCGGCGGATCCTACAAGGTTGGAAGTCGAACGCAGGTCGCTGTCGGACAAGAAATGCCTCTCGCTTTTTCCGGCTCTGCAAGCCACGGTGGCGGTACATGCCAGCTCGCAGTCACGACCGATAAGGAGCCCAGCGTCAGCACCCAATGGAAGACGTTCCAGATCTACGAGGGCGGCTGCCCGATCGCGGGCGACTCCTCCAGTGGCGGCACATCCAATCTTACCTACCAGCTCCCGCAAGGTATGATCAATGGCGATCTCACTTTCGCCTGGGTCTGGATGAACAGGATCGGAAATCGCGAGACGTATATGAATTGCGCGCCTATTACGGTCACGGGTGGCTCCAGCGACAGCAGCGTTTACGACAGCTTACCCAATGCATACATTATTAATCTCCCTACGTCCGATTGCAGCTCTGTCGAAATGAGCGATCTGGTAATTCCAAATCCTGGAAGCGCTGTGGTCTCCAAGGACGGTGGCGCAAGTGCTAGCCTTGCTTCCGCCACAGGACCGTCGTGTGCGGCCTCAGCAGCTGCGATGACTGCAGGCGGCTCCGGAGGCTCAGACAAAGGTTCCGCAGCCGGGCCCTCGACTGCAACGGCAAGTGCATTTGCCACAGCCTCAGCCTCTGGATCTGCGTCTGGGTCTGCCTCCGCAGCATTTTCCTCTAGCGGCAACAACGGCGCCTACAGTCAAAGCAGCGTTTCATCTGCTGCGGCGACCTCAATAGTGTATACAAGCGGCAGTCAGGCCAGAAATTCGGTCTCTGCAAGCGCGCCCAGTCAGATGAGCTTCGTCACCCTTTCTTTGGCGAGCACCTCCACGACGGTCGCCACCTCAGTCCCTCCAACAGCAGCGGTCTCCTCAGCTGCCGCTGGTGGTGGCTCTAACACTGCCCAAGCACCCTCCGCCTTGGCGAGCGCAAGCTCAGGTAGCTCATCTGGTGGATCTTCTTCGGGCGCTGGAAGTTTGGTATGTAGCAGCGATGGTACGGAGTTCGGCTTGCCTAACCCGAACGGCGCGACTGTAATGCAGCCTGTCGCTCCAGGTACATCTTGCAAGGGTGGTCAGATCGTGAAGCGCACAGCTGGCGGGCACCCCCATGCCCGTCGGCACGCACGCAGGGCTACCTAATCTGAGGGAAAGGGTGCAGGGCATTCAGCACGCCCGGTTAAGAGATTTGGGTGCTGTGGGCTTGACAACGTTTGTAAAGCATAGCGATGGTATTTAGTGATGCATGGCGACAGCAAGCGGATAGCATTATGCTAGCACAAGGCGTGCGAATTAGGCAGATTGGAGAGTGAAAAGCGATCTGAGCCACAAATGGCTGCCTTGTACCCAACTTCGTGCAATGGTTAGCTAATTGCTTACACGGCCGGCCCTCGCCCGATCCACACTCTAAAGCTCCTGAACGGCCCTCGCCGATTGTCAGTGTTGTTGTACTGTCTTTGCGGACCTAGCTCAAGCTGGTTTGTGCAGAAGTACAACCATCCGTCCAAAACTGCGGCACTATCAGCATGCTGAATCATGGCATTGCGAACAAGCGTCTTGACAACGTAGTTATTCGCAGCAACGGGTCCTGAGCCGCCTGGCGGTACGCCGTTTACCGTCTGATTCACCTCGCTCTGTTGAGTGTCTACGTAGTAAATCGCATTTTGTTCGCTCGCCAGGATGTACACCCGCCCATGGTCGTCGGCAGTGAAGCCTGCTTGCTCGGATCCACATTGACCAGGATTCTGCACCGCAGCTAGCACCTGCGCATCAGACAGACTCGTGTTGATGATCGCACTTTGCGAGATGTAGTAAAAGCGTTGACTAGCAAGTACGCCCCAGTATACGTTCCCACTGGCGAGTGCGATACCGTCAGCTCCGGTCGTGAAGTAGGACTTCTTAGTTCCGTTCCAGCTATAGATGAGGTCTCCGTCATACGAGCCCACATAGCCTGGGTCAGCGCGCACGACGCTAGTATTGAAAAGGCGGCGGACAGCACTGCCGTCGTCCAGATTGATCGCTATGAGGGAGCTGTTCGTACTCTCGTCCGTAATGAAAGCATAACCCTTGGTACCAAGAGTGTTGTTGATCCGCACATCGTTGGCATTGGCCCCATACGCGAGTAGAGTCTGCGGGATTACGTACGTGCGGATGAGCTGGCTGGTCGTTTGATTGAACGACATGATCTTCGCGCCACCGTAGACCGCTTGGGCACCACTTTGGTTGGCTATGCTGGCCGGAATCCCACTGTCGACAATCCATAACTGCCCAATAGAGTCCAGGACGACGTTCTGTACGTTAAGGAAGCACGTCGAAGGATCTTGGCCCGAGGTACAGTTCTGAATCGCCGCTGACGGCCATGGTTTCTCATTGTTGAAGTCCGTGCATATCACGACGTTGTTCGGAGTCTGCCCATTGTTGCGAGGATACGTGAGGTAGACATTGACCGCATTGTCCACTGCAAGCCCAGTAGGTGCTTGTTGGCTGTCATGAACAGCTTCCAGAGATGACCCAACGACACCGAAGTCTTGCGGGTAAGCGCCGCGATTGTAGCCGGGCCCGAACGGTCGGAATCCGTTGATGGTATCGAAAAATTGTGCAGAGGCCAGGTTCGCAGTTGCGAGGAGTGCAACAAGAGTAACTCGAAGCACCATAATTGACTGGGGCTTATAGTGACCACGCGAGTTACAGAGCGTACCACTTCAACACATCAAGTGCACTTTGCTGTGCTTGCGAGTCGTCATCTGCCCGTGCCTGTACCGCGATGTCATTGTACATGTGTGTGCGGGGCAGCCCAAATTGTAAATCGCGGAGAAGGCTGGCACGTTCCTTGTTAACAGAGGTACTGTAGACATCTCACATTCAGACGCCTTCGACACAATGCCAGAGTCAACGTTCGTGAAAGGATTCCCTTGGTTCATATTCGGAACCCATAGGATGCACCCGGTGCTCCGCTATCAGGATCAGTCTGCCCAGCTTGCAGGTTCACCCTCATCTACCGCAGCGCGGAGCTTGCTGTAGGCCATGAATTAGCGGACGGGGGGATCAAACAATGGGTCCAGTGATTGCTTGCTACTCTGTGTCTTCGCCTCACATAGCCTGAAATAAACAATGTACGGCCGACTGCTCGACGTACTGAATTGCTCGGACCGCCTTCCACTCAGTCGCTGCTCGTCATCTTCTCCACGCCTTTCACGACGCCTTGCACGCCGGCGTGCAGATAGCTCCCTCTAGCCGCATCCACTGCATCAGCGAACAACTTCTTCATCCCTGTGGCATCGGTCATACAACTGCACATATTGAAACCCTGATCTGCATAAGTCCGTGCTTGCTCGCCTGAGCCGCAGTAAATAGCGCTCCACTTTCCGGCTGCTTTCGCAGCTTCCCGGATCTTGGTGATAGCTTCTTTCAGCTCGGGATCGTAGTCTGAGCCGAGGACGGGATGGCCGATGCTGTTGCCTAGGTCGTACGGTCCGACGAGCAGGACGTCTATGCCGGGCACAGCGGCAATCTCATGGACTACGCTGAGCGCCGACTGTGTCTCGATCTGCAAGATGACTAACGTGGCGTCGTTGGCCTGCTGAAAGTACTGCATTTGACTGAGCCCTTGATCGAACTTCTCCATGCTGAACGGACTGCCTAGTCCTCTCGTGCCACGCGGCGGAAACTTCGAGTAACTCGCAATGTTCTTGGCGTCTTCCACGGTTCGCACCAGAGGCACCATGATTGCGTGTGCGCCAGCGTCGAGGGCGCGCTTGATCATCCAATGCTGTCCCTCTGGAACTCGGACGACTGGACTGACACCACAAGCAGCAATGGCGGCAACAGACTCGTGCATGGCAGCATCGTCCAGGTTGCCATGCTCGGTGTCAACGCACACCCAGTCTATGTTAGGGGTGCGTGCAATAGTGCGAGCAAGATTCGAACCGGGAAGCATCTGAGGGAGCATAGACTTAGTAAAGTTGGCTCTACAAGTGCCATAATGGAAGTGTGCTGACCTGCCATCCACCGAATGCTGTCTTGCCGCTTTTCAAAGCTTGCAGCAGTCGATTGGCAGACTGCATCATGCCACTGGTCGAGGACATCATGGTACAGTGAGGGGATCGAAAGCACACGATTCGCCTGCGAATGTCCTTGAACAGTTATTTTAACGACGATGCATGGAACGATGCTCTTTAAAGCAACCCCACCCCACCATAGCTCGGTATGCCTGCAGAAGGTCAAGAGAGGCTGGCATCAATCTGCTTTCTCGACCTCATCCATGACAGACTGTACCTCGGTCTCGTTAATGCGATGCATGAGCTTCCGAGCTTGCGCTGTTGTCTCGAAGTCTTCATTGCCGCCAGCCTTTCTATCAAAGTGCACCTGGCCTTGTCAGTCGCAGACCAACAACAAGCGCGCCCGAACAACGCTCGTACCACTGGCACATCGAACTCGTACAAGTCCTTCCATCTTTTGTGACGCATCACATCCATCTCACGATACTCAAAATGGCGCTTGTCCCATACTTTCGAGAGCACTTCTTTGGCGTCCACGCACAGCGAACAGTTTGGCCGCGAGAACAGTGTAACTCGCAGCGCGTGCTGCCAAAGGCGTTCTGTAGCTCGCATTGACTAATGTCTCAATTGCATGGACTGTCCCCTACCAAAGTACATCCGGCTCTGTATGCCACTAAGAAGAAGATGTGCTTAAACACAGAACAAGCAGATGAATATGGCACAGAACTTTCGGCTCCACTCACGGCCGGCCATACAGCGCATAAATTCGTCCTCCAAGTAAATTCTGCGATTTGCTTGAATTGTACTGTGCACATATTCTGAGGGGTTTGTGGTAGGCTTTGAAGCTGATATCAAGATGGCTGAAGAGGAAAGGCCAGCCAAGAGAACGAGATTGCTGTCTGATGATGAAGCCAGTTCGGAAGACGAGGGTGAAGGCGTTCTGTTGCCGCACGTCGCTGAAGGCTTAAAAATCAACGAAGAGTATGCGAAACGCTTTGAGCACAACAAGAAGCGCGAAGATAAGCATCGCTTAGAAGAGGTGTATGGTAAGGCGAGAAGACCCAATGGTGTTGATGGGGAGAACCGCGACGATTTTGGAGGCGAGGACGAATCGTCAACCGATGAGTCGGAAGATGACGAGGCGGATCTTGTTGATGCGGATGTGGATCGGGAAATCTCAGACACCTTGCAAGCGCTGAGGAGCAAGGATCCAAGGATTTACGACAAGGACTTCCACTTCTACAAAGAGTTCGAAGCAGAGGCGGCGGGCGGACAGGTCGGCGCGAAGAAGGAGAAACCGATGTATTTGCAAGATTACCACAGAGAGAACCTTATGGCTGGCCAGAACGGCGATGTGGACGCCGAGGAAGCAGCTGTGCCTCCACAAACGTTCCAGCAGGAACAAGATGCACTCAGAAGGGACCTTGTCGGCAAGATGCACGCTTCGGTGGCGCATGAGGATGATGAGGCTGAGGATGAGGACGACTTCCTGGTTGCTAAGCCAAAGCAAAAGCACAACAGTCTACCCTCTGCCACCGTTGCGCCGCGGAAGAAGATCACGGAAGAGGACATAGCGCTGGCGGACAAGGACCCCGAAACGTTCCTTTCGAACTTCATGGCTGCACAGGGTTGGCGGACAGCAGAAGGCTCGCGCTTCCAAGCCTTCGACTCCGATGACAGTGAGGATGAGCGCCGAGCTGAAGTCTTCGAAGAAGCCTACAATCTGCGCTTCGAAGACCCTGAGACAGCAAATGAGACGTTGAGGTCGTACGGCAGAGACGTAGGCAAATATGGCGTGCGGCGAGAAGACAAGACGGGACGTCAGAAGGCGAGAGAGCGAGAGAAGGAGAGGAAGGAAGCTGAGAAGCGTGAGCGGGAGGAGGACAAGGCGCGGTTGAGGAGGCTGAAGATTGAAGAGGCGGAGGAGAAGTTGAAGCGCATTAAGGATGCTGCTGGGCTTCGAGGGAAAGATGTTGACCTTTCGCAGTGGCGAGACATTCTTGAAGGGGACTTTAACGACGATGAGTGGGATCAGGAGATGCAGCGAAGGTTCGGCGACAATTACTACGAGGATCGGGATGCTGATGGCGTCGACTCTGATGCTGAAACAGCGGACGCTGCGAGTACGAGAGCTAAGCTAAAGAAGCCAAAGTGGACGGATGATATTGACATTAAAGATCTGGTGCCTGAATTTGAGAATGAGGATGTAAAGCCACAATTCTCAATTTCGGACGATGAGGATGGTGGGTACGACGACGAATTAGAAGGCGGTGCACCTCTACCTGTGGGCGGCGATGCCGATGAAGAGACTGCCGGGGATGTCCCGAAGAAAAAGCGCAAGACGAAGAAAGACCGCCAGCAAGACAAAGCCGAGGCCAAGCGCGCCGCACGCAAGGAACGCCTAGCTATCGAAGAGATGATAGACTCTGCGCTGCCGCTCTCAGCTGGAGCAACTCGCGAGAAGAAGGGACCCGCCGTTGGCTTCCGCTACCGCGCGACAAGTCCCACCTCCTTTGGCTTGTCGGCACGAGACATTCTCTTCGCGGAAGACAGCCAGCTGAACGAGTACGCCGGTCTCAAGAAGCTTCATGCGTTTCGTGACGCGGAAAAGAAGCGGCGAGATCGGAAGAAGATGTCGAAGAAGGCAAGGTTGAGGCAGTGGCGGAAGGAGACGTTTGGGAGGGAGGATGAGCCTGCTGGAGGGTTTGAGAGGGTTCTGGAACGGGCCCTAGGTGGACATGGCAATGGTGAAGCGCTTGAGCGGAAGAGGAAAGCAGATGACGGTGAGGGCGCTGGCAATGTCGTAGAGGGTGAGCGGAGGAAGAAGCGCAGGAGGGCGAAGAAGCTGGCAGCTAGTGATGAGGTGAAAGTCAGAGCTTAGTCGGCAAATGACTTGCCTTTAGCAACAATGTGCTGGCGACGCTACACTGTGTCTCGATTGAACGGAGTGCCCACGGTCACTTTCTGAGGCGATCTTGGTGGCTCATTACAGAAGCGCTCTCCACTCGAACTAGGTCTCGGAAGGCGAGGTGCACTGCTTTCGCTCAAGAGGGTAATGCTCTGCTACTGCGACCGTGCAACCTTTGTCGGGTTGGCTCCGAAACTTTGACATAGCACGCTAGGTATGCTGCAAACATGGGTCTACCGACCACCCGGCACGCAATACGCAGTGTCTTCTCGTGTTTTGACCCAATGTCGCGCCGTCACAGGTCACCCAGAGTGGACATGCATCAGCATCGTGCAAAGCGGAGGTGTGCGACACGCATCATTGTCATGTGTTCATGTAGTAGCCCTCACATGCCCTGACGGCGTCTAGCGTCGACCAGTTACAGTAAGCAGCATCTGACCGAGACAGGCAACTATCATCAACCCCACAGCATGTCAAGGTGATGCTGTGCGCCTGCTTACTGCCGTGGCAATGATTCGAGCTACAGCGTAAGCGTGCGGAATGAATGCGGACGTTGGACGGAATTCCCTATGGAGGATTTGACCGTCGATGAGTGGTCATATTAGTGATCCTGTGGTTTCGCAGGGCGTGATTGGAGTATATAGAAGCACAATGGCCCGTCCGCGCCATGAAACAATGCACATGAGACAGAGTATGTTTGCTGGTCAACATCGCGCAGCATTGGAACGTTACCGCTATTGCGACTCGCATTGACCGCACGACGTCGACGCAGCAGCATTGAAGCTATAGTCAGCTGTGAAGTATAACCTCATGGGCGCTGCCTTAACAGCAGTTGCCTCGTCATGGTTCGTTCGCGTACTTCCACTGTGCCAAAGGAAGACGGCTGTTGTGGAGCATCGCTGATTTGAACTGGACATCAGGAGAAGCGACCTCTGGACATGCTCTGGTCGAACGTGCGAAAGGTGGCAAACAGCGTGAAGCCTCACAGTACGCCATCTTTGAGCGATGATGAGTTACGACAACGCATCTTTGGTGAGTACGCAGAGCTGCGAGGCTTACAGTAAACCTGCTGAATGCTGCCTAGCGAACGCCGGTGTGCTGTTCCCGTCTCAGAATCAGAAAGATGCTTTCGACATCATCTACTGCTCCAAGCCACGACTGGCGGCGAAGGAGCCTCCGATTGAGCGGCCTCCTTGGCAATACGCGATGCTGGTTCGTAGACACCCATCTGGCGAGTATACGCCGTTGTTGAAGGGCGATGCTTGGTCGACGCCTAAGCCTTGGTCCTTGGTATTGCAAGGCTTGCTCGATGCGACAGCCGGCGCGCTTCACAAGTTGTTTGTGAACACGCCCTTACCAGCTCCCGGCACGGCGGAAGACTTGCCACGGTATGAAACCACTATTGGGGCGACTGCTCAATAGCTTGGAGCACATGTCCTTGATAGGTAAGACAGTTTGCCAAGAACGATCCTAGGATCTGTAGGCTGGGTACGCGGTGTTGGCGTGGACATATTTGCGCAAAGACCGCGGCAGAAGCCGGGTCGTAGCGTTGGATTAAGGACGGAGCAAACGGCACGCTCAGTACGGATTGCCGCCTGGTAATTTCGCCTTTGGAGGCGCAGCCAGAGATTCTTTGACACCCTTTTCGATATCAGCCTTGAGCTGCTCTTGTCGTTTCTCCTGTTCGAGCCTTCTCTGCGCAGCGCGCTCTTCGCTCTCGGATACCCCAAATGCGTAGTTCCCAGCTCCACCCCTACCGTGCTTCCTAGGGGGCTCGATATCAGACGGGCCAGCGCCGTACGATGGTGGACCATTGCCAGTACTGTCTCCAGTAGCCGGAGGCGCACTGGTGCCCTCGCCAAGGATATGCGAGCGATGAGCATCGTTAAAGTGGCCCGTTTCACTCAGGTCTCTTGGGCTATAATAATTGCCCATACCTCCTCTACCGGTGTGTGCATACTGTTGTTCACTCTTTTCCAGGTAATCTGTTGGTAATGGACCTTTCTGGTCAGATTCTGCGGCCTGTTGGTTCGCTTCCAGATCTGCGGAAGCTCGAGCGTTCTCCTGCTCGATACTGAGGATGTTACCGGCACCACCTCTCCCGTATGCTGGCATCTTGACTTGCGACCACTCACGCGGCTGTGGATCTAGGTGTAGATGGTCCCCAAAGAGAGTCATTGCACATATCTGCATGGTGGAGATCGGTGATTTAACCTCAGGCACTACAAGCCTCGTCTACCAAGCTTTCAATGTGCACGTACATGACAGTCAATCTCTGGGGTCGCCGTTTTGGCAGCGAGGCGAGCTAATACGGACAACGCAGTTATTGGCAGCAAGGAGCTGCACGCGATAGGATATGACTATTGTGCACGTCTACCTAATGTGACTGCAATAGCAGGTTGTGCCTGCACCTTTCGCCTTCGCTCTGAGCGGCAGCGTTCTTCGCAATGTTGATGATACTTCGCATGTACCAGTCCGCCAAACTGCAGATGTGGTTGTCGATGTTGTTGTGAGGGGTGCGATCAAGCACCTCCGAGGGCCGGGAAGGCGCTCTGGTCGCTTGTGTCGAAGGATCCGCGTCCGCGGCCACGATCGGAGGAGAACCTATCCCCACCGTCGAAGCCTCCACGTCCTCTGCCACGACCCTCGCCACGGAACTCGCCACGATACTCGCCACGCCCACGCCCGCGACCACGGTACTCCCGGTCGCCGCGGAACTCACGCTCACCACGGTCACCACGATCACCACCGCCACGGTCGAAACGCTCGCCACGGTCACCACGCTCGGCACGGTCTCCACGATCGCCGCGCCCTCCCCTGTCGCCTCTGGACCCGCCACCACGGCCTCTGCCACCGCGGCCGCGCTCCTGCTCGACCGGAGCGTAGTACTGGCCCTCGAGCACAAGGGTGTCTCGCTCCTTGGCCTCCTTTTGCTTCCTAGCCTTGGCAGCAGCACCGGACATGAAGTTCTCGTCGTCCTTGTTGCGCTGCAGTGCGGTACCCTCGGGGAACTTCTGCTTCGAGCCCTCGTTGGCCTTACGCATCTCAAGCGTGTTACCGCTCAACGCCAGACGCTTCTTGGCCTGCTCGGCAAGGTACTGGTCGTAGGACATGGTCTTGTCTTCTGGCTCGGCGGGCGCAGTGATTGCAGCATCACCACCCGCTTCCTCTGCAACTTCGGGTGCAGCAGCATTGTCTGGACCATTGCTGAAAGCTGGGTCGGCAGCAGCGGTATCTGGCGTGAAGCCTGGGTCGTCCTTGCTCTCCGCCTGAGCGATAGCCTCACCCGCGATCTCGTCATTCAGCTCGCCCTCGCCGGTTTCGGCACCCCACCCATGGGCGGCCTGCTTCTCGTGCTCGCCAACACCGGAGCGACTGTGACGGTCGTCACGAGCAGTGCGCGTGCCACCATAGTCACCGCGTCCACGTCCTCTGTAGTTGCCTCTTGATGAACGGCCACGGCCACCAATCTCGCGGTGCTGGCGTGGATCTAGCAATTGTCAGCAGGGGTTCAACTGGCGCGGTCTGAGGCATCCCCATACCCCGTAGACGGTCCGGGTGACGGTCTTGACGAAGACCGTCGTCACGCTGCTCAGCGCGGTTGTTTAGTGAGCCAGCTTAAAAGACTTGTCAGCACATTGTCTATTGTGGGCCAGCTACGAGCGGAGCCAGGCTCCTCTCACTGCTACGCACCGCCGTCAGCCCTTGTGAACTGCTCATGCCTGCCACCACGACCGCCTCCAGCGGGCCTCTCGATGTCTTCTGGTGGGCCTTCGGCGCCAGCATTGCGCTTGCCGCTGCGCTGAACTGGCTTGTCCACAGCCTGGGTCGGCGGCTCTGGCTCCCTGTCTGGGTCGAGCTCTGGGTCGTTGCCTTCATTTTCATCAGTACAATGTGCTCGATAAGCTCTGACTGCTCTTGCGCCATACCCAGAAGCTCGTAGAGGTTCTGTATCGCGAGTCAGTCAATGCGTGGATGTCGCGTGGTCTCATGACCATCACGAAGAATGAGTTCGCGTAGAGTAGGTCCGTACCTTGCTCGCGATTTGACTATCCATGACTACTATTGTGTCACGACGACGTTCGACCCATCTTCGATTCCCTCACTTGGATGTTTCTGAGTCACGAAACAAGGAGGTGAAGTGCAAGAATCAGTCGTTTGTTTCATGGTGCAGAAATGAGCTGTGCGGAAGCCGCCGCAAAGACTTGGCGTTCGCGGATCCAACGAGGCACAAGCAAGACGGATCATTCGATTTGGAACACAATATGCGACAGCTACTCGACAGTAGGCAAATGGGAACTTGCACAGTGAAGCTACAAGTCATAAACTATCAATAGCACATTGCTTAAGTAGCGCAACTCATGCTAAAGCGCCTCGCTAATCGCTAAACAATCTCACAGCTTTGGTATATGAACCCATAACGTTGAGCGGGTATGTTCTGTTTGGCCCATTCATTGCTTCACAGATCACGTCCTTCGTTCAACGGCCCGGTGGCTGCTGGCCGATCGTGCCATATGTGGTTGGGTAGTGCATGCTCGCACTCAAGCCGAACGGATCGGCGTCAAGCAAAGGGTCATGAGCATCTATCAACTGACCCATTACCATGCGTCCGCTAGCGAAGCCACTTGATTCGGGCTGACTTGTTGGCGCGATCCGTGATGATCCCGGATGCTGCTGCTGCTGCAGTTGCGTCATGTTGTGGAACTGTGCTTCATAGCCCGGCTGATAATACTCTTGACCTGAAGCAGCGTGCTGGTGCTGCATTTGTTGGTCGTATTGAGCCGGATACGTGCCGTGCAGTTGCGTCGGTGATGGATCGGAGGTAGGTTCGGGCTCGTGGTCGGCTTGGTCGAGCATCGGTTGCGCTTGTTCGGTATCGTACTCCTGTTCTGTACTCACGGAATGAATCTAGGACGAACAAAGTTCTATGGGGAAAAGGGGGTGGAGAGACTTGCCGAGCTGATCTATATGTTTCTGAAATGGGCTGGGATAGTACGCCGAAGCGGATGATGGCCCAGCGCTGGACAATGTTGTGGCAGCACCGGCGCTCATCGGCGGGTGCATGCTGTGTTGACTGGCCGAGGAGTGACTTGACATCACACTGGCGCTGCTCTGGTATTGCGACGGTGGCGGTGGACGCTGCGGCGCACGCTGTCTGTTTGACGGTACCTGTTGCTGTTGGGGCTGGTAGAACCCGGTACTAGGCGGCTGCTGCGACGAGCGGGCCTGCAAATGATGGAACTGCTGCGTTTGTCCCTGAGTGAGAACGGTAGACGTTGGTGGGGTAATCCCACCTTGATGATATGTTAGAGGTGACCGCGAGGTTAAGCTGGACGGCGATGGTGAATGGGATAAAGGCGTCGGGTGGCCTTGCGGAGAGGGCTGCGTGAAGGTTGTCTCTGCGTTGAGATGGCCTGGCGCAAGCTTGGGGAGGAAAGTCTGACCTCCCGATTTCCGAGCGTGCTGTCTCTGGACCGCTGTCCGTTGGAGAGGAGGCAGCGGCACTTGTGTTGGAGGCGGATTCGCACGTGGAGGCGCGAAGCCATGTTCCAGAATCGGGCTTCCCGTCTTCAGCTGGAGCTCGGCCTGCACATCGATGCCTAGGTACCGGATACTGTCAGCCAAGCATATTCTGGCACTGGTCGAAATTAAAGCTTTACCTTTCTCGAGCAGTATTCGCTCAAGCAAGGAGTTCTTATAGCGCAGCATCAGACATTCATCAGCAGCTGAGCGATGACTCTGCTGCAAAGTAGCGAGAGTATCCTCATTCTGCTTGATTGTAGCCTCAAGTTGCTTGATGTACTCGGTACGGCGTTCGCGGAAAGCAGCTTGTGCCTGTCTGTTCCGCTGTTTGCGCTCTTCAGATGTCGCATATATCTTCTCGGCCTTAGTACATCGACGAAGAGTTACCACGGTTGAAGACTGCACTTACAGGCTTCCGTCCTCCCTTTCGTTTCTGGGGTTGCGCGGTCGGCTCTAACGAAGCCGACAGCTCTGCATGCGTTTCATGCTCTGGCGTGGAATCGATTGAGCTCGGCGTTCCTTCATGCACTGCGTCAAGCTCGGTCTTGCTGGGAGCGGCTAAGTCTCCCTCCATGACCATGCTGTCACCCATCTGCAGGTACTCGGGCCAAAACGGCGGCACACAAGGCTGTTGCTGCAATAGATGCCGTGAAGCTGACGCTAGCCACGAGCCGTGGAAGCATGAACCGGTCTACCGACGCAACCCAGCCAGTCCTACAGACAATTGATAATACAGAAGAGTAAGTACGGCGCGGTGCCGCGAGGAGTCTTCCCAGAGTAGGTAAAAAGTAGCTAATGAAAACACGTCAGGGCGAAAGAGATCAATTAGAGCAGCAACGTGCGGTTATGCGGAGCCGCGAGACTGAGGTTGTTAGACTAATCGAGCGAGCTAAAACGGACAGCAGTAGAGACGGCGGTACATGTAACCCGCCAGAGCAGCGTGGTGACCAAGACGTGGGCCTACCAAGTTACATGTAGAAAAGTCTGCACCAAAGCAGTCCCGGATCCCTCCACTGCGCTGACGCAGGCACGGTGCGGTGAATGCCTGGGCGAGCATACAGGGCGGACCGCATTGCGTACTGCCTCGACCCTCTGGGAAGCATGTCCGTGTCCGACGCTCCCTGGTCATCTGTCAGCCCTGCATTCTTTTCACGGCGCGATTTGCAGCGTCTGAAGAATGTCACTGGATGGAAATGGAAGGTGCGAAGTACCGCCGGTGTATTCTCAATGCAACCTAAGAAGAGCGAGCAGTGGTCATTGCTCGTGGACGACAAGGATCAAGAAGATGATCGCTTGCGCTTGCTGTTGTAGGTTAGCAGAGAAGCACTGGAAGGGTTAGAGTAAGCGTTCGCGAAACGCTTCTCCTCGGAGCTCGGCGAATAACCACGTTGCTGGGAAGTACACAATCATATCAAATGGCTGGAGGACAGTCTTCTGAAAAATCACGATCTTGTCAGTATTGACGTCCGACCGTGCGAATGTGCACGCGCCTTTAGCATGTCTTGCACGCCGACAAGCCATCAGCCCGCGCATAGAGGCACGGTATGCATCAAGGATCGACATCGGGCGGCAGGCTATGCATCATACGAGCAATTTCGCGCCCGCAGCAGACTGTGACGGTCAAGGAGCGCTTAACAAATGTCCCGGTAGCTGAAACTAGGGCAATTCTGTTGTTCTCGAAGCATTGTGATAGAGGGCCAGTCCCAACTTCTGTCGCTTGACTTTACGGTACTCCAAGGCTCAATAGAACACCTTTCTTCTTTGGAGCTAGGCGGGTATGCCTCATGAAGGTAGAGACACCGTGTCTCCAAGCACACTAACCTCAGAGACTGCTGCATATATTCCTAGTTTTCCTCCGGGCTTCGAATCGTTCGATTTGAAAACCACTTGGATTAGCGACGCACGAGCCAATCTGATCAGTTTACAGCATGGTGCTAATACGATGCCTTGCGGAAGACGCCCATTGTTATCTAGGATATGCTCAAGTTAATGGCAACTAGTGACACGCTGGACGTACCTTGTTCAAAGATCTGCCGCGAGCTGCGCTTACCCTCCTGTTGCATTCATGTCTTCCTGCTGCGGTGTCCATACTTCTGAGCCATGCCTCTTGCAATTCACACTCCGCTCATCGTTCGTTGGCCCTTCCTCTCCGGTTTCGCACAGCCTCGTTTCATATCGCTTGATTTCTTTGCATAGATACAGTGTTGTACAATGACTCCGCCAAGCAAGCCGTCAATCAGGATGCGCAGATGGCGACCCGATCGCATGGTTACGAGATTTCGAGACCTCATCCGATCCTTGACCCGGCACAAGCAAAAGTGATTGATCACAGATTGCCGCATCAGGCCGCACCATCGATCAGCGAACTACCGCCATCCAACCCAGCATGGCCGCTACCAGGATTGCGACCGCTGTCCGACATACGAGAGATAACCGAGCCAAGCTTGATGGACATGACCGTCCGGCAACAAAACGCACAGTTGGCGACGCGGCGGAGCACCTCGCGTGTACGCTCCGTTGGACGCCAGCCATCTGTGAAGCGTGAGGGTATGGCGAAACGTAGCCGGTCACTACGGTCTAAAAGCTCGCTCAGACAGCACGACCCTGCGAAAGCGTCAGATAACCCAGCGTTCCGAACCAATGCGACATCGAACCCGTACGAAGCTCGAACGCCATCAGCTTCCTCCACAAGCCCGGAGCAGTCGGTGCGCAATATCATCCCTCAGTCGAGCGTGCCGCGCCGCTCTTCGTCCTTCGGACAGTCTCAGCCACAAGACAGAGGCCATGCTCGACAACCTTCGATGCACGATGTGCGACAGCTTTTGCGGCCTGCGCCGTCAGCGACAGCTCTGACCATACCAAATCGAGGGCGGAGCGATTCACCAGTGAAAGTTGCAGGATTGCATTTGGATTCTGTAACGTCAGAAGTGGTAAGAAGCTTGCCTTCACGGACCCATATTCGGGTACCGCACCCTATTGACTTGTTAGAGTCTCCGACATTCAGGCATCCGCGCATAAAGCTCGAGCTGCAGGTTTCGGGTCCAATCTTCGTCGGTGGTGGTACCTTGGAAGGCTTCGTCCGTATAACCGTAGATGAGAACGAGCGCCTGAAGCCGCGCAGAACGCTCGGCGTTGGCTCGTTGTCAGTTGACCTGCTTGGATACGAGGCTTCGGGAAACCGCAGAGCGACTTTTGTCGCACTCGGCACCGAGCTCATTGACTCCAAACACGGTCCCCCTCCGAATACGGTCGAGCCGGCAAATCCACTCATGCCTTCAGACAAGTTCTGGACTTTACTGCCTTCTGCCTCGTCCCTACCGTTTCTCATTAGCCTACCGATAGATACCGGCCCAGCTCCTTTCCAGTCAAAACACGCAAGCATTGGGTTTCAACTGTCCACTACCGCCGTGATACGAGATGCTGGCACCCACTACCGCGTCCGTACATCGCAGGAGGTGCAAGTATTGCCAACGCACGATCCGGAGAAGACGCTCGCATCTCTGCCGAGCCCGCTAATGACTGCAGACACTCTGACGTGGCAAAGGGCTGGTAGGTGTGAGACTGTCAAGGCCACTGCGGGCTTGCATAGACAGGTTTGGGTGAGTGGGAGCAGCATCTTTGTGGATGTATTCGTCGCGAACAGAAGTACGAAACACATCAGAAGGATAGATCTCAATCTTGAGCGCGACGTGCTCTGCTACAAGCACGCCGCGGCCGCAACCAGGGAGAAGTCCGCCTTGCGTGCACGGGTGTCCGACAAACCGCATCAGACAATGATCGCGACAACATCATTACAAGCAAGCACTAGCGGTTGGCATGGGCTGGATCCTCACAGCATGGAGACGCGCACTTACAATCTTGACATACCACGAGGCCATGCCACAGTGAAGCCCGGCAAATTCTTCGAGGTGTGCTTCTTCCTGAACATCTCGATCGTGATTTCGAGCAGCAAGACTTTGACACTGCAGCTCCCTATCAAGCTTGTGCACATGAACTCTCTGGACGTGGTCCCGAACTTTGTCGCGCAAGTAGCGGCTGCGTTTGAGCAACAGCAGGCTCACACGCAGCGGCGGCAGCGGAGCAATGATCTTCGGTCTTGCAACGCTGACCATCGAAGACATCGCCCTATCTCGTCTCCGGCCCATGATAAAGACCTCCGCCGTCAGCGATCTTACACCCAAGGACGAGCTTTCGCAGCTCCAAGGCAGCAATCTGTTGATCGGCACCGCGCACACCAAGCTGACATCGAAGTTCTGCGGCACGTTTTAGACACCTCACCGCGCAAACATACGGCACAGCTGCAAGGCTTCACGCTCAAAAAGGCGGGTAGCAACTTCAGCTTTGGCAATGTTAGCGCTGGTGGAAGGAGTACAGATCACAGCAGCCCCTTTCGCGCTGTATCGTTTCATCCGCCTTCGCCCAAATACACGCTCCCGGATGTCCATGATGGGGCCGCAGAGGGCGTCGGCAGTATTCGGGCACGCATGCGGAAGATGGCAAGCTTCAGTACCCTACAGAGCGAGCGCTCGCAAACAAGGATCGGCATGAAGCCACCATCTCGGCCGTCGACGGCTGCAAGCTCCCGTGAAAGGAAAGGCCGTGGCAGGTTCGAGTCCAGAGCCGTGGCGACCAAACGAAGTGATAGTGCTGTAGGGCGCGGAGGCTCTTGGTGGCTGCGCATGAGGCACAAGTTAGAGGACAGAGAGGGATGGATCTAATGGGAGGGTGGTAATATGGCAGTGTTTGAGTGATGGCACGTGAAGCTTAGCTAAACGACGCCTTGCTGTGTCCCAAGCAACGAACTATCCAATACCATTAACGTGCTGAAACACACTTCGCCGGTGACTGAGATACGCTAGGTCTCCATGTCGCTTTCCATGCATACATCGTCATGACATAATAGTGTACGGCAGGTTTGCACAAATGCTCGTATACCCCAGTGATCATCACGAGGAAGAGGTCGTGTAGGCCGTGCGCCAGGCCGGGGCACCAGACTTGATCAATCGTAGCGCACAGATTTGTAGATATATCGAGGAGATCTAGTATTCGATTAGGCAAACGAGGCGCATTTGACTTACGGGTGGTGACACGCCAATGCGGCAGGCTCTATTGGAACTAGCCCGTATCCCTAGCGATCACCAACACTATGGGGAAGCGCGTGAGCGTTGATGTCGGTAAGTTCCACGATGTCCAAAAGGCGAAGCGGAGCATGCTGTGGTGGATGGTCGTTTTGTCGCAGGCAGTGAAGGTTACTTGAATTGCACCTCATCTCATACACTTTGCGGCGACAAATGAAGTGTCACTACAAACGCTTCGAGGGTGCGAGAGAGCGACGCTGATGAACAAGCGAAATTGGACTCCGTGCGCTAACGGTGGTGACTCGGCAAGCGTAGCCGGGTGAGGGAGCGTGCAGACGAACGGTTTCAACCTTCTCACGGCCTACTTGCAACTCTGTTTCTGCTCTCAGCCGCGTTGACGACAACGACGTGCTGGCTCCTCGACACTCTCTTGTGCTGTTTCTCGTTCCCGCATCTGCATGATAGGAGAGGGCACATCGACCGGATTACTATTGCTGGCAACGGTGGACGACGCTCGGGAAGCAAGCTTCGGTACCTACAGTAAACCTTCAGCCCCTGCGCCGAAGGCCCAGCTCGAAGTCCTCCACCTTCTCCAACGTCGGTCGCTTCGGTCAGACCTTTCGCCGCCGCACACTGCACACTCCTGCATATCAGCACCTCCTGATTCACTGGCATATTCCCAAATTGACACACGTAGCTGTTGACCCAGTGCTCTGCGCCGAGCAGAGGTTGGCTGGTCCTATCTCGATTATTTAGTTGGCCTCTGGTCCAACGTCCGCTCGTTACGTCTCCGAACGAATTCAGGGAGTCTCTTCCGGTTGGCGTATAAAGAATTCGTAGGAAGAAATTCACTGGTTTGATCAGGTCCGCAAGATTTGGAACCACGACGTCCTTCTGGTAAAGCGGAGACGTCGAGCGTGGGAAGGGACGACTGCGCAGCGCAGCGGTGTTACTGCGACGGTGAGCAACGGGCAAGCGGGCTCTGTCAATGAGAGCGAGGATGGGGCCAGCCCACAAGCGCCGGCGATTGTCATATTCGACATCGCGGAATATCTCCACTACGCAATCCAAGGACGCAGAACTGGCGCCTTATCCGACCTTCTCCCATCGCATTGACAACCTACCTCTCAACAACGACACCACGAGCGTCCACCAGGTTCCACAGAGCATCGAAGAGCTCCACCTACAGATACAGCAGCAAGCTGTGTCCGCGGCGGACAGCTATCACAACCTTCAACGCCGACAAGGCACAGGAGTATCTCCACAGCCTGTGTCGACTGTAACTGTTCTGGCTGTCACCGGCAATGTTGGCAGCACAACCAGTCTTACTACAGCAAACAGCTTGAGCGCTGCCGATGTCTCATCGTCTGCATCCGTTGCGACCACAAGTTCACTAAGCAGTGCAACGCCATCCTCCTCGACATTCACCCCGGGCGTATCGAGTACAGTACCGTCACCGGCGCTAGCTACGTCGACGGTCTCCTCTAGCGCGCTACTAACATCTTCGTCCCCATCCGTAACTACGACGACGATATCCACCGGCGCGCTGCCAACCTCCACGTCGCCGTCGCTGGCCACAACGACGATTCTAACTAGCGCGCTGCCGACCTCTACTTCCCTGTCGCTAACCACACCGACGATCTCCACGAGCTCGCTACTAAGTTCCGCCTTGCCGTCACTGACTACGACAACTATTGCCACCAGCGCGCTATCAGGATCCACGTCTTCCAGCCCCAGCGCAACGAATGTTTCAACACCTTCCACCGCATCCACTTCGGTCGCTTCTAGCGCCGATGGTGCAACGAGTGTGGTGACATCCGGTACTGCGTCGGCTTCTGGTGCGTCCGGCACCTCCAGCGCAAGTTCCACAGACTCTTCAGCTTCATTCGCTAGCCCGTCTTTACAGGGGTCTGCAACTACCACTTCTGCTCCATCTGCAACTACTACTGCTGCTTCATTTACATCCGGACAGAACACCCCAGGGTTCACTGCTACCTCACTTGTTGCTGCCGGCACAACGGTAGTCTCTTCCGGAGCTAGCGCTAATGGCACGGTGACTGAAGCTGCCACTTCCGTCACCGATACTCCGAGCGTGTCGGGAGACGGAACGCTCACAACTTTAGGTAAGAGAAGTTAACAACTAGGATGTAGCACTTCGCTGACGTTCGATCAGCAGAAGTATTGGTTGCCAGTACCGGTAACACCACGGTCAAGACAACATTCACTCTTTACAATAATCTTGCTGTGTCAACTGCACTCACTTCGAGCTCAGCTTCAGCCTCAAACTCCGACCCGTCATCGGCATCAGCAGCGGCATCAAGCTCGGGGGCAGCATCAGTGTCGGCGTCGGCATCTTCGTCATTGACATCGACACCTTCATCATCCACGGATGTACCTTTCTTCTTCACTACGACACTCGCCGATGGCAGTGTTGAGACAATAACACCATCTGACAGCGCATATGTGACTACCTTCACGGACGGCCTCGTTTCAACCATCTCAGCTTACTCTAGAGCGCCTCAAACAACCACTGACAGTAATGGCGTGGAATCAATATTTTATTCCACCGTGTACCCGACGGCGATGGGTGGGAACGGTGGTCAGAGCACTGTGACTTCGTATGCGACAGTGGCTGGCGCCGGTCAACAGCCGACTTCTCACGGCACTGCAACTTCATCTTCATCCAGTAGCACGAGTAGCGCCGGTTTGATGGGCGGCAACGGCAACGACAACCAGAACACACCTCCTGCAGGTACTATTGCGGGAGGCGTGGTTGGTGGCGCAGCAGGTCTGGCGATGGTCCTTCTCATTGCTATGCTGTTCCTTCGGTGGTATAGGCGAAAATCGCAACGAGGCCAGACGGCGCTACCAGCTGGTGCAGACTTCTCTTCCGACTTTGGTCACGGAAGGTCAAGAGGGCCAGGCATGGCTGAGCGGGCAGGGCTGATGCCTGCCCTAGGCGCCGTGCCTGCGCTTTTCCGACATCAGAATCGCAATTCTGCAGTGTCATCAGAGCCTACCGAACGTGGCTTTCAGCGCGTCTCCGGACGCAAGCTCCCCTCTTCGTTCAGCCCTGGCATGACTGCAGCCGAAGGTGCTGGCGGCGCAGCGGCTGCCATGCCCTTGGCTGAGCACGAGCGAAATCTTAGCGGCAACTCCTATTTCCACAATAGTGGCGGCTCCCTCGGCGCAGCAGCAGGGGGAGCCGGACCCTTCTCGGACGCGGCTGCGATTCACGACAATGATCGCGACGAGCAAATGACGTTGTCGCCAGGCCCGCAGCGCAGGCCTACAGTACACGCGGGTGGGCCGTATAATATGTCGTCGCCACCTACTACTGCCTCGTCGACACTGGCACCGGCTACAACGCCGAAGAGTCCACGCATGGACAGGCCCACTTCACCGCAAGGGACGGTGGGTACGTCAGCAACATTTGATCGAAGCGAGACGCCGTCTTCGCTCGATTGGAATAGAGGAAGTAAATTCACGGAGGAGGTGTAGAGGAAGTAAATTCACGAAGGAGGTGTAGACGAAGTTCCTTCTAAAAAACTCGTCAAGGGACCGGGACCGGACTTTCCTTCTACAGCATAGCGCTTGCATGGCGAGGGTGTTGTTCCTCGTTCTGTAGTTACACGCGACAACAATCGCGCAGACATTACGTTCATATGTCGTCTCTATGTAAAGGATGCCGTGGGACTGGTAGTATCGAAAGCGTGTCTCCGGTACGGTCTTTTCGATGCATCTGTGCTTCGCCTTTCACCGTCCAATCCTTGCTCACGTCTATTGTCTGTCCACAAGTACGCATCCTGGCAGCAGGTGCCGGTAAGTCTCTGCAGCATCAACGTTCTAGCGTGCGATGCATTGCCGGTTTACCATTTCAGCATGCCTTCATATCATGCTGCCCACCATGTCTCCATGTCGTCGACGCCGACCGCTATGCACTGAACGCTTGACTAAAGTCTCTACACCGTGCTCCGCCTGCAAATACATTATCGAACGTGAGACCGCACAATCAGTCGCTCTCACTACCAGGACCGTTTGGCCGATCATCGTCATCCTCGACTACAGCATCGTTGCCCGCCATGATGGTCATCTCTGCCTTCTGTAACGACGTCCGTAGGTCCTTGTTGCGCGGGTCCACGAGGTCAACGGGGCGTAGCTTAGCTTTGTTCCGTAGCCTACAACATCTATAATCAGCACTCCCTCGCCCAGCACTTCTGTCAGTTCACGGCTTACCGCGGATCACACCCAGCGTCTACCAGAATGTCCACCACCGCCTGACCATGCTGCCACTCATGCTTGCTCAGCTCGCTGCAATATCTGACCGCCTTGTGCAAGCACGTGTCGCCTTCTCTCCGTTCCTGAGTGTCAATCTCGACGCCTTCTTGATCAAGGATCATGTCTAGCACCTCATAGCTGCCGTACTGCGCCGCCACGTGGAGTGCACCTGAACCCAATGCGTCGGTGGTTGTGTTGAGGAAGTTGGCTATGGCTTGTGGGTTGCTGGAGAGTGGTGGGGAGGATAATAAGGTAGAGAGGAGCTCGGTGTTGTTGCGCCGACACGATTCCATGAGTTGCTCGCGTGGTGAGGCACCTTCGTCGTCTGCCATGGTTCGTCGCCTGAACCGGTGTTGTCTTTGACTGCGAGTGAAAGTGGAATGCTCAATCGGTATGCCGTCTCTTAGGAACACGGTCTTATATGATGCCTAAGGTGTCAAGCCTTCGCCGTGCTGTCAGGTGATGGCCGGTGGTGAGGTGAACAGTCTTATAGCGATCAGTAGGAGGGTGTTGAGCAGAGCGAATTAGTGGAATTGGTTGGCTTCTGCCTCGAAATGTCGCTACCGCTGCTCGTTTCCAGGCAACACCCAGAGGTGGGAAGTGAAACACGGCTTGCCGATCAAACACACATGCTGCACCGGCCAAGCCACAGCCGTGACGCCACGGGCACGCACAAGAAGCGCTCGGCCTTTGCGTGCCTTCTGCATCCGGGTATTGCCTCGAGCAACTTTCTTCCCAGCAAACAGTGCGAGCGAACAGTGCGAGCAACTTTGTCGCTCTTACAGTCAACATGCTCCTATGTAAGTAACACCATGTTCTCTATTTCTCTACATAATCTCCCTTCTCACACATTCCCCTCCCAGTCTGCCCCTCATGCAGCAACATGCTCACCATAACCACCATCCCGGCTTCCCACTGCGCGCCGACCAACATCGACGAAGCGAACAAAAACCGCTTCGAATGCCGCACATGCCCGTACCAAATGATCCTGGACCGCAAGTACTTCGAGCGCAAGACTATGGACCTCAAGGCCCCCGAAGCCGTGCTTGGTGGCGCGGAGAGCTGGAAGAACGTCGATAAGACGGAGGGTACGATTGCATTTCCCTCAGCGATATTCATATGTACAAGATCTGTTTAGCTGACATCTTTGCGCTCGTGGCTTGCAGTGCGCTGTAAGAACGAAACCTGCGACTCCCTGCAAGCCTACTTCAGACAAGTGCAGATTCGTAGTGCCGACGAGCCCATGACGAACTTTTACAAGTGCGTCAAGTGCGGCGCGGACTGGAGGGAGAATTGATTGTTGACCAGAGCATTGTGTGGTGGGTTTCCGAGGGCGCTTGAGACGGGGCATGTGGACTTTGGATGCGACAGCTAAGATACCCCAAGCATGGGAAGGAGTCCGGCTTCCTTGTAGAATCTAGTACTTCCTATACCTAGTGTTTGCTTTCCTTGTCGTCTATAGGACTGCCGAGCGAGGGATGGTTCTCTATGCTGACCGTATGTTCCGAGCTTCGAGAGGGAGGGCCGAATTGTACCCAGATCATCACCTTCCCCACCTGACTCGATGTTTCCTGCATTGTTCACACATTCTTTCCACGCTGTACCAATCTCCAACCTCCCACACCCCACATTACGCCTCAATTCCGCCACGACAATGCCTCAATAATTCCGTCCTTTCGCCAGTATATGCGCACATACACAAGCTGAAACAAACACATGCATCAACATTCAAGTGTCTCTTCTCTCCGGCCTAGCCCTGCGGCCACCCTTCAGACTTCTCATGCGACTAAGGAAGCCTCCTCCACCGCTCGACCTCTCCTCCTCATCGCTCCCCTTTCGCACGCCAGCCGCAGCCGAATCGGTAGTCACGCTCCTAACGAGACCATAACCAACCTTCGGGCTACTTGGCGCCCTCGCCCTGCCTCCGGGCGTCGTGACTACCGCCGAGGCCTCCTGTTCCGCCACTTTGATCTGCGCCCCCTTCTTGTCGAAAGCATCATCGTACGCGGTGTCAAAAGGGTTGATCTCGTTTTCCTTTGTATATCTGGCTCGCATCGGTCCACCGGCAGAGACTGCCTTGCTGCCCGGTTGGGGTGGACTGTAGTCAAATGGATCATTGTCGTTGTACCGCGCATCTGGGCTTCTAAGGCCGTTGGGACCACCACGGCGTGAGCTGGACATGCCTCGAATACGTTGCGCGAGGGACCTCTTCCGGGTGAGTGCGCCGCCTTGTGGCTGTGGTGCAGCTTCTGGCATGATAGGATCGTCATACTCTCGCTGTTGCAGCGCGGCTTTGCTGGCTGGTGCGCCCTCCAGGAAAGTAGATGTTCCGAGCCCGGTCGTTTCAATGCCATGGACTTGTTCGGTGCGGTCCGTAGGGTTAATGATGGCGGTATCGGTCTTGCGCGTGACGGCGTAGTCTTGGAAACCTTCTTCGCCGCGTCCGTAGTACTTGTCAAGATCAAGGCGAGAGCGCACTGGTCCCGAGCCACCCAGCATCATGTTCATGGAACCCTCCGGGAAGGCTTGCATCGGCGCCCGTCGATCTTTCCTCGCGTTCCGGTGCGGGTTGCAGGCGTCGAATGGACCATCGTGGTGGAAGACTGCACTTGTCAGTAGGAGAGCGCAACAGCGGAGTTGCGTTTGACTCACGTCCTTGTCCGTAGATGCCAGTGACGTCTAGCTTGTCGATGATGTCCAAGCCTTGAGGCCGCTTGGCAGGACGCTCGCCCTTGCGAATCTTCTCCTTCTCCTTCTTGTGCCGCTCCTCGCGCTCGCGCCGCCTCTCGCGCCGCCTGCGCTCTTCAGATTCTGTCCTTTCCGACCGTTCACCACGCTCACGTTCCAAGCGCTTGCGCAGCTCCTTGTCATCCATCACCGAAGACTCAGACATGCCTCGTGGTCGCAAATCGTGCTGTTTTTTGACCGGGCTGTCTGGTGCCTTGAATGGCCGCAACGGACGGTCCCGGCGTTCTTCGGAACCTGATGGTCGGTGACCGGGTGTCGGGAGTGTGCCTGCACGCGCTGGCGCGCCGTTTTGGACTACTCGAGTACCTTTGGCAGGATTGTTAGCGCCGTAACTTCGCCTCTGACGCGCCAATCATCGCACTCACCGTTGCTGGCCGGCTTGTCGAGTAGAGACAGGTCCTTCTGCAGTCGCGGGTAATTAGCGAAGCTCTCACAAAAGACTACGAAGCGCTCCATTCTCGTGATGCAGTTGGTGAGCATGCAGTGCATGCAAGGGTGAAGCGGTGATAAGCCAATGGGTGAGCAATCAGTCAGGGGCGAGCGTCACGGAGTCGCGCTGTAATGTAGCACAAATTATGCTGGCTGTATCACGTGAAACTTACGAAGATGTCTTCCGCAAAGGGATTGCCATTGCTCTTGCCCTTGCTTGTGCCATTCTCGCGTGGAGGCGACATAGCGATATCGCTCGGGTCCAAGAAAGGATTGGTCGCTGTTCGTGATGGTTGCGAGACGGATGGCGGGGCCGTATCCGCAGGTGTTGTTGACATGCTCGGCGGCGCTGGCGAAGTTGCTCGGTTGCGGAATGGGTTGTTCGATGCAAGAGGCATTGGAGGACTCTTGCGCTCTACCATTTCGCGCCGGAAGTGTTAGCGAGACGTCATGCATGTCCACGATGGAACAGGAGGGTTGGGAAGATGAGCAGGGGTGCCATACCAGCCCCTGCCACTGCCATCATCGCCAAGTGTGCTCGTATTCGGGCACTAGATTGCAACCCTTCCGTGCAAATCTACGTGCGCTCACAGACAGCGCGGTCGCTCGTTAGGCGTCCGATAGGTAAGTGATCAAGGTGTGAATATGGGAGAAGTCCAGGTGCGGAGAGCCTCAAAGTGAACCTAGCAATGCGGATGCGGAATGCTGGCCCAGTTCCGCGTTTGTTGCGTTATGTTTCTGCCCGTGTTAATGGACTGCCGATGGAAAACCTGCTTTCTTGCGTAGATGCTGGTCTGGACCGAATAGATCCCGTGACGTAGGGCCTCCAGATGGAGACACGTTCACGGAATGGTTGATTTGGATAGTAACAGTACTACTGCTGGAAAGTGCGGAGAGAAGAGGTAGAAGCGACAAGGAGACAGGCACAGTCAGCGGGAATTGTTTGTGTACCACGAGACCCGGAGAGGCACAGATTGCCTTTCGCGCAGCATCGCACGCGCCAACCGTTATTCTTCTGCTCATCGCGTGAACCTTGCTCATCGTCAATTCAAACCTACGTCTACAGTCACTAGTATCGGCCCACAACGCCATGCTGGCACCATCGAACGCCACTCTAACCGTCTCCAAAAGTCGCTACAAGGGCGAATATAACCAGTAGGACCTATAAACCCCTGCCGAATCACCATCTCACCATCCTTTTCATTGGCCGCTCAATGAAACCCATAAACACACTCTAAGGGTCCATAAACCGAACCGCAACCGCGCCCGCGCTTCCTCCACAAAAGGAAACCGAGGAGCCGAGCGAACCTTCACTACAGCACCCTACCGAGCTAGCGCCTCTTTCCTTTGTGCGGAGAAAGGTCGCGACTACACGCAGTTACCGCCGCATTGAAACGAATCATGCGTCTTTCCGCCGTCAGAGGCGTGTAGGCAGCATCAGTATCGGGGCCTTGGCCGTTTGTGCAGACCGTGCCGAGTGTGGCGGAGTCTGGAAGCTGTAGCATTCAACATCACCTGGTGCTAGAAGTCGATCAGTTGACCACGCGTCGGTTAGATGCCAAGCAAGCATGGCAGACCACGAGCGCAATGGTCCCAACGGGCGGGATCCAGAGTTTTATGCGGGCTACAGCAGGTTCACCATTGAGCTGGAGGTGAGACCAATCTTCATTGAAAGCAGAATCGTGCTAAAGTCAATATTGCAGTTCGTGCAATCACTCTCCAACCCACTATGTTCGTGAATTGATTGTCCTCGGATCATAAAGTCATCGCCCGCTAACGTGTCAACCCGAGATAGACCTCCAACATCTAGCCATGCTGAAGTACTTCGATGACGCAGCCTTTGTGGCTTACCTTGACTATCTCCAGTACTGGCAGCAACCCCAGTATTTGCGTTACTTATCGTGTGCCTACCGTCACACCACGCCCAGGAGCTTCTGCTAACAGGTTGGAAGATATCCTGGACCAACCTTGCGAGCGCTCGAGCTGCTTCAACAAGAGCAGTTCCGCAGGGATATTATCAGCCCAGCGGTCGTCAATGCGATGGTCAACGAAGGTTTTGAAGCTGCCACAGCCGGGTTGACAAAGTGAGCGTAAGAAGTGTCACCTGCAGCGTACATGTGACTGGATGCTTAGGAGGCCTTAAGGATCAACCCACTGGAGCAGCACTGCAGTCAAGCCTTGACGCGTTAGTCAGGCCAAACGCGGCATGCTACTGACTGTCGCAGTTTACACATGCTTGCCGTGAAATGGGCGGAGTGCGGGTGAATCTCTCTCGACTAACCTCATGGCAGCAGTTTCTGCACTCTGCTGTACGCAGCGTTGACTGGTGACCAGGCTCAAACAACATACCGGGCGCTTGGCACGGAGTGGTTCATGCAGGCAAGCACGTACATCTGCCCGTGGTCAGGCTACGTCTGTTACAGTGACGTGCCCAGGATCACAGCGATGGAGCGGAGGTCACAATTATTGTCATGGCGAAGTCGAAAGCTGAGCAAGAGAGCCGACGTTGGGGAGGCAAGAATTTAACTTATACCTGAACGCTCCAGCTGTGGTACCATAGCAAAATATCACAAGCATCATGCTGCAAGTGGCACCGACCTCTTCTTGAACACCGTATTAAAGTCAAGCTGTCGCACAAACCACCCATTATGCGTCTTCCACTCCGCATCCGGCTTCTCAAGCTGCACCTCAAAATTCCGCAAGAAGGTCGGCACAAGCTTGTAGATCTCCAGCAGCGAAATGTTCTTGCCAATACACGTCCTCGCGCCCGCACCGAACTGGAACATCGTCGCCTTCATCTCCCGCAGCTGATCCGGCTTCGCTTCAAGCCAACGTTCTGGTCGGAAGGTATCGACATCGCTGCCAAAGATTTCTGGACGGCGGTGCAGCACCCAAGCATTGCAGCCTACGATCGTCCCGCCAGGAATGCGTTCGCCGAGGATGTCGATGCCCTGGGGTGGGACCACGCGCTCAAGGATCAAGCCAGCGGCGGGATGCACGCGGAAGCTCTCCTGGATGACTGCATCGAGATAAGGCAGCTTCTGCGCCTCCGTCCAGGACACTTTCTCATGGTCGCGCTCGCCGATACTGCCATTCTGTGCGGCCTCATCCAACTCCGCCATCAGTTTCTTGTAGACGCGTGGGTGTTTTGCGAGATGGTAAAAGACGCTGCTCAAGCTGATGGCAGTCGTCTCGGAGCCCGCAAAGATCATGCTCGTGCAGGAAGAAAGCACTTGCCTGTCCGTCATGAAGTCGGGGTGATCATGCTGGGCTTGGGTGAACTTCATGAGCAAGTCTACGCCACGACCTGCCCTCTCGTCCATCGAGCCGTTCTGCTTGATCTTCTCCATCTCTGCTGCTCGGTCGGCTGATTGTGCAAGGGCGAATTTGGTGACGGGGAAGACGGTTTTGTTAATACCCCATTTCTGCAGCTGTAGAGAGATTGGGTTCTTCTGCATAAGGAGGTCAAGGAAGGGCATCTGTCCAATCGGTCCAGCGTAGCTGAGGAAGTCGCCAACGAATCTATAGACGGTCAGTAAGCGTCAACATTGCCACTTGCAGGTTTGGCTCACTTGACGATGCCATCAACATCCTCATCCCGGTCAACAAAGCCCAGTCGCTTACTCCACGTCAAGTCGCCAATCACATCGAAAGCAAAGAACTGCAGCCATCGGGAGAAGTTGCAGGTCCGTCCAGTGCTACTGTACTTCTGCTCTGTTTGCTGAATGAATGCATCCATGGTAGAGTCGACAAGCGGTTCATAGCCCACAAGCGAAGACATGGCGAAGGCATTGTTCACACACCGCCGATACTTTGCGTGATACTCTTCGTCTTTGGTACTGAACAGTGATGGTAGCCGCTGGCCCTTGGCCACCGCTTGTTGCACGGGATAGAAGTCGGACTTCGTCATGCCCTTGTTCAAGCCATAGATGGTCTTGATCGCTCGCGGATCCGCGAAGGAGAGAACATTCGGTCCTAAACGGACAATATCTCCATGCTTCCGGTGAAGTTCGATGTGAGTCCTCTCTGCTTTGCGATTCAGGGCATCGAAGAACCGCCACCAGTTGGTATACGCTGCTGCAGGGTGGCCGGGGTATTTGTTCAGACCGTTGTTGTACTTATTCCGAAGGAGATGAACGAGAAGGGATGCAGCTAGTAGCAACGGCCAGTAGATACGTAGCGCAGCGAGGACCTCGGTGAGAAGCATCTTAATCGAAGACTGGCGAGCGATAACAACAGCGAGAAAGAAGCGACGAGCGAAGGTGTAGACCGGAGCGCCGAGCTTACCTTTTTATCGTGATCAGTCAATCAAACGCGAAATGCCGACGGAGCTAACTCGTGATAAGTGCTTTACGGAACTCAAGTCATACGTCTAGAGCAGACTGCAGATGCGGCAGTTGGAATGCCACTTCCAACAGTGACTTGCCAGGCCCAGGCTACGAGGTGGCTTGCATCTGCACAACGCCGAATCTTGTGCTGCTGCCGAGTTATGAACATGCGGCGGCTGGTGGTGCCGTCGTCGATCGACTTGAATTGGTCACGTTCCAATACTCGTCGCAGTTATCTCGTATGAATGAAGTGCCGAAGGCGACGGGGCGAAGATGAGCTCGAAGGTTCACCCCCACAGCTCCCCACAAACCCATAGTCTCATAGACCGCGGCGTTTTCGGCAATTCAAACTGGTGACTGCCGTGAACTATCTCACGTGACCATTGTTGAAGTTCAGGTTAGGGTTGGAAGTTTTCGAAATGTCCGTCATGACAGCAGCGGCAATGTCCGCAATCAATATGTGGCCACCACTCGTCGCAAGAGTCATAAGAACAGCCCGGTAACAAGCATGACCGGAAAAACGCCTTCGCTGGTGGCATGAACGCTATCACAATGGCCGAAGAGCGGCCTGTCCCCATGAGAGGTGTACGACACTCGGATCCTCCGACAAAGACCAGGAAACTGTCGAGGAGGCATGCGTGCTTTCAGGCAGCGTCGGCGGACGCGCCGTAAAGCAGACGAGCAGACTTCGCCCGCGGTTGCCGCCCGGGCCCGCCATGACACTTGTAAGCATGCCTGAAGTACGTCGCTCGGGCACGAGTACCTTTGCCAATGGACATCCACCGTTTACAGACGCCGCAGAAGGCTTCCCAGTCCTTCGAGCCCAGCGTACACCGCAACGCTTCAGGAAGCGCAAAGGGGCGGCGAGTCGCGCAACTAATGCCATGAGTGTAATGCAGATGATACTGCCAAGCAGGATCAGCTTGGAGTCGACGATATCTTCTTCAGCAACGCAGACCCAATACGCAGAGTCTTTCAGTCTGTGCCAAGACGAGCACCAGCCGCACCATCCCGCGCGATACGAGCCTTCACCACAAATCCAGGCGGCTGTATAGAAGTCTTGTTCTGATCGAGCGTTCTGTGAGCGCACATTCGGTGTCTTTGCCGGTGGGTTCGTACGAAACACTGGAAGCAGAGGGAACAATGGTAACGACACGGTGACTGCTTGACAATCGTTGAAACCGTTGTAACTAACAGACCCTGGAAGTGGCCACACTGGAAGTGGCCACACTGGAAGTGGCCACACTGGTCCTGCTCCATATCTGTTGGACGTGGAACGTCGGGCGATCACAGACTCGATAGTTTGTGCTAGGTGCTCCGCACTCTTGGAAGTTGGAGGTGATGATGTGACGCAAAGTCTTGATTGTTGTTTTTGCCGCACCTGTAACCCCAAATCGAGGCGCTTTAACGCAACATATTGTGGGTCGAAGTCGCACGGTGTCTGCCGCTGTGGCGTTGGCTCCGTAGACGTGGGTACAGGTAGTGGCCCGTCCATACACGCATCGATCATGTACTCTGTGCATAACTGGGTAGGTGGGCTGAGAAACACTTTCTGTAATGATGTCGACTCATCTGTATTGTCGCAGCAAGTCGGATCGATGCCCAGGTAGGTTGTTGTCGGCGGTACATGTGGCCAGTAGGTTAGGTCAACAGCCGAATCGTGGCTGGCGTATGTCGAAGACATCGTAGTCATTCGTAGAATCGCCAAGAGCAGAGTCTCTATGTTTCAGTGTGATCTGTCATATTCACTGACGGCGGCTGTGCGGAAGTTGAACCTCCCTTCTTAACACGACACGGTCATCCTTGTAGTGCTTGTATGGGGTGCGAGATGATACGCTCTGGAACCAGTAGACCATCTCGGACTCACCGATGCATGCAGACGCAAAGAGGCCAGAATGGGGTAACAGCGAGTCTCCGTAGGCCGCAATGTGGTCATGCGGCTCAGACAGAGTGCGTAGAGAACGCGCACATCCTGACATGCCGAGTATGTACAATTCAAAGCTCTCGATTGGCTTGGTCGATTGTAACCTTATCTGATTGGCGATGATGAACTTGTGCGAAGCAAGGGGTGTGTTAGCTCCACATCCTCCGTATAAAAAGGTCGTGAAGCCTTCCAACAGGACATCTCTGGCGTCTGTCAGCAGCCCAGGAACCGGTTGTACAGTTCGGTATGTTCGTTATCCGAACCGCTCTGGTGGCCCTGCCACTGCAGCCGCCGCATTCTGATGGAACTAGCGAGCATTCTACCCGAGTGCAGACTACGTGTACAGTGCGAGGAACCAACATCACCTCGAAGTGCGGCCATACGGTATGTTGGCCGGATCTTGGAGCTTGTCAGTCTTGCGTCGCTAGCATATGCGGTCAAGGGTTGTGAAAGTGTCCGTAATTGATAGCGCATCCAAATACACTGCTGCAGGTGATGCATGAAACTGCTCGAGCACACGATCTAGCGTACATTCCGACGAGCGGACCACAAGTTCCCTTGCAGGTGAGCGATCATCGAGCGAGTAAGACGAAGCCTACGTGGGGAGGGCAACTGAGATCCGTATGGAAACATTCTAAAGAGAGGTGAGCAGTCCCTCTCAGCAGCGAAAAGTCCGTGCTACCCGATGTTCGAGACATGGGCTTGGCTGCGCGCCCTGATTGATGCTGGACCTAGCAGCGCAATTGGGCCCGTTGTTAGAAATGTCGTCGGCCACGTGATTGCGGCCTGTGCGCCACTCACTGGCTACTTCCTACTCTTCAATCCTTAGACTGATCGGCACGTCAAGTTCGCCGTTTGCTTGGGTGTACAGATCAGTTTCGCAATATCGTCGCCTGTATACCTGTCGTTCTGAGTATTGGTAAATGGGCCAAGTAGGATCTGCCCGCCGTGTTTAAGGTAATTGTACCCTACCATCAACAGTAGTAAATGGATCACGGCAACCATTTGGACGCGGAGGATGCGCTGTATCTCCACTCAACAGCCTGTAAGATTGCCAATCAAATTATGCAATCTTTGCCCGAAGTGATAGCGGAACTGCTGCAAAGCGGTACGTCGGTCAGTTGCGAGACCTTGCAACTGGAATGCAGCTTGTCTAGTCATGGGTCACTAGGCATCCCTCCCAAACGTCTACGGGTCGCAACTCTCAAGGTCAATGGCAAGAACATATCACTAGCTCCACCCCTACAGTCGCTCGGCCCACAACTCTCGCAGAGATGCCAGGCTAAAGAACCCAGACTCTTACCGTTACCCATTACATTGCACTCAGATCTCCAAGCTGGGCTAGGGACGCAGCTTGGTAGTGTGCAGCCTTCGAAGCGAAGAAAGTTGTCACTGGTGCCGGTAGATTGCTCGCTGTCACGTCAACCGTCTGCCGATAAGAGCGGTGCGTCTTCCGTCCAAGGCAGCCATGATATCGTTCCGCAGCGCAAAAAGCGTCCAACGGATAATCCGACAATGCAGCCCTCTAGTCTCAACAAGTTTCTCACTGGGGTGTGGGAGTCTTTGTACTCCGGAATCAGTATAGATCCGATCGAAGTCATTGAACAGTGGCGAATAATCGAGCCAAGTGGACAGCCGAAGCTTCTCACGGAGACCACCGGTGAGCCTGTCCTGCAGCAATGCGACGAGACCGCCGCACAAAGGCTTTTCGGTCGGATGAGCATTCTTGCCCGTAAGGTCAGCCAGACAAGCCGTACATGCCGGTCTCTCGAAGTCATTGTGCAGGCACACTGGGTCGAATGTTTTGACGGTCGGGTTGCAGAGCTTGTTCTGGCGATCTCCCGAGAGAAGGCCAGAAAGGCAACAATCGCGGAAGCCTGTGTGAACTTCAAATGGTCAGAAAAGGAGCTGCGAAACAAGATGGGTATCTGGCGCAGCTATCTCGACATAAAGAATGTCGCTGGCTGGGTAGCTCTAGTCTTTGCGGGTACGTCAATGCCTGGCTACAAGCCTTAGTCGCTTTCGAAGACACCGCTGACGGGTATGGTTGCACATTTAGGCACTGGACTGTACCGTTTCTGCAAATATCGGGTCTCCTTCGATGAAAATACATTCAGCGTTTTGCGTAAGCTTCGGCATAGATTCGAGATCGCAGCAGACACCTTGCACCCGCAGTGGCGGCAACTGCTTGGAATAGTGGACGGACCGACCGAGAGAAGGTACGATGGTCATCCCCATGACTGGGTGGTCGGTGTCTCTGCAGATGGATATGAGGCCATGCCCCTGCCCGAGACCTACTGGCAGTGGGACCGGGCATTCAGCTATGTCCACCTCGACGAAAGCGTCGTTAACACAGACGTTTGGGAGTCATTCGACCCTCGCGTGGTCAGCCCGGGCACGTCAACAGGAACGAATGTATGCCCATCCTGCGGAGAGCACCAATCAGACGATGCGAGGTCAAATCATTGCAATTGCTTCCCGAGTTTATACGGCAGCACGAAGGCTGGTGCTCCGCCCGTGCAGGTGTTCAGAACACCGGCAAAGAACAACGGACTGGTCGCATGCTGCCCAATCGAAGCTGGAGCGGCTGTCGGCGAGTTCGTCGGCGAGATCACAAGCGGCCTCTCGAACATGGATGTCATGATTGGTCAGACTAATAGAGCAACATACCAGATCTGGCAGGGGCGGCAAGGCAACTATACACGGTTTGTGAACCACTCCTGTGAACCGAACAGCCAGTACGAGCGCTTTCAATGGCGCGGCACCCAACGAATAGTGCTCGTCAGCAAGGGCATTGAAGCTGGGGATGAAGTCACTGTAGATTACAGCGACACGTATTGGAGGAACCTTGACAAAGTATGCCTCTGCGGCGCGGCGCAGTGTCGTTATAAGGAGCGAGACCGACACCTGCTGACGCCGCTATCGTCAAACTCCTGACAATATTACGCACGCCGTAGCGCATCGTGTCCGTTAGCATTCTACAAAGCGCGCCATCTGAGTGGCAGACGACAAGCAGCTGTGAGGCAGGAACATTGGACTGTAAAGTGGTCGGGCTTAGGTATCATGAGAATGTTCAGCTGCGACTCCATGGTCCGACCACTGTGTTTGAAGAGTGAAGCCAACCATATCGCATGCCGTTGGGTATCTCGTGTACTACAAAGAACGCCGCGTTGTATCCTCCAACCTGTTCGCCATCTCTCGACAGCATTGTGCCTTGTCGTGTGGAACTATGGTGCCTGCATGATGCACTACTGATTCGTAAAACCCGGGTTCATAAACATAGAATTCCATTCTGCGCCACCGAAGATATCTTGGATGTTGATGTTGCCGACATTATTCTGTTGCGACATCCAATTGGTGTCGGAGGGCAGTTGCATCCCGCCCTGCGCATTCATGGCTTGCCCACTGTTGAATCCGAGGGCACTATTTGGGAATCCCATGTTCGTCTGTTGGGAAAACGTATTTGGTGGTTGTTGTTGTTGTTGCTGTTGTTGCTGTTGATGCTCGTGCTGCTGCTGGCGCTTGTGCTCGATATAAGGAGGCAAGGCAAAGAACTGCGCCTCGAGATTGTCTTCACGTCCTCTTGACGGAGGTGGAACGACCGGGCTTGCGCCATCCACCCCGTTCCAGGTTTGTGCGCTTGGGAAGGTGTTCGCTCTTGCCATTTGCTGGTTGTGTTCGAATGTCGTGAGTGGCTGATTCGGGTAGCCGAATGGCTCGTCCGCGGCCGGAAACATCATGGCCGAGAGATCAGGGAGAGCAGGGTTGGAGAAGCTGGGCGGTAACGAGTATTGCTGCATGTTGTTGTTCACACTACCGGACGCGTTCTGTGCGCCCCATCCACCGAAGAAGTTCTGGTCGAAACCGGCACTGTTTGGGGTTTGTGGTCCGAACGACGAGGCTCCAGATTGCGCCCACGACGGGTCCAGCGTCGAAGATGGCGAGGTACTCATGGCTACCTGCGCACCATGTTTTGGGAATGTGCTGGATCTCCTTGTCTGGCCCGGACCGCCTTGTGTCTCTGTTCCGACGACCGAGATGTTGGGATGACTTCGAGATGACTGCGGTGGAGGAGGCTGCTGTGGTTGCGGACTGTGCTCAAACTGCCGCTTTCTCGAGACGGTCGGGTTTTGCCGGCCCTCGCGCATCCAGTCGGGAAGCTTTTGGAAAACACCGTTCAGCGTCGCCGTGCATCGATCCGCGGCCATGCTTCGCCTCGCAAGAGACGCGAGAATCTGCCTTCCTTCGAGCGCATCCTTCATCACAGCCTGCGTTGTAGCATTGTCCGGGTTCTCCGCAGCGAAATAGACGAGCGATAAGATGGCGAAGAAGGTTGTATACATAATGAACCAGAATGCGCCATTCAGCAGACCCTTTTGCTTCATCTGCGTGGCGATGTGGATTATGTTGCGCGAGACATTGACGTAGGAGGCTGCACAGGCGTATGCTCGTTGATCAATCGGCTTTGAGCGCTTCTCCATTGCCACGAAATGCAGGAACGGCCTGTACAGTAGTACCTGGGCATGGGCGTACGCCAAGCGCAGCAGCTGCTGAATCCTAGTGTAGCGCTCCGGCGCTTGACAAGGGCTCAGTATCGGCGGCAGACTGTTCTTCCATTGTTCGAGATCGCTCTCGATGTCGCGGACCACTGAAAATGGGACAGAGTAAGACTTGTCAGGCGAGCCTTGCTGAAGTTTGATAGGATAGACTTTGCGCACGATCTTCGATAGTATTTGCACAAGCCGTGTATGGGCGTTGAAAGCTGTCATCAACGACACTACGCCTTCGGGCATTGGGTGTACGCCGCCTTCTGTGATGTACTCGTCGTCGACCTCGAGCGGAAAGTCCTGGTCAATGTCGTCCTCGCTCAGTGTCTGCGGCAAGCCAAGCATTGCGCCGACGTAGATGTCCATCTTTCGTACCACCCAGAAGACACGCTTCCTCGTCTCAGCTTCGACCGGGTTGAAGTTCCCAGCATAGGCGCGATGCAGACCCATGCGTAGCGCAGATCGCAATGCTACACCAACGTAGGCGTAGCATTGAGAAAGCTTTGCGGACGATTGTAAGAATAGGATCATGAACAATACTGCTTGAATGGATGTGAGGTCCCTGCAGTCCGCTATGTCCATCATTTGTCGAGCAGTCTTGAAGTGTGCGAAGCCGCCTTGTATGGCGTTCTCATAGCCTTGCTGGTCCAGTCCAGCTTCTCCAGGTTTGCGGAACAGGTGGCCCAATGCCAGGGCGGTATGCAGCAGCGGAAGAAACTTGTTGTCTTCGTTCGAGTATTGGTCGGGAGGTGTGCTGTACAGGCGGTCAAAGGATTGCCAGAAGGATGGCTTGTGTAAGAAGCGGAGTAGCACCGCTGCATCGTCAACTGCGGCACTGCACACTTCGCGAGCGTACTCTTTCTGTGGGAGATCCAGTCCACCACCTGGCGAAGTTTCCGCCGACGGTGACTCCCCCATCGATTTGGGTGAGTCAAGCACCTGCGAAATAGGCCGGGTCTTGACGAACGGTGTAGCTGGCGTATCCGGGCCCATCAGGTCGCCTAGCTGCTCCCTCATCCTTCTGACGAAGCTCAACCCTGACGAGTGCCCATGATAGTCCCAATGACCTTGCTCATCCACGTCCATCTGCGCGACTGCTCGCACCATGGACTCGAGATTGGTGTCCGACTTATTCTGCTGTTCTTCCGGCACGTCGGTGCCATTGACCTGGGTCTGCGGCTTAGGGCGTGAGCGTATTGCGTGCGGATTGCCGCGACCAGGCGCACCCGGTATCCATCCTTGTGCGACCGCAGCCTCGATACCTGGGTCGTTGAGATCGAGGTTTGGGATCAAAATATGCAGTAGTGTCTCAGCACGATGTACCCGGTGCTCCAAGTTCTCGATGTACTGGGGCGCAGGGTTGCGCCTTCGATTAGAAGGTTGGTCGTATGTGCATTCTAATAGTTGTCAGTACGTTGGCGAAGCTGTCTGCATAGTACACGGACCATAGCTGTAGACGGTGCAGTGGGTACATGGCTGCTTGCCGTCGCATTTGATCTTCTTCCGTCTACACTCATCGCATGCCCTTGTCACCCGACGACGCTTCTGCAGGTGCGTGGCTGATTTACCGGCCGACGCATGCTTGCCTGCCGCATCCAAGGTCGATGTAGGGAGAGATAGACTTGTCCCCGGCTCGCGCTTGAACTCCAAGTCATCCTCTCCAGAGCCGTCCTCCTCGCTGATGCGATCATCATACTCCTCGGGCGAAGCGTGCTCCATGGTGGTAGCGAAGGTAGACATGACAGAGTGTTGGCCCAGTACAGGCGGGTCGATAGCAGGGCCTCAAGCAGTCGTAAAACCATGCGAGAATCTGTGCATGAAGACGTCCACCCCCTCTTCGCTCCACTTCATCCAAATCCTTGATATGCACGCTGCGCTATGGAATGGGATGCGCCGCTCTCCAAGACACACTTGGCGGTCTTGGACTGTCGATGCAATGGCCGCCTGCGGTACGACGTTTGGCCCTTACAGTAGCCCTGATCCAGTAATACCAGCGGCGTTATGCTCTGCAGCCTTGGTGCTTAGCAACCATTTATCCGGGGAACCGGCAATTGGTGGAAGACGAAATTCAATCCACCTCGCAAATGTGACTCGCACGCTGAGGGAGAAGATACCGTAACGCCCGCGAATGGCAGTACACTTCGATTCCCCCACATCGGCCAAGTGTCGCAGGCCAAGCACGTCACCTTTCAGGACAAGGCTCCGTCCTCCGTCCTCCGTACGCCAAACTCCCGCGGCGGCGGCGTCGTGGCGTAGAGTGAGCTGTCGGAGAGGCGTACGGGCATGCGTACTATGTACTAAGGCACTGCCAGCACGCAGCTGACTCCGTGAAAAGCGCTCTCTTCTGCTCGAGACGCCCCTTGCATGCACGACTGGTGGAGTATCGTAAGCATTGCGTTGAATGCGATCACGCCGCATAACAAGAGGCCCAAGAGATGCTACCCTGGGCCATAGCCTTTTTCGGGCCTTGCATTCTCCGCTCTCGGAACTAGGACGCCTAATCTCCATGCGTGTTAGGCCGAGATGGTCGGCGCTGGGATGATCGCAAACTCGAGTAAGTCCGAGACCTCATAGGCCGACTACATTCGCGTGGCGACGGTGTTACGTCTGCTGCACGTGGGTGAAATACAGCACATACCGGAGGCACAAGGTTCATCTGGTTGTTGTTCGTCGTTGAGGGTGGGCCTTCGCTTTGGCAGCCATGCGCAGCGCTAAGCATGTAGATCTAGAAGCCACAATTGCTTGGCCCGACCTCAGTGGGAAGGTGCCGTTGGAGGCGCTATCGCTGCCGGCCTATTTGAGGCTTCGGCCGATGCGCAGCGTCTTACTCCGAAGGCCAAACAACGCTGACGGAGTTAAAAGGACGACGTAATCAAGACAGAATGTCGTAAGGCCAGCTCAATCGATATATTGACCCCCTGAGAATCGGTAGACAGACTGCGGCACCCTAGCCAAACCTCCTGAGAGTAAGCGAGTCTCGACCGCATAGTGTATGTTTGGACGACATTCACAGAGCTACTACTGTGTGTACATACATCAAGGTATCCCGAATCAAGACACCCGCTGTGTGCTAGGCCCGCTCCCGTGCATCAGTACCGAAGCCGATCTCGACGTCAGCATGAAGCTCTAACGTTTTTCACGCCTTGTTCAACTTGTCGCGGCAAGCCTTACACACCAACAGCCGACAAGACCGACACTCCCACGGCTCTCCTACAGGCTTCGCGACGTAGGATTCGTGGGAGAGGAGGGCTAAGACTGCCGCCGGCGTTCTAGGAATGGCTTGGGTGCCAACACCAGCGGCACCAGGATAGTCGCCACCGCTTCCGCTGTACCCTCCAGCATGGAGCCTTCGCTCACGAGACTTCCGCCCATTGATGATGCTCTGCAAGCGTTTTCGTTCCCACACGTCGATGACTTTAGTCCAATCAAGGTCTTCATTTGGCTCAGCGTAGTTGACAATGTCAGCCATCGTGCTTGCGCCGATATGATCTTGTACTGCGGTTGTCATTGAAAGCGGCGGGAGGGTATGCGACGAGTTAACATTGCACTTCTCCTGATGCTTGCGCTTCTTCGGAACTGCTCGCAGAGCATGCTGTGCCGGCCGCACATGAACGAAACATTTGTTGCACTCCATCTTCAAAAGATCGCCATGATTGTACATGTCGTCCGCGGCTTTGTAGGACCTGAACGAATGTCGGCAAGACCAGATCTGTATATGCGACACTTCTTCGGGCTCTTCGCCGAAATCATAGTCACTGTCTGCCCATCGTCGAGCGCCGCCGCCGTCGAGATTGACCATGGTGGTAAGCAGTGACGGCACCTGGCTCGGCGTGGGCATAGTAGGCTGTCTCATGAGCATGATCCCTTGCTCAGTTGTGTGGCGATGCGGATTCGGTGCAGCCAAGCCGTTCGATATCACGCTGGGTCGAGAGTATGCCATTGGGTCGTTCCTAGCCGCCAATGCTCGCTCAATAGTAGCAATGGCTTTCTCGGTCTGCTCGCCGGGATGTTCTTCTTTCGCGAGCTTAAGCGCGATGCCGACGACGGCTGGGTCGATGTCTTCCAGATTCTGTTCGACATTCAGAAAACGCAGCGCTTCGTCTACGCTTGTGGTGTAGCCTGGTATATTGGCTTCAGCGAGACTGGTTCCGCCACTTGCGGTCTCATTGATGTTCTTGGCTCCATGCGGTTCGTTACCAGGATCACCGTCTCCCATGGATACAGACTCGTCACCGTCATCGTCGTCATCCTCACCCTCCTCGTTCTCGCTATCCTCCCGGTCTGGACAGCTACCGTCACACTCATGGATGCTCTTCTGGCAGTAATAGCACCAGTGCGCCCCGCAAACGCATTGCCTACAACAAGAAGGATGAAGCACTTAGCGATGTCTTAGCCAGCAGGGAGCGGATATACCCTTCAGTTACGTACATGTGCGAGCAACCGAACATTTTCTTGACGGCGTGTTTGCAGAGTGGACAGCGCTTGTAGCGAAACTGCTCAAGCATGGCCATCTCATGGTCGCTTACTGAAGTGTCGCAAGGCGTCGTACCGTGCTCGACCTGCCTCTAGGATCAGCCTCTGGCTTACTTCGATGTGGTGACGAATTTCGATTACTTGTTTGCATTTCACACAGACGCCGATATGACATGCTGGACACAGGAAGTGTTCGATGCTTCTCCGGCTATTGCTCAACGAGACCAGGCGATCTGTCGCCGCAGAGAGCTCGGCAAGGCATCTTTGAAAGAGCGTCTCAGCTGTCGTGGCGATAGGGTGCGCATGGCCGTTGTAGGTCTTAGCGTTGGCCACAATGAGCCGTATGTCGTCCATGAATGCTTGTGCTGTCCCATACTTCCCGTCATCGATGTTCGTGCGGATGATGCCAAGGTGCATTGGTTTGGAGATCATGGTTCGGTAGCCGGGAAGTTGAGTTGTGTCGACATCAGCCTTAAAAAAGCGTGCAGATGGGTCTTTTAAGACCTTGTCGAAAATGCCGGTTAAGACTGAGGGCAGAGTCATGACCTCTCCCGCAGTCTCACTCGGAAGCAGTCCCTCTGGAATGAATGTGGAGCAAGTCGGTGACGGGCAATATACCTTGTTGACGGTCACCCACTCCTCAAACCTCTTCCTATAACGGATAGCGTCCTCATCCGAAAGAAACGACGTGTGAATCTGGAGAAACGTGCAGCACCGCGGCGGCATGCGAGTGCTATCGTTGGCAGCCCCGTTGAACATCTCCACCAGGCAGTCTCTACAATAGTCCGTGGAACATTGTCTGCACGGCTTGACCAGGTCATCGGGATGTGCTGAGTCCGTACAGATCCCGCAGGAGCGTGGTGCGGGTGGCAGTGTTGGTGGCGGTGGCAGCGGTTCCATTGCTGAGTGTGTCTGCTGTCGTTGGTATATTCCAATCAACGAGCTCATGTATGCCGTCGACGTGATGTGCTTGGTATGCCTTTGAGAGGTTTGGGAGCAAGGGAGTCTTAGACAGCTCGATGTAAAGGGATACGCCAAATGTGAATGCGTCAAAGGAAGACGCGCATTACTGGCTCGCGGTTGCCTGCTTCAGCTCACGGGAACGTGCATCGTCAGTCGTAACTGCATCGTTCGTAGCACACCGTTGCCGACTACGGTTTGGGACGGCAAGCTACAATATGCACGGATTGCAATGACAATCATGCGAGCAATTTCCGTAAGTAATTATGTCGCTTGCAGTGTAGCTGAGACGTGGACGCTACAGGAGTGATCTCCGTCTTGACAAAAGCAAGTCTTGACAGCTAAGCGAGAGTGAAGAACCGTGAGAAGATGTCGCGAATCTCGCTTCCCAAGCACAGCAGTCATAACAGACGCGCTCTGGACGCCATGCACCGAACACTTCGCATCGGCAGACATATGACAAAGCCTCCTGACTCGCTGTCATCATGCAAGCTGCGTGCCCACGGTGTACGATCCCAGAAAGCATCATGCCTATTGATGTGAAAGGGTACTGGGGTGCTCGCAATACAGTGGAAGAGGGGGAGGCTCTGCGCTGAAGAAGACGCGCTAGACCGCCACTAAACCAATCAAGTCTAGACAGAAATGCGTAATCACCAAAGTTGCACAGAGATGGTGTCAGGTGAGGTATGAACTGAATTCTAGAGAACAATGAAGGATCGATACTCTCACTGTCATGGCCAGTAGACATGTGCAGCTAGACCATGTTATTGTCCTTGTACCTTACGCCTATTTGTCCAATCCACCGCGGTGGGTAACCGACAACTTCGTCCTTAGCGAAGGAGGCCGTCACACGGACAACAAGACGGAGAACCGCTTGGTGCTCTTCAAAGATGGGACATATCTGGAACTCATCGCATTTATTGACGACGATCCTGCGAGACGCAAAGGCCATTGGTGGGATAAGCCTTACGGCGTGATCGATTTCGCTATCACATCCCCAGTTCCATTCGATTACGTGGCCATGGCAGAACGTCTGAGACAACGAAACACTGGTATCACGTATGCTGAGCCAGCCGCGGGCGGCCGGCAGAGACCGGACGGAGTGCAGCTCAAATGGCAGGTGACATTTCCAGAACACGTTGAGCGCGGAGAAGTGCCATTCTGGTGTCACGATCTTACGCCAAGAGAGCTACGAGTGCCTCTGACTGACACAAATACATTGCATCCGTGTGGAGCGACCGGTATGGCTTGTGTGACTGTCAACCTGATTGAGCAGGAACGTGATCGGGTGCGGTTGACCTTCCCAGCGATAATCGACAGCTCAGAGCGTGAGAAGAATGGGTTTCCGGTTGGCACTCCAGGAGGGCTCATCGACTCTGGTATCCAGATAGAGAAGCTGGACGGTGAGCGGCCTGGAATGTGCCTGAAGCTCACCCTCCGGTGCCCTCCCGAGCGGGTACCACAGCTTGACATCCACGAAAAGGTCGGAGACGGGGTGATTCTTATAGAATTTGTGACTTGAGGTCCTTGTAGATACATAAGATCCAGGGTCTGCGACGTACGCGTCTTGTGTGGTTGTCAAGCCAAAACCAGTGTGCATGCAGAGAGCTCACAGTGTTGTCAGCTTGATGGCAGTGACGTCTGGATGGTCGTCGAACATCTTTGCGACCCTCTTGTGCACATAACCGATCGTCAGGCCATCCTGCTGATGAATGGATGCGTCCCGCAGAAGTATTGTACGGCCAACGTAATCCTTGGTCTCGTCTCTCTCGTCCCAGATGGTCGCCTCCATCGCCATGCAAGGTGGCTGCGACAACAGCATTCCGGATATCGTGCGGCCCTGATGAGTAGCGGCACGGCTCTCTACGTCAGGCATGTCTCGTCGCTCAATGATGAGGAAAGCACAAGGCTTGATGCCGCTATCACCATAGCTAAGGCGCCAGAAGCGGAAATGGTAGTTCCTGAACGTAGTGACGATAACTGGATTTAGAGTTGGGAAGAATCGACTTGGATTCGGGTCGTGGAGAATCTCAGAGTCTGAAACATGGCGTTCCCAAGACCGTGTTGTCTTCGCGAGCGGGACGAGGTAGAGTGAGCGTTGAAGGCGCTTCGAGTGCAGGATGCAGTGGCGCCAGATCGTATTGACTAGCGAGCAACGAAGAAGGCGAGAAAGGATGTGTGCTGCATCTTCGTACAAGGCAGACCGGGGATCGGTACCGTAGACGATCTCGACGAGGTCATCAAGCAGATACAGGAGGATGTGTTCAAGCAGCTCAGGCAGGGCGAATGTGCGCTCAGCCGCCGCCGACGATGGCGTGGGCTCGCGCGCCGTTTCCATGATCACACCTGTGTGCAATTTGTGCAGCCATGAATATCGCCGCTGCGTGGTCTAACACAATGGGAACAGTCATAGGCAAGATCCTGCGAGGTTCATGGTGATGTACTATGGCAAGTCGAAGAAGGTCGTCTCCCAAGGCAGCCCCAAATTTGGGGCCAATAGCCACGGCTTTGTCTCCGGAACCAGCCGTCAATCACGCTCGAAGGCCTTCTCTGTTATCAGGGCTTCTGAATCCGACCCAGCCTCAATTGCGCGCCCATAGAGGCCCTAACCTCTTCAGCTCAATCTGATTACGGGCGGACATACACAGTCAGCATGGCAAATCGAGCAGTAGTTCCGCTGCTGGTAGCCATGATGCTGCTCACGGGTGTATGCAACACGCTGTTGACTAAGTATCAAGGTGATAGAGCACAGAGGCTAGGATATGACGCTAGCTAACTTTACCGACCCCAGACATGCAATGTGTTGCCGATTGTGAGAGTAAGCACCCAAAGACGTTCGAACAACCCGTCATCCAGACTCTGCAGATGTTCGTTGGCGAATCTGGATGCTGGCTCATTGTCCTGCTCGGCTACCTTGTTCGGCGTGTGCGCAAAGCCACGAACACTGCATCAGCGGAGGATATACAGTACGAACCGGTAGCGGCCCGAGACAGTGAGGAAGGCCTGGCAGAGGCAGAGGAGGATGGAGACCTCACCTCTTCGCAGACACTGGTGGACCCAACGAACGTAGTCGCAAAGCCTCTGGTTGACGGCGAAGTTGCGCATGTCGAACGCAGACCTTTGCGCGGCTGGAAGGTATCACTGCTTGCATTGCCCGCAATCTGCGACATCCTTGGGACTACACTGATGAACGTGGGATTACTGTTCGTTGCGGCCTCAATATACCAGATGACGCGCGGCGCCCTTGTTCTGTTCGTGGGGCTCTTTAGCGTCATCTTCCTCAAGCGTTACCTCAACGGCTGGAAATGGGCAAGTTTGTTCATCGTGGTGCTTGGCGTTGCTATTGTTGGGTTGGCTGGCGCGCTGGAGAAGAAGGACGGCGCCCCAAGACTGCCAGGAGACACAGAACCTAACTCAGGAGCAGCAATACTCATGCGCTCTGCTTTGCACATTGCGCGGGATGCCGTATCAGCGCTTGAGGCGCATACCGCAGCTGAGACTGTGCTCGGCGTGCTAATGATTGCTGGCGCACAGATATTCACCGCAACGCAATTCGTGCTTGAGGAGAGCATAATGGAGAAGTACTCTATGGAACCTATGCAAGTAGTTGGATGGGAAGGCGTCTTCGGCTTCCTGGTGACCCTTGTCGGCATGGGCATACTGCACGGCGCAATTGGACGGACACCTGCAGGTAGGGGAGGCTACTTTGATGCCGCCAACGGCTTTCGTGAAGTTTACAACAACCGTGCTATTGCTGTAACTTCCCTGCTCATTATGGTTTCCATCGGGTAAGCTCGCTGGAGGGTGTGAGTTATGTGGCATTGCCTTGCTGACGTATTCTGGCAGCGGTTTCAACTACTTCGGTCTTTCGGTCACGCGTCAGATCTCTGCCACTTCACGGAGCACCATCGATACGTGTCGCACGCTTTTCATTTGGCTTGTCAGCCTAGGCTTGGGCTGGGAGAGCTTCAAGTGGCTTCAAGTATTGGGGTTCGCATTCCTTGTCTACGGGACTGGCCTGTTCAACGACATCATTCGACCACCGACGCTTACCTTTCTGCGTAAGCGCGGAAAACGGGGCGTTGCCCTTGGCGCCGATGAAGGTTGATACAACAACGAGCAACCGCGCGCAAGCTCATCACTTAGTCGCTTTACGAAACTAGTGCCACGATTTCGAGGCCATTAAGCGAGACTTGCAGGATTGCTAATCGGCCTCACAATTACAGTACGATATTACAGTACGCCACCATCGCCAATACCATGCCGCACGAATCAGCAGAACTGTGATGATTGCATACTTCGCCATCGCGCGGAAGGATTACCCCCCTAGTGCGAAAGTGCAGACCTTGTTTGCATACTTGCTGTGGGTCGGCCACGCAGACGAGTCAGCATACTTCACTTATTCCCCTGGAATCTATGCTCCTAATACATACTCGATCGTCGCGATCACAGATCGTTCATAGTTTTGCAGGATGAACAACAGGAGGAGTCGCACAAGCACCCATGGCTAGAAAACCCAGTCTTTATCTGCGGCCAGGCCTTGATGGCTTGTGCAGTTGAGCTCGACCTACCTTCACAGGTAAACACATCTCATAGTGGAAACGTCCATCAAGCACAAGCTTTGAGCTCCGGTGAAGCAATTGTGCTATCCGCAAGAATCCAGCCCTCTCCGTCCTGGCAGGGACAATACATGAGTGTTTGTGGCTATCGGAAAGAAACGATAGTGCTATGCGAAGTGCACGATCAGGATGTTGGCGACATGCTGGCCCTGTAATATAGTAGGACGGCTGATTCGACAGATCTCTCTTAGCTCGATGCTGTTTGCTCTGTGGCATATCTTGTGCAATGGTACCGCTATTATGATCCAATAGGACATACTCAGCGGAACCAAGTGGCAGAGAGCAGATAACACATCCTGTCTCTTGGTAACGCATGGTAATTGCTACAACACCACCATCTCATTAGCAACGAACAGGACAAGCGTGTATGATATTGCAAACACAGCCCTTCCGTACCGCCAGGCACCAGAGATCGTCTTTTGCGCCATTCTCGCGCTAGGTTTCGGGTATGCGACCAGCGTCTTCTCGTCGCGGTTAAGCAGCGACTCGCGATCCGGTTGAAGTGGTGGCCAGATAGCGTAGGTTATGGGCGTCAGAGCCGATACGACATATTGCAGCCAGAAGAGAGGAGGCCAGCCCACGCGGGTGATCAGGAAAGTTAGGCGTTGCACCGTGGTATGCAATATCTTCGTGTCCCACAGATTCGGGATATATGCGATGCTACTTGCGCGAGCAACGTTCAGGGCTACGCCTGTAATGCATGCGAGCACGAACAGGGCATGCACGGCGGCGTGGTAGGAAAAGAGAGTGACTCGAAGGCGGCGAAGTAGAGGTGCGCGATTCTCCGGGTCGCGCTCGTGGAGATTGCTGGAGATGCTGCCAGAGGCCTTGAAACTCGTGGCTGCGCCACCGAGGGCCTTTGGAAGTACAAACGAACGCATGAACGCAACCAGATAGTCTAAGGGTAGTCAGTGCTGCGTCCTCGCAAATTGTGGCAAGCAATACTCGCGTCAGATACTCACACGGACTCAACCACTGCTCCATCTCGGAATCATAAGACGCCACGCGAATATCGTAGGCTGTGAAGTTGTTGCCAACTCCTGCTATGGCACCAATTATCCCATTATGGATCCAGTGAGATGCAGTCCAGACTGACACCAGACGAATAAGGGTCTTAAGCTGGGGTCCCGTGACCCAGAAGACCATCGGACTCCCAGAGAGCAATGCGAAGGGCAGGATGATGTAGGAAAGAGCAAGCGGAACCTGAACCAATTGCCGTAAGTCGAATGCCAGGCCGGCCAGGCGTTGTCGAAAGCTAAGATGCTTTGCTCTAGCACCGTACAAACGCAGTCTGAATAGCATAGCAGTCTGAATGTGTCCGACCCACTGTCAAGGCAATGTCAGTCAGCACGTCTCAGAATCTGTATACAGATCAGTATACCACCCACCCAGCGTGTGCGCTGCTTAATGTGCCCGAGCAACGAGTCTGGGACAGAGCCGTATTGCACAGCTTCGGGTACGAAGGCTGTCCGCCAGCCGGCACCGAGCAAAGTGGCCGAGCAACACACGTCCTCCGATAGGGATTCGGTGGGGAACCCTCCAATGCTCTCAAGAGCTGTCCGTCGCATAATGTAACCAGATCCTAAGCAGTCTGCGTGACCAAGGGCGTCGTTGACAACTTCAGTGATTCCAGCGAAGTGGGACATGGTCTGTAACAGAGGATCGTTGAGAGGAATGTCGTAAAAGGTCTGCCATCAGCCGTCAGCCAAGTGGACGGGCGCGAGCTCATTGTCTGGTGCAGACCGTAGCCTTCATTTGCACGGGTTCCCTTACCTGAGGAGGGCACACCATAGCGCATTCAGGGTCATCATGAATGTGTGGCAGTAAGGTACGTAACCACCCAGGCTCCGGTATCATGTCGGCATCCAAACCGGCCACATACTCACCCCAAGATACTGTCCAGTCGTGGCTAGGAACATGCGTGTTCGTAATCGTACTATGGCTGCTCGGGGTACTTTGTCCGCTTTTCGTCGCGCACGATGAATCTTCTGATAGGCGCGTACTCTGGTCTCGTAGATGGGCAGCCGACATATTGTGGCTTACTAATGAGCGGAGCATTAAGGGATGCAAAAATCCGGAGTAGCGCAGACCGTGATTGAGATTGCCAGCTTTGTAGTCCTTGATTGGGCCCTTGACACGCGCAGTGTAGTGTAGCTGTGAATTTCCCGCGGCGTGAGTATCAACGGCAGTCTTGAGCGTCTCAGACATGCCGTCGTCACACACGAAGATCCGGTACTTGTCGCGAGGATAATCGAGCACGCAAGCCGCTCTAACAGTGTCCATGACGACGTCGACGTCTTCATTGCAGGCGGTGACGAGAAGGTCGACATTGGGAACGTTATCGCCGTCTAGATATTGCCTTGCTCGATAGGCGGGTCTCACCGCAAGTGTACGCAGGAGATAGGGAATCGCATTGGGAACTGTTGAGTTGTTGTTAGCTGCTCAAAGAATGTCCTGGAGACACAGGTGTAGAGTTGATCTACGCAAGATAAAGAACTCTAGCGCGAGAAAGATCCATGGGACCGCGATGGTGCGGAGGTGGATAACATTATCGTTGTTCTCAACTTGTCCTTGGTGCGGGCCATGAGCAAACGTTAGAAGGTAGTACAGGCGGAAGCCCAAGTAGGTGAGAAGAGAGGCAAGACTGAAGAACGCTGTAGGCGGCATCAGAGCCCAAAGGACAGACTTGATCATCGCCATATCTGGCGAAGGTACTCGTGTCTGGCGATGAGCTGGCACCCTTCGGCTTGCAAGCAAGAGCGAAGTTAAACCATTGCCGCCACAACTGTGAAGCACTGCACATCCTGATTCCTGAGCATAAGACACATACCATCCGCGTTTGCGTTGAGCTATTGGGTAGCACACGGAAGTACTCCTCTGCCCCACCCCGTCTAGGACACTAGCTTTTCTTCTGATCCATGACCATAGCTACAAATCTTGGGGCTGCGGATTCCTGTCCAGTCATGCTCAAGCGGCTGTCATGATCTGTATGGTCATTGGTGGACATGGCTCCATTCCAGTCGCTGAGCGGTGAGATGCACGACGCATCTAACCAAGGTCAGGGGCGTGGGCGTTGTCCTCTTTCCCTACTAGTTCCCATTGTGTTATCTTGTGTGATCGGCGTGGAGTCTGCCAGCCAAGCAGCGCTACTTTACCCGTTGAATGTATGATCGTCAAGCCCGTGGCTTGGGTGGTTGCTTAGCACCTACAAGATCAAGTCTTAGTAGGCCCCTAACCGAAAGCAGACCGTTCCATGTTACTATGCGATAAACGACGGAGCTTTCGATGCCAAATTCGCAGAGCAGCAGGAATGGTGCCGAGTGCTTACAGTGCCAAGGACGGAAGTGAAGGTCGTGTCGAGGCCAGGAAGTATGGTTGCTGCGAGCCTGGCGATTGCGCTTATGGATCTAAAAAAACGTGAAGTACAGCCGAGCGTTCTCATTAGGTTACACGGGTCGCAATGATCGACGCACCCGGTTCCAAGTGCCTACGGAACGAACCTTATCCGAAGAGCCGGAAGCGGACCGACGCACCCTCGGCACTGTGCGGCTCCTTTCGGGATCGATATGTAGGCACAGGGGAGGGTTCAGCAACCGCCGTAGAGCATCGTATAATCAATGATATGGCAAGGACTAAGATTCCGAGCCACTCGTAGCCTGACCCCAAACTTCTTCCTGCTGGCGAGACACTTAAAACCACGTCCAAAGCCCAGTGAGCGCAGTGTCTCAGCTGAAGGTATAGCAGAACATCAATGGCTAAGCATGCAGCCGAGGAGACCGAGCGGTACTCTTCGGTTAAAGGGCCTGACCGACAGACCGTACGATCGACATCATAGCCGCTTCAGGGTACCAGAAAGGGATGTCTCTATGGCGTTTTCAACTAGCTTGTCGCTGCAACACCGTCGATCCAAACAAGGCCGTTTATCAACGCTGTTAGCAAGGTCTCTCCGGCCAGCTCCCCAACGGGATCTTCAGATGTTAGTGTTGGCCAATGCTCGTGCTTGTGCTACACGTATGACTGCTGTGGCACTATTGAACCGAAGCACCGGTCATTGAAGTATCACCAGCATGTATGCTCAAACCTGTCACATACCTTAACGCCGAATCGCAGAACAGGTACTTCTTCCCGCGTCGATACGTATCAATAAAAGCAAGAGGAATCCCGTTATACTCCAATTTCTGCATCGCAATCTCATTATTCAAGCCTGTCCTCGCCTGAAACACTTCCTCACCCCAAACATACCACCACCGCCGCCAAGATGCACTTCAAGATCATGCTCGTCTCGCTGGTTGCAAGCGCTGTCGCCCTGCCAGCACTCCACTCCCGCCGCTCTGCTCAGATTCAGGTGAGCCTACCGTCACCAATGTAACGATAGAGGAATACATAGGCTAAGAAAGTCTGTCAGAGCGGTATTACCAACCTCCTTGACGACGAGGGTACCGGCACCGAGAACTTTGAGAACAACATCGGCAATGGTGTTGCGAACGTAGCCGACGACTTGGGTGAGGCCGTTGTCGACCTTGTCAGTAAGCGTTTCGCTCAGATTGGGGTCAGTCTTCCTAGGCTGGCTTGGAGACGACACTATAGCTTCTAACATGTCATTTACAGAACGGTATTACCAACTTCCTTGACGACGAGGGCGCCGGAACCGAGAACCTCGAGGACGATCTCGGCAATGGTTTCGCGAACGTAGCCGACGATGCGGGTGAGGCCCTAGACGACCTCGTCAGCAAGCGTTCAGCTCAGGTTGAGGTGAGTTCTCCTAGGTTGGTGTATCAACGGTAGTGTAAAGGCTCTGACATGTCGCTTCCAGAACGGCCTTACCAACCTCCTCGACGACGAGGGTACCGGTACCGAGAACCTTGAGGATAATGTCGGCAATGGTGTCGCAAATCTGGCCGACGATGCGGGTGCGGCTGTGGTAGACCTTACCGGATCGTCTTTCACATCGTTGGAATGATCATGGTAGCGTAAGCGAAACGCGCCCACACTTAGACAGTTCTTTGTGCATCTGCTGCATAGGATCCTGCAAGAGAGTGATGGCCTTGTTATCATCAGTGGTCTTACGCTTCCACATTCTACTGCGTCTGAGAGTCCGCTCCAGATAGACTCTTGAAAGTTGTCTGTCTCATGCTCACTGCTTCACGCGCACTTGTTGATCGTGAGCCGTACACCACGCCTCACTCTGCTGTATAAATCGGCACTCTTCGCAGGCCCAGTGATAGCCCATACAAGTCAAGCGAATGCAGTGACTTAGCGAGGGGATTTACGAGCATGGGAACTAGCCCAGGCGGGGGACGCTTAAAATTGAGAGACTGTTCTTGTCCGATACAGACCGAACGAAAAGAGCTTCACCGGGACAGTGCACTGTCTCGACAACTGCTGGTTCCCCATGCCAGGGTATGCACAGTCCAAACGTCAAGCGAGATCTTCGACATGCGGTCATTACAGGACGGTCGATGGAAGAAAGTTCATGGATGGCGTGCCGTCCACCCCATCCATGTCAAGTCTCAACGTTCTCCTCTCCTCTGCCACCATTGTGTGTAATCCTTCAGACGTGCTGTCCGCGAAATCCCTCCGCGCCCTTCAGTAAGGGAGGCTAGATTAGGGGCGCATGATTGTTGATAGAGCGTCCGGTGTGCGCGGCGAAACGGAACTTTAGGTCCGGTTGGTCAGCTCCATCTGTGCGTGACCGGCATCGAGTGACCGTCATTGAAAGCATGGTCGTTAGTAGTAAGTCTAGTCTTGTCTGCAGTAGAATCTGCATGCTGCATGTCGTTGAAGTGACACTAGAGCGTCTCTCGGTCGACCATGATATAGTTCGCTAGTGATGTTATTCCCGAAAGGCTCCACGAATGCTTCCAGCGGCAAGCCGCTTGCGCTAAACAAACGGAGCATTCCGAAGCATAAATTCCAAATTCGGTTAGGCTGCCCTCGGCCATACCACTTCTAGCACCGACACAATGGACATTCTTTGACTTGAATGTATAAGCCTAAGCTCAGTGGGTACCTACGACGACGAGCGCAATGATCCCACAATGGCTGCGGCACCTCCTTATGCACTATATGTCTGTCCGTGCTCCAGCCTAAGCTCTACCACCCTAGCAGTCCATGCCAAACGCGCCTCTGCAGCGCCCGCGGATGCTCAAGCGGATGAAGACAGCACCTTCAATTCCCATGACCCTCGTGCGAACTACGCCCTGTATCCGCTTGATCACTTGCTCTTCTGTAACGAGTGCGACTGCATACGCTGTCCACGATGCTACACCGAAGAGATCCTCAACTGGTACTGTCCGTCATGCATGTTTGAGGTGCCGAGTAGTCAGGTGAAGAATGATGGCAACAGGTAGGGTGCGGCTACAATGTGTGGAGTCGAAGGCTTGGATATGTATCTGACCGGCTTCGTAGGTGTGCCAGGAACTGCTACGATTGCCCAATATGCACGTCCGCACTCACTGTAGCTGCATTGCCTCGGCCGTCAGAAACCCACCTGAACCCGAACGAGACGGAGCAAGGTAGGTACATATTGCAATGTGGCTACTGCGAGTGGTCTTCGCTAGACCAGACCATCGAATTCAGCAAGCCGACAAAGATCACGGAGCAGTTAGCCAAGAAACGGAAGGAGCAACGACGGAGGAAGCCAGAGGACAAAGCGGTGTCGACGGCACACGGCGCCGACCAGGTTGATGGGTACGAGAATCTTATGGCTTTTTACAAGGAACAGCTCGCTGAGTCTGGAGACGCGTCGAACACTTACTCCAGCAGCCCGTACAGTTCGCCGGCAAACTTGGCCAAGATCATGAGCTTGTACGGCGGCTTGTCGGTGAACGCACTGAAGAAAGCGCGCGAAAAGCCGCAGCCTATGCGCGAAGCTCGGACCGACAAGGAGGGCCTGCAAGTGCATAGCCTTGACAGTTCGGCAGTAGACGAGGAGACGGTGCGCAGACTACAAGCCGTGGACTGGCAGGACACACCGACTCATGAGCAACGCTTCTCTGGCCCATTGAATCACCAAGCCATCCAGACAAATGAACTCTGGCCTGTGGCCACGCCGCTACGTATACGGAAGGGCAAACGTTGCTCTGTCTGCCGGCAGTTCCTCTCGCGACCTGAACCCAAAATCCCGAACCTGCGCTACAAGATCCGTCTATTAGCATCCAACTACGTTCCACGCCTCCTTCTTCGTCCACTCAATGCTTCGTCTACGACACCAAACCCGGCTTTTCGGCTACGGCCGAACGAAGCCGAGATGTCGCCGCTCCAGCCTAATATCATGCAGCAATACTTGTTGACAGTACGCAACCCTATCTTCGAGACCGTTAAGATCACACTCGCGACTTCCAGTAGCACCCCAGGAAAGGTTTCGTCACGTGTCACCATCCTCTGTCCGTCTTTCACCGTGGGGCCTGCCGGCGACGTCTGGGATGAAGCACTTTCTTCAAGCACAACCTCCGTGGCTACTGATGATGGCGGCCGACAAGCGGCAATGGCGTCACTGACTGGCAAGTCAACTGACGAAGCGGACCGACAACCAGAAGCAGGCAAGATTTGGACCCGCTCACGCAACAGCACTTCCATAATCCTCGAGGTTGTGCCGGGCGCGCTGAAACCGCCACCATCAATCGTGCCGAAAAGTGACGACGAAATGTTGGCCGAAGAGCTGACCGAGGACAAAGACGTGCTTGAGATACCAATCTTTGTGCGAGCTCAGTGGGATGCTGTAGAGGACACTGATGCGTCTGCATCCGCCGGGCGGAAACACGAGAGGCGAGCCGCAGAAGGCGAGAAAGTGCGAAAGGAGCTCGCTTATTGGTGCGTCATCGGTGTCGGCCACATCGCAGATGGCTAAAGAAGTGTTCATCCCTTCGCCTTGCCGAAGATCTTCGAACCGATTGAAGAGACTTTCTTCACGTCGCGGAATGTCAGACTGATCCTGGTCCTGCGCTCACTGCGGCCGCCGCCCGTAGCGATGGCGCTCTTGTCACCCAGCAGCTTCCAGTTTGCCACAGTTTCTGTCCTAAGATCGACATCCTCCGTTACGTCCGCGATGCCGTGAAGAGTGTCTCTATACGCGGCTCCAGTAATCAGCAGTAGTGAGCGTGGCTCCTGAATAAAGCGATACGTCTTCGGCTCTGGGTTTGCGACTTCTCCGGAACCATTTGGTTCTGCACCCTCTCCGTGTCTTTTGTCGGTCACGCTCAGAACAGTCGTACCGCCAAGACTCACAGTCGCCGTGACGGGATGGTATGCCGGTCCGTCCTCGTGGGGCATGATCCCTTGGCCCGGCAGATACTCGTTGATGAGGCAGTGGTTGATGCCATGTGGAGCATCTGCAAACACACCAAGGTCATGTATTCGCCCAACAACCGGCTCTGTCAGCCACGCTGGTAACGGCGTGGAAGCAACCAGAGTATTCGTGGCCGTCAAGCGGGCGGGAAGGGCCTGCAGGCGTCTGTTTGAAAGGCTCACCCAGCGGGTTGGCGGTATACTCCTCATTATCGCAGCTTCTTCCTCACCGGTGATGAAGTTAGGAATGTAGTACATGGCAGATGGTGCATGTTCGATGCAATATCCTGACAGAATTCTGTTGGAAGACTCAATCATGACGTCCCGCTCAACAAGCTCATATAAACGCCTGTATCAAGAAGGGTTCACTTCACAAGCGGCGTCTGGGACAATGTCAGGTGACCCATGCGCATTCCGTTGCTTGCTGTAGACCTACCGTGGCATACATCCGAGACTCGCATGACGCGCAGTCAGGTGATAACGCGCAATAGGCGGGTTGAACCATGTAGGCGACGCACAGTCCGATGCCGGCGGAGCCACAGAGACCCGGACCGCTGGCCCGTCAAGTCGCTCATCCCTCGCAAGTCTACCATGTACTAAGGCGGACTTGTGATAGAATTGCGCAAGTGCAGCGGCAACCCGGGCCTTCGATGCGGACCCCGCGAGATGTTGGATTCGGTCGGATCTCTCTAAGCAGCCTCGGCAGATAAGTGTGATCTTGAAGGTTCTGTGCGGGCAATGCGGTCTGTCGCAACTGGGACTCAAAGACACCGCTTTTCTCGAAGCAGAACATTGAGAAACCATCTAGAAGGCCACTGCGAGACGGGCACTTCACAGGGTAATGCGCCAACATCTCTCATCCTAACGTGGGCGTCTGAGACCCTGCTGCCTTTACCCGCAATACCACAGTGAAGCACACTGCATCCATACCCTTCCCAGCTCAAGAAACTGGTTCCTCGGCTCCATCGCCCCGCAGTCTTCTTTAATGTCCAAGCTCACTACAGAGGCCTTATGCTGGACGATGCACCAGGGCCATGAAACGGCACAGATACTCTACTCCTGCATGATTATGCATTGGCGGGCTACGCTCACGAGGCATTCGCGATGCACCATTTGCGGGGGCGATCGTCATACTGTTATTGTTCACGCATAGCAGATCCCAATACAGCAGCAGCATGCATGCATGCGGAGGTGGAGAAGGCGGGACAGCCGCGAAAATGTGTCTCGGGCACAGTTCTACGAAAGGTGCTGCAATGAGCATACTCCCGCTGTAAAGCCCCCTTGCAAAGATCCTACCGTTCAGCGCTCTGACCGTCCATGATCGACAGGGAGGAGACTGTGTTTCGCAGACGGACAGCAAAGCAAGGTATATGTACGACCCGCTGGGTGCGAGGATGCTGGCGGCCTGAAATCTGGAGACCGCTGCGGGGATGACAGTACGCTAATGTCTTTCCAGCTTAGCCGCAGCGACCGTAGCGTCGTATGCACAAACGCACCTTCGCGCGACACGAGCTGGCGGAGTGACGTGCAACCGTACCTGCCAAATCCGCCATCTGCGTGACTCGCTAGAGGTCACGATGCGCAGGAACAAACCTTCACTGGGCACTAGCTGTGCGGGGAGAGCTTGCCAAGTGCATCGGTCCTGCCATCCATGTCATCGAGCATCTGTGGCTCGGGGGGCTTCCCAGAAAAGTTCTACCGCACCGGCGTGTTGCCCACACTGTAACCCAAATAACGTGAGTACAAATAAGCTCCATATTCTCCTTGCAGGGTGATTCTTCCGTCCCTCCAGCCGTCCCAGGAAGACGCCGGCGCAGCTCAAATAGCACCCTTCACCCAAGCAGTCCGCTTGCAACCCCGAGCAAGCACCTCTCTCTAGTCATGGTTTTCTTCAGAACTGCACTCCTGGCGGCGCTGCCTCTGGCGCTCGCCCAGGTCAACCCAGCAGGAACACCATTTCCCGAATCCTTCTACCCAAATGCTACTGATCCACTGACCGATGCGGGAGCAATGTCGAACCAGACTTCACCGCCCAAGTACCCTTCACCCTGGGGCACGGGTCTCGGCAACTGGTCCGAAGCGTACGCTCAAGCACGAGCTTTCGTGGCTCAGCTTACACTTACGGAGAAGGTCAATCTCACCACCGGTGTCGGTTGGGAGGGCGAGAAGTGCGTTGGCAACAACGGTGCTATTCCCCGCCTAGCCTTCAAGGCTATGTGTATGGAAGATTCTCCATTGGGTGTCCGTAACACCGACTTCAACTCTGCTTTCCCCGCCGGTGTAACGATCGCTGCTACATGGGACCGAGCTCTCTTCTACCAGCGTGGCTTTGGCATGGGCAGTGAGCACAGAGACAAGGGCGTGGACGTTCAACTCGGACCAGTGGTCGGCCCTATCGGCCGCTCTCCGGAAGGCGGCCGTAACTGGGAGGGTTTCTCGCCGGATCCGGTGCTGTCTGGTATTGGCGTGTTTGAGACTGTTCAAGGCATCCAGGCCGCAGGTGTCATGGCTTGCACGAAGCACTACATTGGAAACGAACAGGAGCATTTCCGTCAAGGCTCACCACCAGCCAGCCTCGGGGGGAACGCTATTAGCTCCAATATCGACGACATCACCATGCACGAGCTGTACTTGTGGCCGTTCGCCGACGCTATCCGCGCCGGCACGGCCAGCATTATGTGCTCGTACAACATGATCAACAACAGCTTTGCGTGCCAGAACTCGTACATTCAGAACTACCTCTTGAAGGATGAGCTTGGGTTCCAAGGCTTCATCATGAGCGATTGGTCGGCGCAGCACTCGGGTGTCAGCAGTGCTCTCGCAGGTCTTGATCAGACCATGCCAGGTGACGAGGGTTTCGACAGTGGTAACTCCTATTGGGGAGCGAACCTCACCATAGCTGTACTGAACGGCACAGTCCCACAATGGCGTCTTGACGACATGTGTGTCCGTATCATGGCGGCTTGGTACTACGTTGACCGCGAGAACAATCAAGTCCCTGACGCACCCAACTTCTCTGCATGGACGACGGACACCTTCGGCTACCAACATTTCTATGCGCGTGAGGCTTACACGCAGATCAACTGGCATGTAGACGTCCGCGACAACCACGCTCAAGAAATCCGAGCCCAGGCGGCTGCGGGCACTGTTGTACTCATGAACAAAGGCTCTCTCCCACTCACTGGGAAGGAAAAGTTGACCGCAGTCTTCGGCTCCGACGCTTCTGAGAATCAATATGGACCCAATGGCTGTCCTGACCGAGGCTGCGACATGGGAACGCTTGCCATGGGCTGGGGATCTGGCACTGCCAACTTCCCGTATCTCGTCACCCCACTCGAGGCGATCAAGGCACAAGTGCTCAGCAACGGCGGCGCCATCGAGGATGTGATTGATGACTATGCCTACGGGCAGATGACGGGCTTGGCTCGTCGGGTGACGCAAGTCGGAGGCGCATGCATTGCTTTTGGCAATGCAGACGCTGGCGAAGGTTACATCACCGTTGACAACAACGAGGGCGACCGCAACAACTTGACGGCGTGGCACAACTTTGACAGTCTTGTCGCCAACGTGACCAGCCAGTGCAACAACACTATCATCGTACTGCACACAGTTGGCCCTGTCCTGGTTGATGCCTGGTACCAGAACCCGAACGTCACGGCTATTGTCTGGGCTGGCATTCCCGGTCAGGAGTCTGGGAACTCCATCACCGACATTCTATACGGCAAGGTCAACCCAAGCGGCAAGACTCCGTTTACCTGGGGTAACTCTCGTGGTTCGTACGGCACCGACCTGCTGTACCAGCCCAACAACGGCAACCTCGCACCACAAGACAATTTCGAGGAAGGTGTATTCATCGACTACCGCTTCTTCGACAAGACCGGCGAGACTCCGATCTTCGAGTTTGGCCTCGGTCTGTCGTACACCACGTTCTCGTACTCTAACCTGCGCGTAACAGCAGTCGCTGCCCCAGCGTACACGGCTCCTGGTGGCAACACTGGTGCAGCGCCCACTTTCGGCACTGTAAGCAGCAACGCGGCGGACTACGTCTTCCCGGCGGGCTTCCACCAAGTACCGTATTACATTTACCCATTCCTCAACAGCACATCGCTTCGCGGTTCCAGCATGGATCCCCAGTACGCTATCAACTACACCTTCCCTGCCGGTGGGTATAACAGCAGTGCGCAGCCTTACCTTCCCGCCGGCGGTGCACCCGGAGGCAACCCACTCCTCTACAGTACGCTCTTCACCATCAGTGCCACCATCACGAATACCGGCAGGGTCGCGGGTGCCGAGGTGCCGCAGCTGTACCTCAGCTTGGGCGGACCAAATGACCCGAAGGTTGTACTAAGGAACTTCGACAAGCTCACAATTCAGCCGGGTGCGAGCGCTACCTTCACTGCGAACATAACCAGGAAGGATCTGAGCAACTGGAGCCCTGCTCTGCAAGACTGGTAAGTGCTACTGTGTCCTTACTACAGCTGGTTTTGTTCCATTGACACTCCTGTAGGTACATCAGCTGTTCCCCAAAGACTGCCTACGTTGGCAGCTCCAGCCGCAAGCTTCCACTCAGCGCTTCGCTTGACGTTAGCAGCTTCTGCTCGGGTAGCGGCACAGGGCCACTTGGGCCAAGCGGTAGCAGCAGCAGCTCTGGCATCCCCAGCACAACGTCGTCCCGTAGCTCCACCATGTCTACCTCCTATGCGAACTCTACGACCAGCCGGTCATCGACAAGCCCAAGCAGCTCTGCCAGTGGTGTCACCAGTAATAGCCCTCCGGTTTCTTCGACGACTCCTACTACCAGCGGCTCGCCGTCAGTCTCTTCGACCACCCCGGCTTCCAGCACCCGTCCTGCGTCTTCGACCACTCCAAGCGGAAGTGCTTCGCCGTCAGGCTCTTCCACCACGTCTGCCTCTGGCAGCACTGCCGCACCAGTGTCTGGATCACCAAGCAGCTCTCCATCCACCAGCCGCCCCACCACGACTGCCAGCGTCAGCCCTAGCAGTTCGTCCCCTGCAAGCGCCTCGCCCTCAAGCAGCCCGGCATCTCCGTCAGTCAGTGTCAGCCCTACCACCGGCCCCACTTCACCAAGTGCTTCGCCCTCCAGCACCGTCCCAGCGTCACCAAGCACCATGTCAACGACTGTGAGCGCCAGTGCGACCGTACCGTCTGGTTGGACCGTCACAGTGATCGACCAGGTCACAACCACGGTACCATGTGAGACCAACACCTGGGCCTACTCCTCGCACGGCTGGGCATAGCGCGCTCAGTCGACCGCGTCCGCCTTCTGCCTTGCTGCTACCGAACCTGGCCTCAACTCCTCATGCATGCCTAGTGCCTACTGTAATGTGTCAGTGCCAGCAGCGAACAATACGGCCGCGCTTGTCAGTCAAGTGAGAAAGAGCGTTGGAGCTGCATTGCGGATAAGGAGAACAGGCGGAAGGCAACGGCGGATATCGTTCGTCGATTAGGAACTAGTTGCGGTTGTCCTCTTTTTATGAGATTCTGGTTAACGACGGTATGAGATGATGCTGTATATACCTTGGCACATAATGATGCATTGAGCATGCAAATTCCTAGGGGTGTTGAACGAGTTTGTGTCACTCAAGCTCGAATGAACCGTCTTATTCGTAGTATCTACAGCTTGTCTGCGAGCACGAAGCCATAGTAGAGCATGGCAACCAAGCCAATTACATTGGCTAGCGATGAGGCACCGTGCAGCACACCGAAGGAGGAGTTCAGCCTTTGCATCTCCGGCGACTTCGGTCCCGGATCGTAGTACTTTTTGCCGTCTCTGGTTTCTGGAATATTGTCAGTCGCTCTTCTCCAGCATACTCATCGCATATGCTCGCGGTCCAGAAGCGTTCGATGAACGTGCCTTGATGCTTCCTCTCCTTCATCACTCGTGTAGTTGCGGGACCCAGCACAAGCAGGTTCAGCAAGCTGGTGCCGAACATTGTCACGATGGGAATCATGGCGACCCAAACATTATCACCTTCTAAGAGGCCTCTTGGTCCTGCATTCTGCCGCAGCGCAGCTCCTCCAATCCCAGCCAGCTGCTCACCCGGCCATGTCGCCGCCAAGACAAGAGGCAGTGCGGTCTGGAAAGTGAAGTAGGGTGGGAAGATAGCAGTCTGCAGCGTACTGAACTGCGGTCGCGGAAGCACCTTGAATGCTAGCGGGCCGTTGAGGAAGGTCTGGAAGATGTTGCTGCCGAGGAGAGTGCCGTAGGTGAGAATGTGGTAGGACTTGGGATCGGAGAGGGAGGCGAGAGAAGGCATGATGGCGTTGTTGCGGGCGAAGAGCGAGTGAGTGAGATGGGAAGAGATCCTCTGGAATACTTATTACCCTTCTGCCTTCATGTGAAGCAGTGGTTGAATGAACGGTGGAGCTAGTCCGAACAGAAACACCAACGCACGCGAGCGCAGAGCTCTTGATGTCATGCATTCGGCATGAGGCCAGTCAAGCCGAACCGCTCGCGAGGAAGGTCACGTGGTCTTATGCCGAGCACAGTTGAGAACATAACATGGACGCTTTATATGCGTTTGTCGTTTGGAAATCTGTGCGGACGACATGAGAGCTGACGACGCAAGGATCGCGAGTATGAGAGGGCCATTGATTCCTTCTGTCTGCGGCTCTGGGCCAGCTAACACATAAAGTACAGGTTACCACCAAGTAGGAAAGCATCAGTCAAGCACTCCTTTCCCATCCCAATGACAACACCATTGCCTTACTTTTACCCACCTGGATGATCGCCATCTGCCGTTCCGCAACGCCGATGCTTGTAGGATCACACGCTGTATTAAGTGAAGGTTGTCATCGTAAGCTAAGGAGAGCATAACTGTTGGTGTAAGGTAATTGTCTTGTAAGTTCATCTTCTGCATCTCAACATGTTTTTGTAGGTTTGTGTACTGGTGTGCTGTATGATTAGCGCTCCCGAGACATTTCGTCCGCGTAGCCGCCTCGGCGAGCCGCATCTCTCTGCGTCTCAGTCACCTGGCTTCGAACCCAAGTGTCAATCTCAGCGTGCCTGTCGAAGTTGTTGAGGACCGCACCGCTGCGCCAATTGCTGCTGGCTGAGCCACGGTGATTGAATGGGTCAAGGCCGGTGGAGGGACTTGGAGCCGGGCGGTACTGACGCGCGCGCTCGTTGCCTGCCTCTGCTGACGGCGGCTGCCCGAAATTGTTGGCGGCGGTGTATGACGAAGACGCGTTACCGTTGGAGCGAGGACGAGCGGTTCCGATGGGTTGCGGCGGACCTGCGTCTTGACGGCCAAGACCACGAGCCGCGGGGTTGACTGAGGAGCTGCTTGGGTTCCACGGGTATTGCGAGAAGGCGCTGTTCAGCGGAGAAGATGCGACGCCGGGGGTTGGAGAGTGAAAGCCGTTGAACGCGCTTTGCTGCCAATAATTTCCCATGAACGAGTTGGCGTGCTGCGACGCGCCGGCGGTGGTGGCCGGAGTTGGTGACAAGATGTTTGTCATGGCATTGGTGAGGTCATTAGCGTTCTGCTCACTGTTGCCGCTACGATCGTAGTAATAGGCATAATCAGTTTGCATACCGGTCGGTACGGTACCCGGCGGCATGGTTGGCATCGGGCTGGTCGCGTTCGACGCAGGATGGAACACGGCCGCAGTCGGAGTGAAGGCATTGCTGCCGGCTGCCTGCCCGTTGTTGGCTGATGGAAAGCTGTTCGCAATGCCGGGGATGCTTGGATAATTGGGATCATACGCGCCAATCTGGTATGGAGGAATGGCTCCGTATGGGTCAGGGTCGGGGCCATAAGCCATAGCGTAGGTGTTATCCATGGGGCCATTGTAGGCGACCACGGCACCGGGACCGATACCGCTTGGCGGCTGCCCCTGAGCGTGCTGCGAGAAGCTGGCTGGGTTGACAGCGCTCAGCCAAATGCGCGTCTTGTAGATGCGATAGAGCTCCGCGATGAGCGGCTTGAAGTCAATGTAGTGGTCGGCGTAATAGTAGAATATGATCTTCTGGAAGTCCCTGTTCACGCTTGTCAGTAAGGCAATATCGGTAAGAGGACTTCAGGGACGACGTACCACTGCCACTCGGCATCAAGAATCTCCATCTGGAGGTGAAGGTGGGCGACCTTCTGCTGGCACGTGCGCTTGGCCTTGGCCTCATTGCCCTCTTTCTCGGCGAGCATCTTGATCTCATGAGCGCTTGCAAGTCTCTTGATTGCTTTCGGCTTCAGGTTGGTGTAATTTTCCCGCGGCATGCCCTGCATCGCGGGAGGCGCGTTTGTGAATAGGCCTTGGGGAGCGCTATTTTCGCCATAGACGCGTGCGTTGGGGTTGTTCCGATTGGGATCGTTGTTGACGCTGAACATCATAAGCCACTTGTATTGCTCCTCTGCATACTTGCGCTTGTAGATGCGCGCTTCGTCTGGAGTCACGTTCGCGTGCTGAACCGTGCCAAGGTCTTGGCCGCGGTCTGCTTCGACGATGACCAGATCTCCGACGCGTATATTGAGTCCAGTGCCCTCGAGCAGGTGGAAAACGTCAACCCGTGCATTTTTGAAGCTTACGACGTAGAGTACTTTGCGTAGGCGGGGAGTGGCGGGGATGCCGTAGCCATTTTGATTGTTTCGGCGCAGTCCTTCATCTATGATGGTGTCGCCGGTGCCGACCACAAGAGACACGTCGACGAAAGGCACTCTATAGCTCGCTGGGATGTGGAAATTCATTCTCGTAGGGTCTTCGTTGTGTCGCATGTCTGTTTGTGTTTCCTGTTAGTGTGTGTTCGGTCAGAGAGATGGTAGATGTAACGCCTTTCTTTGAGGTCAGGCCGTGAGAGAATCGGAACGCGTTTTGTAGGGACTAAGAGCGTCTTGTGAGACGGAGCTAGGACCTATATAGGTCGCTCTTTCCGCAGCAGTGAAGAAAGTAGAGTGAAGTTTGCTCGGTGACGGAGCAGTGACATGGGGCTGGAGGGTAGGGCAGGGCAGGGCACAAACAAGCTTACCACGAACGAGTTCACGAGGAGGCTCCTTCTCAATTGCTGTTGGGTTGGCGCGGGAGTGTGCGCTGCTCTGTAGGACGGGATGACCGATCCGCAATGGCTGGTGCTTTGGCCGTGATGGCATGCAGCCCATTGTGTCCTCTTGGTCGAACGAGTTGCGCCTGGTGGGAATCTCGGCAAGAGAGTGGCGACGAGACTCGTTGATAGGCGCGATCCCGAATCCCAAGTTGCTCTCCCACTGTGTGCGGCGGTGCGGGGCGTCTGGTGCTTCTGATTAGCCCGCTGGTTCCTCCAGCAAGTCCCAGATGGAAGCTACAATGCAACTCACCAATTGTCAAATTAGCAAACGCCGCATCAAACCGATCGTCGTCCTTACTTCCCCGTAGACCAGCGGGAAACCCGTTGTGCTGTTCTTCTTCTTCACCATATAACGCATACAATCGATCGTAAGCCGCTGAATAGGTGGATGCCCTTTGTAGAGCCCCGAGGGGCGGATGAGACACCGTCTGAGCCAACGGCCCCCCCATTTCGGAGTCAGGCTCCGCATCCACCTCCTCCAGATTTGCCAGTAGGCTGGTAGGGAGCGCCGCGCCTTCGCCAGACCCTGGGCTCGCAAGCCTGCTCAAAGCTGGCTGCGACGCTTCCCTTTGGCCTTGAGAATGCGACAACGATCTGTGCACCTTTTGAGTCGGCTGCAACGGTATCGCAAACGGGAGGGAATCGGCCCCTTCGCTAACAGACGGCGAAGGCGTGTTGGCCGTCCTCAAGGAGCTCGGCGGATTGGACGCGCCCAGGCGAGCTTCCCGCGCCGCATTTCGCTGCGCGGCTTCCGACAGCTTGAAACTGCCGCGCTTCTGCGACGAGGTCGACCAGATATTGCCAGGTAGCCCAGGTACTCCATTTTCCTTTCTCGGAAGACTGCCAAAAGAGGTGGAGGAGGGCCAGGGCCGCTCGTCCTCGGAGGAGGCCACGGCATCCGACTCGGGCGTGCCGCCTCTACGTACACCCTTCGCACAGTATTAGCACCTGAACATCGACATCCTGACGGTACAAACTATACCACATGACTCACATTCATCATGAATACAGCAGAAAATTATAGGGCAAAGGACGCAATAATACTAGAGCGCAGTCAGCAATACCACCCTCAACAAGCGCGCAACATAGCAGAAACGGCACCAGCAATACAATAGTAGCCTCCTGAAGAGCTCTGTCAGAGCCGGCGGCCGCAAGCAAGGCGGGTATGAGACCAGTAGCAGCAAGCACTATGGGTGCGGCAAACAATGTTAGGTTCACAGGGCGCGAGACTCGTTGCCACGTTCGCACCGTATTACCAGAGCATGCAGCTGGATATAAGCTCATGACAACCGCCCATCTATGCTATGCACCTATACGGTGAAGCCTACAGTCGTCGACTCAAGCGCATGATCAAATCTCATGCTGCGGGCTGGCGTGAGTGCTATGCTCGAAGTCTTGTATTCCAACCTGCCGCAATGCTAGGGTGGCAATGAGCTCCTCAGGTCGCCACTCCGGACAAGGCTAAGCCAGCGAAGGACGACGACATTTTCACGAACTCCGCCATTCTGATGGCATTTGGACCGCTGCCACGCCAGACACGGAGTCTGGAAGCTTGAGTCGTGCAGAATCCTGGTCCAGATGCTGGCGTGCAGCAAGTCCCAGAGAGGCCAGGCAACGGCGCATACCCAGAGTGCTGGTGTTGCCCACGGAGAACGAGAGAGCTTATACGTACCGAAAAGCAACTCCTGTAGGTTTCAAGGTCGATCCAAGCTCCAGTCTATGTCTACAATGTCGATGCTACAGAACATCAGCGGAAATTGCTGGTAGTACCACGCAACAACACACACCTCGGATGTCTCCTGGTGTTATACTACATGTCCAAAGGAAGCAGAAATGTCGTCTATACTGGAAGCAGGTCTGCGCACAAGGTTAGCCTAAGCTGCTTGTCGCAAAGCTCGATCGTTTGCGAGGACCGTTGCAGACCTAATCGCATTGTCAAACGCCCCGTAATACTGCCAATCTATACCGAGTGTGCGAATAGAGTTGTTCGAAAGCTGTCGTGTGCTCACATGGAGGAAGAGTGCGATTCAGCAGCGCTTAAAGCGCTCTGGTGAGGTTCGGCCCTTGCAACGGTGGTGTGCGGAGAAGATGAGATGTGGGGAAAGCGTGCCCGCCACGCGATCGCCCAAGAACGGGTCGTTAGCTGTTGTCGATCCTTCGTTGACGGTCTTGGTCTGGAACGCTTTTCAGGGTTGCAACGCTTTCCAGAAGCCTCGAGTGCGTGATGACTCTCTTGCGAGTCTCGAAGAGGTCAAAAAGGACCCTTTGTACTACGAAAAGAGGACAGACTATAGCGGCACAAATGCTGTGGGGATAGCGCCGCCAGACGAACGAACCACGGGTTGGCGCCGTTGACGGCCGGCTATGGGTAAGCTCTGAACAGGAAGACGTCCGTGTGCCGCACCTTTTCTGATCGGTCGGCTTTCGTCTTGTCGCCCCGCAAGGCTTTCTGGGCGAACAACAGTCTTTCTGCCAACCGTCTTGCAGCGCTTCGAGCAACGGTTCTCGATAACGACTGAAGCGGCATGAGACGCACGCAGCTAAGTAGCGGGCAGCTGCACCCTTGTGACCCGCTCCGTCTTGTGTTGGTCTAGCCTAGCACCAGGGGCTGTTTGAAATGCGGAGAAAGAGGGATGGAGCAGCAGGGACACCATCGTGACCTTCTGCGTCCTGTCTACCTGGTGACATCTTTTCTCCTCACAGGCACGGATACAGTACCTTATTCGGCTCGCGATCTAGCCGATTAGGTCTCATGCATACACACTGCACGATACGCCAGTCCAGGGTGTCAAACCATACTCTGAGGTGTCACACCATACTCTGAGCTGCGGCGTGGACTGAGCTCGATCTCCATGAAATCAGTATGTGACCACCACGAGCTCGAAGCGTATCGAGTCTCAGGCAACAGGTACTGGGCCTCTTCTCCGCAGCCTGGCCAATCACCGCCTTGATCGATCGTCCTTTAGCTGGGCGCTTACGCGATTCTTTTGGCGTTGACGGTGTTAGTTTGGCGATGCTGTATAACGCAATATGGATGCCGCCATCGAGACCATACACACCCAGATGCGGACCGGCACTCGGCCAGCACTGACTACCATAGTGTAGCCATCCAGCTGTTTGATCTTGCTCTTGTGACAGATCGCAGTGTTGTGCTTCCTCCGTGGCTGCTCAATACTTGGCTACATGCGCCGTGAGCGAGCGTGAAGCTACCGCATGCGATCACACGACAATGGCGCTCCTACCGTGGCTGCAGCTGTATGACTACAGACCAAATGCGGAGAAGCTGGTCGAGGTTGTGCAATGTCTGTGCCAAGTATAATTCCACTCGCACCAACCGAGCAAGTGCTTGGTGTCGGGCTTGGTTTCTGCCAAGCCAACAGCGACTTCAACGCGCAGGTTGTTCCTGGTTGAGTGCGATTTGTCTAGCGACTCGCATCGGCTGCTTCGGCTCATAGAATGCTTTCCGCCAGCGTGCGAGCCTGCAAGTCGAGGTCTGTCGCTGCCTTGCATCAATGCATGGTTGGCAGAGGAAGACCACGACGTCCACACGGCGTGGGACACTCTCGCTTGCCACCCTGCAGGTGTGACACGCACCCAGCGTGCTCGCGCGCGACGAGTCGTATTTCAATTTCACAACCTAAGGCTTCGACGTCCTCTATGATCTGGTATCGAGCGACAATGAGTTGGCGTATGGGCGGTGGGCGAGCGCGATGCCTTGGCTTCGCTACAGGCCAAGTCATTCTCCTGATAATATGTCCATGACTTCCCGCTCTCTGCTTGCTTGTCGACCTTTCTACGGTGATCTCAAGCGTGTCGTCCACACTCTGCACTGAATGTGCTGCTCGTCGTCTCGAAGCAGGGGCGGTGGAGGGCTTCGAGGGAGCCGCAGAGGCGATGAAGAAGGGGCAGGCGCACACCTGAAGCCTACCTCGTCGGTGAATGCATGTGGTCTTATGGGTCGATTTCAAGGCTTTCCCATGTGCCCGAGGAGTGCTGATTCGTTTCTGACCATGCCACTGACTTCAAGAGGGCTGACTCTTAAATTCGGCGCGTATAGCGAAGCCAGTGTCATCCCGCGAGTCAATCTCAAGAGTCGAAATGGGTCACGACGAAGGCACAAACAAACGAACAAGCTACCACTGGGGGTTACACATGGATTTACTCTCACCTCTACAACCTTAACATCAACCGTAAAAGCTCACAACAGCAGTAATAGCGCAGCCTACCACCCTGAGCAATATATCCTGCAATTTTGGTCAGCTGATGGACATGCTGACGTCCCCATAGAACGGCCATGTCGGGCATGTAGTCAAGCAGCTATTGTCCGAGACGACATTGATCATGTGGCGCTGTTCCCCTTGCGGCCTTGGGGGCTTTATGCAAATCTGGGAGTGCATGGGATGCAAGAAGAAGTGTTGCGGGGAGTGTACGCGCCGCCTGGCGCGTCAAGAATAAGATGGCACGCCGGCCAAGCAAGGGACAAGGACTGGCATGGACGCTCGAAAAAGCTGCAGCAGACAGCCAGATGAGAAGTACATCCATTCCCACTTCGCTATCCCATATCGGAACACCTCCCCACGGACATTCGAGTGCCTGAGCTGTGGAGTGAGGTGATGAAAGTCCATGATACGGATTCTGGTACTTGGAAAGCTGGCCGCTGCTCCACCGTTTCCTAAGTCATGAATGTTCATTAGGACATCGTGGAATGGTAGGCAGCTAACCAAAAATGTGTTCTAGAGGGCACCGTACCTCCCATGTTAGCATCCCGAAACCGTAAGTCGTGGAATGAGCAGCCAAAGTGACAACAGATATTGATACACTGGCTATCGAATTAGGATACACAGCATGCTGAAAGCACGATCTCACATCCATTGCTTATGAACAAGGCAGCCATGGTGTCCGTCAAACCGTACATACATGTTGTCACGTTGGGTGCACTATGAAGACAAAGCTGAGCGTATATAGGTGCCGGCTATCCTCAAGCCTACAAACACTACCCTAAGCCGCTAAGCGGACGATGCGAATCATCAATGAACCGGAGAACCTTAGAGATATCTCGAGTATGGCGTTCCATCCACAAATGTTCCTAGTGCACCATCTCAAAGTTAGAGCGCCTTTGCGAACAGCTATTGGCTGCGTCAAGTGTTCAAGTGCTCCTACGTGATTGGGAACATCCCTCAATCCCAAGCTATATTCCAACGTCTGCGTCTCTGCCTTTATGCTCCTTTCGCTCGCATCGCCTGCTACAAGCTCCACGCTGCCAAGCGGGGATGTCGCAGCCGCATTCAGACTTGCATAAGGCAGCTAATGAGATGGAGTATGAAACGGATGACTGATTACAGTAAATGTTGTAAGTCTGCTCTAGCGTCTACCATGCATGACGTGGCGATCCAGCGCCACCCATTTTGACACCATTACATAGCCTATTCGTACACTTCTTGGTCGTTACAAACCCAGCCATCGCCATGCACTAAGATCTCTGTCTGCCTGGATGCAATGCTTGCAAAGAAAAGACGTTTTCTCCATCGCGTCGTGATTACAAACAAGAAAATCATTACCACTTGATCATCGGGCGTGCCGATGTAACGTTCTATCCACGATCATTGCTCGTGTTCCCAACACTCACCCGCTGAACAACACACAGCGTGGTGTGTTGCAGTTCGTCTCCCAACAAGCCGGACAGGCCGGTAAGTCCGGTTAAAAGCGAGCCGAGTACTCTCCGAGCGGTCGCCAAGAGTGAGTTCGAAACATTTCAGAACTTCATAATTTTCGGCTTACGCCACCGACTCACGCTGCATGATGCAGGTCGCCGCTCGGACGACAAAGAATCCGTCTGCAGTGCATTGTATTGCTGGCCATACAACCTGCGTACTCGTGTTGCTGCCGTTTGTGCTGTTGTTCAGTATACTGCCAAGGCAGCTGAGCCTCGAAGCATTCGTCATCTCGGCCGCGAATAGGCGCTGTATGGCGCTCGTGATTACAGCTGCGCTGACATTCGCGAATCTAGTTGCCTTGCTCGAACGATTTGATTGCGTAGAGCACACTCCACCGTCATTCTTCATCGGCTGAGACCAGTTCAGTCACGGCCACGCTTCCGTCTACCAAGCTCCTCCACTTCAGGGTGGACCACGCGCATATGCCTCGTGAGCGCGTCGTTGCGCGAGAATGTCTTCTCGTCCCGACACATAGGACACCTGACCTTCTGCTTACGGTTGTTGTGTATCGTATCCTCGTGACGAGTCAGATCGTACGGCCTTGAGAAGATCGTGCCACAAGGCTTGCCGGTGGAAGGATTAGTTCGCATGCACTTATGCGGGCCGGCCTGAGAGTTGCGAGCCGCAAGTGCAGCGGAGGTCAGCCCAGCGCCAGCTGGCCCAGGTGAATCCGTAGGCGGTGGCGATGTCGAGGCTTCCGCTGATGACGCGGTGCCGCTGCCATCCCTATGACGTTGCTGGGAGCGGTGATAGTCTCGCTTGTGCCTCTGTAGACTTGCTGGTGACTCGAAGCGCTGGGTGCAGCCGTGGTATGTGCAAGTGTACGTGCCGGTAGCCGCGCGTGTGTCCGAAGGTCGCGTGAGTGCTGAAGTGATCATCGTACTGTCTTGTGACGAAACCGGTGGGCCGTTGTCGCTGATGGACGACTCCATAGTAGTAAGGTGAGCCGGAAACTCCGGTGTTGAATCCATCTTCGGTGCCGCGTAAGTGTTATCGAAACTTGTTCCATTTTGTAGAAGGCTTTGACCAGATGGTGGCAAACCGCCAAAGTTTATAGCGTCACCACCGGGCAAGCCGTCAGCTGATTGAGTGGCGCGAAAGTTGGCGTAGGACTGCTGACTTGGCGCCTGGAGGTTGCCAAAGGCCGCTCCCGACTGGCTATAGTAGTTGCTTGGCCACTGCTCTGTGGCACCGTTATGCGGCTTATAGCCTGCTGGAATGGAGTCCTGGAACAGTGATGGTTGCTCCGGTCCGTCGTAATCCAGCACAGCATCTTTCGGTGAAATGGTTTTAGTGGGCTCGCGTTGCAGCGGTGGCATGTGCTGTAGTAGCTCTGCTTGATCGGCCTGTTCCTTCTGTTGGTGCCTAAGACTGGCAGCTGTTCCTACTCCTGGGCCCGGAGATCGCCACCCTCCAAGTGGAGCGAGCGGTGAACCATCCCTAAAAGGAGAGCGCTCACGTGATAACGAAGATGTCGGTGAGTGTGATCGCGCGATGTTCGCCGTTTGTAACCGCTCTGTCACCAGGTTCCGGTGTGGCGAGAGGAAAGTGCTTGCTGGCTTGACGGCAGGTGCTGCGCTGTACGACGTCGTTGGGGGGTTGTACAACTCATCTTGGTATGCTTGCGACTCGGTTCTCCAAAGGTGTACGTTTGGATTCTGTTGCTGATCTAGATCGTTGAAAAGTAAGCAATCGTAATCGGCCGCTACTTTCTTCGACAAGATCTTACCGTTCTGTGGCAAGGCGTGTTGGCCGGTGTGCGACATGTCGCCCACGTGGGACTGTGGGGTCACTGGCGAGTCGTTGCCGTTGGTCGACATAGTCCGGGAAGAGTATGCGGGCTCGGGCGCAAAGTCTCGATTGTGGTAATCGATCAAGAACCCTTTCATAGCCTGGTGCGCAGCCCCTGTGTGCGCGGCTTGACTCGGCAGGTAACCGCCACCGAGGAACACACTGTCTGTCGGGGTCTGCGAGGGTGTAGGTAGATTCTTCGAGAAGCCACCGATCGCTTGATCAGCGAATTGGGCTGGCGAATGCGGTGCAAAGTCGGTGTTTGCGATGTGCGGATTGCTGAAGTTGTGCGTGTACGGTGATGCCGGACCGTTGCTCGCAACTGTCGATGCCGAAGGTGTCCGTTGGTGTGTTCTTGCTCTCTTCAAGCCGTGCGAATGCGATGATACGGCCGAAACGCCATTGCCGTTGAACATCTGCCAGTCGTCGTACGTGTGGTACGATACAGGAGGAGTGGCAAAAGCCGCCGGAGTCGGCGTGGATCGTTGCAGCACTATGTCCGGGTTACACAGTTGGAAGTCGAAGTTTTGCATACAGCGGATCGGTGTGGGTTGTTGAAGCAATGCCAATGCGTGCGTAATTATTGCTGAGTCGTTGTATTGCGCGGTCGGAGTGATAGGATGTGTTGGATGTGATGATGGGTAATAGGAGGGCTCGTTCTCGTAACCGTAAGGAGTGAGTAAGGTCGTATGCTCGTGTGAGAAGTAACCGCAATCCGAATTGTCCGTGGATGACGCGATTATTTGTTCGAGGCATGACATCTTCCGCGCAGGGACCGCCAAGGCCGCTTTCCAAATGAAAAGCCGCCGTCCGGAAGTGGTTGCCGCGAAGTCAAATTGGTAAGCGGGCGTCGAGAGCGTTGTTACTTCGCTGCGGTCTCGTATGCTAACACCTCAACATGGAACCAGATAGCGACGGTCGGCGAGAGCAAGTCCTTAAGGGATAGCTATACAAGACTTGACCAGCGGATGTCGGCCGGCTTTGATATGACTGCAAAGCGGCATGCAGCAGTCGGCGCACGATCGGCCTACAATTGCCTGTTCGAGACGAACACAGCCACGCTTCCAGAGCAGATCCCATGCAGGCCAGGGGGCCTGCAGGTACACATTCACTGTACTAGCGATTTGCATCTGCCGAGGCGTGCACTATCAGTCGATGGAGTTCTGCGAGCTTCGCACGGTGACAAGTCGAGCGAGCAGTCCGGCACACTCACTATCCGGCGGGTAGAAGGGAGCATTCACTCGCAGACTCCGCACTGGGGACCATCACCCGCTTCGTACGGGCTATTGCTGTCCGGCAAGCCTACCTCAGTACGACAATGACTCGCTGTCAATTCACCATGCTTTGTCGCTTTACTGCAGACCGGCACCCACTCACCCACTGAACCGTACACGTCTCGCATGGAACAAACTGCGCCTCGTGCAGCTTGCGTAAGGTGTACAGTGGGATGATCTGAGCTGGTCATCTTGAATCATGGTACTCATCTCGCAGGCCGAAGCAGCTCTGGTTGGCTACTTTTTCTGCAATGCTGCAGAAGAGTGACTGCTGTCATTCGATTGATCCGCAGCTGCTCTGTTTCATGTTATCATGGGTTCTCGACACTCCGTCCAAGATGTCATAGCCAGTGGCATGAACTTGTGCTTCGAGTCTGATCGTCCTGCATCGTCACCCACCCAACCGTTTGCTGTATCCAGCTATCCACCACCGTGACATACAGACACATCGGATTTCGGACACGCCTAGGAAATGCCTTTCACGCTGACAACTGTACAGGCGCCATTGCATCTGCCAAGATACCTCTTCTGACCGATGCAACGTACGCTGTGTGGAGGAGGGATTGGAAGATTTTGCTTCTCCAGAGCCGCATGGCGTATGAGGCTGGTGAATCTGCACCTTGAGCGTGTACTTACCACGAAAGGCATAGCGAACCTCTCCGCACTCACCCGAAAGATCAGCTATTGCACGAATTAGGTCTAGCCGTCCTAGTAAGCTTTTCCTCAGCCACAGCATACAGATTTGCTTTGTGGCTTGACTCGATGCATCCCCACAGAAGTCGGCGTCCGCCGAAGTCTACCAAACTTTCAACGTTCCAGGCCCATCTGCTTGGCTTCTCATGACTCCTTACATTTCCATCACAGCTGACAGTTACTGTAATTTCTGGATAAGGCTTCGACCTTCCAACTTCGATATTCTTTCACCTTACCTCACGCATAGCCCCGTCGTCTGCGACTGCTCATGATCTATGAAGTGGCGAAGAATCCGCATGATGACAGTCCTCGATCATTGGCATAGCGCTTCTGGTGTATGCACACGCATACGCACCTCAGATACATACTGCTGTGACTGAAACAAGCGATCCTAGAGAGCATTCCAACAATAGCAGCAAAGACTGGAGAATGCTGCAAAAGAAGTTGCTAGCGTCGGAGGTGTTGACATACAGGGCAATGATCATCAGCCGATCAGCCGGGTAGGGCAGGAACGCTCGGTAGCTGGCAAGCGAACGCACTAATATGAACAGGCATGTTGACTTCGTCCCGTGTCTTCTCCGCACAAAGATATGAATAGTATCTATATCGCCTTCTGAACATCATACTGGACGCATTCGAGCAGCCTTCAAGAGTTTCAGGCCCTCAGTGCTGTAAATAGCATGCTCGCGTGGGTTATCGGAACGCGCATTGTGGGGGATGAATGATAACGGCTTCCGATCCCGACGTGCGGCCTGCACTCCATACTCCGTATGTTCTCCTGCCATCTTCGAATCATGCCGCCAAAATATGGTTGGACTGCTGTGTATCGACAAACGCTTACAATAATAGTATCCTGTGCGTCTATCACAATCCATCTGACTCGAGCGTATGATGTGGCAACAGGAGATCTCGAATCGAAGCGCTCGTGGTAGCACGTGAGAGTATGTAGGAAGGACTTTGTCGCCTTCAATGTTCCAGAGTAGATCCGCAGACACCTCGATCACCCATGCTTGCTCGCTTGAAAAGCCACCAATGTGCTAAGAAGGCAGAGACTCACGATGCGGTTAACACAAAGCCAGCCATAGTCGACCCACCGGCGGAGACCCAGTCACCAACTTGTTCGATTGCTAAATGCATCCAATGTGTGGTCTGGCATGTCCACTGAGCGGCTGACAGATCGCAAGCGGTAGCTCCAGTACGCATCGGCGACGAAACTCTGGACAGATCGTTCGGGATCCAAAAGCAGTCTCGACCAAAGCAACCCGCCGTGCGAGACTGTCAATACCGCCTACCCAGCAGATACGACCGTGGTGGGCGAGAGCAAATCTGCACTAGCCTTTCGACTACCGCCCACACCGCGTGCAAGCACCTCAAGCCGAGAAGCTTGAACGCGGTGCTTCTGCATAACCTGCACCCACTCTGCCTCTTCGTCTGCGTACCCTAGGCTCAATTCATCGTCCCTTAGTTCGTCCTCGAGCAAGGCAACCATCATGCCGAAATCTGCGCCCAGCCTTCCGAGGCTGCCAGCGCAATATAGTACCTGTGTCCACAACGATTCCCGTGCGGATTTGTCTATAACGTTCGGCATGTACTCCCGCAGCGACGCCTTGAACAGATCCACAAGATGCAATGCGAAGGATGAGAGCGGTGACGGTGGTGGTGACAACGCACTTGCCAACCGGGTTGATGTTGTGTTTGCGCCTTGCTCGGCTGCAGGCAGATGCGATGGGAAGATGTTCTTGTACATGCTGATGATGGCAAAGCTCTGCTCGCGGAAGATCTCAATATATCGCTTCAGATAGCGCTCACTCTGACTTCCATGTGCGGCGCTTTGTGTCGAAGCCTTAGCCTTCGAGCCGTTTGATGCTTGTGGTTTTCGCACGCTCTCCTGATCTGCCAGCGCACGTAAAGGTTCAAGAGCATCAAGAGTCGTGTGTAACATGCGAAGACGGCAAACCAGGAAGAGCGAGCCAAGGACACTGTCGGACGAGGTCACAGGAGAGGAGAAATCGACTGAGTTGATTGACAAGGAAGAAGGCTGCGCGGACCGGGACCTATCATCTGCTAGGTCTGGTGCAACTCGTCGTAGCCACCCAACCGTTCGCATGGCAGCAGCCAGCTTCAGCGACGGACTTTGCAGGGAAGTGATGAGTATAGTCGTAAGATTCTGGATCTCAGCCTCTGCCTGCCGCGAGATGTTCCTTACAAGGTCTGACTGCGGATACAGGGTTTTCAAGCGCTTGATGTGGGCATATATGTCCAGCGCCGACGCATACGACGTCGTAGCAGTTGTAGTTGAGCTAGTAGCTAGACTTTGTGCTGCAGCGACTGAAGACGAGAGCAGTGAAGGCAACTCTAGCACATCCGATACCCTGTCTACGTTGCGTGACAGCAGCAGGGCGTTCTTCCGCCGGTCCAAGGCTGCATCTTCGGCAGATCGATTATACTTCTGCGCAAAATTGGAAGATGAGCGCTCCAAATCTGGTACAGTTTCGTGGAGGTCTGAAGCCCGTGCCTGAAGCTGCGGTAGGAGCGTCGTGAGGTGTGAAAGGTGCGAGGTAGACGCGATTACAGCTTTATGGGAGCGCTTTGAGAGCGCTTGAAGGTTGCGAAGATGAGATTGCGCCGCATGTAGGAGTGAGTCCGGCTCGTTCGATACCAGATCTTCCAGCGAGAGGGTGCTCAGACGGCTGAGATAGGTATCCGACTGTGCATCACGGCTGGAAGAGAGGCCAAGCAATTCGTGGAGGTCTGACATCGCATCCCAGTCCGTGTGTCTGTCTTTGAGGTTAGGAGTCTACGAAGGTGTTGTCTCTCCAAAGCCCTGGCCCTTGTACAGGCCACGTGAAAGTGGGTTCGGAATCTGGGACCAAGGGCCGTGCTTGCCTTTTTACGCGGCAAGACAAACTCGATATTTGCCATCCTCCATACTGCGGAAATTAAAAATTGGTTCTTCGATACGCCGGAACAACCGGACTCCGATCCATATTGGAGCAGCGTGCGCACCTCACACCTGGCTGGTGGACCACAGTCTTTTCCGCCAGAGTGCACCCTCGATGGACAGGCTTCTATACCCGGACGACTTGGTTGCAAAGCGGACTGACGAAACCAAGCTCGGCATCGTTGAACGGACACATTCCGACGTCGATTCTCACAGCCCACACCCACAGCGTGGCGAAGAATTCCGTATAAAGCGTGATCGAGACATAAGTGGGCGTACTTTTCGGAAGTTTCTTAAGGACGGAGTGCCACCAAAGGGTACAGTCCTGGTACGGTGGCATGATGATCAGAGAGTTAAGCTGGTGCTCTCGCAGAAACTCAAGCTGCTAGAACGCGTGCTACTGATTGGGGATGTCGTCAAGAAGGACGCTAAGGATGCGATCAGTGGCGTTGTCCTCAATACGTTCACTCGCTGCAGTCTGCAGCCTCTGCACGACGTTGTATACCGAGACAAGCACGTGTTGAAAGGCTTCTTCCCCTCAGACATTCCTGATGACAGCTGGAAGCGTCCGTCTACGGGAGTGCCTCCGCCTCTACTTGAGATACCCGCTTCAGAGCTGAGATCTTCCGAGACAATTGTGGAAGAAGACATCATCGTCTACGAGGACTGGATTGGCTCTGTTGCCAGCATACTTTCCCAAGTCACGCTCAGGCTCGCGGACAACTGCGTGGTAGAGATTAGTGACGAGCTCATAGAGCACCCAGACGAGTCTGCTCTCGGTACTTTTGTTACAGGCGACGTTGTCGAGGCGAAGAAGGGTGATCTGCGCGCTCGTGGACGCTGGATCTTTGGCTCATATAGCCCCAATACACCACCGATCGGTACCGTGGTTGCTACGAGGCCTACAGGCGTGGAAGTCGATTGGCTTCAGAGAAGGATCGGAAGTACCCAAGGCGCTGAGCCGTCGAGTGTACTTGAGCGTCATGAGCTCGAGTCACCGTCTTTCCGGGTGTATGAACGTGCGCGACCTGGCCCCAGACCACCCGTTGGGCTGTCGCATACAACCACTGTATCGCAGTCCGACATTGACGTCCAGCTGGGGATGCGGGTGCGGTTCAGGGACCTTAGTGGTGCATGTGTCAAGTACGACGGCTCGAGAGCGAACGGTAAGCTATCCCGCATCGACCGAAGTACCACGCTAGGCTATGACCTGAATGTCTTCGATGTTACAAGTTTTGAGACAGACGTCACCGTTCAGTGGCAGGACCTCAGCATAACAAAGGAGCGAAGTATCGATCTGGTGCCTGACCAGTCTATTGACGACGAACACTCCGCCTGGCCTGGTGAGGTCGCGCATACACTCGATCTCCAAGATGTACCAAACTTGCCAGGTGTCAGGCAGCCAAGTAAGGTGGGCGTCGTGCAAAGCGTGAACGCCACAGATCGCATGGCGCGCATTAAGTGGTGTCTAGACGCTACGCTTCAATACGCGACGAACCTTGACGAAGATACTGGTTCCCGGCAGTTAATTACGGGTGTTGTGGGCGAAGCGAACGGTGATGAAGAGGAGCTAAGCCTGTACGACGTCGAAGCGCCTGCAGCAATGAACGTCCGGCGCGGAGACATTGTACTGATTGCGAACAAGCGCTGGCAAGATACAGTCCAAGCGCGCCCGAACGATCTCGACTGGCTTGGCGAAATCGTGGATACGCATCTTGACGGCACGCTCAGGATACGGCTTGGCGCTGCAGACGAAGTTCAAGACGTCTGTCTGCGTCGAGAAGATGTCGTGGTGGCGATACGGTCTGACGACACAGATGTGGATAGCTGGGACGTGGAGGATGATCCGTACGAACACTTCGTGGATTCTGAGGATGTACTGCTGGCGGACGACGATGCAAGTGTGGTTATGTGGCACCGGTCGGGAGGAGGTGCAGGAGACGAGGATGATCTTGAGGATGACGATGACGACGATGACGAAGATGATGAAGATGATGAGGAAGAGCAGGGTGACGAGGAGCCTGGGGCCGTCTACGAAGATGAGGATGGTACGTTGCTCGACGCGGAGGAGGTCCAAGGTGGGGATTGGGAGTCGGCTGTAGAAGACGAAGATGAGGACGAGACTATGCCCGATGCTCCGCCTCAGCAGACACCGCCTACATCTACCTCACCAACGCCGCCCGACAACCACAACGCCCGCGGTGAGAAGGATGAGCCATCCAGCGGCAAATCTACGGAGCCGCCACCATACGAAATCCTTGACGAAGCACCACCGAGCAGTCATCATTACGCTTCTGAGCCCACCACGAACAACGCAACGCATATGAAGCGCGTGCAAAAGGAACACCGCATCCTCCAAACGCCGTCCACAATTCCGCAAGGCGTGTTCATTCGAACCTGGGAGTCGCGCCTTGACCTCCTTCGTGTCCTCTTCATCGGACCTACAGATACACCTTACGCTGACGCCCCTTTCATGGTCGACTTCTACCTTTCCGACAAGTTCTCTAACAAGCCTCCGGAGGCTTACTTCCACTCGTGGCCTGGCGACAGTGCGCTCGGTGGTATTGGACAAGGCCGTGTTAACCCCAACCTGTACGAGGATGGCAAGATATGCCTCAGCCTACTTGGCACGTGGGACGGAGAGAAGGGCGAAAGCTGGAATGCAAACGGAAGCACATTACTGCAAGTCGTTGTGAGCATACTAGGCCTCGTGCTAGTGAGAGAGCCCTACTTCAACGAAGCTGGATACGAACCGCTGCAGGGCTTGGAGAGCAGTCAACGGCCATCAGCATTGTACAACGAGAGGACGTTCCTGAGAAGTCGAACATTTGTCGTCAGTGCTTTGAGAAAGCTCGAAGACAATGGCACCGGCCTAGAGGGTGTGGCTGATGTAGTAGCGTGGAATTACAAGGCGGCTGAAGGCCCGCGATTGATCGACAGAGTAGTGAGCGCCACGGAGGACATTCTCAAGAAGAGTGAAAGTGCCGATGCGGAATTAGACGGCATGACAATCATGTCGAAAGGAGCATGCATACCATTGCGCCGGGTGCTAGAGCGGCTGCGGAACCTTCAATAGGCGTTTAGCTGAATGGCTGCGCTCATGAGTACATTGTAGCGAATATGTCCGGTTTGAACCAGGACGGTCTAGCTCGACGCACCATAATAACACTGAGATGGCGCATGCTACTGGACCAGCTCGATACGGTACAGACGTCCAATGTTCACGGTGCAGCTCGAGAGCTAGCCGAAACTGACGCTGCGTGTCACCGGTCAGCATGGACGACACATGGACACAAAATTAACGGCTTTCGTAGCTCGATGACGATAACTTCCACATTGCGTACGTCTAGGGCTATGGTAATCACTCTCGCCGTACTTGGTGTAGTGACTACCAACAGCGAACGGGCATATAAGATTTGTGATGCTGCTCTGAATGCTACTTGACGCTGCGTTGCGGTGCTAAAACAACTATGGGCTCTGTGGCACAGTTACCCAGCCCTTCTGTCGATCTTCACAATATTCCAGACCTTTGTGATCGTATACCTGCCAAAGATCCGCTCGCGACTTCAGCTGCTATGGCGTCATACGGATTTGGTGACTACGGCAGTTATGGAGATCCGATGATTCCTATGGATGACTTTGACGTGCCCAATGGCCACACGCTTATCGGCCACATCCATTGGACTTCGATGAGTACGTCCCAAGCGGCATCTTTCCATGTCAAGACGGCAGCGGAATGACGTACCGACCCTTCGGGCAACTTGATCTACGACCGCGTATGCTCGCCCTAAACGTACATGTTGGGTACTATGACGAGCCTTTCGGCTATCCATGAATCACGGCAACCTACAGCCTTTTGAATCGCAGTCAGAGCTCGTTGGATGGGGCGATGATATGGACTCAATCTTCGCTTCCCAGCGTGATCAGACCCTTTGGTCTCGAACCAGAGGTTCAGGACGTCGTATGATCCATGATGAGACACCGTACGACCACGACCCTAACTATGACCCCCACGGTCGGCTTGGTGAGCAGTGGGGGATGCCGTCGGGTGAGGAGTTCGGAATGCTCCAGCTTAGTACTGGGACGAGTGACGGCAGGTTAAGCAATCACCGTCTGAATGATGGCTACCCGCGGTTACCGCACGGTTTCTACCTCAGCGGGAGGACTACTATACCAGACGTCTCCGGGGCGTCACGAGTAGAGAGCACGGGTCGAGGAGCAATCCGTGAGACTTGAATGTGTTGCGAAGTGATTACCAATGGCACGACTGCCGCGGGAACCCTGGGAGGATGAGCCTTGGAACATGAATTGATAGCAGAGCTCCAGCGTTGTCCATCAAGTGAGAGCAGAAGAGGCTCATGGTAGCCGGGCAATGGTCACGGAGTAGGAATGATTGACAAGTGGGATATGTACCTTGTACATCAAACGTCTAGACTGTCGTTCATTATATGCTCGTCGTATTAGACATCATACAGGCATCCGAGGACACATTTGTATCCGCGGAGCGATAGCTGCAAGGCTTGGAATTGCTAAAGTGACTATCGCACAAGAGTTGATGTTAGCGGAAGCTGGCCCCACCTACAGTACACATAGATGGCAGCTCCCGTACCGACCTTTCACTCACATTTCCATTCTGCTTGACAAAGAACTTACACTTCATCCAGTACAGATACAGCTGGGTTGAAAGCAGGGTGAAATTTATCACGATGTCCTTTGAACCGAAGCAGAAGGTCGAGCTCGATGCACCAAGGGACGATCCCATCACCCTCGACTATCTGGCCAAATGTGACGGTGGGTCAATGCATGGCATAGACGTTCAACCACGACGGCGGCTCTAACGGTCACAGGCACTCATGCCGACTATCCGACATATGTCGCCATCAAAGTAGTATCAGCCTTGGGAGAGGCGACACCGCATCCTAGACTGACAGTCTCAGGGTACCGTATTCGATGTATCTGGCAACAAGGCTTACGGACCAGAAGGCTCGTACAAGCGTGAGCAGAAGGACGTACCGTGCTCTGTTTATATCAACAGCTTATAACATCGGTAGTCTTCGCCGGCAAGGATGCATCACGAGCACTCGCGCAGTCATCACTGAAGGAAGAAGACTGCAGTCCGGAGTGGGAGGACCTGTCCGATGAGCACAAGAAGGTTCTGAACGACTGGTTCACTTTCTTCAGCAAGCGCTACAACATCAAGGGTAAAGTCGTTCGCGCGAATAGTGCGTAGATCAGCCGTACAAGCATGAAGACTCACGATCATTTCCGAGGACGCCTCTGACCTGCCTAGACTTCCACCCCCAACCGGTTGACTTGCTGACATTCGTGTGCTCATGTTGGTTACCGACCCAACGCCAAATCAAAGCACTTAGATGAGTATGGTCACGAACGCATGTCGCCCAAAGGAGCAGTACCGACAGTACCCGAATAATGGAATGCAGTGCCGTAGGAAGCTGCCTTCAGATTCGCATCTGCGCCTGATGCGCTCGTCGAATGACAGCTTGCTGCTGGTTGCAAGACTGACACAACTGGTTCGCGCTAACCCACTCGCGCTTGATGGACCAGGCACCGAAACACTGATGATCCGCCGTATTGCGGGCGACGTGACAGTGCTTGATCAATCGCCGGCCTGCATGACCGCAGTGAAAGTGGATCACTTCGTACTGAGCAGTCTGTGAGCCACTGCTGTGATACAAAGATGGCAAAACCACTCACTTGACACATGATGTTCTTCTTTCGGTCTGCGATCACTTGAAGGATCTTCTGAACTGTGATGTTATATAGGAGCTGCTTACGCTGTTAGCTCTTAGACCGTCATTCGAACGCACTTATTAGCTCACTCGCAGGACTAGGTTAGTGCGGTGATTGTGCGGTTCAAGAACAAGCAGACCACCAAAAGACAAAACAGTTCCAATATCAGAATACAGACTACAACTTCGCGCGCTGGAAATTGCAGCCACCTTTTCGTGTCAGAGGGTACACGCCCAGCCTATATGCTATTGCAGCTGCTCAGCAGAACTCATCGTCAACCGCACAGTCCTGCAGCATATGCATAATCCCCACATCTGAACGGTCTCTCTGAACGAACAATCCCTGTCCGTCAGGAGGACAACCAAAGCTCAGAATCACTGGCTGCGGACGTCCTTGCATGCTATGATACCAACGATCCTCAAGAATCGGGCAAAGCTGCTTCCTATTACGGCGAATTCGAGTCCCCAAAAGCATGGCGCCGAAGATGTGTGGTCCAGGGTGCTGCGGAGTAGTGACACAGATCAGTATAGGTTAGGCGCTCAGACCACGCCTCCGTCCAGAGGCGAGCGTGAGACGAGGAGTGGGACGTGATGCGGCTGGCGAGATATATGTCATAGATCACTTTCTCACCGCTACCTGCTTCCCGCTACCGCTCTTCTGCATCGCCCGCAGCCAGAGACGTGAAGGATGACCAAAGGCTTCGTCCTCGGGACGGAAAGGCGCAGATTCGACCGGGGTGGTACAGGTGGCGCACGGTCGACGATCGACTGAGCAGTGTTGAGGAGGTGCTCGAGCAGAGTGTAGCTCGTCTACCTGCATGTACCCCGGCACTTGACAAGGTTCGGCTGCAAGAACGGTCTACTCCGGCTCGAGCGCCTCTTCTCAATCTTCGGTACCGGCCCGACAGCCTGGTCCGTGGGCCCACCGGCGATGGACGTCAGTCATCCAGACTCTGATATGAGCTTGAACATCAACCGTAATGTGATCGCAGAGTTTCCGCGACTCGCTGAGCCGTCAAAACCAGAACTCGTCTATACTGCGTCTGTAGGCATGCAGTGACTCTACACAGTCACGCTCAGGACCACGCACGTGGACGTAAGACCGGAAACCGGTGAGGGGGCAAGTTTGTGATTAGGACACAGCAGTAGCGCAACCCCAGTCCAGTGTCACCACCCCACCGCAGCAATCACTGCCATAATAATGACAGACGCTGCGCCAATTTCCAAGGACGATGCTGTTGACTAGAGCCGCAGTGGGGGTGGTTGAGAGCTGCATGAGCGAAATACTATACTGCTGGACGCGAGAACTCCCGGCAATATCTCGCAATGTCGCGTCTCCATTACGGCCAACGTCGATTGTCATGGCCTGCCGCATTCGACAGAAGGCGATATCGTCGATAAGACTGTGGCGAGAGATCACACTGGTGAAAGACGTAATCATGGCGAGACTCCCCGCGACTGCCGCGTATCCTCGAAAGACTACGGTTTCGGATCCAGATCAGGATGCCACCTTCCAGGACAGGTGCGCCTACCCACCCTTCCTTGCCTTCCGCGCAGCCCTCTTCCGTCCAATAATCTGATTCCGCTTCGCCGTCTTCGCATCGATCGGAACCTTCACTGCCTTCGTCTCGCCGCCTTGACGCGGCTTCCCGTCGGCACCATCACCTCTCTTCCGCTTCTTCGACTCAAAAGCCTTCTTCCCCGCCCTCGCCCTCGGCGCCTGCTCCGTCTCCGGTTCACCTTCGCCACCAGCAGCGGCCTCAGCTCCTGCCCCAGGCTTCCCAACGAACCCCCGCCTGGCCTTCCCCTCCTTCTCCTTCCTCCTTAACACAACCTGCGCATTCTCAATCGCAAACTCAACGATCAACCGCTTCTTGCGATCCTGCATCTCCTCCGCACTAGGCTTGAACTTGCTACTCTTCTTCTTCCTCTCGTTGTGCAGCACAGTATACCCAATCGCGTGGCCATTCAGCCATCGCAGACCCATAAGCGCAGAGCGATGCGTGTAGTACTCCACGAAGCCATAGCCTCGACTTCGTCCGGCGCCAGTTTCTTCCTGTACTTTGCTCCCACTCGAGCCTTCGAATACCACTTTGGCTTGCTTGACCAGCCCTTTACCCGCGCGTTTGCGGGCAGCCTCGGCGGCGATCATTTCGTCGCCACCACGCGCCAGCTCCTCCTTCGATAGCTTCTCACGCACGCCATTCTTGACGTCCGTCGCGAAACCCACAACAGCCTCTCGAGCTAGCGCTTTCAGTTCTTTACTGCCAATGCTGCGGGGCAGGTTGCGGAGACTGAGGCGCGTTAAGCTGAGATGGAGCGACGGGTTGCTTTCGATAAGAGTCTTGCGCTGCCGCGCACTGGCTTCTCGCATTGTCTTCTCCGACGGAGAAAGCTTCTCCCAAAGCTGCGACTTGTGCGAGATGGTGCCCTCCGCAAGTAGATACAGGCGGCGCTTGTCGTTGTCACGCTTGCCGCGATATACGGCTCCTTCCGTGGTGAGGCGGTTCGCTTCTGACTTGTCTACGGCTCGTGAGAGCTGGAGGACCCGTCCATCGAGGGTGTATTGGCCGGTAGGGTCTGCATCTGTATTTTGTAGTATTGAAGGTGCGTTCTGAGGGTCTCTGCCTTGCTTCGCCTTTTCTGCATCAGTGGGCATTGTGCGTCTTGGTGCGTTGCGCAGGCAGGCATCTGCGTCGCTTGTGTTGTAGAAGCACACGAAAGCTGTGCCCTTTGAACGTTCGGTGCCGGCGTCCATCACCACTCGAGCGTATCGTACGGCGCCAAAGCGGGTGAAGTGGTCTTCTAAGTCCTCGTCTGTGCAGATAAATGGCAGATTGCGGACGAAGAGGGTGGAAGACTTGTCCTCGGAGAAATTCTGGCTGCGCTTGACCGCATCATTAAGGTCGTCATCGTCTAGCTTGATGTCAACGTCGTCCTCGTCTTCATCCTCGTCCTCAATCTCGCCATCATCCTTCACACCATCCTCGTTCCTGACATCATGTTCATCTTCCTCGTCACCGTCAGCGTCACGTTCCTCACCACTAACGTCAGCCTCGCCGTCCTCATCCATCTCGCCTTCAGCGCCTCCACCCTCTTCACCTTGCTGCAGCCCCTGATACACGTCCTTCTCAACCGCCCAGTCGACGGCCAACGTCCTCCCATCAACTTCCATCCCATTCACGCCCTCCATAGCCTTCTCAGCATTCTTTCTCCCTCTCATCAACACGAAACCGAAGCCAGCCACCAGCCCTCCATTTCCCTTTCTCGGCACATACGCCTGCTTGATCTTCCCATAGCTCCTGAACAGCTTCTCGAGCTGATGCGAGCCCTTTATGCTCCACGGTAGGTTGCGCACAATGAGCTTCGTGGACTGCCTCACCACTTCCCTCTGCGCCTTACCTTTGACCGCTCCCTCACCAGCTTCGTCACGATGTCTTGGCTCGGCGATCTCGACGCGCAGCTTACGGTCCTGCAGCACACGCCCTTGGAACTCGTCCTTGGCTTTGGCGGCATCCTCGGCGTCGGCGAAGGTGACAAATCCGTAACCGCGGCACTGCTTCGTCTCACTGTCGATGACGGCGACGGCATGCTTGATGGGGTATGACTCGGAGAAGAGGTCGGATAGGGAATCGGTGGTGGTGTTAGGCGGCAGCGCGCGGACGAAGAGGGTGCGGCGTTGCTGTTCGCGCTTTTCTTTCGCTTCGCTAGTTTGAAGTATCGCCTCGACTGCGTCTGTATTGCTATCAGGAGGCTCGATAGCCACCGCCGCCCCGTCCGAAAGCTTCTGTCGCTTCGCTGCTGGCGCCATTGTGTTGTTGTCTGCGTTTATGCAATGTTCAAAGAAATGTGCCTCGAACTTTGCGACTTGCAGAAATTCTGAAGGTAAAGAGTAACTCCGCTTAAAGCCGACGCATGTACAGATCTCATAGCTGGCTTTGACCTGCAGTACAATGCGCCAGCACACTCAGGACATGAGTGATGGCCGCAGACGGGAAAGGACAGCAGAGTAAGGCGTACAGGATGAGGGCGAGTGGATGGGGGCTGACCTTGCATAGTTGACCTTGGCAGCCTCTCCGCCCAGCAATTGTCTCAAGTCAAGAAACAGCTCGATGACGAAGTCCAGCACTTGACCAGCTCTTACCAGAATCTGCGCGGCGCTCAGCAAAAGTTCCGCGACTGCGTTACGAGCATCCAAAATGGAGTAGCGGCAGGCGTAAAAGGTAAAGGACCGGTGGCGCATAGCATTCCCTGCTTCACAGCATCCCGTCGCTCACCAGTGTCTTATAGACAAGCCGCTTCTCGTCCCGCTTACATCCTCACTATACGTTCCAGGAAAGCTGGCAGACACTGAGCACGTTCTCGTTGATGTCGGGACCGGATTCTATGTCGAGAAGACTACGGATGCTGCGCAGAAGTTCTATAACGGCAAGATTGATGAGCTTGGCAAGAACATTAAAGATCTCGAAGAGATCGTGAATGGCAAGACGAATAATCTACGGGTGGTCGAGGAGGTATTGAGACAAAAAGTGCTCGCCGGCCAACAGGGAGGGCAAGGTGTTGGTGTGGCGACGTGAATATACCATCATACAGCGGCACCTGCAAACTTCCAGCAACCTATGTCGAGCAACTTCTGGACGACGTGGCTGATCATGGTGCGGTTGACCTGTCGGCGGTTGTTGCCCGCTTTGCCGCAGTCATCGAGAGCAACGCATCTCCCACATCCCGATGCGTGATCGGTTGGAATGCTTGCCTCGCTTGGCGCGGGATGGCATCTCTTTTGCCCTGTTTGAGCACGTTACTGGCTGCGCTGGCCTGAAGGAGTTGGACTACTGGAGACGAAAGGCTGACGCTGCCGTATGCCGCTCCTTGCTCGAATGCGCGCATGAACTGATTCTGAGAGATCGCAGTGGTGGATAGCTCACCTCGATCCGCGTACGCTCGATTCGAGACATGTCATGAAGGGCGGGACAAGATCTAGACGTAGCCATTGGCTTGCTGAGCGTTTGGCAGTATCGGAATGCCACTTTGTGGGTAGTATCAACATGGCGTATGGCGCGGTATAATCGACCTCCGCCCCCTTAGCTTACCACAGCTAGTAAGGTTGCCATGAGCGTCCGCTATCTGTAAGTGGTTCTTGCGAAGTTTGACATTCACATTCTTTCACGTGCCCACAGCCACAATTTCCTATTTCAGCATGGCAGGGCTTAGCGCATGTCACCGTGCATAAGCTCTGCCTTAAGCTTCCAGGAACACAAAGCATCAATGTCACTATACTGATCGCTCAGCTTTTATAGCAACCGGTACTGGAGTACAACCTTTGACCTTGTCGTATCGGCACACAAACTCGGAAGCAAAATGTCCGTCCAGAGCCCAAACTTCTCCACCCCACCCTCCGACAAGAACACTCCCACGCAAGACCGCGGCCTCTTCCACCACGAAGCCCAGAAACACGAGAGCCATCATTACCTGCGCATGTATGGCGGGAAGGTGTTGGATGCGGCTATGTGGGGGTTCGGTGCGACGTTAGGGGCGGATGTTGCGAATGAGGTTTTTGGGGATGCGAAGGTAGGAGTGCTCATGGAAGCGGGTAAGAAGCGGAAGGGAGGTGTATGCTGACGTGAGTGGTGTGTAGAACCAGATGCAGGAGTGGTGGCGGCATTGACGCCACGATGACGACTGGACGGAGCGAGTGTTGAGTGGCGGGCAATGTGCGAGACTGCACAACTGCGAGTAAGCGACTAGCATCTGAATCATTATGCGATCCAATGATTAAGCATGGAAGCGTCCAGCATAGCATTATGAGGCATGATAGATGGAGTTCACGACATACCAGCGGGCGACCAAACGTGATATATCGTCAACACTCACCACGCTGCATGTTCACCATGCGGAAAACTTCCAGCTGACATCTGCCATCCTCCGTTTTGACATGAGGTTGCATGACGTGTGATAGAGCTCTACCGGATCGTAATCGAGGAAGGAGCGAATCTGCCGTATTGAGTAACTCATGAGGTATCACTAAAAGAACTCATCTTTTACGCACGCCATATGCGCCAAGCATCAACATAACCACGAGAGCACGCTCCTCACCCAGCCCCACCCACACTCAACGCCGTCCCGCCGCCCTCACCGTTAGTGAGAGCGACGTCATGCCCGCGCCTCCGACTCGGTTTCCTCCTTGCCGTGACGTCCTGCTGCGGTAGACTCGCAAACATAGCATTCTGTGCCGTCCCACTCGGCGCTCCCTCTCCATCATTGACATCCATATCCTCCTCCTCCTCCTCGCCCTCATCCGCTTCGACGTTGTCGTCCGCCATTTCGGAATCAGCCAAGTCCGCCGCGTCCGGAGGTGCAAGACCCTCGGCTGCTGCATGTAGTGCTTGACTCTGTGTCCAGACTTTGCACTCGTCCAGCTCGGTGACATCTGTAGGTCGGCCTCGTAGCCACTTCATGCGCGGCCCGGTCTTCGCGAACTCCGAAACGCGGAAGCCGTATATTCGGGGTTCGTAGATGTTTCCTTGCCCTAAGCCGGGTGCGAGGTTTTTGGGCGCTATGCCGTTAATACTCTCTGGTTGAGGAGATTGGCCTGATACGCTGTTTGAGGTGCTTGCTATAGGTGGCGGTGGCGGAGGGACATGCGGTTGTTGTGAGGTTAAGGAGGACGAGAGCGAGGAGCGGGAGTCCTTTGCCGCCGCTGCTGCAGGTGATGACAGTGGGTCGGTGGTTTGCGCTGAACTTGACGGTTTCTGTCCGCCAACTTCCAGTTCTGGGAAGGTCATGAAGAACAGACAGCCAAACGTGGTGCCGAAGAAGGCGCCGTCGACGGTCTGAAACCGACTGTTAGGCGGCGTGTAGACGTCCAGACAGCTCGGGCAAAACAGCTTCACAGTTTCTTGGCCAGGTATGTCCGAGCATCCCACTGGTAAAACTTTGGCGCCGTGACAATACACACGCGGGCAGTGCCCGAAGTGGCCGAGCTCGTACTTTTCCGCCATCTGCTGTATGCCTTGTCGACTCGTAATAAAGCGCTGATGTATGAGGCCATATAGCATCTCCGCCGAGCTCTCAATCACACTCAAATCGCTTGCCATCCGCAGGTGCCGCCGTTCGGCTGCGTCTGCTCGGCGATAGCTTCGATCACCGTCTTGCTGCATATCATCGTCGTCTTCCTCTTCCTCTTCCTCTTCTTCCTCTTCGTCCTCAGTACCGTCCTCCGGCTCCACGTCCAGTATCATCTCCAGTGCCTCCTTGTACATCGGCACCTGGCTCTGTAGGCCAGTCAGGTTAAAGTCATCTTCTACGAAGTCCTCCGACACCTCCGCGAAATATTCGTGGCCGACCAAACTACAAAAGGCGCTGATCCAGCTCTCCGGCGTCTGTGAAGAGGACGACATCTCCGAGAGGCCGTCCGGCTGGAGCTCGTCAATTCGGCACGCCTTTTCGAAATTCGCTGAGAGGTCTCGGTCCGGCTGCAGGCTCGTGGAAGCCGAGCTTCCTGGCGCTGGTGGTATGTGTGCGGGCGGCGGCTCTGCGTGAGGCGCCAGCTTCTCGACTCACTGCGGCTGCGCTGCGGAGTGCGCAAGTGATGCCAATCCTCCCGGGGTCCAGTCCTGCTCCTTCCACGTTACGCCAGGCCAGTTGGTGAGGAAGCAACAGTAGTAGTCCCCCACAACCTCCAGCCAGGGCTTCCACTGTGCTGCGCGGTACTGTCTGCTACTGGGTGACAGCCCTTGTATCCCTAGTGTCCTATGCGTTGCGCTTGCTTCGGCGTTGTGAAGTGACCGAAACAGGCTTTCGTTGGATCGGTAAGCGAGCGTTGTGTCAGTCACAGCAAGTTCCCGCAGCGTGGAGGAGAGTGACTGTGCCCAACAGCGTCACTATACCGAACAGAGGCGTAGTAACTAGTTCTTGCGCTCAGACAAAGTTGATAAATTGAGGTGTAGTATGCCCCTCCATGTTGATAGGCTTTCTGTATAGCATTGTGGGGCTCTGCAAGCCGGTGCCGCTACAGCTAAGCGTTCATGGCGACATGGCTTCCTAGCCTCAGGACATCAATCGTGTCACGATCAGTTTGGGCGCACCGGAGCGATGCGATGCGATTATCACGTCATGATAGCAGGAAATGCACGCTTTACACAAGCCACTCCGTCAAGTTTGGCTCCAAAGCAACTTATGTAGTGAGTGAGAAAGGCGCTACGTTAGGATCCAGCGCTTGCCAAATGAACGGCATACCTTGACTTAACCCATCCGATCCAAATGTCCTCCCACTGACCTGCGAGCTGAAAGCTTGCATACTGCTCATGAAGGCCGAGGCTGCGGACCGTGTCTGCGCGTTCATCTTGCCAAGCATTGCCTGATCGTCGAACATATGCATGAGCGTGCGATTCGTGCCCACGAACTGCGGCCGAGCGAACAGCGCGGTAAGCGTCAGTTGCTCGAGAACCTTGTCGAAGGGCGGTAGGAAATCGACGACGCTCGTGTTGCCCTTGATCGTTGGAAGGGGCGCGTAGAGCGCGGTGGGATGGAAAGGTAAGGTGGAGGAGAGGCTGAGGAGTTCGTTGGTATTGACCGTGTGATGGGAGATGGAGACAAGGTGGGCCTGTGAGAGTCGTCAGACGTTGTTAACGCAGTCATATGCTCGCTTACTTACGAAATGTGTGAGGGTGGCGATGAGCGTGCTCCGCGAAGAGATTGATGTGGGAAAGTCTATGGCTTCCGCCGGTCCATTCGCCTCCTTCGCCCATGCCTGCAACTCGCTGTCTGCGTCAACAGCAGAATCCGACGAGTAATACGATTGCACAAAGGACGTCATGAACGTGTTGATGGCGTTCCAGATCACGGTGCCGTCCTCGTAGAACGGAAAATGCGAAAGCGCCGGACCGTAAGTGCAATTAATCAAGCCACGGCGCTGAAGGTCGGTCTGGAAGTAGTTGTCCACGAAGCGACCGCTGCCCTTGTTCTGGTAGTAGTCTGTACTATAATCCTGCGCTGCTTGACCAGTGTAAGCGAAGGTGAGATCGACCGCCGCGCCTGGGTCGAACAGGACGGTTTGCGCAAGCGGCTGGACCGCGAACACTTCGAACATGACTGCAGACGACCATCATTAGAAAGTCACTCCATCAGTCATATTATGATGTTTGGATGCTTACGCCTATTCAACATAGCCTGCACCGGATGCTCCTCACTCAACGTCCGGATCGCGGCCATATATGCGATCTGCACGACTTCATGAGTCGCCGCTAGGTGATTCCACTGCGCAAACCAGAAGTCATTGACATTGAAGACGATCTTGGCTAAGATCCAGTCGGCCGCATCGTCTGCCGGCGTGTAGATGAGGTTGGCGCCGTAGTTCGACCTGATGGCCAATGGCAAGAACTTGGCGGAAGAGGGATCAATGTAGAAGTAGGCATCGCAAGCGGCTGCATATCGATCTGTACGCGTAAGCTCGCCCTGGTCACGGTAGTCCGCGTAGAAGAGACGGCCAGCTTGAAACAATTGATTCAGGGTCCGCCCGGTGAGGTTCTGCGCTATGTTGTCCGCAATGGTAAATGCTAAGGTGTCGCTGGTAGGGTTTAGCCTTCGGACTTGGTAAGGTGAGTTTGACAGCCTTTCCATCGAGAAGAACAAGTCCTCGGTGTAGTTCGTCTCTGCTCCTGGAGCGGGTCCGGAAGGCAGTTGGTTCCTACATTCGTTCGAATAGAGCTTGGTGTAATCCGCAACCGTCTCCAAATCGTTATACTGTACAAAGATGGTGAGTGGTGAGCATTTCTGCCATACCTCGCTACCGTCGTACACATACTTTGCTATAGTCCGCAGTCGCTTGTGTATCATCTAGCAGCGTCCCCGCTAGCACGGGTGGGAACTCGGTCGCCTCAATGTACGCTACGTCTGCCGCAACCTTCTCAAACCCAAGTACACCAGTTGGAAAGTACGGTCCACCCGCCAGCGGAGTTCCATACAAAAAGGTCAGCCGCTTTGCGAGAATACCCGTACTTCGAAGCAGCGGATTCGGTGATTTGGGGGTAGTATAGTAGTTGCCAGTCACCGTCAGGTCGGGAACGGTCCCACTGCTGCTAGGCAGTGGGTTGCTGACGGACTTCCACAGGCTGACTATGCTCTGGGCTCCGGTTCCTGCGGTGCTGGCGATGGATTGTCTCGGCAAGACGGCGGCACCGTCACAGCCAAGTGTTAAAGTGAGCACCAGGCACATCAGGCCCACCGGCGCTATACCCATGCCCATGAGAATATACCCTCGCGCACCCTACGAATGAGTGTCCAGGCGGAAATGAAAGATAAGATCAGAACAAACCACAGGAATCTACACTCAACGTACACCACTCACGGCATCCTTCTTGTTGGCCGTTCGGCCTGCCGCACGCAGAGCCGTACATGGCAGACAATGACATTGGGCGGTTTTGCAGGAGGTGGGACCGGAACGAGGCAGCCGAGAGAAAGTGGCTTGTAAGTAGAGACCGCAATGAGTGTAAATATGTGGGGCTTTGCTTCTACGCGTGGTAAAGCGCGCTGTCGATCACATTGAAGCGCAACGGCGGGTTCTGCAGGGTGAAACAATGTCTAAGGGGTTATGCTTTGGCTTCTTATCGATTGCTGATACACTGGCATAGAAGAGCGGGTTAACATACGTCCATTGCAAGAGCACAGAGGCCTTCAGGAGGAGAAACTGGTATAGAGATTTTATGTTATTGTGTCGAGGCGGACCATTGGAAGCAACGAAGGAAAAAGCAATGTGATTAGTCATCCGTTTCAGACAACGGCCGGCCCATACTACATTATCACACCATTCTGCGACTTTGTGAACGTTCGGCTCATGTATGTCATGACCGAAGCAACGCATCCGTGAGCTTGCTCACACCTGCCAGTGCGCCATCTCCAGAATCCGCTTTAGAACCATTTACGCTGCTTGCGAGGTCCAACCGTGCCCGGCATCGCAAGCAGACTGATATCATACGGCGAGGCCAGCACGCCCAGTATCTTGCTCCAGCGTATATGATGGCGATATCCCTTGACGCATCTGCCATCCACAACCAGGTGACCCAGCACTTCGAACATTACGCCAGGCTTTCGCAGCATGGCCTCGACCATCTGGTTAGCCTCTGCGTAAGTCGTGACCACACGGTGTATGACGGGCTCGTTCTGCATGAGCTCCGAAGCCATCCACATTGCCGTCACACGGCCGAAGATGCCAGCCACGAGGGTCAGACTGGCCACTGCGACGGCGACGAGGATGGTAACGAAAGCGCACGAAGCGAACATCGCTGTGCCGACTGTAAACTGTTCATTCGCGAAGACTTAGCATAGCTCGACTGAACGAAGGGGTGCTGTACTTGCCACTCCGATACTCAAGAACTTGCTGAAGACTCTCAAGGTGGCATGGGCGTTCGAGATGCCATGGATACTGATGATGACATAGAAAGGCGTGCTCTGAGCTGCCCAAGGTTCATTTGGGTCCATAATGACTCGTCCATAGGTATTGTAGCCTTTCACGAAGCCAGCTAAGGTGTCGACATGCGTCGAATGGGCTGTCTGCGGTAGTGGCTGGTAGTTACCACCTGGGACCTGACCCAGGTTGATGCTGTGGAGTGACGTGGTGGAAGGTGTAAGAGGAACCGTGCTGATAGTCGTGGCAGTGGAAATCTTGGCGGCGGCCTTATTCGCAACAAGGGTCGGTGTGGCACCGTTCGGATCGGGCAAGGGCTTGTTCAGACCAGCTTGAGCATTGGAATCCGGTAGCTTTTCATCAAGCGCGTGCTCAGATATGACCCATGGTGCATCATCACTAATGCGGATCTTGGGAGCCCGAGACACGCGGATGGTGTATTGTCGTGTAAAGGGTACGCCTGCGAGATTGTCCAGCAGCGATGAGCAAGCGGCGAAGAAATACCAGAAGAGCATCCACGGCTTCATCTGCTCTACTGTAAGCAAGGTAATGATGATGAAACCGAATCAGCTTGGCTCACAGTACACCACCAGACAATGATTGCACCGCCCTGGATGAAGCCAGCAGCGCCAAGGATGCAGGCTAGCCAGAGAAGCTGGAGCACGCAACCGATCGTGATTATCGTGCCCTTCCGCGATCCGGTGAAGTCCACGCTTTTCGCATGAACTTGTTCAGCAAACTCTTGGGCTTGGGTCAAGCCCTTGGTCTTCGAGGCGCTACTCGGATGCACTGGCTGCTCCTTCGCGATCGAACCGACCATGCCGGCATACGCGAACGAGTCTACGCGCTCGTATTGGTTCACCTCCATTGGAACGATGTTACCGCCTAAAGAGAGGACCATAGACAAGACACCGGCAAGTGGCATGAGCTTATAGAGCACCCAGAGTTCCTTCGTCGGTGCCCCAATAAGGGCGCCGGCAGTTGGCAGAAGCGTGAGCAACGTCGTGGCACCCGCAGCGCTGGCTTGATACGCTGAACCAAGACCACTTAGCGCAATGGACAGGTTACCAATGCACCATTCGGCGTTGTCGTATTTTCGTATCTGAGAAGAACGTTGGACCCACGCCGTCCAGTTGTTGCTCTTTCCGGAAGAATGCAGGCTTTGTACGTCTGCACGGACTTTAAACCCATCCACATCGTCGCCTACTTGGGCGGCGGTGAAGCCGTAGTAACTAGGGTTGCTGGTATTCAACTCGTAGTAGCCGGTGGGCTGTTGGGCAGCTGCAACGGGGAAACCGAGAATAACGGCGGCGACGGGGAAGAAGACAGAGTTGGCTATAGCAATACCACGACGCTGCGCATCTTCTAGAATGCGGAAGATACCAATCCCGAAGAAGTTGTTTGGTGCCATCGTGTGGAAGGGAGGATGGAGGGTTAGTGGTTTGTAACGTAGTAGGGAACAATGCCACTTGCAAGATGCGAGATGCCGCAGAGCCTAAGAAGGCTTGCGACGTGCAAGTGTATCCGCTTCGTGCGAATGGCAAGGCTCTGCACACCCTGTCTCCCGGCGCTGCGATAGTGTGCACAATCAACTGGATGTTACCTACCCATGGTGGAAGGCATCCATGTTCAGTGTACACGATACGAGACCTACCCGTGCGTTAAGAAACATGTTGTCGCTTGGCGAGAAGCGTGTGAGATTCGAGCGCATGCACTGGACAGTTGAGAAATGCGTGCTTAGATGTGCACCTCAGCTGAGGTATATCCAGTTAATTCGAGCCACCGTTCACAGACTGGCGAGAACGTGGAATAAATGATGCGGGTTATTGGACAAGATGCAGAGGAGGGAGGTGCGGGAAAGGCTGTGAAGGACGAGGCTGCGTGGGTTGCATTGCGAGGATTGTGTTCTCAACCAACCTGGGAAAGGCTAAACAGCACCAGGGGCACGGCACCGGCATGGGCGTAGAGTTGATGTTGTAGAGTAGACATCGCCATTCCACGCGAATGTATAAGGTACGGTTGGTAGAGCAGAATGCAGGCTCGTGTGGCTCATTCGAGACTGAGGCGCGTGCAAAGTCGTAAGGATAATCATCGTCCAGAGAGAAGGATGTTGGCATGTGGTCAGTCTTAGCGGGGATAAGTGCGAGAGCAAGAGTAACCGAACCTTCGGAAGGTCATGTGATGACAAGCCCCATCATTGGACTGCGCAATTGCTGAGACTGTGCTTCCACGCTCGAACCTCCAACCATTCGTAGCCAAACACCAGAGGTTTGGGGAGCTCCAGTGCCTGTTAAGATGGCGATTGCGTCAATCGCACTGAACGTCATAGGCGTTATCTTCCTCTCGCATGCGTATGTCTTGCTCAGAATTTTAACCCTGCATGGCGCTGACAGTATCTTTAGCGTGTATAGTGCCTACGAGCACTCATTGTTGCCTTCAACATCAGCATCACCATCATCTGGATCTTACCTACTCTCAGTACTTGATCCGAAAGTCAATCTCCCCGTTGACATCACCATTGAGACGCTCGTGTCCGTCGTGCTCCTATGCGCTGGCGTAGTTCTAAGTAGCGCAAATCTGAAGCCTATACAATGGAACGTTTGGGCAGGCAATCTGGAACGAAGCAAGGATGCTCGCGCCACCAAAGAGGTTGGCGTTGGCGGCGGTAATCCATATGCCGCGCTAGAGGAGAGGTCTGGCTTTCTGGACATTCGAGGTGAGATGAAGGGTTTTGCGGAGTGGAAGAACAAAGGCGGCGAAGGCAGAATAGAGGGCAAGAAGGCGTGAGACTTGCTATTTACATTGGTCGATGCCTAAAAAAAGTACAGTCTGCGCCTACATAATTTCTGCACGTCAAATGCCTTCCGAACTCCTCATACTATAGCCTGCGCCTATCAGTTACGCGCGAGCAGGACATTGTCACAGCTGAGGCTTGCAATTTGGACGACGAGCAACGAGGTGCGCTGAGCAGCACGTTATCGTGACGTGCATATCGCACCTGCCTCTCGCGGACGCGGCCAACAACCTCACCTCATGCAGTATCGGTGTCGACAACACCTCCACGCCTTCGCACGACCTTCTATATACTAATGTTCTGACGCACCACGCCATAGATGGCTCCCTCAAACTCAAGCCAGAAGCGTCGATACAGCGGGCAGACTGCTTCATCGCGCACCGCTCGTAGCCGGGCAAGCTCATGTTCTAAGTCCAGGCAGTCTTCGTTCCGCTCCGGAGCACAGTATACAATCACATCTCATCGCTCAGCCGCAGGACAGGCCCAGAAAACTGACCGTGGTCGAGCAAATACTCATCGCTCATCGGCACACTCTGAGCGTTCTGCAACCACGAATACCAGCCACAGCAGGTCTGCCTACTGCGAAGACAGTCCAACCGTGGCGACAGTCGAGCGGTCGCACCATGAATATGACCACGATTTCGACACTGAGACCCTTGACGAGGTCGTCATGGCCGTTGACCTCAGCGAGCGAGGGACGGTAGGATGTGCCTACTACGTCGCACGTCAGGAAAAGCTGTACTTCATGGAGGACGTACAGCTCGGTGGTCCTGATATCGTCGACCAATGTAAGCATGAGCACTCTCTTATTCTGCAGTTGCTGACGCTAGTCGTAGTGAAAGTCTTTGTTGATCCAACCATTGTTCTCGTCTCAACCAAATGCAATGATGAAGTGATGAACCGTCTTGACCCAGAGATGCGTGATGCTCGAGTATCTGAGGATGGTAGAAGCGGCGACCAAACCCGGCTGCCTTACCTGCTTGAGTGTCGACCAAATGCCGAGTTTGCCTACGAGGCTGCCCGTACCAAGCTGGCCAATCTGCGCGTCGGCCAACGAAACGGTCCGCGTGTTACGTTTGTCGTACCCGGCGATGTCATGTCCGGGCCGGAAGACTTCAATCTGCCGGATGTTGACTATGGAGGCCGCCAAGGCCAATTACTGCGTCTGGCCGGCTGGGTCAACGTAGAAAGTCGAATCACGGTTGGTTGCGCTGGCGCTGTACTCTCCTATCTACAACGCAGGCGCGTGACTGCATACCTTCCAGGAGACGAGGCGTCAGAAGGCATGTTTCGGGTGGCCACCATTGAGATGTTTAGCTTGAGCGGCACCATGTTCATAAACGCGGACACGCTTCTCTCGCTGCAGATCACGTCGACTGAATCCCATCCAAGTGCGCAGTACCAAAGCTCGTCACGCACTGGCCGAAGCAGCGGCGCCAAGGAAGGCTTCTCTGTATACGGGCTCTTTCACAATGAAGCCAAAACTGCACAAGGTCGTGCCCTGCTGCGGCAATACTTTCTCCGCCCAAGCCTTAACCTCGCTGTCATCAATGAGCGCCTAGACACCATCAGTGTCCTGCTTCGACCCGAGAACGCGCCATCTATGAACACGCTCAGAGAGTGCTTGAGCAAGATCAAGAATATGCGTCTGGTGACGATCAATCTGCACAAAGGCACCAGTCGCGGCCTCGACAGAAATCGCAGCGTTTCTAACTCGGTGTGGCCCAGCATTCGCCACTTCTCCTTCTATACTCTTCAGGTATTGGATGCTCTGGTCGAGCTGCAAGGCAGTCAGCGATTGGCCATCCGTGTCAGGATCGAAGAGATGTTCGACAGGAGGCAGCTTGCAATACTCGGTAAGATGATCAATGACGTGATCGACATTGAGGCCTCCAGAGAGCAGAACCGGACCGTTGTACGGCCTGGCATTGACGCAGACCTAGACGAAGCGAAGCGTACTTATGATGGCATTGAGGATCTGCTATCGAGGGTGGCGCTTGTCGTTGCTGAGCAAGTACCGGCGGAGCTTGACTCCAAGGTCAATGTCATCTTCTTTCCGCAAATTGGCTTCCTCATTTCACTACGTCTCGCACAAGAGACCGGACGAGGTGTCTGGGAAGGCACCGAAGAGGAGCCATGGGAGAGGATGTTCACCACCGAAGAGAATGCGTACTACAAGAATGCAAACATGACAGAGATGGATCAGTATTTCGGCGACATCTACGGCCGAATTTGCGACAAACAAATCGAGATCGTACAGCGGCTAGGCGAGCAAGTACTGGAATATGAGGAATTGCTCAACGATGCGTCAGACATTTGCGGAGAGCTGGACGCCCTTGTCGCCCTTGCGAGAGGTGCGGCACTGCACAATCTGGTCAAGCCTCGCGTAACTGACGAGAACATTGTGAAGATCAAAGGCGGACGTCATCCTCTGCAGGAACTGACGGTGCCTTCGTATGTGCCGAATGATACTTACATCGTTGGCGGTGGGATTGACAATGAAGATGCTGCGGCCTGTCATGATCCCGGTTTGCAAAATGCCGCGGCCGCCAGCTCGCAAACTGCGCCTCGCCAGCGCGCCGAAGGCCCCAGCATGGTCCTCATGACGGGACCGAACTACTCCGGCAAGAGCGTGTACCTCAAGCAAGTGGCCATCATCGTCTACATGGCACACATCGGCAGCTTTGTGCCTGCCGAAGCAGCCAAAATCGGTCTCACAGACAAGATACTTACGCGCATCTCTACTCGCGAAAGCGTGTCCCGCATCCAGAGCGCCTTCATGATCGACTTACAACAGATCTCCGTCGCCCTCAGCCTAGCCACCCGCCGCAGCCTGCTCGTTATTGACGAGTTCGGCAAAGGCACCGAGAGCTACGACGGCGCCGGTCTCGCAGCGGGCGTCTTTGAACACCTCCTCCAGCGAGGCGCCGAGTGCCCGAAGGTGTTGGGTGCGACGCACTTCCACGAAATCTTTGAAGCCGGCTTTCTGCCTGAGCGTCCACAGCTGGCTTTTGCGCATATGGAAGTCCGCGCCGATGACCAGGCTTCTGCCGTTGAAGAGCAGATTACCTATCTGTACAACTACAAGCAAGGCCGCAGCAGCTCGAGCTTCGGCACGTGCTGTGCGGCCATGAACGGCATTGATCCGAAGATCGTGCAGAGAGCGGATGAGATGAATATTCTGGCCGCGAAGGGTGAAGATTTAGTTGCGGTGTGCGCAGAGATGCCGGATGAAGAGCTTGCAGAGCTGGAAGAGGCAGTGAGTCTCATCTCAACCTCGTACATTGCTAGGTAGTCTGTTACTGATTTTATGTAGGAACTCACCGCTCGCGACTTCCTCGCTGATGACCTTGACGGCGAGCCGCGGAAGCTGCTCGACGATTTGGTGAAAGTGGCGAACTCGACTGTGGATGTTTTTCCAGTGGACTGAGCGATGCAACCCATTGTCCAACGAATGACGTTGCCAGAAGACGGCCTGGTATGGTGCAATGTACATTAACCAACATCGGCAGTGACTGTCGCTGGAGTATAGTACAGCTTAGCTCCGCGCTCGTAACGATAACGTACAAGGCTTCGTTCACCGCCATCTTAAAACGTCTCGCATCGGTGCTGGGAATACGCCACTGACCCACTCACCTCCGCGCGCCCCCTTCCTTCTCCTCCTTCTGCTTCTTCTCCTCCTCCTCCACAGTCCTTCGAACCCCCTCTACAAACGCCTCCACCGCCCTACCACCCCCCAACGGCACGCTCCCACCTCTAATTACGCCTCCGTTTTCCACCTTCAACCCAAGCGCCTCGCCAATCATAGGTAACCCACCGTCTCTCAACGCCACAGTCAAACTACCCAAACTCTGGTTGAACTGCGGACTCCGTACCGCTCGGGTCAGAATACCCTTCTTCTGCCACAAGTCTAGAGCTTCGATCGCGGCCTGCCCCGCCGCGGGCGTAGGATCAGGGTCGGAGGATGATGGGTCGGAGAATGATTCTTGCGCGAGGAGGAAGAGCTCGGGTGGGAGAAGTGTGCAAAGGTGGTCTATTTGCTCTGCCGAGGCGGAAGCGATATAGGAGACTGTGGTTACTTTGTTGAGGAGGTCAGGGAGGGTGGTGAAGGGGTCGTCGGGCTGGTGATTGGCGCTGCCACCGCCGCCGCTGCTGCCTCGGTTGAGGGAGTTGAGGAAGTTTTGGACGAGGGTGTTTGGGTCTTGGGAGGAAGAGGATGTGGGTCTGTATGGAAAAGAAAGTGGGTGTTAGCTTACCTTCTCTGATGAGTGCGGATGTGGCGAAAGTTGCGTCTTGGAACGTAGCCACATTGGCCGTTTCAGCCACCAGCGCCTCGCTATAACGCATACATCTCAATCAAAGAGACATGACTCTCACTTACGCCCGCCCTCCATCCGCGCCGCCCTCTCTGCTCGCCTCACCCTCGTCTCTCGGATCACCTCCAGTAGCATTCTGCCCAGCTTCACCCGTTTCTTGCTCGTCTAACCTCACGCCCCCGTCATCCACATCCATTGCGTCCGCATCTCCATTCGGCCCAGAGCCGCCACCACCGCCATTCCTCGCCTCCCGCACCTCAGCCTCCACATCCACCTCCTCGCCCTGCAAAAGCGCATCGACCAACTGCCCAATCCTCTGGTCGCGCTCACTGAATATGCCTAACCCTCCGCTCGCGCTATCGGTATGACTTTGACTGGCACTCTGCATCCAGAAATAATGCCTCTGGCTACTGCTTGCGAACTTCAGCACGAAGATCCTGCCTGTCGTTGGTGATTCTACTGTCTCGGCGCCAGGGTTCTTCACTAAAGGGTGAAACGAACCGTCACCGGGTAGCATTAGGAGGTCGATTTCGGGGTTGGTGGAGGTTTGGGCGCGGGGTCGCCAGCAGAGGTGGAGGAGTTCATCTTCGCCAGTGTAAAGGTAGAGGTAGCCCGGGGTAGGGTCCGGTTTAATTTTGGTGCCGTTGGGGCCGGTGGCGGTGCACTTTCCACATTTGAACGTAACCAGAGGTGATTCTGCCATGTTGACGGTGTTGACGGTGTTGACGGTTTCGACGGTGCTGGTGATGTTGGTGCAGCGGAGGATTGGTTGGGCAGTTGGTCGTGTGCTATGCGTAGAGTGATTATTGCCTGAGGTACGACTTCTGCCACAGGGCAACTGCGGAAGGTCATCCGATCCTTGGCACGCCAAGCCCACCTGAATTCAGCGGCACGCAACAACCTCGCATCGCTGAATCTCAGTCGAGGCAATCAATGGACACCATCACCCAAGCCTCGCACGACCCTACAGTATGCCTCATGACTCTCTGAACAACACTGCCACGAGTGCGAGATACTAACAGCGTCACAACAGTCCGGCGACATGTCTTCCGAACCGCAATCGCAGACGAAGCAGTTCCAGAAGGGCGAGCGGACAATTCCTCACGCCTCCCAAAAGGCCAGCAAATACTACCCGGCTGAGGATGAGGCGCAACCCAAGAAGGTACGCCATTACCACCACCTACACCACCTCCCGTACTACCAACGTAAATTCAAGTATCCCGCAAGCGCCATACTAACATCAATCTCATGATAGTCCCGCAAAACCCTCCATCCCTACCGACCACGCTCTTCTCTCAAGCCCGGCACCATTCTCATCCTCCTCGCAGGCCGCTTCCGAGGCCGCCGGGTCGTCCTCCTCAAGACCCTAGACAACGGCGTCCTCCTCGTCACCGGCCCCTTCAAAGTCAACGGCGTCCCGCTACGACGCGTCAACGCCCGCTACGTCATTGCGACCAAGACGACTGTTCCGCTCGAGGGTCTCGACGACAGCAAGCTGGGTGAGATTGCGGCGAGGGGTTACTGGAAGCGGGACAAGAAGGCGGATAAGAAGGGTAGTGAGGAGGCCTTCTTTGCGCAGGGCGGGAAGAAGGAGAAGAAAGAGGTTAGTGGGGAGAGGTCGGAGGATCAGAAGGCGGTGGATGAGGGGTTGTTGAAGACGATTAAGAAGGAGGCTATGTTGGCGGAGTATTTGAAGAGTCAGTTCAGCCTTAGGAAGGGCGACCGGCCACACGAGATGGTTTTCTAGATGATGATAAGCTCAGTTTGAGAGGATGATGCGCTACATCACGGGCGTAGCTGGGTCTGGGTGCTGGCGCTGCTCTTTCATCTACGAACACAGCTCTGCAGTCTAGCTAGCGCTGGTGGGTAGACAGCTGTGACCCGAACAATATTCGAACGCACTGCACCGCTCTGAGTCCCATCCATAGATCACGTCCTTCGAAGCTGTCAGTTACGCGATGATGTCTGGCCGGTTTAAACAATCCGGATCCACTTCGACACCGGATCTAGCCACCAAGCCCAAAACATCTCCTCCTCATGAAACCGCACAAGTTGCGCAAAGTCACTAAAAAGCAGACTCACAACATCGACGACCGTCCAGAAAAGCGCAGCCGCCGCCAGCACTACGTAAAGAATATCCGTGATCGGATTTTGCATGCAAGCGAATATCCGCTTCCATAACCTCCATAGCACAAGCACTGCAAGCACTGTAAGGCCTAACACCGCCCATCCCACCTTCGAGCGTAGTGTCAACACCCGGGTCAGCCGAAGTATAGTCTTTAACATCGACACCGGGTAATGCGGCCATTGCCGCCGATTAAGCGCTCCATGCTGTATCGGCTGAGATTCCTGAATTAGTCCGGCAATGACTATATCTACAGCGATGCGAATCCAGACTTCTGGTGGATAAGTCGGGATAGCGTCGTAAGTGTCGTCGCTGAATGTCCAGTGGACATTCAGGGAGTGTAGCATGAGGTTCGCGACACTTGCGAAGCAGGTATTGAGCGCGAGCCAAAAGTTCCTGCCGTCGAGGCCTAGGCAGCTACCGTACATTTCTGTCTCGGTGTCTGTCCATGTGGGTTGGGCAGGGTGAGAGCCATGGTGTGCGCGGCGGATGAACAAGATGATCGTGGTTGTTGCGTGGGCGAGTGCGAGAGTGCTGAGGACGAAGTGCAGAGTATGCTGCCAGGTCCATGGTTTGCGGACGCAGTGTAAAGTCGAGCGATCTGTGATGTCGAGGAGGTGCTCTGGTTGGTCGGTGAAGATGCCTTGGGCGAAACGGCGGCTGGCGGCTGGCTGTGTAATGCCAGGGTCGGATATGTGATTATCGGTGCTGTAAGGTACGTGGACACCTAGGCTGGCGGCGATGTAGTAGTGGAATGATGCTTGTCTGGATCGCTTTGGGCGGGCTTGAAGAATTTGACGGCATGTCATGGTCAAGTTGACAAGGAGAGATGAGAGTAGTGTGCTTGGCAGAAGTATGAACGCTATCATACTGAGGAGGATGCGATGATGCTTTGTGGGTGTAGTAGCTAAGCGATGGTATGTGAGGAAAGTGTAGGTTGCGAAGATGTGGATGATTAATGTACGGAAGAGAATGCCAATGACAGTCCTTGTAGGCTCTTGTACGTATACCTGAGACTCCATGGTCGGGAGAGGCAAAAGTAGAAAGTGTCTTACCTTCCCAGAACTATATTGCGTTTCTTGGTGGAGTTGCTGCCTGCAGACTTCGTATTTTATGCAGCCTTGAGCATTGCACGTTTGGGGAGAGGCTTGGTGGTACGGCCCCTGTCAGCATTACAGTCAACTCATGGCAGCACCGCTTGGCCTGGACGTCAACAACATATCCGCTCGAGTCATGTGCAGTTGAAGCCTCGGTATGGCAGGACGTAACCTCCCTACATTGTCGACCATGCTGCAAGATGTGAGGTGAAACAATGGGGAGCGAGTCATGACTGCCGAGGTAGGTGTGGCTTCAGGGGGGTCGTGCGCTTCGTCGCGGAAGAGGTGCGTCAGCGGAATCTTTCCTCTCCCTCACTGCACCACGATCGAGATGCAGATGGATCCGAACGAAGCATACCAAACACTCGCCTCATTAGCGAGCAACCAGCTGCAGCCACACGAAGAGTCGCCGTCATCAAGCTTCGGCGGGCAGCAGAGCGGTGGCGGTGGTGGGGGGAAAAGAAAGGCCAACGATGACCCTAATCAACCGCAGCAACGCTCGAAGCGCAACCGCTACATCTCGATTGCCTGCAATGAGTGCAAGCGGCGGAAGATCAAATGCAATGGGCAAACACCCTGCCAACGCTGCGGCAATCTGCAACTCGAGTGTATCTACGCGCCCAACTGCTGCAATGGATTCCGCGACACCCAGGAATACCGCGAGATGGCCGGCATCATCGTGGCGCTGCAGGAGCAGGTCAACATGTTATATGCCGACCTGAGCAGTCTTCGTGCGCAACTCGGACAGGCTCCGCCGCCGCCTTTACAGCAGGCCCCACAACCACCACCACAGCCGGCACCGATCCAGCATACTCCGCAACCACAGCAGCAGTCGAACGCTGCCATCGACCCGTCATTGCAGTCTTCCGCCTTCAGCCCGCCTGCTAGAGGTGGGTTGACCATAGCACAAGCGGTGGCCGGAGCACCCGTTGCCAGTATGTCGACTCCAACGGCCCGTCCACACAGCAGACAGCAATCGTTTCGTGGACCTACTAGCGCAGAATTCAACTTCGATGTTGCTAAGAGCAGCTTGCAGACCATGGGCATCACGGATCGGAACGGGGAAGGCAGCGGCAGCGGCAATCAGACCGCTGATCCATCTCCCATGGGCTCACCACGCGCTCGCACCAATGCCAACCAATTCCTGACCGCATACCATGCGAGCAAAGACCCTCTCTGGAGCATTACGCAGGAAGAGGCTATGCGACTGTGTAATGTGTATGAGGACGAGATGGGACTGATGTACCCTGTGCTTGACATTACGAAGGTCGTGACGCACGCGACCAAGCTCTACCGGTTCATGGACGCTGCGCATCGGACAGGGCTGATGCAGCAAGGCATGCCGGGTGCGGATGCAATTGAGGATGATGATACGAATGTGCTCAAAATGGTGCTTGCGAATGGCCTGACGGTTGAAGCGTCCGGAAGGAGCGATACCGGTAAACGGTTGTTCGAATATGTGCAGCCGGCCACAGAGAATTTATTGCTTGGCAGTGTGGGTGTCAAAGGCATCCGACTGTTGATACTGACTGTAAGACTTCTCTGACTACCATGCGTTGGTCGAGCTGACAGTGTTAGGCAATGTACCAGTTCCTTAGCGATAACGAAGGTACCTCCTGGCGCATCATCGGCGTCGCAGCACGTCTTTGCATCGAGCTTGGCCTCCACCGCCGCGAGACTTACGAAGCAATGCAAGACGAGTCCGAACGCGCCGAAACCACCCTGCTCTTCTGGTCCATCTATGTCCTCGATCGCCGCTGGAGCTTCGGCACTGGCATGCCCTTTGCTTTGCAAGACGCAGACATAGACCCGCATTTGCCTAAGCCCGAAGATCGCTCACCTTACCTCATGGCCATGATTGGCTACAGCGCAATTGGCAGTAAGGTCTGGCGTGCTGTCGCCGCAACGTCGGCGCCCGGAGCCGGCACTGGGATCAATGCGGAGGATATGAACTATCTCGACTATCAAGTCATCCAATGGCACCGCCAGATCCCCGTACATCTCCGCTTCGAGCATCCCTCCCAAGTCGGCAGACTGTCAACACCCATCGGTCCCGCTGCATCGCGCGCAGCGAATCGCCTACGCATCTTGCTTTATCTGCGTGCAAATCAGATGCGCATCCTCATCTACCGTCCTGTCCTCCACTCTGCCACGTCCATCATGCAGCACCGCGAGCAAGCGCAAACAGTTGTTGACGTAGCCAAGGACACTGTTCGCGTTCTTACGCACATCAACCAGACCTCTGACCTGTATCGCTCGTCGCAGGTTATGTTCAACGCCTTCCTCACCTCCGCATTGGCGGTGCTGTTTCTAGCGGTCAGCCATACACCGGCTCTCTTCGCCGAAAACGTGAGGGAAGAGTTCTATATGGCCCTTGATCTCGTGCGAGGCTTCAGTAAAGGCTCTTGGATTGGCAAACGCCTATGGAAGACTATCCGTGTCCTTAAAGAAGTCGGGCCAAAACTCGGGCTCCCGATTAAAGATACCGGCGCCGGCGCGCACAAACAACCACAACAGCACCTCCGCCAGGACTCTACGACACAATCACACCAGAAGCTGGAAGAACTGGATATGGATCCCAGCCGTTCTGCCGCGGTCGCTATGGCCGGGTTGGCGGGCCACAATGTCGACGAGTTCGCATTGTTCGGTAATGGCAACAACGGCACGGCTACGGCGCAGCAATGGGCTACGGCGCAGGGCACGGGATCGAGTACGAGTCCGGATGGGATGGCGAATGATCTCACTAGCTTGTTCGAGGCCGTGGGCGGGTATCAGGGTTATGACGGTATGGGCGTGCAGAACGGTGGGTTCGGGAACATTGGGGAGATGGGTGGAGAGGAGGGCTTGAGTGGGATATTCAAGGAGTTGTTCTGAGAAACTGTTGGGCGAATGCAGCGAAGATACACCGCGGTACGTTAGCCCTACTCATCCACAAATATTCTGTAGGCTGCGGCGCCTGCCGGAAGCAGTCCAGACTATTGAGCTAATCAGCACGAGATTGACGTCTTCCCATTGGTCAGCTTCGGTCTATCGGAGCTTCCGCTGCTTTCCGACCCGGTGCATAATAACGTTGCGGCATCACAACTCGCCTTGTCGCCATCGGATCAGCTGGTCCGCGTAAGCAAATTGTCTTGTGTCTCGGCCGTATACGGCAGTGCGACTCGGCGAGTATCACGGACGTAGAAACGGCATGTCCAACGGCGCGGAGTCCGACGAGCTCCGCTATTGTTCACAACAATAACATAACTTCAAGGTGGGCCATGGTGTATCCGTCGAACCGTCTTCGATGTAAGATACAGCAAACTTCAAGTTGAACAACGTACTTCGTTTCCTTTTCCACGTGCCTTGTGCTTCGGCGTACCGGCACGCTCTCTCAGATACTGTACGCCACTAACAACCCTTCCGACTAAGCACACGCCGCCAACATGAACGAAGAAGACCGGCGTATAGCGGCGGACGAAGGAGATGCCGAAACGGAGCGATTGGCTGCTAACCAACATCACCACGCCGGGAATGGCAGCCCACCCGGCGAGAAAGTCGAGGAGCGAGAAGAGCTCACCCGCGAGATGAGCACCAGCAGCGCCGTGGACTCCTCGCGTAACTCGATCGAGGCGCGGGAGCTGGGTACAACTGTCTCACGAATGACCACCCACCACGAAGCGCCGTTCGATCTTGAGAGACATCCTACCGCACTCTCCCGCATTCAGACAGGCCGCAGTCAACACGAACAGACTGTCGGTACCAGCATTCGCTCTCGCACCACCACGCGGCAGTCTAAAAAGCCGCTGCCCAACTTTGGGGGTGGCAAGCCGTATCCACCACAGTTGCCGGAACGCGAAGAGTATGTTGTTGAGTTTGACGGTCCTAGCGATCCCTTGCATGCGCAGAACTGGCCGTTCAAACGGAAGCTACCTATTGCAGCGGTGCTTGGTTTTGTCACGCTTACTGCGGCTTTTGGATCGTCCATCTTCAGTGTTGCGACTGGTTCTGTTGCGGAGAAATTTGGATTCAGTCGTGAGGTCGGCATCTTGGGCGTTTCGCTCTACGTATTAGGCTTCGCTACAGGGCCTATACTGTGGGTGAGTGTACTGTCCACGGAGTGATCGTGTGCTTGTTGGTCGCTCTGATGCTGACGGTCGCTAATGTAGGCTCCAGCTTCTGAGCTGTACGGACGAAAGTACCCGCTTCTGATCGCATCTTTCGCATTCAGCATCTTCTCACTGTCGGTTGCTGTTGCGAAGGACGCTCAGACAATCTTCATTGGTCGCTTCTTCACAGGTTTCTTCGGAGCATGTCCACTCACCTGCGTTGGAGCGGTGTTTGCGGATATGTTCAACAACCGAGAACGCGGTATAGCCATCACGCTCTTCTCCATGACTGTGTTCGCGGGGCCACTGCTAGCTCCGTTCATCGGCGGCTTCATCAACATGTCATACCTGGGCTGGAGGTGGACCATGTACATCACGTCAATCATGGGTTGGCTTGGATTCGTACTGTCCCTTATATTCCTGCAGGAGACTTACCCGCCTGTCATCCTCGTCAACGAGGCCGCTGACCTCAGACGCCGGACCAAGAACTGGGGTATTCATGCGAAGCAGGAAGAGATTGAGATAGACCTCAATGAGCTCGTCCAGAAAAACTTGAGCCGGCCAATACGGATGCTCTTTACTGAGCCCATTGTACTGAGCTTGTCCATCTACATGGTACGAAGCCGACAAGTCGTGCCCAATATTGTTTCGGTATGTTGCTGACTATTTCGATATATACGTCGCAGGCTTTCGTTTACGGACTGCTATACCTCTTCCTGACCTTCTACCCCATCGTCTTCCAGCAGATTCACGGCTTCAACCAGGGTGTAGGGGGGTTGCCGTTCTTGGGTATGGTCCTCGGCGAGCTGTTCGCAGGTCTCTACATGGCCTTGGAGCAACCTTCGTACAATAGGAAGTTGGCTGCGAACAACAACATCCGTAAGCAACCGAACCGACTGCTCTATTGAGCCGCAAGCCGTACGCTGACTGACGTATGTCTACGCAGCCTTGCCGGAGTGGCGCATGCCGTCAACAATTATCGGAGGCGTATTGTTCGCGGTCGGCATCCTGTGGTTCGGCTGGACGGGTTACACGGCCAGAATTCACTGGATCGTACCGACGCTGTCTGGACTGTTTACAGGTTTCGGCATCATGACCATCTTCCTGCAGTGCCTCAACTATTTGATTGACGCCTACCTTATGTTCTCCGCCAGTGTAAGCCGTCCCATCCGTGCTTCCCGTGCAAATGCTGATTGATGAGCAGGCTATTGCGGCGAACACTTTCCTTCGATCGCTTTGTGGTGCAGGTACGTCAAACGGAGAAGTGCATCACATTGTGCATGACACTGACTGCTATCATCCAAGGCTTCCCGCTCTTCGCTACGTACATGATCGAAGGCATGGGCGTGCAATGGGCTGGCCTGCTCTTAGGCTTGGTGGCATTTGCACTGGTGCCGTTACCAGGTACGTGGATTATGTCACTCGGGGCACTTCGCTACGACTGCTGACGGCGCTTCAAGTCCTCTTCTACCTGCGAGGCGCCAAGATCAGAGAGAAGAGCCAGTTTGCGCCAACATTCCCAGTGGCAAATAAAGCGAACGCGGAGTCCAGAGAGAGCGACGAGGAGAAGAACGAGTAGCCGACCAATGCCTTCATTCCACAGATCCTGTGTTCCGTCCCGCCCACCGCAGAACTGTTCACGCTTTAAGTGCAAGAGTGCCGTCTACCGGACAGTGGACGCCCTCGGATCTGAACAGCCCTGTACTCTTGCCTCATGATCAAACAGGTGCGCGTACTGGTAATATCACGGCGATACACAGCGTGGTCTCCTTATAGACCTATATTACACAGCTTGAACGGTGTCGGGTTGAGGCAGCGCTGTACCGACGTAGGACAGCGGCCACTGAACATGGGCGGCGGCGGAGCTACGCAGTAGGACTTCACAGCCGGCGTGTCTGTAAACTGTCAACCAATGACTGGTTGGCGATTCCCGTTCATGGTCAAGGCGTGATGTAGCACCTAAAGAGAAGATTTAGGATGGCGAGTGGAAACATCATGCGCAGTATGAACTTTTATTCGCATGACGCACACAACTATCTCTGGCAACACTACCAACAAGTAACATAAAGCAAGGCCACGAGTCAATCAACCACCCTCCAGCGAGCGCCAAGCGCTTGGATAAGAGGAGTAGGAGACCTCAGAAACGGCCAATAATCATCATGCATCATCAGCCGCCCGATCAGTCCGGCTCTTGCGAAGCCGAGACTGCGCGCCGTGTGTATCGCAATATGAAAGGCCGGGAGCCGGCCAGTAACGGAGTGGCCGTGGCGACAGAAGAGCGCCGATTACTGCTCCCACCCACGGTCCAGTAAGCACGTGTAAGATAATAAGAAACGGTGGGCCTCCGCCACCAGCATGCATTCTCCGCAGGCATGCGTCCAACCTCCTTCCTCCCTTTGTTCTGCTTCAGTAGTCGTGATCGTTATCTGTGTCTGTGCCTGTGTTTGTGCCGAGCTCAACCAGGCAACCGGTCAAGATCGTGATGAAAGAAAGCTCAATCGCTATCCTCATCCTCCTTGACCGACATCGAGGAGCCATGAGCTCTCTCGAACCGTGCCGCGAGAGCAGCGTACTGCCGCTGCAACACCGCGTACCTTTCCTCGACCTCGACATTCTTCTGTTCCAGCTCCGAGATCCTTCCCTCTAGTTCTTCGCGTTCCTGGACTTTCTTCGCACGAGACTTACGCGCCGCGGCGGTATTCCTTGCCCGCTTGAGGCCAACCTGGTCGTTCTCGTCAGCCCAGATGGGCGGCAAGTCTTTGGCGGCGCGCTTGCGAGAAGCTGCGGCGGCAGCACCAGCACCAATGACGGGTGTGGCAGGCTTGACGGCCGGTGAGGCTAAGGCTAGGGCTGGAGAGGCACCAGTAGAGCTGCGCTGGCGCTGTATCCCTTCGCCACCGGCGTGGACGAGAACTTTGTTGACTGAGCTGCCGGACTCATTGCGGATGAGTGGAGCGCCGCCGGTGAGGGCGGTGGAGTTGTCGACATCCGGGAAGAGTGAGAACCAGTTTGACTCCTTGCCGTCGGCCTGGAGGTCGTTGTTGAAGAGCGGCGAGGTCTCGTAGTCGTCGTACGGAGTCTCGAGAGTTGTGGAGCCAGGCGTAGTGAGGTTCGTGAAAGAGGTCGAAGGCGGGATGGAGCTGTTGTTGAAGATGTCTTTTGGTGAGACAGTGGTGCCGGTTGCATTGCCGCTGTTGATGGCCGTGAAGTCGAGCGTGGGAAAGCCCTCGGCGGCGCCGGTGTCGTTCGTGAGTGAGCCGAAGTTGAACTCATTCATATCGAACAACCCGGCGTCCCCGCCAGCGGCGAGATCGCCAAAGGTGCCCTGATAGGCAACGTTGATTTCTGAAGGGACAGTTAGACGACGAGACAATCGAGAGGAAGGCATTGCGATTAATGTACCTCCACCCATGGTTAAGTCCTGGTTAAGAAGATCCGGCTGAATGGGCAGTGCACCGGTTGAGTTGGAATGGAAAAGTGGCACAGGTGGACGAGAAGTACGGGTGTTGGTGTTCCTTTGCTGAGTGGGATGGTTCGCTTGAGCTGAGTATGATAGACCGTCTGCGTGAGAGTACGCAGCTACGTCGGCAGCGTTAAACGAAGGCTGCAGCGTCGAATCGAGCGATGGCGCCCGATGAGGGGTTGCCTGAGGACGCCGGGCGGTAGTGGGCGTAGGCGGTGGCGCGAAGAGACTGAAGTCGCTGAACGTGGGTTGTGGGGGTTGGTGCCCTGCGGACGCTGGTGTTGGAGGCCATGTCTGCTGAGTGGAAGCCGTGGTTGGCGGCGGGGGGTTGATCGCGGGGGCGGTGTCTGGAGGACGGCGCGCTCGAGAGTCGTGAGACTCTGAAAAAGTGGAGATGAAGTAAGCTGGTATGTGCTGTATGGTGGGCGACGCTGGGTTAGTTGAAAGCAGCCATCTTGTGTCTGCCTTCAACGGTGGGTTTGTGTGTGTCTGTGTCAATGTGTTTGTTGGAGGAGGAAGAGACGTCGCAAAAAGTGGCAGCCTCAGCAGTCCTTATGGAATTCATGCCGTGCGCTCAGAGCGGGTGTGAGTCACAGAAGCTAGCGTCGGACTAAACTCCACAATCGCACCCGCCGCTTTGCTGCTCTTGGCCGCCGGTGAGCAGGCGGCCTCAGTCGGAAGAACATATGCATGCGTGCAATTTGCCGTCAATATGCGCCAAAGCCGTCATCTGTTCAATCGACACTACAGCAGCCCAATGGCAATGCAATCGCTTGGAGATGGTGAACGATCGTTCAGACCCGCTGGGCGACGCGGCCTGATTGATCTTGCGAGTACCCGGATTCCGCAGTTAGACACCGCAGCTGCATTAACTCCACTCGGCCAACCGACTGCGCCCCACGAAGGATGCGCCCTACGTTTGATTACGGGCTGGTTGAACTGGCGCCTCGGACACGCGAGCCTCAGCACCGGGTGCCATTGGCCGGCGGCGAGCTTCTGCCGGGACACTCGTGTTGGGAGCGTCGCCCAGTGTGTGCAGGTGCTTGGCGGTGCGAAGAAGAGCCGGCGAAATGGTACGATCATGCGACCGTAGTACCCTTGTGCAACCAGTCTCAAGGTCTCACGCCGGCTTCTCAACTGAGGAGCGCGTGGGGATGCTGTCCCTTCGCACATCTCTTGTAAATACACCATTTCGGTTTGCTAAGACATTGTTCGCAGCGTATGTGTACATGTCGACACTATCGTGAAAAATCCGATGCAGTCAACCTCTCGCCGACCATCATCGGTACAAAGACATGTCATTCACGATCAATAAGGTACCCGCATCACTCGCCATTCTAGGTCCGTTGACAAGAATGTCCGCGATATGATAGGAAGAAGCCTGTTAGCCTCCGACTCCGAATGCAGCGATGGACTTCTCTGGCCGGCACCATGGGCTTTCTAGGTCTGCACTCGTAAGCCTAAGACATGTCCTAAGAGCACGAACCACTTCTTTACTGCAGCTATACTGCTTAAGGTACTCGAGCTGCTGCTGTATGCCATAAACTGCAGCTTAGGTCGACGTGCTCAAGTGCTGCGTCCCAACCTGATGGATTGTAAGTGTCCTACACCTTAGGGATATCAGCAATGGCGTGGAAACGGGTACTATCGGGTGTAGGTTCCGTATGTAGGTCACACTCCTCGTGCGGGTGTTCATGCTTATCGATGCTATCATCGAATGTACGTGTAGCGGGTACTATCGCGAGCTATCGGACAAGGTACAGTTATCTTGTAACATTCTCCGCGTCGCAGAGGTCGCACAACACGGACCGTGCCAAGATGTGCGAAATAGGTGTCTTTACATGCCCCTCAGCTTTACTTAAGCAGGACTGGCACAACATCTTATATGTAACAACGTGCGAAAACGGTGCGGTCAGACAATCGACAGCGATCTTCCGCCACTCTCCTTGGGAAATATTTCGGGCTAAAGTCATGTCATGTCACGTCTAAAGCTGCCTGCTTACGGCCTAACCCGCAAACTGCAGTACAGAATGCACACGCTTTTTCTATGCCTTCATGCTTCTCATGCAACACGTGTCTCGACACGCTGCTCTACAACTTCTGCATGGCCGCAATGTCGGAGCTCTGCACGTAGTCCTCGAACCCATCAATCTCCTCCTGCAGCTCGTCGAGCGAGATCTTCTCGTCCTCAATGACAAGGTTGATCTGCAGCTTCTTGATGCCGAAGCCGACGGGCACGAGCTTGCTCTGTCCCCATACGAGGCCGTCCTTTTCGATGCTGCGTACGGAGGCTTCAAGGGCTTTCATGTCGGTTTCGTCGTCTAAGAATGACCATCAGTACGGAAGGCGTTGGTGAGAACAACGATGTGGTATGCCAACATACCCCACGGTTTGACATCTAGCGTGACCACAGACTTAGCCGCCGGCTTCGTCTTACCCGCCTTCTTCGCAGCGTACTCCTTCAGACGCTCCTCCCTAATCCTCGCAGCCTCCGCATCTTCTTCCTCATCATCATCGCCGAAGAGGTCAACATCGTCGTCATCCTCCTCCTCCTTCTTCTCCTCCTTCGTTTCCTCCTTCTCTGGCGCCTTGGGATTGATGGGCAGCTCACTCGCCTCTGGACCGTATGCGGTGAAAGCCTTTGATGGGTCGCCAGGCAGGGAGGAGAACTCGGGCTCAAAAGTCGCGATGTGCTTGTACCAGCGGTAGGCGTGTGGGAACTTCTCGACGGCCGGTTGGGAGCTGAAGGCTTGGAAGGACTTGACGTCCGCCTGGGTGGGGCCGTAGCTGTGTGCGTCTTGGTTAGCGACTACATCCTTGTATTTGGGTATGAGTTAACGATGCGAAGTCGGAGGGAAGGTGTTAAATCAGATTAGCGACGTTGCTTTGGTTTTGGATTCATTCGGCGGGGTCTTACGTCCGCCGCAGAGTCATAAACACGGACCAATGTGTATCATCAGAGTAGAGGGAGTATGCGGGTATGTCGGCGGGGACGGTACTCACCCAACGATGTAGCTGCGTGTCTTGACCCAGCTATCGAGCACTGCTCCCTGTTAGCTAATCGCACAAGCAGGCTACGTGTATGAACGGAGTCGCATACGGGTCATGCCACTGTCGGAGACGAAATCGGTGAAGCCCATGTTTGCGCTGTTGCTGTGAAGGTGATGTTCGATATTGGTATGAGTCGTGCTGCTGCGAAAAGTTGCCAAAGTCTCCACCAGGAAATGCTAGCTTCGAAACAACGTTATCGATCGCGGATCTTCCCGACCGCAGCCGGGACGCTTGGGCGCGTTCGGCTCGAGCTTCGAGAAGGTACTGGCATCACGAAGTCATCGAGACCAGACCATTTCTCGCATCGCTATAACCATGCTTTGCCTGGTGATAATCCGTGAAGTGTATCCGAACTTCAAACCATATTCATAGACAGACTTCCGTCGAAGATGCTGTCGAACACAGGTAGGAGCGCTGCTCGGCGCATTGCCAACGTGCGCTATCCATTGCCACGAGCACCGAGAGTCTCACCTATTGCCCTGCGATCTTTCACAGCTCCCATCTCATCTCAACATCCCCTATGGGGGCCATCGCAGCAGCGGACTTACGCAAGTGGCCCTCCACGACCGCCGGGTGGCACTCATCGCATGGACATGAGCCCAGACGGCGACAAGCCAGCATTGGAGCGTTTCGGTGTCGATCTTACGGCCAAGGCGAAGTCGGGAAGGCTAGACCCGGTCATTGGACGAGACGCAGAGATTCATCGCACAATTCAAATTCTCTCACGAAGAACGAAGAACAATCCCGTCCTGATTGGCGCAGCTGGTACTGGCAAGACCGCCATCCTCGAAGGCTTGGCACAGCGGATTGTGAGAGGCGATGTACCGGAGAGTATCAAGGACAAGAAAGTCATTAGTCTTGATCTCGGCAGTCTGATCGCTGGTGCGAAGTTCCGAGGTGACTTCGAGGAGCGGCTGAAGAGTGTGTTGAAGGAGGTCGAGGATGCGCAAGGAAAGGTGATCCTGTTCATCGACGAGCTGCACACGCTGCTGGGCTTGGGCAAGGCGGAAGGCAGCATCGACGCGAGCAATCTCTTGAAGCCGGCGTTATCACGAGGAGAGCTGCAGTGTTGCGGTGCCACCACGCTCAACGAGTACCGGCAGATCGAGAAGGATGTTGCACTCGCGCGACGCTTTCAACCGATCCTGGTTGGTGAGCCGACGGTGCAGGATACCATCTCCATCCTACGAGGCATCAAGGAGAAATACGAAGTCCACCACGGTGTGCGCATCACTGACGGTGCGCTCGTGGCCGCGGCAACTTACTCTAACCGCTACATCACTGATCGGTTTCTGCCCGACAAAGCCATCGATCTTGTCGACGAAGCCGCGTCTGCTCTTCGGCTACAGCAGGAAAGCAAACCCGATGCGATTCAGGAGCTTGACAGGCAGATCATGACCATACAGATCGAGTTGGAAAGCTTACGCAAAGAGAGCGACGTTGCGAGCAAAGAACGGCGCGAAAAGCTCGAGAAGACGTTGACGCTCAAGCAAGACGAGGTTGGCGCGCTGACGGAGAAGTGGGAGAAGGAGCGGGCAGAGATCGAAGCCATCAAGAAGACCAAGGAGGACCTCGAAGCCGCTCGATTGGAACTTGACCAGGCACAACGGGAAGGCAACTTTGCCCGCGCGTCTGAGCTTCGCTACGCTCGCATACCAGAGCTCCAGCGAAAACTGCCAGCCGAAGAAGGCGGAGAAGGTGCCGCCACGCCTTCCGCTTCAGAGACACTGATACACGACTCTGTGACGTCGGACGACATCGCCGCAGTCGTGGCAAGAGCCACCGGTATTCCGGTTACGAAGCTGATGGCGGGTGAGATCGAGAAGCTCGTTCATATGGAAGACACACTTCGACAATCTGTCCGTGGCCAAGACGAAGCACTCACCGCTGTTGCCAACGCTGTCCGGATGCAGCGAGCAGGACTGTCGGGCGAGAACCGTCCACTAGCGAGCTTCATGTTCCTTGGTCCTACAGGTGTCGGTAAGACCGAGCTCTGCAAGAAGATGGCCGCATTCCTCTTCAGCACCGAATCCGCCGTAATCCGCTTCGACATGTCCGAATTCCAAGAAAAGCACACCGTCTCCCGCCTCATCGGCAGTCCGGCAGGCTACGTCGGATACGAAGACGCCGGTCAACTGACCGAGGCTGTGCGACGGAAACCCTACGCCGTACTCCTGTTCGACGAGTTCGAGAAAGCGCACCGCGACATTTCCACCTTGCTCTTACAGGTACTGGACGAGGGGTTCCTAACCGACGCGCAAGGCCACAAGATCGACTTCCGCAACACCATGATCGTGCTGACTTCCAACCTAGGCGCTGACGCGCTGGTGGCGGACGAAAGCACCGGCTCTGAGATTTCAGCCGATGTGAAGCAGAGGGTCATGGATGTTGTGCAGATGTCGTATCCGCCTGAGTTCTTGAACCGGATCGACGAGTTCATTGTCTTCAAGCGGCTTTCGAGAGAAGCGCTGCGGGATATTGTCGATATCCGATTGCGCGAACTGCAGACGAGGCTGGACGATCGCAGGATTGCGCTTAAGGTCAGCGATGAGGTGAAGGCGTGGTTGTGCGAGAAGGGGTATGATCCGAGGTATGGCGCGAGGCCGCTTAATCGGCTGATTGCGAGAGAGGTTGGGAACAGCCTTGCGGATAAGATTATTCGTGGGCATATTAAGGGTGGCGATACGGCGAGAGTTGTTGTTAGGGATGGTGGGGAGCATTTGGATGTTATTACTGCATAGCGTGCGGACGAGAAGGAGCGGTTTGAGAATCCAGGGCTTGCATAGCGTGGTGGTGGACTATTTGGAGGGCGCACTGGTGGGCTGGGATATCTTACGACCTGCGCTAACGCAATGTATTATAAGTTGAACAGCGCTATACAGTATGCTTGTCTGTAATATATCTTCGCTCTTGTACACTCGGACACAACGCAGATGTGACACCGTTGCCGTTGCAGTCTATTGATTTGGTGAATAGATTATACGGCATTGCTTTACACGGATTGTGTAGGTATGTTGGCCGGAAAGAGGAACACTGCTTATGAGCCCAGTGTTATGAGCGCCCGGTGAAGATATGAGCCTTTGATGCCGGCTTCCGGAGGGTAGGCCTTTAGTTTGCCTCTGTTAGTACCTGCTGCAAACCAAGCCCTCGATGCATAAAATTGCTTGCTCAGCCGTTACGGAAGCAAATCCAAACGGTCATGCGCCTCCACAACAGACCGAGATACTGCCACCACTTGTAAAACCTACTAGGTGCACTCTTCTCCACATCAGCATTTACGCACGTTGGCCTTTCTTCATCATCCCAGTCGTCGGACCTTAGCTCTCTGAATTCCTGCAGCTGCCATCTACCATTATCTGTCGGCTGATAGTGCATAGCAAGGACAACACTCCTCACGTGGACGCCCGTCGCCATCATCCTGATCTCCACGACCTCTAATCTTGGGTGATTCGTCGCCTCTATCCGCCCCATGACTTGCTTGATGCGCAGATCAACGTCCAGCTTCCAATGGCACGGTCCGATGTTAATGATGACATGCTCGACTCTCGGAAGTCGGTGCAGAATACCTATCGATAGAGCCTGTCGTATCCATCGCATGCGCGTTTGCAGCCTTGGGAGCTTGAGGTCGACCTGCTGGCTAGACTTGTTGTACGTTTCTGGCAGCACGCCAATGTGGAGATGCCGAAGCCAGAGAGCGAGCTCAGGCATGCGATGCAAAGCGTGATGCATTATAGAGAGACTTTTGACCTGCGCCATGCGCGACCTAGTATAGGTCGGACTGACTTCCGTGCGCAGTTTCCGACAGACCGAGAGGAGCGGATGAGCTGACAGATACACCCTATCTTGGGAGATAGTCACGGCGCCGAGGTAGGGTTTGTGAATGCCTTTGATATAATGCCACTGATGGCCTGCTTCGCTTTCCTCCTCAATCTCATCCTGCGCTACGGCGTATGCCCAGTAATCCCGCTTCTCTGCTTCCAAAGCTAGGCGGACTATGTGCAGGCGTAATTCAACCGCAATGGTGAGTAATGTGTGTCCTTGCGGCAGCAACTCGATTGATTGTGCAACACCACTGTTGGGTAGCATTTTGACTAGGCTCGAACAGTTTCCGCCTTCATGTTGCACATCGGCGAAGTAATCTTCAATGGCACACGAATCCGTAGGCATCATTTCCTCGAATAAGGCCTTGGTGAGTACCTGCTGCTTTGGCTCGGAAAGAGCAGTCATGCTTAGCTGTGTGTCTCTATGTCCACGTATACTGGGTAATAAACAAAGAGAATCCCGCACGCAGAGAGGTGTGAGCCATCTGTGAATGCTCACGTTCTGGGTCACAGACAGTGATAGCTCACAGTGAACAATGTGGTACCAGTAAGCGGTAACGGCTCGGCTGCCAGACCTCGTGAGCATGAGCAGTAACATCGCGAATGACGTACCAGATGCCCTTGTGAGAAGTCAGGCGTTTCAGCATTAACGTCATGAGATAATATAGTTGCGTCTCTCGTGCGTCCACTAGGTCGTTTCACCAGTAGTGACAGAACTTAACATTCTTCTCAGCCCGACCGTGTTGAAACCTGCAGACACCATCTTCCTGTCAACTCGAAAACCACGTCACGAACCCAACCTCGCCGCCCAGCACTCGGTTTCGACGATCACCATCAGGAATGACCCGGCAGAACGGGCTCCACCGTGTTGATCGCCACCGTGGTATGGTCTTTTCGGCGTACTTGCCGTCATCATCGTGTCGTCCACTTCTGTAGCTGGTATTGCCACGAAGACAACCGAGTGCAGGAAGTCTATGGAAGACAGGGTGCTTTAGCACCCAATGCAGTCGTTGATATTACTTTGAGCGGATGTGGCCAATGGCTTCCGGTAGACGCAACATAACGTTATAGGTTCGTTTCAATCATCCCAGATGGCTTGCTTAGCTCTCTCCGACTCGGCCTTCCGCCGCTCCTCCTCCGCCTTGATTTGGTCTCTTCGCTTCTTCTCCTGTATCTTCACTGCTTGATCGTACTCTCTCTGCTCCTTGGTCCGCTTTGGCGCCTTTTGACCGATCCCAGCAGCAATAAGTCTCGAAGCTACAGCGGTGGACTTGTCTGGTCTACGCTCATCGCTGCCTTTTGCGGTGTAACTGGACTCGTCGTAGTCGGCGGGCGGGAAGGACTGATATGGGGTGCCCTTGCCTGGGCTGAAGGATGGTGAAGACGGTGTTGGAGGAGGTGCATCCGGATAGCTTGAGGAACTAACCGGTCGGATGGGCGTGGTTGTGCCGGAGTCTTCCTCCGAGTCTTCATCTTCCCAAGACTCAGCTGGCTGCTTCTTCTTCTGCTGCTTGCCAGAGATGGTGAGCTTGTCCAGGGAGGAAGTAAGGGCACGGCTTGATGTTTGGGCCATAGTGCTTCACTCTGCCTTATCTTGAGTGCTTCCAAGCAGGTAAGTAAATGATCATCTTGTCGTTGACGCTGACACACCTAGCTCCACACTGCCCCATACGCCTCGGCACGACAGCTCCAGAGATGGGGGCGGCCCGGGCGCGCACGTTGGACCCTCGTCTTAAGTCACTCTGTTAGCTCGAGGTACGTCACTCTCTCTCTCTCAGCCTGTACAATACGGCATCATTCACTCGACAGGTAATCTGTATGGAGTGTAGCAAGCTGCGATAGCGCTGTCACCCACCCGAGGAGCAGGCCAACAACACTCACCCACCTCACGTTCGCAGGTTCTTGACAGCCAGGGGCTCCGGTAATCGGAGGCTCGACCAGAGATTACTGAGGCCAAGTTATTCCCGGCGCAACTCAAGTATGCCTTTTCCAACCCATTGCTTCCCTTCCTCCCTTTCTCTCATAGCCGGCAGCGGCATCAGGCGCAAGCAGAGACACCTTGACCTCGTCTCGATCCATCTGTACTCTTTCATGCAGTCATGGCTGGCATCCGTTTCAATCACAAGCCTTTCTCCGGCATAGCTGCCTCACGATCACCACGACCACGTTCGAGACGGCCATTCTCCTCCTCAACCGCTCGAAGATCCTACGATGACACCGTCCAAAATCTCCTCATAGGCAAGCACACTCGGGTCATCTACCAAGGCTTCACTGGACGAGTAGCTACTGGCAATGCCAAAGACAGCTTAGCCTACGGCACTAACATTGTAGGCGGCGTCACGCCTGGCAAAGAAGGCGAGCACCTAGGTCTGCCTCTTCTGCCAGATCTCCGAAAGGCCAAGGAGCAGCTAAAGCCCGATGCCACAGCCGTCTTCGTTGCAGCGCCGCAGTGCGGGAAGGCGATTGAGGAAGCTATAGAAGCGGAGATTCCATTGATCGTGAGCGTAGCTGAGCACATCCCACTCCACGACATTATGAGGGTGAGTGTCTTTAGCCTTGTCTACGAGCTGCAGCGTGACTTATGCGAAGTAGGTAACTTCAATTTTAAAAACGCAGTCCAAATCTCGCCTTGTAGGCGCCAACGCACCGGGCATCATAGCACCTATAGGCTTTTGCCGCATTGGCTTCCAGCCTTTGCCCACTTTCGCGCCAGGCCACGTCGGCATTGTTGCCAAATCTGGCACCCTTTCGTATGAGGCTGTCGCTTCTGTAACCCGCTCGGGCTTGGGTCAGAGTCTTGTCATAGGCATGGGCGGCGATATTATAGCAGGCACCAACATGGTTGATGGGCTCAAGGTGTTTGAGCAGGATCCCGAGACCGAAGGTATCATTATTGTGGGTGAGGTTGGCGGCAGGGCTGAGGAGGACGCGGCGGAGTGGATCAAGGACTACAGGAAGCGTGTTAGCAAACCCAAGCCCATCGCAGCGCTGGTCGGTGGCATCCATGCGCCGGAACGCAGGATTATGGGGCATGCTGGTGCGTGGGCGGCGAGAGGCGAGAGGCTGGCCGCAGAGAAATACAAGATCCTGCAAGATGCTGGAGCTACGATGGTCGATCATCCGGAGAACTTCGGCGGTGTCATGAAGACGTTATTGGCTCAGAGCGGACGAGACGTGGACAGAATCAAGCAGCACGCTCAGTCGCAGCAGAAGCGGAGCTACCACACCATGCATAGACGGTCAAACACTACCCACAGCAGACGCGCAGCAAGTCCCGTCGTTCGTCCCACCGTATACAAGCAACAACGTCGTGGCCTACTGCTCGGCACTGATCAAGCACCCGGTGTCCTCGAACCGTACATTAACAATATCGAAGGACTTTCTCTAAGCTCACAACAAGCCCCGCAAGACGCCTTCTACGTTGGCCTCACAGTTGACCGCACCGAACGTAGTCCTTGCATTGCCACCGCACCAACCGCCGACCCAGCTCAGCGTGCTCAACGCATGCGCCGCTTTCCTTACGACTGGCGGCAAGGCCCGAGTCAGGAGCTCATTCAATCCGCGATTGCACACATGCAGCTTGACGCCGCACCACCAGCCGCTCACGCGCATATCGCTGGGCTCATGGAGGCGCTGGCAAAGATGTACCGAGCAAAAGAAGCCGTTACAATTTCAGGCAGCGTGAGCATTGACAAGAACGGCAACCTGCAACTGCACCAGCCGAGCCTGCTCATGCAACTCGACGACGCAGCATACAGATCCAGTAAGCGACAAGAAGACATTCACAGCTTACGACGAAGAGAGAACGAAGTTTCGGAAGAGCTAGAGGCGGAGAAGGACGGCATCGTCTTCGTCAAGCTCCAAGACCCATCCGCCAATATCGGTACGCTCGTCAATGGTGCCGGGCTGGCAATGAACACGGTCGATGCACTCCGGCTGCACGGCGGGAAAGCCACGAACTTCTTAGACACCGGTGGGAAAGCGACGTCGGAGACGGTCAAGAAGTCCTTTGAACTCATTTTGCGGGACTCCAGAGTCAAGGTCATCTTTGTGAACATTTTCGGCGGCCTGACCGATGGCGGCATGATTGCTGATGGCATTTTGTTAGCATTTAAGGAGGTTGACATGAAGGGTGTTCCGGTTGTTGTGCGGATCAGAGGTACTAATGAGGCGAAGGGCCAGAAAATCATCGCAGAAAGTGGGCTGTCGTTGGAGGCTTTCGATGGCTTTGCGGACGCGGCGAAGAGGGTGGTCGAGATCGCCAACAGTCGATAGCTGGGACGAACATATTCATGCAGTAATTGTACAGAAAGCGATGAGGGGGCGTTGGTTGATCGGTTGCGGATGGCTATGTTACGAGGAAGGCGCGGTGTTTGAAGAAGGAAAGAGGGACTGTCAATGAACTACTGTACCGCATGATACACTGACTGAAAGCAGCCGAGAACAGTTTCTCGCCACCGGCAATCAAGCTTGTCCTTATGTCGCCAACGCCGAGCTAAGTCCATTGAGACCGTGTCGATACCGGTGAGGCATGCACTCTCGCCCATATGACGCCGAGACGCCAGCCTTGTAGCAGATAATGAGACTCATGCCATCCGCTCACTCGTCGTTTCATGTGTGGTGTAGCTCGGTCAGCATACAGCGCCACCGATCTGTTCCTGATGCACCTCTAGCACGTCGCCGTCGTTCATGTCGAGCTAACAACGTCAGTTAGCGCTCACTCTCCGCCAACAGCATTAGCCACCATCCCAGCGATGCCTCTGCTGAGAGGAAGGCGTGACTCACCATCTCCGGATTGTCTGTTGGGTTTACTCTTTGCCCATCGAACAAGAACCGACAGCTCCGAATATCCTTGCCTTGACGCTCGCAGAACGCATCCATGAGCTTCTTCAGCTGCGTGGTGCGCTTGATCTTGAAGAACACCTCGTTGTTGTTGTCGGTAACCTTTATGTTGAGGTGCTCGCTCCGCTGTTCTTGCTCCTCGGGCTTCTCCGCCGCGGGTGATTGGGAGTTCGGTGCGTCGGACATTGTTGCTTCGCTGGCTGGTGTGCACAGATGAGGCGTTCGTTGGAAGCGTGTAGAAACCAGGCCCTTGTGGGTTGTAGGGATCGGACTAAGGGAAGTATCTGTTGGACTTGACGCGCAAGGCTGAGGTGCAACGTCGAAGAGTGCTGCAGTTGTTTAGCGAAGTGATCTGTGTGTGGGAGCTCGTGCGGAGGCAGCGATGTAGTTCTTACCAGGGCAAAGAGGTTCGCGCGCTTACGTTGGAGCCCGTATCAAGTTCAGGAAGAATCTGTCGCAATGTTGGTAGCGAACAGAAAGGTAAGTTGATTGAAAGATGGTAGAGATGTAAAGGTGGGGGACGTCGAGATTGTACAGTGTGCACGGACCATATTACTTTGGTGGCGGTAATGAAGGCACAATGAAGTGGCAAGTGAACAGTCTTGCACTCTCTCAGTGATTCCGTGATCACGCTGCGGCAGTATGGTATGCTCTCTGTGCCAGGAGGGATACAAAGAGCAGAGTCTAACCTATCACAGGGCGCTCTCGAAGACGATGTCAAGTTTGACCCGCCCTGCCACCCTCGAGCGTGTGCCATCCAAGGTATATTGCATTGCAGAGATGCGTCATTCTGGTCAGTCTGACAGACCATCAGACTGCATACAGAAGAACAATTACAAAGAGGAGAAGTGCCAGCAACAGGCAAGATATTCTCACAGACTCCGGTGCGGTGTGACGCTGATTCCAGGAAGATTGACGCCTTGTATGAGTGCTGCAACCTCTTTTACCAGCGCAACGGCGACCAAGCGTCAACAGTGAGCTGTCCGAAAGCGAACCTCCTGCGGTGTGACCAGTCCCAGCCCAAATACATCGCATAACGGGCTAACTGTGCGGTCGCAGTCTGAAAATGAAGCAAAGGGCTGAGGGCGTCAAATAAGGTTCTGGGTCTTGTTCGGGTTCGCCCTTGGATGATGGAGCGTTCCAATCCGTCTGTGACGCCTACAGGCTTCAAGCTCGCATCCCGTCGAAGCAATTTGGGATGGAGGACAAAGAGAGGCATGCTACTATTCAATCTAAGGGCACCGGAGCACGCAGAGAGGCCGTGATAGACCTGTACAAACACTGAGGTATCGTTCGCACCGAGACTCTATTGGTGGCCTGTAATGACATTGTTATTGAGAAAGAAAAGGTTCTTGACGCAGTCTCCTTGAAGATTCTATATGCGCGCTTACTCAGGTGCGGCTAAGCGGAGCATTCGGCCGAAGTAGGGCCGCTTCACCAAACCTGGGCGTAAAGCGTCCAACCAAGGACTTTTGGTACAAAGTACAGGTTTGCTCTCACCGTCAGTGAACTGTAGGCTACCGTCAATTGGTCTGTTGTGAAGCGGTAAGTAAGAAGTAGTAACGGGTATTGTAAGCAGGTCGTACTCGAAGAGAGCGGAGCGCGTGAAGCCGCCGTGCTCCGACAGCCCGGACGAGGTGTGCACAAAGGTGTTGCCTGAGCCATGCGGTGACTGTTTATAGGCGGTAAACAATCCAGAAAGATACACTCCCGTATTAACTTTTACAACACCTCTCTTAAATCAATAGACCACAGCGATGGAAGGGAAGAACACGCAGTCTGGGTACCTCTTGGGCCGATCATCATGGGAGAGCTGCAGGCTCAACCTCCAGCACGTAGGCAACCTTGAATGCTGTGCGATACGGCAGAGAAGTAACAAGACGTCTTGCAGTACCTGTTCAAGGAAGATTTTGGCTACCTGCTCCATCCATCGGTAAACACCACCGAGAAGAGTCTCATTGCAGACGTTGGCTGCGGCACGGCGTGAGCGGACGGCAATCTCGCCCTGATCTCCCTTCGCTAAGTGCTTACCGTGGGTAGAATCTGGCCCATACAGCTAGCGAAGACTCTACCACCATCGGTGGAGATCCATGGCTTCGACATTGACCTCAAGCAAGCGCCTCCACCCCAGTGGCTGCCAGATAATCTGAAGCTGGATACACTTGACGCTCTTGCCGAGATACCCGAGCATCTGCGAGGAAAGTATGATGTGGTCCACTTGCGGCTCTTCGTCTTTGTAGTGAGTGACGGCCGGTACCATTTGACAGCCATACATAGCTCACCCGCCAAGGTTGAAAACGATGACCCTATGCCACTTATCCGCAACATGATGACAATGCTGAAACCCGGCGGCTATCTGCAGTGGGAAGAGTATGACCGGGAAGGAAGCATTCTCAAGACCGCTATTGCCGGGCAGTCTGTACAGTGCATGGTGGCGGCTATGATGTTCCCTACCACGCTTAGCGCAGCGTCTCGCAGCCAGAAGTTGAGTGCCGGGTCAGCCAAAAACGCGTTGCCGTGCCATGTATTGTTGCTAATACTTTGATAGTTGGCCGTCCAGACTGGGGCAGCATTTGCAAGAAGGCGGACTGCAGCTTGTTGCAGACGAGAAGAAGGTCGTGCCGGACGAGTACCTCGCGTATCAGCAGGACGTCAATATGGTCTCACTCGAAGAGGTCAGCCGTGGCTGGGCGGAGGAGGATGTCGCGAGGTTTGGAGACATCTTCCAGGCGGCAGAGAAAGAACGTGCGAACGCGAGGAAAGGGATTGCGTTCACATTACGTCGCCGGCTGTGTGTTGCGAAGAAGCCTATGTAGCTCTTCATCAGAGGCTTCGTACAGCGGTTCCACCGATCCTTTTCGGGACGAGCCTTGCTACGTTCACTTTTTTGCTACGTCGCAGTAACTTGCTACTGATGAATTTGAGAGCGTCCGTAAGCGTATCGCAGCGCAAGATCAACGGTGAATGTATCGGGATACGCGCGGAAGCTCCCGCGGATTGGTCACTGGACTCCTACTGGTTCCACTACAGGTAGATGGAACAACCAGCCTAAGCGTCCATCAGAGAAGGCCCCAAGTAACTTTTATCATTTCAGGTGGTCACTTGTTAGCCTCCAAACTGCACCATGCCACCTCGAAAGATCATCCTCGATACCGATCCGGTAAGTGAAGCATCGCTATCTCGTTCTTTCCGTCCTCTCATTCGGCATTCTCCAGGGCATCGATGATATCCTTGCGATGCTCCTAGCATGCTCAGCGCTCCCAGAGGAACTCGAGCTAGTACTCATCTCTGTAACATACGGAAACATTGACATTCAGAACTGTCTCCGCAACGTGGTTTCCTTATTTCATCACATCGACCAGGAACTTGCATGGCGAGAAGCTTCAGGAAAGCCTGCAGGTTTTCAGACTCTACGGAAGACGAAACCGCTAGTTGCTGTTGGTCCGGAGGGACCACTGAACGACGAAATGCTTATGTCGGATTTCTTTCGTAAGTCCGAATTTCAGTGTCGACCACAAGCGACGACTAACGCTCCTAAAGACGGTAAAGATGGACTTGCAGGCATTCACTCGAGCGTAAGTACAGGTCACGTTGACAATGAACACCTCGGCCTGACAGCGCCAAGCATCCTCATTTAAGCCCAGACCAGACCTGGAAAACGCTCTTTGCAGGACATGATATGCCTAATGATGCGGAGACTGCCGAGCTAGCAGCAGAGTTGTCAAAGAAGGACGGATTGTTTCGACCTTCATCGACTCCAGCTCACCAAGAGATCCTTCGCCTACTGCGTGAGAACGAGCCAGATACGATAACTATCGTTGCAATCGGCCCGCTTACGAACCTTGCCCTTGCAGCCGCGGAGGACACCGAGGTCTTCCTGCGTGTGAAGGAGGTCGTGGTCATGGGCGGTGCAATCCACGAGCCTGGAAACGTACGTCCACCACCTATTCCATTGCCATCAGCAGCGAGAGAGCCTCCGTTTCGCCTGATCAAGCAGGCTCCTGGCTCCATTAGAAATGCGCTGAACGAACGTAACCAGATGAATCCGGTAGCTGAGTTCAATACCTTCGCTGACACGTATGCTGCTGCACGAGTCTACGCCCTTACGTCACCAAACCCGCGAACGACCATGCCACCTGTACCGCCCGCACCACCAGGTAAGATATCAGACGAGGAACCGCCGCCGTACCTTGCGCCGTATCCTGCAAAGCTTTCACGGCAACTCAAGGTCACGCTCTTCCCAATTGACATCACCGAAAAGCACGTCATAACTCAAGGAGAGTTCGGCAAAACCATCGCGCCTCTGCTGGCAGCCAAGTCCCCGCTCGCAGAGTGGATGTCTGCATTCATGACTGCCACATTCGAAAACGTCGGCAAACTTCGCGATGACGTGAGTGGCGATAAAGTCTTCCTGCAGCTGCACGACCCGCTCTGCATCGCCTATTGCATGGCTGGCGTGGGGTCAGGATGGCAGATCCAGGCTGACGTTGACATGCGGGTGGAGACGGCAGGGCAGTGGACGAAAGGCATGTGTGTCGTCGACCGGCGCAGTAGACGTAGGCGAGACGATGACAACGAAGTGGCGAGTGACAGAGGGACTTGGCTAAGCAACCGAGCTGGCAACCGGATCGGGATATGTGTCGGGACGCCAATCGAGAAGACATTCAGCGGCATGCTGCTGAAGAGGGTAATCGCATTGTGATGGTTGCCAGTACAAATACTGTTGCCATGAAATGCTCTAGCTCCTCGGACGGACAGCCTTCTTCGCCTCGAAGGGCCACCGTGCTGATCCATGCGCGGTTCGCTCGAGTACCTGCTTGCGTAGTCGGCGGACACCTTGAGCGCCGGCTCGTGTTGCGAGGGTCAGGCATGTGCTGCGGTTTCAACGAGGAGTTCATACAGGCGGATGATGAATGTGAAATACACTCATGATGTGAAATGAGCGGTGTCGATGGGTTTTGGGCTTCCAACCCATTGCAGCAACCTTTGCTTGCTGCTCATGAATTCCCGACTCGATCAGTAATGCAGAGGGTCATCACGGAGCGTGATGAGTTGTGGTTTTCGCAAGGGTCGCGGAAGTGGAACAGGCACCGCTTGCAGCAGATAGGGGACCTCAATAATCAACAGGGCAACTTGACATAGACAGGACCCTTGAGAGACCCTGTTACAGTCTGAGTGAACCTCACCTCATGCTTCAGAGAGCACACGACGACATCCGACAGTATGTGTTGTAACGGAATGGCAGCAATGTGCGATCAAAGCTCCTTGAGTTCGTGTTTGAGCACCGACTTGACCTAGCGTTGAGTCAAGACCTTTTTGTCTCCTTTCGTCACCGCCACGCGCGACCATTTCCGCAGCTGACCTTCACCTTAGCACTCCCCGCTGCGCTCGTAATCATAACAGTGTGCCCGTAGCATAGCGGGCTACGTAAATAACAAGACATATCCTCCTAATGGCGCGACGCGCGAACTAGCGCGGCCGGCAGCAAGCAGATACCCGCCATCAGTGCATAAAGCCGTGGCACAATACTTCCTGCTCTACGCCGTAGCCAACATTGGGTATCTGTACCGTAGCGTGAAGTCCAATATATACCACCGAAGAAAAAAGCGTCAGCGTTACTCCGTAACGCGACACAGCGAACTCTCAGCGCAAAGCTGACGTAGCATGATCGACCGCATTTGCGGCAGATGCATTGTCGTACGGGAGCGGCTGCTGGTACATGTCGCCTATGGTGTCTCTTGGGACGGAGACTCTTGCGGTGTGTCTAGCGCTTGCGGACTTTGCGACGAGGCCAGCTTCTCTGCGGACAACCGTCGGTGCTCGCTCGCTGCCAGTGCCAGACTGTTTAGCCCGTTAGACAAGCCAGGTGACGGATAAGAATAATGTAGGGCGTCAGGGTCAGCTACCATAGGTGCAATCGGTGGCACATATTCGAGGCTGTTTGTGAAATTGCTTCGATGCAGCGCAGGCCTCATGTTGAGATCTGGCATCGCCATGGGCAGAGATGGTACTGGAATGGTGTCAATGGTATTGCCGAGGAAGTACGGACCAGTAGGCGGCAGCATGCCGAGCGTGGTGTCGATCAGTCCGTTTGGTAGAGTCTGTGGCATCTGCACAGGTTGTGCGAGAGGCTGCATTGCAGCTTCCGCAGCTTGCTCGGCCAGTTGCTGCTCGATCGCAGCCTCCATCATCGGTTCCGCCTTGACTTTCTTCGAAGGCGCCTTAGTGGGCTTTTTGACCTTCGCGTCCTCACTGACCGTCGTGGTTCGAGATGCGCCGCGGCCATTTTGATGCGTTCTCCGGTGCTGCTCCATGTTATCTTTGCGCGTGAAAGCCTTGTTGCACTCTGGGCAGAAGGCATCCTTTTTGCCGGTATGCTTCTTCGCATGCCGTGCCGCATGGCCGGAGGTGGTGAAGAAGTCATTGCAGTTGTACTGCTTGGCCATCGGACATGGATACTGGTTCTTCTTTCCGGAAGGTTTGGCATTTGACACATTCGATGCGTTGGAAATGTGTGATGGTTCGGATGCGGGGGAGTTTGATGATCGCTGCGTGGGCTGTTGCGGCATTATTGGCGTGGGCGCAATTTGTTGTGGCATCTGCGGCATGGGATACGCCGATGACAATGCGCCGGTCGCATCGGGAAGCGGCGGGTACATGGACGCATTATGATCGTCCATCTTCGAGTAATGATTGCTGTAGATGTAGTACTGCGACTGATGTTGTTGAGCTTTGCCGGGAAGTTGGTGGTGGTGGTGGTGTTGATGGTGGGTAGCGACAGCGTGTTCGAAGCTGGCGTATGATGGCGTCAAAGGTGACGGAGTTGAGAAGCCGCGCGAGTCGCTCGAACTACTACGGACCAGCTGCGGCGTTTGCGGGGAGAGGCTCGGCGTGGAAGCGCAACTCGAGGAAGAGGCTCGTGAGTGTGCTAGGAGCGATGCAAGCTGGAATTTGGGAGGATAAGCCGCGGCTACGTCACTCCTATCGTTGAGTAGTGATATCTTGCGTCCGCTGCTATTTCTACCGTCCATTATGTGATAGCCAGCTTCAAACAACACTCTGTAAGCGTAGGGAGTGGGTGGGAAGGTTTCTGCGCGATAGAAGGCCTTTTCGGTGGTCGAGCGACGAACACAGTCTTCTTAGATGCGTGCTGTATTGCTGGTGCTGACACTGGACGGGTGTTTGGCTGTACAAGTGCGTGGGTATAGAACAGTCAGGCACCCTCGAAAGGGTATGAGGGGAGGCAAGACTATTAAGAGCGCACGCGCAACACGGCACGAAGGTTAGCAGCCGGCTGGCAATGAGTGATAATCGTGCTCGATCATCCTGGCACGCGCCGAGAGGAGAGCAGCAGTTGTGCAGAAGAAGGGTCAGCACTCCAGGGTCTTTGCACGAATAAATGCACCTTGGCTCCAGCGCGTTGGCCAGCAGGGAACCGGCGCCTGAACCACTGCGCTTCCATGCCACACATAGCATGGGCGAGCAGGAGGAGATGCGTCTGCGTCCGGCATGCCTTGGGATCCCTGCATGGGCGCTAACTGATTTGCAGGACAACCTTAATCCATCTCGTGGTGGAGCCCGCGGGTACCATCGCCGATTGTCTGGGGATCAACTCTAGCCGCCTTCTCTCTTGCAATGAGGAACGGCGGCAGGGTCTCGTTAAGCGTCGCACGCAGCCGTGATGCAAAAGGCATGGCGAGCTCATGAACAAGTTACCGTGGTCTTTCCGTACAATGACGGCGCCTGTATGGCCCAATGTCTGTCAGCACTTCACAAAGTCGAGCCGCATTAGCAATCAGACGTTGTGAAACACGGCATGCGTTGCTGTCTATGCTAGCAATAGTGCATCGCTCGATCGCACGTTGCAGGCCTTTTGAGCCTTGCAGCTCTCCCCTCGCCAAGCGCTCAGAGCTGTGGCTTTCATGGCGCCGTTTTGGGACGATACCTTGATCTGCCAACCTCGCTCCGCCGCACCTTTGTGCGACGCGCCAGCACAGATCTTAACGACCGGGTATTAACCATCTCATAAGATGCCGCCTTCTTTCGATAGACAGGACGTTTTACGATGGGACTTCGAGCGCGATCATGCCCGGCCTCGCGATCTTTGACACTGGGCTTCACCCCTCTTCACTGCAACCGGCAGCGCGCGGATACGGTCCATGCTACGCCGTTCATTGTGGTGGCTTCGTGCCCCTCTCGCCCTATATGGCGGGAGTTTCCACAAGGACACGCGGAGGTAGCTGGGCCATTACCCAGTCCATCTCCAGCGATGACAGCTATAGTACGTGGAGCTGGGAAAGCCTTTGCTCTATGTTTGTCGAGCAGGTCCTAGCAATGATATGGCATTTACAATGCAGTGTTGGTCGGCTTAATAGCTCGATCCCCTGGTGCATTACATCAACTGAGCACCGCGATGTGGTCACGCCTCTCACATCATCCTCACGCAGGGTTGAGCAAGGTCGCAAAACGGTCGCCAGCGTGACCCCACGAGCCACCACTTTCATGTGTCTTGCGTGAAACAAGCTTTATCTGCAGGTCCGCAACGGCAAGTAGTCGGTAACAGCCTGATATGGTAAGCGCATCTCGGGAACGCTTCTGCAGACCCTTCCCGGAGGTCGATTGCTCACATTTTTGCGATCCCGCTGTAATGTCGTTCTTCAACTAGTGACCATTGTGCCCGTGAAGCGCCACTACCCTCCTCGCTTTCCACTACCCTGTGCGATTCTACTCCGGCCCCATCTCCGCTGATCTAGCATACCTGCACACCATCTTCGATTCGGCTACCCACCCGCGGGCTCACCAGGAGCACTGGCCGGCGTACGCGTTCTGCAAGTCGCGTCGCTTGGAGCTGTGGCTTCACGCCATCTCCGTGTGTCCATGCCTGCCACCTCAGCATCCTTGCCGTCCACGCGAGGTGGGAACGAAATTGGAAACGCAGGGCACCACGGCGTCCCCCGGCACCGCAATTTCCAATTTCAGTCCGGTTACGTAGACTGCCGTGACGTCAGGCTTCTCGTGTTGCCGCAAAAGAATGTCACTCACCGCTGCACGAGAATTCCCTACGACATGAGGCATTGTTGAGTAGCGCAGAGCACAGCGCCGGGCGTCGCGACTGATCTTGGTAGTGACCTTCCAACCCAAATTCGAGCTCTTCCGGGCATTGCAGAAGCTGCATCTCAGGAGCCAGCTCCTTCGCAGACAACGAGAACGACCCCGCTATGCTGCAGGATAACCCTCCGCGGCATTCACCACCTTGCCCAGAGGTTCGACTTGGCCGCTGTTGTTGCGAATAACAGCGCGATCCTTGACACTGCACTTGGCGCCAACGCTCGCGTGGAATACTGTCTGCTTCAAAAGGTGTGCAACCTTATGGGTTGTAAGCGCTCAATGTGCCGTAATGCCCCATAACTAGATGAACTATCGACGAGGGTCAGGCTGCCCCTTCCTTGCAACCTCAATGGAGCGACGATTACCGCTGCCTTCCTCTTCCACCCCACGGCTAAGACTGTGTTCGGCAGAGTGCGATTCTCTGTCGACGTGGCGCCGATGACGAGCACCGCCCTTAATATTGAATGTTGATGCAATGCGCAGCCTAGTGATCGCTTATCTCTATGCCCTACCATGCCGTGCCGTTAAACTACACCCGGTGACCAGGCCGTTGCACATCGCAATGTCGGTTGTCATAACACTATGCGCTTTCTCGTACCGGGTGACTCCATGATCGCAGGATCCATTGGCCGCCTCGGTACACAGACTCGTGCAATGCTGAAGGGGCCTTCAGTTCTGATATCCCAGGACTATCGACGCATGAGAACCCTCGCAGCAGCAAGGTACAGTATCCAGCATACGTCGGGCTCGTGCTACACGATACAACGACCACACCATTAGCCGCGCACTTATGACCGCCAAGGTCGAGTAGCCGAACAAGGGTGTAAGCTCGATCATACCACGCGACTCCTCACGTCGTTCGAATCCTTCAGTCCTGCAAGAGACGGTGGTCCAACCCACCACAGCATCTTCTCTATGTATTGGCACGGAGCGCGCTCCGTTCGCCAACACCAGTACCACGGATCCGCGACCCCTGGTCTGCAGTGGGGAAGGGTTCGACCGTTTCCTGCAGGTTCATGTGGCTGAAAAGGGTGTAGCGGAGCTCGTGGCCGTCACCGACGCCAAGCATTTCACCTCTCGACGCTGTGGCGAGACTTTGCTTGTAAGCGTGCGAATAGATGACTGCTCCGCCAGTGAGGGGCCCGTCACCGCCGTGGACAGCACGAAACCCTTAGAAAGGTTCGAAGGGACAGTGGAGAGCAACGCTTAAACGGACCTCATCCCTGGTCTCCAAGCACGCACATATGATGCTTCCACATGTATCTGCCGTCCACTTACACGATATGCGCCACGCTTAGACGGCTTCGCACCATTCCAGCATAGTGACTGTTAGTAGACCGCGCTGACCATGCGAGTCGTGCTACTGCCAATGCATAAGCAGATCATGGATGCAGCCGCTTGGGGACGACTCCTACAACACATTTTGCCGTCGATGCCAAGTGTGAAGAGTCCGCCTTGACCGTGCCGCTCCCACTGTTGTCACCCCCGTCGACCTATCAACACCTCACCGGTCAATGGGTATCATCTCCTACTCCGCGTTGACGGCGCCGTCTCCCCGTCAACCATCTCCCTCTTCCCTCTCCCTCTCACTAGCAAACAAGCAACCCCTCGCATCCTTCTCCACATCCGGTTCATCATCAGCACCATCGTCATTGTCCCATGCTCTCGGTACACACTTCGCTAACTTTCTGCCCAAACATTCTAGCAGCAAGCCCATGGCGCAGGCCTTGTTGGCCGCTTCCGGGCCTTCCACGACGACCGTACCGTCACATGCGACGGACGCTCGCCAGCGCTCAAGTGGGTGGCGAGACGTGGCAAGCAGGAGGAGGCTGTAATGGCCCATGTTGTGTGGGCCGAATCGGGATGGGCAGAGGATTTGGGTTACGGCTTGCGCATTGTCTGCATATAACAATATGTAAGCGGTTATACTGCAATCATGTACTCAGGGGTGGTAGTAAACTTACCCAGAATCTGCTGCCGTAGATACAGCGGGTCGTCGATGTAGGTGCTAGGCTCTTCTTCTTCTTCTTCTTCTTCTTCTTCTTCACCTACCTCTGCGCCCGGTTGTACCCTCTCCGCCCACTCCGTGATTACGTGTCTCTCCCGTTTCGGGTCACGCTGGTTCTGCTGATCAAGAGTCGCACCAAGCTCATGTTCCTGATTGTTGGCCTGGGCGAACTGAGAGTTGATGTGGCTAGCCTGCTGGTGCAGCTGCCTGTCTGTACATTCTACAACGCCATCAGGTGTCCGGCTGATTTGCAGTTGATGTTCTGGGGTTTCCGTTAACTCCTCGCGCTCACGCTCTCGCCCTTTGTTACGGGGTCGTAACATAGAATTACTGAGCTCTGGAACTGGGAAGTCTGAATTCGCCGGTGAGCTTGCTGGCAATGGGTAATTGGTTGGGTCCTGTCGTTTACGTTTACGATCATACTGCTTCTCCATACACTCCATGGCATTTTCTCGCTCTCGCTTTCGGTCCTCATTCGGTGGGCGCAGAATTGAACATCCAAGTTCGGGAACCGAGAGACCTGGCGACGTCCTAGTCGGAGTGGGATAGGTCCGCCCACTCGACCACTCCTTTAATTCATACACTTGCTTCTCCGGTCGCCCTTCTATAGCTTCCTTTCCTGTGCGTCTTTCAACGGAGCGCTTGGCTTGTATTGGTCTCGCATCGCTCACTCGCTTCTGCTGCGCGGCGGACAACGGCGGGGGCGGAGCCGGTGAAGGCGCAGGCTGTGGGTGTTGACACACGGATCGGTCACGCAGACTGTACGGACGCGCGTGCTTCTTATATTGAGTCGCCGGATAGTCTGCCTGCTTCTTCGAAGTCGAACTGTTTGAACATGGGTGTTGCTGGTAGGTATTGTACGTGCTTCCCGCAGGGTCTGCCATCACTACGCTTGTGACAACCTCGGCCGGCGCCGGAGCTGGGATGTCTCTGAGTTTGAATGGTCTCATGACGGGTAGGCGCGAGAACATGTCTCATTACACCATAGGTTTGAGAAAGAGGCGTGGTATACGGAAGGGTGATGGTACCCTTTTGGCCTTCAAGATTCGAGTCCGGTTGCTGCTGATATCGGTGTCGGTGTCGAAGATCGATCGCGCAAGGCATTGCTCGTATACATAAGCTTTGCATCAGGCCTCACATTCGCACGTGACTCCTAGGGTGAATGCTATGGCGGTCAGGTGCGGGCACTCGAGAGGAACTTCAGCATCGGTCTCTGCACCCCTAACATGAGCAAACTTGCATTTCCCTGGCAGTGGAGCGTCACTCTGACGGCTTCTGCTGCATCACGGCATTCCGCTTCCATTGTTAATGGCTGCCTGCACTTGACTCGTGTTCGGCCGATTCTCCGCATACCGCTCGTACGAATCCAGATATAAGTCATCGTCACTAGTAGTCTTCTTGACCGCATCGTTCGCCTCAATCGCCCTTACCCACTTCTCCCACCTGCTTCCCGGCTCTGGGTCCGGCCAACCGCGGTAAGGCTTCAGCACTTTCTCGAGCCGAATAACCCAAGGTGCCATCTGCACGTCCACGAATGTCAACTTGGAGCCGAGGAAGAAGGGACCATTGGAGTCTGCGGCAGAGACGAGCTTCGCGATCTGCTCTGTGAGTTCTTTGGCGTAACTGGCTTGGTCATTGGCGTCCTGGGCTTGAAGGTAGCGGTAGAAGAGCGGGATGATGTGGCGGTTGATGTGGTCGCTCCAGAGTCTACTCTCGGCTCGCTGCTTTGGATCCTTGGGTAGCAAGGGCTTGCCTTGGTGCAGGTCCTCGAGATACTCCATCAGTACGGTGCTTTCGTAGCAGCCCCAGTCACCGTGCCGTAGGGCGGGTACTAAGCCACGAGGATTGATGTCCAGGAGGAGCTTAGGCTTGCGGTAGACATCCACTTCGACGTACTGGTAATCCAGGCCTTTGTGCTCAAGTGAGATCCAGACACGGTGGACGAAGGGACAGAAGCATGATCCATAGAGCTTGAGGTCGTTGTCGGATGAGTGGGCTTGCACCGTCTCCCACGCGAGGCCGGTGGCTTGCTTGTGGTAGGTCTTCTTATTGTGGTTGCCGCCTTGATTGGCATCAAGCTCGGCTTTCGAAGCGTGCCCGTTTTGTTGCGCGCCGTCTGTTTGTGACATGATGGTGACGTTTCGTATTCCTGTCAGCTGAACGGGCAGGGTTGGTCTTATGCTTCTACGGCCAATATGGATGATATTTGGTCGAAGTACACAGCGTAGGGATGAGAGTGCAGCATTCATTGATCAGGGGAGACGGAAGGCGAAAGTTGACATCTACCTACCCACATACATACTACGCCGGCCATGCTCCATGATGCAATGCCGCCTGGCATGGGAGCATAACGCCCCGCACCGTGGAGCATGACGCTGGTGAACAATGTCTTCGCTAACATGATCACGCATCTGCCTCGGTTCCCCTACGTCGTAACGATTACAGTCGACAGCTCGGTGTCGTATTCGGATTATGGGTGGAGATGCTGCGCGCAGTTGGCAGGGCGGATAGTGGAGGGATGGTCGACTCGATGCAGCTGCTCGGCACATCTTCGGCTGTCCCGCGGCGTGCCCACATCGAAATCGCACCCGCGGCCAAAAGTTCAAGATGTAAGGGACTAACACAATTCAACACGCCAACAGCACGCCTTCTCGACCGCGCACTCCAGACACCAACCGCCGACCTAGCTCACGACACACTCTTTGCCCAGCATGGCGACCGTCCCACCCCTCGACTCGCCCATTAAAGAGGTCCAACTCTCCGCCCTCGTCGTAATGCGCATCATCAAACACTCCACCTCCACCTTTCCCATACCGACCACCGGCTGTCTCGTCGGCATGGACGTTGGAGCGCAACTTCAAGTCACAAACTCTTTCCCATATCCTGCAACGACCGGGCCAAACGAGTCCCAACCAAACCCAGCAGACCCATACTATCACGCCGACCAGACTGCGGTATCTTTGGCAGCGCCTAGAGCCAAGCAGAGCGTAGCATATCAGAACGAGATGATCAAGTATCTACGGGAAGTGAATGTGGACGCGCAGAGTGTGGGGTGGTATGTCAGTTGTGGCATGGGCAATTTCGTTACGAGTGCGTTTGTGGAGAATCAGGCCTTCTTCCAACGGGCCGAGGGCGAGAGGACGGTGGCGCTGGTATTTGACGTGGGCAGGAGTGGTCAGGGAAACCTGAGCATGAAGGCATACCGGCTTAGTCCGGCGTTTATGGCCGCGTACAAGGAGAGCAAGTTTACAGCAGAAAAGTGCGTATTCGCAAACGAGGTCGCAAACGAGGTCGCAAAGCGAGACACTGTTGGTGTACGAATACTGACGGTACGATTGACAGCATCCAAAAGTCCAACCTCCGCTACCAGGACATCCTACAAGAGCTCCCCTTGACGATACACAATTCCCACCTCCTCACCTCCTTCCTTCACCAACTCCCCACTTCGCCTACGGAGAACACGACCCCGGACCTCCCAATCTCCATGTTGGACCTTCAATCGAACCCAAAGATATCATCTACCGCCCTATCTCCGAACCCAACAACCCTCGACCTGTCCATCGACCCATACCTCGAATCAACCACCGACCACATGCTCGACGCCATCGAGGCTCATCAGACGGAGCAGAACAACTTCCAGTACCATCAGCGCTCGCTCGCGCGTGAGCAGGCCAAGATCACGCAGTGGCAGCAGAAACGCAAGAGTGAGAATGTGCTCCGCGCGCAGCAGAAGCAGCCGTTACTTGACGAAAATGAGTGGACGAAGCTGTTTAAGCTGCCGGCTGAGCCTAATAGGTTGGAGGCGTTGCTGGTAGGGAGACAGGTCGAGCAGTATGCGAGGATGGTCGATGGGTTTTCGGCTGGGACTGTGGGCAAGTTGTTCGGAGTGCGAGGGGGGCTGGTGCCTGGTGATAACGTCTAAACGGGCAGGTGGTGCTGGATGGTGCATTATGCGGGGCTCTCTGGGTGGCATAGCGAGGCGTTTCGGATGACGAATAATGGCAGACGGTGGTCTAAGTGTTCGGCACCTCCAGTGGTGCTTTTGTACGTACGTCTACAAGATAGCAGTTCAGCAGTCACGTCGCTGATGAAGCTCGAAACCAGATGAGAAGACGTTACGGTATGCTTGTGTCAAGCAGAGCAGACTCCATGCGACAGCAACAACAGGTCGGCTTGCCAGGCTTCCTTCAGCTTCCTGCAAACCTCCGCCGGGCAATACATCGGCTTTTACGTGACGACCAGGCTGAGGGAGCCCAATGTGCAGAGGTGGTATCCTGGAGTCTGACAAGCCTACAACTCAGCCGGCCCACATTCCCAATGCACCCCTGGTTACGCGAACTGCATCTGGACCGCTCATGGAACTTCAGGCGCTACGTCCGACCGCTCTCTCTTTGTCTTCTCGGCCAGCCAAGGTCGAGAGACTGGCCTTAGTGAACTGCCTCCTACGCCTGCCATACCTACTCGATGTGTCAACGCTTGAGCATCTCCGTTTGGATGTAGGTTCCATTGAATTGGCACGCCCGTCACCTGATGTGGGAGGCTCCTAGTGAGGGCCAGGACGTAATAGCAATCTGAATGGTAGTCTCCAGAGACCATCCGCGGCTGGGTTTCGTGGAGGTGAAGATGGACGGACGAAGATGGCGGTCGTTGGGTCCGGCGAGGAGGCGACCCGCGGAGTTTGAGGAGCTTGAGGAGACCGTCATGCTGTTCCAACGCAGTGGTGGTGGGCGTTGGGAGCTTTCAGGGCAAGCAGTAGCGATCGATAAGCTCGGCTGAAGTGCGACGATTGAGGCAGGCTTACTACGAGTAGCATCAAGTGGCCGCCAAGCTTTGCATGCGCCTCGTTATGAGTATGTATACTTCAGCCGGAAGCCACTGCGGTCGGCTGCGACTCCCACTAACACTCTGTTCACCCTTCTGTCCAAGTCTTGTCGATTACGCATCGCATGTGCGAGACTGAATCTCCGGGCTTTGCGAGGTGCAGCTCACCTACTCCTCTCCTTCTCAGCCATCTGCCTCTCCCCATCAACAATAGCCTGCATCTTCTCCGCCATCATCTGGTTCTTCCTCCTCTCCGCATCCAACCTCTCGTTGACCTCTTTCCTCGCTTGATACAACTCACGCACCCAGCTTGGTTCCCCTCTTGATGTCTCTCCAGCTTTAGTGACGTACACACGCATCAGATCATCCCACCCATCCTCCGCCCTCGCCATCTCCAGCGCATCATCGAGCATGTGCCGCAAAGCGTGCCGTTTGTGCCTCACTTGCAGACGATGGTTGATGTAGCCCGACAATGACTCTGGCTGAGGCTTCTTAAAGCGCAAGACGGGAATGCCTTGGGCGTTGAACAAGACCGGTACGTGCCTCTTGCCCGACAGCTTGTCCAATCGCAACGGACGGTTGAGCATTGACTGCTTCCCTGTTGTATCTTGTCCTGGGCGGGCGCTGAGCTGCTTGTTGAACTGTCTTAACACTTCGTCGCTAACGGTAACCGACGGCGTCTGCTTTGCCTTCTCCGGCGCCCTCGCCAGCAAATCCAGAATGTAAGCCTTGCTTCCCTCCGAGCCCGCTAAGACGGCGGCATCCAGGTGGTCGACAGCTTCATAGCCGGCTTCGAAGAGTAGCCGAAGCCTGCGGCCGCTCTGCTCACGGCGGGCCTCCTTGAAACGGTTGCGGACGACATTCTGCAGCTGCGAACGTTCGCTTGAAGTGGTGGACGGCAGTGCACGACATTGCGTCAGAAGCGCCCGAAAGAGCGCGAGAGCTGCTACGCGATGGCGGCTTTGATTAACGGGGATTCGGTAATTGGGCATTCATGCCTTTAGTAAGAAGGAGATGGAGAGAGGTCGAGTGGGAAGAAGTGAAGCAAGGCATGGCTTGGCGTGCAACGCCTCCATCTTGTAATGGACACCGGCGTCGATGTTAAGTTCTCTAGCACGAGCATGACACACTGGCTATGATCAAAGACACCGTGCGGTTTGTCGCGCGGTCAAAGCAGGAGACGCACGTGTGACCTTACCAAGCCCTGCTCCGTGATGGACCCATGACGACTATACTATGCGGCGGGCTGTTCTGCCGACATGAGAGACCATTTGCACAAACGACTATAATAATGTGTCTCCACGCTGAATAAAAACCAGCCAGCATGCTCACGCCAGCAGACTTCCGCGCGCTGCTTCGCCGTCGCGGCACCCTGATCATAGACGGCGCCCTTGCCACCGAGCTAGAAGCGCGCGGTCACGACCTCAACCATCCACTCTGGTCTGGCAAGCTCCTACGAGACGACCCTGACAGCATTGAGCAGATCCATCATGACTACTATCTGGCAGGCGCAGACATTGCGATTACTGCGTCCTACCAAGCCAGCACCCAGGGGCTCAGCGACCATTTTGGCTTAAAGGAGGACGAAAGCATCGAGCTCATCAAGCGGAGTGTGCGACTTGCGCAACGCGCAAGATGTCAGGCGTACCGTACTGGAAGCATTGCGGAGGATCGCAAGTTGCTGATAGCCGGCAGTGTTGGACCGTATGGCGCCTACCTGGCTAACGGCTCAGAGTACCGTGGCGACTACCAGCGATCAGTAGAGGAGTTCCAAATTTTCCACCGACCGCGAATACGAGCACTGATTGATGCTGGCGTGGATCTGCTTGCCTTGGAAACCATGCCCTCATCTCCGGAGATTGAAGCTTTGGTATCTCTACTAAACATTGAATTCGCGGACGCAACTGCTTGGGTTAGCTGCACACTTAGCAATGCTAAGCATCTCAGTGATGGGTCCCCTACTGAGGCGGTGCTAAAGCTTGCCTTTGAGTCTGAACAGGTGGTGGCGTTCGGCTTCAATTGCGTACCACTTGCTCTAGCGTCACCAGCACTCCTGCATCTGAGCTCCCTACTGCCGGAGCAGTACTCCTCGCCAGACGACGCCCTTACCCGTTCCATCTCGAGGCAGGGTCCCCCGGTTGTGCTACTATGTTACGCAAACTCAGGCGAGTCATGGGACGCTGAGCAGAAGACATGGCGAGGCGGAGACGCTTCGGTAAAGCAAGGATTGTCCGAAGAGGTTTGTATGTGGAAGGCTCACGGTGTAAGACTCATGGGCGGATGCTGCAGAACGACTCCCAGAGATATCACGGTCATCACGCAAGCAATCAAGGGCGGCTGAGGCGGGAGCTGTGGCTAAGGTTTCCCTCAAGCGAACGTCAATGCCCATGACTTCAGCCGAACTTCGACCTAGCCTCTGAGAGAAGAATCATGTCAGCGGCTATCCGATGAAACTTACGAGAAGTCTTCGGACAGTGCCCTGAGGTTGTTCATGCGAGCTTTGCCTTTGCCCGATCCGGCGAAAGCAGCGAGTAAGACAGCGGTCGCAGCTATGGAAGACGTAATGACGGAGCACGTCCACGCGGCTACAAGCCCAGGTACCACCAGCACCGGCTCAGGCGTCAATAGTTCACGCTGCTTTGCCAGTCGCGACCGCGATCTCGCCCGAAGCAGCGGAAAATGTGGTGCTATGGCATGCGGAAGAGTGCTGTTCCCTTAACCCATAACCCATTGCGATGGTGGTGGCGACCCAGAGGCCCATGTGAGAGACATCGCTCTCCTCTTCTCTTGCGCAAGCGGAACGGCACTTCGTTCACCGTTAGGTTTGACCTTCACGGCTTACGACAGGTGACATACTGACCGCTTTATGCTCGCATACCGTGAGTGGCAGGTAATGTAGATAGTCGGCAACATCATGGTCAGAATACCTTCGTTTGAACGAGCTGGTCGCATTGCGGATCTAACGTACAGTCCCCTACAGCCCTTGATCCTCGTAGTAAAGCGTATCAAAGCCTTCGTATGGTGATCCCGCTAAGCTATCCCTTACAAAAGAACTTGGGATATCCGTGAACGCCCATCTGCTCGCTGAACGCTCTCACACAACAAGATTAATGTCAGACGAGCCGCACGCCAAGCGTGCTCTCAACATATCGTAACGTCGAACAGGGCCAAAATTTATCCCAACGAATGAAGCCTACATACTCATCATTTGAGCCTGAAGTGGCCCCCGCTGCGCCAATGACCTTTCAGCCCGCCAGGATGTCTATAACTCCGGATCGCCCACCTCGTCGCTCTCCACCGGTGGAGGTGATTCCACCGATGGCTCGTAACCAAGGATAAAAGCGTTGACGCAATCTCCTTGGCTCCAGCCCTGCTCCACCAATGTTTTGCGCTCATCGAGCGGTTTGCCTCGGAGTATGAGTTTGATCCTCTGGTTATGGACTTGCTCTCGCACACGATCGGTAAGGGTAGAAACATATTCGGCCTCGCGCATCGTGATGTGGAGATCGCCCTTCCCGGAGCTCAATTTGCACTTAACAACTAACGCCGTCCCGAGCGCTTCCTCCGTGTATCGGCCCTTGCCTTTTGGACTCTGCGCTTGGTGTGTCGGCTGGTGTGCACCTTCTTCATCGTCACCGTCGGTCTCGTCTGCGGCTTTCAGCGAGACGTCGTCTGCTGCTTCGTCTTCCACGACGTCGCGCGGGACCGACAATACCCACGGTGGTACGTAGAAAAGCGCGCCACCCTCTGCGTCATATACGCCCCATCTGCGAGAACCTTCGTCCCGTTTGCAGCCGATCACTCCACTCGGGCATATCAAGCCTGCAGTCTCAAGCAGTGTTTGAGCGGTTGCGGTGTCTCCCGCTACTAGACTCTCGCAAGCTCGGCGCAGGGCTAACCATTTGTTGGGATCATCTGGTGAAACTCGGGTGTCCCAAAATGCTTCTCTTTGGGCGTTCAGCGTGCTCCGGGTCCACGGCGCAGGCGCTTGTAGGAAGTCCGGTGGGCAATGGCGGACTGAATGTGGACGCTTCAGTGAAACACTCCCTTGTGGTCCGTTAACATGATTGGCCCTCGAATTGTCAAAGGCGGCAGCAGATGCTCTGTCGACGCTGATTTGGGATGCGTTGCCGTCAGCCCCAAGCTGCCGCACAGCATTGTTCGCCGGTGCCGGCTGGACAATGCGGTGCCTTGGAAGTCCGTCCTGGCTATCTGGCTGCGACTGGCAGCAACCCATCTTCTGCTCATAACAGACAACTCAATGGCCGGCAGCAATGTTGTGCTTGGCGGGTATGGCTTTGTTTTGACGTCGAATAGCGCGGGCGCTACCAAACAATATCTACAGCTGTATAAGGATATTAATCCGTCCTAGCAATGGGGCGCGCAATGTACACCCGTTTCTCGACGTTTCTGAAGGAATAGCGATAGGAGGCGTCGCATAAGGTTGGCGACGAGGTGCGATCAATGGATATCGTACATGGACTGACTGAGGAGCGCAAAGGAGAAGAGGAAAATCATTCTACACTATAGTACAGGTACCGCCGCGGGCATGGAGAGAAGGCGCAGTGTGCGAGAGGTCGAGGAAGTCGTTGAAGGATTGTCACGGCTCCTACTTCCGCAAGTGCATCGAGGTGCAGCCGCAGTCAAGCAAATCCGTCTAAATTAGTCCATACGCTTCATGTCACTAGCAAATGAATGACGCCACGCGGCACCTATGACTGCCGCGGCCGCGTTGTCGGAACTGGGAATCAACTTCATTCTAGTGATCGTAGTGGTGATGTTGAAGCAGAGTGTAAAGGCATGTCCGCTCCGATGCGGTCAACACAATTAGCCATTACTTACGCGCGCTATTTATGTTATGTAAACCTCATCCCCCCAGCCCCCATGAAGACAAGCACAACAGTCTGGGTATCTTCGAAAGACTCTCAATCGATGACTTGGGTATTCGCGACTGCTTAGCGACACATTGTGTGCCAAGACAGTGAAAACATGTAAGCATTAACCAATGCAGCAATGAAAAACCCGTTCCCATGCAATGCGGTAAAGCAAATAGCAGCCGGATACCGAAGACCTGAGCAGTAAGGGAGCGACAATAGCTGGATATTACAAGCGCAGGCTCTCATGACCGTAATGTGTCCCGTGACAGACGCTTGCGACGGTGATGCGAACGGCGCTCAAGACTTCTCGTCACGAGCATCCCGCCCACTTCCGATCTGTGGTGTATCTGGTTGGGTGTAAGTATTCCTTATCGATGCGCTCGCGGTCGTGATATGGGAGTAAGGAAGCAGGCACCTAACCCGGTGCTCGTCGGTCGCGGATGTCGCCCTCCCACGCGAACCCTACGATGCTGTGCGAGCGACCATTAAGCCTGACATCCGGACGCTCTTCGTGGCCAGAAAGACGACGCAAAGACCGAGTCAATGGATTCTGAGCATCAGGGAATGCGTCGAATCCAGCACTTTTGAATCTGCGGTACGCCCTATCACGCTCAGAAGACGACCGTTTGAGCGAGCCTGCACGCGTCACCGTCAGCAAGCCCTGTCACCAACGTGTTGCATTCTATGCGGACGCCGAGACAGTCGGCGCGCTGTGCGTCTGAGCGTGGCCGACACTGACTGCGTTGCCCGAGACGTCGCCAATGTGGTGTGCTGTTTGCTCCTGGGCTTCGACTGGCTTGCTCTCACCGTTGGCCGAAGGCTTCTCGATCACCACTTCGTCATTGACCACTTCGGGAGCAGCAGAGACTTCGCCGTCCTTCTTCGTCACCGTAAATGGGTTCTCGTTCTCCTTTCTCGGTGACTGGAAGCCCTATACAAGTATCAGTAGCCGTCCGAAGCTTAAGGGATAGCATTCTGAAGGCTCACCTTGAACGCCTTGCTAGCGCGTCGGCCGAGTCCACCAAAGTTGCCGAAGACAGATTGGCGCTTGTTGCTGGCTGGTGAGGTGGTTTCATTCGTTTGCTTGCTTTCTTCTGTGTGATCAATCGGCTTTTCAGCAGCCTCAACTGGTGCAGCCGGAGTCGGCTCCTCGATAGCAGCTGGCTCAGTAGCGGCCGCAGAAAGGCCGTTCTCAGCGGGCATGGCAGCCGGGGTATCTTCCTTTTTGATTGGTGCCTCCTTCATAGGAGCAGACGGGCTCACGCTACGGTCCCGCTTGGTCATGAAAGGCAAACCCGACAAGAAGCCAGTCTTCTTCGGCGCAACCTCATCCAGCTTCTCCTTGGCAGCTTCCGCGGGCTTACTGTCGTGCTTCAGCTCAGCGGCCTCGACGGACTTGTCTGCGGCAGCCTCTGTAGGGAGAGCGTTAGCGGTAGCGTCAGTGGTGGTTTCCGTGATGTGTGGGGCGTTGACAGCAGCAATGTCGTCCTTTAGTGGCACCTCCGGCTTCAACTCGGCCTCCTTCATGTTCTTCTCCTTTGCCGGAGACCGAATGCCACCGAAGCCGGAACCCATGCGACCAAAGATACTACCACGCTTGTTCGGCTTGGTTGGCTCCTCTACCATTACGGCAGCATCAGCGACCGGAGCAGATTCAGTGGATGGTGGCTGAGCATTCTCGACCGGTGCGCCCAAGACGCGCTCGGCTGTCCATGTCAGAATCATTTCGCTTCGAACGACAACTCTTCACTTACCAATGCCATGAGCATCCAGGGCTCCTGCACCAGCCACGCCGGCAGCAGCACCGGTGGCGACTGGCACCGCTTCTCCGTGACTCTCAGCCTTGGCTTCCTCTTTCTCGATCTTCGTCTCCTCCTTTGCCTCCTCCTTCTCTTCCTTCTTCTCCTCACGCTTGGCTTCCATCTCGTCCTTCTTGCGGTTCAGACGGCCGAGCACGCCGCGCGATGTCGATCGGCTCTTGTGCTTGCGGTCAGTGTCAACCTCATCCCTGCCCGGCTGAGACTTGCCGCGGATGGCAGCAGCACCAGCGGCGGCGCCTGCACCCGCTCCAGCGCCGGCGCCAACGGTATTCGGCTTGTCTGTCACGCTGTCAGCTCTACAGACACCCAGCTAGCGAAGGTATACCCACTCAGCTTCTCCATCTCCGCCTTGTAGCCTTCACTGGCACGCATAGACTCCTTCTCCGCCTTGCCCATCTCCATGGCACGCTCGAGCGACATGTACCAGCCATCACGCTCGGTCTCGTTGGCAGCCTTGAGAGTGTGCTGGTGTGCATGCACACGGAAATGGATGTCATGCGGGCCTTCCTTTTTCAGAGCCTCTGCGTCGTACAATGGTATCACGCTTTGCGGTCGCTTCCGGTCGGACTCGCCCTTCTTGTTGAAGAATAACAGACCCTTGCCGGTTTGGCTAGCCCATGCTACAATGGCGTTGGACACCTCTGGCTTCTCACCGCGCATGAAGAGGTCCATATGCTGCGGCGTTACTGGCAAGTCGCTGAGCCAAAATTCCTTCTTGGTAGGCACGAGGGATCTATTACAGTCAATCAGACTATTTCAGGCAAGTCAAAGTCAAGACTCACTTGAGCAGGCCGGGGCCCTTGTATCCAAGCAGACCTTCCGTGAGTGGCTCGACGGTCTTCTCTGCAGCTGGCTTGGTCTCTTCTACTGGAGCAGTTGCGGGAGTGGCGTTCACAGGGGTGATCTCGTCTTGCGTGTTCGACAGCGGAACAGTGGAAGTGTGGTGGCTATGGTTGGCTAGCTCGCCATTAACGAGCGGCTTCCCCGCCTCGTTAGAGACGTTGTGCCCTGCGGTCGAAAGCTCAGGTTGAGTGGTAGTCGCCGTGGCAGGCTCCATGTGAGGTGCGGCAGAGGTGAAGGGAGTGATGGTGTCTTTGGTCTCAGACATGCTGTACTATTGATCGTAAAAAGCTTGGTAGTTGCTGTGGACGTCACGATCTAAGGCGTATCGTCACGCGTGTAACGATCTTGTGCTGCAAGTGTGTCTTACGAAGTATCTGTCGAAGACCCTCCGAGCAAAACCAGATAATAACAAGTAAACAAAGCGTCTTCGAGGAAGCAGCTTGGGGTATCACTGAAAACAGGAAGGCGCGTTGTTTCAAGGAAAGCTCGATGAGCGTGTGAATGGAGGAAGCTGCGTACGTAGGCAACACGAGCTTCCCTTTTCTTCAGACAGTAAGATGTCTGTGCGTGTTTTAGCGAGATGATTCTGGATGGTCAAACGGCTTCCGACGAACAAATTGGATCGCACGGTCTTGCACCACCATCCGACGAAAGCTTACGATATGCTTGCCAGGGTTCGACAAGATGGTCCCTCGACGCAAGGCAGGCCATTGACACGCACTACAGCTGCAGCGATCAACCATATTGGCCACACCCTGCCATTTCATAAGAGCATACGATAGTCACATGTCTGTTTACAGCATCTATTAGCGCCACGAACTCGCTGCTGCATGGTCAAAGCGTCAAGCTTTGAAACGAAGACCACACAGACGCGTCTGGCTGTTTCCGATTCGGCCAGTTGCAACGTTCTTCTTGTCATCCATTCCTCATTCACCGTTTGACGCTCGATGAGTACGAAAGCATTGGTGCTAGCAACATCCCTGATTGCACTGATCGACGCGTTTTGATAGCTACAGCCACGAAAAATCGACGTTCACATGAAGTCCACGTCAACAAACCACCTCCGTTCGCGCTACTGCTGCACACCACGGGGTCGTCCGGTAGCGCGCCATGAACCTTGAAGGAACATCCGCCTCGATCCCGCGGACCCCTTAGACCCTTCACCAGGTGCAGGTCGATTCTGCGATCTTCACGCCCGCTAGCAATCTACAGAGTGACAACAACAACAACGTTCCGTCGCACGCGTAAGTCGAGATGAGGTCTGTACACTGTATAGGAAAGCTAGTCTGGAGCAGTGTCCAATATGGCCCCTCTTCTTCAACTCGCCGTTATCAACACATAGCTAGTGATGGCGTTCATTCTCTCCGCACTGAGCTTCAAGCTGATTTTCAACAACTCCTTAGCAACATCTGGGTCCCTAGCTTGCAGTTCCTCCCAGCTACCTGCCGTCAACAGCCAGGCCACGCAATCCTGCTCCGCGATCACACTGCTTGTTCGCTCCGTCTCGCTGAAGAACGGTAGCTCTCCAAGGGTATTACCAGCGACGATATTCTCGCGGTAGTTGCCTTGGTCCAAAAAGTACTCTGCACGCAAGATGCCCGACTGCAGCAGGTAGAATCCATCCGGCTCGTCACCGCGGTTGTACAGTATCTGACCCTTTTGGAATGTTTGCCGAGTGAAGTACCGTGTGGCGCGGAACCAAAAGTCTTCGTTCTTGTCTGTGAGATCCTGGAAAGCTTGCAGTAAGAGGGGAAGAGGTTGCTTGAAGCTCTGCCACTTCGCTTGCTCACCCTCTCGAGCCTCGGTAATCGTTGTTGTGGCAGCTTGATGCAAGAAGTCCCGGCGCGGCGAGCCGACCATGCCAACCGCCGGTGAAGGCTGCAGGTATCCTGGCCCCTCGGGGATACGCATCGGCGGCGAGTCTTCGAGCTTGTGAGTATCAAGCTTTTGCTTCTCGGTCAGGACCATCAGCAGCTCGTTCTCGCATGCTTCTAGCGCACTGTTCAGATCCTCGTACACCTTCGGCGCTGGGACTGGCGGTTCTTCGCTGTCGACGAACAAGCCAACCATCTGTAGACTCTTACCCACATCACTACCAAGCGTCACGCCCGCCAATGCCATCGTGACTTCTCTGCGATGCAGAATGCGGTTCATCCTTCCAAACGCTTCGGCCGCGGAGAAGTCGATGCCGGTAACGTGCGTGAAGTCAAGGACAAGATATCGTATCGGAGATTGAGCGAATGCCTCTGCGTCGATAAGCGCTCGTACCTTCTTCTCGACCTTGACGATACTACCGAAAAAGAGGTAGCCACCCAGCTTGACGACCCGTATCTGATGGCCAACCCGATGCAGGTAATTGCGTTGCCTTGGATGCCGGCGCACGGTAGACTCAGCCACGACGCCAGTGAACTCCGCACGGATCACGGTCTTACGGCTGGTTTGGACGACGTAGACCAAGCAAGCCAGACCGATGCCAATGCCGATACCCACGACAAAGTCGTAGACACCCATGACTAGCGCAATCACCAGGATCGTAATATATTCGAGACGGTCAAGCCGACCGTATGTGGCAACTAGAGCCTCTTGCGCAAGATCGATGCCGAGCATATAGATGAGCGTGCCGACTACCATGACTGGTACGTAGCCTATCACGACCGGCCCAGCAACCCAGAGACCGAACGTCGCCGCGGCCAGCAAGTAGCCAGCGAGTCTGCTGTTGCCACCATTGTTCATGAACAGGACGCTGTTAACGAAGACCAGGTAGTTCTGGATACTGCCAACGCAACCGGAAAGCGTGTTGGAGATGCCGTGCATTAGCAACTCGCGATTGATACTGACATTGTCTTCCTGCACGACCATGGCTAGATTTGGCACGTTGATCGGGACATGTAGTATGCCGAAGAAGGTGAGCGCAAGTTGTGACGGTATGGTCATGCCGATGGCGGACCAGTCCACCAAGCTGAATTTGAAGTAGCTGTAAAAGTTGTAAAACGGCACCCCAGCAGCGGGCGCTTCGAAGACCCAGCCATCTCGGCGGAGAGTGTCCATGGAGATGGTAGGAACGGCCGCAGTGATAATGTAGAAGACGGCTGTTATAGTGATGTAGTAAGCCGGCACAAGCCACGGCCGGTCGTAGAAACGCTTGACTAGTAGTAGGATGATCGCAAGCACTAAAGGCGGTATCCACAGTGCAATAGTTGCCGGCGCAAACAGTTGCCTGAGCACGTTGACGCTGAAGTCCAAGTTGCCTTCAAGGCGGGCCGAGACTTCAATGCCAGTTATGAAGAGGAAGATGCCGACACCACCAATGCAACCTGTGAGAATCTGTGAGGGAAAGGAATCAGTCAGTAGTGACTCGTGGTGTTTTGTGAGGTAGAAGCTTACCGAGTGTGGGAAGAAGTTCACTAGCGTACCCAATCGCAGGCTACCGAGAATCGCAAACACTAGGCCGGTGATGATTGAGGACATGCAATATGATACAATGACGGTGGCTCTCAGGGCCTCAGGGTTGGCGTCACCCATCTTAGCCATGATCATGTATGTCATTTTGTGGAAGAACGGAACAACCTCGATCATCTCAGAGCCTACTCCGCCTCGGAATATGCTGCCAGTAGAGTACGTGAGCTGAGAAATAATACAGCTCACGTAAAACATCGATACGCCATCCGGACCGAGGTCTGCGAACGCTTCCTCACCGAGCGGAAATAGGATGATACCGTAACTTAGGGCATCCAACAGGTTCAGCAAAAGCCCAAGGAATACAGCTGGGAGCATGCGGAGAGGCTCGAGAAGCACTCGACGACCGGCCTTCCGTAGATCCCAAGCTTTGGGATTGATGTGCATATGTCGCAGGAGTGACCGAATGTTGTGTAGGGAAGGGTATTGATGACCGATCCGATTCCAAGATCCTGGCTCACGGGTTGGTTGCTCCTCCGTGTCGGGGCTCGCTTCGTACGTTTGCTTGCGCGGAGCTGAGAGACGCTCACGTGGCAATAGGGGAGTAGTCTCCGCAGCAGTTGCAGGCTCATCTTGCTCGCCATCGTTGATAACAACCTCAGGTACGGTAGATACCGACGTTCGGTGCCCAGATGTTCGATCAAGATCCAGCTCAGAGGAGTCAAGATATTCGGTAGCAGGTTGTCGCTGTAGTGCTGCAGTCAGCTCGGATGGAGCCGGCGCATTTGTCGCTTTTCCATCTGGCGTAGGTGGCTCGGACGCCTCCTGAATGGGTCCGTGTATCCGCGACTGGCTATGCGAATGTGGCGGGTGGTTCATGTCTGGACTGAGATTACGCGCCATTTCTGACTCGCTCAAAAACGAGCTGCTAAGCTCCGCTGTCTTCTCACGCACACCGGAAGATGCGTACTGCACTTCGTCCGGGCCTCGTGCATGATTGGCATGGTGTATGAAACTCCGAGTGGGCAGTGAATGTCCCGCAGTGGAATGGGAAGAGGACGCTCGTCCAAACTTGGATGCTCTTTTGGGGATGGGTTTAGAGCCTTCAACGCCTGATGCTTGTTCCGCGAACGCCTCGTCCTCCCGAAAGGGTAGCCGTTGTGCTCCGGACATGTTCGCAGAGGTCCTTCGCCGCTTGAAGGCATTTTCAGACATTGAAGAAAGACGGTCCTGCAGCTCAGCCAGTGTTTACGTCCCAAGCGCAGCCACTGCGTCCAAACAGGGGACTGTATTGGAGCGAGATAGATAAGGGTTAGCGATCTGAACACGCAATGCAAGACCCTGAATGCATCATCGACTAAATGTGCAGTGGACTTTCGCCGTCGAATGTATCGGCGTACGAGCTAAGAGTGTGCTAAACATGTTAGACAGTATAGGGAATTTAATAAAGGATTTGCACGAAACCGCTGGCGAATGACATTAATGCTGAAGCTCAAGTTTTAACCCATGTCAGGGTCCCCGGCGCGGGCCTCTAGGGTCAATGATAGTGACAGCGGACGCACGAGTCAGGCAGCTGTCCTATGCTCAAGCAACGCTAAAAGAGTCGTCTAGACTTGAAAGGCGCTCGTCAAGATGTCGCGTGACCGTGACTGTACCATATGCGGCTGTACAGTTTCACTCATAGCCGCCTCCTCTGGCCAAAGCTGTGATGGGTCCATCACTGACCGTTGCATGACCAGGCCCTCCTTGCAGATCGCTGAGTGTCTCCACGACCCCCCATTTCACCCGCTGGAGTTCCAGTCCGGCCTGGAACACCTCCTTACCGTCTCCAGGCCGACAAGCAGCAGCGAGGGACGCACTGCAGCAACCCGCTAGCGTGGCACATGCCGGGTACCGACCGATTAGACCTACCGCTATGACAATCAGTAGGACTATGGCCGCCAGCGGGACAGCAATAAGCATTGCCAGAGGTGAGTAGAAAGTCGTGGTGAATGAGTTCTGGCGGTCGAACGTGCCGTTGTAATCGTAAGCGTCAACTCGGGCAAAGAACACCATCTGTGAAAACAGCCAGTGCAAGCCTGCGAATACGATCAAGTTGGGTACCGCCCACCTCAGAGGTATCGTCAGAGTGTACGAAGTGCGCTGTCAGTGTCCGGCTTAGGATGCGTTACTCTCAATCCTTTCGCGAGTCGCTTAGGTTCCGCGTATGCCGTCCATTCAGCCATGCCAACCATACTGCCGATTGCCGTCTCGAACGTCAGGAAGATATATGTGAGCAACATTTGGGGGTAGTTGGAGCTGATTATGGCAGCCAAGATGCCCTGATCGGTTTCAATCGTCTGGAAATCGACCTGAGGCTGGCCAATGCCGAATGTGGGAAGCAGTGACCACAGGTTCTCACCAAAGTTGGCCGTGGAAGCAGGATTGTAAGAAAGATTGCACATGATCAGAAAGACAATGGCGGGGATGCAAGATCTGCGATGACTGTAAGTTTGGAGAAGGCAGCAGACATGGAAGGGCTTCAGCTTACAGCCCCCAACACTACCATGGTACAGCCCGCAACCATCGTCGTCTTAGCCCTTTCCAGACGCGCGGCCGCCGTTCAGCCCGCAACCATCGTCGTCTTAGCCCTTTCCAGACGCGCGGCCGCCGTTCAGCCCTTCGCGCTTGAGATCGTTTCCATATGCGCTCAAAGTCCGTCTTCTCACTGAGACAATCACTGCGCACTGTGCTATCGGGCCGCTGCAGGAAGGATTGGATGGCGTCCCCCTGAGTGAGGAGCGGCGGGTATTCGTGCGTGATATAAAGGCTGCATGCGAAGCCAAAGACCTTAACGCCGTTGCAGCTGGTAACATAGTCAGTACACTCTTGCTTGGATGGAACAACCTTGGCCTGACGTACATTACGACTATCACCAGATACAGTGGCACCGCGTTTATACTGCACCTTTCCGGAATCTCTTCGCTGAGACAGTATTCGACCGTTACGTTGCCGGGCTGGCTACCGCATTCGACGATGGAGACTGGGCTAAGTCCATAAGTAAACAAGTTGGGCTGCGTTCCACGGCACTCGCCGACCACAGGCTCACTGTCGCGTATGAACGCATTGTGGCCTCCTGGGCCCACGCTGAAGCATTGTCGGCAGCAAGTGTATGCAGGTGTTCTGGGTTGCAGGCATATACCCCAGCACTGTCGCCGCGCTCATCTTGCTCGTACACGGACGGTGAGCACATCCAGCCGTAGGTGGTAACGAAGTCTCCGGCATTTGGATAGGAGTACAAGCCAAGGAGTGAACTGTTGGTCGGAGGTAGAGCTGACTGTGCGCTTGCTACCATGATCAGATGGCGGCGATCTTTCTAAGCACATTTGACAAGTCAGTTTCTGCAGTGCACCGTCATGTGTCCCGGCACATTATTGCTCACCTGCCATTGCTGGCCGTATGCCCTGGTACAGTCGGTATTCTCGAGCCGGGTAAGCGCAGATTGATTCGACGCCAAAGCTTGTAGGCGTTGTACAGTCCGATTGACCGGCATGCCGCCCGTGGCATTCAGTCCTTTGAACGACCAAGCTTCACCTGTAAGAAAGCCGTCTTCTGCAAGCACCGCCACATACTTGTTGGTAGCTAGTGTCTCGAAGAAGACGGAGTTCCACAGAAGATGCAGCGGGAATGAGCTCAGGACGAGTAGCGTCCACCAAGCAGCTTTCCACTTCGACATACGTAGGATGTTGCGCAGACTGGGCACCCCAATAGCAAGCCATTTGCCCTTGACATGGGCAGCATCGACTTCAGCCCTGGTAGCGAAGAGAGACAGTGCAGTGCGGTGTTGCTCGTCCACAGTAATAACGAGCTCAGCACGTTGATTGCAAGGTGTAGGCCGATAATTGTGTTCGCACTCGTGGTACAGCTTCCCGACCATAGCATTGCGACATGGTCCCTCGTCTTGTACTTAGTGTAAATGACAACAAGCGCGGCGAGGTTGATCAGGAGGACAAAGAGTCCAGCGATGGCGCCGCCGCTTAGTAACCGACCCCAGGCCTTAAGGATGTATCGATCATGCCATTGACTAAGCGCGGACCATGTCGTCGTTCGACGTCGTACGGGGATACCATTGTCCGCACTCGAAGGAGCGGAAAGTGCAGCGTTGGGTCTCGACCTCTGAGTTAATTCGATATAGTCGCTCTTCCAGGGCATTTCGGGAACCAAAGCGGCCGCCCTAACGGCGACAAGTCTCCGTGCCAGCTACGAGAGGAACGACAGATGCCACAATATATAGTTCGTTCAAGGCGGCAAGGTGGCTGCCACTAATTCCCGTTTTCGCCCCCATTCGTGATCCTTCCGCGGCTGAGTATCTTTGCCCATCCTACCGAAAGCGGTTACCTGCTCGTGCTATCAGCGTACAGAATCTCCCGGAGAAGAGTTGCAGACAGCCCCGCCGTACTGCAATATACCTTTTCCTAACATTCACTTGCCTTGGATTCTACTGATTAGCTGGCAGAGAGCACAAATGACACGAAACAAGAGCGACGCAGGTGAGATGCTACTACATCGCATTTGATCAACCTACTGCATTCTTGCGATCGAGCCCGCAGCGACGCAGCATCAGATCTCCATCCTCATCCCACCGCTCTTCGACGCAACCTCGACCCCTTCCTCTTCGGCAGCCCTGAGGATGTAGTTTCGCACCTTCGGATCTGGCGCTAGGTCGAGCGCCAGCGACCCGCTCCCATCCTCCTTGTCCGTCTCTGCCCCCGCTTTTAAAAGGACCAGTGCAGTATCCCCATGGCCCTCTGCTATAGCGTGGTGCAGCGCTGTACTCCCGTCCACATCCGTCGCGTTGATGGGACTCTTGCTGTCCAACAACAGCTTCACTAACGGCACACTTCCCACCGCAGCAGCGCGATGCAGAGGTAGCTGGCCACGCCGATCCTTGACTCTCGCAGACGCTTTATGCGCAATCAATTTTCGCGCCGTATCCAGGTTGGATTTCGATGCGGTGAAGTGGAGTGCAGTCTGGCCGTTGTACGTCTTGATGTCGACATCAGCACCTTTAGCAAGTAGAAAGTCTACTAAGGCGTCGGCGTCCCTCAAGCTCGCGGCCATCATTAGCGCTGTCCATCCTGCGCCATCTTGCGCGTCTATGTCGACGTCTTTCTGATCCACGAGTACCTCGACAATTGGTAACCGGTTGTAAGAGGCGGCCCAGTGAATGGGTAGCCGTTCGTCATCATCTCTACGACTTGCAAGCCGGCGATCCGCGTTGAGCAGAGACTCAACGACGTTTGCTAATGAAGTCAGTGAAAGCTAGGTGGAGTGGTCCTTCAACCTCAAGCTCACTTTGGCCCTCACGCGCTGCGGCGTGTAGGGCGAATCTTGACTGCTGCGCATCCGGATCCATCTCTGCAAATGCAGAGCACGAGCTGCCATTCGTTTCAGTCAGCGAATGACGTACCACGGCAAATGCCGCAGGCGGGCGGCGGGGGGCAACGAAAAGCGCTTGTCGGCGCTAGTGTTCATCCATCTCCAGCTGCTGCTTTCGGTATCAAGAAGACGCTCAGCACACCCTTCGCGTCAACAATTACCCCTGGCCCGCCAGAGTGGACGCGTAACGACTTGTTGTAGTACGAGTCGACTACTTGCAAGATCGGCGAAACGCGGCGATCCTCCGTCTTCGTAGCTGAACGATCAATTTGCTCTTCTTGAGGCAGACACAGTCGGTACTCAGCCCGTACTCGACTGAGTGGTGCAGCGCTTAAGGTGCGGTACTTCGGACCACTGAAAGCGAATTCATCGCTTGCTTCCATCGTCATGGCGAATGTCAGGAAGTGCATTGATGGATTCTCAACGTGGAAGTGAAGCGTCATGTCGACATCGGGAGCTACGGTGTCCGCGATGGTGCACAGCACACGCGGCTCTGAGGAAGGCAAGGTCAGTCGAGGAACCGAGAGACTTGTCATCACTGCTTCTCCGCTTGCGTCACGACGCCACTGAACCACGAGCGCGAGCTCGACATTTGCAGGCCGACGGTCGTCAAACGAGAACTTGCGCGTAGTGATTTCGAAGCTGGTTTCTGTGGAGCGACCAGGCTCCAGTGTCAGTTCGTCAAAAGGCGAAGCGTCTTTTAAATCGATAATCACATCCTCGCTCTCCTCTGCTAGGATTAACCTGGTACCAAGGATTGTAACGCTCTCTGGGCCAGAGAAGTGTAAAATACCTCGAAGTCTCCAACGGTGCGGTATGCCTTCTGCATCTTCGTCAGCGGTGACGCTACTGGCGTGGAGAAATGACGGCCAAGCATCAGCGTAAAGTAGAGGGCTGAAGCTATATCGGGCTTCGAACGGCGTCACAAAGTTCAGCTCTAAGGTCAGTATCTTCGTCAAAGGCGTGTTCGTCTCGCCGGATAATGTATACCGCACATTGACGGTGATCCGAGAAGCCATGGGCTCGGCTGGCGCTTGTATGCTTAGACTAGCCTTATGCGAAGCAGCGGGCTCAATCTGCCCAACAGCCAGCTGCGGCGCTGCTACTTGCTGTCCAGTCCATGTACTGGTAAGCGCGGCCTTGCCCGGTTCTTCCACGGAGACGATAGCAGTAGCGTTGATAGCTTCAGCTTCACCATTGATAAGCTCGACATCCAGGGTGATCGGTTCGTCTGTATAGTACTGCTTGCGCAACCCGTGTAAAACCAGTCGGAGCTTGGGTGGTTTGGGCAACACCGCGATTGACGTGCTATCCCCGTACGGGAGAGCTTCCTGCTCGATGCCGCCACTGTTCGACACGTACAAGCACGACGCCTGAAGAAGGTATGGCTCCGTGAGTATGTGCGTGAGCGTGAACCCAACGTTGCCGGTCTGTAGTGTGACCTGCTTTACGCGTACAACCTCCGCTTCGCGGAGTATTAAAGAGAAGATGTAAGTCGATCTCCATCCCGGCGACAGGGTGAGATTGGCCTCCAGCATGCCAGTCTCCGTGCTCTTGGTGGGGTGAACAATGGTATGATCCTCAGCTAAACATACTCGCTCACCACAATGAGCAATCTTAATCTCTTTGCCGTTACTAAGCGTGACAGCAAGATTGCTCAGCGTCAGCGGCTGCGTCCCTGCAGCCGTATTGAAACAGACCGTGAGCTGGCACTCAAGCGGTTCACCAACACTAGTCTCTGCACTTCCAAAAGCATAAGCCACAGACAGCGGGCTGAGCCGCTCTCCGTCCCGGAAAGTGACAACAACATTTTCCGACGCAGGCGATGACCGATCCATGTACTCCGCGAATGCCTCATTGCCACGAGTCGGAAGACTGGAAGCAGCTAGCAGCTCCCAGGCCGTCATGAGATGCGTTTCTGCGTCGCCAGTCTGCTGAGCGCTGTCATGCACGAGTTTCAGCAACGGTCGAAGCAGGTCATCCCAGTCGTCGACCCGCCAAGAACAATTCTCCCATAGGGGTAGGGCCCGCTCCAGTGCACCCATATAGCGGCCTGCGGAAGACAGCTGGTATGCTAAGTCGAATGCTAGACGCTCCGTCGCTCGCACTTGGCCCCTAGTCGCGAATTCACGTGTTGCTTCATCAGTGAGCCTGGTGGTTTCCATTAGATGATATTGTGATGGCCGTTCGTCTGTGCAGTATTCTTCATGAGGCTGTGGCACCAGATACGCGTCATACGTCCCAGCACGCTGCGCCACCGCTGATGCAGGTGACTCACTCGGCGGTCTACGATCAGCTTCGGGTATCGCCATTGCCACACTCCGCCTCGCTATCGTTGACTGAATGGCCAGCCTTAGCCAATAACCGGGATGATGAAGGAAATGGAACGGCGGGCTCCGCTCGGTTGCTGCAAGAGCTTTCTCTGGGTTTGCAAAGACCTGGAGCTGTGAGAGCTCTGCTGGACCCTCTAATTTCGGCTTTGCAGTGGCTTGTAGAGCAGGCAGAGCAGCTTTTCGAATAAGCTGGGCCATGATCTCAGCCCACCTTGCCTCCCAAGCCTCCCATGCGTAAGTCTGAGAGCCTTTGCCGCGACGGTTAATAAGATCCTTCATGCGAACTTTGTAGTTCACCCACGAGATAGCAGCTGCAGTTGTGAGACCGTGCCAGAGCTGGCACCGTAAGATGCGCAACGCGACTGCATCACAGAGCAAGCGCGCTTCGTCCCATCTGGGCGACCAACCTGGAGTCGCTTCGAACACACCTTCAGCGTGGAACAACTCTTCGATCGCGGCAGAATAGTGTCGCTCGGCAACATCCATCTCCTGCCGGAACTCGGCGAAAATGCCTTGTTTGACCTCATACCGAACGTTCCAGCTCGGTGTGGAAAGAACATGGTTAGATGCTTCTATTGGAGATGTGACAGAAGCTGAAAGACCACCACGACCTTTCTTGCGTCTAGCGTGCTTTGTTAGGTCGCGATAGTACTCGGTAATGAAAGGCTGCAAGGAAGTGAAAAAGTTCTGTACGAAGGTACCAATCTCAACCTCGGAGGACATGGGAGGCATGAAGAACAGTGATTTCGAGTCCATAGCGGTGGCCCTCCGGACGGACGCTAAGCGGTCTTCCAATTCTGGTGCCCGTAGAATGCTTTGGTCGCTCATGAGTACGACTGCAAGCTTGGTCTTGAAGCCTGAGCGGCTGAGCGCGGTCTTGGTGGCGTTGATGTCCATCTGAACTTGCTCGTTTCGCGAAGAGCTCTCTTCGGAAGACAGATCATAGAACGCAACCAGTAGCGCCGGCACCTGCTCCTGGTGCTTAGCAACCCACAAGGGCGTAAAGATGCCATCTGGGTAGATTGGCGAGCTAGGCGAAAGAGGTGACAGTGGCGAATGAAGTTCAGGGCTGCGAAGCTGACTGGTTTGCGGACTACTCATACCCTCTATGCTTGGAGATTGAGGTAAAGGCGCTGCCTTCCTTGGCGGGAGAGTGTATGTCTGGATAATCGCTTAGTCACGGGCAGCGGGTAAGAGTCAATGGCCGCGAGATTGCGTACCTACCCTCCCTATCGCCTTCATCCTGTACTTCATGGCCGCGGATGGCCCGGGTAAGGCTGTGGCGTTCCATGCTTGCTGGCTTCCATCCTGTCTGAGGAACTGGTCGAGCAGCTGAGATGCACGGTCACCAGTACAGACATCCGAAGCGGTTGCGATCCTGGTCCCGCTCTCTAGCCTTGGAATGTTTGCTGGGGTATCTACATCACGCTGTCCAAGACCGGACAGCAGAACCAGCGGCAGGTTGTGGACGGTATATGTCTGTGGATAAGCCTGCATGGTGGACGAACGGCAGCGCCAGCACGGTGCAAGTCTTTATAAATAGTCCCGGTTGTGCTGCATTAACTGTGTCTAGCATCCGGAGAATGCTTGTGCGACTTACATGCGTTGGTCGGCAATGTGAACGTCGAACATTCGCTCGCGATCCAGACCAACATGAATACCAGCACAATGTTTGAAAGGACGTCCAGATTGTGGCGTCAATCCGTGGCTGAGGCAGTCACGCTAAACGCGACATCATGAACACCCATGTCGGTTGGAGCACGGAAGACCTTTACAAGGTCGCCACCTTCTGCCTTTCATTCGCGTATGCGGTGGATCATCTGATTGACTTCAGGCGAGGACGGTCTTCTACGCGTGTGGCGGTAAGATCTACCATGCCGGCGGCTGACGATTCAAAGCGCAAGGCAGCGCGAGAGACCATTGTTCGTCCAATGCTGTGAACATAGCCCTCTATATGAATACTTACGCTTGGCAGGACATCTTGCACGAGATTTCCACGTTACTGGTACTGTCGTCCGTTCCGGCTTAAGTGGTGTTTTCGTGTGTGAAGCTGACGAATCTCAGAATACCCACCTCGACCGACAGTCGCTGAGCTACTGCGTGTCGTTGATAGAGAACGGGGTGAATCCAGAGGCGTTAGCCGTATGAATCATGCCTGAGATTTCGCTTCGGCGAAGTCATATTGCGCTTCTGAAAGGGCATGCTAATCCGGTACCAGAAAGTTATCAAGGAGCTTCGAGCCCAGAATGAGCGCTACGAGACCGAGCACGAGAATCCTGGTGCAGTACAACATTGAGCATCTGAGGCAGGTGCAAAAACAATGGTCGACACTAGCGAGCTTGCATGTGCAGCAAGGCAACTGGCTCCAAAGCTCTCAGCGACTGTGAAATGAAGTCGCTTTCTTGGTCGTGCATGAGCAACGGGCCTCGACATAACCGACAAGAGTGGTGTCCTTGCTAGTCTCAGCGCCCGTGCCGACGGCGTTGGACGTGTTTTGTCCACTGTCTGAGCTCTTGTCGGCTTGACGCTTTACGATGAAGCGGCGTCGCCTCTAGGCTGGCTGGCAGAGTTGATGGTGGCGTTGCCTGCAGCCTGGCCTGCAACTACACCAGCAGATTCCGTTGCCAGGCAGTTACACCATGAAGAAATGAAGGCAGATGTTCACTGTTGACGGACTCTCAAGCATAATTCTACCGTGGCTCAGGATGTCAAGATGATCACACGAGGATGATCCTCGCCTCCAAGCGGGTAGGCGCTGCATTCCTACATCTAACGACGATCGGCGCTCTGACATCTACGTCTACCAAACAGCATACCGTCGCCGCTCAGTCCGGCACATCCTCGTCATCACCAACAGCCATGCTCCCAACCCTTTCCGTAGCAGCATGCGCCCCATTGGCCATACCATTAGCACCAGTTCCAGCAGTAGGCTTCTTCTTCCTGGCCGGCCTCTTCTTCTTCCCACCACCCATCGACAGCGGTGCCTCGCGGATCCATCGCGAAATCGCCTCGGCTCGGTCAGTAGAAATCGGATATTCGCGGCCATTCTCTTCTTGTGCCCATCGTTTTGGCAGCTGTTGCTGTGGCTTCTCCCCTCCATTGACGGTAGGAGCAGCGGCAGGCTCAGGAAGGGCATCCTGCTTGTCTTTAAGCGGCCCCGAAAGCCCAACCTCATCATCCATGGCCCTCCTCTCCCTCGCCCTAACCGCCCGCTGGAAGCTCTCCTCATCCACCACTCGATCGTCGCTCAGCGCCTCGAGGATGCTCTCTTGTTTGATCCTTTCCCTCTTCTGCTCAGGCGTCTCCTCCTCCCTTCTCGCAGCGCGCTTGGCTAAGGCGCTGGAAGACGAAGACTCCTTGGCCCATCCACCCGCTGCGTCAGGCAGAGGTGCTGGAGCGCAAAGTTTCTGCCACGGCACCTCAAGACCCAACCAGTTGTTCGCGCGACGCAACACCTCGATCCAATCTGCCCTTGCCGGACTTCGAGCGGCCTGAAAGATGGGGTAGCCATCGGCAATGCGCGCTAAGCGGGCTGCGTTGTGGGCGTGTCGCAGCAACTCTGTTGGACTTGTCTGGAGGAGCGCATGTGCTAGCAGTAAGCTGTGCAAGGCATCAGTGAGCAGCGGATGGTATGTTACTGCTTCACGGCTACCGAAGGCTTCGTGCATGTTGTCGTTCACCTTGTCACTCGGGAAGGGGGGCAGGTCAGAAGGGGGCTTCTCGGCGAAAAGAGCGCTTGCTGGATGGATCTTCGGAGACGGAAAGCGAGGCCAGCCATCTTCGCCGAGCTCGAAAGGGTCCGGTTTCGGCTTTTCGTGCTTGACGATCGCGGACAAGGAATGACAATGGCCATTCGTGTTGCGGTGGTCGCTATCGCCGTTGATCTCCTTGTCTTCACTATCAAGCTCGATCAGGCGATTCTTCGCGACCATTGGCGTAGGTGTTTGCGTCTTGTTGCCGTTCGCCAAGTCGTACACTCTCCGCATGATTTCATTCGTTATCTCGTAGGGCAATCCAGGCGTATAATCAAAATGCGCCAGAAACGCAGCATAGTCCTTCATTGCGCGCTTGGCATTCGTCTTGACTCTCTTTCTCGCTTCCAACCGCACAGCATGCGCCTTGATCTCTGCGGCCGTAATCTCAGCACCTTCCGCTTCTTTGGCTAGATACTCTCCCAACCCGTCTAGAGCGGCATGCACGCTTTTGCAACCCATCGTCAGGTACACACCTCCGCGGTTGAAGTACAATTGCTGCTCGAGACTTTTCGGCTGATCTTCCTCCTTCACCTGCGGCACAGACCTCCAATCTCTAAACCCTCGATTCCACGCTTCAGCCTCTTCGCGCATCTTGCTTGCGAGCTCTAGTTGCTGCTGATCAGGCTTATGCGTGCGCTTGATCTCCTCGACTATGCGCAATGCCATGGTCAGGTCCGTAGCGGCACCTTCCCATTGCGACTTGAAAATCTGCACTAGCGCGCGAGTACGTAGGGGAGGCGCTTGCTGTTCCAACGGCAACGACGAGATGACTTCGTTCAGCGGATCCAGAGGTGTGTATTGCTCCATCGCTCGCGACGGGATCTTCTCGTGGAAGAAGTGGACGTACTTAGCGTCCACATTGCCGGGTTCGCGTTTCAACACGTGCAATCCCACATCTTCCACCGTGCTCGTTGCCTGCATTGTCGCTACACTTGCCGCGACTTCATCGAGTGTATACGCCTTTGCGAGCAGCTTTACTGCTTTCTGCCGAATCTTGAAGATGCGTTCTTTGCTCAACTGACTTGCCGGACCACCTCCGGCGCCGAAGTAGTCCATGCGTCCAGTCATGGCCGCGTTTGAGATGCCGGTACTTGCGCGCACGGAGTCTTGCGCCGCCTCATCGACAGCTTTGCGGATCTTGACGACATCATAGAACACGGCCGGGTCGATGAGGCGGGGCGGTGGCATGGTATAGTTCTGATGGGCGAGGGAGTCCAAGATCTCCGGCGGGAGCTGTAGCCATGGTCCGTGGAAGGAGGAGATGTAACGCCAATGTCTGGAGCATCATGGCATGAGCCAAGCAATGGTCACATGCAGGAAGGGTAAGTTGGTGGGCGACTCACTTACTTGTTCCTGCATATTATCAGACTTGAGCCTGAGGGCGGCGCAGGCGTGTCGCCTTGCGCCGAGGACGCGCTGGACTTTTTCTTGGCCATTGTGCGATCAACAGTGACGCCAATATTCCCTACACACGATCGGCCATATTCGCGATGGTGGGGCTCAGTGGACGAGACGAGAGTTGAAGCAAGCTGCACATTTTCCCGCAGGGGCCCGTCGGCTGCAGATGCAGCGGGCCGAGAAATGAAACGCCGCAGCTTCATGCATTTTACTCCGGTCGCTGCCCCAGGTCCTGTTCAAGCAGTCTCCGATACATCATTCATTGAGACATCTCAACGTGCTCGGACTGCTACTACCATGGCTGACATCATCTCCTTCGCTCGGTAGGCTTTCGGGACAGCACGTAGAAGAGCTCTAATCTCATTAGCTGTACAGCTTCCCTCGGCCGTGACCGGCCGGCACAGGCTATACCGACATTAAAACATCATCACGAGCAATTCAAACCCCATGAAATTTACTTCACACTGAGTCTGGCGTTTGTTTCCTACTTGCTCGATTATTTTGACCGTCCCAGGTTGATCCTATTCGTCCTTTTGCTCTTCCTTCCAATCACATAACCCATCATGTCTATGTCTATCGAAGATGGAAAGGTCTCACGGCAGCCAAGACCTGTTCCTAGTATCCCAGAAAATGTTCTCGACCAGTTCAGCATGAAAGGGAAAGTTGTCGCCATCACCGGTGCCTCAGACGGCATCGGCTGGGCTGTCGCCGAAGCCATTGCAGAAGCGGGCGGCAACGTGGCCTTGTGGTACAATACCAACAATGCCGCTGTGGCCAAGGGCGACGCACTAGCAAAGAAGCACCACATCCGCGCAAAAGCGTACCAAGTCGATGTTTCGAACCATCAAGCGGTCCAGAAGACAGTGGATGATGTAGTGCGAGACTTTGACAAGCTTGACGTCTTCGTGGCGAACGCTGGGATGGCGATATCGAAGCCGATCACGGAGCAGAGCATTGAGGAATATCACAAGCAGTACGATGTGAACGGTGAGTAGAGCTTCTGAGCCTCTAAGCTCGTCATTAAGAGCCGTTGACTGATTGAACCGGTGTGATTCGAGTAGTACACGGAGTCTTCTACTGCGCCAAATACGCCGGCGCCATCTTCAAGCGCCAGGGTTTCGGCAACCTAATCATCACATCAAGCATATCTGCCCATATTGTCAACGTGCCCGTAGACCAGCCGGTGTACAACTCCACCAAAGCCGCCGTGAACCATCTCGGCAAAAGCCTGGCTCGTGAATGGCGCGAGTTTGCCCGTGTCAACGTCGTCTCGCCTGGCTTCTTCGACACGAAGATGGGTGCTTCGCCGCTTTGTCTGAACGAGGCATACCGAATGACGCCATTGGGTCGACAAGGCCACGTCAAGGAGATCAAGGGATTGTATCTTTATCTCGCTAGTGATGCATCAAGCTACCAGACCGGAAGCGACACTATCATCGATGGTGGGTACGTACTTCCGTAACGCGCAGCATGAAGCTGAAATCGACCACGCATGCATCCAACCCGCGCATAAGGGTGTGGTACGATGAACCATTCACGTGACTATCCAATTTGAGTCAGCATGCGAGGTCAAAGCTTGCGCTTGTTCCTGCAGCTGTCTCACCCTTCAAATGCTGTCTGTCTCTACTGTACAGCTCACTCTACCATCGCCTGTGTTACCGAGCTGCTGTTTGCCAATGGCTATGGTACCGAAGGTGTATTCGCGTAGCTACATTTGCCTGGGCATAAATCTGCATGAGCAACATATGGCTCGTAGCGCTCGATCTTTCCTGCAACTCAACTATCCATAATGACGTACAGGTGTAATTGCCCCTCGGTCAGGAACAGGTAACGCGCTTGGAACCTTTTGTAGCTCAATAGAGCCTACTTAGCTGCGCTTTCTCTCCAACAATCACTGCAGCGACACAACACCATCGCCGTCCTCACATTCGCCTCGAAGCCGACATTCTGCAACCATGTCGTCCCTACCTCACACCACCACGGGCCCAAAGAATGAGACACCATCTGCCTCTGAGACGGCCACGGGAGGAGCAGCGGGCGCAAACCTCTACCCGAAGGAGTCTGTCTCAGCAGCCGACGTCAGCAACCAAGACAGCAAAGTCGGTATGACGACCAACCAGGCCAGCGGCACGACTAGCAATCAGCCAGGCAGTGCGGAAGCGGCGGCGGAGAAGCTGTATGAGGAGCGGATTGAGGACGAGTACGCGAAGCGGGAAGGCGGCGCATAAGAGATGGGTACATATGCCGTCGTTTCTACCACAAAGCATGTTTCCTTCGTTGCGTTGACATATGCCAACGTCGAGATGGTGTGCCCTGACCTTCAGAGGCCTGTACACCTAATGAAAGGCTTGGAAAGCATCCAAGTTCCCGAGAAGGGCAGGCGTCCGATTATTCGACTTCTCACATATGTTACTTCGCGCCAACGCCTGTTCTCGCCACTTCATGGCAGCAATGCCCTCGTGTCTTCCTTACTCTAACACAATGAACGTGAAGCTTCTATGCAGACGAAGCAGCCACCGAAAGTCACGACCAATAAGTCGTGTTGATGACCAGACAGAGCAGAACGCTTCTTGATGGCTAGATATCTACTTCCACCATCCGATAATAGCTCGACGAGAGAGAAGAGGATCTATCAATCTTCGCTTAAACTTCGGAGGATAGAGCGGACCCAGACGAGCATCGGTGGCTGCAAGCTCCGCTACCGGAAGCGCATGCGCTTTCTCAACCTCGCAACTCAGCCCGTGAGCATCGCAAAGGTCTCTTTTGCCAGCACTTGTCGTCGCAGCTTGCCTTTGCGTGGCTGCGAAGCGTCCAAGTCGCGCCGACGGCTCGGCCGAATCTGACATATACTATCCGACCTACTGTAGGCTTACTGTTCGGGAGGTAGGCCGCTCTCGCTGTTCATATCCGTTCAGATAGTCATCGTCTTGCCATATCACACTGCTTGATCTTTGTAACAAGCGCTTTCTGCAGTAGACCATGGCCTCCACCGTACAGGGTCAGCTGAGCGTTGCGCCCTTCCGTCACTTCGTCGACTCTCAATCCCCATTCCTGAAAAACATCCAGGACCAAGACCCAGTCGCGCATGCAGAACAGGCTCTCGAGCGTGTACCACCACTGGCCAAGATGGTGGGTATGTGGGAGAAGCTGATCCAGGAGCCATTTAAGGGCGTCACAGTCGATGGTATGTATGAACGCGATCCACAGACCTAGACCAACGCCAGCTCACGTCCTGCTAGGAAATGTCCGACCCGGTCTCTTCGAAAAGACGGACGACGGTACCGACACCGATGCCATCGTCTCTGCCGCAGAGGCAATAGTTGCTGCCTTGACTTCGCAGCAGAGAGCTCAGGTCGTGCTACCACTAAACGCCCGCGAACGTCGCATGTGGCAAAACACGCACCTCTACTTTCCCATGTCCCGTCTCGGCATCCGCCTCGACGAAGCCAGTGGCGAACTTCAAACCCTCGTCCTCAAGCTCCTCGCCTCCGCGATGTCGCCCGAAGGCTACCAGAAAGCCCTCCTCGCCACGGAAACCAACGCCTTCCTCGGCTCCCTCTACCACGCCCTGGCCATCCTGAACAAGCACTCCTACAACTTCATTCTCTTCGGCACGCCATCTCCCACCGAGCCTTGGGGCTGGACCTTCTACGGCCATCATCTCTGCTTGAACTTCTTCATATATGGACGACATATCGAGATCGCCCCGACGTTCATGGGCGCGGAGCCGAACATGATCGATGAGGGAGCGTTGGCGGGCACGGAATTGTATACCGCAGAGCAGGACCTCGGGCTGCAATTTATGCAGTCTTTACCTCCCGACCAGCGGAAGCAAGCCCTAATCGGTACTGACATTGACGCCAAAGCCTCACCAGCAATGGCGCTGACGGGAGCATTTATGGACAATCGCGTCATTCCGCCGCAAGGTCTCCAGCTCTCGTCATCCTACATTATTCCAATCCTGGCGCTGATCGAGCAATTCACCCTCTACCTTCCCAAGCAAGCACGGCAGCGCAGACTTCAGCAGATCTCCACGTTCATGAGTGAGACGCACTTCTGCTGGGTGGGCGGATACGGTGCGGAAGACAAGTTTTACTATCGCATCCAGAGTCCGGTCATTATTGTGGAGTTTGAGCACTGTCCTAGCATCTTTCTGGGTAACACGAAGGCGGAGAAGTTTCACATCCATACGCATGTTCGCATGCCGAATGGAGGGGACTATGGGATGGCATTGTTGCCGGATGGAGTCAGGTGTTGACATGACGGGTGGGCAACATCAAGTGTGTGTGAGCAGCCGGTGTTACGTGGGACAGTTGGTTGGGGTAAGAGCAATACTCAACGGCTCATGGCGCTGACAATCTCCTCTCAGCTTCGACGTTTGTATTGGGATAGGACGCTACTTGACTTCTTCGCAGCGAGCTTCGATTTCATCGTCTGAATTGATCCCTTGCGGCCATCCCGTCGCACATGCTGCGTACACATATACTGGCATTCCATCTGGGTTGTGCTTATGTTGCTGATGCGCTCCGCCAATGTGCCGCAGCTTTTTTGGCACTAGCGGCGACCATAGTATTCTTATGATGCTCAATCGGTGGGGCCAGCAGTTGCTTCTTTGCACAGTCGCGGAACAGATCTTCCCAGTCGCCTTTTTCGCGCGGCGCCTCGGACTGCACGCCACTCTGTCGGTAAGAGCCCGAACCGTTGGTGCTGCTGTGGAGGCTTTCGGCCGACTCACCCGACTCGGCGTGGATAGCATTACCCGTACCGATAGAGGGATACTCGTCCCAACCGTATGCTCCATCAGCATTGGGACGATGGATCCCGGCGGGCCGTACGGCCCCCTCTTCGTCCGATTCCTCGTACTCGATGCCGTTCCCGATGACACCATTGACACCATTACGCCCTCGTATCTCATTAACGCGTCCCTAGCTGGCCTGGATCTCCTTCGCCTGCCGCATGGCCAACTCGTTACCCTCGGGTGCGAGTCGGTAGAGGACAATCTCGCTCTGCTTGAAGTACCTTCTCGCATCCTCATCGATCAAGACGAGGCTGAGGTAGTAGCGCGTGCTGTACTTCTTGTTGACATCTCTGAACGTAGGCGTCAAGTCGAAGCCACCGAGGAAAAGACGGATAGGTATTGTTTCTCCGCGACTCGGCGAGCCGTCCATGATCTCGAAGCGCACGAGTGTTTCGCTTTCGTTGTATTGGTTGGGAGGTACGCCGGTGGTCTCGCGGCGGATGATGCTGAGCTCCATGTGCCGTATCTTCAGTCGCACTAACAGGAAGTATATCCTCCCCACAATGACATCCTTGAGGTGGTACTTGCTCTTGCTGTACTCGAACTCAATGTGCAGGCAATCCTCGATACCGACATCCATCTTAATAACGCTGTTGCTTTCCGGCGGTTGTCTGTAGCTATACACCCACAGATCCTTCTCGCGCACCACGTCGGCCATCCGCCTGCTCACCGTCACTCGCAAGAAATACCGCAGCTTCACATTGATTCCATTGTAGCTTTCATACGGCTTCTCCACATTCTTGAACGCGAATGGCAGCGTGACGGGATGTTGCAGCTCACCTGGACTCGCCAGCTCCGTCTGCAAGCTCAGAAACTCGTGGTGCGTGCCGCGATCGAAGAACATCTCAATCGTCCCCACGAACTGGATCTTGATCCCCGTGTGCTCGAGGCGACGTCCATCTTTGGGGCGGATGGTGACGTTGCCGCGCACCGTTTCACCGTCGAGATAGAGCGGACATTTCTCGCGGCGGACGGCGGCAGCGGTGGTGTTGGTGCCGGTGGTGGAGGGAGGGCTTTTGGGGAAGGCGACGTCGATGGTGGGGCGGTCGTCGGTGGAGTCGAGGATAATGTCGATGTCGAGAGGGGTGGAGAAGGCGAAGAGGGACATCTTCGGTTAGAGGAGTGGGAGGCGCATGGAAGAAGGGTTGTTGATGGCAGGTTGCCTAAGCTGTCCTTGCACGGGTCCATTGATGGTCGTTGCCTGCGTGCCTTAGGCTCCAATTGACACTCGGCTTACGGCGGCTTTAGAAGGTGCATGATTGATGAGCCGAGGAAAGGATTACTGGGAACAGACGAGCTTCTTGCGAGCCACTTCCAAGAACCGCCCAACATGTAAGCTGTACACATCGACGCCTGCTCGAAGGCAGCCAGTCCCTTCCGTCATGACGTTACTCAAACCGCTGTCGCTATTGCGCTTCCAAGCCAACAATGTCTGCCACCGCTCGCGCTCTCCCTTTCACCTCATACACGTCCGTGGCCTACATATAACGAACCGTTTAGCCGCAGTCAAACCCTTCCTCCTTGCAGACATCGGCGAAGGCATTACCGAATGTCAGCTGATCCAGTGGTTCGTCCAACCCGGCGCCCGCGTAGAGCAGTTCGACAAGTTATGCGAAGTCCAGTCCGACAAAGCGAGCGTAGAGATCACGAGTCCCTTTGATGGCGTCATCAAAAAGCTACACTATGAGCCGGACGATATGGCGATCACGGGGAAGGCGTTGGTCGATATTGATATAGAGGGCGAGATTAGTGCTGAGGATGAGGCGCAGTTGGGTGGTGGTGGTGCGGGGGAGGGGGAGGTCGGCGCGGTGGCGGAGCAGCAGGTTGAGGAGCAAGAGGTTGAGGCGGAAGGTGTGAAGGAGGAGGGTGTGGAGGCGGAGTCACCAAAGAAGAGGAGAAGTGGAAGGGATATGGGCACGCTTGCTACGCCTGCGGTACGGCACCTAACCAAGGAGCTGAAGGTAGATATTGCAGATGTGCAAGGGACGGGCAAGGATGGGAGAGTAATGAAAGAGGATGTGCACCGGCATGTCTCGCAGAACAGATCGGAGCAGCAGCCACAGCAGCATACATCGCAGCCAGCACCAACAGCAACAACAAAGCACGACCGCACCGTCCCTCTCACACCCGTTCAAACCACCATGTTCCGCACAATGACCCGCTCCCTCTCCATCCCACACTTCCTCTACACCACGACCGCTAACATCACGTCATTGACGACCCTCCGCAAACGGCTCAACAGCGGCCAACCGCCCGAGGCCAAACTAACCCACCTCCCCTTCATCGTCAAAGCCGTCTCCCTGGCCTTTCAACACCACCCACTCCTGAACACCCACCTCGACACCGCCAGCGACGCGAACAAATCGACTCTGACTCATAAAGCGGCACATAACTTTGGCATCGCAATCGACACGCCCTCCGGGCTTCTCGTGCCAGTCTTGCGGGACGTGCAATTGCTCAGCATCCGGGAGATCTCCCACGCCCTCTCCGACATCTCATCCCGCGCCCGCGCCAACAAACTATCACCGGCAGACTTCAAGGACGCAAGCTTCACCATTTCCAATATCGGCAACATCGGCGGCGGCGTAGTCGCTCCCGTCATCAGCGCGCCACAAGTCGGGATCCTTGGGGTCGGACGGAGTAAAGTCGTGCCCGCTTTCGACGAAGATGGCGGATTGGTGAAGAAGGAGGAGTTGGTGTTGAGTTGGAGCGCCGATCACAGGGTTGTGGATGGGGCGGAGTGTGCGAGGTGTGCGGAGAGGGTTGTTGGGTTCTTGGAGGATGTGGGTGGGATGGTTGTGGATATGAGGTGATGGGGTGAATGGTAATATGAAACAGAAGTACTGTGCATTACCACAACTGGGAGTGTAGATCACAGTTTGGCCGGCGGGACGATGGTTGGTTCGAACAAGCTGATACTGCAGCAATCTTGCTCCATTTTCCCGGATGAGCTGAGGCGGTTAAGGCGGTTGATGGGCTTATCCACACGACTAGGAGCCTGCTCATGCTGATGGGGATGCTTGTGCGGCAAATTCAGCTTAGCCGGTGTCACGACATCTCGATTTCTCGATGCCCGTTTGCCAGCGCACTTAACGGGTAGTCGACGGTACTGCGAGTGAAACGAAGGGGCCGAGACTGCCTAGCCGGGACGGGTGTACAGTTACCACCGGGATATTGAATGGCCACGACGGTGTTTGTTCGGCACTTTAGACTTGTTCTGGAGACTTACAAACATCCTACGAGCGTCTGGGTGGTTCACGTACAGCAAGAGATGGATAGAAAGTCCTATTCTTCGTCAGCGCATTGCTCCGATAAGATGAGATGCGAAGCCGGAATTTTTGCTGATATTTCTGTTGCTTCGCTCGACATTGGCGCTACCTCTGACGTCCGTTGTCGAACTTAGCACATTGAAATTGTAGAGCCTGGGGCAAGGAACTGTCTATTCAAAGCTGGAAGCCATCTAGCGGAAACGAATTTGAACACCGCGCAATCTACACTTTTCCTGGCAATGCCGTGCAATCTATCGCTATCTAGATGGCATTACTGGGATACAACACCTTCTCATCCTCCACAAACTGCTCCTTGATACTCCGCATACTCACAAACCTCGACATCAAATTCGCACTGCCGGCCTTGTCGTTCGTCCCGCTCGCCCTCGCGCCACCAAACGGCTGTTGAGCGACGATCGAGCCGGTGCTCTTGCAGTTGAGATAGAAGTTGCCGGCGCTATTCCGCAATTTCTCCTCTGCAAGCCTCAAAGCCGACCGTTCCTGAGCGAACACTGCACCCGTCAGGGCGTAGTCGGAGGTCTCGTCGATGAGAGTGCACGTCTCCTCGAAGGCGGTGCGCGTGCTGTCGTCGTAGACGTAGATGCAGAGGATCGGGCCGAACAGCTCTTGGGACATGAGCTTGTGCTTGGGGTTGGTTGTGAGGTAGATGGTGGGGTTCACGTAGTAGCCTTCGCTACCATTGTAGGACCCGCCCACGAGAAGCTCGAGCTCCGGATCGTTCTTCGCGTCGTCGATGACTTTGGCGAGCTTATCGAAGGACTGCTGGTGAATGACCGGGCCGACGAAAGCATCGTACTCCTCGGGCGGACCGACTTTCAGCTTCTGCGTCTCCTCCACCAACCGTGGCTTGATCTGCTCCCACAGACTCGAAGGAAAGTAACACCGACTCGTCGCCGAGCACTTCTGCCCTTGATACTCGAAAGCGCCTCGCACGGTGTTGATCACCACATTATCGACGTCTGCTGAGGGGTGCATAAGGTGGTAGTTCTTGCCTCCCGTCTCACCTACAATACGCGGGTAACCCTGGTACCGACCCTCCGCGACGCCCGAAGCGATCTGTCCATACAATGACCGGAAGACAGCAGTGGAACCGGTGTAATGCAGCGCGGCAAACTGTCTGTGCGCCAGGACCGCTTTCGTAATCTCGACAGGATCACCGGGAACGAACTGTATCACCTCCTTCGGGAGACCCGCTTCAAGGAGAATGTTGTAGACGAGCCAGTTGCTCGCCATGGCGCTCGGACTCGGCTTCCACACAACAACATTCCCCATCATTGCTGGCGCACAAGGTAAGTTACCAGCAATGGCCGTGAAATTGAACGGCGTAATGGCATACACAAACCCTTCTAACGGTCGGTACTCGACCCGGTTCCACACCCCTGGTGCGTTATGCTGGGGCTGATGCGCATACACGTCTTGCGCATACTGCACACCAAACCGCAGGAAGTCGCACAACTCGGCTGCGGCGTCGATCTCGGCTTGCCAGATGTTCTTGCCCTGGCCCAGCATTGTGGCGGCGAGGATGTCGTATCTGTACTTGCCGGCCACAAGGTCGGCGGCTTTGAGGAAGATGGCGGCCCGGTCGGAGAAGGGGAGGCTTTCCCACTCATCCTTTGCTGCGAGGGCGGAGGATATTGCGGTCTGGACGTCAGTGGCGGAGGCGTTGGACCAGTGGGCTAGAGGTGCAGCGTGGGAAGATGGATAAGGTTGGGTAGATGTATGGGATGTGAAGTTCTCTTGACCCGCAACTACTGTTGGGATCTTCAGAGGAGCGCGTTGCCGGAGGGTGTGCAAGGCTGTGGTGAGGTTAGATCGGTCCGCGGAGTCTTTCTCAAAGGGTCGCTGGCGTTCTGTTAGACGCAGTGCAACCATTCAATGCTTTCAAAGCAATCGTACCATGGGCTCATTGTTGACTTCGGGTACTCGGAACGCCGCCATAGTTGCCATGCTTCGTGAAGCTGCTCGGCAGCCCGTGCGTGCTGAATGCCATGGTGAGGGCCGTGTCAAGAACTGTTCGCAAACTCGTGAGCTCTTACAAAACGCCATAGTGGCAGAGACAGTCGAGGGACCGTAGAAGATCAAATGCTATATCCAAGCAAGGGATCTGTCGGGTTATATACTCTCGTGCTCAATGGTTTGCTCGCGGGTAGCTTCGGCCTTGCAACTCACACTCGAGCAAGTGGGGCAGTGGTGGGACCTGCATGCTTCGGCGTCTGCAGGGCTGGGCCGAAGCAGAGCCGTGCAACGTCTACATTCTTTCCTGCTTTTCACGCGCCTTCCACTTCAGCATGTCTTCACGTGTTGTGACGCAATAAACAAGATCACTGGTGAATCTTGTAGAACATGGTGTTTCTCACTGGCTCCCTTCGAACGGCCGCTAGCGGGATGTCGCATACTTAGTAACTTCTTAATCGGGCAGTATGTCGTTAGTGCTTGTCTGTAAGCGCGTCGTCGACTGAGGTTACCATGGAAAACTTTGAGCTAGAAGAAGCTACAGAAGGCGGCTCAGTCTACATCTATTATCAACGTCGCCGATCGCATTCTTGCGGCGTATTGGCCATCGTCGCCTACGAGAACTCCAACGAGTCGACGGCTTGCAGTCACCTTACCCTAGCGCAGTAACTTCGGTTTTGTATTTCAGGAGACAGACATTCGCAATGTGCAAGGCTAGAACACGTCCAGGGAAGGAGATCTGCTCATAACAATAAAACCTACGATGTCCAGCTAATGCTTCTGCCTGACCGCATGTGATGGAGAAGTGGACTCGTTGGACCTTGAGTAGAGGAGAATGCCAGCCTAATCCACGTTCTCGAGACTTTCATCATCGCAGAACCTTCCCCATCTTGTGCCTTGACAGCAGCTTTGACAGCAGCCTCACAACAGTTCTCAACATCACCAACATCGTGGGGTCCTTTCCCAATCAGCCGTAACAGGACAGATTTCGCCTGCGAAAGCCTGTCAACACGCAACAACCCATTCTAAGATGTCGTAGCCGCGGGCGCCGACGCCGTCAAAGTGACCTGTTTCTGACACTGCGGTCCCATTCCATGCGCCTGGAAAACCCCTGAGATGAAGTCCGGGTCCTCGCAGAACACGCTGCCGCAAAAACTGGCCAAATCCGTGCCACCATATACGCAACAGTCCTCCGTCACCTTGTTGTAGACGAACTTGTTGTAGTACTGCAGGAGAGTCATCGCTTGGGCGAAACCGACACAGCTGGAGAAATCCACGGCCGACGTGGTGCAGGTGGGCGCAATAGTCTGGGCACCATTGTAGCCTGTAGATCCATACAGGACGACGGAGGGAGCGTAGTCGTAGCCGTAAAGCACCGTGCCGTAGGTGGGAAGCACAGCGGAGGAAGTGTAGGTGAAAGTCCAGGTCACGCTCGCGCTGGGAAGAGGGTCGCAGCAGCTAGAGGTCGTGGCGAATGGTGTCGGGACGGTGGCTGCGCAGGATAGAACGGAGGTAGTAGAGGTAGTGGAGCTGGTCGAGCTGGTTGTGCTACGAGTACAAGTGGGGGCTGTCTCGATGCAGGAACAGGCTGTTTTAGCGATGCCGGCGGCTAATGTTTGCAGTTTCGAGAACAGCGTCGCGAGTGCATTTGCACTGGTGGTCGTGCTAGTAGTGAGTGTCGTCGGTGAAGTGGTCCTCGTCGACGATGTGGTGACGGCCCTTCCCTTCTTGACATTTGTGGTCGTCGGCGCAGCCGTACACGCTACTGGGTAACGGCTTGAACAGAAGCTCATCGCCGCCGGAACTTTGGAAAGCGGGAGCAGGTCACTGTAAGGGAATGACGAACAGACGGAGGCCGCAGTCATTGTGGTAAACGCAGTGACGAGAACGGTCATTGTGGTGAATTGGCCTGGCGGTGACATCTTCGCGATCTGATAGGTGATTCTTACCATATGGGAGCCTGTTTTTACGATAATGAATGAATGCTAGGATGGGTATATGTATACTGGCATCTTCAGCAGCCCGGCGGAGGAAGCCGTGAGCCTTCCCTGCGCTGCCTTCGACTCTGGTAGCGAGGGTCACGCCAGGATGTATCGACAAGTCATGGCGACTGTAGCAGCGAAAGGCCGGCCTCGCCATCTCCCAAGTCGTCTCGACGCTGCCAAGGACAGCCACATGTCTTTGGTGATTGTTTCTCGTCCAAAGCCGCGCGTGGTCCTCAGGCCGTACTAACCACATGAGTTGCTTATTGGCGAACTCGCCAAGGAGTACGGTTATATGCTTTGACGTCTTGGCAGTCACCCCGCAATAGAGGAAGAGAGCGTCGTGACCCGTTCGTCGGTGAAACTTACGTGAAGCCGAGCTGAGCCAGCCACAACCAGGTCTCCGCAGCTGAGGCTCCGACAACCAGGACCAGACATGCTAAAGCTCCTCACATGCGGCCAGATCTAGATCTGACCCCCAGCACGCTAACGCGGACCTGCATGGTGGTGCCTCGAGTCATGGCATGGACTGACAGGTCTGGGGTTGCACCGTTGCACAACCGAGGTCATTTTCAGAGGATTCCAACGATGCCGTTCTGGACGTAGAATCCGAGTATGCATGAGACATCCAGCATAACAAATGCGATTGTGAAAGCCGCTGCTGCCATGTGCTAGACGTCGGACGCTTTATGGTGCAGTAGACCTACCAAAGTGATACCGACGCAAGTGCATCTTTGGCTTTGTGAAATCCGGCTTACCGTTTCCTACGAAAGCAGCCGGTCAATGAGTGTTGAGCGCTGGGCACATGTGGTTTCAAGGCATGCTTGACCTGACCGCACTGACCTCGGAATACATTTTCTTCCTACTTCTCGTGCGCCGCGCGTCCTAATCAATCTGTCACACCTTGGCCTCACGACGCCGTGGGCACAACACCTCCGCTGCATACCGCAAGATCCCCGACATCTGCTTCAAGTCTCGCTCAGGGCATTTAAGCTCCATCTGTGACGCAGGTCATGCGTCCAAACCAATCAGTCACACCTTCGTGTCTTGACGCCGTGGCCATATATTGACCTTGACTTCCTCCGCATAACCAAAGATTCCCGGCATCTGCTTCAGCCCTCGCTCCGGATATGCAAGCTCCATCTATTATCGGACGTCAGCAACAACCCGAACCTTCAGACACATTACCAGTAACAGACCTCGAAGTTCATGACGAGCGCGGAGATGGCCTTCCTCATCTCCAACCACGCCACGTTGATACCCAAGCACATTCTCTTGCCCGCCGAGAAGGCCAAATTTGCACGATTCATCAGGATGCGTTGTTCTTCGCTTCCCTCGAGCCAGCGTTCGGGTCGATATGTTTCAAAGTCCGCGCCATAAATATTGGGGTTGGTATTCAGACCGGCTGTGTTTCTAAGAGAACAACCATGACTGTCAGTGATTGTCCCCAAAATAAAGTATGGCTTAGATTTAAGAGTATCCGTACATAGCGACGATAGTACCCTTCGGAACGTGTACGCCGGCAATGTCCTCATGGCCGTCAGTCACAGTTCGCTCGAGCATAATGTTAATGCTCGGATACAGTCGACCGGACTCTTTGATGCAAGCCTCGAGGTACGGCAGTTTGCGCAATACAGCCGTTGGCGGTAAATCCCAACCTTCAGCGGTCGGTGGAGCGACAGACTCGATCTCGGCGCGGAGTTTTGCAAGCACATGTTTGTCTCGAACGAGGCAGAACATGCAAATTGCCGTTGAGTAGGCAGTCGTCTCTGCGCCGGCCTGCATGGTGGTGATGGTCAGACCGAGGATGGTTGACGGGCTGAACAGCTGCGGATCCGATTCCGCCGACTGCATATACAAGTCCAAGAGGTCGTTATGAGTGCCCAGACCTCCCTTGGCTTTACGTCGCTCCACAACTTGCATGGCCAATCGCATGATACTAGATCGTGATTTCTTCCTGTTGCGTGCGACCCAGTTCTTATAGATCAGGCCTTCCAACGAAGGTAGAGTCCACCAAAAGTTCCAGTGCTCAAAGCGCCGCCGCCCAGCTTCGAGCGCGCCGTCCACATCCTGCCGACGGCTCATGAAGCCTTGATCTTCGCTGAAGCCAATGCGCGCAACAGTGTCAAAAGCGAACCAGCTCAACCAGTCGGCCAGATCCACCATCGATCCGGCAGTTTGAAGGTGGCCAACGAGTTCGGAGACGGTGTGGTCGACGTGCGCTTCGTAGCCCAGAACGCCGTGAGAGGAGAAGGTGGCATGGAGATTGCGCTTCAGGCGCGCGGCCTTGGCGTCGTCCGTCAACGCGACGAACGATAGGACTTCCGAACCGTTTACCCAAGCCTTCAGTGGCTCGTGGTTGGAAGCCTGTGCTGTACCTCAGTATGTAGAATGAAGCTTGGTTGTGCCCTGCGAGCAAGGTTGCATACCTTGGGGAGTATATTCGTTGTCCCAAGTATGACAGGTACGGCAGAGAGATCACTGAACATGACCCGATTGGGACCATAACGTTGGACTGGGCCGTACCTCTGATGCAGCCGCTTTCGGGTCTCGTAAAAGGATTCCTTCCGATTCATCTGCCACATGAGCCAGAGGTTCGTCCATGCAGCAGCAGGCGGGCCGGGGATTTTCCTCAGTCGCCAGTACTGTAGCACAGAAGTGGCGAGGGTGAATGGTACGAGGGAGAACAGCAGTGAAAGAGCCACCATGACCCATGAAGGGCGGTAAAGGTCGGGCATACCTCGATGCTGTGCGATGGCAACGCGCAGGGCCGGGTTTGGAAGGTAGATAGGATCTCAAGTCAGTTCCAGGCGGCTGCCTTTATAGAGGAATGTTTGCGTGACCCCGCCGAGGGTGTCATTTGATCAGGCCGTCCTTAGCTGCACCGACATCGACCGTTCCAAGCAACTGCGCCGCACTGCCGAAGGCGCAGGCTTCACTAAATCGAATAGCCGGATCCAGCGTTGCTGTTGACTCAAGCTCCGTACCAGCTAGGCGCATGGACCGCTGCCTGCGAAAGGGTATCGGTGCGATGTAGTCCTGCTTCCTGTGCTGGTCGTTGGTCATTTCGGAGCTTGCCAGATGCCGCAGACTCCGGCAATGGCGTTCTCCTCCGCTTTCGAGCCACCACCAGGCCTGCGTGTTGGCGCTTGACAGCTGCAGCTTTCACCTTCACAAACTTCATGGGCATATCGCGCTACCGAAAGTAAGCACCACTAGCCCGTACCGCATATACAGAAGTAATGCACCTCGCTAGGCACATGATATCGTGACTGCCCTTTCCCCACCACCGGCATCCGGCGGAGGTGGTAGATTTCTTGCATCGAGACGAGTCTTGGCAGGAGCGTAGGTCTTGCGGATGGGGGCAAGACACGGCTGCTCCGTGACAGTACTGGCGCTACTCCCGAAGTGGGCATTGGTCTCTGAAAAGTCTAAAGTGATGAGCCACAGGGGGTACATTATTGTACTCATACTTCGTACTCCCGACGATCAGATGCTGAATGGGCCAGATGACCCGCGGGTCGGCTACGCAGCACGAACGACATGCCCTTCAGTAGCCGAGGCAGGAGAATTTGTCGCGCCAGTTCTTGCCGAAGTCCTGTCGCTGTGAGGTGGAAAGGAAAGCGGAGTGAAGTCGACAGACCGCTGAAGGTGGGGGGCATCGCAGACTTGGCGCTGGGCTTCAGGGCTTCTTTTGTGGCTTCACGTTCATTCAGTGTGTTTGGAGACAATGGGAGGTGGCAGACCGGTTTAAGACAGCAAACGCAGCGTCAGGTGTGTCTGTACTTTGAAATATGACCTGCATACCCACTTTTCAGAGAGGCTTCCGGAGCATGTAGCCACTCCAGGAAGCTGAGAAGAACATCGAGGAGCTTATCTGTCAACACATTCATGAACGACACCTGTACGATTTCCTCCTACCTGGATCTCTCCTTCGAGGAACGACAGCGTCGGCGCGAATGGAACCGCAGTCCACTGAAAGACCTCTTCCCACGCATCCCACCCTCATCCCTGGAAACCATCCTCGACATCTGCATCTCCAAATCCTTCGTCTACCAACTGTCACAGCCTAAACTGTGGAACAGCCGTCGCTACACAAGCATAGTAGTCGCGCACGTCCGTCGTTCGCACACGGAGTACGACAATCTTCTTCGCGAAGAGCACGTTGAGCGTTTCGAGGCGCGCCAACGTACTGCTGCGCAAGTATGGAAGGTTCTGCGGGAGTGGTGTCCGTGGGATGATTCGAATGAAGTCTTGGAGCGGTGTTTCCAAGCGACGCTCTTGCGGCCGGAGGAGAGGACTGTGGCTGATTGGGATCCTATGGATGTGGATGACGAGTCGGACTTTGCTGACGACCCTATGGATTTGGATTGAGTGCTTTACTACAGAGCCATCTTTGTGGTCGAACCGGTTGGTGAGGCTTCTCCTTATAGCAGGCCATGGCATACCTGCGACCAGAGAATGTCTCAAGTTCGAGCGTTGGGCCCCACAATCAAACGGGATTTGTCCATGATCGAGCCGGCTCGCAAGCAAGCCCAGCTGGAAGGCTCGTATTGGCCGGCTTAAATGGCCTGCGTCGTGGTAATCCGGTCTGGGAGGTCAAATTCGCAAGCAAGCCAGGCTAGGAGCCCCAGAATGGTCGGCTTGCAAGTCAAGCAATCCCTCTGCACCGAGAAAGCCAGCGGTGCAGTAAAGATCGGCTTGCTTGGCATGTTCGCGGACAGTATCCCAACATCCCCTGAAGGGCACATTTAAACGACCGCACCCCTCAAGCACCGCACTCTCTCACCCATGCGGATCATTCCCAAACGTCCCCCCACCCTTCTGCGACTCCGTCAACCTCACCGGCTCCTCCCTCTCATAATCCGCAGCATCAGCAGTCATCGGCAGCGCCCCCTCAAACTTCTCCTTCTTCTCATTCGACCTCCCCTCCGTCTTCTCCAAATGCAACCGAATACTCTCCGGCGACGGCTTGACATGCAACCAAATTTCATCCCCGCCCTCCGGCTGCCGTCCCGACTTCTTCGCCTCGCGTCGTTGCAACTTCCGGTACAATGTCGGGGAGATGCGGTACACCCATTCGTGTTTGATCTGGAGACGCATGGCTGTATACTTTTCCATGGGTCGGTGGAGGAGGTTACTCGGGATGCGGTCGAGCGGGGCGGGCCGGGCTTCGAGGAGGTTTTCGTTTTTGTAGGCGCGGTTGACTTGGGCGAGTTCGGCGGGGAGGACGTGGGAGAGGAATTCGAGGGAGGCGTTGATGTTGAGGTCGAGGGCTCGTTGGGGCTCTGCGGTCATTTTGAGGAACATGCTGCATACGTTGCGGTAGAGGAGGGAGAAGTCCGATTGTGATATGTGTACGGTACCTCGCAGTGTCATCAGCCAGCTCGGGTTCTGGTACGGTGCTTCTTGTGCTTCCATAATCAAACTCTCCACGAGTTCGAAGTTACTCGGCCAGTACGTAAACGCTTCGCTGTTAATCGCGAGCAATGGAGAGCGGATTCTGTGATGCGGCGCCTCCTTCTCCGGTGGCCGGGTGCCAGCGCCCCAGATATCGTAGATGATGCCTTGGCTAACGAACGGAAAGCGATCGGAATGGCGGAGAATCTCCGTGACGGTGGCAGCCCCAAAGCTATGTCCGCACGCCGTCACGTAATCAAGATGGAAGCGGTTCTTCCATTTACTCCAATCCACACCCTTCAGTCCGTGGGAAGAGGACGCTTTGTAGCCTTTCGTCCGCAGATTACGCTTGGCGACATTGTGGCCTTCACCACGATGGATTTCGCACATGACGTAGTAAGCCTCTTCGAGCTCGGCCATTCGAAGGTCGATCTGCGCGGCTCGTAGTTCTCGATCGACGCCTCCTTCGCTGTGAGGCGAGGTGTCGTACGGATTGTCCTTGGGAAAGATATAATCAATGACCTCGTAACCCTTCTTTCGTTCCTCTGGTTTGTGATCGACATGCCCTTTCTTCTCGCGCTCGTCCATACTCCCACAAGCACCAGGCTGCTTGGTAAAGTTGACGTACGTTCGTGGTCCGGAGCCGTCACGGTGCTCCACGGCGCATACGACGAAGCCGTAGCTGGCAAACTCCCCACACACTGAGGAGTACATGGTCCGCGTACCGCCGAGTCCGTGGCTGAAGAGGATGAGTGGGAATTCGGGCTCATCACTCGCACCTTCTGGCTTCTCCCCCATCTCGAACTTGACATCAACGCCCTCCGAGTCAGTGTCAACAGGCGGAGCCCAGTAGTGGGCGAGAGGCGCATTGCGATACGCCGGTAATTTCGTGAATAGTGCTGGTATGAAGAGCGGAAGGGCCAGGTTGCCCAGACCGGCGAACTTGCCGTAGCCTTGAGCGATGCTGAGACGAGGCCTCCCCAGCCATAACTGACGTGATAACTTCTCACTGCCCATTTGTCGGAGTTCACGGTCGTGGTGTGAAGACGGATAGTAGATGGTCATCAGCACTGTTTCCAGCTGGAGTAAATGCTTGTGGTCGCGCTTGATGTGGGAGAAGTAACGTGGATCTCGTGCTGGGACTTCAATCTCCATGGTAGCGACAGGGTAAGGGCCAGTATAAGTTGGTAACGAGCGACCGGGGAAGACGACTTTGTCGCGCCATCCTCGCGGAGGCCGGACCTTGGGCTTCTGCGCATGCGGTACAGATCCAGTTTTGCCGCTGCTTTGAAGCCCACCCAGAGGCATGTCGGCGGCGAAGAATGTGTCTATACCATAAGAATGCTTTCGTTTACAAAATGTACATATAGATTCCCGAAAGCGATGTCTCAGCACATGCTGCTTCGGAGTACCTTATTATTGAGCGAGTGTTGGCATGGTGAGAAGTGAAGAGCACGCGCGGGTGCTCCCTCCTAACGATGTCGAACAGGACACCGGATCAATAAGTTCGATTAAGAGACAGCGCAATTATGACCTCGAAGTGTATCGTTTGTTGCATCCGCGGATGTGACGTAAAGAGGTGGCAGCCCAAAGCGCGCCCGAGGCAGCCGGAAGTTGAAGGAAGAGGAAGGTGAAGGCTTGGCTGATGCGGTGGAGTCGACGACGAACAACTCGAAGTCAGTTGAGATGCAACACTTCCTCACACACACAATGTACCAGTAACGTGAGTGAGTCTCTCTCACGGGACCTGCGCATGGCATGATTAAGTCATCAAGAGACGGATCGCGTCGCGTGTCGCAATCAATGGCACCACAACAGGAACAGGAACAGGAAGTCGCACATCACAGCCGTAAGAGACGCCCTCATGCACCGTCGGTCACCGAAACTTTTGACTTTGGCTAGCGTCGTCTCGTCGACAGCCAATCGCCGCCATCTCTCGGTCGCACCTCGACCGCACAAAATATGCATCGCCACCTTAATCCATCGACCACAAGATCATCTGCTGACTCATGCCAGTACCGTTGTTCTCCGAGCCACTCCCCTTGGAAGTGTGCATGATTGATACTCCCTCGATTCTTGTCTAACGTATGCGGTCTTGGGTTGTCGAAATCGCGGACAAGAATGCCATATAAAAGTGTTCCTTGTCGAGATGGACTACCTCATACGCTTCGTGCAGATGCACGAGTCCTTCCGCCAAGCTGAGACCGATGCCATCGCGGATCTCGAAGGCTTGCAGATGCAATGGCTGCACTACTCCGCAGATGTATGTACATGTAGCTTCTCGAGGCGAGGGGCGAGGTAGGTCGGTAGACAGTCGTCATCAACAGCCCAAAACTCAACGCCGGGCTTGGGTATGCCATACCTTTCCTATCCATCTCGTCCTTCGCCTCTTGCTCCCCCTCCCACTATACTACCCAGCTCACAACCCACCAGGCCCCCTTCGCCATCATCCGCTTCACAGGACCCACCGGCGAGACCACCTCCGCCGCCCGCACCCTCATCGCCCGCTCCATCCTCGCCACCTCCATCCACGAACTCTGGGGCACCGGCCCGGACTACCCCACCCTGCACACCTCCATCCGCGCCCTCACCTCCGCCCAATGGCCCGCCTACCAACACACCTCCTTCCGCTTCACCATCGACTCCTACCACTCCAGCCGGCCCCTCGCCTCCCAACACACCCTCATCGAATCCTTCGCCTACATGTCCTTCACCGGCCCCATCGCCATGCGCAACCCGGCCAACCACTTCACCGTCTTCGAGGAATCGCGCCTCGACGCCCCGACGCCGCACCGTCTCTACTTCGGCCGCTTGGTCGGCGCAAGCGGGCGCAAACAAGCACTTGTGAAATACAACCTCAAGAAACGCACCTACATCGCCACGACCTCCATGGACGCCGAACTCTCCCTCGTCACCGCCAACCTCGCCCAAGCCGCAGCGGGGAAACTGATCTACGACCCCTTCATGGGCACGGGCTCCTTTCCCCTCGCGTGCGCCCATTTCGGCGCGACGGTCTTCGGCAGCGATCTGGACGGTCGTTCCATCCGGGGGCAAGGCGCTCGCAGCGTCAAAGCCAACTTCGAACAATACGCCACCGCATCCAACTACCTAGGCGGCTTCGTCGCGGATCTGACCAACACGCCCCTGCGCCACACACGTACCCTCGACGGCATCATATGTGACCCCCCTTACGGCGTCCGCGAGGGACTGAAAGTCCTGGGTAGCACGCGCGTGGCGTTGAAGGAGGTCGTGTACCTCTCCGACGGCACGCCGGCGCATTTGGGTGCGAATTATATCCCGCCGAAGAAAGGGTATCGTTTCGAGCGGATGTTGGATGATGTGCTGAGTTTTGCGGCGGAGGGGTTGGTGGAGGGGGGGAGGTTGTGTATGTGGATGCCTGTTGCTGGCGCTGTCGCAGACGGGACGGATGGCGGGGCCGGAGGGGTGGGCGGGGTTGGAGGTGCTGCGGAGGAGGTGGCGGGGGAGGAGAAAAAGGGGGAGGAAGCCGAGTATGAGATTCCGCGGCATCCGGCGCTGAGGTTGGTGAGCGAGTGCACGCAGGATTTCAACAAATGGTCCCGTCGCTTGCTCACGTATGCGCGGTGCGCGGACGGGGAGGTGGATGCGGATGCGTTGCTGGCGTATCGCGCGAGAAGGTCGGTTTTGTCGGAGGCTGAAATTGGGCCTGAGGTGAAGACGACGGCGAACAATCTCAATGCGTTTCGGAAAAGGTATTTCGAGGGGTTTAGGGAGCGGTCTGCGGAATCAAGGTGCGATTGAGATGTAGTGCGTTCTGGCGGGATTATGTGAGCTCGACGGTATCGACAGAAGCAACATGAAGTCAGAATAAGGGTGACATGCACAGCCGTTAGCGTTCCTACAGTCCCAACACCACCGTACTGCGCCACAGCTCGCCGGGACTCCTTTGCGCTTCTCTCTCCCTCTCCTTCGCGTTCGTACATCGAGCCTCCAATGCGCCTTGCCATTTCCCCTTGCCCGCGCGAAGAAAAAAAAGAGGCCAGCCAGTCAGCCAGCCTCACGGAGCCATTCCAGGCAAGATACAAGCGTGTCAACACAACTCCAAGACCGTCGACATGGACACTGGCGCGCAGAACGTTCCAGATATTCTCAGATATGATGAGGATAGATCGTCTACGCCGCCGCAGCAGCAGCCGCCCGCGGTTGCTCGTGCTCGTGGAAGCTCGGTGGCGGGTGTCCGTACGTACTACTATACTCATCCTGATACCGCTTCGCATCCTCCTTCTGCAGACTCTGATACTTCTACAATCCACACAATCAGTTATTGATGTCCCCACATGCATAATAGTACCGGGTGGTAGGAGCGCGATGGAATTTGCAAAGACTTACCTCCTTCTCCCCCCCACTCAACCCCCTCCACTCCTCCGCAATCAACTTCGCCCGCTCCGGCAGGGCAATGTGCTTGAAGTCGCCACTCGCGTTCCGGTTCACCGTGAACTGCACGAACGCGCTCAGCGGCTGCTTGGCGCGGCGCTCGTCGGGCAGTTTCGGCCACTTCGACTTCTGCTTGGGTAACAGCCTGCGGAGTTGGGCGCGCGCTTTGTTGGCCGCGTCGATTTCTTCCGGCGCGTGCGCGTCCACCCACCGTTTGTAGGCGGCTTGTTTGGATTCGCGGTCGGTGTGGGCTATGTGGTTCCAGTGCTGTAACACGCCGTAACGTATTAGCGATTGCTTCTCATGTATGTATATAGAACTTCGACCCGGCGTTTCGTCGTTTTGGTAGGATGGGAGAACGTACCTCCCGATCAGCAGCGGAAATCTCCCTCCACAACCCCGCACACTCCTTCATCGGCGCCCCTCCGCGGATCGTCTGCGCCACCTCCTCGCTCCGCCGCTCCTTCATCAGCTTGGCGACGTGATCCGCATAAAACGCGCGGTAAGCGGTCGTGTTGAAGCGATGGCTCGGTGGATCAAGCGCGGCCTTCTTGAGCTCGACGATCTTGAGTTTCTCCAGCTTGACCTTTTGCGCGGCCTTTTGCTTGTCGGTTAACACCTTCTTTGGTTTTGGTTTGGGCTTGGCGGTCGCTTTCGCTTTGGCTTTGGGTTTTGCGTTTGGTTCTGACGTCGTCTTCTTCTTCGCAGCGGCGCTTTCCTTCTTCGCCTCGACTTTTTGCTTGGCGGGGGAGTCGGATGATGTCGCTTTCGGTGCGGCGCGTTTGACGGCGCGCCGGATGGTTTTGGAGGGTTCGCCCACGACGCTACGGGGTCGGCTTGGTGTCGCGTATGTCCTGACTGTCTGCTTTGTCGACGGCCGGAGTGCTAGCTCGTATTGACACGGCGGTGGGGTGGTCACGGGAAGGTTGGCGGAGGGTCGGGTGTGCAGTAGCACTGCCACCCGGCGGCCGAACATGTTGGGCGGTGTTGTACGGTTAATGTGCTCGGATGGTGTATGCGACAACACTTTGTTGTAGTCTGGCAGTAGTATATGGTAGAGTGAGGGTGTACGGGTGGGCGATGTTGACGGGGCAGGAGCTCGCGTGAGGTGCGCTGAAACGCGAGGGGAGGGCCCGGGAGGCTGGCTGGCTGCTCGCTCCTTCTTGGCCGAGGGGAGCTTGGACCAATCGAGCCGTTTGCGCCAGTCTTCAGCCCTAACAAGCCACGCTTCTTCTATGCACAATAGACTACGTGTGAGTCGACGACGTTCGAACGGTCCATGTGGAGAGTCCCGCAACCACAAATGTTAAGATGTTAAGATCCCATCATGCTGCACCGCACGCTCTCTGCATCATCTACTTCAGCAGCACTCCCGTTTGCTTGGACATCTCAACATCCCTCCACCCTCACATCTGCACTCACGCCCAACCTGTTTGCGGGATACAGTATTTCACGCGCTCAGTTATAGCTCCTCGCCTGCGCCGCCGCATCCGCATCCCTCGCCGCGACGTTATCGCGCGCCGTCTGCGCCAGCGTCCCGGCTTGCGACTGTCCCCTCTGAGCGTCCAGTTGCCTACCAAGCTTGCCCTTGCCTCCCGCCGCGGCTTTGGCTCGTTCCTGCCGACCAGTAGTGTCAGCGAGGCTTATTCATCTCAGCCGCAGCCGTATGAGTGTCATATGGGCGATGAGCCGCTTGATGCTGGGCTACAGCTCACAGCCAGACCGTCGCGACCATTCTGCCACCGCGTGGGCGTGGGTGTGCGCTTGCTTGCTTTCCGTCCACCGTGATGCTTGTGGAAGTTGATGATGATGAGAGACTACGCACCTCTGCCGCCTTTGCAGCAGCCTCCTTGGGGCTGCGCGAGTCTTCGGGCGCTTGCGGGTTCTTGCCCAATGTTCGTCCGCCTTGTGGTGCGCTTATCTTTGTCGGCGGCGCTGCGGCAGCTGCGTTACCTGATTGTGCTGGCGCGTTGGTTGGCCGGGAGGCGAGCGTGTTGCCATCGCCTTTGAAGTTGTTGTCTGGTTTGCCGAAGCAGTTGCCCATGGTTGGTGTAATGAGGTATGCTTAGGTGATATTGAAGAGGTGGAGGATGCGCGGCAGTACGCTATAGGATACGGAGACGCATCTTTCACAGCAATGGATATACGGAGCGTACGATGTTACTGCTGGCTAGGCGGTAGATTTCAGAAGGTATGAGATGATACCCACCCGCCCAGACTGCGCGCCCAGAGACCTGCGGCTCAATTGGAGTATCTCGCTCTCACGTGGGGGTCGAGTGGCATGTGCTGCCATGCTTCTGCGGGGTCCAGAGTCTTGGCAGGCAGGTGCGGATTAGCGTCCATCAAGGTGTGCATCGGAGTGTGAACGCTCGCTTCCATTGCGCAAAGCGGGACGGACAGAAATGTGAACTCGCACACTCGTCCCTACACCCCCGGCAAAGTCCGACGGGATGGCTGTTGGTGCAACAACAATGTCAGATCATTTTCCACACATGCAGCCTTACTACCCCCCAAATGGCTACGCTCCCATACCAGACCACAGCCAACACAGTCCTCACGTCCACAAGCGTTTAGCCGGCGAGCCTTCCTTCTGTGCCGGCAGGCACTGCTGTCAGTGGGAGAGTGAGGGATACGCATGCAGCTACCACTTCGCCAGCGCCGAAGACCTCGACAAGCACGTCGCCGAGTACCATGCCGGACGCCATTGGAACGGCCAAGCCAGCGGGGACTACCACTGCCACTGGCGAGGCTGCAGCAAGCCTGAATCCTTCGGCAACAAGCCCAAACTCACCCGACACATCCACAGTCATACCGGCCACAAGCCTCACGCATGTCAGTACCCGGGCTGCGAACGAGCCTTCGTTACAAAGGAGCAACTGAAGAACCACGAGACCACACATACCCGCACCAAGGAGCACATCTGTCCCGTCTGCGGCAAAGGTTTCGCCGTCAAAACAGCCCTGACCTCGCACATGAACACGCACAAGGGAACGAAACCATACATCTGCGACATCTGCCACAAAGGTTTCGCGGATAGTTCGAACCTCTCCAAGCATAAAGCCATCCACAAGCGGCCCGCTTTCAAAAAGCCGCACAGCAGACGAGCATCAACCTGCGACACGAGCACCTCCAGCAGCACATCCCCCTCCATAGCCACACCTATCATGACCTCAACCCCACAACTGCCACTCCCACACTTCATGGCCCACCACAACCACAACCACTTCGACACCACCCTACCCCACTACGGCCCGATACCGGAATCCGACTGCCTGAGCCGCCCCTGCTTCGATGCAGAGTGCCGCGAAGACGCCCGCATCCCCTGCCCCAGCGTCTCCTCCCCCTGCGACTCCCCCCCCTGCAGCAACGACGCTTGCAACCTCCCCCCCTGCCCCGTCCCGGAAGCCTGCCACACCCCGCTCTGCGAGCAAGACTACCCCTGCGACCTACCGGACTGCGACGCGCCCGAGTGCGACTGGGGCGATTGCGATTTCGAGCACTGCTCCGCCCTCGACCACTGTCACCTCCCCGCGTGCGTGGGCGCGGTGGAGGAGTGCGGGAGGTCCGAGCAGCCGGCCTGCGGACTGCCGTTTCCGGGGAGTAGCACCGTCGGGCAGGTGGAGCAGGCGCCGAGTTTGTTCTTCGGCGGTAGCTTACGGCATGCGGATCATTTGGATTATGATTTTAGTGAGGGCTTCAAGCGGTTGCAGGATTTCATCCATGATGATGCGTGTGGGTGTGGTGACGACAGCGCGGCGGGGTGGTCGAGTTGATGTTGACGTTAGCACGGAGTATGAGCGAAGGCAATGGGCGGTGAGACGCTTGCAAGATAGAAGCATGATTTACGACAAGACAAGAGCCGTGGTTCATCGCTGTTCTCTGAGCCGCAGGGCCGACTTCGGTGATGTAGTGTATACACAAGCACCCTCGCCCGTATAGGCGCTACCCACCATGAACACCTCACACCCTACTCAACCCCCTCCTATCAACCAGACCAAACCCACCCCAAACCAAATTCACTCACTCGCTCACTCACTCACTCACAACTCACCAACCCCATCCAAACACCGCCTAGCCCCCTCCAACCTCCCCCTCACCCCCGCCAACCCCAACCCCAACCCCTCCGCCACTCCCTCCCCTTCCTCCTGCGCTGCCTCCAACCCATCCTGCAACCTCAGCACCACCCTCCTCAAACTCTCCACCACCCCAAACAGCACGGCCTTATCCTTCAACCCCAGCGCCCTGCCCCCCGGATCCAGTAACGCGTTCACGGCTATCGTCACCGGATCGCCTAATCGGGGTGACGTGGGCGGGGTCGCCAGTCTTGCCGCGGACGGAGTAGTGGTAGTGGTAGTGGTAGCGGTATTGGCTGGTGGTGGTGGTGGTGGTGGTGGAGAGCGCGGGGTTAGTGCGCTCGGGAGCCGCTTGGTCGTCGCGTTCGCGTGGGCATTGTCGTGAGTGTGGGTGTAGCCGTTCGTCAACCCCACGCCGGAGTCCGCGCGGTCGGAGCCGCTGTCCCGGTTGGATTCGGGGGTGTGGCGCTTGTGGGGAATAGCTGTACCCGGGCGTGAGGTGGGTCGGCTGTTCGGGTGGGAGCGAGGTTGAGGGGAGGGAGGCGGGATCGGCCATTCCTTTGCCGTCGCCTGTCGCGAGCGCTCGGCTGGCGAGGATTCGAGTCCTTCGGTTGCGGTTGCGAAGGTGGCGAGGGTGCTTATGCTGTCGTTTGATGTAGTGCGACGGTGGAGGTTTCGCTCGATTTCCTTCAGTCGTTCGGGGGTTTGAGGCGTTGGTGGCGGGTAGATGGCGGAGTTCGGATCGAATTGGTTGTCTTCGTCTTCGCGGATTTCGGCGGCGGGACCGCGAGCCGTTTCCGTAGAGGAGACGGAGTCCTCGCTTGAGATGGAATGGCGACGGTCAACCCCGTTGCTATAGCTGCCCATTGCGCTATGCAGGAAGAAATGTTCGTAGTCGAACGCGTCGTCTCGGTCTTCGTGTGCAACAACGGGCGGCTGGTTATATGCCGCGTCTTCGTAGACACTACCTTCTTCTTCTTCTTCTGACACGTTGTGGTTGTAGTCTGGCGTCACGTCTTCGTCGGATGGAAGCGGTGAGACGTCGTAGTCTTCGTACTCCACTCGGTCTTCCGCCTCTGAGGGGGCGTAGGCGCCTGGCATATCCACGCTCGGCAGGTCTTGGTGGTGTGAGTACCGGCTTGAAGCAGGGGCGATAATGGCGGTGCCACTTGGCGTACGTTTGTGCGAGATGTTGGCCGTTGTCAGTGTTTCGGCAACGGGCTTCCGCTTGCCCTTCATGGAAGCCGTACGCTCCGGAAAGCTTGGAGCGAGGTTGTCTTGCTGCTGCTGCCATATTTCCTGTACGGGTTGCTGGGGTTCTTGTTGTTGTTGCTGCTGCTGCTGCTGCTGCTGCAACTCCCTCGCCTTCTGCGCCGCCGCTGCCTGCTCCGCAAACGCATTCCCAGTCCTAAGCACAACAGGCTGCACACTCCAAAACTTCTGCATCGACACCGGCGTGGCAGGACTATTGGGATTCGAGGTCCGCCCAACCCCGGCATTCGTGTCAAGCACGGGACTGCCATAGTTCTGCGATTGCGTGTAGAAGAACTCCGGTGGGCTAGAGGTGGCGTTCGTGAACGGAGAAGACGTCCGGAGATTCTGCAAGCTCTGTCGTCGAAGGCTATCTTCGCGCGCTCGCTCTTTTAGGGTCGAGATCTTTCCTTTCAAGCTGCTCATCTGCTCGCGCAGATCGTCGGTCCGTGAGGCCGGTTGGAAGAGACCCAGTCCAGCAGTCTGTTCGTCCTCGATGGCACTGTTGCGTGCTGATTGCGCCTGTTGGGAACCGTCGTCTTCTGGTAGCGGCTCGAGGTTCGAGTCGGGCGAGCCTTTCGCAAGCAAGGGACTACCGCGCACAGGCATGCTGTTCGTGCCGAGCGAGTCGTAGCTTCGACTACCTCGCAGACTGCTCGTCCATGGGGCATCGTTCGCTCGCACGGGTACTTGAGCGTGTCTCGCGATGTCGTTGCTCGATCTCCCGAGTGCGGTCTGCGGCCTTTCCGGTAGTGCGGCCTCGCCGAAACCACGTGCATGGTTGGCGTAAGTGTAGCCCATTGTTGGCGAGCTTGCTTGGGAGTGCAAGATGCGTGTAGGCTGCTGGCTGTACGAGTTGTAAGGGCGACCGGTTGAGACGAGACTGGTTGAATGGTAAGACGAGCCCAAGGAAGCCGCGCGCTTGAGATTGGCGGCTGTCAATGGCGCGGCTACCAGATCTCTCGCACCTCGCAGATTGCCCTCCATGAGCTGCAGAACGGTTAGGTACACACCCCCATCATCATGCACGCGCTGTGATGTCCCGACTTACATTTAACCGCTTCTTAGCATTTGCAAGAATCTGCTCGGCACGCTTGCTCAATATCGCCGAGTTATGCTCCTCTTCCTCCTGCTGCTTCCTATGCGCATCCAGGCCTCCTGCTATACTTACGCTATAGCCATACTTCCTTGGCACGGAGCTGTCAACGCTGTCCATGGTGTCGTCGTCAGTTGACGCCCCGTCCGGAGTGCCGTATCTGGCCAGAAAGCTGGGAATGCCCGCAAACTCCTCGCTATTGAACGAGCTGGCAGTGCTTGTTCGTCGCTCCTCTGATGTTCGGGCAGGCGCAAGGTTTCCGACATCCATTAGCGTGGGCGAGGACGCATAGGCGGGGTTGTAGGTCGATCCCATGTCCGAGTCGGAAGGAATGCTGGGCGAAGCGTGCTGTTGCTGGCTAGTGTTGGCGGCGAGCCCACTGCCTGTTCGACTGCGCAACAGCATCATCTTCCGACTCATCAGGCCTCGTTTCTCCTTCTTTGGCGCTACCGACCGGCCATTGGATTCTGAACTCGCCGTCTTTCGCAGGTAACTCGGGCTCGGCGGCCTTCTCACGCTTCGTGGTGGGGAAGGCAGCGCCGAAAACTCCATGACTGCTGGTAGTACCATCTCAGGGTTTGTGAGCGTCGGAGATGGAATGGAGGGCAACGGCTTCTCTGCTTGCCGCAGAAACTCATACGCGGTCATGCGCTCCTTTGGCGGGAGCGCGCCGTCGATATACTCGAACTCGGCTTCGTAGTCGCCCGCCATGCTGGGCTAAAAGCTCACCGTAAGCGGCCTCGTGCAGCGTCTCCCGCGTACAGCAGCTGCACTACCTCACGGCTAGCTTGCAGCGCGCTCTGTGCCACCGATGATCCTGGGTTCCGGGGATGCGTGAGTCGTGTACGCCAGTGAGACGAGATGACCAGCCAATTTGCTGTTCGCGCCGTGCGCATCTAGGGCTGGACAGGGGTCGCACGCCAGCCTGAGACCACTCAGCATGCTTGGTGACGCGAATGCCACTCTGTTGCCGCAACGTCAAGGGGAGGTGTCATCCTTCATCTTCACGTTGGGGCCGGGAGAGAGAAAAGTGACCCGTTCATATTCGACCCAAACCGCGGTGCCTCCTCTCATGATTGGACGTGACCTTGTTCCTGCGGCTTCGCAAGGAACAGGCTAGCGTAACGTTCGCGCACTGTCACAGCACTAATAGGGCTTGAACACCGGCTAACCCATCGGCTAGAAACAACGCTCACGATAGCCGTTGTGGAAAGTCTGCAACGCACACGAGAACCTCGTCATCGCTGATCGTATACCCTGTAGCGCCGGCATGCGATGCATCGGAGCAAGACTGAATTATATGTCTTGGTGCTGTGCCACAACGCACATCTGTTTGGCGGACTCCGTGTGACTCTGCACTCGAAGGTAGGTGGGAGGTAGACGAAACCTTCTTTGCTGACGAACATGGAGACCCCGGTGCGCTAACAACGCCACTACACCATGATTTGGATGATAGGTGAAATAGTGCTCTCCTTTCCACCGTACTATATGGCGTATAAAGTCACAAGCCATGATTCACGAGCAGTAGGCACTTTTTGAGAACCAGGGTCCGTCGTGCCGCGAGTTGATTCGCAACGTTATGCTCAAATCTGTCATCTCAAAGCCATAATTTTGGACAAACGGCGAGGACATCTTGCATGATGTCGTTCTCGTTCTACATCTCTCAGAGCCCAGCGAGTGTCCAAAAGCCGAAGCTGAAGTATCATGATCAGCGTTGTATCACCTAGTCCACTCCTCCTTCCACAGCCACACCATCCCCATCCTATTGATACCGAAACCTGGGTCGGATTCAAAGCCGCTTCGGATCGAATTCGTATTCGTGCCCCAGAAGCCAAGCAGCCCGAAGGGCGTCACGCGCAAGTCCCAGTGCCATGAAGACCAATTGTTCGTGTACGCCTTTAGTGCGCGAAACACTACTTCCCCATACTCGGTCTCGAGGATGCGAACATTGTGGATGGTGAAGGCGCCGACGCCGTCGTGACAGCCAGGCGCAATGATATGGCTCCGCACATGACTTTCACCTTCAAGCTGAATCTGAGGAGTCTGGAAACGGATATTGAGCATCGGTGGGTCTTGATAGCGAGCTTGCATCCCGAAGTGGGTGTAGTACCCACACCAGGCACTCGAGGTAAAGTAGTTCTGGTCGTGGAGGTTGGCCAGGTTGTAGGCTTTGTACCAATTATTCCAGCTGCCTGGCTCGGCGAACGGCAACGGCGGGTTTACATGGAGGTCAAGCGGAATCTGCGCTGCTTTGGGAGGCGCAATGTGCGGTACCTGCGCGGCAGCATTGTATGGCCACGCCGCTTCGCGATTGCGTACAGCGGTACGAGCAATTAGCGCGACGGAGCATAGCACCCATAGGAATGTTTTCGGTCCCTCGTACTTCCTAGTCAGAATAGGGTCTTCTTGCATCGCCAGGCTTCTGGCGAGTTGGGGCATATCTTCCGACGATGAGAGAATTGCAATAGCTTGGCAGAAGACCTGCCGAGTAAGTTGAGTTGGTCCGTCACGGAGAAAGCGGGACCAGCACTGGTGCTTCACGAACGAATGCTTGACTACAAGGAGTTCCGGTAGCCAGTCTATGAAGGCTGGAGGTGTCTCGAGTGGGCACTCGACTTTGGCGAGCTTACTGGCTTGCTGGTCGGCTAGAGCATATCGAGCCCAGATATTGACCTCTTTACCAGCAGTCGCTTCAACAAGTCTCAGGGTCTCTGACTTCTGGTCAAGCGATCCAGATGATTGCAGAACCTCTCGTAGCACGACACAGTTCCAGCAGGCCTTACGTGTTGCTCTGCATGTCTCAGACAGCTGGACGACCGTAAATGCGTCAGCTCTGGCCGCAATATGAGCGATGAGCTCCCCTGGTAGGAGGTCCAGCCTGGTGGTGGCCATGCCCGGGGCCTAATGGTGGGATGCTAGATCTAGCGGTACCACTATGTGGAAGCTGTTGTGGTCGCCGGGCCAGTAAAATATCCGAAGACAAGCAGCTGTAAGCTATTACATGCGAGCAGTGGAGAGATCTATACGGGAGATTTCTGTAGATATGAAAGACGGTCGGACGGTATTTGAGATACTGGTATGGATTACACGATCGCAGACGGGAAGCCTGTAAGACGGTTGATTCTGATCATTGTAACACTATGTTTATGCCGTGCAGCAAGGCTAGACGAGGTGGAGTTGGAGTCACAACCAAGCCTGAGGCAGCCGAGGTCTGCACTACATGTCTGCAAGGCTGCAGTTTTGTTGCTCGTCCGCCGAAATCGCATGAGTCCCGACCCTGTCAGTAAAATGGCTATATCGACGCGTCTGGACCATATGTTGGGGTATCTTCGAGCACGTTGCGGCGCAATGCGACTGTTGAGCCCACATATTCTGCACTACAGTACGCCTTCGGGTGCACCCCTGGTGCAAAAACGCCTTAGCGTCGCCCTTCTCGGTTGACTGCGTTGCTTAACGTTGTCACCGTGGACGTCAAGCATTGAGGTCAAAGCAGCCAAAGGATCGTTATATATATGCTAAGGTTGCATCCGCCTATTTCGACCTCTCTGTCTTTGCAGTCGCAACACGCTTGCTTGAGAACGGGCATAGCGCAAGTTTGATCACTAATTCGTCCGAGTCTCCACTGCCTGGTTTGACGGTCCGATGTCTGCTTCCTCTGATGCTATTCTACCAATAGGCGTCCCAGACAAGTACACTAGCGAAGGCGTTGTCCAGTCATTCCCGGGTAACACGATACTTTGCCACATCCCCACCGACTCCCCCATCATACCTAGACTTCAGGCGGTCTACGATGCGTATACCAGCCATCCGGAGCTCTCTCGGTACGTTCACTGCGTTCCTCCGGCATCGTGGCATATGACTGTCTTCGACGGGGTCCGGGACATCGAACACGAGCCCAACGCATGGCCTTCCAGTCTGGAGAAGATGTCTCTTGCGGAAGTGACTGCCAATTTTGCCCAGAAGTTACGCACTCTCGGCCAGCAGCTCGTATCAGAGGGTTTGCAGCCACCATTTCGAATGCGTACGTGCGGACTCGAGCGTAGACACGGCGGCATGGGTATCGCGGTACAAGGAGCCACGCCAGAGGAGGACCGGCGGCTTAGGAGTCTGCGGGATAGGCTGGCTGATACGCTGGGCTTCAAAGCTTCGAATCATGATGTTTATGGCTTCCATGTTACGGTTGCTTACCTGCTTCTTCCTCTGGCGGGCGAAGATAAGCAAAGTTTTCAGACCATGCAGGCCACACTTCCTTCGACAGATGGATTGACGTTCGAGCTTGGCCGGCTAGAGTTCTGCACGTTCGGGGACATGGAGGCGTATCCCAGACTGTTCTATCTCGGCGAAGCATAGAATGGCTTAGGGGACGGGCTTAGGATCCGTAAAGTTGACGTCAGTAGCGAGGAGGCTACGGAAAGCATAGAGCAATTGGTTGCTGTAAACCGCACATGCGTCTATGGTAATCTTATGCATTGTAGACCAGATGGACAAAGCTGTAGTGACCGCTGCATAGTCCCAGCTTTCATTCCGACATAGTAAGTCTTTTAACATTCAAGGGCCCCTCATCCGGCTGTTGAGGTAGAACATCCTGTGCTCAGTCTGGTTCTTTTGTCGCTGGACAGGAATGTAAATAGTTGTCGTACTTCTATGGAGTGATGAGCAGGAGGAGCGATGGAGCAGAGTAGGCCTGAAATTTTGCCACGAACCGTTCCAACTACGACTTATGACATGGTTGAAGCGTTCGCGTCGCGTCTTCATCTTCCCCACAAACAGTGTGTTGCTGGCATTGGCAAGTGAAAGTATCTCTTACACCATCAGACGCTCCGCAATGTGTTGCTCACAAGGGCGATAGCAGATACTGCCATGTCAGTACGTACCAAAAGCTTCTTTGAGGATGGTAACGTTCCAAAGGTTAGTCGAGGCTAGGTACAAAGACCCATCACGAACTAACACACGTTTACAGCGAAAGCCTCCCATATGGCATCAACGGAGAGATGATAGACAGACCTTGGGTACTATCAGTCCTAATATTCCAGTGGCGAAGCCACCGATCCCCGCAACATCTCAGACGAAGACAAAGCTGAAGGCGTTCCAATTCATACCGGGCCAGCCAGACCCAAAGAATGGGAGCAGCGAACCGCCAAACAACGACAGCATTCCGCCAGACGAAGATAGAGCTGGTACAGATGCGCATCCAGCTCCGGTGCAACTTGTCCAATTGTCAGCTGGGGTCCGACTGAAGCAGGATTCGTTCTCCGAGCCCAAGCGTTCATCGCAAATATTGGCCACCGACGCAGGCAGACCGCCCCAATTACCGCATGCACACACTTTTCCATCAACACCAAGCGCCCGTTTGGCGCTGGAAGACCTGATCGGGAATGTTGACGAGAATGGCGCCAAGCCTGAGATTGAGGAAGAGTCGCCGGAAGAGCAGCTAGGTTGGGTACCGAACTACACGCCCAACCGCAAGCGCAAGCGAGCACAGAGTTCTTCGCCATCGTGTCCAGCGACATCATCGCAGCGGCAGGAAGGATCCACGTACTTTGCATGCAGTGTCACGCAAGGGGAGAAGCGGACTCCAGAAATGGACCCGATAGCTGCATTGTGGCGAAGATACGACAATGGCAACGACAGTGCAGGCTTAGCGAGATTGCCAGACTTCAGCCACCTGGTCAACTCGCCAAGACCGATCGAAACGCCGGTCAAGAGCGCTGGAATCAGACGATGGGCCAGTACCGGAAACGAATGGCCTAGTAGTAAGACTAAGCGACGGCGGACGGACGTAACAACGAACAGTGGTATATGGTACGAAGCACAGCATCCAGACGTAGCTGGACGGAGCAAAGTCGCGGAGATGGTCGAGAAGCTCCAGGAGACGCTTGCCACGCAAAAGCTTGCAAAAACGGTTCCGAAGGCTGTTGAATCTGCAGACGCGCCTTCAAGCTCCGGTCCATCACCGAGTACTGAAGCCAACGAACCCGCGACCACCAAGATTAGCCCATCACATGTCAAACAGCAGCAGCACGCGCCGTACCGGCTCAACAATAGTACAAGCACGCAGCATGCGCATGAGCCCTCAGCAAAGTCACCGCTTCCGCCATTTGACGGTCCTGACACCGCACACAAGCCGATACCGCCGGCGCCTGGGGCAACTGACGTTGTACTTCCTGCACCTTTGCACCTACAGAGCAAGGCGCCGTTACCGGCGTTCAAGCGTCCTTCCATAACCAAGCCGTTGAGCGGGACAGGCAGACAGTATCCAGTAAAGCAGCCTTCACCTCCTGAATTGCCGCCGCCGCAACCGAAGGTCACCGTCCATCCCGAGCTTGAGGAGTTCGGTGACGCTTTTGAACTCACCGTGGAGGATCTCAATGAGCTAGCATCTCTGGTGCCGCTGAGCGAACGGCGACTCGACGTGATCTCGCCTCATCCCGACCCGCCACTGCAACAAACAATACTAACAGCCAACAGCGGTATGTCGGCCGGGCATGCGATCGTGCTTGATGACGACGACGACGAGTTCGGAGGGGGCGATCTTGACGAAGACAGTCTGGCGCAGGTTGAATTCAGCGCGACACAAGCATACAGGGCAAGTCTTACTGCAAGCAGCACTATAGCGTTACGGAGTATGTAGCTTATGCAATGCCAGATCTATCCACGTAAGCGACGCAGTCCGCGCAAGCATCGCAGTCCACGCAAGGGGTGCAGTACACCTAGGTCATCCCAGGCGTCGACAGTAGCGCATGCCGGCGACGGTAACCTCAATCGGTATAAGGTCGAGCAAATCGTTGCCGGAAAGTATGTGAACGCCAAGGGTTGCGAATGCGAAGAGAGAGTGCTCATCGCGGAGGACGTACGGAGACGCAAGATCGTTGCCATCACACTCCGCGGCTCCTGGAGCATGAGCGCCGTCGCTGTTGGCGACACTATCCACATAGCCGAAGTGCCGAACCATGGCACGGCTCTGTCGCATCTTACGACATGGCCAGGGCAGATCACCATTAGCGACGAAGAAGGCAGCCCATTGCTCGTCGTTCATCCTGATCATATGCTATCCACAACATACGTTGCCAACTCTTTCGACTGCGTCCGCAAAGCAGTACTGGAGGACCGCATCAAGGCCACTGGTGACACAAGCAAACCTCTTGTATATGGGAGCATTCTGCACGAGATTTTCGAACAGGCGCTTTCGGCCAACCAATGGGATGCAGAGTTCCTCGCGAACATTGTTGACAAGACCTTGGAAGACCACGTCGAAGGCTTGTGGGAACTTGGCATGAGCGATAATGTTCTTGCCACCGAAGAGATTACCGCGAAAATGAGCGAACTCTCCGCTTGGGCGAAGACATTCGTCGCTCGGGAGCCATCCGATGCTTCAATTGTTGATGATCGCCAAGGCGAGAAAGTATGGATGAGCATCAGCAAGCTGATTGCCATCGAGGAGCACATCTGGTCCCCTCGATATGGGCTCAAGGGCAATATCGATGCCACCATCATCAGTACGCTAAGAGACGACCCGAGAGCGGCAGACAAGAAGCTCATTGCGCCCTTCGAAGTCAAGACAGGCAAGGTGACGCAGAAGACTGCGCATCGAGCGCAGACGGCGTTGTACACGCTGCTACTTTCCGATCGGTACAATGTCGCCGTCAAAGCAGGTATACTGTACTACATGGAGGGCTCAGCAATGTCGCGGATTGCACCCTCTGGCATCGAAATAAGACAAATGGTGCAGCAGCGCAATCGCGTCGCGGCGCATATCCACTCCGCCAGTCACCCAAAGAAGGCGTCCATCGACGTAGCGGAAGCAAAAGCGGAGCTATCTCGCGAGATTGAAGAGTCTGGCCTGCCGCCTATGCTTAAGAACCCGCACGTCTGTGGACGGTGCTATGCTCGGCAGTCTTGCTTCACCTATCACGCGCTTGTCGAGAACGGCACAGCAAACACTGCAGGCATGATAGACGACGGTAAGAAGAATCATAATTTGGTCTGGCACGACGCAGCGGGCCATCTGCCGTTGACCGCAAAGGATCAGACTGAGGCGAACGCGCTGAGGGGGTGGCTTACGAAATGGGACGTGCTGCTCACGCTCGAAGAAAGCGAGACGAACCGGTATCGATCAGAGCTGTGGACCATGACATCGGCGGGGCGCGAGGCAGTGGGTCGATGCTTCGGCAATCTTGTGATCGTTCAGACTCGAAGCTCAGCTGTTACTGCATCCGCGGAACCAGGGACTGACAAGGTGGGGGGCAGTGGCGGTAAGATCAATCGCTTCACGTATACCCTCCAACGAGCGGAGCGAAAAATCGGATCATCGTTCACAGAAGGCACCCAGCTTGTCGTCGGCGAACCGGTTGTGGTATCTTCCGAACGCGGGCAATGGGCGCTGGCGAACGGTTATGTCATTGCTGCAAGCAGACGTGATATCACGGTCGCCGTTGACCGCGAGCTGGGCCACGCAAGGCAGAAATTGGCAGGCTTCGACGAGCAACGCAATCAGGCCTACCGCGGAATCATGACTGTCGGCAACGACAACAGTGCAACAACTAAGCCGGAGCAAGAGACGCGGTATCGCTTGGACAAGTCCGAGTTCTCCAACGGATTAGCGCAGGTGCGCGACAATCTTGTGACAATGATGTCTTCTCATCCGATCAACACGAAGCTGCGACAGCAAGTCATTTTCAGCACAAAGCCTTCCTTCAGCGCACCATCTCCGCCCCAGGTGATGCCACCTTCGCAGCTTGGCGAGATGAACGAGGATCAACGAGCTGCAGTCGGCAAGGTTATGAGTGCACATGACTACGCCTTGATACTTGGGATGCCCGGCACTGGCAAGACGACCACCATAGCGCACATCATTCGTGCGCTTCTTGCGGAGGGTAAAGATATATTGCTGTCCTCATTTACGCACACCGCAGTCGACAACATACTGCTGAAAATCCGCGACATCGCACCACCTGGGAGCATTCTGCGCCTGGGTGTAGCGTCGAAGATTACCGCCGAAGTGCAGAGATTTTGCCAGCTGGCTGCTGCACCACGGAAGACGATTGCTGAAGTAGAGGCGGCATACATGAACTGCCGCATTGTTGCTACGACGTGCATGGGAACGCATCACGCAATCTTCAATCGGCGCGCTTTCGACATTTGCATAGTCGACGAAGCAAGCCAGATCACGCTACCGATTGCCCTAGGGCCATTGCTTCACGCGCGGAAATTTGTGCTTGTCGGCGATCATAACCAGCTGCCTCCGCTTGTGCAGAATCGTGCTGCGCTAGAACGTGGGTTGGATGTGTCACTCTTTCGACAGCTGAGCGAGGAGCATCCAGAGGCTGTGGCCACGTTGGGCAAGCAGTACCGTATGTGCGAGGACATTATGAGCTTGTCTAATGCGCTTATCTACAGCGGTAAGCTGCGATGCGGCAACGATGCTGTAGCGCAACGGACGATGCAAATTGGAGACATGGCGCGGTTGGAGGCCTTCCACGTTGCATCTCCAGATGCCTCTGCTTGTCGTTCGCCTTGCTGGCTCGCCGACGTCCTCCGGCCAACACAAAAGGTTGTCTTCGCGAACACAGATACCTTGGGTACGGCGGCGATGGAGAGCTTGACGTCCGGCAAGAATATCACGAATCACCTTGAGGCCACGCTTACAGCGCAACTCGTTCTCTGTCTGCTCAAGCTTGGTGTCCCTGGCAAAGACATTGGGGTCATCACTCTCTATCGGTCCCAGCTGTCATTGATGCGGCAGCTATTCAAGCTTGCCGGTATTAGCGGCGACGTTGAACTGGACTCAGCCGACCGGTTCCAGGGTCGTGATAAAGAGTGCATCATTCTTTCCATGGTGCGATCGAACGAAGCCGGTATCGTGGGCGACTTACTGAAAGATTGGCGACGGGTTAATGTCGCATTAACGAGAGCTCGTTCGAAGCTCATCGTGCTTGGGTCGCAGCACACGCTCGTGAACAACGACCTTCTAGCCCGCTTCGTGCAACTGGTCGGTAGGCAAGGCTGGTCCATGAATCTGCCGCATGGCGCTGACGCCTGTCATACCTTCGACTTCAGCTCTCAAGCCGCCGCAAGCCTGCTGTCAAAGTGCACGCCGAGTCCGGCCAAGAAGGCGGGCGTCACTCCAAGGAAGCTTACCTCGCAGCCGAGTCCATGCAAGTCAGCGCGTTTGCAGCCATCGAAAGTGTTGAAGCCGTCAGCAAGCGCAGGCAGCAGTAGTATCTGCAAGCGGCCAGGAGCTCGCGGTCAAGGCTTGAAAGCGCCGAGAAAGATTATCAACGGCCGGGACGGTATCGAACGGATCGCATCGAAGAGGCTTCAAAGCGTTGAGTTCGGGGCATCTGCAACGATTGATCCGTTTGACGTCACAACGAGTGATGAGGAGGATCTTAACAAGAATGGCGCAAGCTTGAGCTGAGCGAGGCTCCACGCGGACTTGCTGTGCGCATGCAACTCGCTGTTGTACTGACGGGCCTTACAACTCTAAGAAAGCGATACTATACAGAACTGCTTATCACCTGACGTTGCATTCGATAGCGCCTGATGCCTCATTAGCCATAGCCGGTGCGGGTGGCGGGCAACCCACTTTCCCCGCCTCTCCACACGCATCACTACCGAGAGCGGAGTGAACCCTAGCAAACTACAGACGACATGCCTCCCAGTCACTGGTGGAAGAACCTGAAGTCGACCACAGCATCGAATCAGATATCGGTAATGGAATCATGTGAGCGCAATATTCAACCCGCATGATGCTTGCCAAGAACATAATGGCGAATGCGTTTAACGTGCGAGACACGAGGTAGGATTGGCATCATTGGCAGCATTGGTGCATTCAGTAGGCCGGGCTAACTTTACTGTCTCTCTTGCACTTCCTCCTGCTTTGTTTCGCCCTCGACTCCACGCTGTTCTTTCTTGATAGTTAGCGCTCATATGGCTATATTCAAGCGCATGTCCCTGAAGCAGGGTAACACTTCCAGGACAAACGCAGCACAGCTCACGTTACGCCAATCAATCTACCCGCTCTGTCTCGTCACAGTGCTGTTCTTCCTCTGGGTAGGTCTGCATAGATTTACTTTCTGTGCGTCCGCTGATACTCCTTACCAGGGTTTCTCTTACGGCCTTCTCGATACACTAAACAAACATTTCCAAGTGGTCCTTGGCATTAACCGTGCCCGCTCCGCAGGTCTCCAAGCTGCCTACTTCGGCGCATATCCGCTGGCATCATTAGGTCATGCCAACTGGATTCTTCGTCACTACGGCTTTAAAGCGGTCTTCATCTGGGGCCTATGTCTCTACGGCGTGGGTGCACTGGTCGCCTGGCCCTGCATCCTGCACCGGTCCTTTGGAGGCTTTTGCGCGGCCATCTTCATTATCGGCAACGGTCTTGGGTCGCTCGAAACGGCAGCTAACCCTTACATCACCATCTGCGGTCCTCCACGTTACTCTGAGCTCCGCATTAATATCTCGCAAGCTTTCAATGGCGTCGGCACCGTGATTGCACCGGTTTTGGGAAGCTATGTCTTCTTCAAGAACACTGGCACGAACGAGCAGAGCTTGACGAACGTGCAATGGGTGTACCTGGCGATTGCTTGCTTCGTCTTCGTACTGGCTGTTGTGTTCTACTTGTACGTTGAAACCCGTTAACCTGCAGTAAACCTTGCTGACTAACCCACCCATAGCTCACCTATTCCCGAGATCACTGACGCGGACATGGCATTTCAGGCCGACGAGACGCATGCTGGGACGGACATTCGTCCCTTCTGGCAGCAGTATCGGCTCTTTCACGCCGCTTTCGCCCAGTTTTGTTATACTGGTGCCCAAGTTGCCATCGCAGGCTACTTCATCAACTACGCCACCGAGACCCGCCCCAACACAAGCGCAGCTCTAGGTGCCCAATTGCTCGCCGGTGCACAGGGCGCCTTCGCCTTGGGCCGCTTCACTGGTGTTGGCATCATGAAGTTCGTCAAGCCACGTATGGTGTTCTTGTGCTACCTGACCTTGTGCATCGTCTTCATCGCACCCAGCATAACGCAGCGAGGGAACGTAGGCGTGGCGATGCTGTTCGTCACGCTATTCTTCGAGAGTATCTGCTTCCCAACCATAGTGGCACTCGGCATGCGTGGGCTAGGCAAGTACAGCAAGCGTGGGTCAGGCTTCATTGTCGGTGGTGTCTGCGGCGGCGCTGTAGTGCCGCCGATCTTGGGCGCTGTGGCAGACATGCACAACAGCACGGCTGTTGCGATGAGCGTTCCGCTCGCTTTCTTCATTGCGGCGTGGTCGTACAGTCTGTGCGTCAACTTCGTGCCTAGCTACCGCATTCCGGTGGATAAAATAGGTGAAGCGAAGATCGGCATTGAAAACGTTGACAAGAATGATGAGGAGAGCGGAGGTGTCATGCGTGGCGAGCCAGAGAAGGGCACAATCGAGCACGTGGAAAGTCGTATTCCTGCAGTTAGGGAGAACCACAGCTAAGCTGACCAAAGATTGGCGGCTCGACCTTCGACGAAGGCTCTGTTACTCTCCGTAGCAATGCCGTTGACATCAGGCTGAATCAACGTACACCGCATCACTAATGCAATGAATGTGCTACTTGATACTGGCATAACGCGCTGTAAGTGCGAGCAGCTCCAGTGGCAATGCTACGAGCGGAACATACCTGCCGTATCGCAAATATTATTGGCGCGAAGTACGGTTTTCCAGGCTTGCCTAATGGTCCTGACGTAGAGCTGTCGATAGCTCGGGAGCTCTATGCACGCCCAGGTCTGGCCACGGGGAGGCGTCCGGGGTATCTTGAACATCGAGAGAGCGCATGCTGAGTTCCTGAACCGCTCAGACACGTAGTCGCCGCTCTGAGGACACTGACCTTTATCGACCGATATGGACAACTCTCGCGGCGCCTGCGCTCTGTGTGCTAAGAATGTGACCTTCTCTGACGCTGTCATCGTCTGCGCAGAATGCGAAGAGTATGGCGTCTGCGCAGAATGTTATGTTCAAGGCTATGTGAGCAACGCCCACCCTCCAGACCACAAACTGCAGATAATGCGTGCCAATTCCTTCACCATCGATGCACCCGCGTTGCCGGGCATCCTTGCGATACCAGCAGAATTCCAGCTCGACAAAGCCAGCGGGGAAGAAGCGCGAAAGTACTGGGGTGATCTCCTTAAACCACCATACCGCAAAACAGCTTCTTCCATGGTCGTACGACTCGCAAATGCCTTATTCATTCACGCAGACTCGGAGATTGAACCGCGGAATAAAGGATCGCTCAATCCTGCAAAGTATTGGTACCTGCGACAGATTATGGGTGAAGCGCCGGTCAATCATTACAGCAAGCAATTCGGTCGTTTCGAAGCGAACGTTGTCGGCCGTATATGGGAGCTGTGGGACTGGGAATACACCCTTGATGAGACGACTTCGCCGCCAACGCCACTGATGACTCGCGCTGGATATGTCAGCAACCTGATGTGTAACCTGCTGCTCGATCCCGAGTATGCGCAGCTGCAACTTAACGCAGCCTTGACCTACTTGGCCAAATGTTACGAGGAGCCGCTTGTTGATCCAATCACAAGCCAGCCTTTCAAATATCACTTCATCCCACGTGAATGCTTTCCGGCCCATACCGACGAGAGTGTCCACAAGCAGTATCTGGAGTTTTCGAAGACTGTTGAGGCCGAGGTCGTAGCCAAGCAGCTCATTACCACTGAGGAAGACTGGCAACGATCGCATCCCACAGCCCCGATGGCGACTGACGTAAGAGCTTCACCGGTGACCGTTGCATTGCCTGAACGACCAGCCGCTACGGCGACCCCAAGAGATCCACCTCCCTTGTCCGTGATTCAAGCAAAAGCCCCTCACTCGCCTTCAAGCGGAGCATCACTGAAGCCAGCAAGCGCAACCAGCGCTGCGAACGATCGGACCAACTCGTTCTCCGCCCACGCAAAACCAGTGGCTCAGCCGACAACTCAGGCACAGTCTGCTCGGCAGCCCGGTCAATCGAAGTCCATTGCCGAACAACATGTAGATCAGATGGCTAGAATGCAGATGCTGCAGCTCGAGCATGAGCAAAGGATGCAGATGGCAAACATGTTTTACCAGACTGCCAGTAAGTCAATAGATTATATGCACGTACGACCGTACCGGTGGTATCAGTAGAGCCATGTCGATTTCTCGGAAGATGCTTCGCTTGTGAGCGTTCAAACTCATGGCGGACGAGCAATGGCGTTGCCGTGAGAGCTACTCTTATGTGCTCGGGTCACATAGCTTCGGTTAAATTGCGGTGCCGTTACCGGCACCTCACCAAGCGTTCGGCGAAGCCTAGATCGTCAGTCTACATTGCCAGAAATGATGTCTCGAGAAAGCAGTTGTATGAAACGCATGTTGCGAGGCTATCTTGCTCTACTAAGGCGTCCATATTCCGGTGCCGCAAGACTGCCCTTGAGTGGGCAATCTACTTTGAGTCTTACACCGCAGCATCCCTCTTCGCTTGCTGCCGTGCCAGCGCCTCAATACTGTCGGCCACCCGCTTGAAGTCGTCCTTCTGCTCGCCTGCGATTTCGCTCACGTCGCCGGCAGTCGGGTCATCGTCCTCATTACACCATTGAATCTCGAAGGTGCTGAACTCTAGCTTCACATCAAATCCGTACACATCCTTCGAAGGATGTGATGGGAAACCGCGAAGCGTGGTAATGAGTGACATGAGTTCCTCGACGTCTTCCTTGTCGGCGTCGCCGGTCTTCTCAGACGAGCTGTTGCTGCCGTCGTATTTCGTATCGCGGATGGTGGCCGAGCGATTTGGCTCGCCAATGATGTCGATCACGTGCGTTGGTTTACCTGGAAGAAGCATCAGCGAAGCGTTGTCCATCGGTTTGTTAGACTGAGAGCTCACCAGAGAAGGGCTTCGTCAAGCGGACGTTGAACTCCCCAGACGGACGCGGTGCCATTGAGCGAGGCATTTTGATTGTTGTGTGTATTGTTGGATTGATCTACTTTGGATGGGGTTCCTTGATCGCAATAGAAGCTTGGAATATGCTGAGAGTTGGTCGTGTGCTCAAGGGAAACGAGCTGCAGGCACAGCACCCAAATTTCGCACCATTGGTGATGTCACAGCGCCTGACTCGCGCCTCGGCTCTCAATGCTCGGTACACGCTGACCTTCGTCGAGCTGTACCTGCGCTTCGCGCAACGTTGACGGAGAAGACATTAATGGTTGCCCACACTCGCCGCTCGCCGTGATGTCTACTGTGGCCGAGCACTATCCAATAGATTGTCCATTCTGCAACATCGCGAATGCATACCTCCCTGATCCGGCATCACCAATTCCATCTTCGCCGGACCCAGCGAAGGTCGACCCGCAGTGTCATCTAATCTTGTCGACGCCATACGTGCTCGGGTTTCTTGACATCCTGCCAATAGCGCCCGGACACATTCTTCTTACGACCCGGCGCCACTACCGGACGTTGATTGACCTTCACAAAGCAACATCCACAACAGCGCAGGACTGGGCGTCACGTCGAGCTGCGGAGGAAAGCCTTGAGACGTCGCGCGCACTTGGGGAATGGCTGCCACGTGTCTCGCAAGCTCTGTGCAAGGTCACGGGCATTGAGGACTGGAACGTCGTACAGAATAACGGGGAACGAGCGGCTCAGGTTGTACCACACATCCACTTCCACCTAATCCCACGGTATCAGGAGGGAAGGCGGGAGAATGCTGGGAAAGGCAAGGTTGATGTGGGCATGCTCAAGAGCTGGAGGATGTTCGGCAGGGGTGCAAGAGAAGAGCTCGACGACGAGGAAGGTGCGGAGATAGCTGCAGAGCTGAGGGAGGCACTGCAGGAGGTTATTCAGGGCACAGAGAGTGTTGGGCCGAAGCTTTAGAAGACTGGGTGGTGCATGTGAATGTTGCCAAGTCGCTTATATTGGACTACTAAGAGCAACGAAAGCGCGACATCATTGCCGAGGCGTTGCCAGCAGGATGAAAGACAGCCGTCGGCGAGCCAAGCAAAGGAGATCTCTCAGTACGAGTAAATCCAAGTGTACCGCTGGTCTCCACGTCTCTCGGCGCTGGTCTCCTCCTCAGCGAACCGCTGCGCATCCCACGAGGCGATGATATTCCTGCGCTTCCGATTCTCCAGCATGTACAAGCCGCGTAAGGTCAAGAAGCCTAGCGCGCCGACTGCGATCAGAATCATCGTCACCATTAACGGGTAGTGGTAGCTAGGTGCATATTGCGCCTTGAAAAGCTGTCCGGCAATGACTCCGGCAAGGTTGGAGTATCCGTTGAGGCCCAAAATGAACGATCGGGAGCTCTTCCACGGCGTATTCCCTGCAAGCCAAACCGCTACAAGAGGGCCACTGGCGAAGATGCCGCTCATGCAGACGTGAGCAAACCCGTAACGGAGCTTTGGATCCTTGGAGACAGCCATGACGATGCATCCAATCATTCCGAGCAGCATTCCCACCACGGTATGAATGGAGCGCTCTTGGAAGTAGTCCGACGACGCGACGAAGATGACCAAACCAGTAGCTCCGACGACGAACGGCGGCACGGACATCAGGTTCGCTCGAATGCCTTTGTAACCCATGCCTTGAACGACAAGAGGCAAAAATGTCGTGAAGACGGTGACAGGCTACAACACGGTTAGCCACAATGCTGAGAGAATAGGATGTGACGAACTCACAAGCACTGCGAAGATGTTGCAAACGATGATGCACAACTTTTTCCAGTCCTTGAGCACATCAGTGACATCGCGAAGCGAGATGTTGTTGCGCTTAGGGCCCGTGATCGGATTGCCGTCTGCGTCGTATGTCTCCATTTCTTGGGCGTCTGCCAGATCCCGATCCATGCGGCGTTTGGCATGCGCTCTCTCTGCTGCGTTAAGGAACCATGCGCTTTCCACGTCACGTGGCAGGATAAGAAGAGCGGCAATGCCGACGAGGACGGTGAGGCCACCTTCAAAAAGGAACACCAGCTGCCACCCGTGGATATGCTTCGTCTGGATATGCAGCAGACCGTACGCCAACAGACCTGCGAAAGCTCCTGCGACCGAGTACATGCCGGAGAACAAGCCCATCCTTAGGCCGAGCGAGAACTTTGGATATAGCAATGACATGTAGTAGAATGCCGTCTGCGTGAACCCAGACTCTGCGGCACCTAGAAGCAGACGAAGCGCGATCAGGCTGCGAGTCGAATTGACCGCAGCATGCGCCATGCAAATGCCTCCCCAGGTCAACAGGATAATGGGAAGCCACCAGTGTGGCCCAATCTTACGACCGATGAGCACGGAGATAGGTTGCAGCGGGACATACGTGGCCGAAAACTGCGAAAGAGTCAGCCTGGCGAGTTGATGGAAATTCCATGAACGAGGCACACTCACAAGCGAGAGCGAGTTGGGAATGTCGTTGCGATGCAGGTGCGCATCCTTGACGAAGGTGCTTGTTGCGACGAATCCGATGTTGGTCTTGTCAATACCACAGAACTGGTCGGCTCATCAGCTGATACCCGTCGTTTGACAGCTCAAGAGCCTTACGATGAAACTGATAGCGAGCAGCAGCAGGACTATGAAGTCGAGCTTGAAATTCACCTTGCGGTCGAGCGCTTTCTCTTCATCTGAGATGGGCTTGTAGTGACGGACTTCGGTAACTTCGGTATGCTGCGCAAGCTTGATTTCTTCAATCTCATCGATCGCAGCCTTCTCGGTTGCCCTGATATCGACTTGAGCCATCTTGTGTGAGTACAAGCTGGCGGCTTCAGAAGGGATAGAAACAGCTACCGTGACTGGATTATCGAAACGATTTATATGGACGACTACCTATAGAGCGGAATAGGACTCATATGATCTGAGGATCCATATGATCTGCGAAGCTGCCCACACCATTTACCGCCTTCTGGGCTCTCGGTGCAAGCAGAACAGGCGCCCCAAGACGGTCTACGGCATGGCAACCGCTATCGAAGAGCACGGCACATGACCACGGCATCACTCTCGCGCAGTTTTGTCGAGCAAGCCGTGCGTATCTCGAATCAAGTCGCGCACGGGATAAGGTTGCATTGCATAGCGTTCCATCCATCTCCAGATCCGGACCCCAGGAATGGTATGCGGCGTAAAGGTTGGATGCGGGGTGGGCATGGTCACGAGTCATGAGCGACACGGTAGTTGATCGCACATAGCTTAGGGCTTCGGTGAGACCGGCTGGGCATATTTCTTACCTCGGTCAAGCTCACTAAGAGACACTCGGGAGATGGCAAGGCCAAGGTGCCGTACAAGGCGGCTTGGAGAAATAGCCAGGTGTTTAGGCTGAGTTCCCCCACGCCTGCTTAGGTACCAGCTCTTGCGCCAGCAGAGCGACGAACACAGCAGACGAAGTCGAGGTCAGGCTAGCACTCAATTGACAGGAGGTAGATTACAATGGCTGCTGTCGCTTGTCCGTTTACTTCGCATCAAGCACTTCCACAAGAATGGATCGATGCGTCCCCAGCGGTCTCGAGCAACGAAGTTGGTGCAGTATTAGCGGACTACGATATCTTCCGGCAACAATGCCCTCTTGCGTACACAAAGCAGTACGATGGCTACTGGCTTATGACTCGGTATGAAGATGTCAAAGCCGCCGCTCTTGACTCCGAGACCTTTATCTCTTCGGTCAAGGCTGTCATTCCATCTGATCCTCGAGGGCTACGACGGCCACCGTTGAATTTTGACGCCCCTCGACATACACCATACCGGACGGCACTGGACCGGACGCTGAAGCCAGCCAGAATCCGGAAGTTGGCTCAGAGGCTGGAGAAGCATGCTGATGAACTGCTTGCAATCATCTTGGAAAGGGACGATCGTACCGGTGACATCTGCTCAGACTTTGCAGGTCCCTTTGCTGCTTGGGTCGAGGCAGAATGGTTGAACCTGACGCCAGACAAAGCTCCACTGCTCGCAAAGACAGCTGCTTCCTGGATAGACGCATGGCGCCGAATGGACCGGGACGCCACCACGTTGCACAGCACCACGTTGTACGGCATGGCGGAAGAGCTCCTCGAAGATCGCAGGCAGAATCCACGAGACCCAGAAGAAGATCCCGCTAGTAGCTTGCTCCTGGAAAAGGACAGCGAGGGGAAGCCGCTGGATAATGTCCACCTGATGTACGTCCCATTCCTTTCCAATGGCTTTGCTCTCAAGCTAACAGTGATAACAGAGGCTGCCTACGACAAAGCTTGGTTGTAGGGATGGTAGCACCCCCACTACTGATTGGAGGCATTGTCCACCATCTTACAAAAGATCCAGAGCTTCAGAAACAACTCAGAGACAACCCTGACCTGGTACCTGCCGCAGTGGAAGAGTTCGTTCGTCTTTACAGCCCTTATCGCGGCTTCGCACGAACGGTTTCCAAGGACGTGCACATGCACGGCCAAACAATCAAGCCTGGTCAACCACTGTCATTGACCTACGTTGCTGCGAATAGGGACCCCGCCATCTTCGAGCAGCCTCATAAGTTCATCATGAACCGTCCGAATATTGCCATGCATCTTGGCTTTGGTAGGGGTCGGCATCGGTGTGCTGGCCAGCCGCTAGCAAGGCTGTAAGTATGGTGGTCGGATGCATCGATGCGTATGCTGACTAGGCGCCAGTGCCATCCAGGTTGCGCTCAAGGCCTTCCTGAAGACGAAGCGATTTGAAACATTTGGGTGCATGCAGTATGCTCGCATGCCAGAGTGGGGGATCATCAGCTGTCCGATTAGATTCGAGGTTTGACGAGGTCCACCCAACTAGCATGGCAAGGCTCTTCGATGCAGCATACAACTACATGTCACTCTAGCGCAAGACTTAACTCCGGCTTGGTCACCATTTCACCGTATCGGGACGAGTTGATGCAGGTAAATGCTACTGGTATTTTGAACTTGGGGAGTTCTCTTTCTTCACTGTATCTACCCGCAGCTAAGTCATTCTACGACGGACACACTACGTCTTTTGCCGCTTCTTCTACCTCGCTTAGGCCATGAACGCACCGCCACCAGCGTGAAGGGTCTGGCCAGTCAGCCACTGCGCTTCCGGTGAAGCAAGCAGTGCCACCACCCCTGCAATATCCTCTGGATATCCCGGACGATTAAAGGGGCTCATCTTGCTGATGCGCTCATCAATATCCTTGTCACTCATAAGCTCGCCGCCTGGGACGTAGTCTTTAGCAGTCTCGATCCACATGTCGGACTTGATGCCACCCGGAGCGACAGCGTTTACCGTGATGCCCTTGGGACCAAAGTCCTGAGCGAGACACTTGACCATGCCCTGGATGGCCGCCTTCGACGCGGAGTATACGGCCTGATAAACTCGTCAGTACTGTCGCCTGGGTCCAGAGGTCTGTGGTACCTACATGACGCGTTATACCCCACTGAGCACTGATCGACGAGATCAAGATCAGACTAGGGTAATCGTCAGCGAGACCTTAGACAGCAGGAACGGCTTCCACCATATGGTCACGCACCGTCCGTTTTTGTTCATATGCTTGTGCGCAGCTTGCGCGACATAGTACTGGCCGAAGACGTTCGTCCTGAAGACCTTCTCAATCTCCACCGGCTTGGTCTGCTCGAGATCGTTGAAGTGCTCGATACCGCTGTTCGACATCACAATGTCAATGCCGCCAAGCTCCTTGGCGGCCGTCTCGAACAGACGCTCAATGTCTGCAGGACTGGAGACATCGCCCTTGACGGTGACGGCTTTGACACCAAGGGAGCGGCAATGCTCCGCAACCTTCTCAGCCTTGTCGGCGGAGGAGTGGTAGTTGACCACTACGTTCGCACCATGCTCGGCGAAGCGTGTCACAATAGCAGCACCAATGCCACGACCGGAGCCGGTGACTGCACCAGTTAGCGCTGAGTATGAGAGAAGAGCAAGCCCAACACACCTAGTGCGACCTTGCCTTCAAGACTCTTCGATCTCGGTTGGGAGCTCATCGTGCTGATTATGGCAGAAAAGCGGCTTTTGTGTCTGAAGTGATGGGGTGTGTGAGAATTGAGAATTTGCTGGTAGATATGCAACCAATATATACGCTACGCGGTCGTTCCTGGGTAACAGCGCAAGCTTCCGTCACCGTACATTCCTACAGTAGCCGGCTGTTCTCGCGCGCTTCAAACGACCCATGCCATCTTGGTGCCCAATATCTCAGCAACAGCGCTGTTCCGCGAGGTCTGGATTATCCTCGAAGCAGGTTCGGCACAGTAACTGGCGCGTGCAGCCATTCGATGTTGATGTGACTAAGCCATCAATCCGCTTAGATGGCGCGAGAGACCGTACGTGTCATAGAACTGGTTATTGATGTTGGATTACCCGCTCGGTAGACCCGAACGCCCGATACCAATCGTTTGCCAGAGGTGTGCATCTATTCAATTGAAGCGAGGAATGTATTGAGGTGTTGTTAGTTCTCGGACGAAGTTGCTATGCTTGGCGAGCGGCTCAATCGCGGCCTCGCGTCTTCACCAGCCCGAGCGATCTGCAACTGCTTCCAGAACTTTTGAGGAGCTCGCTGTGAACTCCATGCCGCAGCGCATCCCAGGGCTCAAAGATATTGCCGAGCAGGCGCGAATCAATGCTCGCTGTCGCCCTCGGGCTATCGCCCAGCGCGACGTGATCTTCGTTTGGAGCCTAAGCACAACTGAGACACTCGGACCATGAACGCATACTTGCAAGCATGTCCTGTAGAAGACATTAACTAATCCCTATGTACAAATGAGGATATTCAACGTACGAAGGCAGCGAATCTAGGATCTTGAACCTGGCCTCCGTATCTTCAATTGAATGAACGGGGACACAAAAAAGTGCAAGTCCAGATCAGATGAACGCAAGGAAAAAAAGGGTATCGACCTGATCAGTGCACACAACTCCCTGAGCACCAAACTCCGCGCTTCTGAACATGGCCACATCTCATCAAATCTTATTGGCGCCGCCGAGACCGAGGTTCAGCCAACTCATATCGCTGCCCGCAGCCTTCTGCTCGCCCCGAGCGCGAGCCGCACCGAACTTCGCCTGCCCCGCATCCGTATACTGCCCACTCGGTACACCGCGCGGGAAGACAGTAACGGTGCTATCTCGGTCCTCAGTTGGTGTGCTGATCGAGATGGTGGGTGTCGAAGGGGCTGCCCATTCTGCTGTGGGTGCAGCAGCGGCGCCCAGTTTAAGTGCTTTCGGCGGTGGTCTGTATGTCGTACCAGAGCCTGGGAAGAAGCCGCCGCCGTTCTTGCCCCGGGATGGAATTTTCGGCTCGTAGACACTGTCGGTGTAATTGCTACTCGGCGGCCGGTTAGGTAACCTGTTCTCGGACGTGAGACGACCGGCAGATGCAGGTCGTCCTGCAGAAGTTGGTCGACCTGCGGATGTTGGGCGGCTTGCTGATGTACGTCCAGCAGAAGCAGGTCGCGAGTTGAGATGATCCTTGAAGTTGAAGCTAGTTGGTGTCCATGGCGGGTCGCCGGATTGGTTCAAGTAGTCGCTTTCGAAAGCGCTGCTAAGCGTTGAACCCATCGTTGTGCGGTTGTTGGATGTCAACGAGTATCCCGAAATTTGTGACCTTCGGTCATCCAGCAACCGCGCGTCGACAATGAGGCCTGACTGGCCGTCAGCAACGCCAGGCATACTTCCGCGCTTCCTCAAATCTTCTCGCGAGTCCGAGAATGAGGGTGAGCCACTGGTAACATGTGACAACCGCTGCCCGTTGATACTCCTAGTAAAGTCCATATCGAGCGGTGGTATGAGTGCTGAGCTTGGTAACCGCGACGGTTGTGAAGTGGCTTTCATAGAGTACTCCGACGGCGCGTCGCTGATCGCTGAGCCGTCTGACTTCATCTGCGGCTTGATGTAGGCAGCTGGTAGGTGAGAGATGCCATTTGGTCCCGTCGGTCCGCTGGTAGCGAAGTACTTGGACCACCCAGAACTTCGCTTCCGACTACGGTCAACTTCCTCGATCATCACCTCCTTCTCGGTATCGTAGCTGACCGTCGGTGAAGGCGGAGGCGGTAGCTGTTCAGTCCGCGCCACCGGTTTCCTGCTCGGCACGGTGAGCTTATCACCGTAATCCACCATCTCCATCGGCTCGCTGATAGGGACACCATTCTTAAGCTTGACCAGCCGTGCGGTGCTGTCATAGCTACTGGTTGGCTGATGGTTAGAAGTGCGCTTGTTGCCGAACTTGCCGGTCATAATGGCAAGCGAGCTGCGGGAGCCGTTGGTGTTTGATTGCCGCTTGGTGGGTGGTACTAAGCTGGTGGCTGAGCCGCCAGCCTCCTTCATGAATGACGCTCCGCGATCAGCGAAGCTCATGCGATTGCCAGTTTTTTCGTCAATGTAGCCTTCTTTGCTCCTTTTACGCGCCTTTCGCCACCTCAAGAATAGCAGTAGCAGGATGAACACTGCTGCAATGCCGCAAAGTACACCGAGTGTTATGCCTAGCGTTCGTAGCATGCGGTCATGTGGTGAGAGGTGACTTCCGGTCCCTCCAGCTGCTGCTGTCGAGGAGCTTGAAGCTTTCGACGAACTTGTCGCAGTCTTCGACGCAGAAGTCGACGACGTAGCTGATGGCTTCAGAGGTTGTTGGTTCTTGGAGTTGAAAAACTTGTTGACGTCCACCCAGCTGTTCTGGGTCTGGTCGAACATGATGACAGGCGAATTGGCGTTGCCGCCAGACATCACTGATAGACCGCTGGGTCCTTGTGCCAACGCACAGTCTGTCCGGGTTGCCGTCGGTGCATTAGAGCTGTTATACGACGGCCACTCGCCAAGCGAAAGGTTCCGTTTCCGTTTCCGCGACGATGAGCTTCCGCCTATGGTCTGGCCGGTTGTCGCAGCAGCCCCGTCCGCGCCCAGAAGCACGATCTGTGAGACAGTGTTTGGAGATTGATCTACGTTGTAAACCTGTAATACCTTACTGCCGTCGCTGCCCTCGATTATTGTGCCTCTTGAGGCAGCGTTGATTGGCTGGGTCAGGTTGGTATCTAGCCGCTGCCAGCCATCTGCCTCAGAGAATAAGAAGACTTCTGTGTTGTCTAACGCACCGCCAACCATCACTGCATGACTGCTGTTCCATGGCTCCAGTATCGGCAAATTCACAGGTGGCGCTTGCGATGTGAACGCTTCGATGTTGAAGGGTGGTACCACTGAGATCACAAAAGTTTGTGACGACAAGTGGGACGGAGCGACCGGCTGTGAGCCTGCGTAAACCAGTATGCTTTGCGAGTCACTGAGGTACGCAGCGCTGTGGTCCGTTCGATTCTGGAAGTTGTCCGTCGCTAAGGACACCGTCTCCCATGTCTTGCTACCAAAGAAGTATCGCTGCAGGCCACCGTAGCTGCTGTCATCGGAAGAGCCTCCAATGATATAGAGTGCTGCTTGCGATTCGTCGCCATTCGGTATCACAGTGACGCAGGCTGGGCCGGTCACGTTCGCGTACTTCTGGGTCGTTTCCGTGGTCCAGGTAGCATTCTCCTTCAACGGCAGAGATTGAAAGCCAGAGGGCGAGAGCACATACAGAACATTGTTGTTGACGGCAGAGCAGTGTCCCTCAAGCGCGTCTGACGGTTGCGGGACGGACATGGATAGCTACCCCAGTCTGCCGTTCCACGGCGTCCTATGTAAAATCTAGGTGCGTATTGCGATATGGTGCCGCATGCACTTTCGGCCGCAGCCCGGTGCGTCCAGGTCTCTGCAGCAAGATCGTGATGCCTCCGGCGGTGATCCGGCTCAACAGTTTGTTGTGAAGACAATGTTCCTGTGTCCTTTCCCTATTCGTCCTGCAGCCACGTCGAGTCTGCGGGCTGCCTCTTGGAGCTTTCCTGCCTCTCCAAACAACACTTCGTACACTCGCTCAACTGGGGTCGTGTTGCAGCACCTCTACACTGCGCATACAGTTTGCATTGGTCAGGACGCGAAACAAGTGAGAACGAAAGGTCTGCAGAAAGGCCCCTGCCAGGCAATTGTCTCGCTATTGCACCGGTGTGTCGAAGAAGGTCGCAAGGAGACTCAATATGAAACGCGAATGGTTGGGTAGCTCCAGACAGGCGAGGTATGTCTCAAATCCCCAGAGCGCCACCGGTGTGAAAGAGTGACTGGATTTTTCTAGCGAATGTGGGCAGCGCGCAAGGCGGCGGATGTTCAATTGTACGGTGTGTTCAGAAGCACTCGGAGGAGGCAATGGAAGCGCGAAAGGAGCGCAAGGTAGAGCAGCGTGTGCACCACGGTGGACAAGGGGGTCCACGCGCGGCGCCCCCTCGGCCGTTGGCAAGGAGTACCTAGCTGAGACGCTACGAACGGAATTGGAACAGCATGGCGCGTTCGAATTGCCCGTTATCAATCCTTCCAAACTCTGGAACAACATCATGGCTATCACGTACGTTACAGGCCGCCGAAGCCTTCGAGAGCAAAGTCGCAGACACGACGTAGATGGTGCCTATTGCCGCAATCAAATTCTCGCTCACGCCCCCTGTCGAGTCGCGGAACAGAGCTCCGAGGCTTCGGTACCCATCACGCAACGAACTACATCGGCGCAGGTTGCGTTGTCAGCTCAAGCACTTGTCAGAGTGGAAGAGTCCCGGCAACAGCGTCTTAGACGAATGCTCTTGTCAAGTACTTTGTAAACCAAGATCATTGAAGGTGTTGTCGGCACCCAGAAGCTAGAATGAACGGCGAAAGCCTACTGCCAGGAACAGGCATAGCGCCGCCTCGCGAAGCTCTGAGCTTGAAGCACAGCCGGGACGTTAAGATTGCTCCTTCTTTGTCGTCACTTGGCACAGACAGCCAGATCATAGGTGAAAATGTGTCAGCGACAGCTACTATGTGATGGTCATTTTTCCTACAGCAGCTGCCATATATCTCGAACCTTAGCCGCAATGACACAATGCTGGACAATGCGCCGTGAAAGCATACATGTACTCCACTGAAGTGCATCTGCAGGGCGGAGGGACGCAAGTCATCGTGCATACGCCTTGCAGGCCGCCAGTCATTATAGGCCGAGGACTATAGGCTGGCCTGCAATTAAGACACCACCAAGAAGCGGGCTTCCTACCAAAGCACTTCCGCTGCAGTCTCACGCCACAAGCGCCAATGCCAGCTATAGTCGTCATCAACGCATGCGCGCATCCGCAGACACTTCTCAGCATCCGCCTCCCTCATTTAGATCACGCTATACCGCCCTGTCGTGGGCCTCCTAACCTCTTCCTCCATCGCCGCGATCGTGCCTTCCTTCAGCAGGCGTGTCAGCTCACTCATGGCCGTCTCAACAATGGGCTCGGTGTCACCCTCCACGAGAATGTACAGCTTCGGTTGATCGTTGGGTCCCGGCTCGCTCCCCTTCGCATAATAAGTGCCCTTGCTCGTGATCGATGTGCCACTAGCCTCGAGGATCTTCGCGACATTGGTACGGTTTGTGACCGCCCAGCGGGCCTTCTGCGGGAAGTCGTTGATTTCGAGCGTGGCGTGGAAGAGACCAGCGTCGGGACCGCGGTTGTCGACGGGGTAGCCGGCGCGGGCGGAGCCTGTCCGGACCATTAGCAAAGTGTTGTTCACAGTGTTAGCAAAGGGCCTTGGGTAAGACTTACCACGACCGCCGACACGGCTGTTGATGCTGGCAGCAGCCGCAGCGGCTCTCGCAAGTGGATCGTTAACAGCTACGGCAGCCTTTGGTGCGTTTACTTTCTTCTCGACCTTCATCGCTCTGGTCAAGTGATCGTTAAGCGCACTCGGGATCAAGCCCTGGTCTTCGTTCTTCGACTCTTCGTTCTCCTTGTTATCGATGGCTCGGACCTGGCCAGTCGCTTTCGCCACCAGCTTGTCAACCTCGCTCTGCTTCTTCTTGCTCTTCTCGTCCTTTCCATCCTCTTCCTCGTCTTCATCCGGCTCGTCACCAGTTTTATATTGCTTCCGCTCACGCGCACGCTCTGCATCGCGCGAAGCATCATACCTTTCAATACCTCTACCACCAAAACCTGAACCCATCTTCTTCGCCTGGCCGGCCTTCACTTTCTCTTCGAAGTCCTGGGCAAGCTTGGTAAGAGCTTCGGGAACGTCCTGGTTGCTGTCTGTAAGCGCCGCGATCAGAGCTGAAGCGAAGCGGTCCTCTTCTGGCGTAATGAAAGTGACGGCGGTGCCAGTATTGCCTGCCCGACCTGTTCGACCACAACGATGGACATAATCCTCCTTGTGCGTTGGCGAGTCATAGTTGACGACCAATTTTAACTGCTTGACATCGAGACCTCTCGCCGCAACCGAAGTCGCGATAATAATGGGCCAGTGTCCAGCCTTGTAATCGCTGATGATCTGATCACGGTCGATCTGCTCCTTGCCACCGTGGATGGAGTTCGTTGGGAAGCCTTTCTTGTTAAGCTCCAGTGCCAGCCTGTCTGCGGTGGCCTGCTCCTGGACAAATACCAAGCTCAGATTCTCTTCGCTTTGAGCGTGGAGGTCGCCGAGCAGGGCAAGAAGACGATGGAACCTCGTGCTCCTCTCGCGCACTTCTACGACTTGCGTGACTTCTGGAGGAACAGCGCTCTTGCCTCCGACAGTAATGACAAGACCCTTCGTTAAGACTTTACGTGCAAGCTTCTCCAGCTTCTCTGGGAACGTGGCCGAGAAGAGCACAGTCTGCTTGTCGGGCCGGATATTGCCAAGGATCTTCGTGATTTGTGGCTCAAAGCCCATGTCGAACATTCGGTCGGCTTCGTCAAGGACCACATACGTGACACGCTTGAGGTTCGTGACACGCCCTGAATTGGCGGTAAGCAGATCAATTAAGCGACCAGGCGTGCACACCAAAATTTCCGCACCACGCTTCAAATCCGCAATTTGATCCTTGATCGGCGCACCACCGTAAGCGCAGACGGCGCGCAGGTTGAGCGCCTTTGTGTATGGCTTACACTCATGATGGATCTGAGTCGCAAGCTCGCGGGTGGGAGCCATGATCAATGCAATTGGCCCTTCGAGATTGTCTAGCGGACGCTGATCCTTGATGTGCCGAAACATTGGCAAAAGATAGGCCACAGTCTTGCCGGAACCGGTCCTCGCAATTCCGATCGTGTCGCGTCCAGACATGATTGCCGGAAGAGTCTGTGCCTGCACCGGGGTAGGCTTTTCGAATTTGCGATCGCGGATGACGTCGAGTATCTGCGCACCGAAGCCGCCTTGCGACCACTGCTGGATCGGTTTTGGAGCATTACCTCCCTTGACGACAATGTTGTCAAGCTCGGCACGCAACATGTCTGTATCATCTTCGGTGAGGTCGGATAGCTCGACGGACTCATTATAGAAGGCCTTGCGGAATGGCTCGTACTCGATCTTACTGTGGTCAACAGTAGGAATCTCCTTCTTCTTTCGCTTGGCGGCGATGGCGAGTATGTCATCAGTATTTTGACCAACAGCATCAAGATCTGCTTCGTCATCGCTGTTGTTGAAAACTTGAGGCTCCTTTGAGCGTGAGGTCGTGTACCGCTTTGCAGTAATGAATCCTGGTGCTGCTGGTACCTCGAGATCCTTCATAAAAGCATCCAGCGGATCGTCCTCATCCACTGCAACTATGTCAATGTCTTCGTTGGCTGCAGCCGTCGCCTGTGCAGCCGCAGCTTCTTCACCGTCAGCCATCTCGAAGTCATCCTGCCCAGCTTGGGCTTCCTGAGCTCGCTTTTGCGCAGCCTCACGAGCCGCCTCGGCCTCTTCGTCATCCGAGCGTATATCGTCCTCGCCTTCGTCCTGATCATCAAGGCTATTAGCAAGCGCAGCATCCCCAGTCTCAGATACGGTGGGCATGATGTCAGGAAGCTCCCTAAACTTGCGCTTGACCTCATCGTCATCATTGAGATGCGTGGCAGATGCGAGATTCGACGGTTTGCCAGACTTGTCAATGCCGGTCTTGCTGAGATCAATGCCTGACACCTTGACATCTTCGGCGGCACGCTTTCGGTTGCCTACCTGGTGTGTTAGCGTATGACCAACGAGTGTTACGAATGTTGACATACCGTTCACGCTGCCACGGGCAACCACCTTGCTGTAGTCAGCACGAGACGTACTATTTGCATTCAGCGCTTGTGTTGCGGACTTAGGAATGGAGGCTTCGCCGTCGAGAGCAGCCTTCTGCTTCTCCATCTTGGCTGCGGCACGCCTCGCAATGGCTTTAGGGTCAAATTTGCCCGCATATGGCGTTGGCGTGATGGCGCTCTCACTCGTCCTTGGCACTTGGTCCTCGCCAGGTGTCGATAATGGCTCGGCGACTTGCGCAGGCATGGAAGTTGCTGTAGTTTCTACAAGAGAGCCCGCAGAGTCGGGTGAATTAACAGAAGCGGCTTTCGCAGCAGCGGCCTTCTTTTTCCAGGCCTCAACACGCTCCTGCCTCGCTTTGAGCTCTGCTTCTTTGGCCTTGGCTGCTTCTGCCTCCCGTTCCTCTTTGGTAGGGCGGCGTGGGGATGAAGTTGCCTGACGGCGTGGCGACAACTGTTAGGTCAGCAGGGAAGACGTACAGCGCGAGGTCAAGGGACGTACCTGACGACCATTCCTGCTGGTGCTCGACGGCGGTGGCTCCATACTATTGGTGCGCGACCGTGGAGCTGAGCTTCTGTCATCGTATCGTGGCCTCTTACTGCTGCGATCTACGTAGTAATCATCGCGGCGACGTCCATGTCCGCTTCCGGGACGCTCGTCACGACGGTCTCTCACCGGAGAGTACTCCCTGCTCCTCTTGCGGGATCCATCACGCCGAGAGCGATACCGACGATCTTCATAGCGCTCACGCGACCGATCGTCCCGATGCCGCCTATCTCCATCTCTTTCCCTCGCCCGGTCACGATCTCGGTGGCGGTCCCTGTCGTCACGGGAGTCTTCTTTAATTAGTGCGCCGCGGACTGGGCTTCCCAGGCGATAACGTCCACTTCCGTCACGCCCAAGCGATCTGTCTGTATACTCACGATCATCGTAGCGGCTGCTCCGCGGGTAACGATCGTCTCTGCGGCTTGGTGAGCGGGCCATGCTGTGGTGGCCGGTTCAATATCCCACGCTCGGATACCGAAATTTGCTCTCTTGCCTGCCGCTGCCTGCCTGCCCGGCAAATACGCACTGAAAATTCTTACCTTGAGAACACATGCAGCTTGCACCATGTGTGATGTGTGAGAGCGAAGCACGACAGTCGGTGCTGGAGATTGGAGATCGTGTGCGCTAGCGGGGTCTGAGCGTGGATGCATGACTCGGTGACCTCCATGACTCAAGCATGCTAATGCTGACCTAAGCAGCTAGCGTATGAAGCCTGCGTCGCAGCCTTCACATCCAACTTTATAAGTTTCTCTGCCCTCCACTAGGCGCAGTCGGCAAGCTTTCTCGCCTGACAAATCCGATGCGAGGTGGTTTGATCGTTGGTGCATCCAACCTCGGCAACATTGCGCGCTTAAGTGCGCGGATGGTAGTACGATGGCGACTATCGCGGACGAACTTTTGAACGATTTCGAGGACGAAGATGACGAGCAACAAGGGGATCACGACGATGACCTCTTCGGAGCGCATGTCGATGCAGAAATGCCGGCGACTGGAGCTACTATGCCCACCGAGGCCAAGCAAGCAATCGGCAGCATGGAGCTTGATGGCGATGAAGAGGAGCCCGACGAGGCAGACTTGGATGGCAACGCACCTGCACATATCAAGACAGAGGGCCCGGAAGATGAGATGGAAACCAAAGCGCGGGTCGAGAAGATGCAATTGCACAGTGTCAGCGATGTGCGAAGCGTCGCCGGCTTGATGAAGCAGCTGCAACCCGTTGTCGAAGTAAGTCCGAACCGCCTACCAATACTGTTGTGCGCTCGTTGTTTACATCTTTGTGAAACAGCCCTGACCTCTCGAACGTCCTGCAGAAAATTGAATATTACAAAACGTTACCGCCTGACCAGCAAACGAGGAATATTGGCAGCATTGAAGACAATCCTGAGTACAAGCTTCTAACCCAGTCGAATACACTGTCTACGAATATTGACGGTGAGATCATCCTGGTGCACAAATTCATCCGAGACCACTACTCCGTACGGTTTCCGGAGCTGGAGACACTCATTCAGAACCCGCTTGAGTATGCGAAGACGGTGGCCATTATCGGCAATGGTCCAATGGAGAACATTCGTGAGATTAGTGAAAGTAAGGCGAACATGGTTGGCCAGTCACTACGCCAGATCCTGGATGGACCTTCGCTTATGGTAGTCACGGTCGAAGCCACAACTACACGTGGCGAGCCACTATCAGATTCTGAGCTGACCACCATTCGACGTGCTTGCGAAATGACATTACAACTTGACCGTGCCAAGAAGATCTTGACGGAGTACGTGCAGTCACGCATGTCCATGTTCGCACCGAACCTCACTACGCTCATTGGCTCGCTTACCGCTGCGCAACTGCTTAACTACGCTGGCGGTATCACCGGCTTAGCGAAGACGCCTGCTTGCAATATCCCGCCTCTTGGTAGCAAAAAAAACACAGCTGCTACTGGACTGGCTACAAACATCGGTATCCGCCATCAAGGCTTCCTCTACAACAACGACATCATACGCGAGGTCCCGACCGATCTGAAAGTACAAGCCATGCGCATACTCTCCGCGAAAGTCATCCTTGCCGCTCGCGTGGATCAGGCGCATGAAGCACAGGCTGGTGAGCAAGGACTTGAGTTCTACGACCAGGTTCAGAAGCGTATCAACAAGCTATCTGAAGCTCCACCGAACAAAGGTGTTCGCGCGTTGCCAGCACCTGACGACAAGCCAGCTCGCAAGCGCGGCGGCAGGAGAGCACGTAAGGCAAAGGAGGCGACTGCTATGACGGACCTTCGGAAAGCCCAGAATCGTATGGCTTTCGGGAAGGAAGAAGCCGAAGTCGGTTATGGGACTGGCGACGGCACGAAGGGCCTCGGAATGATCGGCGCGCAAGATGATGGTCGCATTCGCGCACAGCAGATTGACCAGCGCACGCGTGCCAAGCTGTCAAAGAAGAATCCAGGCTGGGGTGGCACCTCCACACAAGTCGGCGGTACATCGACCTCTCTACGTGGCTTCGGCGCTGGGTTTGGCGGTACAGCTTCGACGCTTAAGGCTGCTGGACTGCGCGCATCGGGCGTGGGTAGTGGGCTCAAGACTCAGACTGGTAATACTGGCGGCACGACCTCGACTATCGCTTTCACTCCGGTGCAAGGACTCGAACTTATCGATCCGAAAGTGCGTGAGGAGCGGGAGCGGAAGAGGAAGGCGGAAGAGGATCGGTGGTTCAAGGGTGGCACGTTCACGCAGATTGGCGGCGGTGCGCAGACGAACGGGAGTGCAGCGCAGCCGGGAAAGGTTGACGCAGCGGGCTTTAAAGTTCCCGCCCTCCCTGTAGCGAAAAGGCAGAAGGCGGATGGGTGAAAACAGCGGCAACGTTGAGCTTTGTCAACCAACGTGCTGAGGCGAGCGATGCAGGATAATGAACATCAGGCGGCTACGGGTGACTGCGTCGTACCGTCCGCGGCGTCAGAGAGCTATTCAGGAAGGAGATGTAAGTTACACCTCGGATCTGGTACGTCGAGGTTGCTGTACTCACGCTCCACAGCGAGTCTTCATTCCCCCCCGCGAATGAGCGCTAGCACTGCGGGAACAACTGTCAATACTACTGAAGCGATAGATACTGTCATAACCCCATTGACCGCTCTCGGAGCCCCTTTGTGTTCCGCAGTGATCGCGCTCGCGCTCACTCTCCAACTCACCAGCGATTATCCTTCGACCTGTTTGTTACAGCGGTTCACTTCGCTGAATATGGGACATCCCACTAGCGTCGGTATCTCCCGAACCACTCGTGACCCCGACATTTTGTGACCGGGTTACTCTAACCTTAGCCCCTGTTACCATGGCTGCGGGAGCTCCACGAAAGCTTGCCGTCTGCGATTGCCTTCGGGTATCATTGGTTGACTTTTGAACTACCTTATCCAGGCCCGAGCAACACCTTCTCTCAATCATTACTTGCTTGCTCCATTAGCACGCTTCGTTCCTACGCCCACCTAGCCCTACGTTATTCGTCTCTTTAGCATATCAAATAGCGCATCGAGCATCGAGTAAAGTCATCGAGGGCACGCGACCGACCAACCACAATGGCGACCGAGAAGCCGCTTCCCTTCATCTACCAGTTCGCAGCCGGTGCGGTGGCCGGCGTGTCAGAGATCCTGGTCATGTATCCTTTGGACGTTGTAAAGACAAGAGTACAGATCCAAGGCAGAGTGCCTGTACCCGGTCAGGACCACTACTCCGGCATGCTGGATTGCTTTCGGAAGATAATTGCGAATGAAGGGTATACAAGCATTCTCATGCGGATTCCATGTAATCCCTTCGTTGACTGAAGGTAGTCCGTCACGGCTGTACCGCGGCATAACAGCACCTATCCTCATGGAAGCACCGAAGCGAGCAACCAAATTCGCAGCCAACGACGAGTGGGGCAAAGTGTACCGCAACCTTTTCGGCGTCTCGAAGATGACACAAGGTCTTTCCATCCTTACTGGGGCGTCGGCGGGTGCGACAGAGGCTTTTGTGGTTGTGCCCTTCGAGCTGGTGAAGATTCGGTTACAAGGTCAGCCATGACCAGCTACCACACTGAGTCTCTTCAAAACCCCACTGATAGTGAGCAATTTGCAGACAAGGCGCAAGCGCACAAGTATAACGGCATGATTGACTGCGTTGTGAAGATTGTCCGGCAAGAAGGCTTGTTGGCCATGTACCAAGGTCTCGAGTCCACAATCTGGCGACACATGCTCTGGAACAGCGGCTACTTTGGATGCATCTTCCAGGTCCGCGCTCTATTACCGCCCAACCCTACCAAAGACAAGACCATCCAAATGCGGAACGACCTCATCTCTGGCTCGATTGGAGGAACTGTTGGCACGATTCTAAACACCCCCATGGACGTTGTTAAGAGTCGTATTCAGAACAGCCCCATTGTTGCCGGAGGCGTGCGCAAGTACGGCTGGGCATGGCCTGCACTTGTGACTGTCTACAGGGAAGAAGGGTTTGGAGCGCTTTACAAGGGTTTCTTGCCAAAGGTGTTACGGTTGGGCCCAGGTGGTGGTATCCTGCTTGTTGTGTTCACCGGCATGATGGATTTCTTCAGAAGGATGAGAGGCGAAGCGGTATAAGATGCGCGCCTCGGCTCCGAACACTGTGCTGAGTTTACTAGCTAGTCGAAGGCGTCGTGGTGTACAGTAGGTACTCAGGCTGCATACCCTGCATAGCGAGGTGTAACACTTGTTCATCCTCTCCCGTGGAGGTACCATCCCTGCCTTACCTAAGGAAGGCCTCCTGTAAGTGTAATTTTTTGTGCGATCAGTCCTCAAGCGCACGAACAAAGCATACCCAACCTCAATCTGTTCGGGCGTGGCTTTTTCATGCAACCTGGAGGTCTTTACAACTTTAGCAGCCTACTGTAGGCTTGTTTCTGAACCGAGATCATTACTTCGAGAAGTCGTCGTCGGAAATGTGCCAGGACTTGGACAAGCAGGAAGATGTTGAACAATCATTTCTTCGTAATAACCATGCATTGTTGCTGCGACCAGTGACCCTCTATCTATCGGCGACATACTCGTGCTTTGCTACCCGCTAAACCCATCAAAATACTGTACACGCACAGCGTGTGCCAATTGACTTAGCCGCAGTGGCCTCGCCGAGCCTGTTATGGGATGAAGCTTCGATTGCTTACAACACGAAGCTGAGGCCGATCAAAGCGGAGCCAACAAGCGCGGAGCTGATGAGTGAGTAATCTACCACACCGTCAGCACTATGCGACTTGTCCTTTGCTTAAGAAGCATAAAAAGGAGCAGCTTACCAATGTTCTCAGCTCCAGCTCCGGCGTGGCTGGTGGTTTGGTTGGTGGTTTGATTGGTCTCGCCGCCCGTGGTTCCGCCAGCGTCACCAGAACCAGTTGACCCGCCTACACCGTTCCCTGGCGGATAGCCTTGTGTGCCTGTTGCTGGCGAACCGGAAGCGGTGGTCGACGAGGATGCAGTTACTGTCACAGTCGACATGCCTGTTGAGCTGTGTGCCATCGAGCTGTTGGAGGAAGACTGGGCCTATGAATAGTCGTATCAGCCATAAACTCCTCCTCCGTCGTAGGATGTGCGTACGAAGACTTGTGCGATAAGAAACGAGGCTAGCACGAAGGCTGCCAGTACTGATCTGAAAGAGCGCATATTGGTAGCTTGATTGTGGTCGCTGATGGTCTTCCTGTGTATGTTGGTATTCTCAGTGTGGAAATCTAAGCGGTTCACTATATCCTAAACTCTGAGCCGCGACTAGAAAGAGGTTATACTCCCATGGGAACCTTTTGCCTCGGATCGTCATGGAGACGAGTCAAGCTACATCATCACGGGGCAGATTCCGAGTGCTTTACCGTCTCTCGCCTTCGCCTGGAGAGGGTGTTCAGCATGTGGCAGTGAGCGTCAAAGGAGCCAGCATCTGAGCCAACGTGATAGAGCAGACAAGCAACGTGCCCCGTCTGACGCCCTAGAAAGGATCGAATGTCCACCATTACTTTTCCTTCATGCTTGTGGGACGTCCTAGTGCGGCTGCAAGGACGAGGAAGCGGCCAATCGTTAACGACACATGGAAGGGAGATCCTACATCTGTTGGGCTTCTGCTTCGGATATGTGCCGAGTATGCGGGATTGCGGCAGTGGGACGGGCAGATCGACCCTTCAAGCATCGCTAAGACAGAGTCGTGTGGTTTGATGATGGTGCGTTGCGTCAGGACACTGACGGTGATCTGCCGTGCCTCCGTAAAGAGGCTTTGCCGAGCTCCACCGTTGATGCTTGGTGAGCTTATTTAGTGACTCCGATCGCAACACGAGATAACCTTTGTATAAAGCTTCCACGTTCAACGCACGACAAATTCAGGTAGGCTTTATCAACTGTATCCCTCTATGAACGTGCATGCCAAAGTTACAATTACGTGGCGGGGCAGTAATGGGAGGTGCTCACTGGAGCCTCTATGACATATTGCGGGATCGGAACTGCCTCCGGTAGTAGGCAAGCAAATATGGAAGGATGTCTGCATCTTCTGCGGCGAGTAGAACGGTCACTGGGACGACTTGGTACTGCGTCTGTCTGCCGACTTAAGTCCTGTTTCTCACCTTCGGAAACCATGAGCATCTGTAACTACAACACGTTCCAATAGCGTTGCTCGCAAACGACGACGGAAGACCTTATCATCTATATCGGACTCATGGGTTCCACGGTTGTTCGTTCACCAATCTCAAGCAAGGGTAAAGTGTACGAATTGGACCACGTTCTCTGGTCCTCCGCCGTGCGTTGCTATCCTTTCGGTGGTCATGCACGTTTGAAGCTCTGGTACGGTACAGTTCGGCATGCAGCGGTGTTCGTAATAGCGAACGGGGCTGTTTATTTGGTAGATGTCCTTGACGTAGCAAGATGGTATTTGCGAACGGCGATCCAATAGCACTAGCACTCAGTGCACCAAAGTGCGCGTAAGATCGACTCGAGGTGTTGCCTTTCTCTCTCAGCTCCATTTAGCCAGTTATGGCTGTTGAAGAGGATACCCTGTCTGGCATAGTTTTCAGAATGTTTCGTACAGCTTGTCAAACTCAGGTGTAATTAAGAAAAACGGATCGTCCGTTTCATCAGTCGGGAAATTTGCGTGAACTCATACATTATCCGCGAGGACAAGTCGACCTGCATCAATGTTTGAAGATTACATGCCTTGTAACCGTGCATACGTCGGCACCGCGCTGTAGGCCACATACCGCCAGACAGTGTTATTGTCTCAAGCCTGGACGTACACATAAGATGACCGGGGCACAGTCCTGTGTAATCAAACTGGCAAGATCCACGGCATTGCCGCTCACAGAGCCACATCTTTAGTTGTCAGCTGGCAACCATGATCAAATTCGTGCAAACACTAGCGCCGGAAAAAGCCGAACGTATCGTACGAAAGCACCCTCAAGCTGAGCATGTTGATAACCTCGCCCAAAGAACTGGGGACTCTACTTTCAAGAGTACAGAGTTTGTGAAACACCATCTCACGTGTTACCCTCAATCTGCTACTTCCAGGCGTTGCAACAAGGTGGCAGTCAACGGCGAAGCATGCGGCGACTGGCATCAAACGCCGACCTCAGCCGGGCCTGTCGATTGCCAATGGGATCTAAAGCCGTCGGTACCCATCAGCTATGAAATTGAGACACAGAATTAGGTACCGCAAAGACCGTCTTCATCGGTATTCCGTCTTGCACGGCTTCATCTACCCTTAGCAATTTGACGAGTCGACCCCGAGGTGCGCTCGTGCCTACTCCTTCCGACGCGGTATAGGTCAATGTCTGCCTTCTTCATCCGATCTGTTCTACCATCTCGTGACTCCTACTTTGTACGGCATTCTTGTCATACGGTAAACCAGTCTGATCCACGAATCGCGGTCTCTATACCACCCACCTTATCCACACAGCGGCTATGTCTACGGACGCGGTGACACACCTACCTCCTACACCACCCTCAGAACCTATTCCTCGTTTGTTTAGAGACGAGCCTGCAAACAGCCCGTTAGCGATATCCACTGGCGCACAAGTGAGCAAAGAGAAGCATATCTGGATCATAACAGGACCAGCAGGATGCGGGAAAACGTCGGTTGCAGAATATCTCCACCAGCAATTTTCGCTACCATATCTGGAGGGCGACACAGTAAGCTCAATTTTGTAGATATCAGTTCAGGAAAGAAGTGCATCCGCTGACTGAGCGTGAAGTTCCATACGCCAGAGAACGTCCAAAAGATGTCTGAAGGCCACCCTCTGACGGATGTGGATAGATGGGATTGGCTTATTACTCTTCGCGAGGAAGCACTCAAAACACTTGCGTCGGCGGTAACGGAAGGCACAGCAGGCGTCATCGTCACTTGCTCTGCGCTGAAGCGGAAATACCGAGATGTATTGCGGGTTGCAGCTTACCATCACCCAGATGTGCGGTTACACTTCGTATTTCTGCAGGCGAGCGAGGCTCTTCTGATGGACCGAGTGAGGGCGCGGCAGAATCATTACATGAAGGACTACATGGTGCATAGTCAATTCCAGAGTCTTGAGGCACCTCAAGATGACGAGCTGAGGAAGGATGTGTTGAGTGTGGATGCTTCGGGAACGAGCGTTGAAGTGCAAAAGCTGGCTCTCAGTGTAGTCCAAAGGGTGATGGTTGGCGACTCATAGCGATTGGGACGTCGCCAAGGCATTCTGCTGGCGATGGTCGTGAGAAGGTAGCTGGGCGTTAACTTGGATATACCATTGTTGTAAGCTCTGAGTAGAACGGTAACTGTAACCTTGAATGCACATTTGGCTTCTCCAAGCGTTGTTCACGATGCTTCGAACGCTTTATCAACAATTTGCGCAAGCTCACCAAGATTCTCGACCCGCAATTGATATGCAAATCTGTCCTGCGCGTTCTCCACCTCGCCGCCCATGAACCCTTGCCGGTCGACCCACACGCTCTGAATGTGCATGTCCCTTGCTGGACCGTGGTCGTGGAATAGGCTTTGCGCTACATGGCATATATCGGCTTGCTCGACGTCAAAGTCCTTCTTCAAATGGTCGAGCAGGTAGTGGAAGTTCTTCAAATCGGGCTTGTACGATCCAATGTCTTCGGCCGTGTAGTACGCGTCAAACTTGCATCCGCTGAGTGGCCCAGACAGAGTACGTGAGAAGGACTCGTTGTCGACATTCGTAAGTGGAATGAGCTTGTAGTGCTTGGCTAGCCTCTGGATGGCGGCAACGGTGTCAGGGAAGGCGGGATACTCTCCAATCTTGCCGCCATACTGTTTGCAGGCCTTGTCCACCTCAGCCTGAGAAAGCTTCCCATCTTCGACGATACGAAGCTCCTTGGCGTACCGTTTGAGGCCTTCCGCAATGACGTCTCGTTGCAACATGGTTGGATGCTCCTTCTGGACAGCAGTATCGTGCTTCTCAATGTCCAGCATAAGTTGTCGGTGGTCTCTGGGTAGGTACGGACCGAGTGCAGTGCCGCGGGCAGAGCTGTCAATACCGCCCTCCCAGTCAATGAGGGTGCCGTAGATATCAAACGACATGGCTTTGATGCGACTCCATGTGATGGTGGCAGCGGATGAGAACGCCATGGTTGGGTGTGGATAGGTTGTGAGCGCTACAGAACTTCTTCTCAAGGTCAAGCGGCTGACTCAGGTTTGCATTTGCAATTGGGGTCGATAGAGGAAAGGTGTTGCGAGGGAAAATGCGGAAAGAGCACAGTCTAAATAGGGAGCACGCTCGCGCCTTTCTACAAGTTTGAGTGCATCACAGGATACAGAGAAGCTGGCATCATTATCCGTTGGACACTATAGAAAAGATGGAATTGTGTGAACTTGCCTGGTGGAGCTTGGCCGATGGGGAAAGGTCAGGGCGTGCCAAGGAAGCGACACAGTATCTGCTGCCGAGCAGCGGGCGAAGCCATAGAGCCAGCATTGTGATGGGAACCTACATGTGAATGTTCAGCCTCATGAAGAGCAACGGTCGGGGAGCCAAATGACAGGACTTCTGTTGCAGAGAGCAATACTAGGTAGTCATCTCAGAAACAAGATGAGGAGAACAGTGATGCACAGACCTTCCTGCTCCACAGCGGACGCTGGGGAATCACGCAGAGCTTGGCAACTCTATCTGCTTCATCTTGCTCTTTACTGGTCAGACTTCACCTCAGTCGCGGACGGCACCTTGAATCGTACAGATGTCGCCTCTGCCTTGACTGTGGACTCCCATGGTCGTGTCGTGCGGCTGAGTTTTTGGTCGACCGAGAATTACAGTGGAGAACAGCAAGCCCATGCGCCCCTATACTGCACCCACGTCGATAAATCGCGCGCATGAGGGATTTTCTACACCAATCTGGTTGCGAGGCATATCCCGCGACCAAGACGCCATGCCAGCGCCATATCTTCTTCGAACGAGTCCCGTGCGTCGCAGCCTGAACTCCACGCAGAGCTCCCACCTTGTTGTGATGGATTCCGTGGGTTTACGCGCATTTGTCTGAGGCGAAGTGGGCTTCCAATCGCCCGGCAACTGTCCAGAAAGGGTTCTCGCGGTGACCCACGTGTGGTCTTGCACATGCAACAGCCACATGTACTGGACCCTGTCTCGCGCGAGGATTTAGCTCTGTGTGGATACTAACAGTGTTGGCGAGATAAGGTAGGTATTTATTCCATTCCTGCGTCGTCCTGTTGGCTCGCTTTGAGTTTTCCTTCCTTGCTTCGTCTTTCATCCCACCACCTTCACGCTTGACAATGGCGGACATGAGCGCTCGCATCCAGTTCGGTGAAGACACCATTGATCGTGCTCGGACTGCGAACGAGCCCGGTGCGGCTTCAGCATACAAGCGCAGAATTTCCATCCAGGAGATTGATGCTGAGTCCGTCGTCTCCGAAAAGGCAAGCGGTGTTCGCGAGAGTGACTTCAAGCAGCGGCAAGTATGTTGACCTTGCCCTCTCCGTCTCCGGCGAGTGCAGTGGAGCACTCGTCATTGCAAATGCAATCTGATCCAACTGTAGGTGTTCAAAGGATGGACACTGCTGTGGCTAGCCTACCAATCGACTGGTGTTATATACGGAGACATCGGCACGTCGCCGCTTTATGCCTACAGCTCGACATTCTCCTCTCCGCCCGAACGACCGGATCTTCTGGGTGCCTTGTCGCTGATCATCTGGTCACTAACCCTGATTGTCACCATCAAATATGTTTGCATCGTCCTGCGCGCCGACGATGAGGGCGAAGGCGGTACTTTTGCCATGTACACACTTCTCTCTCGCTACTCGGACATCATGAAGAGTGACCCGAGAGTCAACCGGTTGGTGAAGATGGAGCGCCACAACACAAACGAGATGAACCCAACTAACCGCGGCGTTCGAACTTGGCTGGAAAAGAGCAAGATCGCGAATGCTATGCTGAGAATTTTGGCTGTTCTTGGTGTCAGTTTGATCATGGCTGACGGTATCCTTACACCTGCGCAGTCGGTACTGGGCGCTATCCAAGGCCTCGAAGTCGCTTCATCCAACATCACAAACGGGACGATTATCGGTGTCTCCTGCGCCATCTTGATTCTGCTCTACGTCGTACAACCCCTCGGCATCCACAGAATCTCGAGCGCATTTGCGCCTATAGTCATCATCTGGCTGCTCTTCAACGGCGTCTTTGGCATCTACAACCTCGCTGTCCATGATTATACCGTGTTAAAGGCTTTCTCACCTTACTATGCTGGAGACTGGTTTATGCGAAACCGTACGACAGGCTGGATTAACCTCGGCGGTATTCTGCTAGCCTTCACCGGTGTCGAGGCCCTGTTCGCGGACCTTGGAGCCTTCAGTAGGCGCGCTGTGCAGATCAGCTGGCTCTTCTTCGCATTTCCGTGCTTGCTGCTAGCGTACATTGGTCAGGCGGCCTACATATCCCATGATCCTTCGGCTTACTCGAATCCGTTCTTCCAGACCGTGCCACCTGGCATGTTCTATCCATCTTTGGTCATTGCTATCTTGGCGGCCGTCGTGGCATCGCAGGCTTTGATCACTAGCACGTTCCAGCTGCTCTCTCAAGTAATGCATGCAAGGTGAGCGCTTCACTCAAGTTTGTGCTGCGTCTGTACATTGGCTGACCCTAGCATACAGCTACTTCCCGCACATCACGATGATCTACACGAGTGACAAGTTCCATGGACAAGTTTACATCCCGTTAGCAAACTGGTTAATGATGGTGGGCACTGTAATCGTCACTTCGGTTTACAGCAACGTTAGTCTACCGTGTTTGATGAGTTCGCTGAACGAAGCTGATGCCTTGCAGACCACTCGCCTTGGACATGCCTACGGCGTATGTGTTATCCTCGTCACGTTCATTACAACGAATCTAGTCACCTTGGTCGCAATCATTGTGTGGCGTGTGCACCCTGCCCTGGTCTTCCTTGTGTGGCTTCCGTTCGTCACTCTTGACGGTCTGTACCTCACTTCAGCCCTGACAAAGGTCCCCGACGGAGCTTGGTTCACGCTCCTGCTTGCCGTCATCCTCGCCTCGTTTTTCAGCCTGTGGCGGTACGGTAAAGAAAAGCAGTGGACATGGGAAGCGAAGACGCGCCACGACATCTCCGACATTCTGCCAAAGAGCCCGGATGCCAGCAATCACAGCGGCTTGGTGCTCTCTGAGCGCTATGGTGGAGGCGAGCTCACCGAGATTGATGGCATCGGAATCTTCTTCGACAAAGCCGGCGACTTCGTGCCAACAGTCTACGAACAGTGGCTGAAGAAGTTCCGCGCTCAAAATGAAGTGGTTGTGCTCATGCACATGCTGGCTTTGAGTCGCCCGCATGCAGAAGAGGATGAGATGTATACGGTCAGCCGGACGAGCGTCAAGAATGTCTACCGCATGATCATCCGCCATGGTTACAATGACCGCGTCATTACGCCGGACCTTGCACGCCTAGTCTACGAGGAGGTGCGCAAGGCAATCATGCGCGGCGCGGTGAAGATGTCGCCATCGGAGGCGTCTTCGAACGGGGCGATAGCGGAGAAGCACGTCGATGCGCAAGATGCCGCATTGGTGGCGAAGCTACAGCATCTGGACGAAGCATACGCGACGCAGACATTGTACCTGATTGGCAAGCAGCAGATGCGCGTCAATCCGAAGTATAACTTCGTCAAGAAGATTCTGCTTAGTGCATTCCTGTGGGTTAGAGAGAACACGAGAGGAAGGATGGAGAAGCTGAACTTGCCAGTGGATAAGATGGTGGAGGTTGGCTTCGTTGGCGAGATCTGATTCGGGAGGTCGCTCTTAGTCTTTTATTCGAATCGTCAACAACATGTTTCTTGCAGCAACATGCGGTTGCGGACAAGACGCCTTGTTTGCATCGCAAAGTCGTCGCAATGCTCCAGCGCCTGATACGGTCTCACAGTGCTCTTTGACACTCGCTTAGACTGCCTGGCTCTGAGCCCTGCGTCTGTGGCGTTTCAGATTGTCCTCTGCCAACTTTTGGCGGGCTTCGCGTGCAGAGCCGCAAGCATCATGCAGCTGTCACGCTAGCACTATTTCCCGGTTTTTGACATGCTCACGGGCCAACTCTTGTGCTCGTTGCACGCACACTGAGGTGCGCTGTCCACACGCCATAGGTCGGTTTCAGTGCGTGTACGGCAGCGTAGCTGTGCGATCTGCACGGTTCCCCGAGCAGGAAACAGGTGAGGTTGTTGATATCATACCTCTGTGCCCATCGAACGCCACGGCAAGCAATATATGCAGGCGTTATTGCCCTTGTAAACCCGCTCACGTCCCGTCTTTGCAGTACTCGCATGTAGCTGTCTTAACGATCAATACACGGTAAAACCAATATGCTTAGCTTCAAGACAGTAGTTGTGCTACTGAGCGCACTGTGCGCGTTCGTCTTTGGTCAATTGCTTGAGGAGCGGCAGGCGCTCGTGTAAGGAGCATCTTGCCACGAGCTCGGTGTTTACTTGGCACTCATATCACTTACAGACCGATCATAACCATTCAAACCGTCTACGTTACTCCTGCTGCCTCCAATGCCGCAAGCACGACCACAGGCTCTCCTGCATCTATCACCGGCAACATCATCCCCATGTCCGGACCTGGCGCTAGCAGCAACGGCGAGACAGGTACTGGCAAGGGCGCGGGAGCCAGCACGCTCACCACAAGAGACCAAGTGGGCAATACGTTCATCGAGGTGATACCGGCGAATGCAGTGACGGTGACGGTGAGTCCGAAGTCGACACTTACGGTAAGTTCACAGCGCTTGGGAAAAAAGGATCGATATTGGTGAGCTGATAATGGTGTAGACGGTCCAGAGCACCACCCAGAGCGCAGCCCAGAGCACAGCAGTTGCAGCGGTGTCGCAACAGACATCGAGTCCGCCGCAAGCGAGCAGCACCTCGAGCGCCATGGCTGCTGCTACACTGTTTCCAGCTCCGTTGCTTGGACTCGCGGGCGCTGTAGGCCTTTTGGTGGTCATGTGAGGCTAATGTGAACGGGAGAATGTATGACGACATCTTATGTTAATTAATTGCCAATGGCGGCCTGCGAAGCCTTTAAACTTCCCACGACGGAGAAGCATATGAGCGGCGAGATGGCGTACGATATCTAGCATGACAGTAAGCGAATGCATAGCGATGAGCGTAATGTGTGAGGAGACCTACCGTCAAAAACTTTGCAACGCTCATCTTCGTGTCATCATCCGACCCATTGACATCCGCTAGAGCAGTAAGCTTGAGCGCAGGCGGTCCAACAGGCATAAGCATCATGGCGAACCACAGGATTGGATCATTGCTGAGGAGCTTCGTCTTGACTACGAGAAGATAAATGACTGGTATGCTGATAGCAGGCCATATCACGAGGCGAATGAGGAGGATGACTGTCGTGGCGAGCCAGGGCACCTTGCCGCTAGCCTCGCCTTTCTTCATGCGCAGCAAAGCCTGCGAAAGCTTGACTCCAACCACAATGACCTGCAGAGCCGCAAAGAGGTCGCCGACGTTCTTCAGAGCGCTGGTGAGCCAGGCATTAAGATATCCGCCGTGCTGCTGATCTTCAAAGAACAGTCGATGCAATGCCGGTACCAGACCCAGAAGCGCTCCAATAGCGGCCCCGATCAGTGGCGGGTTGACAAACTGCCACAGGGCGTCGACGACAGTGCGTGCCCAGCCTGGCAGACGGTCCCAGATCCGGCGTCCGTACTTGTAGCCCTTATAGTTTATCTTGACCGTATGCCGTGCCATATGGTTCGGAAGAAGCGAACTTTGCTCGTTCGCATCCTCCGCGTCCTCGCGCTGAGCTTCGATTTGCGCATCGACGTCGCCATCTTGCGCATCCTTCTCTTGCTCGTCGGGCGCGTCTTCTTCCTGCCCATTGAGAAGCTTGGGACCCAGAGCGAAGGTCAGACTGTTACCGATCATTGCATTGACGAGGAAATACGACTTTGCGCGTGCTACGGCGGTGCCGGACGAGTCCAAAGAGTCGAGTATGCCGGTAGCATCGAGCGACTGCACGAGGAGCAGCGGCAGGCTAGTTGTGTTGTTAAACGCTATTGCGGGCGTTGTCCACTGTGGCATGCCGAATAGCCTCGTCATCGCGAAGCCCAGTCCGATTGAGAGGACATTGTAGATGATGGCCCATACTATGATTGGCACATAACGTGTTCCCTGCCCGACCGATCAGCAACGCCGTCCACGAATCGAGGTATGAATACTGTACCGTTCCCAGCTCCAGTTGGGATCCGACGTTCACGATCAGCAACGCTGGCAGACAAAGTCGGACACATAGCTTCGAAATGTCTTTCGAAGATGCCTCGCTCAGAAGCCCAAACTGTGCGGCAAGGACGCCGGCGAGGATGGTGAGTAGGACAGCGATGGAAGCTTGGAGAGCGCCCACGAAGGGTATGAGGATTGACTCTGCATCGCCTTCCATCTTCGTGGCACTCTCTTCAAGGTGTCACGCGACCTCGTGAAACGTTTGGATACAGGTCAAGCTCAATGGTCAAAGCATGTCTGCGATAAGCCGGCACGCTTGCGCAGGGGAGGAGCTTGAACGTCATTACGCCATCAACGAGAAACGCGCAGCACGAGAGCAGACTTGTAGAACACTGTTGCTGACTGCCGCTCTTAACAAGTGTTGTGCTGTCCTGCTATCTATGCAATCCTACAGCCAGCCGCAAACGAGAAGGGTATCATCGGAAAACATACAACCAAGAGGCGCCAAAAAATGCAAGCGCTTCTCACAGACCTGTAAGGTCACCAATCTTCTTGAACCAGCCTCCCCGCTTGGAATCATTTCTCTGCACCGCAGGTCGGCCGTCCCAGGTCCTCATCCCCACATCATTATAGTTGGGAGTGGTGACGGGCCCACCAGCGTAACTCCTACGGCGATCATGCGAGCTGCCTCCGCTGCTACTCTTAATGTTTTCTGCATCACGTCGGTCGCGTCTCCGCCTGCGACGCTCTTCTTCTGCGTCGACGTCGCGCTCGTTTGCCCGCCTATGCCGAAACTTTCTTGCAGTAGTCTCCTCAAGCGGGTGGTCTGCCGGCACATCATCATCGGCAGCAAAGTGCTGCGGCGCATCGACTATCGTACCCTCAAGTGGCGGTGGAGGTGGCGGGTCTTCGTTGACGGAATGAACCCAAGAGGTCGTCTTATCACCACCGGCCTTGATGTACGGTCGGCCGTCAGCAACAGGCGCAGAGGCCTCACCAATGGCATGCGGAGCTTGCTCACCATTGCGCTTGTCAAAGTAGTCATTAACGGCTGCCGGATATTCGGAGCGTCGTCGAGATGTGCGTGGTCGTTCCTTATCATTGCCTGCAGCTTGCTCAGGCTCTCGTCGTACCCGTCTGTCCTCACGACGGACTCTGCGCGCTTCTTCCTCCTCAGGGCGATCGTAGGTTGAGCGTCTACGGTCCGTGCGTGGTCGGGAAGCAGCTTCTTCCTCTAATCGCTGCCTTTCGCGCTCACGGCGGCGCTCACGCCTCTCAACAGCTTTAGCTTCTTCTTCCTGCGCAAGGCGCTCTTCCTCGACATGTCGAGCTTCGCGTTCTGCCCGGCGAGCGCGTCTCTCTTCCCTGCGACGTGCCTCACGTTCTGCTTCCGCCTGCTGTAAGCGCTCCTCTTCTTCACGAGCTTTCGCTTTGCGCGCTTCTTCCCGTTCACGACGGCGTTCAGCTCGCGCTTGTTCTTCGGCAGCTTCCTGCTCACGCCTTGCTCGACGCTCAGCCCGACGAGCTTCACGGGCTGCATCATCTTCGCCTGCAGGCAAGGGCGCCACGTCAACTTGCCCTCCGGCGTCCGATGCTTTCCTTGGCCTTGTGACCTTGCGATCTTCACGGCGGAGACGCTTCGCTTGATCGTCCTCGTACACTGACGTGCGCTTGCGACGAGCCATGCCGTCTTCGCTCTCATAAGCCTTGCTTTGCCGACGGTCAGGCGCTGAAGGACGTGATGAGAAGGCGCCGAGAATGCCACCCATCAAACCAGCCTTCTTAGCGCTGGTTGTTGCACGTCTGACGAGTGGTGGGCGGACGTCAAACGCAAGGTCGTCCACCTTTGGCTCATCTGGAGCACGCGAAACGTCGACCATGACTGTATCATCAGCATTGCCCAATCCGCCAGTCATCATGTTGGTGTCACGCTTGGATCGGCGCGACTTCTTCTCTATGTCAGTCAATGGTTTCTCAGAAGGCGGTACATCTTTCGCCGAATCTTCGGGCCCGTCAACCACAATCATATCGTCACTGTCGATGGCGTACGGGTCCGGGACTTTGCGCTTGGACGGGTCACGTGTTGACTTGCTGCGCGAGACGCCCATGACCTTTGCGGCCTTTTCCGACATGTCTCTTCTCCCATCTTCCGGAGGCGGCGAGATCATGCCATCATCGTCTACTGCCACGGATTGACGGCGGGAGGTCGCGGCACGCGTGGATTTCGACCGTGACGGCGGCGGGCCCATTCCGAACATGGCGCCAAAGCTTTGGCCCCGGGACGTGCTTGGGCGCGATTTGGAGGGACTCTTAACATCTTTGTCCGAACCTGAGGACTTGGACGCTTTCTCCATGGGATCTCTATCTGTCGCCTTGCGTGCGGACTTTGATCGGGACAGACCAGAGGGCCTCTCCTTAATAGGCGACGGCACGTCCTCCTTGTCGCGTGGCTTGTCCTTTGAGCTCGACTTGGGAGGGGGTGTAGCACCCCAGAATCCCCATGAGTTCGTCGTCTGATCCCGGACAACCTTGGGTCGCTCCTTCTTATGGCCTTTAGCATCGTCCTTGCTAGGTTTCTCCGGTGGTGGAGTCAGCAGCTTGTCAGTGGGCTCGCCAAATTCGACCAGATCATCAAGGGCCGCGGGTGTGACAATCACAGGATCAGCCTCGGCTTTGGCGGACTTAGAGTCCTTCTTCACAGAAGACTTGGATGACGCTTTCTTGTCCTTCGATGGTGTCTTCTTGGGCGATGATGGCATATCCGGAAATACGTCAAGAGTGTCTTCTGCTGGGAAACCTCCTGGTAGCGGAGAGGCAGATGGCGGCGGCGGGGCGGGAATGGAATCAGCGGGCGGTTCCGGTTCTCGCTTCTTGGACGACGAGGTTTTGGAAGAGCTCTTTTTCGCAGACTTCTTCTCCTCTGGGGATGGCGGAATGATCACGGGTTCAGGCTCTGGTTCCGGTACCAGCTCTGGCTCAGGTGGGGAGGGGATGTCTTTGCCTTTCTTCGAGTCTGGGGATGACTTCTTGGCAGGCGGATCGGTACTATCAGCGTGCAGCGCCTTGATGCGGTCTTGAATAGTGCTTCCTTTCGATTTCGACTTGCTTGACGCGTCCTTTCCCAACCTGCTTACGGGCGACGTTGCTGACTTCAGCTCGCCGTCCGCAGCAGAAGTGACTTCTGGCAACTTCGGGTGCTCGGTAAGCTTAGACGCTTCCTGATTGGCTGATACATCCACAGTAATTTCCTCCTTCGGTTCGGCGCCGGCTGTGGCTTTCTTGCCGCTGCTTGGCTTAGTTGAGCGGAGTGATGCACCCCAGAAACCCCACCCTGCCGCCGAAGGAGTCTCGAGCTTGGCTGACTTGCCGTCCACCTTCTCGTCCACAATGTCAATGATGGGATCAGCGGCCGCATCTTCAATGATTGCGATGACAGGGTCCTCCTTAGACTCAGACTTCTTGCTTGACTTGACATCGGCCTAGAAATTGACGGGTAGAAGGTTAGCTGTGTTTCAGACAACGGCTCGGGTCTCAACACAACGCTCGGCTTACCTTGAGCTTCTCGCCTTTCTTCTTCGAGTCTTTGGACGACTTCTTGACCGGCGCCTCATCCACCATGGCCAGCAGATCATCGGGCTCGTCCTTGAGAGCAGCGGCGAATGCTTCCTCGTCCGCTTTTCGTTGCGCTTCCTCAGCGGCAGCCTTCTCTGCCTGCTCCTTCTCCAAGGCCTCTTTCTCCGCCTTGTCCTTCGCTTCCTTATCCTTACTTGATTTTGAGGACGCCTTGCTAGTATTGCTACCCCATAGCCCGCCCCAGCCAGAGGACTTGGTAGGCTTCTTGATGTCTTTGGACTCTATTACGGGGTCAGGCCCTGGAATGACAGCCGGTTCGTCGACAACATCAACAATGTCGGCTGGGGCATCCTGTAGATCTTCCACCTTCGTGTTCGACGGCTTGTCATCGAAAGCATAAGATCTGGCGCTCTTCTTGGACTTCTTCTCCATCTTTGAGCTGATCTTTGCCCACGGATCGTCGACAGGTGTACTCTCGAACTCGAGAAGTGCTGGTGCCGCAGCAATTTCGCCTCCAAGATCGTCCATGCCCTGATCAGGCAGTGTTGGAGCTGCAGGCGCCGTGATTTCTTCCGCAAGCCCTTTCTTTCCGCCTTTTCGCTTTTCTTTCTTTCCAACAGCACCAAACGATGACCACGACGGATCTTCTTCGGCGGATTTGTCCTGAACTGACTCTGGGAGGACGACAGAGACGCCCGGACTCGGATCAATGACCTCCACGATGCCCTTGGACTTGTCTTTTTTGGAGGACTTCTTCTTCGTGCCCGTCGTCCACGACGAGTTCATCCAGTCATCATCAGCCTTCGGCTCGTCCACAGCTTCCGGTTGCAGCACATTGGACTCCTCGGTGTTGACAGGGTCCTTTGACTTTGTCTTCTTGCCGGATTTTGAAGTGCCAAACCCACCAAACCAGTCCTCCTCTGCTGCGTTCTCCTCAGCATCGTCGTCCGGCACAGCCGGAGGCGGGGGTGGAGGGGGCGGTGCCTCGACGACTGGCTCGGCTGCCGCTTTCTTGCCCTTCTTCTTGTCCTTCTTCGTCCCGAAGCTCCATATGTCATCTGCGGCAGGTTCTTCCACGACAGCAACAGGCGGTGGAGGCGGCGGCGGCACGTCAACGATCGTCTCCTCCGGCTCCGCACCCCAATCGAATGTGCTAGCACCCTTTTTCTTCTTCTTATCCTTCTTCGGAGCGCCCCAGCCGAATCCGTCGTCGCCTTCAGCGGTATCTGCGGCAGGCTCTGGCACCACAACAACCGCCGGCTCGTCAAGAGGCTTCTCATCTAGCTGCGCACCCTTTCCTGCTTTCTTGGCCTTCTTTCGATCCTTCGCAGACGCTGGCCAGATGTCATCTTCCGCCGGCTTGTCTGCCTCCGGCAAAGGCTCGGGCTCAGGAACTACGACGATGGCAGGCTCGTCCGGCTCTACAGCAGCGACACCCTTCTTTCCCTTCTTGCGATCCTTCTTTGAACCTCCAAATAGATCCCACGGATCTCCAGAGTCGCTTGGCTTGTCATCGATCACGATAGCAGCGGGTGGGGGCGGCGGTACATCCACGAAAGCAGGCTCATCAATGTCCTTCTTGCCCTTGCGTTTGTCCTTCTTCCCAGTGCTCATGAAGCCGCCCCATGGGTCGCTGTCGTCCTTAGCAGGCGCGGTAAAGTCGGTCGTACCGGCACCTCCATCGTCGCCAATGCTGTCGAAGTTGATTTCGAAGCCGGTATCCTTCTTAACATCCTTGTCTCGATTCTTCGACACGGAGCTACCACCAAATCCCCATGACACATCAAGCTTCGTGGCAGGCTCCTCCTTCTTCTCTTCAACGGCGCCGAAACCCCACGTCGACCCGCCTCCGGAGCCCCATCCTCCACCCCACGTACTACCTAGACCGAAGCCCGACGTCTTGTTCTCGGTAGCAGATGCGCCAGCAAGACCGAAGTCGAAGTCGAGCTTAGGCGCAGCTTTGTCGTCGTTTAGATTGATGTCGTCAAACTTCATGTCGCTCTCCGGCGCAGGAGGGGGCGGTGGAGGTACTGGATCGGACTGCGACACGTTAGAACAACTACATCAAGTTGTGAACACGAATGCGACAACAGAGGGGACGTGTGCGATTGGGTCGCATGCTCCGTAGCCAAAAGTAGCGCATATCGATAACCCCGAGATTGCGCGCGCGTTAGCTGCAGCCAACGCGCTAACGCCTCCTTTCCGCCCGGTACAGAGATACATCCTGGATCGAGAACGCCATGCGGTGATCAATGACATGCGAAGTCGATATCAGCTGGATTGCAATTCCATAGCCGTTCCTGCAGCTGTCATGAGCGCTGCGGCAGTTCACCGAACGCTATGAAACGGGGGGGGCGCATGTTGTACAGATTGCGACTTCCCATAACCGTGGCCAGATCCGCAATATGCCCTAATACATCAGCTGCATGCTGTCTTTGCAAAGCGAGATGGCGGATGTGCGGATGCAGCGGAGTCGTTTGGTGTCCGGATGCCTGGGTCGTAGCCGGCGCTCAAAGCGGCGTTGCCAGAATCAAAGCAGATTACAGAGTCTTTCCAACAGGAAATTGCAGAAGAGAGCGGACATTCTGTGCGCAACGACACGCCATGACACGAAGCCCAGCTTTTGGTTCTGATACTATTACGGGCTGTCTCCACGTTGCGTCTAATGCTGTCCAGCAGGCGAAGCGAGCAAATGGCCAGTATCCGAGAGTTATAGCGCAGGCCGCAAGCTGCCGTTGGAGCAATGTTGCCTCACGCATGGCGAATGCAAGCGAGAACGTGTGAAGTAGAGAAGAACAGCTGCACTTACCTTGCCCTTTTTACCTTTCTTTTTCTTGCCAAAGCCACCCCAGTCATCGTCATCAGCAGGCGTTTCGATGGTCGCGCTTGCACCAAGGTCGCCAGAGTCGAACGTCGGCTCTGGCACGACGACCACCGCCGGTTCGGGCTCAGGCTGGCCCTTGCCCTTCTTACCCTTCTTCTTCGTGCTCACGGTCGCGAACGCTCCCCAATCATCAACCGGATCGGCTTCGCCAGCGCCAGCACTGGCTGTGATCTCGCCGTTGGCAGCATCCTCCGCTGCTTGCTTCGCTCCGTCATCCTCTGGCTTCGACTCTTCTTCCTCATCAAGCCATCCTGTCTTCTTCTTCTTCTTTTTCGATTTCTTGCCACCTCCAAACGCCCAGTCGTCGCCATCGTCGCCGCCGCCGCCGCCATCACCGCCAGGCGGATCACCACCATCGCCGCCTGCGCCTGCACCACCATCTCCACCCGACCCGTCGCCTCCAGCCCCACCCCCCTCGCCATCCGCGCCTCCATCTTGCTTCTCGCCGCCTTCGTTGTCACTGTCTGCCCACTTGTCCTTCTGAGCCTGCTTTGCGGCCTTTTTGGCTTTCTTATTAGCAAATTCGCGGATACCATCGACTGATGTTAGGTCAAGGGCACGGCGGCTACGTGATGTCGCTCCATATCCGGACGGACTGACTGTATAGACATTTGCATCGCAGAGAATTGCGACGACTGCTAGGGTCTCGGTGAGTGTGCAGTCAAGTGGCTCCTCTGCCAATGGCTTTTCCTCTGATCGATGCGACACAGCAACGCCTGGGAACTGCACCGGCTTAAAAAGCTCCCTCGGTTGACCCTTTGCAGACGCCTGTGTTGAAACGGACCTACGTCTTCCAGGTCCTGATGGTACAAAGCTGTCCACATGGCGTACTTTCTGCCAAAGGGCAGCTATAGCTTGAAGTTCTGCATCGAGCTCATGGCATGTCTCAGCCGACCCAGTCTTTGGTAGCCGGTTTTCGCGTCTGCGCGATCCGGGGACAAGGAGGTCTGCGCTGTATGTTGCAACCGTAACGGCCATTGATGGCGTACACACTGGATGTTGCGTCAGAGGAGGCTGGGAGCATGGAAGGCAAGCGAAATGTCACGTCCAGAACGTGCTTCCCAAAGGCCAATGTGAGCGTGAAGTACTAGTTAGGTCGGTAGGATCGATGAGAAAGCTGCTTCGTGTTGTACAAAGTACAAGTGATCAGGGTGTGGGAACGTGAGCGTCACGCATGCAGTGTATGGGCGGGAGAGTGTGTGTGCCGGGCACCATGCCAACTCCAGCACTTGTGCGACCCCTGCAGCCGCTTTTCCCCGTCTGTGTATCAGGCCAATCGTTGCCGAGGACCTAGCGAGCCGTGGTGAGACAGCCTATCGTCAGAGGCGCCTTCTGTCCGCACACACAACTATCATCGTGGATATCGTCTGACAGTTGGGTCTTGTGGCAGCGTCAGAAAGTTTTTCGACCAACAAACGTAGACATCTTCGGCACTCCCGCCGCGCATTGACGGACCTTCTGGCTGCGTCTGCACTCTGCACTTGTTCTGCTCTATGTCGCCACTCTAAGGCAGGGTCTACAGCGCGCGACACGATGGCGAGCGTCCGTTATTGGTGCGCTCGAGCAATCCTGCATGAGTTTCGCTGGCCAATGTCTCACCGCTAGATGGGGTCGGCCAGGTGATTGCTCGACAGCTTCTGGCCTACGGCAAGGTGCAGTAGTCTCCGCGACAGCTCTCTAGCTACCTAGGTAGGTTGGGCGTTGCGATCCGCCCGCATCCACCCCGTCTGCACTGCATGTTAACGGAGCTTTCGATGACAAGGAGGGTGTCCTATCTCAAGAAGGTGCCAGGGCTCCAGGGTGCGATAGTACTCTACGATGAGAATCCTAGATGCAGCGTTCATGGCATCTCTACTAGTATCAGCATGGCGTAGACGTTGGGACATTGCATACACAAAACCTGCCCCAAGGAATATCCCAACCTGGTTGAGACCTTCCTGATAATGGCAGGCTTCTGAACACCCGAGGATCTTGCTATTGCTTTGCGAAGCGCACATTGTTGTTCGGGAGGTTAAGGGCATCCCGATCGAGATTGAAGCCTGAAACTTGCTATCGACCGAACGGGGTCTTCATGGAGTGTCATCGCTTTCCGGATGCGTGCAACACCATCTCAATTTTCGCTTGACCGGGCGTACAAGAGAAGATGTACCCAACTGTATCGATCTTTATGGCTTACAAAACACGCCAAGCCAACATCATTACGTATGTGTAGCTCTTTGTACACTCAGCGCCTGGGTATTGTCACCACAGCGACTATCCAATGTTGCAAACGGTAAGACGTAGCTACAGTCTATCATTGCCACGCTGTCTCTGCGTCTACTTTTATACGAGCGGCCTCAATCTCACCTAAGGAGGCTGCCCGCTCAGTAACCATATTGGCCAAGGTGGGATAGAGGGACCAGACTGCTATCAGCAGCGAGACGCAGCTCCATGCATCATCAATTCGCGTATATTGCAATCACAATCGTCCCCACTTGTAAGTCGGTATTGCATGATAAGCTGGACAATGTCGACTTACGGCCGTACTCTTAGAGCTACAAAGCTCGAAATGTGAGCAAGTGCCCTTGCTGTTCAAGTCTCTCAAGCCATTCCCCTACTCTTGCCCTCTTCAAGCCTTCACATGCCGCAATCTCCTCGAAGGCGTGCTCTCCATTCCAATACGGCAATAGCAAGGGCAAACGCTCTCTCAGCTCACCGTCCTGCAGGGTTGCCCGCAGATGTTGTACGAGCACATTCTCTTCCGCGGTAATATGGGCTGGGTCAAGGACAACCATGTATTCGCGTGCTGAAGTGCTATTGGCAGGCACAGCAGTTTGTACGGAAGCGACGCTGACGTTGTCATCGTCGACCGGCCGAAGATGCGGAGAGAGGAGACTCATGGCTGACATGGGCCGCTTGTTCGGATCTGCCACCGGAGGCGACGGAAGCCGTGTGCTTAGCTTGAGCCATCCAAACGTTTTGAGCTGCCCGACGAAGCCGTGCCGGTGTAGGAAAGCCAGAATTTCCATATATGGACCTCGGTGGTCCCGAGAGGGGATCAAATGACCGTACGGAATCGGCTTGCCACTAAGCACCATGAGCATCTGCGGTAAGGACGGAAGCGCTGGGAACTTGCGGGAGTACAGCGAAGTCAGTTCTGCGACCTTGTGCAAAGGAGCATCTGGATGTACAGTATACGTATTACGAGCATGCAGCGGCGCAATCGCCCTGGCTTTCCGCCACTCGATCAGATGCTGAGCAAGCGGCATGATCTCAGCCGCCGTTAGGCCGAGATTGATGGCGTGCTTCTGCAGGCTTTTGGTTGGGGTATGCTCCCGGAGGACGTAAGCGAGCAGGGAAGTATCGGAGTCGGCCAGCTGATGCAGTAGAACGTCTTTGTCCTCCAGCAGCAGCAACGCCAAACGCTCGTTAAGCTTCTCGTTCGTTTTCACGTAGGGAGTAGCCTCCGGAATCTGAACTGACATTTGCATGCCATCCAGTCTGATACTGGCAACTTCATTGACGGAGAGCTTTTCGAAACACTCTTTTAGCGCCCACGCAAGCTCACTGCTCTCCACCATCTGCTTCCAGAGTGCACTAGCACTCAAGTTGGCTCGCTTAGCGGCGGCTCGAGCATTGAGCAGCTTGCGGGCTTCTATGGAGATATACTGATTGTGCTCCTGGCAGTACTGCAGAGCTCTACTTAACGTCTGCGCCACGTGCTGGTGGAATGTCATCGCGTCCAGGTCACCGCTGGAGCGCGAGGCAAAGACAACGTGAAACATGCTGATTTGCTCCTGTGGCGCTCCGGACGTCGTGGATGTGCTGTTTACTGACGTGCCGCGACTTTGTCCGGCCCAGGAGTCGAAGCTATCTCGGACTTGCGAAAAGTCTCGCTTTGGCCGCCCAGGCGTTTCGGGACCGGTGATAGTTACCGCCGGGTCATGGATACCGTCACCTTCGTCGTTGTCGTCAAGCTCAGTATGCTCTATGTTGCTGTCTCCATGCAGCTCCGCTCTGCGGTCCGTAGAGGGGTAAGACGACCATGCACCGTCCTGTGAAGCATAGACAGGATGTCCAACGAAGGTAATACCGTCCAAGCATATTTCGAATTTTATATGGTCAGACCATCGTCCCGGGGAGAGGAGCTTCTCGAGAGTCTCATAGCTATAGCCGAGGAGCAGGTCTGTCAAAGGTCTGTCTACAGCATCAGAAGAAGACAGAGGTCCATCGGAGGATGCGCCTTTGGGCACGCCTTCAGTATCAACCGCTGCACTGGCTGGAGTCCAACCTGAGGGAGGAGCCGGTTCGTCTTCGTCCTCACTGTCAGAACGATCTGCATCATTGTTGACTGTTTGTCCGACAGCAGGTTGGGCGGGATAGTGGAAGACCAGCTTCGGTCCGGGTCGGGAGCGCGTAATCAGAATAACGGCTATCAGTCCATTGCCACAGACCTTGGGCTGTGGCGACGACATGTACGATCAGACTTGCTCCCATCGTCACCTCCTTTACGTTCGCATCTGTCTTCGGTATGTATGCATAGCAGAGATATGTCCATAGACTGAACGGCAACTCCTCGAAGTGCATCATCTGATGGCCTAAGGCAATAATCTTTGGCGACGCGCTTCACGTCGCCCACTCGAGCTTTGAGTGAGGTACATGCGCCTCGTAGATCCCTTGAAGGACAATCTTGCATCCGTTCAGTCGCCACGATGGCACAAGCTGCTTCCCTGTACCGTCGAGTGCCCCTCGCACCCTCTCCGGTTTCTCCCTCTCACGTCCTCCACATCGACACTTCCCATGCTCGCACCTCTTCGCTCCGTGCCGGCACAAAGCGACCTTTCGATGCCATTGACTCCCACAACGAAGAGAGCTACACTCGTGCACACCTTGCCACCGATGCCTCCATCTTCTTCCGCTCCACCCTGTGCTCCCCGCGCTCCATACTCTGGCGTATGTTGGATGAGCGCCAAATCCTCGAGATACAGGCGGTGGATCTGGTGAAGCGGCGCAAACGTGACGACCAAGCTTTTGCGGATAGTTGGCTGACTTTCCGCATCAACTGTCCGGATGGCATAGTGGAGCAGGGAGTTGCGTTCGCAGACGCAGAAGAGACGGATGCGCTTGAGGCGTTTGTGCTGACGAAAGGCAAGGAGTTGCTGACTATCACGTTAAAGCGGGATCTACTCACCCGCCCAAGCGTGCCGGCGGAGTTCGACCCGTCGACGTGCGTGAACAGATATACGAGCAGCTTCCTGAGCGTACGACAACCCTACCGCTTTTTCGCGGTCAACAACCACACTCTCCTCATCTCACTCACGGATGGCGGACTGGTGCGCCTAGAACGCTCAGCTGGAACGGGAGCGCAATGGCGCGAGACCTTTTTCAGCGAAGGCGGGTGGAGAGGCACGCTTACGCTTAAAGGCTTCAATCCTTTCGCGGCTAGACAGAGTGTGCGGTACGGACAATTGGAGCTGGAGGTGACCACCATTGTAGACATGGCTGAGTCGCCGGATGGCAAGTACGTTTGGACTGTGAGCTTGGACTACAAGCTTCGAGCTTGGAGTACGGCGAGTGGGCAGGTGGTCTTTGTGCGAGATCTCTTGGGGGTGGAGGACCGAGGCAAGCAGCATCTAGTCATGGCTGCTGAGCAAGGCAGGCTGCTGCAGATCGTCACGCCTCCTAGTCGGGAAGTGGTTCGCGCAGGCGGAGATGAGAATAGAGCAGGATACGCCGTTGCGGTGCATTCGCCGAAGGAACATCGCTTCCGAATCTATGAGGTCACTCAAAATGCCACGGCGGAAGGCGAGACGATACAGCTGCGCGACCTAGCCGCCGGCACTCGGCTGGTCCCACCGTTTGAGGAGCTCATGAACACGAATATCTGGCTCCTCGAGTCTTTCTACCTAGTTCCCGGAACCGGATGGGCGAGCACGCAACTCTGGATACAAGCGCGGAGTGGTGCACTATGTAGGACGTTCAAGCTTACCTTCGACCTGCTCTCGGAAAACGGTGAGCCAAGTGCCGAAGATCTCGCAGACACCTGGAGCAAAGGTTGGTCCGTCGTCGGGGCCGGCGCCCATACTACAGAAGATGTAAAACGCAGCGACGATTACCCAGGCGGTTTGACATACAGCGCAGACAGCGCACTTACACCTAGCGAGAGATGGCTTGCATATCTATTCCGCCCAAACCGCTTCAGTCATGCTTCGCTCGAAACAGCCCTCCACGTCTACTGCAAAGCCCGCGGCGCGAGCACCAAAGCTGGCGCACTCACTAAAGGTGGTCTGAAGAAGTCCGAGCAACCACTTGAAGAACGCCTCGTCTCGTCAATCACAAGTAAAGTACTACTTCACCGGCTGCCCAACGAGCAGCAGCCGGACTACGCGCGGTATCGGCAGGACATCCAGGCTCAGTGGGTGCAGTACCATACCGTGCTCATGGACCTGCATGCGCGACGGCAGGAAGTACTTGCGCTGGCGTTCGACACGGAAGAGCGCTTGCCATGGGTAGTTTGCTCAGATTTTGTGGCATCAGTCCGGGCGCTGAGCAGTATGGAAAGAAGGAGCGCTAATACCGATTTGCTCTTTGGTGACCGCCATCATCATGTTCATCCTGACGTCTTCGATACCATCTATCCTTCGAAAATGGACAAGCTTGAGGGAGCAGGAGACATGGATATAGCTCGCCTCTTGCACGCCGCGCGAGAGTTGCGCCGCGCCCTTTCAACAACAGCGAGGACTAAGTTCGCCGAGATGGCGCGAACGGAAGCGCTCAACTTCCGAGGACAGCGGGAGGAAGAAGTAGAAGAAGAGGACTACGTGATGGACGAGTCGTTCGCGCCTCACCGCCACGCGCTGGCTATGTTCGACAAGTGCAATCTCGAGACTGAGATCAGCGACGAAGACTTTGACGTTCTCAGCGCCTCTGTCGATGCGCTGGGCGGTCTAGGCAGCCTGCCCACCTCCATCTTCCTTGACTTGCTCTCCTGGCTCGATGAGCGGCCCACAGGAACGCAAAGAGAAGGCCAAAAGCATGAGCTCGCGCGCTATGGTGCTGCGCTCACAGTCCAGATCACGGAAGAGTTCCTTGCGGAAGCGCGGGGTCTGCTGCTAGACGTGCTGGTGTTGGTGTCGTTCATGGCTGGCGGACTGGAGCCTGGCGGGCTAGACGAGCAGTTCCGGGCCGATACTGTGTTTGAGGAAGCCATGGGACGGTTAAAGCGTACCGAGCTGCTTATGTGGTTGGTGAGTCGGGAAAGGGGGAAGCGTAGTAAACTCGCCTCGTCTGATGATGGGGGGGTGGTGATGGACACAGTAACTTTATTCGAAGACATCTGTATCCCGGAGTGGGAGGCTACTTGGGCGGCGAATGAGCAGCGACAGGACGACATGCCAACCTTACTGACGCAGTGGACCGCGCATTTCGCACAAGGACTGCTGTTCGAACCCCAGCGCTGGCCAAGCGCAACCGCACACATCCTTTCCCACCTCATCAAAGCGGAGGAAGTCGACCTCGCAACGGAATTCCTGCAGTTTTCCGATCGCTCGACGGACTGGCTCGTCTATCTCACCGCCCGCCTTTACCTGCTCCGCGGCGACTACACGCGTGCAAGCCTCGACTTTCGCGCCGCAGCCAGCGACCTAGCCGTGCAAGCGCCGCAAGATACAGCCCACCTCATTCCCGCCCACGAAGCCGAGGGCACCTTCGCCTCCGGCTCGGCAGCATACTACCAGCACGTCATGGCCCTCTTCGAGAAGATGAAAATCTACTCATACGTCGCTGACTTCGCCTATCTAGCGCTGCAGCATACGGATGAGCTACCAGATCTGGAGCGTTCAATGGCCGAATTGGACCAGCGGAAGAGCGCTGCGAACAGTCCGGCTATGGAGCGTTTGTCGGCGGCGGAAGAGGAGACGAGGCTATTGCGCCTGAAGGACACGAGGGATGAGATGTTGAATCGCTTATTCAACGCGCTAGTGCTTACGGGCCGGTACGCGGACGCGTACGGAGACGCTTTGACGAAGTTGGCGGATCCGGCGCTGAAGAAGGCGGGGTTGAAGAAGTTGGTTGAGGCTTGCGTGAAGAGCGAGATGGTACCCGTCCTTCTCGCATTACCGTTTGATGAGGAGATGGGCCGCGAGACGGACAAAGGCCTGGCGGAAATGGCGAGGAAGGAGCTCGCGGCTGGTGGACCGACGACCACGCTCACGCCGGCCGCTTACCAGATTCTCTACGCTTTTCGCACGCAGCGATCAGATTTCCGTGGCGCGGCGGAGATCTTGCACGAGTACTTGCAGATGCTCCTGCATTCGCCGGCGCAGAAGTACGCGGTGCAGGATCCGGAGGACGAGACAGTGTTGCAGTGCTATGCCTTGCTCATCAACACGTTGGTTTGTTGTGGGGAGGAGGATGCGTGGGTGCTGGCGCAGACGGATGGGAAGAATGGAGCTGCAGGTGGTAACGGGAAGAGGAGGTTGGTGACGCTGGCAGATGTGAGGGGGGAATACGGTGCTGAGATGGATCGGAGGAGTGAGGTGTTATTGGGGAGGTTTCCGTTGGTTGGCGGCGGTGGTTAGGGGCAGGCTATGGATGTATTGTGAACCTGGGGACCTTTCGTTGGGAGCAGTGGTTGTTTGAACACAGCAAAGTCATATGCTGAGTTGTTGGGACTGAAACAGCAAGCCGGGTACAACGTGCGCTCACACGCTCAGAAAGATGCTGATACACCGGCGGTTCAGGCACGCTTTGGAAGCACCTCAGGCTTGCACATGTCGAAGAAGCAGATTCACGAGCTCGGTCAGTCGTCCTCCACCATACCATACCCACCTCCAGCGCCAACGCAATGCTTCGTAAAAGCGTACAGAACAGAATGAATCCGGAATTCGGTTTCCACATTCGAGCACACATAGCTTAGTCCTTGTCGAGGTCCTTCGGACTCGGATCGCCTATCCCGTCCTCGTTGATAGCGAACATGCAATCGCTCTCGGGCAAGCACGGCGAATCGTAGATTTTACATATCCGCGTCTCACCTCGCCCTTTCTTGAGCGACAATCTCGTCGTCGAGGCATGCGCGATAATGTTGCCACCAATAGGCTTCTTTGGGTCCGGGTTGAACATCGCAGAGGGTCCGCCGTCAACTTGTGCAACAACTTGGTTCGTGATCACTACCGCGATGCCGAATTCGTCGGCTAGACGCTGGAGTGTCCGCATGAACTTCGCCAGGTGGGTTTGGCGAGATGACAGTTCGCCTCGGCCCATGAAGTCAGTTCGGTAGAGGGAGGTGGCGCTGTCCACGACAAGTAGCGAGAAGCGCGTCTCAGTCATCATCTGAGCGGCCTGGTTGAGAAGCTGTAACTGATGGTCCGAGTTGTACGCTCGCGCGTATGCCACGTTATCCAATACCTCCTCCCCGCTCAGACCGTAGCGATTGGCCACGCTAAGCAATCTAACGGGCCTGAACGTGCCTTCCGTGTCAATGTACAGACACTTACCCTCGCCGCCACCCATGTCAAACGGCAACTGGCAGGTCACAGCGAGCGTGTGGCAGATTTGCGACTTGCCTGTCCGGAACTCACCGAATATTTCGGTTATGCTGCCGGTCTCTATCCCACCGGCAAGCAGAGTGTCTAATTGTTTGGATCCGGTGGTGATGGAGATGAGCTCGGAGCGGCGGGCATGCATTTCGGTGGCGGTGGTGAAGCCCATTGGTACGAGCTTCGAGGCTGTAATTTGATTAGCACTCCCACGTACTGGCATGCTCCTTCTGTGCGCACCTTCTGTTAGTATCTTTGTCGCTTTCTGCTCGGATATGCCTTTGATCTGCTCGAGGGCCTTCTTCGGCCTGCCAATCTCTCGATTAGCCATAACTCCTCGTTCTCCCAAACGCCCTGGGCTAGTACACACGTATAAGCTACGCTCTCCACCGTGTTATACCCGCCATCAAGGAACAGCTGGATGTCCCTCTTCGTCAAGCCCGCCACGCCCTCCAGCGCTGATAGTGGCGTTGGCGCTCCGGGCCCGCCAGCCAGGCCATCCTCGTACCCCGATTGCGACTGCTCCTCTTCTGCACTCATCGCGACCGTGACGGGGCGGTATTGTAAGTGGAGTGGTAAGGAAGCAGATCGGAAGCGGTTGGAGAGACGTTAAGTCGAGACTCGACGCGCTTGGGGAAGACGCGACGGTGGCGAAAGCGGGAGCTTCCGCATCGCGCTAGGAGACACAGTCACGAGGCGCTTGACTACTGTAGTGTCAACTTCCGTTCAATATTGACCAAACGGCCGCCGACCATGACAATGCAGCTCTTCGTGGGTGTGATGCAAAGACTCAGCGTGGGCTGGGCATTAGTTCGATCCTCTTGCCTCACAGGGAAAAATGCCTGCTTACTACGTCATGGCACATGACCTGTAAACAGCCGCGAAAGTCAATTCGACGTCCTGCAGGTCCTAGATGCTTATACCATTCCGCTTCCGCACATAATCGAGTTGTTCTAGCAGACGCGCTCATTCCGTCCCTCAGCTTGCCATATTGTTGACGGGCATAATGGATGTCAGTACAGCTCAAGTCGCATCTCTAAACTCACACTAATCACCTTTCAGGTCTTCCACACCTACTCCCTCACAACCTCCGCCTACCTAACCCTACAATCCCTCCCGCTTCTCCTCACACCTGGCCTCATCATCTCCCTCCTGGCCTCCGAGCCACGGCGCATGACGGACCTAGAAGCATATCTCTGCCGCACCCTCGCCTTACTCCTCCTCGCCTTCGCAGCTCTGAACCTCCTCCTCTCCGGCAGCGTTCCGGTCGCAAATAGCTGGGACAGCATAGGCCACGCCACCCCCGCCGCCCCCGCCAACCCCGCCGATGCGGAGGACAGGAAGGTCTCCGATGCGTATGCCGTCCCGACGGCGGTCGTGACGACGACTTATCATGCGGTCACGGCGTTTTACATCTACATGCACCTGACCTACCGCCGCTCCGGGTCTTTCGCGTTGTCGAGTGGGATAGCGTTCAGTGCTGCCTTGTTCTGCTTCGGGATCTGGGTGCTACTGTTCGGGAGTGAGAAAGGCCGGTTCAGCAAGAAGACAGGCGCGGACAAAAGGACGGGCAATTTCCCGTTCGAAAACAAGGAGTCTGCGAGGGAGGTCAAGAAGGAGGCGAGGAAGGAGGACAAGGAGAAGAATAGAAGTAGTCTTGGGAGTGGGTTTGGTAGAAGGAGTGTGGCTAGAGGGAAGGCATGACTGAGACCCGGATTCGTTTCCTCTTCATCCTAATGCCGAATGTCGAATGGTGGTAGTAGTGCGACAAGCTTTACCGCCCACTCATTCCCATCAACGCGCCCACCGCATCCGCTTCGGCCTCGGCTTCGTCTCGTTGCTTCTGAGGCGTGTTATGCGCACTACCCTTCACTGCTTCCCTCTCCGCCCGCAAGCGCTCGAAATGCGCCATCTGATCGCCAACAAAGTTGTCATACGGATCCTGGTCCCCATCAAACCCGCCGCTTTTGCCAGTAGGGGGTGGCGAAGGGGTGCGCTGGTCGTCGTCATCCATGGGCGCGGGTGTTTCGGGTAGCTGATGATGCTGCGCTAACCCAACAGCGTGCTTGCGTTCATCGTCCATTCCACCATCGTACGGCGCAGGAGGTAAACGTCGGGTCTTCCACGGCGGCTGCTCCGGGACCCAAACGATGGCACCGCCGCCCTCGACGTCGTCCGCCATCTTGTCTATCACCTCCTTACTTGTTCCCTCCACGATGCCCATCTCCAACTCCCCCTCCATCACCCCGTCGAGGAGGATCTCTTTCAATTGCCATTCTTCCTTCCGCACCCGCTCAAGCACCTCACACTCCCGCGCCAACTCCACCGCCTCCTGCTCCGCCCAGTGGATCTGCCGGCGTAAGAGTCGCATGAGCGAGTCGGCCGGGATGCTGCTCTCCCAACCCGTGAATTGGATATCGGGCGGGTAGTGGATCATGAAGCCCGGCTGCCCAGTCAAAGGATGGTGAGCCGGGATGTAGGTGATATTGTCGCTTGGAGGCGAGATATGCAGGTCGTCGAGGGCTGAGTCCGGATCGGAGAGTTTCGAAGCGCCATTCGTGAGCTTCAGCTTGATGTTCTTGCCCTTCGGATTACTATTGCTCTCGAACATTGAGCTGCTTGCAAGACTGCGCGGAATCTCCGGCTCATGTACAGTCCGCATATGCTTCGCGAGCGCATCCGAGCGCGTGAAGGCTTTGTCGCATTCCGGTAGAGCACAATAGTACGGTTTCTCCTTTGTATGCGAGCGCATGTGCGCTTTCAACGCATAGCCGCTGGGGTGGTTGCTCGTCTTACGCTGACACTCGTCCCATTCGCACACGTACTTGGTCCGTTTCGGTCCGCCAGTCGCGCAGTGTGTTGCCTGGACGTGCCGCACGAGGTCGTCATTGTTTTCCGCGTAGCCGAAAGGACAGTCGCGCCAGAGACATTGGAGCTGCGCTTCGGCGTGTAGGGCGTATTCGTCGTGAGAAGGGGAGCCAGGGCCGGAGCTAAAGTTGTCCGAGGAGAGGGAGACGGCATCGTCGTCGAGGATGGTCAGGTCGGCGGCATCTGCTTCCGGCTGGACATGGGTGGTTTTCCGGCGTTTGGAAGGCGGAGGGAGAGGATCGGTGGTAGGATGGGAGATGTCGACGCTGGGGCGGGAGGAGGGGTTGGCGAGGCTGAGTTGGTCATCGTCGTGCTCGACGTCGATGGAAGGCGGGTCGCTGAGGTCGGAGGAGGGCGGCGAATCATTCGTATCCGCCATTGTGGATATGTATTCTTGCGATGACTGGCCCAATGCTTCGCTGTAGCATCGATGGATGTGCTAGCTAAGCAAGGTGCACAGGCCAAGATTGTGCGTTAGGTAGGTTTGAACATTCGAAGCTCGAGCGTCTCACGAGCAATCACTGCCAGAAGCACTAACTTCTTGTCGACCTAAAATTTACTGGCAGTGTCAGGTGAGCCTCGACCAGAATCTCCTCTACCTCTACATGATGAACATAGAGAATTCTGCAATGCTGACGGTTCTCTCGGGAACCGCATGCGGATTATTCCAAAACTACACTTGATCTGATCACCACTCTTCCACCACTGGAGAAGCCTAGCGGCATCACTTTTTACCTGGACCACTCGGCTAACAGTCTATAGTGCATGTACATACATAACCCGCTCGAAAGCGCTTCACCCAACGGTTCACAACTCCCACTCAACGCTCACTTCTCCTCCAGCGGCGGCGAGTTGCCGAAGTTCAACTTCGAATGCCCTTCCGGATACCTTCCTCCTTCGATCTGCACAGTCGCTAACAAACTATCAATCTCCTTCACATCGTTCGCGCTCAACTCCACCTCTGCACAATTCTCCGCCACTCTTTCCGGCGTTGTCGCGCCAGGAATAGGAATGATCACTGGCAACCCTTCCTTCCCGCTCTTCGCCTTGATCCACGCAATGGCAATCTGTCCCGACGTGCAACCCTTCCGCTGCGCAAGCTTTTGCATCTCATTCACAAGTTGCAGGTTCTTGTCGAAGACGTCCGGCTGAAAGCGCGGGTAATGTTTGCGCAGGTCGTGCTCGTCGAGATCATCGTAGGACTTTATTTGGCCGGTCAGGAAGCCACGACCCAGGGGTGAGTAGGCCACTATTGGGATCCCTAGTTCTGCACAGGTGGAGGCTACGCCGTTATCGAGGATCTCCGTAGACCAGAGGCTGAATTCTACTTCGACGGCGGAGATGGGTAGGACTTTGGAAGCGCGACGGATGGTCTCCGCCGAGCACTCGCTGAGGGAGACGCCGCCTAGCTTACCGGCGTCAACAAACTCCTTCGCCGTGCGCATGGTGATCTCAACGGGCGTCTTCGGATCCACACGGGCCGACTCCCAGATATCGAGCTTCTTGCCCGCTTTACCGAGCATATCGATACACTCCTGGATACTCCTGCGTGTGTTCTCCGGAGATCCGTTGGGGACGAGCTCGCCACGGTTGCAGCCACCCTTGATCGAGATGACGACCTTACTAACGTCATCTGGGAATTCGGTGAAGTATTCCTGCAGTAAGTGAAGACTGTTGCGATCAGCGTTTCCGTAGATTTCGCCACCGTTCCAGAAATTGGCACCGTGTTTAAGTGCTTCTTTCATCGCAGCGAAGGCTTGCTCCTGAGGCGGTGGGTTCGCGCGCCAGGTGAGACCCATTAGGCCGTAGCCGGTGCTGTGGACCTTGTGGCCGGTGATGGTGAGAGAGGAGTCGCTCATGCCGAGCATGCTTTTCGCTGTGTCCATGATTTGGGATGCCATATCTGCCGCGTCGATACTGAATGGTGTTACTTCGCTCTCTGGTTGCACTTCAGACTGCGCCGCTATGGTTGCTTAGAAGTCCAGTGCTTTTATAGGAAACTTCGATGCCGCCAAGTCAGCCTGTAGCCTTGGCGGCGATGGTAGGATTGATGATGGTGACGGAGTCAAGACCCGGCGATAAAGTCCGTACGTTATTGTCTCTGGTGTTTGGAGGTAACATAGATGCAGCTCAGCACAGTTCATGTTATCGTTTGCGGACGTAGTGATGGTGTAAAATCCGACTATGCCCCATACCAGCGACTCCATGATGCAATGCGCCAATCAATCCCAATGGCGTCTTGGCATGCTAACATTGACTTTTCGTGCCTGCCAACATATCATATCCGCCCAGACTTTCTTGGAGTGTCAAGGGAGGACTCGAATAGAGCACAAGCGTCGTCACAAGAGGTTGCCCATCAATGGGCACGAGTTCAAGATGCGAAGGCCGTTGTCAATGAAGTACTCACTGCTCCCAAACGCTACACTGCAAGCGGGCACAGCTATAGTGTGCATGGTAGCGGTGACTCTGGAGACGGTTGTGAGGAGGGCCAATGGACAAGAAACTCTACATGCAAGCTGATGATACACTGTACAGCATGCCTCGACGCTTACAACTTCGTGTACACAGACTGTGAGATTGGGAAGGGAGGAAGCGAGAGCGGATGTCAATTACTCCTGCCGCTTATCGATACTCTTAGCCAGTACATTACTCGCTAGAGTCACGCTAAGCTTTACGGAAGGCTCTAAGTCTTTCTCGCTCGAGTCGCGCTTCACGTTGACTAAACACATCGAGTCGGCGTCGCTGCTGCTGCTGTCAACACCCCATTTCCGGAGTGTAGTGTACTAACATCATCCTCTCAATAGCTAAGGATACCAGCACAGCAATGGCGTCGGGAATGCGTGAGCCGTTCCCCACGGAACCGGGAGACTTTGACCAAGACACTCGCATCAGCTTCGACAAGAATGTAGACACCTACGTCCTCGAAGCCGGAGACGGCACGGCATGGGAGTGGGTGGGAAACAGGCAGAAATGGGTTCCAGCGGTACGCATGCCCCAGAACACCCCTGCAATGCATGGGCTCTGGCCTGCGAATAGACTGCCAAATCCGGAAGTCGCGGTCTCCTCCTAACGCATACGACGTTTAGATGAACGAAGAGGAGATCGAAGCCCAGCGCCAAGCCTATAAGGTCGAGGGTGTGGACGAGAATGAGCCGGCAATGGACCTGATGGCCAAGAAGCGCAAAGCCCAGCACGACGGTGACAACACTGATGCAGTAAGTACTCTGACTGCTTGACAGTTGGTAGGTAGCAGAATGAATACTGACTTCGCCAGACCACCAACGCCCGGCCTGTCGCCAAGAAGCAGAAGCCGGAAGAGACGCGGAAGGAGCGTCCGAATACCGCCATCTACGTGACTTCCTTACCAGACGACGTCGACATCGATGAGCTGCATGACAAGTTCTCTCGTTATGGAATCATATCGGAGAACCTCGAGACCAACGAGCCGCGCATCAAGCTCTACTATGACGATGACGGCAAATTCAAGGGCGAGGCTTTGATCGGTAAATCTTTGTGTCAACACTGTTTCGCGTACAAGTGTACGCTAACGCGAGACAGTCTACTTCCGCCCAGAATCTGTCAAAATGGCTATCGACATGACTGACGAGTCCGACTTCCGCCTGGGCCAAGCACTTCCCACCGGACCCATGCGCGTTCACGAAGCCGACGCTAGCTTCAAGTCACAGAAGGAGAAGCCGCTCGCTACCGACGAAGCGAAGAAGAAGGGCACGACCGCTAATCGCGACCGTGAGAGGGTCATCAAGAAGACCGAAGCCATGAACAGGTTCGCTCAAGCGCGTTACTCTTGGCTCATTCACATCACTGACCTTCCCTCTCCAGCCGTCTCGCTGACTGGGACGACGACGACCCGCAAGCTCTACCGGACACTTCCAGCCGCTGGGACAAAGTCGTCATCCTCAAGGGGATGTTCACATTGGAAGAGCTGAAGGATGATCCACACGCAACATCCGACATCAAAGCAGACGTTACCGAAGAAGCCGAGAAGTTCGGCACCGTCTCGAGCGTAACACTCTACGACAAAGAGGAAGCTGGCGTTATGACTGTTCGCTTCACCGATGCTAGGGCCGCTCGCGCGTGTATCGATGTCTTCGACGGTCGCAAGTACGCTGGGACGAAAGTTCAGGCATACACCGCCGACGGCACGGAGCGTTTCAAGAAAAGCTCTCAGCGTGAGGTCGACGAGGCTGGAGAGGCGGAGAGGTTGGAGCGGTTCACCCGCGACTTGGAGGAAGAGGCCTAGTGGGTCCCTTCGAAGATGATCTCGGTCAAAGGGTAGCAACGGGTGAATGCTGTGGAAGCACTGACAATGGTGGCATCGCAGAGCGACGCCGGCAGCAATCCAACGTGCTACGATACAGCACATTGCATACCGAAGCCACAGGCAATGCTTGCAAAGCTTGCATAACTCATGCATAGCATAGCGACATACCTACGGCACATACGGAAGGAGCACTTTTCGGTCGAACGCCAGCACGCGTTGCGGCTCTTCACACAGCGTGATACTGTACAATATGTACATAATACCGCATTCAGCGGCAACAAGCTATTCTTCAAGCCTGCTTTCGCGCCTGCTCCTGTCGGGCTTGCAATCCTCCAACTCCTGGTTCATCCGTCTGAACCTGTCATCCCGCGCTTTAACGCTGCCGCATAATCACATTCGCCGTCAAAATCTACATCGTCTTCTCGACTTCCCGCTATGTCCGCCTGGCCGGCTGTTCATGATCCTCCAAGCCTCATCAATGCAGCAAGGCATCGTCTCTTTGCATATGCACTTCTCACGCTTCGGACGGCAGCCGCACATGTCCGCTATCCCTCTTAGAGCCGGCTAGTCAGGCAGCCTGCCCGACCCCTGGCACGCCTTCGTGCTGATAGTGGTAGTGATCCATGTCCTCGCGGTTTAGGTTGCGCAGCGGGTAACTATTGCGACCCATACCCTTCTCGGGATGCATCATCGTCCCCTGGCTGTGGCTCCGCTGGCTTGCACCATCGTCTCCGTCCTCGAACACCTCGTCCACGGCATGCGCCGGATCGCGTGGCTTGACTTCACGGATCAGCTCTACGTAGTCATACGCGAACTCGCCGATCTCCACGTCGTCAATGCCGGCTTCTTCTTCCTCTTTGCTCACGCGGAGGCGGAAGATGGGGAACCACCGGCCGATGAAGGACATGGCAAAAAGGATGGCGGCGGAGACGCAGAAGGAATAGGTCATTCCTACCACGCTGTCGCAGAGCTGTATTGCGAGTTGAATCCAATGTCTGTTCACCCAGCCGCCCTGGATGACGGTGTAGCCATCCAAGTGCGCGATATAGTCTGATGCGAAAAGGCCGGTGCAGAGATTGCCGATCACGCCTCCGACTGCATGGACCGCAAAGATGTCGAGAGTGTCATCCGCGGACATCCAGAATTTGAGCTGCGTGGCGAAGTTGCAACCTACGCCAGCACACGCGCCGTATATTATGGCGGCCCAAGGTGGGACGTAACCGGAGCCTGGAGTTATGGCGACTAAGCCTGCCACGACGCCGGAGCAGAAGCCCACCGTGGACCACTTGCCTTCGAGCCGTGAGTCCACGAGACACCAGGTGATGCCACCCACGCATGCGGCCAGGTTTGTGACGACCGCGGCCATGATGGCCCGCATGTTCGCGCTTAGAGCTGAACCGGCGTTGAAGCCGAACCAGCCCACCCAGAGAAAGACCGTGCCAATCACGATGTGTGTAACATTGTGCGGACGGTAATTCAAGACGTGCGTGTTGAAGCCGCTGCGCTTGCCGAGGACGTATGCGTAGGCCAGGGCGGCTGATCCGGATGAGATATGAACAGGAGTGCCGCCAGCAAAATCTAGGCCGCCGAGCTTGTAAACCCAGCCGTGCGGGTTCCACGTCCAGCAGGCGATTGGATCGTATACTATCGTTGTCCAAACGAACATGAAGACTACACAAGGGAACATGCGGCCACGCTCTGCGACTGCACCGACTGCGAGAGCCACACTAAGCGCGGAGTCAGTACGTATGTCGACGCTCTGGTTTCGGCGCGGAAACTCACGTGATAGCAGCGAACATGCCCTGATACACCGCGAACATAAGGTCAGGTATTCTCGCGCTTCCGACGCTAGGCTGAGCCAGGACATTATGGAAACCAAAGTTGTCAAGTGTGCCAATGAAGGGTCCAGCTTCGTGTGAGAAGGCTAATGAGTAGCCCCAGAAGAACCACTGGAAGGTCGTGACGGCTGTGGCCATGACAGAGAGCCATATCAGCGAGAGTGCGGACTTCCGGCGCGCAAGACCGGAGTAGAAGAACCTGGTGAATTGTCAGTCACCGTCACTGGGTTGCGCAGCTCTACGCAGCGGACAGAGAAGCTTACCCAACACCTGGAATCATGAGTAACACTAACGCGGTAGATGTAAGCATCCACGCAATGTCGCCGCTCTCGTAGAAGACGTTAAGGTCCTGGATGAGTGAGTTGCCGCCTGTCGGTATAGTGCCATTATATGCGACGTAAGGAACGTAAGGCAGATCGCCAACCTGCGTGCTGCCCGAAGAGTTGATCATTTGCGACATGGTGTGTAGTTAAGCTGAGCGCACGAGCGCCAGCGATTATGCGTGAGAGCTTGTACAACCAGAAATGGACGGAGGGTTGTCCTTGCCCGCTCGTGGGAGGTTGATAGATCTAGGTAGTTGGTAACAAGGTTAAGGAGATCGAAACGGTCCTCAACTTGTTGGTGCGAAACCTTTTTCTAAAGCTAGAGCGGCACCGTGGGGACCGTTGATGCCGATATAATGGCGTGGATGTTTGCTGCTTTGTTCCTCTCACCGAACACAATAGCGGAACGGGTCAGAAGGAGGATGGATTTCGAGCGCACAACGGAGGTGATCTACCGAAGTGTAGTGTGCAGATGCCAGGGCCATGGGATGACGCCAATGCAGGTCCCAAGTACGGCACCACATGCTTATGCACCGCGGGACCTGGACCTGTACGAGATCGTGGCCGCACATCCACCTCTGCTGCAGCACATCTCCGCCCCAAACAGCCCGCCAGCAGATTTCGAGCCCGGAGGATCCTGCGTGACAAATTCGGCGAATGGCGTTGCATAGTCCTATCAAACAACCAGCTTGCAAAGGGGCTCATCACGCAATCACGCATGCAAAGTACTGCAGCGTGGGTAGGGCTAGAAAGCCCAGGCTCGTGCGCTTCAAGATAGGCGTGCAGAGTAGACGAATGAGGAAAGCGTTCCTGGCGTTAGCGTTGTTGATCTTACTGAAGGTTGAAACTAAGTGGCGTTCCGGCGCCGCGCGCCCGGACATCACACGCTTTGTGACCCCCACAGGCACAATCCAGCTTTTCGACACAAAAGCACAAATCACCTCCTACCCTTAGATGAGGGCAATGCAAGTGCGGACGTCACTCGCAGCTCGAACCATGCCAAGATGTAAAGCGGCCTTACACCATGGAGAATGCCTCGTGGCCATGGACGGACGGCAACCCGCAACAGAGGAATCTACATCTTCTACCACGTGCACCTCCCGGAAGCCTAGCGCAGGTAATCGGAACGACTGGCGTTGAAAGCTGCTGTTCTGTTTGTATATTTGAAGACCCTCTGGAAGATCGTATGCATTATGCCTGACTATATAGATATAACACGCGAAGTCGAATGCAGCTTAATAGCAACGCTCGCAACCTTTTCGTCATCTCTCATGCCTTGATGTACTTGCGCAGAAGGATGTGCGCAGCGATGTACATGATGATGCCGAATGCGCACATGCCAGAGATAACGCCAAAGCCAAGCAGATACTTCGGTGCATCTTTGGTAGGGAACTAGGTATAGCGTCAGCGACAGATCATGCGTCATGAGTTTCACGAAAGGATGTACCAAATAGGCACCATAGATCTGTGCCAGATTGCCCAGCGCATTGACCAGCGCGAGAGAGACGGCACGAGTCTCTTGAGGCATCGAACCGAATGTAGAGGCCGCGTACGACAGAGCCAGACCGTTGCTCGACCACAAGCCGGCTGCCATGAACACTAGCAGCACATAGCGAGCCTTGAAGTTGTAAACGACGCAGATCACGATAGAGCAGATCATCGACAGAGTGAGCCAGGCTGCGATAATTGCGCCGCGCTGTCGTGGGAACATGTCACTGAAGTATCCGGTTACGGCGACGCAAACGAAGGCCACGGCGTAGATCGGCACGACCATGTACTGCGCCATGTGCGAGGTGTAACCGAGACCCTTAACAAGGGTAGGGTAGAAGTACGAGAGCGTGGAGGAGCCGACGATGACCATATAGCCAGCAACGAATAGCCAGGTGCGCCAGTTGCGGACGGACTGGCCAAGCGCTTGCAGCGAGGTGAGGTGAGGGCTGTCTTCGGTCCTGCCGTGAACATCATCGGCCTCCAGGCGGGAGATGGCGAGCTCGCGTTCGCGCTCTGTAAATTTCTTGCTGTTTGCTGGAAAGTCTGGAAGTATGACTGAAAAAAGTATTAGCTCGAACCGGAGTGATATGGAGGTCCCCAACATACACGCTGAGATGATGGCCCATCCTACGGTGGCAGCACCCTCGACAATGAATAGCCATCGCCAGCCCCTTAGTCCGTGGGCGCCTTCAAGGCCACCAGTAATCGCACCAGCGATGATCCCTCCGAACGCACCTGACAAGACCGCAGCGGAGATGTATACGGCGAAACGCTTGGATTGCTCGTTCTTCTTGTACCAAGATGATAGGATGAGGAGGATGCCGGGCGCGAAGCCTGCCTCGAGCATGCCGATGATCGTCCGGAGGGCAACGAGCTGACCGTACGTCTTGACCAGGGACATGCAGCATGTCGCAACGCCCCAAAGCGTCATGATAACGGGCAGGAAAACCGAAGGCTTGGTTTTCGACAAGAGGAGATTCGATGGGACTTCGAACAAAACGTATGTAATCTGAACGAATCCTTAGCGTCCGCAGGAACAGCGCGTCTCGGAGTGCACTTACGAAGAAGACGATGAGTGCTACCGAGTACTGGTTCGAGTCCATCTTCAGATCTGTGGTCATGCCAGCCACTCTGGCGTTACCGATGTTTGTTCTCTATCGTACCGTAAGCAACAGCTCGTCGATTTTAAGGTTAATCAGATAAACATACGTCCATATACGAAAGGAGATACATGATCCATATCGTTGGGAGCAGGTAAAGATCGATCTTTCGAACCAATGCTTTCTCCGCAGCTACCCTGTCCGGGTCCATGCTGTTGCGCTCTTCAACCAGCTCGACGTCCTTCATCTTGACCTCGTCAAAGGACATTGCTATGGCAGATGAAGTACAATGTGTGGAAGAACCAGTGTGACGGGACGTTTCGAAAGGTGCACGACCTTAGCTTAGGTTCAGCAGCTGGGAGTGAAGTTGCAGAGGAGACAACTCGTGCTGACGCTGAAGTCAAAGGTGAGCCCACCCCTTCATGTTATACACATTTCAAGACCCCTAGAGCGGTGCCCTCGGTCATCGGTATTCAAGCCTCCAACCCGGCTGGTTTCTCTCGTGGCAATCTCGTGGAGTGGTGTTACCTCCGCAAATGGCATTGCCCCAGCTTTGCAGGTACGTTGTGACTTGGTCTCTGGTCAGATGCACGTCTACTGGCCACTCACACGTCGTTCTTGAGTCGGCAGAATACCGGACACCCCAGGTTCTGGCGAAGTGGCGTGGAGGAACGAAGCTTAGCGGGCCTGGACGACTGGCTTGACGGACAGCGCTCGTCTCGAGGCTGCTCGTGGCGAGGTTGCACAACGAGCCTACTTCGGTCACATGGTTGCGTGTTGTGGCATTGACCTCCGAGCTCCAGGTCAAACCTGCAACCGACTTGGCGAAGATATCCTGGATGCTCGCGAGACTGGACTGACCCGTCTCGGGCCTACGATCTCCGCAAGACTGCCTTCTGAAGCGGACATCCTATTCGCATCTACCCTGTTACAGTACCTACCTCTCCATGTGGAGTACCTAGCTGGACCGACCTCGCAACTGGCTTGGGTCATGACCTCTGATCCTTGTGATGCAGACACGAGGCGGGTACACTATGCTTGCCTTTCTCTTTTACTGCATGTGTATTCTTCCGCATTATCGAGCTTCTCTTTAGACAAGCCGATTCGGCACTTACCCACGTAGGATACATAAGGTCTCATTACCGGCACAGTAAGTGTCTCGACTGACTCAACCATCTTTTCTACTTCTCTTCGCCGATACTATACGTTATTGTCCCTGCCAGCCACACGCTCATCATGGTTCACGCAGTCTCCCTTGAGGGTAGCGGCCCAACTAACGGCCATACCAACGGTACCAACGGGCACGCCATGGACGATGAAGTAGCAATGCCACGATTGAACACCCTCCCACCAGCCGACATGAACTGGACAATTACTCTCAGAGACAAGGTTGTTGCAATCACCGGTGCAAACCGTGGCATCGGCTTGGGCATTGCAGAAGTCTGCCTAGCAAATAACGCGAAGGCAGTCTACTCGTTAGACCTGATGGACCCTTCCGAGGACTTTGCCGCATTATCGAAGAAGAGTCAAGGGCGCTTTAAGTACAAGCAGATGGACGTTACCAGCGAGGAATCTGTGAAGAAGGCTATCGACGAGATCGTTGATGAGGAGGGTGCAATTCATGGCATGATCGCCAACGCCGGCATGACCAAACATCAGCCAGCGCTAGATTTCACAATGGCTCAAGTCAAGCAACTTTTTGAGCTCAACGTGTTCGGCGCCTGGAACTGTGCAACAGCGGCAGCCCGCAAATTCATCTCGCTTGGCGTCAAGGGCAGCATTGTCTTCACCGCTTCCATGACCTCTTACCGGCCGAACAGAGCTGCTCCATCAGCACCGTACGGTGGTACCAAAGCAGCCGTGCGGAACATGACGCATACGCTAGCGATGGAATGGGCACAGTATGGCATCCGTGTGAACTCTATCTCGCCAGGTAAGCATTCGGCAGCTATGACCAATGTGCCACGGTGTCGCAGCAAGTACTGACACTTCACGTCAATAGGCTTTGTAAAGACCGCTATGACTTACTACGTGGAGAAAGCACCAGACTGGAATCTGAAGATGCAGTACTATGGAGGCATGCCGCGTCTTGCCCTGCCACAGGAGCTGGGTGGTGCATATGTATATCTTCTGTCGGACGTTGCGAGTTATACGACGGGCATTGATATTCCTATCGCCGGCATTGTAGGAGCGTGGTGAAGCAAAGGGCATGATTGGCATTCATCGGCGCCTTGGGATCTAGGACTCAGATGAGATACCAATGGCAGAATTGTAGCTTCCTTGCTCATCACTTTCACAAGTCTTGCTCATTGTCTTGACAAGACGTGGAGGCATGGAGGGCGTTTTGCCATAATGTTATTCAGGCTTATGTGTAGAATAACTCGTCCACCCACTGCAACCTAGACTTACCAGTTATACTGTGTGTAGCATTAATCATTCATGCTGTGGCCTGAGTAAAGGCTTTGAGAGAGCTTGCCGAGTATACAACCACGGCGATCAACCACTCAATGTTCGCCGTCCTTTCGCGCGTCAGAGTATCATCGCCACTACAGATGACCTTCGAAATCCTCAACCTTTCCCTGCGCTACCGCACCTATGCATCCATAGCTCCGTCAGCGCGACCACCTTGTCGACACCTTCCTCCATTAACCTCGTGAGCGGCGTCGAAGGTGCCGCTGCCCTGAGATACTCATTGTAATCGTCAAGAACCAGCTTGTTGACATTGATCTTAGAGACACCGCCTTTGATACATTTCGACATGACATCTTCGGGAAAGTCGTTGGTCCCGTGGAGAACGACCCTCACACCCCTCTTCTTACAATACGCATAGATGGACTCCAGTCGATCATATTCCAATACCGGTCCCCGCTCTCCATACTCGCCATGGACATTGCCGAAAGCGGGTGCGAGAAAGTCAACGCCAGTGTCGATGAATTCCTCAACCTCTTCCGGCGTCGTTAGCATGCCACTTAGGTCAGCTGTGTCAGCAATCCCGTCTTCGCCACCCTCGATGCGTCCGGGCTCGGCTTCAGTCGCGATACCACGCTCGTGACAGTAAGCGACGAGCTCCTTAGTTTTGGCCAGGTTCTCAGCTTTCTCATGGTGCGACATATCAACCATTATTGAGTCGAAGGGAAGATTGTCGGCTGCGTGGCGGACCATGTCCTCGTTTTGGCAGTGATCAAGGTGTATTGATATCGGAACTGTTGATGATCTTGCTGCTATCGCAGCAGTCTCAACGAGAAGACCATTGCTGAAGGTTATTGCCCAAGGAAAGAATTGTAATATCAATGGCGCACGAGTCGATTCTGCTGCGCGAACAAGTGCCAAGATCTGCTCAATGTTGTATCTGCCCTGTGTCAACGCCTGCCTTGAGTGGTACTAATCGTGAAGAGGAAGTCCTACGCTATGGCTGCAATGACCCCATACCCACCCTTCTCAGCTTTGGCGAGAATCTGGGAGGTCTTATTGCTGGACAGCAGTTTTGCAGACCCCATGCTTGCGAAAATTGTTGACAGTGACGGGTGAAACACGAGAACAAGAAATGAACTCACCTCTACCTACCTCCAAGGTCCCAAGCGGGACTTCAAGCAGCTGCGTGTTGCGACTCTTGCCAACCATGTCCGCCTGTACCTGCATAAAGCAGAGTGACGGTTGATGTGGAGTGTTTGGAGCACTCGAGCGGAGGATGCCCCGTCTCGAGCACTGCCAATAGCCGAGGACCATCTATTGGACGAGAACCGCCGAAGGCAGGGGTGCCTTGGTCTGCCGGTAGGGTGAGTGTTCCTACTCGATACCTTCCTTCCTCCGCATCATGACGACCGGATCTTGACAGATTTCTAGAAGCCGTCTCGAATGCATGGCGCATGAGGCGTAGCACCAGCATCGTCCGTTGCGCTCTGTAGTCGACGCGAGGCAATGTCCCACTTCAGCCGGAATGGAAGACACTACTCGGCCTGGGTGATCTGACGGGAGCTGCAGGTGGGGTTCGACCATTCGGGCAATCCATCAGACGGGCAGAGGTAGGGTTGGTTCACGTTCTTGTGGAGCTGGCAAGATGGCGGTCTCGATACCACAGGTGCTCTTCTAAACGACCATTCTCTTTGTCTCCCCGAGCATCATCTCAGCGACGATGAGTACCAAGCACTTCTTCCCTCACACAGAAGGCGTGGTTGTTCAAGGGCTAGAGTCTCTCGTAGCACGAAACAAGCACCTTGCCCTCGATGCACCCAACAAGGTTGTCTATTCACGGACCCACCGTCCGTCGAAGGTCACGGTGATCTCAGGAGGCGGAAGCGGTCACGAACCGGCATGGAGTGGCTACGTTGGGGATGGCATGCTCGCTGCAGCCGTCAATGGGGAGGTATTTGCCAGTCCTTCAACGAAGCAGGTCATGGCAGCTATTAGCCATGTCCCGTCTGATGCTGGCATCATCCTGTGTATCACCAACTATACTGGCGACAACCTGCACTTTGGCCTTGCGAGGGAGAAAGCAGCCGGGATGGGACACAAGGTCGCAATATTGCGAATGACAGATGACGTGGCATTGGGACGGAAACAGACCGAGAACACGGGACGGAGAGGTCTTGCGGCCAATATGTTCGTGCTTAAGCTATGCGGCAGCATGGCGGAGAACGGGTACGACTTTGAGAAGTGCATGCGAATTGGAGAAGCTGTGAACGCGAACGCGGTCACTGTTGGGTCTTCCTTGGATCATTGTCACATACCCGGGCGGGAGCACCATCGTTCAGTTCCAGAAGACACATATGTTCTGGGGATGGGTATCCACAACGAGCCAGGCCTGCACGAGGTGTCTCCCATGCCACCAGTAGAGGAGATAGTAGCGGACATGCTCAAGTACTGCATGGATCCTAACGACAAAGACCGAGCATTTGTGGAGTTTAAGCCGGACGACATTGTCTGTCTCTTGATCAACAATTTCGGCGGCATGTCCAACTTCGAGCTGGAAGCCTTGACGTCTGTGACACGCAGAGTGCTTGACCGTGACTGGAAGATTCAGCCCACCCGGGTTTATGCACAGTGCTTCGAAACTTCGCTCAATGCACCAGGCTGGTCAATATCTCTACTCAACATCACCGGCATCGAGCGTCAGACCAACGCTTCCGTCTTTACACTGTTGCATCTGCTTGACGACGAGACCAAAGCACCCTCATGGCCACGCAACGGTTACAAAGACATGAAAATACCGAAGGAGACCGCCAAAGCTCAGGCGAATGGCGTTGCAGACTCATCTGCACAAAAGGGTCCACAAGTGGATCCGGCCACGCTCGAAGCTGCATTGCGAAAAGCGTGCGAAGACGCTGTGAAAGCAGAACCGGAGATCACAAAGTGGGACGTCCAGATGGGCGACGGCGATTGCGGCGAGGCTGTAGAAGGTATGTGCAAAGGCGTCCTCAAAAAGCTTGACAGTGGGCTGTGCAAAGACGGTGCGCTGTTTCACATCTTGGATGAGACGGAAGGCGCGGTCGAAGAGATTGGCGGTACCCTGGGCGCTATTATATCGATTGTATTGGCATCGTTCACTTCCAACCTAAGGCTAGCATATGCGAAGGACGAGAGTAATTTCAGGATGGACATAAAAAGCGCTAGCATGGCAGCTGGCCAGGCGCTGAAGAATCTGTGCGGTTATACGAGCGCAAGGCAAGGCTCGCGGACGGTCATGGATGCACTGATACCGTTTTGTGAGACGCTGGAAAAAGATGTCGACCTGAAGAAAGCAGTAGAGGCGGCTGAAGAGGGTGCCAAGAGCACATCCGGAATGCAAGCGAAATTCGGCAGAGGTGAGTGCACGTCTGTTGCCCATCATTGTCTTCCCCCACTGACCTCGACACAGCTTCCTACGTTGGTGAGAAGGGTGCAGAAGCATCGCAAGATGCTCCTCCGGATCCTGGAGCAATGGCTGCGGCCATATTCCTACGTGGCTTACTGGACGGTATGCAAAAGTAGTTGGTAACGTCCGCTATACATTCCAAGCATTTGCGTCACACGTATCGCATCCCATGGCTACGGAGAAGGTATGCTTCGAGGATTACATCGCTTACACGCAACGACCGCCATCGACGGGCAAGTCGATACCGGTTAAAAACTCTCCTTCGCTGCTGCACAGGAAAGCGCAAGCATTTGCGACATCTTTCGGCGTCGAACCGCGTCCGAGGGGTACTGTCGCCATGAATTTTTCTTGGTTTTCTGGCTTGCCGAGAAAAAAGTCGGTTCTGAAGCGGCCGTCAGCAATGCGTGGGACCAGACTGGCATGACAGCACTACTCACAAGCCAGTGCCCAACGCTACCACGGGGCACACGGAATTGAATCTGATGTTGTCTGGCGCATATTCCACGCCCATTGTCTTGGTCCCGTTAATCACGGCAGCTTTCGATGCGTTGTACCAAGTCAAACCTGGACGGGGCCGAATACCAGCAGTTGATGCAATGCTGACGAAGGAGCCACCATTACCTTGCTTCTGCATATACGGGACGCACACGTTTGCCGACAGATAGATCGACTTGACGTTTACGGTGAAAACTTTGTCAAAGTCTTCCTCTGTGACATCGGCGGTGGGCTTGCTGGCTGTAAGTCATTTCGTTGTGATTACTACGTTTATGTTCCGACCTACCTTGTTCCTGTAAGTGGTTCCGGCATTGTTGATCACACAATCTAGCCGTCCGAATTTCTCATCTGCCACCTTGACGAGGTTCTCCCAGTCTTGCCTCGACGTGACATTGGCTTTCACAAATTCGCACTTGAGCTCGTCTGCTGTCTTCTTTCCAGCCTCCTCCACCATATCTGCGATGATCACCTCTGCGCCTTCCTGCTTGAACTTGTCGGCGATGCCTTTGCCAAACCCGCCTGCACCTCCTGTGACGATGGCCACCTTCCCAGATAGCTTGCCCGTCATACTGTGCAATTAGTATAATAGTACGATCAACAACGTCGCCGCTGATGTAGGAATGAGATTGAAGAGATCATGTGTCGTCTGCTGCCAGTCCTTACTACTCACCAGATGCCAGACTTCCACTGAGCCATGCAACCCCGCATGTACACACTGCGGGGTGCTGGACGGCGACCTTAGAAGTCGCGGAAATAAGCAGCGAGTGATTGTGTTCACTTCCCATTTGTAGACTGTTAACCGAATTTGTGAGATCCTCGCACGAGTTGGGCCAAGGGAGATGCAATCAAACGCGCAATCAATCTTTCGTATATGTGCTACCATGGATGGCGCTCTGAGGAACGAGCTGCCGTCATCTGCTTGCTCGTCTTACCGTGGCATAGCTCTGAGCGTGACCTGACGTGGCCGACGCGCCGAGCGCAACATACGAGACCCAGGACTGCCTTGCCGAGCACAGTCACGCAATTAGTGGTACTCACAACATCCGTGGTCAATCCCGGCTTTCCCTAAATGGCAGTCCGGGTCCGTTATGGAGGCTCATAAGGGAGCCCGCCACTGCCGCAGACCTACCTGCGCAGGCCTGATTGTACTTTCCGTGTGCCGCTATGTGACGGACTATTGGCCCGCTGCTGTAGGTGCGATACGCGTGCGCTGTGCTGCGCACATGCATTCGCGTCCAGCAGAGTACATGTAGTGCATTGTGAGTGAATCCAGTGCTAGTTACCGCACAATATATTTGGCCGGTACGGAACAGGAGCGAGATCCCGTCGCCATACAAAATAATTGTAGGGTCCCACGGTACCAGTGGTAAGAAGTGCTGTTTTGACGGTGTTGAGATGGCGAAGATGGGGAAGCGAACTGGTGGCCTCTCCGCTGCACAACCCGGGGCGCTGCACTACCCTTAGCCGCTCCAAACGATCGAACCTTAACCGACGTCCGAGGCGATCGCGGCTTAGTCGGGCTTCCCCAACTTTCTCTCGTCTCGAGCACACTCCTCCCCGTCACTCGCCGACAGGACGACAAGATGATGTCGGGTCAAGACAATGCGGCTCCTGCAACGCCTGGAGGCGGAGCGCGTAAACCTAGAAAGTCCCGAGGGCGCGGCTTGCGGACAACCACTGGCTGGTAAGTTCTTACTGTGCTGTGAACCACTGCAGCTGTCGGCCTCCCAACGTCCGAGCAGGCTGGAATAGTGGGCACGAGTCAGTCGACATGTGCGACCGTCACGCGAAATGGTGGAAGCGCATTTGATCTTGAGAGTGGAGCAAACGCCGATTATTGCGACGTGCTCGATCGTTGAGACTTTAGATGGAAGACGTAGGACTAACGGAGTCGCAGTGCAATCTGCCGCAAGCGGCATATGAAATGCGATGAAGTTAAGCGTAAGTGACCTCGGGGCATCACGGCGAGAGGAGTTAGTCTTCGCTAAAAGACATTCCTAGCGGTATGCGGACCTTGCGCCAAAGGCAATCGCCAGTGTGTTTACGGCACACTGCCAACGGACACGGGCGACCATGGCCATGCTCTTCCCAGCGGTCCGACAATGTCTCCACCATCTTCACGTCTGGGCCATCATTCGCAGACTAGCTACTCGTCCAATCCGGACTCTAGACCGGTAACCCAGACGTGGCCGACAACACCAGGTGCTGAGGATCCACTATCAATACGTAGTCCACAGAGCACCTTTAGCACATCAACGGGCTATGGTACTGAAGTGGCACCCTGGAAGTGGTACGGACTGCTTGTTGGAGATGCTGCCAACGGTAACGTCGATCTGGATCTACCGTCACTGGACAGCTTGAGTGATGCCGCCCTGGCTCAGCGGTGTCAACTGTATCCCAACGGCGTCACAGCTGCTGAGCTGGCAAGCCTGCGAAGCCCACTCAACATTGCCGAAAGCGTAGCCTCTTTACAGAATCCGGCCAAGCTGCTGCAAATTTCTGCCATCGCGCCTACTCCCTCGGACAGCACTGGTGGCACGGTCGATGAACGTCAGTACTGGCAGGCTGCGGAAGCAGTACAGTTAAAAGACCACGAGTACGACATCTTTCAGCGCTTCGTCACCGGCGTAAGCCTTTGGATCGATCTGTTTGATCCTCTCAAGCACTTCTCGACTTTCGTGCCACATCTCGCACTACAAAATGAAGGATTGATGAAAGCCATCCTTGCCCTGGGCGCTCGGCATCTTTCCATCAAGCCTTCGAACAGTGGCGAAGCAAACGTCGACCGGACGGCGGCCGTGCAATACTATTATGAGACTTTACAGTACTTACAGTCTGCAATGCGATACACGTCGTACAAGAACAGCCTCGAACTGCTTGCGACAGTACTAGTCGTCAGCACATATGAAATGATTGACGGTCAAGGTAAAGGATGGGAGCGTCATCTCAAAGGCGTCTTCTGGATCCAAAGAAGTCGCGATATTAACGGCGAGTCTGGCGGGCTCGAGCAAGCAATTTGGTGGGCTTGGCTGCGTCAAGACATGTGGGCAGCCTTCAGAGAGCGCAGGCGGTGCTTCAGCTTCTTCAAGCCCACCAAGCCGTACCAGCTAATGGACATGTGGGACATGGCATCGAGGGTTGTCTATATTCTAGCGCAGTCAGTCAACTATAGCTCGGAGGAGGAGAAGCAGCAGGGTGAAGGCGACCTTGAAGGTCGCATACTGCGCGCCAATACGCTACTTAACATGCTGGAGGAATGGCGGAGCAGCATCAGCGTACATTTCGAAGCCTTGCCGGTCGAGGGACCGTCCAACCGCGCCTTCCGACCACTTTGGGTGCACCCGCCTGCACTTGGGACCTCGCTCCAGATGTACAGTATGGCGCGAATTCTTCTCCTCATACACCAGCCGGCGGCCGGAGGGTATTTGGAGTATCTTCGCCGCGACAAGATCATCACCGAGTGCATAGACACCATTGGTGGCATTGCTCTTAAGCTTACGGACGACGCATCAAGGCTTATGTCAACGCAGTGCATGTTCGCTGCGGGCTTGTTTTGCACCGATCTGGCCAAGCGCGTGTGCATTACGGAGCTCATTGACGACCACTCTACGCAGACCGGCTGGCCGTCCAACACCAACCTTTCAGAAGAGCTACGAGCGGAGTGGTCGCAGCTTAAACCAGGCTGAGCAAGCACTGCGGACAGACTCCAATAACGTGCTCGGCCGAGGCTTCGTTCTCCGAGGCAGTGACAGCTGGATTCACCTCGAAGACAATGACTGCTTAGTGTCGGTCTTCCTGTTACCACTATGCCGCCTGCGTTTGCGAGCTCCCGGGAGATCGAGCGTGTTACATGCCGCCAGGGCTTCACAACGTTCGGCCATCAGGAAGGCAGGCTTGTGCCGAGAAGACTCTATCGAGCGGTGTCGGTGCTCTCCGTTTGCTACTCCCTTAAAGGCTTGCTATGTTAGGAAGGAAAGCGTTTAGCACGAAAGATCACGAGTGATGAAATGGGTTGTCTTCAATGGCTCTATGCACCCGTTATCTAAAAAGGACTGCTCCATGCAAGACACAAATGCGACATGTGGCAGATAGCATCATACCGCGTATCTTGTGGATGTTGGTTGTCAGGACTTCTAGAAGGGCATATTTGCGTAAGTAGACACTACCTTATGGGGGAGGTATGTCTGGAAAGCGACATCAGACGGTCATGTAGGGCTGACCGTGGAGATTGGCTGGGTTGCCATTTCCAAGTTTTACTGCCGGCAACCCGGCAAAGGCGCCGAAGCAAGCCTTTGCCGGAGCTGCTGGCGGCCAGGGGTCTTCTTCGAGGTCCAGATAGACTCGTACTTTACCACATACTCCAGCTCCATAACAAAGTACAACAGCGTTCACTTACGCCGAGGCGAATGTGTGATACGTGCCGCACTGGCACCGCCACACTTCCCGTGTGGTTGAGCGGCGGACCCTTTGGCCGAGGCCGAAACCCTCCTCGTTCCTGGGGAGTTGGAGTGGCTTAGGGAAGATGTCGGGCCACACTCCTAGCAGTCCAGCGGCACAGCGAGCAGCGCGCATTGCACGCGAAAACAGTATTCCTGTCGAGCCCATCATGGAAGATGTGGAAGCCGAGCGACCAGACTTGAACACGTTTAACAGCTCCGGCACCGAAGGCAGTGCTGCGGACGGCGAAGACTTCACGTATGCACATGAGATGCTCAGTGGCAGTGATGGCGTCGCCACGCGACATTTCTCGCCTACGTCGAGTGTGATGCCTTTGCAGGACGAGATCACGCCGTTGACGAACGTGTCCACGTACGGATGGACGCCAACCTCATCTGTCCGCTCACGCGGAAGTGCTAGCAAATCGGGGCAGTACGAGCCAGTGCCAGCACCACCAAGCCTGGTGACGAACGGGTTGCATAGTGCAAGACCGGTGCGACCGTCTGCGGTGCGGCAGCCATCGAACGCATACAATCCGCCTCGGAGACCACACCAGTACTCCAACAACACACGCCAACGCACAGGCTCAGCACAGAGGGAGCGGAAGCGGAACCCGAACGCCGAGTATCGGGCGCAGGAGAAGGCGTATGTTCAGCGTATCCAGCAAGTGGAGCGGACCGATGCCGACTTCTATGGGCAGCCGCCGGCACCCAGTCTGGATTATAGCAGCGATACAGAGACGGACGAGGAGTCGCCGACGACAGCGGCATACGCCGACAATGACCCATATGATCAGGAGATGCTACTCTACTATGGGAACGAGGACATGGAGCCATCAGTGGAGGAGCTCAAGATACCGGCCAATCGAGAGCGACTAGAGTGGCATTCTATGCTTGCGAATGTGCTCACTGGAGATGTTGTGAAACAAGAAAAGAAGCGGTTGATTGGCGGTCCAGAGACTCAAGGTGAGAATACGTTGAAGACTGAGATATGGATCGGCGTACGAGCAAAGACATGCGGACGGCCTCTTCCCGCTCAACGGAGGCTAATTGAAGACGGGAGGAGCAAAGTCAAGCAGAGCATCGAGGCCATCATTACCTTCGAGGTCAAAGGTGAAGCCGAGGCCGGCAAGTCGGCCATTGACCAGGTCCAGGAGATTGTCAAGAAGATTGAGAAGACTGAGTCATTGTACCCGACGCGGCAAGCCTTTGAAGCTGCACACCCTCGAGCTGCATCCACGGCCTACCACGAAACTTGCGATGCAGTCATTGCATGGCACAACACTACGGAGCTGATTAACACCGAGCTTGGCATCCTGCAAAAGTGGGTTGGCAACGTAGAGCTCGACTTTACCAAGCCCAGAGCCCGGCCAGCTGATGTCGGCGCTGGACAGCTGTTCGATGACAGCAGCTTCATCGACCGCATCCTCAAGGAGGATGGACTAAAGTCGCTTCAAGGCAACAACAGTCTGCTGAATGGCGTCAATAACGTCATTCAGAAAGCGAAGACTACCCTGATAGAGAATGCCGAGTCTTTTGCAGAACGGCACCTGCCGCCCTACATCGAAGAGCTGTTGACGCTCATCAACTTCCCATCTCGTCTCATCCAGGAGATCATCCGTATGCGTCTCAGCTACGCCAAGAAGATGCGGGACCCGGCTCAGCAAGGCGTCATGATGGCCGAGCAGATGATATTGCAGTTTCAGATTCTGCTGAAGCTTGCAGTTCGTATCAAGGAGGCTTACATCGTCATTGCGCAGCCTGAGCCAGGTTGGGATTTGCCGCCTTGCATTGACGACAACTTCGATGGAGTAGTACTGGACGCCCTCAAGTTCTACTTCCGCATGCTCAATTGGAAGCTCATGGCGAACAAGAACACATTCAAGGAAGCTGAGATTCTCGAGCAGGAATGGGACTTCAGTAACGCGCTCGGACGGCACCTGGATGGAGGCGATGTGGAGGTGGCAGAGCAATTTAGCAGCCTCACGTCGCAATCTCTTGGACGGCTGACATCGCACTTCGAAAAGGAGCTTGAGCGTCGGCCTGACGAAGTGGCTGGTGCGGAAATGGACAAGCGTTACAAGTCGATTCTGGATTCGGTCCGTGTGCGGCAGCGAAAGATTTTCCGTTTCTCACGTATTCTGTCGAGCCGCTTCGAGAACGCCACCGAATACAACATCAACATCGACACGGAGCACTATCAGGATCTGCTCGATGCGCTAGTAGTGACCGGTCATTTCTTGGTCGAGCTACCAAGCACGAGCGTGAACGAGAGCAGTGGTGGCCGGAACATCTATGTCATCGCTTCGCCTTCGCTCATGGATCGTCCGAAGGATATCGAGAGCATGCTTGGCACCTGCTATCACGCAGAAGACTCGCCGGAAGATCCATCAGATCCGTACGTGCTCATCATGAAACCTGAGCATCCGTTGTCGTGGGAGGGACAGCGCATGGACGGCGTCTTGCGCCAACCCCTGCTTAATCTACGGCTACAAACCGGCCGTCTCCGTCTTGTAGCAGACGGCTCTCTTCAGCGTCTCGCCAACGCCAACGCGGCGTTTGCCGCCTTCTGCCAACACCTAGAACTTCCCGTCCTTGTCGAGCAGCGCGCCAATCTACCAAGGGTGAACCAAGAGCTCGGCAAGATTCGCAAGACAGCGTACAAGCTCAGCAACACTATCATGGATAGTGTGGAGATTGTGCGGAGGCAGACGCAGGGCCTGCAGTGTCAGGAGCTGATTCAGACGTGCTTTGCCTTTGCGACCGAATTCGGACAAAGAAGTGCAATCTACTTCGACCAGCAACGACGGGCAATGCATCAGCTTAAGCTGACCAAGCTGGCACTGGACTGGGTAAGCTTCATCTGCGATGACTGTGTGGCATCTGATCGGAAGACCTTTCGCTGGGCAGTCGTAGCGCTAGAGTTTGCGATGATGATGACGAGAGGCCAGAACATCCTGGGTATCTCTGAGGAAGAATATGCGACATTACGCGCCAAGGTAGCTGGATGTATGAGCCTGCTGATCAGTCACTTCGACATCATGGGCGCAAGGAGCACTGTTGCGGCTCAGGCGGAAAAGCAGCGGGTGGAGATGAGTGGAAGACAATTGAAGCTGGATATCACTAGGCTGAAGGATGATGAAGAGAGTAGCCGACTGGTTAGCATGCAGTGGGTGGAGAGATTGGAGCAGATCGATAGTGAGCGGAAGGAGAGAGAGAACGAGCGCCAGGCTTTGGGCAGGGTACTCGAGGACTCCAGTGACGCGGATCGTGCTCTTACTCAGTTGAGCGCGAGCGCTGGCAACGTGCATTTAAGATGGCAGCAAGGCCAATTTATTGGCGGTGGCACGTTTGGAAGTGTTTACGTCGCAATCAATCTGGACTCGACGCAGCTCATGGCTGTAAAGGAAATTCGACTGCAAGACCCGAAGATGATACCGACCATCGTTTCGCAGATCCGCGACGAGATGAGCGTACTGCAAGTGCTCGATTTCCCAAACATTGTACAGTACTACGGCATAGAACCGCATCGCGACAAGGTCTACATCTTCATGGAGTACTGTTCTGGTGGTTCGCTTGCTGCACTGCTCGAACATGGTCGCATCGAGGATGAGACTGTTATCCAAGTCTATGCTCTTCAAATGCTGGAGGGTCTGGCGTACCTGCACCAAGCGAACGTCGTGCACCGCGACGTCAAGCCCGAGAACATCTTGCTCGACCACAACGGTGTAATCAAGTTCGTCGATTTCGGCGCCGCGAAAGTCATTGCCAAACAAGGCAAGACTGTCGTCGCCGAACGTCCCAATAGCAAAGGCAATCAAGACAGTATGCAAGGCACGCCGATGTACATGTCGCCTGAAGTGATCAAGGGCCAACGTCCTCACAATGCTCGCTTGGGTGCGGAGGATATCTGGAGTCTTGGATGTGTCATAAGCGAGATGGCGACTGGATCACGGCCTTGGGCGAACATGGACAATGAATGGGCTATCATGTACAACATTGCGCAGGGACACAGTCCGCAGATGCCTAGCCGGGAGCAGCTGAGTGAAGCTGGGCTGGACTTCTTGAAGCGTTGCTTCGAGCGAGACCCGGTACGCAGGGCGAGTGCAGCTGAGTTGTTGCAGCACGAGTGGATTTTGAGCATACGTGAACAGCTGGATATGGAACCTTCGACGCCACAGACTCCTTCCACGGAGAGCGGATATGGCAGTGGGAGTCAGGGGAGCAGCAGTGGGCAGACGAGTCAGCAGATAAGTAGGCAGAACAGTGAGATGTGAGATTGTTGTGAGCGTTTTGAGCGTCGCATACGGCAGTTGTGAGCGTAGCGAGTCTCATATTTGTGTGGTAGCAAATTCTCTTCAATCTAGAACAGGAACGCAAAGAAGGCTACCGCAAGCATCTCGAGAAGCTCACAATACATTCGAACAGACGTGTGCAGACTGTTACGTACAACCACCGAGTTCAGACAAGAGGCTCACTGCGACCTACGAGCCTATTCTCCCACACACCCTTGAATCTTCTTTGCTCGTCGTCCTGACTCAACTGCCCGGTCCGCTCCAGCAACAAGGTTTGCGTCCTTGCCAGCAAAGGCAGGACCTTCTCACGTCCAGTCAGATGGATGCCCGCAACCAGCCTTAAAGCGTTACGGAACTTCTCCCTAGCGACGAGGTCCAGATTCTCCAGCTCTTCGTGGGTCAGCCGCGTTAGCGGTAAAGCATCGAGCACACTTGTGTATAGTCTCTCGTAGAAAGCGAATTGGTCGCCATGATCATCAAGCTGCACCCGTTGTCCGACAGAATTCAACTCTCTGCCCAGAGCGGCGTGATATTCGGCTGTAGAGCCAACGATATCTTGGCGCTGGGTTGGGTTGACCAACCAGCCGTCCGGCCAAATACAGTGCTCAGTATTGTTGCGGACGAAGAGGATCTCCAGGCGCATTGTGAAGTTGTCCTCATTCCGCTCATGGAGGCCGAAGTAAAGCCTGAGACTTTCCTGGAGCGGCTGAGGGAGGTCGACGAAAAGCGCGTGGTTCAGCCATTGCCACACACACCGGATATACTCCGTTGTCAGGTTGAAGCTGTAGAGCACATGCTCCAAATTTTGCGCTTGGTGGAGGCTATCGAGGGTTCTCCGCATAGTACGAAAATTTCGCAGTAGATTGCTGAGAAGCGCCCGCGCGAGCCATGGAGCGTTGGGCGCTGCATCCATGGCTTGCATTGCCTCCTGATCGAAGCGGGCTGTTTCCGCTGCCTCTACCGGGTTTGACGAAGGGCGCGCAAGAAAATCCCACTCCTCGAACTCCGCGAAATCGTCATCATCCTCGTCGTCGTCAAAGAACGCGTTGGGACCAGGTTGGTTATATCTTGGGCAACCGCCTTCACTCCAGTGTCCGGTACCTTCACGCGCTTCGAGTCCACAGATGTAGCAGAATTCGGTCCTGCACCCAGGTTCTGGACAGGTCATGTGGTTGCATCCGTCGTGCAGACTGACTGGGTTGTGGCATGTCTCGTTGGGGCAGTATTGGTAGTCTCTGCCTCGTTGCAAGCCTTCAATCTCTGTCAGTTGAATGGTCACGGGAGGGCCAGTGCATACATGTGAGCCAGCTGTCATTTCATAGATCGGAGAGCGGCAGCTTCGGCAATGCTGACCAAGGCAATGGTAGCAAACCAGGCTAGGATCTGGGTTAGCGCCTCTCATTGCACCGCAGTCGACAGCTTCACCCTGTGCAACATCAATTTGTTCGGGCTTGAGGAATATGGGTTCGTCAGGCGGGGTGCCGCCGATCTTAGGCTTACGCGACTGTAAAACTTTGTGTTTACAGTAGAATCTATCAGTCGCTGGCGTGTTGTATTCGACCTCTCGTCTGTGATATCTTGCCACGAAGTCTGCACTTAGTATGTCTTCGAAGTCATCGGCATTTACCTCAACGCCTTTACCCCAGCGGACCGGGTAATCGAGTGGATTGTTAAGGGCAGCCTCGAATCGAGGTGGTAGACTTTCGAGAACGCAGTCATGACAGATCGGATCTCCATCGATCTTGCGAGGCGTTGTCGGCTCCGTGAAACCTTCGCTGCAGACAGAGCACTCGAAGGAGAACATGGCGGCCTCTGGCTGATTGATAGCTGTGATCTGTATGGTGCGGTGCATGGTAGGGCTCGACCTGCGAAGTCAGAAGCAAAACGTGGTTGCGTGAAGCTAGAGGAGATGGTCAATCGGACGAGCATGTTCGGCTGATACCAAGCGAAGGTCATATTTGCCACCCGACTCGACAAAGACCGCCCTCTACATTCACAGCTTTGTCACTCATGATGGGGGACATATGAGATACGAGAGAGAGTCAAAGAAACAGATTTGAGAGGCGCTAGGTCCTTTGTCTGATCGGTATCTCGTCTTACCACGCCGCTGCCGGTTATCACCTTGCTGGTGAAACACCATATCTCGAGCTCACAAGATCGTTTGTGTCGGGGTAGTAGATGCACAGCTGGAATGTCGTGGAGCAAGATTGTAAAATACCTTCAAGGAAAGGACAGCACGCTAAGTCGCGTTGCTTACCTCGAGCCGAGGTCCACACGCGGCGTCAACTCCTCTCCTCCTCAAATCGCCTGTCGAGATCGCAACGTTCACCAGTCGCATCATACACTCCAAAAGCAGTAGCTACGTAAGCTTCAACGTAAGTGACCAAGCATCAATTAATCATCCGACCGTACCTGGTAAACCTGTGCCTTTGTCTCCCTTGACAGCCTCAATCCTTGCCAATACATACGCACGTCGACGATGTCGTCCCAATCCTTCGGCAGCCTCCAATTAGCACCCTGGAGTGAGCCCGCGTGGTCCCACGGCATACCGTCTCCGTACTACACTGACAGCCACAGACAACTTCGTGATGCCTTGCGGGCTTATATCAACGAACACATCCTACCCGACTCACTTGACTGGGAAGCAAAAGGCGAAGCGCCACGCAGCGAAGCATTGCGCTGGGCACGATCTGGCTTCTGCTTCGCCGACGTGCCCTCTCAATATCGCTCGAAGGGTATCCCCGAACCGGCTAGGATCTCCACAGATGAGTTAGATGCGTTTCATACGCTCATTTCGACAGATGAGACCTCTCGAGTAGAAGGTGGTGTCATGACCAGCCTTGGTGGAGGAAGTGTGATTGGAGTTCCCCCCATTATCCATCACGGCACTGAGCAGCAGAAGCGGAAATGGCTCCCTGGCTTGTTCAGCTGGGAGACAAGCTTCTGTCTGGGCATTACCGAGCCGAGCGGCGGCTCGGATGTTGGAAACATTCAAACTACTGCTGAGAGGACTCCTGATGGCAAGTTCTACGTTGTCAATGGCTACAAGAAATGGATCACTGGTGCCCCTTGGGCAACACATATGACGACAGCCGTGCGAACGGGTGGCTCAGGGTTTAGCGGAATCTCAGTGCTAGTGATACCTATGGACTCCCCTGGTCTGACGTGGAGACGCATCCCAAACAGTGGACAGAATGCAGGCGGTGCTTCCATGGTCGAGCTCGATGATGTGAAGGTTCCCGTGGAGAACTTGCTTGGCAGGGAAGGTGACGGCTTTAGGATCATCATGGTTAATGTATGCAAACTGTTGAGCATAATCTTTCTCCAATGTGACAACACTGATTGTGATTAGTTCAACCGCGAGAGGTACATTATGTCGGTGGGATGCAATCGTAAAGCGAGAACCTGCCTCACAACCGCCCTCGAGTACGCGCACAAGCGTGAGACTTTCGGCAGACCTTTGATTTCGAATCAGATTATTGCGGCCAAGTTCGCCAGCTTAGCACGGTACATAGAAAGTCATTGGGCATGGCTCGAGCAGATAGCATACGCAGTACAGCAGTCGCCGAAGGGATGGCAGGAACCTGACGTAGCCGGCCGCATTGCACTTGCCAAGGCCCATGGTGGCCGCATAGAGGAATTGGCTGCTCGTGAAGCCCAACAAGTCTTAGGCGGCGCGGGATATCAGCGTGGTGGTGTCGGTGCGGCTGTAGAGCAGATCTCGCGGGACCTTCGCATGATGGTAGTAGGTGGAGGCAGCGAAGAAATCATCAGCGACTTGGCGTTAAGACAAGAAACTATGTTGGCGAAACGAAGGGGCTGGAAGTTGTAGAGCTGAGCAGAACTATGCACTGCTCAATATAGCGACTACAGTGTCGCACTTTGTTGCCAATACGACATTAGGATGAACTCATACCACTCTCAGTTCTGGAGGATGGACCAGGTCAGCGCAGTTAGGCCTCTTGTAGCCCCCACTGTCGCAGCCAAAGGTCCATCCATGTGCTGTTTACTGGTTGGAGGCTTTCTAGCGTCGGGCTCGCTTGCTGAGTTCTGGCAGTCTCGAACCTCGGCGCCGTGTCTTCGCCGTGCACATTGAGACCCTTGAAGAAGTCGAGAAGCTTGATAGCAGGGTACCTAGCGGTGTCCGCACGATCGATGGATTCCAACTTACTGATCCAGTCGGTGAGAGAGACAGCAGACAGGCCCAGACGCTCTTGAAGGCTTGGTAGCAACGCCGCCCAAGTGGTCCTCTGTGGATTCACAACGTTGTAGACAACCGCGCCCATGAGGGTTGGCTTGGCCGCCATATTCGATACCTCCACAAGCGATCTGGCCATGAGGTCCACAGGAACCCAGTCTATCATGTTCAGCGGCCCAAGAGAGGCCGGTAGCGCACCCAAGTGCACCGAAGACACCACCAGACTCGGCAACCACTCTTGCTTTTGCCACATGCCCTCGGACGTCGTTGGGCCCGCCACCTGTCCGACGCGGCATACAGTGCAAGGCACTCCTGCTATCTTCGCGGCCGCGTCAAGAACTCGTTCTGCAACGAGCTTGGACTGGCCGTACCCTCCCTCCTGTGCTACGTCCCAATCCTCAACGGTCTCTTCAGGAACATTATCCGGCGAGCATCTCCGCATAGCCTGTGTCCAACCCATCATTGTTCCGATGCTTGAGACGAACAATATGGATGCGCCGTGTCGGGAACGAGCAGAGAATTCAATGATCTGCCGTACGCCGTTCAGATGCGTTGGGATGAACTGCTCGAGAGGCATGTTGAAATTAACCTGCCAGGCATTGTGTATAATCTTGCTTACGCGCGCAAGCAAATGTCGGTAAGCCTTCAGCTCCAGCCCACAATATGGTTTTGAGAAATCCGCATGCAGGAACGATACTGTCTTCGAGCTGAAGTCGCTACTCAGACCGCTCTCTACCATACGATTTCTCTGTCGCTGTTCGGCGTCAGAGGTCCGGTTCAGGCAGATTACTCCCGCCACTTTCGGATCGCGTAGAAGCTCTGCCAAAAGGTACGAGCCTAATTGGCCGGTAGAGCCTGTGAGCAGTACTATCTTCCCATCTAATGGCACTGATACTGGCGATCGTGCCGTGACAGGCAAGTCAGTACTATACCGCTCGTAGAACTCTTGCATACGCTCTGCTGCCGGCTTCGCCTCAGTCTTGGGAGCTTGTAATGAGCGTGCAAGCTCACGCAACGTCCGGCTCTCGTAAACATCTTTCGCCGTGACCTCGCGCTTTAGATGATACCGGCCAGTCAAAGACCGCGCGGTACGAACGAGATTGAGTACACCTAGGGAGTCCATGCCCCTGTCGAAGAGGTTATCATCGAGTGAGAGGTCGCCGAAAGCACCACTACTAGTGAGGGCTCCTCGAAGACTCTCCGCGAAGTCTTCAAAGCCTGCATTCGGGTTCGTAGTGTCACCGTTCACCATTGAGCGACGTTCCAAACCAGCGTACAGTGAATCCAGCTCAGCCTCGTACATTTTGACAGCCAGGCGCCGCTGGACCGTACCTTTACCAGCTCGCGGGAACGGTCTGTCCGGCTTTGCGATTAGTATCATCTGCTTCGACATCTTAGCATAGCCTGGGCATTGCTTGTTCAGCTCTGCAACCGTTGGCCACAGCGCGTCTATCAACGAATCGGCAGTAGTACCGTCCGCGGGCCAATCAGCGGGTTCAACCAGCAGAGCCGACTGGAATCTGGCGTCACCAGTCACTAGTGCCGCTTTGACGATTGGCAACCCATTCAGAACATCTTCAACCGTGGTCGGGTTGAACTTCTCCCCTGTCGAGAAGACCACAATGTCGTCGCTCCTCCCTCGAAACTGCCATAAGCCATTCTCTGAGGGGTGCGCGGAGAACAAGTCGCCAGTCTTGTACTCTTCCAAATGCGGGAAGGTGCAGAAGACCCCCTGAAAGTCCTCCAAATCGGGTCTTCGCACGGCGACCATCTCATGCAGGTCTTCGGCGTACGGTCGCATCTCGATTCCGGTATGCTCAGCCCACTTTAAGTACTGCCAATCTTCGGCACCAATAAGCTCGCTGACCGTATAGCCCGTTTCGGACGTACCAAAGACATTGATGAGGTGGGTCATGTTGGCGTCAGTGACTCGCCTTCCAATATCACCAGGTAAGGGACCGCCTCCGTACACCACATATTGCAGCTTCCGCAAGTGTTCAACCAGCGCTGGGTCAGCGGACATGTCGACGATGATGGAAGGAGGTAGAAGTCCACCTTCTATTTCCTCCTGGCTGATCACTTCCGCTATGGTGGCCGCGCTTAACGGGCCGGGGAGCGGTAGAACCGGGATATAATTGTACATCAGACCATAGAACGCCAGCATGATACCAGCGGCGTGAAAGAATGGAAACGCAAGAATCACGCGCTTATTTCCGAACACCGTGAGGCACCCTCGTTTCTGCGGCTCGGAGAATCGCTGGTACGCATCCGTCGCAGAGAACATGGCTTGGCAGAACGGTATCGGCTTTGGAATGCCCGTTGAACCTGATGTTTGCAGACCAGCTATAGGCTGCGTGCGGCCGTCCTCGTAGGACATTGACCATGGAAACGGTCGCATATTTCTCCCGTCGCCGAAGAAATACGTCAGATCCGGGACGTCGAGCAACCGCATGGTTCTCTGTTGCAGCACTTCGCTCACCATGCTTCTGAAGACGGGTCCTTCTGGTAACATCAACGTTGAGCACTTGTAGCGCTCCAATAAAGCCAGGTGAGCTTGCTTGCTGTTACGGGGGGACGGCATGAAGAGGAGAACGCCAGCTTTGACAGCACCAAGCATCAGAACTTCGTAGCGGTAATCTTGTGGCCCAATGTAGGCCCAGACTGGCCTGTCTTCAAGGTCGAGCGTTGTCGGCATGTTGTCCTTAATCCACCAAGCCGCGCGGTCGATGGCTGTCGCCAGTTGGCGAACAGTAATTGAACAATATCCATCGCGCGCGCTCCTGCCTAGCGGCGTTCTTGCAAATATCCGATCAGGGTCGACTCGCACGATATCGTCAATGAGGTGCTGTAATAATCGTCTTCCATAGCGTGGCGACTCTGGTCGGTCAGCCATGGTGAAATCGATTTCGAAACGCAATTCGCGCCGAGGGCCTCTGTCGAAGAGGAAAGGCAGTGCAAATACTCTGGCACACATTAGATTAGTATTTAAACCCCATTGACCGTGCTGTCTTCGTGACCATTGAAGTGATTTGCAAAGTGGGCCCGGACTCTAGGCAGGTACACCTTTGCTCGTATGCAGTTGGTAGCTCACTCCCGCGATCGGCGATGTGAAGTATGTCAGCTTCATGCCGGCTATGCACGTTGCGTCTCCAGTATGCACAGGTCATCTTACAGTGTGACACCAAACCATGCATAGTCGTGGGTTTCGGTTGAGATTGCCCTTCGTCAGCACTAGCCGAGTGCCGAATGAAGTGGTCAGCCATTGCACGTCTCGCGCTACCACCAAAGCCGGTGCTCGGACTCGCAGCTCCTTTTGACGCACTTCGCTGCATACCCGGTGCTTCACATTTATGTAATTATAAGCGAACAGTGTAAGCAAAGTGTCACTGCTGGTGTGCTGAAGTGCAATAAGCCGCACAGATGCCGAGCATATACCCTGAGGATCTGGCGGGCTCGTACAGCAGCTCAGGACCTACAATCCGTGAAGAGCATGCTGCGAAAGAAAGTCACTTGCGCCGTGAACGAGACGTGCGCAATATGTCGCGTTGCGATGCCCGAAAATGGTTTCCGGTCTCACGTTTTAGATGTTCCTAAAGTAGGCATTGGTCAGTATTGCGCAACCGCGATGTCTGAGGCCGTCGTCACCGACCGAGTAATCCTTCCCACGGGTTGAGCTTGAGAACTCCACTAGTTGCGTTCTCCGGCGCAGCTTTCGAGTAATTACTGACAACCCATTTCCCAACTTTCGCCGACTCTGGCAGGCTCCAGCTCACCTCCTTTCCACTAAAATTCAGCACTGTCACAAAAGCCTCCCCGTCCTCGCCCACCCGTTTGTACGCAAAGACGCACTCATGCTGGTCATCAAGCAGTTGGAAATCACCGTACACAAAGACATCACCATGCTCACGCCGCTGCTGCAATCCGCGCTTCCAGAATTGAAGCACGCTCAAATCGTTATTCGAATTGTACGTGCGTTGTGCTTGAGCATTGACTGTCTGGTAATCGGTATTGACCATCATCCACGGCTTCACATCTGGCGCACAGAAGCCTGCATTAACCTCCCCTGTCCATTGTACCGGCGTTCGAGCATTATCGCGCGCCTTGAGGTGCAATAGCTTTCGCGCCTCCTCCAGTTTGGCAGGGTCGTTACCATGCAGCTTTTTCATCTTCTGCCAGTAGTTGATGCTTTCGATGTCCACGTACTCTTCCGGCGGTATTTCGGGCCGCAGATTGCGCATCCCGAGTTCTTCGCCTTGGTAGACGAACAGTGTGCCAGCCAAAGTGGTCTGCATGATGCACAGCAGCTTGGAACAGATGGCCCGGTGCTCGTCAGTATCGCTTGTGTAGCGCGAGACAGAGCGCGGATTGTCGTGGTTCTCAATAAACAGGCTATTCCACCCGTCTCTGTCCAGCATAAGGCGCTGATACATCGTCTGGATTTCGCGGATTTCCTTCTTCGGCCACTCCCTCAAGGTCATGCGGAAGTCGTTCGGCTTGTCATCGATTGACACAATGTCGAAAAGGAAGATCATGTTGAGCTCATGCCTGTCTGCGCCTACTACCTTGATGATCTCATCCCAGTCATGGACGAATGGCATTTCACCAACAGTCATACTGTCGTACTTGCTCAGAACCTTCTCGTTGATCTCACGAAGATACTCGTGTAGATGAGGTCCGTTTGCGAAGTGCTTATTGCCGGGCTGGTACGCGACATCTGGGTTAATGATGGGAGCGTCCGGGTATCCGTCGACCTTCGAAATCAGGTTGATCACATCCATTCGGAAGCCACTGCATCCCCGGTCGAGCCAAAACTTCAGAACGTCATGTACTGCTGCTCGGACCTCAGGATTCCGCCAATTGAGATCTGGCTGCTCCGGTGTGAAGAGGGCAAGATAGTACTCTTGCGTCTCCTTATCCCAAGCCCAAGCACTATTGGCATCACCCAGTATCTGGCCCCAATTATTCGGCGGCTTGCGGTTTCCATTGTCGTCGTATTTAGCAGGCTGCCAAATGTACCAGTCACGCTTCGCTGCAGACTTTGATGAGCGTGAATCCAGAAACCAGGCATGTTGATCGCTCGTGTGATTGACAACCAAATCCATGATGAGTTTCATGTCGCGCTTCTTAAGCTCCCGGATAAGCTCGTCTACATCGTCCAACGTGCCGTAACGCGGATCTATGTCTTTGTAGTCGGAGATGTCGTAGCCCATATCGACCTGCGGCGACTTGAAAATGGGCGACGGCCATAGCACGTTGACACCTAGATGCTTGAGGTAGTCTAGCTTCGAGGTAATACCGCGAATGTCGCCCCATCCTGGCATCGAACCAGAGCCAGTTGAAAGGAAGGAAGCTGGGTAGACCTGATAAACGACGGCTTCCTTCCACCACGCGGCTTTGGCATTGGACTTGATGGTAGCCATGTTAGAGGTGGTAAGAAAGGCACGGGTAGCGATCAAGGGGAATCAACCGCAAGAGGGTCACTTAGGGAGGTCGATCAAGGAAACACGGAAATTAAGAGTGCCTGCTTCGAACGTGCCCAAGGTCTCTTACTGCACTCCGGCATTGAAATCGCTAGGTCAACAATGAAGACGGCATACTTCGAGACAGTCGAACAACAAGATCATCCGAAGGAGTGGAGTCTTCGCCATCATCGGGCGGCTTTTGCCGCTGGCTAGCGGAGATCGCTCCGGTCTTGAAAGCAGACAAATTCTCCACAGACACTCTGCCTCTATACCAGCAACGAATGGCAAAGAGAAAACGAGGCTCGAAATCTCAAGAGGAAGCCTCAGGGCCGGATCTCAATGTTGGATCTTCGAAGAAGCGTATCCGTACTTACGAAGATGTCGCAGACAGTGACGACGATTTCCATCTCCAGCGAGACAAGGTATTACTGGGTCAAGAGTCGGAGGCGAAGCGTCGTAGGCAATGGGAAGAGCAGGAAGAGTTCCTAGAGCCATCGGACGAGGAGGTTTTTGACGATGGGGAAGATGATAGTGAAGACGAGGAATTGGAGGGCGGCGACGCTGCGCTTGTACACCATGACGAGCTGTCAGAGTCTGAAGATGGAAGAGACGTCGTGGAAGAAGAGGACGAGTCAGGCTGGGGGACTTCCAAGGCTGACTTATATGGCGCGGACGCTATCGAGACTGAGGAGCAGGCGTTGGAAGAAGAAGCGGAAGCGTTGCGCCTGCAGAAGAAACAATTGCAGGCGATGAGTGCAGCGGACTACAGCCTTGATGAAGCAGACTGGCGAGAAGCTGGCGATGGGAAAGGCCTGGACGCGGATGGTTCCGACGATGTTGTTACTGAGATCCTACCGCAACTGCAACTGACCGACGATATGGGACCGGCGGAAAGGCTGAAGCTTCTCAAGACACGCTACCCGGAATTTGAGCCTCTGAGTAAAGAGTTGCTTCACTTACAGGACCTACATGACGAACTTTCGAAAGAAGCAAGGCCATCAAACGCGGATGTTACAACGGCCAGTCGTCCAAATGTGGTCACGAAGTTAAGAGCGGCGTCCGCATACCTAGGCGCGCTGACGATGTATTTCGCTCTACTCACTTCGACGGCTTCTTCCGGCCAGAGGGAATCGGCCGCAATGTCTGCGATAAAGCTCCGAGACCATCCAGTCATGGACAGCTTGGTACAATGTCGTGAGCTTTGGCAGCAAGTTAGAAACCTCCCTGCTGATTCCGCGATGATACATGCAGTAACGGACGTTGATAACGGTTCTACGGAGGCAACAGACGGCCTCCTGGCCGAACCAGTTGGCCATTCGGGCGTTGAACAACAGCCCAGGAAGAGTCGAGCGCAACGTCATGCTGAGGCGGCTCGAGCAGCAGCTAATGCGCGCAAGGCCGAACGCCTGGCGAGAACGGAGGCCGATCTAGCCGGTCTGGATACTTTGATTGCACCTGCTGCACGGCGTAGCAATAAACTTCCAAAGGCCGCCTCACGAGCAGAAGGCGCGGAAAGTGGCGACTTGGACTTAGGCGAGGAAGCACCATTAACCGCCCGAGAGCTGGCAGACAAGGCGCAGCGAAAGAAGAGTCTTCGCTTCTACACTTCGCAAATTGCGCAAAAGGCCAACAAGCGCGGCGCCTCTGGGCGTAATGCTGGCGGCGACGAAGATGTACCATACCGTGAGCGCCTGAAGGACCGACAGGCGCGCCTGAACGCTGAGGCGGAGAAGCGCGGTCGCCGTGAACCAGATACCGGAGCTGATCTCGGTGGCGAGCTCGACGATGAAGACGTGCAGCAAGCCAAGCAAATCCGCGCAGAGAACGGGAATGACGACTACTACGACCTTGTTGCCGCTCGTACTGCGAAGAAGAAAGCGAACAAGGCTGCGCTTGTTGAGGCGCAACGACAAGCCGCCGTGCAAGGCGGACGGGTTGTTGAAGAGGAGACAGTAGGAGCGGATGGCAAGCGCAAAATCACCTATGCTATCGAGAAGAACAAAGGTTTGACGCCGAATCGAAGAAAGGAGTTGCGCAATCCCAGAGTGAAGAAGCGGGTGAAGTACGAGGCCAAGAAAAAGAAGTTGGCCAGTATGAAGCCCGTATACAAGGGCGGTGAGGGGAGAGGAGGGTATGGGGGAGAGTTGACGGGTATCAAGAAAGGGTTGGTGAAGAGTGTGAAGCTGTGAAGGCGGCTCACGATAACCCTGCTGCACCAAACCAAGTATCGGTACGCAATGCATCTTTTTGACCAGCCTTCTGCGTCCTACCACCGTTCTCCGCACCACCCGTTTAGTGTTCTCGCTTTCGTTCTCGTTGTCAAGTCTGCCGAAGCTTGCGCTATTTCCTGCACGCTTCAGTTCTGCTTTCGGGGGCAATTCCATACAACGCGCATGCATTCTCTCCACTTAGGTTTGCATTGCATCGCGATGCATGCACGGCACAATATGACGCCCTTACGGCTCACTCTGTTTATTCTTCGGCGTCTGATCGCCCGGTGATGTCACGCCTACGCACAGCGGCTTCAGGAATGCAACGCTCGCTGATTGGCCAGCAGCGACTTCCTTCCAGGACCACAAGCATTGCTCCACTGCACTTGGCCCCAGGTTGTACGAATATCTCACTTACGAAGGCTTCTGCATCACTCCCTCTCCTAACACTGTCGGCGCCCTCAGCCTATCAACAACCTGTTTTCGTACCGTTCCCACATTACATGTAGACAGCGACTGTGAACCCAGAGCGGTCCTGCAGTCTAGCCCGAGATGGGTTCAACGTCTGCGCTCCATGCATACACAATCGAGCTTGACACTTCTAAGGCGCTCCAGCTCGTTGCGGCCTTCACCTTCCTGGCAACACTACTACCCTTCATCCTCCACATCCACCAGGACTACCTAGCCTTTCTGGCATTAGGCCCTGGCGGCACGCCTCCAACCTTCACCGGCTACTTGAAAGTGACGATACTTAGCTTCTTCGCGCTCAAAAACCCCTACCAACCAGGCCCGACACCGGAACGATTCGCCGGATGTCCGGGCAATCTTGTCGCGCTCCCGCAACGATCAGGCCCAAGACCGTGTACGAGAGGCATTGCTCCACAGCGACAGATCACGCAAAAGGCGAGCGAGGCGGTGTACGAACGCCTTGCGGCCGGTATCGAGAAGCTTTCCAACCCGAAACTCGTCGTTGGTACATCATGCTTCGAAAAGTACTCGACAGGCCTCTTCTCCGTCTCACCTGCTAAGCGCACGTGCAAAGGCGAAGTCTGCCACTCGCATCCTTCGGACGGGTCGATGCATCTGACGCTGCATCCGGCCGATGCCAGCATAGTGCTGAAAGCGGGCTGGGGGGAGCGTCATCCGCTTGCGAGAGGAGGGTGGTTCGAGCAGTTCGTGCCTGCCGGTTTCGTCATGATATACGCGCCGCGAGACGAGAAGGAGGTTGAGGTGGTGCTGAGCATCGTGAAGGCTGCTGCGTGGTTTGTCGGTGGCGGGGATGGCGTCAAGGAGATCGTCGATGATCGCAGGGATAGTGGTTATGCGTCTGCGGAGGAGGAGAAGAGCTGATGTTGCGTTACGTCGAGCTTCAGCGAACTTACTGCTGCGTATCTCGTCTGGCAAGCTAATACCTAAACAATACCATGCCCGGCAGAGCTTATCACACATTTATGGACTGTGAGGGTCAGAGGGCTGGGATTGGCCTATTGTCGACGGTCAATGGTAGATGCAAGCCGATTAACCATGTCACAGTAGGCTCTGATACTTATCTAACCCACCCTGCTGGCCACCAGTCCCGCCGCTGCCAGCACCAGTGCCCGGTGGCCTCAGACCACCAACGCTCTGTGGACTCGTTGGTGGAGGCGGTAGACCGAATCCACCGGCGCCTGTAGACGACGCCACCGGCCGTGTTGTCGCTCCGAATCCATTCGACATCTGCGGTTGTTGGCCGGCCCAAGCATTTGCGTTACTGTTCTTCGCAGCGGACCAGTCCACCGAAGTCCCGTCTCCGGCAAAGCTGTTCACTGCAGGTTGTTGGAGTGGCCGCGATGAAGCCATTGCCACATTCGAAGCACTCGCACTGCTTGGCCGATTTGGCTGCAATGGTTGTGCAAAGGGACTCGCTGGCGTCAACGCCGCGATGGACGATAGCGACGTGTCCGGAGTCACAGAGCGACCGATGTGCGGTTGCAATGCTGGTGCCCGCAGGGTCCTTGGTTGCTGTTGCCGTGTCGGCGGCTGCGGAGCTTGGGTCTGCCAAGCGAATGTCGGCGCATCGTTAACGCGTGAGCTTGATTGTGTACGTATTGGTAGATTCGGGCGGGTAGCTGACGGTGCGCCCCAGTCGTTCATGAGGTCAGTGTCGCCGCCGTTGACTGCAGGCTTGCGCCCAGATACTAGAGTCTCAAAGTCCGTCTCATCGCCGTTCACTGTGCCCATCGCGCCATGGCCCGAAGCAGACCGCCTGACTCCTCCTCCAAGCCCATCATTCATGCCTGCATTCCCACTCGACAGCTCTTGCAGCTTGCGTGTATGTTCTCGCTCGATCTTGCCACCCAAATTCTTGATGAGCGACATGAAAGCCTGGAATTGTTGCAGATTCAGTAACGGGCCGAGACTCATACTCCACAAAGTCGGCAGGACGTCCATAGCTAGGTAGTCGCTGTCTGCCACCTGGCCAACCTGCCGAAAGACGCGGAGAGCCGCCATCATGACACCCGGCTCCTTCGTCTTGATGCCTTTCAGGAGCGGCACAACCTTCTCCTGCACGGTGAACTTGTCCAGGATAGCTGAGCCTGCGGATGAAGCCGATCGTCTGTCCGCGACACCAATGCCGTTCAGGTCGTCCTCGGCGTCATCGTTGCCGCTAGCACTGCCACCACATAGCAAATAAAACGCTTCAAGCCCTCTGATCTTGATGTTGAGACTGCTCGTCTTGGCAAAGACAGCCGCAATGACCGGAAACAGCTCGCTCTTGATTGTCGTGAAGTCCAAGACGGGGAGGACGTGGGTTAGGGCGACGTGTGCAGCGTCCACCACAGCATGCGTGGGACTCTCCAATGCCAACATTACAATCGGCAAGAGATCTTCCCGGAACTCCTTGCCTGGGCAGTTCTCTGCTGCGACTTGCATGTTCTCAAGCAAGATCATCAGGCCAGCTTCTCTGCCCGTGTCTTTCTCCGCTGAGCGATGAGTGATGAATACCTCGCGCAACCGTGGCACCACAACCGTCGTGAAAGCTCGTTTGCCTGTAGGCATTACCTTGATCATGGCGAAGACATTGCTCATGATGGGTGCAAGAAGGTCCTTGTCTTTCATCTCGTCGAGTAAGGCCGGCAACACCTTCTTCTCCAGCACAGACTTCGGGAACTGTGGCATGATGCGCGGAAGGCCGCGCATGAAGGCCGCCTTCTCCTGCGGAGTTTTGGCAGGTAGTGCATCGAGGAAGCGTATGGTTGACACTAGGATGTTGTCGAAGTACGAAGCTTCTTGGAACTCTCGCGCAGATAGTCGCTGTGCTGGCCTTCGCGTGATCAGTCTCGGTAGCAGCTCACTGGCAAGCCTTGATGGCAGTGGATGCGATGTCGAGACGAGGAAGTTGTTCTGTTGTGTCGGTATGCTGGAGGAACTTGAGAAGATTCGCTTGTATGACGACAGCGAGCCGCCCGTACTGATAGGACTCGTGTGCGGACTGTTGTATAGCGCTACGATGAGAAGACCCAAGCTGAACAGGTCTGCTGCTGCGGTGAGACTGTTGTCGAGAACGAAGTCAGGCGAGGTGTAATCCAGGTTAAGTTGTACACTCCGTGGTAATCGTGGATCATGGTTGAGCGCCTCGCTCAAACTGATCGGTGTCAGGCTCGTCGCGGCGGTCGAGCTCTCGTGTGGCCCACAGAATGCTAGACCAGATATCTTCCAGTCTCCTTTCGCATTCACCAGCACCGCATCTGGCGTGAGGTTTGCGTGCACCAGGCCAGCACTCTCATGCAGGAATTCCAGACCCTTGCCCAGCTGTAGCAGACCTTTCTGGATCTCCAGCTCATCGATCTCCAACTCCCGTCTATGTCTCGTACCGTCTGTCTCCTCCACAACATACTTGCTTCCTCTCCCTCCAACTCCGCCCGAACGCTCCTGCTCATCCTTCTCCGCCAACAACGTAGCGAGACTGGCCGTCACCGGCTCGGTAGCGAACATGAGCCCGCCATTGCGGGTCTCTTCCAAGGGCTCCTGAAGCTCGAGGATGCTGGGGTGTCGGAGGCGCGCAAGGCTACTGGCCTCCTTCTTCAAGCGCTCGATCACTTCTTCATGTGCGCGCTTTAGGGATGCTGAGCCGCCCCGGCCAGCGCCACCGAGTCCGCCAGGTGAAGGAGTGAGGGTCTTCGGGTCAAAGACGAAGACCGAGGCAAGCTTGGCCGCCTTCTTGTGCTTGGCATCGAATATCTTCCACGGTCCAGCGGTGGAAGAGGGTTGTGGTGAGATGGAGTAGTTGCCGCTGATGTTGGAGCTAAGGGAAGACAACGCTTTGGAAAACATGGTGTCTCATCTCATCTCCTCTCATCCCGACCCTCAGCTCGCAAGCATTACAAGGGCAGTCACCATCTATGCATATATTAATGAGGATTTCCAGGCTAAGCGACAAGCGAGGCGCAGATATTGACTCTCGTGTCGAGGACCGTGTCGTCCACCCGCGCTCACGTTGCACTACTGTTCAACATGAACACAACACAGGCTAGAACGCTACCACCGAAGTTGTCACACGGGTTTACGATACGCTACACGCATTTACTGTACAAGTGGATCGGAAACAGATCAGGCATATGCAGCCCTGGACCCTTGTCGCTTGGCGCAGCCTACGGTTATCGATTGTTGGCCCTCGCTGCAGAGCTTTGGCTGTTTACCCTGGGCCCATGCGGATGCTGGTTGGAGGTGCAGACGGGGAGAGAGTGACTGCTGGTATGGGCGATGTGCTTTGAGAGACGAACTTGTATTAAACGCTTCCAGCAGTAACCGTTTGCCGCGAGTATTGACGTTGGCGAAGCGCACGAGCAACATCGAAAGCAAACGTGTAGCGGGGCCGTTCAGCCACTGCCAGCCACTGCATAATCGAGCTGATGTGTATAGCTCATCCAAAACTCCGGTACCCATCCTGGCTCCACTCCATCTTGTGCAGCATCGTCCGTCTGTCTTTACTGCTCGCGCACAAACACATCCATACAGCATCCGGAAACGCATCGCTCGCGCCTGGAATTGCGAGACGAAGTGCTTACCGCAGTGTGGAGGTGGGGTATACACTACCACCACCACCAAGCAACGGCGTCTCGATCGACATACAGAAGAGCATAGCAACGCAACGTCGTTGAAGCCCGCTCGGGCACCCCTGACCACAGCAATGCGACTGCGATTCAACCTCGCACCGCGATCACTCATCCAACTCATCACTACCATCCTCCTCGCACCCTCACCGCTCGTCCACGCAAACCCAAGACCTGCCAAGGAACTACTAGCCGGCTTCTCCTTCGACGAGCTCTTCGCCCGCTATGACTGTGGCGGACAGTTGTGCGGCTACTCCAGCCAACTCTGCTGCTCGGCAGGCAGTACATGCTACACGGACGTCAACAACCAGGCACAATGTTCCGCCGGCGGCGCAACAACCGCGGTGGGAGCGGGAGTGGGAGGGTACTGGCAAGTCTACACCACGGTATACGTCGAGACTGACTTGGTTACAACGACAAGAACAATGAGCTCCTTCGTCGGCCAAACGACCATCGTCGCCGCGACTACCACTGCGGCAGCCTGCAACTACGCCCTCAACCAGTTCGCCTGCGGCAACGTTTGCTGCGGCAGTAACCAATACTGCTACGCAGCCAACACCTGCTCCCTAGCCGCAAACGGCGGCAGCTCAGGCTACTACAGCACCTACACCACCCCACCCTCAACCGCACCCGGCACAACGGGCACAGCCATCGCCCCTCTCCGCGGCACCTCGTCCTCCCTCGTCCTCGTCACTACCACCGCCAGCCCAACCACCACCGTCCCTTTCGTCGCTCCCGTCGCGACCGGCGCAAACGTCACCCTCACCTCCTCCGAGCAATCCGGCGGCGGCGGCCTCTCCGGCGGCGCAATAGCCGGTATCGTCATCGGCGTGCTGGCCGGGCTGTTCCTGCTAGGTCTGCTATGCTTCTACTGCTGCGTCAAGGGCCTCGTAGACGGTTGTCTCGCGCTGTTCGGGTACGGCGGGAACCGACGTCGGCGACGCACGACCGAGGTCGAAGAGTACGAGCGTCGCTCACATCGCGAGTCCGGGGGTCAGAGGCGGACGTGGTATGGCGTTGCGCGGCCGGCACGGGTGTCGCGGTATGAGGAGCGTGATCGGCGGAACGAGAGTGGTGGGTTAGGCTGGGTGGGTATCTTGGGAGGGTTGGGAGCGTTGTGGGCCCTTTTGGGAATGAAGAGGCAGCGGGATGAGAAGAGGAGGCGGCAGAATGAGAAGTATTCGGAGAGTTACTACTCGAGTGATTATTATACTAGTGAAGGTGAGTCGAGGCGGTAGAGATACGTTGTGGTTAAGGATATGTTACTGACCTGTGATTTTAGAAAGCGCAAGCACGGTGGACGACCGGAGAAGACCTGGAAACGCGCGTGGATCGCGGCGATGACGATAATGATGAAGCATGGATGGAGCGTACTTGGGCGGTGCGAGCATTGGCGAATCCGGATGGTGAAACAGCTGCTCTCACGAGCACGCTATCTGCGCCTTTGCGCCAAGCAGACTGTATAGACGCCATTATCGAGCCTCGTCTCAACTTTGAGATCGGCTCGCAGACGTGAACGCACTCGCTCTCATCGCACCAGCTGTATCACTTGGTTTGCGTGACGGCTTTCGGTGGCTGTGGCGGCGCTGGCTTCGCCTCGTCCTGCTTCTCATTGTCCTTCGGCGTGATGATGACGGCCAGTGTCGGCAGCGCGACACCAACGGCCAATCTGCTCATACAAGCGAAATGCATTTCGACTGACGATATGTATGTATGGGTGTGTAGAGGGCAAAAGACCAGAGGCTTACAGCTCTCATGAGAATCAGCGCTGACGCCATCAGCGGACCTGACTCCGTTGAGTTTAGCCCTGACAGAGCCGCGGGCATCGAGACCTTCCTCCTCTTCCTGTCATTCCCCCTAAAACTCCACCAAGCAACAGCCGTGCCCTCCAATCAATACTCTCACGATATTCATAGCCAAACGGCTTCAACATCTAAACATTTCATCAGAAGCAGGCCGATGCGCTCCCCTTGAGCCCGTCCGACTGGCTAAAGTCCGCCATCGAAGCTGGCTAAATCCGACGCACCCCTCATTCAGTAGTGGCGGTTGATGATGATGATGCTGGTAGGTGAACAGTGGCCGCTCAATGCGGCAGGTGATGCAAGGCGAGCTCAATCTCTCACTTTCGTATTCTTCTCTCCCTGCATTGGCAAGCTTTCTTGGACGACCTTGATTTGCTTGATACCCAACACCAGCTGCACACCCTCCACCCGTCGCAATCAGCACAGCTCATCCCACAAGAACCGTCACCATGGCCTTCCCCAACCTCGATATGAGCAACAACAAGGATCCAGTCATCCGCTCCATCAATGAGACCAAGGCTGGATACAAGCGCCTAGGCAACTCTGGCCTACGCGTTTCAGTCCCAATTCTAGGCGCCATGTCCTTCGGCTCCAAAGAGTGGCAACCCTGGGTGATCGAAGAAGAAGAAGCCTTCCCTCTTCTCAAAGCTGCCTACGACCGTGGTCTAAACACCTGGGACACCGCCAACGTCTACTCCAACGGCGTCAGCGAAGAGATCATCGGCAAGGCCATCAAGAAATTCAACATCCCGCGCAACAAGCTCGTCATCCTCAGCAAATGTTTCGGCTATGTGGGCGAGACGCCAGACATCCGAGGAATAGCGTACGGTCAAGCCATCGCCAACTCGAAAGACTACGTAAACCGCGGCGGCCTCTCCCGCACCGCCATCTTCGAAGCCGTCAACGCCTCCCTTGCCCGCCTCGACACGCCTTACCTCGACCTCCTGCAGATCCACCGTTTCGACCCATACACGCCGCTTGAGGAGACAATGCAAGCGCTGCACGACCTCGTGCGGAGCGGAAAGGTGCACTATATCGGCGCCAGCAGCATGTTCGCGTACCAGTTCGCCATGCTGCAGAACTGCGCGGAGAAGAATGGCTGGACCAAGTTCATCTCCATGCAGAATCATTATAACCTTCTCTACCGTGAAGAAGAGCGCGAGATGAACAAGTACTGCGACGCTACAGGTGTGGGTTTGATCCCGTGGGCACCGCTTTGCCGGGGTCACCTCGCTCGTCCGCCTTCGCAGTTCGGGTCCACGATCCGGAGTGAAGGCGAGCAGAAGACTTCCAAAGGACAGAGCGAAAGCGACAAGGAAGTTGTGAAGCGTGTGCAGGAGCTGGCGGAGAAGCATGGGTGGAAGATGTCGCATGTGGCGTTGGCTTGGATCAATAAGCGCGTGAGCAGTCCGATCATCGGTTTTAGCAGCGTCGAGAGGATGGAGGAGGCGTTGGAGGCGCGAGGGAAGGAGCTGACGCCGGAGGAGGAGAAGTATCTCGAGGAGCCGTATGTTACTCGAGACATCCAAGGGCATTCGTAGAGCTTTGCTTTCCACGAGCGGGTAGCTATTGCCGTACATACTGTGGCTATACAGTATATGCGAAACGCTCTCTTGCACGCAGAACGCTTCATCAAGCAAAATGCCCTGCCTCATATAGGCAGATACTCCAGCGCCCTCAGCATCACCTTCACCACAACCGGCACCTCCGCCCTTCTAACTCCACTCCCAGGCGTCGCAACCGTACTCGAACCCGCCAATATAAACCCTCCACCCGTCGTGCCCGCCGTCGTCCCCACCGTACTCCCCGTCGTCGCAATCACAAGTCCATTCCCACCCGTGCTCGTCCCCGTCGTGGTAGCCGCCGTCTGAAACGGCGTTGTGGTACTCGCACTCGCCAGGCCTCCCGTCGTCGCCGCCGCTCCTCCAATCAAACTCCCGTCACTCGCCACCGTCCCCGCGGTAATCACGCCGGAGATCGTGCCCGAGCACGCGGCGCCGGAGGGACAGCAGGCGACGTGCCCGGCGAAGTCGGCCGAGCAGACGGCGCCGGAGGCGCAGCAGAGTTGGGGCGCGCCGAGGTTGGCGCAGGACTTGAACAGTGTGGGGCAGGCGTTGCTGGTTTGTTGGCGCTTGCGGAGGTCGTCTTGGTAGGTTGCGTTTGTGTCGATGAGGGAGAAGGGGAGGTAGTCTTGTAGGGTTATGGGGAGGGCGGAGAGGAAGGGTTGGAAGTCTGGGAGGAGGAAGGCGTTGGTTGTGGTTGTGGCGGCGAGCAGCAGGAGGGTTGGTGGGAGGAAGGTGGACCGCATTGTTCGCTCGGTTCAATGATATAAGGACTTGGGGTCGGTCAGAGCAGTCCGTTTAGAGACAGTTGTTGCGAATGGCGTTTCGGTGATGTCTATTCACTACGCTATCGTGTCGTCGTTACTGTGTCCAGTATATGCATGCTCAGACCTTGCAAGGCTAACCTGCCAGCACATAACATGCACTCTCTCGCGTCGAGTAACTGGACCTCTCAATTTGCGGGGTTCATCTGTCGCCAATGGCAACAACGTACCATCGCAGCGCACGTGCCTCCCCATCCGTGGTGCCTTTTATAAAGGCTGTGACTTCACGATCAGAAATTTCTTGTTGTCAATTCGGCCTGAAAGATCTCCTGTTCTTGCATCACATTCACCATTCACAGCTTCGCAAAGGATGCCGTGACTCTATAACAAGGTCCACCCTGCCCGAACATCTTCCTCAAATCCGCCACGATCTCCTCCGGGATTTCCCACGCGGCGAAATGTCCTCCGTGTACCTTCCGACTCTCAAACACAACAGGTCCTAACGTTCGACCCCAGGTCGAAGGCACGACAGTCAGCTCACGCGGTACGTGGCACAGCCCTAGCTTAACCTTGGAGATCCACTGCTGCGTGCGGTCTCTGCTTACGCCCCTAACGGCATCGGCATGTATGGCTTCGTAGTAAATGCGCAAACTCGCTGCAGGGCCGGCGGTGGAGAAGTAGTAGATGCTGACCCAGGTGAGGATCTCGTCGTCCGTCCAGGGGTAGTTGTCCGTCCAGTCGTGCAGTTTCTCCAGGATCCATGCTAGAAGACCGACGGGGCTGTCCGTTAACGCGTAGCCGAGAGTTTGTGGTTTCGTTGATTGGGTCAAGCGGTAGCCGCTGCCTTCCTCCGCGAACCACTTGCTGCGTTCGAGTCCTTGGCGATCACGTTCCGTGTAGGGCTGGATGGCGTGTTGGAGCGCAAGAAGAGGCGTGCCGGTCCAGGTCGGAGGGTTGGCTCGGATCATGTTCACGTGAGAGGCTAGTACAGATGATGGATAGAGCAACCCCTGCCAAGGTGGTGAAAGCGACTGTTAGCTGCTTACTGCGAGAAAGGGTTGTGGTTGTCAAGTCATACCATGGCCCGAGTGATGTAGAACCCCCAATCGCCTCCCTGTGTCACGTAGGTGTTGTAGCCTAGCGATTGCATGAGGCGGTGATTGACCTATACGCACAACTTAGCGGTCATCAACGGTAGAACGTAAGGTCAGATTTACCTCAGCATACTGTTTCAGTCCGAACCCTTTCTGCTTTGCACCCTCAGACCATCCGAAATTTGGCAAGCTAGGTGCCACGACATGGAACGCTACACCGTTACTGCTCTGCTTCAACGCGGCTAGCATTTTGGTCACCTCGAGGTAACTGCCAGGCCAGCCATGACAGAAGAGCAAGGGAATGGCGTCCGGCGCGTCCGAGGGCTGATGAAGATAATGAATGTCCAGCTCCGGGAAGCCATCTACCTGAATCATCCTATGGTAGTTTGGCAGGTCGTTGAGCTTCGTTTCTTGGGCTCGCCAGTCGAAACCGTTTTGCCAGTACGCTGCAAGACGCTTTACGTCGACCAAAGGAGCGCCATAGTCCCATGCTGCGCCTTGAAGCTGCGAGACATCAGTCGGGATCGGCGAATACCTTGGTGATTGTAGGAATAAAGGGCACCTCGTCTGGGAAACTTGACCTCGACAGCTTGTCCTTCAGAGCAGCTATGCGCTCGTCGGGCACTGCAACCTCGTAGCTGGCCATCTTTAAGACGTCGCCTGTCTAAGTTGACACTAGCAATCAGCAGCGCACGCGTCTGCTTGTGGACAATGGAGTATAACAGAGCGACAAGTTAGGGCTGCATGACTATGGGCGCTAACTGCAGTGCCTTCTGGAAGACTAGGAGAACAACGACCAGCACAATAGCCTGTGAATACGTATCGTTGGTAGTATCTCGCGGTTCAGCCTCGTATGGCGTCTGCAGAGACGGATTCTTTCACAGCTACATGTCCTTGAGTTGTTGCATGCCCGGGGGAGGTTCCACGCAGTATCTTCTAAAGATCCTTAATGCCATGGAATAAAGGTATCAATGCTTACCTGGTGCAGTCTCGATTCAACAATCCAGTATTGACTATACACGGTGGTACGTTTGAAGCGATGAAGTGACGTCGGAACCACCGCCCACTTCACCTCGCGCTCGAAGCTCCGCAACTGGTGGGACCGAGGTGTCGGTACTTGAGTACGCACAAGGACCGGGGGCAAAGTTACCACCCCTGGTCCTGGCTGGCACGTTATGACATGGCGCAAACTCTACCAGACCGTAACTACATGTAGGCTACGGAACACTCAGCTGCAAGTCATGCCTTCAGTTGTCCAGGTTCCCTTCGTGATGGGCACGTGATCATTGCTCCGACAGCACTGTGGAGGCATGCGCTCCGCGAGGCTTTGGGAAGAATTTTATGAGAAGCAGTAGCGGGATGATGGGGCCGGGTGGTGATTGGGCAACGGATGGACTGCCGTTGCGGCGTGTTGATCGTTATCCTGACCAGACTGCAAACAGGCGCCACACCAGATAGTCTTCTTTAACGAAGCGCAGCTCGAAGATCATGACGTGGCTTCGTCAAAGCTTGCCGGTAATAGATCGAGCCGCCATAACACTGAATGGACGAGTATCTGTCGTAGTCTCCGCTTCCCGGACATTAGAGCGAAGGAGACGGTTCCGTTATAACCTACCATATGCATAAGTCGTAAATGCGTAAAAATCCGAGATCGCGCATTGACGATCCGCAATGACGTTCGTTCTTGGGACAGACATTTGGGTAACTGTCGTGCCATTCGGATGGAAAGCCGCTTGAATATTGACTTTCGGGCTCGCTTCTCGAATAATGGTCCCCGCCATTCTTTGCCGGATTTCCACTCTTAAGTTGCAGAGAACTCCGTCTGCGACTGCATCGATGGTGCTGAGCACTCGCAGATCTTACTCTGAGAAGAGCCTTGTGGCTCCGTCTTTGCGAGCCGACTTCTGCATGAAGCAATGGCCGGGGAGTGACGTGGCGCACTATATGTCAAATATATTATTATCGCCACACTGTTGAACATGTAGTCTGATCGTACGACCTTCAGCCAGCCATAGCAGTATTTTTCATTTGGCGTCTTTCTTGGATCGTTGGAAAAAAATGCTTCCTTTCGCTTTCATACTCGCCGCCGCAGGCACACTCATCCATCAAAGTAATGGCGCGCCAACGCCCACTAGCAACGATGCGTCCATCATCGAGCGAGGCCTTATTAGCGGACTTCTGGGTGATGCTTCTGGCGTGGTTGGGACGGCCGTGAGCAAATTGAACAATCTTGGTTCAACGTCGACCGGGTCCGCAGGTTATTCGTCCGCTCTGAGTCTTCTACAATCTGTGACGCCGACTGCATCACCTACCGACGTCCAACAGGCCTCCGCAACCCTTTCCGCCATCTTTCAAGCCAGCCCAACGCCGAACAACCTGTATGCTGCCATTGGAGAGCTCGTCGCTCAAGGCTTGACGACGGACAATGTGGGAACCGCGGCTGAGTTCGTCGAGGGTGCACTCACTGGCCAGAACAGCGAAATCAATATCAACCTACGGTCGCCGTCTATCACTGTATACCCCAAGGCGAATTCAAGCGATGCTGCCTACGACCTGACCGAAGCCCAACTCAGAGCGGTCATCTACATCCCATCAACCTTCCAATATGGTAAGAAAGGTGCCCCTCAACCCGTCATCCTTGTCCCCGGCACTGGTGATACAGGATACACAACCTTCATCGGCAACTACATCCCCTTGCTCCAGGGTTCTACCGTCGGCGACCCTGTGTGGCTCAACATTCCCGGGTATCTCTTGAATGATGCCCAGACGAATGCGGAGTATGTCGCGTACGCCATCAACTATATTTATGGCATTAGCAACAAACGGAAGGTGGCAGTCTTCGGCTGGTCACAAGGCAACATTGATTCACAATGGGCCTACAAGTATTGGCCATCAACACGCTCGAAAGTAACTGACCATGTCGCCTTCTCGCCGGACTATCACGGAACGGTGATTGCGAACTTCATTGCCCTCAATGAGCCTCTACCGCCGTCTTTACTTCAACAGGAGTACAATTCAAACTTCATCACGACTATGCGTCGGAATGGGGGGGATTCCGCCTATGTGCCCACCACCACAATCTACTCCGGCTTTTTCGACGAGATCGTCGAGCCACAACAGGGCACAGGCGCTTCTGCATTCTTGCTTGGCAACAATGGTATTGCTGTCTCCAACAATGAAGTGCAGACTGTATGCGCAGGACAAGCGGCAGGATCGTTCTACACTCATGAAGGAACGCTCTATAATCCTCTTGGCTATGCTTTGGCGGTCGACGCCTTATCTCACGATGGACCTGGCAATCCTTCACGTCTCGATCTCCCGACTGTATGCTCTCAATACCTCACGCCAGGCTTGGACTTGGGAGACTTCTTGGAGACCGAGAACTCGATCCTTATCGCGGGCTTGGCAATCGGTGTGTACCCAAATAAGGTGGTGACGGAGCCCGCGATTAAGAGTAAGTATCTTGAACGGACAATGAGCTAAACACGACACTAATTGCTTGCCAGGCTATGCAACCTACTAAGCCCGCCTGATTGGACAGCTATTGTATTATAAATAATGTCTGGACGAATATTATGTCACATAGAGTCCGTCAGGATCATAGTTCCAACTACTGCATCGACGTAGCCGGCGGTCGGGGATGTATCAATGTTTGCAGATTTATGTTGGTATGAATGAAGACTCTTTCTAATTATGGGCTGCGTGTGACAACTACAGCTACCAGTATTGAGAAGCTGCACAGAGTATGCACCAGTGTATCATATACTCTACTGAAATCTGACACGTATTCATCGCGCTCACCGCCTTCTAGAATGTCGGAGATGGGATGATGCAGCGCAACTCATATTAAAGTCGGCTCCTTTCTCCAAAGGCTGCTTCTCCGGGGGCCTTCAAATCCTTCCTACCGGTGAACTTGCGCGCCATGCGCAAATTGCTGATAATGGCCGATCGTGGGAACCAATGCTGTACGACTCTACGCTCAGCTTCGTTGCCAGTCATCAATCCTACGAGCGCCTCAGCTGCCTTCAAACACCACACCATACCATGGCCGTTGAACGCTGCCGAGATCCAGAGGCCTGGCTTATCCGGCCACGCACCAACATACGGAAGTCCATCTGCGGAAGCACCCATGATTCCGCTCCACTCTTTCTTGACGCGGCCTTGTGGGTGGTCAGAACCCCAATTTGGTCCGAAGTAATCTGCCGTGCATTTGCGAAGGTAGGAGGTAATTGTCGGTTCCAGCGAGGAGTCGTCCGTCTCGCCATACCTTGAAGCTCCGTCATTTGGCAGCTGCCAGATTCCGCCTCCAATGACAATCGTGCCTGGATCGAAGGAGCTTGGTGGCCGGCTAATCATGTATTCGTATCCGCTCTCTTGGATGAAGGAATATGTGTGCTTTAAACCTGTCTGTGGCAGACCGCTTCCGGGACGCTGAGCAACGATCTGGCCGTGCAGCGGCACTATGATGCCTTGCATCTCAGGCAGTAAATGCGCGGTGTACCCGTTGGTGGCCAGCACAAGATTCGCAGTCTTGATAGAGCCTCGTGCGGTACTCACTGTCCACTGCGTCTGACCCTCAACCATCTCGGGCCTTATACACTCAGCTGGCGTGGCAGTTTGTAGGTTCAGGCCCAATGACAGCGATAGTTTCAACACCCCAGTGGTGAAGTCGTAAGCACTCAGACTACCAGCCATGGATTCAAAAGCACCCAATGCGTTCGGCGTACGAAACTGCTTGGCTGCTTCTGCTGCAGTCCAAATGCTATACTGGGCAGCCGGATCATCCTCGCCCATGACTTGCCGCATCCTTTCTATAGCTTTACGCCCTAGTGACAGGTGAGTTTGACTGTATATAATGTCTACGGTACTACACATCGTTGAAGCGCAGCTAATGCCGTGTTCGCGGGCCAAAGCATGGGTCGCCACAATATTGGCATACTGAAGCCTTGCAATCTTTACGGCCTCAGCGGTGCCTAGCTCTCGCTCGTGGTCAAGGAAGCTACGGTACGAAGAGGCCTTTGTGTGACCACCGTTACGTCCAGTGGCACCGCTGACCGCTTGCCTCGCCTCCAGCATCACCACTCTGGCACCCGGCAGCTGCGAGAGAAGGTTGAAAGCGATGCACGATCCGCTAACACCCGAACCGACAATCACATAGTCTGCGGTAGTTGGCAATTCCGCCGTGCTTCGCAGAGACGCTATGTCGGATGGCGGCACTTGCCAATAGGATGTGGTCGGATCGCGTCGAGGGACCCCAGGCGGTATGCGGCTCCGCTCCTCCATGATTGTATTGAGTCTGTACGTGCAGATAAAGCCGATGCAGGCTTACTCTCGCGAACAGGGCCACGGTACCCAAGGTAACAGCGTCTCTTCACCTTCATGTAGACTCGACTGATTGCACACGTTGCGATATGATCAATGGCGTACAGGAACACGTCCCATTCTACATTGCTTTGCTATGATTTGCACTCCTAAAAGAGAAGATAGCCATCGCCATGCTTGCATAAAGCGTCCATAGAGCGAGCGGCGATAGCGGCCTTCCGTGGCCGATCTCATTCGTGGTTCGATTGCGGCTCGAGCGGCAGGCGGGAAATGTAGGGCTGCAGCTTCATCGACGACTTCGAGTCGTTGCGTCTACGGCCTCGGCAGCCAAATCTCTTCCCTTGTTGGGAGGGAGAGAACCTGCGGCATATGCTTTTGGCGACTAACATTGTCTGCAAATGCTGTCGCGGACCGGAGTCGCCACATTCACTTCAGGTCGAACACTAGTTCGACTATTTGCTTAACCAAGTCAGGCTTAGTAATTGGGTTGAAACTGTCCTTCACCGACTCGGGCAACTCTCAACGTCTGCCTCGCGCTAAAGCCTCCATAATCACCGAGTCCGCGCCATAAAATCCCTTCCCTCTAATGACACGCGCCAACGTCCTTCGCGTTCAAGTGCACGTGATAGAGTTCTGTAAGCCACTGCTAGCGAAGGATTTCTTAGCCGCGGGTGTCGCGTCTTCACACTCGCTCACTCACGCTCATTCTCCATTCCGACAAACGCGAAGCATATTCGACGTCCTATACGCGTAGCACGTGGCGGGACTTGAAGGAATTGGTGAACGCGATTTCGCGTTAGGGTGTCATTACTTGCAGCGAGCGGATAATCGAGGCGCCACCTGCGGGCTCTTTCATCGCTCGCCATTCGAACATCTGCAGTCCCAGTCTCTCAGTCTGCGTACATCATGGCTGCGAACCTCATGTCTGAACCTCAGGCTGCGATCGCTTCTATGACCAAGGCAGACCTCGCCAAAGGCACAGGCCGACCCGGGCTCTTCCAACGGCTGGACACCGCATACCGATCCTTTTGCCAGCTGAGAGATCTGACTCCGGAGCAAGTCGATTCATTTATGCAGTCTTATGTCATCTATGACCTTGACTGGCAGGATGAAAAGCAAATGGTTGAAACTCTTGGTCCGAACTACCAGGAGAAGGTTGGCGAATGCTTATCCAACTACTACCGGGTGCTTAATCACCTTTGCGCCATCGGCGAGCTCGAGAAGATGTACATACCGCCGATCATGGACTCGAACGAGGGTATCACCGGCAATCAAATCTTGTATGAGGAGAGCATCGCCGAGGAGCTTCAATTGCCATCGAATCCAAAGCTTCTGGATCTAGGATGCGGTCGTGGTCGGGTTGCAGCACATATGTCTCTCCTGTGTGGCGCTCAAGTCACTGGCATTAACATTGATGCGGATCAGGTTGCAAGCGCAAAAGCATATAATGAGCAATGTCACTTCAGTAATGAATTCGTGCGAAAGGACTTCAATGAATTGCCGCTCCCGCTCCCCGACGCCCACTTCGACGGCTTCTATCAGATTCAGGCTTTTAGCTTGTGCAAAGACATTCCAAAGCTGGCCAGTGAGGTCTACCGCGTCCTGAAGCCTGGCGCACGCATCTCGCTTCTTGACTGGGTCAGCTTGAACGCTTACAATCCACAAGATCCACATCACAGGGAGCTCATGCGCTGTGTCAAGCCATTGATCGGCGCTGTCGGCACTCCGACACCAGAGTCAATGTGCCGCGACCTGGAGTCTGCAGGGTTCCGCATCATACGCCACAACAATGCAAGCATCGACGGCCTGCAAGCACCATTGCTCGAAATCGCAAAGGGCTACTTCGGAACCGCCAAGTGGGCAACCTTTAGCCTCGTCAATGTTGGGCTACTCCCAGCTCATTTCAAAACCCTGTTCAATCGCTTTTCGCAGGACAGCGATGCCTTCATCGAGGCAGATCGATCACGACTCATCACTACTTGCTATCACTGGCTGGCTGAGAAGCCGCGTGACATGGACGTTGCAGGAATACCGAAGAGCGTCTCGCCGGCAAGCTCTGACTTGGCGGTCAAGGCGGACTCTTCGGCAAGCTCCGACTCCGAGACCAAAGCAACGAACACCCCAGCAAGCTCCATCGACGACGTGCCTACCAACAAATCAGCAAAGGCAGAAGTTGAGAAGGCTAGCAGCTCGCTGAGCTCAGGCGCTATCACTACACCCAAGGCTGCTGTTGAGACGGCAGCATAGGCATGATGACGCACTCGGCAACTTCCAGCAGAAGATTGGGAGATCTACCATACTCGCTCAAACAGGTCTCAGCGCAGGTTCGCTACCAACGAGTCGTTACACGGCCCGTGAGACCACTCCCTAATCTACTAATTCATACCTTCGCGATGACGAAGGTACAGCAGACACCAGCCACTGGCCAACTGCAATTGATGCTCAGACTAATACAGCGGCTCGCTCATGTGAGACTGAAGTGCTGCCGCCTTGTGCATGGCTTTGTCTCGCACCATTCATTGGCGACGATTACAACTGGGTCCAGGCACTGTATAGACGCGTCCTGTGGCTCTCTCCTAATGTTCAGATAGCAATCTATGATACCACTCTAGCGGTTTTAGGCGGACACGGTGTAGATGGCATCGAGTCAATGATAACGAATGCTCCTCACGCTGCTTTCCTTCCATACCTGGGAGACGGTAATGCATCGTTGGTCCCAAGGTTGCCCTGTACCACGTGGTGCACTGGTCTGCTCTCACCCCTTGTTTGTGATTTCCCTGTGGCACAACATTTCGCACGCGCTAATGATCTCCTCGGACAGCTGACGCGGAGACAGGTTGATTGCGATCACCAACATGATCTGGGTCTACCAGCAACACAATTTGCCCACGTCTGCCTAGGGACGTCCAGTCCGTCGCCGTACGATTAAGGAACATTGTCCTGTCGACGCCAGATGGCGCGGATCGTGTCACGGCTGAAGCGAGTGGTAGCCGTTGACTACGAATCACAGCGCACAGTGCTACGGAACCTGGCCTATTCCTCCTCACCACCTTTGGCCTTCTTCTTCTTGCTGCTGCCGCTTGACACCACGTCACCCGTCTTTTTCTGGTGCACGATAAATCTCGTGTAACACTCCTCACGATCCCATTCGAATCCTGCAAGGTAAGGCGCCTCGAGCTCATCATCGGCCTGACGCGGACGAACAATTAGAGATGAGCAATACTTTGGGGCCAATGGGGACGCAGCTTACCCGCTTCTTGTACGCCTTATAGATGGCATCGCAGGCATCCTTGATGGTGACACCTTTCAAGTTTCGTGCCGTGACCTCAAGGCCGAGCGGGAAGTGGAGATCGATCTTCTTGATGGGCGGAGTGGTGAGGAGCTTCTTCAAAACTTCCTTATCTTCAATCGTTGACGGTGAGCTGTTAATCTTCCTAGAGCGGTGTAAGTGTGTGAGAGAGCTCAAAGAGCGCAGGGCCGATGATCGACCATAGCTTACCAGTTGAGCTTCTGTGTCTCCGGGGCAATCTTCAGCTCGACGTTCTCCTTCTCTGCAGCATTCGTACGTCAGCAAGACAGCTCGTGCGGCAAAACCATAAGACGAAAACGAACCGAGATCATTGATGTTGAAGACGCCGCTGACGGTACTGCTCGTACGCCGATGCTTGATCTTGCTCTCCGTGGGTGATGCCGGAGCATCATCAATGGCCGAGTCGACCTTACTAAGATCGGCACTGGTGTGTTCTTGCACTTCAGCTGCCATTGTGGTCACTTCTGTATGACGAAGATGAAGATCGAGCTCCTTGCAATGGGTTGATACAAAGGCTGCAGTAGTCAGGTACAGAAGATGGTGGGTAGGGAGGAGGAGGGAAGCGAGAGCTCACCCTGATCATCAAGGAAGCTCCAGGAGGGGCTGATGTCGAGCTCGACCTTAGACGTTGCACGAGACCTCGATGGTCACGCGACAGGGGGAGCATGAGCACGCGACACCCAGCGCTCGGATCCGACGGGGCCACCCTTCTCCGCATTTCTGAAGTCCGGGGTATGAGGGGTAGCGTGCTTCGCGATTGTTGCTCGATTCAACAACGACGCCTATCTGAAATGTTCCACATTGGGCGTAAGATACCTTTCAGTGAAGGGTGCTTCGGTGCATGATACTATACGATGTACTGAATGCAAGTGATGCTCGCCACTGGCACTGATGCTGAGGACAGGAGCGGCCTATTCATGTCATGGCAGTGGCATAGGTTTCGTTCTCCCACATCTGCACCGGACTTCAGCACGCATGCATCGGCCCACCCCGCGGTTTAGTGCTTAAGAGGCCAAAGGAATGCTGTATTGTCACCACGTGGGTTCACCAGTTATGCTTGTCGGTGGTATGCAACCCGTGTTACCAGCCCCAATGCTATCTGAAGATGGAGTGGGTGTTAAGCCGCAATGCGATACCATCCTTATTAGGCTTTGTTCAGAGGCCCCCTGCTTCAAGGGAATCCGGAGAGTAACGGACTCGGCTGCATTCTCAAAGCCCTTCAGCGATCTCTTGGGATTAGGAACGTTCGCCGCTGTAAATGCAACCACGAGTTGGAAGCAGTGTGAGTGGTGCAAGCTACAGTCTCTGCTCCGTGTGCTGCTGTGGTTACAGTCTTAGAGCTGCATTGGCACCTCGAATGCTTCAACAGTCAGAACATCCAAGGTCTAGGAACCGCTTTTGCGCGAAGGAAGCCAGCTGTGTCCCAAGCCGAAAGCGGCAATATGGTTCTGCTGCTGCAGATGATTCTGGCCGCATGGTGTTGTCAAAGAGTTCGCCCTTATCCCTACAGAGCCTGACCGTACCTAACTCCAGCTTAAAAGTGACTGTGAACGGGTATCCTGCCATTAGGTAAACTTACCATGAAGCAAGGTCACACCAGCAGCACGCAACAGTGTTGACCGCTGAAGCTTCGTCAACATTTGTCGGGCATTCCGCAATTTCCATGAAGCATTACAGTCTACACAAGTCGTGCAAGACTCTGTCCCCCGTTTAACGTGCCCTGGACAAACAGTACAGTCAACAGGCGCGTTACAACAACATTCTCGATCTCCAGCATAGACGGCTATGAGGATGACCGTGCCAGTTCTTGCAGGATGGTTGAGCCGTGATCGGAGTGTGGAGGGAACCGAAGCGTGCAAGGAGTACCCACGTAATCGTCGCGTAGACGAAGAAGCCGTCAATGTTGGCCGATATGATCATGGCCAGCTGAAGCACCGCCATGTCTTACGCCAGTGGAGCTGCCTGCGAAAGGCTAAGAAAGTGTACCGCAACGCCGCTGACTGAGCCCTCAGAATAACCTGCGACATTGCTCTCGGCCATCCCAGTACAACGCAGGCCGTGCGCGGACTCTTGCAGCCGCGAGCGTCGTAAGTAATGGTAAGCCGTGTTGGCGGTCCATCGTCCGTCGTATTGCCGTTGGTGGAGCCGCGTGGAAATAATGACGCCGCTACCTGCACATGGCCTGTGGCCCTTCGGCCGCAGCCTGCAGAACCAGACCTCCACGGGCTGACATCTGTAAATGCTGCACCAACCATGAATTTCGCTACGACGAGGCGGGACGACAGCATCCTGATCGTTTGCTCGGAGACTCTGCTCCTCAAGGCAGCAGGCTGTGGAGTCCATACTGCCACGAAGTTATGGTCTTCTGCAATGGGAGGACCTAACCCACACAGTATACCCGGTCAATGGACATGTGAACATTGCCAGAAGCACACAGATTGCCTCATTCATAGCCCGGCAATGCTCTGCTCGGCTTACCGCAGCTCGTACGTGATAGGAAACAATGCATAGAAGTGCCGAGAAGACTGACCGATAGTAAGCAGAGAAGACAGTCGGCGGGCAAACTGATGCGCGACGCTTGATCATCCCAATTCGGTCGGCTGGGGCTATAATCACGATCAGCCTTGTGTGCCCGACACAGCGCCCCTCTATTCGTCGTACATCTGCTCAAACGGGGCCTTCTGTATGAGTGTCAAGTTTCGCGCGTCGTGGACGAAGACATGGCTGTCCCGTAGTACTAACTCTCAAGCTTTCCCATAAGCAGGCATGCTGTCCGAGAATACGCGCAGAACGTTGAACTCATCTCGAGACCAGTTGAGCACGGACAGGCTAGTGCTGAGGTTGCGGACTGTGGCACCGCAATATGTTGTACGTGCGTGCTCCCAGATAGCGTCTTCACTTAGCTTACCGCGCAGATGAACCAAGCGCAGCTAATGAAGCGGTTTGCAGACAACGATGTCACAAGATTGGTGAAAAGATGGGTCATGCTTCCAGCCAGACTGTGCTAAAGGTGTTTCCGGTCTAGCATCGTATAGTTGTTGAAGCACCAAGCGCGATGGACAATAAGACGCAGGGTACGCGCCTGTAATGGTGGACCTGCAGAAGGCTGACTAGTTGACTGAGCACTCTTACTAACGGTGGGAAGACCGTGGAACTGCCAGCTATTGTAGCGTGAATGAGATGTTGCGTAGAGCTGTTTTTGGACAAGCATGTCTGCGCGGAGACTCCAGACGAGTTCCAGATGCTCTTGCAGCCTCCTGCTGACGCTGCAATTCTGGCTGTTATCATTGGCACGCCGAAAGCACCACGTTGTAAAGTAGCGGCAGAGATGCGGCTCTTCGGGCAATGGCATTTGGCAAGTATGTACGATAGGCGAATGGGCAAAGCATACTGCTGACGCGCTACCTGCGGCGTGCCTGCAACGCACTGTAAGCTTCTATGCTGCTTCTCTCGCTGTTGCACTGCCCGTTTGGGTTACTACGCTTCCACAAACCGGAAAGATTCTGTAGCGCCCGACAACGAACATCCTCAGTGCCAGGCCAAGTGTTGCGCCGCATTCACATTCCAGTATTGGATCCAAAGTGTCGTAATGTCGTGAGAGGCGGCGTGCAGGACCGGGCAGCCCGAAGTCCGATAATGTCACCCTGTCCAGCCGCGGTCACACCACAAACTACTGGCCGATGAGCGGTGCAGCTACTGCCAGAAGTCCCCACCCGCGGTCGTTGACACGGACCGACGTTGCGATCACAAAGTTGACTTGCTTTCGCACGTAAGTTGGAGGTAGTGGACACTGTCGAAGCGCTCCGTCATGCGATCGCGCGGCTGAAGACTCGAATGCCGAAGCGACCGCTTGCCCGATGCAGACTAATCACATTGCGCTCAGTGCGAGGGTCTCTGTATCCAACACATTCGTGATTCCAGGTTAACTTCCCATCTACTGCCGAATGTGCTCCGCGTATGGACTGCTGACGTCGGTACTGCCCATTGTCATGGCTGACCGATGAGACAGCCACGTGGAGAGAGGGCCGTTTGAGATAGAGATCTCACTGCAAGCACTGCAAGCACTCCGTGAACAGCCTTGCAGCCCTACAGGCTTGGCATTTCGTGCTTCCAAATTTGGGTGCTTACCAAAGTTCTATACGCGGCGACCATGACAAAAGGCAACAGCGGCGGGTCCCGTCCTTCCGTGAACAATGTCAGCATGTTTCCAGTTAATTGAAACCACACTAAAGCGGTGTGTTGTGAAGAGAAGATTGCGAGTGCTCTATGGCGGAGCCACTTGTTGGCGACGCAAGCTCTCACGCGATGCCAATGCTTGCCGGATCGGTCAGGCGTCCTGGCACCACGCGATTCGTCTTTCAATTGCACTGGACCCTCAACCTCGGGTAGGGCACATCCATATGGTTTGCACCAGAAAGTGGTCGTACCTCCAAGCAGAAAGGCTCCTTACCTGGCAGCCTGTGGAAGCGGGAAGGAAGCATGCACAGTGGGTTGCTGGCCAACTGCGGCAACCGCTCGAATCCCTTCCAGCTACTCCTGTGAGATAATTGCTCGCTCTGTCAAATGCTTCGGAATGGCGCCATACCACAGTCCACCCATGCAACATCAGCAATTTGTGCTATGACACCGCGCTATGGACAGATTCGGATAGCAGTAGTCTTGTCCCCTGCAATGAATGATCAGTACTATTCTATGTTACGGCGGGCCTTCTTTGTCATCGGATTCTGCACGCCGGGCCGTCTTAGCTTGCGACCGATGCGCGGGGAGCTCGCAGGTCTCCTCGTTCCTCAGCCCTGCACCATTTCGGGTTACGCTGCGCTTTGCAAGCGAAGCATGTGGCTGGCATGGTCGGTCACCGTAGTTTCTTAGGGTCCAGCCTTAGCACCGACATGCACGGGTGATCCGTAAACGCGCCTGGGGCTGGCGAAGGGCGCACTGGTGACTGAACCCACATGGTCGCTGCCACTACGCTAGCATGGGTCGTGGAGTCTGCACTCTGCACTGTTTAGAGCTCCTGGTGCCCTGAGGCCACTTGTATAAGGTGGTGTGCTTCGCATCCTACAGGTTTGTACTTCTACACAACCAGCATCTACCATTTTCTGCTTCACCACGTCCACACCGTCTGCTTTCTTTGCCATTGTCACCCTTACGAGTCCGTCACAATGTACGATCGGGGAACGATGCAGAGGTCTGCTAGCTACAGTTACCCAGCTTACCCAGTACCCGCACCACAAAAGCAGTATCCAACAGCACACAGTACGAGCAGCGCTTTCAGCGCGAGTGCCAATCCCAACGAGGACTGGACCAAGATCTCAGATCTAGCGGAGCGCAGAAGGATACAGAACAGGATCGCTCAGCGCAACTACCGTGAGTTGTGCTTGGTATCCCTTCTAGTGGAGAGCGTAAGCCTAACCAAGTACAGGCAAGAAGCTGAAGAAGCGTCTTGAGGACCTAGAGAGGAGAGCTGGCTCGAGCTCAGCATCGCCAGAGCAGGTGCACGAGGAGCTTGCCCAACTAGAAGCGGCCACCTCTGATCAAGCTTCCTCAACGACAACATCGAGGCTGCGAGCGAACAGCAGCCATATTGGGCGGGAGCGAACGCCGGAGACGCTGAACCAGCATTATCAGCTTCCAACAGAGTCGATGTTCTCGACTACATACACGCGGCAGATGTCCACATCGCCTCCTCCCTTTCAGTTTGGCGGAATCACTGCAACCGCAGGCTACGCCAGCTACGACCCACCAGTAACGTATTGCAGCATGCCAGTCACCACTATAGACATGCCGACATACTCGCACTATATGTCTGCGATGCCACAGCAATCGTATCTACCAAACATGGCTCGACCGCACGTCAAGCAGGAGAACGAATACTATAGCGAGCACTTTGCTGATGACGAATCCCCTTTCTCGACAAGCTATGGAATGCTTACAGGCGTGGACACTGCTGCTGAGTATCCATATGTGAGTACTACCAGACCTCAACCTCCTCCCTTCAGTCGAAGCTACAGCGCACCGACATGGCCAACGAACTCTGGCTGATACAAGCCCCAGACACCACCCTTGTCTGACTCGTTCGACGTATCTCAAGCCGGATCACCACCGGACCTGTCAACCTACCCTTGGACGCCATCGTCACTTCCGGGAACACCGCCCATGTGCTAGTGTAACCTCCAGGGCATTTCCGGATCGGACTTGTGATTATGAACGCACATAAACTGCAGAGCTACGTCAAAGAAAAGCTACGGCAAAGAGTCCGTCAACTCCATGGAAGCATGGACCTCGGAGTTAAGGTGCATCCGGCCGTGGGCGTCAGGATTAGGGCTGGCAACAGAAGGACAGCTCGCGCAGGGGACGGACGCGGAAGAGGAGTGGCCCCGCAAACTGTTTGCGAGTGAACGCGATACGAAGGAGCTGTGATGCGTCGTGGCCTAGTGTACGCCATATGATTAGTGGCTCGCCTGATCAACAGCATGCCATGACTAAATATCAGGGTACACCCTTTACGGAAAGCGATGCGTTCGCTTCAATCCGCCCGACATCCGACGCCAACCGGTGATTGCTAATTCACATCGCGTAGCAGCTCACATCCGCCGCAGCCGCATCGTACCTCAATTGTTATACAATCCAACGTGGTCGGGAGTTGTGGACTCGCAAGAGTGTGTGCTGCTCGTATTCCTGTCGCATTCGCAATGGTGGCTTGTCGCCGGACGCCTGAAGTTGGAAGAAAGCTCCGTATGTGGGCCTTGCTGCGCTTGAAATGGCAATGATCTGCGACCCAAGGCGGGATCGTCGCTCTGCGACTTTTGGCACGAGGTAGAGCGATTTAACTCACTTCAATTGCGAGTGTCTTGTAGGATTGAGGGCACAAACATGGCCACTAAGGAGCAGCGTAGCCTGGATTTATTTGGCGGTGCCAAGAAGTGTGTTGCAGTCTCCGACCAGAAGTTCCATGAGCCTTGTTGAGATGTGATGCCAATAGGTGGAACGCAGACGAATGGTGCGCTTCCGACGGTAAGTTATACCTCTGCACAAAAAAGCGCGCTACGATCGAAGTGTTTCCGAGAATGCCAAACCGCGCAATAACGCTAATATGATCGGAAGACCGGGTTCGCGGAGGCAAGAGTCAGGTACGTGCTCGAGCTGGTTACACCATCTAACATGCTGAACATCTACGACAGTCCTACCTTGACTGCTTCGACCAATTTGCCACCTTTCGCGGTACCCTCGACATCAAGACTCTGGGTGGCGCAGGCTTTGCCAGCCAGCGGACAACCGCTGAAGACAAAGTCTGGAACCTTGACGATTATGTCGCCATAAAGCTCGCCGTTAAGAAAGGGGACAGTGAGCTTCACATCTTACCGAATATTGCTCACGTGCTGACGATAGCAATCAGAGAAACGGTACACACTCATACTAAAGGATGAACTTCTTGAGCGTAACCCCGAAAACGGTCGAGAACAGTCGACCATTTCATATGAGTGCGACTTCGAGCTTCCGCCTGAGGATGTGCCTGGTGAGACTGGAGACAGAACGATTGTGATACCATTCAAAAGCTTGACAGCCACTTGTAAGTCTCTTCCGCATCTCATGTGCTGTCACTGATCTGACCTTGGCTAGATCGAGGGAAGCCCAAACCGGATGCGCAGCCGCTGGATCTCACGAAAGTGAAGCGGTTCAGTCTGATGAATCGATCCTTCTTCGGCAGTCAGAGCGGAGACTTCTCACTATCGATCAGCGCCATCTCGGCCATTGACGTGATACCCAAGGCTTCCGATGTTGTAGTATCGAGGAAAGGTGAACGTCAGCTCGAGGATGGCTTGAGTGCGCCGCAGGATGTACGCGTAAGCAGCTGCACGGGTCATCTCCACCAACCAATACCTACACTAATGGCATAACAGTTCGTCCGTCCGGTACGAAGGTTGATACTTGTCGTGGGCTCGATCGCTGCATTGTGTTGGTTGGCCTATTGGAGAACGTACGCGTAGTGCTTTCGCTAGCTATGCAGTCTCTGTGGGCGTGAGCTACATTTGGGAAGCTACAAGGTTGACGTGAACCTCAGCCGCGGGTGCAGAAACGATGTGACATATGAAAGCTAAGCATACATGCCTCCATGTGGGTATCGGACGCCGCAATGCTCGAATCACAAGCTCCAAATCCCGAACAGCATCAATATCATGACGACTTGCCCATCATGTCTGCGCAATCGTCCAAGACTGTGTCGACTCGGCTGTAGTCGCCAGGAGCCGTAACGCGCACGCATACTGTTGTGTGTTGACTTGCTCCGCATCGAACTTGAGATCCATGATAGCACCACGAATCGTGCCCAAGCAGAGCGGAATACGCGCAACACTATGCTTCTTCTCCTGCAGACCAACCTCAAGCATCTCCTCGTCGTCACTGCTTGATCGCCTTCTCTTCCGCTCAACACGGTTGAGAAAGCTAGCGAGCGTAGCCCACCTTCCGTCCCTCTTCCGCTCCTCCTCCGCTAAGATCTTACGGAGCTTGTGCTTGTTCGGCAAACGGTACATAAACAGTTGCATCATCGGCACTGGTCTAGTAGCCTTCTTATCCCGCTCGGCGATGGCGATTAGTGATCCGTCCGGACTCAGAGCGAAGTTCGGATGGTGTTCATGCGCACTAGGCATGTTTTCCCAGAGGCCCATTCCGTTTTCAGCCTTGCCGTTGAGTGTCCAGTTCCAAGCGCTCAAGAAGCTCTCAAGTCTGGCTAGCACCGTCACACTTCTGGGCTCGACGGTAAGTGCGGTCCCATTCGCCGGTACTGATGCTCGCAGATGGCCAATGATGTAATGGCTACTTTCGTTGCCGCCGTGCTTCTGAGCAGCAAACAGATAGCCGCCTTCAAATGGCCTCAGGAGCTGCAAGCCAGAGACGCGGCCTGTGCTATCATCCTGCGGTGCTTGCGTGACGACGCTAAGAAGGCTAGAGTCCAGAAAGACATGTCGCAGACCCGCTCTGCTCTTCCAGTGCTCAATCGTTGCTTGCTCCGTGCTGTCAACGGCTGCAAGCGGCCTGCCAAGATACAGCACGGCGCCCTTCCCACTCAAGCGTACACGCAAGACGTGGTCATTCTGCTCAAACTCCAAGCCGCATATGTAGTGACCTGTAGCGCTGGTGATGTGCTCGTTAACCGTGAAGCTGTCCGGTGCCGCAGACAAGTCAACGATCTGTATTATCCGCTCTTGTGCGATCGCGAGTAGTGTCCCGTCCGACGATAACGCAGCTTCATGATATGGTGTTGGCGGCACCTTTAGCCATGGCCCTCCGCCCACAGCCTCCCGCAAATCGTTCACTGGTCGCTGCATCAAAACTCTTTGCTCGGAGCCTGACGTGTCGAACAGGGTAATAGTGCGGTCGTTGATTGTCACGGTACGCTTGCCGCTAGCAGCAGCGGTGACTCTCGGTCCCATCTTGAATGCGGCCTTTCGCGCGCTGCTCATGACACCTTGAATGTCAGGCTTTCGGCTGATTCGAGTTCCCAGCATAAGTGTATAAGCGGCCTCATCCCACAGCTTCTGCAATTCGTGCGGTGCGGATGTAGCTGCTTCGGCTGAAGGAAGAATTGGTAGCTTCCTCAACTGCCTCGCCAAGGTGGTTGAATCCAGCGAGGCGAACCTCCACCACTTGCAAACATTGCGCGCGGCATGGAATGATCTTGTATCGAGGTATGCGAAAACCTGTTGTTGCAGCTCGAGTGGGAGCCGAGTGACACCCATACAGGTTTGATGAACAGTAAGAACGCGCTCGAGTGAGTGCTCCATGGCTGTCTTAGCAGGAAGTGGCATGGGAAGAGAGAGGTAGATACGTTGGAATGAGCGCTGACTATAACAGTGAGGTCTTACCTGACGCTATTACTGTGGAACGCGCACAAGGCGCTCTGATATCAGCCTTTCGCTTGGGCCATTACTGACACGGCGACACCCCGGTTCGAATCATCAGCTCGTCAAAGTGGTGCCAGCAAGGAGCGACCGAAAGGGACGTGCCAGGGTGAGTGCGGAAGACAGGACGCCGGACGGGGAGTTGGGAGACACGTTGAGAGGTAGCGCGGTCCACCCGGCAAACAGCCGCAAGACGGTGTGGTGTCATCGCCAATCTAATCTGGGGCTGGTCAGAGCCCACGGACATGGCTGCGATAGGCTGATGGCACCGTGTGCTTAGACGAGGAAAATGTGGATGATAAGTGATCCAGTCGCCAAGGCATTAGTGTGGGTTCGCAATTGCTTCGGCGCATTACCTCAGAACGAGCGCAGCAAGCAGCGTGGAGTCGACTTGTACTACTATTTCTCACGCAGTGCAGCCATCGTAGTGGATGCAAAAGGGGAAATGTCAAGCGGGAGGTGGCACTCAGCATGTACCGACATTCTCAGCTCAGTGATCGAGCGGTTAGCAGCTGCCGACGCAAATGAAGGCACGGTCGAATATGCGTGCAGATGGGCAGGATGTTGTCCCGTGGCACTGTCAATGGCTATCAGATACCACATTAAGGGCACCGCCATTCACACAGAGCCTTTGTGGTGCAGACGATATGTAGGTACGGTCTGGACGCTCAAGAGGCTGGCTGGCGCGCGTCGTCCGACAGCTGCGCGCCAAGCGATCAGCTTACCACAGTAGAACAAGGCGTCCAATGGCGTTACATGGCACACAACCGACTTCGAAAATACACTTGACCAGGAATGAACGTGTGATGCCAGTGATTTTGGCGTGCTTTATTCCTTAGGGACTGAACGCTGCAATGGCAGCGTTCAGTCCTGGCCCTGGTCGGTCATAATTGGTACGCCTTGTAGGTGGGCCCGGAAGTGCCCGCTGCCTTCCCTTCTGCGTTTGTAAGCGCTCTGAAGATGTTAAGCCTTACGCCTGGGCTTCTATCTGGGTACCGCAGGGCTCATTCGACAAACCCATTACGTTGACCAGCAGGTCTGTCCTAAGACGATTGCCTGAAGGCCAAGATCTGTGAATTGTTACTGGGAGCGCTGTGCCTTCCCAGAGACCGGCTATGTCAATGAGGTATCTATAGGGTTCGGTTGTTGAGAGGAGCTTGTTGCGCAGGCCGTCTTGTATGATTCATCCTAGCTCATGCAGAGGTCTAGCTCTGACGTCTCAACACTGACTTTGTTGGCACCGCAAAGCTCATACAGCTTTCGCTCCAGTTTAGCACGCAGTGGCTTCGGCAGCTGCAGTATTGACCATCAGGCCTTGGTTGCCGGTATCACCTCTCCAAGCCCTTCTTGGGTGCCGTCTGCGTACAGTCTAGGCAACCTACTCTAGGGGTTGGCAATCCCGCATCGTCTGAGCGTCTCCCGGGCTGTTCTGACCTTAAGCCCAATGCGGGTCTCGAGTTCATACGATTCCCAAGTCTCGACCTTGGCCAGCTGCTCGCTGCATTGCTGCAATGTAGCCTTGTCGCCGTCTTGGCCTCCGGCCTCCACCCAGTCACATACGGCAATTTCGTAATGCGCAACGGGCAAAGGCCATGTATCCGGATGATCGCAAGCTTTTATCGAGACCAGTTCGTGGCAGAGCACGCCTTCTGTCAACACCTTTTTCGCTTCGTAAGTCTGACCGAGGAAGCGCAAGATGGTCCCTCTTAGCAGGCTCAAAACGGCCTTCTCATCCGCACCTTCTTGCTCCCAGTGTGGATTCAGCTCTCTGTCTTCACACCATGCGAGTCGCCTCAGTGAGTCCTGGAGCTGCTGTTCGTCCATGCGGCCATAGCCGGACCAGAAGTACGCCATCTCCTCAACCGGACTGACACCGACCGCATCCACAAAATCGCACTTTCGAACTTTGGCTCGATGATCCCACTTCGTGATCTTGCGGCTGACGAAGATGTCGAATGGCAACTGACGCGCCATCAGACGCTTCTTTCCGGTATGTTCGGGCACTTTGTGTAAGTACTCGTCTGCTTTGGCACCATATTCCGCCGCTTTCTGTGGTGCTCCCGGCTTTGCTAGCCGATAGAGCTCCACATAGCACGATCCGGCAATGTAGTAATAGAGCGCATGGGACCAAGAATTTTTGCTGACGCAGTCGATGAACTGCACCGCACTTTCCTCGTACTTGTGAAGGTACATGCAATTCAGTGCTCTTTCGAAGACTCGGAGGGCGTTGACCTGCTTCAACTCCGACTCGGCGCCCTCGCCCGTCAGGTCTACAGCTCCTTGTAGATTGTGGTCTCTGGCGAGCATCCTTGATTCTTCCAAGAGCCACAGCTTAGACTTCGGGTAAAGTTGTCGCATGTCGCGAAGCAGTGCTCTCAAGCGCACTTCAGGGAGTGCGTCATTTCGCAGGATGTCGCAGAAAGCAATCGCGCCATTATGGAAGCCCAGTGTGATCAGCCCAGCCATCGCGCCGTTGATGTTGTGCTTGAACTTGGTTGCTGACCACAGCATGCGCATCCCCGTCTCTCGATCTCCTCGGAAAGAGAAGATTGAGAGCAGTCTAGAGAATGCGGGTGGGACCATTGAAAGAAGGAGCTGGAGTAGACCGAAGCAGAGTGATGTGCCAGCATGTATGAACAGGTCGATAGGATCGTCAGTGATAGTTCGAATATCAAGGTCATGCTCCGCTTGGGATGCGGAAGAGCTGGAGTCCACCGTGGTGCTTGGAGGCTGCTGTGCGTTCGGAAGCCTGTCGTTCAGCTTCTTTGTGATGGTGTCCTCGAGGCTTAGATCGCTCAGCTTTTGCAGCTCGGCATCATCTAGATCGTCTAAATCATCCTCATCTCGCAAGCTCCCACCGTGCACGCCGTGCTTCTCAACGTCTTGCTGCGCTTCCCCAAGAGCGACCGAGGCTGGAGTCAGGACCCCAGAGCTTTCAGCTGATGACATTTCGCTGGGACCGCTGACGCTGCCGTTTGTCGCCGCACTGCTGGACGTAGAGGCGGATGGAATGCCGCCTATCCCATGAGCCCTGAGATACCTCTTCTCCGCTTCGCTAATCTCGTACAACGTTGTGAACGCCCGCCGTAGCTTGTAAAAGCCCCTCAGACTCTCAGTAAAGCTCTCGTTCAGGACGCCCACGACGGCACTCATAAGCTGAGCCTCGGCATGGCACAGTGCGTACTCTGACCCAGCAGGGTATATCTTGCTTTGGTGGGCTGTTGACGCATCTCTGGTTGCTCGCCGTTGATGCTCCGACGCCGCCTCCTCCGCCTCAGCTAGCTTTGTCGATGCTTGCTCCATGATCTCCTTCTCAAAGCCTAGCGTAGCACGCAGAAATAGTGCGGTGGCAAGGCCTAGCTACTTCACCACCGCCCGGTCAGCGTTCGGCACCTCCTCTGTAAAGCTCCCTAGTCCGTACCTTGTGGAAGGGTGATGTACCCTTGCTGAGCTCCGCCTCAGCCAGCTCTACCTCTATACCGAGATCAGCACGTGTGCCGGAGCGGGGGATGTGTTCTGCGGGGCAGCTATACCATCGTTCATGATATGGGCGGCAGCGCCCATTGCATCCTGCACTGGCACGGTGTATTAGCCTCATCCAGCCGTGGTGTTGTTCGGTAGACCTACATGCTTGCGGCTCGTCTAGAGCCGTCAATGACTTACTGGCGCCGACGCCAGCCTTCGAGCTGAGGAAACCAAGAGCTCTCTTCATCGTAGCGATGCCGACGAAACGAATGCTAAAGAGGCAGCAGAACGTAGCTCAAGTTGGCCTGCTGTCAAAAAGGAGCGCAGCGCCGGAGTAGCAAAACCACAAGGGCGGCCATGGTTCACAGCAACCGCTAGTAACTGCTCCTACGCGTACTCGACACGGACTTCGGGTCATGACAGGAAGCGCTTCCGTCCGGAAGGATGCCCGTAGACCTGGGCACACTTTGGGAAGTATGCACGTCATTATGCATTGCAGTAGAAACCTTGGTTGCCCTTGTAGCAAGCCATGATGACAGTTGAGATATTGATAGTCATGGCTCATCATGGCCTGTAGTGTCTTTCTACTGTTACAACATCGAGCCCGCCTCTCGGGTCCCGGACATGCTGCTCATATATGCGGGGCTGAAGTACCGCCTCAGCCCTGTACAGTTGTTAAACCTTCGTTAATCTCAGTTCAGATCGCTCGCTTGTGCAGAGCTGAGGATTCCTCCCAGTCGCTCATAGCTCGTAACCGGAGACAGCGAGCAGAGGGATCACCCAAAATACCCAGACACCATGCATTCAGAGGCCACCCATATATGCGCTCTTCCCTCCAGCCACTATCCACTCCGTGTTCCAACCAAGCCGTTGCTGCCATGCAATGCGTAGCGTAAGTTTGAACCGTATGCTCGAACGCCGTTGCCAAAATAAAGCTGGTGTCAGTGCCATAGGCTCCGAGAAAGACACGCGCAAAGGAAAGCACGCGCTAAACACGCGAGAAGCAAAGCACACTATGCACCCTCGCTCTTGATCTCCATCAAGTCCAGTTTCGTTGCCGCAGTCGGAACGTTCTTGACACCCAGACTATCCATGTTATCCTTTTCTGTGCTTTCTTTGTTCACAGAGCCATTCATAACTGACAACGGTGTTGGCGGCTGCTCCGGCTTGGGTCTCACTGGCGTTGGCTTCGAGACCGCATTCTCCGAGGCGGCCTTGCTTCCAACCTTCTTGAACATATCGCGAAGTTTTGGGCCCGGCACCCGCTTCTCGACAGACTTCGATTGCGGCCAGTGCCGCTCCGAGACATAGTCCCAGATCTTCTCTTCCAGATCTCGCATGCCGGCCTCAGCTATTTGCTTCTCGATGTGCGTGCCTATTGCAAGCAGGCCTTGCTTGATCATCTTGAGGCGCTTCTCGTTGTCCGGGATATTGCGCTTGTTGGCAGTGTGGACAAGCTCGAGGCGCTCTCGAATCGGTTTGAGAAAGTTGCGAATGCGGATATCGGTCTCGGTCAGTGGCTTGCCATCCCCATTCATCATGCCTTCGGGCCTCGAGCTCGCCAGCGGTGAGCTTCCATTGCGATGATGGTGTGGTTTACGCTCTTCAGAGTAGCGATGCTTGGCGTGACCGTTAGGCGAGCCGTGAGAGGGCAGTCTCCGGTCGAGCGAATTGCGGTTTTCTGGTGGTTGTAGACGGCGAGCATCAACGTCGCTGGCACGCGGCTTGCCGGGCATTGGGCTGGCGGATCCGTACGTCGGTGTGCTCAGGCGACCATATTGACCGTGCAACTGCCCCATGTACTTGCGGTTGTTCCGGTGATGGTTCTCCAGTGCCTTCTTTGCAAGTGGGTTCTGGCCGCCGCTGGTCTTGTCCTTCAGTACACTGAGTAGGTAATTGGCTCGTCGGACCAAGTGGACGGCTCCGGGAGACCGAGCCTGCTTTTCTTCGCCACCTTTGGTACGGTCCTCCTTGTTGGCGACGCGATGCTCCTCGAGGTAGAACTTGTCAGTAAGCCCCAGCTCAGGGTCATCTCGAATCTCAACCCACGCGCCGAAGCCGTGTCGAGCCATGCCGACGACAAGCATACCATCCTCCTTCGCACCCCATTCAGCGGTGTAGTTCGCAGGCTTCGACGTCCCCGGGACACGGAAGTTGCGCCAGTCGTTAACGCTGTCGACCTCGTCGCGGATCATGCGCATCTCCTTCGGCCGCTCCGTCAACGTTCCAGCGTTGTTGCGCTTGACGCCACGGAAGTCAAACAACACGGCCTTCTTGTCCTTCTTAGTGACCGACTTCTGAGTGCTCCGCTCAAGCTCCGTAACGCGGTCCTCCTCTTCTTTCAACAGGCGTACCGCTGTATCCACGACTTCCTGAAGGGTAGCCTTGACGACATCGACATCCCGACCCAGAAGTCTCGCGGCTCGGATAATCTCATCCTCTCTGTCTTCAATCGAGCCATAGCGCTCGTATGCGTTGATAAGCAGGCGGCATTCCTTCTCGCTGAGTGGGCGCCGAGGATCACGCCCATGATCCGACTCGCTATCGTCCTCAACATCCGCAGCAGCTTCGGCAGCAAGGTCGCGAGCTCGTTTCTTTGCCGCCCGCTGTTCTCTCGCTTCATCCACGGGCGCCTTACGCTTGCGTGGTTGGTTCTGCTCGATAACGCTCTCAAGGTAGGCTTCTTCCTGCTTCTTGCGCTCCTCCTCCTTGAGCTTCGCAAGCTGGTCCTTCGGGATAATGTCCTCCCACTCGACATCGATCTTGACGTCAGTATACTCGAAGCTTCGCAGGAACTCTTCGCCTCCGTCCGTGGTCATGCCTTCTGGTTGCTCGGTTCGGTGCTCTTCTGCATTCGCAAGCATAGCATCAATATCAAGCGATTCAAGCCTAGCTTGATTGCCGGACTGTTCGAACATCTTCTGGCCGCGCTTCTTGAGGATATTAGAGATGTCGTCGGAGGAGTTTGGCTCGGCGGTACTTGCGCCGACCTTAGCCATCCGGTCACCGAGCTCGCGGGCATCTTTGTCGGTGACACCACGCTGAATTGTGATGTACTCCAGCATGAGCTTGTTGCGGGCCCGCTCAAGAACTTCCTCCTCGACAGTGTCTTTGGAGACGAAGCGGTAGATGGTCACTGGCTTCTTCTGCCCAATACGGTGCGCACGGGCCATAGCTTGAAGATCAGCCTGTGGGTTCCAGTCGGAGTCGAAAAGGATCACAGTGTCCGCAGTCATCAGGTTGATTCCAAGCCCACCAGCCCGAGTGGACAGCAGGAAGCAGAAATCCTGGCTCTCAGGCGCGTTAAAGTGGTCGATGGCCAGTCGCCGAGCGCCGGCAGCAATGGTGCCGTCCAGTCGTTGGAACTGGTGGCCGCGCAGCTGCAGGTAGTCGCCGAGAATGTCAAGCATCTTCACCATCTGGCTGAAGATCAAGACACGGTGACCCTCCTGCTTGAACTTTGCCAGTAGCCGATCGAGTACTATCATCTTGCCGGAGGTGGACACTAGCGCCTTGAGTTGGTCCTCGCGACTGTCCTTGCCGTCCAGGAAGCGCTCTTCGGCGTTCGGAAACATGAACGGGTGATTGCTGGCCTTCTTCAGCTCCATCATGATGTTCAGCAAGGACGTCTTCTGCGCCTTAGAGCCAGCGTTGAGTGCTGCGTAGTTGCGAGTGAGGATGTTCTTGTAGTACTCAAGCTGAACATCAGATAACTCGACGCGGATGATCTTCTCGGTCTTGGGCGGCAGGTCATGTTCAACCTTTTGCTTCGTGCGGCGAATCATATACGGCGAGATGGCATCTGTAAGCTCGGCAATCTTCTTGCTAGCGTCCTCCGACGTCAGGTCAATATTTAAATCGACGTTTATTCTGCCCGGCATAAGGAAGTCCATGAGCGCCGACAGTTCGCTCAATGTGTTCTGCATAGGCGTGCCGGTGATAAGCAATCGACTTGGCGCACCAAAATCCATAAGCTTAGCGTACAGTTGCGACTCGCGGTTCTTGAGCCGGTGCGCTTCGTCCACAGCCATGAATTGCCACTTGAGCTGTGACAAGAAGCCAGAGTCGGCCAAGATGTATTCGTAAGTGGTGAGCAGGACGTTGAACTTCACCTTCCGGGGATTGCCATTGACGAGAAGCTCGTATTCACGGATGATCTTTCGCGCGGTCTCATTGCCGCTATACACAACGTAGTTGATGTCAGGTGTCCAGTTGTTGAAGGTGTCTGCCCATGCAGGCATGGTCGATAGGGGCACTACTACGATGAACGGTCCTTGCTGACCTCGATCATGTCGCAGCCAGTCCATGAAAGATACTGTTTGCACGGTCTTGCCCAGACCCATCTCGTCTGCGAGGATAACGTTGTTGCCCTTGCACCAGTGGTGCGCAAGAAAGTTGAGGCCATGAATCTGAAACTCGCGGAGCTCGCCACCCTTGATGTACTCCGGCTGGGTCCTGAACGGCTTGTAGTCTGTGCGCGTTGCGAGATTTGCCTCTCTGTGGTTCGATTGCGGGAGATGTGTAGAGCGGTCAAGGTATCTATCGATCTCCTTCTGGGCCAGCTCGCTGACCAGACTTTCTTCCTCCCATGTACAGGAGTCATAGAACAGCCCTTTCCACTTGACGTAGTATTGTGTGACACCTTCTTCTTCGCGACGTCCTATGACACGCTCGACATGTCGGAAGTCGTTAAGCGAATCGAGGTAGGACTCTCGGTCAAGGTTCCACTTCTCCCTGTCTTCAGCAGCAACATCCGGATCTTGCTTCAGGCTGAGCTCGACCTTGACAGTCTTACGAAAGTAGTTCTCGAGGCGGCGGAAGCCTTTGTAGGCTGACAACGTCGCCCACGGCTCCCATGTCGCATGGTAGTGTGCTTGATATTGCCATTTGATCTGTTCATCGTCAGTGACAAGAGAGCAGCACGTGATACGGAAGTATACAGACATAGAACTCAAAGTCGTGCTTGTCAGCGCTGGCAGGATCTGCGTTTGCTTAGTATGCGAGCCGCCCTGCTAAAGTGTGTTTAAAACGTACCGGCACCTTCTTTGAGACGGTGGTTGAGGACTACGTCAATAGCTGGTCCCTCGTCCTCGTAAGTGTAGTAATAGTTGGGTGTCGTATCTTCTTCTTCATCGCTGAAGCCGAGATCTTCCTCTTCGTTGTACGTAGTGATCTTCGCAGCGCGCCGCGTTGAGAAGCGAACTTCGGACAGCTGTGGTGTACCTCGGCCAGAGGCAGCAGCCTGCAACAGCTTTCGTTGCTTCTTAGCGAAGGTTCTACCGCGTTCGCCGCCGTATGTGTCGTTTGCGTCGTCTGATTCTTCTGCGTGCGACAGGGGCTGCGCTGAAGACTCATCGTGTGTGGAAGCTGCCAACGACTGTCAGCACAGCAGCTAGTGTGTGTGGAGATACAGGGCACTTACAGGGCCGGCCGCCAGCAGTCTTCTGTCGTTTCCGGCGTCTGCCGGTGTTGACTTCATCTCCCTCGTCTTCCTCGTCGTCGGAAGAGTCAACCTAAATTACAGCTTAGCTGGGCAGGGGTACATATCATGCCAAAGTGCACGTACCACTCGGCGTGTTGGACGCGCTCGTCCCTACGAGCAGCAATGTCAGCTGATGCACGATCATGGCAGTTAGCAGGAGACGCACGCTACGTCGCAGACCATACAGCTCCGGATTCTGCTGCATCAATTCATCATCGTCGGCGTCTGCCTTCCGCTTCCCTGGTCTGTGACTTCCCTCCGACAGCGAGCCGTCGTCATGCATTCCGTCTGCGGGCTCATGCGGCGGAGAGTCCGCATCGTACTCTGCGTCTTCTTCGCCTGGAGCATCGTCGTCTTCATCCATTTCAGACGTGGCCATGTCATGAATAGCATCGTCATCATCTGCATGGAGGTGCTCTTGTGGTTCGCTTCGCGAGGGCGGCATGTCATTGAGGTCTGAAAGTTCGCTTTCGGAGCGCATGGGTTGCGGGGAAGGGTTCATAGCCGCGCTTTCAATGTCCGGGACGTGTCCGTTTGTCATGGGCTTGTCTTTATATGGGTGTAGGTGTACTGGGAGGTGTTCCGGACGAGCTACTTGATGGAAGAGTCAGTACAGATTCTCAGGCTGTGGCAGTCGTAGCGGGCTGCAAATTTGCACATTGCAGCGGCAAGCATATGCGACCAGTTTCCCCACCTAGTCGGTACAGGTCGCCAGAGGAAATTTGTAGATGCAAGGTCCGATCGTGAAATATGGCTTGGTCCGCGGTGACGGTCACGAGGCTTGCAGCGACTTGCGAGCGTTCCGATGGCCCCGAATTGTACGGCGGCAGTCTCCAGCACCGAAGGTACCTAGAGTACCCGAGAGAGGTGATCCGAAGGGTTGCCGGCGCTGATATCGATGGAATACGTCCGGTCTTTGAGGCTGGGGATGGGACGAGCAGCGACCAGCATCCGGTCCATGGAGCCTGGTTTGTGGAGTAAAGCGAGCGTAAGAGTAGATGGAGGTGACTTACACGCCATGATGCGTCGTCTACGCCCGGTATGGGGAATATCGGAGGAGGTGGGTTGGTGGGTGGTGGGTGGTACGCGGGATAAGTCGAAGCAGCACGAGTTGGAGGAGAGATGGAGAGAGGCCGACTGCACTCGCCAAGACAAAGCCGCTTTCCCCACATCCTCCAAAGCCACTCACCACTCATGCGCCTGCTGAATACTATTATTTTTATTCACCACTGCCTCCAGGTTCGTTCTGAGAGCGTGTGTGTTTGCTGCACAGAAACTCAATCATTTACGCAGCACGTCGATAGACTCTTTCGTGCCTGGAGAGGCGCCTCTGGTTAGGCTCCATCCACAGAATCGTTGTTCGCTGAGCCCCACCAAAGCGAAACAATACTGCCGCGAAGATGGGCGACAAGTTGACTCGGTATGGCCGCCCAGATGGTGATGATGGTATGGCGGCTTACTGATCGCATTCCAGTATCGCCATCGTCAATAGCGATAAGTGCAAGCCCAAGAAGTGCCGGCAGGAGTGCAAAAAGTCGTGCCCCGTCGTCCGCACCGGCAAGCTTTGCATTGAGGTCACGCCTGAGAGCAAGATTGCCTTCATTAGTGAGCGGCTATGTATAGGATGTGGCATCTGTCCCAAGAAGTGTCCGTTCGACGCCATCAACATCATCAACTTGCCGACGAATTTGGAGACGCAGGTCACGCATCGTTACTCGGCCAACAGCTTCAAGCTGCACAGGTTGCCCATGCCACGGCCCGGGCAAGTGCTGGGGTTGGTTGGTACGAACGGTATTGGCAAGAGTACTGCACTGAAGATCTTGGCTGGGAAGTTGAAGCCGAACCTGGGACGATATGATGATCCACCGGATTGGGAGGAGATTCTGAAGTACTTCAGAGGGTCGGAGTTGCAGAGTAAGTGAGGCTACAGTGAAGGTGGTGACGTGCCAAGCACTAACCTTTGCATGCCTTAGACTACTTTACAAAGGTGCTTGAGGACGACCTCAAAGCTGTGACTAAGCCGCAATATGTCGACCAGATCCCTAAAGCTGTCAAAGGCACTAACCGTGCCGTCGGCTTTCAAATGACCCAACGTAGCCAAGTCAGCAAGGAGCGCCTAGAGGAGATCGCTGAAGTACTCGAACTTAAGCAGGTATGGGACCGCGACATCGAACTTCTCTCAGGTGGTGAGCTGCAACGTTTCGCCATTGGCATGGTGTGCGTCCAGGACGCGGACGTCTACATGTTCGACGAGCCCTCCTCTTTCCTTGATGTCAAGCAACGTCTGGCGGCCTCGCGCATGATCCGCAGTCTGCTGGGCCCGGACAAGTACGTCATCGTTGTCGAGCACGATCTTGCTGTCCTCGACTACCTTTCCGATTACATCTGCGTACTGTACGGTAAGCCAGCCGTCTACGGTGTTGTTACCGCGCCCTTCTCCGTGCGCGAAGGCATTAACATCTTCCTGGACGGCAATGTTCCGACTGAGAACTTGCGCTTCCGTGAAGAAAGCCTGCAGTTCCGCATCGGCGAGGCCGGAGAAGAGTACCTTGTAGACAAGTCTCGCGGCTATAACTACCCAAAAATGACCAAGACCCTGGGGAGCTTCAACCTGACCATCGAAACCGGCGATTTCACCGACTCCGAGATCATCGTTATGATGGGTGAGAACGGTACGGGCAAGACTACGTTCTGTAAGATGCTCGCAGGCGCCGAGAAGCCGGACGGCACACAAAAGGTACCGTCAATGAACATCAGCATGAAGCCGCAAAAGATCACTCCCAAGTTCACCGGTACGGTCCGACAACTCTTCTTCAAGAAGATCAAGGCTGCCTTCCTATCGCCGCAGTTTCAAACGGACGTCTACAAGCCCTTGAAGATGGATGACTTCATCGACCAGGAAGTCCAGAACTTGTCCGGCGGTGAGCTGCAGCGCGTTGCCATCGTCCTCGCACTCGGCATCCCCGCCGACATCTACCTTATTGACGAGCCCTCAGCCTACCTTGACTCCGAGCAGCGTATTGTTGCCGCAAGGGTGATTAAGCGGTTCATCATGCATAGCAAGAAGACCGCATTCGTTGTAGAGCACGACTTCATCATGGCCACCTACCTCGCCGACCGCGTCATTGTGTTCGACGGACAGCCATCCGTCAAGTCTCGAGCAAACAAGCCGGAGAGTCTGTTGACGGGCTGCAACCGGTTCTTGGAGAGTCTGGATGTGACATTCCGTCGGGATCCCAACACGTACCGTCCGCGCATCAACAAGTTGAACAGTCAACTCGACAATGAGCAGAAGAATGCCGGGAACTATGTAAGTCATGTTCCAGCACTGAGCGCTTAGTCAAGGTTACTGACACATTCGCAGTTCTTCCTGGAGGAAGAGTCCTGAAAGGCGTCGTGCATGTGATAAACGCGGAACCTGCATGTGTGAAAGCTGCAATCCATGCCAACGGTACAAAGAGACGCCGCGCCGTCAACAGCGGCGCCGATGAGTCGCTTGATGAGGATGGTGCCGAGGAAGAAGAAGATGAAGAGGCCATCCTACCGAGAGAGCCCGGGTTCCGTCTCCGCTGGCGCGCAGATATCACGCGGCCAACAACAGTCATGGACAATCTACCGCAAGCGAAAACTGCTAAGCTTTGCAGTGATGATGTTGGATCGCTGTGAAGCAACACAATGCATCCCGCAACGAGAGGACTGTGCACAAGTAAACGCATGCACTTGTATGGAAGCCGGAGGAAAGCACAGGAGTAGATGAGGAGAAAGAGAGTAATGGCTGCTTTAGAAGATGTACAGACGTACCGAGTACCCTTTGCCGACAGCATCAGTAAGCACGTTCCTTTCTGCTTGATCGTGGTGTTCGAATGTGAATGATAGAGCTACGTGTTGCCTCAGTGAGATACCCTCGCGCTGAAAGTTGAGGTGAACGTACGTCAACCCACACAATTACCCTCAAATCGCAGCTCCAGCTCGTCTCAACCTCGCCAGAGCGCGACAAGTGGCGACTCCTCTTGCCTCCAGCTGGTCTAAGAAATTTCCTAGCTCCTCGAGAGCGAGCGGACCTGATCGCATTTAGCATCATCGCCAGTTACGGGACTAGATGCGGGCCTCATGCTGAAGCTGATGATCTCACCATCCTCCACGTGCCATGTCCTCGGGTCTTCTATGACTTCATCTGCATCCGACATTGCGATATCCTCCGCTCTGACCTCAGTCTTGAAATCAGCCTTAACTTCGGCCTTAATGTCAGCCTGGCTTTCGATCTTGGTTACAGCCTTGACTTCGGTCTCGGACTCAGATGTGACCTGCGGTTTAAGGTTATCGTTGACTTCGGTCTGGTACTCAGCCTTGGTTCCGGGCTCCATGCAGTCGTCGGTGTCTCCCAACCAAAACCCGTCGTTGCCAGCTTCAGCCTTCACGGGGCGGAGCTCATCAGTCGCAGCGGCAGCAGTATCGTTGTCCAGATTGGAGTCCTGCTAGAGCTCCGCGAGTTCGCCTTCCTCGCTACCAGACTGCAAAGCTGGCTCCTCTTCCTTCAGCACACCCTGCTCCGGCTCAGGCGTACGAGTACGGCGAGCGCGCTGTTCGGTCAGCATGAAATGACCCCTACGTGCAGCACAACATTGTCGACATACCTTGTTGTCGCGCATACTCCCATCACTCTCCCTCCGCTTCCTGATGCTTCCTGGCTGACTAACCACCGCATCCTCGTCCCCATAATCGAGCGTCCGGCCCTTATCGCGCGGATCTGCACGACTAATGTAGCTCCGCTCGCGTTCCATTTCGCGCTCGCGCCGCTCACGCTCGTACATATTATCGGGTCGGCGGCGGTCGTCGTACCTGTCATCCCTACGCTCGCGCGGGGGCGGAGTAAGGCCAAAGCTAGCCTTCCTGTACTGCTTCTCGCGATTCGCCTGCGCCCTCTTCCGGTCTGCTTCATATGCATCAACCTCAGGCGTGCGTGTGCGGTGACGGCGCTCACGATCATCCCGCTCGGTGCGGCGGGAGCCGTTCCGTTGGTCGCGATCACGTCTAACACGCTCTCGCTCAAGATCTTCTTGCTCCTTCTCCCTGATTCGGCGCATGTGCTTTTCAAACGCGGCACGTCTTGCGTCGTCATCTTGCAGCATCTGAAATTCCTCAAACGGTTCCAACCTCGGCGCCACCTCCTCGTACGTTTCGCCGAGGCGGACTGGCGGATCAAGATGCTTGATGCGGCTACGCAGAGCATCGACAGTCTTGCGCTGTTGTCGCTCTGCGTTCAGCTTCTCTTCCTCAAGACGCCGAAGAATCTTCTCCATCAGCCTACTATATATCATCTGCAGCTCCTCGTCTGTGAAGCGCGCCGTACGTGGATCAGCGCTCATAATCGCTCCGAACTCCTCGAGGGAAGTCTGCTCAGTCATTTCGAAGCGTCGGTCTTCCAACACATCAAGCGCATCATTACGTTTGCTGCGCAGTTTGCGGTCCTCGTCCTCAACCGCGTCCCAGAACATGTCCAGTGGACTGCTACCGGGTACCGTAAGCATGTTCAAATAGCGCTCGTCCTCTGCGATGAGCGGATAAAAGTCCTGCCACTTCGTGCCCGCTTTGATTCTCCCTTGTGCGTGCAATCCTCCGAGGAGCTGCTGGAAGGCGTCACGGGCTACACGAGCGCGGCGTGTAGTCAGCCTCTTGTCTTTCTGCTTCTGCTCATTGCGCGCACGGTCGAGCTCTCTGACGTGCGCATCAAAAGCGTGTAGTAAGTCGACCTTGTTCAAGGAGCGGAAGACGGCGAGCGAGGTAAATCGATCGTTCTCTTCGATGGCTTGCTCCGCTTTGGTCCACGTGGTGTCCGGATCAGTGATGATCACTTTCAGAATGCTTTCAAGCTCCTGCAACGCTGTCTTGCGGTTGTCAATCTCATCCTGGATATGTCGGCGCTTGAGCTCGCCAACGTACTCGTCAAACATCTGTCTACGCTCGTCCTCATTGCCGGTCTGTTTGAAGACCGCTTCGCGCTCGATCAATGGCCTGGCGGTCTTCCAGCGAGTATAATGATGAATATCGTCGTGGGTGCTCAACATCTTTCTGAAGTCCTCGCGCAGCTTCTCTTTGCGCTCCTTCTCTTTGCCTTTCTCTTCGGCACGTACTTGATCGCAGTACTTGTTGAATGCCTTCTGCCGGTCGTACGGGTCCGGAATGGCACGGAAATCGCGCTCCTTGATGACCTTCCGCATGGCCTCCTCGTACGACATGCCATGTGAGACGTCGTACTTCTTCAACAGCTTGACGAAAGCTTCTTCCTGCTGCTCTGGTGAAGTGTAGGCGGGTTCGTCTTTGAGCGGCATAGGACCTCGATATTCTTGCCGCTCCCACGGCGCACCGCCGCCACGACCACTGTCGAAGCCAGCTCTTTGCGGGAGATGGTCACGGTCATCTCGCCTATCCATTCTGCGCTCACGAGGCGGCCCATGGTCGTCACGTCCTCCGTAACTTGGCGTACCGCCGGCTACAAATGCTGGCGCGGCAGGCTGCGCAACCTGTTGTTGCTGCCTCCTGTACGCCTCGGGTTCATCATATGTGGTCAGCTTGGTAATGCCGTTCCAATAATAGACCTTGTTCTGGTTGTCATGCGCTGTGTTCCACGCCGCATCAATGGCAGCTTGGTCTGCATTCACGGCCGGAGTTGCTGATACCGCTTCGCCATCGTAGTCTTCTGGCTTCTCCCATGTTGTAAAACCTGAGCCATCTTTCCTGTAGTAGTACGTCCGGCCGTCGGCAGCCTTGGCCTCAGCCCAGAGAGCCATTGTTCCCCGTGGGAAGTGCGAGTCCACGTAACGAATGCTAATCGCTAAACTCTCCCACAATAAACACCTTCAACTAGCGGACTTTCAGTGAAGGCGAGGAATGGAGGTGCAACGGTGCAGGAGAAGGAGTTGGAGAATGCACGCGAGCCTCGAAGCTGCGAAGCCGAAGCCGAACAAATTACATGTGCACAGACCAGTCCACGCGAGTCAAGCAACACTTAGCGATCACTTCACGTATGCGATGTATTTACATCCACACATAGCCATGCATTTACTGATCAAAGGAACGGCTCTTGCCACTTGTTGATACCACACCGTTGCTGCCGTCTGTATTGTGCACTGTGCGCGACGGACTGCAGCGATGTCGCTCAACTCATATCTCAACAGTAAGAACACCCCAAATAGCTTGCCCTGTTGAGCCGGCTTACAGTATGCGTTGCAGTGCTGACGGCGTACCTGGCGACGTAGAGAAAGTATGCATCATAACCGTGGACGGCCGGACGCTAACGGGTACCCTTGTATCCTGCGACCAAGTCACGAACGTGGTGCTCAAGGACACCATTGAGCGCATTATCCGGCCCACAGATGACGAGGAGCCTTCCATTGAGCAGCCTCATGGCTTGTATCTCGTACGTGGCGACAATGTTGTCATTTGCGGTCTCGTAGACGAGGAGCTGGACAACAGTATCGATTGGACGAAGGTTCGAGGAGAGGTCATTGGGAGCACCAAGCATGTTTAGCAGCATGGTATCTTCTTACAGGCTTGACGCTACCGAAGCAGGCGCACCACATCACGCCTCATGTCGCGATACCTGTTTGAGCGGAGAAGGCGAGGGCTGCGTCCGCAAAAACGGCGCATTGCGCGCTGGAGCTGGCCCCGGATGTGTGCGTCGGGAAGCAGGGTATGTCCTGCACCCCCATGCGACTTCCGAGCTGCAAGTCTCGCCTTGTTGACCCTCGCCCTTCTTCAGCTGCTAACATGCCCGAGGCACCCCAGCATGACGCACATGTAGTGTGAATCCGAATGCTAAAATAGCATCCTTGCCGCCCGACGCCATGTCACTAGTTTGGCAGCAATCATGCGCGGTGGCCAGCAAAGCGACATCTGAGACGAGACTTGAGACGGTTATCAGGACAACTAAGAGGAACCCAGGGAAGAGGATCTTGTACAAACAAGTCGACGGACTCCCTTCCCGCCCGGCCAAGACAAAGTCATTCTAGCGCCCCTACTTGTTACAGTCATGCTAGTTCCACATTTGCCACACATTGCACATACCTACGATCCTACCGCAGTTCTCGGACTAGCTACGCGGTGGAAGAACACTGCATGCATACCTGTAGCTTCCTGCACGTCAGCCAAGCGACCTTCTTGCGTGTTGCGTCGTCGGCTTTGAAGCCGCCTGAACAAAGGTCGGGAAGGGTTGTTTCGGGTCGTCCTTCATTTACCACTCTGAAGCACAACTATGTCCTCTACTCTAGCGATCAATCAATTGTGCTATCTGCGTGTGCAATACTCATCACATCGTCTTCACACAGTAGCACAGACAAGACCGACTGAGCTTGTACAGTCAATACCATGCTCCAATGATCACTCGCCATCACTGAATTGCTCTTACGTCAGCTTCGAGTCTGTAGTCCTCCCACGCGCAACCAACCCACAGTTACCATTTATCAATGCAATCGCACAATTCCGTGACTCGGCGTATGAGCGAAGAAATTGGTGTTCCAGTGTCGTGACTGTACGAGCATCGCGTTTGCACCTCTTGCTTCCATGCATGCCAGCAACAACAGTTCCAGTGCTCCAGTGAGTGTCGGCGCTGGAAGACTTTGAGCCAGTGGACCGTGACCTTCGCAAGCTAAGACTGCAGTCCACCGCACTATTGACAAGAGGTTTTGGTCCCAAATGCCCGCAAGGTAGACGTTGAAGTTGGGTGCATAGTCTTCGCCGATCACCTGCTCCCACAAGTAGGAAGCTTGGTCGATGATTCAAGCTTTCAAGTCGGCCATTGAGCTGCTTGAACGATTTTATTGATTCAGTAGTGTCGCACCTGCGACCGGGATGCAGAACTATATTACTTACACGAGGCGATCTGCCTGGGATGTGAGATCTTCGATCATCAGGATCTCGGGAAAACATTTCGTCGAAAGCAAACAAGGGCTATGGGCGCATCAATGCGGAAGCACGCATCGAAGTACACAATGCTGCGCACGAACGTCTTAGCGTTTGCTCTATCTTTCGAGGATTCATGTGGTTCGTCTACAGCCACTAAAGCCAGCATGGAAAAGCAAGCATCTGGTTCCTGACAGGCCTCGTCCTGATCACTGTCAAAGCCGTACTGTAACGACGTGACCGCATATCTCGAGAGAGATATGATGGTAAAAAGCTGTGTATCGAAACAACCCTTCCGACCATTACCGCCCATGATGCTCTGCCGCAGTAAACCTACGACTGTCCCAGAGAACTAGGCCGACCCTTGAAGGTTGACAACGGGCTCGACCTGGCAACGTGCAACGTAGGGTGGTGTACACGATTGCTGGGAAGCGGAAGGTGAGGTTGAAGGTTGCAGGAGGGGCTTTCCGGCTGCTGCGGGAGTTGCCGTTGAAAGTTCGGCTTGGCAAAACGCACACTTTCGAGGTTTTGCGACAGCGAGGACTTCAAGCCATCGGTAGCGGCCTCACATCGACAATCCACGCCGACAACATTTGTCCAATCGCCCAAGATGCGGTACATCCACTCGAAGGAGGAGCTGCAAATTCCAGATGGCGGTATGTCCGATTACAGTCAACACAATGTGGCATACGGCTCGCCATTGAGCCTTCAGAAGCACCACTAACATCGCTGCCCATCTACAGTCAAAGTCCACATTAAAACGCGTATCGTGACCGTCGAGGGCCCTCGCGGCAAGCTCACAAACAACCTCTCCCACTTGGCCGTCTCCTTCTCCACGCCTTCACCAGATATGATCAACATCGAGCTGCACCACGGCTCAAGGAAGAACGTCGCCACTCTCCGAACAGTGCGCACCATCATCTACAACATGATCGTCGGCGTGACGAAGGGCTACAAGTACAAGATGCGATATGTCTACGCTCACTTTCCGATCAACGTGAACATGGAAAAGAACAAGGACACTGGGCTGTGGGAGGTGGAGATACGGTAGGCTTAACATCTCGATAGGAGTTTATTGTATACTGATGCGTCGGCCAGGAATTTCTTGGGCGAGAAGCTCGTCCGTCGCGTGACCATGCATCATGGTGTCGATGTGGAGGCATCGAAGAATCAGAAGGATCAGCTCGAGCTAACCGGAAACTCCCTCGAGAACGTCTCACAGTCAGCCGCAGACATCCAGCAAGTCTGTCGAGTGCGGAACAAGGATATCCGGAAGTTCTTGGACGGCTTGTATGTCAGCGAGCGCGGCAACATTGTCGAGGAGTAGAGCAGCAGAGTCGCAAATCAAGTGCTGGTTCAAGGTTGAGGCACGGCGCAGGAGGCGAAGAAGGCACACTGCGCCTTGCATTGCAATTAGCTTTATGCGCTCCGAATGGTACGGAGATGCTCAACAATGAATCGCTTCATGCTCCCATGAGTGCACTATCCGCACCTCCTTCTCCAGTGCGTTCCTGCACATTACATCGCCTCCGGTTGACTTCGTCCTACGCAGCCTCAGCTCGCGACACACAAGTTCCGGCTATGAATTGCAGGCTTATGAATCTTGAAGTGCTTCCTGCTGCGACTTTCCTGTCGGTGCGACTAACGTGTACTGTACACCAGCCTCATTATACGCACGTCCCTAGCTCTAGATGTAGAACATGAGAGCTCACCTGCGCCGCACTTGCCGCACTTGCCACACCTGACTTGCCACCATGTTGTGGCAATGCTTCGACAGTGCTCAGTAAGACCGCACTGCCTCGCTATGTCCGCATGTCCCGTGGTGTCGACTTTAGCGCTGGTAATGTCTGAGAAGAGGAATGCTGGAAGCGCAATGTTCATCACTATGTCGCTTAGGCTGGGAGGAAAGTGTTGGATACAGTCGTTACGCTTTAAGCTCTGAACTTCAGCGCTGTTTTAGAATCATCACCGTCCTTCTTCTTCACCTCGACGATCCTCTTTCCACCCATCGACTGCACAGTCTCGACAAGTTTATCGTCGTTATGCAAAGCTTCGATATCGTCACCGCCACCGATTGACTTGCCGTTGATAAGCACATTCGGCACGGTCCTCCTCCCTGTACTTTTCTCGAGCGCTGCTTGCAGGCCAGTGCCAAGCTCATGTTGGTCCAGCTCCACCACGTATGGTGGCGGGTCGATAGTGTACAGGTCAAGCAGGATGTGCTTCGCTTTCTTGCTAAATGGGCAGTAGCTCTTGCTGAAGATGATGATGGGGCCTTTCTTGAGGATGTCGTTGAGCTCAGTCTCAATCTTATGTTCCTCTTCGCTCTCTGTGCTTGCCGTCTTGTCCTCCGTTCCCAGGTCTACCGCTTTCGGTTGCCCGACATTGCCAATCTTGGCCACACCGTCGTGGTCTGCGGCGCTTGATGGTTTCATAGAAACAATCTTCCCATCTCCAGCTGCCGCCGGACTTTTTCGCGGTTTCGGCGCCACTGCTTCTGCGGCCTCTTTGACATCATGCGCCAGCGGCTTTTGGTCATCCACACCCTTCTCGGCGCCACCAGCTTTCGCCGCATCACCGCTAAGCACGCTCGTGCCAGTCGCTGTGGCTGCAGAGACGGCCACGTCGTGCTCCTTCTGTAGCCGCTCTACCCGGTCCATGCGCTGTTTTTCCTGCGCCATCACATCGTTGTGCGCCTCAGCCTCCTGTCGATTCCGCATCGCTTCAACCGTCCGCGTGTAGAATGGAGAGGTGTAGGTGTTTTGGGCGCCATTGGTAACGTAGAGGATGACGAGTACCGTCAGGACCGCTATCAGCGCTGTAACCTTCAGACGCCTGCTTGAAGGCATCGTCGCCTTCGCCACGGTGACTGCCGGCGATAGCCGCTATCAAACTGTTACTGATACTCTAACGACGGGCTTTGGGTAGAGCCTCGATCTCCGTCCAAACGTCGTTCGTGGTTTACTAGAGATTTCACGCTGCGCCTGAACGATCGTCCACGTGGAACAGGAAGATCGCCGGTAGATCGACAACAGAGGCTATCTTAGGATGGACAGGCTAGCAGTTGGCATGAGTTCTGATGGTGAAGTCAATGCCAGGTTAAGGGATCTAATAAGTCCACATGAGCCGTTGCCTGATGTCGAAACGATGCTCGAGGGGAAGTTGAGTGGTGAAGGAAGCACGAACGATGGAATGCTTCGCTCGGTTTAAGACCCCTGACTGGATCACAGGAGGATCACATGTACCCCAATCTATCAATAGCGGGGGTGGAGACATTAAACGCAAACACCCGCCATGAATCTGGATATCCTGCCCAGATGACCGTCGTGTCCAGTGGCACAGGCTTGCCAACTTCGCCAAGCGCTGCGCAAGACATTGTTCGACTTAAGGTGACATCTACGGTGAAACACAGACTGCGGTCACGGTTGCCAAGGATGCAGAAGTGACCAATTGCCACTAACGTGACTCCAGAGCCAAGACATGTTCGTCACGCGACTTTCCTCACCCTCGCCGTCCTCACATCGTACAACCACCCGCTAACTTCTGTCTCCTCCATAACCGCTCGCTGCTGCTTCAACCACGCCACGTCATCCCTCGCGCTCTGCTCCGCTTCCACGATACAGCCGAAGTCGTAGTCCTGCGGTAAGGCCTCCAGGCCTCTGCTACGCGTTACCATGCTGCAAGCTTCGTCGTTCGTAAACATGGACATCCCGCATTCCGTATGCTTGACGATGATAACCTCCAAGGTACCCATGAAATGCTGCGAGATCATGATCGAGCGAAACGCTTCCTGGACGCTGGCGCCAGCGTTGCGGATGACGTGTGCGTCGCCAAGAGCAATGCCAAAAGCAGCGGCGGAGTCGATGCGAGCGTCCATGCACGTCACTGATCAAGACTTAGAAGGGTCAGGTCTGGCATTATGCGGTTGTGGCGTACCCAGGATATACTTCTTGCGCGGTGGCGCCATGACCTTCTTCTTGTCCTCGTCGAAGGTGGAGGCGTATCTCGCGTTTGCCGTGACGAGTTCATGCTGGTTTTCCGTTGTCATACTCTCCAGCTCCGGACTGAACAGTAGGGATGTGTGAGGAACGATTCGAGGCCTCATACTCCCGTGGGTAAGTGAACGTATGCGCATCTTGTCCGGAGGCAGTGACACTCAGCGTCTCAATCAGTCGTTCAAGGCACTGTCCGGGCGTTTCCCACAATATGTTCGGCTGCATTCTGCTCCCTGACCCTCATACGTTCTTCCATTGTTGAATAAAGTTTGCTGCATGATGTAGCCGGAGAAGCTAGCGCAGGAACAGGCCGCGGCGCTCCGGAGGTATTAGCAAGGGTCTGTATAGCGACTGCGCATCAGTACACAAGGACAATTGGAACTGTTATGGCGCAGAAAAGACGTCCGAGTATTGTGCGCCGTTACTCAGACTTGCCTTTGAGGTGTCATCGATCCTTGCATCCTCCGTCACTCAACCACAGTTTTGCGGAGAAGGTGGGTTAGGCTGACGGACTTTGCACGAAGATCTCGTAAGTATCTGAGATGAGAGCAAGAGTACGCTCATCTCGTCATCAGTGCGACGCGGGTGCAAAGAGAACTTATGTCACTTACCCTTCTTCCCATGTTGTTCATCTACCGTTCTCTGGGTGAGAGCAGCTGGGTGCCTTTGGTCTTGCCAGTTTCCATTTTGGCCGTGCGAGCACCGAATTGAATCTTCAAACATGTCAGCTTGTGCCGAGGATGCTCTCGTATGTGATGCTTACTGCTCGTTTCTTCTCCTTTGCTGCTCGCTGCATGCCAAGCTTCCAGGCTAAGCATCGTAGCACCTTCTTCCCAGGCTCGATACTCTCGCTAGCCTCCACGCCAGGTACCAGAACATCGCCAAAGCCGCACTTTTCATGCACAGGAGCAGCGAGAGCCCAAGTCAGTAGGTTTTCGTCCAGATACGGATACCTCGCCTCTCTGCCCCAGTGACTGATCACTCTGTCGTCACGCCCTAGATTGCGTTTGCCGAGTCTACCGATATCAAGGTCTAGCTCGTCGAGGAGACCTTTGAAGCTGTTGCGGTTAAATGCGGTCGCGTGACGCTGGTACCCAGCGAACAGCTCGTCAGCACCAAGACCGGACAGAAGAACGCGCGCTGAGGTCGTGTACAGTACTTTCTCAAGCACTGGCGACGATGGCAGGAGGTAGCCTTGCCCTCTTGCTGCGAAGTATAGCGCGTAAGCGATGCTGAGGTCCATCTCCGTATTGTGCGGATGCATAAGCGCAATGACCTGTTCGCGGTGCTCCGTTGTTTCCAGGAAAGGTACATTGATCGCTACGAATTTCCAGTCTCTCCCCGGGCAGACAGTTCGCAACTCTGCCCAGGATGCACGGCCAGTGACGCGGTCAGGGCACTCCCCGTAGAGATCGTGATCTTGCTCGCCAGTTCCACGGTTAGCCTTGTGAATTCGAGGATTCTCAAAGGCAACGTTCAAGAGGTCCACGGGCTCATGAAGGGGCAGAATGTCGTGCACCAAGCGCGCAAGCACCGTGCAATCGAGTCCGCCGGAGAAGAGGATAGCCAAGCGAGCCGCGGCCTGGTTGATCGGTTCTCTGCATGGCGGCTCTGGTATGTTGAGCACGCGCAACGCTATAGAGTCACGCAGCAGCGACTCTAAGCGAAGTACGGCCGGTGAAGTTAACTCGAGCGTGTACGGCTGTGCCGGAGGGCTCATGTTAAGAGAGAGAGATGGAATGACCTACCTCGCCATGAGCTTTGCTTCGCTCACGGCACGCTCGCAACCTACCGAATCCGGACGCTTTGTGCTGTTTGCAGGGCGAAAGTGATAGGGCGTCCTATAAACGACATACTGGCCCCACAGTGCGAACCGCGTGGGAGAGTCACGACGAGTGATGCCAGCCCTAGTGATATCAACGCAGTAGAGGCCATCCGCTTCCACTTCGGTCCAGTTGGTGTCAGAAGTCGGAGAGGCAATGCTGCTGAGTAATATGTCCCCTTCGGCAGTCACGCGAGTGAGGAGAGAGCGACGGCCGAGAAAGTCCCGTCCAAAGTACAGGAGTCCATTATGCGCATCGTAGTAAACGAATGCATACGGGCCAGCAACTCGAGCCAAAGCGCTCGCAACCTGTGATACTCTCTCCGGAATCTGCTCGTGGGGGGACCCGGTCAATCGGGGCTCAGAGCAAACCTGATGGATCATGTTGAAGACAGCGTCCGTGTCATTGACACCGTCGAGTGAATTTGCGCCAACGGACCAAGCTTCGCCGTTCCAGCAGAAGACAGAGCCTGAGCCAGGCTGCCGGTACGGTTGCCTCACAGTGACTGCACCACGCAGTGAGAGCACGGTCGACACAAATGTAACGTAGACCTTAGCAGAGTTGCTGGGGGCCTCGCTCGTCGCTGTGATGGTCACCGTCTCCGCGCATGTACTATCTGGCCCGCGACGGTCAAGCAGTCGTTGTAGTTCCGGAGACGGCTGGACATGTTGACGCGTGCTGATTGTGCAGAAGGTGCCACACATAGCAATCTCTCCTTCGTCCTGTGCCGACCAAGCAAGGCAGATTAAAGACTTAAAGAATGTGGCCTGTAGTGGTCAAACAAACTACAGTGTACATGTACAAGAAGATCAAGTTGTTGGAGCACGAGCGCCGATCAGTTGCCGGCAAGCGGCAGTGGCGCAGTTGCATGCACTCACCATCGGCGCGCCGCCAGGCCAGGCATTAGCATTGATTTGGCTGCGTCTCGAGCGGGTCGCTGGTTGTATTGATTATCGTAGTATAGTCTACCTCTCACCAAGTACATCCACATAACTTATTCTCAAACACCCCCAGCGAACCTCATCGCCCGACTGTTGCTTATCGCACAAGATCGTCAAGCCACCCTGAATCAGCGACACACTTTGTCGTCACCACACGGTTGACCCGTGCCTACCCTGCTCCCTCCGGCGCCCTGCAGCCCATGGAATAACGCGACAATGACCTTGAACGACTCACGAAAACGCCTGTTACGGACGTTGAACAGCCGCTACATCTACGGACGACTGGTATGCTGGCGACCATCAAGCGGCAGCTTGAGATAATGACGCTAACTCGCCCATCTGATCTGTACAGCCCCTACTTCATGCTATAATTGCCCTGATACAGATTACGATGGTTTCGATATTGATACGGACATTCAATGCATACTATACCCGCCGACCGGTCTTCACGACCATGGTCACCAACGCCGTAAGATCCTTGAATAATCGCATCTCCTATATGGGACTGACACGTGCCCTGCTTAGGTGCTAGGCGGCATCGCAGACACAACCGCACAAACACTGACGGCCTTCCGGAGACGACAAGCACAACGACGCGCCGACCCTGAGGCAGCGAACAACGACTTCTTCTCGATCGAGATACAAGAGTATGACAAGAAGGTACCATGGCCGGAATCGCCATCCTTCAGGCAACCGCCTCCGCCCTTTGACTTTGAGCGCATGATCAGATTCATGGCGTATCCGTTCATCATGGCGCCTCTACAACATCGATGGTTCGCCTTCCTGGAGCGGACATTCCCAATGGTTGCAGGCAAGGCAGCTCTCAGTTCGCTGAAGAGGGTCGCATTCGACCAGCTGTTGTTCGCACCGTGCGGCCTGGCTTGTTTCTTCACGTTCATGACTGTCGCGGAGGGCGGTGGACGACGAGCGATTGCGAAGAAGTTTCAGGACGTCTACATCCCGGCGTTGAAGGCGAACTTCTTGGTTTGGCCGTTGGTGCAACTTATCAATTTCCGGTTGATGCCGATACAGTTCCAAATCGTAAGTACCCTTCGATCCTCGTTTGGAGTTTGGATCCGCTGACAACACACCAGCCATTCGTCTCCACTGTCGGTATTGCCTGGACCGCCTGGCTCTCTCTCACAAATGCGGCAGAGGACGAGGCGCTGGGCCTGTCACCATAGACCTGCGGACAAGAGCTGGTAACAGAGCATTTGAACTTTGCATAGCTTGGCGCAAGTGGCATGGCGTGGCATGGCAAGCCAAGGCAGGCTGGGTACTGGCGCAATGGACATGTGACACGCGCGGCGCTCGATGGACAGTCATTAAGTGGCATGATAGGTATCACCTATGGCGTTCTTGACAACGCGGTCGAGAACGATCCCTTTTCTACGCCTTCAGTCGGATACGCTAAGCAACCAATGGTAGAGAGTAGAGACACCAGATCTACTCGTACGGGCATAGCGCCAATGCATAGTGATACTAGCTGACATGCCTACAACACCATGTGCTGGGCAAAGGTGTCTGTCCCTGTATTCGGACGATAGCGCCATCACTCTCGGTCATGCTTGGACGGAACGTAGCCTACTCAACAAACCGCCGTTGCCGAGGTTCAAGCTTGCCAATATTTTCTTGCCAATTTGCTCTCGATGCTTCTCTTCCTTTACGAGCGATATCAGAGACCAGTTGTGTAGCGAAGTTGTCCAGTCTGCGGCCGTATTTGTGGTTCTCTCATATGCTCGCGCCGTTCGTGCAAAAGATGCCTCGGCTGAAGCAAACTTGTTCGGTCTGGCCGTCCGAACTTCCGTGCATAGTTCGACTCCAGGGCAAAGCACGCCTCCCTGCTATGACATCTGAAGATAGGCGAGCATGGTCACGGCATGCCAACGGATCCGTGTCTTATGAAGACACCTTTTTCGTGCATTGAAGGTATGGCCACATAAGTATATGTAGTTCTTGCAACACCGAACCCTGCATGCTGATGCTGTTTCTTTACTATCAATAACCGCCACGTAATTTTCCTTCATTACCAGTGAACACACCTTCTTGCCCCGACAACCATGGCGGTGGACAAAAAAGATACTGTACCAATACCGCAGCCGGCGGGCTGGCCACTCGTTGGCAACATTACCGATGTTGACCCCGAGCTGCCCATTCTATCGTTGACGAACCTTGCAAAGACGTATGGGGAGATATTCTCCTTGACGACCTTTGGAAGGCGTCGTGTCTTCATCAGCACTCAAAAGCTGCTCAATGAAATCTGCGACGAGAAAAGGTTCGGCAAGCTTGTATCAGCAGGCCTCTCACAGCTCCGGAATGGCACCCATGACGGTCTCTTCACCGCACAGAATGATGAAACCAATTGGCATCTTGCCCATCGGATTCTCGTTCCCGCATTCGGCCCTCTTAACATTACAGCCATGTTCGACGATATGAAGGACGTCAGTAGCCTTGAGCGTAGACGGTCTCGAGGCGGTAGGCTGACTGGAAACAGATCGCGAGCCAGCTGGTTCTTAAATGGGCACGATACGGCCCGGAGTATGTCAGTATATCTTGCGCAGGGGCTCCCTTCACGCTTGAGCGAAGCTAATCAACGTTGCTCTGGATAAAGGTGATTCCGACCACAGACGATTTCACCAAGCTTACCCTCGACACATTGGCGCTTTGTGCAATGGATTACCGCTTCAACAGCTTCTATACCGATGAGATGCACCCTTTCATCTCTTCAATGACCAACTTCTTGCGCATTGGTGCTGCGCGTGCTGCGCGTCCTCCATATATGGGCTCTTTCTACAAGCAGGAAGACGCACAATTCTTTAAGGACATTGAGTACATGCGAAAGCTAAGTAGTGACATCGTTGAGCAACGCAAACAGCATCCCAAGGAGGTCAAGGATCTCCTGAATGCGATGACACTAGGCAAAGACCCGAAAACTGGCCAAAACCTTAGCAACGAGACCGTCATAGACAACATGATCACCTTCCTTATCGCGGGCCACGAGACCACCAGCGGGCTGCTCAGTTTCTTGTTCTACTATTTGCTGAAACATCCAGAGGTGGGGCGTGCAACTTGGTATGAATCTCTAGATACCCGACTGACTTCCCGATCGTCAGGCATACCGCAAAGCACAGGACGAAGTCGATCGCGTAATAAAAAGCGATAGTATCGAAGCACACCACTTAAACGAACTTCCATACATTACAGCCTGCTTGCGGGAGACACTACGTCTGGAACCCACCGCCCCTGCATTTTCGGTTTCGCCCCACAACAAGCAGGGAGATGTCATTGGGGGCAAGTATTTTGTCGATCATGGGGTACCTATTGTTGCCGTCCTCCCATCAGTGCATCGAGACCCTACGGTCTACGGTGACGACGCAGAGCAGTGGAAGCCAGAACGAATGCTTGACGACAATTTCAACGGCTTACCGCCAAACAGCTGGAAACCCTTCGGCAACGGCGCCAGAGGCTGCATCGGGCGGCCGTTCGCATGGCAGGAGGCTATGATGGTTACGGCTATGCTTCTTCAATACTTCGACTTCAGCCTAGACGACTCACAGTATGAGCTGCAAATCAAGTCAACATTGACCATCAAGCCAAAAGACTTCTCCATACGAGCCAAGCTCCGCGAAGGCTGGACGGCTACCAAAGTCGAGCAAAGTCTGGCCGGCTCTGTACGAGGTGCTCAGCGCACGCTCCATCAGCCATCCGCCGCTGAAAAGGAAGTCGACGGCTCTCCGATGACCATATTGTACGGCAGCAACAGTGGGACGTGCGAAGCTTTCGCGCAAACACTTGCCGCTGATGCTGGGGCACACGGTTTCATGGCGAAGGTAGCGACACTGGACTCGGCTAAAGCGAGTCTACCAACTAGGGAGCCTGTGGTAATCGTGACGGCAAGCTATGAAGGGCAGCCTACAGACAACGCCGCCCACTTCTATGACTGGCTGCAAAATTTGAAAGACAGCGAGAAGGTGGAGACGAGCTTTGCTATCTTCGGCTGCGGACACTCGGACTGGAAGCAGACGTTCCATCGCATTCCCAACAGTATCGACAACCTGCTTGAGAAGCATGGCGGTCAGCGCATGTGTGAACGTGGAAACGCCGATGCAGCCAAGGGAGACATGATGTCCGCTTTCCAGACATGGGAGGACGAAATACTCTGGCCTGCCATCAAGAGGCGCTTTGGCGGGAAAGACGCCGACGAAGGCGCTGAAGCCTCACCGCAGAGCCAAAACCTCTCGATCGCCGTATCCAACCACCGTGCTTCTAAGCTACGAGCTGGCGTATCGGAAGCGAAGGTGATCGCGACGAGAACTCTCACTGCGCCTGGTGAACCAGAGAAGCGACACATCGAACTGCAATTGCCGTCCGACATGACTTACAGGGCTGGAGATTATCTGGCAGTGCTTCCGCTGAACCCTGAAGAAACTGTGCATCGCGTGGTATTGAGGTGAGAAGCCTTACAAAGCATACGCACGAAAGGCGCTAACGAGTGCAGATTCCACTTACCCTGGGACGCTATGTTGACCATCTCCAGCAAAAGTAGCACAGCTCTACCTACCGAGCACCCAATAAGCGCACACAATCTGTTCTCAGCCTATGTTGAGCTTAGCCAACCCGCTACGAAGCGCAACTTGATCATGCTTATGGAAGCCAGCAAAGACGAGCAAACGAAGAAGGAGCTACGCCAAATCCACGACGGCGACTTCGATGCAGAGATCACAGAGAAGCGCGTTTCACTGCTCGACCTTCTTGAGCGCTACTCCGACATTGAACTGCCACTTGGTGCGTTCGTAGGCTCACTGATCACCATGAGAGTGCGGCAGTACAGCATCAGCTCCTCTCCGTTGGCGGACCCGCAAAAGGTGTCGCTGACCTACGCCATCCTAGAGGACGAAGCACTTAGCGGCCAGGGACGCCATATCGGCGTAGCTAGCCACTACCTCTCGCTTCTCAAGCCGGGCGACATCGTTCATGTTGCCGTGAAGCAGAGCCATCAAGCCTTCCACCTCCCGACCGATGCAGAGAAGACACCGGTGGCTATGTTCTGCGCTGGGACTGGCCTTGCGCCTTTCCGCTCCTTCGTGCAAGAGCGTGCGGCTCAGATCGGAGCCGGGCGTGCCCTTGCTCCCGCCCATCTATACATCGGCTGCAGGCATCCGGAAAAAGATCGTTTGTATGCAGACGAGCTTTCGAGGTGGGAGAAGATGGGAGCTGTTACGTTGCACTACGCTTTCAGTCAGGCTCCGGAGAAGAGCAACGGGCACAAGCACGTCGATGATGCGATGCGCGCGGATGCGAAGATGCTGTTGGGTTTGTGGGATGAGGGCGGTCGTGTCTACGTTTGTGGAAGTAAAGGGCTGGGTGAATCGGTAAAGAAGACGTGCCTCGAATTATCCAAGATGTGGCAGAAGGAGCATGGGTACGATAGCAACGAAGAAGAAGCCGAGGAGAGAGCGAATAAGTGGTTTGACAAGGTTAGGAACGAGAGGTACAGCACCGATGTTTTCACGTAGAGAGCGCGAGCTTAGGAACCCTTGGATATGCCTTTTGGCGTCCCGGCACAAGCTTAGTACACATTTAGCGCGTGGGCTGTCAACGTACGCTAGATTCACACAGCGGCCACAGCGCCCGCGCAAGTTGAAGCAAATGCACTGTACATTGTGGTTGGCTCTCCTCGGCATGAGCAACACACATCACACCTTGACACTCCACTCATGCGTCTCATCGCCATACTGAATCCCTGTAATCCAATCGAGCATCCGAAGCGTAACCTCACCGACTTCCTTGTCGGGTGGTAACCCGCACTCGATGATCTTCCCCTGATAGCCAATATTCCGTACAGGACTCACAACCGCCGCCGTGCCCGAGCCAAAGACTTCCATCAACCGGCCTTCCGACGAAGCTTCAGTAAGCTCCCGCATCGTGAAAGGTCGTTCGCTCACCGTCCAACCCTCCGGTACCAGCCGTTCGCGCGCAAGCGCTAGGATAGAGTCACGCACTACCCCTTCCAAGATGGTCCCATCCAAAGGAGCTGTAACGAGCTCAGGCTTGCCTTGCGGGCTCCGGATGCAAGCAAAGAGGTTCATGGTGCCGACTTCAGTCACGAAGTCTTCTTGCTGACCCGTTCGCTCGTCCACACCCGGGAAAAGCCAGAGATTCTGGTGGAAACCGCGGGTGGCGGCCTGCATCTGCGGGACGATGCAGGGCGCGTAGTTGGCGCCTAGCTTCGATGCACCGACACCGCCGGGCCAGGCGCGGATGGCGTAGGTGGTTGCTTCGAGCGAGATAGCTTTGAAGCCTGTTGGGTAGTAGGGGCCGACTGGGGAGGCGATGACGTAGAGTAATGCTGAGCCGGGTGGTCCTACGCCAAGGGTACGTTGGGTGCCTATCATGTTTGGCCGGATGTATAATGAGTAGCCGCGAGCTCTGCGGACGTGGTTAGATCAAAGTTTGGGTCTGATGCGGGCAATGCTGTAGCTTACTCACGAAGGAATGAACCGCTCCTCGATTTTACAGAATCGCTTCAGTAGATCTATGAAAGCGTCGCCATCAAAGGTAGGTAGTGCTATCCGCGAAACACTCTTGTTCAACCGTTTCATGTTCATATCCGGCCGAAATAATCGTACATCGCCGTTGCGATCTTTGTAGGCCTTCATGCCTTCGAATGCTTCAAACGCATAGTGTAGCGCGCACGTTGCAGGGTCGAGACTGAGATTCTGGTATGGCGTTATTCGCGGCGCTAACCAGCCATCGCCTGCCGTCCACTCAATGCTGAGCATGTGGTCGGTAAAGGTGCGGCCGAAGACGAGTTGATCGTGCGGCATGACATCCTTGGGGGTGGTGCTCTTCTGGATTTGCAGCTGGGAGACGTCGATGGATTGGAGCTTCGGATCGGAGGCGTCTGGGGCACGGAGATTGGGTGTTGCGTATGTTCTCCGTTGGTAAAGGCATTGGGTGGATCGAAGACATTGCTGTCGCGTGAGCTGTCGGGTGCTGCGCGGAAGTGATGTTCGGAAGGGCGAAGCCATGTTGGAATGGAGGACTGGGGAACTCCTTGCGATTCGATGGTGGAGTGAGTGGAAGAGGCTTTCGCCCTCAGTGTCGCATGTAAGCACGCCGGGTGTGGAACGCCGTTGTGAGCAATAGCTTGCCTGACTCAAGCACTCCGATCCTCGGTCCCGACTGATGCCTTGCAAGTTCTATGGCCTTAGGCATCAAAGCTCTCTACTGCACTCTTGTCTAAGCGACGACCACATCCCAGCCATCATCCACCCCATAACCACTCACTCACTCCCCTATCTCCACCTCCATCATGTCCGGCTCTGCGGAATCCAACTCGGACACCAGCAAACTCCGCGCCAACGTCTCCGACAACAAGGACACCTCGCAGCCGCTCCAACCACAGAAACCGGCGGCGCAATTAGAAGAGGACGACGAGTTCGAGGACTTCCCCGTAGATGAGTGGACAAAGGAGGAGGAAGTTGGTGCGCAGGCGACCAATACGCACTTGTGGGAGGAGAGTTGGGATGATGATGATACGAGCGATGACTTTTCGGTACAGTTGAAGTGAGTGAGGACATGCAGCCAAGCGAGTATTGGTGAGGTTGTATGGGGCGATGCTGACTGGTGTTACAGAGAGGAGCTGAAGAAGATGGGAGGGCACAAGAAGTAACCACCTGTAATATGGCACATCGCTGGGCTCTTTCGCGCGCAAGAATCAACATAGCGGCGGCGTATGGCGAACGATCTATGGCGCATGAGACAAGCTGGAGATACACGGCTTATGCAAGATCGAAGCGGAGTGCTTCGCTGCACTGGTAGGCAGCATAATTCGAACACACCCACGCTACCTGAGCTTTGCACCGGCTGGACGACCGGTCGAGCTCCCGCCGCATGGTAAGGGAACAGCACTACTTGCTCGAAAGCGCCGCCACACCTGGCAGCTCTTTACCCTCCAACAACTCCAAACTCGCGCCGCCGCCGGTGGAGACATGGCTCAGCTTGTCCTCCGTCCCGTACTCTGCCGCCACTGTCGCCGTGTCACCGCCACCAATGATAACGATCTTGCCCTGTTCACACGCCTGCACGGCATACTCCATCGTCTTCTTCGTGCCGTTTGCGAACTTGTCCATTTCAAACACGCCCGGTGGGCCGTTCCATAGGATCGTCTGCGCCTCGTCAATTGCCTTCTTGTACAACTCCAGACTCTTCTCGCCGCAGTCCAATCCCATCCAGCCGTCTGGTATGCCATCCTTATCCTCCGCATATCCGGTCTTGGCGTTCTTGTCGAACTTATCCGCTGTGACATAATCGCAGGGTAGGGTAATCTTGACATTGTTCTTCTTCGCCTTCTCTACCAGATCCTTAACTTTCTTGCTGCCAGGCTCATCGAACAAGCTGTTTCCGATCTTGACATCTTCGAGCGTCTTCTTGAAGGTGAAGGCCATACCGCCGCAGATGATGAGGCTGTTAACCTTGTCGAGCAGGTTCTCAATCAGCTGGATTTTGTCGCTGACTTTAGCACCGCCGAGGATGGCGAGGAAGGGTCGCTTGGGGTTCTCGAGCGCTTGAGCAAAGTACTCGAGTTCCTTCTTCACGAGGAAGCCAGAGGCCTTCTGGGGTAAGTCAACGCCGACCATGCTGCTGTGGGCACGGTGAGCGGTGCCGAAGGCATCATTGACGTAAACATCGCCAAGGGAGGTGAGTTGCTTGCGGAACTTCTCCACATCGGATTTGTCGGCTTTGGTCTTGTTGCCTTCCTTGTCCTTTGAGCTGCCTTCCTCTTCGATGTGGAATCGGAGGTTCTCGAGTAACACTACACCGCCATCCTTGGTGTCACCGACGATCTTCTCCACCTCGGAGCCAACGCAGTCAGGTGCGAATGTAACGGGCTTGCCTAGTAGCTTTTCGAGTTCGGCTGCTACGGGTTTGAGACTGTACTTGGGGTTGGGCTTGCCGTCAGGCCGGCCGAGATGAGACATGAGAATGACGGCCTTGGCGCCATTGTCGATGGCGTATTTAATGGTGGGGAGAGCGCCGACAATACGTTGGTTGTTGGTTATTTTGGAGTTCGTTTCTTTGTCGAGCGGTACATTGAAGTCAACCTGGTGGGGGAGGAGTTAGTGGATGTTGTGGAGGTATCGGATATTGATGGAGTATGACGAGTGTTGGGGCGGCGTACTCGGATGAGGACGCGCTTGCCCTTGAGATCGACATCGTTGATGGCGAGCTTGTTGGAGAGAGACATGATGGATGGCTGGGTCGAAGAGGTATAGATAGGGTCAGTGGAGAGGTATAGCAGTGTGCTTGTGGAAGTCAACAGTGCCGAGTCAACAAAAAGTTGAGCTTCGGATGAGGGGCAGCAAGGTGACGGAGCGTCAATGCCATCCCACAGCCGGTGGGGCAATTAACGCCTTAGGCAGTCGAGGCACCTCCACCGACACTCCCTCACTGTGAGTCCTGGTTGCGAAATAGCGCATAGCGAAGGGTATATATAGCTTTTGCCAGATGGAAATCAAGATGGCAGCTTGCCGTGGTGCTGCTCTGGTCGCATTAGTGAGTGGCGAGATCCCCTCACAGTCCGCCGCTTTGCCAGATGGGCGCCCGATGACCCGGAGGAGGAAGCTTACGTCGTGTACGGCCTCTCAATGCAATTTCACCCGACCAGGCACAACGTGACGAGTTGTCGTCCGACCAATCCACAACGGGCATAGAGTTACGCGATCACTTTCATCAAGCCGGGACACCAGTACTGCCAGCCACTAAAGTAACGTGCCTCGCCTGGCAATCAGGCATGTCCTTGTGGACCTTAACAAGGAAGACATACGCGTGCGTCCAGATGCTAGGCAGCTATGCTCGCTGAATCCGATCCCAACACCGGCGTCGCTCGTCGACGGCCGCAAAGACCACTGTTGTGTGGTGCTACAGGCGTCAACTGAAGTAGATCTTCGGCAATGCACGAGGCTTTGTGACAGGCGCAGTGATACCCGGACCCTTGCACAAGTCAGGATCTGGACTGGATGCAGCCGCCTACATGTATTTGCTTAGACGTTCCGAGAGAACCGAAAAGCCCTAAGTGCCGCATCCATCTGCCTCACTCTGCTGTTTCCAGAGTTCCTTATGCCAACCAGGCTCACGAAAAGTACAGCTCGTGGCCTAACTGCTTTCCCGCGGTCTCTCACCCAAAACCCACTCCGGATCCGAGTGGCTTTGACATTCGGAAGTTTCGAAGATTCGGGGGATGCCACTTTGACGAGCAACGAACATTGCATCGGGCCTGCACGCCTACTATAAACTGCACGAAAGAAGACTGCCGGCTTGCATCTCTTCCGTCTACCTCCTACAAAGGATGAACACTAACTAGGAACGCGAATGGCCTTGCAGAGTTCAAGCTCGAATCAAGCGGATCCTGCGCAGCGAGACCACTTCGCATTTGGCTCGGGACGGCGAGTCTGTGCTGGGATCACTGTCGCCGAACGATCTTTCGCCACTGCCATATTGCGGCTGTTGTGGGTCGTCGATAACCGACTTCCCTCTTAATACAGCGCAATTCGATGAAGCGGCTTCCCGAGGCAAGCTTCCTGGCGTAGCCGGGTCGGATATGCCACCCAAGCTGATTCCGCGCTCGCCAGAGAAAGTGGCGCTTGTTGATGCGGCGTTCGTCGCTGTTGAGGGCCCGTTGCGCACCGACTGGGTTACCATGGAATGAGGCCGAAGCCACTTCGCTCAAGTGCGTTTCGCAAGCCTTCGGTGGTTGACTGAGTAATGCCGACAGCGGGACTTGGGTCATCACCACCACGTCGAAGAGCGTATATTGTTAGGCCTCGGCGTTGTCGAATCCTGTACCGCAAACTGCTCTTCACGTTGTCCTTTCGAAACCATAACGATGTAGGGTCTCCGAGAGAGCACGCGTGAAGTGCATACCAGGCTCTTGTCGCTTTGGCTTGTCGTCAACGCGGACACGAAGGAACAGTTCCGGTTCCTCGCTCAATATACGCACAATCGCTTCTGCGGCGGTCGACATCGAGTATTGTTGGCCTCTCACGACGAAGTGATCTTGCTGTGAGGTGTTTAGAAGCTTCTCAATGTACGGTATCGTCAGCATGCTCACAAGCATCGACCGATGCGCCGTTCTAAGTAACGTTTTCCATTCACTGAATGTGCGTGTGTCACTGTGGTGTTCAGGAAAGTGTACTGAGATGTTGCGCTTTTCGCACCACCACACGCGAAAGATCATGATCCATGTAAGCATGGCCGGAGAACCCGGAATACTGCGGAAGATGCTAAGGGCAGGACTTCCACCGCGTGAGCGAGGCGGCAGGCTCCATACCCGTTTACACAAGGAGCGAAAGGCGCGCCGGTCAAGTGAGTCGAGCAGCAACCGTACGAGAACGCTGTGTAGCGGCCACTTATTTGACTGGATAGAAGTAGCGATCCATGCGAAAAGCAGCTCCCCCCATTGATCTTCGAAATCCGCAGAGTCATGTACGAATTGGGTTCTTACTCCAGCCAAGCGAAAGACGCTGTGCTGGAACTGAAGCTCAACCAGAGTGCAATACCATAATACCGGAAAGGACATCCTGTAATCGACCGGAATACAAGATACAGCAATCGACAGCATCGCAAAGATTTTATCGCGCTGCAGCGAGCACAGCTGGCCAGCAAATTTTGACAGCGGGAGGATCAATGGGAGTGGAAGGGTGAATGGCTGTCTGTGAGGGTAGTCGCCAGCGAAGCGCCTGCGTAGCTGAAGGGCGAGCCACATCAGCGCACGACCATTGTTCGCCGGCGGAATGCGTGGGTTCGACCAGTCGCATTGCCACTGCCCGATCACCATAATAATGCGCATGGTCAAGAAGCCTGGCAGTCGATCTGTCTCGTGAACGATGTTGTTGAGCTCCTGCTCAGCTATTGGAAACGTGCCGAATTGGAAAACAAGCCGGTCCGCGAGCAATAGCTTGGGCACTATCCATAGCCGTGACCAGTACTCGCAGTCTATCAGCGCATCAAGTGCCGCATTCCGAGCGATTGTCAGCCTTTGCAAAGGGTGCAGAGTATCCCCGTCGAAAGACTTCCCTTGCTTGTAGCGCTCATGGAGTTCAAGGTTTGCAACCTGCGATGCCGAAGGCACCCCAAGCCAGGCAAGCACCTGGTAGGCGTTGCGGTAAATTTGGCCCATGAGGGCAACCTGAGAGCTGCGCTCTGCAACGTCGTTCTGGTTGATGCAGATAGCGTCCACGAACAGCCAGCCCTGCCGCTTCTCTGCGAGCCAGATTTGCAAGAATGCATGGAGGCTTGGACGTACTAAGAATGGTTCGCCACCTACGGAGATCTCACATGTAGCCTCTGCGATTGTCCAGCAGTAAGACAGGGCGGTGAATTCGCGGGCATCATCGATCCAGAAGGCCTTCATTTCAGCTTCGATGGGACTATCGTTGCCGCAGCACGGTAGCAATCGTATCATGCGGAACTCTTTCTGCGCTTCGTTAAGTGGCTGATGCGTGAATGACCTAGATGCCATCTTATACCGTAAGTTTCAGTTGCTGTCACTCGCGGAACATATCACCCTCCGCATGCCGGAAGTGTATTCTCAGCAAGAGGCGAAATTATGTGTGTACATGCTGGATCGCCGCCGTCTGCCCCTAGCACAGGTCGCCCACGGAGCGCGAACGCGTCTTGCGTCCGGTCAGGCATTGCAACAGGTAGAGACACGGAGCCAATTGTATGACGGCAAGAGAGTGGAGTAGAGAGGAGAGGATCACCGCTCGGACGAGGGCGAAGGAACGGAGCGGCATCAGCCGTCTCTCCCGAGGCCTCCAAGCCGCAAGTGATGGTTCCATCAGGAGCATTCTTCGACACATCAAGGCGTGGATCGATGTCTCAAAGGCAGAGGCAAAGCATACTCACCCCTGTGAACATCATGGCCCCGGCAGTACCGTCTGCTGGTGACCAACCGCACCTTGGACACAAAGCAGAGACAGACCACAACGTCCAAGCAAAGCACGGGTGTCGCAGAAGGATTGCGATTCGCTGACTTGGAAGCAGCTGCACGTCAGGCACCTGAATGGGTGGGTGTCGCGTGCTCCTATATCCTTTTGAGGCCTCCGCAATAAGAGTATGGAAACATCCCGTCTCTCTTCACTCTTCTATGTCTATACGTCCCTCCTATCTTCTGCCTACAATCGAGCCGTCTTCCACCTCGGCACGTGCAAGTTCGGGCCGTCTGTCTGCATTGTACCTGCATGCCAATGACGTAGCGTTGGCTGTGTTGGTTCGGGTTCGAAGACAGAAGTTGTTCATTTCGACAGCATTGCAGTGGTAGTTGCGTTGATGCGAGGAGGGGATCTTGCTTTGGGGTGCGGCGCCGGGACGGGCTGGGCTCCTTGAGAGACGGGAAGAGTGGCTCACCGGACAACATGGGCGTTCGATGTCTTGCCTTGACTACGTTGCTTGCTTTTGCATGCGCCCTGCCACCGGCGCAGTCACCTCTGAATGATCGAGAGCACAGTGATGTTGTCGCTGCTGCCCAACGGCCGTTGTACGGGCGATTTCTTCACATGACAGGCATGTCTTGTGGGACGATATGTTATGACTAAAGCTGACAGCGTGTGCAGACTTCCACCCTGACCCTTTCTACCAAGTTTACTCCTCCACAAACGAGGATGCAGCGTGTCACAGGGGGCAAGGGCCTGCGGGCATTTACGGTGCCGAGACAAGCGAATGCGACAGTCCCATTGCGCTTGTGAACAAGACTATGGAGTGGGTGAAACACCATCTACACGACATCGACTTCGTAGTCTGGACCGGAGACTCCGCGCGGCATGATAATGATGAGGAATTACCGCGCACTGCGGATGCTGTTATCAGCTCGAACGAGTTTATGGTGCACAAGATGTTGGACACTTTTCCAGGTATTCCGATCGTTCCTACCCTGGGCAACAACGATATCCTACCGCACAACGTCATGGCGAAGGCTCCAAATGTGTGGACACGAACATACGCACGGGTGTGGAAGCAGTTCATTCCGGAGTTCCAGAGGCATCAGTTCGAGCAGGGTGGATGGCATTATGTGGAGGTCATTCCGAACCAGCTTGCTGTCTTCAGCATGAACACGCTGTACTTTGTAAAGAACAACGCGGCCGTGGACGGGTGTGCCTCGCCTGATGAGCCTGGCTACGAGCAGTTGGAATGGCTTCGCGTGCAGCTGCAGCAGATGCGCGAGCGCGGCGTGAAGGTGATTCTCATCGGACATCAACCGCCCATCAGGCAGGAAGCGAAGACTCTGTGGGACGAGACCTGTTGGCAGAAGTACACTTTGTGGCTCCGACAATATCGCGATGTGATCGTTACAAGCATGTACGGCCACTTTAACTTCGACCACTTTCTCCTGCAGGACTTTGCCGACCTTGACGAAGACACGAAGCGAGGACGCATGCACCATAACGAGCCTGAGTTGCGCGGAGTTGACAACGACGAGGTACATCCAATGCTTTCGAGTGACTACTGGCTGCAACTGCGCGCTACATGGTCGGAGCTGCCTGAACCGCCGCAGTCACTTCGTCTGGCCATGGCTGAAAATGAGCTTGGCTGGGAGACAGATGACCAACTTACTGCGCTCACTAAGAAGGAAAAGAAGAGGCGAAAGAAATATCTTAAACACATGGGAGGACCATACGCTGAGCGATTTGCCACGTCGTTCGTCTCCGCTAGTGTTGTGCCAAACTTGATGCCAACTCTGAGAGTGTTCGAATACAACATTTCTGGCATTGACCGACCGAAGCAGCATCATACAACAATCTCACACCATAGGCCCCATACCCGGTCTCTGAGTAACAGCAAGGACAAGTTCACGGTTCCCGAGCCGCCGTCAAAGTCAGCGCCACCAGGACCAGCATATTCTCCGCAGACTCTCTCTCTCATTAAGTACATACAATACTACGCTAATCTCACGTACATCAATAACGACTTCCACGACGGCAATAGGTCGGAGACGGAAGACCAGCTTGAGGACCTGAAGTGGGACGCGGGCAAGCACCATGGCAAGAAACCTCACGACAGAGACTTCAAGCCGCAGCCGAACAAATTCAAGTACAAAGTGCAGTACGATACGCGAGAGGACGATGTGTACCACCTCAAGGACTTAACCATGCCGCGAATCGTGGACTTGGCGAGGCGCATAGGGGAATTTGAGGCTGACAATGACGGCGAAGAGTCCCTGGATTCATGGAGCAAGCATGAAGACACCGATCTCGACGCAGACAAGAAGAGTAAGAAGCATAAGAAACGTCCTGGGAAGGCCGGCAAGCATACGAAACGGAACGCGCCGTGGTACGCCTTCATAAAGCGGGCGTTTGTGGGGACCAAGTCCATACAAGAAATAGAAGACGAGTTCGGCTATTGATTGGAGGACGTTGCGGTCCGCCGACTAGATTCTTTAGATACCCAGCATTAGCGATATCATTTTTTCTAGTTCACGCAACGACATTAGGTGTTTGCGTGCCTTCATGATGACGTAACTGTTTTCGTCCATCCAAGGTGATTATGCTGTTGACTTGACGGTAGAGCTCCGGCTCACATAGTACGCTTGGCTTTCCTGACTGTATCAACAGCACACGGCGATGTAGACGGTGGCAATGTCGTGGATGGACTCGTGTAGGACGCTGTACCTCACATAGCCACAGCATCCACTGACACTTCGAAGGGAGCCGTCCGTCCAAGGGCCAAGCCACTCCGCCGCCGTTCTACCTGACGCATGGAGATCAGGTACCATACTGTCACACTTGCGGGAGAGTCATCGGTCGATATATCCTGCTGTCATTCCGGTAACCCTACTCTGACGCTCTGCAGGCGCACGACGTGCCAATACTTCCAAGGCATCGTCGACAGAAGTAAAGTACTGCTCCGACAAATGCAAACGACACAAGCCGTCTTCAGCACCGGACAGTCTTGACAGCCGAATCGATAATGCGCTTGTGGCGCTGCTTCAGGGCAGAGTACCTACCGGGGCGGAAGACGACCTGGCTGTTACTTCGAAAGCGAAGCAGAAGCTGAAGAAAGGCGATCCTCGCATCGTCGTCAAGCTCAGTGAGCTTGAGATCGCGGTTTTCGGGGACCGCTCTGACCCTAACAAAGTTTACGGCCGCAGAAAGAACAGAGCTCCCCGCTTCATTTTAGAGAGTGGCGAATGGAAGAGCGTCGACATGGAAGACGCCGAGCCGACGCCGACCACCGAAACAGACATGGACACAGCAGGCTCACTTACCGACGATAGCATAGATGATCCGCCGGGTGGCGTGAGCATCAACAATCACGTCCGTGCACCGCAGATTGAAAGCGAAGTGAATTTCAGCGCTGGCGGCGGGGAACGGGGCTGGGCGGAGAAGATCGAGGAGACGCCTGAGATGCTTGTTAAGCGACGGGAGGGCCAGAAGAGGGCGGAGGAGAAGGAGATGGTGAAGTCTGCTGCAAGGCGGGCCGTTGCTTTTGGGCTGCTGGTCGAGTTGCAGGTTGAGGCGAAAGGCAAGCGGGTGAAGAAGGGGCAGGATCCCAGTAACGACGTGCCGCAAAAGGTTCGCAGGAAGTGTGAAGCACTTATGAACGAGCAAGTGGTAGAGCCTAGCTTTGCCAAGGGTGATTGGTAGGTGGCGATACCTCCTGAATACGATGTACACTCTACCGATGCTAATGGTTCGCTCAGGTCGATCCGGTGGCGAGAAGACTGAGCGACAATCTCCAAGTGTCTTGTGCGCTCGGCTCAAGCCTGCGGCGTAAAGATTGATGCATTGCCGAGCAAAGGGCCCTGCGTGGACATGAGCTTCAGCGAATGTAACGGACTTCGCATCCACCATCGCAGGCTTACCATATACGCCAATGTCCTCTCCTTGACCCTCCACCCTTCCGGCAGCCTCACCAACACATCGCGGTACTGGCCATAGGCATAGAGCATTTCGCCCTCATACACACCTTCTCCGAAGTGCGCGGCCCGGTAATACGTTACGCTTCTCGCCGCACATGGGCCTACTAGCTGGATGTCTTGCGTGCCGAGCAGATGCTGCGTCGTGACAGAGGCCAGACTCGCCGCAAGTACTGTTTCGATCGTGCTAAGCGGAGTCAAGATATTGAGGGGTGCCGAGTAGTTGGCCACGGCGTCGGAGGCGAAGACAAGGCTTAGTGAGGCGAAGTCCTTCCCATCGATGCACAGCGGATACAGAGCTAGCGTGTTGCGGATCTGGTCTAGAGCCACGGCATCTTGTGCCTGGTTGGCAGAGCTGAAAGCTTGTGGCAGCGCCGACAAAGATGTATTGGTCAGGTTAGAGGGGAGCGTTATTGAGCCGGAGCAAGCGTGGCTGCTGTTGTCTGAGAAGGTAAAGGCGGATGTTGACGGCCAGAGGAAGCTCGCTGTCAGAGCAACCTTCACCCACATCATGAATGAATGTCGAGATATTCATTGGGGGAGGATTACAAGTCGAGCAGCGTTCATTTGCGGTCTTTATACAACTCGCCTGATAGACCAAGCTTTACCCTACCTTCCATCGTTGATGCTCGAGCTTGCGAGCTTGTACAGAAGAGGCGGGTGACGTGGACGTGCTTCTCGGCTTCGTAAATTACTGCAGGGCCGTGGCGGCAGCTCACTCGACATCTTTCTCGACCATTGCGGGTGCAAGGCGAGCAGTATAGTAGCTTGCACTCTGAAAAACAAAACACATCAGTGCGCAGTCTTTAGATAGTGCTGCAGGGCGACAGCGTGGGAAAGGAGCGATCGCTTGGCCGCATGTACGGTGATAAAACAGCGCCACATGGGTCACTAGATGTTACAACGAAGCTACTGCGGTTCTGCTATGTGGGTCGTAACACTTTTGCCTTGCCCAAGATACATTTTCTGCAGCCTACGTAAGAAGCACCATTGCTCATGTTGCATTTCCCACTCGTCTACCTCCTCATGCTTCAGGTGAAGGAAGGGTTGGCGTTCGTCAACAGCTGCTGGAAGTATGCCTGCAAATCGAAGGACATCCGATCAGTGCATGTTCGAACAGCAGATATGTCTCTGGCTTAGTACCCACCTGAAACCACGAGCCTGCTTCCGGCGCAGGCGTTAGAGCATCAGCGTATCCACAGTGTGCATCGTATCTGGTCGAAGATGAATTGCTTGTACCGTCGCTTTCTCCGCCAGGCTTGACCTACGAAGGGTTGGGTATATATGTTAGCGACGACCCGGACAAGAAGCTGGGAGGTGGTCGTCGAGTACGTACCCAAACGAAAGCATCCTCCAGCGGGTCTCCTATACAACGGAGTCAAACGTTAGCGATGGCCATAGTAACTGGATCGATCTGTGCCATGCAAGTACGCACCTGTGTTCGTTCCTGGGCGAGCACCGAAACCTGCCCCTTTGACGTTGCACCAATCGCCCCATGCCTGCTGTGACGTAGGCTGGACGCCATCACGACCAGTATCAGTGATGAAATGGGCTGGAAAGCCTTCGGCTTGAAGAAGGGGAGCGAGAGCATTGATGTAGCGTTTCTCATCGCAATTGGCGTTGCCTTGGGTGTAAGACGGGCAAGTAGCAATTGACCAGGCGTTGTAGTTGGCGACATTGGTGACAAGACCACGCACTGCGGCCGGCGAGCTGGCGTTTTTGTACACCTGGGCGAAAAGGTCCGCAGCCGGCTGGAGGTTGGCACTCCAGCCCAGCCAACCTGCATGGCCAGCATCAATGTACATAGCCACGTTCGGGAGGTTGAGATGGGTAAGAGCATAGTTGTAGCACTCAAGGTATGCCGACTGGGCATTCGCGCACTTGGCAACATTCAGATTGGTAACCAGGTTGCCTAGGCTGTCGGGCTCTGTACCGAAGTTAGCTATCGAAATGATTTGATGACACATAGATATTTATATCATACCAACAACTAGGGCGACGGATACACTGGAATGGTTCTTGAGGTTAGCAACAATGTCATCGATGTAACCCTTGTAGTTGGCGACGCCGTTGTTGGCAGTGCTGTATTCGCCGTTCGAAGCGAGAGCTGAGCAGTCACGGTCGGGCAGGTCGTATACGACGAAAATGCCCATGTACGGTGGATTTGCGCCGGCCTTGTTCTTCGCGGCGATATCATCAAGCATCGACCCCATTCTATGCGCCGTCAGCTTTGCCACGACATTTGCGAGACAGACAAAACTTGCATCGGAACTTTAGAGCGCGTGTCCATCCAGAAGAAGCTGGGAACAATAGCCACGGCAGAAGCAGCAGCTTTGAGGCTCGTTGGCAGGGACGGAATTGCAAGGTTGACGACTTCAGAAGAGTAAAAGGGGTTAGGGTACATCTGCTTGCCAACGAACGGGTTGCCAGAAGCTGCTGCCGTGGAGGTCGTAATCGGCGCAGATGTGGTGCTCCTCGCACTGGTTGTGCTCGTTGCTAGAATGGGGGTGGACGTTCTCACGACCGTCGCCAGGGTACTGCTGGGCTTGGTGGCCGAAGCCGCGGACGTCGAGGTGCTAGCAGGCTTCGTGGTGGTGCCAGCGGCACCGGTAGTGGCGGTGCCGGGAACGCATTGGGCGTAGTAGGGGCCTTGGGTGCTGCAATAGTACGCCGAAGTACAGATAGTTGCGCCGCCGTAGCCAGACCCGCCACCTGTGTAGTCGTGTCAGCGTTGCAGGACTGCGAAGGTATAGTTAGGGATATGTACACTGTCCCCAGGGAGACTGCGTTTGAGCAAGAACAGAAGAGAACATCAACGCCAGAACTAGCGTGGACGGTGCCATCGTAAGTGATCGTAGGAAGTGAAAGATGGAGAGCAGGTTCGATGGGATTTCAGAGGGACGAACAGCATAGACATAACACTTGTTAGAGCGGGTCCTTCTCACTACTTCGCCGTTGATGGCAGCTTCAGTCTCCGTATGACAGAGGCATTTTGCCGGACATATTGCATGTCCTACGATGCGCGTGCATTTGCATCCATCTACCGCCGCCAAGCGAGGCCAGTTCGTTCGATATGTTGCCAGCCGTCCATGTGAGACGGTCAATAAATCACCGACTAGAGCGCGTTGAAATGCCAAGCAGATTATATTATGCACGTGGACCCTGGTGTGTTCCATGTGAGATTTGCTCGTCTGGATAAATCTGGAGAACCCTGTTGCTGCGGCCAAAACGTTGCATATAAGGATCTGTGGCGCGCCATGTTGCAGCGCAGCTAAGCTTGTTTGTCAGTACCAGTTTGCTCTGCATCTAGCTCCACCTCGCAATCCAATCAGCCAGTACGCGTTGTGATCTGATGATCATCCGCATCCAGTGCAGACTACTGCCTTGAGCCGCAGGGACGTTGACACTTGGGAAGACTAGCACGCCTCCGCTTGTGAGAGGCTGGCTAGTATGCAGAGCTCGGGCCCAGGCGTTCTTCGACAGCGTACCGTACCTTGTTTTACATATTGTGTTACTTGTTACCGGAGGGAGGGAGGGAGTGGCTCCGCGGGCCGGAGTCCGTTCAGATCGCGTGGACTCAACTTGCAAAGGGATGTTCCTGATCGAGGGGTCTTCGCAAGGATGTAGTGCGTAAAGGGAGGTGAGACACGAGATGTATTTGCCATGCCTGGTGTGTTCGCCGGTCCGTGTCTCGTGTCGCAGATAGTGTCCTGCCTGCAGAGCTGACCGTTCGCATACCACAGCGACTGGGCTCCTGCTGATCCGCATCCAGCTTGGGAAGGAGGCTTTTACAAAGTCAGTCAGGTACGAGAAACCAGCCATCTCCATCAAGGTTCTGATCTTCGTGCCGTTCTCGAGGAAGCCAGAACCATCATACACTCGCTACCGTAGATTCCAGCAGAAGTTTCGCTGACCGTCCGCACCCGCACGGCGGGATCTCCAAGTCATGCAGCTCATGGAAGATGCTCATCTAGAGCATAGAGCTAGATACGACCCGATTGCAATGAGGAAGTCGGGCTTCTGCCGAGTCGTGCATTCAGCCCACCAATTTGCTTTCACATGCTTTCCACCCATACTCGATGCCAGTCCTTCGTCCTCATCTCCGTCTCGCCACCGTGCAAAATCTTAGGCAGGATGATATGGGTGCAGTCGGTGGTCTGGGACTCAATGATATCGTTAATCTCTAGCGCATTCAGCGCCTCAAACAGTGCTTCCACAGTAGCGTTCTATCCGAATGGAGACAGCCATCGTAGTTGGACAAGATTGAGTAAGGAAAGGATATTCATACTCGTGCAAAGTGATGCATATCTCGTTGATAGCGTCTTACATTCGCCTACGAATAACGTGAATGTCTGGGTGTCAGCTCAGTCAACCACAGAGCCTGTAGTGCGTAGTGGGAGAAGAACATCGGCCCCACCAGTGCCGAAATCGACACTCTGGGAGAAACCCGAACTCCTGTATGAGCCCACCGCGTGAGGTCCAGCGCAGACGTTCGGAGAACGCGCACCGCCTCCGCTGGGCATCATCATCGCTGGTGAAGCATGGCTTGAGCGAAGTATCAGGAACGAGAACGGGAGCAGTCGCTACGTCTTACGGACGTACCCGCGTATCTGAACCTCGGCACAGAAAACCAAGCATTCTGTCTTCCTAATCAGGTCGTCTGTCCGGACATTGTTCGGCGTGCCGCGCATGGCCTCAAGACATGCGCTACAGCGTATATCGTTGAACGGGCGGCGAAGGGTATTTCAAGGACCCCTTGTCGCCCGGTATGAGTCGAAGAGAGTGTTCACCGGTGACTGCCCACGACAAGCACAGCACTCCCTCGACACCCTACCTTCCGCCGCAGCGCCTCCCGTAGACCCACCTAGCACACGCGCTCCGAGTCGACTACGAAGTTTTTTCCTGAATACCACCTTGTTCGTCGCGCTCTTCACTGCCGGTTTCGCAATGGCAGCAGCGCCCGTCGCAGAGACCATCAATGGCTTCGTCAATCCTCCGACTGACGCCGAAACCCTTACTCTCTACCGCCCAGAAACGCCAGAAGCGGCGGAGATTAATGAACACCTTCTCAATCACCCTCTGGCGGTCAAACTACGAGCACAGCCGGGTATGACTGAGAGCAGACCGCACCTAAAGATCCCACCCGCCATGCGACCACACAATTTCACAGCGGGCATATTGATGGGCGAGGATAAGATCAATGTCCCGCCGTTGACATTCAACGAGAAGAACGCCGAACTACCTTCACTGGTTCAGTTCGCGCATCTCGGTCCTGCGCTTTGCGGACACCCCGGCATCGTTCATGGTGGCCTGCTTGCGACGCTGCTTGACGAAGGCTTGGCGCGGACATGCTTCCCTGCGCTGCCGAACAAAGTTGGCGTGACTGCTAGCTTGAAGATCGATTACAAGGTGCCGTGTCCGGCGAATAGCTACGTCGTCTTCAAGGCGAAGACGACGAAAGTCGAAGGACGGAAAGCATGGGTGGAAGGCTGGATCGAGCTGCTAGGTGACGATGATGGCGAGGGCACAAAGTTGGTGACAGCTGAGGCACTTTTTATCGAGCCGAGAGGCGCGAAGAACATGGCGCGTGTGTACAGTACGCAGTAGGCTGGAGCCAATTGGAATATTGGAAGTATGGCTTGTGTTCCATTTGGATACGGGCGGTGCTTTCGACCGCAGATGATAAACATAGATATCGGTCAGCACGAAGATGCTGCTCGCGGGTTGTACTCCGTGCCAGTCCGTCGATGCTTGAACGCTCACTGCCGCCCTTAGCCGCCCCAACGCCACTGCTATGCTGGTCTTTCAAATGCAGCATTCCCCCACCAACGAGTTCACCTTGTTATTCGCGATTCCACTCAGAAGTTCGTGCCCTCCGCTGGTTGCGGTATCTTCTTGTTGGCCGGCGCGGCCATAAAGCGTCGAATCTCAATCAGGATTGTCTCCATGGTAAAGTCACGCTTCCAGTTTGCAATGCTTGGGAGCTTCGTGAGGTCGACCTGCGACTTGTTAGCTTCTCATGCGATTGCAGGCACTCCCATATCTACCTTTCCGTTCCTCTGATCCACACATGGTAAGTTGACCTTGCTTATGAACGTCACTTCAGGCGGCATGTCCGGATACTCTGACCCGCAATGAATCTTGAGGGAGTATATGCGGTTCTCGTGTACACTCTATCTTTCATTTTAGCGATGGTGTCAAGGCGAAACTGGCGGAGTTGCTCACGTGAGGTGGGCCCAGTATGGTTCCATTCCAGTTGGTCATGAGGAGGTCATCGCCTTCGTCCAAACCGTAAGAGCATGCCTCTGGTGCACGTCGCTTAGCATACCATCTCTGCTTCCCAACTTCTTACTGCAGCCTTACCAGCGCCTAAGCCCTTCTCGCCTTTTTCCAGCTCCTCGAGCAATCGGAAGTTGCGCGGCACCTTCGCACCCATGCTGTCTACTACGTCGAGCAACAAAACTCACGGTATCAGTTCCACTTTCGAAGAAGTATAGGTCGCCCGCGACGCAGTTGAAATGTATGTTGCAACGGAGACCGGTGGTTACTCAATCCACAGAGGTCACCCCACTTCATCTGCATGAAGTGGCCTTAGGCTTGAATACCCTCTTCCACCCTTGTATAATTCAATCACTGCAAGAGTGAAAGTACAAATATTGTTGGGCTCCCTTTGGCTGATAGCACGTACAGACTGCTGCATTAGTCTCTCCCGACTTTCCATGGCAGGGTAGAGGCCACCTGAAATGTTAAGGGCCATCTATTAGGACTCTGAGAGGCACGCCAGCATGGCCACTGCTGAGGGCTTGAGAAAGCGCTTCGAGGATCTGGCGAGGGGCGCATATCTCGATACCATCGTACCTAAGTTTAATACTTTCGACCCGGCTGCTGCAGTCAGAGATGGCTCGCCAGAGGAGATCGGCCGGGCGCCTTTAAGGCGAAACCTGTTCTTCGGTATGCGTATGTTATCTGCCAATGGGCGTTCCCGGCTTACTGAGACTACAGCTGGATAGACGAGAAAGTGCGCATTCATCTGGTGCTGAAGACTTCGTTGAGTGAGCAGGAAGTGCGTGCTGTGCTACCCCTTCTTAAGACCGGACTTGAGGCACACGCCACAGACGCTGTGCCCACAGGCCTAGGGAACGCGGCTTCTGCATCGGGTAAACACGATCTGACTTCGGCCAATGTACCCGTGACCGATGATGTACAGATCGCGTCTGCTGGGGAGCATACGTATGTCTTCTGGCAGCCCACCCTCCACCTAGTCCGCCCACGTGTACGGCTACAGCGACCGGCTATCTACTTCACAGCCACCGTAAGCTTGGATCTGGCTTCGTTAGAAGATGTCTCGAGTTCTGAAGCAGGATACCTCGTGCCTTTTGAACCATCACCACGCAACGTTCTCGAAGCTCTGAACCCGCGGCCCGAGCTCAATGGCAAGCAGATCTATCTCTCGGAAGATCGGATTACTAAAGTTGCGCCCAAGCCACCTCGAAAAGAGGACGTTGTGCGACCTGTCAGAGGTGCATCGAAGCGCGCCTTCCCCACCCTTCCTGCGCTCTTTACACGGATGCAGTTCTCCGTTATGAGGGACCATATTCTCGCAAGTCTGCACCTCGAGACGTCGCAGGCTATCGCAGGGATTGTCAACGTGGAGAAGGCTGACATCACCTCGCCAGCTATGCCACAGCATCTCCAAGCAGCCATAACGGCGGAGAATACTCGGCGCGGCGTAGAGCCTACTGCAACTGACTCTTTCATACGGGTTCAGTGCTTGACCGAGGCAAGCCTTCCGCTTGAAATGTACGCTGGAGACGAGACCGTACTTTTATACTGGGTCAACAATGAGAATCTCTCAGACCCTACTTCGCTGAGAACACCGTTGTCGATTGCAATTGCAGCTAGCGCAACGCTGGAACAAGGCTCACAGGTGGAGCTGGATATTAGGTGGCAAGTGGAGCCGCATCTTCCCAGTACAGCGCCAGACCTCACGTACAGATGGTCGAGCTCACTCAGTGCGGCCGAGCAACTCCCAGTCCTCCCGCACACTGACCTAGTGGCTCCGCCTACGCTCGTAATACCTGAAAGTTTACCGCCGCCTGCAGACGCTGGAATTGCAGTGTTCTTTTCCGCGCCAGCAACCACGTTTCAGTACGACGACTTTCGACTATCGGTAAAGTGCATCAACAAGACGTCGAAAACCCGACGCTTCGCTGTCGTGTCTCTACAGCCGGATGGTACGATGAGAACACATCAGCATGCAGACTTGGCACATGATGTATCCTTCGTGGAGCCCGAAATGGACGTCCCACTAACCACGTCAATGCTGCCGGATGTGTTCTGCCACACTCCGGATGTGCGAATAGGCCCGGTTGCGCCTGGTGCAAGCGCAGAGGGACTGGTAGAGCTACGAGCGCTATCTACTGGGATACTTAATCTTGGCAGCTTCCGCATAGTCGATCTCGATACTCAGTGCCCGGTCGTGATACATGACCTACCAGACGTGGTTTCGCACGAAGCCCAAGAGGGCGCTAGTAAATATGGCGCTTCGAAGTTCGCAGTCAAACCCGTGCGACCGGTGAACAAAGCTATGCAAGCGCATTTTGCGGAGATGTACGAGGAGTACCTGCAATCAGAGAGAGACGCAGAGCAACGCAACGCGAAAGAACGAGTGCTCATAAATGGTGGAAGTGACCAGCATTAAGGCTTCTACAGCTTCGAAGAACCGGAGGGCCTCTCAAGCTCCTTGGTCTTGCGCTGGTAGTTCTTCGCGAGCTGCCGGATCATAAGATCCAACATCACGTCCTCACTGCCGCCCGGGATCCTATGACCGTTCACCTCGCGCCACATCCGCTCTGCGATCTCACCTTGACCGGATCTAGTGTAACCATTGCCGCCGAACAGCAGCATCGCGCAGTCGGCACACTCTTTGAACACCATGCCGGCATGGGCCTTTGCGGCTGCAGTCAGTCCGCCCAACTCTACATCAGCTTGTTCCTTGGTCATGTTGCACATTTGATAGACAAATTGCTCCACCCAAGCCCACTGGCTTTCCAGGAGCGCACCGGCTTTGGCGAGACGATGCCGAACGACTGGCTGCTCGATGAGCGGCTTGCCAAAAGCCTCGCGTTTCAGAACATATGCAAAGGCAGCTGAAAGCGCCACCCGTGCTTGTCGCGTTGCGCCAATGGCGATAGTAAGCCGCTCGTGGTTGAAGTTGGTCATCACATACTTCATTCCCTGCCCCTCCTGCCCGATCAGGTTCTCAATTGGCACCTCCACGTCGTCAAGCTCGATGTACGTCGTGCCTGCGCTAATCTGTCCCTGGACCTTCAATCGGCGCATACTGACGCCAGGATGGTTTTTGAGTGGCACGACAATCATCGACAGTCCGCTTGGCCCTGGTCCGCCCGTGCGCACCGCCATGGATGCATAGTCCGACCAGATGCCGTTAGTGATCCACTTCTTAGTGCCATTGATAATCCACTTCTTGCCGTCTTTGCTTCGTTCAGCCGTGGTCTTAATGTTGGCCACATCAGATCCTGCGTCCGGTTCAGTGATGGCAATACAGAACCTCGTCCGACCCCAGAATGCGTCTGGCAGGAAGCGTTCCTGCAGCTGCTTTTCGCCGAACTTGATCACACATGGCACACCGAACGCCATGCCGGTAGTGAGGGACGCGCCAGGTCCTGCGAGTCCGGTCCTTGACATCTCGTCGTTGTATATCATATTATGCCTACAGCGGCCGGTCAGCATCACTGCGGTGAATCTGTTAATGGAAACGACTTACATATAAGTGAAATCCTCCACCTTGACCACACCGAGGAGATCATGAATGCCCACGGCTTTGAGTTGTTGTACAGGTAGGGGCGAAGGCAGAACAGGAATAAGCATGTTGTGTTTGGCAAATGTGTGGAAAAGATGATCCGGCACGGTCTCTTCTTTCTCCCAATCCCACGCATAGGGCATCAAGTGCTCTCCAATGAATGCTCGACATGCTTGCTGCCATTTGCGCAACTCTGGCGTGTAGTATGGAGACGGCAAGCCACAGAGATATGGCGGTTCACTGAATGGTAGAGGGATCGCGCCGCTTTGTGTCGTGCCTGCCATGTTGGCGAGGGTGTGGTATCGACAACGTAAGAAGATGGCAACGGCAGATTAGACACTTACATTAGGGCCGCTCAATCGCAACAGGACCATGTCACCCTACTTTGTTCGTACATTTACACAGCACTTGTGATTGTCCGCGGGTAAGCTGAGGTGAGGTGAGCGGAGGCGCGGGGACCACTGCCGAGGGTGTGAATGCCGGCTGCTTCGCCAAGCTTTGTTGGCAGAAGTAATAAACGAAGATTGGAACTGTGTCCTAGGGACCGTCGTTCTATACAATATCACAGCCTGCCAGTAGTTGCCAGGAGGATGGCGCGCTAGCTCGCCGTTTTCGCTCCCAACTCCACCAGCGCCACGCTTAATCCTGCCAGCCGACCGATCATTCCTCCGTAAGTTCAATGCATTCATGACGATTGAAGTCGCACCGCTCGCGTTAAGAACCCATGTAACCTCCCTATACCGGATCCTGATCCATCCCATGCACGTAGCTAGTCCGGCGGTCTGCATCGGGTATCACCTGTAGAGCGCCGGATCCCCCAAAAAGAAAGCTTTCTGGGCAGGTGCGCACCTCCCCTACCAAAAGCATCGCCGTTAGCGCTCGAAATCACCATCACCGAGGAAGCGCAATCAAACGAAATGTGGGTGGTAAGTCTGCTTTGGTGTGAGGGAGGACAGAGTTTGCGTGATCATACTCTGAATATCCTCCATCCCACTCGTTTCCAGATTGTGAAGCAGTTCGTGCTGCTGATCCATGTTCAAGCCGTTGCCAATACCGCCCGTGTCGATGTCCCAGTAAGTGCCCAGGTTGTTCCATTGCTCGTTGAGGCTCGGATCCGCCATGCCCGGAAACGGATATGTTTGACTGTTTGGATCAAACACAGGGTCCGCGTACGGGCCTTGGTACATTGACTGCATTGGGGCCGATGATGAAGCTGCAAATGGCATTTGGTTGGGCTGCGCCGCTGTCCATGGTTGTATCGAAAGGTCAGCAGTGAAGTCCGGAAAAGGATTGGCGTAGCTGTTTGGGTCGAACGGTAATGGCTGAGGCACCATGTTCTGCTGTGATATTTGCTGCATCTGAGATAATTGCTGCATTTGCGGCATCATCATACTGCCCGGAGGCGCCATCGCTGGAAGAGCCGGGGGCGGTGTGGCTGCGGGTGCCTGACCCATCTGAGAGGGGCTTGGGTCGCTCTGGTATGGCACCGGAGGAGGCTGTTCCACACTTCTATGCCTAGTAGCGGTGTGGTTGAAGTAGCCGAAAGGCGCTTTGTCGATAGGCGGCGTCGTGACGGAGGTGCTACTAACAGTCGCCGGGCTCGTCGTCTGTGAACGATTGAACGCATCTGGAAATCCTTGTGAAGGCGACGCCATTTCCGAAGGTGTTGCTGCCGAGATGGGCACGTCCCCATCCTTCTCGTAGATCTTCATGATGGCATTGATGAGGTTATGATAAAGTTGGACCGCTGAAGCTACACCGGGCCAGCGTGCAGAAGCCAGCTGGATGGCGTCCATTGCGGTTTCGAGATGTTTCTCCACCGAAGCCTTTGAGTGCTTTCGACGCACCTCCACGTAGCTAAGCGTCCAAAGCATACAATTGATGGCCATGAAGATGGACTGAGTGAAGATCCAGGTAAGGTCGACATTCTTATTCTGGATCTGCTCACGTTGCATGTATATGTTGTATTGACAGGCATCGAAACACTTCAAAGCTGCCGCCAGCGACGGTCGCGGTACTTGCGGGGATGGTCGATACATGAAGACGATCATGGTATTATAACGTCCAATGAACCAGACCTTGTCCAGACCTATGCCCTCGTCGTTGCTCGGCGCTGCGTCTCGCCAGGCGCACAGCTTTGCGTCCATGTATATGAACCATGGGTCGGTGTCATCCACTGGCTCGGGGCGCTTCCGCAAGTACAGCTTCCGGCGAATCTCGAGCTGTAGCATGCGCATCTTGAAGAAGTGTATCGCAACCCACTTCTTCAGTGTAGGCCGTGGCGCTGCAGGGTCGATGCCTTCAGGCTTGATGAAGGAGTCATGGCACGTCTCAAACCATCCGACATCGATGTGGTCATGGTTGGTCGCCAGCATTGCTGGCCTTCCCAGTGAATGCGCCAGGCCACAATCCATGACGATGATACACCAGAAGAGCCTCCGGCGCATGTCAATCTCCAAGTAATCAGCCTTGCCATTGTCCTTGCCACGAGTGATCGTCCTCTCCTCGTGGTAGCCCAGGGCCTGCAGCAGCCGGACGGCTATGCCTAGGATATAGTAGATAGCGGTCCGAGTTGGCGTCAACAGTGAGTACTCAGCCATGAGAGCGAAGCACTGTAACGTCTTCAAGTCCATAGGCCGCACGACAGCTTCAAGATGCTTCAATGCAGCAAGATAGTAGCTGTCAGCCAAGCCTGCATATTGCGTATCCATCTTCTGGAGACTGATAGCGATTACCATGCGGACAATGAAGTTCTGGTACGACGTCGCTTGATTCGGATGCTGATAGATGAACTCCACATCGGCATCCAGGGTCGGTTCGTGCAGTGCCGGGTACATTGGCTGCACCTTGAGCTTGTATAGTTGTAGTAAGAGGTCGGTCAGAACTTTGTTCGGAAGATCGTCTGCAGCGACATCGCTGATCAACGGATAAACCTTCGATGTGGGCTTGTCATGCTCCGCCTGGAACAGCTGCTTGATCTGCTTAGCTCTTTGCTCTGGTACAATATCCTTGATGCTCTTCGCGTCCGTGAACTGCTTCGCTAACTGGATCACCAAGCGCGTGATCGCAATGCCGCTTGATGGACCCAGATACTTCGACTCCGCTGCGTCGTACATGCGTACGGTTGCGGCGCGCATCATCGTCTCCGGATCGTCTGCGGCATCCTCGTTCTCCACACGATCGAGCTCTTCCTCCAGCTCTTGTACCTTATGCTGCAGGTACACCACGTAGTTCCGGTTCACGTTGTGTCCTTTGGATGAGTCCCAGTACTCGCAAGTAGAGTTTGTCCTCTCGCATGGGCCGCATCGCGGAAGACCTGGATCGCATCTAGTTTTCCGCTGCGGTGACAATCAGCAAGCTGATACCGTTACCCATCGCACTTGCCACCTACCTGTCTACAACGCGTACATGCAGTTCTTGGATCATGATGTCAGCTCTGCTTGGGCAGACCATTGTCTCAATGCTTGACTTACAAAGTGTGTGCGACTTGCGGAGCTCCTGATGCATCATTGCTCGCACCCTCATTTCGCACGGCTGTCTTTCCCCGAACGCTACCTGATGGACGAAGCATAGTCGTGGACTGGGTCGTAGCCATGGTCCGTTGCGATTGCGCTACCCCAAGGTAAGGCTGTGGCAGAAGGGCTACGTTTTACACTTTCTTCTCGTCACGCCGAAAGACTGCCATTGTGAAGTCATAAGCAGCTTGTGGCAGTGTTCCTGCACAGTCTAAGCTATGGCGCTATAGGCTCGAAAGAGGCAGGCATATGCAGAAGCGCCCTGCGCGAGAGTTTGCTTGAATCTGAACTTCTGTGCCGCAAGGGATCCACAGGCGCGATGGTGGGCGGCTTCCACACGGGGGCGCAGTGCAGCCCAGTCAGCCGAGGTCGAGGTTTCCCCAACCAAAGTGTTTGTGAGCTGTGTTGAATATCACCAGTCGCATATGTTTGCCTCATACGACACCGTTAACAATTAAACAAGGAGTACGTGGAGCCGAAGTAATAGCAGGGAGAACCACCACCGCAGAGATCAACCAGACAACTGCCGCCTCGAGTCAGGAAACATTGATCCTTTAGGGCCGGAGGAATACTGTAGGGCGGCCAATCAGGCATATTCGGCAGTCTCCCGTCCCAGAGTTTAGCCATGGTTAACTCTGGGTTGCCCTGAGACTGATGTTATTTGAACCGTCGAGGCTGCAGGACCGTAAAGGAGCGTGTTGCCCGCTGGACGTCCCGCAGACAGTCTTGGCCGTGAGTACTGCTTTCGGCGAAGGCTGACTAGAGGCTATATGCTCGCCAGAGGGAAGAACGAGAGGAAGATGGGCTAGCTGTCAATGCCATATCGGAGATCGTTCGCGCGAGAGCCGACCGCCTCCCGCGTCTTCATCCCACTTGCCGAAGCCTCCTCTTCCTCTTCCCTCGTGTGTTTGGGGTTTCAGCACTGCGACTTCCGATCACTCTGCTTCCGCGCGGTTGTAATAAAACCTCTGGTACATGTATCCGCCCGCGCATTACAGCCTTCCGACCTGCAGCATCCTTCCACCATTCTTCGCCGAGCGCCACTTCGCAAACGTGGGACGCCATTAGCGGTATATCTGCAGGGCTGAGGCTGTGCTGCATTGAGCTAGTGTCTGAGGTGCGTAGCACCACCATGCTGACCGCGCCTGTGCGACCACATCCTGTCAGGCCACGCTCTAGCGATTGTGTGCCAAGTCTTGCCGGCTATGGTATTTTGTGGAAGCATAAGACTCTGCTCATACAGCCCCTTTGGCCTTTACCTCTTCGACACTGCACAATTGGACGTATAGCTTGAGGTATTCAGCTTACCATGGCGGTAGACGACCTCGATGCGACGACGCTCATGCCTCTCGAGACGCCCATACTGAAGGTCTCCAGACCTGTGGCGGCGTGCTCGAGGTGCCGAAATGCGAAGATCAAGTGCGACGGTACGAACTCTGACCAAAGGAAGGGGTTCTTGTTTGCTGACTATTCCCATTCATAGGCAAGCTTCCTGTGAGTCAGGTGATTGCCAGCTGTACTGCAACCGTATCACTCACGCATGTATAGGCCTGCACTTCTTGCGAAAGGAACGGCAGGGCGGCGGAATGCACGAGCACAAACGACCAATTTGCTAGGGGCAAGGAGCGAAGTTATGTTTCCACACTCGAGACGAAGATCGACAAGCTGCGGCTGAAGCTCGACGAGGCTAAAAATCGCAAGCCTTCCGTGATATCCATTCCAGATGATGAGACGACGGTGCCGTCACGGCGGCAATCGTACAGTGTTCAGGGACCGCCGACTCCGACTGCATCGAAGAAGGAGCGACGTAAGGAGGCCTCTGCCATTGATGACCTGGTGTCGGACTTTGGGTTCCTCTCCGTCAATGCCGCGGCGCGAGACTTCTACGGATTTACTTCAGCCATGTCATATGCCCGCTTGGTCCTCTCAGCCTGCACCAAAGACCAGTTTCCGCAAGGTATGACCAAAGCCTTACCACCCCGATACATGACTCAGGCCCTCGTACAACATTACCTTAACAACGTCTTCGTATTGTTACCCGTCTTCGAAGAAGCTAGCTTCTACGGCTCGGTCGAAAACCTATACTTCAAGGACTCTCATAAAGCAGACCCGCTGGACTACTGGATGGTTCACTTGGTGCTTGCCATCTCATATGCCTCAAAGTCCGAGTCGCGTGGCGACCAAGATTACCTAGAGGGCATTGGGCATGTGTGCGCCGCACTGCAGCATGCTGAAGACGTACTGCACCCGGGCGCACTTTCTAGTGTACAAGCGCTTGTGTTGCTTACTGAGTATGCGATGCTCGACCCGCACCATCTCGACTCGTGGAGCCTAATCGGCGTCGCTTCTCGGGCTATGGTAGATCTCGGATTGCATCAGGATCCGCAGAAAGGTGCCACCATGGCGAGAGGTAAGCTGGACCTTCGTCGTAGGGTGTTCCACTGCGTCTACGCGCTGGATCGGTCAACGTCTCTCGTGCAGACTCGCGCTTTCTCCTTCTCCGATGACAGCGCGAAGGTTAAGGTACCATTCACCAGAACGCCCGCGCAACAGCACCAGCCGCAGATGCATGGCAACGGTACACCGAAAGGCTGGTTACAGTCCCACGACCAAGCGCTGGAGCTTATCACGCTACGTCGAATGCAATCACAATGGTACACAGATCTCTTCCAGTCCGGACGCGCGCGCTTCGACGAGCCGTACCAGTACGTATGGAATACCTGCGACACGATGAGGAAGTGGTTCGAGAACTTGGCACCGTCGACGTCGCAAAGTATGCGTGCATTCTTCGAGTTGGACCTGCTGTATTCGTATGTCTACGTGCTATCGCCTTCGCCGCGGGTACCGGTCATCAACCCCTTCGCGGCTAAGCTGATCTTCGAATACTGTATTCGCTACGCTGACCTTATGCTACGCTTGATTCACGATCCAGCCTACACCGCACCCCTCACTTTTTATGATGCTATGAGGGTCTACATGACGGGCCGGCAATTCCTCGATGTTCTGCAGAATCACACGGACGTCTTGCTTAACGGTCAAGTTCCGCCTCATCCGGAAGTTCGACCAGCGACCGCTCCGCCACCGCCTATGCCTGTGGTACCGTTGCCACCAGGTGATAACCTCATGCACTTCAATACGCAGCGCAGCGCGCTCTGCATCAAGCAGTTTACGGAGTGTTTGTCTCGCTTCGGTATTCGATGGGGGTATATGAGGTAAGACGCGCTGTTGAATGCGACACATGCTGTTAGCTAACAGAAATCATAGCTGGAATCAACGCTACCAAGTAGAGACCGCGAGTATGGCTGAACAGCTGAATAACCGGCTTCGTGAAATGGATCAAGCCGCTGGAGTTCGTCGACCTAGCATGTGGACGCATAGTTCGTCGGCCGGCTCCATCCATAGCAGTAGCGGCAGCGTGGTGTACAGCTCACCACAAAGCATGCCGCCCGGTCCGGCAGCATACCGACAGCCGTCTGTCACATTATGGAACATGACGAGCTACGACAGCCAAGCGCAACAGAACAACCCACCGCAGCATCGGTACAGTGGGGATAGGTTCAGCCAGCCGCCCATGCAGCCTACATTCGAGCTACAACCTCAGCATCAGTTGTTCCAGCAGCCTTCTGGTCAAACTTTCAACTTCAATCCGCAGCCGCAATGTCCCACGTCTCAAACAAACGCACATACGCCGCCATTTCAGCAATTTGCTGGCTGGTCAGGGTATACCGGTCCGTCAGTGCCGGATACGCTGGACGAGGAGAACGCAGTACCACCCAATGCTAACCCTTGGGCTATTGGCGAGAGATGAAGTATGCTGAAAGGATTTACAGGTCTTCAACCAGCAACTTGCACAACAGGTGGCACACGAGATGGTACAGAAGCCGCGACCGCGCCAGCAATCTGAGAGGAGTCCCACAGATGTCGCGCCAGTGCCAGGCTTGAGCGCGCAATGTCCGATCACTGTGACCGAGGATGTTGCGCCGACTGTACAGCCCTCTACCGGTTCACGACCGCCATACAGACGCTCGCATTCGTCTCGAGGCCGGAGGTCGAAGAGGGACTGGCTTACCAGCATCGGCACGAAGCTATTTGCGGATTTCTCAAGGAACGAGCTCTTGAAGAGTGCGAAGGCGAAGCCGAAGCTATGGGACGTGTTTGCAGCACCCGGTCCGTTCAGTAATGCGACATCGTCTACTGCTGTAGGTGCGTCTCAGGCTTCCGTGCCCGCGTCGCCAGGTATGCTGCCAGATCCATCACCGAGCTCAAGCCTGGAACCAAGCGCTATCTTGGGGCCGCCGCCCATGCCTGGCCAATGGCTGGAGAACGTTCCGCCGGTGCCTCCAAGATCACCACGCCGTCCACGAGGGTATGATTTCAGCATACCAGAGACCTCTGTTATGCCGCCATTGGAAGGCAGAGGTCCTGCAGAACAGCGAAAGACAAGCCGCGAGTTGATGCCACCACCGCCGATACCAAAGTTGCCACCGCCTCCTCAAGCATCTCGAATGGAAGCGGACTTCAACGCAGTAATGATTGCGCAAGCAAGCAATGTATCAACGACATCGTGGGAGTGGGGTCTCGTTCCAGCTCCGTTGGCGATTCTGCAACAGCAATCCGTACCCACGCCATTCAGGGTGCAAGCTCTCCCTCACGGGATGCCACCTCTGCCTACTTTTGCGCAGTCGTCCCACCGTAGGCAGTCATCTATGCAGGACTTTGTCATGGACTTCGCGGACGAGACGAGCTTCGGCCCAAACATAGGGTACCCGCAGCACGCGCCACCTCCGCCCGCCCTAGTGCTCTCACCACGCTTACCTCATGGCGCTCGGGCGCGGAGACTTGACAGCAAAGGCAAGCTACCCGTCTACGACCACCCGCAGCTCGCCATCTCGCCCGCCTCCCGCTTGCCCTACACGGGCAGTTCGCAAGCACTCCAGCCCTTCCTCTCCGATCCCACACGTGACTCCTTCTCCACCTCTGGTTTCACATTCATCCCCAACCACGGCTACAATTGCCACGTTTGCCAAACCATCGTCCAACAACCCGACCGCCACACCTCCCACAACGGCTTCTGCTTCAACGCGCAATGGGATCCCGTTACACGAACCCCCGGCCCTGCTCCGCCGCCGCCGGAGATAGATGCTGATGTCGCGTTGCAAGACCGCATTCGAGGTGGGGTGTTGCGGCAGGATTTTGCGCCGCGGTTTGGGGCGACGGAGGGACTGAGTTGGGAGGGGTTGAGGAGGCCGGTGGGGGTGAGGGTTGTGCAGGGAGGACAAGGTACGAATACAATGGGACCGCAGGATGAGTTGGAGCCGGACTTTAGGAATGAGGCGTGGTTGAGGGCGAACAATATCTTGTGAGCAACATAAACCGGAGAAGAAGGCAAACACGGTCGGTCATTGTACAGTCACCGAGCGATGGCGATGGAGGCAGTCTTGTATACATTGATCGCAGCTGCTTTTGCAGCGTTGACTTCACCGAGTTTTGTCTCCCAAGTTCCCCTGATACAACATGATTTCACATCCAAATCCTAACCGTCCCATCCGCCCCGGCACTCGCACACCACGCCTCCCTCGGATGCCACCCCACACTCAACACGCCCAACTCCCTCACCACCCGATGGCCCCTCAACACCTTCAAAGGAACCACCGTCGCGTTCTCAAACTCATCGCTCACCACTTTGCCGTGGAAAACCTGCAAACTCCCGTCGTCGCTCGCATCGGCAAACAACGGCAGACCTCCCGGATGGAACGCCACGTCGCGGATGGCTTTGGAGTGGTACCGCAGAGTTTTGTACGGCGTGAGACCGAGATCGAGATCATGCCAGAGAAGTCTTTTGTCGTAGGACGAGACGAGTAAGTTTGAGCCTAGAGGGTGGAGGGAGATACCGCTGATCCATCTAGCGCCGGGTTGAAGTTCTTTCTCCAGTTTCTGCTGCTGGAGATCATAAATTCGTATCCTCTGCCGGGTGGCTAGGAAGAAAAGCGGACGTGTGGGGTGGAAACACGCGGTTTGAGCGAGGCCTTTGAGGCGGCGGAAGGGGTGTTGCGTGGCGTGTTTGCTGAGGGTGTGGATTGCAACGGCCGTGGAGATGGAGGTGGTGGAGGGGGAGACGGTGGCGAAGTAGTCGCCTCGGCGATGCCAAGAAAGCGATTTGGGGGTGGTGCGCAGGGTGAGAGTTAGGAGGACGCCGTGGGATTGGAGGGTGGATGAGGGGCGAGACCAGGTGGAGGCGGAAGGTTTGGTGGCTCCCGAGGCGGTTTTGGAGGCGGTGGTGGGGGCCGCGGCGTGACCGAAGCCGGCGTCTAAGATCTCACGACTGCGTGCTTCTTGATCTGGTGGACAGAGCTCGCCTTGGGGGATGATGAAGTGGACATTCTCACCACAGCAGGCGGTGAGGATGCATGTATCGTTTCCGGGACGCCAGGCTACGGCGTTGACGGGTTCGTCTTTGGAGAGTTTGACGGACCAGGCTTGTCTGCCGGTCGTGAAGTCCCAGATGCGCACCGTGCCGTCGTCACCGCCACTTGCGATGAACCTGCCTGTAGGGTCGAAAGCTAGAGTTCGGACCTTGCCTTGGTGGCCACGACAGATTGTGCTGCACGTTGTGGGAAACGGTTTAAGCTCTGAAGGGTCCGGCAGCTTGGGCAAGAGGGACTCGGGATCGATGTTGAGCTTACTTCGCCGCACGCGAGGCGCAAGATACAAATCCAGACAGCGCTCGAACTTCTCCTTGACGAACTGCGCGTAGCCGGGCACCTTGCGGAGTGCTGAGTGGTCCTGAGGTAGAAAGTCACGAGTGCGGTCTTCTTCGTCTTGTTCCTCCCACGCCTCCTTCTCGTCCTTGTCGGGTAGATATTCCGGCGGCGGGTGGTAGGACTCTTCATACCCCGGTGGAGGCAGCTTCGGCGCCGGGACGTTCATGGGGTGGTCGGGTCGTGGTTGCTCGTTCGCCCAGACGTCGTAGGTAGCGTACTCTTGCTCCGCCTCTTCCCGCTCGCGGTCTTCGTCCGTGCGCGGTCGGTAGGGCTGTATGCGACCCTCCTTGATCGCCTTGACCATCTTCATCACTCTACGATGCTCGTGCATGGAAGGGACAAAGCGTCGTTTCGGCTCCGGTGCTGCAGACAGCGGCATGACTTCTTCCATACCCTTCCCAGTGAAGTACTCGACCATGTCCGGGTAGGGATCGTAGCCATCTCCAGGCATGTCGTTCTGCGTCAGCTTCTTAAGCACTTGGAGCTCTTCAGCGCTGAGCTGCAAGGGTTTACCAGTGGCAGGGTCTGTTAGGCCCGTCCAGCCTTCGGGGATGTCTATGCTATCCAGAAGCGAGTCGAGGGCTTCGCCTTTGGCAGGCCTGGCGATGCGTCGGCCATTGATGTCGTAGCCAATGTGTGGGTAGGCGTCGTAGTATGACAGCGGGATGTTGCCGATGGTGTTGGCGTTCGCTGGTGCATCGGAGTCGTCCGAGTCGTAGACGGGTTCTATCTCGCCGTAGACGTAGCGTGGGTTGCCGTTCGCGTCGGTGGTAACGGTGTAGTTTGGTCGGTCTTCGTCGTCGTCGTCCTCTAGGGGTACCATGGGGGTCACGGGTGATATACTACTAACGTCCTTGCCCGTGTCGCTACCCATGAGCTTTCGCGCAAGCTTCGGCTGGCCATTGCTCGTCTGCAGGTCTCGTAGCTGCTGTCGCACGTCATCTTCCTCTTCTGAGGACGGGATCTCATCGCTAGCTAGTTCTTCCTCCTCATCTTCGTCCACTGACTCATCGCCGTCCAACCCATCGTCGCTGTCATCCTCCTCCTCCTCCTCCTCGTCTTCCTCGCTTCCACCCTCATCCAACGCTCCATCCACCAAACCCTCCCCGAACACTTCCCCGTCAACTTCAGGCTCCGGTCGTGGCACCTCAACCACCTTCCGCTTCTGTCCTGCTCGTTGCGCCATAGTAGTAGCAGGCAAAGTTACCATACAATGGACAGTGCCTTAATGTTTGCAATGGCAAGTCTTTCCTGCACTGCCAAGATTTCGTAGCTCGGCCAGAAATTCTTCTCGGGCTGTCGGACCGGTCGATCTTCAGCCCTACAACCACGTGAACGGCTAACCCCCGCAGCCAAGGGCCACCAAGGTGAGAGTGGGAATGCAGGGTGGGGTGAGTCAGCAACTTCGCTCGCCGAGATGCGACTGCAGCTGTTTGTGAGATGGTGATCCATATCATCTCTATGTGTTAAGCATATGTAGAAAGGGTATGATAGCGTAGGCATAACACTTCACCCTCTCCACCCTTCTTTCCCGCGCAGATGGAGCGTTTAATCAGTCGATCAGTGCAGCAAGCAACCATGATCACCGCCCCGGACGGAAGAGGGGTCAAACGCCGGGCAGCGTGCGATGAGTGCAGTATGCAGTTCCACTCGAACAGCTTCCACCACCCGTGTGACTGAATACGTTCATTAATAGGGAGCAAGAAGCTCAAATGCACCGGCACACGCCCCTCCTGCTCTCGCTGTGCCCGGGAAGGCATCCCATGCGTCTACAGCCCGCAAAGCCAGATGGGAAGGCCGAAGAAGCGGGCACGATTAGATGCGAACGAGGAGCGGGATGTCGATGCTGTGGGAAGCAACAACTGGCCCAGCGTGCAACGAGCGCTGGCTGTGGACGTGGACGTGGACGTGGACCTAGACGGCGACGACTGGCTGCAAAGCACAGACTGGACTGTGCCATCTGAATACGCCATCCCCGGCCTCACCCCGGACGCTGTCACCAACAGCCCACCCGTGCTCAACCTCCCGCCGGAGCTTCTCGCAACGACTCATGGCCATTCTCCCAACTACTTTGCAAGTCCACACGTCGACGCAAGCACCAACCTCCTCCTCGACCCTTCCTTCTCGGGCCCAACCCGCTTCGATCCCGCCAACGCTCCCACCAACGTGCCCTCTTGCGCGTGCCTCAGCAATCTATACCTAACCCTCTCCACCCTCTCCACCCTCCAACCACCCCTAACCTTCCCCTTCGCCCTTCATCCCCTCCGCGCCGCGCTGCAAACAGCTTCAGAGGTCATAGATTGCGACAAGTGTCCCAAGCGTTTCTTAACCGCCGTCCAGAACACCCAGCTCCTCGGCACGCTTCTCCTAAGCATCGCGGAGCGGTACGGCAAAGTCCTCGACTCCATCACCGCTGAAGCCATCCGCGCGGAAACGGCGGGCGAGGGGAAGAGATTCCGGCTCGCGGACCTGAACACGCCTACCTCGCATTTACATGCTGGTGGACTGGGCTGTGCGGCCGCATTCTCGATCGGGTTGTCGCCAGCGGAGTGGAGAGGGATGGGTAAGAAGGTCGTGCGTGCCGAGGTCTACGGTCCGGGCGAATGTTGTCCGCATCTGGTAGGCGTCATTGAGCGGATGGAGCGAAGACAGATGCGCTACCACGAGAGCGACGAGTGTTTGCCGGAGGACTTTCCGAGAGACGCTGAGACGGGCGTGAAGTTGGGCGGGAAGTGTATTGCGAAGGAGGACCATGTGTGTTTAAAGTTATGCGTGTTCGCGAGGAGGTTGGTGGAGGGGTTCGATTGGTCGTAGATGACCACCCTGCTATCAGGATAGTGATCCTGGTGCCTGACTGCTTCCTTGCCTGGCCTTTCATCCGTTCTTACGAAGTTTGCTCAACGCGGCCATGACGCCGTCATTCAGTGGATCATCATCCGGTTTGCGCTTCTTGCTCGCCTCTGATGGAGCGTTGCTGCCAGCATTACCACCTGCGGGTGGTATGGCAGGTCCCGTCAAAGCATCTGCCTGCGCCATTCCGTCGTCCTCTTCGGAAAAGACGTTGCCTAGCGGCACTTGCTCGCCCAACCGTGACTTTGGCCTCGCATCCGCATCCGCATTGCCCGCCGCAGAAGTCGGCCTCGGCGACTCGCTCTCCCCACGTGTAACATCTCTACTCAACGTTCCCGCTCTCGACATAGGCTGACTCGCAATCGCCATCGAATCCTGCCCCGTGAGCCCCCGTCTCGCCGCCCGCTTGATGCGAAAAGGCTCCCTGACCGCCGTACACCACCGCTGCACCTTCTTCTCGCCCCACCCGGCTATCGTAGCAATGTCTTCATGTCGCGCATTGACCGCTGTACGGATAGACCCGAATTGGCTGACCAAACTCACCGCGTCGGTTTTATTGATACTCCGAGGTGTGGTGATGAACTCGACCATGCGATCGCTGTAACTTGTTGATTGATGCTGTTTGATACTCGTCGGAGCGGCGTTTTCGTACGTCTTGAACAGTTCCAGATACCGGCCCCCTTCCACCGCACTCCAGCAGAGGACGAGGGTGACGTTGTTGATTAGACTCGTCTTCGAGAGCTCCTTCAGGCTCTCTTCGTGGTTTTGGATGTCCACCATCACCAGCACAATGCGGAGGTTGTACTTTCCTTGCAGATTGCGGATGCGGGTGTAAATATACTCCGGGTGGAGACGGTGGTATTTTAGTGACAAAAAGAGGGCGCAGGTTGTTACACCGAGCACGTAGTCGGCAGGGATGTCGCCGTATTCCCATGGCATTGATTTGATGGCGGCGAGGACTGGGTTGCCTTTTTGGCGGGGGGAGACAATGATGCTGGCCGGGCCGGTGCGTTTGGCGAGGACTTGGGGTTTGGGTTGGATCACGCCTGGTTTGGGGGTTTGGTTGGTGGATGGTCTGTCAAGGCTGGCGGTTGTTCTGGGTCCGGATGCGGCGCCATTGGGCTTGGGCTTGGCGGGCGGTGCAGACGGACGTGTTGGGAAGTCATCAACGATACCGTCCGGCATCGTAGTCACGATAGCTATGTCCGGTTATTTACCTCCGATGTTCCGCCACCACAGTTTCACCGCCTGCAACCGTCTTGTCACCGGGAAGCGAGTGTGTGGTAATGCAAGAGTTCAAGAAGCGAACGAGAAAGCGGGGCCCGTGGCGCACTATGAGTGTGTATCCTCATTTCACTGCTCTATTTGATGAAAGCGCACGGATTGGTATGTGAATGATGTACAGATTGATCGTGCACAGTCGGTCACAACCATCATATTCACATCCCACTAATGCCCCAAAGACCAAGCGGATCTTCCCTTCCCGTCTTTTTAGTCCGCTCCACCTCCTGCATCCGCCTCACACGTTTGACCAGCAGACCGACGCAGATGGGACCGAGAACAGTACAAATCAAGACAGCCCACGTTACAACGAGATATAGCTCAGAGCTACCGCCTGTATCTCCGCCGCCATAGATGCCTTCGCTCTCAGCAACCGAGCTGATCAGGAAGCCGATCTCACCGCGAGCTACCATCGCAGTCCCAAGGATGGCTGCTGGGTACAGCGAACGTGGCTTGAGCGGTTCGTTTCTTGCCCCTGAAGCAGTCTTTCTTGCAGTCGTCTGCGGTGAAGGAGCCTTCGATCTGGTCCTTGTGCCGTTCGGTTGCGCTGAAACGTGGCCGGGGCTGGGTCGCTCCTGCTTCGAATATGCTGTGCTGTTGCCTGACTTCGCTGCTTTGTACTGACGCGGTGACTTTGTTAAAAAGGAACGCCAATGCAGACCGCTCGATGGTAGTAGGGGCAGTAAGTTCCTGAGTCGCTTTGGGCCAAGGACTGGTACGGCGAAGTGCATGACGCACAACCCACACAGTAGTTTCCCAAACACCATGAGTGCTGAGTATACCAAGCCTCGCCACACTACATCTCCGCTGAACATTCGCGTGATGGGTATCGAAAAGCCAATGCTTGCAAAGAAGAAGGGTATGAGGATGCACTCGACGGCTGCAGCGAAGTAGCTTTGGTACACATTCATCCCGGTCTGAGCAACTTGCTCGACGATCTTCGCCGGTGACTTCATGTCTAGACTTGCAGTGTTCTTTCTTCGTGGCGTGATATCCGTATCGGCCGCATGATGCGGAGCGGGCTTGCTGGCAGGACCATGAGATCGCATCGTTTCCAGCTCCATCGAATCCGTGGGCACTGCAGGCTCTGAAACACTCGAAGGTGAGCTCTTGACGCTTTGAACGCGCAAACTGTGCCGACGACCTCCTATATCCTGACGTAAGCTGTCAAGCCAGGTAACAGTTGCTCCCGCGAGATACGCCGCGAACAAGTTTGATGTCCCAGCGTAACTTGAGCCTGTCACCATGGCCAACAAGAATGCCGTATGCAGTAGAAGGTCGGTGTGCCCCGAGACAAGAAGGTGCTGCACCTTCGCCGGCAGACTGTGTCCTACCGCATCGCTAGCACGGATGGCGAGTGGCTTGACGACGTATACACACAGTACCGGTAACAGCACTGCGAATGCAATAGAGACACCAATTGGGCGAATGACAGTCGCAGCACCGATGTCAGAAGATGATCTGCCAAGGTTCGAGATGACCTGCACCATGACTAGGCCGACCACGTCGTCCATCATGGCAGCACTCGTCAAGACCACACCCAGCCGACTCTGAGACAGCCCACTTGTCTGCAGAATGGTGAAGGTCGTCCCGAGCGAAGTGGAGCACAGAGCAGCGCCGGCGGCGAAGGCTTGGAGAGGCGTGATGCTGAGGACTCCGCACAAAATGAACGATAGGCCTACCGGGGCGCCAATGCCGACTGCGGCGACGGCTGCGGACAACATCAAGTTGGCTCGAAGCGTCTTTACGTCCGTACGGAGACCGCCTTTGACATCAGCTACCAGCGGCCGCGGAGGAGGTAAGATGAAGACGACCACCCACTCACCTTCGTAGACGAGAAGAAGCAGGCCAAGGTAGCCTAGCTGCATCATTGTGTTCTGAGCCTCGCTCGACAGCCAATCCGTCCCGGGCGTACCCCACGCCACGCCGACGAGTATCTGTCCGACAAGTCCGCAGTATAAGAAATGGTTGAGAAGGTGATTGGCAAGGTTGACGAGCAGCAGGAAGGACGAGAGGATAAGGATAGTCAGTACGTTGGGCTCGTGGTAAGACAGGGAAGCTTGAGTAGACATGATCGCTTCGCCGTGCATATACTCCCCCAAGCACGACCACCTACTATGTCGCCCTACCAACGACTGTACTGAGTAGGAGTGTTGTTACTGATACTGTTGGATCTCTGGAGGCGCAACGCTTGAGACTGGAGCGCACATGTAGGAGTGAAGTGGGGCGTCAGCGAGGGTGTGGCGTTGACGGACCGGAGAGACGGCGAGACATGGAGGGCGCCGACAGCCTTTGTATTCCTCGCTTTACCCGAGACGGCGTCGGCGACAAGCAATACCCACCCGAATCCACTCCACCCCCATTCAACAGCCCTTCGTCGAGGTGCTCATGACACCCTTGCACTGATTCAGCCGGTGTTCCTGTTGCTATCGCCAGCATCAGTCACCACCACCATCACCCCCACCACCAACCACCACCACTACCATCATCACCACCATCATCACCACCATCCTCACCACCAAACATTGACACCGCACCGCCGGCCCTGCGTCCAATGTCCTCAACAGACGACGAGCGCTCCCCGAAGCGTCAGCGTCGCTCCTTCAGTCCACCCTCGCCCATTCCAGCGGACGACACCAAGGCCGCCTTTGTCCAACCACCTCAGACACCACCTGCGAGCGTGCACATGTCTCCGTCCTGGCAATCCTCCTTATCCCAGCAAGTGGGTGGCGGGAGCTTTCCCACTCCGCCCAGTACGGCCGGCTTTCAGAGCCAGCAGAGAGTGGGTGGTAGTGAGAGTGGTGAGCCGACGCCGGTGCCGGAGGAGGAGCAAGTGAGGGAGGCGTATGGCGTCGCAGATACGCCTGACAAGCAGGATGAATTACAGCGGGAGCCCCATCTGGGCAAGCGGAAGCGAGAAGCAGATGATGACGATGAGGAGAACACGGCGGGCGCAAAGCACAGAAGGACCGATCACGAGCGGCAAGACGACACTAATGGCGGCGATGGAGCGGAGTCCCTACAACCTCCACCACCACCTCCGCCACGGCTATTCAAGCTCTCTGCCAAACGTAAGTGTGCCCTCTTGCGCATGCATTTCACACAAAAGCATGCTAAACTCAGCCTTTCTGTCTTACAGCCATCGCACCCACCCGTCCCCTCCCAAGCGAGAACATCCTATCCCTCTACTCCCTCACCGTCGTCCAAGCCTCCGTCGCCCGCAAAGACGCCGCCGGCAACAAGATCAACAAACTTCGCAAATCCTACGAGAACAAGGTTAAGGCTCTTGGTCTCATGGGACGGACGAAGCCGCAGGAAGGCAAGAATGAGTTACTCGGCCTGCTGGATCCGGGATGGGATATGGATATCGGGCAGGGGAGGACGATGTTCGAGGCGCATGCGGCGGAGTGTTTACTCGGGGATCGAGCGAGCGAGCAGGATTTGACGAGTAAGCTTAACGTGGCGTTGAGGCTTGCGCCGGGCCATATGCCGAGGACGGAGCACGAGAAGTGGAAGAACCTGCTTGCATTGGACGAGCCGAGAGTAGGGACGCCGGTGCAGGCTGCGACGAAGCCGGTCGGTCTTCAAATGAACCCGGCATTGGCGAAGACGGCGCCGGGACAGCCGGGCCCGCAGTTCGCCGTGCCCAGGTCGCCCTTGGCCGTGAATGGTGTCGCGAGACCGGAGCGGTCGGGCAAGAAGCGAAGGTACGATGAGAGTAGTTATGCGGGGTATCATGAAGGGTACGAGGATGATGGGTATAGTACTGGTGGCGGGGATGAGACGGGGGCTAGACGGGGGAGTGCGTCGAAGAGATTGAGGGCGGCGAGTGGGGGATTGTTGGGAAGTGGGAGGAAGGTTGGTGCTGTGTAACGATTGAGCGAAATCGTTTACCCTGGTGGCGGCAGCTTCGCGACTAAGCTGATAGCGTTGACTGAAAACTGCAAAGGGAGAGCGCCATACCGACGCTTGTCGCTCCTGTCCACGCAGCTACGGTGCAAAGCCTACACTTAACAGTCGGAATGCATAATCTGGAAGTGTTCACTCAATCATATTGTCATTGTCATCATTGCTCTGAGTCTACACATCATCCGGCTCCTCAGCCAACAACTTCGCATAATCTTCCACCGAAGCAAAAGTCGGCAGAGCCTTGAGCTTCTTCTTCTCCTTCCGCTTCTGCTTGCCCTTAGATTCTGGTCGCGCTTCCGGCGCAGCTTCATCCATATCCGAATCCATATCCACTGCAGCTTCCTCGTCGCTACCGAGCAACGCATCGTCATCATCACCACCAAGCAGACCATCCATTTCGGCAAATGCGGCTTCCATATCACCCTCATCTCCATCGTCACCGCCGCCACCAAGATCAATGCCCGCCTCACTACCAGCATCACTAGCATCTTCGAGATCACCAAAGCTGAGCTCGTCGTCTTCGTCATCACCCTCCACCTCCGGCCGGGACTGCGCAATAGCCTGCCAGATCTCATCCTCATTCGCCTCATCTTCACCCTCGGCAGCATCCAGATCCTCAACCACTTCCATTCCACCTTGAGCAACACCCTTGCGCAACTTCTTCTTCTCCTCCCTCCTCCCCTTCCCAGCCCGAGTAAAGTACTCGTGAAAGAACACCTCATCCGCAGCAACATCCTCCACCTTCTTCCGCCAAAACGCCTCACTGTTGACCTCCAACACGCCACCACCACCACCACCAGCCGCGGCTCCACGATCGCCATTACCAGGCTTGACCAGCAGGTCCGCGGCATGCGAGCTGCCGCCCATGGGCTGCATGATGCTGCTGCCGTGGCTGACGGCGGGTTTAGTCTTGGCGTTGCGGTAGGCGAAGCGGTCGAGGAAGTGCATGAGGGTGTGGTGGGTCGGGTCGGGTTTGGTCCCTGAGATGGCCTGGTTCATGAGGAGAGAGGTGGCGAGGAGGGAGACGGAGGGGTGGAAGTGGGAAATAAGGGGCAGCAGGTCCCAGAGTGCACTCTGGTCGGCGTGTGCATGTGACGGGTCACGCTTGCGAGGATCGTAAGAGTGGTTGTTGCCATTGGGGGTTGAGCCAGTGGATTGCGCGTCAGTTGGGGTGACTGAAGTACCATCTCCTTCCGGAGCATCAACGTAGCGCTCCTCTTCATCCTCCATCTCAACTTCGGGCTCCGTGATCATGTTCCGTATGTTCGGGAATGCCTTTGCGAGCTCACTGATTAAGTACAGTACACCACAAACGAACGGCGGCTCGTGCATCGCTGTTGTTTGCAAGAGCCGCTTGACGAACGCCTGCACACGCTTCGCATCTAGATCCGCTTTCAGACTCTTGTACAGCAGGTTGAGGTACATGACCTGCTTGCTGCTCGTGTTCAGCCTTGGATCCAGCAATGACTCGTACAAAGTGCGGTAGAACCGCTCGGCGCCATAGTGCTTGGTGGCGGATATCTGCTGTATGAGCATTAGAGCTTGTATGGCTGTGTTGAAGTTCGAAGAATGCGCGACGCGGAAGATGGTATCCATTTGCTTCTCAAAGGTTGGGTCACTGGCGTCCGCAAAGGGGAAGGCTCGGTTGACGCCGGTCAATACCTGCGCCATCATCTTGTCGCGGAGCTGTAGCTCGGCTTCCTCAGTCCGCTCTTGAGCCTTCTGCTTCTTCGCTGCGAGCTTGCCTGCTTTCCCGCCGCCCCCCTGTTGCACTCCCGGTTTTCGTGGCGCTAACGCTTTGTCCGTAGGCTTCAGCAGCTGAACGAACATACTGAAGTAGATGTCTAGTAACCGGTTCGCGATGCTCTCCTCTTTTTGACTCAGTATCGTCTGATTCAGGGTGATGATGGCATAGTACTTCGCATGCAGACTTTGCCCAGGTCTGAACAGGCAGTCCGCTTCGATACTGTTCGTCACCACCAACTTCATGGCCGGATGCGTGTTTTCGAGCTGTAGCAGCAAGTAAGACGCTCGGGATGCGATCTTTCGATCAGTGTCGCGAAGCTTGTTTACCAGCAGACGCAGTAGGTTCTCCTCCTGCTCAGGCTTATCCCGCAATAGCTCAAATACGTAGGTGATCGCTCGACTGCGCGCATACTCCACTTCATCATTACACCAGCCCTCGAGTACGTGCAACAGATCGAAGTATGTGCGTTTCAACCAATCCTCATAAGCCCACAGCATCAGGTGCTGCTTTTGCAAGCCGCCCGGCAATGGTTCGCCAGTTGCCCACTTCGTCGCTGGCTTGCCTTGTAATGCCTTCAGTAGGGCGGGTTGTCTGGTAAATGCTCGCAGCTTACGATCGGCGGGCAACACGACACCTTGACCGAGTAAGTCCTTCAGCGCCGCGAGTGCCATGAGCGCCTGGTTTCTGCTCTTTTTCCGCGACAAGCCCAGCAAATTCTCAAGAGCCTTCATTGTATGCAGCGGCGACTCCTGCACTAGAAGGGTCAAGGCAGACACCTTGTCCTCCAGCGTACCGGACGACATGATCGTCGACAAGAACTTGTGGGAGGACGAGCCCGCCAGGTGCGAGGCATTGTAGGTAGCATTCTCCGTTTCGAGGAGACTGGTAGCATACCTGTGCAGCTCTTCCAGGATCCGTTGCGGTGGGATTACAGTGCTAACCTCACTGTTGTCGAGAGTCGACCATTCTGCAGCATACCAGTCCGGTCTTGGTGGGATCAACAGTTTGCTCTTCTCTTTCTTCGCCTCCAGCAGCTTCAACTTCTTCTCCGGATGTTTAGACTGATCACGGCGATCATCGCCGGCTTTCCTCTTCATTCCCATCCTCTACCACGAATGAGCGCCTTGCAACATTTGGTTAATACTCGTTGCGCAAAAAAGTTCGAGGTCGCAATTCGATGCAGACAGCGGAATCGGCCCGCATGACCATGACTCGGTACCGACCTCGAGCAACATCAGGGCAGCTTCAACTCCACTGTACAATCACCGCGTTAACAACGACTTGAACACCTCGCGTCGCTGCCAGGCACGGATCCAGACCTTATGCTACCCGTATGGTCTACTGCTATGGCTTGAAACGATGCCTTGGAACAGGCCGATCGACAGCGTCTGTCGTCTCGCTCCCGACACGTCGGAGCCTGCATCGTGATGGCAGACACCGGCTGAGCAACTTCTGGGCACCGACGCAACAGAAAGCGTCTACAAAAACCGCGCGCGAAGATGGCCATGATCTGCTCGTCCGAGCCGGCTTCCTGCGCCAGGCTCAGTCCGGCATTTTCCACCTTTTGCCCCTGGGATTGAGGGTCCAGGATAAGATCGAACGCTTGATTGACAAGCACATGCTCAGTCTCGGCGCCTCCAAGGTCTCGTTGTCCACTTTCTCGTCCGAGGAACTGTGGCGGCGGTCTGGACGCTTGGACAAGGGCCGCGGGTCGGAGCTTTTCAGTCTCGAGGACCGTAAAGGCACGAAATTGCTGCTCTCTCCAACACACGAGGAAGAGATCACCAATATAGTTGCCAACGCTGTGCACTCACACAAGCAGCTACCGTTGAGGCTGTACCAGGTGTCCCGAAAGTATCGGGATGAGGCACGTCCACGTCAAGGACTGCTTCGTGGGCGAGAGTTTCTTATGAAGGACCTGTATACGTTTGATTCTACCGACGACAACGCACGCTGCACCTATGAGGAGGTTCGACGGGCCTACTGCGCGTTCTTGGATGACCTGCGCTTGCCGTATGTAGTGGCTAATGCCGACTCCGGGAACATGGGCGGCAGTCTCAGCCATGAGTATCATTTTGTATCGGAAAAGGGCGAAGACACTGTGATCACATGCAACCAATGCGACTTCTCTGTCAACGAGGAACTCTTCGTTGGCCGTCCAGAGAAAGTTGCGAGCGCGGCACAAGCGTCGATAGAGACGCAGCTTGCCTTCTTCGTGAGCAAGGACCGGAAGACGCTGCTGAACGTGATATACCCGGCAGGCTCTGATGTCAACATCTACGCCGTCAAAGCAGTGTTCCCAGATGTAGATGCAAGTGTCGAAGATGCCGCGAGTGTGTGGAAGCGTACAGAGGGCGCCAGAGACATAGTAATTGTGTTCGACCCCAGGATTACCAACCCCAGGAAGACAGCGACTATGATGGAGAAGCGCGGCGATTGGAGGACACTTGGTCCTGTCAATGTGGAAGCGCGACTGCTCGAGCCTCTGGTCGGCGGAGAAATGATTCTCCTAACACAGGCACGCGAAGGTGATAACTGCCCACGCTGCGAAAGCGGTTCGCTCAAGCTGCATAGCGCTGTCGAGATCGGACACACCTTCCACCTCGGCACCCGTTACAGCGAACCTCTAGCCCTCACAGTCACGGATCAGAACAACCAACAGCGCCATGTCTCAATGGGCTGCCACGGCATCGGCGTCTCACGGCTGGTTGGCGCTGCAGCATCGCTGCTTGCTGATGAAAAGGGCCTCAACTGGCCGCTGGCTATTGCGCCGTTTAGCGCCATCATCGTCACAGCCAGTGCCGGCACGGAGGATGCAGACAAGGTGCATGACCTGCTGGAGCACGTTGGTGTGGATGCAGTGGTCGATGATCGCGAGCAGAAGGTAGGGTGGAAGCTGAATGATGCCGACCTTGTAGGCTATCCGTTCATTGTTGTGCTTGGCAAGGCTTGGGCGGATAGACAAGCTATCGAGCTGCAATGTCGGCGACTGGGTTTCAAGGAAGCGATCGATCTAGGAGATCTTGCTGCGAAGGTGCAAGAACTCAGTCAGCGGCTGTGATGGCGACATAAATGGTCAGTGAGCCGTCATAATAGCCATGCACGTAAACTCCACGATCGAGCGTTACCACTTGTATTGTCGTGATTATTTGAGGCAGTCGTCATAGTCCAGGTATCATACCCCTAGGTGAAGCGCGCATTCCCTCCGTTGTTGGTATCTGCAGCGTTGACATCACAAGCACACGACTTTCCTACAATGATATTGACACTTGCTGCTTCAACGCAGCCTAACATGCGTGCTCCTCGCAGTCACGAGCTTGCAAGAGATGAACCCTGATCGCAAGTATGTGATCGCAGCAGTCGTCGTCGCTTTTATCGCTTGGGCGCTCTTGACCGACTGGATCCCCTCCCTGCGCTGGATACCGTATGCCTTCGTTGCCGGCGTTCTCACGACCACTGCAGGCTTCCTGTATGTTATCTTGACCACTTCGAAAGGTGTCGGAGCCTACGAAGATGCCTACAAAGACAACAGACCGGTCGCGCCGGCTTTCTCGAAAGGAAAAGCTTGGGAGGAGGAAAAGGCGGCATTGATTGCTAGAGCGGAGTACAGGCGACCCATCATCTTTCCAGAGGCGCGAGCATTCTCCAAAGCGGTCGATGGCCTTCTAGACATCATACTAAGGGAGTATGTCACCAGCTGGTACGGCGCGATCAGCCCGCGACCTCTCTTCCAGCGCGAGATCGACCGCGTGATACGATCGGTACTACTCACGGTTGCAGCGCGCTTCACCGACCTGGATGTGGTCGAGATAGGGGTCGCAAAGATACTGCCAACCATCACCGCGCATCTGAAAGACTTCTACGATGCCGAGCGAGCAGTACGTGGGAAAGACTTGACTGGCAACGTGACAGAGAGCGAGGAGCTGGACATGGCTGTCGCAAGCAAGTACAAGAGCGGCAAACTGCATAACGTGGCGGCTCTCAAGTACGCGGACATGACTGCAACACAACAAGAGCACCTACGGGCGCTGATTGTCAAGCTGCTACCCATCGTCCTGCCCACCAACATGCAATCGAGTGCGGCAGTAACAGTACTCATTCGGGAACTTGTTACATGCGCTGTTCTGGCACCTGTACTATCCATGCTTTGCGATCCGGACTTTTGGAACCAGATGATTGTTGGGGTAGGTGGTCCATTACTACAGGACCGGAAGACGGTGAGGAAAGTACGCGCTGCGCTCGACCAGCATGCGCCAGTGTCACCCAAAACGGTGCGGAGCACACAGTTCCCCCGCCTGAGACCCTACGACAGCGAACGGCAGTTCGAGCGCTTTATTCGTGCTATTAGGCATGTGGCGAACCTGTCCGAGGCGCGCAGATTTCGGAGCGAGATCATGAGCCAGCAGCGTCGTGGCGTCGCAAACGAGAGCCATGACGCAGTGTATGTACGGCGCTTGGAGACCGGAAAACAGCTACTTGACCAGAAGATTGCCACACTGTCGGCCGCCGTGAATGGTACAGTGCCCAAGCCTCAGCTCGGATTGCGGACTGCGTCAGACAGCGGTGACTCCAGTGCGCGCAAACGGCAAGCTTCGTTACGTGAAGTTATCTACGATGCAGCAGGCTTGGGCTACTTCATGGAATTCATGGATCGGGTCAATCTGACCCGACTGGTCCAATTCTATCTCGTGGTTGATGGCTTTCGTTACCCGCTTGAAGGCGACAACGACGAGCCGCCACCAGGTGCGGCCAGTGACGCCGGTCGCATGGACGTCGCGCAGATGTACGAAGCGTATCTGACACAGCCGGAGCTAGGAACCTCTGATACGGCTTTGGCGGATGTGAGGAAGTTCCTCAGAGCAGGCCCAAGAGCTACTCCGGACGAGTATGTGGCTGCGCGGCGTAGTGTGCTGCGCACTCAAACGCAGGTCTTCAACTACATGAAGGAGATACATTATGAGAACTTCAAGCGCTCTGATCTGTACTACAAGTGGCTTGCAGTTGACGACAACCCGGCATTCAGCGCCGTTCAAGCCAAGCAGGTTGGCTCGACATTATCACCTGACAGCGCGAAGAACAGTCAAACTTCACCGATCAAAGGACGACGCCCTGAGACACCCCTGGCTGCCATTCGCAGAGAACCGGAACTGCGGCGAGCCGTTCTGTCAAGTACGGATCTGAAGCGCATCGAGACACCAGTGCCAAGTGGTGGGCACGACGTCAGACGATCGCTTGACAGCAACCGGCCTGCGCTCTTCGACGATGATGTGGAGGATGAACGTATGTCGCAGTCATTGACCAACGTGCGAGACTACGATTCCGACGGCGAATCTGCGCGACAAGCTCAGGAGCAGGCCGAAGTTGTCCAGGTGATGCAGAACGCGCTTGACGACATTGTCAGCCACAAGCCAGACAGTGACTCGCTCTTTTCCGAGTCCACAGGAAGAGAGTCGACCGACGCGAATGAGACTAGGAGCTCGCTTGATCGAGTGCGACCCGCGTTCCCAACTAGGTCCAGCTCGCTAGAGAAACCTAGCATTGCGAGCCTTGGCTTGGTTGGCGCTCCAGCCAGACGTGGTGTGTTCGTTGACGATCTCTTCGCCGAGGAAGCTGACAAGTTCGTGGAGGATGAGCGCGAGGACTCTAACGGACCGGATGATAGCGACAACGATCGGGTTCAGGAAGCTGCACCAGGGGATCTTGGCCTAGTAGAAGCGATTCAATCCCTGAACGCCGACATCGAGAAGCTTAATGCGCAGAAGGGCGTGCTTGACGCTCTCACTGCGAAAGCGGAGCTCACCAACAACGCTGCTGAACTGCGCATATTACGCAAGTCAGAGCAGAGTCTGCAGCGCGAGGTCCGGCGCAAGGAGATGCAGAAACGGCAGTATACCGTGCAAGAGAGCGACAACAGTCTGTACGGTCGCGCGCAAATCACTATCCGCAAAGTTATGGTCGGCAAGGAAGAGGACGGGCACGAATATGCCCTATACGTTGTAGAAGTGCGCCGATCTGCCGGCGACTCGATGCCTGCCGCCACCTGGGCGGTGACACGCAGATATAGCCAGTTCCACGAACTGCACAAGCGACTGAGGGCACGCTTCCCGTCCGTAAGAGACCTCGACTTTCCTCGTCGGCAGGCGTTGTTCACGCTACAGAAGGACTTTATTGAGAAGCGGCGAGTCACACTCGAGCGTTACTTGCGGTCACTTCTCCTCATCCCAGCCATATGCCGCAGCCGAGAGTTTCGCGCATTCCTGTCGCAATCTGCTATCGTGTCCAATGGCCCGAACGAAACGCAGGCGGATGCGAAAGACTTCGTGACTAGGATATACAACTCCGTCTCGGACGGCATGGAAGAGTTCCTTGGCAACATCCCAGTCCTTGATCAGCTCTCAGTAGCAGGGCAGAATCTCATCTCCGCTGCCACTTCCCCGTTGAGCAGCGGTTCCGCTATTGACGCTCTGGACCCTGCGACACAAGACCCAGCCACAGCGGCGGAAGCGGAGGCGGAACTCAGCGCGTATGAAACGAAAGAAGCCGAGCCTTTCGTCAAACCCATCTGCGACTTGTTCCTCGAGACCTTCGAGCTATCAAAGGGTAGCAGTTGGCTCCGTGGCCGCACCGTCGTAGTCGTCTTACATCAACTCCTCGGCGGCACAATTGAGCGTCGCGTGCGTGAGACGGCTCGAACTGCGCTTGAAGACCAGAGCCTGGCGAAGTACGTCGAGATGCTCAGGGATATTATGTGGCCCGGTGGCAAGCCTCGTCCGGCGTCTGTGCCACGGACTGCTGCAGAAAAGGCTCGGACGAAGAAAGAAGCGAGTCTCTTGCTCGCCGCTTTGGTCCCAGATGTTGCGGGGAGCGTTGTGGGCAAGGCGAATGCGCAGGCGGCAAGTCGTAAGATTTGCGCCTTGCTGAACAATCAGCGACTGAAGTGAGTGAAGTAGAGGCAAGCTATTATCGAGGAAGACTAACGTTAAGTAGTGCGCATCTGGTGTTCACGCTTATCGACGACATCATCAGGATAGTATTTCCAGAGACAGCACATAAGTAACGATGAAGGATCATCGCTAACAGGCTGTTTACACTCTGTTGAGGGCATCCTGTGCAGCAAACACGTCGCCCCGATCAAACATGTCTACTCACACAAAGTTAGGTGCCCGACCGTACGTGCTCTTGCACAGTTCTGCCTGGGCGCCAATGCTTCCTGTCCCGCTGGCCGCGTTCGTCGTGTAGTCTGCACCGTCGTCCGGTATTAGTATCCCGAAGATGGACTGGTCGAGAAAATGGTTGACAATGTACATGCGGCCATTCGGACTGCCGCCGGCAGGACGGTCGAGTGTACATTCGTTGAAGTCAGGGTCTGTCGTGTCGTATGGCGTTTCGAAAAAGTAAGTGAACTAAAACAGTGCACGGTTAGGTGCGTGGTTTGCGCAGCTCTCATGGCTGTGGCAAGTGAGACTCACTTCGTCGAGGATGTAAGGCACCGCAGTCTCATTCGCTTGGGCATCCAGAAACATCACCAGTCTCGTTCCCGCGGCAATCATTTCGCCATACGTCGGCCAGTCTCCGATGGGTAACTGTGCTGGTGACGTACTCGGAACGAATGCATAGTCCCTCAAACCAGTGGCGGAGCACACGGCATCGAACACGCTCGCGGCGACATTGTCTCCATTGACCAACAGCATAGTCACAGCCTCGTTCGGATTGGCGTCCAACCAAGTCTTGACCGTACTCAGATAGGTCCGCAAACTGCCCGCATCAAGCTCCGCGCAGGAGGTATGACACATCTCAAGCACGCTACGCTTCATATGCGTCTGTGCCTGCAAGAAGCGAATGCCAGCATTTAGCTGGTCGGTGACGGCTCTGTCCTGGTTGACGCGCGGGTCGATGATGTTGCCGACGAAGGCGGAGTCGTGGGTTCCAATGAGACTGACATTGCTGTATTGACGTGAGCAGAAGGCGGCGTTGCCATTGCACACTTGTTGTTGTCTAGACGTAAGTGGCGGCGGCAAAGAAGACGTCACTGGTGGCGGTGAGAGTGCCGGGATGGCATTGTTAAGGCCGAAGAATATGTTAAGCTCGATGGCCAATTGGACAAGTCGAGCAAAGATCCTCATGGTAGTTTAGAGAACGACGGGCGTCGTAGCAAGTAAAGTGTCGCCTGCGAAAATGGCAGGTCACTGATTATGCGCTCTCTAGGATTATATGCTGTATGCGCATATAGCTACACGTGGGAAGATAGGTGTGGTGTAAGACGACCTAGAACGCCGACATTGACTTTTATGGAAGGTGAGGGTGCGCTACACGAGCCTCGCTGGTGAGGCTACCGCGAACATCTTGCTCAAACATGCGGCAGCAGCGACGTGAGTTCGCTGTATCCGCAATGATCCGCGGCACTCTTGCCAGTGCTCACTGCGACCACATAGAACGCGGGCACCCACCGAGCGGTACACGACAGGTGATGGCGATCAACTGAGTCGACATTTGTGACTGCAGACATCGTGCCTTCGGCAGTTAAGTCCATTGGCGCATTTGCGGGAGTGCCCGCGGCAAGCAGCCGACGCTGGGCAGCCGACGGCGATCGGTTGGCCTGCAATGTGCGCTTCCTTCGGCGTAGCTTCAGCATTTGGTAATATGGCGAATCGCCAACGGCCATACTCGGTGTACACACCGGAGAGCTGAAGCGAATCAACGTCCAAGTGGTCTAGAGCGCTGTGGGGCGCGTATGGTTTGTTTCGCATATTGGCCGGACCGGACCGTTGATCGGAGACTGCCCTTAGTTACCGTGTTGGAATCGCCAGTCAATCAGATTTGTGAGGCTGCTGGACTTGTTGGAGGGAGCATCGAGCTTCGTCCAGATAGCATCAATGAGGTCAACAGACTGGTGCTCATCCGCCGCGTCCAGCGAAGCCGAAACCGCCTCTCCCACTTACATCAGGCCCGCGGGGTTGCCTCATAGGACCGTCCATGTTCGGAGTCAGTGACTTGGGCGGCAGGCGTCGGCTCATATCGTCCGGATCGAATAGCTGCCTATCGCCAGGTTGTACGATTCTTGCCGGAGACTGGTCGGCTGAAGTAGGTTGACTATTGCGAGTGCCATTCACTCGAGGCCTTGGTCTCCGATCTCCGCGGCCTTGAGAGCTCTCTCTCGAGTTCGTCATAGACGATCCAGAGTTCGATGAACCCATGATGCGCTCTCTCGCCTCGGCGTACTTCTTCTGCTTCTCTTCGCGCTCGATCTTGGCTTTACGTGTGCGCTCTTCAAGATCAGCCTCGCGCTTCTTGCGCGCCTCTTCCTCGCTATCTTCGCCGTCATCCTGAACGCCGAGATCTGCGATGCCATTCGTCACATCCTTCTTCGCGATGGTAGGCTGCGGCTTACGGCTGAGAAGTTTGACCTGCTGTGTATACTCCTGCTTGAGTGGTACGACACCCTGAGCTTCCAGCCAGTGCATCCGCGTCGGGTTCTCTGCAGAGTCCCATAACTGTTTCTGCAGCTCCTGATGTTGCGCGCGCCGCTGCGCTTTAGTCAACTTTGCCGGCGGAGGCTGAGACTTGGAATCAGGTTTCTGTGCGCATGTTAGCCCGATGTCATATGATGTGCGCAATGGTAGACGGACATCTGCCGCGTTGACCCAGTCATCGTCCCAGGCATCAGGGACGCCACTTTTGCTGCTCATCTCGCCGGGTTGTTGCTGGTAGGCGTGGGGGTTGCCACTTTGCTTGGCTTTTTGGGGCCGCCTAGTATGACTGCTATCCTGGGTTGTGGGAGTGATGATGTGCGGCACGAAGCAGAAATAATCTGCTCCTCATGATGAAGGGTGTGCGAGCAGAGGGTCAAGCACGAAATATGCATCCACTCTCAATTGCTGGGATGCCGAAAGTCAGGCACTAACCTTCGGCGGGGACGAATGCTAATGCGGCAGTGTGCATGCCAAAAGTGTTGGGTTGAATGCACGCTTTTCTGTCGTCAACGATCAACAGGCATCTAGATGCGCATCACCCAATCCACTCCATACTACGGCGTCCATGGCAGACACAGACAGCAGAATGGCTGACTCGCCAGAAGCCTCAGACGTCGAAGAAGTGGAAACTCCGGCAGGGCAGATGATGAGCAGTAGCAGTGTCCTCTCACCCCCGGACTCGCAACATTCGCAGCAAGGCAACAGCAGCTCAAGCTTCGTTAACATGCCCACTTCAGCTTCCGGTGTGGCGGGCGCAAATGCCAATGGCAAGCGACCCATCACCACCATCTCCAACGGCGCCGACGACGACATACTGGATGGTGGCATGGCAGTCAAGCCGAAAGGCCCCGATTTCCCGCCCCGGACGCACCAGCCGAGCGGTTATACCTGGAGCCGAGTGGAAGACGAACCTGGCTATGCCTGGCTGAACAAGAAGGCGATGGACGAGCGGAACCGAGCGGTGGATGCGTTGGTGCATCGAGAGCAGGTTGTGATGAGTATGTCTTTTGCATATGTCTGGAACGTCTGGTGTGTCAATATGCAATGCTGACCAATACACCACAGACCGCTATGGTGACCCGTTCGAGGCGGCTGAGCGGGAGCAGGCCTTGCTCAACAGCCTGAAGCAGCGATGACCCCGCGACACGAAACCATGACCCTATGAGTATATCGAAGCGTTCAGCGAATGCATAGCGACGGTGCCCGGTGGTTGACATCGGACGATTGGCACAGTGCCAGTCAACGTGGCTATTGAGGCTGCAGGGCTCGACACAGCGTGCCAATGTAGCTTGTAACATATGAAGCGATCTGGCTATGCATGCCCTGTCCGAAGCGTAGCCTGCACGCCACCCTCTGTCTCCCGCTCCCTCCTTAAACGACCTACCTCCTTCTCCTCATCATCCTTGAACTTCTCCCTTGACCTAATACCCTCTGTTCCTTGGCTGCTCGTCCCACTACTAACACCACCAGCCCCATCGACATCTTCCTCACCTCTCTCGCTCCGCTTCTGCTCCGCCAACTTCACTTCCGGCAGAGTCGGCTGCCCGCCCATGCTAGCCAACACCACAGTTGCATCCGCCGTCGGTGAATCCAGGACAAGCAGCTCATGCTCCGAAAAGATACGCGGCAGAATACACCACCGCAACGGAATCAAACTAACAATAATAACCGGAAACCCAATAGCCCCGATGGTCTGCGAAATAGCCACACTAGCCGCCACGCCAATGCTCTGCCAGAAGACGTAGTAAGCAATCCGGCTCTTCTTCAGCGTCGTGCGAGGGTCTTGCGGATCGATGTAGCGGCTTTCACGAAGGATGTACAGAACGTTCGAGGTGATGTTCATGCCCTCTATACTGCCCCAGCCGACAACGAAGAAGACGCCGCCGAACAGCGCGCGAGGGATGGTATGCAGCACGATTAACAGCGGGCCCGTCATAAGTCCGACGAAGCCCAGCGCCATGATGAAGTGGCTAAGGCGCTGCTCGTGGACTTTGGTGGCGCGGACAACCTTTTTGTTGTGCTGCAGCCATTCGCCTTCGGAGGGTTCGTAGTCTTGCTCTCGGCTGCGGGCGAGATTGTCGACATATTCGGTCAAGCTGTCCGTGTGTACGGGCGCCTGAGGAACGAGGCCATTGGGGAGCGGGATGCCGATGATGCCGCCGATAAAGCAGGTGATGCCTAAGAGGAAGAAGTCCCAGTGGAAGCCGGCGGGCTTGGTGAGAGGGAATTGCTTCGCTTGCGCTGTTAGTGAAGAGACATTATGATCGTAGTAGAAGAGCAGAGTGATTAGGATGCCGATCGGTAGAGCTACGAAGATCCAATCAACGGGGCAGTTCCAGAAGTCGATCAGCCATGAGCGGTCAGTGGTTGGATAGAAAGCGGGAGTGTGTTCGAGCCGAAGCAGGCCTGTGGACTTGATGCGACCAGGTATGTGAGAGAAGCCTGTCCACCAGATCGTGGCGATGGGGTAGGCAAAATCTGCCAGCAGCTTGCGGGTGACCGGTGTAAGGTACGTCGTCCCACCCATGGCCTCGAGAAAGTACACACTCGCCCAGTAACACAGCGCAATGACAATGCCCAAATAACCAGCCGCCCACGATGAGCCTGGCTCCTGAAAACCGGCGACCAGTTCCTCGACGCCTTTGATCATGTAGATGATGCCGACGTACATGCCGAAAGCATTCGAAGAGAAGTCAGTGATGTATCGCATATAGTCGCACCAATTCAGCACGGCGGCCACCCAATGCGTGATCGCAGCCCAGATGGCACACCAGCACAGAAACTGGGGATATATGTCTTCGCGACCGTACGACTTGGCGATGTCGTAAATGGTGTAGTTGAACAGTGAGATGAGACCAGTGATACCGACGACGGTCAATGGTTGGCATGAGAAGAGACTGAATACCAGCGCCGCCAATGCTGAGGAAAAGAGAGCCTCATTGATGCCGAAGAAACCGTTGGTGCGTCGTTGCATGTCGAGGATAAATGCAATTGCGGGTAAGAGGTTGACGAAGAAGATGCGTATGCATCCGGCAAAAGTGCGGTAGGTCATGCCGTCGGTGATGTCGGTCCAGTACCATGGCAGTCGGCGTCGGACGTCGTGGTACATGCCTCGAAAGGGGCGTAAGGAGCGGTATTGTTTCCATCCTGAGATATTGTCCCATGTGTAGGGATCGTTTGCGTAGTCGACGGTAGGTCGTTTCATTTCGACAGCGAATGCGAAGTTGACGGTCTAGATGTATGCTGTATTTGAATGCTGGTTGCAGTTTGTCAAGTCTTTGCCGGCAACGTATCGGCCTTTCTAATCTCCTTATATCTGGCTGTTGCTGGTTGGATAACCACAATTCGGAAGGGATATCATACAATGCCGGCCAAGAAGGTCGTTCACCTGCTCTGTGTGCACATTAATGGGGGTTAGCGACAGCGAACATTACGAGAAGACCGCGACTTTGTGTGAAAAAGAGGCGCTTGTTGAGACTGCCAACACAACTGAATCAGACCGTTGCTACTTGTTGCAATGGAAATAAGGAAGGCGAATCTTACTAACTCTGCTGGCGCAATTGGCAACTGTATAAGAAGACATAGCATGCACGCACATTGATTGACATTGGGCTGCAGAAACGCGTCACTCGCCGGTTGTAACGAGCAGATGGCGCTCTCGGCTGTCAGAAGGCTTCTGCCGTGTGGGGAGATCAATCGTACTACGGGCGCGGAACTACGTCGGTCTTTCCTCCTCGCTCGAAGAATGTTTGATGATATGATACACGCCATGTGTTCGGCTAGGAGACAATAGTCAGTCGTGATTCACCATCGAGTACCGAGCCACATCGGTGAAGGCTCCACGGGCTTGCAGAAGCTTGAAGTGGTCGAGTCGTACTGTGATCTGAGTCATTAAAGTTCATCTCTGCTGCCCGAGCAGAATATGCCCGGCGTAGGTCTTTCTCGCTCTACCTGCCCCGACTGGGGCGAAAGGGAGAACTCTACATGGGCGACAATGAGCTTGCTTGCCAGAGTTCTGTGAACGCATCGAACGCTGGAATCTTGAAATTCATTACACGATGAAATGTAGGTTCGCTAAGGTCAACGATCTTGGAAGTTTTACTTCAATAGACGATGCCCGCACCTGGCGGGAGCAGCACGGCGCCCTTATGTTCGGCAGAAGCTTGATGCTGAAGCGAACAGAGGTTATGAGCCAGTGACTATCCAAGGCCCGGGATAAAAACGACGTCAGCAACACCTCTTTGTCGTCGCGGACACGACAAAGAGGTAGTGATCTCTCCTTTCCCGTAAGTTGTTATACCAAGCTAAGGTCGTGACGAATTCCAATCTTGCAATCATTCAGTATACAGGTCTGATGTAAGGAGCAGTACTTTTTGCTCGTATTGAGGTCAGCCCTAGTAACGAATCATTGTTGTCGATTCGCTCGGAACATATTCGCTTGGGGTTACCGCCTAGTACGTCGGACATTGCATAGAAGCTTTCAGACAATGTACCTGGTCACTCCACCTCCAAAATTATAATCGCAAATAGAACGTCGGATGCATTTGGAGTTGCCTCAGCCAGCCCTGTACCTTACATCCTTATGAGGCCCTGAATATCGTCGAAGGCGGTGAGAAACTCTATCCTGCAGGGTAGGCATCCGCAGAGCAGCTGCGAGCTTCGCATTTCCAAGACTGCCTGGACAATCCACCACTGTTTAAGATTAGGCACCGACTGTTAGCGATATGGCAGCTTCCTTGGCATTGAGCGTAGATTCAATATCATCAGCATCTAGGCTCCGACCGGCGCTACTACTTTGCAACTGCAGGTGCTCGTCTCCATGATCAAACGCGTGTAGCGCATTAGGTGCTTCGGTAAAGTGATCATACCCAACCACTAAGCCATGAACAGACGATTCATGCTCTGTCCTACGAGCGCGTGTTACGCTTGACGTCGTCTCCAATGTGACACAAATCAGCACATTCAGACGCTACGTCGTCTACAGTAGGCTGAGATCCCACTGTCGGGTTACCTGCAAGGTACAAGATGGTTTGTAATGTCGCTGATGGCCCGCCCGCCATGCACTAGGCGGCATGGAATGCACTTAGCTTATTTGCATGCTATCGCGCCGCAGCACTCAACGATCGTGCCAGCAAAATTATCTAGATTGGCACCTATTTGCGGCATTCAGACTTCCTACTGTCACCAAAGAGTCAGCGCCTTGAGATGGCAGGCTCGTGAGGAGACGGAAGATACCTTAGAAAGCGATTTAAGGTGTACAGCTTCATGTGAGACGCCAACGGCTGGCCGCCTGCCAATTGAGATCGGAACCGGGACCCGGATTCTTACATGTGACTGACCGACCTCACGTGCCTCTGCCAAGACGATTCCAATGCTTCCGGTTCAACGGCGCTTAGAGCGTCAGCAGGAGAAGATAACAACCTCAGTCATCTTTGACTAAACAAGGTCGCGCTGCTCGTGTGGCGTAGTAGGTCGCGACCACGTGCTCATTTCCCCGGAGGTACTCCAACACGGCAAAGCTACTTTAGGTGGTCAAACATCTGCATATCTGCCTTACCAGCACCTCCGCCCGTGATCGGTGTTGAAATGAGGAAGCGGTGATGTTGCCGCTGCAAGATAATGGTTTGAAGGTTGAATTGGAACGAGAAGAAGCGCACCGCCTGAACGAGCTGATAATAGGCACGTGGGTCGTAACGGTCTGTTGCTGCCGCGAGTTACCCGTGCAGGATGCGGGCCAATGAAAAAGCAGTGGGATGGCAGGTGCTGTCGCCATTCGGCTGCCGTCGCCCGTGAGCCAACAGAAGCGGGCACGAGGGTCGATGTCGCGTGCCTCTTGTCGAGACTGGCGCTGTTCACCGTGATGGGCATTTTCACGCATGCTCACCTGCCCACCATGTTGTTCTCCTCCTCATCACACCGCGAGCATACGCTGTTGCTACTGCAACTGTGTACCATCACTACCCCTCAGCGCCTGCCCAACGGTTGATCTTGCACGTGGCCGGAGGCAGCGTCCATAGCAGTCTTATCAGTATTCTTCCCGTCCCTCCGCACTGACGCTCAACGTGCACATCGCGAGGCGTGACTACTGCAACAAGTTGCCCACGACGGCGTCGTATACCAGCCAGCTGTTCTACGCTCGTCGGCCCGCCTCCGACATCTCCGTGGACAAGGCAGTCAACGGAGCGGCCTTCGCCATGCCGAGACCCAACCCTCCGCCCACACCGGGCTCGTCAAGCGATATCAGAGGCAAGGAGGGCAGCATGGCAGCGCCTGCGTTCAATCTCCCCCCAACCGCCTACCAAGAGCCAGACCGGCTCAGTAACAGCTCCTCTACACCCTCCGCCAATGGCTCAGACTCCTCCTATCGACCCGTCTCACCACCGTCACCGGCAGACCTGGCACGCAAAAGGTCAGCGACCCAGTCCGGTCCGGTTATCACCAAGGACGACTTCGCATTGCCTCCGCCTCCGACAAGGTCGCGCAAGATCATACAGATGAAGCCGAGAGACAACGAGCAGCAAGAGAGCGTGACGCCGTCTGCAACAGTATCGCCAAACATTGCGGCAAGAACGCCAAGTGCAGGTCAGGCCAATGGCGGCAAGCGAAAGTCGAGCGGTAACACCGGCACAACGGCAGCTGGTCGTAAGATTGCGCGCAAGACGGCACATAGCTTGATCGAGCGCAGGAGGAGATCGAAGATGAACGAGGAGTTTGGCGTGCTGAAGGATATGATACCAGCATGCAAAGGCCAGGAGATGCACAAGCTTGCCATTCTTCAAGTAGGCAAACAGCCAGAAGGTTACAACGTGGACGTCCGCTAACAACGTTGACAGGCCAGCATAGAGTATCTTCGGTACCTTGAGCAGTGCGTAGCGGATTTGCAGGCCCAGAATAACTCTCCGCGGCCTCAGCCACCGCCCACTCTCGCCGCACAAGGTGCGCACGAAGACGATGATGATGAGGACGAAGACATGGAAGACGACAACGACGAGGGCACCGAGTCCATCCCAGCGACGACAACACTCGAACACTCCAACTCCATGGTCTCGCTGCCCTCGCTCTCACAGATCACAACCACCAACACCACTTCTCCATCCATATTCGGCACAGGCGCAGGGCGACACTACTCCATCTCCTCCGCCTCGCAGGCAAGCTATAGCCCGTACTTCCACTCCAACCAGACCTCACCCGCATTCGGTCCGCAACTGTCGCACATTCACTCGGCGCCACCCTACGGCACCAACTTTGGCCTCGGCAGCCCTGCGCTCAAGGCGGTCGACTCGGCGTTCACGCTCCGTCAGATCGCGGAGGGTGCGAGTGAGTTGTCGGAGAAGCAGCGGTTGGGAAGCGCCAAGGCGGGTGGCCGGAGCGAGCATGAACTCGACCATGAGGCTGCTGCGGCGTTGAGTATGCTAAACAACGACCGTAGGAATTGGCGGCCTGCTACTGCTGGCGGTCATGCAGATGAGGTGGCAAAAGCGAACACCGGGATGAGTGTACGGGATTTGCTGAGTGGTTGACCTTGATTCTTCGTCATTTCCTCCGCAGATATGCTTGCGACAGGCCTTGTAGCTCTTGACGGTTCATGGCGGTAGATTGCTTTCAGCGAGCGCACGACCGGTAGATGGGGCATTTGGCGCAGATTTTACACTCCTAACGGAGTCCTTACCTCTGATATGCTCACGCTGTGCTACCGTGCAAGACGGTACATTGTTACCGCTGCGTGAGGAGCATATTGACACACAAAAGCGTGGCTCCTACTAAGCGGTTGCTGTTCACAGCGAAATTGTTTGGTTGGCCTCGAAATAGTGAACCGCAGTCTCTACTCTACGACTGCTTTATCAATGACTCTTCAAAACAGTCGGCCCTTCGACGGTTCAACTGTCCACTGCCGTTGTACCATCTACAGTCAGAGGTACTACCCTTGAGTCGAGCTGAGATCTTCCAAGAACCTTATCTCTGTGCTTTCCGAAGGATTCAGTTGGCAGCTGTTGCTTGGAGCTGGGCTGTTGTGACCTTCGCTGCTCTTCCGCAACACGAAAAACACTCGATCCCAAATCTTGCGTAGTCAATTGGGTGTCACCACATGCGTTCATGAAACATGTGACAAGTCGACTTTTCGCAGCTTCACTGTTTTCTGGCTCGTCGCACAGACATTGCTTACCTTAAAGAGGTTTTCGCTGTCGCCCCCGCCTTCTGCGCATCGTAGATCGAGTCTTATCCTTTCTGGGGCTAATGCATGACGTCCATTGGCCGCTGCACCTCAGCTTGCACCACGCGAGCAGCGAAGAAGTGAGTTGGGCGCTGGCGCAGATCAGCAGCCATCGCACGGCGGTCGCAACGCAGGGAACGATAAAACCTGCTTGCGCCCGCTTACCGTGCAGCTCGCGGTAAAGTAGACCTCATCTCTTCCATCTCGCATCACCATCAAGTAGGAATAGCGCAATTTTTTGCGATGGGTGAGAAGGACTTCAAGCAGGATGGCGCCGCGCCGTTCAGCGAGGAGAATGGCAGGACGGCCACGATGGCAGGCATTGACCCGTCTGAGCTGGAAGGCCTAACGCTGTACGAGAAGAAATGCGTCCTCATCAACCGCGAGATCGACAGCAACGGCATGGGACGCTATCAGTGGTATATCTGGTGCCTATGTACGTATGGAGAGGAGTAGGGGCTCCAGCGATGCCGAGAATGCCTGCTGATGCATACGCCCGCAGGCGGCTTTGGCTACCTCCTCGACCTACTCTGGGCAGAGGCGTTTGGCCTGGTGCTCAGTCCGTTAGAGCAGGAGCTTGGCTTCCCAGGCAACCAATCTGGCAATATCTCGGTTGGTACTCTGGCTGACTTGCCCTGTCCTGCCGCATTACCGACCGGCGAACTGACTCCTCGTGCAGGTGGCTTTCTCCGCCGGTCTCACCGCTGGAGCCTTCGTGTGGGGTGTGCTGGTTGACATTGTGGGCCGACGATGGGCTTTCAACCTCACCTGCCTTATCTCTGCCGCCTTCGGTTTAGGCCTGGGAGGGTGCAACTCTTACTCCGCCTTCCTCGTCGTTACGGCGTTTGTCGGGTTCGGTATCGGCGGCAACATTCCCATTGACACCACGATTTGCCTAGAGTTCATCCCGCAAAACCGCCGCTTCTTGCTGGCATTACTATCCATCTTCCAACCAATCGGCGTCGTGGTATGCGCAGCAATCGCATATGGCTTCATCCCAAACTACAGCTGCAGCCCGAACTTCTCCGAGGCAAACCCAGCTCCGCCTTGCAATCATGTCGCTGCGGGTCAGCCATGCTGCACACGAGCCAGCAATATGGGGTGGAGGTACTTGATGTTCACACTGGGAGCTCTGACGCTCGGAGTGTTCATCTTGCGATTTGGCGTGTTCCGCTTCCAGGAAAGTCCCAAGTTTAACGTTTATCGCGGTCACGACGACAGGGCACTGGCTGCGCTAGCTCACATTGCTCGCATCAACAAACGGCCATGCGGTGTCACGCAGGCAGACTTCGATGCGCTGACGACGGAGGAGAACTCAACGACCAGCGCTACCGAGTTGATTGGCGCTGGGAACAAGCAATTACAGAAGTCATGGAAGGAGAAGGTTATGATCGAGCTTGCTCGCTACAAGCTTCTTTTCAACGGCTGGCAGATGGTTCGCTTGACGTTGTTGGTGTGGCTTACGTACATTTGCGACTTCTGGGGCTTTACGCTTGCGGGTACTTACATGAGCCATCCCGTGCGTTTGGTGAAGGTGCTGACTGCGTCCAGGCACCTACCTCCCCGCCGTTTTGGCGCAGAAGAACGGCAGCATCAACCTCACGCTCAAGTTCACCTATCGCAGCTATATCGCCATTTACGCGCCAGGTATTGTGGGCGTCGTGATCGGGGCGCTCATGTATGGAGTGCCTCGTATCGGTACGTAGGCTGCGAATACTTTCCGCTCGCTGGAAGTTGCTGACGATTGGTTCCTTACTCCGTAGGCCGACAGCTGACCATGATCATCTCGAGCGCACTCATGGGAGTTTCAATGTTCATTTTCGCCACCGTAAGTTGGTCTCCGCAGCAGTATTCTTTCTGGTATAGCTAACGCATCTCTGCTGGGTGCCAGGTCAACAACGAAGCGACCAACATCGGAGTGAATGTCATGGAGTACTTCTTCCAATCTATGTTCAATGCCGTGCTGTACGGATGGACTCCTGAAGTCTTCGCCGCGCCTATTCGAGGTGAGTCACCGAAGAAACAGATGTCACCTTGAGTTATCTTGAGCAAATATCGCTGACTGTGGTGTATCAGGCACGGCATGCGGTCTGGCTAGCTTCTGGGGCCGGCTGTTTGGCATCATCGCACCTCTAACCGCTCAGTCACTGATTCCACAAGCTGGTTTGCACGGCGATGCTCAGGCTCAGAACCGCATCCTGTACCTTGCTGGTGGCATCACGCTCGGCTGTGTGGTGACGGTGGCTCTTTTGCCGAACAAGGTGCTTGGCAGGCAGAGTATGTGAGGAACATCACGCATGTACGCGACGATGTCACGAGGATGCTAAGGGTTCGGGAGGAGTGGAGCGGGAAGGATATTATGAGCCATCCATGGCTGAACGCTACGATCAAGGCCAGCTCGCCATTCACCGCATCTCCGACATGCTTGGGAATGCTCGTGTACGAACCTCAGACGTATGGGAGAGCATCTCGAAAGCCGCCACGAACAAGTTCGCAGACGAAGTCGTCGAACGAAAGCCATGATCGAAGAGCATATGCACTTCAGACTTCGTAGTAGCCATTCAGGAAGTGGTTCCGGAGTGAGCTTGGCTTTCCGATTTCAGCAGTGCTTAGCGACCCATCAAGCGTCAGGCTCTTCCGTGACCCGGTTCAAATGTTTGCTTCCACGTCTTAGGTCATATAGTCTCATCTGCTTGCTTTTCAATGATTGCATCTCATCTGCTTGCATCTTTCCACTCTCAACGCTAATATCCTCTGCGAGGACAAGTGAGTTACTCGCCTTCTACCGCGCTCCCTAATGAGACCGTCTAGCAGGACCGGACATTACTCGGGCGTCCGGGTACGCTCTTCTGCCCGAGGTAGTAACTTGGGTCAACCATCGACTCCGGATATATTGACGAGAAGTGCTCTTTGCTGAACACTTGAGAAGGCAAGGCGGCAGAGACTATTGACACTGACCCTGCGCTTTCCCGGATGCGGCTGCATGTGAGATGCCGAAATCTCCGAATCCCCGATTATGATTGCCCTAACCGCAGCATGCAGTATGCACAACGTCATGCCCAGCTTCGATGGAGGCGGAAAAGTCTATCTCTTTGACTTTTTGCCAGATCCGATTCGCAGTGCATCTGCCATAGACTATGAGTAACGGCGGGCCATCGTGCACCCGTTCCGTCCGGGTCGATGACGGTGGTTGAGAGCACTTTCGTTTCTGTTGCGTATGGAGAGCATGTAAAGTAGGCATTGCGCCTCACATTGTATCGCAAGTACACTTCCATTGTTTACAGTGCACGCCACTCCACCGTCGTCGTTTGCTTGTCTTTTGCACTCACCATGATGGAGCTCATCCGTGAAACGCCCTTTGGCGCGTTCGTAAGGCTCATAACACGCAACCGAGTCTTCCAGTACCCGGAGGAAGTTGACCCTTCCATATGGACTCGCTACATTGACGAAAAGAAGTCTGGCTACCTTGCTCACCATGGCGACACCAACCCACCCGAGGATGAGTCCGAACTTGCTGGCATTGCGGGCGTTCGGACGAGAGACCAACAGTACGAGCTTCAGTACCCTGCCAACCGTGACCATTCGAGATCCATGAGCTCTTCTCAAACACGGGTTGGCGAAGACAATTACACCACCAACCACGTCAGTGGAGTTAGGATCGACCCCGAGAAAGGCCGAGATGTCGATGTTGTGGGCTGGATGGAAAACGATCCCGAGAATCCAATGAACTGGTCAACGCCGAAGAAGTTCTTCGTTACGTTCGAAATCTGTCTTCTCACCACCTCCGTCTACATCGGTTCCTCCATCTACTCGTCTGGAATCGAGAACGTCATGGAGGTATTCGGTGTGTCCCAGGTTGCTGCTACGCTTGGCCTTACTTTGTTCGTCGCTGGCTACGGTGTCGGGCCAATGCTATGGAGTCCAATGAGCGAGATACCGCAAGTCGGTCGCAATCCGGTGTACCTTGCCACACTTGCTGTCTTCGTCGCCTTCCAAGCGCCAACCGCACTCGCAAGCAACTTCGGCATGCTGCTAGCATTCCGGTTCTTGACCGGCTTTTTCGGCTCGCCTGTCCTCGCAACAGGAGGCGCCTCCCTCTCCGACATGTACCCTCCTGCCAAACGTGCATACGCTATGAGTGTCTGGGGTGTCGCTGCAGTTTGCGGTCCTACCCTCGGTCCACTCGTGTCCGGGTTCGCCGTCCAGTTTGCTCCAGTGGGCTTCGGAGGGTTCACTGCGCCCTGGACCTGGCCAATTTGGGAGTTGATGTGGTTGTCCGGCTTCTGTTTGGTCTTCTTGTTCTTCCTGCTACCGGAGACGAGCGCGAACAATATCCTCGTCCGCCGCACGCGTCGCCTTCGCAAGCTCACTGGCAACGATAAGCTTACCTGCGAGCCAGAGCTCATGGCCGAGCAAATGACCGGGAAGGACATAGTCATGATATCGCTTGTGCGACCGTTCACTCTGAACTTCACAGAGCCTATGGTATGTATCAACATCTTCGACTGGGGCTACTTCATTACACACCAGTGCTAATCCTGATGAACAGGTCTTCCTTCTCAATCTCTACATTGCTTTAATCTACGGCTTGCTTTACGTCTGGTTCGAGTCGTTCACCATCGTCTTCATTGGCGTCTACAAGTTCAGCCTCGCAACACAAGGATTGGCCTACCTCGGCATATTCATTGGCGCTCTGTGTGTCATACCGCCCTTCTTCTTCTACCTGCGCCACTACCTGGAGCCCAAGTTCGACGAAAACGGCAATATTGCGCCGGAGGAACGATTGGTGCCGGCGTTCGTCGGCGCCTTTTGCATTCCGATCTGCCTTTTTTGGTTTGGATGGACTGCCCGGGCGAGCATACATTGGATCGTCCCAATCATTGGCACTTCACTGTTCTCCATTGGCGCCTTCCTGCTCTTCAACAGCGTCTTGAACTATTTACCGGACGCCTATCCAGTACGTCCACATAATCCCACCATCACAGATCTAGGGCTCTACTGACTCCTTTCTAGGAATACGCAGCCTCAGTTCTGGCTGGCAACGACCTGTTCAGAAGTCTGGTTGGCAGCGGGTTTCCTCTCTTTGCGGCCGCGATGTACAGCAAGCTCGGAATTCCCTGGGCCAGCTCTACGTTGGCTTTCCTTGGTGTTGCCTTCATTCCAATTCCATTCGTGCTCTACAAGGTAAGCGAGTATGATGTATACGGTCCGGACAAGACTAATGCGCTCGACAGTTCGGTGGGACCCTACGGAAGAAGTACAGCAAAGCCGCTCGCAAAGACATATGATGTGGTTCGTCACGCATTGCAGGAGGATGCTCTTCATATAAGCTTAATAGTCCGGACGGGTTCGTCATGCGCCGCTAAGTGGTGTGACCTGCGCGGATGATGTTACGACCCACAGATTAGAAGATAAAGTCCTAGACTCAGCTTACAGCGCGGTGTTGGTTGGTTGCATTGTGAACGTTAACATAGATAAGGACAGAACACTGTTGTACCACGTGTTGACCTCCTTGCTGCATCGCAATTGCCTAGTGATCATTCCACGTTACCAGCGGTTCTTTTTGAAATTAGGTGGCCTTGGCATTGGAAGCCACAAGATGTGCTGGTCAACGGGACGGCCGGCAATAAGTTCGAAACCTTTGACATGAAGTGTCTGCGGGATAGCAGGGACAGTGTGGCACAGGGTATGAGACTTCGCATGCCAGCCAGCGCGCCGTTACCACAACTACGTCTGCATACAAGAGGAAGCTAAGTACATTAGTTCGCGCTATCCCTGCGCCGTGTCACCGAAAAAAAAGAAGCCGAACACAATCAGAGCATCCTCACGTACTCCCGAGCCAGTACGTGTTAGCGCAGCCCGCACCCTATCAAGACTTCACTGCTCCTTACTCTCCACAACAGTGACCACCTCCTGCCCTGGCTCCTTCCCACTCCTGACCACGTTCTCGCCAAGCTGGCCTGCCTTTTCATCAGCGAACTGCACACGCGCACGGCCCTCTTCCGCTTGACGCCTGACGGTGCCGCGACCGCGGACAGAGCCGGTGTCGACGCCAGTAGAAGTGGCTGTGTCACGTCCCTGAGCAGATGGATCAGTGCTATTGCTCGTGGTTGTGTTAGTGGTCGTAGTCTGTCCGGCGTTGTCTCCGTGGGAGCGACGAGACTTCTCATTGGCTGCAGCAGCCGCACCAGCAGCACCGGCTCCGCCGGCGATGAGAGCAGGATCCACGGCTTCGCGGGTAGTAGTGGTGATGACTTGGGTATTGCCTCCGTCAGCAGCGGGAGAGACCACAGTCCGTCGGTCGGAGGTGGTGTAGATGATTTGCTGGGTCTGCTGGTCTGGGGTAGTTCCAGCACCTTGATCAGCGGCACGCTTGCGGCGACGGTGAGCGAAGAGTGGCATGCAGCAGAGCAGACTCAAGCCTGTCATGACAACTCCGGGTACCCACAGCCAGAAACCAGCGGTGTGGGGGTCCAGCAGGTTGTTGAAGCGGAAGAAGCCGCCCTTCTGGCTACGCCTCCAGCAATAGTAGCAGCACGTCGACTCGTCCCAGCATGGTGGAGGCTTGTTGTACAGATTATCAATACGCGCTCTCACCGGTCCTTTGAGCGAAGTTTCCAAAGCTGGAAGCTGGTGGGTAACGGTGGCGGAGCCGGAAATAGTGCTGTAGGCTGTCATGGTCGCCGGATAGTAGGCCTTGTTCTTCTTCATGGTGCCCCAGTGCGGCATGCCTGCCGACGATCAGCAGTGTCCAACGACGCGCAACGGCGTTTCGGCTGCGCAAAGTGCTGCACGGTGCGGTTTGCGCTTACCTGCAGTTAGCTTGATAGCGTCCGTGTACCAGTAACGGTCGGGTTGATTGGTGGCGACTGGATACACAGTCGTGACTGTCTTGCCTTTGTAGAAGTCACGCATGCACTGTTCGTACCGACACAATGTCTTGTTGTACTCGGGAGCTTTCTTCGAGCAGCAAGCCGGATCAGCTTGCGGGGTCTGCATGGCAGCCCAGGCTCGGTTGTAAATGACGCTGGTGTTGGCGACGTAGACGACGCTGTTGATAGTGGTTGGCAAGGTAGGCATGTCAACAGGTGGAGCCATGGCAATGGCTGCGGTAATAGGGGCTGCGGTCGAACAAGGGGTTTTGGTGATGCCGACGGAGGCGGCCGCGATGCCCAGCAACATCGCGAAGGTTGCGAAGAGAGCCATGTCGGTATACCAACTCTGCTATGTAGTCCCAATGCTGTTCTGGATGAGTAGTGCTGCCAGCACGAGGATGTTGGTGAGGGTAAATGTCTGGACGAACAATGGAAGAGTGTGTCGAGAATGGAGGAGAAGCAACATTGGCACATGTAAACAATGATCGATGGCAAGTGAGAGATATACTAGTACCTGCTATGCATGCTTGACGCCTGCTTTCCCATTATGGTCAGGTTTAAATGGTTGTAGTCGTGCTTGCACATCATATCAGCACACTTGCTCCTGCGCTGTAGCGTAGTGGCAGGGCACATGGTTCACCAACGTACTTCCTGTTCAGGTCGCAAGCACATCAACACGAACCGTGGCCATGCGCGGTAGGATGGGAGTCGGAAGGAGTCGAAAGTGGAATATGTCTGCTCTGAGTGCTCACGGCAATAAAGCATCAGCGTCCAGCGCATGGCTGGGAGCAATCTCGTTCCGCTCCATTGGGCTACGGGTAGACCGGACAGGATGAAGGAAAGTGGTGAGATAGCAGTATCGGCTCTGAACATGCACATTGACGGCTGATGATGGCACTTTCTCGCTGATATGGGTCCTGGAGGGCAGGCTCATATGGTTCCTCCCACACATGTTGTACCTGTGAAATGCGTCGCAGATGCCCAAGAAAGGAGCGATACCACGTATGAGTTTTGGAAGGGAAGCCGCAGCAATTTCAGACATGACCATTAAGAAGGGAGCGTTCTTGTGAAGTGGTTGTCGTACAAGCACGCATGAGGTGGATGCAGCACGGCTGCCTAAGGCCAGTGTTTTGACTCCAGACAAAAGCTGGTTGAGAGTGGGGCCAGCCAAAGTGACAAGCTTCCGCGGCAAATGCTCATCATCGTGCAGAATGTTCCGATTCCACAGGCGGCGGAACACTAACAGGACCATGTGATGTACACACAATGCGATCCAGATAGCGAGAGGGGTGTAAGAAGACTTGTGCAGCATAAGAGGCGCATGAGCGCTCTTCACCCCGCCGATCTACGCCACCCACGTTGAGCGGCCCACCTCCACCTCCACCATCACCGTCCATGACGGAATTTATGTGATTGTCAGCAACAAGTTAAGAATTTTGGAAGTGCCACCTCGGACCGTTATAACGGGCCGCTCTACGTCAGTGGACATGGATGAAGCGGATTGCGTGCCAACCCACGAGCGCGCTAATCATCCTTCATCCCGCTCAGCGTGCCCTTGACTTGCTAGACGATCACAAACTCTGCGCCGCTGCTGCTGTACTTCCCGCTCATCCATCTCTTGTGGCAATTGATCTGCGCGTCGTCCGGGGGCCACCTCTGAGCACGGATCCTGTGTCGAAGCCTTCATATTACCCGGCACGTCTTGCGCAGCGCATTTTGGACTCTTCACGACTCTTTACAACGACTTCCTGAGTATACTCTGAGTGGTCAATGCCGCAGAAGGTCACAGCTTCAGATCCGTTCTTCCACTACACCGGCGTCTTTGTACGCTCGATACGCTCGCTTAAATGGCGATGAACTACGATACCGCCAGGGCGAATGGTGTCATGGACGCCGTACCGCCAAATATGTCTCCTCCAAATGCTTTTGGCAAAGAGGGCTACTATGATGGTTTCAATCCAGGTGACGCCGAAAAGGGCGATTATGATCGTACGAAGCGCAAGATGAGCCGGATTGACCGTCCGATCACCAAGTCCATTTCCGGCACCACGGACGACGATGCATCGGATCCGAGCATTTCGGTGGGCAAGCAGATGGAGTTGGAAGCCGGAAACGCGATCAAGTACAGGACGTGCAGCTGGTACAAGGTGTGATCCCTCGTTATTGTGTTGCAACCCTACGCGCACCCACACTCAGAGCGCCTCCATCTCAACATCGATCGTGCCATTCAACCGCACTTCATCCATCACGCCGGCAGAGCCCTGTCGAAAGCACCGCGGCCGACAGTCATCCTCGAGATCTTCACAATCTTGCAACTGAGCGCTTCAAAGTCCAGATCTAATATGTGGCGTAGACTGCAGCTTTGCTGTTTTCCGAGTACATCTGCCTGGCGATCATGTCGTTCCCATACTCATACTCGGTTCTCGGCCTTGTGCCTGGCCTGATCTTGACGGTGGTCGTGGCCGGCTTGGTCTTGTACACATCACTCGTCGTTTGGTAAGTCGAGCCAGTCAACCAATAAATGAAACGAGCTAATTGTTTGAAGGGAGTTCTGTCTCCGCCATCCTGAAGTCAAGGACGTCTGCGATATCGGCCAAATGCTGTTCTGGAACCAACGCTGGGCGTGGTGGTTCACCGCTGTCATGTTCCTCCTGAACAACACCTTCATCCAAGGCTTGCACGTCCTCAGTGGCGCAAAGTACCTCAACACCATCAGCAATGGCGGCCTCTGCACTGTCGGTTTCAGCGCCATCATGGCCATAATCTGTTTCGTCTCGTCGCTGCCGCGCACTTTCGACACCTTGGCAAAGCTGGCAACCTTGAGCGCCTTCTTCACCTTCATATCAGTGCTCCTTGCAACTATCTTTGCTGGCATTGAGGCTCATCCTGGAGGCGTCACTGGCTCCAAGTGGCCCGCTCTCGGCCCACCTGTCGTCCTGGCCATCCCGGCGAAGGGTACCACCTTCGTGGCAGGCATGAATGCGTTCATGAACATCAGCTATACCTTCATCGGGCAGATCACCATTCCTTCTTTCATCGCCGAGATGAAGGAGCCGAAGGACTTCCCTAAGGCTTTGTGGGCCGTCACCATCGCCGAGGTCATCGTCTTCTCGCTCGCTGGCTCCATCATCTACGCTTATACCGGCACGAACTACAACACGGCACCGGCCTTTGGCTCGCTTGGCAACCCAGTCTTCCTCAAAGTCAGCTTTAGCTTCATGATCCCGACACTGATCTTCTTGGGTGTGTTGTACGCCTCGGTCTCCGCCCGCTTCATCTTCTTCCGCATCTTCGCAGGCACCCGTCATCTCGGCAGCAACACCCTCCTCGGCTGGTCCAGCTGGGCCGGGATCCTTGCGGTCACCTGGGTCCTCGCCTTCATCATCGCGGAGGTGATTCCTTTCTTCGCCGATCTGCTTTCGTTGATGAGCTCGCTGTTTGACAGCTTCTTCGGCTTCATCTTCTGGGGCGTCGCCTATCTTCGCATGCGGCGCGCAGAGTATGGCCCCAACTTCTGGAAGTCAAGAGGCTTGCGAGGCATGCTTGGCGCTGCACTCAACGTTGGCTGTATCCTGATCGGCCTGCTCTTCTTGAGTGCTGGGACATATGCATCGGTGGAGAGCATCGTTCAAGGCTATGCCTCCGCGACCTTTGGTGGGCCTTTCAGCTGCGCCAATAACGGCTTGTAATGAAGGGAAAGAACCACGATCACGGCAAACTGACGATTACACGATTTTTGGGATATGGTGAAAGGATTAAAAATGCGAGGCGCAAATCTGGCTGTCACTGTACTACATTCAGCTTGGCTACGTTTCTTGGATGTATGCAGAAGTAATTGCTTGCAATCAGCCTCCCTAATTGTGCATGAAATCTGTCCTCATGTTGTGCAAATTTACGAGCAGTATCACAGATAGGGCCGGTAGGGTGATACCGCCTGCGACCACTCGTGTCTCCTCTACCAAACTAATATAGGCCAGCGGAGAGTATTCACCCCTGTATCCTTCCGCAACCCGCAGCGATGTCTTGTTGCTGTGCTGTGACGTACGAGGGGTAGACTCTGTTGACCACCATGGATGTTTGGGAAGATCTTTTCGGCACACTCCAGATTGAACGACTGAGACAGAGACATTCTTTCACATCGACGGCAAGATGGCTAACCTCGTGGATCTCAGTCAACCCAGCCTCTACAGTAAGCTCGCCGCTGAAGTGCATGTCCAACTCACCATACTGACAATGGACACAGTCTCTGCGGCGATGATCATCTTCAACCCTACCTTCTGGAATATAGCAGCACGGACAGAGTATCACCACAAGACAATAACCAAACTCGCGGGCGGCAACTCGCTGTATGGCTGCTATGCTCTCGCGGTGACGATCTTCGTCCTTGGCTTGATCCGGGACGCTTTCTACGAGCGAGCGCTCCGAGCTCAGCCCACTCATCCGCTCCTTCTGTCGTTGGGCTCGCAAGCTCTAGCAGTGCTATGCGTGGCGAGTGGCAACGTTCTCGTGCTAAGCAGCATGTGGGCGCTAGGCATCACTGGCACTTACCTGGGCGACTATTTCGGCATCTTAATGGACGACATGGTGACTGGCTTCCCCTTCAACGTGACGGATGCGCCAATGTACTACGGCAGCACTTTGAGTTTTCTCGGCACAGCGTTGTGGTATGGCAAGCCGGCGGGCGTACTCCTGACGGTGCTGGTGTTAGTCGCTTATAGGATTGCATTGACGTTCGAAGATCCGTTCACGGCAGAGATTTACGCGAAGAGAGAGCGGGAGCAGAAAGGCAGGGGCATGCAGGCACACGGTAAGAAGGTGGAGCCGATCGGTGAGAAGACGGTGGCACAGGGAAAGAAGATGGAGCCCCTAGGCGAGAAGGTGGGCCCGAAGAGCGATTAAGGGAAGAGTACGCCGCGTACCACGATTCAACATACATGCATGCTCGATGTAAGGGCATGAGCATAATATTCTTGCAGGCAAGTCCTACAGACGGAGGAAGTGACAGCGCCCACCCCCAGCCATGCAGGAAACATCTCTTTGCAGGCTGTCAACGAGTCTCCATCCACCGCCGTGCCCTGCCACAGGCGAATCCACTCGCTCCCCGCCGAGTGGTTTTCACTGCCGGGCGTGCACACAGATGCCGGATGACACCATTCCTGACGGTTGGCGGTCAGGACCACAAGCAAGTCGCTTGATCTGCTGAGCCCGATTGGCACCAACATGCTCCGACAGTTGTGGGTCCCAGGTTTATAGTGGTTGCGAATGCAGGCCCTCGAAGTCGTCAGTGAGCGACCTTGTGTGACTGCTCTATCAGACAAATTTGGCGGGTCACTTAATGCAAAGGCCCATGCTCTCATTCAGTCGCTCGATGGTACGGTCGAACTCAGCATATGCATGCTTGCGCAGCTCTCGAATATCTGAGCGCCTGATAAAACCACTCAGCACACACGATCGTCGGTCTCCATGTTCTCGAACTTTACTCACAAGGGCGCATATTTCAACTTCTCCCGCTCCCACCACACGTGGCAAAGGTTTTTCTGGATCGTATGCTCCAGTCCTCTGTGGCTAGCTGCGTGTCGCAAGAACATCACTGTACGCTCGACCTTACCCTTGTCGAACTCCTCGCTACGGCCATGACGAAAGGCATTGCGAATCCTGTCTCGCATCACGTAACGTGATGGTTTGGAGTATTGACATGCTCGCAATGCCTGCTTATAGAGCTGACGGTAGGCTTGGACGAGTTCATGACGGTCCTGCATTGGAATGGTGCCGCATGCTATCTCCGACTTTTCCGGCTACCACAGAAAGTAGTCCACCGTCAATGAGTGTCGACGTCTGTTGTATTAGACGGTTGCGTTAACCCCAAACGTGTGATTGCAATGTCGAGGAAAAACCGTGGCGTTCGCTAGCGTCCGCCGCTTGTCAGCCAATCGGATGTCGCTAAATGCTGCTTTCGATTGCGTGTTGCCATTAGCACTTACGCGGTACAGACAGAGCACCCGACCTCACGGGACGTATTCCTGACGGGTATTATTCTGGTGTGGTTATAGGACTAAGACCTCACTACCTCGCTATGTGATAGTCGGCTTCTCCGCCTTCTCCAAACCACTTGCGTCCAAATATCGATCATCTGACCGTAACCGTGAGCTTGACGAAGCCGCAGAGTCCGCACTGCGCTTCTCTTCGAGCTCTTTCTCTAGCTCCTTCGGATCTGGTACACCAGCCTCCTCATCGAGCTCCTCTTCTTCCTCCTCACTTGTACTCGCTGGCCGCCGATCATTCTCCTCTTGAGGCCCCTTCTCCTCATCTTCTGGCTTCTTGTCGGGTGTCGGTGCGAACTTACTTCGCTTTCTTAACGGCTCGCCGTATCTGTAGAAGATGAAAGGTATTGGTGCCAGCAAGAAGGCCACGCCACCAATGAGGGAACCACCACCGCCCACGCCCAACGATTCGAACATATACTCGGTGAAGAGTGGTGCAGCTGCACCAAAGGCTGAACGACAGATAGTGTTCGCTGCTATGGCTGACGCCGCGAACATAAGATAAGAGTCCGTAAGGTAGTTGAGGTAAGCCACGAAGATCAGTAAGATGGAGGTCGATAAGAAGACGCCCGCGAGGGTTGGAACAACCCAGTGGACGTAGTTGTATTCCGCGGACCTGGGAACTTATTAGCCTTCGTTATTGGGCAATTGAGCGTGATCTTCAACTCACCACGCGAACCAGAACATCGTCAACGGAAACAAGATACCGCCTACCATAGCCACAAATAATCGATCTTCAGGCTTAATCTTGACTCCGGCGAGCATCTTCTTCTTGTCCCGGGAGGACACGTAGAAAACGAATGCTCCACCTATGGCAGCGCCAACGATCGTTCCGATCAGCGGCAGCTCTGATACTCCGACATTCCAATGGCGCTTCTGCTGGAATACGAAGGGATAGATGGTGAACAGCATATAGAGCAGCATGTAAACGACTGAAAGATATATTGCACAAGCGAAGGATATCGGGTCGAAGAGGATAACCCAGGGTCTTGTCAAGGCCACCTTGAAGATGCCCACGAGTGTCCGATCGGTTGCCTCGACTGGCGCTTTAATGTTTTCGTAGCCAGGTACCTTGGCGCGGCGGATGCGGCGTGCCTTGTTGAGCAAAACTTGACTTGGCAAGGTCTCGGGCAGCGTGATCATGACGAGAAGTGTGCCGAACGCGAGCCACAGCAAGACGTAGAAGTTCCAGCGCCAGTTCTCCTTGAGCTCGAGAAACCCGCTGACAACAGGACCGAGCGCCGGGCCGATGAAAGTCATCATACTGAAGACCTGTCCATTGTCAGCAACACTGGTTATCACAAGCCCAGCTTTCCACGTCTTAACTTACCGCCATTGCATTGCCGCGTTCTATTGGTCCCCATACATCCGCGAGCACACCTGGGGCATTACTGAGCGGCGCAGATGCAAATGTTCCAGTCAGGAAGCGGCCGACCAGGAGACCGCCAAAGTTCGGCGTGAACGCGCACAGAAAGTTGAACGCAAAGTATAGGAAAAAAGTCGCATAGAAGACATATCGCCGCCCAAAAAACTCTGAGAGCGGCGCAAACACTAACGGCCCAAAGCAATAACCAAGCAGGAATAGTGTAACCACAAGGCCTGCCGCCTCTGTGCTGACTCCCAGCTCTTCACTGATGCTCTCCAAACAGCCCGATGGGGAGGAACTCGCAAACGTAGCGTTGACCACCATCAACACGGCCACGAGTGTGACGACCCAGCGACGAGTCGCCGACCAATTCTTCGGATTCTCGATATCGTCCGGCGCGAAGTCGAGGTGCCCATCTTTGTTAAGGTAAGGTTTCGCCGCGTCCTTGATGTTACGGGATCGATATGGTTTCGCCAAAGGCCTCGAGAGTATCCGTTCCAGATTCTCCATTTCTTGTGGCCAGCGAGAGTACAGACTTCAGCAGAGGAGAAGGGAGAAGACGCGAAAGAGGTGAAGTTGGAGCAATGAGAAAGCGGTAAAGGCTTCTCTTACCTTTTCAAGCACAAATATGACATGCCATTCCCATCAAGGCGTGCAGCAACGCGAGAAGGTCAGCGGCAGTTCGGCACCACAAAAGAAGCTGCATTCGATTTGCCATGTCGGTATTAACATTTTCATTAGCCCCGGCGTCCCGATGGAGCGAAAGGGTATCATTGCATCATCATGCGGAGAGTGGTGTGTCCGTGTATAACTCCCTTCACAACAGACCGAGACGTTGTTTGCTGTGCTGTGTGCACCAAGAGTAAGCGCGAGCTCGTCAGTCTTTGAGACTGATTTGTATGCTACGGTCCCTGAGCGTTCCGATATCTCAGCGTCGGGGATTGTTATGCATCCTGGATACTGCGGAACGGCGCGGTTGCGACGGCTTGCTTTCCGCCGCAATGGATCCGGTTCGGGTATCAACTCAACAATGGCACCGAAGACAGCTGCTGCAGTGCTGACCACGAGAGCGTCACCGAGTCGTGCTCTAGGTTATCGATGTGCAATACTCTGCCGTTTGTAAGGTATGCTGTACGCCTCAAGTGGGTGAGATAGTCGTCACGATGTTAAAGGGCGCCCGCACTCCGGCTTTGGCTACATCAGCCGTCTCTTAGCCATCACTCCAAGCATTCCGACGGACAGTCGAGGGCACCTAGCAGTCAATCTCACAAGGTGAAGGACTCTGCCCAGATACATGTTTACAAGGGCTGGGTTTGTGCAGCTCTTAACACAAACGCTCGCCGCCGAAAGACAAGATAGGCCGGCAAATTGCGGGCTTGGGAGCCGCTTGTGCTCGTGTCTTGGTCCCTCCTCGCCTCTACGTCGGGCAACGATCCATGCCGCGCGAGACATGCCTGCAACAGAAGCGTACCATAGAAGCATGACAGCCGAGCATGCCCTCATCAGGACCGTACTTGACAGAGCTGAATGACCTCAAATCATACTTCACTGTTCATATACTAATCCTATAGTAACGCCGAATATCGTGTCAGATACTCGATCACTAGAATTCTCACAGCCGCCTCTCTGTCGACATGTCTTCCCACACCGAAAGCCCGCACTCCCATTCCAAGAGATCGCCGCTCAGACAGAGCTTATACGGTGGCTTTGCCTACCGGCCGGCGTCTGAGAGCATCAGCAAAGAAGGCCGTGGCAATCAAGTTGCACCGAACTTACCTCTTCTAGAACCAGCGCCGGTATGTCGATCTGGTGGTGTAGTAAGGACGGCCATTCCGGGATTCCTTCCTCGTAGTGTGCTCATACTCATACCAGCCGTCGTGCGATGCGTGCGACTTGCGTTCGCGCCTCGGCTTGCGAGCCGGCGCAGGCGGAGGCGTGAAACAATTCTTGAGAATGCCTTTCAAAGGCTTGGTCACCTTCTTGGGCTTGGACGCTGGTTGCTCGATCCCGTCGAAGTATACATGCTTTCCACCCCGCTGCTTCACCCCGTTGACGTACAGGACTTGTTGTGTCGGCATGCTGGTGGCCTTGGGCGTAAGGCGAAGCGGCGGTATGTTGGCTTGGATGACTTAACGAAGTCTCCAGAGGTTGACCGAAAGCCGTTATGACTGCAAGGTGGAGGTGTGCCTTGGTAATGTGCTGCGGTCGATACTCGATGTGTGCAGGCTGCAGAAGGTAAGTTGTCTCAGACAAGGAGTCCTGGGTGTTGCATAGCATGATTTATACAGTCGAACCTCACCACAGTCAATGACATGAATATCCTACGCATGCTCAGGAAGCCAGTAACCGTGGTCACAAGCAGCATTCATTGTCGCATTGTGGAAGCAGGGTCGCTGTCTCTGCTGGCACGTCAGCCCTGTACAAGTAAAAGCCTGAAGATAGGGACTGTGGAGAGCGAGAGGCGCAACCTGTGGGCGTGTTGGAGCATGCTGGTGACTATGGAGGCACAGGCTTTCCGCCCAAGGTCATGGTGATGGGGCCGCGAATCTCAGACAGTAGTGCAGGTCTGGACGAAGGCTACTGAGAGTCATAAAGGTTGTGTAGAAGCTAAGCCAGTACAAGATAGCCATCGCCGCATATATTGTAGCCGAAGCCGGAAGGATACCTGACGACAGAGGTCGTACTTAGTCCGTATGCAGCCTCACCTCACCAGATGGCTAGCTGATTGCAACCCGTCAGTGTCGTCAAGTAAACGCATTGTTCACTGACCCTGTCATTTGCCACGCAGTACTATCTCTTCCGCTGAAAGCGATCAGCGCCGATGAGCTTGATTTAGAGTCTTCCACTTTTGCCACAATGTAAGCTATCCACCACAACTACGAGCAGTGAGTCGCACAACGTCAGCGCCGAGTGCTACCTCGTCGCATCGAGGTCCTCTCGCGCTCTGGTGGCGAAGCGATGTACACCGGCTCCATGGAGACAGAAAGTGTAATGGTGAAGATGGGCAGTGGCAGGGACCAAATACAACGGATCGCAGGCTCTGTCCACGCAGCTTCTTTGTCGCTTGAGGGTCGATCACGCCGATGCTCGCGCTTTGGTGAGGGCGGTGGACTGTCCATAGTAGACGGTTATGTCCATGCTGGTTTGGGCCTTCCCATTGCGGGCCATGTAGAGGTCTGGAATCCTCCTATTTTGATGGCGTCGGATGCTGCAAGGCTTCAAGCATTCGCATGCAGGGCTATGCTTTTCATACGATTTCAGCCTTGTCGCTTCGACTGCAGCCTTGCCGGTCCTGGTGGAATGCTCGTCTGCAATTGCACACTCTTAATGTCCGCCATTACGAGAGGGGTCTGCGCAGCCATAGCTACTGTAACTCTTGTTCCATTTCCGGCGGCGCAGGGCGAGGCAGCCAATGTATTGCCAGCAATTCCACTAGCGACAGTGTATAGTCGAGAGACAAACAGGCGATGTTGCAACGAGGATGTGAGCAATCTTATCGCTGTCACGAAAGGCAGGCTATCATGTGAATGATAGACACAAGGCCCGAGGCCTTAGCAAGCTTGGCCGGCATCACTGTGTTGTTACGTGAGCTCCTCGTAGTCCTCCTCCCAGCCAAGGGTTTTGTAAAGTGACACTGGCTTATCCTGTTCAGCGAGCGTCTCCACCACCGGCTTGTCCCACTTGGTTCTCGTACTGTATGGAGACGACTCGACTAGCGGCAGCCCCACTGGCTGTGCCTCATTGAAGATCTGCAGACGTCTTGCATGCGCGTGGTCAGCGTCCGCAAGGCCGTGACGTCGAGCGATTGGCGAGTCACAGATTCCAGGGTGTGCAAGGCTAGGCAGTAAGAACTTTGCGTCTCCACGGGATGGCGTCTCTTCCACATTTACAGAAGCTGCAGTGGCTCTGGTTCTGTGCCCTGTCTGCGGTACTGCAAAGTTCGAACCAGAAGGTCGGCCGTTGGTATCTTGCAAAGCCAGCGATCTAACGCACGAGGTAGGCACAGCACCTGCCGATGCTGCAGTATCATGGTGGGTCCGCTCGATATTATGTCGCCTTGACGGTGTCGCATTGACGGTTCGTGCATGTTTCGGAGTTGCAGCAACATACGACTTGCTCTGTTCGGACACTCTAGCCTTTGGCACCTGTCGCCTGCTGGCCGTAACCTTGGCGAACTGCTGATCAGCACTCTCGGCAATGTCTTGGACTGCAAGCGTCCTGTTGGGCTTCTTGAGCGTGGTAATCGCATCTCGGAGCTTCTGCTCAACATCGGCCTTCTTCCGCATCTTGTTCTCGTTCGCTTGCGACATGGCTGACAGGTCAACTTCACGGCGACTGAAGCTGATGGTGTGCACAAGGCTGTTACGGGCACGCCGCTGCGGCGGCTTCGCCGGTCGGATGGTTTCAAGTGCTACTTGCACCTCGCTGCTTTCCCGCTTGATCTGATATTGCAAGATGTCGGAATCGGTAGCTGATCGAATAAGAGAGGCAGGCTGCCTCACGGACTGCTCCGATACATCCATCGAGACGCGTGTGGCTGGCTTCTTGGCCTGCTTCTCTGGCCCCTTGCGGTAAGTTGGCTCACCCGGCCTATGAGTGGATCTGGTTTTGTGCTTTGCCGGTGTCGGCGCCGTGGGACCACCGAGCTTCTTGTTGATGATCACAGCGTGCCCTGGTACTCGGGCTGCATAGAACGGTACGACGACCTCAACGCAGAAACTCTTGAGCTCGTCGCCAGCATCATCGGCTTCGTCATCGTCCCTACCGGCTTTCTTAGCGGGAGAACGGGTTTCTAGTGAACGCCAGATGCAGAGACGGTCGAGGAGCGTTTCAAGAGACTCTGTCAAATCCTGCAACTTCCTCGCCCTCGCTTTCTTTGGTTCTTGCTGCGCCGATTGCTCAACCCCTTGTGTCTCCTCCACCGAAGGCATGACTCCTGTTAGCTCCCCGGTGTCAGGTCGCTTGGCATGACGGGCCAATGACTGTTCGAGAGAGAGCACTTCAAGAGCCAAGATGATCTGAAGGTATGTTTCCCGGCATCGTAAGCGAGGCGACCGCCGCATCATGCGGTCTTCGGTAGATTCGGCAGACCCTGGCATAAGACTTTCAGTGTCATGGTCTACGCGCCACCACTTCTCTATGTACTCCATTTCGTTGATAAAGAAGCCTTGCTTGTCGCGCTTGGCCTTCCATTTCCTGCGCTTCTTCGGTTTGTCGGCGTGCTCGGGTGTTTCAAGACCGTCTGGTGAGAGCTCTTTAAGGACACTGCGAATGCCGTCTCTGTGCTTCTTCTCCATAATGGTCGCAGATAAGATCCAATTTCGGAGACAAACAATGAGATCAGAAGTCTGCCAACCTGTGGCGGACTGGCTGCTCGTAAAAGTTGTTCTTGCCCGGGAAAGCGGCCCTTTTACGAAATAGGCGAGAGACATCCGGGACGCGTAGAGTGCTTCCAAGTAGTGTCTGGCAAGTTCCTGGAGGGTATCGTCCGGACTGTGATCCTGGCGCGGCGGCTCTGAAGGAGTAATGTCTGTATGCGAGCATCTGACATTGCTCACTTCCGGTAGCTTGCTCGCAAGGTTCGCTGAGACGCACACCGTCGCTAGGTCAGGGTTGCACATCGTTAGCTCCGGTATCTGCGTGCATTTTGGCGCGCTCGATGGGCATGTGACGTCCACCGCAGCTTTACACCACCACTTCCCACTGCCACTTGCTCCTGACCAACGTCTGCGCTTGAGGCGCAAACCTTCAGTCGGTGATGGAAAACGTCTTGCTCGCAGAAGTTCAAGTTCAGTAACCCAGGCATGAAGGCGACAGAGCACGTATGACCGGGATGCAACCCGCTCAACGGCGTACAGTCGCCCCGCTCGATCATCTTTCGCAACAAGAACTTGTGCTGCTCCATCGCGGTCTTTGAGTAGCTCGAGAATTTGCAGGTGCGCGGAGAACCGTCTACTGCTAGTGGTGTCGAGGTACGACAGTAGTAACCGTGCTCGAGACAGCAAACATACCGGTGTCAAGGTTTGGGGGGCGGAGAAGGGATCTAATGCGTCAGGCTAGGGAGGTGTCAGCCTGCAGACTCTTCTGAGGTTCATTGCAAGCCCGTACGTGGATTGTGAAACGTCGTTCATCAAGCTTGACATCCTCCACACCGTCGTCTCTCTTCCTCTTCTTCGCGTTCGTTTGCTGTTCTTCATGTTTACATGATAGTGTATGAGTTCCACCGCCAGTCAATGACATACTCCATGAATATACTGTGCGGCCGTAACAATGTGATCATAAGTCATAAAGCGTTACCTCTGCAGTGCAGTGCGAAATGGATACAAGATGTTCGAGACATTGGAGTGGGAGACGCGCCGGAATTCGTCGCGTCAAGCTTCGATTTACCCCAAACGTAATAGATCCCGAGCTTGCCACCCAACTGGACGTGCACGGGCTTGAAGCCACCTGCTCGTGCTTGTCGCCATTGGAACGTCACACGATCAGTTCTCCTCCACTGGAACCTGACGTATTCCTCTATGTAAACATTCCACGTACGCTGCATGATCCATAATCCATGAGCGGCGACTACGCAATGACCCCTGGGCAATGCTATTCACAAGCATCACTCCTAACTCTGCCAGCTGAACTCCGACAACAGATATATGGCTACCTCATCGCTCACGAAAACGTATCACATCCGCTACCATCTGTAGGCATAACCGCAGTTACCCACCGCCTGCCATCGACAAGAATTCTGCACATACATCCTACTCTCACCGAAGAGATCTTGGATTACTACTATTCCATCAGCACCTGGAAGCTAATCTTTAGCCATGCGTTCAATTTCTTCCGCGTCGACCCGGAACTACGGAAGCTTGAACTAAGTCCAGTACTCCGACGACTGCGAAAGGTTGAGGTTGTGTTCTTCTGCGACATACTCTTGTTAAAAGAATATCCAAGCTTCGGTATTGGAAGCTTTTGCGCGGAGATCCGACGCAGAGCAGACCGAGCATGCGATGTGCTGAGCCGTGCAGACGATCTGCGAGTCGTCACCGTTAGCTGGATAGATACTACGCTGACAGGTGGCTGGAGCGAGAAAGCGACTATTCTGGAACCTCTGCGCAAGTTAGCATTAAAGCGTGACATTATGTTCAGAATCGGCGAAATCAATGGGCCGGATGATGTTGACCGCGCGCTATTCCTGAAAGCCATGCAGGAGGTTCTGGGCGAGAATAGACAGCTAGATGCTGGTTTCACTGGTGCCGCTGACGAGCCTAACCGGTTGAGGATGCTTGCTTTCGATCCGAGGCAAGAGCGGCCAAGTTTGCACCAGCAAGGCAAGATCTCGCCGAGGCCGCGGTATTCGTACTGGAAGCATACCTCGATCGATGATGGCGTGGAACCTACCGACTCCGCCGATTCTGCTGGCAGCTCGTGGTCCGTTACAAGGATTGCGACGTAGCGTTCGCATGCTGCTAGAGCCCAGCCTAGCCGAATGCACTCTGAACCAGGTTGCCAGATGTGTCGCTGCAGATTATGTATTATGCAAGTTTGCAGTCTGTCACGTCCTGCGACATACATATTCCCTCAAGCGGACTCCCACGATGTGATACCAATGAGCTTGTACACCAGGTCGAAGTTCTCTCATCAAGTGGACCTGTACGGCGGCGTATCGTCTTGAATTGACGGCAGTATTTGAGACGTGTCCCTATCAGCGCTAAAGAGCTATGAACCGATGTGACGATCGTTTCAGACGGTCTGCAGTATAGTTCGCTGCTCGTACCGTAGATTCATCGGCGGAGCATATCTGTTGCTCCCTTGTCTACGTGTACTTATTGAGCATCTATCCGTTCACCTGTGCAGCATTTGCAGCTTTCTACTTTTATAATCTCTAGGTCGGACGTGGCCCTGTACATAAGCCTTTCTAATCTATTATACTACAGATTAGTCGAGCTCATCATCCTTCATCTTGTGGCCTCGCCTATTAGCCAGGTATATCCGCCCACTTTCGTACACGCCGAGATACAGTCCGCTGCCTAGCATAGTCCACACTGCCCTCAGCGCACCGCCTCTGAAGAGGCCACGGACGCCATGTTCGTGCAGGATCTCCCGTGCGATCTGCATACTCGTTTTCCTACTTGATGGTTGTGACACGGTCGTCAGGGCCCCTTTAACGTTCTCCTTTGCGGATTGCACCATTCGGCCAGTTGCGTCAAGGACTCCGTCCTTTGCAGTCTTGAGAGGCCCGGCCGAGCCTTTCTGACCATCGCCAGCACCATCCATCGCAGCCAGCATGATTCGCGTCTTAACAACGTCAATCGGTGTAGTAACAACAGCAGCGATACTACCACCAAGACCTGCGCTCGCAGCTGTGATCAGACCGCTCTCAAGCAGCGTGTTCGTACGGATGCCACGCTCATCGCGATATTGTCGTATGCTCTGCTTAATACGCTCAAACATCGGGAATTGCAAAGCAGTGAAAGGCAGGTTCCTTCCCGCGAGCGCAGAGTAGCCTCGCCAGAGCGCGAAAGGGTTCGAGCGAAACCGCTGCAACGTCTGCAGCGTCGCGTTGACCTTAGGGCGATCAGTGTTCGAGTTGTCGACCATCTGCGCATTCTGCTTGATCACTTCGGCCGGGGTCAGAATGGCGCATGACACGAGTTCTGCGAAGCCGGACGCAGCGGCGTGAATGAGCGGTTGCGGTAGAAGGTGCCCTCCATTATAGCTAGGGTTGTGATGCTCCAGGATGGACTTAACGCCCTCGTATGTCGAAAAGAAGGCCCCGGAGGATGGCAGGGTGGCGATGATGACACTGCCAACCCCTTGGTAAACGCCTCGAAACATTGACCGGTTGACGCCATTGTTTGCGGCGTTGGTATACAGTCGTTTGTAGTCAGGCGACTGGAGCCGGGTTTTGATCGTATCTAATGGATAGACGATGAGATCAACAGTAAAGGCTGCAACAGCGCCAGCTATCCATATATCAACCTAACCATAAGTTCAGCATGCAGAAGTAGATGTGCCGAACGAGAGACATACATTATGATTCTCGGACATTGATGTCCAGGGTTGTGCAATGCGTAATGCTGTTACAATGGCCTTCAAGCGAACATCATTGACACACGTTCGCAATTTGCTTGAGCTTCTGCATGGCTTTTCCCCACAAGCCACTCCCATCTCCATGAACTTAGTTTGTGCTCCCGGAACGGCTCCGAGACTAGACCATGTGAATCGTAAACAGTTGAACGTCATACTGCACATTGCACGCGAGCTATCAGACGTGTCGCAATATTGGATGCATTCTTTTGCGCTGCAATCTGTTCTTGTAGACACCGTCAACCGTGACTCTTTGGGGCGCCGTCCGTCATCCTAATCTGTACCGTCCCTACAAGCAAGCATGCCAACCCCGAGCGAGCTGGATGTCCTACCATCAGCACCATCACCCATTGAGGCCTCATCGTCACGGACAGGTTTCGCTAGCTGTCCGCCGGAGGAGGAACGCGTACCTCACGCGCCAAGAACAGAAAGATTGGCCACACCGGAGTCAGATGCGGTAGAGTCTGACAGCGCGGAGGATGAACCCATGAGGGTGCAGGGACCGACACCACATGTGGACGCGGAAACTCTCCCTTCAGAGGATGTAGATGGTGTCGAAGCGCACGACAAGGCAGAGCACATTGAAGATGCAGGCATCGAGGTCGACGTATCAAGTTCACCTGAGTCGTTAGATGCATCCACTGCGAGCGATATAAAGCCGGCACGATCAACACCGATTACAGCGAAAATACCTAGCGACGATGAGCCGCTCTACCTCACATTTCCGAATGATAGGTTAAGGGTGCGCCGAGTTTAGATCACTTCCGAGACCGAACGTTCGGCTGACGAGTATTCCAGAGAACGCCCAACTCTACGTCCTCGCTCTTAAGGCCAGGCAGTAGGTTCAGGGGTACTCAGCAGTCAGACCGACAAGTCTACGATGTCCAAGTTGAAATTAAAGACGTCGACATGGCGGAATCGTTCCTGTGTGGCTACCTGCGGATACAAGGTATGGGTTAGTGTCTTGCGCTCAACGATCCGAGCTTGCTGACACAGTGGTGACAAGGTCTTACCGACGATCATCCAACACTAACGACCTTCTTCGAAGGCGAAATAGTTGGGCCTAAGTATCTGTTCAAGACAACGCATCCGACGTGGGGATCATCCGAGAAGGTTGACCTGCAACACTGGGCACGCTTTCCAGCATGGCGGCCACTCGCTAAGAGCGCCAAGTCGCCCAATTTCACCCTGAAGAACTATCAACAGCGTGAACACCTGTTCATGCGCTGGAAAGAGTACTTCTTGGTGCCAGATCACCGGGTGAAAACCATCACTGGCGCATCGTTTGAGGGCTTTTACTATATCTGTTTCAACCAGTGTACGGGTACAGTCAGCGGCATCTATTTCCACGCGAAGAGCGAGAAGTATCAGCAATTAGAGCTGGAGCACGTCGACGACAAGGGTTGCATGGGCGCGATAGAGTTTCGATGACCACGAGGGTGGTCGCACGTGTATGGCGATGCGTTCCGAAGCGAACTGTAACATTACGATCCGAGCGTGTCTGCTCTCTGTAGACGACCATTGTACAGCTGGCCCGTTTCCCAGGAGGCTTCCGTGATGGGGTCTGCGCGGCAGCTGGCAGTCGATATCTAATTGGCTCGCCGGACGCGAAGCACGTGACAGGGACCAGACTCGGTCAGACCACTCGGGAATGGGTCGTTCAGCCAGCATGAACTGTCTGCAACACTTTTCCCGAGATCAACGTGCCATGCGGGTCAGAAACAGCAGAGTACAAGACTCACATTGAAAACTTTCGTTCATACAAGCTTTATTGACTCGCCAGTCACCAACTTGGCAGCGAACAATGACTCCAGTGCGTCTGTAACGTTGTATATGCAGGTCGGCACCACGATATTCAGGACAACGCCTGACGCATTCAGTAAGTGGTTCGAATATTCGGAGAGGCTGGTATAAAGCGGGGAGACCTTGCACGCCATGCAGGCGGGGTGTAACGCCCTTCTTCCCTATCAAGGCAATAGACCAGAAAGACGACCGCTCTACGCAAGCCACTTCCTACCCCTCGCACCAAAGATCACCTGAAACCGCATGAACAAGTGAGTGCAAACGTCAACGCGGCCACCTGGCCTGCCTGGTGCACATGCAAGCTGCGCAACCAGTGTGGCATGATGTCCACTTGAACTAGCCAGAGTACAAAGGCAGCTGGGAGTAAGTGGTTATTTCCTAGACTCAACATCCTGCTGTGTCTGCGGTTAGTCTTGCTATCTTCCACGTTCGTTTGCCAATTGCACTGTCGCTCTCCGTCATTCCTTGGTACGGTCGTCGCGCATAAAACTATGGGTATCATGAAGATCTCCAGCATGTTCATGGTTACAGCGGCTGTGATGCCCGCTCTGGCCCAGCTGTCCGCGCTCCCATCTTGCGCGGTAGGCCTGATTTTTCGTGGATGTGGGTACGAAGACTGATCGAAACGCAGCTTGCACCAGCACTCGCCGCCATCGGATCAACAGGTTGCAGCGCGACTGACATCGCCTGCACGTGCTCCGACTCGGCTTTCGTTGCCGCTTTGGCCCCGGCCATTCAGGCTGCCTGTAGCCCGTCCGATCTTGCGCGTACGTCGGAACTTGCTTGGGCAATCAATTTTTCCCGGCGCTAATAATGGACAACAGAGGCTATCCAGGCCGCCACCGTCCTGTGCGCGCAAGTCGGCGTGTCGCTGGGTCTGCCAGCAGTTAGCGGCGCCGCGACCGGCAGTACAGCCGTAGCCGCAGCCTCAATCCCAGCGCTTTCAACCACTTACTCTGCTGTCACAACTTCAGCCGCATCACCATCATCCTCTGCAGGGCCAGCTCTGTCAACCACTTACTCTGCTCCACCAACCTCAACGGTACCAGCTCTCTCGACGACATACTCCGCACCACCCAGCTCCTCTGCAGCGCCAGCAAGCTCGTCGCGTGTCTCGAGCAGTGCGGTGGCGCCAGCTAGCTCTTCGACGACGCCAGCGAGCTCGTCCCCAGCATCCAGCACTGTTGCGCCTGTGAGCGCCTCTGTTACTGTCGCCTGCATGGTCACCCAGATCAGCGACGGTATGCATAATCACAAGCGTTGGCGTCCAGAGTTATTGACACCGGCTTGAGGCCAGGTCCAGGCACCGTCAGCCGTGACCCAGATCAGTGACGGTAGGTTGTGAGTCGAAGGGACCAGAGCCACAATCGGCTGACACGCGGTCACAGGTCAGGTGCAAGCTCCGGCGTGCTCTACCATAACGGTTCGACCCGTCTCGCAGATCAGCGATGGTACGCCTCCAGAAGCCGCTCTGCTACCCAGGAATACTCGCCTGCTAACCAGACATCATAGGCCAAATACAAGCTCCGGGTATCACCTCCTCTGCGCGCCCAGTCAGCCAAATCAGTGACGGTATGTAAAGAGTGATTGCAAGCCATGTACGGCCCTGACAGTAGGCTCCAGGCCAAGTGCAAGCTCCGGGTAGCTCCACCTCTCGCACTCCCTCTGTCGCTCCAGCATCGGCCTCAGCGACATCCCAGGCGTCCCTCACCATCTCCAGCATGCAGGCCGTCAACGGTACGCTAGCTACCGCTACCCTCCGAACGTAAGTGCATGACATGATCTTCACGAACCTGACTCCACTGGCTAACATGATGATGGAGATCATCTGCTTCGACCGTCAACGCCGCAGCTCAGCAAACCGGTGCCGCCGTGCCAGAGGTTATGATGGACAAGGTACTTGGTGTCATGGCCGCAGTCGCTGGTATTGTCTTTGCCCTGGCATAGAGGTAGCGCATGCATTGGTGATTGGAATGAGGCGAAAAAGATAAGGGATGATGCAATGCGGAGAATGGGAGAATAGAGTGGTGTACTGCATACAGGTATCGCAAGTGGGCAGAATGTGGTTATTACCCGCTCATCCAAGCCATCATGCGATCGCCGCCAAATCTGGCAGCAAAGCGCAAGCCTTGCGAGCCCATAGGGAAGTAGGAGACTAGATACCATACAAGCGCCACAAGCTGCACGATCGCGGTGAGCAGGGTGAGTATGGTGCTCCGCAACTGGCAAATCGTTAGCCACGTCCAGCGCTATTCGTGGCTCCGACTGAATGCGCCTGGTTGGGAAAAAGTCGGACCCATTCCTGACCGGAACGCAAGACATTGCTCCACAGCAACATGCAGAGTAGGCTGTGAGGGCAGGTGCAGGGTTGGAAGGATCAAGAAGGCCACGTCGGAAATTACCGATTTGACTTACTCCGAGCGCAAAGTACAGCGTAAGCGCTATGCTGCCAAAGTAGGTGGCGGTGAACGGTAGTCTCTCTGGCGAGATCAAATGGCGGGCTATGTTGTCAACGGCTGATCAGCGAAATGTCTCAGACAAAGGATTAACAATGCAAGCCACGCCGCGAATCCCCGAGCCTTGATTGCTGCGGAATGTCTAGACGGCAGCTACGCAAGGTTCCAGGTGTGGTGTGGATGGGTGTGCTCTTACCGTACACTATCGGGCCCATCAGGACGGCCCATGAGCTTAGAAAGAGTGCCGAAGCCATTGACCATCTGACCGAGAAATGTTAGCGTACCATATCTCTCGCGCTCTACGAATAGCCCAGGCTGTAATGTGAGAGGCGCAATGCAAGGGTGCCGAGTGGTGAGGACAGAAGTGTATACGTCTGGTTCGAACAAGATAGACCACTCGGATCCGCCCAGGCCCACTTAAGCTGCAGATCAAACGGGCCTTGCCACTGCAGCTTGCATCCGCTGCCGTTGCGTGGCTGCACTGACCCTGTCGTTTCCGGTTGATGATGACGGTCCGGCTGATCTTTCGTGAGCAAGAGATACGAGGCGCTGCACACCCTCTCATTCACGCGCACATGATCCAGAGTCGGGGAGAATGACCAAGATAGAAAAACTAAGCATACGTACAGTATCGCGAACTTGCGCGGCCGGAGACTGAGTATTGGCAGTAAGGTGAAGCAAACGACGAATAAGGCGATGGCAGCTAGATTGAGGCCGCCGAAAACGAGGATGCGGTCCCATCGACTGACTGTACATAGTAGTCAGCAGGGTCCGCGGAAGAGCATCCGAAAGGCAGTGCTGCTGAGTGGAAGACTGTTGAGGAATGCCCAGTGGAGAGCCTAGAAGACTCTTGCAGGCCGCGAGCAGGCATGACTCGCAGATGCGAATGCTATGACCCGCAGCAGCCTCAGGGTAGTTGTATCCAGGTAGCAGTCCATGACCGCAGGGGTACATGCAAACGACCTCCATGTCCAATCGAAGGAAAACGTGTGCGTGGATTTGGTGATGGTGGTCATTAGCGTGCTAGGAGAACATCGTGACTTACGCGCAAACCACCCTTCTTCTTCCTCACGCCGTGACCGCGCAGGAAGTGGTGCCCCAGGTGCCTCGCCTTCATGTGTGGGCAGCCTTACGAATCCATCGCTGCCGAATGGGTTCAGCTTTTGCAGTGTGCCGAATATTGAACTCTCTCTGCTTGTGTTGGCGGGTTGCTCGCGGCGAGCCCATCCTAGATTGTTCATGCTTTCTCTGAAGGAGGTGGAAGCCATTGTCTCAACAGGGTGGAAACTTTCACAGCAGCTCGTGTAGACAATGAAGCTGTCAAAGCTAGTGCGGCGTCGGGGTGACGGAAGGTTGCATCAACCAGGAAATGATGCAGCCTAAAAGAGGGTCGCAAGGCCGCCTTCGAATTTGACCTCTGCCGCACAAGCCGATTGGCAAAGAGGTTCGCTATATGGCTGCCTTTTGCCACCGTGGACCCGCGCGAAGAAGGCGTAGACGCTTCGTGTAGATTCTTGGCAGGTGTGGTGCCAGGTTGTAAGTAGCCTCAGACAGAGACGCAGCGAGCTAATGCGTCGTTCGGATGAGCTCCGCAGGCTGCACAGGCGGGATGATCGTGCCGTCTACCGTCGGGGATTTGGATCTGGTGCGGCAAATGGCAAGGTCCAATGACAGTTATGCGAGACAGAAAGGTGTCAAACAGTCATGCACACAGATCGCCCTGGCATACGAAGCACCGCCTGGCAAGCTTGGAGCAAACAATGTCGCGAAGGTAGGGCGGGAGTGCAATGTCCGGATCGGTACCCGTTGTCTTGCACCACCACCACAATAACAACCTAGGCCTGCTCGAGCTGTGAATGGGGTTGGGAAGGTAGTAGTAGCGTGAAGCACTGAAATGGGGATGGAAAGCTGTGCCAATCGCACAACCACGTCGGAGTTCGGCCGGCAGATGTGGCTGATACGACCGGGGAAGATTGCCCGGAAAGCCTATTCAATTCCAAGTGCACCTGCACAAACCAGAGGCAGAAACCAACAGTGTGGATGAAAGAGCGTTCGAGGGCGCTACGTGTGCTCTCACATGAGTCATCATCTCATCTGCGGACGTGAAACCAGTTGGCGTGTGTCCCTTATTGCAGCACCTGATGGAGGGCGCGGACGTCTTACGGAAGCATATAAACGCGGCTCTGCTGTCGTTCAAACGTTGATATCGTGGTTGAGTGAGTAGCTCACACACGTCAATTACATACGCTTGTCAGTCATCGCCGTCATCATCGCCGGCTCTCGGCCGTGCCCTGTCTTACCGATATCGCCATTCCATCAACTCTCGCCCTTGACCGTTAGGGCACCTTGACGCCTTGACGTTCCGGCCTGCTGGTCCGCCAAGACACCCTCAGCGTCATACCCTTGCACCGCCGCAACCGCCGCTGCAACCCAGTGCTTAACAAGACAGGTATCACTCTCACCCTCGAATCCTCGTCCGCGTCCTGCTTCGACCGTGGAATGCATTGTCACCCGTTAGCCACCATCAACCCTAACATGTGCCACGCGTAGCGACACAAGGCGTCTTTTGACAGGAGACACAAAGCCAAAGGCGGATCTGCGTCCCGCCACGGTCGCACAGCGTACGAACCCCACCAAAGCCACCGCCCACTCTTCCCACACATTCTTCGTGTGAAGAGCGCAGCTCAAGGCCGCTGATAAGCGGTGCTCGAAAGCTTCAGCCTTGCTCTAAACTACCAGCAGTCTTCGCTTGCTTCCGACCTTGCATTGCAATTCGTTCGCCCCTCCACCAAACAGCTGCAAACTAGCTGCGCCAACCCACTGCGAATATCTGCGACCTCGACCGGGGAGCTCCAATCACTGCAGTCCAGCTTGTCGCGGCACTAGCCGCTTCTTGCGAACTCGACATCCGTTTCGCACCTCCTTACGGTAAGTGCATACCAGTCCTATCTCGTCGTTCATGCGGCGGCCGGAAGTGCTCGGCGCGTCTGCAATATCCATACCGCAGTGCTTCCGGGCCTGGGCAACCTGGGCAGCTTATGGCAGGGCGTTCCGCGGGCGACCGAACCTCTCTTACACTTACGGAGACTGACACTCTGTCCAGGACAATACCGCGCGCGCGTTGTTGCTCGTCCTTGACCTGACCGGCGCAATCCGAACAGACTGTCGAAGGAGATTGAGGATTCGCGAGGACACCACTGTGCAGCCGCAGGGAAGGACCCTGCCGGATACAGTTCGGCGACGTGGGAAAGCACCATCCACGCCATCGACCAACAACTGCACAAGCTCGAATAATCAAGGCGATAGCCACGGCTGAGGGATGATAGCGCCCTGTAAGTCTTCCCGTGCTATGTAGGCTTGGAAACGGAACTGACTTGCATTCACAAAGCCAAGGAGAATCTCACGGTCTTTCCTCCCTTCAACAGCCACGGCAACCACGATTCACCGATAGACTTCGGCTTCGAGCGGGACAACACAATGGGTGACACATATATCAAGTCGGAGCCGAATGACTCCTGGTACGATCCGAACCAATTCATAAGCTTCCCACAAGGTCAACAACAACACTTCAACAACGCATCCGGCAACATGAATATGAACATCAATCCGGCCAGTCTGACCAACGGCGGAGGTAACAGTTTCGGAGGCGGCAACTCCGGCATTGCCGACGACGAACTGCTCGACCTTCAGTTTGATCAGAGTCAGCAGCAGAACGGTCGCTTTGACATGAACCAAGGCATGCGCAACTTCATTCACCAACAACAGCAACAACAAGCCGTGCAGCAGAACGCGGGAATGCAAGGCACTGGATTGTTCTCCCATACGCCTGACGGTGCACCCATACAGTCACCATTCACTCATGCCTTTAACTTCGCACAATTTCGGCCTGAGCAACAGTTCGCTGGCGGCCACAGCATGCCGCAACAATCCGCAAGCTTCCGCCCACATGCGCAACACCGCCAGGTCTCCGACTCAAGGTCGCCAGCAACACCCAGCATACAAGTAGCCGAAGATTTTCCAGGAATGCAACAAATCCGTGGTCATCGGAGACAGCAGGGCTCGCTAGGCGGCAACGGCTGGGATAGTACTCCTAGCGGGCATAGCTGGGGCGAGTCATCACCCTTTCCATCTCCCGCAAACGGACAGCCGATGCACGCGCAGATATCCGAGGTTCTCAAGAACAATGGGCACCACGGTAAAGTTGCCTCGTCTCTCCCTGCCAAGATGGAAGGTAGTGGAATGCCAAATGTGCAGTCACAGGAAGCCAAACGCCGTCGGCGACGAGAGTCACACAACGCCGTTGAACGGAGGCGGCGCGATAATATCAATGAGCGCATCCAGGACCTTGGCACGCTTTTACCGCAGCACAGACTTGAGGATGAGAAAGTGCGCAAGCACTTGCAGACCAATGCGCCGCTCTCTCCATCAATCACCAATTCCGGCATGTCTCCACCGGCCGCCACGTCACTGCTCGCTGGCCCGCAAGGTCGCCGTGCGACCGGTGCTGGCAACATCACGCAGGGCTTGCCACTCGACGACAAGGACAAAGGTCCCAACAAGGGTGACATCCTCAACGGTTCTGTCTATTGGGCCCGCGATCTGATGTGGTACACGCACCTCAAACTGAGACAGGAAGAGCAGCTCAAGGAGCTTGTGCAACAGCTTGGCGGCATATGGCCGTTCGAGCAATCCGAGGACGAGCGGCGCATGCATAGCGAAATCTGCGAGGTCATCAATAAACATGTCAGCGACGACAGCATCAGCCAGTACACGCGCGGTCCCGGCTCTGGTAAGTTGAGCGACGTGTGACATCCTACGTGAGCATGTGACACATAGCTGACTCTTTACATCGTTCTCTAGGCTTGCGCGTCCCTGGTTTTACCACCGTTGCTGGAGAGACCCTGAACGGAGACGGCCAACCTGCAAACAATGGCTTCGCTACGCATCAGGCCATGAGTCCAGGGTTCCAATCCGGAGGCAGCGGAATGAGCAGTGGCAGGTCCCATCAGCAGCCCAACAACAACTACTGGCCCGGGGAGTTCAAGGAGGAAGACGAGTATGGCATGGAGATGCAGTAGTGAACTCGGCATTCCGGAGACCATACCGTCGCAAGCCCAGCGACTGCCGCCTACAACAGCTTGTTCTTCGTGAACATGGTGAAACGCTTCGTTTGCGTAGACTCCGGCTGCTGCAGTGACATACAGCCAACTTGATACAGATCTCCCCACTTCGACCATCTACCCGGCGTTTACGGCAACACCTGCGATGATTTCCGCGATGATACCACCCTTGATCTTGGCTTTTGCGGGCCCCGCTCGTCTTTCACTCGTTTCAAGATACCACATCTTGTAGCATTCCTGTTGGCGTTCGCTATACCAGTGTAATGAAGGACTCGGTTGGGCTTGTGGTTATGGCTACGGCGTTGCTTGGGGAGTGCTATTAGGTGGAGAGCAAGCAATGCTGCTAATGACGATACACTTGAGAACTATGCATATCAGGTACGGCCTAGACTGAGAACCCTGCATTTGCGCGCATCTGGGCAGGAGTTGAGTTCTGGGAGTGCAGACTTGAGGGTTAGATGACCACAGAACTTGTACTGGTCTTGTGCAAGGCTTCTCTTGCGAGTATCTAGAGGCAACTGATGTGCTGCGATAGAAAGCTTGGCATGAAAGACAGCCTCCTTCCGATTGCCTTAACCGTCTCGTAGCACCCCAATGCGCTTCGGTGCTTAACGTCCACGACCCTCCTCACCAACGAACTTACATCATGGTGCATCTCCGTGCCGTGAACGCGCTGTAGTGGCAGCACGCACAGCTGTCGTTCTAAGCGTTCATATGTGCGGCGTACGATGGCCTCCCAGTGAGCCCAGCCACGCGTTCGCTTTCAGCGCAGCCCGTAATGCCAACGATCAGCACGGCCTATACAGCGTCAGGGCAGTGACCTGCGTAAGGAAAGTGTGCTAGTATCCACTCGTTCCTGATGGAATCAGTGCGGTCCAGCGCTACTCCGAACAGCGGCTCATTGCTACCGAAGAACTTCAACGTCTTCACCTCTCTGTTTGCTGCTGCCCTTCTTCGCTCTGTGCGGCACCGTCTTCGGGCTTCTCCTGGAAGCCCAGATTTCTCATCGAGTCCGGCGCCATCAGATTGCTTAGTCGCCACCATCCCCGTCAGCTTCCATTATGTCTGCAAACATGCTTCATTGGATGGCTCACCGTTCCATCCTACATTGCAGATACGATTTAGATAGCTCTCTACATTCGTCATCGTTGACGCCGCGATGGCTGCGCAGGCATTTGAGGTATTGCTTCATGATTGGCTGGCATTCGGCTTCGTGATCGAGTGGAAAGGAGCCTCGTTCTGGCGGAATTGGCTTGGAGATGATTTGCCGTCCTCCCGGGCTACCGAAGGTGCTCATTGTTGCTCACTTCGCTTTGCTGTTCGATTGAAATATAATCGCTTCGTTACTGAATACATAGACTTCCTTCCGCATCCCTGAGTGGAGCATGTGGAGGGCGCTCGCTCGAAAAAGCGAAGACGCGCCGAGCTTAAGCGTTTAAAATTACATACTACGCACGACTGTCTTTCCATCTATTCACGAGAAGTAAGACATCGAACATGACCAATGGAGAAGAGTTGATTGTGATATACAGGCAGCGTCCGCGTAAGAGGCGGAGCTGCGTAAGGTTGCTTATTTTGCCTTCCAATACTCAAACAGATGCCGCTCGCTGTGCAATCGCCACGAGCCTTCCACCCCCCGCACGCTACGCTATGCAGAATAGTCTCGATGCCATCCGCGAAAAACGCCATGCTGAAGCTCAGAAGATTGCTAAGAGATTTAGTCCACCGTCGACGGGCAGATGGACACCGATCAGTAGGTGGACAGATACCACAGGAAAACGGCGCTCAGATGTAGTCTCTCCCGCTCTTTTGGAGCTCAATGAGCTTCCAGCCTCGAGTCTCCGGGTTCGCCACATCCTCCGGTATCCTGGTCACCCCGATCGCGTATGTGACCTGCTGCACTTTGTCTTCCATTCCAGCGGCGAGCTCGCCGCTTTTGGCGTTGCGGTAGACGTGTACCTCTTGCGTCCGGCACATGAGCACGAACACCGGGATCTCACCCGGCTCCAGCATCCTTGCAGACAAGATGTCTACGTTGCGGATGTCGAGAATCTTGCCGTCCGACTTCAGACCAGCCTGGGTATACTGGTGCATCAATGCCGAGTAGACTTGAAACTGCGCAGCGGAGAGCCAGAGTTTCAATGTCTCTACGTCTCCCTTCACGTATGCTTCAAGTACTTCGGGAAGAATGTAGGTCCGCATCTCTGTCAGAAACGGCTCCAGTTGAAAGGAAGGATCCATCTCTCGGAACTTCTTAATGACCATCGCCGTCTCGTTCTCGGCGAAGAAGCCCGCAATTCGGTCACTAACCGAGCGTGCGGTGCTGATCAGCGGGTTCTCTGACTCGCGGTATTTCGAGCCGAGACCGAAGAACCGCTGCATCAGTGGGTTGTTGTCACGGAAGCTGCGCCAGGACTCTTTCCACGCGGAGTCTTTGTGGAGGGTGACGTTAGTACCAGCGTTGGGATCCTCATCGTGGACCTCGTCAGCTGGCTTGGGACCGGTGCCTAGCCTGGCTTCACGCTCAAGCCGCTGTCGCCGGCGCTCTTCTTTCTCCGTCCACCCGCCATAGCGTTGCGACGCACCGTTGTCGATCGTGTCCTTAACGCTCTTGTACGCTTCAGTCTGTCGCACTGGTCGCGTAGCCTTCTCCACACCGGCGCCCACTGCCGCAGCGCCGTGCCGTAAGCCTTTCACGACAGGGGTTTGCCACGTCCACGCCGCACTTCGTCCGATCATGCCTGCTGTGCCTAGAAATGCCTTACCGGTGACCGTAGTCGCTGCCTCAGCAGCCTTCGAGTAGGCGCTCCTTGCTCGCTGGACGTTGGGATTTTGGGTGAAATCGTGAATACTCCCACTAAGCTGCTTCGTGCTCTCCTCCCACTCCTTGCTGGCCTTGAACTCGGCATTCAAAGTCTCGGTGAAGACCTGCCATGGGGTCTTGTTGCCGTGGGGTGGTGGAGCTGTCTCTTCCTTCTTCTTCTCCTTCTGCTCCCTGCCCTCGTCGCCGGGAGCTTGGTCCTCCTCTTCTTGTTGCTTCTGCTGCTGCTTCTGGAACCGAGCAAAGTCTCGCTCCGCTTCTGCTCTTGCCTTGGCGAAGGCTTCCTCTGCTTCACTGGAAGTTGACGTCTCCTGCCGGACTTGTTCTGACTCAACCTCTGGTCGTGGTTGGGCTTTCGCCTGCGGTTGTGATGGTGGTGGAGCCGCAGACTGTTGCTGCTGTGCTTCACCCGCCCTTTGTCTCGCCCGCTCTTCTCGCATCTCCTTGAACGAAATGTGCCTCACTGACACAGTTGGTGAAGGTAGTAAATGAGGAAGAAAGTGAGATCGAAGCGCAGAAGGTCGCACTATTGGTGATGGAGCATGTTGCCGCCATCGTGATGATGCTTCGCTGTATTGCCGTAAGTGTTGCGCTATCCGTCGGTAGGCTGCAGTGCGTCCATAGGAGAAGGATGGATATATATCGCCTCCTGCTCGTGATGAGAGGCTGCGGAATGCGGTTGTGCTCATGCTAGGTTGTCGCACCACAGTTCGAAGCCTCACGAAGGTTTTGGTTATCAGACAGAGATATGAACAAAACAGTGTTGTAGAGAGTGTACTTCGTTCAGGCGCAAAGAGTGTTGGTGCCGCATCCCTCACATGACAGGGCAGAACTCTTGAGCTTCGGAGGTTCAGGGCGGGCTTGGCAGAGCTGTCGAAAGAGGAAACAGCACGCTTTCGAGGCACACGAACATCTTCGCCTCCTTCTCGACAGCGAGAGTATAAGCGAAACACGATGGCTGCGCCACGAGTACAACGGCTCGTGACCCCATTCGTATGTCAATCCTGTCGCCATAAAATCCTCTCCCAGCACTCTATCCTCCGGACCTTCTCCACGACCTCCGTCTACCGCGCCGACGACCCTCCACCCGCGGCCAGTGCCGTTCAAACTACTCTCGGTGCGCTGAGCAGCAATATCACCACCTCTAATCGTTCAAAGGGGTTCAACAGTCCCACTCCGCCCAGCAAATCAATGGGGTTCATAGACGCCCTTGACGGTGGCACATCGGACGATCGAGACATTGATAGTCTACTGGGCGAGTACTCTAGCCGCAACCAGAATCCAACCTATCTACAAAAGCCACACCGAATCTACGTCTATTCGACGAAGCACAACACTCACATTACCTTCGTACAACCACCCAAGTCAGCCGCGGAGACGTCGGGTTCGGGGATCAGTAGCAGCGGCGCCAGTGCAGCGGAGAAGTCGAAGATGGTCACCGTCCTCCTATCTGTCAGTGCCGGTAACCTCAACTTCAAGAAGGCGGCAAGGGGAAGCTACGATGCCGCGTATCAGCTTTCAGCATTTGTGTTAGGTCAAATTCGGGAAAGGGGCATGCTGCGGGATGTTCGAGGTCTGGAGGTCGTATTGAGAGGCTTCGGTGCGGGGAGGGAAGCATTTACTAAAGTCATGCTGGGAGCCGAGGGAAGAAACTTGCGAGGGAGGGTCTCGGCGGTCATTGACGCGACACGTTTGAAGCTGGGCGGACCACGTGGTAAGAGGCCGCGACGGTTGGGCTGAGACAACTCCACAACATCTTTCTTAGTCTCTGCGGCCCTGATGTACGCGGAATCCACATCGCTATGGAAGTTCGGAGCATCGGCGTCTTTGGGCTATTCCAGATTCTTCCAATTCGCCATTCTCGGATCGTGATATTCTTCCTTCCACCACGCGACGAACTTCACCATCCTTTCTTGCCGGGTTTCGGCCCTCCTGATACCCTCCGCCGTCTTGATCATTGTATGCCGATGCAACAACACCCTGGGAACAACCTCGCCCATCTCGTGGAGCCGGGACCCTTTGACGGCATTGAAAACGAAGCACCTTCCCAATCCGACCGCGCCGATACCGTCCAGCCGGTCGGCGTCTGCCACAATGGCGACTTCCGGATACTCCATCACAATTCGCTTCGTCTCCTCTCTATGTTTGTCCTCGTATGAGCATGAGATGAACACAATCAGTCGCTTGATCGTGTCGATCAGCTCCCTGGGTGTACCGTGCTTTTCCAGAACGGACTCGACTGTTGGATCTCCAGGTTCGAATCTCGCAGGTGTGGCCGGGCGGCCGATTGGCTCACGTTCGACAAGTGCAGCGCTCTGCAATCGACTTCGCTTTCGTTCTTCGCGCCGCCGGTCGACAAACTTGCCATCTTCGATGTCGTGAAGTACAGCCAGGAGCTTGACGAGCAAGACATCGTACTGAAGTGTCGGGTCACGCTGTTGCTCGGAGGCAAGGAGCTCTTCGCAGAGCTGCAAAACTCGCCTGATATGCGCGGCATCGTGGGACGAATCCCAAGGCGGTGCGTCCATGTATTCTTGGACGGTTTGGCCCACATCAGCCAGGAGTTTGTCCGCCTTGGCCTGGGCTTCGGCTGGAGTGCACCCTGGGTACCATCTAGCCATGACTGTTGATTTTGAGGGTGACTAGGTGGCGTTCGAGCGAGACTATACGGATGACGAATTAAATGAGCGAGCTTCTGTTGCGAAGTGGCTGGATGCTTTCACCGACTCAGCGATGGTAGGCAGGCTGGCCTAAGGTTGCACGGCGATGAACGCGTTTATTTTTCGCGGGCATACGAATCTGGTTGATGTGGCAAGGAGGAAGCGGTTGGGGAGAGGAACATGCTGGCCCGCTCTTTAGTTACTGGACTCGTCAGATGTCCGTACTCCTTCGAAGATGCGATCAGCATGGAGCGAACCGTGGCGCTTGCTTTGTCCTCGGGACAAAGGTCGGGTCGTTTCCGTCGCTTGACGCTCACGAACCGCTCTCATAGGAGTCTACGTCGATAATGCAACAATACACGACGCTATCATGCCATTCTCTTGCCGGCATGGGGAATAGTTGACCCAACCATGGTGCTGTCGATAGCCTCGAAGCTGGCGATAACGAGAGACCGGCTGCCTAGCTACCATTGCCTGCATTCTTCGCGAGGCGGATCCACCGGTGACTCGAAATGTACCCAGGATGCACGCAGAGCTAAGACTGTTAAGTAGTCAAGTAATACATAGTTTAATCCCGTCCTCATCGCCGACCAACACCGGTCTCGAGGTACTGTACTGTAGGCGAAGTAGTACAAGGGGCGTATATGCGGCTTTCTACATCCCGCCTCACTCCACACTTGCGAGCCGCAGGCCGCATGCTCCGGCCCGCTAGCTACCGAACGCGTGGCAGTCCAGATGCGAACTCCTGCGGCACTCGCTAGGCGCATAGTCGTAACCATCGTCTAATGCGCCTGAACGAGTTGTTGCTCGAACATATGTCATAGTAATACGAGGCCCACGATATGAGGCGCACGACATGAGAACGCTGGGACCGCCTGGATGCAACCACTAAATCCGTTCTTGCGCGCCTTTTTCCGAAGCGCACTACCGTCGCAATGCTCGCCCATCAATCAACATGTGCTGCTGGTCCCGACAACCGAAGTCCTGCTCAACGCGAAAGATCGCGAGTCCAACAGCCCATATGCGGAGCTAGTGACAAGCGAGGAGTTCCTTGGCAGCCATGTGTTGCGTGTGCCAAACGGAAGTCAATCTGGCAACACCGTTGGGGAAGGCGGCAATGTGCGCGAACAGAAGGGCAAGGCGAAACAATACACTACCATCAATGGGCGGACGGTGATCGTTAAAGATGCCTTCGTGTATAGCAACAAGGGTTACAAGACGCTAAACCAGGCGCAACTCTTACAGGATATCATCTACTATCCTGATACGCTCGATGGGCAGCAATGGCTAGTGTACTACATATCCCGGCCTTTAATGGGCTCATACCAGGCAACGCCCGTCATACCAGCTGTCATTAGTGATGAACCAAGCAAAGAGCGACGGAAGCTGCTTGCTGAAGCTTCAGAAACTACGATATCAGGCGCTGGCAGCCCGCCCCTTTTACCGAAGAAGAAAGACGTCAAGAGTTTTGCAGATCTGCTCAACCAGTTTCCAATGATATCGAGACAGATGCAACCGGGCCTTGAGCGAATTATCCGCGACTTCGTAGCCATCAATGATAAGCCAGTACAGAAGCCTCGGTCTAGACGGTCATCTGTAAGCTCGCAGACACCGTCTGTCAGCAGTTCTGTCGCCTCAATCAAGTCTTCATTGTCCGGTAGTACGACCGTGCATCCGACCGCTTTGGAGTTAGAGCCAGAGGAAGAAACCATCCGAACTTCGCTGGAGACTGCCATAACGGCAGCCATCGATCTGTTCCAGCAGGTCGACAAACAACAGCTATCACTTCTCGGTGCCAACACAGAGCTTACCGGGCCGGTTGTGGAGCGTATGATTGAACGATACGTCGCTGAGCAAGTCCACGATCAGACCGTCTTTCCCAAAGTGTGCGCTGTTCGGAAGGCTGACGATAGCGACCTGGACTCGAAGATCCGTAAGATGTCCGACATCGACATTGCGCAGGTCGGGATTCCTGTAGAAGATGGGATGAAGGGCAAGCGTGAGCTTGCGGACCGGTTGGCGAAAGGTGGTGACGCGTTCAAGAGGATGGGCGTCGCTAGCAGCGCGCAAGAGATGCTTGAGATCTTACTAGCTACGCAGAAGGCTGTCACTGACGTGCCGAACTCAGGGGCTGATTCGGGCAACGCGCTGACTGTGAATGCTGACATCCTGGTCTCTATGTTACTTGTGGTTGTCATCAGAAGCGGCGTGCGACACTTGCACTCGCGCTTGCTGTATATGCGGTACTTCATCTTTACGGACGATGTTGAGAGCGGAGAGCAAGGCTATGCGCTGGCAACGCTTGAAGCCGTGCTGAACCACTTGACAAACGCGTCGCACGCGCTCCGCAAAGCTAGTAAGCGTAACAAACAGCTGTGGCAGGCATCGCGTGGCGGTGATGTGCAGGCGCTGGAAGCCATACTGCAGCCGTCAATCATCGCGCCTAGTGAGGACGCCATTTCTGAAACTCCTGATGCAGTCAATGACGAGTCGTCAGAAGACTCGGCACCGGAGACATTGCATCTTCGCGAGGAAGCCATAAAAGATCTCCGCCCGAGCGAGGGTAGAATGCCGGAGTTTGCCGCGGTCAACGGTTCGCTTGGCCATGTATTTCCGTTCCAGAGACCGCCAACACCGCCTCCCGAGCAAACAAGTGCGAAGATGAAGAAAAGAGTGTCCATGGCGTCATTACCGCGCAGCCAGTCGCAGTCATCAGGCTACTCGTCGCGATCACATTCGCGCAAGAGGAGCATTGACTCGACTCTCAGCCTCGGACCCGGCGGCGACCTCTCGTCGGAGAAGCTTGCGCAGACCCAAGATCCTGACGGCAATTCTGTGCTGATGATGGCGGTTGACGGTGGTCAAGTTCAGGCGCTTAGATTCCTGCTGAGCATTCCAGCGCACTTTCGAGCCGAGTTTGTCCTTGATGATGGGAACAACGCTGGTACCACCTTGCTCAGCGCGGCTGTACAGTCAGGTAACCGAGCGGTGGCCGATGAACTGCTTGAGTTCCTTCGGAAGCATACCTCAGACGAACAATTACAGCAATACCTAGCGGTACAAGACGCACAGGGCCGCTGCGTAGCTCACTATCTCTTCAACCAGCCGCATTTGATACAACGATTCGGTAAGAAGCTGCCTTGGCGGCTCAAGGACATGAACGGCCAGACACCGCTGTTTGCGCTCTGCCGTTCCTACGATCACCGCCAGTATCATACCATGGTAGACTCGGCGATGTCTCTAGCGGCTGAAACGCAAGGCGACGGGGAGCCTCTGCATCTTGATGATCACCTTGACGCTAAAGGCAATACTCTATTGCATGTCGTGGTCGACACGCAGATGATGCTCAAGCTTCTCCGGCATTGCGATGCCGATGTCAATGCAGCGAACGACAAGCGCTTCACGCCGCTGATGGTGGGCAGCAAGTACGGGCGGATAGATCTCGTGCGTGTCCTCTTCGGCGACCCTAGGGTCGATACCACCCTTAGAGATTTGCGTGGGCTGAGCGCGGTGGAGCTAGCTAAGGACGATGACGTGCGGAACCGCATTGACGACCTCGTGCTGCTTAGTAGGCCACCGGGAAAGGACGGCAGAACCACCACGGTCGTGCGCTCGTTCTTCGTTGAAGACGGCACGGTGCGTTTTGTGCTTAAATCTGGTGCCCAGAATACCGGCGGCTCAATCACCGTCACCACCTGCCGTCGCACGGTCACAGACTTTGAGAACCTCGCCAACTGGTTACGCACCGAGTGTCAAGCTTCGTGGCTGCCCGTGCACTTTAACCTCCCCTCGCCGTTCCTCATCCCATCGAAGCCTTCCCGGGCGGTGTTGCGGGATGCGCAGATACGGCTTGATAACTTTTTCTGTAATCTGCTCACGCACGGCACCTTCGCCACCCATGAGCTGGTCTGGGAGTTCTTCCTCGTACCGGAGCTGGACGCTCGAATGCTTACTGAGCGCAGCAAACGCAAGGCTGAGCTCAGGGTCGAACACGTAAAGGATGACTTCGAACCAGTTCCTATGGAGGAGACGCAAGAAGTCGAGAATTTTGTCGCATACGCCAAGGATCAAATCCGTGGCATGACCATGGCGACGAGGAAGGCCATGCGGTCTGTCAACAAGTACAGGATGACGTACAACGACTTGTCGGAGGCGCAGGGCATAGCTTCATCACGCTTGTCGACAGTCCTCTCCCTGCCGCCTGTATACGGCACGGCGTTCGAGCGCTATTCGAAGGCTCTTGTACCCACCGACGCTTCACCCTGGACAGCACTGTTCTACAGCCTGCACTCTGTCGTGTCTTCCAGCACAGCGATCCAAGTCGCACTGAACAGGCCAGCATACCTTATAGGGAGCATGACTGCAGCTCAACGCAACATCGATCGCTCTCTGGGCTCCATCTCCCGCACTAACCGCTGGACGCCGAACATTGGTTTGTTTGATGACGCCAAGAAAGCGGTCGCGGTCGACGCTTGGGACAAGGCCGGAAAAGCGCGCGGAGAGCTCGAGAACCTGGGCTGCGAGCTCAGGTATACCCAGCAAACTGTTGCGAGTGAGCTGGCGGTATGGCAGGATGAGCATGTCAAAGCCGGGCAAGCGACGTTGAGGCGCTTCGCGAAGGACATGGTTGTCCGGGAGAAGGCGAGGCTGGAGAACTTGAAGAGGGCTTTGAGGGGGATACGGAAGCAGTCGCCGCTCCCCGCAATATGAGCGGAGACCCCAGCGCCGACCTTTGGTGATGGTCTGGCCGGCTATGTATGGAAAGCTAATGTGCACATAGTGTATTGTAAGCTCACGATAAAGCCCGCATCTCAGCTCGCAGTCCAAGCATATGTCTTGACCAGCTTGCAATTGGGTAAGACGCAGATTTCACGCCGAGTTATCAAGACCTTCCCTGGCGACTGGCATGATGGCATGAATCGATCTAAGCACTTACACCGTCTGCGCACGTGCCACTGAGCCAATGAGCTTCCGGCAGAACACTGGATTGGACGGCACAATATGCCATAACCTTCGGGTATTGAGGAGCGCTGCATCTCTATAAAATGTGTCGTTACACGTAGAAATTGCCTCTTCCCACGGATTCTCGTTCACGCTCGCTGAGGGCTGGGAAGACGTTTTCAAATTCAGTATGTGTATTGCGAGAGACAATACAGAGGATTTGAATGTTTGGTGCATGCTATCTAAGTCACGCGGAGCGATCCGCGACAGTCAAACACAACTGACGGCCCGCAGGCGTCGTGAAGCGCATAGGGCGAGTGCATCTTCGTCTCTTTGTCCGGCGGCATTGCAAGTAACACTCGCTCCGCGGCAATGGCACCAAGCCACTCATGCGTGCGATGCTCGATGACATACACATTGCAGTTGGCCAATTTGACGCCTAATGCGAGTATCACATGTGACACAGCGCCCACTCACAGCAGTCGGATGGCTCAAGCCTTCGCCGCGCCCGCCTTGATGAGCAGTATGTCGCCATCCTCAACCACGTAGTCTTTGCCCTTCGTCATGACCTTTCCCTTCGCCTTGACTGCAGCTTCATCGCCTTCCTCCTTCAGCGTGCTGAAATTGTAGACGACGACCTGAATGAACGTCTTCTCGAAGTCGCCGTGAATCACGCCCGCGGCCTGTGGCGCTTTCGTACCGTTCCGAATCGTCCATTGCCGTACCTCGTCCGTGCCAGTCGTGAAGAAGGAGCCGAGGTTGAGGGCTTTGCGCATGGTAGTCACTATCTTGGGAAGGGCGTCTTTCGTACCGAGCTTCTTGCATTCCTCTTCTGCCTCTGCATCGGTCTCGAAGCGGGTCAGACGTTCCTGGAATGAAACTGAAATTGGGATAATAGGTTCGCCAGGAGCATGCTCCTTCAGCCATTCTGCGATCTTCGGTAAATGCTTGTTCTTTTGTCGGATATAGTCCTTTTCGCTCAGGTTGACGAGGTAGACTGCTGGCTTGGCGGTAAGTAGAAAGAGCGGGTTGATCACTTCTACCTAGATGCGCTGTCAGCCAAGCTGGACGCTGGTCCGAGTAGGGATGTACAGCAAAAGGCGGTTGCATAATCAGGTGGGACGTGTTCTCATAGCACCTCTGCGTTCATAGATCGAGGCGCTCAATGAGCTGGGATTATAGAGATGTGATCTCTTGTTCATCACGACAGGGACGGAAAGGTATGATGGACGTACCTCTTTCGGTTGCCAGTCGTGGTGCCGCACGTCCTTGCCAGACTTTAGCAGCTCTAGTACCTTCTCCACGGTGGCTTGCTCCTCTTTGAGCTTCTTCATCTCCAGCGACTGTCCTCCTCTTCGTGTCTGCTTCACCAAGTTCTCATGCGCCTTCTCCACAAACTCGATGTCCTTGATGCGCAACTCCTCGCTAATAATGTCAAGGTCGCGAATCGGATCGACATCACCTTCCACGTGGATAATCTCGGCATCGTCGAAGCATCGTACAACCTGGAACACAGCATCTACTGCGCGGATATGTGACAGGAAAGCGTTTCCGAGACCTGCACCGGTTGATGCTCCTCGCGTCAGACCGGCAATGTCGTAAACTGTGAGATTGGCCGGAACCTGCGACTTGGGCTTATAGTGCTCGCATAACCAGTCGAACCGTTCGTCAGGCACAATGACTCGCGCTTCTTCGGGATCGATCGTGGCATATGGAAAGTTGGCTGGGTTGCCGAGCGAGCATTTCGTCAGAGCTTGGAAGAAGGTCGACTTTCCTACGTTGGCAAGACCAACCTGTGCCGTATGTTAGCATCTTGTAAGTCGCACTGCGCAATGCACGCACATGTCCGCCGTACATACGATCCCACTCTTGAGGCTGTTGCCGGGTCTGCCCAGCAGGATCTTCTCCTGCTTCTGTTCCTTCTTGGGCGGCATCTTCTTCCTACTGCTGGCGTAGCCTCGCTGAACGGTGGCTGGATAAGATGAGAGTGGAGGCCGTACAACCTGCCGTCGCAGGCAATAGTGCAATGCAGAGCCTGCTGCTTGCGTTGAACGGTGATAGCGAGAAGTGAAGAAAAGATGGAGAGAAGATGGAGAAGACACGTTGGTCTTAGCGAAGACGACTGCGATTGCCGTCAATGAGAGTCACGCTGATTGCACACAGAGTCGTTTGTACTTGGCATACAAGGGCATATTGAATTAAAGTCGCAAACTGTTTCATACGAGAAAAAGCTTGAGCCTAAGGCATGACTTCACATGTTGGTTAGGGCTCGACCCAGCAGTACGAGCCTTCATCTAATGCTGGATAGCAACGCCAGCCTCTCCCGCTTGCGCTGAGATTCTCTTCTTGTAATCATTCACTGTCCCCTCGAAATGCTCCACCGTTCCATGATCGCATACCCACAGGCTGGTGCATACATTCTGCAGCATGGTGACGTCGTGACTCACCATCAGCACGCCGCCTTCGAACCTCTGCAAGGCCGTGCTGAGAGCGTCCATTGCCTCGATGTCCAAGTGATTGCTCGGCTCGTCCAAGACCAGGATATGTGGGTTAGTCAAGCCAAGGCAAGCGAACGCCACCCTCGACTTCTGCCCTCCGGATAGCAGCGCCATCTTCTGCAGCCCGGTCATGCCCGTGATGCCAAAGGCACCCAAATGACGACGATACTCCTCATCTGATTTGCCTGGATAGCGAGACGCCATGAAACCGACAGCGCTCATGGTGAGATCGAGTGCATCCACGTGGTGTTGGGCGAAGAAACCAATTCGTAATCGTGGGTTCTGTGAGATGAGGCCTGACGTAGGCTGCAACGCGCCAATCAACAGCTTCAGCGCCGTCGTCTTGCCTGCACCGTTGGGGCCGACGATGCCTATGCGCGAGTCGAGCTGGACGTCTAGGTCCACATTCTTCAGCAGGATCTTGTCTTTGCTGTAACCGAAAGATACGTTCGTCATTTGTATGATAGGCGGCGACAGCTTCTCCACCTCCGGGAACTTGAAATGCACGGTATATTCGGCTTCTGGCGCGTCCAGGACAGGCATCTTTTCCAGCTTCTTGATCCGTGACTGCGCTTCCGACGACTTAGCGGCATTGTAACGGAATTTGTCGATAAAAGCCTGCAGGTGAGCACGTTGGACCATCTGATTGTCGTACTCGCGCTTCGCCGTCTTCCGGCGCTCTTCTTTCGTAGCGTAAAAGGAGTCGAAATTAGCACCCTTGTAATAATCCAAGCGCTCCGAGTGTTGGTGTATGATATCTGTCGCAACCTCATTGAGGAACGCACGATCGTGAGACACAACCAATACTGTGCTGGGGTAGCCTTGCAGGTAGTTTGACAAGAAAGTGATGGAGGGGACGTCCAGCATGTTGGAAGGCTCGTCGAGCATCAGCAGATCCGGCTCGCAAAACAGTGCCCGGGCAAGCGCAAGACGCATCCGCCAACCTCCGGAGAACGTTTTGGTAGCGTACTGCTGGCGTTCGGTTGAGAAGCCGAGACCAGCAAGTATGCTTGCCGCGCGAGACTCTGCCTTGTCCGACTCCATCTCTGAAAGCTTGCTCTGGATGTCACCCAGTGTCAAATCAAGACCTTCGCGCTGCTTGTCAAGTTTCGCTGCATCTCCCGACGTGTCTGCCATCGACGAGCGTTCGGCTTCGAGCTGCGCGAGCTCCTTGGTGATTTTCTCCTGTTCCCGGAGAAGATGTTTTCGCCAGACATCGGCGTCGAGCACCGCCTGTATCGCAGGTGTGTCGTCTCCGGTGATCTCTTGCTCAACGAAAAGAATGGATATATGAGTCGGAATTGCCACCTCACGCTTACTGAGCGCTCTGAGTAGCGTAGATTTACCGATACCATTTTGACCTACCAAGCCATATCGGCGGCCGTATGCAAGCGTAAGTGATGTGTCTGTCAAAATACGCTTGCCGCCGATTGATATGTCGATCCCATCGACTTTGATGTCTTTGCTCTTCGATTGAGCATCAGCACCTAGCTGCAAGGGATTGACAGCCATGAAGAACTCCTCATACGACTTCTGCTCGTCAGGCTGATCAAGTAAGCGAGAAGCTTCATACTCCACGGTCTTGAAGACTTTCTTGTCTTGTTTAGCCTTTAACTTCCGCTCAGCCTTTTCGAGCTTCTTCTTGTCTACCCTAGATTCGACCTTTCGAGCATTCGCCGACTCTAGGTCGATATTCCCGCTTGTTAGGCCCAACGTTGATGAAACGTTGCGCTGAGAGCCGACTTGGATGGTCTGCTCAAGCCTTCTTGCCGAAGGCGCTTGCTGTCTTTGTTCGCCATCGCGGCCATTCTCGTCCTGCAACCTCGTCACCAGTTTATCGACGAGATTCTGTACTGAGACTTCATTCTCATTCGACAGATCTCCAGACGCCGAAAGCAGCAGTTGTATTATTACCGATGCCGCGTCACCCAAAGGATCGCCTTCGGCGCTGAATTGGCGCGCCGCATGGTTTAAATATCCGGTCGCGTAATCTACAACCACTGGGTCGAGGTCAGGTAATTGCGCTCGGATGTCAGCTTCCATAGCCCTGGCCGATAGCACAAAAGACTAAGGATCCCAGGGAAAGGCAGTCGCATGCCCTATGGCTGGCTGGATGTGTGGCGTTGCTCGTACGCAGTGAACCCTCGGGATAGCCCAATTTCCGACCCGTGCGCAATGATAAGCGCCGCTCTATGTATGTAAGTACTGTACTTATGGACGGATATTGGCTGGGCGCCTCTCTATCTGTGCGCCAAAACTCGATTGTAGTGTTTATTAAACGAGTGGTTAATGAGCACGAAGCCCACGGCTTTCGCCCCGGCTCGCGTCAACGTCGGTCTTGGCGACCGTCACGGGCTTTCTAGAAGGCTTGCTCGCTGCCAATGACCGAGAAGTGAAGATGAGCATACCCGATTGCACGGATTGCATGCTGGCCCACGAGCCAAAACTCATGGGACGATTGGGCTTCGCAATAGTCTTACGCAAGACGAAGGCACGCAATCGTGGCGACAGAACCTTTCGCAGTTGGGAGGACTTTCCTGACCTGCCTACTAACGCCTCCTACTCAGGTGACAGAATGGGTCTGCTTGCTGTCGGGGAATGGCGAAACCCGCGGCACCTGGCGTTCCGATTGCGGGACAAATTCCTCTTTGGATATTACTAGGTTCTCCGCCATAACATTTACGGACGAAGCCTGGTCTCCTCCGCCGATGCATTCAGCATACGGTAAATGGCTCCGTTGTGTCTGACATTTTGATTGTAAAATGACAGCTGCATGAATGACTCTTTCACTGTCTGGACGTCATCGCTCAGGCCGCTGCAGTTGTTATTTGCGGCGTAAGTGGCCAATCCCACCTTTCGTCAAAGCTTGTTGACGCGATTGAACAACACGCTAGTTGGCGTTAGCGGGAGCGGCGACGGAGCCGACGCACATCATCAAGGATGCCCTGGAACGTCGCTCGATTAATGGGAAGGATGTTTCTGAAACCGCGTTCCACAGGGTGCGTCCCTTGCTGCTACCACTGCCGAAAGCAGACGTTTCTGCTATCTGCAGGCAGGTACCGACTCGATCGGAGAAGCTGTCCAGGTTCCACTGATCCGCAATGGGAACGAACGGTTGTCTCAAGAGCTTCGGTTGTGCCATCTACCGTGCCACATGGGCGTCAGTGGGCGTCAGATCTTCATCAGCGCGCTGCCTTGGCGGGGCCAAAACTCGGGACGCACGAGACTAAGTAGGGATGTGACACAAACGTTTCACGTACGAAAGAAAGCTTTCAAGAGACAAGACCGGACGCTCTCCCTTTCACGAACTCTATGCTACTGCCACGATGAGCCCTCGCTCGTCTCGTCCCAAGCCTGAGGGCATGTCGGCTAGGACAACGTACGCGACGCGGATGCGGGACTCCCCACATTACCTGCAGACGGGGATGGCTTGCTAGTCAACGAAGGTTCAGCATCAGATTCCGTCCTTGCAGATCGCCGACTGGGCCTTCGCTTGTAGACTTCGATTAATGGAGCGGAGCAATAGCGAAGGATCGCTTGTCGGCGGGTAATGGAGCTCGCGTGCCGGCCTTGACCGTGGGACGCCCTGACATGTACTATTGTCAATGTTTGCGTTTGGCGAACTAGGCCTCCTGCAGTTACGGTCGGGGTTGTCGTTGTACAAGCGGTAACATGGGCGATGAAATCAGTAAACGGCACTGCTCGTAGATGCATCCATGCGTAGACACAACGACCGTAGAGTAGAAGAAGATCGTAGTCGTTGAACCCGCTGTCGTGTGCCTGACTCCCGGGGTCGTGGCATTTCTCAGCCCGCGGGTTAATGTTACTTCAGCCCTCATGCTCTGCCCCTAGGCCAACGTTCCGTTAAACTGCCCCTCTCCGAGACCTCACTACGGACGCCGCAGACCCGTTTCCCTGCTTTCTGACTCGGCCATTGTCCTTTCTTTTCCACCTCCGCTGCGTGAAACGTTGCGATGTTTGTCGTGGTCGTGACTTAGCGAAGCGTGACCCTGCCCAAGTGCGCTGCCACTGGGCCTTCGACAATGACCACGGGTGCCACTGTGGCTCGTGTTCTGCCCGTTTTGGCCGGAGTTTGGTCATGAGAAGAGAATGAACACGGTCCCTACGTTATTGGCTACTGGTGCTGGTATTTCTTTATCGGCAGTCGGCCTCTCCCTTGCTCGGCCGGACGACGACGCCCACGACTCCATGTTAGCAACATACACACTATCCGCCGCCGAAAGTTCGCCCAACGACAAAGCCTTTAAGCATCGATCCGTATCCGCACCGCAAGATAAACGGTTGAGTGGGTTTGGGGCCTATGGGAGCGCTAGCACGCATGCAACGACGAGCACACGGCAGCAACGGAGTCAGTTTCCAGCAGCGAGCATTGGCATTGGCCTAGCAAGTCCTTTGTGGCGTGATGACGAGAGCTTGTCACAAGCAGGTACACCGACCTCTCGTCGTCATTCATGGCTGCGGACTTTATCGGGGAATATACCGCAGTCAGGCGACTCTAGCGTAACATCCACTTCGCGCCCGGCCTCGGCGGCCTTCTCGAACTCCAACAGCTCGATGGCTTTTCCACGTGCAGACTCGACGAGCGTGATGTTGCCGGAGCAAACACCTTCGCCACAAGCGCCGAACAAGCTTGTGAAGCGAGCTTCGTCTGTCCACAGTGCTGGAGCCTCGCCTGTCCTACTTCCAGGATCTAAGATCCCACGGGCAGTCTTCCGCCGACCAGCGACTAGTCATCAGCGCTCCGCTACGCTCGTGGAAAGCTCCTTGGACAGGCATCAAACGTTGTCTACACCTAGTCACCATAATGGTGGCGTGCATGGCTCGCCATGGCGGCAGTATTTCACCTCGAAGGTAGCTAGGGATGAATCAGTTGTGGGAAGGAGGCGTAGCTCGAGTAGCATTCCAAACCCAGTCAGACGTGTCTACCCAGACAGGAAATATACGCCAGTCCTCGTATCCACGCATGAGCTACTGGGGCCGTTGGGTATAAAGACCGATCATGGCCGTGGTGCAAGGATGGCCCCAGGCGAGTCAGTTGCGAGTCTGGCGATAGCACCTAGCGCTGCTTCATCGCCGCTGCCAGTACCCACCACGGACTTCGCAGGCTCAGTCGCTCCAAGGCGCTCCTTCTCTATAGGAGACCTGTTATCAAGCGGACCACAACCGCTATGGAAGCGGCCAACTCCAAGCAAGCGCAGGCCACTAGCTAGCAAGACAAATCGCAAACCCAAATCGCGCGTTACGTCCGCGCCATCGACATCAATGGGCAGCACTTTCAGCAGTTCCGCGTCGCAGGAGTCGGAGCGGCCTACCAAAAGGAGAGATCTCACGGATCCGCAGGCTATTCAACGCAGCATATACACGTCTTCGAGCGACGGTAGATCGGCAGAGACACAGCACAGGGAGATAGACCTTCACTTAGGCTCCCCAACTCCGCTTTCTTTGCAACTTCCGTCAACGGGCACAACCCTTGGAACCCAGCGTTCTCACGCCACCACACCCTCGCCATCTGCGCAACGCAGGCTCCCTTCAGCAGATCTCTGGTCGTCAGTTGCCCGTCAAGCACATGCGTCTTCTACTCAGTCGGAGATTACGTCCACTCCAGGATCAGACAGCGAGCCGCGGTCCGCTGGAGGTTACAGCACGGATTACCAGAACGAACATGCATTCGATTCATATCCCACAAGAACCACAAGGAGCAGCTCTGGGAAGCGTGGTCCACCTATCGATACCATATTTGATGAGTCTCCACCAAACCTCTCATCCGGCCGCAGTACCAAGCTGCGCGACTTTCTCAATGAAGGTCGCGCCCAAGGCAGCGAACGAAGTGGAAGATACCGTCACAGCACTATCGAGGAGGAAGGTAGCGTTACAAGCACGCCAATCCAGTCAGGACGTGACAAGAACGTAACATCGACGCCGTCTGCACGCCCGGGCACGCAACTGATTTTCACGTCGTCTCCGCCTACCATGCCGGATCCTGACGAGATTGATTGGGATGCCCCAGAAGACAGGTCTGTCCAGCAGCCCGGACTCGGCATCCAGGCGCCCGCGAACGGATTAACATCTACAAAGACTCTGCCCTTCCGCTTAGGCGCTCTCTCTAGAGCAGGCAACTTGTCCTCAGTACATTCTACGCCGAACCGGCACAGCAACGGTGGAGACAAGGCCAACCCGTTTGATTGGTCTGAGCAGCAACCAAGCCCGAGCAATCACGATCAATCGCCGCCTCGGCCACGAACCGTACACGGCAAGAAGGATGATACACGTGGTAGTAGAGCCAACGGCCGACGGCCGCCCAGCGGTATGCACGCACGCAGTCACAGTGTTCCAGTCGTTCCAGAAGCCGGCGGTAAGAGAAGCGTGGCTGCCAGTAAATTTGGCACATGGGGTGTTGGCAGCAAAGCGGTGACAGAAGATTGGAATGAGGACTTCGATTTCGAGGACACGATACCCTCTCTGCCGGAACAGGATGCATACGACGACAGGCGTATTGACAGCGGGCATGAGATGTTCGTACCCAAGTCCATTAGGGAGCAGCAGCATAACGTGGTCGCTAATATCGAGATGCTGAGAGAGTGGGGCCTTTTGATTGAAGAGTTGAAGGATCTACGGCTTCGCGCTGTAGCGGTGGGTATGTTGAATGGACCGCACGCGCAAGCATGGCAGGAGGTGGATGCCATGATCGAGTTGGCCGATCAGGAGAGTGAAGAGTTGACCTTGCAACCTCGGCGATCACCGCCTTCTTCTCCAGGCTTCGACTACGATGCGTTTGAGGATACCACCCCAAGTCTCGAGGAAAGTGACAGCGTACGCTCAGCATCGTTTATCCTACCTGAGCCACTGCTGGAGCGGGAGGTTCAGGCTACAGCGCTCACAACAGACCCCTCTCCCAACGCAACAGAGCATCCGTACACCGCCCGGCCACGTAAGGACTCTGAGGCCGTCGCTCGATTAGTCATTGAAGCACTACAGACGAAACGCAGCGTGTCAGACTCCAGCACGCTGAAGCCTGTGCTTCCATCCAAGAAGGTCCCCTTTGATACGGCAACCCTGCGCCATATTGTGCCATACGTCAATGGGTTGAAGCGTAAAGTCAAGGACGCACTGCGCGAAACAGAGGGCTTGTACTCAAGCCCACGAAGGCGCTCGCCGCCCGATGATTCCGGTGCGGCACCTCGAAAGCCTGAAGTTGACCCACCATTTCACAGTATCTTCAAACACCCGCGATCCGGGAGTCCCACAGGTCCACGGAAATCGAGACGTGATGACATGATTACAGACAACGACGGTTTCGAAGTGGTGTTCGGAGAGGGGCAGGCGGACCTTGCTGACCGCTTCAGTCGACTTGGCCTTCCGTCATGAAGCACCTCCGCGTTGGACTCTAACGCACCTAGATTTTCCATATCGGCCAACGGCCTGGCTCATACACTAATCGCATTGAAGCGGAGTTCAGCATGGCGTTCAGGGTTGGATCAAAAAGTTTGATAGGCGTATATTCTACAACGGCCAGACCGTTCACACGGGAGCTCGTCATTTAGCATGTATAACAAGCTGAAAGAGGAGCATAGCTATTAGGGTGGTGCTTAACGCCGGCGTACTTTGTTCCGTGAGTTCGAGGGCTGGACGGAACAGGGATCGGCGCACCCATCTGTACGTTGCATAGATATCGCCAGGCTGGCGCGCAAGCGTTGCTGGCAGTGTTGGCTCTGCCCGACTTTACTGAGGTTCTCTATGTTGAGTGAAACAATGTATTTGCACGTTGGCCGGGTTGCATTGCGTTGGAAGGCTTTTGATACGAAGGGAGGATGATTGATAGCATTAGCAGCCACGTGGTGTGGGAGTCGCTGTAGAAGGGTCACCGGCATGTGTATGGTCTTCCCCCAGCTGCTCCTTACGTTCGGTTTCATCCTCTCACCTTACCAGGATTAAGGGCGATGGTGTCACTGCTGTGCCGTTTTCGTAGGGCTGAGGGGTCTTGTTCGGCACTTTCGTAGTGGGGCAAAACAGCGGAAGCTTGAGAGGAATTTATTGCCATTGTTTGCAGACACCAGACACCTTTACACTAGCGATTGCAGATTCTCAATTCTTCCTTTCCACATCGATCAAGCGCAACCGCCACTATGGGAGAACCAGCGCAAAAGTTCAAGGTTGCTGACATCAACCTCGCGGCCTTTGGGCGCCGTGAGATTGAGCTCGCCGAGCATGAGATGCCAGGCTTGATGGCAACGAGATTGAAGTACAGCCAAGAGCAGCCGCTGAAGGGTGCAAGAATAGCCGGGTGTCTTCACATGAGTGAGCAGTATGCGCGCTTTTCGTCCTGCTGCGAGACTGACTGTGACCAGCGATCCAGACTGCCGTGTTGATCGAAACGCTGAAGGCTCTGGGTGCGGAGGTGACGTGGACCTCTTGCAACATCTTCTCCACGCAGGACCATGCGGCGGCCGCGATTGCAGCAGGAGGTACTCCAGTCTTCGCATGGAAGGGCGAGACTGAAGAAGAGTACAACTGGTGCTTGGAACAGCAGTTGAAGGCTTTCCCAGATGGGAAGGAGCTCAACTTGATCCTTGACGATGGTGGAGACCTGACTGCTCTTGTGCACAACAAGTACCCGAAGATGCTCGAAGGCTGCTACGGGCTGAGTGAGGAGACCACAACCGGCGTGCACCACCTCTACAGGATGCTCAAGAACAAGGGCAAGGAGCATGGCCTGCTTGTACCTGCGATCAACGTCAACGACTCCGTTACGAAGAGCAAATTCGACAACTTGTACGGCTGCAGAGAGTCGTTGATAGACGGTATCAAGCGTGCAACAGACGTCATGATTGCTGGCAAGATTGCTATGGTGGCCGGATTCGGTGACGTTGGCAAAGGCTGTGCGGAGGCACTGCACGGTATGGGTGCTCGCGTCATGGTGTCCGAGATTGATCCCATCAACGCTCTCCAGGCGGCCATGGCAGGCTACGAAGTCGTGACCATGGAGGACGCAGCGCCTCAAGCCCAGATCTTCGTTACCACAACCGGCTGCAGAGACATCATCGTTGGCAAGCACTTCGAGGTAATGCGCGAGGACGCCATTGTTTGCAACATCGGCCACTTCGACATCGAGATCGATGTCGCGTGGCTCAAGAAGAACGCCAAAGACAAGGTCAGCATCAAGCCGCAGGTTGACCGCTTCACCATGCCGAGCGGCAGGCACGTCATCCTGCTTGCAGAAGGCCGCTTGGTCAATCTAGGCTGTGCTACCGGCCACTCCTCTTTCGTCATGTCCTGCTCGTTCGCCAACCAAGTCCTGGCACAAATCATGCTGTTCAAGGCCGGCGACAAAGAGTTCGCTCGAAAGTACATTGAGTTCGCGCGCGCGGTCGAAGGTGAGACCGAGACTGGCGCGCCAAAGAAGATTATCGATGAGACGCAGAGCAAGTCCAGCGTCACCCGCATGGAGGTCGGCGTCTACACCCTTCCCAAGATCCTCGACGAGCAGGTTGCCCTGCTACATCTCGACCACGTCAATGCCAAGTTGACGAAGATGACCACGACCCAGGCCGAGTACATGAGCTTGCCTGTGGAGGGCCCATTCAAGAGCGATCTATACCGGTACTAGGCGAAAGCCTCTCGTATCGGTCTACAGATTGTTTGTTCAACACTATAAGCATTATACCATGGGAGGGATGACTTCAACGGCATATGGAAAAGCATCGCAAGGCGCTGGGGAGTCGGCAGAGTAATACCTAAGCCGGAGCAGAACGGCTGCCTTCCTCAACGGAGGCGCTGCACTGTGTCATTAAATATCCGTCCATAGATGGTACAATCGCCTCCGCTTGCTGCGACATAGCATCCTGAGCCGGTATTCTGACTAGTGGTCCTTTGGATCGCGCCTATGCGGAGGTCATTCTGCGGACCGGGACACGCCATTTTTGTGGCTTCCGCGGTGGCAACAGATCTGCGTCCGCGTCACTCACCCATCTTAACTCTTCAAGCGTTCGAATCAGACGAGTCCAGCCGTCTATGTCATATGCAAGTCAATGAACCTTACTTTGGACATGATGCGCCGGCTGCCGGCAATGCCGTGGCGTTTCTACAAATGTATATGTTAAAGAATGCGTGCTATATAACGATCATTCACAAGCATTTCCTTCTTTAGGCAGGTTTCTGACGCCGCGATGTTCGCTTTCAAGACTGCTGTAGCTGCCTTGGCAGCAGTATGCCTCCAAAGAGCATTTGCCCAGTCTCCCATCGCTTCTGCTTCGTGCTCTTCTACTCTCGTTCCGCGCGGTGCAGCGCCGTCTGTAGCTCCAGGATACGTGGCCCGCCTGGTCGCCAATAATTTGACAAGTCCGCGAGGAATCAAGTTCGACACGAACGGAGCTTTACTGGTCATCGAGCAGAATTCGGGCATTGTAGCGCTCAACTTGGCTGACTCTGGATCGGACTGCATCAGCGTGAGCAGCAGGCGCACGGTAATTAACGATACCACTCTCAACCATGGCATCGAGATTTCAAACAACGGCTCCACGCTGTATGCGTCCAGCGCAGAGGCCGTGTATAGCTGGCCATACTCCGCTCAGACTCAGAGTAACACTTCGGCACCCAGTAAGTCTAGCTGCAATCAATGAGTGGCCATATCAGCTAACAAGGGCGAAGCTATTCTGGTGCAAAATATGACCACCTCCGATCACACGACGCGGACTTTGAAACTTTCACAGAAGGTGCCCGGATTACTGCTCGTCACCCGCGGCAGCACTTCGAATATCGACATCGATGCAGAAGATATCACCACTGGCCACAGCCAGATCAAGGCGTTCAACCTTGCCAACCGGACCAGACCGTATAACTTTGATACCGATGGACTGCTACTTGGTTGGGGTCTGCGCAACGACGTTGGCATAGACGAGGAACCTCTCAGCGGCGGCATCTACACTGTGGAGAACAGCGCCGACGACATCACGAGATCCGGGGTAGACATTCACCAGAACAACCCTGCAGAGGAGTTGAACTTCCTAGGCTACTTGAACGGCACCCGATCTGCGAACCAGGGACGTAATTTCGGGTATCCTGAATGCTTCACCGCATGGAACGTGTCTGCCATCCCCAACTTCATGGGTCAAGTCGGTCAACAGTTCGCTATTGGCGATCTCAACAGCACAGTCAACGACACAACCTGTAGTGCTGCGAACGTTCAGCCACCGCGGCTTGCCTTTCAAGCACACATGGCGCCTTTGGATATCCTTTTCAACACCGCGGGGACAGCTGCTTGGGTGACGTTCCATGGTAGCTGGGACAGACAGCCACCCGTGGGTTACAAGCTGTCCGTCGTGGAGTTTGCGAACGGGCAACCTACGCAACCCTCGAACAGCACCACCGCCGCTGTAGATATCGTCTCGAATGCGAATATCACTAATTGTCCGACTGGCTGCTTCAGGCCGGTGGGTCTCGCATGGGACAGCCAGGGCCGCCTATTCATGTCGTCAGATGCGACTGGCGAGATTTACGTGGTGTTGCGAGCGAATGGGAACGCGACGAGCTCAGCTGGCAGCAATGCTACTGGGACAATCCCCAGTGCGAGTATCACATCAACGAGCTCGAGTGCCAGCGCCACCACTTCACATAGCGTGGCAAGCAGGGCCGGTGGCGCTAGCATGGGCGCACTGGCCGTCGTGCTTGGAGCTTTGGCTGTAATGCTATGATTTTAGAGTATATAGGGATGTGTATTTGAGCAGCTTTGAAATCATTCTGCATCGTTACAGACGGTGTTTAATGCGATTATGGACTGCAACGCCATGCCTTCTACAGTGCAACGCGCCGAATGTATGCAACCAAGACCGCCGTTCCGACGTTTCACGCCCTCTACTCGATCGAATAGTGCATTCAGCTTGACCGACGCAATATTACTCGTCATCGCCAAAGAAGACCTTCACCGGAAGCCATGCATCACCGCACACCTTGAAGCGATCCGGCAAGCTGGAGAGCTGCTTCATCTCCTCATCCGTGAGGCTCCACCCGTCGAGCTGGAAGTTTGCCTCGATACGCGAAGCAGTCACAGATTTGGGAATGACGCTGGTGCCGCGCTGAAGACCCCACATCAGAAGCACTTGGGCGGGAGTCTTGCCCTTGTTCTCGGCCATTTTCATGAGCGTGGCGTCCTTCGCGAGCGGGCTGTTGGTGGAGCCGAGGCAGGAGTAGGCGGTGCAGTGGATGCCCTTCTCCTTGCAGTAGTCGACGAGCTTCGGGGATGGGCAGTTGGGGTGCAGCTCGATCTGGTTGACGGCCGGGGTAGTCTTGCAGCTTGGGTCATTGAGCAGCTTCTCCATGTTGCGGATGCCGAAGTTCTGTAGAACCATAATCAGCAATAGTTGAGAACTTTTTCATGGCAATGTCTTACCGAGACGCCAATGTTCTTTACACGGCCAGAAGCGGGCAGCTTCTGCATCTCTTGCCATGTCTTGATGAAATCCCAGTCAGGGTAGTGCTTCTTCAGGTCATCCGGATCGGTAGATGATGGCCAATGAATGAGGTACAGGTCCACGTAGTCCATGTCCAGCGACTTCAGAGACGAGGTGATACCCTCTTCCACACGCTTGTGCCATGGGTTGTCCAACTTGGTCGTCACCCAGATCTCGCTTCTTGGAACACCAGAGTCCTTGATGCCTTGACCGACCTCGTTCTCGTTGCCGTATGCAAGGGCCGTGTCGATGTGTCTGTAGCCGGCAAGCAGGGCTGCCTTGACAGCCTCGCGGACCTCATTCGGCTTCGACTGCCAGGTACCGAGACCGACAGCTGGTATCTTAGCTCCCTATGCGATTGTCAGCATGGGAATGTGAACAATGGCGAAGTGGCAGGGTGGCGAACGGTGTTCAAAGTGAACGTCTTCTTCGTCCATTGCAGGTCTTGGGCCATGTTGACAGATATTCGCTCGTAATGTTAATTTGATCTACAACAGAGGTTTAAGAGAGCAGTAGTGAATAGTCGGACGTTGTTGAAGAGAAAGTCCAGTCTTATCAGACAAAACTTTTGTAGTCTGCCATTTTCCCACCACACCACACAAACACACCCCACCATGGTACATACTGCCTGTATCGACCTGCCCCTCGCTGTCACTGGCGCAAACAGTTTAGCCGCGAATGCATGTGCTACGTCGGTCTGATGCCCTTGTGCGCCGCTGCAGGGACAACAGCCACCGGCCGCTCCACGTCGTCCACATCCCGGCGGACTTCAGGCCGCTTGAGCCGCATCTCGGTTATTGCGCGCTCCTCCAACGTCGTCCTTGCACGACCCGGGCACACGAAAATGTCCCGTTTCGTGTCTGCCGGAACGGACAAGAGTCCTACGGAGCGTGACGAGGCCTGGCTGAGAGCGCAGGTGCAGATAGAAGCTACCAGGGCACGGAACACAGCACCTGGCGAGCAACAAGGTGGCAAATCCTTATACGAGACATTGCAGGCTAACAAGGGTGAATCGCCTCAAGACGAGCACTGTACAGAGATACCTAGCTGACGAGTCAGGGTGAGTGCTAAGCCGCAAAGCAAGAGGCCTTTGAAGAAGCTACACGCCTGAGGAACCAATTCCGGACGCTGGACGAGGATGAAGTCGACTTTCTTGACTCGGTCCTGGAGAGCACCCGGAACAAGGAAGCCGAAGTAAGACAGGAAACCACGGACCAGCTCGAAGCTTTCCGACAGCGCAAGGAAGCCGCCGAGAAAGCGGCAAAGCTGGTCGATGATGGTGAGGATGTTGTCCAGGTACAGACATGGTCCGTGGTACCAAAAAAGCGCAAGAAGGGTCGCGAGAAGGAGGCCATCGGCGGTGTGAAGTTGCGCAGAACGTCTACCGCCAAAATTTCTGATGCTGAGCAGCCTACTTCGGCGATGCTAAACCCGGAGAAAGTCAGCACTCCGAACGAGCAGAATCGATTGCTAGAACCGGTGGGCGGGGCACCTACATCAAAGCCAGCCGCGATTGTGAGTGAAGCGCAGCCCTCGCAGCCAAATGTCAGACCACTGGCATCAGAATTAGCGGCACCACCACCTGTGCTAGGGCTCGGAGCATATTCTTCTGACGAAGACGATTGATATATGTTCTTAATGACGCCGAGAATTGCGAACTCCGCGGCCAACGACTGACGAAGTCCTATTCTTGACATGCATGACCGTTTACCGGTACTGCATGGTGACGGATGGGCATCTGATTGCCCAAGTATATCCAAGTTGTCTTAGTGTGTGCGGTACTTGCTGCACTATGCATTGCGGAGGGTACACCGCAGCTGTCTTCGTTTCAACCGCGTTGTTAACTCTTGCTTCAGAGAGTCTTGCACGGCGCAGTGTTATCGGGAGGAGGAAGCGATGTATCGTCACGCCACTCTAGCTATGGTGTTTCCAAGCGAGTATACTGAGAGCTGTGCGGTCTTGCAACGGATACTGCATGGAGAGAGATGCACGTTCGAATTGGGTTGTAACGATTCTACAAAAGTATCGTCACCTGACTACGATAGACGCTCACAAACCTACGTGATTTCTTGAGCATGCGACCGAGCAGCCGTAGTGGCTTCGCATCAGACACATTCTTGGGATGAGACATCTTCCTATTGTCCGTAGTTTCGCTCGCAACGTGCAGCGACTTCGATTCTAGCGGGCCATCACCATCAAAAACCACAAGTATCGCGCCCAACAAAATGCTCAACGCCGGAATCGTCAGCGCTTCCTCAACAAACCCGTCGTGCAGGCCCGCTGCCTTGATGCCATCATTAGCTTGCCCTTCTTCTTCGTACCACCTAATCTGCAGCTGCGCTAATGCCGGCTCAATCGTTTGCTACTCCAATTGCAGATTTCGCGAGATACTGCGCGCTTCGTCTTTCTCGATCAGAGTTGGCGGATGTGAATTGGCACGGTAAATAGCTCGGTCTTGATCTCTGCTTTACAGCGCAGTGACTAGCCGGGGAGGTTAATACGGATCTCCACGCCGGCCCCAATGCGCAGACGCGACGGCAAAGCACTGTGAATATCGCCATGCGGCAGTTCGCGCCTTCTTGAACATGTTCGAAGATGGTGGGCTGTAGCCGGGTGACTGTCTCCCGAACAAGCAATCTGTTGCGCCCACATCGTCTCCAATCTGGGCAAAGGTCTCTGTCCCGCTGGTGATGTCTCTCCCGTAGCACTTGTCGTGAGTCGGCCGTCGCAGAAACCATCACGGTCGTAGCTTGGCCCGCCTTGCTCGGCCGACAGTATGCCCGCAGTCCGAGGAACGAATGTGTTGTGCCATGGACTTTGCAATCCGAGCACGAGCGGAGAGGCTGTAGGGTATCGGTGCGGCTCGGAACCGTTTGCCGTTTTTGGAGAATGGGTGTATGGTCTGGACTCAGAAGCAGGAGGAGGAGTTTAGGGGGTCGGAATCGGAGGACATGGCAGAGAGCAAGTGGATATGGCGCTGGGTGTTGGATTGAGTACTGTGGCTGAGCCATACCTGTACGATCCGATCCGATCTACGGCATTGGGAAGATCGATGTACCAGCCTTCTTTTGCCACCACAGTCATCGACCGCCCCCCTGCAGGTGGCCTTCACTGAGACAAGCTTGTGGCTAGGCACCGGCATGACGCTCTGCCTTCCATACGAACGCCTGATACTCCTCGCTTGCCGTTGACACTCTCCCGCCGCGACCTACTCCTCAATGGTCTTCACGCACTCCCACCCACCCTTCAGCTTCTCCTTCCATAAGCTGACGCGGTTGTCACCGCCAGATGCCGCCAGAACATTGCCTGCCATGCTCCAACTTGCTCGCCACATGACCACCTCAAAGTTCAGCTCTTCCGAATGCCACGCCCCAGCATTTGCAATGTCCTCTCCCGCCGCAAGCGTCCATATGCGGACCGTGTGATCCTGTGACGCGCTCGCGATGTACTGTTTGCTAAGCGGCGTTGGTGACCAAGCCACATCCCGTACCCAGTCACGATGGCCTTGTAATGTCGCTACATTATCGTAGGACTGCGTTGTGCTACTGTAGCTCCAGAGCTTAACCAGGTTGTCGGAGCCTCCGGTGACAAATCGTCTCTGCGGGCCTTCTTGTCTTCCCGGCGCCTGCGCGCTAAAGAGTTGGCCGGGTAGCGTAGCCGGTGCCCAGCTTACACCATTGACACCGAGAGTGTGTGCGGGAAAGATGGTGTGGGAGAAGGTGTTGTTCTCGAACGTGAGCACGCTGACGTTGCCATCGCTACTTGCAGCGGCCAGGTGGCATCCGCACTCGGCTGGACTCCACGCCACCGCATTCACGGACGCGGTATGCAAGGTGAACTCGTAGATGCGCTGCCATTGCCCGTTCTGCTCGCGCCAAATGAGGATACGGCCGTCGTAGCTGCTGCTTGCGAGTATCACGCCGAACTTGGGGTGAGACCAGGCGAGCGACCAGACGGCGCCTTCATGGCCGGTCAGGGTAGCCGTTAAGCGGTGTTGTTCCGCTTGCTGCTGCTGTTGTGCGCTGTTGGCGGAGGAAGCAGGTTCGATGTCGAAGATCTTGATCGTCTTGTCGGAGCTGCAGGTTGCGAGACGGCGGCCATAGTAGTCGAGCACGGCGTCGTGGATCATGTCATCGTGAGCGGAGGATGATATTACCTGCGCCATCACTGCGGATCCTCTTCAATGTTGTACGCAGGGTTCGCGCGGTCTTCGAATGTTGTTGATGTTGATATGTACACATTTCACTTATTGTTCGCTAGCGTCCGGCGTACTTTCCTATCTGGGAAGCATCTCGATTTGGCACTACAGACCCTGGCGCGGACGGTGAACCTCGGCCCGGAGAGCATTTCGCCGAGATACATGTACTGTGTGGCATGTGCCGGTCATCTCTCTTCGTGCTCTTGTGGGCTCACCCTCTTGCTTTCCAATACAACATTATCATCTTTTCACCCCAACCATGTCCGAGGCATTGTGCGGGCCGTCGAACCCGCTACAGCAGTTCAAGCAGCAAACCTCCCTTGACCGCACTCTTCAGCAGGACCGTCTGCTCTCACACCGTTCGCCTGCCTATGGCTTCCGATCCCCTGATCCCAATGCTGGCGTGCTAGATGCAGAGTTTGAGGCTTTTCAGGCAGGCGTACCATTGTCCGACCTCCCACAGCTGCAATCGTTCCACCGCCAGCAGCCAGACTTCACCGGGCCAGCGCAAACGCCGTCATGGGCCGCCGACTTCCAACGCATGCATATTGCGCCTCCACCTATGCAGCAGCAGCATCTGCAGCAAGCAGCTCCAAGTACAGCAGGCTGGGCGCAGGGTTTCAGAAACCACATTGACCAATATGCGCCGAGAGCCCAACAGTCCGCTCCCGTTTCCCCGTTGGCGTTCCAGCAGAGAGCACGCTTTGGCTACTCTGGCTTTCAGAACGACTTGGCCCAAACTACGCCGTTTCAGGCGACGCAGCAGTCGAAAGGCAAGGAGCCTGTGTATGAGCAGTTCGACGAAGCCGCCTTTGAGCGCGCATTCGATCTAGCGCGAGACGATGTTGAGCTTAACTTCGGGGCAGAGAGTGTCATGATGGGGTCGAGCCAGAGCGAGGTTTTGGAGGCAGATGACACTCGTCTGGTACGAGACGAGACTTCGAGGCCTGACCTTGGGCGAGATCAGCTTCCTGATGGACTTGGCCATTACCACAACGATGTCCCTTATGCACTAGAGCAGCAGGATCACAGCGAGAAGACAGAGCAGCCTTCTCCATACCAGGACGACGATGCACTAGCCGCCACCGCACAGGAGCTGCTAGAGAAGGTGGAGCACAACACAACGGACAAGTTTCGCAACAGCCAATTCCTGGGCTTGATGCGCAAACTACGCGATCGTGAAATGAGAGTGGAAGGGGACAAGATGGTGGAGACGAATGTCAGTACGGGCTCATCTCTTCCCAAACCTCCCCTCACGCACTCGCCCCACGATTCAGGCTACGTGTCCGGCTCCTCGTCGCCACTCAGCTTGGATAGCTACCACTTTGACACGCACATTTGCAAAATCCCTGGTTGTGACGTCGATCACACTTTCGACCATTGGGAGTCGCCGGTCCGCTAGACAGAGCGTAGGCTGACAATGTAAGTCGTAGGCCGCTTCTACCGCGTCCCCGGAATCCGTACTGAAGGGTACTAGCACGTTGACGCCGCTTTTCGATAACACCGAGCAGCGACCAAGCCCTTTAGCTCTACCCACCGCCTCCGAAGCAGCTGTCGATACCCGGCCGCCTGACTACGGCATTCCCGCGCACGAGCAAGACGCGGATCCTGGCCGGATCCACCCCGCAGACGGGCAAGCGGTGGTAGATCTCTTGAACGACCGAGCTGCCGATATAGGTACGTGGCCAGATGACACCCTGTCTGACAGCGCGCCGCATTCTCCATTAGAGGACGGGCGTCCTCCATTCTACGGAGACCTCCGGGCGCTGCATGGCGAGAGGAGCGTCAACAGTGACCTCAGCGATATGCTGTACGGGCATGACGGTTCGCTCGAGGCGCCCGTGCGATGGGTGAAGGAGCCTGTTTATGGGTCATCCAAGGAGTAAGACTCACCTTACGAAGGTCAAAGGCTGAAATTACGGTGATGCGACAGGCGAGTTGTATGACCCATTCTACGCCGAGGCCGCCGGATGGCCTGTGAACGTGTGATCGGGCTAGCCCGACCAAACGGGCATGATGTGTGCTTCGCATGCCAAGCCAGCCATCACAAATTCTGCTCCAAGTAAAGCAATACGACCACAAAGTCTAGGGCCAAGCGACTAGCATATAATGAAGCTACAAAGGTCTCGAGCTCAGCGAATCCGACCGTTGCTGCTACAGCTCAACGAGGAGCAAGGAGACCTATCATGGAAGGTAATCGCAAGCTCTGAAGACCGTTCGCTTCTGGACCGAACAGTGGCGCACCAGCGACATGCTCGTCGCATGGCATGCATTGGACCTTCTCCCCGGGTCTGAATTCTTGCAGAAGACGGCAGGAGACCCGGCATGTAAAGGCGTGCCGCGTGTCGGGTCTACAGGCCGGAAACACTGTGGCGAAAAGGCATTGCCCCGCCAAAATTCCCCACCAAATTCCCCCACAAACTACGCCGCCACCTATCCGTGTCGACGCCCGCAACTACAGACATGAAGCCAAGTTCACTGTCTGGATCATCGCGGAGCAAGTTTATGAATGCATCTCGGCTCGGAAAGGCTCCGGGTATCCGTGCCAGCAGACTTCATATACCTAAGAGTTGGCACGCAAGACGCATATTCCCAACAAAGCAAGCATTCAGCATTCATTTGTTGCAAGCTGCGTGTGCCCACCATGTTCTTACTGTCCCTCTCTTACCTTCCGTTCGTGTCACCAACCCTCCTGGTTGTGGGATTGATCTGTGTATGCTTGGTTTTCCTTCTGCTCGTTGTAAGTCTACTGCCCTTTGATGTTTCAGGCACGTGAACTGAGAGATGAAAGCACATCGTACACAGCCTGCGGAGTCCTCTGAACGATATTCCGGGCCCACTCTATGCTCGTTTCACAAACCTACCGCTGAAAGCTGCCGTTGTCGCGGGAAAGCGCATACACTTCGTCCATGCCTTGCACCAGCGTTATGGCAAGATCGTTCGCATCGCTCCCGACGAAGTCGCTGTGGCCAGTCCACAAGCTTTTAAGATCATCCATGCAGTTGGTGGAGGCTTCGAGAAGACCGAGTGGTACAGATCGCTGAATCCGGTACCGCGTGACGGTGTGTTCACCATGACTGACAACAAGGCGCACGCTGGTCGCCGCCGGTTGCTGTCGCGGCCGTTCAGCAAGAGCCACCTACGCCAACATTGGGAACCTGTCGTCCGGGAGCGTGTCGAGTTGGCGGTGGCCCGCATGTGTGCCGAAGCTGCAAAAGGCCCTGTCGATGTCATGAAGTGGTGGATGTTTATGGCTTCCGACGTTTCAGCCCACCTCATGTTTGGCGAGTCATTCCAGACTCTTGAACATGGTGTAGTCAGCGAGTACATGCGGAAGTTGCAGGTCGCATTGATGGGAGGCGGCATCGGCGCTGAGATGCCGTTCGTGCGCTACCTAGGCAAACGACTGCCAATACAGATTTGTCAGGACCTATGGAATAACAACAGCTACCTAATGAACTACGCCGAGGCTGCGGTCAAAGGCATGAGAGCGAACCAAGGGCATGCCAACGTCTTCGCGGGCATGGTTGCTGAGGCGGAGAAAGCCGAGCGGTTGGACGATCTCGACGTCAAACAAGAGGCACTGAATCTGATTGTAGCTGGGACTGATACCACCTCCATCACATTGACTTACCTTGTATGGGCTGTGCTTTCACGACCAGAACTACAACGAGCGGTGGAGGAAGAAGTGCGAGGTCTTCCGGAGGCGTATCAGGATGCGGAAGTCGAGAAGCTTGAGCTGCTGAATGCGGTGATAGAAGAGACGCTGCGATTGTATGGAGCCGCTCCAGGTGGTCTGCCGAGAAGAGTACCTAGTGGAGGAATCAGCATGGGTGGATACTTCCTCCCGGGCGGAACCACGGCCACTACGCAGGCGTTCAGCCTTCATCGAGATGCCTCGCTGTTTCCCGATCCCGAAGAGTCAGTCTCTTACTCAAGCTGCGGCTGGAAGTGTCACTGACGTTTCATAGATTCATCCCAGCAAGATGGATGTCCTCGCACGGAGATGGGAGGTACGCGGTTAGCGACGCCGCAAGAGCGGTCTATTCGCCGTTCGGTGCCGGCGCAAGAACTTGCCTGGGGGTGCATCTGGCGACCATGGAGCTTCGACTGGCGGCTGCAGAGTTCTTCAGACGGTGTGCGGGAGCCAAGCTTGCGCCCTCGATGACGGATGAGCTGATGCATATGGAGAACTATTTCCTCATAGCTCCGGCAGGGCACCACCTCAGTGTGGAACTGTAGAAGCTCGATACAATCTGGGATGGAATTTTGTGGTGCTAGCTGTATCGCAACAGCGTGAGGATCGCTAGTCTTACAGCCCATATCTACCGCGTTAAACGCACCTTCGTTGCTCATATATACATACAACCGGGACCGATGTGATAGTACGAGTACGCAGATGCTGCAGCCCTCTGACGAAATGTATATGATTGACAAGACACACCAATTCTGGTACATACGGCCATAGGTCGCAGAGAACAGAGGATCCCGTCCGCTCTCCTGTACTTAAGCTGCGAACCGGTGGATTAGTACTGCGGTGGGTGACCACGTGGGAATACCCGCTGCTGTATGTTTTGCTTTTGTGTAGGGCAGATCGCTTAGATCTCGAGAAGTGAAGTGATGTTGCGGATAACAATATCTAGCTGGATCTGATGCCCGCTATTGGTAGGTCTTATCAAACGCCGATGTAGCCGCAGTAACCGCCTTTGCAGGCGAATATCAATATTTTGCAACACCTCCATCTCCAAACATCAGTGTCGCTAATATTCACTGCTTACCGTCCAAGGATCTCGGAGAGAGGGGGCCTCAAAGATGAAACCAAAAGCTCTGCTCCTCGGCAGCATTGACCACGCAAGAGACAGCTGGAATGGCCTTTCAGACATTGCCGACCTCGTTGAACCACAAGCGAAGAATCGCGCAGAATTTCTCGAAGAATGTACATCCGGCAAGTTCGATGGCGTCGTCGCCGCCTATCGAACGTTCGCTACCGATGTCACTGGGCTGTGGGACGAGGAGCTCATCAATGCGCTCCCGAAAAGTCTCACTTTCTGTTCTCACCTGGGCGCGGGATACGACCAAATCGATGTGCATGCGTGCTCAGCGCGGGATCCGCCCATTCGTATCAGTAACGTCCCGACTCTGGTAGACGATGCGACTGCGGATACTGCAGTATTTCTGATTCTCGGAGCGCTTCGAGGCTTCAACACCTCGATGTTAGCGCTCAGGGAGGGCAAGTGGCGAGGTCAGCCCGCGCCTCCTCTCGGTCATGATCCTGAAGGAAAGACTCTCGGGATCCTGGGGATGGGTGGTATTGGGAGGAACATGAAGAAGAAGTGCGATGCCTTCGGTATGAAGGCAATCTACCACAACCGAAAGAAGCTCGATGACGATCTCGCCGGGGGCGCAGAGTACGTCTCGTTTGACGACCTTCTTGCGCGGTCGGATGTTCTGAGCTTGAACCTTCCGCTGAATGTAAGCTCAACGCGAAGACTTGGACTGCAAGCTCTGATTGACGTCGCCAGAAACACACCCGCCACATCATCTCCACAGCTGAATTTGCGAAGATGAAGAAAGGTGCGCAGAATGATGTGTAGTACCATATGAATCGTTTGGGATACAGCTGACCCTGCTACCCGCGAGTTACTAGGGGTTATCATTGTCAACACGGCTCGCGGCGCCGTTATGGATGAAGACGCGCTTGTCAAAGCCCTCGAAAGTGGTCAGGTGCTTAGTGTCGGTCTGGACGTTTACGAGGCGGAGCCGAAAGTCCATCCTGGCCTTGTGGACAACCCTCATGTCATGCTGTTACCACACATGGGCACCTGGACGGTAGAAACCCAAACAGCGATGGAACGATTCTGCGTTGAGAATATTCGCTCGGCTTTAGAAACGGGTAAGCTGAAGAGCCCGGTGCCAGAACAAGCTGATCTATGATTGCTCTTGGCGAGCTGCTGCCGGAAGGCGCCGACCGCACTTTGATGCCTTGCCGGTCCTTGTTATGTAGAAGTGTCTGACCCTAGCCTGTCCTCATGAATGCTGATATCAGCAGCGAACTTGGGTATCTCTGCAAACCCACAAAATGCGCCGTGCGTCAAAACAAGCTCCGCTTGAACGATCACATACTGCTGAAATTAGTTGTTCGTCCATCACTGCTTTTGCAGAAGCCACCCTCGCAGCGCCATACTGCAGATGCGCTGGACTACTTGAGAAGTACCGCTCTGATTCTCAGCTTCAATAAATTGTTGCGCAACAATGAGCTTGTTGACGTCCTCATTCGAGTCGTTCGTTGACGCTAGGAGATGCCGTTGAGGATGGAAGTCAGGCGTTCTACCGCCGATATAGCGCCCGATCGCCACGGAGTAGAGCACGTCGCGGTTCTCCTTCTGGCGAAGGATGCCGCGCATTACGCCCAACGAATGGTCAATCTGCTGCGTTGCACCTTGGTCAGGTCGGTCGTCGCGCGCTGCGGTGAAGAGTGCGAGATTGTACCAGAACGTCTCAGCTTCGTACGATTCCCGGCCTTGTTCTGCGCTAGGCTGTGGAGGCATTCTCGTCATATCCAGGAAGGTGCCGGTGAGCAGGTGCTCAAGTGTATCAACGCGGGTCGCGAGATCCGGGATACCTGGATTCGCTGAGCGCGGCATTGATGCCAGGCGCCAGACTAGGCATGCTTCCAGAGACCGTAGCTGGTTAGCGACATGAGAGCTTTCAACTGAGGACTTGAATTGCTCGGCACATGCTAAGACGAAGTCCGCAAGTTCTGGATTTGCTTGTAAATGCGCGAAGCCATGCGCGGCGTACCAGGTCGTCTCGAATAGTCGGTCAAGGCCCGGCGCATAGTGGAAGGTGTAGAAGTCGCTGAGTTCTTGCTGCGAGGCTAGTGATGCTAAGCGTGCTGGGTGGGTTTCGTAACGTGGCGGCACGTCATTGAGCGCGAATAGGTCGTCGATACGGAGCGAGAAGACTACGAGACATTAATCATGCATCAGATACGTGGCGGTGACACGGTTTGGCTTACCTCTTCTCACCGGGCCTGGAATGGAGTGAGGGGCGCTCTGCGCCATGGCATGCGTTCGTTGAAGCCCTGATATTGGATCGACTGACGGCGCGTGATCGTAGGTCCCGTCACTGTCACCAGTCGCAGAGTATGTATGAGCTGGCGGGTACGGATTGGGTGGTAACGGTAACGTGGCACTTGATGCTGCGGTGGCGGTGGTGGAGGCGGGAGCGGGCTGAATGGGCGCGGGGCTCGTCTGCTGCTTGAAGATGGGATCGTAGCCCAGACAGTCCCGTTTGCTTTTGGTGCAGTTGCGACAGGTTGGCTGACTTTCGTCACACTGCCGACGAGCAATTGTCAGTTTATACTTTCGCTTATTCGGACGCGATCGCGGCGCCAGGCTCCTTGCAGCTCCGCTCCGTTTCTGCCATACCAGCAACACACGTCTACTACTGACCTTTATTCTTCGTTTCCGACAAGTCAAGCATCCAGTCTTCGTCCTTCTCTTGATGTCCTTCTTGCCTCGCACGCCGGTTGCATGTCGCCCATCGACTGGTGCTTGCGGAGGGATTGGGTAGCGCATCATGCCGGGCGCACCATTGCTCGGCGTTGTCGGAGCGTGCTGCATTGCGCCGTTCCCATAACCATTGTGATACTGGTTGAGATCATATCGCGGCGATGGGTATTGCACCGATGCGCCGTTCATTGCATGCAGTGCTGCAGGATAATGGGTTTGCTGCTGCTGTTGCTGCTGCTGCTGCTGCATAGCCGTTTGTATCGCGACGGATGCAGGCAGAAGCGAGCTTGGCTGGCTGCGGGCCTTACCATTAACTTTTGGATGTTGCGCGCTAGATGTATATGGATAATGCTCCTGAAGAGGCTGCGGTCACGACAGCACCACTTGCGTGCACACCTCAGTTTGGGTACACTACGCGGAGAACCACAGAGCCACCGGCCTCTGCGCCCTCCCCACTAGCATGCGCTCGCTCTCCACCCTGAACGCCCCCCGGCCATGGGGCTGTCACCACGCTAGTGCCATGAGTTCCCATGTAGCGAATGAGAAGAGCCGGCTTAACATTACCTTAAGCGAGGTAGGCGAACGCAATTTGATTAATCAACGGCAGACGAATGGAGGCGGCCACCATCCCCGGAACGGTAGTCTGCCGCACAAGGCTCGTCGGCTGGCCCGCTACCTCAGTTTCCGACTTTGGGCACCACAACCCATCCCAGCCGCCACCACGGATCGTAAGAAGGTAACGATAGCGTCTAGCATCTGGAGTTGAGACGTAGCTTCTCAATTTACGCCAAAAAAAACTGCGCAGAACCGGTGGTATCTTCGGACTGACTCCACGTCGCCCATATAGTTCGCCAAACAGCGATCAGGTCGGCCCGGCTACACACGTCGCCCATTGATCATCTCCGGCATGCTCGAGTCATGCGGAAACCCCGCTGTCCAATTCACATCGCTGTTGTTCAGTGATTCCATCATTTGATTCCAATCCGCATCACTCATACCCATCACGTCGTTAAGCGCACCAGGTGTCATGCCCGATGCGCCGTTAACCATCCCAGTGGCCGCAGGAGTCAAGCCAGTACTGCCTGAGCCCCATTCTTGCGGAAATACAAACCCAGGCTGTTGCGACTCTGCTGTCACGGCTGCGAAGTTGTGCATATCATAGTCCGCAGTAAAACCAAGGTTAGCGTGTTCGAAGATCCCATGAAGCTTGCTGTGCTGCGACTTCTTGCTGTTTGAGTCTTGCTGCTGTTGCTGGTTCTGTGGCGAGTACCCCGTATTTGACGTCCGTGAGGAAGAGTTCTGCTGACCCACACCTGACGACTCCGGAGTACGCTGGTCAGTGTTACTACCGTCAGGGCTGGTATCCATCTCGCCATTGTTGTTGGATTGCGGACTGCGATATGTAGAGCCTTGCATCGAGCCCGGCGTTCGTTGCCGGTTTGGTAGCTCGAAAGATGTCGCACTTCCTATGTAGTCCGGCATTTCTGTCGTCGCATAGCCAAAAGCGGTAGTGTCCGTCGTCACCGGCGGAACCATGTGCGTGTTCGACTGGGGATCGTTATACATGCTAAGGCCTTGATCTCCGTAGGTATGCTTCATGTAAGTTGGCACAGTTGGCATTATATGCGCCGTCGGACAGCCTTCGAAGCGATCTGGCAGGCTGGGCTGCCGGAGCACAGCCGCGCGGAGACTGCGTGAATCTTCCAAGCCAGCGCTCTCAAGGTCAACGTCCAGCTGCACAAGGAAGGACTCTGTAAGCGGATTCTTACGCTTGATAGCGTGCATTGCGGACAGCAGAAATTGCAGTGAAGCTTTGACTTGCGTATCTTTCGGCCTCGACTTCAGATACTGTACGAAAACACGAGCCGAGACATACAAGCAGAAGGAGATGAATGGGTTCATCTATGTTGCCCGCGTCAGTACGTATGCTTCTTGAGGTGTGTTCTACACTTACCGACGATAGGTCCAGATGGCTAATCTGCCGCATGATACTCGCAATCTCAGCAGCGGCTGTGATGCACCTGACTTTGCTCTCTGCGGAGATTTTGGCGGGCATACGATTCTTGTCGGCCTTAAAGATCGCGGCTTGGTGCAAGCAGATGGTCGAAGTATGTATGTTCATATTCAAGAAGACGATGTTAGGATCGTTGAGGCCCCCTGGCAGCCGAAGCGTGTCAGGCAGAGCCAGCGCAGTGTTGAGGAGTATATTATCCATTGTACGGTGTCGCTTCCAAAACCCACCGTTGAGATCCTCGTCATTGTCGTCGGGATCAGGCCGATGTAGATGCGTGAGATTGCGCCCGAAAAGACATGACATTAAGATCACACCAGCAAATCCGGACAGTCTAGGTGCACCGTTCGGCTCAAGCGCTTCTTCTAGCGTCATGGTCCTCCCTGGCTTGCTTAGATCATACTGACTCTCCTCGGAAGGCAGGTTGGTCATGATGTCCTTCTCATCTATTGTCATTGGCCATCCAGTGCCGATGCTCGAGTAGCGGTCTACGCAGAATGTCATCCAAAATGTCCGCCTTCTCTCTTCCCGCTCTGTCCAGTCTTTGGGTGGCGGTAGACATTGCTTCACGTCCAGACCGACCCCGTCTAAGCGGTGCAAACCCATCATCTGCGCCGACCGGCAAGCTCTACCAGCTGACATCCAAGCGCGTGGGAAGAACATGAGCTTGAACTCATAGGTTGCCAACAGCGCCCAGGTCTGAGTATGTGCGACAGTGATCATGCTTTCACCGTGCCCTTTCATCTCATCCTGCTGAATGTACTTCCGAGCACGGTGGTAAAAGTGCTCTTGTAGCGCTTCGTATTTGTCAGTCACTGAGGCTGCATTACACCACATCGCATAACGCAAGCATATAGGCGGCCGCATATGGGGCGCGAGGTTCATCGCCGCGTAGTATCTTGGTCGATGGATCATGGCCACAGAAGGATGTATCTTCTCGAAGTAAATCTGATTGAGCTCGTTGATAACGTCCTGAGTCGGTAAAGGCTCGTCCAGACCCAAGCCTATCATTTCCCACGGAAAAGGCTCCTCTGAAGGTAGGGCAGAGTCATTGTTGCTGGCTGCATGGAGAGCCGCGTGCGGATACTGTGCTTGCGACGGTCCGTCATGTTGGTTGGCAGCCCGCTCCGTATGTGGCATGAAGTCGCGGTTGCCAGAGCCAATGACGATATCTTCTGACTCCGGTGCCATATTGGTCTGTTGCATTGAATGTAGCGAAGCGCCGTTCGTGCCATTTTGTTTGGCCGATTTAGGATCGTCGTCCTTCGTCTTCAACATAGTCTCCACTTGCGCCAGACGAGCCTCAAGCGCCTTGACATACCCTCGCTTGGGCCCGCTCTTGCGCCTCACCTCATCGTACGAGCAGTCATGCGCGAGCCGGGTGCAGGTCCCGCACGATGGCTTGCCGCCGTCGCATTTCAACTTCCTTTTGCGACACAGCACACAAGCGATCCTCTTCGGCTTTGGGACCTGCGAGTTGTCGTCTTGCGAGCCTCTCCGTCCCTCCGCGCTTTCTTGCTCTGGCGGTAGCTGTTGCGAGAGATCGTTGAAGTAGCTATCGTCGGGTGACAGATCGTCCTGGGCGGCCATGTTGCGTGACACTATAAGGTGTGATCGTCCCGACAGAGTCTTGTCCTTGTGTACGAACCGCTCCAAGGGTCGTTCCTACTTTCGCCCGTTGAAGTTACATGGGAGTACCAAAGGAAGCCAAGACCTCACCTTGTCGTCGAGAGGCAACCATCACCACATCACCTACGAAGCGTGCCGAGTCGCCGAGATCACTAGGAATCCTGCCGTCGAACGCGTGCGGCCCAACCAAAGGATTGAGATTCGGCGACGAATGAGAGCCGTCCCCGCTGGGACTGACTCAGCACCACGTGACAAAGCTATGGATTGGTAACCTGCATTGTTCTCATACTACGCAGCGACACAATGTAGGAATACATTCGTGATGGTGCAAGCTGTGACTGTAGCCTCTACCAACGCCCCACATACCCATATGCCAAATCAACAAGGCTGATCGGTGCGCTCATGGTAGCGTCAGCCTGGATACAGCGCGAGTAGCATGCGTTACGAAACAGCAAAAGCAGTAACAATTTCACCATCGCCTCAAAACTCCGGCGCCGATGATGCGGACACTTCGTCTTAGGAATGGGTCCGCTTCTTTCCAGCTCGATGTCACGCCGACATGATACAGACCGCTTAGCGGTCCATCAATGCGTCCAGACTGCGTGAAGAAAGCGATGATCGCTGGCCGCCACCACCCAGCGACTTTCTCAGAGTTGCAGCCGCGTCTGAGGTTGCCTCGTTCACTATGCGAACATTCAGCACAGCAATACCAAAAGGTGCGCTATGAGCGAGGAGTCTTGCCACTGCTCGGCTGATCCTGCACGTTGTCGAGATACTTAGGGGCCCATTTCTTGGCCCATTGGCGAAGGACGATGGAAGCTAGCGAACTGTCAGTGATGACTCGAGGTAGACCGAAATGGTGATGGTTACCCTTCAGAAACTTCTTACTCGCATACTTGCGGAAGAAAGCATCGTGCTGCACTGGTGAATGCAGGTAGTCGACCATTAGCTTGAAAACCGGCTGGATCTCCTGCTCAGTGTAGCCAGCATATTTGCTGAGCGTCGCGTCCCATTCACCACGGCCGAGCGCCATGCGGGCAAGGTACATAGCCGCAGCCGCCAGCAGACTCGGTCGGTACTTCAAGAAGCGGTGATCCAGACATCCAATCTCAAGAAGGTACTTGCCCAGCGTACGCGTCTGGATGTCGTAGCTGTCCGCTTTCGAAATTCGCCGCAGGAAGTTCATTGGGTTAGGGTAGGACAGGTCGTAATCGAGCGCGGCGAGGACGAAGCGTTCGGCGGACAATATCTCAGTTTCTGAGAAGCCATCATCGGCGACGTGCACGAAGTTCTGGACGTGCGGTGACAGGACTTCCTCGTACTTGCTCGCAATGAACATGGCCGTGACGCCGACGAGCTGTAAGCGATCCAGCTGCACGACCTTACTGGACAGGAAGCGGTCGATAATGTTGACGGTGAGGAAGAGTGTTTCCGGTAGAAGGCGAAACCGAGTATGCACCTCCAACAGCCAGTCGACAAGGATACCGCGCATCTTCCATTCGAGGTCAGTTTGGCTGTCCATGTACGACGGATTGGGCATGGTTGTTATCTCGAGCTCGCGCATGTAGTCGAATATCTCATGCACGTACTCGGCAACCATGAGCGGGTCGTCAACATCTTCGGCGTCAAGATCTTTTGCGTCCTTGATGACCTCTTCGAGTGACGGATAGTCGTCGTCTTCGTCGGGCTTCAGGCAGGCTTTGGTGGTGGTACTGTTTACAGTTGTCGTCTTCTTCTTAATCTCGACTGAAGACTTTACGCCATTGGTTGCTGGCGGCGCGTTTTCTTCGTCCTCATCATCAACGACCATCGGCGGCTTCGATGAGGACGTGTTGCGTTTCTTCGCGACTTGTCCGGCGAAGCCACTGCCACTTGCAGGTCGTTTGAGATCGGATGATCCACTGTTGGTTGTCTTCTGGCCAAGCACCGTACGCGTCGAGTTGGTACGCGCCGGCTGCTTGGTGACGCCGGCCGGCTTCGCGGATCTGGACAGGGTAGGCTTCTCCAGTGCACCTTTCTTCCCCTCCACATTCTCCGTGGCGTCCTTTTTCGTAACATTGCTCACGTCTGCAAGAGCTGTCCTCTTGCGGCCGGCGATGGTGCCGTTTAGTGGTGCGGTTGTCGAGCGTTTCGTGGCGAGCGCCTTCTTAGGTGGGTCACCCGCAGACGTCTCGAGTGCTGCGGCCTTCGCACGCGTCAACCTCTGAGTTCCCGTCTCCGCATTCTCATCCGTCACCACTCGTCTGGCCGTTCTTGCCTGGATTGCATGTCAGCACGAATACCATACCGTGCCACGAAAGCCGACAGGACGAATGGTCCGCAGCGGCAGCGGCAGAGGCTGAGGACATACCGGAGGCATGGTGGACGAGCTATGATGCTGTGTAAGGTGATGCTTGAGTTTGACGGGACCAGTATCTGAAGGCTCGAGGTTAGCATTGGCATGGAACATTCGTCGCAGCTTGATCAGACGCGTCTGCCTACCGAAGAATCACTCTCAACACGGCAATGTGCTAGCTAAGCTCCTCCTCCCCAATGACGGCCGTGATGGTGTGCAATGCGTGTCGAGGGCTGAATATCACCATTAACATACACGCTGGCAATGTGTGGAGATGCCGGGGTGATATGTTGAGATTAGGCACCTTTTCAGCTGCCCAGTGTGCCACCGAGCTGCACGATGACTAGGCAGACTGAAATCTAAGTGCTGCTGGGTGAGGTAGAGGGTGTATCGCGAGCGGACGTAAGGGTTGTTGACTGTGGAGCGGGTAGGCGTGGTAGCGTTTCTTGATGTTGCTCGGTCCAAGCTCGCCTTGAGCACGCCGCTTGAGCCCGAACGCGCTTGCGCCTGCTTGTTGTGCGGTCAGTGCTCGGCGTCAAGCTCGTGACGTCGATCGGTGATCGGGCTGGGTGCCTCTACAGATGAACACTTGAGTGCGGCACTGTGGAGGAGTTGTACGCTTCACGAACAAAAGGCAGAGCTGGAGTTGTAGCATTAGCCATGTGTCAAGGCAAGAGGCCTGAACGAGCAATGGAACTTCCGGTTGCTCAGCAACCCATCGCGAACCTGCTGCCACTTCCCGTGATCGACGGTAAGGCGGGTGTAACCGCTGAACTGCCGTCGGCCGTTCGTTTCTCCGATGCATTGAAACTCCTTCTCCGACAGGTGTAGGTGCGGTCGAGATGAGAGTGTAGCAGCTCCACGACCAAATACCATCGGCTCATTGCCAGTCTATCTGGCTGCCTGGCTCTCTGCCTCGTTGCTGAAGCGGCACTTACAGAGCACAATGCTACAACCACGGCTACAACATGTGTGCAAGCAATGCCGCGCCTTACTTACCTCCTTCCGCAGCCGCAGTTATGCTACTACTGTCGTCGAGGAGCCGGTGCGCGCCTCGACTACCACCGCAGACGCCATGGTCTTCTCGCCCGCTGCCGCACCAATGCGTAAAGACTCCGGCTTCCAGCTGAAGACATACAAGCCACGCACGCCTGGTGTCCGCCATCTCAAACGGCCCATAAACGACCATCTCTGGAAAGGCGGGCCTCACCGCCCTCTCACTTTCGCCAAAGTGGGTCATGGGAAAGGCGGACGCAACAATAGCGGTCGTGTTGTGATGCGGCACCGCGGAGGTGGCCACCGAAGACGCATCCGCACAGTTGATTACGTCCGCTCTACACCTGGCAAACACATCGTCGAACGCATCGAATACGACCCTAACCGGAGCGCTCACCTTGCATTACTGGAGAGTGTGAAGACGAAGGAAAAGTCGTATATTGTTGCCGCCGAAGGCATGCGTGCTGGCGACGTCGTGGAGTCCTTCCTCTCCGGCGTGCCGAAGGACCTCTTGGCCAGCATGGGCGGCGTAATGGACCCTGGTATGCTAGCCGCCAAGACAGCGTTCCGCGGCAACTGCCTTCCTATGCACATGGTACCGCTGGGTACGCAAGTCTACAATGTCGGGTCCACTGGTGGGAAGGGTGCAGTCTTCTGTCGCAGTGCTGGCACATATGCGACAGTGATTGCAAAGGAGGAGGTGGGGCCGGAGCACAAGAAGAAGGTGAAGGACGTCACGGTGCGGCTGCAGAGTGGTGAAGTCAGGAAGGTGGACAAGAATGCGTGTGCGACTGTCGGAGTGGCGAGCAATCCGCATTGGCAGTTTAGGCAGCTTGGCAAGGCCGGTCGGAGTAGGTGGCTGAACATCCGCCCGACTGTCAGAGGCGTGGCGATGAACGCTGTGGATCATCCGCACGGAGGCGGCCGTGGTAAGAGCAAGGGTAATGTGCATCCTGTGTCCATCTGGGGCACTCCAGTGAGTCTCCTCTATGCATTGGTGAACGTTTGTGCGATTCGCTAACCAACTCGCTTCAGGCCAAATCAGGCTACAAGACGCGCAAGAAGCGCAACCCGAACAAATATGTTGTACAAGAGCGCCCAAGGAACCATGGCAAGCGGAAGAGAGACAACTAAAACCCTTGTTCTGGTTCTCTTGTGACAATCCTTCACTGTACAATATCAAGCCGCTGCGAGATCAATGCTGCCGCGCGCTGACACCTTGCGCCCACAAGCACTCCTGCACGGTAGCCCGCCAGTCAGGCAGACATCATAAATCCTTCGTCCTATCCTCACTCTCCGCGATCCACTTGTCAAGTTTGGCCTTGTCCCGGATCCTCAAGCCGACCTTGAACGGCTTCGGGTCCAAAGTCAAGCTGGTCGGATACTGGTTACACTTCAGGGCGTCCATGATTGCCTCATCGCTCTTCTCCTTCGGCGGTAAGATCTCAAATGCTGTGATCAGCCTTAAAAAGGCGGTATACAGCTCCCGGTTCGCCAAATGAGAGCCAATGCACATTCTGCTCCCGGCGCCGTAACCATAATGAGGCGTACCTCTTGACGCCGCAGCATCGTCGATCGAGTCATCCTGGATGTAGCGGTCTGGGTTGAAGTCGTACGGGGACTTGAAGTGCGAGTCGTCATAATGTGCAGCATATGCGTTCATGTAGAAAGAGGTGCCAGCTGGGATTACCGCATCACCCCATTTGATGTCCTTGATACTGGTCCGAGGCAAGCAAATGGGGATGACGCTCCAGAAGCGAAGCGTCTCCTTGACGAGAGCTGTGATGTACGGCACCTTCTCCTCGTGCAGGCACCGCTCCCAGGCGTCGTCGTTCGGGTACACGCTGTTAATCTCCTCTAGAGCACGCCTCTGAATGTCTTGGCCGTTGCGACTGGACAGATACGCGATGCACATGATCAGGTTGCCAGGGACAGTGTCCAGTCCAGCGGACACCATGGTCAGACCGATCGACATCACTTCGCCTGCATCCAAAGTCAATATGCGCCGATGCAGTACCCGCTATCACAGGACTTACCATCACTTAACTTCGCCTCTGGATCCTTCAACACATTCCCACTAATGCATGGTAGATCGGTTCCATCAGCGATACGCTGCTTCAGCATGTTCAAAAGCTTGTGCATGTACGCAGCTCTCCGCTTCCGGTACTCCTGCGGCTTGGCGGAACCACCAGGGATCAGCCTCAGTAACGGCACGTAGTCTGCCCAGTTGTTGCTCGTCGACCGAAAATTGGAGACCATGCGTTCCACATGCGTAATCTCCTTGAGCATTTCGTCCTCGACATTGCCTTCGATCTTGATGCCATAGTTCAGGGTCAGAGACGTCGAAAGAGCGTAACGAGTGAAATACGCATTCGGATCAAGATCAACCTCGCCATGCTTGGAATCCAGCATCATCTCCTTGATGGATTTGGTCGACTCATAGTCAATGATCGGCATGTAGCTCTGCACTGCTGGCCGGTTCAGTGCAGTAGCCGCAGCCTTGCGTCGGGCTTTGCAGCTTTCATCCCAAGGACTGGTACCAATAGTGAAGCCCTCGGAGGAGCTTACGACGGTGTGGAAGGTATGCAACATTGGCCGTGAGATAAGGGCGGATTGGTTGGTGATCCACAGCGTCCGGACGCTGTCGAAAGAATTCGCAAAGATGATCCTGCGATTACCGAGCCGGACTTGGAAGACTGGACCGTACTTCTTGCTCCATTCCTGCGCGACTTTGGCGTGATGCTGGCCGAGCTGGTATAGGTTGCCTAACAATGGGACGCCAGGAATCTCTGGCAGACCTTTGATTTTTGGGACGTCTGTCTGGTCAACGATCTTAACTAGGGTATACACAATAGCAAGGATGAAGAAGGGCAAGACTGTTGGAGAAGTGAGGAGCGACAAGACCGACTGTTGCTCAGCGGAGGCCGCCATCTTGTGACAAAAAGCTTAGCAGCTTCTCTTAATGTACGGGTGGTGTGTCGCTTGCTCTTGAACTACGCGAAGGACACGCTGCCGGGCATCAGGCCGAGGGAAAGCCACAAGAGGTCCGAGAAGAGCGGAAAGACGAATCTGCAGAAGACAACTACATGGATCAAGCGATTAGGAAGCACGAGATTACGCATCGCTGAATCTTGCTTTACTGCGTATGGAGCGTCTGCTGAAGCAAAACGAATGTACCTATGCGGGGTGCGGAGTGCGGGGAACGGCTAGAGATGGGAAAGGAGGAGGCGCTGGGCCAATGGAGTAGGCGCTCTCCACGGAAAGCGCAGCAACATCTGGAGGCGCATATTCCGCTGTACGTGGAGCAGGCGGAAACGGACTAGGCCTCCAACTCTGAGAATCTCCTGTGAAGACAGCATGATCTACGCTGGCGGAATTGCTTCGATTGACAGGGATCCAGACGCGGAACGCCTCCGCCATGCTCGCAACCACAGAACGCGAGATTCTTGTGCCCTGCTCAAAGAAACATACAACTACGGAATCTGTTGGATGAAGGTCCGCCGGAGACAGATCAGAGGACGGCGCTCTCCTGATAGCCTCGGTGCCTGTTCGCTTAGCTATCACAACTTGAGCGCAGGCTCGATCCGACCTGTACAGCTCCCAAAACCAACGATGGCACCGTTTTCTCCAATACATCTCCCAGTCAAGGTGATAATATCCCCGTCCTGCAGGAAACTCCGCTGTTCGCCACCTTCAAGCTGGACTGCCACCTTCCCGTTCTCGGTCTGCTCCAGCAAGCAGCCTTTCCCTGATGCTGATTCGCCACTGATTGTTCCAGACCCTAGCAGATCACCCACATTGAATGGGCAGCCGCCAATTGTATGATGAGTGAGCATTTGCGGAAATGAGAACAGGAGGTTTTTTGCTGATGTTGTCGATATGACGGTACTCTTGTCGGAAGCTGTGGTCAGTGAGACGGAGAGATCAATGGCGTAGTGCGCCTTGCGGTCCTTCTCGTCCAAGTACGGGAGAACCTCGGCATCATTCTTCAAGCCGTGTGTTGCAAATGGCTCTAGTGCATCCATGAGGACAACCCATGGAGAGATGGTCGTGCAGAAACTCTTCGATGTGAACGGTCCGAGAGGAACGTACTCCTAGCGTGGCCATCAGCGGGTTCGTGGATAACGTGTTATGACCAGTGGTTTACGCACCCATGCTTGGATGTCTCTAGCTGACCAATCGTTCAGCAAGACCAGACCGAAGAGATAGTCGGCCGCCTTCCCGATTGCGACAGGTTCACCTAGCTTTGACGGCTTACACACGAAGCACCCTAGCTCGAGTTCAATGTCCAATTTATGGCAAGGACTGAGAACGGGCTGCTTTGGCTCGGCGGTCGGATCGAGCAAGATCTGTCCATTCGGTCTTCTGACTGGGGTTCCTGACACAACAACACTGCTCGCTCGGCCATGGTAACCCACTGGTAGATGCTTGTAGTTAGGCTGAAGCGCATTTTGTGGTCCACGGAAAAGCACACCGACATTGTATGCATGGTGTAGTCCTGCGTAGAAGTCGGTGTAATCACCAATCTGCATCGGAAGATGCATCCGGCATTCCTCTAGCGGGATTAATGCGCTTTGTTGAAGGGCGTGATTGTTCTGGAAGACATCCGGAAACGGTCCGTCCTCAAGCAGGATGCTTTGGATGTACTCGCGACACACTCGGTGCATGGGTCGTCCTAGAGCTGCAAATGCATTCAGCGTTGGTTGGGAGAAGACTGACTGATGCGGCTGTATCGTTGAGAGCCTTGCGAAGCCATTGCCTTGTGCAAAAGCATGCAGATCGAGCGCGAGTGAACCGATGGCTGTTGCGACACGCGGTAATGGATCGACAGCAGTGGAAATGATGCCGAAAGGTATGTTAGCGATCGAGAAGTCTGAGCTCGACTCGATGTTTAGCCAACTCCTCAGCGGCGCCATGATAGACTTGCAGCCTTCTTCTCATCACTCTGTCTTCGAACTATCACCAACTCACTAAGCTCCATCTAAGAGCGGATTATTTCCGGTCTTGAAGCTTCAAGCTTGTGGCGATGCACATCAGTCGCGCGAACGCATGCTGCGGAGAAGGTGGGGTGCATTTCTAGCTTCATGTGACCGTCTGCAGCTGCTTGTGTCAGAATCTAATAGAAAGGTTTGATGATGATCGGACGCTAACGTTGCGGAATTGCTTGCGTTTGTCTCTCGCGTGGAATCCGCACATGGTCCGTTGAGTGCACGTAAGAGCACCCAGGGGATGTTGCTGTTCAATACCTGCGCATACCCTGTTCTTTCCGCAACGCACTATCAACATGCCAGTCACCCAGTTTGAGCTGCCCGACAAGTACCAGTATCAGAACGGCCTTGGCTCGTACCATGAAACCGAAGCGGTAGAAGGCGCGCTTCCAGTGGCTGCGAACAATCCACAGAAGGCGCCGTATGGGTTGTACAACGAAAAGCTATCTGGTACCGCATTCACTGCTCCCAGGTGTGAGAACCAGCAGTCATGGTTGTATCGGGTATTGCCAGCCTCAGCTCACTCTCCGTTTGAGCCCCGCGAGACGGATAGCTTCAACACCAACCCAGGTGACCATGGCAGAGACCGCTGGCATCAAATCCCGAACCAGTTACGTTGGGATCCATTCGATTTGGACGAGACGGTCGACTGGGTGCATGGTCTGAAGCTCGTAGCGGGTGCCGGAGATCCTACCATGAAATGTGGTCTCGGCATCTTTATCTATGCAGCTGGCAAAGACATGGATGCTCATCAGGCATTCTATAGCGCGGACGGCGACTTCCTGATCGTTCCTCAGCACGGAGCGCTCGATGTGCAGACCGAGCTCGGGAAGCTGCTCGTGCGGCCAAACGAGATATGCATCATTCCGAGAGGCATACGATATCGGATTACCCTGCCAGAGGGTCCGGTCAGAGGGTTCATCCTAGAGCTCTATCAAGGCCACTTCCACCTTCCTGAATTAGGTCCCATTGGCTCCAATGGACTTGCCAACGCACGCGACTTCCAAGCGCCTATAGCTGCCTTTGACGAAGACACGGAGAACGAATACACTCTACTTGCTAAATTCGGCGGGCACCTCTTTGCAGCAAAGCAGAAGCATACTCCGTTCGATGTCGTAGCGTGGCATGGCAACTACTATCCGTACAAGTATGATCTTGGTCGCTTCAATACAATAGGGTCCATTTCGTACGATCACCCGGATCCTTCAATCTTCACTGTCCTGACTGCGCAATCGAACCATCCGGGCACCGCGGTCGCGGATTTCGTGATTTTCCCGCCGAGGTGGCTGGTAGCTGAAGACACATTCCGCCCACCGTGGTATCACCGCAATACCATGAGCGAGTTCATGGGACTTATCCAGGGTCAGTATGACGCGAAGACCGGCGGAGGCTTCCAGCCTGCCGGTGCCTCTCTGCACAATGTAATGAGCGCACACGGTCCGGATGCTTCCACGCACGAAAAAGCGAGCAACGCCGAACTGAAGCCTATGAAGGTCGGTGAGGGTAGTATGGCCTTCATGTTTGAAAGCTGTCTCATGGTTGGCGTGACCGAATGGGGGCTCAAGAAGTGTGCCAAAGTGCAGGCAGACTACAACGCAGAGTCTTGGGAGTCACTCAAGCCGCACTTCCGAAGACCGACGCCCGCTAAGTTGGTCAACGGCACTTCAAATGGCGTACCTGGCTCCATTGGGGACCAGGGTCAAGTACCACACTGGACGTCATAGTCTTTCCATAGTGCAGGTAATGTAACAGATGCATCTTGTAATGCCAACCACTCAGAAGGGTTGAGGTCCCAGATGGCCCGCAGGTTGTCAACTTCATCCATTGTTCGGGCACGTTGGTCTCCTTGTCCTGCGTCATAAGCATTGTTACATCCCTTAGAATTAGCAGGAAGCTAAGTCTGTAGCACGACGGACTTCATTACGGTAGATACGTCAGCTAGAGTGAAATACTCAGATAGTTTGAAACGATGTCTAGCTGAGAGGACTACTTGAGAATGTCATATGTGATCGCCTTGTAGTGGGCACGTAACCCCACCTAGTAACGCAGACATGCGCGTATGAGAACCAGCATGGGACTGTTGTCACTGTCAAGAGATACGGTATGGACCGACAGAAGGCTGCAATGATGGTATCACATACATAGGGACAGGGAACGAAACGTTGCTACGTAAGCGGCTTCTCGGCTTCCGGCATCATGTGTCTTCCTATCTTTAAACGCGTTGTTGCTTCTTCCATTCCCACCTTCCCAAGCATGGTTACGCGACATTCATCGACCATGCGAGACACGCACCTTCCAGCAGCATGTTGCTTGAACTGGCGATGGCCAACCCGTCCAGTCTGGCGACTGCCTCTGGACAGTTCCTCCGGGTTCCTTAGCTACACTCACGCTCGAGACATACGCCCACCCCGTGCTGTATGAGGCCGTATATGAGCAGAACATGAGCCAGGTCAGCTATGCTAAACTTCCTTGTCCTGCCTTGTATCCTCGGCCAGGGCAGCTGCTCGCATGGATGTGGCGCCTTCCTGCCAGTCCCTTAGACACAGATTGCGCGTCTTTCATCCTCCCTTTCCACTTGTTTACCACGTACGAGCGATCTGTTCATTCATTCATTCACGGGAAAAGCCGTTCATCTTTCGCTGCATCACCTATCCTGGAGTCAGTAGGTGGCGAGTGCGGGCACTTGCGACCTTAATATCAGCCATCATAAACCTCACGTGCAGACCGAGACTGTCCGTAACAACCTTTTCCTGCCCTCAACCGCGGCGATCATTACGACGCTCTGAAACACACTCTGCAATACGTGCTGAAATGCGCCTCGCCACGGTACTTTATCTCGCCGGAGCCTACTTCCCGAGCACAATTCTCGCACAGTCTACCACGGCTCCCGCGGTCACCGCCAACCCGCAAGGCGCTCAGTACATCGCTACGCTTCCGAACAATGCCACGTGGCCTATGGGCAGCATGGTTGTGAGCACAGCTCCATCAGGCATGGGCGTCAGCGTGCAGATCAGTATCAGCAACCTGCCACCTTCTGGTGGGCCGTTTCGTAAGTGAACAGGACTCAGCTAGCGGACACGGCACGATATGCTAACAAGACGCGGTGTACTCGATCAACATGTTTCCCGTCAACGCGAGCGGCAATTGTTCGATAACGGGCGGCCCCCTCGATCCCTACAATGTCACAGAAGCGGCGCTTTGCGATCCAAACAACCCAGCCACTTGTCAAGTCGGTGACATGTCGGGTAAGCACGGCCCGATCAATGGCACAAATTACGCGGCGAGGTATGTACCTTATTCCAAGTCATGACGCCCTTTCAGAACACATACTGACCGTACTAGCTACAATGACGCATACCTGTCTACTCAGCCAAACACGACTACATTCATGGGCAACTGTAGCCTCGTCGTATACTTTGCGAACAAGACTCGCCTGAGCTGCGCCAACTTCACGGTACCCGGGCGATCCTCTTCAAGTTTCGCCTCACCCATTATCCTGCATGCTACAAGCGTTGGAGGTTCGAGCGCTGGAAACATGCAGCCACTGGCACCAGGCGCCGGTATAGGAGCCTCCACCGTAGCAGATGTACAGATAGCTACGGTGTAGAACACCCAGACTGTCCTTGCAGCCCAAGCAGCTACCGCTTTGTCCTCAGCTACGGTCTCGGCCTTGGGAGCAACCTCATCTGCGTACAACACTCCGACAACCTCTGGTGCGCAAGCCCCGACTGCTAACACCGCAGCTGCTGTCTCGACTTCCGTACAAACCACAACGGTCTCGCAAATCCAGGCTGTCCCTGCTGCTCAACCAGCAAGCACGAGTCCCAACTCTGGAGTGTTGGCCGGTACACAGTCTGCAGCTTCGTCCAGTGTCCCTGCTCAATTACCGAACTTCAACATTGCAGTTGCTGTAAGCTCCGTACAGACGACGACGACGACGATAATTGTGCAGACACAAATCATGTCCTCGGCTCAAGCAGTGAGCACGGGTCCCACTGCGGGTGTCTCGATCAACAACACACAGGCAGCAGCTTTGTCCACTCTACCAAGTCAACTACAGACTACCAATGCAGCTACTGTAACTTCTGTACAGACGATAACGGTCCTGCAGAACCAGATTGTCCCTGCCCTTCAACAGCAGAGCGCCAACGTTACTGCCAGTGTTGTGACGATCGTGCAAACTGCAGCTTTGTACAGTACCCAGACCCTTCTAGTCGCCCAGACGCCAACCATCGCACAAGTTCAAACACCGAGTGCCGCGTTAAACACAACTGCTCCCTCGTCCGCCAGCACTCTGCCAGCAAGCATAACAACTGCTACGGCTGGAGCCGCTGTATCATTCACAGCGCAAGAGAACGCAACCTGCGGAGGCGCGACAGCCACGGTCACAGTCACGGTCACCCAGCAAACGAGCAGCAACCCGTCCATACCCACAGCCGGGGTCTTGAGAATCATCTATGGCGCCGTCACCTCCCTGCTAGCTCCGTCGCCATCAACGCAGATGCCACCGACCGCTACCGTGGTTCAGAGCAACATCAGTCCCTTGCTTGCTACGGTGACGTTCACGCTGCCGCCAGTGACTACTACTGTACTGAACAGCGCTACGCCCATGGTCGCCACGGTGACCCTTGCGCAGCCGACCACGATTACTATGGTGCAGAGCAATGCAACCCCTCTGCTTGCAACGGTGACAGTCGCACAGCCGCCAACAACCGTCAACCAGGCTCCACCCGCACAGACGATAACGGCAGTGGTCTCAGCTATCGTCGCGACGACTGTAGTTCAGCCAACACCGGCATCACTCCTTTCAGTATCTGTACTATCTGCCGCGGTCCTACAGGTCAATGCGCCTGCAGCCATCACTCAACTTCTGCCCGCACAGACAGTGACGGCTGTACTCTCTAACATCCTCCCTCCGGTCACGGCTCAGTCAGCGGCGCCGCTTCTGCAAGTATCTGTACTATCTGCCTTCGGAGCGCAGGTCAATCGCCCTGCCGTTCTCGCAACCCAAACGCAAACTATCGTCAAGCAAATTTTGCCGGCGAAGACAGCCACAGCAGTGGTCTATGCCGTCGTGGGATTGACCCAGGCCGGAACGACAAAATCCGCCGTGACAACGATAAAGTTTACCGCAAAGGCCACAACTTTCACGACCACCGTGGCTCCGAAACCCTTGCCAATAACCACAGTAAAGATGACTACTGTCAGCATAACTTCAACACATAAGTGAGAGTTCCGGAAACGCCGCCGGTATCTCCGTCTGTCGTTCGAGTGCCGTCATGGCTCGTCATTTATGTGGCCTTGACTTGAGCATCGCATTCGACGAGCGACTCGAAGGCGGGAGGAAGCGCAGCCGAAGCGCGCAAAGCGGACGGCATCATGGCTTGTGACTCTATCTTGAGCTACAACGGGCGAACCTACACTGATTCGATCCTTCAACGCAAGTAGCCTAGGCACTCCTGAACTTTTTTGGTGTTAGGTCGATTGCGTCTTTGTCTGATAGACCTGAATGCAATAGTGCACGCGTGTTTAGAAATGGCTCTTGACGCGCCGCAATTGTGTTTCGTCATAGCCGCCACTATGCATGTAGAAATCGGGGCTGGCCTGGCACATTAAGAGCGTTTGAGACCGAAGATACGATTTCCAACGCTCTCAACACAGCGTCCCGTCTATCCTCGGCACAGGTAAGAGCACTGCTCGTTCGGCGAGGCTGTCGAGAAGGGTGGTTGGCAGCGCCGCTCAGTCTACGATTCATCCGTTACCGCTGCTCCGCTTTCGAACAGCGCTTGGTTGGGATGATCGCACATACCCTTCTTCGTGTGGGGTTGCCTGCCGACTGCGTGCTCCACTACTTTGGTTGCTCGAGCTATTGCGCCTGAACAGTTCCTCTGCTTGTTCAACGACTCGTCGCTTTGACGGCTTGTCCGAAGCGGCTGACGCCGACGACGTCCGCCCTTGCCTACTCCTGCTACTCAATCGAGAGACGGGAGGGCTGAGCGCAGCTAGTGTCTGCGACTCGCTTGTGGCATCTATTGACTCAACTTCAGGAACCGTCGACAGCCGCTCTGGTGTCCGCATTATGGATCCTCGCTGTGCAGGAGATTGTATGCGTGCTCCACGGTTTGTCGGACTTACCGCAATGGTGCGGTCAACGGGTCCGCGAGTGTGACTCACGGTTTGCTGTTTTGAGGTCGGTGGTAGCTCACGACTTGGTGTACGCGCAACGCCGTTCTTGCCGCGCCTGACAATACCGGCGAGCGCTTGTACAATGAGCGAAGCATCCGTAAACTCTTCGTCGTCCAGACCCTCGGTCGAATCATACACCTGCTTGATGGTCCGTCGTGCTAACCGAACTGCGCCGTCATACTCTTTCTCGCATTCCCACAGAAAAGCGCAATGCTCGAGTGAAACTGAAAGCCGCAGCGCGTGTGTCGGTGCGAGGAGGCTGGTCGCCAAGTGCTGGACGGTATCGAAATTACTCCGTGCCGTCGGTACAAAGTCGCGCGGAGAGTGTAGAGGAATCTCCGCCGCTTGCGACGCCGATAGATCGATTGAAGTAAGGCCTGGGGGACGTCTTGGCGTGCGGCGCGCTCCTGGAGGTGTGGGAGGTGGAGGCCCTAGTGGCGGTGGTGTTCGGGCTGGTCCAGCCCACAAATTGGTAATGTACGACGCATCCGATGCTGTCGACGGTACAGGATCGCGGAGGGCTATATTGTCAGTCCTTTGTCTTTTGCCGTTGCTTCGGCTCCCGTTTTGCGACCCGCCTGGTGATCGTTTGCCATGTCCACTGTCACCCTTTGGTGTGCGGACGTTCGATGGGGAGTTAGCCACTCGGGGTGTTCCAGGACTGACTGCGCTGACTGAAGGACGGTTGTGGAAAAGGCAGAGAACATGGTAAAGTGAGGCTCGTAGCTTCGCGGCCATGACACGACACAATGGCCCGTTTTCGCCGTTCCGACAATAAGGAAGAATGCAAACTTCCGTTATAGACAGTCCTTCTCGCGCGAGCCAAATTATTTGATGATAGAGCTGTAGGGACTTCGTGTCTCGTGTGGTATCGAGCTTGCGGAGGCGACCGGCTCGATAGAGCTTGCGCGATAGCATTATCGACAGGCCAAGTACCTGATAGAGGTGACCAGACAGGAGCGGATTGTCCGGAGCAGTCTGTTTGGCGATTCTGCCCAAGATCTTCTCCTCAACCTGGGAGACTGCCATGGAGGACGACAGCGCAGACGGCGGCGGAACCCTGAACGAGCAGTCCACTGTGCCTTCTATGTTTTGCCCATAAGTACTAATGTACCGACAGATCAGATGGACTTCGAGCTGCTCTTGACGTTGCTGGATGTTTTTGCCACCTCCGTTTTACGCGTTGTCGTGCAATTAATATAGATGAGATAGTGATCATAGCAAGCCGAAACCGATGCCACTATTGACGAACTTACAGATACCGGCTTGAAGACGGTCAGGTCTGTCACAGCGCACGTGTCGCCTACAATCGCGCTTCTGTCACAACAAGAGGCTGGGCGAATGCCTGTTCTCCGGAGGTTGCGCTGCTGGACACTGTTGGCGCGTGGAGAGCCTTGTTGCGGCCAATAACGCTTTGCCAATTCCGTGGCATCAATGTATGAGTGCGTTCTCAGACCAGTTATATGGTTTTGCTACCAGTCTTCTCGATACCCAGCGCGGGTCAAGGTCGTCGGACAAGAACTGGCCACCATCAGTGACGCTGCTTTGACCCAACTTGCGTGTCTGTTCATGAGAGCACTACCCAATGATGCCCGTGTCTACACGGCTTGCGATCAAGGCGCAGCGACTTTCTATTCGCTCCCACTCTCCGTCAGCGCACCAATGAAGGAACTGTCCGGGCTGCGAACCTAACACAAGCGAAAGGACAAGAGAAGACGTAGCCTCCAGGATCTTTGCAATTATGAATCAGCCGCGTTGCTATGGCAGGCAGTTTGATTATTGCTCGAGACCTGGTATGTTCGCAGCGCTGGTTGATGATCGTTCGATTTCGACAACAATGAATGCTCCTCCTGTGTCATATTACTACTAAACATTAACAACTCGAAGCATGCTCCAAGACGCTTGTTCGAGCCCGCGACCCTTCTGCGCTGGGTCGTGTGCCAGCCGCCGATGCGCCTGAACGAGCAGATCTGGTTCTGGTTCTTTACTGGTCTTTGCTTGAGCGAGGAAGTAGGGCTCTGCCACGCTGGCGCAAATCAACCAACTCCACCAACGCCAAAGGGACAATTGCTGCCCAACACGGTCGCAAGCAAGTACAGGAGAGAAAGAGTGCACAATGTCGAGGAAAATAGAAGCGCAATCGACCTGCCGGCAACCTGCATAGGCCTGCATATCGGACCCGCAGAGCCAATGGGCCTGTGCGACGTGGCAGTTGACAGGACGCACCACGGCATCGCCAGCAAACTACTGCATCCCACCATCATGTCATGGAGCGTAAGCGAATCTGACTCGGCGCGTGCATCGTGAGTAAACATCGCCGTAGAAGGCGAAGAAAGAACCGTGCGCGCTTGGGCCGCTTCTGGATTGTTTTGATGTCAAGCTTCGTTAGCAGAGTCATAGGAGTCGCCGCATAGACTTCGTGACGGCTAGGTCTGCTAATGCAGTAGTTCACGTACTCTGACCGTGGTCCGCCCGCCACTATTCGACCTTTGCTACCGTATGGCGCGGCCTGCGTCATTGTCGACTCTGTGCGTTGCGATATGATCGCTTGGGAGCAAGTTCGCTACAAGACAAACATGGCACAGGCGGACTTCCTGGCTCCCAAGCGCAGCGGATAATCTGAATCAAGGCGCTTATGGTGATGGAGCCATCAAGCGGCTAAGGAGTAGCAGCAGACGCCACCCGTGAAGATGAGAGGAGCGGTGAAGAAACGCTCGGCTCTACGTCTCGGAGATCACGTGCACTTACCCTCAACCAACCTCCTGACTTGCAAACTATCGAGTATATAATCTCACAAGTCATTAAAACCAGATGCCGAAGCGGTAACAGCTGAGATCAATGCTTTGCGAAGTTGCACAATACGCCGAGATGGGTATACAAGCACATGCGATTCGATTGTTTGTCGTTCCGCAGACCTCTGCACTGTCTTACAGAGACCGTGTAAGCCTCGTTCAACTCTGTAACGCTAATTAGCGGAGGTTTACAACGCAATCTGTTGTGTGAGTTGCCAATTAGGTAGGTGCGAGGCGCTGTACATCCGGCTCGGCCATTGCAGGACGCGGTGCCAGATACCGAGAACTTGACAGCACAATACTACTTGCTTGGGATAATGAGAAGCCTTTCCGCAGGGAGCATTCGGGTACGTACAGGCAGCATGGAACCGGAGGACATACCCGGCTTCGGGTTTTGATTGGCATTATGATACTGCACTCTCGCGGTGGTGGATCGTAGCGACATGCGGACCTCCCGGCTACCGCGGCCACGCGGCTCGAATTCGTACTGAATATCGCCGACGGCGTTGCTTCCGCTTCGGGCAACCGTAACGTGTGACATCCTTCGGGACCAGTGGTTCGGACTGCTTGCATGAAGCTGTCAATTGCCTCAATTTGCTGCGCGCCATTAAAGCGATGTGAGACAAGCTTTCTGTTCGAGGCTTGCCAAACGCAGATGGAGTGATGGCTGGAGTAACAGTGTACAACGGTAACGAAGATTGCGAGATTGTGACCGGTGTCTGCTCGCCTTGAGTTGCCTTACGAGGTGTTACAGACCGCAACCGTACGAGTGCTGGATGATATCAACCATATAAAATCTGCTTTGCTCAACTCGTTCGTGGAACCAGTAGAAGCGTGGGGCTTCACCCGCTCAACACTCACGCCATCGTAGGTCACGTTATACTTGCAGAGGAGACGACGCCAGACTGATCTGTATAGCAGCATCGTGTTGCGACGCCTCGTCGAGCTTTTTTTTCGATACTACGGAGTCAGCCCCAACATGTGCAGGTACCACGCTCATCAACATCCCTGCGGCCACTTGAGGACGATATTCGCGGAGTTCTGTCCTCCGGCCGAGCTGGCACAGCGGCCATGCGGTCACGGCGAAATATGGGCAACCGTGGAACTGGAGCTGGAGTGCTACACGTGTGCTATGAAATCACCAACGAAGCATCTCACCAAGGAGAGTGGTTCAGGACGGATACTGCGCCTACGGTAGTATCTCTCACCTCCGAATGAGGTCTTGTTCAGCGTGACGCCAATGCCGCGACTGAGTGGCATGGCTTGCGAAGGGATAAGGCTGTGGGGAGGATCCTGCGATTTATATCTGTATTAGGCAATTAATGGTAGCGCACCATCATCTATCATAAGGCGCCATGAGCTCGTTCTTCTCAACCATCTCTGCGAACCCTTCGATCCGCCTAGCAGAGGCAACAAGCGTCAGCGACATCTCAAGCACTGGAAAGAGTTAAGGGTAAATAGATCGTACGTAGTGTTTGCCCATGGCTTGAGCTCGCATTCTCTGCGGACGACGCTCGCGAAGCAGTCAGTCCACTGATTCCTCGGGTGAGCATCAACCACGCTTTTGATGGTCTCTTGGTGCACCAATTCTCCGTTTAATCCGGCATTGTCAAGAACTGTCGCAAACAGAATGATGGCCGTGAGCGTAGTAACATTGCCAGAGTCTCCGATGTCCTGGTGTCTGATGATGGTCTCCGCCACCAGTTCAGCTTGTTCGATATCAGCGTGGAGAGACTTCAGTAATTCCAGCGAGATGAGCCCGCCGTGGAACTCAAAGGAGAGGTGTGTAGACGTCATGTTAGCTGGAACTGTCCCAATGTCGTGTAACAGGCAGGCTAGTAGGTACGTTTCCGCACTATAGCGCCAGTCCGGGAAGTGCTGCATGGTGACTGCTCGGCCTAGGCGGTGTCAGCTAGCAACCCAACAGTCACAGCATCTAATACTTGCCATAGTAGAAGACTCGCAAGCTGTGATTGAATGTTTCACTCGACAGCTTCTCTTTCGCGTATCGAAGCACCTGCTGCGCAAGCTCACTGCTCGGCAGGTCAATGTCTTCGACCTTGAGCGGCTGGGTGTTCTTCTTCATATCGACGCTGGTAAGAAGCTTCTCAAATGACCTTGGGACTGCCGCCCAGCCGTGGTCTTGCTGCATCTTTGACATACTCTACGCTCAGGGCGAAGTGGCCACGACGTTGAGCCTTGTCATCCACGGTGTATACCTGAGATACTTGACCAGCAAACTTCAAACGTCATCGCGCCCTTTCGCTACCGTGTCAGAAGCGGCGCACATCCTCTGATGCCATTCGACAAGGACTAGGAAGTCTCGAGACTCTGATCAGGTCACGTACGGCCATTGTAGTGCTTACGGTATCGCCTAGGAAGTCAGCGAGCAGCGAGCGGATGAGATGTTGTGCGGTTGCTCGCTCTACAACTGCCCGAAACAGAATATTGTAGGGCTGCCCTTACCTGATGCGGATTTCGCGCAGATCCAGTCACTTACGCCTTTAGGAGCCTCTTCGAGAAGTGGTGGATGTGCAGGTTTACAGACACTGCGAAAACAAGCTGGCAACCGTTGAGGTGGTTGCGGGTTGCAAAAGGAAGGGAATGTCAAAGTTAGGCCACAGCTTGTCGAGCTCTACATATCCTCTCTGTTCGCTTACGAAGCACCATGTTCCATCGAGTAACGCCGCCCTGCCCAAAGGTATCAAAACCCCTTCCTATACCCATATGCGGTGTTCTATACCTTCCTGCCGACGCCAACGCTTGTGCTAAAGCATGTACAAACAGCAGTAGCTTCTCTTCAGGTTTGGAGGCAAGAGAGCGAATGCCGCCTCGTGATCAACTTGACACCCCGCTCAGCAACCTCCAGCGTCGAGTGTGTTTTCTCGACTCGACCGGACAAGCTATAATGGGACAATCGACAACCCTTAGGGAGGCGAGTGTTCGCTAGCAGAGCCTGGTTCGAAGTGAGGGTGTATTTTTTTGGATCAGGTCGATTTCAAAGAGCGTTCAAGTTTCCGAATGTTGTTTGGAGCCTGTGTCCTTCGTACTCGGCACTCCGCCGTAAGGTCCAAAGCCAAACTGCGGAGTGGTCTCCGTTGCCTGGCTAGGTGGTGCGCCGCCGGCTACCTCGACGGGGTTGTCTTCCACAACGACATGGTCATCCTTCTTCGTCGCCGGATGGATCTCCAGCGGCATTTCCTTCGAGAGATCGCTCTTAGAACGCTCGCGCGAGAAGCGCAGACTGTCGGCATCACCGCGTCCAACAGGTGACCAGCCACCTCCGATGGAACTCGCGAGGACGCCCGCCATAGCCACACCGGCAAGGGCCGAGTTTGACCGGGATCGATCGCGCTTTCGTCGCTCGGGCGTATGAGGCTGAGACGCTTGGCCGTTGTCTTCGTTCTCCACCTCATTGTTCGGCGTCCGCGGCAAACTGGAGCTTGCCCTACTACGGCTCGGACTTCTGCTGTGCAAGAAGGTCTCCCGTGGATGTTGCACTGCGAACTTGAGCTGCCTGAGACGGCCGCCCTTGTACTTCTTGAGGAATGCCAACTCGTCGCGGATGTTGTACAGTGCCTGGTTGAACTCGAAAGGACTCTCTTCGTCGGGGTTAACACCCTTGTCCTTCCTCCTGCCCGCCCACTCACGGATACCGCGCGGAATGATCCTAACAGCGAGCTCGTCCGGAACAAGGCGTACGATAACACCGACTGGCAGAGAAAGAGCGCCGAGGACCAGCGCTACGCCCCATTGTGTACCAGTCTGGTGCTCCGCTTGGAAAGCCGCCCAACCGCCAACCATGACGATTAGGACCTGTCCACCGATCATGACCAGGAAGATGCCACAGAAGAAATAGTTCTTGAAGATGCCCTCGAAAACATTGAATCTGTTGTCGAGGCGTCGGTTGTTGAGAGCGTTGAAGATCTGCATCCAGACGAAAGTGTTAAATACGAGAGTCTGTTTCTGATTCTGCTCGTACTGCGTATCGTAGCCGAAGATGCTGTTACCAGCGAAGTACAGTACCAGTGTAACGACGAGCTGGTAGATCGCTTGGCCGATGATCATCTTCCACATCGTAACCGAAATTAGCGGTGCAGACTTTGGATCGGGCTTGCGCTCAAGGATCTTGCGAGACGGGGGATCAGTGGCCAGCGCCAATGCGGCCATGGTGTCCATGATCAAGTTGACCCAGAGCAGCTGCACCGCGGTGAGCACAGATTCCTCACGATCGCTCGAAACGGCGGAGATGAAGGCGAGAAGCACGGCTGTGATGTTGACGGTGATCTGAAACTGAAGGAACTTCCTGACCGCATCGTTAACCGCACGACCCCACATGAGAGCCAGGACAATAGAAGCGAAGTTGTCGTCCATGAGGATGATGTCGGAGGCCTCCTTCGCAACCTCCGTACCGGAGATGTTCATGGAGAAACCCACGTCGGCAGCCTTGAGCGCCGGTGCGTCGTTGGTTCCGTCACCGGTCACGGCGACAGTCTCGCCCATCTCCTTCAGTCGCTTCACGAGCGTGCGCTTGTCTTCTGGTGAAGATCGCGCAAGCACCTGAAGCTTCGGGATGACGGCACGCTGTTCAGCGGTGCTCATCTTGCGGAAGTCCGGACCTTCGAGCGCCACGCCGCCAGCTGTGAAGATGCCACACTCGCGCGCGATCGCCTTGGCGGTCAATATGTTGTCGCCAGTGACCATGCGAGGGAATACACCAGCCATGATGCAGTCTTTCACAGCCTCCGGCACACCAGGACGCAGCGGGTCCTGGATACCGACGACGGCTAGGAAGGTCATGTTCTTGCAAACATCCTCGAATACAGCTTGGCTTTTGTCATCTTCTTGTCGTCGTGCCCCCTTAGGCGGCCACGCCTCGAAGTCGCGATAGATGAAGCCAATCGTGCGCAGCGACCTATCAGCGTAGGCATCGATGAGACCCTGAAGCGTCTTCTTGTTATCAGCCGTCATGGTCGTGCTTTCAATGCCCTGCGTCGGATTTTTGATGATGGTCGAGCAGTAGCGCAGCATGATCTCACTGGCGCCCTTGACGAGCAGGCGGTAGCCGTCCTTCTCCTTCAGCTTGATAACCATTGCCATGCACTTCCGCCCGGAATCGAAAGGTATCATCTGCACGATTTTGGCATTGCTGCGTTCAAGATTGACCGTGTCCATGCCCAGGTGCTCGCGCGCAAAGTCGAGTAGAGCAGTCTCCGTCTTCGAGCCGACAAAGGTCATCTTACCGCCGTCGTCACTTTCGAAAGCCGTGGAGTTGATTGCGATACTATCTTTCCAGAGGTTTTTGGCACTCTTCGAGAGTGATCCGATGAATTCTACAGTGCTGACACCATCTACCTCACGCTGAGCCTGATCGTTGTTGCCGCCCGCTCTGCTGCTGAACCTGTTAGATGTGCCGACGGAGCCAGTAACAACAGTCATAACATTCTGTGTAAGCGTGCCCGTCTTGTCAGAGCAGACAGTGGTCGCGTTTCCCATAGTCTCGCACGATCGCAGTACGCGGACCAGATTTCGATCCTTCAGCATCTGCTTCGTTGCATACGCCAGGGCCAGCGTAACAGCAAGGGGTAGGCCCTCCGGCACAGCGACCACGACAATCGTGACTGCAGTGATCAGAATAGTCATGAATTCCTGGCCCTTCTGAGCCGGTGTGCCAGTGTTGTGCCGAAGCTGCGCCAGGAACTTGATGAACAATATCACGAACAAAAGCAAGGCCGCCGCACTGCCAATCTTGGCAATGTACTCCGCGAGATCGTTGAGCTTGCTTTGCAGTGGTGTCGCGTCATTGCTCTCTTGAAGGGACAGCATAGTCTTGCCGTATGAGGAGTGAACACCAGTGCTTGTGACGAGCATGCGACCGAAGCCTTCGGTGACCTTGCCGCCAGAGATCATGAATGGATCCATCTTTTTGAGTGACTCGCCAGCATTCATCGCACGGTAGACTTCCTCTGCGGGCACTTTCTTCATAATGTCCGACTCTCCTGTCGCACTCGACTCGTCGCACTTCACGCCATGGCCAGTGATGTAGATGCCGTCCACGGGTAGAATGTCACCAGGCTCGACCATAAGAACATCGCCGACCAAGACATCGTGCACGTTGATTTCCTGAGTCCGCCCTGACCGGATGACCTTCACATTGCGGCTTTCTTTCTTCGCATTGAGTTTTGCAAATTGCCGTTCCTTTTGCCAATCGTTGAGCGCACCGACAACCACGACCACCACGATGGCGACAATGATTGCCACACCCTCAATCCATTCGACGCCGCCGGAGGTCAATGCTTGGTATAAACCGAGTGCCAAAGCAATGACAGCTGCCACAGTCAACACAATCAGCACCTTGTCGTTGTAAGCAAGCCACATGAGCTGGAAAATGCTCTTTGGCTTCTTTTCGGGTAATCGGTTGTCACCAAATACTCGCTTCCGATCTTCGAAGTTGCCCTGGCCGACCTTTTCGCTGGCGACTGGTGGAGCCTCGGGAGCATCCACCGCTGTGGCCTCTGACGATGGGCTCGAAGACGCAGTTGCTTCCTGAAACGTCACCCGCCCGTCAAGGTGTGCCTCATCTGCGCTCAGACCGGAGTTCCGGTCTGATCGTAGTCCCTTCTCCAGCCCAGCTAACCCACCGACTGCATGAAAAGCCCCCAAACTTTTCGGATTGATGAGTTTGCTCATCTGGCCAGGTGTGAAAGCGAAAGGATTATTCTCGCGCTGAAAGTCTTCCTCGGTGCCTTTGTCCGGTTGTAAAGCTTCGTCGTCAGGTAAGACAGGGTGCCCTCCGGCACCGGACTGTATCTCTTCGTCACCACCTTTCGGTGAGCCATTCGATAGAGGCGTGGACGTGTTGACGTATGTGAAATCCGAGGCTGACGTGCTTGACTCCTGCGTTGCGTCTGTATCGAAGCTTTGTCCTCGACTCCTAGGTTGTTGAGTAGGGACTGATAGGAAAGTGTGTGGGTTGTTCCACTGTGACGGCGAGGAAACATTGTGTGGACTGGTCGGCCTCGACTCCCTATTGTCGAAGCCATTACCTCCTCGCGTGTCCGTGGGTGTCGTTAACGAGTTGGAGCCCGGCCGTAACCGTGTTGATGCTCGATCTCCATTGTCCGACCGTCCGTCATCTGAAAGTTGATCCAATTCATGCTCTGGTCTTTGATCCATGCTGGTGTTATCCGACGACTTCCGGACCGCCGATGTATCGATGGTGATGGTCGGAGCGCGAGGCCTTCGCGCAGGCCCCGGCGAGGGCGATATCCTTCTAGCATTTGGGTCCGCCATAATGCAAGGCTCGCTGGGGTATTCCACAGGCTACGAGTGCTGCGGCAGTGAGCAGGGCGTGGGTGTTGCAAGCATGGGTGTGATGCAGATGTGCAAACGATACCAGAAGGATGAGGTATAGATGTGAGCGCCAAGAGAGAGGCAAGGGGCGCAGTCGAAAAGATGAAGTGGTCACTGGGAGCCTGTCGTACGTCGTCCAAGGTGAAGCCAAGCGGAGTGGAGACCGGTCTTGGAAGGTAAGAGGTCACGGTTGAGGCCTGTGGGAAGGCGAGTCTGTCAGTCCGTTGGTATCCCAGCTACTGTCGCAACGTGCCATGGTAAGCGCAATCGGGCAGGAGGCCTCACACAACGCTCAGCCACAATACGTGCTGTCTGCGATCAAATGATGCTATGAGGGGCAGTGCACGCGAGCCCAAGACCTCAAGGCTCTGGGCACGTCGTGGCGAAAAGCATAAGAGAAAGCGAGTGTCTTACATGAGCGATTCGCACCCTCACAATCCGTTCACGGTGTTGGCGACGACTTGCAGAGTTATTGCGACTCGTAGCTCCTTGGTATGGAACAGTATGAGGTGGGAAGGCGCAGCTTGCTCGGCCCTCGACGGCGGCCTCATCCCATATGGACGCCTTGAACACCGCTTCCAAGCGCTCCGGAGAAGACTCCACCTCTTCGACCTCTCGGCGGCAACAGTAAGGCAGACTCCCTGCTTCGCGAGTCCTTCAAATCCAAGAGTGACCGGCTCCAGACGCTCAAACACTGGCAAACAGATGCGCCAAGTGAACTAGCACTTGCACAGCCCCCCTCGGCAAGCTCCAATACAGTCGACGTTTGATTGCCCCCCCTTCCTTGGCACATACCCTCGCTTGACTGTGGCAACACCATCATACCTGCCAGCAAGCGCTCATATTGCTTCGAGCTTCGATACTGCCGGATACGCCTTCTCGCAAGAACGGGCATATGTCGTTGCCAAAGTGCTTTGAAGATTTGGCCCCTTTGGCGTGGATCGGCGCGCTAATGCAGGTCGGAAACACGGCGGTTGCCGCAAACCGTTAAGCAACCCTAACGCCGCCATCGCAAGTGGTTGGGGTACGACCAACCGAGGCACAGGAGTGTATTACAATGCCATCATGCAAAAGTACATACTGGAGTCAGATTGGGTTATGAGAATCGATGAGAAGAGTACATCGACAGCAGTATGCTGAGGGCTATATCGAGATGTGGTAACAAAACATTGCGTCAAGTGGAGAGATTGTATGAACAAGTCGCAAATGCAACATGATATTGGAAGAACATACAGAAATCTAAGCCGGAAACTCGCCATGTCAGGCAGATTGTCCATTAGTAGGTTCACATGGCTGGCACGTGGCGAAACTTTCATCACATCTGAGGTATTCTTCATGCATCTGTCTGGTTATTGAACCCCCTACAGGTCCACGTGACATCCACTTCTTACTCGCAGCGCTCAAGCAACTGACCAACGCATTCCCATATTCGCCTCCTACTGGCAATACTTGTGCGGCCGAGATGTATGTCTTTCATCCCAGCACGCGAGAATCCCTCTGAGGCCGGGTACGCTTCTTCGAGCAGGCGTTGCCACAATTCCAGCCAATCAATAGCATCTGACTCGCCCACAGTCAAGCTCTGCATTCGCTCTTCGAGCTCCCACAAGTACGGCATGTCTGCCGAGATGCGGCGCTTCCAATACCGGTCGTCTAGCTTTTGATGCAGAGCTGGGCACGCCGTCATCAGAGCCATGAAGTCCTGCGAGGTTAGCTCGTCCAGAGTCTGATAAAGCAGCTCGCTTGGCAAGTCGAAGAACGGACTCCGTCCTGTGCTGTTGATCTCTGCCTGAGTTGTGTGTACTCTGTTGCTTGGGGAAGGAACCTTTTGCGGAAATACGACACCAATTCTCGTCAACGGGTCTAGAAACCACGGCTACATCGTCCGGTCAGCAAGCACCATGAACGGTCTCTATGATCGGCGACGTACCAAGATCGCTTCAAAATCATCTCGACCGTCATCCTCCCACAGCGGATCCCTCCTTGAACCCCCACCAAACTCGAAGTAATCCATGCCTGCCAAACGGCACGCACCACCCTTCAATAGCCGCTGCATGGCAGTCCTCACTTTCTCCAAGTACACAGGCCCGTCAGCCACGCCATTTAACTTTCTCCGCCATCGTGCCCTCAATGCTCGCTTCATGACTTCCCAACAGGCACAATGCACCGGAAACGGCGCCACATACTCCTCACCACTACCCATCGAATCCCAATCATAGTACGCCGACAGCTCGAGCCACTCCGAACGTCGAGACGGTCGCGGCGCGTTGGGATCTGAGCCGGGTGTGACGCGCACGTTGTTGTACAACCCGGCCGTTCCAGGCCCACTCAGATAAGCCACGCCGCCTAAGTCGAGATTGCGCCCAAGGACACATAGAGAATATAGCCACTGTAGGCTGTCTGAATCTGCGCCTGCGATCGGAGGTCCAGGGAAGTTGTGAGGGAGTTTGAAGGGTCCACAGCAGACGGCGCAGTAGATGTCAAGGCCAGCCATGTCGGGCTTGTCTGAGATGGAGGCGGGGGTGAACCAAGCATAGGCCAGAGAGCGTAGGAAGTCCAGGGAGCGTAGGAAGTCCAGCCAGGAAAAACCGGTTCGGGGACGAGGCCCTCGATTGAAAGAGAGAGACTTCATGATTCGTATACCGCTTGATCTTTCTCGCTATCAGGCTGACGGCGCTTACAGATCGTCTGTAGTAGGGGTTATGCGAGAAGGTGGATGCTGATACTGCACCGTAGCTGCGTCAGTGACTGCATGGAAGCACGTGCCCAGGTAATCATGCGACGCGCCCAACGTAGGCCCGCCAACGTTGCCATTCAAAAAACCTGTGATCGCTCCTTGTCGCAGCGTACGGCTTGTGCTGGTGCTCACGACCAGTTGCAGAGGAAGGGGCGGAAGAGGCGGAATCGTCGAAGCTTCAGGCACATAGTTCCAGCCAGCTTACTCCGAGCGGCATTGCATTTGGCCTGTCGCAGCTTGCTCCATGAGGGTAATAGTGCAAGCAAGGTCATACTGTAATCTCTTCTTTATGCTCCTGTTACAGTCATCGCTGAGGCCACGCTGGATCGCCGCGAGTATGTGCGAAGTCAGCATTCAGAAGGCGCGCCTTCTCGGCCGAAACTTCTTGTTGATGGCGGTGCCCTAACGTGCCTGCAGTCATCTATTACGGGTTGTCGGAGCGCATTGTCAACGGGTCGTAGCATCGGGACTTTTCTCGATACCGGCTGACTGTCAGCACCTCATGACGCACTCACGGCTAAAAGCTGGCTCGCTGAGCGGATCTGCTGCCCACCATGAGTCACCACAAAGACGCTCGTGCAGCACTGCGTCTTCAATCTCATCCCTGCATTTCCGAGTTCATCGCTGCGTCTCCGACTTCATCTCTGCGTCTTCCGGATATAATCCGCCGCCTTGACCGTCGCAGCGGGCCCTTGCGACTCTTTCAGCGCAGCCTCATACCGCGCCTTCAAACCCTCCTCGAAGACCGCATCCTCGTCGAACCCCTCTTCTTCGTCATCCTCAGCTTCCGCCGCCTCAATATCGCGACGAGCTTCTTCCTCTTCTGCTTCGTCATCCATAGCCTCAGCATCACTAACCGTCTCCGGCTCCTCCTTCACCGGCCTAGCATACTTGCCCGTCCCCTTTGCCTTGGAAGAGACAGCCATATCCTTCATCATCCGACTGACCTCCTTTTCTCTAATCTCGGTCTTCTGCTTCTCCGCGTCCGCTCTCCTCCGCTCCAGCTCGGGTTTATAGTCCCGCTCGAACTCCACTCGCTTCTCTTCCACCGCGTCGAAAAACGCATCTACACCGTCACCGGTTACTGAGCTCACGCCTACGACGCTCAAAGCGTTGTAGAACTCCTCCAGCACCAGACTCATGCTGTTGAGCAAGCTACCCATGTACCCGCTGCCCTCCCTCTCTTCTTCCTCCTCCTTCCGCAAAGCGTCCTGGAAAGCCTCGAAATCACGCATCCATTCTACCGCTTCTTCCTCGCTCTTGACGTCCGTCTTATTGAAGACGAGAATCATGGGTAACTTTGTTTTATACAAGATGGAGATGGCGTAGAGCATGTTGCTCATGAAAGTCGCCGTGTTTTCCGTTGTGCGAGGTGTGTCGATGATGTACGCGATTACGGTCGGGAAGCTGGAGGCTAGTGAGGAGAGCAAGATGTTGCCGGAGGCTGACCAGACGAAGACTTCGATTTGCCCTGGTGTGTCGCATAGAATGTAGCTTGGCAACATCTTGCCGCTTTGTTGTGTCTCCGGGGTGGGCAAGCACCGTTTCTCGAGTATGCCCATCACCTGGTCGATCTTGGTGCTGAAGAGATTGAGGCTGGTCAATATGCCGCCGTTTGGGCCCAGATTGTACTGCTTCATGACTTCCTTGTAGTTGACGCTGTCACGAATGTCAATGTTGCTGTCGAAGGGTACACTACGCACCGCGGGGTCGAGATTGAGGACGTATGGCGGGGCGGTGATGGAGGGGGACTGCTGGTATCGTTGGTGGAGGTGGGCGTTGATGCGCTGCATGAAGGTCGTTTTGCCGGAGCCAGCCATGCCGATGCAGATGACTGCGGCGGGTGGCTGTTGTTGCGCGGCGGAGGCGGAGATTTTGTCGGCGGAGGAGGCCATGGTGGTGGTGGTAGTGGCTGATGGTCGAGACGCTCGGGGGTGCGTGCTGGCGGCGTATGTACGTCCTCAGCTATTAAAGCCGATTGGTGAGCAGCAGCGCATACTGTACGGTGTCGCTTGCTTGTCCTCCTCGTAACACTCGAACGGAAGAAGATGTACATGTACATGTACTTTGCATGTGACAGCTCGTGGCAGTGACGCAAAAATTCCTGAGCTTTGACCATCGTACATCTGGGTGCGGTTCACCACCGAACCATTTGCGCCGGTACAATTGACCATGGCGTCACTAGAAGACTTCGAGAAGGAGCTCGCGGCCAACAAAGAGCGGAAGATAAGCCAGCAAAGTCACCGCGAGGATGAGGATGGAGAACACAGGCATCGTAGACACCACCACCGCTCGCACAAGCATGAGGACGAGTCGCGTGACCAGGAGCGCAGACACAGGCACAAGCGGCGGCGCAATCATGAACACGATAGGGAGAGCCGGCATCGCAAAAGGCAGCGCAGCGACTCGCCGCAGCCGAAGGCCAAGGCTGAGGATGACGTGAAAGTCTTCGATTTGGACGACGATGAAGACGAATGGGTGGAGAAAGAAGCACTGAATGCACCGCCAGAAGAGCAGATTGTTGACGGGAGGGACGAGGATGTGACGGCGAGCAGAATGCAGAGAGATGCATGGATGCAGGAGCCGTCAGCGCTTGATGTCGAGCATGTAGCTAGCCGCGAGCCTCGAGCGCCGGCCAGCCAGTTCGTGGGCGCAAAGGAGAGTCATGAATTCAAGGTGCATGAAGCGGAGGTGAACCACCATCTGGCGGACCTACAACGCGACTTTGATGATGAAGGCGACGATGAGGACGCGGAGAAGGTTGGCAATGCGTCTGCACAGCATGAAGTGTCGTACACGTTTGGCGACGCTGGGAGCTCGTGGCGCATGACGAAACTCAAGGCCGTTCAACGACAGGCTGACGAGACCGGTCGAAATGTGGAGGATGTGGCTCTAGAGAGGTACGGCAATCTGCGCGACTACGATGACGCGAGGGAAGAGGAGCGGGAAATGGATCGGCGGAAGATGTATGGCAAGGAGTATGTTGGGCTTGAGAAGCCTTCAGGAGAGCTGTATCAGGAGCGGAAAATGAAGGCTGGAGTGCGCCGTGACAATGGCGAGCAGCAGAAGGAGCAGCAGGAGCAGGCTGTGCCAGATGGACTGCCTCAAGGAGTGCCAATGGACGAGGCCTCAGCACCTGCCACTACAGTACCGTTAGACTCAACCACGTTGAATAAGTTGAAAGCGCAGATGATGAAGGCGAAGCTTCGCAACGCTCCGGAAGCCGCCAAGCTTGAAGACGAATACAACCGTGCCGCAGCCGCCAGCCTAACCAACCACGCCCAGCCAGACGTCGTTGTACTAGGCAACATGGACAACCGCCAACTAGCCGGCGGCCGTGGTGGCGAAGTAGCAGCCGTAACCGGCAAGCGTGGTCGCGAGCGTGGCCTCGTCGTGGAAAACGAAGACATGTCCGTCGACGCCATGGTGCGTCAAGAGAAGCGCACCCGTGGCCTAAACGGCGGCGAGGGTCGCGCCTTCGCCGAGCGCATAGCCAAAGACGCCAAATTCGACAACGACCTCGACTACATGGACGAAAACGCCGAGAAACTCAGCAAGAAAGTCGTCAAATCCGACATCAACCTGCGCAACACAGCCATCTCCGACTTCCAAAAGATGGCGAAAATCCTCGAAACCTGCCCTCTCTGTCATCACGAAGACACTGACCAACCTCCCGTCGCACCGATAGTAAGCCTAGCTACACGAACCTACCTCACCCTCCCCACCGAGCCGGAGATAGCAAAGGGTGGCGCGGTGATAGTCCCGATCCAACACCGCCTTAACTTATTAGAGTGCGACGACGATGAATGGGAAGAGATACGGAACTTCATGAAGTCGCTTACCCGCCACTATGACGCGCAAGGGAAGGGTGTCATCTTTTACGAAAACGCGGCGCATATGTCTTCTCGTAAGGGTCATGCGGCGTTGAACGTCGTACCGCTTCCCCACCATCTCGCGGAAACGGCAGCGGCATACTTCAAAGAAGCCATTCTGGCCTCGGACGAGCAGTGGAGCCAGCATAAGCCTGTCATTGATACCGCGGCGTTGAGTCAGAGGGCTGGGTATGGGAAGCAGGCTTTCCGCAAAAGTATGGTTAGCGAGATGCCGTACTTTCACGTTTGGTTCACGCTAGATGGAGGGCTGGGGCATGTGATCGAGGATGAGCGAAGGTGGCCGAAGGGCGATCTGTTTGCGAGGGAGGTGCTGGGTGGGATGTTGGACAAGGGGCCGGAGGTGGTGAAGAAGCAGGGACGGTGGGAGAGGGGTGATAGGAGGGTGGAGGGGTTCAGGAAGAAGTGGAAGGAGTGGGATTGGACGAAGGTGTTAACGGACGCGCAATGAGTGACACAATGAGTATCAAGACATACGGTTAAGTGAAGGTTGGAGGGACACCTTCTTCACCGCTTGTTTGCGTGCCTTCCGTACAGCCAACTTCCGAATCCGGCATATCTGCGCCAAGACCGGCGGTGAAGGAATACTCTACCATTGTTCCCCCGTCACCCAACAAACTTTTGAACACGCCCGTGGATTGGCACAATTACCACACGAGTGGGTGAAGCACCGTCGACGTCGCGCCATCGTCTACGATCATGCTTGCTCCACACCGCCCATCAATCCTCGCTTGCAGCACTTCTGACGAACCTGCCTTCTCAACGTGCCGTTGACGTCGCCACCGAGCGGTCAATGCCGTGGCGACTGTGTTGCACTCGCAGAATGAGCGACTTGGGGCGCGTGCCACTGGCGTAGATGACTTGCTCAGAAGTACAGTCCTTGTTTCTCTTACACATGGAGCAGTGACTCCTTTAGGTGCCATGTAACAGAGTTACCGTCCATCGTCCCCCTCCACCGAGCCGTTCCAAGCAGTGAAACATGGGTCTCAATGGCCTCCGCAACCAGGTCCTTGGTACCGACTTCCCTAACCTCGCCACTCTGCTCAGCTCCACGAACTGACACTTGCCCAGCCAACGCCGCCGAACTAATGCTCCACCAAAACCCCTCCAACCTCGATCTCGACCGGGTGAAGCAGCATCAGCTCCTGATCCGCCGCAGCGACAAAGGCTACAAAGGCGTCATCATTGGTGGCGACCGGGTGCTTCGGCTGGAAGGGCCCGAGGGTCATTCCGCGCTGCAAGCGCTGGAGTTATTGCTCGAGTTGACAGCGGAGTTGCTGGAGGGGTGTTGTGAGGTGTGGGAGTACCCGTTTCGAGAGGGTGAAGACGGGCAGGGGGAGGAGGTTCGGTGTTTTGACGACGGAGCAAGGGTTGTGGTTGGAAAGGGTGGCGAAGATGGGAGTTTCGAGATTGCTCGCAGAGGGTGAGATGTTCGCCGGCGGACTCACACCGACTCGCACACGTCGAAAGCTCACGAAGAGTCTTGGTGAGTTCTTTAGGTTGGGTTGTTTCTGCGACCACTGCGTGCTAGTCGTGGCGACGAGTCAGACTCCGCCACTCCACAGTTCCGACCCTCGTCTTGACCCGATAATCATGCTGGGACAAAGCATAACCAACGCACTATAGTCATCCTAGCAGTTCGCGACAGTGTGTGGTGTGCGATGGGAGCCAGTCCGGACAATAGACACGTAAACATTGTCGCGTATCACACTCACCATATGCCGAACCACTTCTTCCTAGCCGGCATCGTATGCGTCTTGCCCTCAAAATCAATATACGTCGCCCCTCCCTCCACCGTTGTCGCTGTCGCTGTCTCCACATCGGGCGGAACCGGATTCGCGACCACAGCGACATCCGGCGTCATAACGGTCGGCGCCGGCTCCGATTCAGACCTCAACGTCCAGCCCGAAAACAAGCCCTCCTTGTCGTCCAACCCGTGCGCCTTGCGGTACTCTGCCCGCTTCTTCACATCATCCGTCTTCTGCCTCCTCCGCTCCGCCGTCTCCGCTGAGAGATGTGCGACGTGCATTTGGTATACCTCCGCCCAGCGAGAGAGGAATGAGATGGGGTGGGAGAGGAGGAGGCTGTTGGGTGGTAGGAGATCGCGGTAGGGAGTCTTGGAGATGAAGTCTTGATACCAGATTGCGCCTACGAGGGTGACCAGGATGCCCTGTACCTATTGTGAGTCTTGCGCCCTTCTGGTGAATGAGAGTATAGGACAGTCATACCAAGCTGATGTAGAGATGTATACTCCGGTCCGTCAAGAACCAATGCATGAAGCTTCCTTCCGGAGGCATCATGTGCGGATACCGCCGCGTCTTTTGCGCTGTTCGCTCATGCTCGCTCAAGGCGGGGCCGTAGTATTTGGGCTTGTTGGTACGCAGACGGGCGCCATGAGAAGGTGGGTTGAATCTTTCAGGCTTCTCGAGTAAACGGGGCTTAGGTGGAGGGGTGGTGTTGGATGCTTGGCGGAGTGCTGGGAAGAGGAGACGCTGCTGGAGTTGTTTTGAGTGGAGTGTCAAAGTCGCTCGCGGGACTGTGAGCCGAAGGGACGCCATCGTTGCGCAGTGTGACAATGCGGTCAATGTAAAGCCCATCGCGAATTAAATGAAGCATTGCAATGTCCAGGACGATATTCTGCCTTAGGCTGTCAGGGCTCGAACACACGCACTGACCACCGCCCGCTTTGTCTTGGCGTTGATGTTTCCCCAAACATTCACGGCGGCAGCTGCCTGCCCTCACCGCAAGAGCGACACGCCGTGTTCAACACAACGCCACACCACCCACCCGACGACGACGACTCCTCGACGACCACCTCCGCCTCTCCACCCTCTAGTCCACGCGTCACTCCAGTCGTACCGCCAAGATGCGTGAGATTGTACGTCTTTGACACGAGAAAACGGCGTGCCTGATCCCACACGCGTGCCCCGCGTCTGTACAGAAAAGGATGGCTAACAAGCACTTCTTCCGCAGGTTCACCTCCAGACCGGCCAATGTGTATGTTGACGGCGACGACGATATCAGGGACACGTGATTGACATGATTAAAGGGTAACCAAATCGGTGCTGCCTTCTGGCAAAACATCTCCGGCGAGCACGGCCTCGACGGCTCGGGCGTGTATGTTGACGTGTATTATGGACGGACGTAGAGGATCAGTGCTTACGCTGGGCAGGTACAATGGCACGTCAGACCTTCAGCTGGAGCGCATGAGCGTCTACTTCAACGAGGTACGCCAACATCTACCCACCACACCGCCAAGACCACCAACTGACACTATCTTCAGGGCAGCGGCAACAAGTATGTCCCCCGTGCCGTCCTCGTCGACCTCGAGCCCGGTACGATGGACGCCGTCCGCGCTGGCCCGTTCGGCAACCTCTTCCGCCCGGACAACTTCGTCTTCGGCCAATCCGGTGCGGGCAACAACTGGGCCAAGGGTCACTACACCGAAGGTGCCGAGCTCGTCGACCAAGTCCTTGACGTCGTCCGCCGCGAGGCTGAAGGCTGTGACTGTCTCCAGGGCTTCCAGATCACCCACTCTCTCGGCGGTGGTACTGGTGCTGGCATGGGTACCCTCCTCATCAGCAAGATCCGCGAAGAGTTCCCCGACCGCATGATGGCCACCTTCTCCGTCATGCCCTCCCCCAAGGTCTCCGACACCGTCGTCGAGCCGTACAACGCAACCCTGTCCGTCCACCAGCTCGTCGAGAACTCCGACGAAACCTTCTGCATCGACAACGAAGCCCTCTACGACATCTGCATGCGCACGCTCAAGCTCAACAACCCCTCCTACGGCGACCTCAACCACCTCGTTTCCGCCGTCATGTCCGGCATCACCACCTGCCTCCGCTTCCCCGGTCAGCTCAACAGCGATCTCCGCAAGCTCGCCGTCAATATGGTCCCCTTCCCACGTCTGCACTTCTTCATGGTCGGCTTCGCCCCGCTCACCGCCCGCGGCGCCCACAACTTCCGTGCCGTCACCGTCCCGGAGCTGACCCAGCAGATCTTCGACCCCAAGAACATGATGGCCGCCTCCGACTTCCGCAACGGCCGCTACCTCACCTGCTCCGCCATCTACCGCGGCAAAGTCTCCATGAAAGAAGTCGAGGACCAGATCCGCAACGTGCAGAACAAGAACACAGCCTACTTCGTCGAGTGGATCCCGAACAACGTCCAGACCGCTCTCTGCTCCATCCCACCGCGCGGCCTCAAGATGAGCAGTACGTTCGTCGGCAACAGCACGGCGATTCAGGAGCTGTTCAAGCGTGTTGGCGATCAGTTCACGGCTATGTTCAGGCGTAAGGCTTTCTTGCATTGGTACACAGGTGAGGGTATGGATGAGATGGAATTCACGGAGGCGGAGAGCAATATGAATGACCTTGTCAGCGAGTACCAGCAGTATCAGGAGGCGGGTGTGGATGAGGGTGAGGAGGAGTATGATGAGGAGGCGCCGCTGGAGGGCGAGGAGTAAGCGATGTCAAGCTGTTACGTCTCCGAGTCAAAGGACGCACGTAGGGGCAGTTATTGGAAGCAGGCGCTATAGCGAGAAAGCTACGCTTACACGAGCATGAGCATTGCAGATAAGTGTTCTTATTGTGCGCAGCGATGGCGCTTGTCATACGAATTCGAATTGTTTTGGTACATGTCCAACTGCAGTAAAGAGGTTCTTTTGAAAGTGATCCCGCAATAACTTCTCCAAGTACAGGTGCATCGCTACCTCCTACGCTATCTGAGGCTGTTGATCGTTGCAACTACTGCCCCTTTCAGCCACCCTCGGTAAAGTCAAGTCTCACAGATGGTAAACCCGTTATCAACAACCAGATTATGCCCATTCACCAAACTCATCCGCGGCGTACTCAACAACAGCACCACATCCCCAATCTCCTCCACCATCGCCCTCCGACCCTGCCTCGCCTCAAATTGGCCCCACAAACTCTCCGCCGAATCACCCCCGAGCCCATCCTCCCTCGACTCCTTCGTCTCCAGGATCTGCGTCCGCAGAAAGCCACAGTTCACACGAATATGATATTCCCGTGCCTCAAGCGCGCCGGTCTTGGTGATACCTAGTACTGCGTGTTTGGCCGCGGTGTAGCCGGATAATCCGGCTCCGGCTTGGGTGCTGTTGACTGAAGCGCAGTTGACGATACTTCGTAATTGTGGGACGCGACCCTCTTCGATCCTTGTGGAGAGGGAGGATTGCGTAAGCATGTGTTTGAGTTCGTGTTTCATGCACAGCCAGAACACCGGTGCAGTTGATGTTGATAACGCGTTTCCACTTCTCCGTCTCCGTATCGACGGTTGCATCCAATGGTCCGGCTATCCCGGCGAAATTGGCTGCGTAGTCTATCCGTCCAAAGACTTGTACGGTCCCGGCCACGGCTTGTGAGACTTGAGTTTCGTCTGTCACGTCGGCGTGGATGGTGATGCATTTGGTTCCGTACGCTTCTACGGCTGCTTTGCCCTCCGCAAGAGCGGAGTCGGAGAGGGTGTCAACCAAAGCTATGCCTTTGGCGCCTTCTTTGGCGAAGGAGACGGCCACCGCGTTGCCGATGCCGCGGGCACCGCCTGTGATAAAGGCGATGCCTGGGGCTAGGGGCCCGCTTCGGACGGAGATAGACATTGGGCGGTGAAGAGTGTATTGTGAAAAATGGAGAAACCTGTATACAGAGGAGAAGACAACATGAGAACGTCTTACCTGCACGTTAGGGCTTCATCCTTCGTGCTCCTGGTGCTGCTTGTGACCTCGGCAGGTCCTCCAGGAGTAATGAGGTTGTTGGTATATTGACCATGCTATGCCATTGACTTTTGGAATCACAAGCCAGGTTGGTGGACGCGATGGGTTGCTGTCCATGAGTACAGTACGAACTCAGCACGTTTACTGTAGGAAATCGTGATCAACGTGGTCGGGAGTGAAAAGACGAGACGCAGTTAGAGGAGCGCGAGTCAGAGTCAAGAGTCCCTGCACGGAAGCGGCCGTAGTCTACCATCACCTCCGGGGTGCATGCATGAAGCTCGAAGGCATTGAAGATAGCGACTCGAGTTACTTTTGTACACGGCGTAGGCGATGGAAGGATTCTAAAAGGATTGCTGGACTACGAGGATCGGCCTTGCTTACTTTGGTTGAACGCACCATGACTTGGCAGCCCCAACGATAGTGATCCGGCTATGCCTTCAACCTCTCCCGGCCGTACTCCCACAGCAGACTTCATCCAGATACTGCCAGGCGCACCCACTGCTTCCCTGCAAGCGACAACAACTTTCGTCTTCCGTCATAAACGCTACATCGTTTACATCTCCGGCCGTCAACTCAACGTTCTCTCATCGCCAACCAATCTAGTCCAGGCGTTCACATTCAACAATGAGCTTATCGCAGTCACCGCGGAATCGCAGACAGGCAAGCTTGTCGTCGCCGAAAGCAACGATGTCTATACCCTCGAGCCGCACACAGAGGGCTGGACGAGGGTCTGGTGGGAGAAAAGCTTGAGACTGCAACTTGAGCAGCCAGAAGACGAAGCCCGATGCCTGAGTTGGGGCGGTGAAGGAGAGATCTTGATTGGAGGCAGTATATGCGTAAGCCTATTCTCGACGCTGCCTTCATCACGGACAAGCTCTCCTGCAGCGAGTCCAATTGATGGCGAGGTCATGGAAGATCGCAGACCGCTGTGGTCGAAAGCTGTTGCCTCGCCTTTACAGTATGCCTCATTCAGTCCGACAGCGGACCTAATTGCTTCTTGTGGGAGATATGACAGGCTTGTCAAAATTTGGCGCAGATTGTCGTACGAGGAGGGACTCTTCGACTATGTATACCTGCCACACGGAGGCGCGGTCACGCATTTGGAATGGAGACCATTGGACCAGCATGCAGAACAGAGGCGCGGCAGTGGCATCAGCGGGAGACATGAGGAAGATCCTGAGGTGCTGTACACGATTGCTAATGACGGCCTACTTCGAATCTGGAGGACAGGCGGAGTCCACGACATTGACGTTATGCAGCTACATGCCACCATCGACCTCGTCTCAGCTATTCCGCAGTCTCCGACCCTGTCCGCCAAGAACGGCGAAAGCACGGAAGCACCCACGCGCTACGCTGTGATCCTACCATCAGAGTCATTCTGCGCTGCCGTTTCGGGGACCGGAATTGGACAATCTACCACAAAGATCAGCCACTCAATGGAACATCTGAAAGAGACGACCTCCAAGTCTCCAGACGTTGTCATTGCGCTTGATGGACACGGCCGCATGTCTGCCTGGGGTGTACAGAGTGTTGGCCACAAACGGCGGCCCGAAACGCCAACTTCGACACATCCATTTCATATTGCACATGCGGAGGCCGTGCCGATATCTCTCCCAGAGTATGCCAATGCGAGGTTTCAAGCGTGGTTCGACGGCCGGATCTTCCATTTGCTAGCGCATACCTTTGACAGCTCTGATGGGCATATTGCCTGGTGGCAAGGAGATATCGAGACCTTCTTTTCGCCCTCGGCCCGTGGGCCAGACAGATTACTGCGCCTGGCAGACTGGTCTGGACATTCTGATAACGTACTAGGGCTGAGACCAAGTGCAGACAACCAGCGCTTACTATCTTGGTCATCCGGGTCAAATGGACAGTGCAATATTGCTGGATGGGAAGTCCTTCCCAATCATACGCTACAACGAATCTTCCACATCGCATCACCGCTTGAGGTATCTGATGTCTGCGATGTGCAAGGTGCCGAGTTGATTGTCACGCTACATCGAGCACAAATTACGCTCTGGCGAAGAGACGGACGGCGTTTGGCGCAAGGAAGGCACGGTCTGGCCGACAGCGCAAAATTCTATGGATGCTGTGATGGCGCCGGACGCATGTTGCTCGTTTTCGATAACAAGTGCCAGGCTGTGTTGGTGACGTTAGGAGACGAGACATCACCGAGTGTGGAAGTATCTGCACCCTTCTCCATCATTGGTGATTCTGTCTGCGAGGGCGGCGATGTATTACACGTTGCTATTGCGGATGGTGGCATCGAGTACGGCGGAACGGACGGACGTTATTCCGCCACAGTGGTCACTGTCGATACTGCTGGCTTGTTGATGCGAACGCACGTTATACTGTCACCTACTAACGGCGCTGCCGACTCCGCACGTGATGCACAGACCTTCCACACCGATGTCGGTCATTGCAGCATTCTGGCGGTGAATGCTGAGGTAGCCGCTTTGGTATCAGGAGATAGGAAAGAAATCATCATCGTAGATCTCTCGCTTGGCTTCGTCGAGCACAAGCAGGCCTTTGAGGGACGAATAGAGCGCGTGAAGTGTTACGCGACCGGACCCGGACACAACATGATCGCTCTTGGATACGGCGCCACCGTTGTTGTGCTTGCGCAAGGGCGATACGAGCATCACCGCGAGTACGATGTCTGGACGGTGGTTAAGACTATATCTGTGTCTAGCCTTGGACTCCCAATCTCCGACATGTCATGGCTGGTCGAGGGCTGCGGAGCCGTCGCTATCGGCAATGGCATCATACTGGTTGGCAATACAACTGAGGCGAGCAGTCTCGACACTGAGCTGCGCGAGCAGCTAGATATTGACCATGAGAAGCATCATCAGGTCTCTCTGCCCAAGCTGGCTGCTCGGCTCAAGCAGCCTACTCCTGTCTGGCACCCAAGCTTGCTCTCGCATCTCTTACGACACGGAAAGCTTACTACGGCTATTAGCATCTTCCGCAGACTAGGTGAGAGACTTAGGTTCTGGAGTGAAGGTGAGCCTTTACACCCATTGTTGGATGCCACTACAGACACTTTCCTCGACGAGTTGGGACATACTGCCCACTCAGACCTTGATAGCGAGGCCGTCCAAGACCTGATGGAGCAGCTGGGGCAGAAAGATCTGCCTGCGGTGTCAGATGCAGAACAGCGAAGGCTTAAGCGGATACTGCAAGCACTTACATTCATCTTCGAGCATGTCAAAGGCCTTGATACTTGGGCTTTACGCTACCTCTTTGAGTGGAAGCTGAGCTTGTTGCAAGCGGACGAGGAGCAGGGAGAGCCTAACGGCGTCTTGCCAAATGGCGCGCCGCACAAGGAGCTCGTTGTCGTTCCAGACATGCACTGGCGCGAGATCGCTTTTGCCAGCCATAGCGGTACCCAGCAGCCTCTGCTCGATATCCTCACCCTGCATTACGACAACAAGCTCACATGGCCAATCGCCCGCTCACTAGGAATCATGGCCTGGTTGACCGACAAAGAAGCCTTGGCGCAGGTCTTCGAGTCACTGGCGCAGTCTGCATATCGCCAGACCTCTCCGCCAGACCCCACAAATGCATCCTTATACTTTCTCGCACTGCACAAGAAGCCCACTCTGCTGGCGTTGTGGCGCATCGCCACCTGGCACAAGGAGCAGCGTGCGACTATGAACTTCCTCAAGCGCGACTTCGGGGAGGCAAGTGCCAGGACGGCGGCGAAGAAGAATGCCTACGCGCTGATGGGAAAGCGAAGGTTTGAGTATGCTGCTGCGTTCTTCTTGCTCGCTGATGATGCGGCCAGTGCCACAGGTCTTTTGGCAGGCCAGTGTGAGGACATAATGCTTGCTATTGCTGTTGCAAGGCTGTATTCGGGCGATGGATCTGCTACTCTCGGTAAGCTGCTGACTGAAAGACTGGTACCAGAAGCACACAAGCATGGGAACCGGTGGCTCATGAGTTGGTATCATCATATGCTTGCGCAGAAGCAGGAGGCTGCAGACGCACTCGTCGTGCCCCTAAGCGGCGTGCGGACATGGCATCAAGATGACTCCGCTACGCTAATGCTGTACAAGAAGCTAAGGCATGGCGCATCCGAGCACGAGTACCAAGCAGTGTTGAGAGCTGCAAGAGTGCTACGTCGCATGGGTTTGTGGCTGCTTGCGCTAGAGCTAGTCAGTAGGTGGGAGTTCAAGCACCCCGCTGCGCCGGGTCCAGCACCGCAAGCGCTCAGTAACGGAACGTCAACCACGAACGGTGCGCCTGCGGCACCCTCGATGCTGGATGACTCCGAACCACCAGCTGCTAAGGACCCGCCGCCGGTTTCAAATGGCCATGAAGCGCCTTCTGCAACAGTCGCAGACGATCAAGCCTCAAGAGCGGCAAAGGCAGCCGAGCTGCTCAAGAAGCTAAAGTCGAAGCAAGTCGAGCAGCCGGTTCTAGATGAGAAGAAGCCGCCTCCTACGCAGTTCAAGGAGCCGGATGCTAGCAGTCTGTTGGACAGCTTTGGGTTCTGAGCGCTTATCTGATTCTCCTGCGATGCTCTTTCAGCGAGGCGCTTGGGAATTTGTACGCTTTGCGTAACTTTGTTAACATCTTCTGGATTTGTCCCATTCACGTGCCTGCCCTGCCGTCAAGCGTGCACTGTGCACTTCCCCGCTTTCGACTGTTAGCATTTAGAGCTTACCTTCCGCACCATATAACTCGCAGTAGGCGCCATTCCTGCCGCAAATCCTCACGACCGTCGGCACTTGGTCTTCCTCTACTCACATTCGGCCCTCTAATCAGCAGATCGAAATGTATCCGCCATCGATGCAAGGCCCAAAGGTCTCGCGCAACGACACTGTAGATACATCTCGCCGTTTCAGCGAACTATACTTTGGATATGCTTCCAACCTCTCGCCCGCAGCAATGAAGGGTCGCTGCCCTGACAGCCTGTTCTGCGGTCTCGCTCGCCTAGAGAACTGGAAGTGGCAAATCAACAGCACTCAGTACGGCAATATCATTCCATCCGAAGGCAACGTTGTCTACGGTAGTTTGTTCTTCCTCTCACCGCGCGATGAAGCAGGTCTAGACGAGAGCGAAGGCGTCCCTTGGCTTTACGAGAAGCGAACTGTAGAGGTCGAGCGCGTTGGCGCTGATGGCAAGGGTACGGGACAGAGGGTCTCTACCATGACCTATGTCGATGTGCAGAGGACAGATGAGGGTACGATCATGCCCGACTACATCGTCTGGATTAACAAGGCCATCCGAGACGCTAAACCGTACGGCCTGCCGGATGAGTATGTTCAGAAGTACGTTAGGCCGTACATTCCCCCGATTAGCAAGGAGGACGAGGATCGCGATCTGATAGCAGTGAGAGTGATGGCACCGAGACACAGGGGTATCGATTGACAATGATGCATCATCTCCCTAATGCCATCGCGCCCTCGCATAAAGCCACATCGACCGGCGCAGCAGCGGACAAGATCACCATGCTCGAGAATCCCGAGCTGGCCATCCATATGCTACAGCTGGCTTTAGACATCCCTTAAGGCAGGTCTTTAGCACTATATCGCTCTCGGCGTGAGCGCCACCTTAGCGCCATGCAAGTTCACGCATGTCAGAGTGATCATCTCAGTCCAAGGGCGGTCGTCTCGGCTCTCGAGTTCCTCGAAGGCTTGACATAACCGCACAGTGGTGTAAGTAGCCTCCGTGAGTGCGAATTGCTGGCCCTATCGCACACAGTCAGTACCGGGTGCACACGAACAATCTTCGACACCGCAAGACTTACCAAGCAGATTCGCGCTCCGCCATTGAATGGCAGATACTCCCATCCCGGCCGCAGTCCCTTCTTCCCAGTCTCCGCATCGTCCAGCCAGCGCTCCGGCTTGAACTCTTCGGCATCCTCGCCGTAGTAGTCCTTTCGTCGGTGCATACCGTACACATTCCAGGCAACGAACTGTCCCTTCTTGACGAAGAATGGAGCCGCGCCATCCGGGCCACCGCCTACGGGTAGCGTGGTGTCTTCCTGGGCCTGTCTACTATTCAGGGGGACGACGGGATGTAAGCGCAACGATTCGTTCAGCACAGCTCGGAGATACTTCATGTCCTTTACTTGCTCGTAAGTCGGCTGAACGCCGTTCAGCGTATCAACCTCAGCCTGCAGCTTGGCCCAAATGTCCGGCCTTCTGGCGATGACGAACCAGACGTTCGTAAGTAGGGAAGCGGTCGTGTCACGGCCGGCCAACAGAACGTTGAGGAGCTCACTGCGGATACGAATAGGGTTGTCGGTCTGTCGCACGAGCTCGTCCATGAAGGTGTACCTCTGCTTCTCGGCGTCACCCTTCTCGGCTAGCAGCTGGCTACGCTTAGTAAGGCCTTTTTGCACGTAATAGTCTGGTGGAACCGTCAGCATCGCCTTTCACAGCAAGCAAGGAAATGCGCAGCACTTCGTACCAACAAAGTCATGTACGAACTTAGCATCCTTCGAGAACTGGTCATTCTTCATGAGATACTTCGCGTACGGGCCATATCGCGTTGCATCAGAGATGTGTTCTTGCGATCGCGTGAAAGCGTCTGCAAAACCATCTCCGCTGTTCTTCGTCAGAGATTCCGTTGATTCGCCAAACAGGAACTCCGTTGCAGAATCGATCGTCAATTTAAAGAACAGGTCCGAAAGGTCGACGGTACTCTTGTCCTTCGGAATGGCTTGGATGAGGTGTAAGACGTGACGCTCGAACAAGTCTAGGTCCGCCACCTGCGCACGTGCAAAGTTGGGTCGCAGCATCTCGCGCGAATGATGCCAGTCTTTTCCATCACTCGTAAAGATACCCACACCCAACAACGGCCAGAATGCATTCTTGCGCCTGTCTCCCAGTCCCCATTTCTTGAAGTCAACCGCCTGGATAGCTTTCAGGTTCTCTGGCTCCAGCGTGGAGAAGACTTGCGTGCCGCCAAGGAACACGACTCGCATCGTATTGACGCCGTCTTCGTGAAATCTCTCCGTTTGGCCTTCGAGTAAGCGGCGTTCTCTGAGAAGCTTCATGGTTGATCGGAAGAAGTCGAGACCCAACAGACGATCGCGACAGCCTGAGTACCATGGTACCGGAAGCGTGCCCTTTTCGTACTGGAGCGCTCGCCGTTGACGGCCGAGCGTGAGTTGTACGTAGATTTGATATAGTACGTAGGCCGCAAGTAGCAGAATCGACGCCTTCACTACATGCGGGAGCTGTGAAAAGTCCATACTGGCGAGCAAGTCGAGTACGCTTGCTCAAGGCTCCGAGGTTCTGCAGGTTTGGATTCTAATCGTAGCTGCAAGTTGAGGACAATGTAACCAGTGTACAAGATCAACAGAACGATTACCCAGTAAGGTCGATCACTTGGCTATCCGAACGGAGTGGAGCTTGGTGGATCAAGTGAGGTCAAACGTGAATGAGCTTGGTGGATCAAGTGAGGTCAGAAAGGAAAACGCGCGGTGGATCGAGTGAGGTCGAGTAGGAAGCGGAGAGGCCGGAGACACAGACACTTACGAAGCAATATCTTCCAACTCCGCGACTTGCGTACCCGGAGCAGAGAGGTGAATCACATACTGGCGAATGAGGGCTCTGTACGCGACTACCTCCTCATCTAGCTGTAAAGTCTTGTTTGAGGTGCTGCTTGACGCCACCGAAAAGAGCCTCGGTGAATAGTGGGTACAGCAGAGATGGCGCGCCCGGTCGGCTCGGATCGCAGTCACTCCACTTGATCCTCTGATCGACGTCAACAATCACGAACCTGTCGATTTCCGAGACCCAGGCTTCAACATAATTCTCCACAATGTGCAAGTAAGCCCCCGTGTTGCGACAGAACACTGCCAGCGATGTTGCTGGGTTGGCCGAAACACCGTGAGCGGACTCAGGTCGAGCGAAGGACGTACTGGAGCATGCCAGCTTGCTAGATAGACGACAATGTGAATGCCTAGCCGGACCCCAGTCTTGGTTTTCAGTGCAGCGGAAAGGGTCGCTTTCCTGAGCCGTCTCCAAGTATAGAGAAGACAAGCCCTCCAGGACTAGTTTAGGTTGCTGTCTGCTGTACAGTAGCAAGCCCGGTAAAGCAGTTGGGCCGATATGTCGAAGCGCAACGCGTGTGGCGGAGCAGGACTGCTGCATTGATTGCTGTTGGTTGATCGTGCTATACAGTAGATTCTTCGTGGAACGGACATTCATCGAGAACGGTGCCTCGACGTTAGCCTCAGTTCGCCTCTCCCAAGACAGCCTGCCTTGCCTCCCTGTAGACCGGGGCAATACCGGTCCATAGTCGGAACTGCTCTACACCCTGGCCTACAAGCGCTTCCAAGCCCGGCACAGTCTTCCATCCGCTGTTGCTTGCTAACTGCATCAGACTTGTCACCGAAGGCTTGTACGCCATCTCTAGCAGCACCTTTTGCCCATTAGGATCCGAGAGGCCGGCAGTGGCGGCCGCACTCGCATCGTCTTGGAAAATCGTGCACAGAATCTCGCGCATTGCCGGATCAATCGGCGAGTCACCTGGAATGGTGCCGATCGCGACCACGGGCTGCCTGTCCGCTGGAATCGCGGCCGCGTCTTCTTCTGTGCTCAAGATGCGGACCGCGTAAGAAGCGTCGAAGCTGCTTGTCATCTGCTCAAGTTTGCTCTTGTTGCGGCCAACCAAGTAAAGAGGCGCGAAACCCATCTCTTTGAGAGCATAGATGGCTGCCCGAGCCGTGCCACCACCGCCAACAACCATGCCAGCCTGCTGTTGCGCAGTAGGTGATGCATTACCCTTGACGCCGGCTTTTCGGAGCGAGATGACCATGCCTTGCCAGTCCGTATTGTAGCCCACCAGGGCCATGCTGCCGTCCGCAGTTTCGGTTGGCACAATAGTGTTGACAGCGCCAATCGTTCTTGCAGCGTCGTCTACATGGTCAAGCAATGGCATAACGTCGAGCTTCAGTGGTATCGTGACGCTGCCACCGCCGAAATCTGCGCTTCTTATGACGCTCTCGATGTCCTTGACCCGGTCTGTCTCGTGTAGCCGATACTCATGCGGCAATCCTGTTGCGGCGAATAACGTGTTGTGCAATGCCGGACTCCTGCTCTGGCTGATAGGCTTGCCAAATAGGAAGAACTGCGTCTTGGATATCGCTCCAACAATGCCAAGGACCTGGCGTATCTCTGTAGCGCTGAGCTGTTCCGGCGCGGCCTTGGTGGGCAGCGCTGGATGCGAGACAGGTGTCATGAAGCCGTTCGTTACTCTGCTCATCTTCCCAATCTCGCCCATGTTCATGGCGATGAAGGGTAGATCCGAATCGTCGTTTCTCACCTTTGATTTGAACACCTTGAGGTCGTCGTTGTCCTTGCTTGACTTTGCGACACCGACAAGCTTGACAATGTCGCCGAAACTCCTCGCTTGCTCAAAGTGCGGAATCCAGTCCTCGGCGCCGTCTGCCCAGCTCAGCTGACCTCGAGGATCATGATGTGACGCGATGATGTTGCACATCTTCCGGTGCGCAAGGACGAACTTCTTGATCTGCTCAGGCGCTGTAAGTTCGAGGTCGACAAAGTCGAAGCCCATCCGCAGTGCGACTCGATAGAGCCTCAGCGCCTCGGCCGTCTTCTCCTCAATCGGATATCGGCCGCCTTGGCTTGTGCTGCGCAGTGTGAAGATGAGCGGCAGCGTAGTGTTCGACCTTAAAAGTGCAACCTGATCGATCAAGAACTCCTCACTTGGCATGCCGTCTGAGCTTCTCCGGTCAACCAGAAGGTCCGCCCTGAGCTCCACCGCATCGACTCCACAAGTCACTTCTTCCAACACCGGTAATACATCCTGTATCTCTGGGACGGTAAGCGCCACGAAGAAAGAATGCTTCTTCCTCTTCATGCTCTTTAGTGCCGCACTACGGCCTGTCATTGTGTTCAAGAAGCGCGTGAAGTCGTCTAACGGACTCGTCCATCCGGGTACTACGGCACTCTCATCGACCTTTTGCGAGTGATAGTGCAGATTGCTGCACTCTTCGAACCAAGGCTTCCTTCGAAGATAGACGCCCATCATGTCTTCCACATAAGCTGGCCGAGTCTTGTCAATCTGTAGGAAATCCATCACAGCGTCGATGTCGCGCGTCACCAACAGCACCATGCCCTCCTTCTGCCATTCGGTAAGCAGTTGCCGTGCTTCAGGCGTCTCAACCACACCTCCACCGGTGGCAAAAACGTGACCTTCAGGCTTCTCTCGCATGATGGTCTTGAGGAGATCAAGCTCTTTGCGACGAAAGCCATCCCAATCTTTGTCCTTAAGCATTTCCGGAATGCTCATTCCCACAGTCCGCTCAAGCTCGGTGTCTAAATCAATCAGCGGCCAGCCAAGGATGCGGCTTGCCCAACCGCCCGTGGTAGTCTTCCCAGCTCCCCTCATGCCGATAATGAATATGCTCTTGCGCACTTCTTTCGACTTGTGCGCACCATTAACGCCATTGGTAACGCTGCCGTTTGCAATAGCATCATTACTGCGCGATGTAGGATCTTCGCCGCCTAGATCCACGCCGAAGGTGAGGCGGAGAGTATCCCACCAACCAGGCCAGGTCTTGCCCACGCATTCCCGCTCGTCCAAGACAACTCCCTCAGGTGCTACCACAGACAGTACGCTGAAGCTCATGGCAACTCTATGGTCGTCATAGCACTGCACAGCGTTGTGCGGCCGCTTGAGCCCGTCGACACCGACACCATCGATTTCGATTCCGTCATCAAGCTCCCGGCAAGTGACACCAAATTTGGCTAGTTCCACCCTCATGGCTCGAATACGATTACACTCCTTCTGCCGCTGGTTTGCAATGCCAACGATCCTTGTCGTTCTGTTGCCATGGTTGTTTGAACGAGCAGCCACAGCCGCAAGTACACTCGCAGTCAGGAAGGCATCTGTCATAGGCTCCATGTCAATCACGTCCAGTGCTCTCAGGCCCTGCTCCGGTGACGGACCGGTAACGATTGTGCTGTGCTCCCTCTGCTCCACTGTGCAGCCCATAGGCCTAAGCACATCTGTAGCGAATCGCGCATCACCTTGTAAAGAAGCAGACCCGATGTTCGGTACAGTGCACGTTGTTCCGGTGATGGCCGCCACTGCTAGTGGATAGGTGGCGGAACTCGCGTCGCTCTCGACCTCGTAGGTCGCGGGGTTGTGGTACTTGCCCTTCGGCACGTGGTACACATTAGGCTCGGAGACGCTTCTAGTCACGGAAATGCCAAAAGTTGCCATCATCGCGACAGTCATATCGATGTAGGGCTGACTGATGACCTTATCGCCAACCAGTCGCAGCGTGACTGGCTTCTTGGCATAAGGCGCGCACATCAGGATGCTCGACACGTACTGTGACGAAACCTTCGCCGTAAGTTCGATCGCGCCTCCTTCAAACCCACCGGCTGCAGCAATCCGCAGAGGCAAAGACTGCGAGCCTTCTTTGCCGAGGTACTCGACATCCACGCCATTGCTGCGTAGAGCGTCCACGAGAGGGCCTTGCGGTCGCTCTTGCATGCGTGCATTCCCCGTCAATACGGTGTGCGAGGCCTGCGCAGTCGGTGCTGCCAATGACACTGCCGTGGTAAGGAAACGAGACGCTGTACCTGCGTTTCCGATGTAGATCTCCTCTTGGCTTGCTTTCAACGCACCGCCGTTTCCAGTTACAACGAGTGTCTTGCCGTCGTCCTCCCATGCGTACTTTGCGCCACCGAGTCTTCCAATAGCAGACAGCATGTATTGCGTGTCATCACTGTGCAAAAGATTCGAGATGCGGCATTCGCCTTCGCCCAGAGCTGCAAGTAGAAGGACGCGGTTTGAGATGCTCTTACTGCCAGGCGGCTTACACTTCACATGAAGACCTTTTGTGACGCCAGGTCGCACTCTGACGGAAGGCGAGATGACGACGCCAACGTCCTTGTCTGTGACTTTGCTTGCGCGAGGCTCGTAGCATTTGCCTATCGAACTAAGCAAAGTGACCTTCTTCTGACTTCCGGTGTTCTTTTTGTCCACTGCCATGCGTTTCAGTACTTCGTCGGCCGGACATTGCTTGCTCGTGCGCTTAGTGATGAGCTTGTCGTGTAGACTCGTGGGAAGACCGTAGGACGCAATGGCCTTGGTCAGCCTCGCCACGGCGCCAGCAGGCAGTATGCCCATGTACCGAGCGAGCTCCGCCTCCTTCACCATGCCAACTGCCACGCACTCTCCATGCAAGATCTCCGGCGTAAGGATAGCTTCGTATGCATGTCCGATCGAATGGCCGAAGTTTAAGATGTTCCTCAAGCCTCCTTCTCGTTCATCCGAGCTGACCACCTCCGCTTTGACCCTTGCACTGCCCAGCACGATCCGCTTGAACACCTCTTTTACTCCGTCGAACCTACCTTTACCTGTAGGTCTGTCAAGCGCCGCCATGATAGCATCTGCACCAGCCTCTAGCCTCTCAAACTCTTCGAGATCCCAAATGGCTGCTGTCTTCACCACCTCCGCCATCCCATTACAGACCTGCCGCTTGTCCAGCGTCTCCAGAAACTCCAGGTCAATGTATACTCTTTCCGGTTGCCAAAATGCTCCGATCAAGTTCTTCCCAAGCGGTGTGTCGATTGCCGTTTTGCCACCGATCGAGCTGTCCACCATGGCAAGCAACGAGGTCGGTATCTGGCAGAAACGCACGCCTCGCATATAAGTCGCAGCTACGAAGCCTACCATGTCACCAATCACCCCACCACCCAGCGCTAAGATGACCGTATCTCGTGTACATCCCTGCTTGAGCAACCAGTCCTCGACCTCAGCCTTCGTTCTTCGAGATTTGCTTGTCTCACCAGGGCGTATGTGGTCGTAGATCAGTAACCGTACGGCATCCGATGTTATACCACGGCTCTCACGTTCAACCTCGAAGCCAGTCCTGAACGAAGCAACGTAAGGCAATGCCGCAAGGTTCGTGTCGCATACGAGTACGTAAGTACTGGATGGCAGGTTTGCGAGCAAGTCTGGGATAACGTAGTGCTGCCACAAGCCATAGTCTACAATTATTGTGTCCTTGCCCAGAATGGGGACTTTAATGGCAGAAGTGCGCTCAGACGACGCGCCATTGGTCGTCGCCATCGTTGTAGGAGTGTCTGTAGGGAACACGACGAGGTCTTAGCTAACAAGCGACTCAATCACCAGCAAGTCCGCCGTCCCCGCGAGAAGAACTATATCGACGGTATGAGTGCTGATGAAGTCCCAGAGGCACATCTGTTGCATCCGTCGTGACGGCTACAGCATCGAAGCATTTACAGTAAGGTACGTGTGAGAGCCGGAGCAGTTTGTGGTTCGGCGAATGGAGTCAGAACACAGCAGAGCTCCAGAACTTTTTCTGGACCTGCATTGGGTTTTTCCACCGGGGATGGACGGGTGAAGTGCCTAAGGCCACAATCACACACCTCTCCTCACCTTGACTTCACCACACCCACTGCCTCGCACTTTGTACCTGCTGACACTCCCCACAGTAAATTCACGCTACGCTTCGGGTCGCAATGCGCTCACTCGCCAATACGAAGGTGATCTGATTAGTCCTACATCGTACAGCAGGGTGTGAGAGATGCCATTCACAATGAGAACATGAAAAACGTGAGCAGCTTTATTTGGATGTGACGCGATGACCGAACAATCTGAACGCGGGTGCATACGCATCACAAAATCGTTAACGCGGCTGTATATCTAGCCAACTGTATATCTAGCAATCTCCGGTAGCCAACCAGATGCACCGCTATGCGAAGCAATCCATAAGGAGCTATGCAGCTGCCTAGATTGGTGCGTTGACCTTCTCCCACCCTGGCTCACACGCCCTCGTCATGCTCGCTTGGTACTCCCCGAAGAATGCCATGAACGCGTACGGCGTCAACCGCTCCTCTGCCAACACCTTCGCTTGTTCTTTTCGTTCCTCATCACCTTCCCATTCCTTCCTTGCATGCTCCACCATGACCTCCGAAAGGCTGTTCAGATACGCCAGCAACGCCACGACGTGCTTCTCATCCAGCTTCTCGCCGTCCTGCCGCGCCAATAGCACACCGCCATCCATGTACCGGTAGCTCACCTTCGCGAATGCGTCGTCTTCGGGGTCGACATTCAAGAACAGCGGAATTGCGAGCTTGTTTTGCAGCTTCGAGTTATCCGATGGAAAGTTGGTCACCTTCAGCGGAATGCCGAGCGCGGCGGAGATCGGTGAGTCGAGCCATGTGCGGACTTCGAGCTCGCATCTGGGGCCGGTGAGGGAAGACGTTGTCGCGAAGATGGTTTCCGATGGCGGTTTGTCGAGCTGCTCCGCCTTGTACGGTACGACGAGGATGCCTTGGCAGGTGTCTAGGCTGCTCTTGGCCTCCATCTTGACCTCTGGATAGGTCAGATCGTGCGACGGGGCTGCAATGACGGTTGACGGGCACTCGGGAGTTCAAGGCTTTAAGCGGTCTGTTTGTCGACTTGTGCCAAGCAATCGTTGTTCAGGAGCAAAACTCTAACAATGCAAAGGAGGGACTGAAGGTGTCATTGTCACCTGCAGTCAGTACGAGCAATACCACCGACACGTGAATGATGGCCCATGCTTTGGTGTAGAGTGGGGCGTCGTGCCTGCCCGATTCAGTCACACGCGCCCGCTGCAGGCAATGAATGCGGCCGACGATGCCTACAACCCAGAATCGGATTGATGGGAAACCTTCCCGCAAAGAGAACTTTCACTTCGACGCGGGCTGGCGGCTTCTGTTAGTAGTACGCATTGGCACCTAAAGTTAGACGGAGCTGGCATGTTGAAGCAGAAGCGTAGCTCCAAGTCGAGCGCGCGAAAACGACTGCTCCAAGCAAGTGTGCACAATGCAGAAATGGGCGGGGGCCTAGAGGGCCTGAGTAGGTAAGATGAGCCAAGCTGTCAGCCTGCCACTTTTCCTCTTCCTCTCCGACTAAGCCCAGTCGCCACCTCTCCGCTTTCGCTCATCCCTCCCGCACTAGTAGTTCGACTCATGGGCTCTGCTCCCAGGCCAAACTTCCCCTGTAGCGCCATCGCTAAACTCCCACCACTCCCCATACCCGCCGCAGCCGCCACAGCAGCGGCAGCATTCGCCTGCCTTGCTCTCTGTTGCTGCACCTCCAGGCTCGCGATGTGACTGAAACCTGCATACAGCGGCCTTTCAACCGGTCTCGGCACATTCGCCGGCCCGGTCTCAGTCAGAGGCAAGCGGTACGGTTGGGAGGCGAACTTCCAGCCCAACGCCTGATCGAGCAAATTGCGCCGCATCTCCCGTGCAGCGTTGACTTCTTCGGGTGTAGCGTACTCCTCATCCTCCGTCGCGGCGTCAGCGCCGGCTTGCCGCATCATTTCGAAGTCGTTATCAAGGTCCAGCTGGCCTACGGCGGGTGGAGCTGGCGCGCCGGATTTCTCACTGCGGGCTACGGCGTTGTAGGTCGGAAGCACCGGCGCGAAAGGATTGTCTCGAATGGGTGCCGAGCCAGCGGCTGCAGCGACATTGGCGAGGTCGGAAAGGGCGGCCAGAGGGTTTGCGGCCCGCGCACCACGTGTGAGGACTTGGTGGGAGGTTTGACGTTCCATTTCGGGCGCCGCTGGAGGTGCGTGAGAGGGCGGCGGGGTGCCTGTTAGCTCTGTCGTTGGATGGATGCCAGCGTCTTGGCCATCAACGGTCGCAGTCGGATCTGGCAAGGTTTCTCCGTCATAGGATGGAACGGCAGTACCGTTTGTGGTGCTGGTCTCTTGCGGCTTCGGCCCGTGGAAGTGCTTGTATGTAGCTTGCTGCGCTGTTGCAGTAGCCATTGCCAGCTCCTTGTCAGTGAATATGCGCTCGAGGCTGTAAGCTGGTGCTTCGAACTGAGTGTATGCGTTCTCCCTGCGCGCATCCTTGAATGGACTTCGGCCACCACCGAGGGCGTCCGGCGGAGGCAGAGGCCTGAACGCTGGCGCTGGGCTCTCGTTGCCGTCATCATCCATAGCCATTACCTTTCGCTTGCGCTTGCCATTCTCAGCCAAGTCGCCAGCATTAGGACTTCCTGCACGATGTCGGAGGTGCCTCGTCTTCCTGTTTTGACCTCCACCAGGTGAGCTGGGGTTGTTGATGCTGAAGTGGTTGGGATGGAGGAGCAGGGCATTGGAATCTGCGATGTCGAGCTGCTCTTTGTCACGCAGAAGATGCTGCCGTTTCTTGGTAATCGAAGTAATTAGCCGTTGACGGATGGTGGAAGACAGAGCTTTGTGCTCCTCATCCGCTTGGTGCAGCTTCTGCTGTGTGAGCCGCTCCAGCTCGGCGACAGCGTTGTGGTAATTATTCTGCAATAGAAGAGTTAGCAGCTGTCACGATCGACATACGCACCTCCCATCGGCTTGACATACGTTTAACGCTACCAGCTCGGCATCCCTTGCCGCGAGCTCATCGTTCACCTCTCGCGCAAACTCCGCATACCGCGTGCCCGCCATAGCCAAATAATCTCTCTGCGCCGCTTCGTCGCCGATTGTGTTGCTCGCCATCATCGCTTCCACCATCCCACGTATTTCTTCTCCGCCATCCTCCAGCGGCCCGTTCTCGTACGGCTCCGCTCGGAGCACGAGCGTCATATCAACTTGCACCGCTTGCAGCTGGGCGCGGTAATGCTGGTGTTGGTTGGCGCTGAAGGAGTCGATCATCGCTTGTAGCCGCTCCATTATGCGATTGCGGCGAACGTCACGTTTGGTCATATTCGCGCTGGAGGCCGGTTGCGGTTGAGGTGAGGCAGAGGCATCGAAGGGAGACGCGTGACGGTTGGTAATCGCCATGTTGGCCGACTGATAAGCGTCTTCGTCGTCGTCCTCAGGACGGTTGATGTATCGTTGGTGCTCAGCGAAGGCCACGACTGTGGAAGTATGTAGAGATCACTCTGCCGCTTGCACAAGCAGCTGGGTATATTCTAACTGAACACTCGTCGAGATGAAGTTTAACCACCTTTGCTGGCACTGAAAGATGCGGTACTTATGGTCAACTCAACGTGATATAGAAGGATCCTCGATTAGCATCTGAATCGAGTCCAAAAAGCGTTTGAGTACATCAGCCTCGATAGCTGAATGAGAAGAACAGCTCGTGCCAGTGGAAGATCTGTCGGACTTGAGCTTGCAAACGCCGACACCAGCAAGCTCCAATGAGCCGCCAACGTCACCATACAAGGCTGATTCAGCCACAAACCGTTTCCGACGCTTCTATCGTGTCGTGGAGGGAAACGGTATGGACTGTTGACAACAGGTCTCCAAACGAAACGCGGACCTGGCCCCCTGGTAGTGTCACGACTAGCGGAGCCTGTGCGAGCATGACACTCACGGCCAAAGTTGTATTTGACGGCTTTGAACGGTTGTATTACTGAACTAGTAGCCTCACACAAACGATGTATAAACGGCCGATGCTACGAACGGGTAAGCAGTCCGAAATCGCTGCACGCTTGCCTCAATCATGAACTTCTTGAACTTCTTTGACACGAACTGCGACCTTCTGGATCATCCCCTTCGACCTCCTCAACAACGCCCGCTTCTTGTGTCTTTCTCGCTGTCTTCCTCCCTGCTGTAACTGTCATAGGCTCCCCTCACCAAGCCCTCCGGGTCCATCTCCTCCGTGCTGCTTGGGCTGTAGCAGCTCGTATTTCCGCTGCTCATCGGCTGTCCCGCCACGCTGTCGCGAGCGATGAATAGCCGAGTCTGGTTCTGATCGGAGAACCGAATTGCAGAGCGTCGTCGTACCGAGCCCGCTTCTAGCTTTGAGGGCCGAGCTTCCCCTGCAGAGGGTGTTGTGCTCGCGGAAGGCCTCGAGGCAAATTCGGCTGGGACCTTGACGCCGACGAAGTGTCTGTCCATCACTGTTAAGCGGTGCTGTCGAATACGGTCCATCACTTCGTCGCGGCTGGGTAGGGTAGCCCGCGGTTCAACCTCAGCATCGCCCGTTTCACGCAAAGACACGCCGCTCATCCACGCGCAGCAGATGGAGACACAACCCCAGAACCACCCGTACTCGGCCATCGGTGTTGATGGAGAGTCGGTGCCCTCAGATTTGAGTTCTGATGAGTCCGCTCCGGAGTCCTCCTAGACCTGCGTCGCCTTCATCTCCTCATGATTCTCCTTCATGACCTTACCGTCGCTGCGCTCCTCCAGCATGTAGAGCGACGTTTGGAACCAGTGCGGAAGCGCCCTCAGCACGCTGATCCATTCAAGGCCCGGCGCCACTATGATCTGCCTGCCTCGCCCACTAAGTATCTGCTTGACAATGGCATCAGTTACCATCGTCGCTGGGATGGGGACAACACCGAGCTTGTCCAGTTCCCCTTGGTGGGTGTGAACCATCGGCGTATCCGCAAATGTTGGGTGCACGATGGTGAATTTGATCTCTGGCGTGTTGTGTAGGACTCTCGTCTCGCGCTGTAGCGACTCATGAAGGTTAAGAACGGCAGCTTTCGTATTGGTATAGGTGCCGAAGAACGGCACGCCGACGAAAGAAGCCATAGAAGCCAGGCTCACAACGTGCCCTTTCTTGGCTTTGATCATGTCCGGCAGAAAGGCTTGAAGCATGTAGTAGTGGCTGATAATGTTCACGTTGAAGGTCTTGTGGAGCTTGTCAGATGGCACAGTGAGGATGTCGTCGCGAAAGTAGACGCCAGCGTTGTTGATCAATATCGAAGCGGCGCCGTGGGCCTCCTTCACTTGGGCGGCGAGCTCCTTAACGGCACTTTGATCAGTAATGTCACACCTGTAATACGTGATCTTGGAATTGCCCCTCATGTCCGCAGGGAGCTCGTCCTTGATGTCAATGGCGACTATGTTGACGCCCTTCTCAGCTAATGACTTGGACATGAGAGCTCCAAAGCCACTGGCGGCCCCGGTGATGATGGCAACCTCCTTCGGCCAGTTGTAGCGATGACGTTCAGACTGGAAGCGAAAGTTGTTCTGGGCAAGCTCGCTCATAAACGCACTCGCCCTGCTTGCCAGGCCCAATGCGGTGAGCCATTGCAATGCAGTGATCGCGCGCTTGATCGTTAAGTTGGAGACATGCTCTCTGAGATAGCGTAGTATAGGCTCACGAATACGAGCCGGTGCTACAGTGAGTGCGAGTAATGCTGGGGCGGTAAGTAATGGGCTAAGAGCGGCCTTCACCAACGTAGTGGCCATGGTTTGAATGATGAACCAGTCGTGAAAGGGAGCGGAAGCTTGAGCTGCTCAAAGATTGACAGAAGATGAGCGAGCTATAAATGCGGAACGTGAGGTTAGGCGACCGGCAGCGGCTTGCGTCGAGCTTTTGCGTTTGTCCGCACGCGAGGTTTTTGAGATTGTCGACGCAACTCGGAGACGGAAGGCATACGAAAAGCCCGGGCTGCTTGCCTTCTTGGCTACTCAATTGTGGCTGTTCCCTACCTTGCAAGACTGCCGAGGTGAAGCAAGGACGGATGCGTGGATTGGCTGTGGGGGAGGAACAAGATGTGGAGGTGGGGAATTCTAAGGGGAAAGCCTTCGCGCTGCGGACCTCGGCATGCATATTGCTCCAAGCTTGTCAATGGCCGTGACATTCTGTTGTCGGGTAAGCGTCCGATTGCAGTGCTCTGTCAAGCATCTGGTGACGCTACCGGTACAGCCTACTCAGGTATCCTTGTATATCACACAGTCAAACCTGTTGCAACCTCCAGATATCCCGGCGAATATCTGCTTTCCTGCGTTAGTACAGGGGCTCCGCCACTCGGCTGACAAGTCTCGGTCCGGGTCACCAGACGACTGTATTGCCCAATCGCTCAGCACAATGACCTTAGCCTAGCCTTCGCGTTTGTCCACTGGGAATCTGAGCGACGCTTCTTATTCAGGTTATTACGATGGCGGAGCAGCAACCGCCAGTCATCCTCTTTGGCTATGAGGCTTCCACCTTCACACTCAAGGTCCGGCTGGCGCTCAAAATCAAGCAGATACCATATACGTTCATAACCGTACGCAGCATGATGCCTCGACCGATCATCAAGGACACCTTTGGCTTGACATACCGTAAGATACCCGTATTGGCCATCGGCAAGGAAGTCTACTGTGATACCTCTCTAATCTGCGAGGCGCTGGAGCACTTCTTTCCGGAGTCCGAGGGTTACCAGACACTGTACCCTCCGGCGGCGGACGGTAGGAATTACCGACCAATGATTAGAGGTTTCGCTTCATACTGGACTGATCGACCGCTGTTTCGCGTGACGACGGGGCTGATTCCGGCGAGCGTCTGGCGAACGTCCTTCGGCGAGGATAGGGCGGGCCTCATTGGGCACAAGCTCGACCCAGACAAGCTTGAGAAGAAGCTTCCGGAGAATATGTCAAGGCTCGATATGCAGCTGTCAATGATCGAGCCGCTCTTTGATGCGAAAGACACGCCGTGGATCTTCTCAACTAGTTCGCCTTCTTTGGCAGATGTATCGCTCTACTACCAGCTTTCTTGGGGCAGTGATATTGCAGCGGGTCGTCTGATAGATAACCTGACAGCAGGCGGGACGCAGGACACCAATACCGAAGGTATAAAAGCCGTCTTCAACGCTCAGCGTTACCCAGGGGTTTACCAATGGTACAAGACCTTTGAACGCTATGTCGAGAATCTAGCGTCTACCGAGACGAAGGATCCAGATTTCGCCAACGTGTTAAAGGAGGCGAAGAAGTCGCCCTCGTTGGGGCGCAGGTCTCTGTTGCTTCCCACACCACGCAACACCGTAGACGAGCTGGACCGGAAGTGCGGCCTTGTCGAGGGCGCTGTTGTCTCTGTGGCGCCGGATGACACGGGCCGTAACGACCCCACTGTGGGCACCCTTGTCGCCATGTCACCGGAGGAGGTCGTCATCAGGCCTCTGGTAGAAAAGCCGGTCGAGGTCGACGCACGCATGCATTTCCCTCGTCTTGGCTTTGTTGTGCGCTTAGTGGACAGGCCCAAAATATAGAACATCTGTACGACTTCAAGACAATTTATAGTCGTTCCGCTTTCTGCTGCTGGAGGTCGTCAGCGACGTGACCATGCCTGGCGGTGAGCCTAAGAACAATGACGGTCCCGCAAAGGGTCGACGGTCCAAGTCGCCAGCGGAGGAATCCGTGATACGAGTCTCTCGAAAAGCGTACGCTGTGCGACTGCTTTCGGTTGAAGGCTAAACATCACCGCTGCACTGACTGCGATGACGGCCTCAAGGCAAGCAGATCTGCATCAAACGTGGCGACGCGAACCTGGCCTAGGACACTCTTGAGTAAAGCGATTCGTTATGGTTAGCGTTCCGCCGGATTCTGAGGCATTCAATGAAAGCACGTCTCGGCTCGACATATGGATGATTAATGTACACTTCCTCAATATGCTGCACACGGGCGTTTGCGGGACTCGAGCTGGGGCAAGATGCTTGAGGTTGCCCTTCACGTTTGCGGAACGTGCAAAGCAATATAAGCCACCAGAAAGATCATGAGTTCGAGGGCCTACCGCCAATACTTCCGCTCATCCTCCAGCATACCTCTCGGTAGGTTGCCCGTTCTTCCAGTGAGTACCTCGCCTTTGCCGCGCTTGAGGTATTGTCCGTATTGCAGCTTACCAAGGATGCCCTTAGCTTGATCCCACACGACTTGGCCTCGTAGAATGGTGTATCTGGGCCAGTTACCGACAGGCATACCCTCAAAAGGCGTGTAATCCATATCATGATGCAGATTCGCCTGCTTGATAACGCACGACCCGGTGTCCCCAGGATGCCAGATCACCAAGTCAGCATCATAGCCTGGCAATATACTACCCTTGCGACCGTCGAGTCCGTATAGCTTCGCCGGATTCGTGGCCGTTAGCTGCACGAAGCGCGGTAGGCTCAACCGCGCCTGCTCCGGCGTCTGGCAAGCGGGCGTCTGACCGAATAGTAAAGGCATCCGGGTCTCGATCCCGGGCAGCCCGTTCGGAATCCGTGTGAAGCGCGGAATGCCGTCAACTAAACCAAGACGCTTACCGCCTGGCACATCGTACTTGCTTGGAGCGTGATCGGATGAGAAGGTCGTGAACGTCCCGTTTGCTATGCTTCGCCATAACCCCTCAAGGTCATCTGGAGAGTGCCGTAGGGGTGGAGAGCATACGTGCTTCGCCCCGTGAAAGTGATCGTGAGGCTCGGCTTTCAGCTTGTCCGACAACAGGAACAGATAGTGCGGGCAGGTCTCAGCGTGGATTGGCAGCAACCTTCCTTGCGCATCTCGCACATGTTGTACTGCCACATCGGAACTCATATGCCTAAGAGCGTTCATAATTACCGTCAGCGCTGTCGGTACACATAAAGGAAGGCTTATGGCTTCACGCACACAAGGAGCATCGGCGCGTCTGCGAGCTCGGCCAAAGATATTGCGCGATACGAAGCCTCGTCTTCTGCAATACGTGGACGGGCGACGGCATGGAAGTAAGGTTCCGTGTTCTTGTTACGTTCGAGCCCCTCAATGAGCTTCGCAATCATGTCATGGTTCTCAGCATGGATCATGGTGGTCATTCCTAGGGCTTTGCAGGTGAACAAGATGTCGAGCACTTCCCGGTCGTTCACCTTCATGGCATCGTAGGTCATGTATAGCTTAACGCTTGTGATCCCATGGTCCTTTGCCAGCAAGGGCACTTCATTATGCAAGATTTCGGCCGTCGGATTCGTCAAAATGAAATGGTAACCGTAGTCGCAGTAGCTTTGATCCTTGGAGACCTTGATGTACTCATCCAACACCGGCCAAAGCGAAAGGTCCTCTTTCTCTTGCGAGGCGAAAGCGATGATCGTGGTCGTGCCGCCAGCTATGGCACTCCTGGTTCCAGTCTCCCATCCGTCGCCGGTTGGCGCATTCTTCTGAGCCAAATGTACATGGCTGTCGACTCCGCCAGGGGTGATGTATGCCCCTTCCGCATCAATCACCTGGGTGCTTCCGCCACAAGGTAAGTTAGTGCCGATGCAGGAGATCTTACCATCACGGACACCGATCTGCAAGCCGGATGGTAACACTTCGCTAGCAGTCACCTTAAGCCCGTCAGCTTTGCCGGCTACACAATGACACTCAGCATCTCACAATGATTCCGTTTGTGATGACCAAGTCGAAGTCCATCGCGCACTCTCGGCCCCGAGAGCGGCCCGTGCTGGAGTGAAGATGAAAGAGACTACAACCAGCGACATCAGCCTGCACCTGCACATGGTCACAACACCATATTCCTGTTATAACACCATGAACACGCCACTCGGAGGCTTGCCCGGCGTTCCATCTGGCCTAGGTTGTTGCCGCTGAATGGCCGCTCACCGAGCCGCAGATAAGGCGTAACATTCGGGCAAGATAGGCGCTCGGCGAGTGGGAAAGAATCTGAACGGGCAGCTGCAGCATTCTGCCTGGTCGAAACAGCACTCACATCTATATCACCGCGGACAAGAACACGTACGACATACGGCTGCGTATAGTCTAGCGAAGGGGCAAGGTGCTCGAAGTGAAGAAGATCATAGATCAGAAAGCCGTTGATGCATTTCTAGCAGAAAGCGGACTTGCATTCTGAATAGGCAGCCTACCGATGGTTCATGTTCCAGTCGTAAGACGAATCCGTTGGAATATGTTAGTCATTACCCTTCCGCGGCGCCTTCTCAACCGCATCCTTCAGATCAGCATCAAACCCTGAGAACAAGTTCTGCACGAACCATCTCACCGGTGAAGGCCACCAGAACAAGATGGCCACCCCGCCGTCATAGGATTCGCAGTGCCGTAGAAGGGTGCGGTCTGGGCCTTGAGCTAGGATCTCCCACCAGTGGTGCGCTGTGCAGCCACCAAATGTTCCTGAGTAGCCAAACTTCTCGGGCGTATTGACCTGAGCCACGTCAAAACTCCCACACTCACAAGGGCATCTTGATGTTGGTAGGACTGACAAACACTTCAGCCCTCGCGTGCCCTGCCTGTGCCGAGTGAATCACCGCTGCATCGCCTATTTGAGCCTCCACCCCCGGAATCACATCCTCGGTGCCAGCGCGTTGAGTCTGGACGCTGATGAGTAGCTTCTGCCTATTGCTCCATGTTGAGAGCTTGTCGAAGTCAAGTAAAACGGCCCGAACTCGCTCAGGCGCTGCGTCGATGATGCTCTCCGTATGCACAGCGGTGCTGTTGAAGCTTGGCATGGTCTCCTGCTAAGGTCGTGTTCGTTGTGAATCCTGAGGACTAACGCGTGTAACTCTAGAGTGCGACGATTCTGCTTATAGAGACGACTGGCTCAGCTGCTGCGACCCAAAGGATCGTATCTTTACCTGCAGGAAGAAGCTTGCGCAGTCCTACCTTGTACATGCTCGAGCATTTACCTGCTTGGTATTAGTCCCACAATGCCCTGAGAGGACGTGCACCTAGGTCTCTACCGCTGTTAGGCACAGAGTGCAAAGGGCTGCATGAATTACACATAGCGGAGTTGCAGGAGTATTTACAGCTATGCTGTCCAAGCGTGCCAACCGTCCGATCTAGCTGCCAACAAACGCCGTTCGCTGATGCTTGCAATCAGACAATATGCTACAATACCCGACACGGCCTGTCCACCAACTAGTTAGCACCACCGCTCGGCCTCCAACAAGCCTTCAGACTCAGGGCAAACTAGGTATGTGAACCTACTCTGCCCATTAAGCTGATCACCAACGTCGGCTCATCTCCTCGAAGCTCTTATACAGGGTCGGTGCAGGCTCCTCAGACCCCCTGCCTAAACCCGGCGGCAGGTTGCCCGGTCCACCGCCCTCGCCAGGCTCAGGCCCGTTCGGGCCGGGAGCAGTAGGCTTGGGCGCACCACCCATCGGTCCACCTTCACCTTGGCCGCCGAAGTATCTACTGAACTCTCCTTTGTCTTCCCACGGTCGTGGTCCCAGTATGCGGACCAAATCGTCTCGACTCAACGCTTCCTTGGCCAAAAGTTCCTCGGCAACAAGACCGACTTCTTTCTTCTTTTCCGTTAAGAGCTGCCGGCACTGCGTGTACGCTTCGTCGACGATGCGCTTGACCTCAGCATCAATGGCCTGTGCTGTCTGCTCGGAGAACGGCTTCTGCAGTTGCGTTTCCGAAGTCTCACCAGCATCTGGGTAGTATAGGTAGCCAATCTTCGGGCTCATACCCCACTTCGTGACCATACTTGTCGCCATTCGGGTGACTTTGTTGAAGTCGTCGCTGGCTCCGGAAGTGACCGTTGGGAAGTGCAGCTCTTCCGAGACACGCCCACCCAGCGTCATGGCCATGCGATCCATCATCTGGTTGAAGTTCATGAGTGCTTGGTCCATTCCGCCACCAGGCAGATACTGCGCATAACCTAGCGCGTTTCCACGTGGAATGATGGAAACCTTGAGCAGTGGATCGGCCCATTGGAAGTACCAACCACAGATGGCATGGCCAGCTTCGTGGTAAGCGATCGTCTTCTTCTCGTCTGGCGTGATGACCATACTCTTCCTCTCAAGTCCGCCAATTACACGCTCAATAGCCTTCTCGAAGTGTATCATTTTCACGCTTTCAACCCCTTCGCGGGCGGCGACGAGCGCAGCCTCGTTAACACAGTTGGCAATATCCGCGCCAGAGAAGCCGGGTGTGAGCGCAGCGAGTCGGCCTTTAAGATGTTCCAGATCCTCGTGAGTGACGACCTTCTTGAGATGCACGTCGAAAATCTGCTTCCTACCATCCAATGTTGGCGGGTCGATTCGAATATGGCGATCGAAGCGTCCCGGACGCATCAGTGCCTTGTCAAGGACGTCGGCGCGATTAGTACCCGCAAGCACGACCACCTGATCGGAGGTGTTGAAGCCGTCCATCTCCGTCAAGATTTGATTCAAAGTACTCTCACGTTCATCATTGCCACCTCCAAATGACTGCTTTGCTCGCGCCTTGCCAATCGCGTCGATTTCGTCAATGAAGATGATGCAGGGCGTGTTCTTTCTGGCATTTGCGAAAAGATCTCTCACTCTGCTCGGACCAACACCGACGAACATTTCCACAAACTCAGAACCGGACACGGAGAAGAAAGGCACGCCACTCTCGCCTGCAGTGGCCTTGGCGAGCAAAGTCTTACCAGTACCAGGCGGTCCAGAGAGAATCGCTCCTCGTGGGATCTTCGCGCCGAGCTTTTGGTAGATGCCAGGCTCTTTGAGGAAACTGACGAATTCCATGATTTCGGTCTTCGCTTCGTCAGCACCCGCCACGTCCGAGAACTTGACTTTGATGTCAGTTTCATGGTTGAACTTCTTGGCTCGACTGCGTCCCATGCCAAAGATGCCGCCCTGACCGCCACCGGCGCCTGAGGCCGCCCGTCGAGAGAGATAAAAAATCGCTCCAATGAAAAGCAGCGTTGGACCGAAGGCAAGGACAGTGTTGAACCAGCTTCCTTCCTCGTGATAGGAGATCGGTATCCTTTCAGATGTTGGGATCTCGAGCTGGTTCTGCGCCTCTTCCACTCTTCGTTCAAAGGCTTCGACAGAGCCGATCGAGAAGTAGTAGTAAAAGCCCGCATGCGCAGCTGGAGAGTCTGGGTACATGCTTGCGACGCTATCACGGTGCAAATGTACTCTGACTCGGTTAGCATTGATGACGACCAGCTTCTCCACAAGGCCCTTGTCAAGAAAGGTGTTGCGGAATTCTTGCCACGTAATCTCGCGGCTGTTCTCCGTGGGCACCACCAATCGGTAAAGGAGGTAAGCCACAAACGAGGATAACAGGAAGTTGCTCAAGTCGAAGCGTATCTCAGTGACACCGCTGAACATTTCGTCCGTTTTCTTCTTCTTGTTCTTACCGTCATCCTTCTTGGTTCCTGGGCCTGGCTCTTCAGTCGTTTGCTGCTTCGGCGCCTCGCTCTCGGTATCTTTTCTTTCGCTCTCGACGGTGTGTCGTGCCATCTGCGTCGTCAGCCGCCAGAGCTTGGCAGCTCGTGCGGGACTCATGCCCTCTTCGCGCGTCTCTTTGATGGTGTCACGCAGCTCAGTGGGCATGCCTTCTCGTTTGATCCGTTGCAGTGCCTTGTCGATGTCTTCAGCCATAGAGCTAGGCATGCCTTTCTTGACCAGCGCAAACACATCTTCCAGCGCTTTCTCCTCCTGCACGCTCAACTTTGAGCGACCGGGTAGAGGCGTGTCGTCGCCGTCTTGCTTGTTGGGCGGTTGTGGCTGTCCGGGCGACATGGGCGACTGCTGGCTGTACAAATGTTCCATGCCTTTAGGTGCAGCGCCAGGCGTCTTGTCGAGCTTCTTGCCATCTTCCTTTTGGCCTTCCGGCTGTGTTGCGTACTTTCGACTCCGCGCGTATGCATATAGTGGTCGCGGCAGGCTGGCCGGTCTCCGTGCAAGAGTCTGTGATAGTGAAGCGGCTTCTACGATCTGCCGCGATGACCGAGCCAGATTGGGGGAGCGGCGAAGGATGGTCGCCATGCTCGCTAGAATGCCGCCTACAGCAGTGAGACGGAGAGAATGAGTGCGTAACTCTCCACCATGCAAGACGGCCTACAGTAGTGTTTTGAGCGCTGTCGTGGAGAGCAGAGGATTACAGCAGGCGAGGTGGATGGCGAGAGACACGATTAAGGTAGGCCAGAAACGGGATGGATATGACGAGATCATCACCAAGCACGTTCGGCGCAAGCGGCGACTCCCGCTCCGGTGCCCATGCCAAGCCCTCGCCACCATCGCCATGGCTATGCTCCGTCCGTTCACAACCACTATATGCGTGTTGCGACGCCCTCGTATGTGCAGAAAGCATCACTGACGCATGGCTGCAACGCCCTGCCTAGCAGAAAACCGCGGCTCCCATGATGCAACTCAATCGTGCTGGATCCGACTACGTAGGGCTCGGAATACGTTAGAGAAGCATACCTGCAGTCCGTTGACAGTCGCAGTGAGGCCTCCACGCTGATATTGCAACACGGACATTGTCACCATGGCCGGGAAAGCATCACGTTCAAACGCGCGTGGCACAGCATGGCATGGATTTGTGTGAAGTGAGGCATGGACACCTGGCTATCTTCGGAGCCGGTGAGGGCGTTTACATTCCCCTTAACTCAGCTTGGGCGCATAGTTCATATCCGAAGACCATTGCCGTAAGCCGTTCGTCGTGATGGTGGTGCGGAATGTCAATAGTCTCCAACATGACTTAATAGGCGCAGCGAGTGTCAGGGCAACTGCCTGTTCACCAGGGTGGTGGCGTGGTCCTGCCAGCCTCAGGCGTGGAATCTATCAGCAGAGTTGGCAACAGTAATATCTGTTGAGTTGATGCATGCAACAGGAAATCGCCTGCCTACCTACATACCTTAGTCGAGACGATAGTAGGTGGCACTTCTTGTACCCTGCATTGCTTAATGCCGCGTTCTCCGACACGCTTACGTCAAGAACGACTGGGGAAGGAGCATCAGATATCCCGCCTCCCACTGATGATTCGATCAACGTGCTGAGCTACTCTCCCACGCCCAGAACAATAGATTATCGTTCGATTCGTGCCACTTTCATCCGAGACGCTCATCACAATGGCTGGTATCACCAACGGCCAGGCCCAGGCCGCCACCAATGGCCACACCACGCACAACATTGCCCCAAAGATCACACTAGTAAGCGCTCATTACACCTCAGACTTGGGTTCTGTCAGCACTAAGAGGAGTGCTAGTATACCAACCATGGCTGTCCATGGGCGCACCGCGCTCACATCGCTCTTGCCGAGCTGAATCTGCCTTTCGAGGAAGTTATCATAGACTTGAACACGCCGCGTCCGCAATGGTATCTGGACATAAATCCTAGAGGCTTAGTCCCGACTATCAAGTACAGCGTTCCCGGCATTATGGACGAGGAAATCATCTATGAATCTGGCATCGTTGCGCAGTTTCTTTGCGACAGCTTCCCGTCGCACTTGCTGCCGGCCAGCAAGGAGTCGCCAACGTCCGCCCTTACACGAGCACGTATGACCTTCTTCGCCGACACGTGGTTCACCAAGACTGCTCCACTCTACATGGCAATCTTGCGTGCATCCGAGCACGAAAAAGACGCTAAGGTCGACGAGTGGATCGCTGCTTTCGAGAAGGAGATCGAGCCACTGCTGAAGGATGCCTCGCCCTTTTTCGGCGGCAGCAAGCAACTGACGTTCGCCGAAGTGCTTACTGCGCCGTTTGTGGTGCGGGCTCTTGACATGTCCAAAGATGGGGAGGTGGTCCCGCGGAGTGCGACAGAGAAACTGAGCAGGCTACCCAATCTTAGCAAATGGATGAATGCGGTGGCCTACAATGAGAGCGTACTGAAGATCTACGATTCGGAGAGAGTCATTGCGCACGCCAAGCGGAAGGCAGCGAGCAAAGTTTGAGATCTGATTGACGCACCAATCTACCCGGTCAGTATAGCAACGTACAAAGGCTTGCACAGGTGAAACTGTCACGGTGAAGATGGCAAGCCTTGATTCTTGTCTTCAGAACGTCTGCCTACCAAGCACCATGCCGTGCTTGACGTTGGCCTTAACTACTTTACACTCTCCGGCAGCCTGATAGCCGGAACCAGTATGATAGCCGGAGCTACGGCCCCTAATATTGCTCGCGGAGGCAGTGCCGGCCGCTTTTCGGCTTGTAGCAGCGGGCTTGTAGAAGCCGAGTGCGCCAGCATTGCCTTCTCCGTCTGCGGTAGAAGCAGTGATCGCAGGCCCGATGAGGATAAACTCCGGCTGACATTCAATTTCTCTTTCCACACCCTTTTCCGGCCTTTGCTTGGCAATAATCGCTCGACAATACGCTCGGTTCCCAGCTCCGTCGTCAGCTTGATGGTCGCTTCTTGTCCGGCGTCTGCAACAAGTAGAGTCCCTGCAATTAGTGTTCTGGCACCATTAGCAATCCGCTTTGGCATCAGCACACCCCAGACCATGACTAACCTTCAGCTGCCGTGGCGTCAAGGACACTTTGTACGGGTATTACTTGCTCAACCCCAGCCGAAAGACCCATGGCCAAACCCATACTCGCGGCAGAGATGGTGAGTGGAATCAGGTAGTCCCGTTTAGTCTCCTGGTGAACCGGCAGACCTCGCTTGACCACTTCCTGATGGATCATTTCAGGCGGCGTTTCGCCACGCTGCGCCTGCGAAGGTTGATGGCGCTGCCTACGAGACTGAGGCCCGCAGTAGGCACGGCTTCAATGGCACCGACGGCCGCTCCAAAAAGTCCGCCATGGATTGTTCGGCAGTCGTAAATATCGTCCTTCATCAGTTCTTCGTCACTGAGCTTGGTGATGCGTTCTTGAAACTCCTCTTCGCTGAGGTGGAAAAAGTCCTTGAGCGTCATAGCGGAAGTAGGTGCGACTTGTCCTGGCGGGAGCAAGGAGGTCGAAGGTAGCTACATAGAAATCTGGAGTAAGCAGAATAGGAAAGCTGAGTTGAGAAGAGTTTAGTGATACAAGTGGGGAATAAAATAGCCTTCTGAGAGGCTTCTGGAAATACATCCATCACTGAAGTGTATGCGGCAAGTACGCGATACTGAGTCGCACCTGCTCCATGTCGGATACGCAACGCGACTTCCTGGTGAACGATGGATGCTCATTACTGACTGTCGCCTTTGGGTTCTTTAGCAGGGTGTCCAGGCATGTCGAAGCGGGTGCTCACCCACAAGCTTTTGAAGACACGCTTGCTGGTATTACAACCATACGTCGATCGAGCCTCGACCGTCCGCGATGGCTCGGACCCGGCCATCGATCTGTAGAGGACTGCCTTCATACACGACAAACTCGTTAACGCCCTCTTTAGCAGGATCTTTGAGTCCAAGCATCTCGTAGATGTTGGAGGACACCATGCTCCAGGCAGCTTCCTCACCGATCGCATGCTGGATATAAGTCCCATCGTCCGCACGCATCGATACTCCATTGGCAGCTATGATACCTGCTAGGAGGCTCAGGTCGCGCGTCTCCCAGTCTTCGGCCGTGCTCATTGCAACCTTGGCCCCAGCAGCATACAGGACATCGACTGCAGTACCGTTTGTCAAAGGCGCGCCGCTCAATGCGCGTCGCTGGTCCCACGTCAGCCCGTACGCGAAGGATGTGAGCACCACGCCAACGTTGGCAGCGGCTAGCTCTTTCGCAAGGATGTGAGACTCTGCACCGCCGTAGATGACGAGTCGGAGCGCATGTGGCATAACAGCGTCGAGCTCGTATTTCATCCTGAGTAACGAAGCAATTCTGTCGGCGCTATGCGTGCTTATGACAAGCGCCATGCTGCCGTTCACGACGCTTTTTAGTGTTCGCTCCTCCAGTGACGAGACGTCCGCGGTAGCGTTCGACTTCAGTGCCTTCCAAAGTTTGTATCTGAGAGCATCGATCGCGCCGCTGAGGCTGGGGATTTGATCGGTCTTCGCAGGCGTATAGTGTGCGGCAACTTGGCTGGCCCAGACTGCGCCTTTCTCCAACGAGTGCTTTGCGCCTGTCTTGAAGCCTGCAGAGACGCCTTTGTGACCACCTTCACTGATCGAGGGAGCAGTAATCGCGCGAGTGACACCGTGCCGGTAGGCAGCGGCTAGGCTCTTGGTATCAAAGGCAAGGCCGTCGACGGCGGCGGAGAACGACTGCACGTTGTTATCGCCATCATTAGTGACGTCTTCAGCAGAGATCTCGCTCAAGCCTAAGAAGCTTCCAAATGATGTGATGGGAGATGTAATGTGGCCATTCTCGATATGGACTGACTTAACGCCTCGCATCCTGGCCTCAGCGAGCTCTTCGACGCAGTCGCCAAGACATGCGATTGAACCGTTGCGGACGACGACTGTGCCGTCTCCAGTCTTACCGTGGAAATCGCTACCGACGCCCGAAAGCCAAACCTTCTGGACGCCTGAGATGACCACGTCTTGTAAGAGCGAGAAATCATGATGAACGTGTTGCAACGCAGTGTTCGGCTCGATTGGACCAAGTATTGGCTTAGATAGCTCCACGGGATGTGCGAATTGCGGAACTCCGTCGATCCAGACTTGGACAGGGGTGGCACCCACGCTCAATGGATCAGAATCCCATACCACGATGTCTGCATCGAAGCCTTCCTTCAGCTTTCCTATTCGCTCGCCGAGACCGAGTACTCTAGCTGGCTCTGCCGTGACTGCAGCCAGTGCTGCATGGTATGGCAAACCGTTGCGATACGCCTTCGCAGCTTCGAAGACAACGTGCTGGGCATTCAACACAGGGTTGTCGGAGACATATAGAGGTGTGATGCCGTTCTCGTAGAGGATCTTGCCAGCTTGTTCCGAGGCTGTGTAGGCTTCTACCTTGTAATACATATTGTCCGCAAACAGCGCTGCGGCAGGTGTGACGTTGTATGCGCGCTTAAGCAGCTCCGGGACGATATAGGCTTGATGGGCATGGTGGAATGCTCGGACTGGAAATTTGAACTCGTTCGTAAGACCTACGAACATCTGCAAGTCGTCGATGGTATAGCAGTGTGTGTTAACCCGGACCTGCCCGCGGAGGACGGCTCCTAAGCTCTCCCTACACCGTCGTTAGCACCGCATTGAATGTTTGTTGCTAGTAAACACGTACCACTTCAGATCTGTTGGGAGATAGCTTCGCATGTTCTCTGCACCAACACGGTTTGCAGCAGCGCACCAATCATCTTGGGACTTCACGTAATTGCTGGCTTGCTCAAAGGCATGACGAAACTCCCATGCTTCACCAAGGCGGCTGAAAGGACCAAAGTCTCGTCCGAGTCGGCCGTACACTCTCTTAGGGTTCTTATTGGTTGTGTTGCACACTGTCAGCATGCTACAGGTAAAGGGAATGCAGCCGGCAAGCTGCCACTGAGCAAGCTGTACGCACCTCACCACAGGCCATCTTCATATAGCGCCAGTTCCGATCCGGATCAGCGAGCAGATCCTCCACGCTGATCTCGGGCCTGCCATCTGGCTTGCCGACGGCATGCTTGATGACAAACGCCTCTCCGCCCATGTTGTTTCCCGACCCTGGAAGCACAAGAGATGTTGTTACACCTCCAGATTTGATTACCTGTATCTGAGGATCCTGCGCAGCGATGGATAGAAGGGTCAGTCATTTCCGTACCATGCAGAGTATTCCACCGGTCGGTCGGCTTACCAGTGGGTTAATGCCATCTATGGAGCGGACGTACGGAGTGATATCGGATGAAAGTTCATTGTCGTCAGAGCCACCAGACAAGTCACTGGGTAGCGGATCGTCGCCTGCGTGACTATGCATGTCGACTATACCACTTGTGACCAAACGTCCGTGAGCTTCCCAGACCTCGCAGTCTCCGGACACGGTCCGAAGGTCGATGCCTTCTGCGACCTTGGTGATTAAGCCGCGTTCCATAAGAACATCCGCTCGGATCCACGACCAGCCATTTCCCGCGCGGGCGTCCTTCTCCGACGTGCCTTTGACAGGCTCACCAGTCCAGATTGTCGCATTGCGGACGAGGACAGTGGTATTTCCGGCCTGGAAGCGAGCATTGAACTCTCGATGTCCGCTGGGATCATCTGGAACGGACTGCAGTTTGGCACATGTTGCGTGATTCTCCCGTAAGCGGTCAACCGACAGCGTCGAATATGGTTCTTCATGAGTTCCTCGAGAATCCAAATTCCAATGATGATAGACGAAGACAACCACAAGAATTAGTGCGAGTAACTTTGCAATCCGCCGACGCCGTCTATTGAAACAGACAGTAGTAGCGTGGCATTCTTTATACTCGTCTCTTGGTGTATACCGTGGAAGAGTATCTTCCTTCTCAGCTAGATCCATGCTGACGCCGAGGAAGGAGACACATCAATGTTATGGACGAGACCTAGGCATGCGGTAATGATATGCCATGATCACCATGCTTGCGGCACAGCGAGACCAGTGGCATACTGGTACATCTCTAACGGGAGATACGCCTTGACCAGACTGGGCTTGTCCAAATGAGGAAGGTGGCTGCACACGCTAGGCTTGTTCGGTCGTGGCGGCTCAATTCACGATGCGCTGACGACCGAAAAATCTTAGGGGGTTGGGGCGAGTCTCCATACTACGGCAACGTAGATGTGGACACAAAGCTGGATGATAGCGGCTTACAGTTGAGCTTCAAGTAGTTCAGTGTACACATGAGAGATATCTTGGGTAATAGCCGGACACTCAACACCGGATTGCATGTCACCCTGATAAAGCTGCCAGCATCTGTGGGTACTTTAGTGCGGAGCATTGTGCGCAAACCTCCTTACGTGCAATGGAGAAAGGCGAACGAAAAAGAGACCCAGCGAGGCTCTTGTCTCGTACAAGCAGTAGAGAGCGGAGAAATATGAACTGATGTAGACGAAGGACACCACAGCTAGAGGCGATAATGAGTAAGCTTACCCCGAGACGTTCCGGCCAATGAGAACATGATATAACGTGCCTCTTCCTCTGTGCGTCACAACACAGGAAAGCTGTGGCTAGCCGGATGGGCTCGTCGTTTTTGGTCTCGACGAACGTAGTACGACTTGGTGTCCAAAGTACACGCCGCACTCAGTATCGCACTCATGTCAACGTGTGGTAGTGGCGGTCGGATGGGGCGCCGCGATCCGCACTACCGGGAACTTCAAGGGTAAATGAACGACAACGTAATTTTGCCTCCGAAGAAAGGATGAAGACGACGACTCCATGCGCCCGGGGCAGCTATGTACAATGTATCCGTCAAAGCATATTCTGCTCTGGTACAGTTAAGAAATCAAATAATCGCACGAATTAGCTTCTCTGGCCCTGCAGCTTCCGCACATTGTCACAGGTAGCTCCGACGTTCTCTTTTAGGTGGTAAGGCCGGCAATGGACCCCATGGAGGTAGCGTTGGAGGAGGCTCAAACCCCTGTAGGCCTGGCAGAAAATCTGGATCAAACTCCGGTGGCGAGGTATCGTACTCCGATGCTTTGCAGGGCGAGTCGTCTCGTAGACGCGCCAATGAGGGCAGCGCCACAAGCCCAAACGTTGGAGACTTCTTGCGTGGAGCAAGTGGCGGCGGCGGTGAACTGGTTTCCTCGCCAGAGTCATGCTCCGACAGCGACGGCATTGTTTCCACACTTCGCAAGCTCGCAGCGGAGTTCGACGCCTTCAACCGTCGGCCTCGGCGTGCTGCGGGGATCTGGAAGCTGTGGAGGGAGCGTGCCTGTCTGGCATCAGGCTGTGCGACGGGGTTAGGTGCAGTAGTCACCTCAGACGACTTGGCTTGGGCTTGCAGAGAAGGTGTGGACGCTGATGAATAGGCGGATCGCTCGAATGTGTCCCATGCCGCAGCCGATTGCGCTCGATGCGTCGATTTGTTATCAGGCGCTTGCCCTGCCTTCTGTGCGCTCATCCACCACATCCATGCTTCATTATTGCCTGGCGCTTCGGGCAATTCAGGCCCATTGATCCCTTCTATTATGGATTGAATGGTTGCACGGTGGTCACGCCCGGTGCACTCGGGAACATCCGACAGCAGGCTTCCTTGCAATGGCAAGGCCAAGGACTCTACCGAATCACAAGGTGCGTTGGGTGATGGCCGGAGCAATCTGCTCTCAATAGCTGGTGCACAGGTGGCGTCTACGGCAGCGCGCCGCGTGGGCGAGAAGATTGCGAAAGCGTTATTTCTTGAACCGGCAGCGGCTTCGCCACGCTCCCGCGATTCGCCATTGAAAGTCACACTAGGAAGGAGCGGTGCGGTTGGAGTGACTCTAGAGGTCACGTAGTCGTCCAGCACTGGCGGCATCAAGGCCAGCGGATACGGCGCGTGCAGATCCACTGCGGTGTTGATGTTCCGTTTGGGCAAAGGGGTCTGTTTGGTCGCATCGTACGAGATGGCTTCCCTTCGGCCTGTGGCGTACGAGTAGAGGCCTTCATATGCCGTACTGGGTACATTCGCACTAGACGGGCTTGTTGTCGTTGCCGACTCGAGCGATGATCGACTGTCCTGGGTGCTGCGGGAGCTACTCGAGTGCCCATTGCTGCGGGATCCGTCCGAGTGCCCACGGCCGATGGACGCTTCGTCAATGGAACGCTGGGACCGGCCTTGCGGAACACGTCGCTGGGCCTGGCTCGGAACAGCGGGGAAGCGCGGCATTAGGTGGTCCAGTTGTTCTTCAAACACTGTCTCCGAGAAGCTGGTTACCGACGCCATGTCGTCCTCTGTCTTCGGGGACAGTAGGTCGCCAGCGACATCGGTCGATGTTTTGCTAAGCAGTCTTGCCAACGACACTCTGTCTTTCTGGTCGCCAGTGTTACTGCTCTCATACGTCGGACCACGAGCCTTCATTGCATATTTCGGTCGATGCTCCTTGAAAGTGTCAATGCAGTCTCTTATGGCACTCATCCACGCAGTCATATCGGCGGGACTCTCCATGACGAGTAACAGCCGCGAAGCTGCATGGCGAGGCTCGAGATTGTGAATGCCGAACTTGGACAGCAGCGCAGTCGCTTCATCGACAATGGCGATACCGTGGGCGTCGACGGCCTTCGAAACCTGCAGCACATAGTATCTGCCGGGCATGAGATCGCAAGCAAAAGCCCCGGACTGCTTGCCTAGCTGCAGCGTTCTCTCTGGAAGACGGTTGCTGAGTCCATTCTCCGCGTATTGTAGTAGCTGACCGGATGGCAACAGTACGAAAATCTTCTTCAGCAGTGTAACAGAAGCGACCACGCCATTGAAGAGAGGCTTCGATTCCACCCGCGATGGGGAGTGGCCGAGTTCGAGCGTGCCATAAATGATAGCTCCCATGTATGCCTGAAACAACGGTAGGCCTTCCGACCCGCGAACATGAGTCCCCCTTGATAGGCGTAGGTACGCTGCACTTGCATGCTTCGTGTGCAGGTTCGACCATGAACGGCTGCTTCGCAGTGACCGAGGAGTCGAGGTATCTGTGGATATTGCGCCCTTGATGGTACTCGGCCACGCCTTTGCATCGCCACGACGATTCGATGTGGTTGAACGCATGATGATGGGAAGACGTAGGCCAGATTCGGTATGACCCCAAGCTTTTTCCACCTGGGGGCCGCTGAAGAGATGGGATAGAGACATTGTGGAAACGTTCTGATTCAAAAGATGCGACCTCGAGGTCTTGTCAGAACTGTCCAGAAACACAATCAAAATCAGTAACGATCACCGGGCGCAGTCGATTCGATCGATCCCTGCTTCTATATGACAATGGGGACCGAACAACGCGCTTTGGTTGCCTCGGGGCAGCACCCGCATTGGCATTGTCTACGTACTGAACCCGTGTTCTCCTTGAACATGCACATCCTCAACCAGCCTGCAAACCAAAATAGTCAAACTTACCACAAGTCTAACACTGGATCCAACGGTCCTGTGCAGGAAGCGGAAAGCTGTAGCAGCAATCCAGTTCCGGGCCAGTACTGCCGTTGCGCGCGATTGGTCTTTACAGAAGTAGAGTTCAACAACCCTCATTGCCGACCGCTGTGGATACATCGATTAGAGTGAGACAAGACTTTTTCCAGTACACAGTGAACCTGCTGCTCGTGCCTTCCTAAGAGAGTATTGCCGGACTTGGCCACTCTGCCCGACGGTGGCGTCACAGAGCAGAGATGCTAGAGTACGCCGTCTTGAACCCGCAAGTGTTAGAGTTCGACTATGTGGCCAGATGGTACCGTGGACGCCAGGGACAATGTGTCAGAGCATGCTGCTACGGGCCACTGCACGGTTTCAAGTGGTACTAACGGACCCGGGCCGCTCATGCCCGCCATAAACTATTGTGACATATGCAGGTCATCCGCAATCGATGCTAAACCCTGGCCTAACAGCGCCAAATCTTGGGTCATTGCTCCTAAGGAGCAGATTGCCGACAACCAGTCAGATGGATCTGGGATTCGGCAGATACACAATGGAGTATGCCAGCTTCTCCTACACTACTGTACACTTGTCGAAGCCATTGGGTCGGCCCTCCGCGCCGTCAGGCGCAGTCGATAAAGGCGACGGCTCAACCAAGATGGTGGGTAATGATAGTAACGCAGTCACGTATGTTAGCACAACGGTAAGGAGTAATCGCCTTGGAGATTCAGAGACTCTTATACATATGAATACGTACAGTAAACGGTAGGACCTTGAACGAGGGATGCAGATAGTGTCTCTGCTCTCCATGATGTCGGACGGACCCTGCTAACATCTGCGGGGTTAGACGGTCCTTACAGGGGCGGGAATCGCGCAAGACATGAACGCAATCGTCTCCACATTCATTTGCGAAGCCGTTCATCGCGAGACGCCATGTATGATGATCTCCAGCCGCAGCCTCCGCAACACCGGAGCTAAAGCACATGCATGGCTTTGGATCTCTCAGGGAAATCTCGGCGTCGCGGAATAGCCCTAGTCGCACTGTCTCACTGCAAAGTCTCACTGCAAAGTCTCACTTCGTAGCCGTTCGCAACAACCCGATCCTGCCCTTCCCAGCTTATCTCGCAGCGCGAAGCGGCCAGCATGCAGCTAGGCTTGTGCCAGAAGCAAGGTGCAAGAAGCAGAATAGTTAGCAAGCGGCGTCACGAGGTCATGAATGCAGCACACATTCTTTGGAGTTTACTGGTGTCTGATTGACAGGCTTAAATTTGCTTGCGGGAATCTTTTGACGTCTTCGCTTACCCTGGCCACTCCGACAAGCCACATGCAAGTGATGTTACCAGGTAGTGGGGACAGAGCCTGCACGATGCCGTCTGCTGGGTCCGCCTCCCCTGGGCATGCGTAACAGCGCGCAGGCGATGACTTCGGCGGACGTATTTCGCTAGCCTTGAGGATACTGTGAGCGACATCGGTCGAACAGTCATGCTTCGTGATACATGTATACATCAAAGATGCGCAAAAAGTGCCCATAGAAGGGTTGGGTAAGCGGGGCGGCAGGCCATGTATTGAGCCTTCTGCAGAATGATGTCGGGACAGAATTGCCTAGCTAGCGGGCCATTCCCGACCGGTTCGATGCGGGCTCGTTATGGGGCCACTTCTCGTCCCGTGCCTGTGGAACTCAGCTTCCGGTAACGGGGAACCTTGCATCCGGGAGGACCTCAAGGTTCACGGAGGGCCCACATGCTGCACGTAAGCGAACCCCGCAATCTGCAGGTGAACGACAGGCTTGTGCTCCCGTACAGCAGCCCCATGCCGGAAGTAGGTCGTTCAGAAAGCTTGGCCATTGCGACCAGACTGTCGGAGACGGCTCTCAATCGCCGAACCATCGCCGCGCGCACTGACTGCTGTGCATAGGAACGCGCTTCCGGAAAACCTAAACGTGCCCGACCTGTGGGCTTGACAGCGCTCCCTGCATTCAAGCGGATACTCCGATGCGCACTTTCGCTGCGTGATTTGGATGCCTCGGCTTGGTTTACCTGCAATGTCCACTATTGAACGAGCTACGAATGCAGGCGGTTGTCGTTCATAACGCAGCCATCGCCCTGACCTGCCTCGATCTCGCACAGGAAGTCTAGATCTCGACCCAGCACGGTGGATCGGACTCCCAACCATACGCGCTCAACTCCTCCGAGCACCAGCGCTATCGCTTTCTGCTCGATCGAGCGGTTACAGCCGTCATTGCGTCAACTTGCCACCGAGACGATCCATTATCGATCACGGGGGCTAAGCTGGAACACAACGCACCTCTAGCACGCATAAGGCGATGTGTTAGACACACAAGGAGAAGCAGATGCCTGAGCTGGCCAAGATTCCGCAAAGCCTGCTAAAGTGGCTGCCGCCGCGTTAAGTGCGGCGACACTCTGTCAGTTTCATTGCTCTTGTCTAGGCCTGCGACATGACGATCGAGCATATCCTTTCCATCACCATATATTTGCTCTTAGACACGATAGTTGTTTAACCTCCTAGACGGTGTGATGATAGCGCACGGGGGTCGCAGTTCGCTCCGCTTGGCTAGTGCTCGCCGATTAGGACTATTCCCGTGCCTTTGCCCATGACTCGAACTATAGGAACATTGCGCGAGAGAAACTGTTCAGTGCCGGTGGTCCCCCGTTCAGCGATGCTGCTCCATTGCCCAAAGCTTGAAACAAGTCCTCGTACGATGAAGCACACGTGGCCGCAGACTGCCTATCATGACGAATTCAGCACAGGCGTTTCTGAACCTGGCTTGTAAGGGTGTCGTTTCCTTTCTAACTCTTTCTGCGTCAGTAGTGTTCGAACAGGGCGAACGGCCGAGGGTAATGCCAATGTGTTAGACCTCAACTCGACTTGAACGGCTTATATTAGTTGTCTCTGTCTGAATCGAACGCTCAGCGATGATCTGGACTGAGAACATGGTTGACGTAAGTGCACTGCGAGCGTACATTACAGTGTAACGTAGTGCTCGGCATAAAGTCTGCAGTGACACTACCAAGGGCCGCGCTGTGTCTCGGTGGAGTGTGATTGTTCGTTACTCCTACCTTCGGCTAGACCGCCCACACTCGGTATATATTTCCCGCATGTGCTTCGATTTCTGTGCGACCCCCCTTGCTCATACTCCCGTCAGCTGTGGGTATGGAAGGCCTAGAAGGCTTGAAGGGCTGTGCGGTATAGTCGTGGTAACAGAAAAACTGTTTGCGGCAGACCCACCGGTAACTTCGCAATGGAGGTAATATCCATCGCAAAGTTGACATAAACGCTTAATGAGGTCGAGGCTCTGGAGGGAAGGGCAGTCGCCTCAGAAGCTAAGTAGAGTACAAGATCGTTCAAGTGAACGGGATTTGTCGGGTAACTGGCCACAACCCTCACCATGCGTCGCCTAGGTCGCAACGTCCGTGATCCTGCTACTGGGCTGCAATGCGTGCTAAAACGCATTCCCTATCCTGCGGTGCGGCCACGAACGCTTGTATCCGTCCAGAGCATCATGGCTTGCGTGGACCTGGCTTTGGCGAGGCGAAGCGCCGCTCATGATGCAGCGATGAAAGCTGCCACCATCTGCATGGGATAGACGGAGTGAGTGAGCACGGACTCTCAAGTACCTGTGTCCATCGTATTAGCAGTACAGAGATTCCTATACTCGCAGCCGTTGGCTGGTATTCTTCGGATGCGTTCCTGCAACCTCGCATTTCCGGCCGAGACATCTCAGTTTAGACAGTCGCTAATGACGTACAGTACTTTCATGTCCGGCCGCATCGATACGGATACTGAGGGACCAGGCAAGTAACCGGTAGCCAGGCTAAAAAGCGAGCAGGTCGGAACTGGAAGTGGTAGGACACGTCGGAAAGAGTTCGTCGTTCCGGCATGCTCGAGGTCTCACGAAGCGGCCATCTTTGTTCTAGTAGCACCAAACGCAAGGTTGGAGCTTATGCCCACCACGGAACGCAGCGCCAACGTTTACACATCATCTTAGGACTACGATGAGGTGAACTCAAGCATCTTGCGTTGAGGTTCACTCCGCCGAAGTCAAATGACGTGGCCCGCTCCATGTTGTGCGAGCCGTACCTTGGGGACGATCACGATTGCCGTACCCTTGAGCTCATCTACATGAATATGTGTCAAGGTTGGTAATGTGAAACTTTGTGCTAGACTGAGTTCAACCGCACCGGCGCAGCGGAACGCCACGAGTAATGGTCCAGAACCACAGGGTTTCGCGGTCGATTTATGAGTGGTGTGAACAAGCATCCCGTCTTACACGTGGTAGCAGACGTGTCTCTACCGGCTCAGTTCAGAAACGATAGTCAATCTTTGTGACTATCCACCTGTTAGACCCTTCAACGGAGTGAACGCAGTGTCGGTCGATGAGCCAGCATCAGAGATAGACGTAAGATACGTCAGTTCTCAGGGCTTGACTCCCGCAGTTCAGTACCCTAACCCATCTTTTCTCTAGCAGCCTACAAGCAAAGGATAGAGAACATGTGAGGGTAGCGTGACAACAATACCACATTTGGTTGCCGCCCTGAGGTCGTAGCACTTATTCGCATTCCGTAGCGTTTCTCAAGCGAATACTTCTCCAGCACGTCGAACCACTTCCCCACTTCTCTAGGAGCGCCATGAAGGCGCAAGTTTCCACGTCAAGGTGCATTCGCGAAATATACTCACCCTAGGCGAGAAGTTGGCGGACCTACAACGTTGCAACAGCCGCATCACGTTAGTCATTTGTAACATCATGAGAGTACTACCCCAGACGCTCGGCACATAACTACATAAACGCGCAATGTTGTATCACAGCTGACAGCGTCTATTCACTCTATGAAGTCCGTATTTCCATATCTCAAGAGACAGACACAAGCGGCGTCTGGCAAGCTGCGTTACGGGCAGTAAACAACCTTGAAATCAGTCTTCCCTTTATAACAAACCGTATCAGCCGGACTCCCATCCCGATCCTGATCCGGATTTGTCCAGGCCTGCCCCAACGGAGCGTTCCACGGCCACGCAATCTTTTGCGCGCAGCTTCCACTCCCTTGCCCGTTCTCAATGGGCCAGACACCCATACCAATATCGGGATCACTGCCCGCCATCATGGAGATATCGTACGCAGTTCCCTCGACACCCATGTATGCAGAGTAGCCATACTCGAACAGAAGCGTTGGCGCCCATTGGTTAGTCCACTCGGCGTGGCCAGTCAAGCGCATGCCGGTGGCGTGGAAAGGCGTGGAGATTACCAGCTCGCCGCCGTGGGGTTGAATGTTGGTGGGTGGGGACATCAAGACCATCTGAAAGTCGGCGGTGACTGTGTAGGTTGAGACTTCTTTGACGAAGGGACAGTTGTTATAGACGAAGAGCTTGAAGGTCTCATCTCGCGCCCGTAAGGTGGTATTGTGAGCAATCGGAGTGGCGTTGACTACCAGAGTCAGCGCCGTAGCCGCAGAAAGGACCTGCCCGTAGGAACGCATGCTGAAAGCAGAATCAAAAGAAACGAACGAACCGTAACGACTGTGGTCAATCTGTTGATCAGGACAAGTCGTAACGCGGAAAAGCCAGACATTTTGCAAGGGGACGGAGGGTCATGGAACAAAGATACTCACTTCGACAAAGCACTTCCTGCGGCTCGACAATGCAACAGCATGACATCGTGGTGATGATTGTTCAAGGACAAAGCCACCAGATGTGGTGGGAGCCCTTCATCTCACGGGAGTCTGGACCGCGCCGAAAGAGCCAAATATGATAAGGTTGCCGCAAATTGCTGGTGAAGACTTGGAATTGCGACTCGAATACTGCTTGTCAGCCCACAATACAGCGTGAATCAAGGCGGACCCTTCCGCCACGAATCGATCAAGTTCGCAACCCTGCCGTGTCCCTTGGCACGAGCCATCTGCACTGGAGTGCCCTCGACACCATCCCAGCATGCCTTGCCTGAACAGCGCGCACCTTTCTCGAGCAGCAGCTTCGCTGCCGGAAAATGCCCGCGATTAGCCGCCATGTGCAATGGTGTCGCTCGTTCCTCAGCCTTGGCGTCCAATGGCGCCGAATGAGCCAGTAACAGTTGCAACACTTCCGTGTGTCCCTTGTGCGCAGCCCAATGAGCGGGAGTGAGACCCTGTCTTTGGGCAGCCGTTACGTCTGCGCTGTTCTGTAGGAGAACTTTTACCGAAGGTGCCGAGCCGGAAGCAGCAGCGTAGTGGAGCGGCGTATTATGATCATCGTCCAAGCTGCCAACTTGCGCTCCGTATTCGAGTATCAATCGGCACATCGCGCTTTGGCCCGTGACGGCCGCTTGGTGTAATGGTAGAAGACCGTTACCTGACGCTGAACGCAGGCTTACCCTTGCACCGTGCTTCAAGAGTAAGCGAACGGCATCGATGTGATAGGCGCTGATAGCGCACCATAGGGCGCTGTACCCGTCCCTGCCGCTTAGGGAATCAATGTCTGCTCCCTGATTCAGTAGGACCTCCAACGCCTCGCAATGGCCTGCCCAAGCTGCAAGGTGGAGAGGCGTGTCGCCTTTGGCATCTTCAGCCGCTATACATGCACCATGCTGCAGGAGCACGTTCAAGCATGCGACACGGTTGAGATGGGCTCCCTGATGAAGTGCTGTACGCTGTAGCTCACCGATGGGCTCGTCCGCGGATGCTCCATGCTCAATCAGATCGCGGACCAGATCTGCTTCATCGTTCGTTACCGCATTGTACAACGCATCCGTGTCGTAGACTTCGTCTTCCGCTTCCGCTTGCGTCTCTGGTGGTGATGCCTTGGATTGCTTCGAGTCTGCCTTCTCCGCTGTAATGATCACGGCAGAGCTCGTTGGAGGACTATACTCCGGCGGCGGTTCAATCCAAGCTCTGGCGTCGACACCCGGTGTTAGGCCGGTGCATGGTGTAAAGGGCGAGAGAAGCGTCGGTGCCGCCTTCAACGATGCAGCCAAGTTTGACTCGATAGGAGGAGTCGGTGGCATATGCTTTGTGCCAAGTACATGGAGGAAGAAGTCCATAGCTGATCTTTGATCCCGCAGCTGCGCAACGAGGTCAATGTAGTGGGTTTCGGAGCTGGAACCTGAGCGCACGTTGTTCTCGACTGCACCCAAAATGGATTCGAGGCAGCGTGCAGCTGCTGAGAAACATGCAGCAGAGCTTGAGCTGCCAGAGATGTTTCCGGGACCGAATCCAAGGCTTGTCTGCAGCCGGCATAGCACCGTAGTCAGAAGAGCCACTTCACTTAAGAGTGCCGTAGAAGCAGCTGCCAGTTGCGGATCGCAGCGGATGAGCTCGAGCAGTCGCGCACATTGGGCGAGCAAGCCATCAATCACACCCGAGTCTTGACGTTCGTTATTACGGACGGGCATTGTGGAGTCATCGTGTGCGTACAAGGAGTCGACTGCAAGGCGACGGCTGGGTCGCGGTCGATAGCCGCTCGAAGCAAGCTTTGAAGACTGTCGTGCAGCAGTGCTCTGGCTCCTCCAGATGCTCGATACTGCTAGGATGGAGAAAGCGGTGCAAGCGACTGCGAAACACGTGGTTGGCGAGAAGAACGTCGTACGGTCCATATCCTACGCTTTTGCTTGCTCGTTCCTTTGTTGTGCCTCCCCGTGGTATATATAGTATGCTGAGCGAAGTGGTGTGCTCGCGGCTGTTGATCGTCTTTATTGACGCCATGGTAGACCGGGACGACAGCCCTACCCGCTCGTCCCGTCCGGAATCCCCATCGGCCTCTACTTCCTTTCCTTCACCAACTCATTGCAAAGCGCAACATACACGTCTACAAACACCTTCGTTTCGAGCTTTTCGTTCACGCTAGTGATCATCCACTCCATAAATTGTCGGTCTTTATCCGGGTTTGCGCCCTCTAGCACCGTCTTCGCCGCCTGCTTGCTGCGCTCTTCTCGCATCTTCTCATCAACAGTCTCCTTTGGTCTCAGCCTCTCGAAAACACTCACGCCCGTTGCCTTTCGTACCGTGTCTCTCGCTGTCACAAGCTCGTCTGCCAGGAAGCCGGCAAAGACGGTGTGAATCTGACAGCACGTTGCCTTCTCGGGCACAAAGTTAACAATGCGCCTCCCGTCCGGCGTTTTGTACTTAGCAGTGGCAGCGTTGATGGCATCAACAATCTCAATCATTTTTTGCCGCTTCCCTGAAAACGTGCCGATGTTCTCATTATATCCTCGCTCGCAGTCCGTGACATTGAAGGCGAGCGAGTAGCAATTACCGCCGGCCCTTCGTTGCCACACTTTCGCTTCGTCGATCATTGACTCATCATCGCTCACGAGCATGGCTCCCGTGATGCCTCGAAGCGCTTTGTAGAAGCTGACATACACGGTGTCGAAGAGGGATACGACATCGATGAACGACTTGCCGGCTGTGGCGTTATAGTAAGGTTCAATCTCCCATAAACGAGCCCCATCCATGTGCAGAGCTACGCCTGCTTCTTTGCAGAAGTGCGAGATCCGCGCTAGCTGTTCGAAAGTGTAGGTCTTACAGCCCAACACTCTGTTCGGGACTTCGATCACAACTACAGCAGGGCGCTCGGTCTCGGGGAGCTCGAGGACCTTCTTGATCTCATCAAGTGTCGGCAGAGCCTCTGGGTCTGATCCGAGTAGGACTCTTCGTAGACTGTATAGTGCCTCAAAGCTACGCTCCTCGGCGGACTCCAGGTGCGACGAGATATGCCATGCTGCGATCTGTCGGCCCGCGCGATCACAGTAAATCTTCAAGGCGGCCAACTGAGCTTGGACACCAGTGACGAAAAAGAGAGCGTGCTTCTTGCCGAGGAAGTTCGCGATGTGATGTTCGAAATGTTGCTTGTGTGCGCCGGTGCCGTAGCGATCCATGTCGACAGTCTTGGGGAGAGATAGCATGGTCTTGCGGACCTCGAAGATTCCTGAGCCGAGAGCTTCTCGAAGGTACTCTGTGGGATCCGCTGCATAACGAGCTGTGCGTGCGAAAGCATCCGTGGCCGAGATGGGTTCGGAAAAGAGACATAGTTGTATTGGTTCGGACTTGATGTTGGCCTGCTCATCCACCTTGTCACAGTCAGCGGTGGGGATCGCGGTTTCTGTGCTTGTGTTTGCCATGGTAGTTGCGGATCAAATCAGTCTGATGTGGTTCTGTGCAACAGAACGGCTGGGAAAGGTAAGGAAAAAGTAAGCGAGCGAGAAGATGGTGCCTTTCTGTCACCTTTGATGACCTGCCTGTTTGGGTAGATGCAGATCCACATTCGGCGTCTCAAGTCATGGCTGGATACCTTGACCGTGCTTAAGCGTAGCGACCACCTGGCACGTCTACATGCATCCACGCTTGTTGCAGCTATTCGTGACTGCTGGTTTCGGACTTACTATGATCAAATCCGTGATGAAACTGCAAAGCACGGGCAGATTCCGGGAGACAAATGGGCGTTTGTGAGAAAAAGGAAATCGAGCGATCGATGATTCTCTTTGTCTGCTCTACACGTATGCTTGCGTCACATTTGACAGAGTTGCAGCTACAGCGTCTCTTCGAGCATACGACCTTCCCTTCGCCGACTTACACTCCGGCTGTCGCCCCTCCAAATTACACGGACTTCCACCCAACTTAGAGTTCAAGGCGCAAACCCATCGCTTCGTAACCATCTAGCATTCGTCTCCTCCATGTCCTGCCAACAGTCCCTGGTAAGCCAGACTACGCCGTTGCCATCGTACACTTTCCACCTACGCCGCTCCGCTCTGAGTTCGATTCGGGACGTACGGGAACACTGATCTGCCATGTGGAACTTTCCATGTCAAGATATTGGAACTTGCCTGGGCCTTCGTCGGGCCAGACTTGCCATGTGGAAATAGAATTGAGCGGGCTAGTCCGGTTGAAACCCATCCTGCGTGATCCGGGTCCGATTACCCACCGACTCGTCCTATCAAGTTCGTGCGTGGTGCTGCTTGAAGGCAGAAAAGTGAGTATTGACGTGCTAGCCTTGTAGGAATGGCGTCTTGATCATGTTACCAGGGTAGCACGAGGGAACGATCGCAGTGCTGCCCCGAGCCTTGACGGAGTGCAAAGGCTGCGGCGGCGGAGTTCGCATTGCTCTGATCGGCGCTTTCCCATTCATGCCACTAGCCTATCCGAGAAATAGGCGGTTGGGCGACGAGTATGCGTTGCCAGCAAGTTTTCCCGCGAGCAGAAGCTTGGCGGCCGCCAGAAGACTTGTGTGCCATCACGTGCCCAGGAGAGACTAAAAGATGGAAGTACGAGTTGGTGCTGGCTCAGACGGCATTCCCAGACCGTATGACAGGGACAGAAGCTTACATATCATAGAATAAACGTAAGGTGGGTGGCTAGAACCGGATACAGTTCGATTGTGGACATTCCTGACTAAGGGAGTTAAAGGTCGTTTGACAAGGGGACTACTGGACGTCTCCATCCTGCGAGCCTTTCCACGTTACTTGGCAGGATGAAGAGGTCTTATTGTACGGCCGGAGTTTACTGGATGACCGTCTGCCACAACCAAGGTACTTTCTAGCAAAGTGACAGGGACGGGACAGTTTGCTTGGTGGAAGTAAGAGGAGACGAGGTCGTCGATGGAGGGGGATGGATCGGAGGAGCATGGATCGGAGGGGTGTGAATCGGAGGCGGGGATGGATTCGTTTCGATCACCTGTGGCATTGCGTTACGATAGTTAGAGTATGAAGAAGCGGCCATTGTCTGGGCTGGTGATGCTAGAGGACTGGACTAACAGAAGGTGGTGGGTGCATTATGCTGGCCCTGGCCGAGACCATTTCAGCGCCGAAGGTCACTGTCGATCGAAGATAATGGTGACAATGCACAGCATGTCATGGAGGAGTGGCTAGAATGTAAGTTATGATATCCGAATTTCGTATCGCGGAAGCTCCAGCAGCCGAGATGGCAGATGCACTACATGTACTTAGGCATAGCAGCGCCTTGATGGTTTACCGTTCTCGTGCGTGTGGAAAGTATTCGAGCCAACAGTGTCGTGCTCAAGAAGATTACTGGATGAGACCGAGCCATGGGTTGATGGAAGTGGAATGGAGTGGTGGGGCTGTCGGAGATCGGGGGCGGAGCGGAGCGCAACTGGAGGATTGCTGAAAGCTCGCACGTCATCTGTGTGAACATACTGATGCCGCAGCATACTGGCGGCAGTGCAAACAATGTGCGCCGATTTAAATCAACTCGCAGAAAGAGTCGTTGCCTGATTAGAGGGATGCGACAAGAGTGGAGGGCATCACTACTGCGCAAAGCGAAAGCGAAACGAGCCCCACATGATGAATCAGTCACTGCCTTCAATGCCTCCGGCACGCCAGACTACTCCTCCGCTTGGCGCACTACCACGAACGAACACAACGGGCGCAATGGCAGCTCACAGCTCGTACGGCATCTATGACGCCAACGGTCACCTCAGCCTGCCAGATGCACCGCTGCAAGGCGCACACTGGTTCCCTGGCGGTGATGGCGTTTACGGCATGGACGATGACATGGATGCGCAAGCTGACGGTGCGGATGATGGCGGGCAGGACGATGGCGATAGCCGCGACCCGAAACGGCGGCGCATTGCCCGAGCTTGCGACATGTGTCGCAAGAAAAAGATTAAGTGCGACGGCAAGATGCCCAAATGCAGCCATTGCCTGAACTACAAGACCGAGTGCATTTTTACGCAGGTGGAGAAGAAGCGGGCGCCGCCGAAGGGTGCGAAATATATTGAGGGATTGGAGAATCGATTGGGCCGAATGGAGAACCTGCTGCGATTGAGCGGACTTCTGGCGGAGAACGATGGCGGACGCACCGATCTTGGTACGCTGGAGAAGCGACTAGCGGAGCGGCAGGCGACGAGCGGTGCAGGTAGTCCAGTCGCGCAGCCTCCGCATAGGCCGAGCGCGCAACGGGAACTTGCCACGCCAGCGGCGAATAGTACTCCGCAGGACCAGCAGACTAGCCCGGCAGCAAACGCAGATGCAACAGCGACCGTGTCACCGCCCACCGACACCTCGAGTACGCAAGCGGATGCTGCCGCTGCTCAACGTAAGCGAGAAGCGGACAATCTCGCCGAGCAGATGTGCTCTCTTATCACGAACAATTGCGGTGAGACGAGGTACATCGGCTCGTCTTCTGGCTTCTCCATCTTCTCGCCCAAGGGCATCCAATGGGTCAATGAGAAGACCGGAGACGCCTCATTCCAGCGCATGATCGCCGCCGCAAGCTCCGACGAGAAAGCTGGCAGCTTCGACAACTGGAAACCAGAAGTATTTAACGATCTGTTCGAGCGGCGCTTATTCAAGCCTTTGCCTAGCCGACAGGAATGCTATGCGCTGCTGAAGGACTACTTCGAGCACTTTAACCAGATGTTCCCCCTTTTCCACGAGCCGACTTTCATGCATCTTGTGGATAAGCATTACAGTCTTGAGCCATACGAGGGATCAGGATGGTGGGCGAGTCTGAATGTTGCGCTCGCCATCGCTCACCGTTTGCGCGTAATGAGTAATGTTGTTGGCCAGGAAGAGGACGACCATGCCTGGGGCTACCTCAAAAACGCAATGGCCGTCCTAGCCGAACTGACCATGCGCAATACCGACCTCCTCTCCGTCCAAGCGCTGCTGGGGATGGCGCTCTTCCTTCAAGGAACGCCTAACCCGCAGCCCAGCTTCTTTCTGGTTGCCGCCGCAATACGTCTGGCACATAGTATTGGCCTGCACAAGCGCGGCAGTGGCTTCAACCTCAATGAGGTGGAGAACGAGCAGCGGAAGCGTGTGTTCTGGATCGCATATCTACTCGACAAAGATATCTGTCTCCGCTCCGGCCGACCCCCGAGCCAGGACGACGATGACATGAACGTCGAGCTGCCGTCGGAGGATCCTCCGGATAACGTTGGCAACGTGCCGTTGGTGAAGGAGGACAAGGATACAGGGAGGAAGACGATGAATTTATTCCGCCTCAATTGCTCCTTCGCGCAGATTCAAAGTCGAGTGTACAAGTCACTGTACTCAGTCAGGGCGAGTAGGCAGAGCGATGGCGAGCTCCTCAACACCATTGGCGTTCTCGACGCAGAATTGGAAGCTTGGAAGGACTCGATACCTATCGACTTCAGGCCTGAGCATCCGATCAATGCAACGCATACACCGCTGATACTGCATGTTGTCGTGCTGCATTTTGCGTACTACAATTGCCTGACGACGATACATCGCATGAGCGTGCATCACGGTTACTGGACCAGCAGGCTGAGCGACTACGCGTTGCAAGGGCTCAATGCGCGACCGCTGAACCCAAGAGTGTTCATGAGTGCGGCTTTGTGCGTCAACGCCGCACGAACGAGCATTGGATTGATCCGGTATATACCGCAGGGCGACTATGCCTGCGTGTGGTACGTCTACTCTCTCCAATCTTGCGCGGTGAATGACATACTGATTCGTTCTCTGCCAGGCTCATCCTCTACTACCCCGTCTCTGCCCTTGTGACACTCTTCGCCAATATCTTGCAGAACCCGCAAGACGCCCGTGCGCGAACAGACCTTCGTCTTATGTCCTCCGTCGTCTCCTTCTTGACCATGCTCGAGCGCGACGTGAACGAAGCTCATGGCACCAGCAACGTTCGCCGTATGCTCTCCGTGTGTGCGGAATTCGAGCGCATTGCGCGCGTTGTGCTCGACAAAGCGGAGCGCGAGTTGCGAAATGGTCGAGGAAAGCGGAAAGCCGCGCCCGGTGCGACGGAGAGGGAGCGTGCCAAGGCGGCTAAGGAGCAAGGCGAGGTCCAGAAGATGATTGCGGAAGGATTGGACGAAGGAAAGTCGTTGGAGCAGATGCAGGTCGAGGCTCAGCAGCATTATAGGAGGCCCATCCAGACGCCAAGTCTGAAAGCGGCATCGCATGCAGGGAGTGCGCAGAATAGTCAAGGTACTAGCCCTGCAAGCTGGGCGGCCAGTCCGCAGCCTGGCGGGGTGGGACCGGAGTACAGGAGTCCGATGACGGGCCAACAGCGCTCAATTATGCAGCAGACGGCGGGATTGCAACGATGGAATGCGAGCGCGGGCCAGCCCTTCCTCATGCCCAATGGCGGGCATATCGACTCTGGCAATGGCAACCAGAGCACACCGCGTTCTCAACAACAGCAATTACAACTCCCTCCCGCTAACTTCTCCCAACCACAAGCAGGTCTTACGGATGGCTACGGCAACTCCGCCGCTTCCGGCCTCACGCCACCGTCTCACGCGACGCCCAATGCGCTCGCGGATCCGCTGTTGAGCGGCGACATGGCCAATCTCAATGGTTTCGACAGCAGTACCGCGGGGCTTATGGGAGGAGGCGGCATGGGAGGTATGATGGGCGGCGCTGCGTTTCAGCAGCCGTTTGTGCCGCAGGATTTGTGGCAGATGCCCATGACGCTGGAGTGGGACTGGGCTGAGGGTTTTGGGCTCGGAAGCTTCACGCCCGGGCCAATGTTCGATGGCGACTATATGGGCAGCTTAGGGAATACGCCTGGCACGGGTGGGCTTGGGCAGCTGGACGGGAATTCGGGCATGGGCGGAGGTGAAGGTGGCGCGTAATGTAACACTTCGCGGGCCGGTGTCGTGATGCTATGTGGTGTTCTAAGAGTTATGTGATAGTTTGGTTTGCATATCTGGCGAGGCGCTGGGCGGACAACCGATACGTGTGGCAGACGGCAGCATAATTCATCCGCTTTCCTGCGAACATCCGTGACCATAAAGGAATTCACAAGCTTCGCAAGCATCAGAGCCTCCGGTTGAGGCGTACAGAAATTGTGGGCGGATGCAATGCAAGAGACCATTGAGTCATCGTGCAGCCAGCCAGGCCATCTAGTACACCGTGACGGTGACCACGGCAATCGCGATGTCCGCGAGAGGCACTGCCGAGCTGGTGATAGGCGTTTGCGCGCTGAATGAGCTGTTCGACAGAAACGCCAGAGGCGCCAAGGCTGGAAACGTGCTGTTCGCGACGAAGCCGGGGAACGTAGAAGAGGCTGATCGATCTATAGAGTCGGATGTTTCCAGTACGGCAATAGTCGCTGGAGCCACGGACGATGAAGTGTCTCTGTCGGCTGTGATTGACCGGACCGATACTTAGGATTCTCCCTCCGCTCGGCTCGATAGGCTTGTTGCAAGGAGGCGGCTGTTTTCGGTTGGCGGCTATACAGCGTTTGTTGCGGACGCAATTGCTGGCAGTATCGTACTCACGTTGGCGCTCTTCGGGGGCACCAAGATCGAGGAATCTGAGAAGGCCGATATGGTCACGGAAAGTGCTCTGACTTAAGGGGTTGGTTCAACTACAGTGGCTGGGTTGGCAGAAGTGACATGGGGTGTTGAGATGGCATCAAAGCTTGTAGTGTTTGCGGAGACCGACGTGCTCAAGGCGGTTGAGCTGATAGACGAGCTTCCCAGAAGTAGAGAGGTCTTGGTGTTCGAACAACTAGCGCCGATCACCAAAGTGGGACTGACCGCCGAAGTTGAGCTCCTTGAGGGAGGTGATGCGTTTGACGAGAGTGGTGGCACGATGGCGAACGTTGTACTCGATGTTGCGCTGCAAATCGGGCTCTGTATTGAATTGACATCTAGTCTAGCGGTGTCGAGGCCTGTCGGATTGAATGACGGGCATTCATCTCTGACCGGAGTCCCTCGAGCGGCAATAGTGTTTTAAGGTTGACAAGACATTGTCAGAACCGCGGGCTGCCAAAGCAAGGTTCGTGAAAACGTCGAAGCCAGCGGCCACCTCACATCGTATCAGCGATTGTCTTTAGCTTAGCTGGAACGGACCAGCGCATACATTAGTTGTTGTGCTAATGGTCTATGGTACCCTGCTGCATCCAGACGTGACATCGCATCCTGCTCGTGGCAAATGGCGGAGGCCTTGCCGGCTCGCATCAGGCTAACTGCGTTAAGCGGTCGTATTGACATTTCTGATGCAATGCCAGAGCTAGAATCGTTGGATCCGTAACGCTCTGGGCCGACCAGATGGTATCACCCAGACGCAACAGAGAATTGTAGAGACTGAGATGAAATGCATCGTACGTGCATGCTCAGGAACAGAAGGCTAGCTGAAGCCCACTTGTTCACGACCATGATCGCATCAGGTACATCTGTCTGATAATTGACGGTCACTGCGTATAGGAATGTTTGGTTTTTTGTAATATAGTCTGCTAGACAATGTTGGCCGAGTTTGGCGACAAGCGGGTACTGACGCGAGCTAAGGGCGCAATTGTATGACGTTCCGGACGGTGTGCTACAGGCAGTCACGGGATTTTGGCTCTGTATGTAATTTGGTGGCTGATCAGCTAGGTTTCAATGCTTGAATGGAGACGGATTGATGTTGTGGTTCGACGAAGGGCGTAAGGCAGTCAGGTGAGCACGTGAGGTCAGACCGTTAGAGTAGTTCATCATCAATTCAAGCGAAAAGGCCAGATGGCCCAAGCGCGCGGCTCAATGACGGCTCGGCTCAAGGCATGCCGACGGGGCTACATTTCAAGTGGTGAGGAAACCTTCACATGCTTGTGATTGTCCAACCCGGTTTCAATACATCGCCGAGGACGCAGCGCCGGCAGTTCTTAGCCCAGACCAGGCATAGCAGAAAGTACCTTCTAGCAGAAAGTGCTTGAGCTCTAGTAGTTAGGCGGTTTCCTGCGCGGCAGTCCGTTACCGGTACCTAGCACGCGATCGCCGTAGGTCCACGAGTGGGTGGGATAGTGTGACGGTTTTGCGCGCCGGTCACTTCATCCGACGTGTGGGCAACCTGGAGGCAAGACCGCGTTCCCGTTCCCTTCCCCCAAGGCGCCCGTGGCGGTTCAAACCGACAAGACGTAAATCGCAACAGCCAACGGCCGCCGAGATGGAGACCGTCAAGGACCATTTCCAACACTTCTCCAACCAGTTGGCAGGGTATATGCCCAACTTTAACAACAAGCAATTGCAGAAGTTTTACGCTCAGATCCAAGAATTCCTGCCAGAAATTGACCTCAATCAAGCTCATCATCGCAGGATCAGTGAGGAAGTAGGCAAGCAAATGACCGCCGAAGAGGTTCAGCAGCATCCGGAGTACCCATATGTCAATTGGGATTTGAAGGCTGATCGGGCTGAGCGGATCGACATCGCACATGGCCGAGGCGGGCCCTTCAAGCTCAGCTATGAGCTCCACGGGCATGGTCCACGGCACATTGTTGTAAGTTTAGGTTGAAACCTCTGCCTGCGTTTAACACGTCTGATGTAACCTCCTAGTGGATCATGGGTCTCGGAGGCTACATGAAGACGTGGCAGCGGCAGACCAAGGATTTTGGCCACTTACAAGGGGACAAGTACAGCAGCTTAGTCTTTGACAACCGTGGCATCGGTGATAGCGACAAGCCCATACTAAGATACACTACGTACGAGATGGCCAAAGATGTCGTTGAGCTACTCGACCACCTAGGCTGGACGGAGCCTCGGAGCGTGCACATAGTGGGCATTAGCATGGGCGGCATGATAGCGCAGGAACTTGTAAGGTTCTTCTCTCCACATTGAGTGGACGTACCCTAACCTTGCTGCAGGCTCTCCAGATACCGTCTCGCACTTGCAGCGTCAACTTTATCTCCACTGCGCCTCGGATTATACGCACCCTGCCTTACATGGAGAACATCAAGAATCGTATCAACCTAATGTATCCCAAAACCCTCGACGCTCAGCTTGCCAAGATCAAGGCCGACTGTTACTCTGCCGAATGGCTTAAGAAGCCGGACGAGACCGAGTACGTTATGGAGCCCTTTCCGACGAACGGCGATCGTTTCGCCGCTGGTGAGGTCGCAAAGCGTATGGCACCCGGAGTGTTTACGCGACACGGTTTTCTATGTCAGCTGTATGCGGCTGGCTTCCATCACAAGTCTGCCGAGCAGCTTAAACAACTCGCAGACGCTGTCGGTCGAAACAGAATCATGGTGTTCCACGGCACTGGTGACCATATGATCGACTTTATGCATGGTGAGCTGTTGCTTGCAGAGCTTGGTGGCGAAGAAGGCGGTGTAACGAAGAGCTTTCATGAAGGTCTGGGGCATGTGCCACTTTTTGAGATCCGGCATGAATTCAACCGCATCATTGCGGAGAGGGTTGAGAAGACGTATGAAATGGCGAAGAGCTGAAGGCGTCTCTCGAAATCACGGCCGGGATGACATTTGAGACACACTGTTCGCATGATACCCCTCGAAGTCTAATCGCGTTCACAATCCCTATCACATCTCTTCCCGCATTCGGCGGGCTCGCTCGAGCTGGAAATTAAGTTCGCGTTGGGAAGTATGCGAGTCTGCCCCCCGAGACACATCATGCACTCTGACCAAGTCCCTCTCATCAACAGCTTTCAACACTGATCCTCCCCTCTCCGGCCTCATAACGAGGACCTTGAGAACCACCGGGCGTAGGTCAGTGGACTCCACTAAGTCATAAAGGTATGACATCACCCTCCAAACTGAACGCATATCCGCGGCTCGCTCGAGCGAAGCAAAATCGTCGACTAGGCAATATATGACACTAGCGTTCCTAGAGCCACCTTTGGCCAGCGGCAGGCATAGATGCTTGAAGAAGCTGTTGAGGTAGCCTATGTCCTTCGTACCGAGCTTCGCGTGGTGATCGTGCAGGGCCAGTTTGCTCGACCACGCCCGCAGATCGTAGGGATGATTTCGGAGTAACTGCAGGCTCAGACTTCCCATAAGAGCTGCCGCTACATCAGGAGTCTGTGGGTTTGCAAGTCCGCAAAAGTATGCAATCGCGGTTGACTGCTGGGAAACCGCCCTACAGAGCGTCGCCATCGCTGCAACGAAGCCTGTGCTGGCGGAGCGCTCAACGGAGCCATCTACAGAAATGAAGAGCATCTCGGAGTCTACCGATGTGAACCATCTCTGGAAGTTGCGGTTCGAAGCGACAGCGACAGTCAACGCTTGGTCGCCAGAGAGCTTCATCTGGCGCTCTAGATCGGCTTCAGATGTACCACCGCAGTCCCATAGCAAGTCACTGACTTCAGCAACGTCGAGGACGGGTGGTGGCGTGCGGGACCTTAGTAACTCGTCTCTTCGGTCAAGTTGCGCTCGCAAATCTGCGTAGAATGCGTAAGTCAATATAGTGCAGGTTCGTGGACGGCAACTTACATATCGCCTCCCTCTCAGCAGCCTCTCGTGCTTGCTTCTCCTTCCTTTTCTCATCCCGGAGGGACGCGAAAACATGGTCGCGCTGATTTTCCTGGGTTGAGAGATGCTGAACAAGGGTTTTAATCGTGTTGGAGAACGCTTCGTTGGCCTGGTTGAGTGAGTTGAATCTGCCTTCATTGGCCTGGTCGTGGGCTTGCATACGTCCCACAATGCCCGACAATTGAACCGAGAGATTGTCCTCCCGACCGAGCTGCTCCCGGTGTCGCTCTTCGGCGCGGACTTCGCGTTGCTGTGCCCTGGCACTCTCTTTGCGCATTTCTTCTACAACATGACGGTTGAGGACCTCCAAGATCTCGACCGTCTTCTCTTTGTCGCAATGGTCCGCGGTAAGCCGCAGGTTCTCCGCGCAAGAATCAACTACACCGACAGCTTCTTCGATCTTTTGACCATAGAGGCCTTGAATGCCAAGAGCTTTCAAACGATCCCCTGTATACTTATTTAGCCAGGTGAGTACCTATCCCGAAGCCATGTAACGCACAGATGTCATGGTCAAACCACTTAACGGTCAAGACGATTGCTCGAAGTAAAGCAGTATATAGTTGATCGACACGGTCTCCAAGCCTGATATCGCTGGGATACAGCCGAATGAACACTTCTGCCTGCTCCAACAACCATGGGGCCTCTCCTAAGGCGTCAAGGACCTTGCGCCGAATCTCCGCCATGCGGACGAATGCTCGAAACAGGAGTTTAACGCTCAAGAGCTAATCAGCATGCTTCTTACATGATCCCAACGATAACCACGTACCCACCGCAGACGATCGACGTGTATTCTCCAGACGGTAACATACCAAGAACGGGTTCTACGGCATCATTGATATCACCTAATCCTCTGCCCACCCTCTTGAACAGACCTTTGATACCCTTCGCACGATCTTTGTATCGTTCAGCGGATTGGTTCGCGATCGTCAGTACTTCCTGCCAATTGTGTCGCTTTCGGAGGTCGAAGTCACCGGGTTTGTAATCTGTCATTTTCTCGAGCTCCGCCATAACTCGAAGAAAGATTTCTTCTTGCTTCTTGGCGGCGTCCTTGATTCTTCGATCGCCATTGGGAATGAGTGAATCTGACAATGGATCGTAAGATGCATTCCTGGCATCCCAGCCAGGGTGGAAGCGGGCACCCTGGCCTTGCACGAAGGCGCGAGCGTTCGGGGTGCTCGTGGACGCCATGCTCGACATATCACAGCTGCGGCTGACTCATGCGACGCGTGTTTGACGTGGCCACAACCATCCAGACGTCTGTGACGATTATAGCGGACTTCTTGACGTAGTACGCCAGACTACCCGTTCAAATAGTGTCGCCATGCAGGACCCTGTCCGCGCCTGACGCAAACGGCGTAAGTAAGTGGTCTCCGCCACGCGAGGTAGTGTGTATCTTTACACCCACACTTCGTCCTGGCTTTTGCAGTGGCACTGATCTTCAAATCGGTCGCACCACAATTTGACCGTTCAACTCGAGCAGTCCTCGTCTGCTTTTGACGTGTTCGTCGAGGGAAGCATCCGTCCCGCTCAGTGGGGGCCAAAGGGGCCGAAACAGCCATCTGCGTCGCCTTGCAGAAGGATCAGAATACCAATCAGTCCAGGATCTGATGCGTGGCTGCAGCTAGCGTCTCACTGAGCCATGCTTTCGTAACCCGGTCGACTATGCATGTGTACGTAAGTCTCCGGCAGGGAGTATCGACTCTGCTTTTCATTTTGTCTACTGCAGCGTTGTTACTGCGAGGCCGTGCCCTCTCATATGATCTCAACGACTTTTGGCGATGCATGAGAAGTTCGATAAAGCTTTATAGGACTCGTTTTCAACAGCCAGAGACGCTTCTAATGATGGCTCTTCGTGCAGAGAATAAAGTCAACGCTGTGACCCAATACGATGGGAGCGCAGCCATTGGGTCAACGGCAGATACGACATTGGAAGAGCGACTGGCACACCTTGAAGACTTCCTGAAATCCGCGGGTAACGACGATGACAGACCCGAGCCAAGGTCAAGGTCGTCAAGTCGCGCAAGCGATGATTATGCGTACGGCCACCCCGGACCGTACAGACGGGCGCAAGGCAGGCGCACCTATAGTGATTTCGGGGCTCGCCGGGAAGACAGAGAGACCGAGCAGAGAACTGCTCTCAAGTTCAAGAGGTCAATTTCGACCGTCGACTACCTTACCTTGGACGACTTCACGCGCCGGAAGTTTTCTCACAAGCAACCACACTATGCAGTTGACGCTGTCGTGGCTGAAGGCTGGTCGGACAAGCTTAGTATATACATTATTCCTGATGTCGTGTTCGTCGACCTAACTCTGCGCCAGGTTTTGATGTCAGGCGACGGACAGAGGCCGTCCGATTTGTCCAGATCAATTCACCGACTCTCGTGAAATTACTGCAGGAGGTCCTCGGCTCCCCACCGTCTCCCTTTAGTCGACCACATGTTATGCTGGCCCCGTTCAAACAACTCATATACCATGAGAAAGATCTGTTAGACCTTCTGTCTACGCTCGAGCGTGAGCATGCAACGACCGGTGAAGCTACAGAGCCATCCGCGCAGGGCGAGGGGGTATCAATCGAGAGCGTCCCAGAGCTGACTGCCGAAGACCTAAACCCTGGAAGCTGCAAGGCAATGCAAGATCTGCGGTGTCTAATGGGCTTCTATAGCAGCTGGATCCAACCGCGGTGGCAGTACCTTCGCAGCCCTAAAGTATGCGAGGTTGCTTTCATCGATCTGGGTCTGCTCTTTCAACCAGGCGATGTGATTTACATTCCGCGGCAGCCTCAAAAAGTGTACCGTGTATTCAAAGTCACTAACGGCAGGCCGAAGCTAAGACAGTTGCTCAGTGATGGCTACGATGGAGGGATAAGTAAGCTAGGAGAAGGCGACGAAGGAAGTACTGCAGGCACGGCAAATCCGGTGGAGTGGTCCGACCTGGAACTGGACTGCTACTTCCTTGACTACGACGGCCGCGATGTCGGTCCAGTTCACTTTACATGGGCCGCAAAGGCGTGGTCTGGGTTCCAGGCTGTGGAGAAGCTGAAGGCTCTCCCATTCCGGCTCGTGGTGGATGCTGCGATCAGCCAGTGCCGTGCTATGGACAGCGGCAAGATGTTTCTCAACGCCTGCAAAAATAAGATTTTCTACTATGAAGGCTTGTCGAAGCCTGAGCGCGGAGGCAAGGCTTCCTCTCACGGCGGCTATGACCGTTACGACGATCGAAGGGGTAGAAGCTACATTCCAATCAGGCCTGCTGATCCGGAAGATGTGGCCTCTCAGGTCGTCATTGATTTCGAAAGATGCTTTCAAGTGAGTCTTTCCATACCCCTGACCGGCCAATTCCGCCCAGATGCGCATCAGCGTGTCTGTAAGCTCCAGCTTGTCTACTATTGCGTGAATTTGTGCATTCTCTCACGCGCTGTACAAACAGCTAACCTCGAGCAGACGAACGAGGAATGGGAACCGAACTTCACCATGGATGCTTTGGCAGAACACGATGACACGATTGACGACCTTGACCAGACGCCAAGGACCTACTCTAAGAGCTCCCTAGCACTGTTCGCCTCCGACGAGCCTGATAAGCGGCAACACGAGCTCTACAAAAGCCGTGATAGCTGGCTTCAGAGCCCAGCGAAGCTTTCGTTGGCCGAGTTTAGCGAACAATGCGAGGACGACCTGCTGTTACTTCCGGAGATTGTAGTGGGCTACGTTTTACGATCAAGATCTTGGGTGTACCTAGACTTGGGTCAGGGCTCGTGGAGGCAGGTCAGGCCCGATCGGCAGGGTTGGGATGACCTGAAGTTGCCTAAAGAAGATGAGAAGTTCAGCTACAAGCGGTTAGTGGAAGCACTCGTTGAGCGGCATTTCAGCATGCAGAAGTTGTTCGCGCAAAGGGCTGACATGGGCCGGGCATTTGACTTCGTCGAGGGCAAGGGTCGCGGCCTGATCCTGCTCCTACATGGCCCACCCGGTGTCGGGAAGACGTCAACTGCAGAGGCTATCGCAGACAAGTACGGGAAGGCGCTACTACCCATCACGTGCGGGGGCTTGGGTACGTTATCGACTGTTCGGATGGATTTCACAAGGGTGTACTGACGAAGGCGCTTGGCAGGACTGGCTCCTGAAAAAGTCGAGAGCTCATTAACGCGCATGTTCCAGCTCGCACAAGCGTGGAACTGCATAGTGCTACTTGATGAGGCGGATGTATTCCTTTCGCAGCGTGAAAGAGGAGATCTCAAACGCAACGCCCTTGTGTCAGTGTTCTTAAGGTCAGTGAAATGATGTGTCATCGAAGCCGAACCGTCAGAGACCCTGCTGACTTCTTGGGTGATCGGTATCAGAACCCTAGAGTACTATACCGGCATACTTTTCGTGACCACTAACCGAATTGGGACTTTGGACGAAGCCCTGCGCTCCAGAATTCATCTTGCTCTGTACTGTAAGCTGGCTGATGTCACCGAACCCTCGAGCTTGTTTGAGACACTGCTGACATCCTTGCCCATTGATGTCAGACCCAGTTCTGGACAAAGTACAGACCGAGGCCATCTGGAAGACGAACCTTGGTCGCTGGCAGCGGCATAAGGAATTGCAGCTGGAGAACCAAGGAGCAGACATCATTGCTTTCGGCGTGTCGCTGTGGGACTATTACATAAAACGGAAACGGGTTCCGTGGAACGGCCGACAGATACGCAACGCTTTCCAGACCGCCATAGCTCTGGCGGAGTTCGAGAGAAACGAAGAATTTACAGGCAAGCCCGATGGAGAGGCCATGCTAAACCTCACCCTTGAGCACTTCGACAAGGTCGCAGAAGTATCCGAGTACTTCGAGGACTACTTGAAGAAGACGCACAAATTCTACGAAGCGGACTTGGCGTACGAACGCGACGTCAGAGCGGATCCTTTTGATCTCGGAGGAAAGTCGTCTCGTTCGGAGGCTGCTGAAGGCTTTGGCGACGCCTTCCGGAGGCGCAATAATATGTATTCCAAGCCGCATGCGGACGAGGAGTATGTTGAGCTACCGTTCCACCAGAAGCTCGGGTTACGACGGCCGCGGACGCTAAACGAGAAGGAGCCGATGGAGGCATGGGACAGAGATGCAAGATTGCCGGAATGGCGGCACAGCGGCGATGACCCTCGATATGCCGCCAGGGGAGGTGCACCTTTCAGGACTGCGAGTCCCGCCTACGACCACTACGGTCGCAGCGATGGACTCCAACAAAACGACCGCCGCCTGCCTCCATCGGGCCAGCCCGGCTCCTCTGGCTACGATGAGCGAGTGTCCGGGTTCCGTCGAGGTCGAGGGGAGCAACCATGGGAAAGCCACGCCGATCCACGAGATGCACCTGGACCCCGCCCTGGCGAGCGGAACGACTCTTACAATTTTTCTCGCTCGGAGGTTGACAATGCAAAACGTGAGTAGAAAGCGGGCCGCCCGGTGTTGATACAGCATGAGGACGGAACGATACAGCTCAAGGACGGAACGGTCATATAATACAGTTGTATACAACAGTGAAAGCCCCTTCCCTCCATGTTTCCTCCGTGAGCGGTGAGCCTTATTGTACACTTGCACATATACATTCACACAATACACGCCAAAAATGCGAAACCACGCTATGCACTTACCCATCGCGCCGAGGCAACCGTGCTTTTTCACCGAACAAGACGCCCTGAGGCAAGCATCTGCATCCGCCAAGCCTGAACACCGTGACTACGCCGCCCGGGTCTGCCCAGGCATCCTCTTCGGGTTAGAGGCAGCCTTCTTCTTCGGCGTCGACTTCTGCTGCCCAGCCTTCTCCCCATTCACATACTTCACCAACTCATCCAGACTCCTCTGATCCAGCACACCCGCCGCCCGTCCGAACCCAGTCTCCAGCGCAGCAGCGGCAGACTCGGACGACATTGCGCCGTTCTGCTGAGTGGCAGCAGCAGGCGGTTGTGGACGTTGCCCGAGACCAAGGCGAGACGTTCTCGTACCGTTCCGCATGAACATGCGCCTGTTAGCGCCTCCCAGCATTGTGGAAGCTTGCTGCGCAGCCTTGGCTTGGTTGACGGCAGAAGAAGTAAGAGTCTCCCACCACGCCTTCGCCTCCTTCGTGTTCTGGTTCTCAGCCCCAAGCAGGCGCTCAAAGATCTCATAGCTGCTCTTCATCTCCCTCATCGCGCCTCGGCTGTCATGGTCCAGCGCTAAGCTTTGCGCGTACTGGAAAAGCAGTGTAGCCGTATTGACTGACTCACGACCAGCAACTTCCTCACAGATCTCAAGGCTCGCCTCGAACCAGACCCGTGACTCGTGGAACTGCTTCAGCGTCTGCAGCATGACTGCGGCATTGTTGATTGTGGTTATCGAATCAGGATGTCGTGGCCCGTAAACGATCTTCCACAGATCTAGCGCATGCCTCACAAGCGCGAGCGCATTCCGTGTGTGGCCCGTTGCGTGCTCCATGAGACTCCAGTTCAAGTACGCCAGAATCGTCTCCGCGTTGTCGATTCCCAGCGTGCGCTCAGACACGATAACAGCCTTCTTCGCCAACTCGACAGCCGCGTTCTTCTCCTCCAACCCGTAATACAGAGTGGACAGAGCGTAGTACACCCGCGCCACCTCCGGATGGAGAATGCCGTAGATCTGCTCATGCAAGCTCAGGCTCTCCAGTAGAAGTTCCTGCCCAAGATCTTTCTGATTTTGCTGAATACTCATGCGGCCCGCGTCGAGTGCTTCTTCTGCCAGTACGCTGCGTGGTGATGCTTCCTTCACGATCGGCACGATGTTGAAGATGTTCTCCGGATGAAACGTTTGCGACGGTGATGTCGGTGATGCGGCAAGTACTGCCCGGTTAGGTGACTGATCGGCCTGCTTCTTCCGCTTCTTCTTGCCGCCAACACTACCACTCTCAGAGTGTACGCCATTCGTTTGCGGTACCTCCAATGAGTCCATCGATGACTTCTGCTGTAAGGTTTGTGGCTGCGTGGCAACCGCCGCCTTGCCGAACTGGTACTCTTTCGCCTCGACTTGCCACCCCATCTTCAGGCACACCTCCCTCAGCATCTGCAATTCTTTCCCAGACTTCACCAGAGCCTCCTCCTCACCGATCGCGTAGCGATACCTTGTTTCAACCTGCTTTCTAACCTCCATCGCCAAGCTCTCTGGTGTCACTCCCTCGAACGCAAACTCAACATCCGGATACATACTCTTGACCTCCTCATCAACCTCCGCTTGCGGCTTCTCGTTCGTTTCCGACCCCAACAAGCAATTCAACAAATGTGCAATACAACTTTGCGCAAACGCCGGCGGCAGCGGCTTCGACAACCGGTTGAACGTGTGCTTGAACGCTCGCGCAACCATTTCTTGTTGTGCCAACGCCCTGAGCGCTTCCAGCCGTTTATCTTTACTTCCACCCTTCTCCTCACACAACCTCGCGAGAGCGCCGAGATATCTCACATTGACGCCGCGCTTGTGCATATCCCGTACGAGGTTCTGCCCGTCCATGGGAAAGCCGATCTCGCCTTCTTGCATGTCGTGCACTAAGCGTGGGATCACGTCTTCGATAAGGTGCTTGCATACCGCGCGGACTTCAGCCTCATCCTGTTCCATCTCCGCCTTCTCCTCTTCTGACTGCGGTTGCTGTCCACTGAAAACGTCCGGGTTGAGCGTGAAGGAGAAGCCGGACACATCGACCGTTTCTTGCTGCTTCGGTGCCTCGACCTTCGCGGTGCCATCTTTGCTCTCACCCTCCTCATGCTCCTCAGCGGTCCCGTTCGTGAGTCCGCCGTTAGCATCTGAATGCTCCTCCTCCCCGTTCGTCAGCTTCACCGCCGAACCCTCCGTCTTCTCCGCCCTCTTCCTTTCCAACTCTTTCGAGATGTACTCCCTCAATTTGACCACCCTCCACGACTCCACCAACTCCGGCCTAAGCACAGCCATGCGATGCGGATACCGTTGCTCCTCGCTGACACGATCCGTACAATGTTGCTCCAGCCACGTCACATCTAGCGGCGTCGTTCGGTACAGGTCAAGGACGTACTTGCGCCCATCTGTCCCTAACAATCCCTTCGTCTCCACACTACCTTCCAGCTCATGCCGCTTGAGCTCCTTGTCCCATACGGCGTGCCTCTTCACCCGTAGAGCTTTGCTTAGATCCGAAAAGGGCTGCACGAAGGCTTCATGACTCGCAATCACATCCTTGCCCTCCACGCCGCCGTAATCGATCTGGTGTTCGCCCGGATCCCGCTGCTTGAAGATGCCAGGCACAATGCTCTGGCCCACAATGCGCTTGCCCAAATAGTCGACCACCACTGTCCCCGCCGTAAAGAGACCGTTGATATCCAGTTGATTCACCGCCTTGACACCCTGTACATCCTTCCCTGTCGCGACCCGCGCCGCTTCGTCGCCACCGCTGCCGGCGAACGTGCCGACTCCATCCGCGCCGAATGAGTAGAAGACATTGTTGTACACGAAGATCTGCGCATCCCTCGCCTCAGTTGGGTTCAACGGCTGTACCTCGCCTCGACCCACCAGCACGGCGCCACGCACTGCAGCTTCGTTGTACTCGGCAAAGAGTTTGCTTGTGAGCCGTTCTCGGAACACACGCTCTTGCACAGTCTCTTTGGGTAGCTCCCGCGTAGACTGAAACTCCTCGTTCCAATCGCGCAGTGTCTCTGCATTGTCCGCGCCCGCCAAGAGATACGGCTCTTGCGTCCGTGTCAGATCGGGCTGATGTTGCTGGGTCGACGTTGCAGATACGAGCCATGGTGCAGCGGGTATGCAATTGGAGAGGGCATACGATGCTAATGGATCCTTCTTGCCATTATATTCTTGTAATCGTTGAAACGAAGGGTTGAACTCTGGTGACAGCTGCGCCAGAAGTGAAATAAGCGAATGGGCATGGAAATCCTTAGGAGCGCTCCGCCGTGCAGGATCGAACTTTGCGTTCGTAGAACGATTGACGAAGAAACCGGTGACGTGGGATGTAATGTAGTATTGCTCGCCCTCAAGCGTCGTCACTTGCAAGTAGAGCAGGTGTCCTCGCATGCGGAGATGGTAGGGTGGAGGGTTCCACGCCGATAGCGACAAGTTCTTGACCGTCTTCGGTTGGTTAGCATCGGTATGTTTTGGTAAGAGCGTCGAAATGGGACCAGGCGCATGCAGGTCGTAGCTTGCTATGGGACTGCTGTCTTCTTTGCCGTTCTTGCTCGCAGGTAGCTCGACGCTATCGCAAAGGCTCGTGCCCGCGTCTATGGCGCTGATGAAGTCGACGCGATCGCCAGCAGCACCTATGAGCTCCCTTACTCGCACCACATGCATGCGTGCCTGCGCCTCGGTGTACGGGTCTTCCACCAGCTTTACCGTGGGCTCCTGCGCTATATCTTCCACTTCGGACAGCTCGACGAAATCGTTGATTCGCTTGCCCCGATGCTCCAGATGGAAGCAAGAGTACTGGAAGGTGTGCGGTTGGTCTACGATTGACTGGCGTATGTCCTGCATCTGCTCTTGGCTCGAGACCATGATCTCGACGGTTTGTGGGTGATGCGGTAGCTGGACGGTAAGCCTGAAGACATTGTCCGCCGGCTGGTTTGCACTTCCGGGCTCACCGTCCTCGTTGTTACCCTCTGTGGTAGTACCGTTGGTGTTGGTGCCGTTGGCTCCAGAGGTCGCGTGCTCATCTGAGTGGCCATTGGGTAATGTGTCCTGCGGATGCTCGGTTCCATTGGAGTCTACCTTACTGATCAGACACGACGTCTCCGCAAATTGCCGCATCGAGCTTTCGTGGTTATTCCAACTCACCCTTCAGGTCACCATTACCACTCTCGGCCATGCTCGGGGGATGGGAAGGTCAAGTCTCACACCAGATGACAGCAACTTCTGGGTCCGCGAGTTGCACTGGGCAATGATTAAGCACGAAGAGAGAACGGAAGAATATCCTACAAGACGGGCGAAACGCTGTACAGATGGTCTTGCATCGAGACGGAACAAAATGACTTGGAGCAATATCCCATACACTTTTTCGAGATCAAAGCTCCCGGCTTCCGCCGATCCGGCTCGTCTTTCCCCCTGTCCACCATCATACACATTATGACACTTCCATTCTCCTCCGCCCAAGGTCCGCTCATCGCTCCCTTTCGCAGCATCACTCTACCGTGCAGACGTCCAGCACTTCTGTCCACCCATGTAGCTCGAACATGGCCATGGGAGCGCAGCAATATTGCTTCATGCTTAATGCTTCATCCTTCACACTTTGCTCGCTCGCCCCCTGTACGTCGATCAGGATATGGACCGATCCGCAATTCTGCGGACTCCCGACAACACCTCCCCCTAGCTCCTCGGCCCTTCGCCTGCTCTTTCCAGCTGTCGCGTGCCCTCTCCCATCATGCTTCCAACGCTACGTGTAGGAATAGGAATAGTATACGTCCTCTCTTGTTCCTTGACAACTTCGGCAGCGCCTCGCATCTAGTTGCGCGGTAATGTCTGTCCACAGCTAAGCTCCGACCACCAGTGGACAATCATGTCCCTAGTACGCTCGTTCACTTCGTTTCAAACTATTACATGGCGACGCTTTCTATCCGTTCCACTTAATCAACTTCATTCTTTGCCACGTACCAGCATCATACCTACGACAACAACAATCCCTCCGGCTCACAAGCGTTTCAATTACAATCTCCCAGTCACGCCAAACGACCAGCTTCCAGCGCCGCCTGAAGAACCAGAAGGCTCACGCAGGCGGAGAGATGATCGCGATGAGCCCTTTAGGTGGGGCCCCACGCTATTCAAAATGTTCGAGGCGGCCGCAACGACCTTTGCCTCCGTCGCTATCCTCGGCGCAGTGGGCTACGGTTACACGATCTACTACAAACGGCTCGTCCTGAGCAAGATCGAGCATGCCTTCGAGCCTGGCGACCCTGTCCTGGATCTAGCGGCCGTTGCAAAGCATGGCAAAGATCTTACGGAAACAGATCACTGGGTCTTGCGTGAAGAACAAGAAATGATTGACGCCATCGTCGCCGGTCGAGTCAAAGGCCAGTACCACCTTCTCGTTGGCGAGAAGGGCACAGGAAAGTCCAGCATGCTGATCGACGCCATGGCCAAGATTGACGGCGAAGGCTGCGCGATGCTTGAAGCCCATGCCGACCCGGAGATCTTCCGTATCCGGCTTGGTAAAGCACTCGACTTTGAGTTCCATGAAGACAACATCGGCGCGCTGTTCTCCATCCGCGGCCCCCGAGACGCCAACGCCATCCTTGACGTCGAGCGCGCCTTCAACAAACTCGAGAAGATTATGCTCCAGCGCCGTAATCGAGTCGGCCGCCCCTTAATCATAATAATCGGTTCCACCCATCTCCTCCGCGATGACGAGCCCGGCCGCGACCTCCTGGAGCTCTTACAACAACGTGCCGAAGCCTGGGCAGCGGGGAACCTGGCCACCGTAATTTTCAACAGCGACGACTACTGGGTTTATGAGCGCCTGAAGCAGTACGCCACCCGCATGAACATCATCCCCATCCTCGACCTGTCTAAACCGCGCGCCGTGCAAGCCCTCAGAACCTACCGCGCAAAGTACTACTCCGAGATCCCGGACTCGAAGGTACTGGAGCAAGTATACGATATGGTCGGCGGCCGGCTCTCGTACCTCGGTCGCGTCGCCAAAAGTACAGACATGCTCAAGACATGCCAGGACATCTGTCAGACGGAGAAGACGTGGTTGCTCAACAAATGCTGGATCCTCGGAGCGGAAATGGACGACGATGTCATGGATCAGCAAAAGTACGCTTCCGCCGCCATGGTGCTGGCGAAAGCGCTGGTGGACAAAGAGAAGAGTATGTCCAGCACCTACGATCCCGTCAAGGGCCACATCTTGCCACAAATTCCGCTGCACGAGGCAAGGCAGGTCATGACTCGAGCGGACTTTATCCAGTCCTACGACAGCATCAACGTGTTCACCATTGACTCTCATGCTATGGTGCGAGCGGACAGCGTGCCGATGATGAACGCTATGCGAGATATTTGTGGGCAAGAAGGCTTTGAGGACCACCTGGAGGCGACGCTGAAGAGGATCGGGGACATTGAGTCCCTGGGTAGGACAAGAGAGTTGACGATTAAGGATTTGTGGGAGGGAGGGCGGTATAAGGTGGCAATGAGGGATGGCAAGGGTGTGGAGAGAGGATCTTTTTTGGTAGAGACGGTGCCGAGGGAGGAGGCGGGGGAGGAGTAAGGGAAGAGTTGGGCGTTGGTATGATACCCTGTGTCTCCTTGTACAGTATGATGAGGTGGCTCGCGATGAAGCTGCCACCACCTGTAACCTATATCGATCTGCGCAGACCCTGCTATTCGGCGCGCATAAATATTACAATTCTTCTGGTGTAAGGGTTGGAGCTTACTCACCGGATGGAGCACGAACGTAGTGCCCGCGAGCATGACACGATCGCACATGACCCTCACGGCGGACTTCCATTTGCGGAACTGCCGCTTCGAAGCCGAATCGGCTCTCGTCCCAACCATCAACTAGAGCGGAATGCGCCAAAGATTCACTCGTCGATTAATGTATATGTAAGTGCATGACAAGTTCCTTCAACTTTCACATCCTCCCACAATCTCCCATATCGTGACGTTGGACAGTGGCAGCAATCTCTCTCCCTTAACATATTAGCCCAACATGCCACATGTTGAAGAGCTCCACTTTTCCGCACCTCCAGAGACACATGGCTTCGCAGCGCTTCTATTCGACATGGACGGCACGATCATCGACTCCACCGACGCCATAGTGAAATACTGGATGGAACTCGGCAAGCAGATCGGTCAGCCCGGCGAGGTGATTCTGGAAACCTCGCACGGACGCAGATCGATAGATGTTCTTGGCCTTTTGGCGCCAGAGCATGCCAACTGGGAGTTCGTTTGCGATGCCGAAGGTCAGGTGCCACTCAAGTACGGCCGTGACGCTGTGGAGATTCCGGGCAGCCGCAGCATACTGGAGAAGCTGGAGTCGGCCGGCGCACCGTGGGCCATCGTGACAAGCGGTACTAAGCCTTTAGTCACAGGTTGGCTGGATGTGATGAAGCTGGCGCATCCCAAGTATCTGGTGACAGCCGAGGATGTAGCAAACGGGAAGCCGGACCCGGCATGCTACAGGTTGGGCGCCAAACGGCTAGGCTTCGACGATGGCAGCGGTCGTGAGGGTGGCAAAAGGATCGATCCGAGCCAGATTGTAGTGTTCGAGGACGCTCCTGCGGGTGTTCGAGCTGGAAAGGCGGCAGGCTACAAGGTTGTTGGCCTTGCAACTACTCACGCAGTCCCGAAGCTGCAGGATGCTGGCGCTGATTGGATCGTCAAAGACATGCGGAGCGTTACCATGTCTCGCTGGGACGCGAAGTCAGGCGTCGTGACTGTCGAGATCAAAGATGCGCTCGTCCCCTGAGATGTGGTGCAGGAGAAGGTCCGCTTGCATTTGCACAGCGGAGGGTGTTCGGAGCGTATACAGGACCGCATATTGCATGCCGCTTTAGCGCGCAGTGCTTACTAGACCATCTAGAAGAGATCATACATAATGGTAGACGAGCTAAACAAGCCTGGGATCTATACACTGGGTATCACTATCATGTAGTTGCATATGCAGGTGCAGGTGCGGGTACGGGTGCCTTCTTGCCTGCCTCACGTGCCTCACGCTCGGCTATTCTCCGTTGCCACGCTTCGTGTAGAGCCTCCTTGATTGTAGCCTGGCCATCTTCAAAATTCGCAATGCACACCTTGACCAACGTTTCCACCTGCTCTGGCGTCCACACGAGGTTATACGAGCCGGAGAACTTCGCAGTCGATGGGTCGAAATCAGGTACAGCTTTTTCATTGGGCAGAAGCGGCATGTAGATCATGGTGCATTCGCGATCGTAGATTGGCGCTGGTGGATTCGAGACGTTTCTACCATAAGAGTCCACCACCGTCTCCGGTCTAGGGCAGGGCTTGCCGTCGTATATCTGCGCATACAGGCCATTGAAGCGATTCGGGTCTTTGGGATCTTCTCCAGGCTTAACATCGTGTCGTTTCACAAACTTCAGTCCGCGGCGACTGCCGATCTGGTCCACTCGCTCTTGGAATGTATCCTTTTGTACATCACTTGAGGCGTCCATGTTGATTATGACGTCGGTCTGGCGAGCCGGATGCAACAGATTGTACGTTGGGCAGTTGTTGTCCATGCCACTGTCGATGAGGTGAATGCGCGGCGAGTTCTCGAGACCAGGCGGCCTACCTTGGCCGGGTTCGACATGCGTATAGTGGAACATAAAGTTGTGCTCATTGCAAGCATGTAGCGGGTGGTGCTCCTGGAACTCTTCCGTGCCTTTCTTGCCCCAGAGTTTGGTGACCTTTGATGCCATTTCTCGTACTGAATTGCCCAGAAAATTCGTGGGGAGATTGCGACTAATGGTGGTGATGTAAGACGTAAGCGGACCGGCCGGAGCGCTCGTACAGAGACCGAGCAGTAGAGCGAGCGACTGTTCCGGTAACTGCATCGTTGATTTACCCTCTTCGAACGGCCTACCGAAACCCCAAGTAGGAACCCAAGCCTGTATTTCATCGCAACCGACCTCATACGGAGTCATTTCGCTGCATGGCATGACCTGTCAGCAAGTAACACATAAGATAGAAAGAATACTACGTACTACCACTGAAACCATGCATCCTTGGCGTCTGCATGATCGCCTTGACTGTGGTCAGCTTCGTCGAACGGATGTTCTTTATCTTTCCAATCCTTCCAGGGCCGTTCATGACGGATCGCAGTCATGATTGGGAGCGGCTCGGCACCATTATCGGTGAACTCTCGTGCGGTAGACCATCGGTACCACGACTTTTGGTGACCTGCCACCTCCTTGTGTGGAAGATGTCCGCGACCTGGGTGGGTTGCCGGGTCATCTTGGAAGAAGATCCATCCGGTGGTGAATACAGAATATAGATCCATCGCGACGGTTTGAAGTCCACTTTTGCTTTTCTGAATCAGCGGCCCAAGTGTCACTCGAGCGCCGCCGGGAGCACTGAGGATTGTTCGGATCGCCTCGCCTGATAGAGGGTGCAGCGGCGAAAAGCGTACTTTGCAGTGATCGATCACTTTATCGAAGCTGGCCTGTCCGAACGTGTAGTAGGCAGCTAAAGACCAACACGAGCCAGAAACACCAGCGACGTACGTCAAGCAGTCCCACAGACCGTCGTGTTGCATCTGCCTACAATAGCCTAAGCACCCGATCATGGCGCGGAAGCCACCACCGCTTCCGCCAAAGGACACAGTAGGCACGTCTTCGGGATGTACATCCTCTCGTCTGACACCGAGATACTTGGCGAAGTTATCACGAGCACGCAGTTTTCGCTGAGCCAGAAAGTGCTGCTCTTCCGGGCATAGTTCGATGCCACGTCGAACAGCAGCTACATGTTCGATTTCCTATAGCATAAGAGCCAGAGTGTTGGCAACTGATCGATTGATTGCTTTGTTGCCATCAACAATGACTTACCGGGAAAAGCTTCGGGTCGTGCATCTCCTTCTTGACGCGTGTTTCAAGTGCGGCCATGCCACCCATAATCTTGATGTCGGTGATCGCTTCGGGAAAAGCTTCTTTAAACATGCCCTTCACTTTTTCTTTGAAGCCGCCATGCGGCTTCTTCTCATCGTGAAGCCCCATCTTCTCGAAATGCTCCACTACGTCGTCGGTGGACTGACTGTGCTCACTCTGCTGATGACTGTAAAGATCTTCTTCATATTGACTCTGCTCTAGAGTCTGTGAGCGATGGAAGCTATCCCTTCACCGTCAACAACATGTATAGTGGCGATTGCTATGTGATCCGCTTAAGGCTGCAGGGCAGGGTGGGCTTACTTACTCTTGTGCCGGCATTTTGGCCAGTGCGGGAAGGCCTTACTTTTCCGGATGACGATTCCGGTGGACTTCAGCAGCTCGCGAGCCACCCTACATCTGCGATATAAGCAGTGAGTGTCTCACTGCAAGCTCCGAGATTCAGTAGAGCACCTATATCACCGACACGTGTGCGGCCTCGAACGAGGCAGCTTACTCAAACCTCGACACCTTCAGTGACCAATGAAATCAGAGGGGCAGCAGCACGCTTTGGCCAAGCTGCTTAGCCTGCGAGCTTCGACTGCTTTGTTGGCTTCCGAGCAAGCGAACAATACAACAAGGCAGTCAGGCATGCAGCCATGCAATGTTAACCATCACAAAGTGCCACCTTAGGCGGGCGTACTGATGCACTGTGCTTTACGGACTGACTTGAAAATACTGTCGCCTACGGTTTCCTCGATCACTCCGTCACCAGGACGTACGCTCTCATGCGCACCATGGAAAGGTTTGAAATTTGAGCAGTAACGCATTATGCCTTATCATGATGCGACGAAAAGTATATCACCGGCCTCGTCCATCCAGTGCATGGAATATATGCACACTCATTTATGCTCAAGACGAATAAGTTCACGGGAACAGTTCACAATCGATCCGTCCCGTAGCGTATGGACATGTCATGGGCCAAGATAGCACGCGCCGACAACCGTTGTCCGAAGCGCTATCTGGACGGCTTCGGTTATGGCGTTCGATACTAGGCTCACAAACGGTCTGAGATCTCTCCTTACGACTTGCGGGCTCGAGTGGCAGAGATACGATACCTCAATGAGAATCCCTCATCATCAGGAGTCAACATCAGACTGCCCCTTTGATACGCCATATGGACCCTCCAAGACGGGTTACGGTTAGCACGGCATATCAGTACCAAATACTGCCACACAGGGTTGGCAACCCTTTTCTGTGGCAGCACTGTGTGTCAAGCTCTGCGTGTGGCGTCGAGGCTGTTGCACTGTTGCACCGTTTCCGAAGGCTTCAGCGAGTGGCTGACATGGTGCAAGCCACGCTAAGATCTGAACGTTATAGGGATTTGAGTATGGCGCAACGCGTGGTAGGCCAGCAGCCACATATCATGCTAAGGTTCAGTGAACGCCAGCTGGTACATGCTGCAAATATCTTCCCGCATCGAACAGACAGCAGTCGCATTGAGGGTTTATGTAGTTCGGCTGAGATCCTTTGCGGTGCCCAATCATACTCCGGACATGATGGGGTGGGTATATCGACACCTCTTTTTCGGCCATGTGATTGGACGTGTGCGATAGATGTATGTATGGAGATGGCTGGTGACAAAACGATGTACAATCGATTGCCGATCCCCCAACCCCAAGTGAAAGGTGCAGGCGCTGGGCGCTCCACAGCTCGGAAGCGAGACGGCGTTGCGGAAGCAAGGGAACCCACCCTCTCAGCGGCGGTCGAGGAACGGGTCTAGCTCAGGCAGAAATAGCTCATGCTCTCGTCATTATTGGTGCGGCGCACAGAGTGCGTGAAAGTACTTGCATCTCTCCTATTCTTCGTGCCGGCACGGAAGTCGCGGAACAAGCCAACTGTGAGTGCTATATCGTTCTTACTAGGCACTCTGCGGCGTTTGCGACCAGTGCCAACCACCCACGTCAATGCGCACCGAAGCAAGAAGCGCCAAGGGTGAGGAGAAGGGGCCCTGAGCTCGCGAGTGCTCGCGTGGTGACTCTAAATTTGGTATGTGAGACGGAAAGGTGCACCTTGAGCCAGCCAATAGCGAAGCAGTTCTGCTCGCCGAGACATCGTACATTTCAGCACGGCCTGCTGCAACTGTCGTCACGGCACCCTTCGTGCGAAAGAGCGCCGCGCCGCGCCCCGTTTCGCCAAGCAGCCCAGCGGATACTAGGCCTGCTTTCCCGTCGCAGGTCTCTCCACCACATGCGACCCGGCGACTCCTCTCTCTTCGCCTTGCTTACTGACTGCGTTGATCATCTCAATACGTCGGTCCACGCTCGCTGACTTGTTCTGCCCTTTCACGCTCGCTGACATGTTTAACGTGTAATATATCAAAGTCACTCGCTAGAGGGCACAATTGAGATCTTGTGCAGCTGGACCGAGACAAGCCTCAGCCTTCCGACGACCAGGCTCAGGATCTGCCGCGCAAGGCTGCTAGGCACTCGCTCGAGGTTGGACTGTCTGGCGAGACGGTCCAGTTCAATATCGAATCATTGACATTGCCCGTCTCTGAATGTGACAGATGGACGATCGCTGTGGGTACGCAGGACTTCCCGACGATACGGATCCGAGCCGGCCGCATGGCAGGACGTCCTCGGCCGGCGAGCTGCAACCAGCAGCGTACGGTTATCACGAAGGAATGCAGATACCATTGACGTGTGACATCAAACCGCGATTGACGAAGGAGCAACATGACGTGCTGGAGAAGCATTATCAACAGCAGTCGAAGCCGAGCACGACCACGAAGCGAGGTTTTGCGGAGAAACTAGGTGTGTCATTGGAGAAGATCAATGTGAGTTCCGTCGGATCGAGATGGTACAGTTTGCAGTAGCTGAGTTCTGTCGCAGAATTGGTTCCAGAACCGAAGAGCCAAGACCAAGCAGGACCAAAAGAAGGCAGCCGATGCGCAAAATCTCTTTCTCTCACAACAGCAGAGGCAAATGACATTCTCATCCGACTCAGACACTTCGTCCGGACTCCCAGCGTCAGACTACTTTGCCATGTCTGATGGTCTCGGCATTACCGGAACGCCGTATGTTGGACAGTACGTCAACGATTTCGACGAAGTAGCACCCCATATCGCTACAGGCCGCCAATATGCTCAGCCTCAGACTATGCAGCAATATCCGCAAAACGAGATGTTCGACAGCCCGCAAGATCTGAATAGGAGGACGTTAACACAAGAGTCCTTCGACGCATTGGCAAACGGTGGCACTTTGCTCAATGGCTCAGTCGGGTTCAATGGCCTACCGAACGGGTTTGACAACCAGGGCTACCTGGCACAGTACTTTCCGGAGCTGCATCACGGAACTGTCAAGCAGCAAGATGCGCCTGTCACCACCGCTGACATGGCTATGTCTATATCCAGCCACGACTCGAGCATACCGTTTTCTCTCTCCGAGCGATCAATGTCAATGTTTCACTCGACCGCCGGCCCAAGCAATAACAGCAGCACGTCGTTGGCGAGCTCTGACTGGACGGACAGCAGAAGCTCGTCTGTATCCGGGAACCAATCAGAGGATCCGTTTCACCAGATGACCCCTTCGCAGCACGTTTCCACGACGGTCCCACCATGGCAGCCCGGACAGTCTAAGCCTGTGGACTTCAACCAGCTGAAACAGGAGTTTGGGGAGCTGGAGAAGGCTAGGACTTCTCCGTCATCTTACCACGCTCACGAACAGCCACTAGCTTGGCCTGCTGATGACGCGTATGCGCGACGAGACTCTCAGACAACAGCGATGCTTGCGCACTCTATGAGCAACGTTGGCCTCCACACGCCTCAGCCTTCCCAACACTCGACATTCAAGACGCCTGCACCGCCTGCGAACATCGCTGCACGGCGCCAGCGAGCTCGACCGGCACCTCTTGGTCTCAATGCCATGCGAAGCGCTTCGTACAGTGCGCTTCCTCAGCCTGTCTCTCCTGGTCAGCTACCACATAGCAGTCTTACGCCAGGTCAGCCAGGCCTGCGCCGCATACGCTCGTCAAACGCATTTAATGGTGTTGCGCAAGGCCGTGTCCAAAAGCCCTTGGTAGGATCTGCCCAGCGCTCGCCTCTCGCCTGGACATTCACGGACGCCATGAGTTCTCCAAAGGCCATACGTCACTCATCCTTACAAAGCACCGGCAGTCTTGCTCCACCAACACCGCTTTCGCCAGGTGAGTTCTCACATGCTGACCACTCTCGAGCACACCCCGGATGGCAAGTGTCTCTACCTACGAAGCGCGAACCGAGCATCAGCGAGAGCGAGTTTGAGCATGGTGTTCCGTATATGCCATCGGCATCAATGCCGCTGCAGAACGTGTCTTCACCGCCTCATACACCTATGTTTCACCAGCATGGTTCTCTTCAGCATCGCATCGGCGGAGATCTAATGTCTGAGAGCACGCCTCCGCAGTCTGCGCCTGCGAGTCAACAATATTTCCCAGCGAACGGGTTCGCCATTCAGCAGACTCCATTACAGCATATGCGGTCGGCTACCCCCCAAATGCAAGCATTTGTGCCGCCGCAGGAGCAATATTTCATGAACGCCAACGCAGCCGAGCAACCATTCGCTGTGCCTAATCCTAGCATGAGTATGAACCAACCAAGTATGGCTGTCCCACATTCCACGGCATCAGGAATGCCGGTGCATTATCCACACATACCTGTAATCAGTCACGCAACCAACGATATCCCGATGGTACCGACAACCCACGTAATGCAACATACCTCCCCAGCGCAGTCACACCAGCTTCAAGCGCACCTTCATCAGCAACCGCCGCTCCTGCCGCAGCACCATGCTGCACAACCACCTCAAGGACACTCTTTCGAGAACATGGTGGGAGTCTTTCCAACCGTCGCCCCTGCGCCCGTGGTGCAAGTTACGGCACAGGTACCAAAGCAATCGCAGCCGCAACAGCAACCCAGCGAGCTCTTCGTACACGAGTATAGCCCGCCAGCGGAGCTAAAGCGCGCCGCAATCCCACGAAAACTGGTGGAGGCGGCGCAGCAGCACAAGAACTACATCTTCTCGAATCAGACCGCGACCAGTTTTGAGGAGAAGGCCAGAAGTCGTGCCAAAGCTGCTGCCGGTGCCGATAACACTGCCAGCACCAGCACGGGTTCGAGCAGTCCCTGCGAGTAGCGCTGGTGCCATGGCCGCGATGGTGAGAAGCGGTCAGTCCGGCGGCACACAGTGCAGGCGTCGGATACCGCGGCGGTTTGGCACGTCGCTTCTTCTTTAACCTCTTGAGTGAGATCAACAATGGTCACCTGATGCCCTTCGGATGACGTGCATCTAATGCATTGTAGAGTCGGATGAGCAACGATTATACTGAGAAGCGGGGGGTGGGATCTAATGCGGGATGAAGGGGGAATAACGATCATGATCTATACCACTATTGTAATATATGGCTTTATTTGTTGGGTAGCCTGAGCCCAGCGCACGCGGTCATCAAGCTGCGCGTGCCAGCGAGAAAAGCTGGTTCGACTCGTGTCAATAATGATGACCATTCTCGACTCCAGTTCGGTTGTATCCCCTCCCAAAGTAAGCCTACGCTAGCGACGGCTAGACCCGCGACAGTGACCAACCTCCGACATCCCGTGCCAAGACTTCGCAAAATCCACACCCACTGGAAGTTGACATCGCTTGGTTGAAGGGCACGAGACAACGACAACATCCTCTCCCGACTCCTCATTCCCTCTCTACCACCGCCAATATGGTAAGCCATGCGATACACCCCATCTTCTACAAACCAAGGGTATCTAGCAGGCATAGCGCAGACATGCTAACGAGACAAACCCACAGTCATCCACCAAACTCAAGGCCGCACAACTCTGGGGCAAGAACAAGGACGAGCTGAAGAAGCAGTTGGACGAGCAAAAGCAGGAGCTCGTGCAACTACGAACACAGAAGATCGCAGGCGGTGCCCAATCGAAACTGAACAAAATGTACCTCCACCTCCCTCCACCTCCCACCACCCCACCACCCACCACACCATACCACACCACACCACACCCATCCCAATCCCAATCCCAATCCTTCCAGTCAACTAACCCGTACCTTCTTTCCCTTCTAGCCACGACGTCCGCAAAAACATCGCCCGCATCCTGACCGTCATCAACACCACCCAGCGCCACCAACTCCGCATCTTCTACGCGAAGAAGAAGTACCTGCCCCTCGACCTGCGCGCGAAGCAGACGCGCGCCATGCGGCGAGCATTGAGCAAGGAGGACGCGGGTCGCGTGACGCCGCGGCAGAAGAAGCGGCAGAGGCATTTCCCGCCGCGAAATTACGCGGTCAAGGCGGAGTAAAGTAAACGAACGAACTGAAGTGAAGAGTTTTCCGGCCGCGAAAATGCTTTTCTAGCGAAGTTCTTCTCGGCGCAATTTTCCCCGGAGATGGAGGCTGCATGCGGGACTTCTGATGATGAGAGGGTACGCACAACCATCTGTGTAAGTTGTAGCTTGTCGCAAAAGGCTGGCTATAGCGACACGATAACGCTGAATGCATGGCCCTTGAGACTATGCTAGCACGTCGCTTCTGTCTCATCCCGCGCTAAGGGACTACCGCTGCTGCCTGTCCTTCAGCCATATATTCCTTCAAATGCCTGCGTGCAGATGCAGAAACAGATGCATGCCACGCTCGCTAAGCCACGTCATAACGCGCCACGTTATGCCAACACAACCACCACAACAACGCTAAATACCTCCACGCCAGGACCTGCCCGGGGCCGCGACGATGCGGAATATCCAAGCAAGCCGCCCCCTCTCTCACACCTCCACCCCCGCCACACCACGTAATATCATCACAACCTCAACTCCTGCACAATCCGCTGCGCCATCTCCTTATACTGCCACGTGCCCCCATCAATCTTCTTGAACTGAATCCCATGCACATTGATCAACGGCACCTTGACCACGAAAATCTCGAAGCGCAACTCCAGGCTCTCGCTGCCCATGTCGTTCTGCACGTGCGTGCTCGTCTCGCCCGCCTGCCGCCGCCAACTCGAGTTGTTGTTGGGGTTGGTGTTGGAGCGGACGATGTTGGTGTTGGTGTTGTTGTAGTCGTCCTCGGAGACTTCGTCTTCCGTGTTGTCGTAGCTGAGATCTCTACCCGTCTTGCCAGCACCGCCGCCGCTACGAGAGGTGGGTGGTGGTGGTTGTTGACTCTGGTTGGTGTTGTTGTTGTTGTTGTTGTTGTTAATGCGAAACGCGTCGCGATCGCGATTAAACCCCGTAAACGAAATCTTCCTCCTCCCTCCCGCCGCTGATTGCGTATTCGACTCTATAGGTATCGCCTCATCAATCACCTGTCCCTGTCCCTGTCCTTGTCCCTGTCCCTGACCCTGTCCCTGTCCCGTCTTGACAATACTTGGCGCATGCCTACACCGAAACCCGCCCTTGACCTCCGTATACTCCACCCCCATCTGCCTTAACACGCGCATAATATCCGCGCGGATCAGGGGCACGGGTTTACTGCTCGTCGTCGTCACGCTGAAGATGCCCTTCAGATACACCGGCTTGAAGGAGCCATTCGGACTCCCGCCGCCGCCTTGCGTGGCATCGAGCTCGGCGTCGTTCTCGTCCTGCTCGTGCTCCTGCATGTGGATTTCCTGGTCCGTCTCCTCCGGCACGTCGGACGTCCGCATCATATCTCTGTCCCTGCCCGTCCGGCGCACGGAGCGATGCGCTTGCAGGGGTTCGCGGCGCGCGTGCCCGACGCTCTTGGTGCGGCCGGCCATTAGTCCGCCCGCCACTTGCGGTCGTGAGGAGGAAGGGGAGGGTTCGATATCTGACGCCGCGTCCCGTCCGGCACTCCCACCCTCTGCGTGCATTTGTTCAACAAGCCTCTGTTGTCGACTGTCCTGACTCCCTGCCGATGTGATACCCGGCCGCATGGACGAGCCCTCACTAGCCCCTCGTCGCATAAGCCGACGTCGGACATCGCTCGAATTGACGCTGATCGACCTCCCCAAGCCGTGGGAGCGTTTCGTCTTCTCCACACCACTGTTCGATCCGTCTCCGCCCGCCGAAGACGGCGGCGGAACAAGCCTATTCCCGTCCTTCTCCGCCTGCGCCTGCGCCTGCGGGGCGGAAGTAGCCGTCTCCCCCCTGTACCCCGTCGGCGTCGGATCCCTTTCCCTCGCGCGACGCACGCTGAAACTCTTCCTCGGCGTGCCTTCGGCCGCAGTGGGACTTGGTGCGAAGACGGCAAGACTAGGCGGAGGATGACTCGGCCTCTCCTTCCGCTCCGGCCTTTCAGCCGGATCCTTCGATCGCCGGGTGCTCACCCTCCTCAGCAGACCAGCCACGGCACTCTCCTTCCGCGCCATCTGCGGCGGGGGTTCCTGCGCGGGCGGCTCCACGATGGCCGGGCTCGTGGCGTTGAGATTCTGCATCGCGTCTTGGACTTCGTCTTCGCCGTGGGTGCGGGCACGCGGTCGACTGCGACCGCCCGTGGGCTTCTCGCCGGGCATCTCGTACGCTTGCGCGTTGGTGTAGGCGGCTTGTGGCGCTTCGGGGAAGGGGAGGGGTTTCTCGCCCGGGCTTTGCGGCAGAGCGAGTGCGCCCGGGTTCTTCTCGCGGGCTTCGCGTTCCTGTTTCTCCATCGCTAGGTAGTAGATTGAGATGAGCGGGTGAAAGGCGTTCAGGGGGTCGTTGCCGAGTTGAATCGCTTCAGTCGAGGGAGTGTTGAGCGTGTCACGGCTGGTGGTGGAGTTGCGGCGTTTGTAGAAGTCGAACACGCCGCGCCGCCGCTCGGTTTCGGGGACTTGTTGGGCGTTGCGGCGTTCGTACAGACGGACCGCGCGCTGATAGTCTTCCGATTCGATGGTTTTTGTGAGATGTGCTGTAATCACGTCTGCGGCGCCAAAGTCGAAGCCGGTCATCTTGTCGATTACGCTGGGATCCAAGGGAAGCGAGAGCGGCTTTCGAAGCGGAAGATGGTTTTCGGGAGGTCCTGAAAAGCCTTTCGTCATCCATGGATGGTTCATGATCTCGTGTAATGTCGCTCGTTCCTGCGGGTTCGTGTTGAGCATTCGTGCTATGAGGCCGCGGCATTCTAAACAGAAGATCAGCAAGACATTGCGAATCACACAGTGTATGTCGACATACCCGGTGTCAGCCACGGCGGATACTCCACGTTCCCGCGCTTAATCTTCGCATGCAACTGCGGCATCGACTGGTCGTCGAATGGCACCTTACCGCACACCAGCACATACAGCACAATCCCGAAACTCCACACATCCACTTCCGGCCCCGTATACTGCCGAGCCTGCAGCAGCTCCGGGGCGGCAAAGTACAGCGAGCCACAGAACGTTTTGAGGTGACTCCGCGGGCTGAACAAGTTCGACAGGCCAAAGTCAATGATCTTGATATCGCCCGTTTTGCTGATGAGGATGTTTTCGATCTTCAAGTCGCGATGCACGATACTGTTTCGGTGGCAGTAATCGAGCGCGCTCGCAATCTGCCGGCCGAACTTGCGCGCCGGCTTCTCCTTTAGCCGGCCGTGACTGATGATATAGTCGAGCATCTGTCCGCCATTGACGTACTCGAATAGCATGTACCAGTGGTAGTTCGTCCGCAGCACATCGCGCATGCCGCAGATGTAAGGGTGGTCCACGAGTGTGACAATGGCGGCCTCGCGCGCCGTGCGGATCTCCTTGGAGCGATCTGCTCGTTCGCGCTCGGCTGGCGTGTGGTGCTCGGTGTCCGTACTTTGGCGGGGCACGATCTTGACGGCCACTTGCTCGCCTGTCTCTTTATTCCGCGCAAGCTTCACTTTCCCCATACTGCCCGCGCCGATGGTCTTGCCCAAGTCCCAGTGTCCGGTCGGCGCATCGATGGTGGTCCGTCTCCGCACGTTGCCGCTGGTGGCTGTCGATTTGCTCTCGGGCGCGGTAGAAGGTGCGCCATTGGCGGTGGGCGGAGGGGCGGCGGGAGTGGGTTGGTCGGTGTAACGCGAGTGTGTTCTTGCGTGCGCGGAGGAGGATGTTGTGCGCATGGACTCTGCTCGTGTCGGGTTGCTGCCGGTCACGGGACGGTCGCGCGACTCGCTTCTTCGCGAGGACGACGGTGGTCGGGCGAGGTTGCTCTGCTCGAAGTCTTTCTGCGCGACATTGTGTAGGTTTGTGGACGGGACGCGGGTGTGCTGGGATGATGATGATGTTGTTGTTGTTGTTGTTGTTGTTGGCGGAGCTTGAGTCTGGGAGGTGGACATGGAGCGGCGCGGGGATGAGGGAGGGGCGGTGGAGCGGTTGGCGGTGCTGTGTGTGCGGTGTGGAAGGTCACGAGGCGGCTGCTGCTGCTGAGTGCGGGAGGAGGTGCGAGGCAAGAGCGACTGAGCTGCGGCCGACATGTTGCCGACGGCGTGTTTGGGGGATGACTCGTGCGCAATGCCAGATAATGTGATGATATGTGTTGATATGTGTTGGTATGTGTTGGTATGTGTTGATATGTGTTGATATGTGTTGATATGTGTGGTGGTTGAGGGGAACGTCCCGTGTATGCTAGGCCAAGCTACTCTTGATGCTGATGGGTGATGGTCGACGCGGAGGCGGGTGGTCGCGACAAACAATTGGCCCCAAGCTGTGCCAATGCGAAGACGTGTAGTGTAGAGAGGGCGCAATCATCCGTGGGCCGTAAGCTCGAGATCTTGACGCGGTGCTGCACCACTCCAGAACTCGGCCGAGTGCCGTTGACCCTCAGTCTATGCGCCGTTGTGGTTGACTCGTCGTATTCGGTGGAGTCTCACGTGCCAGGAGACTGCCTCACTTGGCCTCACTTGCCCTGCCCTGCCCTGCCCTGCCACAGCGGGACTACCCGTGTATACTACTTCTCGGCGCAAATCAGTACGAAGTGACTCCGTCGAGTAGATGAAGCTTATGCAGTGCACGACTCGAGGCGTGGCTAGGCTAGAGTGACGAGCTGCCCATCTGTCATTGACGAGTGTAGTCCCTCACCCGCCATCCTGAGGAAGGCACAGCATAACACACTCCTATAAGTAAGTCTCTCATCCACAACTACCCCGCCAACAACCCATCTCAATGCTGTCCCAACGCCCACAGAACCAAAACTAAGCCTTGATGTCCTTCAAGAAGCGCTCCCGCACCGCCTTCGAAGCCGACGCCGCCAGTAATGCCGGCCCACCCCCGCACGCCCCCTACGCCCTCTACGGCACCCCTCTCCCCGCCCCCCGCGACGCCGATGCGCGCGACGACGGCACCTACCTCCCCATCTGGAAGCAAGAAGTGACCGACGAGCGCGGGCGCAAACGTCTGCATGGCGCCTTCACGGGCGGATGGAGCGCGGGGTATTTCAATACGGTGGGGAGTAAGGAGGGTTGGACGCCGGCTACTTTCGTCTCGTCGCGGAGTAAGCGGGTGCACGATGGGGATGGAGGGCGGGGACAGACGCCGACGCCGACGCAGACGCGGGTGAAGGGTCAGAGGGTGGAGGATTTCATGGATGAGGAGGATTTGGCGGAGCGGGCGGAGGGGCAGAGGTTGGAGTTGGAGGGGAGCTTTGCCGGGTTGGGACGCGCTGCTGCTGGTGGTGGCGATGGTGGTGAGAGAGGAGGGATGTTTTCGGATCTGTTCCGGACGTCGGGAGATGAGACGATGGGTGTCAAGCTGCTGCAACGCATGGGCTGGCGGCCGGGACAGGGTGTCGGGCCGAAGGTGCGTCGGAAGGCGAAGGGGGATGAGAAGGGCGAGGTGCATCTGTTCGCGCCGGAAGATTCACGAATGGTGAGCTTTGAGCGGAAGACGGATCGCAAGGGTTTGGGGTATGCGGGAGAGGGCAGGCTCGAAGGTCATGGTGGTGTCGCGAGTCAGGCGCACGAGGACGACGGTGACGAGCGGGATGCGCGCATTCTTGAAATGAACCGTTCAAAGTTGCTGAAGAAGCCGGCGAAGACGAAGAAGACGGGCTTCGGTGTCGGCGTGCTTAATGACACTGGTTCTGACGACGAGGACCCGTATGCCATTGGACCTCAGATCAGCTACAACCGCGTCATAGGCGGCGACAAAGGCAAGAACAAGAAGAAGGGTGGCCTCATCGCAGGCAGTACCAATCCTGCAACACCTGTGAAGCCGACCTTCACCTCCAAGAAACTCACCCAGCAAGTCGCGACCCTACCCGGCTTCCGCAAATGCCATGACGGACGCCTGCCTCTCGACGGCTTCGTCCTCTCCCTCGCGCCGCTGACCCTATCAGACTCCCATCCTCCGCCCGAAGTACCATCCACCTGGACCAGTTCCAAACTCCAACCCGACTCCAAAAGTGCCGACACCTCCGCAAATCCCTACAAATCCACCACCGCCGTCGCCAAAACCTCAACCCTCACCCCCACCTCCCGCGCCACACTCCTAGGCGAACAACCCCTCCCCGGCAAATCCGTCTTCGACTTCCTCTCCCCCGCCACCCGCGACCGCCTCGCCACCGCCAGCGGGAACTCCAACCTCCCACCCGCTCGCAGCGAAGGCGCCCCTGCAGGCTACACCCCCAACTCCGAAGACCAACGCCGCACCCTCTGGGACCTCATCCCGCCCCTCGAGAAATCCACCGCGGAAGCCGCGCTCAACCGGTGGAGTGACGCGGGCTGGATGCCCTACGCCGAGGATGAAGGGAAGAGGGCGCGGTATCGCGCTTTCCTCTCCCTACGCGCGGGTCTGCATGCATCCCTGCCTGAGAGGGGAAAGGGGATGAGTGTCGAGGACTGGGCGAGGGAACTGCGCGAGTTTGCGCAGGCGGCGGCGGTGTTCCGACCGATTTCGGGACTTATGGCCGCGAGGTTCACTACGTCTACTGGCACGGCACGGCTTGCTTCGGATGCTGCAGAGGCTGGGAGTGGTAACGGACAGCGGGAAGGGGAGGGGAGCAGGGGAGAAGATCCGGCGGAGGAGGCGGCGAGGGTGGGGATGTATGGGCCTTTGACTCGCGTGCGGCTGCCGTTTTACCCGACGAGGTTGCTTTGTAAGCGGTTTGGGGTTAAGCCGCCTGTCGATACTCGTGTGGATGGAGATGGCAGTGATGGTGGTGGTGGTATTGGGAAAAGCAGGCTGGATGTTGTTGTTAGTCAGGCGAGTTTGAACCGGATGATGGAGGCGAAATGGAGTACGCCGGGTTTTGTCTCGGGTGGGGTGGAGGGGACGGAGATGGGCGGAGAGCGGGATGGGAGGGAGGCGGTGGGAGTGCAACAGTCAGTTGAAATTGATGCTGAGAAGAATGAGGCGCTGGAGGGTCAGAGGGCGGGCGAGGCGGTTTTTAAGGCGATCTTTGGGAGCGATGATGAGGATGAGTAGGGGAAGAATGCCGACGACCTCTTCAATGAACATTCCAACTTGTGTTTGATCACATTGCTGGGCATGGTGACCGTGCCCAAGCAAGTTAGGAGCCCTTCGCGTAACAACGGAGGACACCTATTAGCCGGCTACGGCAAAGACGAAGGCTCCTCGTAGGGTTGCAGACCAACCTTCCAGTCTACTTCCGAGCGCATTGATTCACGAGTCAAGTGGTTGAACCCACAATGGTGCGTGATTTGAAACGGGATACGCTTTGTCCTTCTCATACATGTATCCACCGCCCTAAATGGTGCCTTAGGCGCAGAAGCGCCCGAGACGTATCCGGACACTCCCGCCGGAAACATGCCGCTCCCCGCCAAGACATCGCAAAGGCACACCCAAAATTACCACTAGCGCACGAGTTTGGGTGACAGCAGCTTTGTCGCCGACGACATTGACCGAACAACCAACACCAACACCGCGGCCCAACATGTCCTCCTTCGAGCCTGTCGTACGTCTCCGTACTCAGCCCTTGCTATAGCGATGCACACGGGCATACTAACGCAGTGGAACAGGTGGTCATTGACGGCAAGGGCCATCTGCTCGGCCGCCTCGCCAGCACCGTCGCCAAACAACTCCTCAACGGGCAGAAGATCGTGGTCGTCCGTTGCGAAGCCCTCAACATCTCCGGCGAATTCTTCCGATCAAAGCGTACGCAACCCTCCTTCCAACCATATCCACGCACGCCCAGCCGGCAAACACCCACGGAACACGAGCATTACTGACTGACTTTGACTTCATGCAACAGTGAAGTACTCCGCCTTCCTCCGCAAGCAAACCCGCTTCAACGCCACCCGTGGAGGTCCATGGCACTACCGCACCCCGGCCAAGATGTTCTGGCGTACGGTCCGCGGCATGATGCCGCACAAGACCGAGCGCGGCGCCAAAGCGCTCGAGCGCCTGAAGGTGTTCGAGGGCATCCCCCCGCCATATGACCGGAAGAAGCGCATGGTCGTGCCGGCGGCGTTGAGAGTGTTGAGGTTGAAGCCGGGCAGGAAGTACTGCACCGTTGGCCGACTGGGGCATGAGTTTGGGTGGAAGTACAGGGATGTTGTTGAGAGGTATGTTTTGAGTACATCTCGTTGGGTTACTGTGGGGCGATTCGTGGGGATTGTGTATGGCTGACTTTTGGTGTGTGCGATTCAGGCTCGAGGAGAGGAGGAAAGTCAAGGGACAGGCGTACTATGAGCGCAAGAAGGCGGCGAGGAAGATGCTGGCGGATGCCAAGCAGAACGCGGGTGTCAGCGACGAGACGAAGCAGCAGCTGGAGAGCTTGGGATACTAGATGCAGGCATTCTCTCTGCGTAGGTTTGCACAGGCGCATGCGGGCGATGCCTGGGATGGGTATTGAGTGTGTTGCTTTCTCCTGTTAAACGCACAGACGACGCAGCACGTCTGTCGGTGCGGATGTGCTGCGTACATGACACAGACATTTCAAGAACATGACCGTTGCAACACTCGACATACCGTGTCGCTGGCTGTTATTGGTATCTCAACCCGTGCACGGCGGATCGTGGTGATGGTGGGTGGTTCTGCTTGTTGTGTAGCCCTTGCACTGCTCTACTTACACTCGCCGTCACGTGAAATGCGATTTCCGGTAAGGAGCAACCGCTCCCTGCAACAGTGTCGAACATTTCCACGCCACGAGAAAGAGTACAGCATTAGGCTCGTCACGGAGATCGGTTTCTGCTGCTATGATGCTCTTTTAGATACTCAATGCTCCCCGCTATGCCTCAACCGCTACCGCCATTGCGGCGCTGCTTCGACTCGAGTTTGGCCACACCGGCAGAACAGGACCATACTCGGCTTGTTAGGCAGCGCCCGCCCTCTTGCCTGCAGTGACTCGGCGATGTGGTTGAGGTAGATGCGGCACAGATTGCTCGACGGTCTCCACCACAAGCCCTCCAGTCTCTTACGGGCTCACGCTCACGATCAGCATGCATCAAGCACTCCCTCACGCCATCTCTCCGATCTTGCTCAAGCCCTTCAAACTTCCCAGACTCAGTGCCAGCCCTTGACTGCGACTCCGAATCCGCATAAAGCCCGTGACGAGGCTACTCTCCCCGTCCTTCTCCACGCTCAAGTTCGCCAAAGCATCCTCACCTACACATACAACGTATCAGCGACGTTCACACAAACGCATGCGGGGGCGTATAGACTTACCGAACACGCTTCGCGCATACAGATTCGCGGACAAGAACTGACAATCTCCCGAAAGGCTGGCCTCGGGAGTAAGGCAGCTCATGTTCGTGACCTTCATCAACCGCTGCAAAAAGTCCCTCAGGCCCTTCCCGTCCGGCATTTTCGTGGAGATGTTGATTTTGTTTTCCCACTCGAATTCCGTCCACATCGTCCGGAATTGCGCCTCGGTGCACTGGGCTGGGTGTATGTAATCCATGATGTCGACGTGTACGTCGTTGAGGATGACCACATTGCTCTCCGTACTCGACGGGCCGTCGTACACCACATTGCCAAAGATCACGCCCGTGTCTGTAGAACTGACCTTGACCGTCGCCTGAACGTTGAGGAAGTCAAGAGCGGGCAGGTTCTGCGTGGTGGGTCGCTCGACGACTTTCAGATCGCCTAGCGTAGCAAACTCCACGGACAGATTCTGCAGCGTTTCGCGCGTTTGATTGACGAGGAGGACGTCGAGTATGATGTCGAATTGGTGAACCTGGACGTAAGCTTCGGCGTAGACGGGGTCAGAGAAACCGGTCAGCTGCACGACTCTGCTCAGCTTGCTCGTGAGATTCTCCGCCGCAGATGCATCGCCTCCCGTCGCCTTCTCGACGTCCTCGGTCACGTCGTCTGCTCCGTCAAGCATGTTCTTCTTGCTAAGCTGACGGATAGAGACCACATCGTCGACTTGGACCGCACTCTTCGCCTTGAGCACGTCTTCTTTCTCTTTCCGCTTCCGCTCCTCCACTTGCACCATGTCTCGGAAGGCTTTCCGGGTGTCGTCAAGGAACGCGGTTTCGAGGTCTTTCTTCTGCGCAAACTCTGCGAGACTGCGCACGCAGCTCATAATACGGTCCACGGAGTCTTCGTCGATGGGTGCTTTCACGAAATGCGACTGACCTGCGCGGATTATGCTGATCATAATCAACATTGCCTCCGCCTTCAGCGCGTTCGTCCGTGCTTTGTCGTTGGAGATTTCGGAATGTCTCATGACTAATTTGGTGAGGGTGGACGAGAGGACAGTGGCTAGATAGAAGTCTCCGTCCAGTATGAGCTGCCGAAGGGGCGGTTTCGAAGCCGCCTTTACAGCGTCCAGCTTCGCCTGTGTGCTGGCTTGACTCGTGAGTGCCGTTTGCGTGGCGTACGTACCATCCGCTAGGACTCTCGAAGCCGTTGACGCTGCGGCCGGTCTAGGATGGCCGTTGGTTTGCGTTAGATCGACTGCAGGCTCCGTCTCGCCGTCGGGCTGCTCTTCGAGTAAGCGCGCCTCTGATGCTACGATCGGCACCTCGCCTAGACTCGCCCGTATCCGCTTCCAGGCGTCGCGGATATCTTTCTCTTCGAGCGAGTACTCCCCGATAATCCATAGTGCACCCCTGTAAACTTTACCAGCTCGCACCTCGCTAAGCGTGGCTACCAACCTTTCCACGATTCCTGAGCGCATCTTTGGGAAGCGCTCAACAACCTCCTTCACAAAGCTGATTACATCCACCGCCGACGCATTGTTAAAGTCGGATATGAAGTCCATCAATAAGCCGACAACGCTCTGCGCGACCTCTGAGAATTTGATGGCGCATTGGTGGATGCTGTGGATAAGGAGAGACCGGTACTCGGTATTCTTTTCGTATGCTTGCTCGTCAACAGTCTTAGAGAGCTCTTTCTTGAGCAGCATGACCACTTCCTCTACGTTTCTGCTGCTCACCATCTCCATAGCCAGCTCGAGTGCTTTTCTTCGCACATCTAGATCAGGCGATGACAGCACGCGAAGTATCTCCATGGTCAGGTCGTCGAGCACGCCTTCATTCGCTTGCCGTAACTGGTTGACCTTCTCCAGCACAATGAGCTTCACGTTGTTGTCCGACTCCTTGATACTGAGCTCAATGAACTTGCCAGCTGCTGCTTTTACTGCGACAGGGTTGTTCGTGAGCGCCGTCAGACTCGAGGCCGCTTCATATACTACTGTGCTCTCCTTTGCTTCCAGCAAATCGAAGATAAGTCGTAGGTACCGTGCCTTGTTCTGCTGGTTTTGTACAGCGTCCTTGCGAATGAACTCCAGCTCCACCAGTTGCAACAGCTCGCTTGCATTTGGTATGCCCTCAAAGACGCCTGACAGATACTCCAGCGCTTTTTCGTGGCTAATGCTGAGAAGCGCAGCAAAAGCATTCCGCTTGCATGTGTTGTCGCTCTCGCCTTCGAGGAAAGTCTGGATCAGCTCTGGCGCATCCGGCATGAGGTGCTCGGAATGCTGGAAGATGGATGCGATGGCGAAGACGGCATTCTTCCGCACATAGCTGTGTCTGTGCTCCAAGCACGCTCGTGCAGGCGCAAGCAACGGCTCTAGAAGCTCCGGTTCCCGCAGCTTGCAAAGGAATCGCAACGTGTTGCCTCGAATGTACTCGTTCGCGTGCTGTAGGTCCATCCGGATGCCGTTACACACCAGAATCATCTCTTGCTTCAGCTTGCCGCTCAAGTCCAGTTTCGGGCAGACTTCGTAGTACAGATACAGCAGCTTCTTGAGCTGCTTACTCCGGCTAGGCATCACGAAGCGGATGATGTGCATAAGAAGGTTCGGCATAGGGTCGCCATTAAGCATAATCGTCAAGATGCGCTTCATCGTCTCCACCTTGGTGTCATCGGAGCCCTTCTCAAGCTGATTCTTGAGGTCTTGTTGGGACGGTTGGTCGGCGGTGTTGTCCTGATGGACCAACGAATACGAGCTTTCTAAGAAGGTCGCCATGGTGGGGGATCAGGTCGTATATTCCCTTTCAGGTTGTCCGAGCCCAAAAGACCAAGCTTCCTTTGCGGCAGAGTAGTATGGTGTGTCAAGGCCAGCTCTCTCTGGCACAATACGCCAGTCTCCGCTTTCCAGCTGCCTCACTTTCTGCCAAGGTTAACTTCCAGCAGTGTCAGGCATTGATTGCTTGTGCCAGGTCTGAGGCCAGGCCAATCGTCCAGGTCAGGTGCTCAAGGTGTAATCCGCGATCGTGTTGGCGTCTCAAGCTACATGTATCCATTGATGTGGACCCTTCCTCACTTCCGTTCCCCGTGTCCAGAAAGTTTTGGCTTGGCAGCGACAGCCATCGCGCTAGCTCAGCCCTACGCGCAACTACAAGAACCGACAGTTATCAAGCTTACGACATATCTCAATAGACCATCTAAGTCCACCGCCATGGCAGCCACAGGCGAGCCGTTCTACGTGCGCTACTAGTACGTGTACTCAAAGTAGATTGTGTCCTAAACGCTAACCGTGTTCCAGCTCTGGACACTCTGGACGATTTGGCCACGAATTCTTGGGTATGCTTGCCCTGTTTCAGCACGTTGATGAGCTTGCAAGCATACTGAACTTTGGGCAGAGTTCGACTTCCGTGTAGTCGGCGATGGCCGCTCAGCGATAGCGCGATATGCCAACAATTCGAATTATCGCAACGATTCGCTCATCCGGAAAGAAAGTGCGCAATCACCCAGAATGAACAACGCGCATGTACTGATTTACGTGAAATTATAGTGTGCGTGAGCTCTCTCATGGTCGAGGAGATCAAGCGCATCATCAAGGAGAGTGAGATCATGAGGTGAGTCTGTGCATCAGCGACATTGCCGGCAACTGCACTTGATCATACGTACTAACAGCGACCAGGGAAGACGACACCAAATGGCCACAGAAAAATAAGGACGGAAGACAGGAGCTTGAGATCAGGCTCGGAAGCGAGCACATCTCCTTCGAGGTACCGCAGCTTCCCATCTTGTGCGCCGATGAACGAGCACGTTCTGACTGTTTATCTAGACCGCCAAGATTGGCTCGCTCGTCGATGTGAACGAGTCCGAAGACCCAGAAGGTCTACGCGTCTTCTACTACCTTGTCCAGAACCTAAAGGCGCTTGTGTTCTCGCTTATCTCGCTGCACTTCAAGGTAAGCGGCGCAACATCGTTGTTTCTGGGGCTCACCGATTCTTACTGTGCTTTCGCAGATCAAGCCAATCTAATTAGGGGGCCGCGGGCGGTCACTTGCGCCCGCAATATGACTGAGGCAACTGATACGATGGTCGTTTGACCACAAGGCTTGCGCAAAGTGCTATGCATGGCGACTGCATACGCGTTGTTATCAGCGTTGCCTTCACTCGAGGGAGCAGGCTGCTCCCCGCTGCAGAGACCAAGCGAGGTGTAAGTGATATGTTATTCGAATACAGACGAGAAGACTGATTCGGTTATACAGCTTCTCACGATAGATGTTGGCAGCAGAACTTGCGTCTTCTTGCACCCGAGGAGGGCTTCGCAACAGGTCATGATAGAGCAGATTGGCAATGAGCGCCCAAGCTTCGCAGATGGCGCTTGTTCTGACGGCGTAAGGTCGCTAACCATAAGCACAACTTTCCAGACGGAAGAAATTACCCCACCCAGCTGGCGTGCCGTTCCACAACGCCAGCGCTATGCGATCCAAAACAATGCACGCTTCTCCGTCATTCAGCGCCATACGGAGCAAAACCAGTCACAGCATAAAGGGGCCAACTCATTTACCCAGGATCTTATTGATCTTCGCCACCATGTCCTCGATCTTGTACGGCTTGCTTATCACCTACGGAGACAGCACTGTTAGCTTCCACGCCCGCATCTCAGTCATTAGGAAGGCTTGACTTACGTCGTCCATGCCACTGCTGATCATTTCATCCTGCTGTGCTCCCCTCACATTCGCAGTCACGCCCAGGATTGGCAGCCGCTCGATCTCGCCCTTGTTCTGCATCTCCCGGATCGCTTTTGTCGCAGCATTACCGTCCATTACCGGCATCTCCTGATCCATTAGTATCACGTCAAACAAGCCATCGTCTCCACCAGAAGTTCTCGGGCCTTGGCGGACTAGATCCACAGCAACTTGCCCGTTATCTGCCGTGGTGACGGAGAAGCCTTTGGCTTGCAACTTGCGATTGACGATGCGCTGATTTATCACATTGTCCTCCACGAGCAGAACCCGCGTACGTCCATTCGCTGTCGGCTCGACACGGTGGCCATTTGGTGATTCTTTGGGACTGGCAGCCTTGCTCTGCTTCTCGCTTTCTTCACGCTGCGCGGGTGAATCATACTTTGGTTCCTTCTCCTCTTCGACTTTTTCAGCCACTTCGGCAGTCTTATCGTATCGATCACTCTGATGCTGGTGCGGGTGTGGCGCGCAGTCCTGCGTATCTTCCACTGGAGGGTTCTTTAAGCTCTCCGGTGCTGTTCCGGAGTCGATGTTCTGCTCCGTGTCGTTGCCTAGCTGCTTGACTTGAGTCTTCCACTGCCCCTCAGTCACAGACTGCTCCTCCGGTCGACCGTCAAAATCACTTGGCTGCGAAGATCGGCGCACTTTGAAGAAGAACCCGAAGGTGCTACCGTGGCCTTCTTTAGAGCTGACGCCAATCTCTCCGCCGTGCAGATGGCAAAGCTTGCGGCTTATATTTAGACCGAGGCCCGAACCGCCATACATTTCGCCAGTCTTTGGTGTAGCTTGCCTGAAGCGCTCGAAGAGGCGTTTCTGACCTTCGTCGGAAATACCAATCCCCGTATCTTTCACGGCGATCAACATGTATAGTGCTTCGCCATCACCCCAGTCGGCGGAGTTCGTGTGGTCCATTCGATATGCTAAGTCGTCGGAACTGAAGAACACAACCTCCGGAGGATAGCTTGTCGGACGCTCATGGCTTGCTCCAATGCTAACCACAACCTTCTTCTCGCCCTCACTTTTCGCGGTGAACTTGATCGCGTTGGACACCAGGTTGATAAGGACCTGACCAATCCTAGCCAAATCCGCCATCACCCAGTCAACTTCGTACTCCACGTATGAAGTGTCAATACGATAGCCGAAAGTCATGTTCTGCTTCCGGAACTCCGGCTGGAAGATCTTGAGGGAATTGGCCAGTTGTCTACTTGGTTGAGACGAGCGTGGTACTAGTGACAACATCGAAGCATCTAGTTTCGAGAAGGACAGTACATCATCCACAATGTTCCTTTGATGATCGATGCAGAGGTTGATCGTTTCGACCGCGTCTTTAATCGCTGCTATGTCGATGTTGTGTTCGTCTTGTATGGCTTCTTCGATATCTTCAGAGCAGTGAAGTACAGCAGAGAGCGGGTTACGGATTTCGTGAGAGATCATGTCAATAAAGCGCTCCTGCTGCTCTTTGCGCTCCAGCGCTTCCTTGGCAGCTTTGCGCTCACTGATCTCGGCACCCTTCTCGGAGCTGATGTCGACAATGCTGCAAATGAAGCCACCGTACTCCCGTAGGCTGATGTGCTGCAGGTTGTCGTCGCCAAGAGGGGTCAAAAGTAATAGACGCCACCGAGAATCACCACCTTGTGCGCGGAATTCTGTGCGAAGCTGCTGTTGGGAGACGAAAGCGTCGTGATACGCATTCATGACTCGGTCGTAGTCGTCCGGATGAATACTTGCAGGCCACGATTTGAATGACTGATCGTCGCCATGGTGGGTGGTGAGCTCGTAGAAATGTTGGTTTACGAAAATCGCTTGTGCGGTGTGATCCAGAATGGCCAGGCCGGAGGGCAACATCTCGGCAAAGCGATGAAAGAAGGGATGTTCGTCCAGGGGGACGTTGTCAACTACTTCCCCTAACTTGGACAGATCCATTTGATGGTTTTCTGAAGTGTCGAGGTCTTGGTGGCCAAAGGTAGCTTCCTTACCTCCAGCATGGGACTGCTCTCGCCGGTCATCGTCATGAGGTCGGGGCACGAGTTGGGCCAACAATCCAGCCGGCCCTTTCTGGGTGCCTTGGGCGAAAAGCGGACTGAGAAGAACAAAGTACTTCTCATCCTCCTCCGCAGCGGTACGCAAAAGCGTTCTGCTCGGGATCTTCTGCGGTCTGCCACCACGCAATGCATTCGTGAGCGCCCGGAATCCATCAGCACTCAGCTTGCCACGCTGTCGTTGACCCTGCTCAGTGGTTCCTATTATATCGGTCCAGGCGGCGTTGCACAGTGAGATCAGTTCCTCGCCCCAGTATATGCAAGCCGGGTGAACAAAAGAGTCCAATGTCAATGTGAATGCTTGGAGTGTAGGCGACCAAGTCTGTGGCTCGCCAAGCGCGCAGTCTGCCCACTGCGATGCATCGCCGGGAAGAGGGTTAACAAATGCTCCGCCATCGGCTTCAGCGTCCGATGGTTGCTGTTGCTGTTGCCCTTCGTTCTGCTGCTGTAGGCCGGTATCAGAGGACGAGATACTGCGGGGGATCTCCGGCTTCTTCTTCATTAAGCTGTCGCCGGAAACGAAACCCTCCGTTGAAGCCTCGCTTGTCTGCTGCGGCATTGCAAGCGAGACAACAGCGCATGCGAGTGTGGCTCTTCATGATGATCGCGAGCCCGCGAACCTTGACTTTGCCGTCGGCAAGTCCATTTCAGATCGACGATGCAGCCCGCAACACGGGTGTGACGTTGTCATCTTGTCACGTGCGCAAGTTGCCTAGGGTCTAGAAAGGCGCCACTCTTTGGCTTCAGCCGTGAGCCCGTCAATGTCGCGAAACCCTTACTATTTCTATGCTGTGCCAGTGGAACTTCTCATACCCTTGAGAGTGCTTGGGCGCGTGGCAACGCAGCGTTCTGTGACCCAACATGAGTGTGAGGAGCTTGCTGTCCGTTCTTCAACATCATCTGCGTGCGAGTGCTGATGCAATAGCATGTGCTGAGATGCCTACATGCTCCGTCCTTACCCCTGCTCCAACTCCCTGTGAGAAAACGGGCGAGGCTCGTCCATACAGTCTTTCCCACGGTAGCAGGATCGTTTCTTTCTGCAGCCATATGCTGGGCTACATAAATCGCAGATGGCAGGAGGGAGCGTAGCGCTGCAACAAGCCTATACTTCAGACCATGGAAACACAAGACTGCATCCTCGACCGTACCTTGTGCGCACGCTCGATCCTCGGCAAGTCTCACCAGAGTGCCCGACCCGGGGCTGTTTGTGATATGTTCGCGTTGCTGGGCCATACATACCGCTTACATTCCAGTCTTCCTTGCCGACCGCATGTTTTCAACTCTATCCGAACGTCGCACACGACTGTCATGACGTCCACATTCAAATTACCAGATCCTGACGATATCTGATCCCGTGCCCAATTGAATATCCACGACTTTTGTTCTACACACTCGTTACGTTTTGCTCCTAGTGTAATGCGTCTATCAACGTTACTTGTCGTCTTGGCCACATCCTACGCGTCAGCGAGATCAAACCGCTTCAATGGACGAGAGGAGCATGCAACGAGTGGCGGTATTGGGGGAGTGAGACCGATCGATCGTCTTAATAGGCGTACCAATAACAATCAGATCTCTGAGCTAGACTGCGAACCGGTCGGCGAAAGCCTTAATCTCAAGCCAGCACCGATACGTTTTGAAGATGCAGCTGTGCAGGCAGAGTTCGCTGGTCTCGCTCATCTTCTTATTGAGCAACGAGGAGAATGGACACGAGAACGTCGGCTTCGAGACACTGCCAAATGATCCTGACGTCAACAACCCGCTTAGTCCTACGTTTCAGAGCGTTCGAGGCGATCCCGCAACTGGGAAGCAGACATCCACGCCAGAAGGACTTGCCGCGAAGCCTGCTAGTGGCGCCACAGTCAACGGGAGCAAGCAGCAGGTCAATAGCGTACAGGATCCTGGAGTCAAATTGGGGTAGTAGCCAACCCGAAGAACAAGGCTGTTATAGCAAATGACCCTGCCAGCACTTGTCCATTGACAGGTTTACACCATGACCATGATGCCAAGCACATATACGTCCACCATCTATCCAGTAAGTGGTGCGTTGGCTTATCGAGTTGCGTCCCGCTATAGTTCCACCCACTTCTAGACAATTACAAGCCCACCGACTACGTCCACGGCATACACAACAACAGCGTCACAATCAGCATGTACGGAGACGAATGCGATATATCCTTGCGCATTGGGCTACCATTGCGTGGAGGTTGCGGCTTGCGAATGGGAATGCGTGCCTTTGGCTGCAACGGCTGCGGCGGGTCCCTGAGTTGCTTCGTCACCTTCGTAGACGGATCGATGGCGTTTGAAAGAAACATGGTTGTGGGCAGAGAGTTCTGTTCCTGAGTCGATGAAACTGTTGATGTAACGACTAATGGTTATCTATAGTTGACGCGTTTAGTAAATTGGCGCGCGTAGCGAGCTCTGACCCAGCTTGATCATCCGCACAAAGACGGCACTGGAATGACTCTAGTCGCACAAGTACGGCCTTTGATGCTCATACTTTTTTTCATTGTCTATGGCCGATCCCCAGGTCCTCTCCGCAGTCAAGTCCACTTGCCGATGCGCGCTGCGGAGACGACAGCCAACCAGAGACAACACTCCAAACGCATTGCATGATTCACGCCGACCTCGGTGCGGACAATTGTTCCACGAATAAGTTGGTCCTCTCATATGTTTGTCGGTTCCCAAGAAGTTGTCCCAGTACAGACTTCAAACAAATCGCGACCATTTGCCATCCGCAATCATGTCTCCAATCGCGATACCTGGGAAGCACGAATATAGCATAGCTTGCATGCCGGCAGATGGCATCGGTCCAGAAGTCATTGGCGCAGGTGTTGAGGTGCTCAAAACCATGAGCGAGGCATCCTCGGGCGCCTTTACATTTCAATTTGAGGACTACGACTGGAGCAGCGACACATACAAGAAGCTGGGCAAATACATCCCAGACGGAGGCCTTGAAGACCTTCGACGACACGATGCGATTCTCTTTGGCGCAGTGGGAGCTCCTGGTAACGCCTTGCGTATATTTAGTGGGACGGTATACGCAGCCTACTGACCCATCGTAGACGTACCCGATCACATCAGTCTGTGGGGCCTACGATTAGCCATATGTCAACCTTTCCAACAATATGCAAACGTACGACCGACGAAGATTCTACGCGGTACCGAGTCACCTCTGCGTAAAGCAAAGACGGGTGATCTGGACTGGGTCATTATCCGCGAAAACAGCGAAGGCGAGTATGCTGGCCAAGGAGGTCGATCGCATCGCGGCCAACCCTGGGAGACGTCCACCGAGGTCAGCATCTTTACTCGCCACTGCGTAGAACGCCTCATTCGTTTCGCTTTCGAGATCGCACAAAAGCGGCCGAAGAAGCACATCACCGTAGTGACCAAATCGAACGCACAGCGGAATGGTATGGTGATGTGGGATGAGATTGCTTACGAAGTCGCCAAAGACTTCCCGGACGTTCAGATGGACAAGATGCTCGTTGACGCAATGACCTGTCGGATGGTACTGCAACCGAACTCGATTGACACGATTGTGGCTACTAACCTCGTAAGTCTCCCGCGGCAATCGTCAGAAAGCAGAAAGCTGACCCTCATGCAGCATGCGGACATTCTCAGCGACCTAGCTGCAGCATTAGCAGGCTCTATCGGGATAGCACCGACATCAAATCTGGACCCGACTCGGAAGAATCCGAGCATGTTTGAGCCAATCCACGGCTCAGCATTCGACATCACCGGCAAGGGCGTTGCAAATCCCGTGGGCACCTTCTGGACAGCGGCAGAGATGTTGAGGTGGTTGGGTGAGGAGCAGGCGGCTGACGTGCTGATGGAGTGTATCGAGAAAGTCTGCGAAGCTGGTATTCTGACTCGTGATCTCGGCGGTACTGCTGGCACCAAAGAGGTCACCAACGCTGTGTGTGAGGAGGTACGCAAAGCGTATGGGCGGAAAAGGGGTGATTAGCCAGCTTCATCCCTTCCCAGGATGTCGTTGATGTACATTTCGTCTCCGGCCACGAGAATGCAAGGCCGCTGCGTTGGCAGCGCCCCGACTGCTCGATTTTACAGCATGACGTTGCGAAAGCGTTGGTCAACAGAGTGACGCCTTGCCGGTCACCTAGTCACTGAAAGCCATTGCTTGCAATGTTGTTGTGTCCGTGATCGTGAGGTTGCGAGAGACCAATCAGTGCAAATGGAAGCGAGCAAGCGTTTGGAGCCTGGCGGGGCAAGCTGATGCCTCATGCTGTTCAAACTTCCATCTGAACCAATATGAAAGCCTCACCTTGACTGTACTCGCATCTCCACTGAGTGATCCGGAGGGTGAGATATTTGACTGACCATGTCGGCGTCAACTCCTACCCGGCCGAAGCGAAGTCGAACCTCGTCCTCGCTGTCTGTACGCCGCTCAGTGACGGTACCGAAAACCGAGGTCACCATCAACGTTTACGACCTCCTTCCAGTACGTCCGGCCCTTGCACGATTTTATCCTGAAGAGCGCTAACTGACAACTCAGCCATAGCCTGGTCGACTCTCGTCCTTCCTTTGGACCATTGGTGGCAGCCTTCTCCATTCTGGCGTTGTCATCAATGGCCGAGAGTATGCATATGGTGGGCATAACCGCCGCAATACTACCGGAGTCTACTACACAAAGCCACGGCTAGAGCCACCAGGAGGTACCTTTCGTTGCAACATCTTGCAAGGCTTCACCTTCCGTACACAGGCGGAGATTGACAACATCATCCGCTCTGTAAGCGAGCAATTCCTAGGTGAAAGATACAATTTACTGTCGAATAACTGCAATCACTTCACAAATGCCTTGTGCGAGCGATTGACTGGCAAGTATGCTCCTGGCTGGCTCAACCGTGCGGCGGGAATTGGACTGGCATTGCCATGCATGGTACCTAGCGAGTGGGTCAACCCGCCGGATGCCGAGACGGCGGACGGCGAGCTTGTGGAAGATGAAGAGGACGACGATGAGCGGGCAGCAATGCTACAGAGCGACAGGCGGCGAAGAGGAGAGCATAGAAGGCAAGAGAGTGCTCTCCTCTATGACAACCTTATGGAGGGCGGAACCAGGGTCACGTCCGAGCCTAGCACACCGCCAGCCAGGCTTGTCAACGTGCGGGATACTTCAGGGAGAAAAATGCCGGCCGCGGAACGAGCACCTATGCCCAGCAGCAGCAAGCGCTGAACGTCCTACTATCGCTGTTATTTCGCTATCGCTACCTGCGATGAGCCTGCGTGCGCATCATACAGGTCCTGCTGGTCGCCGACGGACCCCAAGTCGTCCGAAATTGCGACTCCGATCTCTGAATCGTCCAACGATTCATCGTCTAGCTCGCCTTCACCATCATTCAGCGCTTTCGAATGATACAGTGACTCTGCCAGTTGCGCCTTGTGCCAGGCCAGGTTACGCTGGTATGCTGTTTTGCTCTCCGCCGCCCCGGGCGACGTTATGCCGCTCGAGAGCTTTCGCAGTACAGACTTCTTTGATCGCGCCAAAGCCATGCTAAGCATCTCGTGAATTCGACCTCGCTGTGGCCCGTCCGCCGTGAGGCCGTACTCCCTGAACCCTAGGCTCAGCGCCGTATGTCCGTCGACAGTCCTGGCGTCAGCTGCGACACCTTTCGAAAGGAGCAGCTCTACCATGTCTGGCCGACAGCTCCAGGCTGCCATATGCAGTGGCCGCCAACCGCGAGTATCGCTCTCTTCGAGCTTGGCGCCGCCTGCGATTAGCATGTGAGCGACATCGTCGTGTCCAAACTCAAGTGCGAGGTGGAGAGGTCGAGAGCCTGAATGAGGCCACCGTATCTCGGCCCAGTAGCCTCGCCTCGCAGCTTGGTTGGTACGCTTCTCCGGCTTGAAGGAGGGCGTGGCCAGCTTTTCCTCTATGCTGATTCCGCGCGTAATGCACTCCGCGACAAGCGCGGCGTGACCGTAAGCAGCGGCCAGATGGATCTATCACGAATGGTCAGTGGGCTTCGCCGTAGGCTGCGCATAGATTGGTCAACCTACCGGCTTCCAGCCATACTTGTTGGACTCCTTTAGCTTTGCACCCTTCTCTAACAGCTTCGCTGTGAGTCTGAGGTCACCCTTCCGCACAGCATGATGAATGGGTTCCTGGCTGTCGGCATCTTTCATCGTCACACTCGCATCTTTATGCGATGCTAGCGCAATGGCGGTGAATGTATGCCCGGCTGCTGCGGCCATGTGCAGCGCGGTCTCTTCTGTCTTCTTCGTTTGTGCCTTCCATGAGGCTTTGAGGCTGAGCAGACGTTCCACCATGGGCTGACGGTCATGCAGAGCTGCGAAATGCAACGGAGTATAGCCTTGAGGACTGCGGTCCTTGAGACTTGCTTTCTCGTTGAGGACGAGCTCCAGCATGGGTAGGCTGCCGCCTTGTGCGGCATAAGCCGTCATTCGCCACGGATCTTTCATCTTCTTGGTCTTGACCCCTTTGGCAAGCAGAGCCTGAGCAGTGGGCGTATCTCCCAGTCTGACCGTCTCCAAGAAGGCAGCAATCAGTGGCTCTTCGTTCGCTTTTCGCAGAGGCACAGCATTGACGAGGGTTAGCACAGTATCCGTATGGCCGCCTGCAACGGCGAGCTGAAGAGGCTGTTGCCCTGCAGCATTACAGTCATCGACATGCGCGCCGGCATCGACGAGCATCTGACAGATCTCGGCATCGCCTTTTCGAGCAGCTAGGTGTAACGCCGAGTTGCCTTCACTATCTTTCAAATGAAGCAGAGCGCCCGCTTGGAGCAGGAGACGGCACGCATCCCATCGTCGATGGCACGCAGCCTCCATGATGGCAGTCCTGCCGGTACGGGTGTCAACTTCGTTGACATTACCAGCGTTGATGAGATGATTGCGGAGCTCCTCGAGTCTGTTCTCCACCACAAGTTTGATAATCCGCGGACTGAAAGGGTTGACGAGTGATGAGCGCGCCGTGTCGCGCCGAACCGCTCTTGGTGCCGGTGTCGTCGATGATGATGGGAGTGCTGCGACATACGCTGGTGGGTTGTCATGGTACGGTTGTATAGGCACCTGGTCGAGCTCGACGTTCAGATAGTCAGACGAGTCGAGCGACTGCAGGCTTTGCGCCAATGGCGACATCTTCTCCATTAACATCAGCGTCGACATCCTGTTCCGAGTCAAGGCCGTAGAAGCACGCGAGTTCCGAGAACCCGACGACAATCCGATACTGATGGCCTGTTGAGCTTGCTTTTGTGAGGATGAGGGTGTAGCAACCGGCCCTGGAGCTGAGGGACCAGAAACGGGTTTACGCCGGATCACCGAAGGTGTACTGTAAGCCACTCCTACCGGCACTGGCGTGTGAGTTAGAGCCGTCGTTGTCTGCGCTTGATGTGAAGAAGTCAATGTTAATGCTTTTGTTCCTGATTCCAACCCCGCGTCGTGCCATGGCTGTGGCGCTGCTTCATTAATGTTGTTGCCTACGCTTCGATCCAATTCTGGATCTGGATCCACAGGTGATGCCAATGGCTCCTCTAGCTCGTCAAAAGACACCTCTGACGGCGAGTCGGGCTCAGACGTATTCGCAGCACCATTAGTGGGAACCACGCGAAGATTAGCCAGAGTTATTGCGCTCGTGGACTCTGCCGTGTTTTGCCTGCTCGGTTGTGGAGTCTCGTCATCTGGAAGGTCGGCTTCCGCAGACATCACCGACGCCATAAAGTTTCTATAGTCTTCAGACTGTGGTTCAGATGGCTGCTCACTGCTTTCCTGCTGTATCACGCTTCTGCGGTCATGTCTCGAAGAAGTTTGCACACGTTGCAGTGATCGAGCGCCTCTCGATAGCTCCTGAACTTCGCGTTGAGCGGCTGTACCAAAAGGCCTAGTTGTAACCCGTCAGCATAGACGTGTGAGACACGTTGGCACAAACGTACAGTTGGCAGACAGTGAGACAGAAGCTCATAAGACTCGCGCACTCTCGTACATCCGTCAAGTGTCTCCTCATACGCCCTTCGCTATAGACGAACTTCGTCTTGACCCATTGGTCACTGCCCGCCTTACCAAGCAGCTTCGCAGTGCGTGGCCCAGTGCGTGTAATAGCCTCGATTTCCTCCTGTAGGCGCTGCAAGGCGGCATTAACCGTCGATACGGCATCACCCAACGACTCCATGAGTTCCGACTTGCTCGCCGGATCGGTATACCATAGCCATTCCTGGATGCGCTGAGTACCGGCCTCGAGAACTTTCACCTGCGATTTGATCAAGGCCAGAGTATTATTGGCGGAGCCATAGCTCTCGGTAAGCTCATCAAGCACAATCAGTATAGTCGCCACGGAGATCAACAATCCAGCGGGATCCATTGCGATTAGTGTACAAGCGTTCGCCGTTCAGCTTTGCAGTAGGTATCGTGCATTTAAATCGCATCCTGCGGACAATCTTCGTACAGCTTTTAGTAACAGCGCCGCCATGTCAAAGCTGTGCCGGAACTGAGCTCGCGACTCCACGCAGTCACGCAGTGTCTCGAGAACGGCTCGGTGAGGATTTCCCGCGAATATTGACCAGCAATGTACACTACATACTGAAGGCACACGAGCCATGATTCTTTCCAACCAGCCAACTATAAACGCGCTACAGTAGCCGGCACGGCAAAGTGGAGAGAAGGATTGACATGGATCACCGTACCTGCAGCTGATTCGGCCGCCAGCAAATTCGGGTGGTTTTCATCCCATTACTTGGTACAGCTATGATTGAATATACAGCATCATTGTTCGGTATGATCAGGCGTGGTTTGCTTCCTCAAGTCTCAGTGATGGATGGTTGACTGAGAGTTAGAAACGTGCGAGATGTGGGCAATGCAAGGTTAAGCGGTGCCGCCTGTGATTGGCTCTAAGCAAGAGCTGGTCAATGCTTGTTAAACGCACTGACACCGGCGCGCCGACGAAGCGCGAACTTGGCTGATTGAGTCTAGGCGCATTGGTTGGTTTGACTGAAGCATCACTCTTCCTCACTCTCCTCCTCAGCTTCAACGACCTCGGCTTCAGCCATAGCAGCTTCCAGCTGCGCATCCAGGTCATCATCGTCACCCCCCGCGTTCGGCACAGCAGCGACGCTTGCCTTCCGATGTGCTCGTGCAGGCGATGGCAGCTCAAAGTCTTCCACGTCCGCATCCTCATCATCCTCCTCACGACTTTGATCATGTCGTCTGCGCCCGTCGTCTGGCACCTCCTGTGCATCCTCGTCACTTCTACCTTCAATCTCAAACTCGCCATCTTCGTCCATACCATCCGGTCGGATAGGCATGGGTGACGCAACCTTGCTGGCCGGGGTGTTTGCAGCCGAGCGTAGACTAATCGGGCCCGTACCCAGCTCGCCAGACAAAGCCAGGGCCATCGCAGTCCTGCTGAAAGACGGCTTCTCCGTAACCGGGGTATCGTTTTCCAGGATGAGCTCACCTGAATCGTCGTCGTAGGATTGTTTCCGTAGAGACGCTTTGCGGTCGAGCTTAATGGACGGTAATGTGGGTCCAGTCTTTGTGGACTTGTTGACAGCCGACTTCTGCGAGGCTGTGGCGGCTGCCTCCTGACCGGCTTTGACACGCTTGAGATTTGGCTTGAGATTTGGCTTGTCAAGCGTAGAGGGTACGATTTTGCGCTTCTTCTGCTGCACGAGGGCAGAGTTGGCCGGGCGCTTCACTGGCCTTGACGATGTTGTGGTGCTTGCTGGTTGCAGTAACGGTGTGTTGGTGAGACTCCGTGGTGCCTCGTTGTTTGTTTGGCGCGCTTTCTGCAGTGGAGCTTCGCTTAGGAAGTGGCGATAATCGAACGGGTTGGCCGGGTCTGCTGGTTGCTGCTCCAAGCTCTCATCTCCACCAGGCCCATCCTCTTCCACCTCGTTCAAAGACAGCTGAGGATACTGCTCCCTCAGCTTCCTCGAATTCGCCTCGTCTGTAGTGCTCGTGAGGTTGAAGCTGTAGACATTACTCAGTCTGTCCAGTGTTGCCAGGTATTCGCTCCCATGTTTTCGCACGTTGAGCACGTAGCTGTTATCCGCCACGTCACATGCGCCGGCATATTTGTACTTCTTGTTCCCATCCTCGATCGCCAGCTGGTGACTGTTCGTGCCCGAGCTCGGTTTGATACTTGCTGTGGCTTTGGGCCCGTCTGCGAATGTCGGCTTGTGGTTCAGTCGTACACTCGTGTAGGACGAAGCCTTGGGCGTGTTCAGAATGCTTTCGCCAAGCCGTAGAGGGTACGTTGACGGTGTTGTAAGATCAATGCTCCGCGCAGGAAGCGCCACTGCTGACGCCGCCATTATCAATACGCACACGGCCTACAGTTACGGCAACAGCAAGCAATATCTGGTGAAGAGGAAAGTAGCCGACGGTTGTCTTCTTTCAGTCTTTGTCTGCCAGCTCGCGTGGCTGACGCTGCGGGACAAGCACATCATGCAGGAACCCCGCAAGCCACGATGCTTATTGTGGAGGCGGGCCGTTCACGAGCGGTAAGCGGGCTATCTTTGGGCACTAGACATCTCCGTTCTGATGACGAAGGACAAGCGAGATCGGCGCATAAGGGAGGCTCAATAGCTTCTTATGGATAGGATATCTGGAATGGACGACATCGACCAGACCAGATCCCTGACGATTATGCTGGATAGTCTAAGCACTCCTAGTATCTCCTTCCATCGCTCTGCGACTGCTATCGCCGCCCACCACCCTCAACACCTTCGTTCCAACCCGGACTAACCTCCTCCCCCTCCCCCTCCCCCTCCCCCTCCGCCACAGCCTCATCTCCCAAAGCATCCGCCCGCATCCCCCTTCCCATCCCCGACTCACTCGTCCACCGCGCAATGTCTTCCTGGGTGGCTTTTCGCTGCGGCCGTCGCTGTTGCTTCATCGCTTGCGCCAGCGCTCTGGGTCCGGGTCGAGTTTGGCGAAAATACTCCACTTCCTCTTCGGACATTTCGTGCGGGGTTTCTGCGCCGTCGACGGCGTCGGCGGGAGACTCTGTGCTTTCAGAAGGGTGGTGCGGCTGGAGGTAGGGGGGGATTGAGGAGAGTGTAGGTTGGTCTGCCGTGCCTCCTGTGTTGGAAGCTTCCTGACTCGCGTCGGTGGGTTGATGTGATGCTGGAAGGGGGAGTGGCGCAGGATGATCCTCTTTTTGCTGCTCCTCCACCACGTCTGCTTGAGTGTTTTCCTCGGCGGGAGGAGGCAGGCTATCCGCAGCCTGCTGCGTCTGACTCCGTCTAGGGAAGCGCTCGTGATCATGATTGCTCGCTTCACTACCACCTCCTGCCGCTCACTTCCTCACCGGTGGAATGAGAGGACTCTGGGGCCGCTCTCCCTTTTTCAGAAACGCACTCAGCGTGTTCCGCCGTTGCAGATCCCCAAGTATGGGAGAATTTTGGGCCTCCTGCTCCGCCCGCTGCCGCTTTAGCTCACTCCATGTCCGGAGCTGATTCTCCAACAAATACTTCCCGCTATCATCACTCTTCCGCATAATGATAAATTCGCAGTGATTGATGTTCCTTAGATCCTCAAAGTACTCCACGCTCCAGTGATACCACTTCATCAGGAAAACCCTCGTCATTAAGCCATGCGTCACCAGCACACATACAGAAGGGAAATCCTTCTCCCCAAACTGCCGCCACAAGCTCTCGTTGAACCCTGAGATACGGTCATATGCATCAGCCGCACTCTCGCCATTCGGGATGCGGTAGAAGAAATGGCCGTAATCCGCTCGCTCCGCCCACATCCGTTCCATCTCCCCGCTGCCGGGCTGGAAATTGCCAAAATCTTGTTCCCTTATCCGCGGCTCCTCGTACACTTTAATCCTCGTGCGACTGAAGGGTGAAGGGATGCTATCCGGGTCATCCGGATCGTGTCGGGCGGTCAGAGTGGAGAGTAAGGCCTCCGTCGTCTCGCGCGTGCGGCGGTAAGGGGAGGTGTAGATTTGCAGGGTGTCGTCGGGTTTGAGGAGGTTGCGGAGGCGGCGGCCTGCATCTTCTGCCTATGGAGTCAGTTAACCCATCAATCGATCAATCAATGCGTATACATTGACACGGAGATATGTACCTGCTTCCACCCTTCATCGGTCAGTTTGACGCGATGGTCGGGGATGACTTGATGGATTTCGCGGTTCTTGTTGCCTTCTGATTGAGCGTGCCGGATGAGGATAATGAGGCGTGGCTTGCCCATAGTCGATCTTGATATCGAAAGAGGATTGAGGGTAGTGCTTGCCTTTCTGACCTCGCCGTTGAACGCAGTGGTGATGCATACCCAACACGCTATCTAGCCAACCGGAGCAGCATGAAGTGGAATCGACATGTGCGATGATATTTGACAATCCTAGCAACCCGTGCTTTTTGGCCTTACTTGTTCCGAAGGAACCACAACCCTCATTCGTCCATATCCGCAAACGGAGCTCAATACAATGGTCTTCTACTTCAAGAGCAACGTCGTCGACCCTCCAGCCTTTATCTACGTCGGCAAGGACAAAGTTGAGAGTAATGTCCGTCTAACAAGGCTAGTCCCCTCCGAGCTAACACTGGCAGAGATGAGGATCTCATAGCCCACGGCTGGCCAGAAGACATCTGGTTTCACGTCGACAACCTCAGCAGCGCACATATCTACCTCCGCCTTCCCCCACCCAACACCTCCGACCAATGGAAGAACATCCCGCAGGATCTCCTCACGGACTGCGCTCAGCTTACCAAAGCCAACAGCATCGAAGGCAACAAGAAGGATAACATCACCGTGATATACACGCCATGGAGCAATCTGAAAAAGACGGGCGATATGGCGACGGGGCAGGTGGGTTTTAAGGACCAGAAGATGGTGAGGAGGGTTTATGTGGAGAAGCGGGAGAATGCGATTGTGAACCGGTTGAATAAGACGAAGGAGGAGAGGTATCCGGATCTGAGGCAGGAGAAGGCTGATAAAGAGCGGGAGGAGAGGAAGAAGGAAAGGATCGCAGCGCAGGAGAAGGTAAGCCGTTCATTCCACGCTTGCAATTGGGGTGTCTGAGCTAACGTGTGAGGTGCGAGTAGAAGAAGGAAGATGCGCGTATTGCGGAGGATCGAGCGAAGCTCAAGTATCAGAAGGACCATATGTATGATGATCTGCATACGGACGACAACACGGCGATGTCGAGCAATCAGGACAGGGATGCGGACTTCTTGGACGATTTCATGTAGTTTCGGATGCTAGAACGCAGCCCTGTGGTTAGCGGTCGCTGAGTGGAGCTGACGAATTCTAGCTCGTAGCGCATCTCATCGAAAATCCGTTTTAGAACAGCTTATGCTCAAGCGTCATATCGTTCTCCGGCTCCAGGCCCACGCAGGCCCTCATGATGTTGACGAGAGCACTGCGCTGCTTAGCCAACGCGTTGACCACCGGCGTCCCGGGCGGGGTTAGTGGCGCTTTCAGCATGTAGGACAACACGCTCAATACGGAATGAAAGCCCTTCCACTCTCGCTCACCGTCTTGACGCCACTGGATGCGCGTGAAGAGCTCGGTGATGAGGACCAGGTCGATGATGAGAGGCGACGCTAGTAAGGAGTCTTCGCAGACATTGTAGATGGAGATGGTTTGGTGGCCGCCAAGGAAGATCTGTGATTCAGTCAGGATGCGCAAGCTTGTAGTTGGAAGAACAGGGGCTGACCGACCTCGGCGTAGTACTCGTCGAGCGCGCGTTTGTTGTCTCCCACAGCAGGGACATACTTGATAACGACGCAATGATCTGGATGCTCACCCTCCTTGTACAGCACATGGTTGGCCGCCACCATATCGTCGACCACATTCGACTTGCTGATTTCCTTACTTCGGAATTGCTTCTGTGACGACAAGTTCATGCCGTCATTATTGCCAAGATGATTGTACGAGGCGATGGATGTGAGCTTAATGCCGGCACTGATCAGAAAATCAACCAATGCTGACTTCATCTTCGTCTGCCCTGACTTGAAGTCATCGCCGCCGATGAACGCGCCGTGCTTCTCCGCCAGCTGGATACAGCCCGGTACGAACGTGTTCTGCGGCGAGCCGTTTATGAAGGGTGCATTCTCCAAAATGCTGGCTACGGCGAAGATGGTGGAAGGTGCAATCTCGGTGTGGCCTTCCTCGATGGATCGCATAAGGTTCTCGGCTGTATCGTTGACGCCTGGTATGACGTCGGCGTAACGTTCTGTGTTCGCTGTCCAGAGGACGATAACCTTGTCGAGGTCATGCACCCGCTTGAAGTTTCGGATGTCGTGACGGATGAGCTCGACGTGATCCTGACACGCGTGCGATCCCCTGTGCGCATTGTCCACACGCTCGCCTTGGTTGGCTGCGATGAAGTCCGGGTAGTAGATGCTTGGCAAAGGTACCATCTGAGCCATCTCCTTCCGCACCAAAGACTTGAGTGTGGGCTCCAAAACTTGGGCGCGATCCATGGCTGCTGCCAGACTGAGGCTCGAAATGTCCCAACCGCCGATTATGAGGTGGTTGGGGTGCACCATTGGCAACAGATCGTGCAGCGGGATGTTGACGTCTTGACCTGTGCGCGCATCTGTGCCAAGTTTAATCGTAGAGCTCATGACAACAGATCCGTAGTAGTTGGCGGCCTGCGGCCCCTGGCGAGTCTCCCAAGCCAGGCCCCGCCGGTTTGCGATGATGCCTGCGGTAATGGTAGAGCCATTGTTGCCACCCCACCCCACGAGCATTACACCAAGTTTTGACGTTTTCGTGCTCGTCCGGAAGTTATGACGAGTCTCCTTTGGAACAGCGGTGAGCCGGCCATTATCATTCAGGACATCTGTTGTTCTGTATATATACTTGGCCTCGACGGCGTCATTGGAGTACACAACGTTGGGAGCGTTGACATGGAATGCCAATCTGTCTGCTTGGGTAGTCGCGCTTGATGCGGTTACAGAAGCTCCACTGACTTCGGGCCACGTCGGAACCCCAGGTGACGAACCGTTAGCTTGCGATGGTCCTGGTGGCATCTGACTGTCTTCGCAGACTGCGTGTGGAGGCATAGCAGCCTATGACCTTGGAACAAGATCGACAGCAAGAGCACGCTGGTCCTGAGTTGGCTGTCAGTTGATGAGGAGTGAATAGAAGAACCGTGGACATCAGCGGTGTTTGCGGCCCTCACACGTGCTGTAAATATGGAACCGCCCAAGACGTGTTGCGAAAACAGTAGAAAGCAAGGAAACAAAGGGAACAGCAGAAGCAGGATCTACTCAGTCTGATTCGCGGCTTCCGGAAGTCCCCATCATTGCATGATTTCGGTGCTACCAGCAATGGCAGCGAGTTACGTAGCGACACCATTGGATTGCGGTGGATAGTTGTTGCTGGAGGAGAAGTCTCGCTCCGGGCACAGCTCGTGTCATCACGAAAGGAACATCAGATGATCCGTTCCGCTCGGTCATGCGAGTCATGCGTGGACTTAGCAGGGTTCGCCAACGCTCTGGGGATTATTGCAATAACCAGATGGAGGCAAGCGGTGGGTTTGGTGGGAATTGGTGTGAGAGTGACAAACGATTTACGTGGAACCGAACCACCGGAGGTATACCAGATAGGAAGGCTCCTCAACAACATCCGCGAAGCTCGGCCTTCATTATGTTTGCGCGGCATGGCCACTGTCACAACCCGCCGAATCTGCGTTTCGTTCTGCTGTGCTGAGCTAATGCTGGTGGATCCAGACCTTCTGCGGGGAACCTCTGGACAACTCGATGTGCTGTTGCTTCGACGTCGCACCGGAGAACGGAGCCGTTGCGATGTACATCCCTGGAAGCAAGATGCTTGTAAACGGTGGTCGCTGAAAACGCAGAAGACCACAACGCGACGCGAAGCATAATCTCCTGCGCCGTCCGTTCGTACAGCGAACGTTTCTCAGGCGACGCAGTCTGTGCGCTCGTGTTTGGCTGCGCTGATCACAACCAGATGCCGCGGCACTCGCATGCAGGTCGCCATCGCGCCACCACCGAAAGTTGGGACGCGTCACATCAAGCTGCACCTCTGTATTAGAGCTCTATTTCCGTTTAGCAGCAGCTGCATGTCCACCACTAGAAGCTGTTTTAGGTCTCGATGGCAACGGTTTACCGCAGAATAAGCAATTTCGACCGGGTCGTTTCTGTTGCTGGGTGACATTAGCGCTTGCCTACCCGGATGAGGCTCACTCACTAGGTTGAAGTCAATGCGCTTGCTCTCATAAGACATCTTATATCTCACCTTGTGGTGTCCATTTGCTCTAATCGTCCTCATCTCATCATCGAACATATCTCCTCACAGCCAGTTCTGCGCATACAAGCAACATCAGCTACGAAACAGAATACCGTTCACACAAAGACTTCACCGAGACAGACTTACACCTCCAATATGCGCGCATCCATCCTGTTCGTCGCGCCATTCGTGGCTGCTGCGTACGCTCAGAGCTCCGCTGCTGCCAACTCAACCGTGAGCATACAGAGCAACTAATTCGTCACTACTCCGGCGCTGACGAGACTACCTATAGGCCGTCGCTATTTCCAGCGGATCAACAACCATCTCTACTACCGTCCCCTACTCCAATGCCTTCACTTCGTACCTTACCATGACCAACTCACTCGGCGTGGTAACGGGCATGCCCAGCGTTGTCACTTCTCAACCCAGCGTTGTTACTTCTCAGGCCGCGTTGCCGCCAGCCGTGACCACCCAACCAACAGTTGCCACCATACCCGCTGGGCTGCCCGTAGGCGTTACATCTCTCGCGCAGAACATCAGCGGCTCAGTCACCTACTTCGTCGTCAGCGTCGGCAGCTCAACAACGGCGGTCATTGGTGGCGCAGCGGCAGGTGCATCGGTAACCACCGGCGCATCCGTTGGTGTGGCAAGTGGAAGTGTAATTAGGAGTTCTGGCAGCGCTGCGAGCGGTGGTGCCGCGAGTGGCAGTGCAGCCTCGTCCGCTCGCGCTTCATCGGGCTCCGCCGCCGGGTCTGCGTCAGGCTCTGCGACCACACGCGCAAGTGCGTCGGGCTCCTCAACTGCCTCTGCGAGCGCCAGCTCTTCGTCGGGAGCGGCTGAAACCCTTCACATCGCTTCGGCTGGCCTCCTTGGCCTCGGCGCGCTCTTCGCTGCGCTTCTGTAAGAGTCTGTGGTGGTTGGTTCAAAAGCGATGTTGGTAGAAGGGTGCATCTAACGGATTACGACTGCTCGCTATTGTATGTATGCTGGCCTTTGTCTAGCGACTTGCATGGTTGGCGCATGGGCGGAATGACAATACCCGAGAATGAGCGTATCACATACCACGTTTGGGTAGTCCATAGCTTGTTAGTTGTACATTGAAACGCCATGTCTTCATCTGATCCCGCTGTTGCGCAAGACGGCTGCAGGGCTTCCGCCTCCGCATCAGTAAACAACCCACCTCTAGGGTTCTTGATCTGCGCAGCATCCCTTGCCGCACTTAAAGGAAGCCATAGTCAAGCCATCAAATCTGCCATTGCCATCGATGTTGTTCGTTGGAGATTTGTGAGTGCGGTCATAACGAGGATTAAGACGTTACTAGCTCGAACATCCCGCTATTGCTCGTCAACAGCACACTTAGCACACAACACCGCCCGCCACAGCATATCACTGCGCAGACTCTCCGGCAAGATGTTTGAAAACGTTATGGACGAGTCGACACGAAGACAGTACCTCGCTGACGACCCACCAACCGTGGTTAAGCTTGCCATCAAGCCTCACTTCGATGCGTTAAACGACCAAGAGAAGAAGTACGCTCACTACACTTCTCGAGCAGCTTTTTCTGGGACGAGGATCAATCTTCGGCAGGTTTCACCCGAGTCGGAACCGATCTACGATTTCATACTCGAGCTATATAAGCATTGCAATGGTATGCGATTCCCCCATATATCGAGTGTACTGCTTAGATAGCACTATCACTGCGCGTGGGATATGACACCGTGCCCTAGTAGCATACAAGTCGTGTCGAGTGAATACCTGACGGTTAGCAGGCGACTGGAAGAAACTTGCATCCGAGGCTGGCCTCTCTGATGACGATCTCAAACACTTCATGAGTTACTCGGCGCAGTTTCTGGGCAACACAGGCAACTACAAGTCCTTCGGGGACAGCAAGTTCATCCCAAAGTTGTCTTCGGAGAAGTTTGCGGCCATTGCTAAGCTCTCTCCGAAATCGTCGAAACTATATGACACGTTCAAGGATGATCTGTACGAGTCGAAGGCGCCTGCCCAGATGCACCTCGGATACCCAGACAAAGGTCACGTATCAACATATTACCCTGATTCGCCGAATATCACGCATGACGAGATTGAGAAAGTGTCCTCTTTCTTGAAGAATGAAGGCCTAATGCCAGAAAATACCCGCTTGCGGAAGACGCACGCCGGAGACTTTGAATTGCTAATTGCCTCGGCGGTCGATGATCCTGAAGCTCGCGATGTCAAGAATTCAGAGTGGACTTTGGATGGCGCTCTAAAGGGCAAGAAGCTACGTCTGGTCTACGGAGACTACTCTACTGAGATGGCTAAAATTGCTCAGAACCTGATGGAAGCGAAGAAGCATGCTTTGAACGATGAAGAAAGCAAGATGCAGGCTGAGTATGTGAAGTCGTTTCATGATGGCTCAATGCTCGCGCATATGGAGTCACAACGGCACTGGATCCGTGACAAAGGCCCTATGGTCGAGTGCAACATCGGCTTCATCGAGACGTACCGTGATCCGCACGGCATCCGGGGCGAGTGGGAGGGCTTTGCAGCGATGGTCAACAAAGAGCGCACGCGAGCTTTCGGCAAGCTTGTAGAGTCTGCGCCCAGTCAGATTCCGAAGCTGCCATGGCCGAAGGAGTTCGAGAAAGACAACTTCCTCGCTCCGGACTTTACCAGCCTCGAGGTATTGACCTTCGCGGGCTCCGGTATCCCGGCTGGCATCAACATCCCGAACTACGACTCGATCAGACAGAATGAGGGCTTCAAAAACGTGTCGCTTGGTAACGTACTGAGTGCGGAGTCGGCCAAGGAGCCAACCACGTTCCTTAGAGACGAAGATCAGGACGTGTTTGACAAGCGCAAAGATCCTGCGTTCGAGGTACAGGTCGGCTTGCATGAGCTGCTTGGTCATGGTTGCGGGAAGCTGTTGCAAGAGACAGAACCAGGCAAGTATAACTTCGACAAGCAAAATCTGCCGATGAGCCCGGTCACTGGCAAGCCCGTTTCGACATGGTACAAGCCAGGTGAGACTTGGGGTAGTGTCTTTGGCGGCATGGGCCCGTCGTACGAGGAGTGCCGCGCCGAGAGCGTTGCGATGTATGTCCCGACAAGAAGCCACAAAGCGTCCATGGTTATGTCAACGCTAACGTGTGCCAGGTCTTTGTGCCCGGACTATGGCATCCTCCAGATCTTTGGATTCGGTGACGGCAAGGAGGATATCAATAGCGAAGCCGGTGAGGTCCTGTACGTATGCTACCTCCAAATGGCAAGAGCTGGGTTGTGCGCGCTGCAGTACTACGATGTGGCCTCGCGCAAATGGGGTCAGCCTCACATGCAAGGTCGGTCCCGCACGCCGTCCTTTTCGTCTCTTACTCATCGCTGACGTTGTTGCTGCCTTCTAAAGCTCGATTCGCCATCTTGCAAGTCTTTCTCGAAGCTGGAGACGACTTTTGCCGCCTCGACCATGGCAAGGAGGATCTATCCGACATCAAGGTGTATCTCGCCAAGAACAAGATTCAATCACACGGACGACCAGCGATCAACAAGTTCTTGCAAAAGCTGCAAACCTTCAAAGCCACGGCGGACTTCGAGGCCGGCAAGAAGCTCTACGAACATTACACGAATGTCAATGATTGGTACGCGAACAAGGTGCGACCGGAGGTGCTACGCCAGGCCAAGCCAAGAAAAGTCTTTGTGCAGGCCAACACCGTCCTCGAGGGCGACAAGGTCGTGCTGAAAGAATACGAGCCAACTCCGGAGGGCATGATCCAGAGTTTCGTCGACCGAGACTATATCTAGGTAACGTCAACATAGCCATGAGCGCGTGGTGCGCCTTGAATGATGGCTGCGGTGAGGTAAGCAGGACACTGTTCAGGGCCGGACGACCAGGACATCTAAGAAGCCACAAGAGGGCATCGAGCAGCTCTATATCTCACTTTCGCACGTTTTCTACGAAAGCGTAACAATTGCAATTATGCTATCTCAGCGCACCGCCGAGCTTGTTGGTGACAAGCAACCCACTCTCTCGCCTGCACCTGCCGCTGTGGGAGATGGGCTCGGACTTCGGAGTTCGATGCGCTTCACGCCTATCAATGCCACATCAACCAGTGGACTTGAATGTAAACATAAGTATCAGGCGTTAACCTGTGGATGACTCGTTCCGCACTGGTTTGGTAATAATGCTGCTGTACCAATTTTGCTTCATCGCATTCACTTGCGTCGCTTTTTGCCGGGAGGTCACCTTCCCTCCAGTCTCCGGCGTTCAGCATGCACTTGGATATGCGCCAGACTCTACGCCCAACCTGAGTCTTGACCTTTCCACTATTTTGTTCTCTGGACTCGCGACGTACGCGAACCTGCCATACGTGCACTGTCTGGCAGGCGACGACCACCCCATTGAGAAGTACGACATAGCCATAATCGGTGCCCCGTTCGACACCGGCGTGACCGCAAGACCAGGCGCTCGTTTCGGACCCGGTGGTATACGACAAGGCTCGAGGCGCATTGCTGCACAGTTCTCATGGTCCGTCTACACGGGGCGAAACTACTTCCAGGAATGGGCAAAGGTTGTGGACTGCGGTGATGCTCCGCTCACTGTTCTCGACAATACCATCGCACTGAAACAGCTCGACAAGACGCACAGAGTAATCTCTGGCCGGAAGGCTAATGCCACAGACTATGCTGTTCCTCGCATTATCACGCTAGGCGGCGACCACACTACCACTTTGTCTGCGTTAAGGTCGACCTACGACCACTGGGGCGCCGTCAGCGTCATCCATTTCGACTCGCATATCGACACCTGGGACCCGGCGGTCCTTGGCGGCGGTATATCGCATTACGCCGGTGTCAACCATGGAACGTTTCTTCACATCGCACACGAGGAAGGCTTGCTTCTGAACACGTCGTTACACGCCGGCATTAGAGCGCCCGTGTCTAATCCCAAGTACGATCTCCAGCATGACAGGGCTTGCGGCTTCCACATCGTCAGAGCCAGAGATCTGGACAAGCTGGGCATGCAGGGAATCATTGAGAAGCTGAAACACCACGTCGCCGGTACCAAAGTCTATATTAGCGTTGACATTGACGTCCTTGACCCGGCTTTTGCGCCTGCCACGGGCACTGCAGAAGTTGGAGGATGGACTACGCGGGAGTTGCTCACGATTCTGGATGGGCTGAGTGGCATGGAGGTCATTGGAGCTGATGTCGGTGGGTTGACGGCCATCAATCTATATGATTTCCGATTGCTTACTTGACACAGTGGAAGTTGCGCCTATTTACGACAACCCTGGCGAGACTACTGTACTCGCCGCTGCGGAGGTCTGCACAATCTTGACACTTACCCTTCCTTAGGGCGCGGGACGGTGCTGACGGTTCCTACAATGCTTATAGGTCGTTCACTCTTTGATCGCACTAATGGTCGACACTCCGGTCGAAGGACGACTATAGACAGTCGCGGCTGGCTGCTCATGGATGGTGTGATGAGCATGATTTTGTGCAGTGGGTTCAACCACCGATGCAGCGGCGCGCAGCGAGGTGGTAAGATCTTCATGTGCGATATGGAAGGAGGTTGTACGACGTTCTCCGGCGAGACGCCATTCTACGGGGCCAGTACCCTTACAGGTGCGAGAAAGACCTGTGGCTATAAGCGCTCCCCATGATTCGAAGGTCTCCGAGCACGTCGCCGTACCTTATTCTTGGAACCAGCATTCGGGACCTCCTCCAGCCCTGAGTCTGCACGAATATATTGTTTTGTCATTTCGAAACACATGACTGCACTGGTTATCGTACAGCCTAACCTCGGGACATCGCCAAGTCGACAGTGATGTGGTGTGTTGCCGTCCTCAGCGCCGCTTGATCTCTGGGCATATTCAATGGATTCCGCGATTCGGTGGCAAGATGTTGGACTCTGCATACGTGGACCATAGCGGCAGTGACTCCCATCATCCTCGCTGTAGTGACCGCCTCATCCTCGGTAAGTACTTGACTTTTCGAACTTCTCCCCAAACTGCTTGAGCCTACATTGCGTTGCGAGACCTATCTGCACCGAGCATCACCACGTGTTTCTTCATCCCCCATCCCATTCCACAAACATAGCTTCGAACCGCAGACACCATGGCGGGGTACGACTTCGGCGACCCCTGGAACTACAGGGTGTTCAATCGACGAATGCAAGATTGGGAGGAATGGTACGCCAACCAAGGCTTCGAGGGGCAGCCTGACGCATATACTCCAGAACCCGGAGGCATGGATCTTATGGTACCCTCCGGGATCTTTCCTTACGAAGACGGTCACGTGGATCGATACCATCCCTTTGGGCTAGCGGACATGCGAGGCAGCGGAGGCAGCGAGCCAGAAGATTCCTGGAGCGGGCCAACAGATTGGAGATACCAGCCAGATCCGTGGGGTGGATACGGACTGGAAGCCAATGCCGAGATGGCCAGGTACGGCCAAGGCCGCATCGAACCCTTGGAGACGGATGCGGAAGAGGAGGCCTGGAAGTCGGAACCCTTCTTCCCGCCTAACCTCGAGCAGACCTACTGGGGCCGCCGCGATCAGCCCGGAATCGACAGGTTCCACCCGTACTTCCCTGGGTGGGCGCCTCCGGAGGGACCCCAGCGGCCGAATGGATGGCATATGCCTGTGGGTGGCGAGTATGGCATCTTGGCTAACGACGAGCTGGCGGTTGAGGGGAACGTTGACAGTCGCCATATGAGGGATGGTTACGGGAGGTTGCCGCATGGCTTTTACCTTGATGACGAGGACTATTACATCGGTCGACTCCGTGGTGCTCGTCGGGTGGAGCGGCATGAGATGGCTAACCCTTGGGGGTGGCATCCGATAGTGAGGGACGACTACGAGGATAGGCATTCAGGACCTGGCGGCGGCGGAGCGTGAAGGCTCCTCCGAAAACGTGAGGCCAGAGCGGTTACTTTTATAACCCGGTGATGTGGTGTTGATGGTGGTGGTAATGATCATGACAGTACAATAATGCTGATAATTCCGATGGTGCTGATCGCTCCTTCCGCTGTTCCGACTGCGACGGCATACTCCCGGCAAGCAGGAAGGAGTCGTTGAAAAGGCTTAGTCACGTGGATAGCAGCGCTGAAGTGATAAAGCGAATGTTGTACAAACCCGCGGCGTCTGTGGAATGTGGCTTGCGTAGCACACGTCTTGGAATGCAGTCAACAGAAGGTTCTCCCGCATCAGCATTGTTTGCTAGAGCACTTAACTCTCGTGGACCAACAAACGTCACCCGGTGTGACCATGTGACACACCTGCGCCCCGTTCACTTCATCATAACCGGAGTTTCCGCGCATTCACTACACCCTGCAGGTACCTCGCCGACGACCTTCGACCTTCGAACAGCTCTGCAGCAAACCTCAACCTCAGCACTCATCACTTACACCACCCATCACTTATACCAACAAAGCCACCGGCCAACCATGGCGCTAACCAGCATTTCCCGCCGCACGCATTGGTTCGGTGTCGCCCTCCTCTTCATCTCCTCCATCCTCCTCCTCATAACCACCATCTCGGCCCCAATCTGGAACCACGTAAGCCTACTTGACGTCACTTTGACCAACGCCACCTCCCTGCGCAACTCCTCCGTCACCTTCGGCACCTTCGGCTACTGCATTCTCGATGTCCCGCCCGTCGCCACCCACCAAGACTGGTGCACGCACCACAAAATCGGCTACGCGCCCGCGGACATCATGGCACGCATCGACCACACCTCCTTCTCCGAGATGGCGGCGGGCACGAGCGACAGTCTAACGCGGGTCATGGTCCTCCACCCAATCGTGTGCGTGCTCGCGTTCGCAGCCTTCCTGACATCACTGGGAAGCGGGATTATCGGCTCGCTCATCGGCGCCTTCATCGCTTTCGTCACGTGGGTGCTTGTGCTCATCAGTCTGGCGGTGGATTTCAGCCTGTTTAGTATCGTGAAGCATCACGTCAACCACGACAAGAGCGGCAGCAAGGCTACCTACGGTTCGGCGATTTGGCTTCTGCTGGTGAGCTTCGTCACGCTGTTCTTTGGGATGCTGATCGTGTTCTTCACCTGTTGCACGCATCAGAGAGAAAAGCGGATCGCAGGCCAGAGGGCGAAGGAGGAAGGCACCTACCCGGCGGCGAGTGCGGGTGGGACTGATGGTGTGGCGGCACCAAGGAAGAAGAGGTTCGGCATCTTCTAAGCGGTTAGAGATCAACTGCAACGTGTGGCGAAGCTTGTTGTGTCTGTTTTGGTAGCTCCGAGATTTTCCCCGGCGTGCCAGTATGGTGCTTATGCAAATTGCTGGACACAATGCGGGCATAGAGATATGAACGCTAGATAGCGACACCATGATTGACGGTTGAGTGGATTTGCAGGAGTCGGTGACGACGGTTCCAGAGCGGGCGATAGCAACATTATTAGCTTCCTTGTAAGACTGAAGAGCTCACAACTTCCATAACCGTCGCTCAATCATCGTCGTGTATCTTGATCCCATTTTCCTCATCGCCTCCTCCATCATGGCCCGCTTCAAGCATAGCCATCGAGCCATCGTTCCCCTTCAATCCTCCTTCTGCATCTGCACTCTCATGCGGCGCAGTCACCATCTTCCTCGCCCCCAGCTTCTTCTTCCCCACAGCTCCATCAACCTCCGTTCCCACCCCCTTCTCACTATCCACTCTGTCCTTCTTCCCCTCCTTCCTCAGCCTCGCCTTCTCCCTCTTCCTCCGATTCCGCTCCAAAGCCTCCTCATCCTTTCGCTTCATACTCTCCACCCTTTCCTCAAACTCCCGATCCGCCTTCTCCTTCTCCACCTCCTCATCCATCAATCGTAGGCGCTCATACTCGCGCCTGCGGCTCGCCTTGTAGACGTGAAATTCGCCCGATCCAGCACCGGCGGAGGAGCCTTGGACGTTTGCTACAATTTCCGGTGGAGGTGCTAGTGACTTTGTCTGGCTGGTGCTTGAGGGAGGGATAACGATGTCGCGATCCGGGTGTTTGAAGAGCGCTTGGACTTGGGCGGATTGCTGGGTGGTGGGGGTCAGGGCGCGGCGTTTGGTAGGGCGGTGTGAAACATTGTCGATGGAGGTGGTGGCGGACATGGTAATCACGAATCGTATCGAGCATGCGCTGAGCCAGATCTCCGGAGTGCTACTGCCATGGGCATGATGGTGGGTACTGTCTGGTCGACACACCATGTTTCACATGTTAGTCCGAGTCATGCTGCTCTACGGTTGGCGATATGTGGCAGTAAGAATGCATGATCCTTCTCTCTTCTCGCAGTGGCTCGTTGCGACTATCAACACAACCCTAAACAATGGACTACCAGAACCGCGCTGGATCTAAGTTCGGCGGTGGAGGTGTCGCCTCGCAAAGCGCGACCAACGCTGACCGGAGGGAACGGCTACGAAAGCTTGCACTCGAGACCATCGACCTCGACAAGGACCCGTACTTCTTCAAGAACCATGTCGGCTCCTTCGAGTGTCGACTGTGTCTTACCGTCCACCAGAACGACGGCTCATATCTCGCCCACACCCAAGGTCGCAAACACCAAACTAACCTCGCTCGTCGCGCAGCCAAAGATGCACAGCTTGGCAAGCGGCGCGAAGAGGAAGGCTATACCGGCGCCAACGCCGTCCAGGTGCGTCGCAACGTGGTCAAGATTGGTCGCCCGGGCTATCAGATCACCAAGACTCGCGATCCAATCACGCGCCAGCAAGGACTACTCTTCCAGATCCAGTACCCGGATGTGGGCACGGACGTTGTGCCGAGGGTGCGCTTTATGAGCGCGTACGAGCAGAAGGTTGAAGAGCCAGACAAAGCCTACCAGTACCTTGTGGTGGCGGCAGAGCCGTACGATACTTGCGGCTTCAAGTTGCAGGCGAGGGAGGTGGACCGCAGCTCGGACAAGTACTGGACGTGGTTCGATCAGGATAGCAAAGAGTTCTGGGTGCAGATTACCTTCAAGACGGAGCGAGAGGAGCGGTATAGCGGTGTTCCAGGTTTGGCACCGAGTGCGTCGAGAGGCCTGCGATAAGCGGATGTCTTGGCGTTCCCGGACGAATGATTATGAACGCGGTTACACCTGTGGTTGAAGCAGAGTATATGACGAGATCATGTACTTCACCGGCTTGGCACGACGGACGGAGAAACGGTGGTGGAGTATAACGAGCTCGCTCACGCTCCCAAAGGTGATTGACGCGTAGGAAGCTGCTTCCGTATCCATCACAATCTTCCCAGAAGTGCTGACCACTGCTAGCTGTCGTGACCGAACTGCGGCTGCCTGCCACACCCTCGTCCGCTTCAAGGCATTGCTTTGTCACAAGCTAGCGCAGCATAAAGCTAGGCGAGTGTCCTCTGTCTGCCTTAGGTCGCCAACTCTGTGAAGCTTGCTCAACATGGCCGGTGCAAGTCGTTCTTCTCGTCAACTTTGCACGTTCACAACTCCGTTGACAAACAACAAGTGTCTTACAAACACCTTTGCTGCGGCTTGAACCACCCACCACCTACACGAAGCTACATCCTCTCTCCGCCAGAAGACGTCGAAGTATGCCTGCAAGATCTGGCCTGTGATGTGATTCCAGAGTATACCTCTGTCATGTCACCGACGCTGGCGGGTTCGGACGGATGATCGATAAGGTAATCCGTGCAATTCGCACTTCAAATGCCGGCAGTGAGACCACAACGTCACCTCTGTTTATCAGTATGGAGGGCTATGATCACGGCTGTAACGGGGTGTTGCAGCTCATATCACTCTACGTTCCAGCGTCCGACAAGGTGTGGCTCTTTGAAGTCGCGCAGATGGGCGCCTGGCAGTCACCTCCTCCGGGTCCGGATCACCAATTTCGCTGGAGGGCCTACTGGAGAGCACGGAGCTCACCAAGCCTTGTGGGATTGTCGGGTCGATTGTCAAGCTCTGCTTGGCCAATATGGCACCGAGCTTAACTCAGACTCCATCATGAATGCCCAACTGCTGGACCTTGCAATCACGACCAAGCACAGACAACGCAAGAAAGTCAGTGCACTGTGCATGGCTGTGCAGAAACGCGTCATTCTTCTGGATCAAGGACGTGCCTGGCTTGAAGACAAGACATCCGGCGAGCTGATAATGAGGGCTGGTCCAATGAGGGAAGGGCAGCTGGCTGCAGAGCTGAAGCTCCCCTGTCTGAACGAAAAGGTCCGCCAGAGCAATGACGCTTGTGAGAAGAAGAGGGCCATGGCAGAGGCGCAAGCTCTGTCCGACCTAATCGACAGTAACTTCTGGGACGGGACGAAAGCATGCGCGAACCTTCCGTTACCGGACGCTATGATACGGTATGCTCCGGGCCATGTCGCGACCCCACCAATCCTACACAGCCATTATGAAGCGCATCCGGCACTAAGCGAGGTCCGCCGCGCCGTAGTCGAGCTCGAGACGCGGAAGCGTGTATTAGAGGGCTGGGTGCAGGAATCTGTCCTTTACCTCTATCGACGAACCGAAGTTCTGGGCAAACAAATAATGGCGCGAAGCTGAAGACGATTCGCCGGAGAAAGGATCCAGCAACGGCGCAGAGGACGAGGGTTAACAAGGTCGGTGGAGAAATCGCACTGATACTGGTATTTGGGGTTGCGGGTCAATGAGCGTTCAGAGTCACGCCAGGTTACGGCTGGATGCATGCGATAGCGTTGGAAAGAGCTCGTACTTGTGCTAGTCCTATCTGTAGTACTGTCTGGCTGTTTTATAATTTAGACCAAAAAATACGTTTTGGGACCATGCAGCACTCCCACATCTGCAGGCGGGCAGCTCCGCTGCATTGCAACCGCAGTATCGACAGCACCAGAACTTGATCCATTGTGGATTTCAACGCTGTACACGAGACTCCACCATGCCACTGCCGTCAATCGATCCTCCATTGATCAACTCATCCAACCCTTGGGCGACCAGTCTTGAAGACCTGCAAGCACTGTTTGATTGCCCAAACACTGGCGCTGTAACAACACGTACGAGCTTACTGCATGGATTCGAGCATGATCCGAAGGTCCATCAATACGTCTTTTTCAGTAGCCACGACCACAATCACGTCAAGGGCAAGCAGGAGGGTGCTAACGGTAATCATTATGATGGCAGCCTGAACACTCTCGGCTACAGCCCAGTAAATCTGAGCACATATTTAGCAACGATCGCACGTGTGGTGAGCGATTCTACACTCCCAGAACAGAAGAGGAGCAGCAAGCCGTTTATCATCTCCGTTACTGGTAGTGCTGAAGCCGTGCTTGAATGCTATCAGCACATTCAAAGAGCGCAGTCTACAGTCAACAACCCGTTGTGCATGGAGATCAACCTTTCCTGTCCGAACATTCCGGACAAGCCACCGCCAGCCTACTCGGGTCCTTCGTTGGCGGAGTACTTGCGCATCCTGGGCGAGCAGAGACTTGACCAAGGTGGAAGAACTGTACCTATTGGCATCAAAACACCACCGTATACCTATCATGACCAGTTCAAAACGCTGATTGATGCGCTACTTGCGTCCTGTAGCCCACAATGTCCCATTGATTTTATCACAGCAACGAATACACTGGGCTCCAGCTTGGTCCTTGCCGACGCAGATGGCACTCCAGCGATCAACTCAGCTTCCGGCGCCGGGATTGGCGGCATGGCGGGAGCTCCATTGCATCCTTTAGCTCTGGGCAATGTTAGGACGATACGTACTATGCTTGATCAACATGACAAGCTTCGCAGTATCGACGTTATCGGCATTGGAGGCGTCGGCGATAAAGCCGGATTTGACAGAATGAAGGCTGTCGGTGCGAAGATCGTCGGTGTTGGTACAGCCTTGGGGTGTGAGGGTGTTGGCGTATTTGGAAAGATACTGCATGAATGCTGAAGACTGCACGGTTCGCTCGACCATGCTGGAAATCTACATCTATCAAGCTGTCGCTCGCCTTATATCTCCGGATACACATCTCTAATAAGTGTCAGTTTGCGAAGTTCAGAACATTCGAGGGTGATGGAAACGACCTACGTTCTTCTCTTCAGTGGCAGCTCCTTCCGCACCTTTTCCACATAGCCAAGATCGATCTCTGCGAAGATAACCTCCGGCTCATCCTTCTTCTCGCCACCAAGCTCAGCAATCACCTCGCCCCACGGACTGATAATGATGCTGTGACCGTAGCTCGTCCGCTTCTCATTATGCGGTCCTACTTGCGCGGCCGCAAGAACGTACGAAGTGCATTCGATAGCCCGAGCCCGCAGTAAAGGTAGCCAGTGCGCCTTGCCCGTGTCTGGCATGAAGGCTGAAGGGTACAGCAAAATGTCGGCTTTCCGTCGTTTCAAGGCCAGCGCAATCTCCGGGAACCGTAGGTCGAAACAAATCATCGAACCGACTTTGCCTACCGGGGTGTCGAAGGGAGGCAGTATCTCGCTGCCGGGTTCGATCGTGTTGCTCTCCTTCATAACCGGACCGCCTTCGATCTCCAGGTCGAATAGGTGCAGTTTCTGGTAGCGATGTGTGATCTGGCCGGTCTCATCGATCCATATCAGGGTGTTCTTGATCCGTTTACTGTCGGGATTATCACTTGGTTCGTGTATGCCGACTGAGATGGGAAGCTTGTGCTTCTTTGCGTCGTCCTGGAGGCCCAACACAAAGATAGACTCTTTGACGGACCTGCATAGCGACTTCGACTCCTCGGGCGACCCGCCAATGTAATCACTCGCCTCAGGTAGGAATACTGCCTATCTAATGCGTGATGAGCCAGGGGGATGGGTAAATGGAGAGGATCGATGCGAACTGACCTTTGCGCCCTTCGCCACTGCTTTCTGTATCACATGACGGCACTGTGCTAGGTTGTGTTCCATCGATGCAGTCGAAGTGATCTGCCCCACAGCCTGTCACCATCGTTAGCCTCAAGTCTCCACCACATCGGGAGGCTCCCAAGGGGGCAATTACCGCTAACGCCATCTTGCCAAATGCCGACTTGGTTGTCCAAGGTTGTTTTCGAACCATTGGGAAGGCTTTGGACGGATAAATCACGGGGTTTTGTAGCAACGGATTGTTGTGGCGGCAAAGTGTCAACCGTATGTATGTCATCAGAATGCTTAGTGCATCGGTGTCGAGATCATAATGCGCCCAGGGCTCGATCTCGATGCCCAGTCGTTGTTGCGATTCAACTTCAATGAACTCGCGAGTCAGGCTAGTCAATGTTGGCGCACTCGGCTCATGGTGCTACGCCGGCTCTTCAACCTCACATCAAACCACCATGACAACAGCATCTCATGTATCAGCAACTCCCAGCTCCTCTACAGCTGTATATACACCGTCATCAATTACGGTCTCAAGTTTAGATACTACTTCCTTCGTTTTCCCTACCTACACCTCCTTCCCACCCTTCTACACCCTCCAACCCAACCTTACGACACGCGCTCGCCAGCTCGAGCTCTGGAGCACGCTTGTCACCTCCTACTGCGCTCACTACCACCTCTTCCGACTCTCTCTCTCCAGTCTTCCCGCTGAATTGTTCCATAATGCTTCCATTCACCGCTCGCTCAAGCTGTCCGACATCCGGCTTGTGCTCGATGACATGAGCAAGCCGGAGAACGGAGCGCGAATAGACTGGATCCCATCCACCACGAAAGGCGAACAAAGCAGCGCATGCTATGTCTTTTGGCGGACGCCTGGGGAGTGGGCAGATTTGTTGTACGGCTGGGTGGATGAGATAGGGCAGAAGGGCGCGGTGTTGACGATCTATGAATTGCGAGAAGGCGATGTTGTGAGGAACAAGGAGTGGCGAGACATGGATGAAGGAATGCTGAGGAAGGTGTTGAATGTGCTTGTGAAGAGAGGGAAAGCACAGGTTTTCGGGCAGGAGGAGAATGCGGGTGTGAAGTTTTTCTGAAGGCGTGACGTTCTTCACGACATGTGCACAACACTGTTCCACCAACGGCGAGCAACTTGTTAGACTCTCGGTAGGCATGCAGCCAAGGTCATGCTGCTGGATTAAGAAGAAAACTTTGCGTGTGCTTGAGCTCGACCTAGGCATGATCGTCTCGCTCAAAGCAGCTTTGCCCATTGCGTGTTGGAACAGCAATTTCGAGACGTCAAGCGCAAACTCGACAAAGCCGAATATCAGGTTCTCAGCCTAGCATCAAATGTCAATATACACGGAACCGGAGTCAACCACCTTCCCAATCAATGCTGGTCGGTCAACGCCGCCTCGTGAAGCAGCCATTCTTCGCTCCATCGGATCTCCTGGGTCAACGCCGCACTCAGCAGCCACTCCTTCTTAACAATGCGAGCTCGAAGACCCTGCTTCTCAGCCAGAGTGCGAAATGTCTTCCACAGCTTAATGTCGGCCTTGTCCATACCGGACACAAGGTAGACGAAATCATATTCGTCGTCACCCTCCTGCTGCTCCGAACCCTCTCCATCGCCGTTTGAATGCTGGTGGATCCGGCGCTTTGGCAGCGTGAGGCCGGTACGACCTTTGTAAAGATATGCATCACCGCCGTTGATGATGATGATCTCTTTGAACGTGTCGAAACCTCCCGCGATACTTTCTGTCACGAAGATGGACCACCCTGTAAGCAGCCTGTGCTGGTTCTCTTTGGCGCGTTCGAGCCCGTCGGCAAGCTTGAACTTCCAGGTAGTTTCGCCCAGCTCGTCCTGCAGGAGCTTTGGATCGTCTACGAGCTTGTTCTGGTTGAGTGCAACATCAAGATATGTCGGGTCCACCACAATCGGACCGTTGGCGATCGCAGCAACAAACTTGCGAGTCGTTTTGATCGAGGGCGCAACCAGTATGTTGACCTGCGACGGATCTTGCGTGACCTCCACGCCCAGCATTCGAAGCTTGGTTTTGTCGACGTCTTCCTGTTTCAGATTGCCATGCCAGCGGTCATCGCCTGTGGTCATCATCCTGAACATGACAGGTGGCAAGCTGACATTTGCCGCTGCCGTTTTTGCCTTCTTGCCTGCCTTGATTGGCTGTGTCTCTCCGTCACTCAGTTCGCTACCCTCAGCAGTAGCCTCATAATCCGATGCGTCACTCTTGCGCTTCTTGCTGGCAGGCGCTGCTGATGGCGACGAAACGAAGTCATCTGAATGCTCAGAGCGCCGCCCACCGTAAACGACACCGCCCTTGCGCTTGCATTCTTTTTGAAACTGCAGCATATCAAGAGCTTGAGCATGGGTCTTCTCTAGACCTACAGCTTTCGCAGCGCGGCCGCTGGTTGTGATCATTGGGGAGAAGTTCTCTTTCTCATCATCTGCCGTCCGCGGCGTTGCCAGCGACTTGCGTGGTCTACCGCGCGGCTTCTTTGCAGTTCGTGGGTCTGCGTCTGGAACGGCGGTACCATTGTCCAAGCCCGAAGCCTCCAGATGAATAGCATGCCGGGTTTGTTCCTCGTCATCTTGTTCGTCTTCTGCGGCTTCAGCGAGAGGCGTAGGCGCACCGGGAAGAACGAGTTTTGATGGCGTGGTTGCCACGTTAGATGCGGGCACTGTCTTCCGCGGTGATGGCCGTGGCTTTGGTTGCGCATCAGGCGGGCGGACAGCCTTTTTCGGCGACTCCCGTGGCGGTGGGAAGTGTACTTGTTCGATCTTCTTCATATCTAGAGGGGTTTGGCCGCACACCTCACTAAGGTTTGTTCCGGCCGGAAAGTGCGTGTACCGAGGATTCGCCAGCGTTTGAACAGTACATTTGGCATAGCTCTCCTCCAACCACAGATGATTGATGATGTGGATGTTCCACTCCTGAGCGGCTTCACACTTCTCGCTACGTGTATGAGCTGTGATAAGATGCGTATTGTCCTGCTTCATGGTCTTTGTGAACTCTGCGCCGCAGTTCTTGACTAGGTTCTCGAGGTAAGTTCGAGCGTCGCCATTGTAGTTCGAGATACTGATTTTCATGTTCTCGAATCCTGGGATGCCGTTGCGCGGCACAGGATAGTGCATCAGCTTGCGAAGAGGGTTAGTGTACTTGTTCTGATTGATAACATGGTACAACCAAGAAAGGCTGGCGACCTCTTTCCGAGCGCGAGCTGCAGCAACATAGTCTGCGCCGTCTCGAAATTGACCGATGTAGATGTCGGCTTGGTTGACGTTCTCTGTAAGCGTGCCACCGCCATGATTGATGAGCTGCCTGAGCGTATCACGAAGGTGTTCGCCAAGCTGCAAGTCCGCCGAGAGTTTGATCTTCTTTGACATGAACGCATTCAAATTCTTGCGTCTGTCAGAAGGTGAAGGCGGCGGTGTGCGTAAGACGGACCCCGTCGGCACCGCAGTTGTCGCTCCTTCCAGATCAGGCGCATCACTGTTAGCGGGCTTTGGTAGGCGTAACTGCCGATATGGCGGATCTGGAAACGTGTACAGCCTCTCACTGATCTTCTTGCCAAGCTTCAGGCAATCATCGAACCAATGCGGGAGCACTATCTTGCAGTCCACATTCTTCGCTATGGCCATCCGACACTTGTCGTCATCGTCGTCCAATGTAACAATATGCGTAGTAATCTTAGTAAGTGGTCCGCTGTACTGCCCCCCTAGAGCCATCACTCCGGCGATGATAGCATCTTTGTCGCCGTCCGGGAGGTCTCCGCAAGTCAGAACCACATCCTGGAAGTATTGGCTCGGGTCTGGGCTGTGCTGCCTGGCTCCTGCCTGCTTGTTCTTTGCTTGACTTGTGTACACCCATGATGGCTTCACGACAGTAACCCCTGATTCTATCGCTGCGTTGTATTGTGGAAAATCAATGTCGGTGGAGATGATATGCGTGACGGACTCGAGGGCTTCGATGTGGCGATCACTGTTGCGGAGACGGACGACACTCGCGCCGAGTGCTTCGACGATGCCGAGCAGCTGTCCAAAATCAGATGCCAATCAGTTTACCAAGTTGCAAGTGACATACCGCAGTACACTGGTGGCTGCTCAATGCGTTGCTCGGAATTGCGGCGACGGAAAGGTCCTCAAACAAGTTACTACGCTCTGCGGCTCCCTCCATCGTCGCTCTCCCTTTTTGCACGACTACGCTGCCGTGTCTTGTATCTGGTTGTGCATGCAGTAGCAGTGTCCTTCGCGACAACTTTCGAGGACGCGTTCCGAAGTGGAAGGCAACTCAACGGAGCGGGGCAAAAAATCGCGCTAGGCGGCACGATCACGTGGCTCAATGGTATTGGATGTGAAACAGGTCAGTCGTCCAAATGACGGCGATCAGAGAAGTCGCGGTTTGAACAGTACCAATCAAGAGGGTATTCATGTGCGCCGTAAATCTACTCTTCCTTCTCTATGCGGCAGCCGCAGCCTTTTCGGGCAATGCAGCCTCGTCGGTCAGATCTGTTACGGCAGCTTCGAGCTGCTCTTTACGCAGCACCGGGTCGATGCGCTCCTCCTTTGGCGTCTTTGCCTCCTTGATCAATCTACGCAGCCCTTCCACAAGACTTTGCTTTTCCGCTGAGCTCGCCTCTGCACTACCAGCCCAGCGTATCTTACACTCCTGATCGACAAGATACACGTATCCGCCCTTGTCGTTTAGCAGTCCGATAGCCTCCTTCATGATGTCTGTCACACCCCTACGGACCATGAAGTACCGCTCCTGCTCAGCCGGTGTACGGGTCTTCCGTAAGCCAGAAGCAAAGATCTGCAGAAGCCACCATTTCAGAAAATTGTTCTCGTAGTTGATCTCAACTCGCTGTGCAAGGTCCTGGTTCTCCGCCAGTACTCGATGCAGATCTGGGTTTTGTTCCTTTCCGCAAAATGTATCCACCTGGCCTTGCGCCCACATGTTGCTTACAATGCTTACGACGGACACTTTGTTACGCATGACTTCAGTAGTGCCACGACCAAGCCCACCGTAACCGTCAGCGATCCCTCGTCTCACGACGTCCTTTGCAGCTGTCTTGCCAAAGAAGTTTGGGAACCACAGGGCAACATCGCCCCTAAACAACCGCTCAGGCGCAATGAAGACTTTGCCCTTGAAGAAGCGCATATTACTCCAGTCTCTGAAATACGGCTTTGCGATCTGCTTCGTCATGTTTGCCCTCCGCTGAATATGTTTGTCGTAATTGTGGAAATCATCTCTCCGTTGCCGCAGGGTTCGGCGATCAAGCCCAATGTTGTCTGTCGGCTCAGGAGGATCCGGCATTCCGATGGGCCGTGTCAACGGGTAAGGTGTGAAGTCCTCATCGTCGTCATGTTTCTTACGGAGATCTGGCCCTGTTGGCGTGGGCCGGAACACAGCGCGCGGCGCTGCTGCGGCCGGTTTCGCAGCTGGCGGTGGCTTCAGAGCTCGTTTCGAAGAGGGTGGCAGCGTTGCCGGCGGCCGCAAATACTCTGGATTTGCAGGAGAGGATGGTGTTTTGAACGTTCGAGGTGACGATGGCTTTTCTATAACCGCAGCGTAGCATCTTCGCTGCACAAGACATTCAAGATGTGGTGATATTGGATAGGCGAGCCGGCGCATCACTCGTAGGCATGATTTAGACGGTGCCTTCATCGTTGGCAGACTGGGTGGTGCGGTAGGTACGCAGGATCAGCGCAGTCAACAGGAACATTGACACTGCTCAACACATTAGGTTGTGCACATGAAGACGCATGTGAACATGAATGGATTGACTTTACGGAGGTGCCACAGCGGACCGTTGCGCCACACTCCCTAACCGCGGCGACGCATAGATACATGTACCAACTCCCTTACAGCCTCTCGCAAGCACATCGGCTATACGAACCATGCACAATGGCCCATGGCGGACCTTCTTTGTTAGGAAATTCTATGCGCGACGGCGACCTGTGCAATCAGCATGGTATCGCGCAACTGCACCTGACCGCTTGCGACTCTGGAGATAATGGCATTGTTCAGGCACTTGAGCTTGCCAGCGGCCTTTTGTGCGCATCGATTGTTGCCGTCACCGTCATGAGGTGACCGCTAGACCTCTAGTGCGTATGGCTATCTCACAAACAGTCCGCGTTCGTGGGAATCTATAGACACGAATTACCCAGCCGACCAGCACATCGCAATTGGCCTGCCTCGCAACCACTCCATCCTCATTGCATCACATCCCCGGTGCTCCACGCTTGTGGTGCAACATTAACCATAGGAGAGGTATTGTCCGGGTAGAAATTCATATCGTCAATGTCCAACGCACAGTCGAAGTGATCAACCAACATGTTCTTGCCAAAGTCTGCTTCCAGACTTGGGTCAATGGCCGTTTGCGGCTGCGCCGCTGCGTTGAGATACGCTTGGTGCTCTGCATACGCTTGCTGCACTGAAGGCGTAGGCGCCTGCTGAGCGTATGCAGTCGCTTGAGTGTATGTCTGCGGCTGATTGCTGATGGCATATTGAGGGTGGATGGGCTGACCGTAACTGTTGTAGCTTTGTATCGGCGTGCTGGTTCGGGAATTGGGAAACAGTTCGTCGACATTGATTGGCTGGCCTCCGGGAAGCCCGTAACCACCAACGCTCTGTTGCTGCTCCTGCGGAGTTGGCACCCTCACCCCTCGTACATCTTGCACGTACGGATATTGTGAATGCTGATAGGTCGCAGTGTGAATGTACTGTTGCGTCTGTGGGTTGTACATCAACCCATTCGCATCATATGCCACATTTGACGGTAACGGTCGGCCATGATTGGCGTACTGGTACTGGCTCTGCTCACAGCCGGACGGCGTCTGCTGCGCGAAGTAAGGATGCGAGTCGAAGCCATACGTGCTGTTGAGCGGAACCATTGGTGCCTGTTGCTGTTGTGCTTGCGCAGCTCGTCGCTTGCTTCGAGTGCCGCGGTACTCTCCGTCTGGATCAGCATCGAGCTCGCTGACGTCGTCGGCCTCATCGTCACTGAAGTCACCCTTCCGCCTCTTGTTCGACTTCGATGGCGAGAACTTATATTCCGGATGCGCTTTGGCATGGTTCGCTCGCTCGATGCGCGCCCACTCCTCGAACTGCTGCCTGACCTCTTGGGGCTCCATTGGCCAGCTCTCTCCTGATACGCTTGAGACAACTTGGTGATTGTTCTGGACACACCAGGCTTTCGTCCTGTCAGCGTAGCAAGACCGGTACAACATAAAGCTGTTCATGGGTCTCGTAACATAGCCATTGCGCTTCTCGACTTCAGCGCGACGAGTCTCGGCCGATCGGTTGACCCATTCATCCATGTCCTTGAGCTTAACTTCCAGGTCTTTGGTTAGCACAGAAAGGGGTGCAGTAAGCTTCGGCATCTTCGACTTGTCGAGCTTAGACTTCTTGTCCTTCTTCGACCGGGCAGCCGGAGACTTGGAGATGCGGCCATTGTCGAACGGGGAGTCCGTACGACCGCATGTCGATCGACCGGAACGTGTTCGCATGCCTTCGCTGGCGGTATATGACCGGGGCGTGGGCGGACTTTGGTCCTCGATGTATGGTGTGTAGCCATCTCCCTGGACAACATCAGCATGAGCAAAAAGCAATCGCAAGGTTCACGAAGGAGACTACGAACATAGATGCCCAAGCCTTTGGTGTCTTCTTGGTATGTGGGCAACCGCTCAGTGGAGGTGATAGCAGCATTATGCTTGGCGATTGCATCAAGACCATAATATTCTTCAGGAACGGAACCGCTTTGATTTGCAGTCCTTGAAGTCATGTTCGCAATCCTGGGTCACCGTCCGAAACTGTGGACGGACAACGACGTCTTGAACACGGAAAAGGAAGGTCGATGGTTCTCCAGGAAGAATCAAGCCCGTTGTATCCTGCACATAGTGTTAGCCTTGCAATGCAGCATCATTGGGTTTGTCGCAAGTCTTGCATGCGGCAGCTTGTCCCATCGACACGCATGCTTTCATGAACGACGGAACGCTCGCCTGCATTACATGCTGCCATCATGCCACTTGGGCAACGATGCTCACCTTGCACTAGGATTAGCGGCGATTGGTGGACTGTCTGCAGCCTTTCTTTGCTGCTGCAAACACGCCTTCACCTGCTCTGCGGGTTTCCGATGGTCGACACCTCGCTGGGACCAGTTGTTGTTGTCTGGCGATGCGACGATGAACGAGACCTTTGTTCCAGTGTGTTTGGTTTGATATGATCAAAGAAGTCCTTGCGAGACTTAGACGGGAGCAAAGGGGCCAGTACGGTGGAAAGGATGAGGTCAGGAAGAAAGTGCCACAAGATCTCCTTTGTGCGAGCAGCCTTGGTGAAGTCTTGTACTCACTGTGCAGCAGTCTTCCACCAGATGCCAAGCATTCGCATGCCCGATCTCGACTGGAGTGCCAGGCCTGACTGGGAACGGTGCTGCAGCGACTGACCCTCACCGCATCCGTAAGTATGTCTCGAGCCTGGGCCCGAGTGTTCGTCTCAGATGGCCGCTTTCGGAAACTCGCCGCTTTCCGCCTTCGCACAATCTACGACCACGGCCTTTGCTCACCGAGAGGGTGAAGGTACAGAGCAGCTGTGGTCTTTTGCACCTGCTACAACCGGGTGCCGCGATGAGCTTGATGCTCCGATCAAGGAAGCGCTATGCCTCCCACCAGCAGTCAGGATCATCGCGCACTGCGGGTTAGGCCAGGAAGCACAGTCACCCGCGCCACAACCCTGTTTCGGTGTAGGGGCTTCTCAGTCGTAATAGGCCCGATGCTGGCACGTTCACTGGTTGTCTTCATCAGCTGCTATCTGGCGGCTGCGGGTTGCTATGTCGCTGGCGCGTCCCTGGGTCGATTGCAAGGGTTGCATGCCCACTAGTTCGCAAAGCTTGTCGCGGCGCTGTGCGGTTGACGTGCAGTAGTCAATGGGTTCTGAAAGCTTAGTTGGGACGCAACGACTATACGGAAGGCAATGCTGGTATAGTGCTACCCGTGTCCACCTTCAGCTCAACTCAGCCGTTCTTCTCCTCCAACCACCATCCCAACATTTCAGTGACTAAGCGGAAACGTACGGCAACGACGTTTGTTTCGGACGGCGAACAAGGTTGCGTATCGCCTTGCCGACAGCTGCATGCAGTCGCAGATTGCAATATCTTGGTACCTGCGTATGATCTGCGAACGCAGCGTGACTAGTGCGCACCCGGCGCAGTCACCCGACGGCAAGCTGCAGGAAAGACAGTCATAGGCCAGTCTACAAGGACGCTCGGATCACGCGAGGCGTTTGAGATTCCAACTTGACCACAACCACTGCGCTCGAGCTTTCAACGATAGATTTTGAAGCATCTTCCCTGTCGTCAAGCAGCATCGCAGACATTTCAGGCATTGGGCATGACACTAGTGCTCGTGCGGTCGCGCTGCAGGGAAGCCCAATTTGCTTCGTACCGAGCAGTCGCCAGCCCTACGAGCCTACTGCACATTTACAGCTCATGATACCCTACAAGTATTCAGAGAGGCTCAACGCACCTCTCGGTCCGACCGTTTGCGGTGGTTGACTGCGTATGTTGAAGGACTCGGATGCTGCCGAGGGTACGTTGCTGCGGCACGCTGGGTGGAATGCACGCTAGCCTTGATGCATCCAACCTTGTGCCACAACACCATGTCTCAGAACGAGCAAAGTGGGTCGATTTGCATTCCAATCCGTCGTGGTGGACGCAGCCTTGTGACGAGCATGGCTACTGGGCTCGGCTGCAGTTACTCGAAGAGACGACCAGCGATGATTGGCTCTTCAGCCAACAAATACTTCTGTGACACTAATGAAGCTTCCTCACGAGATGATGCGGATTTGCAATGCCATCAATAGTCGCTAGCACTGGTACCTAGGGACCAGCGTTGATACTTTTGAGTGCCGCGTCGTGCGTAGCGGCTCGAGTAAGCCGCTACATACGCCGAAGAATGAGTTGATAGCGGGTAAGTCTACCAACCACGGCCGCCGACCAAGCTTACCAATGGCTGTGCCGTTAGACGCGTTTCGCCATGAACCTTGTCATCTGATGTGATGACTACCAAGCGCTTGAAGAGTGGAGCTTTGTTGAGGCAAAAGCTTCTCCACACATTCAAGTGTGACAGCGGCGACCCCGAGAGATTGCCATAGAACGACACTTCAGGTTCAGGCGTGTGTTGAACGTCACAAATCGCAAGAAATGCGAAGAGATTTCCGGTGTGGAGAGTGCATCGTCAAAGCGACTCTTCACGCCATTAGCCCTATGGCAGCATCGAGACGGCTCATTGCAGGGGCTGCCTGATGGAAGCCGTACGCATCAGGTAGGAAAGTCGAGTTGCCGCTCAGCTGTCTTTCATCTCCTCATCTTCGTCGACAATTTCTTCATCACCATCCTCGATTCCATCCCACTCCTCCCACTCGTCCTCTTCTCCAGCCTCGGCCTTTGCTTTTTCCGGACCCATTACCCTGTCCAGGCCAGCCACTAGCTCCATAGCATGATCAAACAGCCGCTCATCCTCGTAGCCGAGTTGCGCGTACAGGGTAAGCGCCATCTTCAACCAGTTTCGGCTCCCTTTCATCGCAAGCTCAAAGGGGGCGGGATCGTCCTCTGCCATGGGTCCAGCATTCGCGTGATCAGCGTCCTGTAAAGTACCTTTAAACTTCTCAGCTAGCAGATACTGACACCAGCCACCAAGATACCAAGCTTCGACGCTCTGATCATCATCCGTCACCAGGCGCTGCAGCACTTGCATCGCTTCCTGTTCCATTCCAGCTTCCATCAACAGGCGCGACAATGAGATTCTAGTGGCAAAATCAGGCACCGCAGGATCTTCAGGTTCCAGTCCTTTCCAGCTGTCAATTGATCTAGTCAAGGCAGCTTGGGCATCATCCTTCCGCTCCTGTGACAGTCTGACGGAAGCCAGCGTCTGCAGGACCTCTGGACTCGTTTCATCTTCTACACCCATCGCTTCAGTAACCAGCATCTCACATCGTGCTTCCGCGTCGTCTTCCCACGACAGATCGGTCATGTATACTTCGACAATGCCGCAGAGTGCGTTGGCCAGCTTTCGTTTCTTCTCGACACGCATCATGAGCAGCGTTTCAGCGTCGACACTCGGACTCCGGCTGGACTCCAGAGCGGCAATCTCGTGTTGCAACGCTTTAACGCCCCGCTCGAACCACTCGACGCTGGCTTTGCCACCTTCCTCGCAGAGTTGAGCGAGCCAGAGAAACTTCTCCGCGCCACCACCCATGGCTTCTGGAAACGTGCCATCCGGATCGAGAGTGACAGCTTGCTCAAAGTAAGCCCTCGCCGTATCAACGTCGCCGAGTTCGACGCTAATGTCGCCTAGGAGATTGAGGGCTGGGAGAGCTTCCGACGGATTGTCATGTCGTATTCCCGACCAGAGTCGCTTGGCTTTCTGTAGTGCTTCCTCAGCCCGAGACTGCTCCAGTAGTTCCACGGCAGAGGCATATAGTTGCTCAGGCGTTTCCCTTGTCTTCATATGTCCGTTGGCCGCTTTGGAGGCAGCAGTCATTGCTTTCGTCTTCGTCTTCGCCATGCCTGATGGATTTCGTAATTCTTCAAGAGTTGTCTATTCGTGGGGAATACGGAAATGGACAAATGACTTCGTCTCTGTCTGCCCCGAACATTTTCCTCGATCGTGGAAAGAGTTTCGGCCTAAATGCGCATTGGCCAGCCGTTCCTGCTGAGTCAGCCGCTTCACATGCAATCTGCTTGAACATCTGTTTGCAGTTTTGATTAAGATTGTGGGCGGAGAATGGTTTAAAGTGATCAAGAAGGCCGCATATAGCGGAGCGCGGACGTTCGAGATGGGACGCGATGAGCAACAAGAGGAGCGCGAAGTGCTCGACTCCATCTTCCCAGACGAGATCCAGGACATTTCGGAATCCGAATACCGCATCACCATCACCTTAGATGTTAGGAAAGACGAGGAAGATGAGCCGGACATCGCCATCATCCTTAATGTCCGCTACCCAGAGGCATACCCGGACGAGGCGCCTCACCTCGATATCACTCAGCCACCCAATGCGCCCAAGTACGCCCACCTGGACATTCAAGAGGATAAGGCCCGCCTGCTTGAAGCCTTACAACCCACCGTTGAGGAGAATCTAGGCATAGCTATGATCTTCACGCTGGTCTCCACACTCAAGGACAGCGCCGAACTGCTCGTCTCCGAGCGTCAGGCCGCCATTCAGGCGCAGAAGGACATCCTTGTCGCGAAAGCGGAGGAGGAGGAGAACCGCAAGTTTGAAGGTGAGAAGGTGACACGTGAGACGTTCCTCGCCTGGAGGGAGGGGTTCAAGAAGGAGATGGAGGAGGAGAAGGCGCGGAGGGCGGCGGAGATGGAGGCTGAAGAGCGGAAGAAGAGGGGCGGTAAGCTCGAGGAGAAGAAGTTGACCGGGCGGCAGCTTTGGGAGATGGGACTGGCCGGAAAGACTGTGGAAGAAGAGGAAGAAGGCGAGGATGGGTTGGAGGGCATGCAAAGGCTCAAGGTGGAAGGGTGAGGTGCCAGGCTCGAAGGTGGACGGACTACTACAGCATGCCAGTGTTGATGCGGTGCTGCTGTGAACGTCGGCTGGCTGTGCGACAACGCGCGGTTGTACGCCCGTTGCACGCCGTCCAGCGTATTATGCTGTGACGGCTTAGGTTCTGTTCATGCGACATGGAAACTGCAACTGGCCACGGCGGGCGCAACTCGGAGCATCTCAAAGCCTTGGCGTAAGAACGGACGCTTACCACGCAGCGCCACAACACCGAACTAGCCAAATGGACCACGATGCCGACCTTCACCAAAACCAAAGCAACACCAACACGCAAACCGCAATCAGCACACCCAAGATGATTCCATCCCTCCGCTTCTTACTCCCAATGCGCTGCATCAACTCATTCACTCCCGGTAACCGCGCCGCGGCTCCCGTAATCCGCCGTTGGATACTCGCCAAAGTCTCCCTTTGCAGCGCAAAACTCTCATTCGTCGCATACGCCTGGCTCAATACGCTATCCACCATCCCATGGCTATTCTCGATCCGCCTTCGCTCGTCGAGCATGTAGTCCGCCTCGGCCGCTTCCGGGTTGTTGGCACGGTGGGAGGCAATGTCCGAGCGGACGGTGGAGAGGAGGTTAGCGCGGTCGCGGGTGGTTGCTATTTGCGATTTCAAGCGGGAAAGCTCGGTGCGGTGTTGTTGTAGGATTTCGCGGTGTCGGGCTAGGTTGGTGGATTTCAGGGCGGAGGGGGTGGGTTCGGAGTCGAGGAGGCGGGCGAGCTGTTGGAGGGTTGCTGAGCGCTGGGGTCAGCGTTAGTCTTCAGGAGTATGGCTTGGCGTGCCGTCGGGTAGGGGTAGGCGAACCTTCTCCAGGAGCTCATTGAGCTGTTCCTCTGTTTTCCGCTCCTCTTCGCTTGGTACAGGGTCTATGTCTGTTTGTGAAGCGAACTGTGCATAGGTGTGGAAGAGCGTTTCTGTCTGCGTCTCCTGAGCTCTTGCTTGTTGTCGGACTTGCGCCCAGTTGCTCTGCGTCGCCATGCTGCCACGTTTTCGGCTTCGACGTTTTGATGCCCAGTTGGAAAACGGTTTGCCCTGGTGCGCCGTTTGGCAGAACCAGGCCGAGGCAAGGGTACGTTGTTGCAGCTTCGAGGCTCGCTCTCGGGCCTCCGCGGTAGGCCTGAGGCATCACAGATACCTCAACTTGATACGACCAGGGAAAGGAACATGTATGCCAACGAAGCTGAGCGCAGTAGCTGCCTTCACACTGAGGCAGTAACAGAGACGAATCGTCTAGCAATCGTGGCGGTGCGGTGCGACTTGTTGGGCACCTTTGGGGATATACGACGAAGCGGCGAATGTGAACATATAGTATGAGAAACAGGCGGAACATCGTTATCAGTTTCAATAGTAAAAAATGTTATAGGTGTCTTAAACTGCTACGCATACCCCCGCTACGTCAACACATCAGCAGGTGTGCCGTGTCCGGCACAATGGGTGTCTTGAGCAATCAAACAACAATGCCGCCGTGGTGTAACAAGAAAAATGTGCAATGCTTCGAAGTAACGGGGCTATCTCATCGTAGCTTTCAGTCGTTTCAGGTCCGCCACTCTGGAGGTACCGTCTCTGCCGTGAGATCGCTAAATGAAGTCCTGGTCCGCCTCCGCTTCCTACTCCTTTCAACAGTAGCGTTCAGTTCCGGTGCGTCACCGAACGTGCGGTTAGGCTTCAGTCTGCGAACTCGTTGATACCCCTTGTCAAGAGCCACCTCAATCGCGCACCGCACGTGTAAGGCGGAAACTGCCGGCCAGACAGAGCGTTCGCCCTTCAAGATTAGGTAGTCCACATCTTGCTTGCGTGGGTTCCGCAGTAAGCGCAGGAAGTCAGAAGCTTTCACTTTCGGCACTAGTATCCAAGATGCGGCCGGGACACTCTCTTCGAAGAGGAGGCGGCGTAGGCTGCGCGGTAGTAGGTCGAGGTGGTCAAGCTGCATCATGCGGTGCTGTACTTCCAGAATGAGGTACCGCATGAATTGACTGCTCCACGGCTCCTTGCTGGAGCGGGGCGAGTTCGAGTGCTGTGATGAAGGTGCCAAGAAAGGCGCGAGGTAGGGCCGCGCTTGCGACACGATGAAGTGGTTGACATTGTGCAGCTCTTTCAGCCTACTTAACGGCGTATGCCTGTCATACTCTGTCGACGCTGACTTCCTGTACCTCGGAAGGGGGGCCAGTGGCGTGCCTTCCACGGGAGCATCGACCGGAAGATGCCAATCCTCGAGCTGGCCATCGCGGCCCTTACACTGTATCTTAAACTTGCCTTCCAGTGCGTCCGGTGCATTTGATGCCAAAGCGGCCGTGCGAACGAGTACATTCGGAGCGGTCAGATAGTTGAGCAGGGACGGCACCGCAGAGTCCGATGTCGAAATGGTAATGTGCAGAACCCGCCCCGTCTGCTTGTACGCTTCCTCGAAGGTAATGTCTCCTACATTAGCATCAACACATTCCTTGAGCACCTCTTCATCGAGTACGTAGCCGGACGTGAACCAACGCCATAAGCGGCGTGGAAATACGAACAAGGAGTAGGCGCTTCGCTCCAGACTGCTCGCGGCCTCTGCAAGTTTCTTGGCCTTCTTCGACTTCTCGGCAAACGCATCGAGGTTGATACCGTCCCCGCTGAGGAAGTCGAGGAGGTCTTGGTCGGTGTGGACACTGACCAGCGCAGCCATCAGCGCCCCTGTAGCGTTGCCACAGATGACCCGAGGAAGGAGACCTTGCGTATACAGGGCTTTGATGACGCCGAGATGGCACAAGCCGAACACTGAACCGCCTTGAAGCAGTAGACACGTCCTCCCATATGCCAAGCGGGAGTCGTGGAAGAAGTTCATCTTCGCCTGGCTTCCCAGTCCACCTGCATAGTTCGTTGGGCTGAGATCAATCTCGGTGATAGCAGTCTCCATCTGGAGTACATAGTCTTCGATGACATGTTTCGTCCCTGCATACGCTCTGTTGTATAGTCTCGGCACCGTGATGTCGCCCAGATTCCGTACCAGCCCGGTTACTATGATATTTCCAAGTTCTTGGATGCCACCTGTCTCCAGGACCTCATTGACCTTCTCCAAACGATTGTATATTAAGCGGTGATCATAGAGCCTGCTCTCTGGATTCCGTCGCCAGATGTCGTTCCCTAGGACTTCGTCGATGTCCACGGCAAGATTGAGCCACTCCTCGAATGACCGGGCGCGTTCAAGCCTGTCAAGCAGAACCTGTTTCGCCGACTTTCGTGGTAATAGCAGACGGAGTAGCATCTATCAGAGCGTCAGCCTTTTGCGAATTTCGCATCGAGGAATGCTCGAGCGTACATTCACCCCAAATGCGCATATTTGAACGATCAGCCATGGCAGCATGGACGTACTCTCAGCCATCGCCCGTCGCAACCAAGCGTGCCCCTTCGAAGCGGGCTTCAAGTTGCTCACTCCCATAGGAAGTCATTGCGAGACAAAGAGTAGATGTTAGCAGTGGGCTTTCGCCGGGAAGAATCTACGTGCATGTGATGGAGACTTTCACATGCTGAAGCTTGGAGGAAGCTCAAACAGCGTCAGCCCGATCTGGCAACGAACTCGGCCCACATTTCCGGCTATATCACACCCTTGTCAAGGACCTCAAGCCGAGCGAACAACACATTAGATGCTCTAACAAAGCATGTCCGCCCCTCAAGAAACGATACAATGTTACGCCCCTTACTCATCGCTGCTATCTTCAGCAGCGGCCGCACCCTGCGGTCCAATCTCCCATATCCCCAGGTCCTTGCCTATCTTGTTCGCTTTCCTCGGCCTCCCGTTCGCCTTCATGACGAGCATCAACTTGCTCGCCTGCGCAAAAGAGGTCACCAACTCTCGCATCCTCCCCGCCTTGGTAAACGCTTCGGCGAGCCCATTGCGCTCGTCCGCAACCGCGACAGAAAGGTCCATAGACTCGATGTATGCGTCTCGACTGATGGTCGGACCGGCCGTGTAGAGCGCTGAGTTGTATGCGAGTATGATCTCCGGTAGATAAGCGACGCGCACTTCTTCGAGCTCTTTCTGCTCTTTTTCCGTCTCCGGATGCTGGAGGATGCCGGCGAGTAGTGGTTGCATGGCCTCATCTAGCGCGGCCTTGGCCTGTCTGAGGCTCTGAGGCACCGAAGATCCTTGTCTAGGCGCAGAGGTAAAAGGCCGCTCGACTTCAGCCCAATGCGCCAGCGAAACAATGGCGTGCACCATTTGCTCCAGCTCGTAATACGTCCGGGCCTGCCGTCTTAGTACTTCCCACTCCAGCGCCTCGTCCGAGTCCGGATCGTCAGGCGCTTGGCTCTTGTCCATGATGTTTACCTCGCGCTGTATGACGGAATGTGACTTCTGCATGGAGATGATTTCGCATGACATCTCCTGGCACATCGCCATCGCACAAGCAAGACGTCCGGCCACTATGCTATGTCAGTGAAGGTTTTCAGCTTCCACATGAGAAGACTTACTCAAGCAGCCACGCAGAGCTTCTGCAAGCGCGCTGAAGGTCATGTGCCAATGCCCTGGCACCATCTGGAACCATTGCAGACAGCGCAGAATCGCCATATCATCCTCAGTCATGGTGCCGTCCAAAAAGCTTTCAGTAATCCGCTGTCCGGGATGAAGATTGTTGACCTCGCAGTTCTCTAGCATCCGCAGCGGCTTCTTCAGCTGCTTCTCAGAACTCAACTTGCTCGCCAAGGTCCAGCCCAGCTGCTCCTGCAAGATTGCAGTGATGTCCAGTTTGTATTCGCGCATGAGATTGATCATCATCCGCTGCTCATCCGGCTGCGTCACGTCTGGAAGCATTCTTGCAACGGTCAAGATGGCGCTTATATGCTCGAGTCTGGACGCATAGACGAAGATGTCGAGGCGTTTACGCATCGTTCGAATGGCCTGCGCGTAGGCGATCACAACGTTTTCCTCGGCAAGCAATGTCTCCTCAGACGGTGTGTCATATTCTAGTGAGCGAACCACAATGTACATTGTTGCGACGATACGCAGTGCTTGATAGTCAACTGCAACAGCAGTTTCTGTCAACACCTTTTCCGGCGGGGTTCTGATATGATGAATAACATCTTCCTTGTCTGATCTTTGATAATCGATGTCCGACAACGCTGTACCAACGGTTGTCGCGAGTGATTCCACCTCGTTCGTCAGTAAGTAGCTCTCTATAATTTTGAGCGGGGCCCGAGCGGCTTCACTTGATTTTGAAGGAGTCTCCCGAAGCTGCGACACTAAAGCGGTAACAGTACGCTGTTCCTGCTCAGCATCGGCAAGCTCCTCGTCCGTCCCAAACCGTCCTCCCGACAGCGACGCGATCCGTGACGGGTGGTGGTGCTCCAGATATTTGTCAAAGTGGCGCACCAACACGCAAGTGTAGTACGCAAAGAGATGATCGTGCACTGTACGGCATACCTTCTTCACCGCCTTCAGATTGCCACCAAGCAAACCGTAGACTGCAGCTTCGTAGTCGTTTGAGCAGCCGGACTCCGATGCGAGGTAGCACATCTTGCGCCAAGCAGCGTTAGATAGCGCATCGCCCGAGTCCACCGCTGGCGCTAGCACCAAAGCTCGCCAGCCTTCATTGTGCTCTTCACACCATTTCAGAATCTCCTCCCACGACTTCCCACGACGAAGCATCTCCCAGCACGCAATCCACATAGCACGCTCGAAGTAAGCGTCCGGCTTCTCCACTGTGCATTGCTGACGAGTGGGAGCATCCGGGTCTAAGGCCGTGATAAGCATCTCGCTGCTAGCGGTTGACCGAATTTGCGGCTGCACAGAGTCCGACGGACTGGGCCATGAGCGAATCCTCTTTTCTCCTTTGATCCTCTCGCGGGTGCTTAGCCAGCCCCGGTTCCATAGCCCTTTGCCAGCTCCAGACTTCCTTTCAAGCTCCTCGACAATGGCGTGTAGATCACTGTCCTGGTGATCTGCTGCTTGTTCGAGCCACTGCTTCACGAGCGAACGTTCTTTTGCTGTGTCACTTTCCATCAAGAAGCGCTCCCAAAGTTCCTTCTCCGCTGCATACCGGTGCGGCGGCGGCATGTTGGCCAGTTGATCATCGATCTCCTTGCGCCTAGCAGCATGGTTGTAGTGGAAGTCCAGCATGATCCAGAACAACTGCCAAATGTCCGCTTCTTGCTGCCATTTCCGAAGCTCCTGGACTTTCTCGGCCTTCATTTCATGCACGACACCGCTGCGCAAAGCAAACTGTCGGCTTGTACCGTTCGTCTGCGTTGATAGTGCTGCCTTGTCGCTCCATTCTTTCTGCAGCTGCTCTACCAACTGCTTCTTGTGATCCCTCTCCAGACTACTCGCAGCGGACGCGGCGATATCCTTGAACACTTCCGCAACATCCTTCGCTGCCTCGAATTTGCTCTGCTTCATCGACAGCTCCTTCAAGTAGCGATCCAGTTCCTCGGCAAACTGTTCGACCCCATCGCCGACCTTGTCTGCCACGTCGCGCAGTGAGTCCATGGCTTCGTCCATCTCCGCGTGACCATCCATCTCACGCTCGTGCTCTGGGTCAGACGCTCGATCAAGTTCTACTGACTCACGCACATCATCATCGTTAGTGGTAACGAAGTCCCAAGCGTCTGATGCGGTTACAGAAGCTTTGCGGGAGACTGGACCACGCTGACGGCGTTGTAGCTTCTTCGTAACACCGCCAGCGCCGGAGCGACTTCTTGTAGCCGGCATCGTAAATTTGCACGCGTCGCTCTTAAGGTGAAGGTAGGCTACTGTGTGTTTGAATGGGGAGCTTGCGAGCATTCACAATCTCTCCTGCACAAGCTTGCCGCTAGCGCGTTTCAAGCGAGGGAGCGAACTCACGTGACATTGGTCGGTATGGGTGAAGGTATGAAGGATGTGAAGACCATCTAAACGAAGTACATGAGGACGGATGAGCTGTGCCTCTCATGGCAGGACGCGCATTTTCTCTGTGACTAGGTTGGATTCGTCCAAGTTCAAAGACGAGCTCCCACTCGTTGAATCTAGTACACCTTCTTCTTCTCGTCAAAGCTAACTTGTCCGGGGCCCATATTGACCAGTAACAGCAGTCCGCCCACAATCGACAGGATCTGGAAGAAGTCGTACTTCGCAAAGTCCTTATGCGGATGGTTCTTATGGAGCTGCAGCCGACAGTCAGCACCGTGCCCACAATTCTCCACACACGCTTTTGACTTACCGTCCAGAAGTTGTTCACTAAGATGTTGAACACACTCAGGATCATCACCAGCACAATAGCACTCCACTTCGCCTTGAACCCCACCACCACCATTACGCACGCAACCGCTCCGACCGCAATGACCATTACCCTACCCACACTCCATTGACCAGCGAATACAAAGCCCGCGAATAGCAAGATCAGCAAGACGCGTCCAGCAAGCTGGAAGTACATCTTCCGGTCCTTCTCGTCAATCTGCGGCAGCCCAGCCGGCGCGAAGCGTTTCCGCACCCAGCTGTCAGACAGCACCATAAGCAGCCCGCCCATGACGCTGAGATTGCGCAGGAAGAAGTTCAGGTCGAAGATGAGGCCGTAACCTAGTGCTTGCGTGACGACGACCGCGATGAGGCCGCCTACTGCATACTCGCTGTAGCGGCGGATGATGACAAGGAAGGAGGAAGCGGTCATGGCGGCGACATTGAGGAGGAGGAAGAGGTGTGTGATGCCTCGAGGGACTGTGTCACTGATTAGCAAGACATGTGTCCTCGGCTACGGGAACCTTTGGTGTGTAGAAGGATGGCAGGCTTACTATGCCTATAATCATGCAAATACACCAGTTGGTCATTCCATTGTGTCATGATCCGCAATGCATCTTCCAGAAACGTGACTACGATCAAGAAGCGTCCTATCGTGGGTAGATATGGCCTCACGGGCTCGCTGATGGTGTCCAGCCACTCCTCGATCTTGCTCGTTTGCTCACGGATCGCATCGAGCGGTGACGGGTCGTTGGTGGCTGCGTTCTGTGACGGACCAGCGCCAAAGGCATTCGAATTGCCTAGCTGATATCCTGCCGTGCCTCTAATTTGGGCCATATTGTGCGTACTGTCGAGGTGTGCAATGCTGCTGAAAAGCTGCTGTTGATATTGTTGCTCCGCGGGCTTTGTGTACTCGGATGCTGTTTTTCGTGCTGTGGGCAGCCTGTAAGATGAAGGAGCGTATGCAGGTGCTCTAACAGCCGTGGTCTCACACTCTTATAGCGCCGTAACCTCTCTTATGCCAGATCACGGAGCTCAGAATATCGCTGTAGTCAGCGGTGGCTGTGGGGGGTGGGAGAGCAGCCGTTGGTGCAGCCACCTGTCCCCTCACACCAAACTCCGGGACCGCAAAGGCTAAATCGGTATGGCAGACAAAGGTAGACTAAACGGCGCCCAACCATCAGCACGTCATCATTGCAATACGACAGTCTTTCGACGGACGCATGCCTGATCCCTCAAGAAAGCAAAGATCAGAAGGATGAGTGCATTATACAAGCTGGGCGTTGGTCGTCGACTTCAACATGCACTTGACAGCGAAACTGCATTTTCATGAACTATACGTGCATATGTGTTTTTGGTGCAGCAGAGAACGTCCTGCTGAAGTTGTGTGAAGCGAACAGTGTGATGTCCGTAAGAGGCTCTCAGTCCGCCTGGTTTACAGTGAAACCCATCCAACGAAAAGCAGCCTTCTCGTCCACACCTTATTCATATCGGGGTTGATACGTTGAAACTTCGCGGCAGCCATTACGCCTTGCTGTACCCATGCATTGAAGACCTGGTGCATCCTGCGGCCTGTCTCGCCATCTACGGCGCTCGCTTTTGGTATTCGAACTCATGCAAGCCAACCATCGATCGTCAAGACCTACTAAGACAACGCACCTCCCGTGCACTCCGCATGATGAGCCAAGATCCTTCCTGCTGTGCCCGCCTGCCATGGAGCTTGCGAAAATGTGCAATAATAACATACCTCGGAAACTAGGAAACTCGCTGGAAAGCATATCGCTAGGTGCTCACGGGTCCCAACTGGTCGTGATCGTGGCGCTAGGGTCCGTAATGTGCTCGACATTGAGCGCCATGAAGCCATTGCCTTTACCGTTTTTCGCAGGCTTACTGGCAGGCTTGACGGGACCGTTCGATTCCATCGGCGTGCTGGTACCGGTGGACCCAGCAACAGAGCCTTTCCTCTTCTGCTGCTTCTTCGGGAGAGCAACGCTCCAGCCGGAATCGGCTTCGCTCTGCTTCAGAGCCATGGCCATCTGCTCCTCCTCAGATAGCTGGTCGTGATCCCGGGTGCCCGGTTCGGCCTCGGTGGTCGTGCTGGTGGCTGCAGTGCTAGCTTCCATACCACCGGTGGAGCTTGCGGTAGACTCGGCGTCGAAAGTGTCTAGGAGCATGCCATTAGCATGGCCATTGACAACCGGAGCTGCATTCCCCAGCCCTGAGGAGGTAGGCTTCGCGTTCCATGCGTTGGTCGCTGGTGGCTTCGACACCGAGATACCGTTCTTCGCCGGCTCGCCACGAGCTTCGCGAGCAGCACGACGCTGCTTCTCCTCAAGACCCTTACGCTCGGCTTCCTGCGCTTCACGTTCGAGTCGGGCTTGCTCCTTCTTCAGCCGGTTTTGACGCTGTCTCTTCGTCTCTTCAACCTCCTCCTTAGCCAGCTTCACAACTCTCTGCTTCTGCGGCTGTGTGGGTGCGGTCAAACGTAGCGTAGATGGACCCTTGCGAGCCGGCTCCAACATGTCTGAAACATCGCCAGCACGTAGCGCCGGAGAGGCAGCGGGTGACATGTCGTCATCTGCATCAGCATCTGTTTGAGATGCAGCAGCAGAAATGACCGGCGTGTCAACGGTGCGGCTTGGCTTCACCGTGCGGGTGCGCTGCTCTTGGTTCTTCGGCCGGGAGAGATCTGCACCCTTTCGTGCTTGCAGCATGCGCTCCGCAAATTGGCGGTTGCTGTTGTCCTCTTTGTAGTCATCTGCTGAACTCTGCGCAGCCACTGTTGGTTGCTCAACCGTCTCTGGTTGATGCTCTCTTGGAGCCTTGCGCTTCCTCGACGTAGCTGCACCCGCACTCTGTGTCGGTGTTTGAGCGCCTTTGGTGCCAGAACTTTCTGCCTTTCTGTTGCCGACGCCATTTCGGACGTGCGACGCAAGTTCGCTGTGTTTGTGGGTAAGTGCAGGAGCGGGCGGGCTCATGTGATTCTTAATGTAAGGCCAGGCATAGTAGACTGAGGCCGGGACGGCGATGGCACCAAAGATGAGCCAGTTTTGGGTGGCCTGCCAGTTGTCCATGCTGGGCTTGTACTGTGTATACGTCAAGTACTTGGACGTGAGATGGATGTCGTAGTAGCGATAGAGCGGCTTCACTGATGACGATGACGGCGGACTGCAGTTGCTAAAGCTGTACGTTTAGTGATGGAGTATGCTGGTAATGCAACTCTTTGTGCTGACAGGAGTCACTGGCGTGCGGTGAGACGCGGTCGTGTTTGGCCTAGGACGCCAATTGCTGGGCGATACAGTGCCTGAATGCTTGGAAGGTCCAAGCAAGGGAGGAAGTGAGCGCTGTCGCGGATATTCCCAGTCAGGTTGCCGACTTAACCGGTCCCGTTTGTCGTATTATTACTCAATAGAATGGCAGGTGCCTGATAAAGTACACAGCTAGACGCCGAAATGGAACGAGTGTAGGGGGAGTATAGGTAGTGAATGTGTTGGCAACCGCACTCCGGTTATGCAGGTTGTGATGCTGCCCAGGAGCTGGCGCAACACGACGTCGCGCACAAATGAAGGACGAGCGTCGTTTCAGTGTGGAGACGCTGCGGCAAGGATCACCACTTTCGGCTCGGATGTCATGTTCGACTCAGCCGACACTCATACGCTCGAGCGGCTACCGGGGATGAGCGTGCTTGAGGCGGATGATACTTCGAACGATGAGCATATCGTGTGTGATCCTTTTAAGAATGCATTCATTCGGAATTGTGAGATGTAATTATGGTACATCGAAGGTTTCGGAAGACGAGTAGGTTTGCCAAGCCAAGCACGAGAGACCTCACTTCTTCGGAACCGAACGCCTGCTTGGTAGTCCTAACACATGCACTGCATAGTCAACACCCACTCGAACATGCATTGCGGGATACGACTGCGTGTGAAGCGGGCATACATCGTATGGCACCATCGTCGTACACACGCGTGAGCAGCGCGTCGCTTAACGGACATCGGGACCTGCATTTTGCGATGTGGGCTACATACGGTTCACTAGCCGCTAATGCTCGCCCATTTAGCCGTGTGTGATCGATCTTATTGGTCATAGCAAACCAGAATGCCAAAAATGGGTGCCTTCCCCGCATTCGTTGCACCCTTGACCACCACGTTCGAAGACGACATGGTAGCGATACTTCAGCAAACACCAATACGATGCCGGCAATCTGCGAAGTCCGGCACCTTATCCGGCGGGATTCGCGTGACACTGAGAAGTATTGGTTCAGCAAACCGGGGCCTGTCCGGCTTTCTCTGTTCAACGCTTACCCTCAACTCTCATGTTATCGATTACTTGATTGCGCCGGAGGCCAGATTGGAACCTCCACGGCCTTTCTTCGGCGATCTTGCCTTGCTCTATATTTTTCTTTTCTGAACGGAAGCAGAAAATGGTCGCTTAGCTCAGTTGGTTAGAGCGTGGTGCTAATACCTGTTGTATATCTCAAACGCCAAGGTCGCGAGTTCGACCCTCGTAGTGACCACACATACGTTGTGTTTTTGCGTGTTAGAGGCTTTTTTTGGGGTCTATATCGACCGTGTTCGAGGGTAGCGAGCAGTTGAGACGGATATTCCCAATTTGGCAGTTGCGGGATGGCCCGTGCTCGCTGAAAGCCTGATTACTAACCTGGCGACTCCTCTGAATCTGAATTTGAGCGTCACTCACCCCAATGCGGTTGAAGGTACAACCAAAACTTGGATACATACGGAAGTGTAGCAGCGGTATTAAGCTCTGTAGCTTACGGACTTCTATATCAAGATTCCTGAACACAAGGCGATGGCGTCGCTGACAAGCTATCGTGGAGTGTCACTGAACTCAAAAACTACCGAATCTGTAACATCTACTATATAGGCGAGGATATTGCAGACAGGTAAAAGATTGGCACCCGTCCGTCGATGCATATCATTTAACGCGACTCCAAGCTCAACCATGCGTGATTTTCGTAACAGTGCCATCTTCCGAGGTGTGTATATTCATTCTTGGCCTCAAGTTAGTTACGTACAGCCAAAACGGCTTATCATCAATACACATACCTTTCAGGCTTGTGGTCCATCGACATCATATCACCTTCCTTTACCACCCGGTGCTCCTTTGGTAGGTCTGTCTTTGCAAAGGTCTGCGATGCTCGTTAGTATTGCATTCATGAACAAGGGGGACATCAAAGCACACGGTCTCGTTGGAAGCATCGCCGAGCTTCTTGCCCATAAGCTTGTTCATCCAGTCGGAAGACTTATCGCCATCCTTTGACATCAATCCTGGTACGACGAGAGGCATCTTGGTATGGCGTGAATGGTAGGTTTGATTTGTGTCAAGTTGTTGCAGGTCGCGATCTCAAGCAGCGCGTTGAGTGTATCGAAGCGGCGATGTCCACAAGGTCACACGAGCATGGAAGTCACGAAAAGTGGACCCCTGACGTACTTTCTTCGCCGTAGGAATTTGGCTGCCTAGAGTTGACACTTTTTTGTGGTGCATTACACTTCCTGAACAAGTCACACTCAGCGAAACTTCTGCAGTAACACTGTCATTCACAAAGTGCAACGCAGTCGACTAGTTATGCGGCGTCGAATGCAGCGCCATGCAGTCGTCTATCATCAGAGTAATCGTAAAGGCATCAATGGCTGCTCATGCTCCATCCCGCTCGCTGCTGTGGTATCATATGTAACCTCCGTTTGTCCCGAATCCCACTTTGCAAATCATGCTACGTCGTGGTGTCGTACCCAAAACACATGCTCCTGACGCCTCTATGCTCCTCATAATTACCTGCCACTTGTCATTCCCGATGCGCAGGCCCCATCGGATCCCACCCAGCGACACTGTCGGCAATTTCATGCGCTTGCCGACCAAAACGCGCCTACGCAATGACAGACAGCACTGTCAGCGGCTTCCCACGCAGCAGCAAGGAGTATGCTAACCTAGCGACCTTCCTGTCTCGGCGCATACGGATTGCCGCTCTGATCCGGTTGAGGCCTCTGCCCGCCACCTCCCCCGCCGCCACCACCGCCGCCTTGTTGCGGCTGAGACATCTGCGGCTGAGGCATCTGAAGCGCAGGCGGGTACATGGGCATTTGCGGCATCTGCCCGTTAGACATCCCGTAGGCCATCATGGGATTCTGGCCCCACATTTGCATCATGCGGTCTTGCCGCTCCTGCTCCTCTTGCTTCTGCTTCGCCTCGCGCTTCTTCGTTCGTTCGCGCTTGCGCTTCTCAATTTCGTGGATCTCGCGCCTAAGCAAGAGCAATGGTTAGCAAGTCACCTTCCGAATCTGAACGATAGGGATATGATACCTCTGTTCGTTCATTTCTTTCCACTCGGAGAAAGCACCCTTGATACCCAGCGCTGCAATACCGACAGCCGCAGCGTCTTGAACCCAGGCTTTCGTTTGCTTCTTCCGCGCTTCCTCAGGAGTCATTTCACCCTCTGCCACAAGTCGATGCCGCTTCTCGTGTGCTTCCATACTGGAATAGACACCGTGGGCGGCGTGAATGGTAGCGATAGTAGCCAGTCCCGCCGTCAACAGCTCCTTCCCTCGCATATGCTTGCGCTTGTTCTCCATGTCGGTAGTACTACTACTTTCACTTTCCTCGCGCTTCGCATCGGCACGCTGCTCGTCACGCTGCTCACCATCTCGTGCACCCCCGCCACCGTTCCCGTTTCCATTGCCGTTTCCGTTAGCTTGGCTACTCATATCGCGATCGCGATCGCGACGTCCGCCGCGTCCGGTAGCTCCGCTGCGACGAGAGCTCCGATCGTCCATATCTGAAGGCGGTGAGCGACGCATATCTCGGCGACGGTTGCGGGAGGGGACATACGAGTCTGCGCTCGAAGAAGAAGGTGAGCGGCGTCTGCGAGATTTCGAGCGCACGCGGTCATAGATTGCCTTGCCAGCGGCTGCGACCGCGCCACCCGCCAGCAAGCCCTTTATTGCGCCCCCGCCGCCTCCATCGCCGGCTTCCGTAGGACCACGAGACGCCGAGCGACCACGTAAGCGATCGATAATACTGCGGCTTCGAGAACGAGGCGCGGCGTCCGGAGAGTAAGCACGGTCACGCCCACGGGATTTGGAAACGGGTCCGTTGGCAACATGATTGATAGCAAGACCGCCTAACACGGCTTCCGCCAAGTGGCGCTTGCTCTTCTCGTCCGGGTTGCGATCTAGCAGCCCGTCGATACCACCAGCGCTGAATGCAGCAGTAGCAATGCGTTTTCCTTTGTCGCCTGTCCACGGTCCGGGCTCCTTGCGCGCACGGAACGCTTCCACAGCACCAGCAATAAGCGCAGCTTGTGCAGCTTGCGCCCACTTTCGCTCAGTCTGCTTGCGATCACTCGGCCGAGAGCGGCTGCGGTCATTGTCGTCAGAGTCATACCGGCGGCTACGTGCGCGTGAGCGTGATCTGGTCGAGCGACGATCAGGCGAATCGTCGCGATCCTTCTTGCCGAGAAACGCGCCGGCTAGACCGCCGAGACCTAGGCCTTCCAGAGCTTCGCCAATACCAGACTTTTTGCGCTCGCGGCGCGGCGGCGAGTCGGAGTAGTCGGACTCGTAGTCGCGGTCATTGGGCCGGCGCCTGTCGCGGTCTCTCCGACGCCCTGCAGCATATCCGGCAGCGGCTCCACCAGCGGCACCATACGCGGTAGATCTGTCATTGTCATAGTAGTCGTCGTAATCGCCATACCGACTACCACGTGCGCTCTGGGCGCGACGACGCGGCGGAGCATCGTAGTCGGAGTCTCGGGACCGGCGATAGTCCCGTCCTGGTGGTGGGAAATCACGCGGGATGTCCTCAACGCTGTCATCTTCCCGTCCACGAAAGACGAGGTCGCGTGGACCGGGTCCCTTGCCGCGCTCAATGTACGTCTCCTCCCTCACGTACTCCGGCTCGTCGCGCTCACGCGGTCGTGTGCGGCTGTCGCCGTATTAGCAAAGGCATATTCTCATGAAGAGAGTGAAGCATCGGCTTACACGCTGTGATAGCGGCGGGGCTCATCGTCGGTATATCTTGACGCCGCGTAGCTCGACATGATGGATGGCGGTGTCTAAGACACAGTCTGCTACGGTTGCAACGGCTCGGTTTAGGTTGAGAAAGGAAGCTGATTAGGTTTACACAGGGTCGCGAAGTCTGTTCGGCTTAGGTGGGACGGAGTGACTTGGCAGTGGTAGAGTGGTGGGGCGGTACAGCCACTCCGCGCCTCTACCTGCTACCGCCTTGGCTGGTGACGTCGAGTTAGTGTTCGCCGATGAGTGGACGGATTGATGTGAAGATTCGTGATGGATGAGGTGGCGATCAGCGTGGAGTTGCGCTGGTCGGAGAAAGAGAGAGTAGGCGAGCAAGCGCATGTCCCGCAAGGCAGGTGAGGCTTGGTGCAGGGAAGGAACGTCGCGCAGAGGCTTGTTTGCAATGCACGTTGACGCAATACTGGCCCGTGCACGAAACAAATGCTGCCCGACGAGCGCCGCCGGTGTCTTGGAGACGTTTCAGATCAAACTATGACGAGGAGCTTATCCGTGTGGCAGCACATGGGGGAGAGCTCAGTATGCACAAAGGTTCTATATGAGACGGTCACGGGGAAACAACCACTATGTCTCGGCAAGTGCTGCGTGCTTGCCGAATGGCGAAAACATGCTCACAAGTCCACTCGAGCCGAACGGCGGCTAGGAAGGCAGGGACTCGCACTGGCGATAATGAGATGAGAGCTACGGCGATCTCGAAGGGTCTCAGTAGTCCTTCAATCGAACTGACGATCCAATGGCGTAACTCTTTGCCGTCCGTACTGTCGGAAAACATGACTCTGTCAGATTGCTGATCTCGCAACGGTTCTGCCCAAGCTGCATATGCTTTGCGTCTGTCGGCAGGTATATGAGTCTGGCCGAGACCCATCCACCCCATCCGTATGTGCATGTGTTGGCGACCATGTCCGACGCCGACGGGTTTCCACAATACCGTAGAGACATACAGTACTCAGATGACTCGATCGCGAACACGTTGGAGCTTTGCATACCGCGGCCTACAACACACGACCCGAAGCAGGTATGGGTGGTCTTCATCCACGGTGGTGCATGGCGAGATCCGGAGATAGACTCGTCGTCATTTCGCAAGGCACAGGAACTCCTCCTACGATCGCCGGTGGCGGAGAGCATCGCAGGCCTGGCATCGATCAACTACCGGCTCTCGCCTTACCCTTCACATCCACAGAGCCCGTCCAACCCATCGGATCCGGCTAGGAACGCGAGACATCCGGACCACATCAACGACATCCTTGCAGCGCTCCTTCACCTTCAGGAGACTTTCCGCTTTGATGATCGATACGTGCTAGTGGGCCATTCCTGCGGAGCGACGTTGGCATTGCAAGTAGCGATGAAGCGATACTGGGGTGCTCAGTATGAGTCGACGTTTGCACTCGAGCTCAATGTCGTTCCACCCGTAGCAATCCTTGGAGTCGAAGGCGTGTACGATCTACCAGCGCTTGTCAGTGATCACAGTGACCAACTGATCTACCGGGACTTTGTCAAAAACGCGTTCGGATCGGATGAAGCAACATGGGCTGCAGCCAGTCCCGCCAGGTATGTCGACTTCGAAGACAGCTGGCCAGATGGCAGGTTGGTCGTCCTGGCACATTCACTCGAGGACGAGCTCGTAGAGTTTGAGCAACCGGACCTTCAACGCCACCTTTTGGAGCGGCAAGGGTGGTCTACCGAGCCAGGGGACCGACAACTTCGAGTGGTTGACCTCCACGGCACGCATGATGGAGTCTGGCAGGACGGCACAGAGTTGGCTCGCGCGATCGAGACGACGGTGCAGTCTGTGCAGACTATGCTCTAGAGATTCTGCTTTGAATGATACCCACAGAGTCTACATGGCCACGTATTCCTCAATGGAGTGCATCAAGCAATCCTCAACGCGCTGCCACAAGGACTCAGTCTCATGAAGCAAGCGCGCCGAGCAACATGCTTGCCACGACCACCATGGCAGCCGTTACCGCTATCTGCGGAACATCAGCCGCAAAGTCGCTCGCTGCCCCAGTGTAAGGTGTAATCGTCGCTGTCGGGGCGGTAAAAGTCACGTTCGTCCCGTTGGTGGAAGAGTTGCTGCCCAAAATCGGTACAGTGATGTTGAATTGAGCGCAGACTTGGCCGAAAAGGTAGGTAAACGCTGTCTCCGGTTAGCAAAGAACAAGCGTCCGGTACGGTAGGATTGACATACTGTAGATGCTAGCACTCGGGTTGACGCAAGTCCGATCCGCGCACTGTGTTATGTTCGACAGGATGCCATTCTGGCGCACGCAGTGACAGTATTGATCCGCGTTTGTGCAGTTGACGGAGGCTATGGCAGCTGGGTCGCAGCTGGCCTATGCCACATCAGTTATTGCTGGCATGACTACTACATTGAGACACACGTACGACGCAAGCTGGGATTTGCGTTGCTTGAGGTCCGACTTGTGCACGGGCAATGACCAGTAGAAGACACGCCAGCAGCACCGCTACCCGTAGGGGTGTTTTCATAGTGAAGTGGGACGACCAGGATGCATAGATGTAGGCGTTATGGAGACGAACGATTGGAGACGCAAACTTATATACTATCGACAGTGTAGCAACGCAGAACCCGACTGGATGGGGTTCGTAGGGTATAGGATCCCAAACTTTCTCAAGTGCGAGTTTCCTTGTGGTTAAGCACTAACTTGGAAATGTTGTTGGGGGCCAAACGGAAGCTGAAATTTAGCGACGCTGCGCACCATCGGCTGCCGTGTGGGTGAAAACCTTGTGAGCTTCTTTGGACGATCACGCACCGTTCTGGTTTGCACCCTGTGAATAACTTACCAAACTACTGTCGGAGTGCAACAAAACCATAGGTTTCGTCCCCAAGCGCATGCAGCGCACAATTAGTCGATCGTGATAAGAGACTGCGCCCCAGAGCGTGTTGCATGTGCTTTCAGTTGACGTCCGCCTCTAGAAGTCGCTGATGGCGGGACACATGTGATAGATATAAAGTGCAGGTGCTGGCATGGGCCCAAGTCCCACGAGCAGCTTCGCCAGTACGGAGCGATCATGGTACTCTCGTCGGCGATAGTGGCTGACTTGCGGTCGACATTGGTGGTGACAACGGAATACACTTCTCCACGTCCATAAGCGACTGATCTGACCGGTCCATCTTGACGCGCTTATCGAGTTGAGCATTTTGATCTGCTTCTTCATCCCGCTGCCGCTTCGCTGTGGGGATTCGTCTCCGCTCCCGCCAGCGCCGCTGGATTTTCTTGATGGACACCACAACTCGAGCATAGTTCGACATGCGGCTGCTTGATCTGAATTCCACCCACTCGATACCGCTAATGCCAAGATTCGCACTGACAGCACCGATTGCAAGCTTGTCCGCAAGACTTGTTACCTGCTTCTTGTTCAGAGAAGCAACACCGTTGAAACAGAGTCGAATTGTTAGGTGTGCGGCCTGGCGAGCTGCTACTGGACTCTCCGGTGGTTGAACAGGATTGAGAGGTGCTAACCGGATATGTCTATGACTGTCTCTAGGATTTCGTGGGAAAAGGTGTGAGTACTGATTCTCCGGCGTGCCATGATCCGATTGTTGAGCTCATAAGTTGAGAACGAGGCTTAATCGGGCTTCTCAGCCGACGCTTTGAGCACGTCAATGAGCGCTCTAGTGAACGACAACGGACCTGGTGCCTCGGTGGCTTTCTTTCTGGGTGTTGCAGCAAGGACCTCATAGGTCCGTGCATCCTCCGCCGGCTTACCCTTCATGATGCTGCCGGCGCAACAGCAGTCTAAGATGGTAAGGACATCAGCATGCGCCTCGTTGACCAGACTTTCTTCGGCCCTCTTCCAGTTCGCACTTGCATTGAACAAGGCCAAGAAATCAGAATATCCCATTTGCCGTTCACTGTGCACATCACATGTCAACATTACGAGCGTAAGATGGAGAAGCGATTCCAAACTCACCCAATGATGGTCAATCCATCTGCGCCACTATCTCTGCCATGGCCGGTGTAGTACACAATAAGCAGGTTTGAGTGATGCGGACCTTCATTTTCCAGGACGAATTGGTCAATGCCACTCCGTAGCTTGAGTTGTGGGTTGATCTTGTCGTCCAAAATCAACGTCTTAGTCTTGAAGTGATACTGATTGGTGAACACATCTTGCAAATCGCGTATCTGGGGACGGTTAACAGTCACACCAGGACAGCGCGCAGTTGCACGTACCTCGTCCCCGCAAGGAAGCTGGGTGTCCAGATAATCGGCCCAGTGAACAATGAGCGCGGCGACCTTGCGGTATGTGTAGGGTACTTGGAGCTTCTTGCAAACAGCAGTATCCCAAACCACCTGCATATGTTGGTTTGGTTACTGGTGTTGTTGGTGTGCTTCGAGAACAGTCCGTGTGGTCCTTATCACCAGCCTTAGCCTTTCCGGATGACAGCACCAAGTTGCCTCCACAGCCGTTGTACTCCTTTGATTGTGTCTCAGTTGCAGCCATTGTGTTTGCGACCTACCGGGAGAGGTAAGTTAGTGGCAAGCGACAAGCAACTGTAAGCAGATGAGCGGCGCGAAAGCTTTGGAAGATATAAGGTGCAGCTTTACTAGGCACAACGGCCACGCGTGGGGATTGAGAGATACTGGGAGTACGGCACGAGTCATCAGCGGCAGCTCTTGAACCATCAAAGCCTCGAAGCCACCGCCCCTGCCCGGCTGTAAAGCGCCATTGCTTGCTTCGCCTTGTTGCCTTGCCGCCCGCGCTATGATGAATGCATGAAATTGTTGAAGGCATCTTGATTTGGCGAGGAAGGTACTTCACCCTTGGCGTGCTCTCAGGATCGGCAATTATCCGCTGCTTTCATCTTGACAAAAGCCTCCCGGCAAACGTTGCTTGTTGCACATATAAATAATGCCCGCGGTGTCCTTACCTCAGCCTCTCAGAAGCAAACTGCATCTTGTTCCTATCGAAACGTCGTTCTCGCTTACAAATTGCACGCCAGACCACAAACAGGTCAGTGTAGCGCGATGCATGCCAACTGGGGCTACTGATGGGCGACAGCTGACCGGTTCCTCAGCCTGATTTGCCTCAGGCAAAGGAAACAACGGACCAGGAGAAGAGCTACCGTGTGCCGTGGAGCGAAAGTGCTCCTGTAAGTGCTCCTCCATCTGCTGTCAGTCAGCAAGCAGGATGTGCTGATGATATGCAAAGGTCGAAGCTGAGTTCGAAGTCAACGACCGTGTCCGTACGGTCGACAGCAGCGGCAGGCCGCAGTACTGTAAGGTCTCTAAACGCGAGTACAGGAACGGCTTTTGGAGGTACAAGCTGAAGATCGAGTCGACCGGCAGACCGTACAGCAATGGGGCGTGGATCAAGGAAGGAGACGTTACTAGTAACGAGGGAGCTCCAGTCCACGTGGTGGAACCTGCAAGCCACCAATACGTTGGCATGCATTGCGCCCCACGCCCCATCTCAGGCTTGAAGCTTATCGGCTGGCAACTGCTTCACCGGCGTACGAGGGCGTACCATTGCTGTGATGCTGGTCCTGGACTAGATTAGAATCCACGGTTAGCGGTCGTCATGAACAAAAAGAAGCGATCGACCGTGCTTTACATCTGAGTCAGTCCTGGCCGAAACTGCTGGAATGCAAGTTTACACTAGGCTAGTTTTACGAGATGTCGGACGATGCTATCAAGTCCAAAATTCATGAGAAGCCCGATGAGCCTCTGTCGCCAGATAGTGCAAATACACCAGGCGATGTCGAGTCCGGAAAGCTTTCAGAGCGGAAGAGTACGTTCGATGAGTCCGTTTCTGAATCATCATTGATGTCGAGGTCTCGATACAGACATGTGGCTGCTCCGTATTCTCTTGAAGAGCTCGGCCGACGGTGATCGACAATTGCGGCCACCGGATCAGTATACGTCATTGCCAATACCTTGTATGTTGACTAGATAGATGATTAATGCTAGTGTTCACCTGACCGCTAGTAGTGAACCACAGCTCCAAAGGCTATGATCAGGTAGCTGTGTTCCAAGCCAGCGACCGGAACTTCTTGCAATACCGCGGCTTTGGGGTTCTACACTGTCGGGTATTGTCAGTGCTGGAGAACGAACTGAGTCTCCTAGGTCTGGGACTGGAGAAGCACAATGCCTGGGATCGAGGCCACGGTAAGGATGCCAAGCTGGAGAACCAATGGAGGGATGAAATTCAGTCGCCAAAGGACTTCGCAGCAGGGTTCTATCCGCCTGACATAAAATGCACTCATCCAGATCTCCTGCGCAAACTGTGCAGCAAGTTGATTCAGTACGGTGAGTATGCGAAGATTGTGGTAGATGTGACCAGTGTTGACAGTAGTGAGATGAGTTACTGCTCAAAACTAAAGAAACCATGGCTTTGCAACGACCGGCCAATCGGGACTATGAGACCGTTCGCACGTGGTTCCGCGACCATGAGCCAGTCATACAGAAGGAAGCAGCTTTTATTCGTTGGAAAGAAGACATCGTCACTCTTCGTAATAGGCGGGAGAGCTCAGGCTTCGACGGATTCATCGAACATTGTCTTTCCGGACTCGATGGCTTTCGTCGCAAGTGCTTCGGGCGGAGCTGGATTCAGGTAAGCAAGCAAGAGCAGCGTTTCATGCCTTACTCGACTGTTCCACTGGCTCGCTTACTCGATGCTGCAGAATATGTCCCTGACGGCGGAACTGCGCAAGAAGTGCACAGATGGCGATATCCACTATTTCTCGCCAGCCCGGGTCGATGCGCTCGTCAACATCATTATCACTATTGCAGTATTTGCCTTGCCCGTGTTGCCTGTTGTAATCCTGTACAAAGTCATGAACATGGGCCGCCGGCAGAGTCCGCTAGATGCGATTGGCGTGTTGATCGTGTTGATATTCGGCATGGCGATCTCGTCGCTAACCACTGCGAAAAGGGCTGAGCTCTTTGGCGCATCGGCGGCTTATTGTGGCATCCTTGTGGTGTTTCTCGGAAACACTGGGATCAATCAGTAAAGATCGTGGCCGGTCATGGTCGGTAGAGCAGCGATGAGTAGTGAGACGTCCAGCGGAGTTGTGTGTACCGAGCCTAGCCCCTTGACTACCCGGGTAGGACATCTGGGCTGCAGTGGAGCACTACATGGAGCAATTGTAACACATGAGAAGGAAGTCAGCTGAATTGTAAAGGAACCGGCGCGAGAGCGCCAAGCGGTGTCTCCGGTGTCATGCAAAGGACTCGTAGACTTGCCAAGACAGCACTTCACACTTGCTGGCCCCAGGTAGGTTCCTTCACATAACTCCAGGACTTGCTCCTTCTTTCAATCGTATCATGCACCTGCATCGCTGGTAGTCAGATAATTTGGGTACTGCGAATCCGAATAATATCTGTTACGACTTACAGTCGATGCACAATCTACAATCTACCTGCGTCCTCCACTGCCCGCTACGCAACGATAAGGACGAGCGCGCGAGGCTGCACAGATCGACGCTGATAAGGAGTCAGTACTGGTCCCGAGTCTCTTGAAGTGCGACCTGTCGTATTGAAAGCTATTCCGTTCGTTAGCCGCTCTCCTTTCAACAACTAGATCGGTACCTGGTGGCATAGTTGTACATGCAACGAGCACGCATGCATGCTCCGTGTTTGGTCCGTAGCCATTGCAAGACAGCGACCACACGTAGCAGGATAATGTAGCCCGAAGTACTATTGATATTTCAAGGTGTTGGCAAGACGCGTCCTAGGGAGCCTGGCTCTTTACATTGTGCGCCTTACCCTCGATCCTTCGCCATCCGCAGGTGACTGGCGCGGCTAATGACTTCTGGCTGCAACCTCATAAGAAACCCGGCCTGTCCGGGTAGGCTCTATGGCCGTTCTCAACGCCCGCTGTACTGCAGACAGGCCTGTTCCGACTTATTGCGCCATGCGGGGCGGGATCACGGGTCATCGGGTCCGGGTGGTTGCCACGGCCACCTGGACTGTGCTGGCCATCCCAGTAATGCAGGAACGTTCGTGAAGTTGTTGCTGCCAGGTGTTACGAAGCTCCCTTCGAACGCATCTCAAAGGACCCATCGACCCTGTTTCAAGCGGGCTCTCGTCACAGACTGATGAAGCAATCAAATCCTGGGTGTCTACGAGGGTTGGTATCACCGTCTACCGCTATGATGATCCTCATGAACTGGATTCTGACGCTGGTCACAGTCGTCAATGCACCGAACCTCGGCGTTAACGGGTTGCTGTACGGATCCACATGTGCCCGGCTGGTGCGTCGGCATTGATCGTGAGGCGGACTGAGGGTTCAATCGGTCAAGTACGGAGCGTAGAGACTGCCGGCGTCTTCGAGAAGGCCAGCAGTCTTCTTCCAGCAAGTCATCCCGAAGATAGCTGGCGCTTGTCAAGCCGGGTTCTTCAGCTGCACACGCATTTTCAAGGTAGCCACAGAGTCCCTGTGCTGGTCATTAGTCTTGATGACGTCGAGCAGTCGACGAAATGGCTCTTTGCGAGCAATGTTCGCTCAAACTAGGCTGCAATACACCGGATGGTTACCATTCATGACCGTATTTGAATGTCACGGACCATGGGACAGTCCTACGCGCCTGCCTTTTGCCAGGTGGATTCAGCTGCGCCGCCTAGCCAACACCAGAAGCAGTATTAGCTGCTGGATGCTGTGAAGCAAGTTCTGTAAGTTCTTCTTCCCATTCTCTATGTGGGCAGAGCGACGGAGCAATGCTTGTTTGCTTCCCTTACTAGACCCAGGATGTGAGGCTACCTTACCCGAATGTTCCATCTAGGGAAGGCACGACCACTTTTAAGCTCGGAGACCTTCCGATAGCTGGAGCATGTTCCAAGCTTGACCCTCACCCAACTCGGTCGCATACACAAACAAAACAACACCCGATTTTACCGCTACATTAAGACCAGCTCTCACTATTGGCGGTCACTCGTCCCTCACTGCAACTGACTACAAACGTAACTTCGACCAACACGGCCATGGCGAGCGACGCAGACGTCATGGCTGCGGTCGCAGCTCGCCGGATGGCAATGCCTAGCGGCGCCGCTCCGGAGAGAAAGGCCGCCGTCACCATTCGCTCGCCCACTATCGATCGCTCCACGCCAGCTGCACCGGATCGAAGGACGCCCACCAAAGCTCCAATCACTCCGCTGTCACCAACAACTCACTCCCACCCCATAAACGTGTCACCGCTGAAGATGGCAGCTCCACCTCCAGCCCTTGCCGAGCGGAACATGAACGTTAACCCAGGCCCCTTTCTTACAGGTAACGACGCAGCTTTGAAGGTGCGTCAGACGACCTCATTCTGCTTATGACTTCGTGCTGCAAAATCTGGTCCTAATCTAAGCTACAGGAGGCACGCGAGTTCATGCTCAGCGCTACGCGCGGCAGTGGCGGGAAAGGTCGGTCTCGTCTAAGAAAACGCGACAGCGACAGCGTGTCTTCTCGTTCATCCACGCGTGACTCCGCCGCAGCACGCGATATGCTCCACCGTACCAGCCCGTTTGCGTATCGTTCTCCAAGCTTCACTCCTCCAGTGTCTGCGGCTCCGGTCCGCGCTGAGTCTCAGTCCGCATCGAGGACTGAATGGGGTAACTTCGCATCACTCCATACCCGTCCGGCTGTGGTAGAGAAGAAGGTCGACCTCACTTCCACGATGCCATCAGTGCCTGCGTTCACATTGACCCCGGCCCTCAATCCGACCTCCTCCATTACAAGGCCAATCACAGTGCCGGAGAAGGTTGCAACAACAAAGCCAGAACCAACAGCAACGCTAGCGAAGCAAGACAAAGTCATTGGTTTGCTCGACCGCCAAATGGCTCAGGTCAATAGTACGATCAGCAAAACTGCCGGAGAGCTTCCACCTCACCTTCGCACTAAAGCTGGAACGGGCGCTGTCAAGCGTGTCACAATGGCAGAGTCACCAGATAAGCCGACTCCGACCACTGCCACCAACTCTGTCTCGACCGCTCCGGCTGAGTCAGAGGACACGGCACCAAGTGCCGCTGCTGAGCATAAGCCCGCGTTTGCTGTAATTACTATCAAGCCCCAAGTCAACAGCGAAGCTAAGGTACATGTTGCACAAGTCGTAGAGGCTCCGATATTCGGCTCTGCGGTTAGAAATGCGCCGGCGGTCGCTGCCATGACTGACCGAACGACTACTGAAGATGCCCCAGTCACGGCAAGGTGTGGAACGCCGTCTGCGGCTACTGCGGCTACCAAGAAGACTGGTGGGATCATCGGTCCGTTGGACGGGAATACCATCCCGTCAAAAGCGACGGCAAAGCCTGCAGAAGCAGCCATACCAGCAAACAAGCCGATCACCTCCGCCATGCCGAGCTCAGACTTTCCTAACGCGCAAACACCGCCAGCCACGATCACGACTGCTTCTGTCTCCAAGCCTAAGCTCGACGCCAAGGCTTCGGAAGCCACCCATTCCGCCTGCGTGAAGGCTGCTGCTCAGGGCACGAAGAGCGACCCGACCATCATCGACGGCACCGCTACGCTGGCCAAGCATGCTGTTCTTGCCAAGTCAGTAACTTTCCGTAACGACGAGATGAACGACGACACCATGACTGTGATCGCCAGCTTGAAGCACGAGGTCACTGCTTTGACGGGCCGGACCACGGTGCTCGAGCAAGGCAACAAGTATCTGACGCAGAAGGTGCAAGAGCTGATGCAAGCTGAGGCGCGTCGCCAGTTCCTTGGCACGGAGGACGCCAAGACACTGTTCAGTGTCCAGGTCACCTACCGTGAGTACAGTCAACCTTCCCTTGGCTGAGCAGTCCGCTAATTGGTGATAGCAAATGGTGTGGTTCATTCAGTTGAGGTGTCGAAAGAGATGAAGATCGCTGCCGTCATCCGCGCCGTGCGCAAAGCAGCCGGGATGTCAGTGCAGCAGACCGATAAGCCATGCATCACTGTCGAAGGTCGTCAGCTGGGTCACAGTATGTTTGTGGGCGAGGTCGGTATCACTGCGAACAGCAAGCTCGTCTTCACCTTCGAGAATGAAGAGGAGGAATTATAGAGTCTGCTGAGTGGTCAGGGTGGTGCAGTGCTGAGGAGATCATCCTATTCTTGAACGAAGGATGAGCGATCAGAGCAGTCGTTTGGCAAGCTGAGGTCGTCTGGGCGAGGACAAGCTTGCCTTACAGTATGGGGAGGTATGCGTTGCTTGTAGATTCCAAGGAGGTGGAACGGGACAGTCGAGAGACGGTCAAACTACTATATAACCGTTCTGCTCTCGAACCGTGCTTGTACGCGACTTTCCATTCGGAAGGCACACCGGCCCGAGATTCTCCGATATGCATGGTCAAAGCTCGTCTGTAACAGTTTCCCCAGCTCACGAGACCTTGCGAGGTTCTTATGCTATATGTATTAATGCTCCTTCTTTATTAAGTCTGGGCACAAAACCTACAGTACATCGACATGCCTCCAGGCTCGGCCGCAGTTGAGCCCGCCATGACGACCATTCTGTCAGTGGGCACGCCAGCAATCTCACGCCGCTCGGTCGCTGCTCTGCACAACTCACGCCACCCAATAGTATGCGTTGCGCAGCGGGCAGCCTTTTCAAGCACGCCTCCAACTGCCCTTCCTACGCCGGGAGAAAGCCTGTTTCGCTCTTCATCCACCATTGGCGGCCCGCCGAGCAACTACTTCCAGCGGCAAAGCCTACCTGCAAACACCATCATCAAATTCGTCCCGCAACAGACAGCATGGATCGTGGAACGCATGGGTAGATTTAACCGCATATTACAGCCTGGTCTGGCAATCCTTATACCCATCCTCGACCGGATAGCGTACGTCAAGAGCCTGAAGGAGAATGCTATGGAAATACCATCTCAGTCTGCAATCACTGCAGACAACGTGACTTTGGAGCTCGATGGTGTGCTATATACGCGTGTGTTTGATCCGTTTAAGGCGAGTTATGGAGTCGAGGACGCAGACTACGCCATCAGCCAACTCGCGCAGACGACGATGCGGTCGGAGATTGGCCAGTTGACGCTGGACCATGTGCTCAAGGAGCGAGCGCAGCTCAATACCAATATCACGCAAGCGATAAACGAGGCGGCAGCGGACTGGGGCGTGAGGTGTTTGCGATACGAGATCAGAGACATACATGCGCCTGACCCTGTGGTGGAGGCTATGCACAGGCAGGTTACAGCGGAGCGGAGTAAGCGAGCAGAGATCTTGGATTCGGAGGGTCAGAGACAGAGCGCGATCAACATTGCCGAAGGACGCAAGCAGTCCGTCATTCTGGCTTCCGAGGCTATCAAGGCGGAGCAAGTCAACACCGCATCCGGTGAGGCAGAGGCTATCCTAATGAAAGCCAAGGCAACGGCGGCGGGTATCGATGCAGTCGCGCGTGCAATAGAAGCAGGTCAGCAGTCCGCTCAAGGCGCTGTGTCGCTTTCCGTAGCGGAGAAGTACGTCGATGCTTTCGGCAAATTGGCGAAGGAAGGCACGTCTGTGGTCGTGCCGGGTAATGTGGGCGATATCGGCTCGATGATTGCGACGGCTATGGGCGTGTATGGGACGGTGAACCAGTCGCAGGTAAAACTCCAGGCGCAGAAACATGGACTATTGGGCGCTGGTGAGCAGTCTCAGGAGCAGCATGGTGCGTTGGCTGCAGAGGGCGACGGTAAGAAGGAGGGCTCTTCGAAGAATGCGATGGCGCAGAGCGTGCTGGAGAGCTTCGACCGGACGAAGCAGCGACATTGAGATCTTGTGCTTGTTCATCCATGGCGTTATGGATGGGAAGGAAGAACCTAGTCTGCATAAGAGCAGGGCAATTTGTACTGTTACAGCAGGGTGTTAACGGCTTTCGGCTCTGCTTCGAAGGCCGTAACTGGTGGACGGCCGCTTGTATAGCATGTCTCAATCAATCACACCTTCTCTATGACCGGGATGACATTTGCATGCAGTGTGCCCGTGATTATACATGTGCTTAAGAAGCCAAGCGAAAGGCCCTCTGGGCACACGGAGCGTGACGCTGTCCGTGCAAGTGCCACCGCTGATGTCAAAGTCAATTGACCAACATTAACGCCGCTTTCATCTTTACATGACGAAGTATGCTTGCAATATTGCTTGACCACAAGCGACGTGAGGAGCCAGCAGCTGCCATGGTTCGCAATGTGGGGGCTGAGCTTGCATTTGACAAGGGCTGCTGCGCGTGCTGCGCCTAAAGAGAGCGTGCGTGCAGTGGTGCCCTCGACTCCGCCACCGAATCAGATAGCGCCAAGGGCGACCTCACATCCTGTTGGGGAGAATAAAGGGAAGCCGTCGTCGCTCATATCTTGGATATTTAAAGTCCTGCTCACCATCAACCTGTCGGACCGTGGACCATGAGCCAGATCTCGAGTGTAGTCCTTTCGCCACGGATATATCACCGCAAACGCCAAGTCAATTAAGGGATATTGTGTTGACATTATCATCAACCGATCAGACCTCGAAGGCGCTCGGTCCCCGACCCTGTTAAACTGGGTTTCCGCTGTGCCTATCAAGCATGTGGATAAAGTCTCCCAACGTCCGACACAAGCACTGTCAGGTGGGCGGAGTGCGCTGCGCGTCCTTCGCCGAATTGCGCATTTGGCGTCGACCAGGCGTCATCTTTCGAGATCAGCATCCTGGCCAATGGATGATGCTCAAGTAGCGCGCCGTCTTGGTCTGCAGCAGCTTCCGCGAGTAAGTTGCGGAGAACGAGATTATGCTCATGCAGCGGCTGCGGCCTGTTCGCCGCAACGACCTGCTGCAGAGGTATGTTTCCTCCCTCATCCGCCGTGCCGAACGACACGATGCTCTCATTGTCGGTGATCGCGCTGGCAGCGTCGCCTTCCGAGCGGTCATCGTCGTACTCAAGCGGCGGCAGCTCGTCTAGCGCAGGCTGAACGCTAGCACCACCCGTGGAGTCTGTGTCGAAGGAGAGTTCTGAAAGCGCACAAGCAATGTCCTCAGAGCTAGCCGGTGTTGTAGAGCTGTAAGTTTCATTGTCTCCAGCGCTATGTGCGTCCCCGATTTGGTGACTTTGAGCTGGTGGCGCTTGTGCCTCGCCATCTACGAACGGAAGTCAGCAACACGAAAGTCAGGTTCACCTGGATCTACAAGGGGCGAATCGTACGCAGCGAAAATTGTACGAAGCCACGAGCTAGATCTGGAGCCGAAGTCATTTTTGCGTGCTTGCCGTACTGGGCGACGTGCTCGGGGCTTGGCAAGCCGGACGTGATGCTATTAAGGAGTCTGAGGGAAAACGGTAGCGGAAAGGTGAGTTGACAGAAAGCTGGAGCAGAAGCGCAGCACGAGATCTGATGTGATAAATAGCTTCAGAACATTGCCTTGTGTTTGCGGAGAGCAAGGAACGAAAGGGGTGGGGGTATGCTCTGGATTGGAGACCACAACGCAGACAATCACAGTCAGCAGGATGACGCCAAGTCATGGACAACCTACTCCGCGACAGTGCAGCTCGATTGAGTGCCATCTTGCGAGTGCCAAGCCCTGTGCGCCATTGGTCTGGCAATGTAGACCTCTGCCTGGCCGTGGGACACCTTCGTTTCCCGCATCGCCAATATGCCTCCTTCGTTTACCACAGACAGCAATCGTAATTTTGACCCTAAGGACCTACTTAGTGACACGAGTGGGGCTGGAGATGTGAGCGCCGAATTTTGCCACACATTCGAGTTCCAGTCGACAGACCAGCGGCGACCCACGACTCTCTCACGCCCGTCGTTTCTAGGTCCACATGCTTGCCATTTCTTTGCTCCAGGCGGTGAGTGTCCCTGCATTTTCCGGGCCCGGACGCGCAGAGTTAAGCAAAGCGTACCTGAAACGCGCAATCTTCGTCTCCGTCCCTATGTTCGCCGGCGCACCGAAGTCACAGGGTCGCAGGATGGTCCCGGGGTCATAGCTCCATGAGCGCCATTCGATCTGACGTGCTTGACCGATGGCGGTGGTGCTCTTGCTCGCAGCCGGCTCCTCTGCAGGCTCCTGGCAGCCAAGCTGGAAGCCTTTGCACGGCCGGTCTGCCCAGAGCACCGGGGCATTCTCCCGACCGAATCGCGTGACAGGATGACAATGACTATCAGGCCTCCGACCAAATGGTTGCTACGAGCTTGGCCGGAGGCGGTGCAAGAACCGTGCAGAAGGGCGGCCTCAATCGGACCATACCCAGAAAGGACCTAACCAGTCATGCACGTAGTGCACTTAGCGTCCACCAGTCCTCCAATGGGCTTTGGAGCCTGCTGTGTGCGCTGGCAGGAGCAGTCCAAGTATCCCGTAGTGGAGCTCCCCGTCGTCGTTGTCGTGTGGAGGGTACGTCAGCGATGGGCAGCCTGTTCGTTTTTTGCAGGCGCTGCGGGGCCCTCACCTGCCGTGTTGCGCCGAGCAGGCCAGATCGAGAGGGTGCGATCTCTTAAGCATCCAGTGAAGCTCCTAGGCATCTTGAAAATCATTCACGGTCCGGGAGAGATTTTGCTGAACGGTCAATGTATCGCAGGCGGACTTTCGAGCAGCAACCGACCTGCTCTGCTCTCGACAACCATATAACTTCTGAGGTTGCAAAAGGCATCGCCAAAACTGCAAACACTCTAGCTGGGTAGAAGGGCTTTGTGGTGAGCATCTAATGAGAGCTCCAGCCAATGCCAAGGCCCAGCTGAAGCCTCATACCCAGCTTGTCGGCCAACGGCTTGTTGTTGCCTTTGGCGGTGCTGCGGGTGACCATGTAGTTGCTTGGTCGCACTAATACAACAGTACACCCGCAGGACATCCGTCCACTAGGATGGCACTGCTTGACCCGGCTTACCCAGCCTGGCGTTACGCCCGGATCACGCCGCTTGCAATGTTCTTACGTTGATATGCTGCCCTCTCTCCTACCGCATTATATCTCTGTCTGCTTTCCGCTTTCTTCTCTCTCTTAACCTGACCTATCGTGCCTCTGGATCGATGTCGGTGCTCTCAGTACCTATCAGCAATGGCAACGAGGAAACTTTCATCTCGACCAACCTTGACCCGGAACGAGTACAAGGACCATGGCAAAACAACGTTTTACTCGATGGCTTGGGAAGCCAGTGGGGAGGCGCCGGCGCATCTTGTGACTCGGGACTTTTGTACCAGCCGTCGTTCGATGTATCGAGTGCAAATAGCAATGCAAGCATATCACCTGCCACTGTTCGAGCCACCCCTATCGAACCTCCAACGCAATCGCATCGGTATTCCGCAGAGATGGCTCCGTTGGGCCGAGGTCGCGGAGAAGGGCCGTTCGATGTTGACGACCGCCGCCGACTTCCCAGCGATGTCCCATTGCCACTTACGCAAAGTCGCAGCGGACGCAGTAGAAGCACAGTCAGATCCAGCGTGCCTTCTCGCCGGGATGCAAGCACGACTGGTCGGGGTCGTATCATTGCATGCACAGTTTGTGGAGGCTCGTTTCGGACATCTAAAGATCTGGAACGACATGCCAAGAAGCGGTTTCACCGGCAATATATCTGCCCTGTGCAAGGATGCACGAAGAGCTACTATCGGAGGGACTCCTTCGTGAGGCATAAGACAGCACACAAACAGCTTGCGATGCATGAATGCTCATATTGCGCTCGGCTTGGCGTAGAAAAACACTTCATTCGTAAAGACCACTTATCGGCGCACATATGGAACGTTCATGCTCCTCCAGACTTAGAGATACCCAGCATCGACTCCATGGAGACGATTCATGGTGAAGACAGTCCACGATTCTTGTGGGAAGCACAGTCTCGGTGCAGCTCCCCTTTCGAGTTCACCATTGATGACAACGACTTCATGCTGCATGATGGGCTCCTGAGCGGTTTTACGCCTCCGCAGATAGCCATCGGAGCCGCTCAAAGCTCCTCGGCAACAAGCAAAGACTGCAGCGCTTGTCAGAAACGCGCGATCAGCGAGCTGGAAAAGGCACTCGCCGCAATTGTCGGCCCCGTCGATACTTTTGTGCTGACCGAGCGTCTGGGACTGCATCATAACACAACCACGGAGAAGGTGGCAAGGACGTTGCGCAAGCTGCTGATTGAACCGTGAGCGGAGCTGGCGTTTACGATTGCTTTGCAGCCTTCACATCGTTGCACCCATTGATTGATTGGCTGCGAACAGTTTGCTACACGATAGTGGATACTCATCGCTCATGCAGACGTCTGCTGTGGCCGCGTTGGTGACCGACTGGCATTAGTCTGGTAAACTCTGAGCGTTTGGTGGTTTGCATTGCTGTCGTCTCGAGGCTGAGCGAGTACGAGGCTGTCAGCGGTGTGCGATACTGCGTTCCGGTAACGTGTTGTTCACCCACTTGAGGCCCGTTATCATGGCAAGGCGACAGCTCCGGAGGTATCGTTGCTTCTCCAGCATCGGTTCAGAACATACGATTCACCAGCGGGTACTTTGCGCTTGTCGGTAATAGATAATCCGCTTGTACATGTCCTCTGAGCCCTGCAATCCGTGATGTTGACATGCCGAGAGGAAGCTGTACATGAACCTTCCTCGAAAGCATTGCTTGGCGACATGTGCCCACTAGCCATTTCGATGAACTCATATTCTGCTGCTGATTTGAACATTAATGCGCTTCCTTACAGGTTTTAGTGCATTAAGGTCTCGAAGACACTCGGGCTTACTTCATGACCCTGTCTGGCCGACGTGCCGCTTTGTATCACATATCGAGCATGCAGACTCTCTGATGTTGGCAGAAGATGTTTGATAATGCATATTGTCGTTGGGGGTGAGGTGAGCTCTGACAAAGACAGCAGTGATGCGTCCGTTGTCACACGGCATGCACGCTTGCCCTTAGGGCTGTGCGCTCACGACATTCGGGACCGCACGCAAGCCGGTGTGCCAGTGCTAGGGTCATGACTCCAAGGGCCGACAAGGTGCGAGAATAATGGTTCGCAAGCGGGCGCGATGCACAAACTTGGAAGCTAGGCCGCCGTATGAGGCTCGGAAAGTACAATACGATTGGATAGCCACGACTGAGTTTGAAAGCCGGTATACGTATTACCTATTGACAAGCTGTGCAAAAGTGCCTGATGATGGCAGAGAGGCGCGGCTGCGCCACTCTCTGCCATCTGGCGATCTGGTCCGCTTCTGCCACCGCCATTGATATGTTCAACACCGCCCAAATGTCGACCCCTTTACGCCTCATTTAACAAGACGTGGCATGAAGTCCATTAGCTCGCTTGCTTAGGAACATTGGTCGCAGGACACAAGCTGTCGACAGACGCTCAATGAGTGCGTAGCGTAGATCAAGTGAAAAGACGATCAACGTCTGCAAGCCACGACGCCAAGTGCGCATTGTGCGACACGCGAGACTCGCCGAAAAGCATCTTTGGCACTGACCATGGGTCGTCAGAGGCGCCCACCATCTTACTCATTGAGTAATGCTCGAAAGGGTCAATATCGCCGTCAATATCTGCATTGGCGAGATGGTTGTGCAAGGCCAATCTCTGTGCGTTCAGCGTTTGCCGAACGTTAGAGGTATATGCCCGTTGTAGAGGAACATTGCCCGCTTCATCCAACGTGCCGGCCGTGGGCAGGCTCGCGGCATCCGTTCTCATGCTGGCGGAGTCGCTGCCTGAGATGCTATTGTCATCCTCGAGCGATGGCACGTCTTCTCCAGCAGGTGTAGCGACACTGCTGCGCGGAGAAGGGCAATTGTCAAGCGGCCTAGGGCCACTCAGGGAGGCATCGTGCGGGCCGCGTTGTGTCGGAGACAGTAAAGAGCTCCGAGTCTGACTGTCGCCCTGCGAGCTGGCAGCCGAGGACGACCGTGATATAGCATCTACGCTTGTAAGTCTGCGTTCGAAGCGTGTTTGTTACGGCTGCAGCTTACTCTGCCGATCCATACGTGCATTCGGCGTGCAACCCGTGGAAACTGTGGAACGTAGGCTTGCCATCCTGTGCATGCGTTCGGAAGATGTTTGCGGTATGATAGCTCAAATTTGGATGCGTAGCTGAGCCGTAGTATGTCAAGGAGGATAACCGTCAACCTTCAGTGGTGGGAATTCCACAAGTAAGATAAAATGCGGAAGACTTGTGCAAAGGAGCTGCGCCGGGCCCGAAAGCGTTATGAGAAAACACACTTCCTTTCACATGCCCGCTGTGCACCTGAGAATCGTTTCGCATTTCCTGTTTTCGCCCGGCATCATCGCATGGTAAGCGGTGGCGTGGAGCACGGTAAGCGGTGGCGTGGAGCACGGTAAGCGGTGGCGTCAAGCTATTGCTCGCAAGCTGCGTGAACTCTCGTCGACAGCGAGTGAAAGGCGAGCTCTCATCGATCCATTGGCGGAGAGGAATGCGTCGCAGTGTCAATCGAGCTCCGGCGGATTGACGGATGTGATAAAACAGGGATTGGCCGCAGGTATCGGGCGTTCCGACGACGAATGGCCCCCCTCCATGCCAGGTATTGTGAATTCACCCGGCATACGAGTGTGCTGCTGAACGCATCGGCGACTTGAATTCAGACCGTAGAGTGCAGCAGGGTACGTTTTGCAGCTCCTCCACGAATCTAGGCCGTGGCTGGACGACGGCACACATTATTGTCCGCATAGACCAATAGGAAGACGCATTTCTTCCTCATTCTTCCCCGCCGTAATAACCCCCAAGCATCTGGAGCTTGTGAACTTCCGGTGACGTAGTGAGAGTCTCGCGTTTGCGAGGGTTTTCCGTCTGCAAGGCAAAAGTCGTTCGCGGCGATGGCTCCGTGGTGGCCTAAGGTGGTGAGGCACTCACAGCAAGAGCAGCACACGACGCGTCTGCCAAGTTGCGTGCTTGCGAGTACGCGCCGTTGTGCTACGGCCAATCATCTCGAGGCAGTTCGAGATCGGGCAGCCTGCAGGGGGTGCGGCCTCAGCTGCTTCAGCCTGCGGCGTGATCAGAAACATCCCCGGACCAGTCATCGTTGTTTCGGGCCCAATCGAACGTTGCTAGGCTCGGTTGAATCCTCCAGATCATGGTCAGATGCCCACCTGCCCGAAGTCGAAGCTGTCATTTGCTGCTGCCCATGCGGTTAGTCGTCGCGCCGTGCATTGGTGCGGTTTCTTTCCCGGATGCCATGGCCCAGTCCTGTTGCATGACAACTCCAGAAAAGGAGCTGTCAAGCGAGGATAACGCCCATTGGGTACGCGTGCTGCCAGGATAAACTTGACTTGAAGGAATGTTGCATGAAGCGGTGCAAGGCGGATTTATATTCGAAGAACGGCAGAGAAGAGGCGGGAAACGAGGTGAGCGAGACGAGCAGGATATCTCATACCAACGTGTGTTATAAATGTTACTGAAACGATCCCGGAAGGGCTGGTTGTCAAGGGCAAAAGGGAAGGGTCAAGGGCGACGGCTGATGTGCGCTGGAGGTCGGAAGGAGGTAGTGGCCGCAAGGCGATGTGCGGCGCTGGGGCGGGGGTTCGAGCTTAGACCACATCGCATATTGGCTTAGTGGTGAGGTGAGGTGCAGTTCGGTGGTTTCGCAACAGCAGAACATGACGCATGGGCATCCCGCGCACTTCATACCCTTCATACCAGCTCTCGCGTAAGTAGGCTCTGGTAGCCGCGGTACTATTGGATTTCGCCGCGTATTAAAGCCCGCCCCAGTCTACTTAGGCAAGTGATGTCTCTCATGTTTCCCTTCTCTTTCGCTCGGAACGCTTTATCATGCATCTAGGGCGATGTCTACCACATACGATGATGCCTTCATCCGTCAACCTGAGTCTTGCCATGCCCGATATGATGTTCTCCTACACGATGTGCTTCAGGGGGTTGGAGCTCAATGGCACCATACGAACTCGATGTCTGACACAGCTTTCTTGTTCCCAAGTTTGGCGGAACAGACCGACTCGCCTACCCTACACGTATCTCACAGCGTCCATGCGGTTTCGTCGAATACGAACGGCGGCCGAGCGACCATGCAGGCCTCGGGTTGCCTGCAACCAGCCTCATCCGCCACTGTCGAAGGGTTGTACCCTGAGAAGCTCAGTCGTTGTTCGAGCAGGAACACAGGTAGCGGTGCGTGAGATTCTTCAGAGCTGAAAGCTCACAGTCTCTAATTTGCGGGATTAGCCACGTCTCCCCAAAGATCTACAACCGCTTCTACCCAACACAACTGTAGTATCTGCGGATACGGCTTTTCGACATCTCAAGATCTGGAACAGCACGCCAAAGCGACCTTCCACCGGACGTTCAAGTGCGACGCTGCCAACTGCACGAGAACTTATTACAGGAGGGACTCATTGGCGAGGCATATGTCAATGCATACGAAGAAAGGCGCTCATGAGTGCTACATTTGCGCTCAGATAGGCCAGAGAAAGCAGTTCGTGCGCCGCGATCATCTTTCGCAACACATCCGAAACGTGCACTCGGCCGTGATTTACGACTCATGGAGTCTAGAGTCACCTGACTTCTCACAAGCGGACTACAGTTACCCGTCTGTCAAGGGCGATTGCCAAGCACAAGCGATTAGTGACTTTGAGAGTGCGCTTGTTCGTATCGTTGGGCCGGATGAGCTGGCTGTTATGACAGACCGGCTCGATCTACGCAGCGGGCAGACCGAGCAGGTCGCCAAGCGACTGCGAGAGTTCATCGCCCATGCAGATCCCTGCTTCCACTGCAGTGGTGACATACTTGCGTGACAACGAATGATGACCTGGAAGTGTTCTGCGCTGCTTTTGGGTTCGCTGCTCATGCATGCTTGAGTCTGACACCAGGTTGCCGCAGATCTGCAATGCAGCATTATCGACATGAAGAGATACTCATGAGGTTCGGTTTACTTCAGCAGCGAGGTCACGGCTCGGTCGGATTCAGCGGTGTTCCAGTCTTCTTCAAGAATATACGATCTACAGTGGGTAGTTTGCATATAGCAGCTAGTCCGCTCATATAGGCGTACAGCCTCAAGCTCCCATACTCTGACTTCCGCAGCCTTCAAGCAGCGTGCACGATACCTCTGCGTAAGGAGTTCGGCCGCACAACGTGCGTTCTTCCCAACGCACCTTTGCAGCGCTTGGGCCCATTAGCCTTCTCAGCAGCGAAACCGCTCGGCTACGGTCCTAGGAACCTGGACGTGGTGAGAAATGTATATTCCGACTGTCACTTACATCTTGGGTATCCGTCTCTTCTTCTGACCACAGCCGATACTCATACGATTCGACGGTCGTATCACAGGTGGAGACATCGATGCATCACTGGCATACGGTAATGCACAAGGCAGTTGTTCATCGGGCTCGATTGATTCCCTAGACTGTACGTTCTTGATTATGAGATTGTGCTACTTTCAAGATATCGTGTTCGACTGTCCACAAGAAGCATACCGACAACATGTACAAAAGATTACCCCAAGCGTCCAGCTAATGACACACAGATCAAGTGACAGTAGCCATCGTAACCTCCGGAGCAGCCCTCCTCTCCTTTCCACTAATCAGGTACACCGCAGCCCGCATGTCCAGCAGTGGATCGTCGCTTACCTCAACACCTTCAACCCTTGGGATTGGATCAAAGATGATGTGCTTCTGCTGCTTCAAGCTCTCCGTCTCGGGCATGAGCTTGTCGAGTTGGATGGTACCAAGCTCCACCTTCTTCCTGCTTTCCGGCCAATGCTTGGTCACATCGTCCGTAGGGTCGCCCTCCTCAGCGAGCTCGGCAACGAGTTTATACCCGATACCGCCATTTGACAGGCGCTCGGCGAGTTCCTCGGTAAGATAATTTTTGGGCTTGTTGGCAAGTTCGGTGCCCGACAAAAACTCGCAGCCTGCCACAGGGTCGATGCTGTAACGCACGAATGTCCCCTTGCCGTCTTTGGAGACGAGTTTGAAGGCGTTGAGAGCGTGGTAGCGTTCCGTCGCGACGCTTACAGGAGCCGGCTTCGGTGCCTTGACAAAGTACGCTGCGGACGGATTCTTCTGGAGAAACTCCCCAATCGATCCACTGCCGATGGCGTTCAGCATGGCCAGAAACTCTTCGCCGGTTCTGACGGGGAACGCTTTGACGGAATGTGCGACGATGTCCGTATGCTTATGCCCGTTGTTGCCGAGGTTGAAGCGGATGGCAAAGCCTCGTGGCATAGCATTGGCATCGGTGTCCGGGATGTCTGGAAGACCCGTTGAAGCAGAGAAGCGGACGATTACCGGAGTGGATGCATTGTTGAAGTGCGGTGCACTGGAAAGGGAAGCGGCATCTGCCGTGGGAGTGAAAGACCCGGTGACAAGCCTACCCTTTGCGTGCGCTTTCTAAGTGTCAGCATCATCGTATAGACGATCGATCATGAGCCGTGTAAAGACATACCTGGTCTGTAGCCTGAATGCTCACCGAAAGCTCCATGCAGAGTCTTGACCAAATTGCCGGCGGTCTCAACGGTGGCTTGATCTCCGGGAAGCGGCATTTTGTTGCTAGTATTGACTGAAATCGCTCAAATCTCTGGTATAACAGTTGCTTGATGCTGTATGCGCCTCAGTCGACTTTCGAGGTGGGCTCATGCTTTTATACGCATCCAGCACGAGAACTGCAGCTTCATACGAGAAGCCATTCTTCTCCGCCCACATGCCGTCCATCATCCATATACCTAGAACGAGCTGTCTAATCAGCATAGAGCCGAAGCTCGAAGCAGAATATGTGAAATACCCGATTCGGGCATCTCGCAGCGGAAGCTCGCCATGTGAAGCTCAGGCATGCAACCCTGTAGTAGCTGCGCTTCGCTTACTGATCATGCTGTCAGGAAACGCCTCAATGCAGGTGACGTAAATGAGCTGACAATACAGCAACATTTGCATTTATTGTTATCGAGCCAATGCATAGCGCATGCCATGGGGGCCTTCGATTCCTGCAACTTACGGGAATCGTCGCTTTCCGATCTCACGTTCTGCGAAACGAACAATCATCGCTCCCTCGGTATCTGTAAGCTCCTGCGAAGCATTTGCTATAGCCGCCAGAGCGTACCTAAACTCATTAGTATCGTACATTGCCCGATATGTCCTCGATGCCGTATTTGTGTTTCCCATATCCATCGATCCAAACAGCGCCCAAGCTATTCCAAATGTCTTCCAGAGACGTTCAGCCCATACACATAACACAGATTAGAAGTCGCGGAACTGATCGTCAACTTCCCGCCGTTCCCGGTCCAGCGCAGACGACTGCTTGCTCCGCTGACTTCCGCCAAACGTCGAGCCGTCACCAGTTGCTTTACCTTCTCTACGCAAATACTCCGCATACAGCTTGTTACCAGTGAACCGCGGACTTGCGGCGCCCATACCGATAGGGCTGCCCAGGCCGCTCTCCGCCAAAGGCTGGTTTCGATTGAGCTGACCGGTGACTTCCTCATTCTCGACCATGACGATCATCCATACACCGACCCTCTCGTCGCTACCGAGAAGAGGTGTGCAATGTATCCATCGTGGCTTGCCCTCTAGTCCTGTTGCGCTCTTCCCTTCCGTGGGGTTCGTGAGCCAGCTGATCTTGGCTGTAACACCCGTGCCATGCGACAGCGCGTCGAGTATACCCTCCCTGACCTGCTGTGGACCGCCTATGCGATCCAAGAACTTGGTCTGTAGAAGACCTGGTATCCGCAGCGCCGGCGAAGTGAAGGTGATGCGTAACGAGGGAAACGGTCGAACAAGAAGATACTGCAACCACGTCAGTCAGGGGTAGGCTACACGCGACTCCGACTCTTACATTCTGATATACTCCAGGAAGCCTGCCGCTCGGTCCCAGGCTTGGGTGGGGCCAAAGCGTTCGTTCCGTCTGTGTCTCCTCCATGCCGAGTATCCTTCGTGTCCGACCTGAAGGTCTGTGCGCAGGCACGACCTCTTTCGACCCTTCGCTGTACCGCCTAGAGCGGTCTTTGATGATGTTGCTTTCCTCCTCCGTGATGAGCTGGCCGAGCTCACCAAGCATATGCTTGGGATCATGCTGTGGCCGCCCACCAAAGCGGCTCTCGGTCCGATCCTGCGCGAGCAGCTGCGAGAACGACTCCAGACCACGTCCACCCTCTACCAGCTGGCTGACGTCAATTTGACAGCCTAGGAAGTAGCGCACTTGTCCCTTGTTATCGTACAGTGGCGCGATCATCAACAGATTCATAAATGGTGATCCGTCTCTTCGGTAGTTTAGGATCGTTTCGCATATCTCTTGACCCGTAGTCAACGCCTCGATTAGCCGCCGAACAGTTGAGTTGGATGACTTCGGGCCTTGCAGAAAGCGGCAATTGCGACCAATAACATAGTCGCGACCGTACTGCGTTGTATTGTAGAATTCTGTGAAATGATAATCAGTGCTAGCCCTTGCAATAACGACTTGCTACCCACCTTCAGAAGCATAGACAATGGGATTGTCCGGTAGAGAAGGATCTGTGACGCAGTACACCTCCGCCAGACTTGGAACCAGCTCGCGCATGATTGGGGCGCTGTTGCCAGTAACTTCTTTGACTAGCGTATCTGTCACTAACGTGACCAAACGATGCGTGACATAGGCCGGTAATGCCTCGTCAACCAAGTCTTCCACTATGCGCTTCGACTTCGCTTCGAACCGGTCGTCCAGCGTTGCTGCAACATAAGGAGGGTGGCCTGGAGAGGTCGGCACTTGGTCCGCTATGGCATTGGCATACTCCACAGCCGTGATTGCCTTCTTAGTCTCCAAATACTGAGTGAGCGCCGCAACATGTTGCGGCCTATACTGGTTCAGAAAGCGAGTGAAGCGCGCAGAGATGGTGTGATCCCGCAGGATGGTGTCTAGGTGGTCTGCGGAGAAGAATCGGCCGGCAAGCGCCTCGACATTGTCGTGTGTGACAGATGGTGGAGGTGGCTTCAGGTCGTAGGACGGTTCGTCTGCAGCAACTGTCGTTGGCTGAGTATACTGTCCTGGCTGTTCTTCGGCTTGGTGATCAAAGACGGACGGCGGGCTGACCGAGCCCGCAGCAGACATTGGAGACGGTGCTCTGAATGCTGCTTTCACTTCCTGCGCCTGCGGGCAACTCGGTGCGTCTTCGCCCCGAAGATGGTCGTTTCGCACGAATTGCGCAGCTGTCCGAATACTGTCGCGAGGGGTAGGAAGCGTATCTGAGCTCGCGCGTGGACGCAGAGACTTGCGGGTACTCGACGATGGCGGAGAGGCGCTGAAAAGTGAAGTATTCACGTCACTCATTCTCCAGATTGATCGCCGCTGATCGCTGTGGGGCGTGCAGCGACACGCGGGCAGGGATGGTGGAAGGCAGCCGCCGTCAAAAGCGGCATGGAACTCAAAAATGTTCTTTCTCGCGTTCGTCTTTCGCACGGCGATGGACGACGACGATGACAATACTGGAAGGGCTCACCTGTTACACTCTATTGCCGGAGCTGGCCATATATGTTTGTACTGCCAAAGTCACACTGTGAGCTATCCTCACACACGGTATCTCGCTTACAACCTTTCCTCATACCACTTCATGGTCTTTGCCAGGAACAGGCCTAGACGACGCGACGAACGAGGCTTCGCACTTGTTTCTCGACATGGGTGCACATGGTCTGAGGAGAGCCGAGTCAAGCCGTGATACGTCACAAGACAGCGGGCGACGGCTCCAACCGTTGTTAGATCGTTGGGTGGCTGCCTACCAGAGTCAATGCGCCGTTCCATCGTATAGATTGCCTTCCAAGTTCAGTGGACCGCCTCGGCTTTCGGTGCTCTTTGGGACCTCGTGGCCGTGGCGACCATGGTAAAGGCGGACATCACATGTATCCCACGTTCGCCTCTTGCCAAGCGAGTATCATTCATTCGCGCCTCAAAGCCAGGCGTGCGGAAGCGAGCGGAGTGTATTAGGCAAGGTGGGCAATGCACGCTAACTCGCCACGAGGGCGTTCTCATGCGCTCTCTACATCTTCAATAACCGCAACAGCAATCTGATGTCCTTTACATCTGTCTCTTCTTCCGCCGCTACACCATCTCCAGCCTTTGCATCCGACAGCCTTTCCACCCCTCGACTCGCAGCTTTCGTGAAGGTAGCGCTTTGCCGCGCGAACATTTCCTCCACTATGCGCTCTTGCTCTAATCGACTGACCTCTGCATTCGCTGCTTGCTCACCCTTCGTAGCTCCACCATCGGCTGCCTCACCCTCCGCAGCAGTACCGTTGGCGGTCGCGGAAGTAGAGGCAAGCACTGAGTAGAACAATTTGACATCATCCGTCGGCACCAGTCCCGCCCGCTTTCGCAGCCGCTGCACGCGGTTCAGCACTTCTCTCGCGAGACCCTCTTGCGCCAGCTCCGGGTAAGCGAATGAGTCGAGCAGAACCATCGCCTCGCCTTCCACAGCTACTTCCAAGTTGGCAGTGTCTTTGCTCTGCTTGATCTCCTTCTTCACCCGAAGGTCCTCGGCGTCGAGGTCATGGCCCTCAACCGTGATCTTGCCAGAAGAAAGGAATGCTTGTATCTCCTGTGGGGAAAGCTTGGGCAAAGAGGCCTTGATCTTCGCAGCATCCTTCTTGAATTTCATACCCAAATTCTTGACGTCCGCTTGCACGCTGTAGGCTACACCGTACCGCGCCTCATCAGTGGTGAGGACAAGATCGCGCACGTTCAGCTCCTCGGTGATGTATCGCTCCAGCGTTTGCACATCATCGAGATACTCTTGGTCTTGATGCAGAACAACGAGCGTCTTGAGCGGAGTCTTCAAGCTGATGGTGCGTCGATCTCGGCATAATCGGCCCAGCTCGATGACTTTCTGCATGCGGCCCACCCGCCTCTCGACAACGGGATCGAAGAGCTCCTCGCGGACGGTGGGAAAGCGCTGAAAGTGAACGGATCGACAGTCCTTGCTTTCGCGCATGCTCGATGGTAGGTGTGGTGCTAGACGTTGGAAGATGCCATCGCTCAAGAACGGAATGAAGGGTGCTAGAGCGCGAACGAGCGTGTAGAGGACTTCATAAAGCGTATTGAGGGCGTGCAGCGTGTCATCACCCTCTTCGTCCATCGTGCCGTTGGTAAGGTCGCCATTTGTTTGCACACCGTTGGCGGTTGCTTTCGTGGATGCCAAGCCAGATTGACCCTTTAACCGGTTACGGTTGAAGCGGATGTACCAATTCGTCACCTCGTCAACCATCTTCAACAGCCGCGGCACGACGGTGTATAGCCTGTACGCCTCCATCTCCGCGTTCACATATTGGAGCAGACTCTGCGTGGCGGCAAGTATCCAGCGGTCCATGACGTTTTCATTCGTCTTCTGCATCTCGCGTTCGTACATGAAGTCGTGCCCTGTGTTCTTCTTCCAGAGAGCGGCTTGCTGTGCGAAGAAGTTGTAGCTGTTCCAAAGCGGTAGAAGCACGCCCGACACAATCTGCTTGACGCCCAGTTCGGAGAAGCGGAGCGGTTCGCCACGTACGACGGGAGAATCGATGAGGTACAGTCGCAGGGCGTCAGCGCCGTACCGGTCAATGACGAGCATCGGATCTGGGAAATTCTTGAGCGATTTTGACATCTTCTTGCCGTCTTCGGCTAGGACGATGCCATTGACAACACAGTTCTTGTATGGAAAGGTGTTGAAGAGATGTGTGCCGAGTACAGAAAGGGTATAGAACCAGCCACGGGTCTGGTCAAGGCCTTCGGCGATGAAGTCGCCGGGATATTTGGTAAAGAGCTCCTTGCCGGGACCCTCTGCCCAAGAAAGGCCGCAATCTGCGTCTGCCGACTCGAAGCCAGGATAGTCGAAGGGATAGTGCGAGGAAGCGTAAGGCATGCTGCCAGACTCGAACCAGCAGTCAAAGACTTCTTCCACTCTCCTGAGCGTGCCTTTGCCCTGCTTTGAGGGAATGGTGATGTGATCAACGGAGTCACGGTGCAAGTCCATAATATCACCTTCAATGCCTGAGAGTCTCTTCAGCTCCGCAACCGAAGAGACGCAGACAACCTCCTTCATGTCGTCGGATACCCATAGTGGCAATGGCGTGCCCCAGTACCGATTACGGCTGACATTCCAATCCTTAGCTGCTGCGAGCCACTGGTGGAAGCGACCAGTCTTGACCATACTCGGCACCCAATGCGTCTTCTCCAGATTCTCTAGCAGTGCAGGCACGGATGTCTCGACTTTGATGAACCACGACGGAACAGCGCGTTGGATAAGTGGAGTTTTACTTCTCGGACAATGTGGATATCTGTGAGTGATTTGCGACTTGCGTACCATTCTACCCAGACCTTCAAGATGCTTTATGATATTCTTGTCTGCGGCTTTGACGTGCTGACCCTCGAAGTCCGGAACCTCGGAGGTGTACTCGCCACCTGCATTCAGCGGGTTGGGTGGCGGTCGATCGCCGTTGATCACGCCTGCTCGCCAGCTGATCTGGTAGTCGTCTTCACCAAAAGCAGGTGATTGATGTACAATGCCGACACCTTCGTCTTGCTTCACGTAGAGATCCAGTAACACCTTAAACCCTATATCCTTGAATTGGCTGTAGAAGTAATTAAAGAGTGGCTTGTAACGCATACCGCCGAGCTCGGCACCTCTGAGCTTGACTGGCAAGAGCTTGAATTTGTCTTTGGCTTTCTTTGGATCTTTGTACAGTACCTTCAGCCCAGCTTCGAGCATTATGTAGATGTTGTCGGTTTCAACGTCGTGTACCAGCAAGTACTCATAGTCAGGATGTGCGCATAAGGCAACGTTGCTTGGTAGCGTCCAAGGCGTAGTAGTCCAGGCCACGAAGCTCACCGTCTTCCCTTCGGATATGTCTAGCACTTTTTGTACGGTTGTCCGCACATTCTCCGGCTGCTCAGCAACGGGTAGTAGTGGAAATGATACAGTGACGGCAGGATCTTGCACATCTCTGTACTCCTCGCTCGCCTCACTCTTACTGAGAGGCGTGTTGAGCGCGGTGCTGTAGGGCAACACTCGTGCGCCATGATACACGAGACCTTTCCGGTACAGTTGCGCAAACACCCACCAGCACGTCTCCATAAATGTCGGATCCATGGTCTTGTAGTCCTGGTCGAAGTCAATCCATCTGCCTACTCGTCCAATGACTCGTCGCCATTCGTGAGCGTACGTGAGTACAACCTCCCGACACCGCCGGTTGTACTCCTTGATGCCGATCTTCTCCACTGCCGCCTTGCCTCGCACGCCAAGCTCTGACTGCAGCTGCTTGTCGATGATCTGCTCGATCGGAACACCGTGCGTATCCCAGCCGAACCTTCGCTCCACATACCGTCCACGCATCGACCAGTAGCGAGGAATGATGTCCTTGATGGTGGAGGCGAGAAGGTGGCCATAATGTGGTGTCCCAGTGGCGAAAGGCGGTCCATCGTAGAAGACGTAGGGAGGGTCATCCTTGGAGAGCTCCAGTTGGCGGTGGAAAGCGTCTATATCTGTCCAACCTGCGAGCACGCGCTCTTCTTCGGCGGGGAAGTTGATGCTGCCCATCGCGGGTCAGCCAGAACGGAGGATCCAAGCAGCAGGTTGCCCTCGGCGAGATGTTGGCGTTGCCAGTGGGTTGGCCAAATGCGCGCTCTTAGTGTCCTGATCTCGCCCGTACGTATTATCCTGTAGCGAAGCGGAACCGGCTTGTCGTAACGTTTTCTGCACTGCAACGAACAGTCACCGCATTGATGAGTAAATTGATGAGTTAAACCTTTTATCGATTAAGCAGAACGCACGTGTTCCCGCGCGTTAGCGTGTGCAATGCGACATCATTCGATCAAAGAGGCAGCATGATCGGCCTGACTACGTTGCCCGAATCTATGTATTAGCCCGCGTCTTGAACAAGGATTCACACCGTGATAACTGCGTTTCTCACTGTTTTGGATTGCGCTGTCAAACAGGTGACCGAGTTTCAACGACGCGTACAACTCCGTACGACAGCGCTGATGATGACCTGTTTGCCACATCTATACCAGGAAAACTCTAGGGCTTCCAGGAAGAGGCGCTTGGCCTGAAGCAAGCGCGAAAGCGGCGTTTTGATATGTCGAACGCCGCCGATGACCCACACGACTTTGACAGCGATGCGTTCGACTTGAACTCCGTTGACGAGGCTGAGCTCATCAGTGTGCAGGACAATGCAGTGCAACAGTCAACTCTGAAAAGGAAGTCCGGGGAACCTTACGAACCAACAACTACGAAGAGGCTGCGGGTCGCGGATCATGAAACGGCGGTTTTCGTCGCGAACAGCACGCTCAAGACGCGCTTCGGCCTTGACGCCTTTCGGTTGAAGCAGGAAGCCGCCATTGTTCGCACATTGGGCGGCGAAAGTTGTGTCGTTGTGTTTCCCACTGGCGGTGGCAAGTCTCTATGCTACCAGGTGCCAGCGCTATGCTTCAAGGAGATGGATCGTAGTGCGGGACTGCGACAAGGCCACGCTGAAAGCGGCATTACTCTTGTAGTCTCGCCGCTGATCGCACTTATGAAGGATCAAGTCGATGCTCTGCAGCGACGTGGCATTAGTGCCGCAGCACTCGACTCCTCGAGATCCAAACAAGAGTACATGGCCATAGTAGATTCAATGAGAAATGGTACACTCGACATTCTCTACTGCGCCCCAGAGCGTCTCAACAATGAAGGCTTCGTCGGCTCTATGTCCAATGTCAAGGGCGGTGTGCGTCTGCTTGCCATCGACGAAGCTCACTGTATCTCTGAGTGGGGCCATGCATTCAGACCAGACTATTTGAAGGTGGCTCGCTTTGCGAAGGAAATTCAGGCTGAACGAGTGGTATGTCTGACAGCCACCGCCACTCCAGCGGTGGCCAGAGATGTCTGCAAAGCGTTCGGCATCGCCGAGGAAGGCTTGTTTCGCACTGCAACGTACCGCCCGAATTTGCGTCTGCTCGCAAAGTCGTACCGAACTAAAAAGGAATCTCATCCCGACCTAACAAAGTTCTTGAAAGCACATCCTGGGCCAACGATTATTTACGTGACGCTGCAGCGCCACACAGAAGAGCTGGCGCAAGATCTGCGCAAGAACGGCGTCAAAGCGCGCCACTTCCACGCCGGGATGCCTGCGGCCGAGAAGTCGGTCTGCCAGGAAGCCTTTATGGCTGCGAGCGACGTGATCATTGTCGCCACCATAGCCTTTGGTATGGGCATTGACAAGGCCAACATCCGCAACGTCATCCACTACGACATTCCTCGGAGTCTTGAAGGATATAGCCAGGAAATCGGACGTGCTGGAAGAGACGGGCTTCCTAGTCAGTGCATGCTCTTCTTGTGCGCGGAAGGCCTGCACTTGCGGGAAAGCTTTGCGCGAGGTGACCTGCCCTCAAAGCAGTCAGTCGCTGCGCTTCTGAACGAGTTATTCTCGTTGAGACCGAACGACCTTGGCTGCATTGAAGTGAACCTGTACCACCAAGCTAAGGAGCATGACATTAAGGTCTGTCTCTCGCATCGCCACTCTCTGGCCGCTTCCTTGCCGTAGAGCATTATTGCTGACTCGAGTCTAGAACACCACGTTGAAGAACATTTACGCTCGACTCGAACTGCAATTCGGTCTACTCCGCGAAACTACGCCCAAGTAAGTCAGAGATAGGCCAAGTGGTCTTGTTCCTCTCGCTAACGGCTGCGTCTTTCTCTATAGGTATACGAAATATGAATATGTCGAGCTTGGCCCGCTGAAGGATGATAATTCACGCACCGCCCAGATCGTCCGCGCTGGCGTGAGAAAGGCGAAGACGCTCACTCATGTCGATGTCGACGCCGTTGCGCGGTCTTCGGGCCTCGAGCGATCCGAGATCGTAGCTAAGCTCCAGAGCTGGCATGATAGCGCACGTATTGACTTGCGGACCGGTGGCGTCCTGAACATGTACCGAGTCCTGAAAACACTCCCCACAGTCAAGGCGGAGAAAGAGCGCATCGTCAACGCCGTCTATACCGATCTTCAGGGTCGCGAGCAGCAGGAGCTCGACCGCATGCAGCAGGTGATAGACCTCGTCAATGGTACCGCTTGCTTCTCGAAAAGTCTAGCAGGGCACTTTGGCGACATGCTGCCAAGCGGTGCGAACGCTTGCGGACATTGCACGTGGTGTGAGATGCACACTCCGGTCAAGGTCGTAACACCAGAGCCTAAGCCTTTTAACTATGACGTGTTCGAGAAGGTGCTGAAGGCCGTGTCTGAGCGAGACGATGCGCGCTTTCTGGCCAGAGTAGCCTTTGGCATAAGCAGTCCTAGAATTACCCAAGCCAAGTTGACTAACAGCCCTGTCTTTGGGAGCATGGAGGACTATGATTTCACAGTGAGCAGTCCCAGAGCTGTACTGTTCGTTTGGTCACTTACGAGATCATAGGTCTTGCTCAAAGCATTCGAGTCTGCATGCTCTTCAGCGAACCAGAAGCGCTGAACCGGACTGGGTCTGCTTGCTCGCTGCAGGAGACCATGCGAATCTTGGTGTCGACGATGTTGTCGCTGGGGCGAGCCAATGGTTTTCAGTAAGCGCCTTAACATTTCCAACGCCACAGGCTGGTCAAGCTGTTGCCGTCTTGGATTGTGTCTGTGACCTAGCGAACGTCAGCGCGCAAGCGGACCTCACCGTTTTGTACTGACTTCACATCCAGGTGAACCAGTCAACTGCTGCTCGTCCAACCACTTTTGAGTGCCTTAGTAGGAATGCCTGAAGGGGTCGCCTCAAGCGTACCTTTTAGGGAGTACTGCGGTGCTCAAGCAGCTCACATGAGTCGGGACGCTGTTCCATCAAGCTGAGCAATGGCTGGAAGAGCTGACATGCAGCATTGTCCATGTCGCGCATTTGCGGTAATGTGCACCAACCCCAGCCTTCGCATTTGTCTGGTTCGAGCAGCTGATTGGACGTCAGTCACAATCAAACCGAACAAAAGACTCCAAGTGCAATCGGAAGGCTGGGCGTGCTGTTAAGGTGCCGACAGTCACGATTGTACCCACCCGGGGCTGCGGCACAACGCCGTTTACTTCGGCGGCTACGGCGACCATGAAGATCGTAACGTAGTGTTTGCCGACATCTGCAAATACGCTATTGGTAGCTGTGAGAAACCTAACGTCACAGATGGCAAGACCAGTTTCTTCCATCACTTCTCGTACGGCGCACTTCTCGAACGACTCGCCGTATTCCAGATGGCCGCCCGGAAGAGCATACGTGCCTGCCGGTTTCAGCATGCCAAACACTGGAATGAAATTTGCAGAGTCACGATACCAGCGCCTGTGCTACCCTTGCGAACACCTATGACAAAGTGCGGGTCGGTCTTGCTACGGAAGACGAAGACACCGACGCCGATCTGTGGAACGCTCATCGTGATACCACAAGCTCTTGGTAGAAGAAGATAGCCAACGACATGCTGTTGCTCTACCAACTCTTCCACCAAGTTTGGATTGCCAAGCGGTCGTGCCTCACGCTTCGCAATGGCGTGCTACGTTGTACACCGAGTGAGCTACTCCTTACATCTCAAAAAGGGCGCCGGCAATGGTCCACAAAACTGCTTTCTGTAGCATTTTACGATGCGCCCACCAAGAAAACTGTGCTGCTTCGACTGCGCCGCTTGATCCTACCTAGTTCCCATGCTCAGCATCTACACCACCCAAGTTTGCACATGAACCCGCCCACGACGGCGAGCCTCAAAAGGGACAATGGGGCCCAAATTCGAGTGCACGACTGTCAACTTGATGACGACAACGTGCACTTGCTGACCGTCCTGCATGCTCTAGCCTTGCAGGACCGGAGCCGAAAGCCGTAGGCGAACTTCACATGAGGGTTTCGGGTCAGAACGCTGACGCATATTGCACAACTCGCTAGAGTACGATGGGGATGTTCTATCTCCTTGCTGTGCCATACTCGGCTTCTAGCTTTCCAGGCGTGGACATATCCCGGGCCACCATGACCTACTGCAAAGAGTGTCCATTCCTTGTCCACCTAGCTTCACCATGTCGGCACCGAGTCTACACTAAGATAGCAGTACAGCATGAAAGCTCAACCCGTGCACGTAACAAGTCACTGGATCCAGTGTCCGGAGGGTTCGAATCAGCCAGGCGAATATCGAGACGAAGTTGTTAGTGGTTTCATTAAACATGCTTGTCGCCAATCAAACATGGGTATGAACGCTCACTCAACCTTTTGACAATACCGAGCAACCAAAATATGCAGCAACCGAAGGTTCTGCAAGTTACAGGGCCCCTACAGCTTTCAGCCCCAGCCAAGCTGCAAGGCAATCCGCAGAAGTATCTTGCTACTGGCCCATCCCACTCCTGTAGGGCTTCGCGCGCCGAACGAACATTGGCTAATGCCGAAGCATGCGATAACCCATATATGTGTGCGAAGCGAAGGAGTGCATATGTTGGTATTTCCCACTTACTTCGATTGGACCGTGATGGTAAACAGAATCCTCGAGTGACGTATCAGCGCTTCCGTCGCTACAACGTACATTGATACAATGATCTTTAGGCAAGGCAGAATCTCTAGTTTTTCCCCGCAGCTACATTGTCGAAGTGTTGCGGAAGGACGCACAATTCTTGATGCCTGCTCGTCCATACACCGGCCAAGCACAATGACAGCTCAATCCATGCAATTACTAGACTTAGGAGAAGACACCGTGGATTCGCTCAGCGTCCAGACAATGTTGAGTGCCTCGCATATGCCGTCGAACGCGACGTCTTGCGGAATACTGATCGATCAATCACTGCCGATCAGTCAATCATGTCAAGAGACAGTTGCCAGCCCAGCGATCAACGAAGACCAAGGTTACACCACAGTCACGATCATGCCATCACAGGCTGAACATCGAGCGATCAAGCCATATGAAGAGCTACCGGCCAGTCTGGATGCCGTTTCCGTCAAGCTGCACCTCCGGAGAAGCCGACGGATAATGTTGCAGCAACAGCGACCGCGCCTTTGGAGGCGGCCTCGTAGCCACATTTACTCCTTAAAGGAAGATCATGAAGCAGAGAAGGAGGCCGAGACAGCTGCGCTGCTTATACCGAGGGTTGAGAGTTCCGTGCTTCCGGAATGACAGCGCATGACGTCGATTGAGACATTTGGCTTTAGGGGAGCTAGAACGGCCAGTGACCTCGAGTAGGTGGCGCTGTGTCCGCGCATAAGCCGATTATGACAATCCTAGACTGACTCCGGTAATACTACAAGGCCGCACGCGGTCGACGGCAAGAAAGCTTACACGCAATCGCATCCTGAGAAGTCTTCACCGTTGAAGGAGTTACTCTACCTTGAAAAGACACAACGAGCAAGTGCTTGGAGCTGCGGTAATATGTTTGGTTGGCAGGATGGATATTGCGGCACTCTGCCATGCCGTTTGAGACCGAGCCTTTAGCAGTAAGAGAGGTGTCAGTGCTAGCAGCCATTATCCAAGTAATGGACGTCAATACCATTTCCCGTACTGCAGCAGCATCGTTAGTCTCAGATCAGGTTGTACACCTTGGCTCCAGCCCGCCCTTCGCCGCACGCCGTAACTGTGTAAGGGCCTATGGAGCCGTCAACGAACCAACTGCTACAGAGTATGTAAGCCTCCTCAGACATATCCACAGATGCCTTAATAGGAACAGTACAACCGTACCGAGCGGACGCCGTCGCCCTCTCTGACCTCAATTCCTAAGAGACTGATGCCCTTTATCGAACGCGTTAGCGCATCAGCGTGCATCTCATCCAACCAGGATTGTCGCGATCACAGTAGGGTCATAGGTATGGAAGGCTCATGCTATCGTCGTGAATGCAAGAGACGAAGTACGCCAGCCTTGCTCCGGATGTCGAGAGGTAGCACTTCTTCCGCTTCGTGAGCGGTACACCCACGTCGGTTATTTGCGAGGACGCTACTCTGCCGACTATCGCGCATACGCGTACTACCTTCCAGACGCCAATCTGTCGAGTTCAGTTCGTGGCTTGTGCTGGAGGAGGACGCAAGAAGATGGCATGTCTTGTCGATCGATGAAGCAGGAGGAGCAATTAAAGTTACACGCCTTAGCCAGAATCCGCCATGATTTGATTGAGCTTCCATCAATCGGGTTGCTCGAACTCTTATCGGCGATTGTAGAGTAGCGCCGACGCTAAAGGCGCGAGCGCGTCTTCCGCCCAAACACGATTGCCATACCACTCCATGCATTGCGTTACACTGGACGCCCATTCTCTTCTGGCATGTTATAAGCGGCAAAGTTGGGAAAACGATGGAAGCCGCCCTTTGCTCAACGACGGAAGCGACTGCAGCGTAAGGTTTGCCGGAGGAGAACAGAGATTATGTATCTCCCACGCCAACAAATCGCTCAACTGTACACTGCGCTGCTGCGTACGACTCATCCGTCTTCGCCTCCGCTATTGATCTTAACAGCATTGAGTGTCGATGCTCTGTGCGCCGCTCGAATCCTTACCGCACTACTAAAACGCGACTTCATTCCTCACAAGGTGCAGCCTGTGAGCGGATACGCCGAGCTCCAGAAAGCGGGAGAAGAACATGTGAGCACACTACGTCGCGACCGAGGCGGCGAGGGAGGTGTTGTGGTGTGTCTCGGCTGCGGTGGAGCTGTGGAGCTCGCGGAGATCTTGGGCTTAGGAGACGGCGAGGACGCAGGCACAGCGCACCCCGGAGAAGGTCATGGGGTAGACGTTTGGGTCGTCGATGCGCACCGGAGTTGGAATCTGGAGAATGTTTTTGGCTCAACTGTGCGTGCTGCGGATGATGCACGTCGCGCTGGTGTTGCCCAAGGCAGGTTGCTAGAGACGTATCATCGCAGCGGCAGAGGAGGTATCATTGTGTGGGATGACGATGATATCGGCACGCAGCTGCAGGCGGAGAGGGAAGCATACTTTGCGCTACGAGATATGCCTGAGATCACGGAGGAGGACATTATGCTTGAAGATGCCGAAAGTGACGCCGAGGACGGTGCAGAAGACGAGCAAGAGGCCGACCACGACCTGAACGCTGAGCCAAGCAGCAGCCAAACCCGGAAACGAAAAGCAGACTCGCAGGAGCCTGATTTCCGAGAAGACGACGAAAACGAAATGCCAAGGCCACGGCGGCGACGCAGAAGCAACGATGGCGCACCGATACCCTCCTCTGTTGGCGACTATCCAACATCTGCCCAGCCATCGTCTCCCGGCGCTGCTATGCCTTCTTCCCCACCAAAACTGCCATCACAGCGACAGCTACGCAAACAGCTCCTCAAGCTGCGCAGAAAGCACGAAGCAACACTCGAGAAATACTACGAACAAGGCTCTTGGCTCGCCGAGCCAGTCAGCAGCATGTTGTACAGTCTAGCATCCGAGCTTGGCCGCGAAGATAATGAGCTCCTCTGGCTGGCAATTGTTGGGATCGAGAGCGTAGACCATTCGCCATACAACAACCGCAGCGACAAAGCGAACCAACCCAGCACTCGAAGTAGAGTAATGGACCGAAGTGAGCAGCTCAAGCAAGTCCTGCGCGACGAAGTCAGGCGGCTGAATCCACTTCCCGAAGCGGACTTGCGCCGGTCAGCTTCGCAATTGGCAAACGAGGCTGACATACTTACCAATGCTAGAAGTCCAATGGACACTTCCATACGCCTTTCGCCAGAACCTCGCTTCTTGCTCATAAGACACTGGAGTCTGTATGATAGCATGCTGCATAGCTCTTACCTCGCAACGCGGCTGCATGTATGGAACGAGCAGGGCCGCAAACGACTAAATAAGCTGCTTGCAAAAATGGGCATCAGCTTACAAGAAGCGAAGAAGGGGTATCTGCACCTTGATGTGGACATCAAGCGAAATCTGCGGAAGAAGATTTTAAGATTCGCAGAGCAGTACAATCTCGACGGCCTAGTCCCGGACGAGAGCGGGGATGGCGCCGGATGGGGTAGCAGGCGAGGTTGGGGCTTCGTCCGAAGCTGGGGCTGGAGAGGGACTATGAGTGCAGTCGATGTCGGTACCATCGCCTCTGCCGTCCTCGAAGTCGGGCCGTCTATCGACGCCACGAAAGGTGGCACCTGGGCGGCACAAGACATGCATTTCGGCCGTCGAGATAGCGGTAGAGAACCCACATACAGCGCCCGGGTACGAGCAGGCCTGCCTTCGCCACCTCACTCCTCCGACTCTGGCCTCGACGAGCCTGCGGCGACAGCTGCGCATGAAGCGCCCGACTGGACAACCCGTCGCTTCTTCGCCGCTTATGACACCCTCTCGCCGTCTACTTCCCATCCTCAGCAAGGACTACAAGCACTCCTAACGCACATCTCCACCGCTCAACTGCTTGCTCGCGCCATTCTGCGTACCGGGTCGGCGCTGATTGCTAAGCACCAGATTCGCCACTTGCGTTCCTTTCGCATGGGCGTCGTGAAGGAAGGACCAGATGTTTCGATGTTCTGCCACCCGGGCGCACTGGTCAAGTTGGCGGCGTGGGTGGCGGAAGCAGTGGCCGTGCTGGAAGCGGAAAAAGGCGCGAAAGGAAAGCAAGACGAGGCGTTGGTGCTTGGGTCATTAGACGAAGGCAGAGGCGTCTACGTGGTCGTGGGTCTTGGCGGGACACATGGTGGTAAGGGCAGGTTTAGAAGTAAAGCCGAGCTGCGTGAGCGGGAGGAGCGGCGGAAGCGGAGAGAGGCGGAGAAGAAGGCTAAGAGCGCCGAGAAGCAGCGGAAACAAGAGGAGCGACGAAGGTTACAACGAGAACGAGATGCCGCCAACGGATACGTGAGCTCCGATGACGAGGACGGCGACGCTTCAGATAGTACGGAGAGTGCATCGAGCGACTCGGATTCGGAAAGCGATGCCTCAGACGCCGGTGATGGGGCGGAAGAGGATGCCAAGCGGAGGAAGCGGCAAGGCCGTAACCGCTTCGGGCAGGCGTTTCAGGAGGTTGTGGAGGAGACGGCTGCACGTGTGCGCATTGACAGCTTCGAGCATAGCGTGGTGGAGGTGAGGAAGGAGGATTTGGCCGGCTTTTTGGAGGCGTTAAGCATGAAGTCGGTAGTTGGATGAACGCCGCGAATGCAGCCATGATAGCGCTGTAGGCATGCTTGGATATGCTCGATTCAGAAACGAATTTTGCGTGGCTCATCATATCAGGCGTTCTTTTATGACCTACCGCACAGCTGTAACCCTGAGGTTGTCGTATTCGCAGGTTACCTAGGTTCAGTCTTGGATGACCGTCGGACCCGTTCATGCCACGACTGAATCACTGACACGTGCAGAAATGCTGGACAACATCGGCGGGTAATCGAGTGGATAGGTTTCTGCTCAAGATACTCATCTCTACCACCAGACAGCCGATGCAGCCGCTTTATAATGCCTCGAGTCCCTTCCCTCGACGTTGAGCGTTCGCAGCACAATACGTGCCGCTGCATTGGGGTCTTGCTCCGTGATTCACTCGCATGCCACCGGTTCCGCAGGCGTCGAAGCAGACGAGCAACCTAGATGAGGACGATGATCAGGCACAGCAATGATGTAATGAGCGCAACCCTCGTGATGCAATCATAGGTTCTCAGCGTTGATCAGCATGCAAGGAAGAAATAGCTGGGCGAAGAACGAAAAGGTCGCGGTCGTAGTGCAAACACAGAACTCAAGGACCGTACTGTACATTAATGCTGCGGCAGAATAAAAGCGGTGAGCTGGAAAAGCCCGTCATGAGTAGCCATCTCCTTGCGTTCATAGTGAGTGCTCCTTGCAAACTATAAGTGGCTCAAGCATGCTTTGGGCGAACGTCAAGCAAGCTATCACATACACGCGTTTACGGCGGTGTGCTGTAAGCCCGCCAAGTGCCTTTTTCTGAACGTCTGAAAAATCTATCGACACGAACAATCATCGCAAGAACACCCGGTGAGCCATGTCCGTGGCTGGAACGCCGTTGGCTGGCTTCATTGGCCACAGACGCGAAGAAGCCAGCACGGAAGCCTGCACTCACGGTTCGAGCAAGACTGCCAGCTTCAAATATTATCCACGGCCGCCTACGGAGAGTTCTGAAAGCCTGTGTTTCCGTGCTTGTGCCACTGTTCCGATCTTGTAGCTAAGCGTGCTGGCTACAGGAGTGCATGATGGTGCAAGAGCGCCTAACATCGTCTTTCGAAGCATCTGTCCAGCGCAGGTGACAGGATTTAGACGTTCGTTCGCAGGGTGCAAATTCCGCCACCAATACTGACACTGTGGGAGGCCACTGCTAGTTCTCTTAACGAACCCTTGTGGGTTTTCGGTCTGTTGTTGCAAAGGCGCAGGCGCTCGAAAGCCTAAGATCGTGCTCCTGGTCCGAATCTTCTTCAGTGGTACCCGGTACGCCCATGTTAGCTGATTGCGAGGCTTGCGTCGAGCGCTGACTGCCTCGTTCTTTAAAATGGGAGTCCCTTGCTTTATGCACTGGAAACACGCATTCCAGTGCATACTTACTGCATGCCAGACTTTGAGCAACCATCATGCGACGTCGTTGTGGGTTGTACTATGGTTCGCTCTCAGAGGCGCAGACATATTCCGTCTTTGTCCACCCAGCGCACCGATGGCGGACACGCTGTTGTAGCTGTGTACTTAAAGTAACTACCGTCCGTGAAAGCATAAGGAGCGCTATGCTGAGTGTTCATGGTTCTTGATCTCTTCTAGACGCTCATCCTGGTGAGCGTGAGTGATTCTCGAGGTTTAACGGCAACTACGTATCAGTTATAGTGCCGTATCATGCTTACAATCTCACAATAGCACGCACGTTGACCGTGATGACCGTTCGCTATACGGAAGGTCAGCTTTAAGTCGGAAGCCCCAAGTATACCCTGTGGAAGCACGTTGATAGATCAGGGCTACCTGTAGTGCGCCTGACTTCCGTTCTGGACGCCAAGCTTTCAAGTGGTTTTCCGCGCTGGGAACTTCTTCCACTCGCGCTCCGACACTCGTCATACACATTGCTGACGATCCGCACTAATAGGAGAGCCGAGTTCTTCCTAGTCGCGCCGGACAGCAGTTCGAGACAGGTGATTGAGGCTGATGTTAATGGAGCTGTGAAATTCTACAGAAAGGCCGAAGACGATTGTCTCGCCAGCGACGTGTATCAGAGCGTAGCAACTGCTTTGGAATGGCTGTCCAACGTCAGCAAGCAAAACTCAAAGGCAGAGCAGCCCATCCATGCAAGGAAAGCAGCCAAGCAACAGGGCGACTTGATCTTCGTCCATAGCCCCGAAGTTCCCGCTGAAGGCACAACCAGTTAAGACAACGTCCAGCGCGCCGGCACCTCCGTTTCTGGATCAACAGGAAATGCTTGCGCCAGGGCTCGTGTCACAAGCTCTCTCACACCTCGTCAAGAACACGTCAACGCTCAGAAAGGTAGGAACGAGGGGCTCAAGTTGTAACTGGTGGAAGAAGTACGAGCTGGCAAGTGGGACGAAATTGGCAAGCTTGTCCTGCGTGCGACTGTCAGGGTGCTGAACATTAAGAAGGCCATTGATACCTCCATGATGCTGTCGCTGTCCGTCTTGCAGCCTTTCTTCGAGCGCCTTGCTGACGAATATGATGGCCGATCCATGCTTGCGTTCGACGAAGAGCAGCTTGTGCAGCCGACTCCAAAATGTATATCGAGTGCTCAGCGGATGCTTCAACGGACAAAAAGGGCGCAAGGATTGAATGTTGGAGACCGAGTAGAGCAATGCACAAAGCGGTCCTGGTGGTCATAGTGCTGTGTGTCTGAGGCAGGAGGATTGGTTGGAGGTACAGTCGAGTCAGCCCCTATGTATTCATTTCAGCTGCTCTTCATCTTTGAAAGTCTTGCAGCAGTCGTTGCAGTACGTACGAGGTCTGCTAGCGTGCGGCCATGTCAGCACGAGCATAATCAAGTAACAGCTGCTGCAACGAAGCAGAGCAAGAAAGTCACCTCGCATCAAAGCAAGCAGCAGCCAGACAGTGCTTCGGCGCACAGAACGGCGGTGAGCCATAAGTGGGACGATGTCGAGGTCCTGCGCAACTACGAGGCATGGTGGTGAGTCCAAGCGAAATTTCTTCTGTCCGCGCAATTTGTACTTCACTAATGTCTCTCAGGAGCACGGATGGCAGCACCATCAACCGTACGACTGCACCTGACGAGCGTGCCCGACAGCACAATGACTAGCGCGTATTCAACGGCTATCCCAGCAATGACCGGACACGGGCTGCACTAGAACAGCATACCAAGTCCGAGAAAGCCAAAAGCAAGGACCGAGGACATAGCACGGCTCGTCAAACCTACCAGGATCAGAGGGCGAGGGTCCTCGCAAATTAAGATGGGTATGAGGCGCCGTCCGACGAGCAACAGGATGCGGAAGACAGCGGAGGTAGTCCATAGCTTGTAGCTGAGTGTGCCGGGGACGTGGTTGAGGGCGACCGTGGCGCAGACGCGATGGACACAGATGAGAGAAATTGCTCATGCACCAGTCGTCTCCGATATGTGGCGAAGAATCATGCGAGCGTTGCGATCGATTACATCGCTCTTTCAGCGTTGCGCGTCTATGCTTGCCAGCGAACTGGCTGGTGGGATGATCCATAGGCACTTGCAGCAGCCTCTATGTTGTGTTGGTGAAGCATCGGTCTAGGTACCGTAGCGCAGTCCCTCGCCCCGTGGCCATGCTAATGCCAACCGTCAGCCGAGTCGTCGTTGTCTAGGTAGGCCATTGTGCATTGTTGTGAATGTGAAGCGCTCGTCAACCCAGGCAGCAGCGCCTCCTTCCCCTTCAGTAACACTTGTGAATAATCGTAACACAATTCGACCCACATAATCCTCGCTCGAGTTGTTGCTGCCGGTGACACTTGATGGACCGTCTCAGACCCGCTACTCTCGCTGCTGTACTGGCATAGCTGCAACATCTTGTTCGAGACCCGAGACGCGTTCAATGTGCCTCGCTTGACCGACGGGCGATCACGGACGAGTCGGAATTCGTCATAGCATCTTTCCACGAACAAGCAAGCAGCAATGTCGACATCTACACCGGTCTACACCATCAGCGCTACAGAAAAGCAAGCCCTTGGCAAACGCAAGGCGGACGAGATCGAGGCCAATCGCGAAGAGGCGAGAGCCAGGTTCGAAGCGGACTATGGCCGGCTGTTGGACTTCAACATCGCCGCAGATGAGGCCGAGGTGAGCGTGCGTTGCGTCTCGACAGCGTTGCCGCAATTAACAACTCTGCAGCACGCCCTAGAAGGGATACTTCTTGATCTCACGGATGAAGAGCGCAGTGATCTTGCAGAGATTGATGGAACGCGGGACGATTCGACAAACGACGAAGCGGTTGACGAGCAGCAAGGCAATCTACCAAGCGGCGATGGATCGCCAGTAAGACTTGCTGACCAAGTCCGGTCTGACCTGCACGAGCTACAACTCAAGCATGGTGATACTCCTGGCGTTGTGGTGTTGATTGAACGTGGGCTCGAAAGGGTTAGGGCGGCATGGTTTGGACTTCTTGAAGCGAACTTCGCGCTTCCAGAGGTACACCGCAAGGTCATCCAGAAGAGCGAGCTGGTGAATATTGCTGCATCAACCATCCAGCGCGCCACCGAAGACTCGACTAAGATTGTCCGAATGGACGGTGACAAGCTAAAGCAGGTCAGCGGCGACCTGAAGTTGTTTCTAGCCACATCATTGGCCAACCAGGAGCGGACGAAGCGCTCTCTAGCCGGGTCGCCAGAGGCTGAGAGTGAGGTGCTCCAAAGCATGGCCGGCGAAAATTCGTTCGGCGAAGTGCTGAAGGGTATTGGGATAGCATTGCAGGACCTGCGCCAGTGTCTGACCGAATGGGATCTCACTTCAACCAAGCCCGAAGCACACGCGTCAAAAACACCCACCGCGTCGAACAAAAGTGCCCATCATGCTTTGCTGGGGAGCGGATACCTCAGTGTTGCGAATCCAGGACCACTGCAGATTGGTGAGGCTGTGTTTGCGCTCACACAGTCCGCCAATACGCTATCACCCATCACTAAGCCGAATGCGACGCGTTCCAAGCTCGATCTCTCCGTGCCTATGTCTAGCAGCCCCCATGTCAAAAAGGGTGGCGATTATCTGGGTCGCGTAGACGGATTCAAAGGCCACAAGAAGCCGGGCACCCAGCGCGACCGCTTTGCCACACCTGCGCCGATCCTCGCTCGAAGCCCTGTTGTTCCCCACGCGGCTGGAGACACAGCTGACGAGCATGTTACGAGCACTCCCTCTGCAGACACATCGGAGCTCGGTGTAGCCCAACCAGCGTCTGTATCGCAGCAGAACGTCAAAGCGGCGAACAGCCGTAAGAACCGTGCTCCAACAAAGAAGACCAAAGCTGAAGGGCGTAAGGGCGGTAGCCTGGCGAAATGGGGTGCCGCGGAGGAGCTGTACGTGGCGGAGCAGTGGTTCGGCGATGATCTCATGATCGACAAGGCGAAGACGCATCCGTCGAATGGCAACTTCGTCGGTACTAAGGCACGCGCAGATGCCCACAATCAGTGGATCGTCGGTCAGGGTGGCGACTTGTCCACATGGTGGCGTACGTGGCCGGCGATGGAGCAGAGAATGGAGCATTGCCGCAAGAATCGCGAAACGCTATCTTCCCTTCGAGCAAAGGCAGGCCGTGAAGCCAGGACAAATACCGTCGAGGATAGCATGGACGTCGACGACGAGATTGCTTATGGTGATGAGGACGGTGGCACCTCAACTTCCGTTTACGCAAAGGACGCGAGCGCAGGTGAAGCCCGCAGCACAGTTCTTTTCGATGCAGAAATCTACAACTTAGCAATGTCCGGTACAGCACCCTCCAATATGGGCGAGTCGAAGGACCGCCAGGAGAACACCACGGAGGGAAACTCTAGCGTAGAGTCGGCGAAGGCCAAGGTTGCAGACCCGAAGGATGACAGTGAGAAGCTTTGAGCTCAAATGCCAAGCCGTCGGTGGCGTGGACTGGCAGGACGATATTGTAGGCTCCTCATATATTACGCTGGTTGCTTTGTAGGTATGCTTGCAATCCCGTGCGTAAGGTCTTCGCATGGGAACCGCCGCGCTGTACGCGCAGGGGCGTGAGTGCTGCCGCTGGAGGTGCACATTGGGCCGATGCTCAGTCGCATAGCCATGGCCGAGGTCATATCAGAGCTGTATGACGCTGATACGGCAATGCACTGTTTTCATAGTGTTTTCCTCCTACGAAGGTGATCTCAATAGCATTCCAACTCCTTCACTCGGAAATGAGGAACGCAGAGTTGCGCACAGACCTTCACCTTTTTCTCACTTCATTCTTTGTTGCGTCCATTGTCTCCTCCATATGGATGTTCATCCGAGATCGATTGCTCCACAGTCGCTTCAATAATTTACAGTCATACTAATCGATTGGATGTATATGCTCGTGCAGAGGGTCGCTGGACGAAATGCTCACTTCTGTCCATTCCCCTGCACAGCAATTGATCCTCTCATAAGCTTGATACACGCAAAGGAAAGCTTCAGACATTGAGCTATTTATGAACCTGGGAGCAACGCAGTAGTACTCTTCGGAAGCGCAACGGATGCTTGCGATCTTGCTTCGGGCCGGACATTTCGAGGTCACGTGTCTATGTCTTCAACGAGCGCCCGCATGTGCAGTAGCAAGCCGCAATGTTCCATGCCCACAGCGTCGAAGCAAACAGAAAGAGTAGCCCGTCACTGATCTGTGTTCGCCAAAGTGTCCAACCGGCTCGCTGACTCCATCTTCTAGAGCAAGTGAATGCAAAATAGTGTTTAATGGCATACAGACCTCTACTCAATCTTCCATCAAGCAGCGCCGTATGCCACCACCTAGATCGTAAATGAACACTGCTCCAGCCCCGGGTGTTACCCTCTACGACGTCAATATCGCTTTAATCTCGACGTTTCCATGTCCGTGATCAGCCGTTACAGACCAACAGTGGAGCCGATACAACCTTTGCGGTGATAAACCACAGGCGTAAGTGCGGGGATCTGGATTGGGATAGCTTCGTCCAGGGCAACAACGGCTAGCAGGTTCGACGGTGCGAATTCAAGGACTGCGCCAACGTGTCAGCGGCTAAGTTTTACTCTGAGGCCTTAAGCGTTCCGCTTTCAGCACCCGAAGATCTTGACCCGAGACCTCGAGCGGTAGGCGGATGGAAGACCAGGGCCACCGTTAATGGTTTAGTAAAGGAACTGGACCGCTCGGCTTTGCGATCATTGTAGAACGCATGTTGTCTTCGATCAACCAGTCCTGAGTAGACAGCTGCGTCATCGCACCGGAGGTGCGCTCCGATGCGCATCGCTATGGCGGAACAAATCTGCTATTAAGACGCAGAATCGTACGATAGCATGACTGGCTTCGATGGCTTGCAAAAGCAAGATGCGGTTCTTACGACGACTCGGCCATTCGAACGCTGTAACCGCTTGTATCCTGCAGAACGATCATGTGTGATGCAATTTGAGGGCTAGCATCGAAGCCAGTGAATGTGTTTCACGCATGAATTGCAAAGATCTAGAAAAGATGCTTAGCATGCCCTCCACCTCTGCTGCAACACTTCGGCAACACGCAACCACGGCCGAAAGCCTCGCTAATCTCGATCGATATACAAGGCACTGTGAACACAGTCAGCCAGTATCTGTTCGACAGTCGTAGCGAATTCCTCTTGTGCCTGCCTGCAAGGATGGCAGCCTACGGCGACCCATCCACTACCTTCTTAGCGATTATCGACCATCACCTCACCGAAGACGACCTTGCCGAGAACCCTATCGCTCGTGAGGTCGACGCCGCACTCAGAGAGGCAGTCCATTTTCTCACAATGACCGCCGGTAAGAATGGTGCCCTTTACGCGTGCACAGCGGCTTTGGGCGCGACTCGACGCATCGTATGTACCTGGCGCGACAGTATGGCTGCGCTCCGGAAGGCAAGAGGAGACGCGGAAGTCGGCGGAGAGCAGTATGCGGAGCGGGCCACAGAAGACTTGATTAGAGCGGCCACGGCAGCATTGACTCCGGAGGCGCAGGTGAGAGGCTCAGCCGAGTGTGAAGTGTTGGATATATTCGTCGAGTGCGTCAAGGACCAGGACTCTGTGCCGTTTGAGACAATTGCCGATATCACCAAAGGCGCAGAAAAGGCATACTTGCTCATCGCTGAGACGACCGAAGACTTGAAGAAGATCCTAGATGCGCCTAAAACGTTCAGCTCTATTCACGTACGTAAGCCTGATGAGCCCGGTTACGATACGGTAATTGCATCCTTCACTAGAGACACGCCAGGTGTAACAGGCGATGTTGACGAGGACGACTGGGAGGAGCAAGCCGTCTATAGAGCTAGAGCGAAGGAGCGAGCTGCATACCTTCACCAGACACTAGAGGGTACACAGAGCTCACCGAAGGCAAGTGGTGCTCTTCTTCTACTGTCGAGTCCCAGAAAGGTCGTGGAAACCATGGGCACGGTCCAGGGATTAGATACGATAACGAGGAGCTGGACTTCATCAGCGGATTGATTATCATCTCGAGAGACGGAATGAACTGGGATGAACTTGTCGACGCAACGAACGAGTACTTCAAAAACAAGTATCGGATGAACCGCAAGGGCGCGTTGCATGCGAGGGCCAAGCGGACAAGAGACTCGTTGCGCCATCAATCTGCCTTCAAGGACCGGGCAGAATGGTTTCAGTGGCTCGATGCCAAAACAGACCCGCAAAATCCGGCGATCAGCATCAATTGGGCGCAGGTTGGTCGCGAATACCTTACTGAAGATGGCAATCCGGAAGATGGAGGCGAGGCCGCGTCGGCTGAGGCGGCTGATGTGGGTGAGAGCCCGTTGATCTTGCAGGTAAGGCAATGCTCCGAAAGTTGGTGATGGTGTAGTGGCTGAATAACAGTCCATAGGCTAGTGACAATCGTGCAATGGCTCAAGCATACGGTTTTGCGACGCAGCCTCTTGAGGCCGAGGAGGAAGTTGGTAGCGATGCGATGGAAGTTGACGTGTGACCTTGGACACTCAAAGTGTCATATAAGCACTCTGCGACAAGCGTAAAAGCTATACTATAGTGAAGTACGAGGGTTTTTCCCACCCGCCAGATGAGCCTGCAGGACGCGCGTCGTTTTGGTTGCGGAAGTCGATGAACGGGGGCGCTCTGTCGAGTGAGTATATGGGCATAATTTCGTGCGTAGAATACGGTGATCCTTCACAGTGGTGGAAAGTCAGGCGTGACGAAGGGGGAGATCGCTTCGCTCACCCTTGCGACGTTCGCAGTTTAACCACTGTGGCCCAAGCGTGAATGCGCGAGACTGCATAAAGTAGGCGAGCTTGACAGACACTTTTTATACCTTCCCATATTGGGTCCGATCGGAGGTTCTGAGTCTAACAACGCACCGCACTATAGGTAGTTATGGCTCTCTTCTTCCTACTCATTGCCGTTCCCCGCGCTTGGAGCGATGTACAACGGTAACGACCAGCTTTTCTCGGTATTCTTTCAGTCTGATGCACGATTAAGTGGCAAAGTATCTCGTCTAACCGACAGGAATGACGATCTAGCGTCCTCGGATGCAGTGTGCTGTTGAGCATCAGCCAACGATAAGATGACCGGCCTTCAACTACTAAAGCTATCGCTAGAGCGAAACCCCCGGGCTGCGATGAGCTTGCCATCAACACCGTACCCGAACACGCGTATGGCGGCATAAGTTCGATCGATGCGATTTTGCACTACCGGTCGTACAGCGAGCTGGCGATTGCTCGAGACGCGCACATTGAAGAGGCAAGGCGTTGGAGCCATGGAGGAGGCCGCATCTGGTTCTTGTTTCAAGCTGATCTCTTTGCTGACGTAGTTATGCAGGACATCACGAAGCGCCTGTCCACCACCCATTCGTGCTAGGTATACTGGCTAATCCCAAGCGGCGCGCAAGGTGGCGCTAGAAAGAAGCCGCCCGTCATTCGCCTTGGTCCATTTGTGTCCCACAAGATTGCTTGAGCGGTGTTTGATCGGAGGGCTTAAAGCAAAGGTAGAGAGGTTGTGTAGTATCAGGGCTTCTGTGGCACAATGGTGAGCGCCACCCTCCTGGCTCTGTTTCCGGACCGAGTCCACCGTGCGGTCAACGACGGCAGTTCAGACTCGCGCGACTACTTACGCCGGAGACTTGTTCACAAAGACTAGCGAAGAGCTCTCTCAGCCAGCATTTTGTGCCCCGAACCCTCGCCTCCCGCCGTGGCATCCTCGTCGTCCTGTTGCTGCTGCACAAGCGGGTCATCTGGGTTCTCAGGATTTGCAAGCTCATCAATGCTGTACAGAAGGGCATCATCCTCCAGCACCGGCTGCAGATACTTTTCGTCTGCCCACGCCGCAGGGTGGCTGTACTCGATCGCGTTGGCGCCGAGACGGACCTGCTCCCTTACGTAGTTAATGAGCCTTATTGTGCTGTAAAAGTCGAGCTCTACTGCGAGATTAGATACGTTTGCCTTCGAGTGGCTTCTTTCGACGTACGGTTGGATGTTCTTATCAGATCAAGGTCGAAGTCGTGGTTCTGTTGGGCATGATCTACCATCTGCCGCACAGTCTCGAAGTGATCTTCACATAGCAGGCACTTGAAGCTCGTAGGCTCCGTGTCATCTTCTACATCCTCCCATCCTGGAGAGTCAGGCCTCAAAGCTTCATCGTCCAGGCCTCCGTCGTCGCCATCGTCATCCTCGATGTGCCTATCTATTTGCGGCGCACTTGGGGCGCTCCAGCTACCTTGACTGTTGCTCACCCGCCATCCTGGAGGAAGACTGTTGTTCATGCCGCATTTGATGTTGCTTCGGCAGTTTTCATGTGTGGGAGGTATCGGGCACTCTTGCATGTTTTCTTGCGGAAGGCGCCGAGACTTCTGGCATGGAGTCTGATCAAACCGCCCACTGCAGCACTCTTACCACGATGCGGTCAATATTACACAAAGACATGTACCACTTCCGGTAGCACACGATACCGCCAATAGATACTAAATACCGCACATAATCCTCAGCTCTCTTCTCGTATCCAGCGCACCACCATGATGTACAGCTGTGGCCATCACCACAACCACCCCTCCTCCCGGTGGTAGCGAGGGTGGTAGTTGCGCGCCAGCTGCTCTCTCTCTCAGGCCCCATGTCTCTGGCACGCGGCATCCAATCGGCTATCTTCTATTACCTCTCCTGCAAGCCCTACTTTGATGCGCGGCACCGGCGCAAGGCGAAGAAGCAAGCGGCAGCGGACCGCGAGCAGAACGAGATACTTTACAAACAGATGCCACACCTTTACAGGCACCCCGAGCCTAACACGACCAATCCAGCCTGGCAAGTCGAGATCGAGATGGGTCCCACGCCGAGCATGGGCAAGGGAAAGCGGAAACAGCCAAGCAGTGAGGCCAAGAGCCGTGGCGGAGCTTCTGTGAATGCGAGTCAGGCGGTTTCAGCGGTCAGCTTGCCGGTCTTATTGGAACAGGGAGAGCACGAGGTAGTGCAGCCACCGCCGAAAGCAAAGCTGGCAAGCAGGAAGCGCGATTTTGAGCCCACGAGTAACCCGGCGATTAATGACCTGCATCCACCTACTGTGCGGAAAGTGCGGACGAGGGATGAGCTCGCATGGATGTTCGAGCCACCGCCGCCAATGAATAAGGGGTGAGAGTCAACTGCACGGAATGAACGATGAGATTTGCGATGCGGTTGCGCGACACTACCCAGCATGCGCGAACAATCCCGCGCACTCCTCATCTTCCCGCAGCGCGCCGCGGACATCGTCGTCGCTGACACCCAACCGCACCCTGCCGACTCGCTCTCCACATCCCCTTTCCAGACCAATGACTCCCGCCTCCGCCAGCTCTCTAGCTCCTGAGCCCATGCCGAGCATCCTCGCAGACTTCTCAACTTCCTTACGGGCCGCAGGACGGCCGCGCTTGGAGGGCGGACCAATCGTGGGATCAGGTCGGTGTTCTCCAGCAGGCGGAGTAGATTCGGGCGTGAGCAAATAAGTCTCCAAAGAATTGTTGTGGGACGCGAGGCCCATCCTCCTCGCCTCGTCTACAATGTCCGCGAGCGTTGCTTCAGTTATGCCTGTTCTTCGAAGACGGGCAAGAAGCGCGGCGAGGAAGACTTTGGACGCCATGGGCAAAGTCCGCAAGTAACCTGCCAGCGGCGTGGAAGTGGCCTCGTTGATCGCTCGCTTGATGGTCGCAATCGTCACGACACCGTGCTTGCCGCCACCCTGTCGTCCTGGCGTCTTACTCGGCGTATCTGGCGCAAAGTTCTCCTTTCCACCGTCCGCCTGGGATGCGAGAGTCTCTTGCTCTGCAATCTCTACCGCTCTCCGACAAATGTCTAGAGCTCGCCTTGCGTCGCCCGAAACAGCGGCCACTTTCCGGCTAGCAAACTGCACGGCGTCTGACTCGACGATCACTTTCCCCACGCCTTCTAGCCGTGACTGGATGATGCGCATGAGCTGCGTATGCGTATATCCTGGAAACGTGATACGCGTAAGACCAAGTCGCGAACTGATCTTATTGGAGAGGGTGCGTTCCGGCAGATCCATCGTATTCGCCACAGCAAGGACGATCAGTCGGGAATGTCTGAGCTGTGGCCAGTTGAAGAAGTTGTACATCACGCCCTGGTTCCGCGTGACGAGTTGATCCAGCTCGTCCATAAGCACCACACACGGTACTCTCCGCGGACTCGGCGTGCTGAATTCTCGCTCAAGAAGCTCGAGAGCGTGTGAGGGGCTCACGCGGTGGCCTTTCAGCGCTTCCCACAGCAGGGAGTACGACTGGTGCGGATCGGTGACTTTCATGCCGTTGATCTCGACAAAGTAAAAGTCATCCAGTTGCTCCTCGGCAACGGCAGACTGGAGGCCTGCAACCACTTCCCGCACCGTCGCGGTCTTGCCTGTGCCAGGCGTGCCAGAGATGTAGATGCATGCTCCGGTGCCCGCTGTGATGGCTGCTTCGAGGTGGGAGTAGACTTCCGCGAACTCGGTTTCGCGGCAAGGGAGGGCGTGAGGAACGGCGGAGACGTGGAGGCTGGTCCGAGCGAGTTGATAGGGTGAAGAGGCGAGCTGGGCTGGTGAAAGAATGCGCGTGCCCAAAGGAGTGAACTCGAGAGGCTTCTTGGTCGCTATCTTACGGCCTGTGGGCGTCGCAAACTTGCGAGGCGTGAGTTGGCGGGATTTGGAAGGGGTCGGCGTGCCTGGTGCGAGCTTGCGCTTCTTCCGAGGTGTTTGCGGATCGTGGTCGTCGCTGTCTCCGTCACCGATGACGAAATTGTCAAGGTTGTGTTCTTTCGTAGCCTTCCGCTTCCTGGTGCGAACCGTCTGAGACTTTACGAGTTCAATCAATCCATCCAGATCCTGACCCCCTCTGTATACATCGTCCCACTTGAACTCTTCGGTATACGTTGCCGTCCTCGTGTTTGCGCCCCGCCGACATACGAACACCTTCCCATGCTCCTTCGAGCTTCGCGGTACCTTTCCACCAGGCCACTTGTGCGCAAAAGTCTCCGGTGACATGATCGTAGCCTTTCCATTGATCGTGCTGAGGGCATTCTCGTCAAAGTCCGCCGTCATGTACAGCTCGTGGGGTAGGAAGTCAGTCCGCTTCCGCTTCCCGTTCCTGATCTCCTTTTCCGATGAGAGCCATAGCATACTCGCCTTCTTCTCTACCATGTCGTCGCCGTCTTCGTCTTCAACTGACTCTTCGGAGAAGGAGTGTAGGATTGCAACCCAAGCTTCGTTGCTTACGGGCGCTTTGAGTAGGACTGCGTCACCGATATGGCAGGCGAAGGTTCCCATGCGGGCGCCGATGATGCGACGCTGCGCATTGGGGTTATCTGTAATGCTGTCTTCGTAGATCCATTGCCACGGATGATCTTCGACGCCGAGTTCATCGTCCGAGTCTTCTCGTAGTACGCCACCACCCGAGAGATAGTGTCGGGCTTCCTCGAGCTTCGTACGTTTCCTCTTGGGCGGCATCTTCGTACAATGTTCGACACGGTATACCTGTCAGTTTCCGTGGTGGAGAGACACAGGAAGGGAGACACAGGAAGGGAGCATGAGACCCTGGAGGAGAAGACGCGACAAGACGCGTTCCGAGGCGGAAGCGTTCCGCGGCGGAAGTGCTTGCATGAGCGTAGTGTCACATGGAGTTCCCATCGATGCAGCTGTTCAGTATACTACGCAATATGAGACAATTGGTGGAAGTTGGAAGGTCACTCGACCGCTAGACGCATTTACATTGCTAAATGTTACACACTCATTGCAAGTACTCGCCCTTCGTCTGGCGATGGATCATGTCAAACTGCGGCTTTCCGCTAAACCAACCGGCGACTGAACTGCCGACTGTACGGCGAGTGTACAGTGCCTGATCGTGTGGAATCACAATGGGCTTCTCGCCACGCGAGCCCGCGGCTGCCTCGGCCATAAGTTGCGAATGGCAGCACTTTTCAAGCGAGAGGAACCAGAATACAGCCTGTCGTCGAATCAGGTCAGACACAAAGCTCAGATCGACTAGGTCGCTATGAAAGCTTACCTCCTCAATGGTCTTGCCCACAGTCAACAGACCGTGATTCTGCAGCAGTGCCGCCTTCTTGTTACCAAGCGCCTTCGCAATATCCTTGCCTTCCTTCTCCGCCAACACCACACCGTTGAAGCTGTCATACACAACGTGATCGTCATAGAAAGCACACGAATCCTGTGTTAGAGCGTCGATCTTCCGGCCTAGGGTGCACCAAGTGCGGCCGTAGATGGAATGGCTATGCGCCGCACATTGCACATCTGGACGAGCCACGTGCACGGCGTGGTGGATCATGTAGGCTGCAGTATTGAGGAGACGGACTTCGCCACCATCAATCACTTTGCCGGAGGAGTTGACCTGTATCAAGTCCGACTTGTTGATGTGGGAGAATGCGACGCCGAATGGGTTGACCTAACGATCTGTTAACACCTCCACCATTCAATTAAACGCTGCCGAGGATCGCGGCATACCCAGAATGTATCAGGCTCCACAGGGTCCCGCAAAGTGATATGGCCCGCTACACCTTCGTCGAAGCCATGCTTGCCGAAGATTCGGAAGGCCGCCGCCAACCGACCCTTCAAATAGTCTCGCTCCTCGTACTTGTCTTCAAACTTCGGTGGTCGTGGAAACTCCATCATCTTGCCTTCTGCGACATCACTCTTGATGCCAGGCTCATGCGGTGCCTCGCCTGCATTGACAGGTTCGGTCGAGCCATTTGTGTTCGTGCCGATGGGTTCCGTTGCGTGAGGTGCCATGATGGGTTTGGGGAGTGACGCGGAGAAAGTAAAGGATTATAAAAGGCAGTGAATATTGAGAAGAGGTCGGGAATAAGAATGGTAAGCTTGTAGGAAAGTTCATTCGATGCATTGCAGCTACTGTACTTGCCCCGCATCTCCGCCTTATCACAGGGGATGCTCCTCGGCCAACTGCTACGGCCGGGAGCGCATGTCGTGGGTACATGCTGATGGCTCGTATAGTGGATGAAGATCATTGTTTAGTTTCGTCCCGGGCCCCGTAACTCCAACGTCTGTTGATGGCATTATGGTCAACCTCTTCGCCATTACATATCAGGTATGCTGCTCGCAAAGAATCAGACCGTGAGCAAAGCACATGGTAAAAGGAGCCTGAATGTGCCTGTGACAGCCAGAGACGCTTCGCACTCTGCTTCGACGTGGAGGTCCGTCTGCGCCAGGCGTTCTTGTTCCTGACCGTTGCCAGCGTTGTGTGCGGCATGTCATGTATTACCGCTGCGTTGCTGCCGTCTCGGCATTTCCCAACGCCTCGATCTCCGCAGTCAGCCAGCAGCCAAAAGCCCTTGGCTGCTGGCGCCTGCTCATGCTTCTGCTCGCGAAGCTGGTGGGATTGCACAGCGAACAACTTGTGGAACTTTGTTAATGACTCGTGCAGATCGCTTACGGTTTTCTAGCTGACTGTTGGCGGCCAAAAGTGGCGGTTGCGCTTCGGCAGGACATAGATTGAGCCTAGATATCTGGGCGGTTGAGGGTCATATCCCACATGTTGTGAAATGTAAGTGCAAAGAACTAAAGACGAGAAGACCCAGACTTTGCACGACTGCTTCAGAGGAAGTGGTGATGTTCCGAGAAGGAGCGTGAGAGCAATCGGGGAAGATGCGAAAGCGACGCCTTTTGTCAGACTATCCGCGCCTTTATCAGCCTGCCAGCTTTTCAGCCCCCGACAGCCGATAGGGCGTGCATGTACATTCCGTGACTCGAATCACACTAACGTTCGGAGGTAGCATTGAGGCGGTAGCATTGAGCTTACATACATAGCACTTCCAAACAAAACCGCTTCCTGCTTACCCTCTCACGCCCTTCCAAGTCCACTTTGATCATAGTCATCGTCCCGTCCTGTCAATCATGGGCGAAGACGACGCCCTGGCGCTGCCCACTCTGGACTTCGAGCAACTGCTTGGCACTGACGCAGCAGCCTTCAGCGCCTCGAATGACTTCGTGGATGGCCTAACGTCGCTCGCAGGGGGCGCGCCGCCATGTCCATCTCACACAACCGACGAGTAAGTCATGTGCGCCCTATTGCCCTGTTGTCCGACGCTGATCTGAATCACCCATAGCTGCCTGTGCCATGGCTTTCTGAGTGAGATTCCAGACTTTGACCTCCCAGCGCCGAGCAATGAAGCCTTGCTCGGTCTCAATGAGCCTGATTACTCCAAGTTCGAGAACTGGATCCCTCGCTTCGTCCGGCCAGAAAAGCCTTGTGACTACTGTCGATCGAAGCGCCTAGATTGCTACCTTGACCGTGAGAACCCAAGCTGCAAAGCGTGTCAGTCTCTGTTCCGCGAATGTAGCTTCACGAACACGCAGACGCTTGAAGGTCTCAACTCAAATACTAGAGCTTTGCTCGACACCTTACATGCTGTTGACGAGAATGGCGCGCAGGAGCAGGGTACCTTGACTGGTGTCAAGCCCCTCCGATCATTCCAAGGCCACTCTGGTACAACTACGCCGCCGGTAAATCTAGATGATGCGCCAGGCAGCAGCAAGCGGAACGGTAAGGGCAGTCTACTTGAGGAAGGTTTTGGGTACCAAACTAACCGTCCTCTTTTCCAGGCATAAGATTCCCAAAGCATGCTGTTAAAATTCTGCGAGATTGGCTGGATGCTCACACCGAACATCCCTATCCGACCGAAGACCAGAAGGTTGAGCTCGAGAAGGCCACCGAGCTCAAACCAAGCCAGCTCGCAAATTGGCTTGCGAATGCCCGACGCCGTCGTAAGGTGACCGATAAGCGGCCCCTGATTCCTGGCTCGCCCTCGCTTCGACCGTCGACGCCTGCTCTGCCTATTCCAAAGGCGGCCGACAAGCCGTGGGAAGAGCTCAACCCTTTCGAACGTTGGAAGCAATCGCCTCCCGAACACGAGCCTGCTGCAATCACGGATATCGCGCACGCCGTCGCCAACACCGACCCTATCAACGAGCTCGACTCAGTTTCACCGTCTAGCGCAAGTCATCGGTATAAGCGATCCAGCAATGAGTCGGGATCGAGGTTGGCGACCTTACCTACCGAGTATAGAGAATTTTACGGAATGCTAACTCGAATTCCTATCTAGGCTGTCCGGCTTGCGAGCTCCATCTACCACCTCCGTTGAGACAACCACAGCGCATTCGTCGACCCAGTCAGCTTCAAGCGCCGCATTCTCGCACAACTCTTCACATTCGAAGGGGTCGTTTGGCTCCTTCAGCTCTTCGCTTGCTGGGAAACGGGACCGGCGAAGACGACGACGACCAGCATTAAACCCACCCGCTCGCCCCTCGGATGACAAGAAGCGCATGTTCCAATGCACCTTCTGTACTGATACGTTCAAGGCCAAATACGATTGGACAAGGCATGAGAAATCGCTTCATCTGTCTCTGGAGAAATGGATCTGTCACCCGCTGGGGCCCGTTATCGAGGATCCTGCGACGAAAATGAAGAAGTGTGTCTTTTGTGATGCCATCGAACCGTCGAAAGAACATATCAAGAGTCACGGCTACCAACAGTGCGATGATAAAGGGCACGATGCTCGCACGTTTTACCGCAAGGACCACCTACGCCAGCATCTGCGACTGATGCATGGCTGTGAAATGACAAGGTGAGTCATGATTCGAACTGCGCATACGTCCCTAACGCACTCTCTCTGCAAAGCTCTTATCGGAGCCACAGCAGCGGAAGGCGGGCTACTGTATTGAGCTGCACCAAGCACAAGCACAACCTCTATACATATTTCATGCTAATTCATGGTAGCTTCATGGACCTTTGGAAGTCAACTGCGGTCAATATAAACAGTCGCTGCGGCTTCTGTGCCAAGCGCTTCACAGTCTGGCAGGAGCGGGTGGATCACTTAACGGCTCACTTCAAGGCCGGAGCACGTATGTCGGAGTGGAAAGGCTGCCGAGGCCTTGATCCAGCCGTTGCCGCGCAGGTCACTAACGCCATGCCGCCCTACTTGATCGGCATCGAAGCCGTCAGTCCGAATCCTTTCAGCGCATCGAACAGGGCCACCTGGCAGCAGCATTTTCCCAATGAGCGGAGTGGAGAAGGGCACATGCCCGGCGATTTTGGTGGGCGACACAGTAACGACCCGGCGAACGTAAATGATGTCGGCACTACTGCTACGTGCTGGGAGGTTCTGACGGTGCGTCTTGGCCGGTATGCGAACGAGATGGCGCACAAAGGCGTTGTCCTGAGCGACAGCATGCTGCAAGCACAAGCCCGGCGCATTCTGTACGATTCAGATGACACGTGGAATCAGACGGCTGCAGACAACCCAGAGTGGCTGGACTTGTTCAAGAAGGCGCACGGTCTGGAGTTCATTCCCAGCGCCATCGGTGGCTCAGGCGCTCAGATCCCGGAAGACCTCGAGACCTACACCGACTTAGGGCTAAGAATCCCATTCGCTGTGCAACTACAAGCGTACAATCACAGACAGGCACAGCAGCAGCAGTTCGGTGGGACCGAGAACATGCCTGTAGGTTTACTAAAGCAGAAGGCGCATTTCCGCGACATATACGCCGAGCTTGACAAACAAGGAAAGCTACATGACGAGCACTTCGTTTGCGGGCACGCGGAGTGCGTGCATAATACGGCGGACATTAGCTGGCTGGCTGAGATGGATGTTGCTGGGCCACGACACAAACGTTGGTGCAACCATGAGCTCCCCGCCGACCTTGTCAAGCCGTGGTCCGCTTACACTGGTTCCGCTGCGGCTCCGAGCGCTCAAGCGTTTGCGCAGGGTGATTATGCGCGTGCGCGAGCGAGCTGTCTGGAAGTACTGTCGCGCTTGGAGGCGCCGCTAAAGGATGATTGTCCGTGCGGTGACCATGACCAGCAGGCGGAAGCGAAGAAGAAGCAATATCTTCAGCGGCACAAGTACGAGCTTCCTCAAGACCGCGCCGCTCGCTTCGAGACCACTACCGGCGCCTGGCAGGATAGTGGGATGATGCCCGAACCGCAGCGTACTCTACCTGTTGGCGGGAAGAGCACGCCGGACATCGAACAGACGCAGAGTACGACGACTGGAGCGATGATGGAGTTTCTCGGTGGCACTGTGGGTGGCGAGCTGCCGTTCAGCACTGACGTGTCCACTTCGACCATCCCTTTGCCGTTGCTCGGTGCGAACAATGACTGGATGGCGGCTGAAGGTTTGCCTACGGACGATCCTGCCTTCATGCAAGAGCTGGATGAGTTCATCGCTTCGACTACCGCGCCCACAATACAGTCAGGCTATGCGTTGGCCTCGAGTATGCCGGCATTTTCTGCGGCCAGCGGCATTGAACAGTCAATGATGCTTCGCACTGCCCCGGCTGATTCGACTATGGATATGGCGATCGAGGATCTGAACTTTGACGACATGACGTTTGGGACTGATTTTGAGATGGACTTATAGAAAACTTTTGGTATACTACGAGTATTGGGAGGCTAGAGGTTATTCTTGTTGAATTGGGTTCCGAAGCGTGGCGTAGCGTAACAATGGGGCCAATAGCAATCGCCAAATACAATATCTGGCAGTAAAGTATACAGGATTCACTGCATGGCGAACTCATAAAAGTGTGTCGATGTAGATTCTACTGTCCCTTCGCCGTACATTTAGACGGATGCGTGGTACCTGGCTCGGCATGCTGCAGCATCTCCGCTTTCATGCTTCGCTTTATCAACGATAGTGGCGAATCACACTATCATAAACACTTGCCTTTTGAGTCAAGTTAGTACGTGTGCATTCGGCATTGATATCACCTCGGTCGAGCCTGGTTGCAGAACCAGATATGCTGTAGAATCGTGATGCAGCTGGTGAGCGACGCCTCAGAATGATCGTGAACGTGACGCCGGGTTGAAGCATGAGCAAAGCCAGCGCAGCACTAGCTTAACGAACATGGCAACTTCTACGAATCCCGACGCTGGCATCTACAGTATCGGCGGTACGCATCCACTCTCCGTTCATACAACACTCGAGTGTGCATTGTACGACCCACTAATCTCCACAAACCCACAGCCTCAACAACCTACACATCCGGCAACGCCTCCCAACCACCCGCCCTCCGCTTCCTGCACTACAACGACGTCTACCACGTCGAAGCCGGCTCCCGCGATCCCGTGGGCGGCATCGCCCGCTTCAAGACCGTCACGGACCACTACCAGCAACACGATGCCGGACCCGCATGCCTCACCTTCTTCTCCGGCGACGCCTTCAACCCCAGCCTCGAGTCCAGCGTGACAAAGGGCAAACACATGGTCCCCGCGCTCAACCTCATCAACACCGACGTCGCGTGTCTGGGCAACCATGACCTGGATTTCGGCGTGGAGCAGTTCGAGTACCTGGCCGGGTTGTGTACGTTCCCGTGGCTTTGCGCGAATGTGATCGATCCGGCTTTGGGGGCGGATGTGCCTCTGGGGAGGTGTAAGCGGAGTGTTATGTTCACGTCTTCGAATGGGATCAAGGTTGGGGTGGCGGGGTTGGTGGAGAGGGAGTGGCTGGATACGATTAACAGTTTGCCACCGGACCTCATTTTCATCGAGCCGGAGGTTTGCGCGCGGGAGCTTGCGGCGCAGTTGAGGCGGGAGGGGGCGGAGATGGTCGTCTTGCTGACGCACCAACGAGAACCGAATGACGGGAGACTCGCCCGCGATCTCGCGCCTGGACTCGTCGATATCATCCTCAGCGGGCACGACCACTTCTACGCGCACTCGATCGAGAACGGGACACACATCCTCCGCTCCGGGACGGACTTCAAACAGCTTTCCTACCTCGAAGCGCGACGGAAGTCCCACTCGACATCAGCAGAAGAGAGCAAATGGGACTTCACCATCACGCGCCACGACATCCTCAGCTCCATCCCCGCCAACCCCGAAGCATCCAGCATGGTGGACACAATCACGGCAAGTCTGGCCCCGAAACTGGAAAAACCGGTCGGCTACACCGCCGCGCCCCTCGACGCCCGCTTCACCACCGTCCGCACGCGCGAGTCCAATTTGGGCAACTTCGTGTGCGATTTGATGCGTTTCCATTACAACGCCGACTGCGCTCTGATCGCCGCGGGGACAATCCGAGGGGACTGCGTTTACCCGCCCGGCATGCTGAAGGTCAAGGACATGATGGATTGTTTCCCCTTTGAGGACCCGTGCGTGGTGATTGGCCTCAAGGGGGCGGATGTGGTCAGAGCGTTGGAGAATGGGGTGAGTAAGTATCCGGCGCTGGAGGGACGGTTCCCGCATGTCAGTGGGATTCGGTTTGTTTTTGACCCCAGCAAGGCGGCGGGGGAGAGGTGTTCGGAGGTGGAGATTCATGGTGCGCCGGTGGATGTGGGGAGGGAGTATAGTATGGTGACGCGGGAGTACATGCAGCGGGGGAAGGATGGGTATGGTTCGCTTATGCTGGTGGAGGATGGGGGGCAGGCGAGGAGTATTGTGGGGGATGAGAGCGGGATGTTGATTTCGATGCTGTTGCGGCAGTATTTCATGAGTCTGAAGATTTTGGGGAGGTGGAGGAATTGGGGGGTGGATATGGGACGGCATTGGAAGGGGATCCATGAGGGGTTGCATGAGGTGCATCCGGTTAGGGAGCCGGTGCAGCCGGGGGAGAGGGATGGTTTGAGGGAGGCGGCGGGTGAAGGCACGGTTGGGGACGGCGATGGCGGTCCGAAGGAAGAAGTGCCTAGTTTGGTTGGCAAGGCGCTGAGGGGAGACGACCACGATGCACGGCAGCAACACGCAGGCAAACCTCGTCGGCGTCAAGCGAAGACAGACGACCACCTGATGCACCACTCCGACAGCGAAGACGACAACAGCTACCGAGCCGATCTACCCGCGGTGCCCACAGATGGGAACGCGCCGTCTGAGTTGGCCCGGCGTGAGCGCGAGCTTGTGATCATGCGCCGCGTTACGCGAAAGTGGTGGCGTCTTGCGGGATTGAAGGGTCATCCCGCACTCTGCGACGAGCAGGCAGATGAGTTGGGCGTGCATTGGACGAAGGGGATCTGTCCGAGGCTGGAGGGGAGAGTGCGTATGGTCGGTACTTAGGTAGGATAGAGGAGGGGATTGGAGATTCAGCGTGATAACGCAGACGTGGCGGTTGATGAACGGAACGGTATGGACAAGCGCCACGAGACGCTTCGTACCCCATGGCATGTTATACCTTGTGCATGTGCATGTATCAGTACATAATATATGTGTCAAGACATGTGGTGTAGTGAATGTCGGGCCCCAATCGTACATGTAGCTGCCGCGTGGCTTGAGCACTTGTGACGCGGGCGGGATGACGCAGATGTGGCTTCACCGAAAAGGTGCAAACAGCAACATCCAAGCTTTCAAGTTCATGTTCCCTTCCTGCTTGCCCGTTTCAGTGTGACCAGCTTGCTCCAGCACCTGCACATATTCAACTCTCCTCCATCCATCACTCATCCCCTCAAAGCAACACATCATCGTCCTTGCTCATCCGGGACCAGCACCTTCCGCTCCTATCGAATAGTTGTTATTCGAAGCTTCCCTCACCCATCCAGGCCTCCTTTTATCAGGCAGTCACCATGACGGACGCCAACACTACGCAGCAGCAGCAGTACCCCAACTTGAACCCCTACGGCGACAGCAATGGCGGCCGTACATTCGGGGAGCACGCGCAGAATGCCAAGGACACAGTCGTGAGCAGTAAGGTAAGTGCTCTCCATCCACCACTACCTGCCGTATACGCATATCGCCGCCTGAGAGGGGCAGGAGCTGCTGTCGATGACTTGAACACACGGATTGGCTCCTGTTCAGCTGCATCTCGTGTTACACCTTCGCAAGATCCACGCACACACACCTCACTGCACGTTCATTGCTGACCACAGACACTCGGCAAATAGTTATTCATCAGCGTGTATCAGCCTCCATCTCCCCCTCCCCCCCAGCCTAACCATCATCTCTCCCGCAGACACGCAAGCGACAATGGACAAGATCGCCAACTCGCAGACGGTGCAAGACATCCAGAACGGCCCCGTCGCCGACAAGGCCCGCCAAGAGACACAGCAGGTCAAGAATGAGTTCTCCAACCTCGCCAACTCCCGCCAGACCCCCGAGACCAAGACCGCCACCGGCCAACCCCTCACCCACTACCATTCCGCCATCTACACCCTCCTGAGCTGGGAGAACCCGCGCGCCACCGCCATCTCCTACCTCGCCATCGTCCTCTTCATCTTCGCCTGCCGCTACGTCCCCATCATGCGCTACGCCCTGCGCTTGACGTGGATCACCCTCGGCATCACCGCCGCCGCCGAGGTGGTCGGTAGAGTCGCCATGGACAGCGGTGTCGTCAGCAAAATGCGCCCCAAGAAGTACTACACCGTCCCGCGTGAGACGCTCGAGACGTTCCTCGAGGATGTCGAGCAGCTCATCAACTTCTTCGTCATCGAGTTCCAGCGTGTGCTCTTTGCCGAGAACGTCTACGTCACGATTGCCGTACGCATCGCTCACCCCCTTCCATAGCTCACACTCCGCTGATATGATGTGATGTATAGGTCTTCTTCACCACCCTCCTAACCTACTTCCTCATCCAAATCACCCCCGCCTGGGGCCTCGCCCTCCTCTTCACCACCCTCACCTACTTCACCCCGCTCGTCTACATCACCAACAAGGACTTCATCGACGGGCACGTGGAGAACGCGTCCAACATCGTGAACCAGCAGACCCAGCAAATGCGTGACCTCGCCGTCCACCACAGCAACCGCGCCATGGAGGCTAGCAGCCAGGCTCTGAAGGACGCGAGCAGCAAGGCGCAGGAGATGATCGGGCAGACGAAGCAAAAGGCCGTGCAGCAAGGGATCGTGAGCCAGGAGACGGCGGACAAGACGGAGGAGAGTCTCAAGCAGGCTCCGCAGCCGCCGAAGGAGGAGCCGATGAAGGGCCCGGATAGCGTGCAGGCGGAGCATGGGAAGGCCGAGCCCGTTGCGGCTCAATAAGTATCTCAAGGCGGAGAAAGATGGTAAGGCAGGATGAAGGAAAAGTGGAAGGCCTGCCGCGTGGAGAGGAGTGTTCGAGGAAGGGGCATGACAGGGGGCGACCTTTATCCCTTGTGCTCTACTACTACTACTATCACTCTTATCCTAGGACCAATTTGACGACGATGTAAGGCATAAGAATGGCATGAGATCAGTTGAGTGGAAGCGAGAACACAGCGAGCGAGCGAGCGGGCATATTCATCATTATTGTACCGCAAGGGCGTTGATTCGTAAAGGGAGCTTTGTTTTCCTTAGGCTAGTCCCGAGCGATGATGAGTCGAACATAAACACCTAATGCACGCACATCTTCAAACCTAGTCCTGATGCGGTTTCGCAGGATTGTCATGGACGTGTCGTCGGAGGTGGAGTACAGCATTGTGAAGCTGGCTAGGCGATGTACACGCAACTTTGTAGGGAATGAACATCTGCTCCGCCTGTTCCTTCCGCCAGCCAGCCAGCCAGCCAGCCAGCCACGCGCCCGGCATGCATGACGCACACTCACTCCCATGCCTCCCGCACATCGCCAGTGCTCAGCTCATCTTAGCTGGTCAGACTGCCCCACGCAGCCCTGTGAACCCTCCGACAGCATTTCTTACTACCACCACCCGCCTCACACCGTCCAAAACGCCGCCGAGATGGTGGGTTCCGACTCACTCTACCACGCCACCCGCGCCAGCAAACCCTTCGGCCACGTCCGCACCACCGCCTTCCTCGCCTCATCCAGACATAGTATCCCCAGCGCCAGCGGGATGGGGATGAGCCAGAATTCCCACGGGACGTGCGCCGTGCCGAAGAGCCGTTGGATCCCTGGGACCTGTGAACCGCGTGTGGCTGGTGATTAGCTAATCGGCTTTCCCCGACAAACGGCATGGTAGGATGATGGGTAGTTGGTGGAGTTTGGAGGGGGGGAGGAGAAAGGGGGGTGTGCTTACCTCCGTGACGAACACGGCGATGCCGACCGAGATGCACGCGGCGAGGAGAAGCCAGGGGTTGCGTCGCTGCCTCCTGAACGGATCGGCCTGGAGGATGGAGAGGCGTTTGTTGCGGATGGACAGGATATTCCCGATCTGCAGGATGACGAGCGTGACAAAGTACACGCTCTGGCCCGTCGTGTTCAGCGCGGCCATCTGCGCGCCGTTGTACCCGTGGATCCCCGCCTGGCAGCGCTCGAAGCAGAAGAAGAGGGCGCGCGGGGGGATGCCGGCCTGGCGCCAGTAGTAGAGGAAGAACATGGCGTGCGCGCTGAGCGTCTCGAGCACGCCGATGAAGAGGTAGGATTGCAGGTAGATTTTTAGGTTGATCAGGTGGTCCTTGAAATATACAAATATGAGTTCTGGCTCAAACGTTGCGTTGTGGTGTGGTATGATGCTAACCTTCTTCGTGTTCCGCGGCGGCTGGCTCAGCAAGTCGAATTCCTCTTGCTCCATGATCAGGCTGAGGGAGAGGAAGAGGTCGGTGAAGACGCAGATGATGATCATGAGGAAGCTTGAGAGCGGGAGGGGCACGCCGAAGAAGACGTTGAGGATGACGGGCCAGATCTCCGACCAGCTGCCGGCGGGTAAGAGGTAGCTGATGACTTTCTGCAGGTTCTGGAAGACGAGGCGCCCGAGGCGGATGCCGTCGATGATCTTGTCGAAGTTGCCGAGGAGGACGAGGTCGGCGGCCTAACCAGGGGGAAGCAAGGAGAAGTCAGCCATGTCGTTTTTTAAGTAGTCGATATGGGAATTGCCACGCCGCTCAGGCTTACCTCCAGCGCCACGTCGCTGCCGTTCACCATCGCCACGCCCACGTCCGCGGCTTTGAGGGCGGGAGAGTCGTTGACGCCGTCGCCAGTCACGGCGGTGGAGAAGCCGCGCTTTTGGAGTTCGTTGATGATGGTGAGTTTGTGCTCTGGCGAGCAGCGGCCGAAGACGATCTCTTGGTATCCGGTCACGACGGTCCAGTCGTCGTCCGCCAAACGGCTGATCTCGATCCCTTCGAGCAGGAGACTTGTACTGCTGTACTGCACCTGCTTCTCGCCCGTGGCGTCGCTGCTGCTTCGGCGCGTTTCGATGGTGGCGTAAGTGTCTGGCTCGGCTTCGCCGGAGAAGATGCCAATTTGGCGGGCTATGGCTGCGCCTAAAGATTGATGGACATAGACTCAGCTATGGCTTGGATGATATAAAGATCACTGCGCGTACCTGTCAAACCGAAGTCGCCGGTCATCATGAAGAAGCGGATGCCTGCACGGCGGCAAGTCTCGACGGTGTACTTGGCTTCGGGACGCGGTGGGTCGAAGATGCCGACGACCCCAATAATGGTAAGGTTGGAGAGGCAGTTCTCAAGCAGCTCTTGCTCCATATTGCGGTTTGGGGAGCTGGCAAGGGTGTAGTCGCGCTGGCAGAGCATAATAACGCGCTCGGCATTGCGGGAGAGCTTGTTCTGGAGGCTGGAGAGGCGCGTCTTGGCTTCGGCGTCGAAGGCGTGCATTATTCCGTCAGTATGCGAGATGTAGCTGGTGCAGCGAGGTAAGAGCACATCGGGTGCGCCTTTGATGATGGCCAAGCACGAGCCGCCATCAGCGACACCCGTCTCTGATATCAATGAGTAGGAGGGTCAGCTTTTGTCTCGGATAACTGCAAAGAAATTCGCGCACCATGCTGCTTACCATGTAAGGTTAACGCAAACTTGTTCTTCGAGTTGAAAGGGATTTGTGCAAGCTGAGGGTGTGCACTCCGGACGGCTGAGCTAGGCGGTGACTCTGTAGCATCCGCAAATCGCAAAATGGCGCCATCAGTCGGGTTACCTTGAATGGTGCGCTCTGCAATCGGCTTATCAATAGTCTCAGGATCAAAGGACGCCTCATTGCAGAGCAATGCGGCACGGCGAAGGTCGGATAGAGCTTTGGTGCCGGCCTGATTTAAGAGTGCTGCTTGAGCATCGTCCGCAGTAAGGAGGCTGTCGACGAAGCCGACACTGGTGACAGTCATCTGGTTTCTGGTTAGAGTGCCGGTCTTGTCGCTGCAGATAACCTGCACGCATCCCAGCATCTCCACCGTGGTCAAGCTCTTTGGGAGAACGTCCGCGGCTTTCATGCGGCGAGCGATCATCATGAGCGTCAGAGCGACACCGACCGGCATGCCTTCGGGGATGAAGGCCACAACGCAGCCCATCACATCGTTCAGCATCGCCGGGACGTTCATGTAATCGAAATGCTTCACGCGCAACCAGCCGATCCATGTGAAGAGAAGCAGTGAGGCCAGGATCACGGTAAGGCAGATGATGATCTTTACGAAATGTGAAATTTCTCGCTGAATGGAAGTCGGCTTCTCTTTGACGCTTGCGGTTGCCCTTGAATATCAAAGGTTAGCTATGCATCAGCGTATCGCATTAGGGTGCGCTGCTTACAGCGCGATGCCGCCCATGACCGTTTTGCCGCCCGTTAGCACGACGACCCCAACGGCAGAACCATTTGTGACAAGTGTGCCCATCAAAGCCATGTTCTTCGTCTCAAGCATGTTCTTGTCGGTGCACTCGGTAGCACCTTCCACCTCCTCCGACTCGCCGGTCATGGCAGCGCGGTCGAAGCGAATATCTCCAGACGTGTTCGTCAGCCTCATGTCAGCCGGGACCTTGTCTCCGACGATCAGACGGACGATGTCACCAGCGACCAACTGACTCGCTTTGGTTGTAACAAAGTTACCATTACGCAGGACCATGGCGTCGGAAGGAAGCATGTCGAGAATGGCGTTCATCGTCTTCGCCGTTGACCAATCTTGGAAGGCGGAGAAGCCGGCCTGCAAGAATATCACGATCATGACCAGAACAGCGAGACCAAGATTGTAGGGCTGCGGGTTGTTCCCGCCAAGCGGCTTCCAACAGATGAAGAAGATAATCACACCAATCCAGAGGATGGAGCAGAAACCGCCAAAGACGTATCCGAAAAGCTTCTTGGCATAGTTTGGGCGGCGCGAAGGCAGTACGTTAAGTCCATCCTGCTGCAAGCGCTTCACTGCTGCATGCTGATCCAAACCCTTGGTTGGATGGGTGGCGAGACGCTGGTACAGTTCATTGACGCTAGTCTTGTGAAAGTCCACGGTTTCAAAGTCGGTACCTAGACGTTGTCAAATAGAAGGGTAAGCAGGGTGTCAGAATATCGCAAGGCAAGCTACGCTGCGCTTACCCTTCGCCTGCTGCTTCGCTTTCTTCGCTACGTGCTGCTCGGCCTTCGATGCCACCACCTCTGCATTGTGGGCTCCATCAAGCTGGAGTGAAAGCGTGCGGAAGCCGATCGGTAAGGTGGCATCGGTGGATATCCCGCTACGCACGGTATGGATAGAGTCCCCGCCGACCGACAGACGGTGTGAGCGGCTGCGGGAGATTGAGCGTCGCGGACGCGATTCGGACGTCGTCCTGTTTTGCTCGCGTGTCGGACGCCATGGGTCGGCGAACGTGACCAGAGTGGCTGGTGTTTGCTCCCCTGTATTATTCTCGGCCTGTAAGGTGGTGGGTAGGAGGGTTAGCTAGGTCTCAAATAACGGCGTAGAGACGTCCTGCTTACGATGGTCATGATGATGCCCTGCTGTGAATATGAGAAGGAATGGCACACGCAGAGCGATAATTTCTATATGCTGCCCACGATGAGTGCGAATAGAGACCATGCGCTGATGAGAAATGAGGAGATCGCTTACCGCTATAGAGCAGGAAAGTGCCTACAGACCTACCGCGAGCGCCTCATATGCGGGCATCGCTATTGCTCTTTCCTTCACGAGCACCCACGTGTTCCACGTGTTGCGCTATTGGTCGATGATCTCGACACTCGCTGTTGACAGACGGTTCAATGCTGCAGATTCGTAAAGTGAACAAACTTACGTACCTGATATCGGACTCCTCATTGCCGGAGCCTTCGAATACGCGCACATCCCGCTTTTCCAGTGGCTATCAATCTCTTTTTCACCATAGTGACGCTGTGTCTCTGTGCACCTGTAGCGACTTGCCGTACGGTCAAGTGTGGAGGATGAGGCATTTATGGTTTCTCTGACCAACAAGAAACCACATCAAGCTTAGGTTAAGGCATTGCGTGTTCAACCTTAGCAACACGAAACTGAATATCGCGCACATCTGGAAGAGACTCTGCGAGCTGGATCGGCCTGCGAGCAAAGTATCGATGTCGAATTCGTCGCAGAAAAAGAATGTCCGCAAGTGCGTCGTTAGTAACATCCATAGTCATGCTACAGCATCTCCGAACTGCTATTGGGCCGTCGCAATATCTGCATTGACCGTCAACGGAAGACGTAGAAGCTCATGAGTTAAATCGCATCTGCCAGCGACCTCGATCTTGCCGTCATTGATCATGGAGGGCAAAGCAAGAGAACTTGCGCTTTCCCGCAGCAATAAGCGTCGAGCGCCATTTGCTTGCCAACCCGTTCGTCGACTGCAGTTTTCGTCGTGAACGACGGGCATTGAGCACGACCTCAGATTCTGCTCCGGACATTGTCAGACCGTCTCAGAGTAGCGCAACGTGTCTGCTTGTTCGTTATCTTGGTACAACATCAAGCGGCACTGGCAGCGTAGGCGGAGCTTGACTCAAATGATATGATTGGGTCTATCCGTCGTGCTCTTACTCTCCTTTGAAACACGTAGGAACTACTGAGATGGTGGTGAAAGCCCACACAGTCAGGAAGGCCACCAGCCGACCGCAAATGTCCGGCTCGTGTCGGTATTCCTGCCTAAGGCACAACGCTCGATCAGTGGATGGTGAATGAAGCCGACGGCAATCCCTACGCTAGGGCGAAACTCGTGTTAATCCAGCATACAGTATATGCTTAGCAAGGTTGAGCATGCCGCTAGAACCAACCCGCGCCGTGCAACCGCTACGCAACCCTGAACCAATGATATTCGTGAGTTGTGAGGGTGACGGCGACCTTTCCTTGCGCACTACGCGTTCAAGCATTCGGAGAGCATGCTCCATTGCAGCGCTGCACATATCTGCACAGCACCAAAAATGAGAACTACCTGATGACCTAACCGGACGAACATCTCAAGTACATTCTATCGAGATACGCACCTTGCGGCACTGCAAGTGCTCGTGCAGCGTCAATAGACGAATCATGCTGCAGATGGTGAAGCTGGGGACAGCTGCCACGAACATTGATTCGATTGAGGTTCAGGAACCCATCTCGAGTCTGGAGGCGCGACAGACGCAATGCACCCGATTTTAACCAAGCGAAGGTGTCGAGCATGCTGTGTGTGTCTGTACTGTGCCGTCCATCGGCCAATGGTCGGAACGCTACCAGAGAGTGCAGGACGGCTAATGCACTTACTAGTTAAGTGCTGTACTTGCTCAGTTCATGTAGCATATCCTTGCGTGAAGAATGCAAACGCTTCGCCAGGCAATAACTTGGCATGCATCTCTCCGGCCCGCTTCGTGTACCTGCAAGATGCCGTGCGGAAGGATGAGCTTAAGAATCAAGTCTATCTCGATGCATATCCTTGACACATCTGGAGCTGTGGGCGCAAAGCAGCTAAGATCCTGGACAACATGCAATGGCAATGTGTTGACGGCATGCTAGTGGCCTGCGTATGGCCAGCGTCTATGTGTGGAATCACATGTACGTGGTGATCGTGGCCTAGCCCAGCAATAGTGAATCGCCGAATCACCACGAACTGGTAGCCAGGACCAAAGCATAGGAAATCTCGACATCTATGTTAGCGGTACTGCTAAGAGGACTCAGACTCCTGCTTCAGCGCTCCGCTGTGGGCGAAAGACCGCATGATCTGCATACGACGAGCGTTGCTCTGCACCACTACCGCTATATTTGCTTCAAGTGTTACTGTCAAACAATCATGTCACTCTAGCCTTCCAATGCAACCCTGCCGTTCTTTGCACGTGTGGCTTTGAGAAGTAGCGGACCCGGTCCTCGAAGCTGGAAACATAGGCTATGGGTTCTTTTCTCTCATGTTGAGTACTGGCGAGGAAAAATCGTTTGTCCATCTTCAAGTCCAACGATGTGGGGATTGGCCAGTACCTCATTAAGCTTCAGATCTACTGATCCTCCTCGTATTCCTGACACTTTACGATCTTCCGCCTCAGTCTGCAGCTTGTTGGCACGTTCACCAAACACACTTCGGACTGCATTCTGGCTCCCACCACCAACCGACGCATGCAGTAGTAAGTTGGCTGCAGAGTTGCTACCCTGAAGACATTAGGCGAAGCTGATACCCAGTTCCCCGAAGCCTCGTTTTTACCCTTTCAGTCAATAACGATCCTAGATCTATGCGTGGCCCGCAGGCGGCTGATTTAAGGCGCCACGCCTCGGAAACTGTTACCTTAGTCGGCTGCTGTTATGCCGCTCGTCCATCAGCATTTTCTGCGTTGGAAGAACGACAGCAGCCACCCTTACGGATATCTGTACGGCATGTGCACCGCTCCCCCGACAAGTGACCACGACCGAGAGATATCTGGCTGGTTCGATCACAGGTTTGTGCCACGATGCGTGGAACATGATCGCTCATTGCTGGCCCCATTCGCCAACTGTATGTATGTATAAAGGATCTTCATTGGAGACACCTGGATTTCAGGACAGCGTACAGATCTTCCGGTAGTGCTCTAAGCTCTCTCTTCATGGCTTCACACCTGTAGGGGCATGACATTTGTCAGTCTCTAGCGTTGGTGCTAGTACCCGTTGCGTGCCGCCAGAGTTCACCGTGTATGAGGCTTTCAAGCATAGCTCGAATGGTTTGACCGCAATAAACGGTAACCAACACTGCAGTCCGCCGGTTTGCCGCTTCAAGCCCGCAACTACATCCGTCAAGCAGGTCATGGGATGACTGGGTGCTATGGACGATTACGCACGTTCGCCGGTGGAGGGTCGTGAATGGTCAGTGGACGACCGTTGTGTATTGAACAGATCGGCGCGCATGCGCCGATAAAGCAATAAGCTTGAGGTCCAACACATGATGTACAGTATAGTACTACTCCGCGAGATGCGGTATAAGTAGCCGGCCAGGTGTCCAGTTTCCCCTTGTCAAAGCTCATCGCCAGCCGTGCTTCCTATTTCCCTGAAGACTTCTCTGAAGGTCAACCCAGTTCCAAGCTTAGATCTCGGCAATGCGTCTCGCCAGCATCATCATCGGCACACTCGCCACCTTGGCGACGGCCGCACCAACCCTCACTTCGCCAGCGAATGACAGCCCGATGGACATGTTGGCCACCCTGATGGAAAGAGACATCATTCAGTGCCCTTGCTACCCCAATTGCGGTTGCAGAACGGGCAGCTACTGTTTCTGCAACGGTGCATCGCAGTACGGCCCGAACGCGGCGCCCTGCACGAGCTCCGCTACATGTGGCTGTTCAGGCACGGGTTACTGGGGCCAGTGCGATGTAAGCGTTTGAAAGGGTTCCTAGCCTGATGACTAACGGCAGCTGACATGGTCCCTAGGCTCCGTAGAGATCTTTGCGACAACGAGCCAGGTGTTCCACGGTGAGCCAACGTGACGACTTCATCCTCTAAAACTCAAGCGCAGGCTCGGCGGGTGATAGCTTCGATACTGCAGACTGGGCTAGGGGCTGGGTGAATGCGTCTCGATGCTGGTACACACAAATGAGTCGAGACGAGGCATTTGAGCGGAGATTATTGGTAGTGTCAGCTTCCAAGTAACGGATAGCACTTACAACAGCTCTATGTATGAAGACGATCAGTCGTTCGAGTTTATTCAGGCGTTTTAGTGCTATGAAGTACAGCTATGCGCTTAGTACATGTTAGATACATATATGTTCCGACTTCGAACTGCCCTGACCACTTGGTCCGTGCGTGATAACTATGTCACGTTGGCCCGACAACCAGGTTGTGTATCGACAGTTTGCCTCCCGCTCACGTAAAGCACTGCGCAGTAGCGCCACCTGGAGAAATCACAGACTGTTACCAGTGATTATCTGTATCTGCTACATGTCCATCATGGCCGCGCTCACCATGACACCGTTGCGTTTCTCGTCCTCGCTTTCCGGCTCGACAGCACAGTATGCCGCAAATGCACCGTCGATGGCAGACACACTACCAAGTATCGACTTCGGATTCAATGACTTGCGCGAGCGCATGGCGCAGTTCACCGCACGATTCGATGAATTCATTGAAAGTGGCCGTAAGAGGGTTTTGGAGGAGCGAAACGCGTTTCGCATGAGCGTGGCAGAGATGGAAGGTGAGTCAATGCCACTTCATGTGAAAAGTTTCTTGTAAAGCAGAGGTGCTGATAGAGTATTAGAGAGCGTGAGGCACAAAGAGCAGTCTATTGCAGCACTCGAAGCAAAGTCATCAACCCACGCCGACGCTATAGCGAAAGAAGTCGCCGAGACTGAAGAGATGCACAACATGATTCAACAGCTCACGCTGCAGAAGGAAGAACATATTGTCCGCCGCGATGCGCTGAAAGAAGAGATCGTCGCAGTGCAAGGTTGTATCAAGCAGCGGCGCGAAGCGCAAACAGCACACCAGCGCTCTCTAGACGCGCAAGCCCGCAATAACATTCCAGAGCTGCGCTTTTGGGAGCATGCTCTTGGCTTAAAGATCGAAGGGACTGGAATAGATGACAGTCTGCGCTTCGTGTTTTTGAATCTTGACGAGAGAGATGGCGAGACAGAAGTCTGGTTTGAGCTGCAGATGGGTGGGAAGGAGTACGAGATCGGTGCAACGAAGCCAAAGCTCGAGCGGGAACGTGTGGCTGAGGTGCGCGAGAAGTTGAATGCCTCGAGGGAGCTGGGAGGATTTTTGAAGGGGATGAGGAACCTCTTGGTCCAAGCGATGCGGCTTCGATGATGAAGGTGTCTAGCAGCCTAGTACTGTACTGCCAGGTTAACCCGGACGACACCCAAAGTGACGTTTTGTGCCGTCCCTTGTTTCTATAAGTGACATATAATTGACAAATACAGAGGTCTCGCGTCTACCGTCCGGTGACGCGCAATATGTAGTTGAAGGCCACATGCATTGCATGATCCAGTCGCTGCCTGAGGCCAGTCATCCAACATCAACCACGACGCTCATGTACCTACGAGGCTGTGGCATATGCCCTTCAAGGCGCAAGCAGTCGCATTCTTATACGCACGCCGCGTCCATCGTCACAGACAACATGTGTGGTGGCAAACGGTGATCGATGCAATGCCGTAGTCCAACAGACCTACCTCCCTCGTCACCCAGCAATGGCAGCCACATACTCTTCAGCCTCGGCCGCTGCGACCACTCCACGCAATGCAGCCTACGTACCGCCTGCACGCCATAGCGCCCAACCTGCCGGCACGTTTTTGCCGGGAACAAAGGTCCAGGTCGGAAATGTGAGAGTAGTTATTGAGAAATATCTCTCTGAAGGCGGTTTTGCGCATGTCTATGTGGTACGCATACCGCGTGATAACCACAAGTATGAGCTCGCCGTGCTCAAGCGTGTAGCGGTACCGGACCGTGAGCACCTGGCCAACATGAGGACCGAGGTTGAGACGATGAAGAAGTTGAAAGGCCATAAGCATGTGGTTACCTACATGGACTCGCATGCAAGCCAGTTGAAAGGCGGAGGCTACGAGGTGTTCCTCTTGATGGAGTACTGTAGCGGCGGTGGTCTGATTGACTTCATGAACACTCGTTTGCAGCACCGACTAACTGAGCCGGAGATTCTGAAGATATTTGGGGACGTGGCAGAGGGTGTGGCATGCATGCACTACCTGAAGCCTCCTTTACTGCACCGTGACCTGAAGGTGGAGAACGTGTTAATCGCGAAGTCTGCGAGCGCTGGCACGCCGACTTACAAGGTGTGCGATTTTGGCAGTGCAGCATCGCCCAGACCAGCTGCTAAGACGGCCGAAGAAGGTAGGTTGATTGAGGAGGATGTCCAGAAGCACACTACTATGCAGTATCGCAGTCCCGAGATGATCGATGTGTGGCGAAAGCAACCGATCGATGAGAAGGCAGACATCTGGGCATTAGGCGTGCTACTGTACAAGCTTTGCTACTACACAACGCCTTTCGAGGACGTAGGCCAGATGGCAATCTTGAATGCCAGCTACAAGTACCCCAGCTATCCAAGCTTTTCTGATCGGCTTAAGAAGTTGATCGCATGGACGCTGAAAGAAGATCCAACAAAGCGGCCTAACATTTACCAGCTGATAAAGGAGGTCTGCAATATGCGCGGCACTGAAGTGCCAATCAAGGATATCTACGCCGAGCGCACGCAGTCAGAAGCAAGGCGAAACCAGTCATTACCCTCTCCAGATCCACCAATATCTTCTCCGCCGGTCGGATTGCAGAAAGCGACGCCTAAGGTGGAGAAGCAGAGCGTTCCAGACATCGCGCCCATGCGGCGAGGGAGGTTACCCGGCTCTGCACAGCAAGCAGGCACCGCCCCGAAACCTAGTCCGTCCCCTTCTAGAGGTGATCCATTCGCTGCGCTGGATTCGAAGACATACGAAGTGCGTGCCGGCGCTGTCGATGAGTTGTCGAAACGCTTTCCGTCGCTTGACGAGTTCTCCATCGCAGTTGACAAGGGCGGCAAGGTCGCCTTCCCGCCGACCGCGCCGAACGTTATGAAAGGTCCGGAACACCTCAGCGAGCGCGTCACCAACGCTCTGGCAGACCAAGCCTTTAGTCAAAGCAAGCCAACGGCGGATATGCCGAAAGCGCAAAGCACTGCTCAGCTTGGAGCTAAAGCAGCACCTAAGGCGGCAAGCGTTTTGTCTGCCAAAGGCGATAGGCTTGCGCACAAGCCAACACTCGTGCATCAGCCAACGCCAGTACGACCGGGCGATGTCAGATATACCTCCACAGGCGTCGGGTCGTCTCCACCACCTTTCCCGAAACCTGCCAACGTGGATATCAATCACCGGCCTGTTTGGCGGGTACCAGATGTTCACCGCTCGACAAGCCAACCAAGAGCGTCGGAGAGTGCGCAAGCGGCTGCTGCTTCACTGCAGCCAAGCCTACCTCCAACGCAGCGCCCAGCGTTGCTAGATATACACCGTTCGAAGTCGCAGACTGCTACGTTTGCTGCGGCACGATCACCTACGTCCTCGCGACCATCACTGGAAGGTCCTAGACCTTCCCAGCTTGAGATAGGGGAGCCATCTATTGGCCGAGCCAAGTCCGCGCAGGCACGACAACGTCCATCAAGCGTGTACGTCAGTTCCAATCTCGACTTTTTGCGTGATCAGGAGTCATCGCGCAGTAAGCGCCCGTCTCTGGAGTTGAGCAGGCGACAGAGTAGGCAAGAGTCGCAAGACCAGACTCAGGACGTTACCGATGACGCGCCCATCGAGAATGACATGGACTACCTTCGCGTCAGCGAAGATAGCGACATTGCTAGGACACAATCGCAGCACCGGAAGGCCAGCTCTGGACACAAAAAGCGGGTCAGCTTGCCGCAAATACCAGGTGCGAAGAGTATTTTCTCCGGACGGCTGGGAGATGCATTCAAGAGGTTTGAAAGAAGTGATAAGGGGGAGACCAATGACCTCTCTACAATGCCACAGCCACAGGGAGATGAAGGCGAGACAGCGGTGCTATCCCCTATTGAAAGCTCTGAGACCACACCAAGAAAGCTAACAGATGACACTGACTTGGCACTCGACGAGTCCCAAGAGTTACCACCTGATGTTCGACGAGAGCTAGAGCGGCGACGCCTTAGTCAGGAGGAAAAGCGTGTTGCTGAAGCTGCCGCTGAACACCGCGCTCGTGTTGCCGCGCAAGGAACCGGCGGTGCAGTTGTGCCAACACGTGCAAGTACGATTCAGAAGCGAGTGCAAAGCTTGCTTGACGAAGGACGTCAGTCGCCAGTGCCAAAGAAGACCGCAGAAGGCTACGGCAAGTACACTGAGCAGGACTCGGAACATCAAGCAAACGCCGCCGCACCAGTGGCACGCTCGGACGTTCCAGCTGCGAAAGCTGCCCCTCCTCCACTTGCCCGCAAGCCAGTTGTGGTCCCAGAAGCATCCCGCACTCCGTACCCAAAGACTCGCCAGCGGCCGACCGATCCACCAACACCGAGCGACCCTACACCTTCAGCATCGGCGCCACCTACTCCACAAGGTTCACTACCTCTGCAGCGAGTGGTTTCCCGTCCAAGTGTACCACCCAAGTCTCAAGCCTTACGGACAGGTCAACGAGCAGCTCAATGGCCGCCTCCGCAGCAGCCATCAAGTGTCGAGCAGCCTATACCAACAGCGCCAGCCGGCGGGCTTGCAGCACTACTAGCCAAGGACATGGAAGGCGTTCCTGACTATCCACCAAGAACCTCGGCTGTCGCTGGACCAGCATCAGTTGCGGCACCTGTGCCTAGCTCCGCTGCCCAACCAGCGTCCTCTGCTGCTGGCGCTGTTGATGACCTTGAAGCAGACTTCAGCAGACGTTATCCTAGCCTCGCCGGTATCGAAATGGTGGAGACGGAGATTGACAGTACTGGAAGGCCACTGCGGGTCAAGGAGGTCTAGCATCGAGCATGAGCCTTAGGAACCATGCTGGCAGGAATCAAATGTCGGCACTAGGTAGCCTCGTCAACATCCGCCGGTATTGCCACTCGTGCCGCGCTGGCTGATTGCAGCGCTGTTTCTCGCGGCCAACTGAGCGCCAATGCGCTGCTTGTAGTCGTCCAGTATTGGCTGAATCAGGTCGCTCTCCCATGAGTGTGGGTGTCGTGCAGGCTTGCGCCTCTTTCCATTCAGCGCGATGAGGTGAACGATCAGCCACACCACTGCTACAATGACGAGAGTGAGCAGTACGGCCCGCGTTTTGAATCGCATCTCGATTAGATACTTGAGATAAGTTCAGCCTTCAAACGGATAGTCTGTACACGGCACAGTATGTTCGAAGGCTACACATATTGTATAGCGAACATACATATGATCTTCGAGTGCTGTGCAGACTGGACTCTTGCCGCATGTTTTCGGATAGCTTGTCAAGAATGGAAGGGAGTGGAGGCTGTCCGAACGATCGACGGCACCGCCGTCTGTGCCAATATGGCAGCCAATCACAACGCACAGCCAACTCAACTGTTCAAGACGTATGCCATGCAATACTTCGTCTGGCTCTTCCGTATCGTGTATACCACATGTTTATACTTACAGTATGCATGCGTATCCACAATATAAGGCTCGGCAATCAACGACGCTCTCTAGTGCCAAGAAATTTCATATCCTTCAAGAACCACCAGCGCCAGACCATATACAGCTTTGTGTAACATCCAGTCATTACTCGTAGACACTCTCCAGCTTCTCCTTTCCGCCCGTTTCGAGCTATCCACCTCGACTAGACTGCGATTGTTACTCGTACCCGACCTTTAGGCTCACGCTTCCGCTGTTGGTCGAAAAATCGAGTTTCGAACCACCATAGCCCTTATGAGCAATGATATGCCTTCCCGCTGGGCCGTACGAGCCATCAAAATACACTTTGACGTCCTTGCCACGGAGACTGATACCTCCACTTTTACTGTGGCCTTCTATCTGACCGTCCCATTCATCCGGATACACCAGGCTCATTGCGCCCGAGTTGGATCGGTGCGACGATCGCATCTTCGCCCCGGCAATCCTGTACGGTGGCAAGAGGTACATGCTCGTCGAAGCCGAGCCGCTATCGGTATGTAGGGTCGCGTCCATGTCTTGAGCGAAGCAGGGTAGGACGCCTAGACTGAGCGTCCCCGACTGCGAGCTGAACGCGGCCGTAGATCCCAGGAGATAGTTCCCTGATACCGTTCCGGAGTGGGTGCTTACCCTGGTTCTGTAGTCTCGGTCCGGGAGGTCGCCGTAGATCGGAAAGTTCGCGTGGACACTCGCAGAGTGCGATTCCATTTGGAACTCTGCCGGCTTTGCATTGACAGGATCTGCCAACTGAGGCTCGACACTAATGCTCACTGTGCCGGAGTGTGTGCTGATGGACAACAAATCTCGAAGAGCATATGTCCCACTCACTGACCCGGAATCCGTGTCGATGATAGTACGTCGCGAATCCCAATAGGGCATCTTGACATCGCCCCGAACAGTGTTAACGTTCATCGTGCCAATGCGCGGTCCCCTCGTCATCTCGCCGATGCTGTTCCTCACGAACAGCATGTCGTCCACCTCCACATTGAGATTGCCAGTCAATATGCTCCAGGTAGAGCTTTGCACATTGTCTTTCACGTAGAAGGTCATGCCGATGTCCATGCACGGCCGTCGTCCTCTCATACGGTTGTGCGGTGGAAATCTTAACTCGATACTGCCAGCCTCGAAGAAATAGCTCATATCTGTCACATGCCACGGTTCGCTTGTCGCGTAGCTCACCCAGCCCTGGATAGGGTGGGTTTGCTCGGGAGGAGCGGGCAGGATCCAGACATTACCAGAGATACCTCCCGGAACAAAAGTCGAAGGCTCGATCATCTCCGTGAACGAGAAGTTATCGGCGTGAGAGAATTCAAAAGATATCGATCCGCTAAAGTATTTGTACTCGCACTGGCCATTTTCGGGATGTGCTGGGAAAGGGTCGGTGGAGTTGCTTTCGCCGCCATCTGTAGGTCTGTCAGCACACCGTATCCATGTCGGATCACGCGTACGTACCTCCGCCTGCTGCAGGCTTGTCCTGAGACGGCGAGTCTGATCTATTTCCGACTCTGTTCAATCTCACTAAGAGAATGATAATTCCAACAAGAGCGGCACCGAAAATGAGGTTCAGGACTGCGGCTGGTGAGCAGCAGCAAGCTCGGATACGCCGCCATCGTCTCTTCCGGCCTCCCTTTCTTCGCCGACTTAGCAGGCCTTGTTCCTCGCCACCATCATCATCGCCACTCTCCTGTTGCTGCGGTGCCGTTTGTTGTTGCTGTCGTTGCACATCCTGCATGCTTTGCGGTTGCCCAAGGTAATCGAACGGGCTGCCCCCTGTTCCAAACGGAAAGTTGTTCGTGAAAGGGTTGTTGCGGTTGCCGAAGGGCCACTCTCGCTCAATGCCGCCATGGGACTGAGTCCCAGATACTGCATTCTGAGATGTCAACTCGCTTTCGCTTCCTAGCGACCTTTGCCGATCGCCTGCCGCCTGCGCCGCGCTTGTAGGCGTTTGCTCTTGGCGCATAGTACCGTAGCTTCCTGCTTCATGGTTTCGCAACTCATGCCGATCTGGTTGTGGTTCCTGCGCATGCGCCGGTAGTTCTGGATGTTGCTGGCGTGCTCTGCTTGCGACCGCAGCCGCGTAGTCAGGCGGAGCAGGACCGGCATCGAGTATTGGACCTGTCTGCAGTGACCATACCGAAGAGCGCACGGACGAGACGGGAGAGGGTGGTGATGGTGGTATCGCAGACGGATCGACCGGGTAACCATCTGCCTCAGCTCCTCTTGCCTTTGCCTGTTCTGCGCGCACTGCCGGATCGTCCCCAGGCATATGGTCCTGTCGTTGCGCAAAGTATCCGTTGGAGGGTGGGTTCTCGTGCCGTGTGGCTTGATCTCCATCTCGCTCCCGCGCATCACGGCTGGCGTGTATGTTCGACATCTTTACCGTGCAGGTGTACAACAAATAGCTCTCGACATCAGACCATCACCCAGCCGACTTCCCCCCAACTGCGTCTCTAGATATCATGTAGGAGCTGCGCATTAAGAAGAGTATGAGCTGTCAATGCGCTTTCGCAAAGCCACCTCTCTAGCCATCCTGCCGGCACCTATGTCACACCACGGTCGCTATCGTATCCGCAGCTTGAGCGGCAGGACGGCGTGCCCGTAGCGAAGCCATCTAACGATTCCCTGCAGGCGTACTAGGATCGGCGCGGGGTTGCACCACAATCAGCCAATGATATTGCCGTCTCGACTCCTTCGCTCATTGGAGGCGATAGTGCGCTTCTATCACAATCGCTGCGGGAGAATGCTCGATTGCTACAGTATGCGTTCGGTAGAAGTGTAATCCATACCGCCGAATGCTGAACAGATACACCCCGACGATGATTCAATGCCGAAACCTTTTAAGCATGATGCAGACCCGGATGCAAAGCGAAGCACTGCCAAAACCGACGGCTCTTGACTTTCCCATTCAATTGCATTGATTCTGATGTTAAGCTTAACCACGCATGTGCTACGTCGAGGAGGAAATTGCTGATCGGAACGACATGTTAGAGCGCGAAGTCTGCAGCGACTTGACCTCGGAGTCTGCGTATTGTGACATCCAAATGCCCAATCGGCTGATCATCGTGAACTTATGGTTCATCGTCGCCAGATCGCTCGCTGCGACAACCCGCATGGCAGGAGATGGGCGTTGTTTGTTTGTTCGTCAAAGTCTCCGCAGGCAGCCTTGTCTGTAGATTGACGACGGCAACACCAGAGGCAGGCAAAAGTCCGTATGCTGGGTTAAATGTATTCAACATAATCCACAGCTAGGACGACTACGGCGACAGTCGCACTCAAGCAGCGTTCGTGACGTCCGGTTCAGATGGTCCGATGAACGATACACTCTACCTTCCACAGCATGGTCAAGCAGTGACCGAGCTCCCAATTCCATCTTGCAGCATTCGTCTAGTTTACCAGCTGCCGCAATGTACGCTGTGGGTTATGGAACTGACCGCATAATGATTTGCCCGGCGACGGGTTCGCATGGGCATGTACCAATGCAGGACACAGTTGTTCACATGGAAAAGCGTTTGTCAACAGCTAAGTGTCGCCGAAGATCGCTTCGCCGATAACTTGCCAAAAGGGTAAATGTTGCTCAGAAGCTACGACACTTCGTGGTTGCTCAGTGCGGCGGAAACGGCGGCGAGGTACAGCTTATAACACCGGCGCGGCTGATCGCGAGGGTAAGGTACCCTTGGAAAAAAGTAGCGTGACAGGGTTGTTGTCTTGCGAATGGTGGTGGCGAATGGTTATTGCGAATAGCGACGCTATATGCCCCCAACTGCACTACATTTACAATGTACGATGATGGGTTCATGCTCTTCCTCGGGAAGAATGTTGAGCCCACACTTCAGCTAAGGGAAGTTGGAGTAAGGGTGAGAGCGAATGTGAAGGGCCGCGTGGTCGCCATGATGTCCGCGACTTGGCCGAAGCGGTGGCGGAAGTCCAAGACTTCCGCTCTTGGCTCGGCGCGCCAAGTGTTAGCACGTAATCATTAGCTTGGCATGCAGGGGAGGTGCCGTTGACGATGTCGAGTTGAGCGCAGGGTTGAAGCAGCTCTTTAGTGGTAAGAGACGCTGAGGACCAGCGACTGATGGAACCATGGCCGGCCGTTGATGCGATGGAGGGGGTAGTATTGCAGAGGTCTGACAATGACCACTTCCGCACGATTAACAGGATGAAATGCATGCCAGACGATCCAGCCGAAGGCCTCATTCTGCCAAGAAAAACCGCTGACCGGATAAAGAGCATCCCGTGAACGTATAGATTGAGACCTGCGTCCGATGATGCAGGCTCGGAGAGGGCATGGAAGAAGTACTAGGGCAGCAAGGTCGACCGATGATACTGTTCGATCTTGTTGCCACTCGCCGCGATGCCTCTGATGGGAATATGTAGTCGAAGGGAGAACCTCTTCTCGCGAGAGGTTGCTCTCAATATATTGGGTTGCCGCTTTTAGTCGGCCAGCCAGCTGATTCATTTGCCAAGCCTGCCAAGACCGCCACTACGAAGCACAGGCGAATGAGGGAAGACGAGCAGTTCCACAGGCACTGTATGAGGAAAGGGACGGATGATACACTTTCATAAAGGCGAGGGCAGTGCACTCCGCGTGCCAAGGTGATTCGCTGCTTGGCTCTCCGCCCCTTCCTTTCGGGTCCCTTGTGCGCGTTGTTGCGAGCTGGCTTGTCGCCTGCGTTCTTAAGTCGGTACACCCCCGTCCTCCTCCGGCGCCCAGAATTCTTTGCATTGTACTGCTGCAAGCCTGTGAACTGCTGCAAGCGCCGCACTTCCAAGCGCTCTTGTCGACTATAAGCCAATCTGACCGCTTATTGTTGGATTGCGAGTCTTGTCACGGTTGATTGTCAACTTGCATCGACTTAGCTCTCGAAGCGGAGAAGGGTAGGCTGTGCCAAGAGACTTCGACTGCCAAGCATCATGGACTCTACACCTTCAAGCACCGATCAAACTACCTTGACCGTCGCGCAAGCCGTCGCGCAAGCGGCAGCACAAGCGCAGGCATCGCCAGTGCAGCCTCCGTTGTCTGGGCCGAGCAGCACGATAGATAACCTGACGTGCCAGTGGCAAGGCTGCGGCGAGCGATGCGACACAGCAGAGGCACTCTATGTACGTACGAAGTGAAGTGAACATCACTGCCAAGCTTCCTGTGTTGGTGCGTGGTCACTGGCTGATATGTCGCGTTCTAGGACCACGTATGCGAGCGCCATGTCGGTCGCAAAAGCACCAACAACCTCAACCTCACCTGTCAGTGGGGCGCGTGCAGGACGACCACCGTGAAGCGCGACCACATTACCTCCCACATCCGAGTGCACGTTCCATTGAAGCCGCACAAATGCGACTTCTGTGGCAAGTCGTTCAAGCGTCCGCAGGATTTGAAGAAGCATGTCAAGACACATGCAGACGATAGCGTGCTTGCCAATTCGCCTAGCCAAGGCAGCAATGGTCGCGCGCTTAGTGGAAACGGCGGCATGGGTCCAAATGGTAAGGGTCAGTCTCTTGATCAAGGGTTTGTGGTTGTTAAGGTGCTAACCACGTCGGTGATGTAGGCCAGTCCAGCTACTACCCTACTCATGATGGCTCTATGCATCCATTCTCCGGCTACCAGCATAGCTTAGGTAGCAATGGTGCTAATGCCACTGCATACACTCAACCCGGAGGAAACCAATATGGCAGCTACGGCGCAGTCAGCTACCCCAACAGCGCAGGCGTTGACATTCATAGCCTCGACACACGACGTCGTGCAATAGAGGCTTTAAATGACTTCCTGGGTGACATCAAGCGCCGCGCTCTTAATCCACAACAATATATGGACGTCGGACAACGCCTTGGCTTCGGTAACTCGCTGCCTTTGCCTGTTGGTGGTGGATATAATACCGGATACAGTAACTCATCAACCGGCGCCAGCTTCGGCAACTTCACCGCGGCAAGCTTGCTCGACTCATTCAACCACAACGAAAGCATGAATGGCGGTGGCGGCCTACACGGTCCCATGACGCAAGGTGGTTACTCTTTGCCGCTGTCGCATGCACGTACCAAGAATGACTTGCAAGACATCGATCGCTTCCTCGAACAGCTCCAACAGACTGTGTACGAGACCAGCAACCATGCCGCAGCGGCCGGTATCCAGCAACCTGGCGTCCATGCGCAGTACACCGGCGACTATGGCTTCAACAACCAGTATCAATCGCGTTCCAGCGGTAGTCCGCCCAATTTCCAGGGTACTACCGCCGCGGGTAGTTTCGGTGGCCTGACGGCGGCAAGTATGCCAGGTATGACTGCCGCTTCGAGTACCAGCATGGATACGCCCGCCTTGACACCTGCTTCAGTCTCCTCCTATAGCAGCTCTGGGCAGTCGCCTTTGAGCAGCCACGGCAGGAACAGCCTCGGCAGCATGAACGGGAACGCGATGTACCCAAGCCTTCCGTCCGTTACCGGTATCTCTGATCTTGGCTCTGGTTACCCCACAACCTCTTCTGCTCCCGCATCCGGTCTCGCATCTGGCTTCGAGGGTCTGGATGGGCGCAGATACAGCGGTGGGCGTTTGCAACGTCAAGCTCCGGGTGACGACACCGCGATGGCCGATGCGGACGATGGTACTAGGACGCCCAAGCAAGCAGATTCCAAGCGCTCGAGAGGCAAAGCGAACAGTAGCATTGACCCTGCGCTTCGCGACGAGGAATCTTCCGACAGTGCGTCGACGCCCGCTGCTGACGAGAAGCGTCAGGAGGACTGGGTTGAGAACATCAGGACCATCGAGACGCTGCGCAAGTGGGTCGCCGAACGTCTCTCCCGTGGCGAGTATGATGAGGACGGTGCTGCAGACGTCAGCGACTCTAAACAGGGAAGTCTGGACGAGGCAAAGGCTCAGGCGGAGATTGCGATGATGGTGCAGGCGAAGATTGCGGGAATGGGGGCAAAGCCAGATTCTGTGATGAGTGAGGCGGGAGATGTCAAGTACCCTTCGCTGCCCACTGCATAGTTGGCTGGCGCAAGTACCTGGCTGTGATGAGCGTGTGTGGGTTGGAAGGCGTTTGCGGCGTTGCGGGCTAAGAAGAGCTGATAATATCGCTCGATGAACGAATGGGTCAGGATGGGTCAGATATCAAGTACTATGTTATCTCTCGCGCTTTGCTGCGCGCCACATTGATAGAGTTATGTTCCGATGATCATGGAAGGGGTTTTACGAAGATGCATAACGTCGACGTGCGAATACAATTAGGTTTGCAAACCCGGCATTCGCTAGTACATTCACTATTCCATGGTCAAAGACACTCGTCAGAGTAGTTTCCACACACTTGCCGCTGAACCCGCAGGAATACCATAATTGTAACGCAAGGTATCACGACATAATATGTAGCACACTTGCTCATGGTGCAAACACACCTTGGCATATATAGGACCACGGATACATCTTGACCGTTTGATATCAACGTAGGTCACGTCGTCAACGACCGCGACCGTTTCTGGCATAAGATTCGCTTCCGCTTGCCATCCCGAGTCTGCGGCGTCTGCGGACACGCGGGTGGAGGTTGCGTTAGTAGCCTCCCGCTGGTGGGAGGCGCTCGATCTGGTGGTTTAGGGTTCACCGCGTGATTGTCTACCTTATATATACTCGCTGCCCACTGGTTCAGATGAATAAGTAAGACGCATTCGAGTGGGCGTGGAGCAAGTAGGCGCACAACGCCCGAGCAGCAATTCGATCCGCTATGGGGAATGGACGGTGCAAAGATATCGAAGAGACATATTTAGGTGTCTCACCTAGCCCCTCCCTATGATCCCATTTAGGTTTGCGGGAGATGATCACCGTTGCAGATTGGCTCCCGTCATCACGAGTTTGAATTGCGCCGCTCGACATTATCGGTCCTTCCTTCTGGCGTGACCTGCTGTACAGACTTGTATTACAATACATTGAGGCCTTGAGAGTGTCAGAACATTAGCGACTCTTCTAGGGTGGAACTGAACGTGCGCATCAGCTTACATCGTGAGCCTGCATATAGCGTGCAGCCCTGCGGAGGAGTTACAGGGCAACTGCTACCAGTGATTGGGCAGCCAGCAAGGGCGCCATATTCACAACGCACTCGAAAGGGTCGAGTTCCAAGCGCACAGCTCTTTGCCACGAGCACATTCTTCCGTACACCACACACGCGGACCTCTTTCACAGTGTTGATCCCACAACGACCGCTCCTGGATACAGTCGGAGAGCTGGATCTACAATTTAACGAAGCAGTCCCTCACCGGAGCACGCGAACTCAGCCACAGGACATCTTCCTGCACGCCTCACCCTCTGCGGTGCAGTGTCGCCCCGAGCTACATCCTCGCAGCTCCCGAACAACCTTCTCTCGCCGGCTTGGACTTTTCACTCTAAGCTTACCATTACTTTGACGCTACGCTACCGCAACCCGCAAGAGTTTCGGCGTTCGCCCTCGACCAACTTGTGGCAACCCCACTATGAACGCGAGACACGAGAAGCACAACCTCTACGGCAGCTTGCAGTGACAGCACTGCTTGTGCACTCACGCGCGCAGTGCGAGCGCAACTTTCTTCCTCGAGGATACTAAAGCTGGTAGCTCGTCTCTCTACGTACAACAACCAAGCAACATCGTCTCGATCTTGGGGCTGGCCAGATGAGCGTTGTTCACGCCACTAGTTTATAGAGCATAACGCTCGTCAGCGGCTTCCTGTTTCGCACAAGAGTCCTCAGCGCCAGCTCCAGACACCTTCCTAAAGTGAGATTGTGCCACACGTCGGCGAAATGGAGCAACCGAACCTCATGCCCATGAACGGCATGATGCCGCAGAACATGAACAGCATGCAACGCCCGCAATCGGGCAACCACGGTCAGCAGATTTACGCCCAGATTCTTACGAGTCTCCGTGAGCGGCAGGCTGCACTGCCGCAAGGCTGGCAACGAACTTTCGACATGGGTCAGCGCGCCGGTATCACTATGCAAATGTCAGTGGACAAGTAGAAATGGCTCGATGCTTACTGGCTAACGTGTTAGTGTGCAGTGTCACGCAGCTCCGAATGTTGCAACCAGGCGTCGACTTGGCGCAAACTTTGAAGATTGCGCAGAGTTGGGAGTTACGCACCATGCAGGAGTCCGGAAACCAAGAACAGTACCGCCACGCGATGAGTCAAAAGATGTCTGAGATTGCAGGCAAGCGAGCCGCGCAGGCGCAGGCGCAGTCTCAGGCGCTGCGACTCCAGGGTACTGTCACCGGTGCATCTACGACTAACATGGACATGCTGGCCAACAACAACAATATGATGGGCATGAACATGTCAAATTCCGGTATGGGTATGCCGAATGGCGCACCCATGAACGGTAACTTTGGCGGGCAGCAACCGAACAATGCACTGTCGCACCTCCAACAGCCCATGGTGCCCTCTCCAATACCACCACCACAACAGAACGTTGGTATAGACCCTGCGGCGTTGTCGAATACTGGCGGGCCGCCTCAGATGCAAGCCAATGCAAATAGCCTGAACCCGCAGCAGATGCAGCAAATGCAGCGAGAAATCTTTCAGATGGCCCAGGCCATGATGCAAAGGACCGACGAGGCCACCAAAGAACAGCTGCGAACCAATTTCGTCAACTCTTTGACGGAACAGGCGCGGAACGAAATCTTAGCGACCGGTCAAGACCCTCTTCATCGCTTTTACATACAAAAAGCGAAGGAGTTACACGCCAAGAAGAAGGCTGACCAGCAGATCCAAATGCAAAACCGAAATGGGCTGCAACAGTCCAGCAACGGTCAGCAAGCGATGAACTTGAACGTGCCCGGCCAGCAACCTATGTCGCAGGGAGCGCCTACTATCGACCTCTCCACGATCATCGGCCAACAAGCACATGCTCTGAAGCAACAAGAAACGGGAGGAGAGGTCGTGCCCGCCAGTAACAACACCAGCTTTGACCTCGCCGACATGAACATGCCCCAGGGAATCAATCCACAGATGCTTGGAAATCCGAATGGCCAGCCACAGAACAACAACCCGCAGCTACAGCAGCTTCTCATGCAGCAACAACGAATCCAGCAGCAGAACATGATGGCTCGACAGCAAGCACTCCAACAGCAGCAACAGCTTCGCGGGCAGCCTGGCGGTCTCAACGCACCGAACGCGCTTAATGGCGGACCGGCGGGACAGATTAACAGTCCTGCAATGTCAATGTTGAACCGGCCGATGGTGCCTCCAGGACAGCAAGGTACGCCGAACACACCTCAGTCGAATCGCATGCCGCCAAATCAGCCTCCGCAGACGCCTATGAACCCTGCGGCGCAGCTTCTCCAGCATCATCAGCAGATGCTTAACCAGGGCACCTCTGGCGGAACCCAAGGGCTCCAACAGCCTCAACAACCGCAGATCAGCCGGGAGACTTTCGCATTGCTACAAAGCAACAAACAGACTACGGACTCCAACCAGTTCAAGCAGATGTGGGCCAAACCAGACCTTCAACAGCAGTTCCTTTCGATGCCGCTCGCTAAGCAGCAAGAACTTCTGCACAAGATGGCGGGTCGTATGGGACCATTTGGGGTGGTGAATGGTGGACAGCAGCCGAGCCAGCAACAGCCCGGAATGCAGCCAAACATGAATCCGCAGGGCCAGCCGAGCAACATGGGCAACAATGCTCCAAGGCAGATGATACCCGCTGGCACTCCCGTCCGTCAATTCAACTCGCATCCGCCGCCAAACCAGCAAATGCAGACGCCGAACATGCCGGACTCTGGTGACATGCAGCAGCGTTTGCAGCAGCAACAGCAGAACCACGCGATGTCTCAGTTCCGTCAGAAGGCTCTCGACCTGAGACCTTTCCCCCGCTCGGTTCTTAGCCAGCTGGGACTCGCAGTGACCGACAATGTTCGTGTCTGGGGGCAGCTTAAGAACCATATCAACCAAAAGCAGGACGTAATCCCACCACAAACGATGCAGAAGGTGCAAGCGCTTCAGAATCAGTGGTTCGAACAGCATCCGGAGGAAATCAGTATGGCTGTACAGCAACTCCAACGCATACAGCAGCAGAAGGCACAGCAACAGGCGGGCCGCGCTCAGCAACAGGCAGGTCCATCAGGCGCGCCAGGTCAACCTCAAGTAAGTGGGCCGCCGAACATGCAAATGCCCAACGGCCAGGCTCCGCCCGCGCAGATGGTACCGCCTACTGCGCCAATGCAGGCGCCCAATCAAGGCCAGCCAATCTCATCCGGCCAGATGCCGCAGCTACAGCAGCTAGTCTCACCACAAGAGATTCAAGAGGCGCGATCGAAATTTAGCCAGATGTCAAGCATGACCGATGAGCAGATCCGTGATATCTTAGGCCGCAGACGCCGCGAGCAGCAACTGGCTATGAAAGCTCAGCAGGAGGCGCTACGTAATGCGCAATTGCAGAATGCGCAGATGATGAGGGCACAGGCACAGATGCAGGGTGCGCCGAGCAGCGCGAATCAGCCAAACCAAAGAGGCCAGCAGCCCGTCAGACAACATCAGGCGAACCAACAGCCAGCTTCTTTGTCAGGGAAGAGGCCTCCTCAAAGCAACGACAACGACGACGTGGTTGAGATCCCTAATCCGAATGCGCCAGCCGCACAGATGAGTGTAGCGCCACAGGCCCCACCCATGCAGCAGAGACCATCGCAGCAAGGTAATCCGCTTAACATGCTGCGTGCGATGTCCAAGGAGCAGCAGACGCAGTATATGGCTTCTTTAGGCCCCGAGGAGAAGAAACGGATGTTTGACAATCTAAACCGGCAACGCATGCAGGCCGAGGCTATCAAGAAGGCGCAGATGGGCCTGCCTAACAATGAGTCTGTGCCGCCGCCGACTCAAGCACGCACCCAACAGCAACAGCAGCAGCCTACGCCACCCCAGCAACCTACATCCGGTCCGCAGCAGCAACAGCAGCTTCGCAATGCCCAGGTGATACAGAAACTGCAGGCCATGATGGCCGAGGTCGAGCGTGCCAATCCCAAGGGTCCACCGGTACAGATGGATGACGCCAGCTTCCAGCAGGTCGCATCCATATTGAAACGGCTCGCCGGACCTGTACGCAAAATGACGCAGCCTTTTGCGATGGGATTAACGCATGGCGCAGGCTTGCCCAATATCGAAGAACGTGTTCGTGCGGCCATGGCGGCCAGGACGATTATCATGCAAAACACGGACGAGCATGGCAATATGCTGGGTGGCCAAGTTAGCCTTGATTTGCAGAGATTGAAGCAGCTGGAGACTGATTTGAACTCTTACTTTGGGGAGCTTCGAAGCTTGCAGGAGAATCGAAAGGCACAGGCTCAGCAGCAACAACAGCGCATTGGCGGCCAACAGGCACCGAACCTGGTGCAGACGTCAGTGCAGGCACAGGTACCGCAGAAGACTCCTGCACCTTCGAAGCCGCAAGCTCAGTCACAGGCACCTCCTGTCGCGTCAGCGGCACCGCAGCATAGTCAGGCTCGCAAGTCATCGAGACCGCCTCCTGCGCCGACCGACGACAAGAAGTTCGACTGGGGCGCGCCAAGCCCGCATGGTGTGCCGAAGTATGATTCAGGTCGCAACGAGCTCACGCCAGATAAGCTGAAGTTTCCACCCAACAAGAAGCGCAAGACCGGACAGCCGGAGAGCCAGGCTTCGACGCCAGCGGCTCAAATGGGTACGCCTGGCGCTGTCGCAACGGTGAGTCCCATCGTGACCGCAGGAAAGGTCCCATCTCCAGAGCAGTCGCGGAAGGTGCAGTTGCAGCAAGTCGACACCGAAGGAAGGCAATTCCGTTGCAAGGACGCCTTATGCGAGGCAAGCATCAAGGGCTTCGAGACGGAAGAGCTACTCAAGAAGCACGAGGAGGTCCAGCACGCCCCAGTCGCTGATCCACTTGCGTTCTTACTGGAGAACGCAGCGAAGGCACTTAGTGTCGACCAAGATGGGCATCCACTGCCGCAGAAGGTACCCGTGAAGAGTCAGCCGAGGTCACTGCCCGCTGCCAAACCGGCCGTCAAGCGCGAAGGACAGACGCCGAATGTTAAGCAAGAGGCTGTAACACCACAGCAGCCAAGTGCTGCGAAAGCCAAGGCGAAAGCCACTGCTGAAGCTGCAGAGCCTGCTGCGCCTGAGGAGGAGAAGACGTTGCGTGAGGTGATCGAGGAAAGGATGGGCTTCAAGCCAGAGACTCCTCAGCCGGCTGCCGCGGGAGACTCTGCTCTGGACACTGTCCCGAGGAGAGAGATGGACGACAACATGTTCAGTGAGCTGGTCAACGATGCCTTTGCCGGAGACGACTGGGCTGGAGTTCCTGGCTTCCAGATCTGCGATTTTGCTGAGATCCCTGTTGAAAACTGGGGCATACAGCTCGAGTCCGAATCATCGCCTGAGCTTTCGCCCAGCAACAGCGAGGGCAGTCGCCCAAGCGACGTCTCGGAGAATGATGCACTGCGCTTAGCCTTTCAATGGGACGCTTTCGGTAATGGTGATACGCTGGCTCCAGACGTACTGATGAAGACGCAGAAGCTGAGGCTTAGCGGCTCGCCTGCTCTGTCTAATGCTTCGAAGGAGGTGGATACGGCGTGCGCTGCTAAGCCGCAAGAGGAGCCTAAGAAGGACCAGGTTGAGGACGAGTGGGACTGGTCCGGAGACATGACCGACTTCCAGTCGATGTTTCCGGTTGTTAACAGCATGACGGACATGAACATGAGTCTCTGAGCAGGTATACATGGTTTGATTTTGAGCGCGGGCGTCTGGTAATGGGAGAGGAAGGCACGATACCCACCATGTAGCAAGTTGCTGTACAATCTTGAATGATCAACTTTGGACCCTTTGCGTTCGCTTCATCGTTTCACTATATCATGACAGCTGTTATTCAACAGTAGTCATCTAATTCTGTGGTTCGCTACATCTGCTCGCAGCTGGCTTCGTGCAGTCGTGAAGCTTTTATAGAACTATAGCCGACGTTTATCCGAAGGCTTGACGAATGCAAGCTCAATGGTAGAAACTCTGGGAGTCGATCTCCACTCAATCCAAGCATGCTCTTCTCCGCTTAAAACGCGTACTGCCATCCTCATGCCATCTTTGCTGTCCCGCTATCAGCACGATGTCGCCGCTCAAAGCCACCTGATCCTTCCGGTATCGCTCGTCGCCTCATCGGTTCTCTCATACCTCGGTACGCCAGTGAGGCATCCCTTACTGATCAGCGCCACTGCATGGTCGGCGCTCTGTATAGTCGCTACATTGAGGGTTGGCGCAAAGCAACTGTTTGACTGCGGCCAGCCTCAGAAGCTAGCATGGGCGGCTGGTGTGCTGCTTGCGCTGGCGCAAGTGGAAGAGCGCGCGGCTGAGAGTGCAAGGAGTATCTGGTGGGCTAAGGTCACACGACCTGATTGTACGGAATGCTTGAGCTCTGACTGAGGCTTGCGGTAGGCACTGCTTCCTCTACTGGTCCTGACGATACGAGAAACCGACATCTTTACTCGCAAGCCACATCCCAACAATGGCGCAGAGTTGCCCAGCGAAACGGACAAGCCACACTTGCTACCAACGCATGGCATGAATGTATCATTGCTCATACTCACACTGGCCGGTATAGCATCCACATATACGACGCTGTACTCGAATGCAGTGCTATCAGGCGGCCTCACAAGTGCGACCCTTATCGCGCTGGCACTGAGCCTGGTGGCTGCAGCATCGGCCGAGGACAGTCGTGGAGGCAGCGTGATTTATGCAGCTAATGCTCTCCTAGAGCAGCCGCAGAAAGAGTCCGGGGGTTCTGGAGGTGCGGCAGCCAAGAATGTACGAGATATCTCTCTGGCAGCCGCCATCGGTACAGCCGTTCCGGCTCTGCTGCTGGAAGGTACCGCTTTCGGCGGCCTGTCGTACAATGGCATATTGGGTCCGCAGATGGGTCCTACGCCGCGTCTAGGCTATGTGGCCCTCAGCGCGCTATATGGCATGGGGGCAGTGCTTGCCCACTTCGTCATGTTCGGGTCTTTAGTCGTCATGGTGAGTGCCTTCGCAAGACAAGAAGCGCTCCTGTTCCTCCGTTCCCTCAACGGATTATGTGAAAAGCAGCATATCCGTTTGTTGCTCGGAAAGCTGAACCACTACACTCCGATGCTGCTACTTGTGCGATTCCTTGCGGGCGACCATTTTAAACAAGATCTGTTTACTGACATTGCAAGCTACTAGACCCAACAGCATAATGCATTTACGACGAGCTTTCTACCGTTTTACGCTGCGCTGTGCTCGCAGCTGATCGCTGGATTCTCCGCCGGCCGATTATGGTTTGCAGCATTGTGCGCCTTCGCGACTTTCACTTATGTTGGTGGAGATGCCACAGTCTCTGCTGGTCCTCGGATCAAGTTGCGGGTTAGCAGGTTCCTGAATGTTGTTGCCATTGCGTCGTTCTCAGCCCTTGCGCTTATCACGTTGCGCGGGCACAGCTTGGCACGGATGTCTATGTTCAGTGCGTCTGGTTTAGGCAGCCTCAGCCAACCTACCTTCGGGCCACCAGACCGTCAATACGGGCCTCTGCAATACAACGAGAGCCGGACCCATCCTGTAGATCAATTGGTTCAGAACGCGGAGGCGTCATGGTTGACTACGTTGTCAGTGCAGTCGCAAACGCTCGAAGCCGCAGTTCTGGAGTACAAACGCCGTTATGGCTTGCCACCGCCTCCGGACTTCGACCGTTGGTATGAGTTTGCGAAACGGAAAGGTGTGCAACTGACCGATGAGTACGACTCCATACATCATTCGCTCCTCCCGTTTTGGGCGCTTCCACCAGCAACATTGCGGGCGCGTGTTCAAGAAGCACTAGGTTTCGGACCCAACAACCTCATGGGCCTGCAGATCAGGGGCGGCAAGGCTGCTTACGTTGAGGGGGGTCAAGAGTGGTTGCAGAAGGCCGTAGTGGGCATGATCGAAGAATTTGTGCATTACCTTCCAGACATGGACGTTGCCTTCAATGTCCATGACGAGCCGAGAGTGGTAGTACCACATGATCAGCTATCGCGACTGATCGACATGGCGATTAACCGAACCACATCGATTGCGGCAGGTTCACCGAACCCCCGGAATGCGTTCTCGGCAGGGCCGGCGGACCTCAAGAACAACAAGCGTTTCGCCGAAGTGAAGACAACCCGCTTCAACGTCTTTGCACACCAACCGACGTGGATCCCATCCCGCCTCTCATGTTCACCGGATAGCCTTTCAAGAGCGCTGGGTGATCTATCCTCGGACAACCTCACAGCTTATGCGTTGGGCGAGCTTGGCTTCGTACACAACCATACGGCATTCACCGACATCTGCAACTCGCCGTCGTTTGCTACATCGCACGGTTTCTTCGACAGGCCAAATGCTTTCAATGTCATCCACGAACTGTTTCCCATCTTCAGCCAGAGTAAGATGTCGAGTTTCCAAGACATTCTTTATCCGAGCCCGTGGTATTGGTACGGCAAAGTCGCTTATGATGAGAAGAAAGACATGGACTGGCAAGCGAAGATCAACTCGCTCTTTTGGCGTGGCAGCACGACTGGCGGCTTTAGCCGCGACGGAGGTTGGAGGAGGCAGCACCGGCAGAAACTTGTTGCGAAACTGAACGCTTTGGACAGTGCCAAGATCATGCAGAACACGGACAAGTCGGACAGTACAGACGCTTCACCTGATTGGAAGGCGAAGGAGGTGCCAAGGCAAGATTACAAGCAGCTGATGGACGTTTACTTCTCGCACGTCGGACAATGCGACCCGGGTGACTGCGACGCACAACGGGAGTATTTCCACATTGCGAAACCGGTCGATCAGCAGGACGTGTGGAAGTATCGCTTTCTGCTCGACATGGACGGCAACGCTTTCTCCGGCCGCTTTTACGCCTTCTTGAAAAGCAGAAGCCTTACGTTCAAGATGGCGGTGTTTCGGGAGTGGCACGAAGAGTGGATCAAGCCTTGGGTGCACTATGTACCGCTTTCGCTGCGAGGCGATGAAGCATTGGAGGTTGTGCGGTACATGAGCGCGGAAGAGGAAGGCAGGCGCCAGGCTGTTCGTATGGCGGAGGTAAGCCAAGATTGGGCGAACAAGGTATTGCGCAACGAAGACTTTGAGGTCTGGCTCTTTCGTCTACTGCTCGAGTAAGTGATATTGACTAAGCTCCGGTCATGACCGGGTTCAAAGCTGATTACGGACAGATACGGCCGGATTATGGATGATAACCGTGAGAGCATAGGCTACTCCGGACGTTGACCAGAATTTATACATAGTTTGTAAGCATTCAAGATGTGTACAGCGAGCACTGGCGTGGCGCGTCTGGTTGCGGCCCCGTGCAATCGGTCGTTCCTGCTTCGGCTCCGAAACCACATGACATCAGGCCGACTTCACCTCGCGTGTCCTCGTCTATATTTACATTGCTCATACTGCACGCATCGGTGTCCTGCAACATCGCAAATATCGTTCCTGTCTTACAACCCTTGTTGCCCTTTTCACACACGTTCCTCAGCCCTGAAGCGCATCTGAAACTGCAAAGATGGTTGTCATTTACTGCGCCTATTCGGAGCCAATCAACCCCTCTGGCACGTCGCCAGTCCTCAGCCGAGATCAGATATGGCAAGCTCTCCAACAGAAGGTCAGGCATCCTTCTGGATTTGTCCCGATCATCACCGGCACCGACATCATTGAAGACAAAGGGGACGAGGTTACCAGAATAGTACGCAAACTTTTGACTATAAGCCTTGCCTTCTGGCTTAGTCATCGCTAACGGTCATGGTCAACACTTCAGGCGCACTTCCAGCCTCCGGGGAAGCCTGCACATTCGCTTAGAGAAGTTTGCAAAAGCTACTACCCGACAAAGGCGCGTATACGTCCGCCGTATCATGAGAAGTGGGCTAATCAACCAATAGATCGACTTCTGGGCAGACTCTGGAGCGCTTGTCACCAACCTAGTCTCTGACGGACCAGGCTTGACGGAGCATGACTACCAGCTGACCTACATTTTCGAGTGGCGGCATCCAGATGTCGAACAAGGTAGCGACGAGCACAAGAAGATTGCCGAACAGGCGATCAAGGACGCCAAGCAGGCCGTTCACGGCTCCATCGTGGCCATGCGCAAGATGGCTTCCGAAGGGAAGGCTTGAGAGCTGAGCTTCAACGTGGAGTTCGCGGCTGACTGGCAGTGATCCTGCACATCTGCAAGCAGAATTACTTCATAGTGTTCAATTGTCTCATCCTAAGCTCCTACACCACACATTGCGTCTTCCTCAGTCTAGATGGCGTGGGCCGCCTTTAACATGTTTGGTAGCTCGCTCTTCTTGCCCTGCAAATCTGAGTTGCCTCCAATATGTTTCTTGTCAATGAAGATATTAGGCACTGATCTTTGATGGGTCATCTCCTCAAGCGCATCTTGGATTGCAGCGCCGTCATCTGCGTGACTTCTGTCAGATTGCTCCCCTTCTATAGGCTTAACTTCACGACGTACCGACTTGGTCCAACTCGATAATGTAGGGTTTTGCGCCCATCTCGCTCAACAGTGATTTGGTTGCCTTGCAGTACGGGCAGTAGGACTTTGAGAACACAGCTACAGCGAAGCGGTCAGTGTTCGCACCAGCGATGGTTACCGGCAAGGCCGCTGCACATACCAACGGCATTGTTGTCGATGATGTCTTGCGCCTTGGTCTTTGCGGCCATGATTGTGGATGGACTGGCTGCGCGCGCACCGCTGAAGAAGCTACGTAGGAAATTCGTGGTGGGCGATGTGGATGGGGTTATTTTGAGTGTGCAGCAAATCTTTGGGGGTATATGCAGAATGCAATTCTATTCCTCGCGATTACGATATCATCCTCTAGATTCGCCTCGGCGTTGCACTATTGCGTGACGTCAGGGCTGAACGCACGCTCACGTGACGACTAAGCAGTCTCAGGACGAGGTAACTGCGACCACGTGAGACTTCGTAGCTTCCGTTTGCGTCAAACACGTCAAGTACCGCTCATGTCTGCTTTTAATTGAACGGACCTACAATAGCAGCTCCACTCAACACAATGCTTGCTTCAGCCCTGCAGCCAGCACTTCGACAGGCTGCCCTGGTGTGGATGGTAACATGAACGTAGGATGTCTGTTGGAGATGGGACGGACGATGATGCACGGCTCCCAAACATGTAGAACACCATCACACCACAACAGCTCAACAGGTCCCTGAGCATTGCGAATCCTTCGTACCTTGTCTGGTAGGCTCAATCCCATACGTATATGCTTCACCTGACAAAGGACGCCATTCGCCCGCTGCGGCAGGATCGATACGGCGTCCAGTCTTACTCATGTTGCATCCGTGCCTACTTGGAGACAGCTGAAGTAGCTATACAGCGTATTCAGCTGGAAGATTGGCTATCAGCGCTTAGTACGCCAGAGTAACTGCCCAAGCGCTTCCGTGAAGCTGCTTATAACCAGTCCTTCAGCCACTTCGATTGCACACGTACAACTTCTTCCCTTTGTCAAGTACAGCACTTTCATTATCTCCCGAGCTTCACGCTCTCGTTAGCATATTATTCTTCGAACTCCCGTGTTCAAGCACGCATGATCGACAGCGCTGAGGGCATACACATCGTGATAGGCGCAATGCCAGCCTACGGCCACGTCCGCCCTCTGCGCTCTTTCGCGCGGAGCTTGAGCAGATTGGGCTTCTCAATAACATTCATCACCGGCAGACAATTCCGGCGGGATCTAGAATCGATCAGTGGCCTCGACTTCATTCCACTGTCTGGCAAAGCTGACTTCTCCATCGACAAGCTGAACGACACGTTCCCCGAACGGATCGCCATTCCAAAAGGGCCGCTCTCATATGTGTGGGATCTCGAGCATATCTTTATAGATCTTATACCAGAGCTGCACAATACCCTACAGTCTGTACTCACGAGACCGCAATTGGCGCACAAGGAGGTGGTTTTCGTGGGCGATGCCACCTACACGGGTATTATGCCCATGCTACTGGGCTGTCCAAGTGCCAGGCGAGTTCCCAAATTGCTCTCGGTATCATGCCCTTACTTTTCCAGAGTAAGGACACGGCTGCCTTTGGCATGGCTTTGCCTAGTCAAGGGCAGGAGCAAAGTATGAAGCTCAACGAAGCTGCCACGCAAATGCTTGCACCGGCCGAGGCTGCGCTCGAGCGAATCCTGGCGCAGTGCAACTGCACCGTGCAAATGCGAGGCAAGAGTCCGTTGGACAATCTGTGCTGGCTACCGGATGCGTACATGCAGCTTTGCGTGCCACAGCTTGAGCCATCTCGCAGCGATCTGCGGCCGAAACTGCAATTCGTCGGAACCTTCCTAGGCTCTAATGACACAAGCCCCCTTCCAGAGTGGTTCCGGAGCTTTGTGGTGGACGGCAAAACGTACGGTCCCTTGCTAATGGTTACTTCCGGCACCATCCCAGGTATGGACGTGAGCGAGCTCATAATACCTACCAGTGAAGCTTGCCGTGATCTGCCGGTGCGCTTAGTGGTGTGCGCCGTACACGCTTCGAAGCCTGAAAACTACGTACTGCCAGACAATGTTCGATGGGTGGGTATTCAGGGGCCGTAACGCGCTCCGGCTGTCAAAGCTCTCGCTAACGGTTCTATTCTTCACCATATAGGCGGAGTGGATATCTTTCGACGAGCTGTTTAAATACACTGACATTGCCATCACAAATGGCGGATACGGTGGTATTGACCAGGCCTTTGCAAACGGTATCCCTATGGTACTCGCAGGGTGCGTTTATGAAGGGCATATACTTTACTCGCTCCCTCAAAGATCGCTGACGCTCTTACCTTTACTTTGTAGGTTGACCGAGGACAAGGCGGAAACGACGGCTCGTGCGGAAATGACTGGCGCGGCTATCAATCTGCGCACCCATACCCCCACCACAGAGCAGGTGCGGGAGGCAATCAAAAAGATGGTCGGTGAATCCAAATATAAGCAGAGAGCGCTGGTACTGAAGCAGGCATATGCCGAGTGCGATGCCGTCGGAAGCATTGTGAAAGAGATCCACAAGCAGGCCGAGAGCTTCTACGGCAATGGCAGGACAGGAGTCATCGCGAACGGGCACGCATGATTCCCACCAGTGTGTCGTTCCGATCATCGCCGGCTGAGCTTATGAGCGTGAAAGAGTAGCGTCATGTCGAGCGGTGAAGTTGGGTTGATGCCCCTCTGGATTTTGCGGGTGTATCAACATGAGTAATCCTCTTTAGCCTTGAATGGCGAAGAGTGTCTAAGGCTATTGTTACTTGGCAGACAGTCCATACGAGCTATCAAACTTTCGTCTGATGTGCTCTTCCACAGTCTCATCACCTGCACCAGGCTTGAAGGGATTCGTCGCGTTCAAGTCGCCCTGATAGAAGCATGGGACACTGTATCGGTCTCCGTCGCTGGCGTTGATAACACGGTGAAGCGTGCTGTTATACTCACCGTCAGTCCATTTGTGGATGAGGTCGCCCATGTTCACGACGAACACATTTTCTAGCGCAGGTACGGAGAGCCATTCTTGAGTCGGCGCGTAGAAGACTTGCAGACCATGCTTTCCAGGCTGTTGCAAGAGTATTGTGATGCTGCCGAAATCTGTATGCGCACCTGCGCCAAATTGCCGTTCGTCTCTAGAGAGGTGCGGAGGGTAGTGAAGGAGCTTGAGATTCATCACAGGCTCCTTGGTGAAGTCTCTTAGAGTCGATACGTCATGACCTAGGCCGATGGCAAGCATTTCAAGCAGGGCTTGACCTAGACTGAGCATGTGTTGCCAGTACGCCGTTACCGGCTCGTGGAACACCGGCTCTGGGAGGTTCGGCCATTGATTAGGTCCTCGCATGAAGCCGACGTTGTCCGGCGCAACCTCACGGCCTACATAGTAGCCCTATGCTAGATAAGGGCGTGCGAGGGATAGAGGGTAGGCTGGTGCCCGTCGCTTACCTCTTTGCAGTCCGGGAGCGCTTTAGCATCTAGCACCTGGCTCCCAATGCGTTCGTAGCCTCTCCGAGCAGGGCTGGTCTTTAACGACAATGCATCTTTCTGGTCCTGTGGCAGGTCAAAAAGGGTCTTGCAACATTGAAGCACGCTCTGTTGTGCTTCCAGCGGGACGCCATGTCCTTTGACCTGTAGGAAGCCATACTGAGAGCAAGCTTCCTTTACTGCCTGGATGACTTTAGTCTTGTCCGCTGCAGAGGCTGTTGGTTGGATGTAGGCAGCGATGTCAATGATCGGCACTCTATGAACAATCGTCATCGTGGCAAAGGCTGGCAAAGAAAGCTTGCATGGCAGGGTTTGCCATGGCTCAGATATGTAGGCGTGAGGTCTTATCGCAGCTGGCCGGCGCAGCCTTGGCTCGCGGCCTACCGCCTTCGCCTTCGCCTTCGTCAGGGTGAAGGAAGCTTACATGGATGAACCTTCAACCCTACACGACCTTTGCCTCCCCGAAGACAAGAACTTGTGTGACATGGCAGAGGCGAAGCGATGGTGAAGTCGGAACTCGTGGTCGCGAAGCTTCACGCCTTCCCAATGGGGAAGCATCGGTTTCCAGACTTCACTACATCACCTCACTCGTCCTTAAGCTTTCCCGCACCAAATCTTCAGAACCTCCTATTGTGACGGAAATATGAAGGACACCTTAACCGTAGGCTATGTATGGCGCTCGCCGTAGACGCTGTCCTGGCATCGACGCTTTGGAACGCAAAACTCAATGATGCTAAAAGCAATGGTGCATTGACAGCGACGGAAGGCAACGCACTCGCCTTCGGACTCCACAGCCTGGATACCATCCTTGATGGCGGCTTAGACTATGGAGACGTCGCTTGTATCAGCTCTGAAGCTGATTGCGGCGCAAGTAACCTCTGCTTGCGTCTCATCGCCTCTCATCTGCTTGCGGGGGACAATGATATAGCGACCATCGTTGACACTACGCTGTCCTTCGATCTTCGGGGACTACACCAGAGGATCGTCGTGACACTGCAGGGGCAAGGGCGTGATGCCAGTGCGGCGATGACAATGCTTGAGCGACTGAAGATTATGAAGGTCTTCGACTTCGTTGGCCTGACCGAGAGTATCTCAGAGGTTAGAACGGATCTCGACACGTCTTCCTCCGCCACAGTTGAGGCTCAGAGTCACCCAGTCGACCAGCCGAGAGGCACCGTTGCAGACAGCGACGATGAAGAAGAAATGCTTGACGAAGAACCGCCGAAGGAACTTGCTGCACTCAAGCCGCTCACGTCAGCTGTAAAAGGCGTCCGCTCACGTCAACTGCTGATAGTCGACAGTATATCGCACGTCGCGTTGCCGTTGTTGAAGAGAAACGCTGTGCAAGGCAATGCCGTCCTGACTTCCTTCATGCGTTCGCTCCGTCAGCTTACCCAAGCCCACGGCCTTTGCACTGTGCTGTTCAATGGCGCCACTGCATACGCGAATGCCAAGGACGAATCACCGAGCATCTTCGCATCGTGCACGCTGCGGCCGGCAATGGGCAGGTCATTCGCTCTGTATATGGATCTGCACATGCTGCTGCATACGATTCCGAAGACGGCAGATGATGCGAAGGCCGCTTATGGTGGCATGCAGCAACGGGAGCTAGAAGTAGTAAGCGTGCTTGAAGTGCTGCAAGACAGGCATTGCGGGCGTGGAGGCAGATGGACGGGCCTTGCCATGGCTGCAGATGGCCATCTTGAGGAGATCAGATGATGCTGTGTTCAACGAACACCCCGCCACAGCTCATTCTACCCAGCTAGGCGCACCGTTTTCCACAACCTGTCTACTCGTAACATTCGCCTGTTACACCCTAACGCCATGCCTTGTCACAACCCCTACTCCTATGGATTCCGTCTCTACCTCAGCAAGCACACCCCTCTTGCGGCTTATCACCACCCCTCGCATTCAAGTTCACCTTACTGCCATCCTGGCCCGCACTGATCGCCGCCTGCGTCCCAGCACCCGTCGCTGCGCCCCTAGACGTTTTCAAACTCGTCTCGGGTATTGCATTCGCAATCGCCGTAAACACTTCACTAACATTATGTCCCGTTTTCGCGCTTGTCTCGAAGAACAGCAAGTTCTCCTCCTCCGCGTAAGCCTTGGCCTCCTTGAAGCTCACTTTTCGTACCGTAGCGTCTTCCTCGCCCTCAGCCTCCCCACCCTCCGCAGCTTCACCTTCCGGCGCATCATCATCGCATAGATCAACCTTGTTGCCTACGAACGCGATCACGATGCCGGGACTAGCTTGCCGCTGTAGCTCCGCGACCCAATGTTTCGCCTTCGTGATACTAGAAGCCTTAGTGACGTCGTAGACGACGAGTGCGGCTTGCGCGTTGCGATAGTACATCGGCGCCAGACTGGCGAAGCGTTCTTGACCTGCGGTATCCCAGATCTCGAATTTGATCGTTCGGTTAGGGAGCTGGCATTTTTGGGTTAGGAAGGCGGCACCGATGGTGGGCTCTTTGTTGGGTTGGAACTCGTTGTTCACGAAGCGGAGGACGAGGGAGGACTGGATGGCTTGTTAGAGTCATGATCGCTGTATGATATAGGTGTGTACGGCGACGGTTGAGAAGCGTACCTTTCCGACGGCCGCCTCGCCGAGCAGCACGAGCTTGACGCTGCTGCTCGGCTTGGGCGCGGCGGGTGCAGCGGAGTCCGTCATCGAGGTGGGTGTATCGGGTGGTACGGATGGTCTGTTAGCCCGCAGGCTGCGGCCCAGGTTGTATTCGGACAGCTTCGGTTACGAGAGTAGGAGCGGCGGAGCGTTTGAGCGCAATTGATCGGAGTCAAATGATTGCGACTTGCTGCTCGCTCTGTGGACGAATGAAGTGCACCAGTGGAAGTTGATCCAGTCGGAGAACATCTTCGGCATCGGCTCGCTGTAGCTCTGCGGCCACAGCTCCGGAGTGGCGTCACGTGTGGAGCTCGTCGATCACGTAGACGTCTAGAACTTATCTATTATAGTAAGCTAAGTCCTGCAAAGCAATACCATCTGCCAACACATGACAACTGAATTCATTACCACTCGGCGTTGCTAAAACATACGCGCTGCCCTGCAGACACATGTATAATGGTATCTAATCTACTGAGCTAATCTGACTCCTCCTCCTCCTCAGCATCTCCTTCCTCTTCGCCGTGCTCATCCTTCCTCCTCCGCCCACACTTCTTCTTCGGCTCAGCATTCCGCTCCTTCGGTACCACCTTCTCGCCAATCGCCAGACTCCGCTCCAATCTACGATCCAAGTCTCTCTCCGCCTCCTCATCCAGATCACCATACACCGCCCTGGCCATGCTTCGAACCGCCTCATCACCCACCTCTACTTTCCCTCGCGGTCCGACTGTCCAATATATGTCCTCCTCTCCAGCTCCGGTTGGCTCCCGGATCTTGTTGATATAGCCTTCCCTCTCCATGCGCTTGAGCAGTTGCTCCGTCTTCTGATAGCCGGCTACTGACGTGGTATCTTCCATGTTGACGCGTCGCAGATAGCGCTTCATCTTTGCTTCTGGGAGCGACCCGCCGGAGAGGGTGACGAGCGAGACGAGCAGAGTGTAGATGGCTACGTACTTACTCTCCTCCGCCACCGTGGGAGCTGATGGCGGTTGTAGGACTTCCGGGTCATGGAACTTGGAGGGCAGGACGGAGATGAGGATGTAGGAGACGGTCGGCTTCGAGGTCTGTGATTGCGACTTCGCGGCTGGGCGACGTGAGTACACAGTCTGTCAAAGCGGTCTATGAGATGCTCACCTCTCTTTTGCGCCAACGTCACCTTCTCTCTTGCAGGCAGTTCGGCCATCTCCATGCCGAAGACACTGCGCAACTGCAGCTGCGCCTGGGCGAAGACGGTCTTGAACTGTCGGCCTGCGCTTCCTAGCACTTTCTCGGAAATGTCTTGCCGCCGGATGGGCTTGCGCTGGTACTCGCAAGCCAGCGCTAGCCGGACCAACTTCTTGACCATCGTGTCTAGGCTGTCACTACTCTGCATTGCGCCATCATCGTCCCCGTAGCTGCCTTCAGCATCCCGCTCATGACCGCCCATTCGTCTTCGCTGACTTGCTGGCTCCGGTGAGGCTTCATGCTCGGCGTCTGCGTCGGGTTGCTGCCATTGTTGTAAGCGAATGCTTATATCGACTCACGTAAAGGCAGTAGCCTACAGAGCGTCGCTTTCGGCCTTGTGTGAGCGGCATCACGAAGCGAGCCGTGTTCTGATCGACTTACAATACCCTCCATCTATAAATCACCTCGATGGCTGCTCCGATCTATCGAACGCGTCAAGGCGCGTCTTCGGTCAAACGATTCTCCGATTCCCCCGCATCATTTTGAGATGGCTTCCGCTCTCTCGCTCGCACAAACGCTTCCTCACGGTATCATAACAGAACATACGAACAAACAGACATGGTCAGTCTGGCTTCATCAAACCCTCTTTCACTCCATCGCTAACACCCTCCCAGGCCGACAAGCTCCGCACGCAGCAACAGCTCGAATCGCTGCAGAACAAATATATCGGCACGGGCCACGCCGACACGACCAAGCACGAGTGGACCTCTAACATCGCCCGTGACAGCTATGCGAGCTATCAGGGTCACCCACCGCTGTTGCATTACATGAGCATTGGCACGGGCCAGTGCATGGAGCGGACGCGGATGGCTTGTATGGAGGGGATGGTGTTGCCGGTCGGGCCAGCACCGCAGACGGAGGACTGAGCGCATGTCCGCATTGTGTCCCAGACCCTTCAGATTACGACGTGGAATGGGAATGTGATAAAAATATAGCGAGGACTGCATGCCACGGGCAGTACTTACAGATGGATGACGACATGCCTCATCGCGGGCAGAGCAGGTGGAGGATCTGCATGTGGACGTGTATGTGGCAGCTTGCTTCATCCTGCATGAGACTATCCCGCGACTCATACCAAGCAGTCGCATGCCCGTATCGGATCACGCCTGAGCACAAGCCACTGATACTCTCATCATAGCTGCGACTGTGCCAAGTCTAGCACCATCCAAGCACCTGACTCACAGCGCGATGGTTCCGGTCCGCATGTGGAGGGCGCACACGTCCACAAGCACGAATTGTCAGCTTTGCGCGCAATGTGACTGGATGAATGGCATGAAACATTAGCGAGCGGAGATCTTGGTTTAGTCGTAGATGCCAAACCGAACAAGAAGACTCTGGAGAGGAGCTTTATGTCTTTCCCTTTGTGGTTACGGAGAACCTCACGCCTCGTGTCCGCCATGGAACCCAGCGATTATGGACATACTAGCCCCGGTGTCTCCCCTATTCCTACGCATGCAGTACGAAACGAGCCACACGAACTCTTCCTATATCCGCGCACCCAGACTGCGATCTTGTGACAAGCGCGAAGCAATCAAGAAGCCTGCTCCAACGATGAATGCCGCTCCAGACCACATCGCAGTGGCTAGGTATCCATAATCCACGAGCTGTCCGGCAATCGGGCTGCCAAACAGCATGGCGAGCGAAGTACTGCCCATTGCTATACCGACTGCTGCACCCGCTGAATCTTTGTCGGCGAGGGTGGTTGCGCAAGCGATCTGCAAGCTCAGGATAGCTCCCGACGTAAAGCCAAACATGATGGCCCACACAATAACGCCGGCAACACTCGTGGCGGCCGTCCAGCAGAAAGCGACGATGCCGGCAGCGAAGGCGGAAGCGGCGAGCATGTTGAATTTGCCCCACCGATCTGCTACAACACCTGGCAGGACACGGCCGAACAGTGAGGCTCCATTCAGAATGCTGCTGAGGTAGAACGCCAGGCTCGGCGACATGCCAAGGCTGACGGCGTAGGCTGACGTGAAATAAAGTGGCGTTGTAAAGCCAAAAAGTGCAAAGAACAGACCGCAGCAAAGAAGGATGAAGGGTGGTTTACCCAATGCCGAGAGATCCTTCTTCTTGTTCTGCTTTTCCTCCTCGAGAGGTGTCTCCGCGGCCTTGGCCACGCCGTCTTCCGGTGACACTACACCGTCTTCCAGCTTCTCGGGCTGCTTAAGTGGCGGACGGATGGTGAGCACGCAGATGACCCATAGCGGCAGCATGACGAAACCTGCTATCCTCATCGACATCTCGAAGCTGATTTTGTCATTGTGCAGGAGCTGGTCGAATATAACCGGCCAGAGTATACCGCCAAGGGAAGATCCACCGATCGTGATACCCGTGGCGAGTCCACGATTGCGTTGGAAGTAGCGTGGCACCATTCCGGACGCAGGTACAGCCGTGAAGCTGGCGCCGAAACCGAAGAGCACGCCTTGCGCGAGGAAGAACTGCCAATACTGCTTACACAAGGATGTCATGAAGACAGCCAGCACGACGGCGACGGACCCGACCGCTATTGGAAGCGTTGGGCCGATGCGATCGGCCAGTATACCGGCGATGGGAGCAAAGGCGAAGATGGCGAAGGAAGCGAAGGAGCCCAGCCAGGATATCTGGAAATCGGTTTTGTCGCTGAGGACGGTCTGTTTGTAGTACTGCTGGAAGATGCCGAACGCGTTCAGGAATCCTACCGTAAGGAAGTAGGATAGTGCTGCTCCCATTGCTGCGAGGCCTGAGCGGAGTCTGTCTGAGTTTCAGCATGGCACGGTAAGCAGGGCAGCGGCCGGAGGCACTAACGTCAGCTCTGGCGCCAACACTGGCTTCTGATTGACCGGGCCTGAGTCTCCATCCTTCTCGCTTGCCACGGCTACCTTCTTCGGATGATCCGATACCATATTGCTGGTGCGAAAGGGTTCACGGTAGCGTTGATACCTTAGTCTGCACTATTGAGTGCGCGGTGGTACTTCGAGATGTATTCGAGGCTTGCGATACTCGGAAATGATAACGGTAAACGCTCACTACCTGAAGAGATGAGTTGAGTTGTGCCCGTTGGCTCCCTTATGAAGAGGAGTGCCTCCGCGGCGCATACCGGACACTCCGGAGTGTGCAGCTAGACACCGGAGCACGGACTAGCGCCTGAGTGGGCCGGTTAACTCAACACCAGTCACGGAAAAATCAATGAGCTTGAGACCGCAGGCATATCATCCAGTAGCTCCGGTAGATAGCCTGTCGGTCTCCATGCTGCTGGGATACAAAGTCCGACTGGTACATCATTTCATGCCAACGAAAAGCGGCAAAGCATGCTTGACGAGCCGGACTCCTTGATAGAGTTGATCCTGACTTGTGAAACAACGGCAGCGTTCAAACTTGCTGACTTTCGCAATCCACATCGGCAGCACTCGCTCCGCGGTCCTTCCGATAGGTCGCATTGTTTATGCCTGGTGAAGTGAGGCCCACATCAAGCGACAGGCTGTTCAAGCTCAGTAAGCAAGTTAGTCCACAACAGTAGATCGCTATCTGCGCCAAAGTCGAAGGTACTCTGCCATAGGTCATCAATGTCAAAGTCTGGGTTCAGATCCATCGGCTGAATGCTCGGTTCGCGCTCCCTGAATATCGCTTCTTCGCCCTTCGCATTCGGTAACGCACTGTTGCGAGGCTCCAGTCGGCCCTGCTCATGACGCTGGCAGACATTGTACTTCTTCAGCATTGCCATGAGCGAGTCGTGATACATATGTGCAGCATTTGAAGTGCCCTTCGCTTCTTCTAAGATAGTGCTGGCGTCTCGTATCTCGGCTTTTCGCTCTTCGTGATGCTCTGGCTCTGGATTGACGCAAATGTCCATGACCAAGACGACCAGCGCGCCAAAGAAGTGACAGAGGATTCCAAGCACAGTGATCTTGTTTCCAGGGCTTGTGCTGCTGGTAGGTTGTACATGCCGAAGCCGTAGAATGTTCCGTGCCGCTTGTAAGCAAACGCTGCGCGAGTATTTGTATCTGTTGTTTTGCTTGACACGTAGTAAATACGGGAGGTGCAGTTTACATCGTCTGGCCTCGACCGTTAGGAAAGTGAAGTATGCTTGCTTCACGTTAAGTGGACGAGGCACATCACTTAGATCGTTTGACGAGAGCTTGAGATTGTCAAGTTGTAGATCGACTGGTAGGCTGTCGAGCAGAGCCGAGAACTTATTATCAAGGTGGATAATGTGCTCGTACGGAATCTGCTCGATAGGTACAGCGTACATCTCCCGCATGAGATCAGCAACCTCCCTGCACACTTCGCCAAGCTTGATACGTCGTAGGTAGTATGAGCAGGAGGTAAGTTCCGATAGTGGACGTTCGAAATTAGCAGGCTGCGTCACTAAATCATCATCGTTGATGTTCCGAGGCTTGTTGACGGTCAATTGATCGGGCTGTACAGAGTATAGGCCGTCGTCAGGATTACCGCCGACCGCGATGCTCCAATCTGTACTGGCAAGGTGCCACATTACCCTTCGTCTGAATTCGAGGTCTATAATCTGCGCTTGAGTCTCTTGACGAACTTTCCTTTGTCGGCCGTCCGTCACAAACAAGCCTATTTCCCTTGCACTAGCAATTGCCGAAGCGTGCAGATACCGGGCCTGTGGCGTGAAGCCTTCCAGATGGTAAATTACGAACATCAGTATGATCTTGCCCTGAACAAACTCCAGGTCCGGCTTACTGGTCCGCCAGCACTGTTCTGATATGTCGAGCGTACACCTGAGCCAATATTTGGACATCGCAAGAGCCTCTTGTTGCGAAGCAAAAAGAGTCTTCTCCGGACTGCCAAGAGCCCAAAAGGCTGCGATGCTGCCAAGGATTGCTAGCAATAACACCACGTGACTATAGTGCGGCACTTTCGTGTCGAACGTTTCGTATAGTGAGTCGATGATGCGCTTGACCGTTGGAACGTATATAACATGTTGTAGAGCGTCAAGGCTTTCGTTGTAGCACTCGAAAAGATATTGCGACTGGTCCTGTGATGGCAACATGATCCGAGCCGGGAGTGAGCCCTTGGAGAGAACCTCTGAGCCGACAATAGCAGTGATCTGATTCAGCGGCAAAATTTCAACGTGCGTATCTCTGGCCAGGTACGGCAGCTGTCCGGTTCCAGCAACCATAACCACGTCAAGCCATTTGGAATCTTCGCAATAACCCTTGACGTGCTCCGGCTCGGGCGAGCTGACTTGCGGCGTGACTGGAGACCGTAGCCCGGCATTGTATGATACAGGTGCTGCCTCAGAGACGGCTGACGGTGGCGTCGAAGTCGCGAACCCATTCCTGTAAACTGCTTCCTCAAGCCTTGCCAACCGCGCCTTGATCGTAGCATTTTCGGCAGCAAGATCGGGCTGTGAAGAGGACGGGATATGGCTCGGTTGTTCAACGGTGGTTGGTGGCCGGCGACCTTGGTATTCACATTGTATACTACGCGTTTGGCAATTATGGCAGGGCAGACCGCGGTCGCAACGGAGCTTCTTCTTCCGGCAGCTCTCGCAGCTTGCAGGCTCTTGGCGCCGAATTGTGCGCTCCGGAGGCATAATACCTACACCTCAGGACTTGGAGAACATGGTCGTAGAATGTCGGAGCATTGGAAGCTCCGCGCTTGGAGTCTTGCCGCCATGCGACCTGAGTGCCTTAGGCTTCCACCTGATTACGAGATGAGGTAGGGTACATTATCGCTCGGACTTCAACAATGTAGAGACAATCTTGCGGTTTATACTAAATACCCCGGAACGTGCCGCTTACGGAGCAATTTTGCGACGGTGATCGTGAGGAATGAGGCTAAAATGTGAATCTGACCAACACGCACATGAGTGGACAGATATGGTAGAGCAGACTTGTTAAATCATTGACTCTCAATGCTGAAGCACGAAGCCACCTCTTGCAACTCGTTCCTGCCTGTTGCATTGTGGCCTCGTGCTGACGGCGCCAATGTGCCAGCAAAACGTAGTCTATACTTCGCCAGGAGTATCTGCGCTTTGAGCTGATGATCGCTTTTGCAAGCGGTGTAACCTCAACTCTAACTCCACCCTCGTCCTTCAGTAATCCGTTGCACTCTGCGGGAACTCGAAGTTCACGCCCTTGCCAGTTAGCCGTTTGTAGACCTCGCTGTACGTGTCAAGCTTGTAGTCAACGCCACCCCTCTCCTTCTCGTCGAGAACGATTTTCAGAATCTTGCTGCCGTCCTCGCGCGTGCGCACGCGCTTGCCGACAATCTCGACCGGGTAGACGAGGTCGGCAAGGATGGCATCATGGACGGCGGTAAGTGTGCGCGAACGGGGGCGCTTCTGAGTCTGGGTAGTCCGGCTGCGGTTGCTGCGCTTTGGGCGCGGGAGAATGCGGCGCGAGGCGATGATGAGGACGTGGCGGTCGGAGAACTTCTTCTCGAGCTCGCGGGTGAGGCTGAAGCACGACGTTAGTGGATGACGGAAAGTGAGAAGGGACAGGCGGGTTACCGTTGCTGTGACCGATGCCAGCCCACGAGTAGCGGGACCGGCACAAAAATGACGATGGCTTTCCTGCCGTGGCCGACCTCAATCTGTAAGAGTCCTGGTGTCAGCATGACAGCTGCCCAGTGCCCACCGCCTCTTCGTCACAGATTGTGTCCTTGATACCATGTCTTGCAGTGGACGATGCACGTCCACGTGCTAGTACTTGGGAGTCTCCACTGTTGTTGTGCTCATCTTACCTCGCGCGCAGAGACGAATTGCAGCGGTCTCAATGCACCGCGCATGTCCGGAACAGAAGTTTCCAAGTCGTACAACGCCGTGGCAATACTCGATTCAATCTCAGATGGCTTTTGCCGCGAGGGGCTGTTGGGGGCAATCTTGTTGAGTGCTTGCTGAGACATGATGGTGTGACGATGGGTGTGACTGATGGAATCGCAGTCAACTGGGATGAAATTCACACGACTCAAGATTTCGGCTTCCGCACTGGTGCGTTCTTGGCATGGCTGACTAAGCCCTTGCGCTCCGAAAACGCGACTTCAGGAGTTCATACTCCCCTGGTCCATTGTGTATGGCTCATACCATCCTTCGTGGTCGTGGACAATGTCACTTGAGCTACGTGGTTACCTCTGCGGAGGTACATCGGGTCGTGCGGCTCTTGACGGTGTCGCTACACGAGTCGATGCTCCAACTACGCAGACAACACTCTCAAGATTATATTGACAATAACACACCACTGTAACAAGCACTTCACTATCCTACTCGAACTTCAAGACGTTGTCGATGCGATGCGGCTCGATTGAGACGTCGGCTCTGCGTTGCGGGCTCATACCCTCCTTTTTAATCGTCATCCTGAGAGAAGCCCCGCTTCTCCGCAGCGCAGATCTGGGGTACATTGGACGTTGACTGAGAACCTTTTTGCCGCAAACGGCCGGTACCAAGCCCAGCGAATGCTTCTGAACGGTGTGTCTTGTCTCAGCACGTCGCAGTCTCGACGTGACAGGCGCGTGTTGTTGGTCTGATAATCCTCTCCGATGCCTACCTTGGCAAAGCTGAGGGACATAATACCACTTCAGCGCCTTCGCAAGGCTGCAGAGGGAGCTCCTCTAGCTCGCAGCCGCCGCTGACGTCGCGATAGGATGCGCGTATACTCCGACCGATACTCTTATCGTCGATGAAGCTGTCCAGCACGCGATCAACGTATGGGGTAATGCTGCACCTCTCAGCTCACCATTTGGATGGGGCACGTTCCGATAATGCTGGACCCCGCAGACGGGATGGTTAGATTATCAGATACCGTCATGGTAGGCGGCATATTGAGTGTTAGCATTCGTCCTGCTCTCTGTAGTCCTTAGGGTTTCGCTTTCCTCTACCGCAGTCTCTATAACACAACTAGCCAAGCATGAGTACAGCACCGACATTTGCGGCCCGCCAGAGTTCAGCGGCTACGGAAGACTCGTCAAGTAAAGAGTCACCTAGAGACAAGGAAGACCCACTAGCTCTGCACCACCTTCCCACCGCCACAGCGTCTTTCCACGAACATGTAGGCGTCGAGGCTACTGCAAAGGACTCCAACCTACGGAGGACGACATCGACTATCCAGCGTACACGAGGCCTGCTAGGTCTTCATCCAATTGCACCTGTGATTGAAGAACATGACACTGCCGAACATTCTGACCTTTGGTGGTCTAAAATCCGGCTTATTCTTCGAGGTGAACACAACTAATAATTATGACTGAGACATTGCTGACTCCCGTGTCTTTCAACCTTAGAACCTCTGCTTGAATTCTTCGGAACGTTCATTCTTGTTCTCTTCGGTGACGGATCAGTAGCACAAGTCCTGCTATCTACAGGTCAAAAGTCTGCACCAGGCGGTGACGGTTATGGCAATTACAATAACATCAATTGGGGTTGGGCTCTCGGAGTCATGCTGGGAATATATGTGGCTGGCGATAGCGGCGCGTACCTGAAGTGTGTGTCACAGGATTTATTCCTAGCCATCACTGACTTAGATGCTTAGCCCAGCAATTACCTTCACGAGCTGCGTCCTCCGCAAGCTGCCCTGGCGACGCTTTCCCGCCTATCTCATCGCTCAATTCCTGGGCGGCTTTGTCGCGGCAGGCGTCATCTACGCCAACTACATCAACGGTATCAACAAGGTCGAAGGCCACAACATCCGCACCGTCCCACCTTCGCCAACAGCCACGGCTGGAATTTTCTGCACGTACCCGCAGCCCGGCGTAACGAAAGCGGGCCAGTTCTTTGACGAATTCATCGCTAGCGCTCTCCTGATGTTTGTCATCTTCGCGCTGAAAGATGACTCAAATAAGGGAAGCTTCTCAGCGAGTGGGTCTTTCTTCCCACTCGCGCTATTCTTCCTAATCTACGGCATCGGTGCATGTTTTGGGTGGCAAACCGGCTATGCCATCAATCTTGCTCGTGACTTCGGGCCGAGGTTGATGTCGTACGCGGTCGGTTATGGCGATGCTGTGTGGTCGGCAGGTGGTAGGATGCATCACAACCTTCTTCTAAGAGCTGTGCTGATGATCGTTTTACAGGCTATTATTTCTGGATACCGATAGTGGCGCCCTTCTGCGGGTGTCTGTTCGGTGGTCTCCTGTATGATGTCTTCATTTATACAGGCCCCTCGCCCATTAACACACCGTGGTTCGGCTTGAAGGAATTCTTGCATCCGAGGAAGGCGATTAGGGATCGAATCCAGCAACAGAAAGCGGAAGGCCTCGTATGAACGCTTAGCCTTCCTGGCTGTGACAGTGGCCATTGCTTGACTTTACTTAACTTAGCGTGCTTATTCAAGGTGAAGTGATGACCAGAAGAGAGAGTCAAAATTTTATCGAACCTTCTTGCCACCTTCTGTAGCAGATTCGAGTCCTTGTAAAATCTCCTGGCCGAAGACATACATCATATAAAGCGGAAAGCCTATCCACAGGCCATTCATGATACCCCACAACACAATCAGCGTGAACCAGTCATTGTGGCCAATATTGTCGAAACCTTAAAGGTCGGTCAGCTGGAGTGCGTTGCCGAATCTGAGAAAAGCTCATACCAGTGAACGCTTCTATCATCCAATACAGAACGGTTTTCGAAAAGGTCACTAGACCCGTGCTGTAGCCCAGTAGCACGGCCCACGAAGCCTCCCGACCATATACCGTCCTGCTTTCCGCAAGCGCTTTTAAGCTGCCCAGCGCATCCTGCTCCGGCGCCCCACGACCTTGCGTGGCTTCCTGTTGACCATACGCATACACAAGGTACAGGTATACACAGTAAGCCACCGTCTCCAGTAGATTGACCCATCCCTGCGCCGCGGTCCAGCCGTTGTTCTCCCTGATAGCCTTGAACCCATATGCGCCATCGACTGTACCGTAGTAGGCGTACGGTTGCCAGATTGGCCAGTGCAAAGCACCGCCAGGCATGCTGTGCGGTCGTAAAAGGACATAGCCGGTATCCCAAATCACCAACGGCAAGCTGAAGACAAGCCAGATCAAAGTGAGGTTGGAAGGCGTGTGTGACCATCCCGAGTGCTTAGTTCGCGTAGGCGCCGAGGACGCTGTCGTCCGTGCTTTTGCAGGCGTTTGCGGTGGTGCAGCTCCTTTGCTCGGTGCTTCATGGTTGATAGGCGTATTGCTTTGCGCGTTTGGAGAGCGGACGGATCGCTTGCTTGGTGATTGCTTTGCTGCCAGTTCGGACGGTGCTGGCTCAAAGTCCTTGGGATGGTTGCGCGTGGCGACCATACTGCTGGCTAGTACTCAAGTGTGTGGTCACCAATTGCTGTAACCTGTTATAGAATGTGGCGCATCAATGCATGGGAAGGGAATGCGACTGAGAGTTGGAAGTGATGACCCCGCTGACGTCGGTCTGCTCCTCAAAAGCATAGCATACATGTACTTTGCTGCTGATCATTGCAGTGACCGAGTCGAGAGCTGCGAGGTTTAGACTCGGAAAATTGCACCTTCAATTGATGACGGGAATAACCTCAGTGCTGGCTGGTCGTGCAGCCGTGCTCGCCATTCATGTTCTGCACACTATGTTTTCCCCAAAGTCAGCCCCGAAACTGCCATACAACGATAATGGTGCTGCAACCATGCATACGTCCGGCCAGCCACACCAGCAGTCTCCTGTCCATTGTAAAACATTGCTTCAAGGCCATTTCTGATTGAGCTGTACGATGGCAGATGGTCAACTTGCGACAAGACGTTCGGTCAAGGCTCGCCGTCATCGACTCTGTACCCTTTTTGATACCAACTCCAGATATTCAGACCGATCTTGGTTCCGCTCTCCACAGGTAAGCCAGCGTGCATTGTCTCCCTGTAGCCTCTGCCCTCGGCGTCGAAGTTCTCCCAGAAGACCGCTGCGCCCTTGCGAGGCTTGAAGGTCACACCTTCTGACTGCACGTTGCACTCAACAAATTGGCACCAACTTTCGGCCTGTGGCCTTTCAATGCGGAGGAATTGCGTACCACCACCAGTGCAATTAGCGCTAACATACACCATGAAAGTCGATACCCGTCTTGCTGTCTTGGTCGCCGTAGACCAGTCAAAATGGGGAGCGAAATGGCCGCTTTCGTTGTATCGCTGGGTCCACAAACGTTCGATGAACGTATCCTGAGGCCAGCCTTGGAACGACAACGCACGCTGCTCAATACATTGCACGGTAAGGTCACGTTGAACAAGTGCTTTTTCCGATTTGCGAACCGACTCGTCAGTCCTCTCAATGCCGTCCGTGGACACGGTGGAAATTTGCCACTTATCCGCGCTGTCACGGGCACGTATTAGCTATCGAGCAGATTTTGTAGAAGAACGCAATGCGACGAACCTAATGTCGATGAGATGTTCAGCCTCGGAGTCGCTCAAGAAGCCATCAACGTATAATATCAACGGGCTTGATGAGAAGACGTGGGTCTCGTATTTGTGGGTGGGACAGTTCAGCTCCTTTGCAGGGGAGACGAGCGATTCAATCTTTGTTCGAACAGCCGGCGTATCCTTCTCAGCCGACCTTCCAGTCCGCCATGCAGATGGCAAGCCTGGCGCACCCAACAGGACGTATATGATAGCAGCTATGCCAGCCACTTCCACCACCGTCCGCCATCGAAAGGGTGCGGATGTATCTTTCGCCATTGCGAACTTGTTCTTGATGCTGCTGAAGCTTTCCACGCGTCTGAGCCAAATTTAGGCTTTCATGCAGAAGCTCGGGCCGCCTTTTCCCGGGAACGCGCCTTTCGCGTGAACGGCGTTCAACAAGCCGCAGCTTCGGCTGCCGGAACGTGACCTCGCGGTTCTTCAGTCTCGGCAGGCCCGCTGGCTCTTCGTACTGAGCTCGCTCCCGCCCCTTTGCGGAATCTCTTGAAGGTGCAACTTTGAGCCTAGGCATCATGCTACATACCAAATAACTCCCAGGACCGTCATTGAGATGAATCGAACCGTGAGCTGCGGGTCATTTGGCATATTCGCGATCCCACGGTCCATCACCCTACTGCTGATTACCGCAGCTGCCGCATTTCTAGTCTTGACAGCTTGGCGTGCTGTTTACACTGCCTCTGCGTTCCAGCGTGCTACGAGCTATGAGGCATCCTTCAATTCTCAACAAGCAAAGCAAGGCCTTCCCGTAGACAGACTACATGTCCAAACTGGCTGCAGCAACGCTGCCGAGGCAGGGAAAGTCGCCGTTCTAATTGAGACCACCGCATCCGATGGCCTTGTCACTCTTTCTACACAACTGATCACATCACTTCGGTGCGTTGCGGAACCGCTGGTCTTCTCCGATCTCGAGCAGACCATAGGTCGCCATAAGATCCATAATGTTTTGTCAAGGGTGGCGCCCGACGCTCAGGCTGACAATCCGGACTTTGATCTGTACCGCATGCAGCAGGAACTCTTAGTAGTAGGTCAGGAGAAGACGCTTCTCTCTTCGCACGCAGTGAATCAGTCCGCCGTAATCAACATGCACAGATACAAATACCTACACATGGTCGAGCTTGCATGGAAGCTACAGCCACACAGGGACTGGTATGTTATCATCAATCATGACACTTATCTAAGCTGGCCCAATCTGCTGCGTTTTCTGAGCTACTACGACCCCAAACAACCTTGGTATCTTGGCCGTCCGGAGAAGACACTTGACGGCTCAGCGCCGCGCTACTACGGACTTGGAGACGCCGGCTTCATCCTGTCTGGTGCTCTTGTTCGCGCGTGGAACGTGAACCACAAGGGTCTGGCGAGCCGCTATGACTTGAGACTGCGTGAGGAGCCGTGGAGCGGTGACTTCCTTGTCGCCAAAGCGCTGCTCGACGACCTCAAGACTAGGCTGACAGATGTGTTACCCATATTGCAACCTAACGAGCCGGCTGCCGTGCCCTTCAACGACGAGACATGGTGCAAGCCTGCCATCACTCTGCATAAATTGGACTCGAGGCAACTGGACGCCATGCATCAAGTAGAAATGTCAATGGGCGGCGATGGCATTCTTTTTCGGGATGTTTACAATACATCGTACTTCGCAGGCTTTCCATTTGAGCGCGCAGACTGGGACAACCTCGCAGAAGACTCAGGGTATGCCCTCGCCGTCGTCCCGAACGATCCTGAACGGGCCAGGGGCCAATGGGAGCCTAAGGACCTGATCAACCCGCACCAGAACTTCATGGCCTGCGAGCTGGCGTGCATCCAACATGACAGGTGCTTTCAGTTTTCGCTCTTAACCAAAAGAGACGAGACCAGCGCTGAACCGACTACAAATACAACATGCCATCTCAGCAGCGTGTTTCGTCTGGGGCGTGAGCGGACAGTTGAGTACGTCAGTGGAGAGTATGGAGCGTACAGCGCGACGTGGCAAGCGGGCTGGAGGACCGACCGCATCGAGCAGTGGATATCGGACCATCAGCACTGCTCCTGACTAACAGCGATTAACAAACCACACGCAGTAAGGGACGCTGACTCATGAAGACAAATCAGCCACAATGAAGAGTTTGCTGCAATCTCGGCCCTATCGTCGCTCTCAACGTCTCCGGCTTATCAACAATGAATAGATGGGGCACACAGTCGCCCGCTCGTAATGAAGCAAGCAGTGTCTGGCCAAGATGTTCGCAATCTGCCAAGCTAAACGCTGATTGGATCGCATTCGGCAGCTTCGGGCTTGCAAGGATGTTTGGCGCTACTAACGCCACGCTGCGGGATGACAGCAACCCAAGGCGAAGTTAGTCAGCCGGTCCTAGCAGTACACAGCGCCTGCGAGATTCTCGAGACTCTGACTCGTAAGCCACAGAGCGTTTCCTGCTGGCATAAGGCTCGGTTGGCGGGATAAGAAACTTGGGGGGCCGCATAGGGTCGCGAGGGGTATCGTAAAGCTATAAAGTGGGCAGGCTGCCCACATGCTGCCTTCTCGATGTCGCTCAGCATCGCAGCAAAGCAAGTACTCTTCCAGCCTAAGCAACCAGCAAGCTTCACGATACACCAGTCGAATCCATTCATACCATATCAGTTGTAATCGAACATAATGTCGTCCAAGAAGCTGCTCACGATCTTCGGCGCCTCTGGCAATCAGGGAGGCAGCGTGATCGACTTCGTGCTCTCCTCGGGCAGCCTTCAAGCAAAGTATGCTCTTCGCGGCATCACCCGCGACCCATCAAGTAGCAAGTCGCAGGCGCTTGCCAGCAAAGGCGTGGACATGGTCAAGGCGGATATGAATGACATCGACTCCTTGAAGACTGCCATTCGCGGTTCCTATGGCGTCTTCGGGGTCACTGACTTCTGGGCCGTCTTGTCTAAGGAAATTGAGGTTCGCCAAGGCAAGAACATCTTCGACGCTGTCAAGGCGGAGGGAGTAAAGCACTACATTTGGAGCAGTCTGCCGTGGACGGCCAAGGTGTCTAACGGAAAGTACACGCATATCGATCACTTCGATGGTAAGGCAGAGGTAGAGGAGTATGTCGAGAAGGGCAAAGGCGATATGATCGCCTCCTACTTCATGCCGGGTAAGTCCCACCTGCTAGATCAAATTCGAGAACATTGCTGAGTCATTCCTAGCGATGTATGTCACCCAGCTTACCGGCATGATCAAAGCCATCAACGGCACACCCATGCTGAACATGCCGTTTCCGGATTCTATCGCCTGGCCATTGATGGACCCACGTCGTGACAGTGGCAAGTACATTATGGGTCTCTTTGAAGGCGGCGATGCTGCCAACGGTGTCGAAGTCCAGGCCGTGTCATTCTGGACCACGCCGAAGGAAGTTGTGGCAGCGTATAGCAAGGCTTCTGGCAGAGATGTCGTCTTCAACACTATTCCTGGGGAGATGTTTGCCAGCTATCTACCGGAAAACATCAGAGATGAGCTGACAGAGATGGTGGAGTATATCGGCGAGTACAGCTACTATGGGAAAGGCACAGAGAAAGAGCAGGACAAGCATGATAAGTGGATTGTGCCTGGCGTCGTGGAGAAGGTGAGCATGGAGGAGTGGGCGCAGGAGAACGGACCATTTAAGTGGTGAGGGTTACTTAGGTAGATCCACAAGCATGCTTGCATGGAGACAAGCCTCTAGGGGTTCCAGTCCTGCTTTTCCTCTTCGACAGCTTCGTTTGACAGCACACTGGTATTGTTCTTCAGTCGTCGCGCTGCAGCATGCCTGCCACTCTCGTGTAGCTCACCGCATTGGGAAGTGGAGCGCTCCTGATCTCGTGCAAGGGCCGGCAGTTTCCAGGCGGTGCGAATATTCCCCGCCACCCAATCCAAATGGTCCTGCCGAAATGCGCACACTTGGAGCTTCCCTGCAGATCATTTTGAACTCCAACTTGTAGCTGCCAATGCTCGACACACCTGCTCCCTGTCTCTCTATCCGTACACACAACCCTTCCTCGATGCCGCACACAACAACATCACGAGAGTCATCACACCTGCCCTGACCACCTTCCACTCCCGCACACCTTGTAAAAGCGAACTGTATGTACTGCACAACCACTCCTTTGTTCAGCCATCCAAACCCCACCTTTCAAATTGGTCATGTTCAAAATTTTGATGAATGGCTGATTGAACGCTGCTGCAGCTTCGCCCGACCACATCACCCACGCAAAGCGTCTCCAGACACCTGCGTAGAGCTTCGTACAAGCTACCAGCATCGATCACAAGCTGCCTTTACCCGAATCAATCAATTAACCCTACCGCGATGTCCGCAGAAGAAGGACCACCGCCGGCCATCGACCCAGCCATGGACAACCTTGTTGACAAAGTGGGTGCTATGAACACTCAGGATGGTCCCCGGACTGAGGAGGAATACGCTCAAGCACAAATTACTCTCCGTGCCATTGTTACGTCCAAGGAAGCCGGCGTCATCATCGGCAAAGCGGGCCAGAACGTTGCCGAGCTGAGGGACAAAACTGGCGTACGTGCCGGCGTCAGCAAGGTTGTGCCTGGTGTCCATGACCGCGTGCTAACAGTCACCGGACCTTTGACCGGCATCTCGGAGGCGTACGGGCTCGTAGCGGATGGGTTGGTGAAGGGTGCACCGCAGATGGGTATGGGTGGCGTAGTTGCGAACCCGAACACACATCGTATGTGCTAAGTCATGCGCGTAAAGTGAGCTATCAAGCTAATATGGACCGCAGCAATTCGGCTACTTATCTCACACAATCAGATGGGTACTATAATCGGTCGCCAAGGCCTCAAAATCAAGCAGATCCAGGACGCTTCCGGTGTGCGGATGGTGGCACAAAAGGAGATGCTGCCGCAATCGACCGAACGCATTGTCGAAATCCAAGGTACGCCCGACGGCGTGCAGAAGGCCGTATGGGAGATCGGCAAGTGCTTGATCGATGATCAGGAACGAGGGTATGGGACGGTGCTGTACAGTCCTGCGGTTCGCGTTCAAGGTGCTGCACCCACTCCAGCGATGAACGGAACGGGCTACGGTGCGCCACGAGGCTACAATCGTACCGGTAACGGCGCGGACTTCACCGGCAGCGGGGCACCATACCAACGCCGCAGCACTGGGCCATCAGATACTGGTCCGCCACCGGCCGTCGAAGATGGAGAGGACATCCAAACACAGAACATCTCAATCCCAGCGGATATGGTGGGCTGCATCATTGGGCGTGGTGGGAGCAAGATCTCCGAAATCCGCAAGAGCTCCGGTGCGCGCATCAGCATTGCCAAGGCTCCACATGACGACACTGGCGAGCGCATGTTCACGATCACGGGAGGCCAGACTGCCAACGAAAAGGCGCTGTACCTGCTCTACGAGAACCTCGAAGCGGAGAAGATGCGACGCAGCAACATCCCGGAAGCCGCGGCTTAGTATGATCGTGGCTATCAGCGTAACAGTGAACTCAATTCGCCGATACCGCCGCAGACCCAGACGGTCGCGACTGCGTACTGAATGGCATCGGGCACCATCGGCGCAGTGACGATACATCAGAAAGCTCTCGGAGCCTCCTTATTGCGGACCCATGAGCATCCACTACCACTCTCTCATGGCTTAACGACTACACGACTCTTATGCTTCTTACGGCAAGCGATACGATCAGCCCACTTGACCACATAAAAGTAATTTCGACAACCCTCTCCACATCGTTCAGTCTACCCTAGAACCACAACCCATGAAGTCTTCTCAGCGTACTCCTCTGCTTGCTGCGGCGGGGCATGGTATGAGCAGAATATTCTTGCCGCCGGAGAGACAGGGCGTTTGCATAATTGCTAGCGGATGGATTTGCCGAGCTTGCGTTACGGCGGGCCGACAAATGGCTTGATGAGGCTGAAGGATGTACTGCAGAGTTGGCATAGCACTATACCATTTTGCTGTTTCTGTGCTGTTCCTTTTGCAGCCTGATGCAGAAGGCGGGAAGCAGTTAGACAGCGAAGACTGTAAGCATGGCACGCATAGTTACTGGAAATTAAAGCTCCGATCGATAATCTTTCCACGCCCTTAAAGGGCCCTGATACCGCATAGTAATGGCAACCTGTGAGCTTTGCAACTGGTATCGACAGGTCAAGATGTTGGTTTCGTTCTGCGCGCCGGAGTTGACTTCTAGTGTTTCAACTCTGGCGGCTTACCTTGCGTCAGCCATTGACAGGCTTCGTACATACAAGCGAGACACGTCTGCATGCGGTGTCGAGGATCGCTCAACTCTCCAAAGCCAGGCAAAATGTACGCATTATACGTATATGTAGCCTGACAATTTCCCTGCTGGTCTTGTCTTCCTCAAGCTCCACCGTGGATATCCAGTTCTCTACGACTTCGGCAACCAAGTACAAAAGAAGTCGTGAGTATGACATGCTCCGGGAGCATGTCGGTACTTGGGCTCTTTCCAGCCTCTCTTCGTTTGTGTGTCGGCTACGTCTTGGTCGTCGTCTGCTACCGCCTTTACTTCCACCTACTCAAACGCTTTCCCGAGCCGAGACTGGGCCGCGGCTAGAAGCTTGTATGAGTTATACTGGGATGCCGTCGTCGCTCCTTGCGTAGGCAGCCAATTCTTTCGCGATCGCCACACCCTCCACCACCACATGAGCCTATCGCCCGCATCAATCCGGATGAGCTCCACATTCGAGATTCCGAGGCGTACGGTCTGATATACTTCGGCGAGCGGGACAATGGTACCCCTCGGCGAGGATGGGAGGTCAAGAGACCAGCACTGTCGCCACAACACTTCCGCCCTCCCGCAGCTACGATTGGAATTTGCGGCTGGTCAGCGTACGGTGGCGAACCAATCGAGGCGCTGACGCTGTCAGAACCGTAGCATCTGCCGTATCCGACCACCGTCATCGAAGAAGCATTACACGTCGCCGCATTGATATCTGCAAGGCTGCCGCTGTGCCCGCACGCTCTCCTTGTCTATCGAGGCTGGGTGATACCAACAATGATGAGCATGCAGTCGAAGTGGATGTATTTCAAGGCCGTTAAGAACACCAGTGAGCTTAACGATAGCAGATGTGCACAACCACCCGACCGTACTACCACAACCCGCGACATTCGAGCCCAAGCGACGACGGCTCAGCGAGTCTGCTGACGGCGAGCTCGCTCTCAACGGTGAGCGGGACAGATGTATCGTCGCTTTCGGAAAAGGGCCGAGGATGTGCCAGGGTATGAAGTAAGTATCTGGCCTAAGTTTCTTTCTAATTGCGTGATGTGGAGCTGACACGAGGGAAGCCTTGCGTGTGGAGAGCTGTACCTGGGGCTATTTATGATCGTTTCGTGGTTTGAGATTGGGCTTCTCAATGTGGTGAAGGCGCGCGATATCGACGTGGTGGCGGATGGCTTCAGCACGCAGCAGCCGCTCGCGCGTCGTGGGATCAGGGTACTGGTGTTTAAGCGCAATTAGTGGTTGAAGCAATCTGGTGCCGAGATAGTGCATCGACGGATAACGCTTCCTCGCCGTTTCGCAGGTGGTATCATACGACGTCTGATTCTGCATCTATCAGCGTGAGCTAAGCTGAACAATCGTACTGTGCGCCGCCTGCACAAATGGCACATTTCGAGCAGAAAGATATGTTTGTACAGCCCACCACGCTATGCCGCCACGGATTCACAGATGCATATGTCGCTTGTTGCGTGACCAAGAATACCAGGAATACAGCTTACGCCCCCCTTGCTCAATTCGACGGGGGAGGGCTAACCGAACGGTGACCGGCCTCCTGGGAAACCTTGGGCACCGAACGGTGAGCCGCCGCCACCACCAGTCGAAAACGAGAAGCCGCCGCGACCGGGCCCACCGCCTCCACCACCACCAAACATGCTGAAGAGCACTTCTGGATCGATCTGCATGCCTCCCATACCACCCATACCACCCATTCCGCCAGGAAATCCAGCGCCGCCAAAGCCTTCACTCGGGTCCACCAAATCCACACCACTGTCATAGCGCTCACGTTTCTGTGGGTCAATGAGCGTTTCATGCGCTTCGGATATATCCTTAAACTTCTCCTCTGCGTCCGGGTTATCTGGATTCTTATCCGGGTGCCAGACAACGGCCAATTTGCGGTAAGCTTTCTTGATCTCCGGCTCGGTCGCGTCCTTCTCCACGCCGAGTATCTTGTAGTAGTCCTTTCGCTTGCTTTTCTTGAGCTCCATCTCCGCGTTTCGAATCTCCTTCGCAATGCCGGGCTCCTCCGGCGATTGCTCCTGGATGCTCTTGTATGCTCGCACGGCCTCTTCCCAATCGCCACCCTCGCCAAGCGCCTTGGCGCGTGTCTTGCGCGCTTTGGTATAGCTCGGGTCCATCTGGATCGCTTTGTCGCAGTCTTCGACAGCCTTTTGCCATTGCTTTAACCGTGAATAGCACATTGCGCGATTGTTCAAGATCTTCGAGTTGGTGCCTCTGTTCAGTGGGTCTACCTCCAGTGCGGCCGTGTATACATCCAGAGCCTGTTGGTACCGACCTGCTTTGAAGTGACTGTTACCTTCCTCTTTCATCCGATCCAGTTTCTGCACCATCCGCAGGTACTTGAGTGCGTCCTTGAAATCCGGATCACAATTGAGAGCTTGCCGGAAATGCTGAATGGCCTTATCGTTGTCGCCCTGAGCGTACAATGCTCTCCCTCGCAACACCAATGCATCCGGGTCTGCGTTGTTCGCTCGTAAAAGATCCATTGCAATGTTTTGCGCAGTGCCGAGACTGTTCGCATTGCCAATCTTCAAGTGCGCCTCTCCACGCATCAGCTTCCATTTCCGCGGCGGTGACACCATGAACCCCAGCCCTCGCTCTGCCTGATCTAGCGCATGCAGCACCATTGAACCTGACGAACTCGTCTTAAGGCTATCCTGCGCCTGCTCGATGTGCGTCTTCATGCTCAAGGCTGCAGCCTTGTCCTTCGCTGTTGCCGGCGGCTGTATCCGATCATATACATCCAGTGCTTCTTGCGGTCTACCGAGCGCTGTATAAACCTTTGCGAGTCGATGCAAGACCTTCGCGTCATTACCAGATTCCAACTCGTCGGCCAGCTTGCAGTCTTCCAGTGCTTCTAGCCATCTGTTTGCGGCCATATATGCTGCTGCTCGGTTCGCCAAGTATGTCGATGATGCCGGGTTCGCCTCAATAGCTAGCATCATATTCAGCATTGTGTAACCTCACCGGGAGTAGCTAAATTCTACTCACCTTTCGTGTACTCCTCAATCGCTCGATCGTACTGTTGCGCCTTGTAGTACTTATTCCCCTGCGCCTTACACGCCTCCGCATCAACCGCAGGCTTCTCCGGTTGTGAAGGCGGACTGGGGGGTGTCTTGTGTGGTGGAGGTTCAGGCCTCTTCTCATCCTCATGACTGTGCTCGCCGTTCACTCCATTAGTCGTCGGGAAAGCCCCAGGCGTCTCCGGTGCCGGTGTTGACTCCATCGGATCAGAATGAACTGCCGAGCCGTTCTCCTGCGGACTGCTCATGGCGGAAAGTGCGCTCCAGCGGCGAGGATCGTCCGGATGGTAGTTGAGTGGATGCTCCGGCTCATCGGCCTTCCAGCCGCGTGAGAAGCTTTTACTGGTCCGCGGTGACTTCAGCCGATTCTCTTTTGCTCGCTCCTTCGCAAAGTAGCCTTTACTCTTTCTTTTCTCTTGGGGTGTTAAGGCGTCGTTGCCAGCCTCACTGGTGGACGGACTGTCCGGCAAGTCGGCGGGCGGAGTGGATTGTGGGGTGTTGGATTTCTTCCTGGAGAACAGAGAGGGCATCGGAAGGAAAGAAGGAGAAGGAAGGAAAAGCAGTGGAGCAATTGTCTTGTGAGACTCTGACGCTATGCGATAGCGGGCCGATATACTGGTTACGGTTACACCTGAGAACTCAAATGCATGGTTCCCTTAACCAATATTCCGCAGCCTTGTGCGGCGGCACTGGTGCCTCAGGAACAGACCTCGAACCTTCCATATACTGTACGGCACTGAGACGACATAGACAAGAGACTTCAAGCAGAGAGCTTGAGGAAAGCGGCATTTGGGGGGATAGTTTGCCGTGACTGCATACACAAACCAGGGTATCGATCCGGCAGCGTTTGCACCAATGCTGCACCAACGCTTCCCAATGCATGAAGTGTTCACCTCCCGTTCGGCTGCTCAACGCTCGGCCACACTCTCTACCTTCAACCTCGCAGCCTCTCGCACATGTACACGAGACTACTCATCGGTGGCGGGAGCAGGCCGCGGAGCATCGCTTCCACCCATATGCAATCTCATTCGGAACTGCTCCGACTCAAGCAGACTCCTTTGCGCCGTAAGGTCGTATGCTGCAGATTAGATCGTCGAATGAAAGGTTATCAACATCGTCCTGTCGTCTTCTCAATCTGTCCGGACGTATCGTGCGGCACTGAATCGCTAGTCCATCTTGCCGAAGATGCCTTCGTCGTTCTCGTCGATACGGGTGCGTTCGTCCTCGGAAGTCTCACCGTCGTCCATCTCCACGTCCTGCTGAGCGCGGTAGCTGGTAAAGTTATGCATGGCATACTTTGCTGGCAATGGCGGCACTGGCGGGACATCTCCTGGCATATTCGTTGAACCACTCTTGGGCGTGCCGTAGCTGCAACTGAGCAGACCGACAGCAGCAGCCAAGTCTTGCGGATCTTGGTCGTCATAGCTCTCAGCAATGGACGTGTTAGCAGTCGGGGGTCTATTGTTGCTAGACGTGCTCCATTGACGGCGATGAGAGAAGCCATGGTCGTTGGTCGGTGCGCTCTCGGAGAAGACTGACTGGTAGCTGCGCGAAAAAACGCTGCTGTTGTTGCTGAAGCGCTTATTGTCGCGGTCTGGACCTTCGATTTGCGGAGGTGGCGTGGTTTCGGTAGAGCTGACATCGTCGCGCATATCCGACGATCCAGAAGCAGCAGGCGAGTCCGAATTGTCGCTATCGTGGGTGACGGTTGGGTCTTGATTCATAGCAACCAAGACAGATGCTGCTTCAAGGAGCTGCACTTGCTGATGTTTCGAAATCAGGAGCTTCGAGGTCAACTGCCATTGCGGTGTATGTTCCCACCTGTACGGCCGTCAGTAACGCGCTTCCCGCATCGGGCCAACTCGGGCACCACGTACAAATGCTTGCTCAAACAGCTGCCGTGCTTGTACCCTTTGCCGCAATGCTCGCACTTTAGGTCACCAGTAGCCGCCTTCTCTTTCTTGGTCAGCCTCGTACCGTCGCTCGCTCTCCGCATCTTCGGTTTCGCCCTTTCGCCGTAGCTGGACAACGGCGGTCCCTCCGCAACGGCAGATGACGGTCGTTCGGGTGCGGACACATGGGGAGGCAAGCTGCTGGGCATTGGTGGGTAGCCGCTACCACCGTCATTCAGTGAGCCTAAAGCAGCTTTCGACACCGAGGTCCGCCGAGGTGCTATCGAGCCGTCCGCTACCGCGCTCTCGACCGCTGCGCCCAAAACAGCAGCATTGGTGATGGGAGGGGCAAACGTCGAGCTCTTCCGCCGACCGATGCGGTGATGTGTGTTGTTGGCGGAGCCCAGAGATACGGAGTGTGAGTGGGTACGGCTGTAAGGATTGCGTGCCGGGAGGCTAGAGGCGTTGGCGCCGACGGAGAGACGGTGTTGGCTCGTTGGTCGTGACATGTCCTTCACAGGCCGCCGCGTTAGTTGGACGCGACGATGGAGGGACAGGCAGTCAAACCTTCGAAGCTGTCATCGTACAATCCAATCAAACCGTGCTCTCCAAGTTTTCGTGGGCGGAAGAGTAACACCCGCCTTTGTTGAAGCTTCGTCAAGGCCAGACACGGCTGCGCCAGCCCGAAATTTCTCGCTTTCGATGTGCCTGCTATCCAGCTTCACTTCTTTTAGGGCCAATGCTCCTTGGCGGGGGTCCCGTATGTGCTATGAGCAAGCAACCTCTTCAGAGAAACTCGGCCAGCAGTCACGATGAGAGCCAGAGACTGGAGGGCCGCGCAGGAGGTGAAATGAACGGCGCAGCCACAGCGATCAACCAAACCCCGCGTCTTGGTAACCACCCTCGGATTGGCGAATCTCGATCGACGGTCCAGGAATAGCCTCCCTTATCTCGTCGTCCTCGGCAGTGTCGTTGCAGAGCCGACGCAATGGCAAGAAGTAGAAGAGCAGTGCACTGGGAACAGAATATTTTGGAAGAGGGAAAATCAGGGCAACTGGAACTGTAGGCGCCAACACAGCCGAAGCATAATGCGCGGATTCAAGACATCAGCTGGCCCTGCCCACTCGCTCACACAGCACGCTAACACTAAGCAAGACCCACAGACCACGCTCCCGCTCTCGGGGTCTATAATTGCGCGCATTGCCCGCATGATGCCGCCCTTCGCGCGCTGATCCCCTCTGGAACAATAATATGGATCGCATCCTTGAAACGGAGCGCTCGAACGTTCCGCCACCGGATGCCCAGCCCAGTCCCAGTCGAAAGCCTGCCTGCTTGGTGAGGTACCCTAGCATTGGATTCCGGGGAAGCTCTGCTACTGCAGTAGGTTACGCTCTGAGTGTATCCAAACCATTATACAAAAGTACCATTGTACCTGCGTTCTGAGGCCCTGCCTCCACTAAACAGTCCAAACCCTTTCCCGTTCCTGCTTCTGGCCCACCCTGCTTCCGTCTCAGGAGCTGCAACAGCCTTGCTAGCGTTGCGCGCTCGTAATGACTGAACCCTTCGAACACCATGCGGCACCAACCCGACAGCGGAAGGAGGCATGAGCTACTACTTCAGGTTATCGCCCTCGCCAAGTCTCGATGCTGTAATCTGCCTGGACAAGTACAATAGATTGCGGGAGACTGATACTTGGCGGACAAGGTGCCGCCGGCCGACAGTTGCAAAGAAGCCACGTTGTCGATGCATCGTCCGTTCCGAGGGACTCCAACGTTGATGCCTTAGCACCTCTACTTACCCCTCTCGTACCATGAGCCACAAAGCACCGAGGAGGAGACCCTGGGGCGATCGTAGATCTGGGTTTGCTGATCCATTGAACCCTTAACGGCAGGCTATCACTAACTCTTGTAACGCATTGCGAGGATTGCTCCGTGGCGGTGGCTGGAGGTGTGTCTCATCTATCTTCAACCGCCCTTCATCGCGTGGTGCAGCGACATAAATTGTATCCATTAGCGAAGTCTTCAGGACCATCATGGACGCTTGGCGTCGAGTCAGGCGCCACAGGACGGAATGCCGTTCAAGTTTCTCGGATTGCGGGGGCTGCGCGTAAGGTATGCGACATGTGACGCTTGAGAGGAAACATGAGCACACAGGACCCGCTTTCGAAGGAGTCGACTTCCAGCACGTTCTGGTCTAGTTTGTAACTTTGGTAGCTTACGCGCACTTCTAAGACACCTGACCACGTGGAAAATAGGCTGTAGAGTACAGAGGCTGGGGGGTGAACGTCGCGTCCTGGAGCAAGTCTCACCTCACCACCACCGTCACGGAATGGTGCCAACGAACTATGAAATAACGTGGCGCGCTGGACTGCTTCGTCATACAACTGCTTGATGGCGCCATGTGCGATACGCAAGTGTGACTCCGTAACACCGACGGCGGGGTTTCGAGGGGTAGTATAGCACGTTGCTGGCTTTCCCATCTTGAGCACAGAACAGTGCGCCGCCGCGTGCCGGGTGGCCAGATACGCCAAGGGACGTTTGGGGTCGGAGTTGCCACTTCTGCGAACAGGTGAAACGTTGTACACGTGGCAGAATGAATCTTCGCGCACGCAAGACGACTCTCCTTATGTTTGCCAAATCCGAACTAACGAATTCAATACACCAGCTGTTCGTATGTTGCATCCACCACTACTCGCTGACACCTCCACGATATCGATACTTTGTCTCGTTGGACATAGGTCTTTGGTGCCGTTTGCACGGCTGTCGAAAGAGTACTGCACCGCCTCGCCCCGTCTTGGCCTCGCGATCACCTCTCTGTGCGCCCACGTATCACATATGTGGCAAAGATACCTCCCTTGGCGAATGTTCTTCGGGACTGCACCAGCCATGCACTTCACATGCTGCCAAACCATGCACTTGTCGCAGCTCAGCGTTTCCACTCGATCGTCCACAGTAGCTCCACAAGCACAACGTACCGTACCGTCTTCCTCGTCCAATGGGAAATTATATTGATGGAAAAATTCGGGCATCATGTCCGAATCATCTGACAGCGGTAGTGACGCTTCTTGCAGCGACCGGCTTCCACCGGCCGCATGACTCCGAGTAGCATTTTGCTCCTTCCGAAGTTGGTCACGTCGAGCCTTAGCAATGCTCTGAGCTTCGGCCTTCGATCTGAGCAAGGCTGTGCCAGCGGTGACTGCCTGTACATGCCCATGAATACGCTCCGATAGCGGCGAAGACTGTTTCCTCGCCGTGGCAGAATGCTTCCTTGGCAGAGTCCCTCCAAGTTAACTGTCTCGCTTGGTTTAGGCGTGCTGTTTGCAGAAGATTCTCCGGGCTCACGGGGGCCGTTGAGCCTAATCCGCTGGGCAGGGCGCTGCGAAGAGTGACGAGACTCTGTTCGTGCCTGTTTGGTGATCCCAATCTCCACGGCACTGTTTGTAGCTTCTGATGATGCCGATGCTGCTCATTTGGTGCTCCGCTTTGCTTGATAGGAATCATGATGCCGCGGCCTGCAAGGGAGGCGATGTTACCCTCGACAATCTCAAGACTAGTGGTATCATCCGTTAGTCTGGGGGGATTGCCGAGTGCATTTATATTGTTGCGTAGTAAGTCGGCTTGCAACGGCTTGTCGGTCGCGTGAGGTGGCTGTGACGGGCAAGTGCTCGTTTTGGACCCACCTAACGGAGGCGTAGTCGCTGGCGTAGATGCTATGGTAGCCATTGGAGACCCAAATCGTAGTACAGGACTGGACGATCGACCAGGTTGATGGTGATCAATGTAAAAACTTGTGCTGGCTTGTTGGTCTGCATATGCCGTTTGCAACATGTTTGCTTTGACCGAATTCGCGCTTGGCATCTTCCCGCCGGTGAGACTTGCACGTGGTGATTGTTGTGGACCGTAGACGGGGGTACTCCCGCAAGGTAATGTCGAGCTGCTCGGCTGGAGCACCGGGCGTTGCGACGTATGCTGGGTTGCACTCGTGTCGTGGTGCCTGTTACCCGACTGTCTAGCACATAGAGATGTTGCTGATCTGGATGTCGCCTCTAGTGCAGGTTCCTGCTCGGGAGTAGCCGGCCTGGCCAGTGGCCGTCGAATGCTGGGCGACCACTCACGGCCGGGATAGCTCCTGAAGCCATCAAGACTTTCTGTGTTACCGATTGTCGGAAAAGGAAGGAGTGGGTCTACAATACGATCTTGCTCTCGCTGTCGCACTTCCTGTACAGATAGTGCGGAATCCGAGGAGAATACATCGCTTGCGTCACGTCGTGCTATCGTAAATCGTCCGATAGGCATGCATGCGGAATCCGGGTGTGTACCGAGCCATCCAGCGCGACATTGGATATACTCTATAACTGTGTAGTGCTCGTTGATCACTGCTGGGATCCCAAGACCAAGGATAGTGGGCATTGCTGCTGTTGCTGTTGCGATGGGCCTTTGCCGTCCGCGAGGCCGTGGATCGTCGCGATGCTGGTCAAGGAGGTCAATCCGAGAATATAACAGCCGTTCGCAGCGTCGGTCTGGTTGAACGTCCGTTTCGTATTGTTAGGGGCGATCAGTATAAGGTATAACGTGCTCTCTCTCATGGAAATTGACGATGTAGCTCAGTTCTGTGAGTGAACGCAGTGTGAGCACATTCAAGACGCTCCCATTGTTGGGTCTTACCACCTTCTGGCACAATGCTTCAAAGGTGGTGTCGGCGTCGAGCACAACGATCTAACATGGGATAGTGCAATCCGCAATTCCACGCTTCTGAGGTGCACTTAGTCTTGATAACCGTACTTGCCTCCCAGTGTTCACGGAGTGCGCGTGACGCCACCTTCATCTCGAGTCGGCGTTCACAACGTAAATGTTATGCTTACGCTCCCGTGGTATACGTATGAAACTTGGGGACAATATGCAATGCGTACGAGGTGTCCACTAGGCATGCCTTCCACCACACGCAGGATCCATAACGCGCCTCGTCCGAGAAAGTCCAGGTATTGGCGGCATAATCACTAACATTAGAGAGACGGTCCTGTTCAAAGTAGTATCTTCAGGGGTTTTCGGTGGGAAATAGCTATGTCCAGTCGACCGCCGTGTGCCCTACCTGGTTTTAGACTTGTTGGTCAAGTCGACAAACAGATGCTCGCAAGATGCTCTTCAGGGCAATATTTGCAGCACTCGTTAAACGATCCCGTATACACGTCGTCTACGCGCATACGCTAGCATAGAAATGATCGTTGCCATGCGAAGCAATGAGGTTCGCGCCAAAAACCATTGCCGGCTGAACCTCCCTACCCTGTAAGAGCGCATTGCTTGCGTGTATTTGGACCCGTCAGTGGCTTCCACGTCGCTTGTGGGGTACGACATCGAGTTGTTCCAATACGACAGTAGCGGCAAGGCATAATGAGCCAGCTCTAGTCACTTCTCAGCTCGTACGAGAATTTAACAATCTTGTCCGCGTGCAACGTGACCCTTGGCGGTGAGTCACGAGATCTGGGCCACGATCGCCTATGAGCTAATCAGACGGCCGTGGATTAGCCTCCATACTCCACGTGAGAGTTCGAGACTGCCGCATGGCAACCGCCAGGAGAAGCTTAAACGTCGACTACAGCAGCTGAGCCGCAACATTTCCAGGATGTAGCATCTGATTCGCACCCGACATGATAAGCCGTTCTCGCCGCACGAGATTGAAAATGATTGCGTCGATAGCGTACATGCTGCTCCGTGGAGTGGAGATTAACGTGCTGGATTGGAGACATAGCTTACCTCTATACAGCACAGTGCAGGGTTGTCATGCGGCCCGCTTCGCTTCCCACCATCTGCATTTGCCGTATGAGAAGCCGAGAAACTTGCCTTGGAGCAGTGCCGACTTCTCAGACTGAACAAGCGCCCCGCCTCACCCACATCTCTCCATCTCCAAGCCCCGGACTCCAACAGACCAAGACTGTGCTACGGGGTGCTAAGCGCAACGTCCACGTTGTCAAGAATGGCAAAAGCGTCCTTTCATCCTGAAGTCTGGACATGATGTAAGCAAGCTCGAGGCACTCATGGTCCACTTCGACCAATCAGCGCAGCTAGGTCTTGGAGCTTGCTAAACCACCAACCGCATTAGGATCGCCCCGGTCGCTTGCTGAAGTTGCGGCGCGGTAGCTTGCGTCGACGCGAGAAGCCATGCCGCAAGGACCTGGCCCACTGACCTTCGAGCCTGTGCTGTAAGTCTCGGCAGATATATGAGAGTCATGCTCCCGTGTCCAACATGTAAAGGCCCCTCTCTCGTGGCTACTCCATTGCTTCCTTGCACTGCCGTTGGCCTCAGACTCTTTACATTGTCAGGTCTGTCTTGCATCGTGACTGACTTCGACCTTGAGAGACACCTAGTCGACTGTTGAAGCGTCGAAGGCTTCGGCACTTACACTTGCCATCATGGAGATGAACTACGATGCTGCGGAGCTCCACCAGATCGAGCAGGTGCGCAAGACCGAAGCGAACAGCCTTTGTCAGTTGTTTGTATCATTGCTGACCCTGCTACAGGAGCTCCACCAAGAGATTCTCCCCGGCACTGAGATCATGACCGATGTGGGCAGTCACCATTTCGTCAAGGGTGGCTCGCACGTCCTTGTCCCCCAGCCGTCGGACGATCCGCACGATCGTACGTTTTGACAGAAAACTCACGACCAGTACTGGCGGAGGTGCTAATTATGCTCCGCAGCGCTCAACTGGTCACCGCTATGGAAAGGTCTCGCCATTACCGCCGTCAGTAGTGTGAGCTTCATGCAAGGCTTCGGGCCGCTTGCTCTTGCCCCTATGTTTCCGTACTACATCGAGGACTTCCACTCCAACCTTGCAGACGTTGTCAAGTTCACAGGCGTCGCTATCCTTGTCCTTGGCTTCAGCAACTTCATATGGTTCGTGCAGCACCAATACTTTTCGAGGAGGCGTAGCTGATACACTCCAAGGGTTCCGTTGAGCACGTCTTTCGGACGACGTCCTGTCTTACTCGCTTCGCAGATCATCTGCTTGGTCTCCTCTATCTGGCGTGCCACCGCCAAGGATTACTCGAGTTTCATGGGCGCTTGTGTACTGAACGGCATCGGTGCTGGCCCAGCGGAGAGTATCCAGCCTGCCGTCATCGCGGACATGTTCTTCTTGCACGACAGAGGTTTCTGGAACACTCTCTACTGGGTGTTCTACATGGGCAGTCTCATGGTTGGCCCTATCATCTCCGGCTCCATGTCCCTGCACGTCGGCTGGCGCAACTTCTGGTGGTTGAACACCGCCCTTATCGCCGCTTCCTTCCTCATGGTACTGTTCATGTTTCCCGAGACCAAGTGGCACCGCATGCACCCCAATGAGGTTACACAACACCTCAAGGTCGCCGATGTGTCCAATGAGAAGACAGCGGAGAAAGCAACAGGCATTGAGGACCCCGAGAAGCTTGGTGGAGACGTGACCAAGGTGCCTACACATGCCACAATGCCAGAAATTACGCACCAGGCAACGGCAGAGCGCGATCCGTACCTTGGAAAGGGCACGCCGAGCAAGCAGCAATGGAAACTGTTCCAACCGAACCCGAATCCACTCAAGGCCATTGCATTGGATCTGTGGATCCCGTGGAAGCTGTTCGCCTTCCCCATCGTCGAGTTTGCAGCCTTCGTCGTCAGCTGGTCTTGCAGCAGCTTCTTGACGCTCAACCTGACCCAGAGCCAGAACTTTGCGGCACCACCATACAACTTCAACTCCCAATCCATTGGCTTCATGAATTTCGCAATCTTGGCCGGTGCAATGATCGGTCTAGCCACTGCTGGTCCTTTCAGCGATTGGGTTAGTGATCGGGCTACGAAGCGAAACGGTGGAATTCGAGAGCCGGAAATGCGTCTCCCAGCGATGATTCCGTACGTACTTGTCATGATGCTCGGCAACTTCGTTGTCGCCTTCGGCTACGAGCAGAAGTGGCCTTGGGAAGCTATTGTCATTATCGGTGAGTCCTCAATCTCCGGAATGTTGTACGAAGAGTATACTGACAGAAGGCTTCTAGGCTACGCCTGCGCAGGTCTTCAGGTTGCGGCTCTACCTGCTATGGTCAACACGTACGCCGTCGACAGCTACAAGCCCGTGGCCGGCTCCCTGATGGTTGCCATTACGGTCAACAAGAACGTTTGGGGTTACGGTTTCGCAGAGTTCATCACTCCGTGGATCATCAAAGACGGCTTCGTGCCACCTATCATGACCAACGTACGTTGTTCAATGACCCGTATATGTTCGTGCCTTGCTTTGGCTAACGATTACTTAGATGTGCTTGGTTACCCTCTGGTGCTCGTTCGGCATAGTGTTCTACTTCTACGGCAAGACTTTCCGCAGGTGGTCGCGCAACTCGAGCGTCCATCAGATGTAAGGACGCGTTGCTGGGTTGAGTGCAACAGAGACGGCATGGCAAATCGCGCTGGCAGATCGCTCGGCTGCATGTACAGAGGTGACATGTAGCCTAGAGACAGAACTGTACCCGGATACCATCCTTCAAAACTTCCCAACGAACGTCCTCCCATGCCGGTAGCGCGTTGGGTAGGTCTTTGGTCAGACCGAAACAGTCCATGAGAGTCGTTGCCAAACACACAAAGTGAACGTGGGGTATACACTCTATTAAGCTCTACAGCGTGCATTATATGCCTTGGAGTGTTCTTCTCGCTACGCGTAGCCCTACCATCACATGCCGCATCATGGTGCAAGCAGTATGCGGGCTCTCAAACGCGGAGGTCCCATGGTGTTTGCTTGTGGTTTTATTACAAGCTTGACGTGCCAGTAGCGGTCGAGCACGACTCTTCGCCCGTTCAAGAGCTCCGACAATTCAACGCCTGACGAACTGATCTCGACCTGCCTCCATGATCATTTGGAAGATTCTCAGATCGTTCGCAGCATCTTCGGCGGTGGTCTTGACCGCTTTGCCTTCCGTTACTAGTTGATGCAGTTGCTTCATCTCAAGAGTGTACGGATCTTCGTATGTCTTGCGCACGAATCGCTCGTTGTAGACACCCTCCACATTCTCCCGCACGGTCATGGTCACTGGAAGACCTTTGACGTAAGGTGTATCGTACTGCACTGTCACTTGCTTCGTCGGGCTATATACTTCCAGATGCGCGTCGAAGCGAGGAATCTCGTCGATGCCGCTCTCGTAACTGCATACGAAGCCTGGGTATTGGAAAAGGACACTGAGACAGTTAGTATCGAATCTTGTCGATGGCGCATCGCGATTGCTTACGTCCAAAAGGGTACGTTGGCATTCAGTGAGCAGCCCAGCACACTCTGCGGCATTCCTAGTGCTTCTCGCATACTAACATCATTGACCGTAACCGTCAGCATTATCCGTGACAAAGTAAAACAACGCTTGTGAGCAGGTAGTTCCGTACAGGCTAAGATCGTGCGAGCCTAGCCCACCTAGTAGGAACCACATCTTCGAGGCTTCTTCTGTTACCGTTATCCCAAGGTCGTGCTCGAGACCCTGCTGGTTCAGATCTGCCGTGCGGGATTTCAGTTCTTGACTGTCCTCGGGCGTATAGTCGGTGAAGCGTTTCGGAAAGGTTCCCGATTGATCGACGAAGTAGGCGTTCCTGGAGATGATGTCCCTGACCCTTGCATACGTGACCTTCTCCATACTATCAAGTTCCTTAAGTGCATCCTCGAATACGGCAGCATAGCGGCGCATGTAGCCGACCATAACAGTGCCTTTCGACTTGCGCTCAGCCTCCAAGATGAGCTGGACGTCGCGGTTACACAATGCCATAGGCTTCTCCACGAAGGCTGTTTTACCGTTATCCAAGGCCAGTACGGTATGCGGAGCATGGAACTCATTGAGGCTCAAGACGAAGACGACATCTACGTCGGAGGCCTCGCATAGCTCAAAAGCGTCCTTAGTCGTGCGTGGAGGTGGACTTCCAGCTACTTTACGCTGGCAATGCTCGAGCGCTTCCCCGGACGTATCGCATAGCCAGGTGATTCTGAAGTAATCGTTCATATGGTTCAAGTTGGGTATATGCACCGTTTGAGCTACTTCGCCGCACCCGATAATGCCCACTTGAACGCGTGTCGCCGACATGGCCAATATTGCCTGCACTAGCTTGTTATAGCCTGGCAATGTGTTCAGTTGTGGCTACATGTAGGTAGGCTTGTGCTTCTATTCGCTTCAGGTAGCGAAACGTCACACGCAGCAATAACCGTGGGGGTCCCGAACACATCACCTTTGCAGTCGATCGAAGCTCTTCACACAGGCGTCACCTTACCGTACGCAGCAGGACGAAGGACTGAAATGCCGGTCATGAGGCGCTGTTAGACAAACGGAGACCAACTATCTTCTGAGGCAGCAGATGTCAGAAGTCCCTGCTGCTACGACTGCACCACTCTCGGCTAGAGACAGCGATTTGGCTTTGTAGAATAAGGAGTCGACCAGCGAATCGCCGGCCGTGGTACATTCGGATTGATGTGTGGAATGCATATTTCGATCGCATGGACTTGTTGCAGCAACGAACGCGCTTGCATAACTTACAGTTTGCTACCAAGACTCCATAACTGTGCGAACGATGGCCACGTCAATGCCTAAAGCCACCAAGTCTATGCGTTTCTCAAGTCGCGCTCGGAATTCTACGGGTGGTGTGTCTGGCGGCTAAATGCGAGCTTTCCGTGCCGAGCGTCATGCTAAGGTATCTTCGCTCCAGCTCACCATGCAGCAGGCCAAGTTCGGTCTCACTACCGCTTGCCGGCCGTACTCCGTATCCCAGGTTATTATGTCGAGGTTGGCGGACCGACACCCCGTTTCGCATATATAGGGTGGTGCGTAACAAGCACGCACACGCAACTGTCGCAGAAGCAGAGGTAAGGATGCAAGTCAGAGTCCCTCACTTCAGAGCAATTTCGTAGAGCTGCATTGTGCTTTGTTGGCTCTGTGTATAATTTTGCGTCCTTATGGCTTCCATAGATGTAGAGGAGGTGCTCCTCCAGCTCACGCTTGATGAAAAGATCTCCCTACTAGCAGGTGCGTCGGCCGAAAGTGAACGCAGGTTGCACGGCGCTAACATGATGATCCAGGCACCGATTTCTGGCACACTGCCGCCATACCTAACCATGGCGTACCAGCGTTGCGGATGTCGGATGGTCCAAACGGGGTACGGGGGACGAGAGTATTCAACGGCGTGCCGGCGGCTTGTTTTCCATGTGGCACTGCCCTGGGCTCGACCTGGAACCAAGAGCTACTGCTCGACGCAGGCAAGTTAATGGGCGAAGAGGCCAAGGCGAAAGGAGCGCACATTCTTCTCGGACCATGTATCAACATGCAAAGGTCACCGCTCGGCGGACGAGGCTTCGAGTCCATCTCTGAGGACCCCGTGCTAGCAGGCTTGGGAGCAGCATGCCTAATAAATGGCATCCAATCCACCGGCGTGGTCGCGACGATCAAGCACTTCGTCACAAACGATCAGGAGCACGAGCGGAATGCCGTGGACAGCATCGTCACCGACCGTGCGCTACATGAGATTTATCTGCTACCGTTTCAGATCGCTGTACGAGACTCTCATCCCAAAGCATTTATGACGGCGTACAACAAGCTCAATGGTACACACCTGAGCGAGAACAAGCGGATCTTGCAGGATATTCTGCGGGATGAGCTTGGTTGGCGAGGTGCTATTATGTCCGACTGGTTCGGAACTTATGGGACGGCAGAGGCCATTAACGCTGGTTTAGACATCGAAATGCCAGGGCCGACGCGGTATCGCGGACAGTTGCTTGGGCACAACGTCACAGCTCGGAAAGTGGCGATGCACACTCTCAACGAGCGAGCACGTAACGTGCTTGAACTGGTCAAGAATTGCGCCGAGAGCGGTATCAAGGAAGGCCAGGTAGAGTCCAAATTGGACACCCCGGAAACGTCGGCCTTGCTTCGAAGGTTAGCTGGCGAGAGCATTGTGCTCGTCAAGAATCGGGACAATGCCCTTCCGTTGGCAAAGGGGAAAGGCATATTGATGATCGGACCCAATGCCAAGGTGAGCGTTTTCTGCGGTGGTGGCAGCAGCTCCATGGCACCTTATTATGCAATCTCGCCCTGGGAAGGCGTAGAATCCAAGGTGAAGGATCCCAGCAAAATGCAGCACGCCATCGGCTGCTACAGCCACAAAGAGCTCCCGCTTGTATCACACGAGTTTCACGTAGGCTCTGACCCTAAAAGCAAGAAAGGCCTGGTCTTCAAGGCCTACAACGAGCCGCCAACCGTTGGCAAGGATCGCTTGCCCGTGGATGAACTGGAGCTTACCAGCTCCCTTGCCATGTTCATGGACTATCACAATCCGAAGCTGAAGTCAGACCTATGGTATGCTGATGTCGAAGGCTACTTCACCGCCGAGCGGAGTGGTGACTACGAGCTTGGGCTTTGCATTTACGGCACTGGAAACATCTATGTGGACGGTCATCTAGTAGTGGACAACACCACGAAGCAGAAGCAAGGATCCGTCTTCTACGGTTGTGGATCTGTGGAGGAAAAAGGCACGATTCCGGTGGAGAAGGGCAAGACTTACCATGTCGTGTTGGACTTCGCCTCTGCGCCGACAAGCAAACTCGAAGGAGACGGCATTGTACGCTGTGAGCAGAACTTAATACTACCCCTACTTCCATCCGAAGGTATGCTGACGGTCGTGATTCTGACGTTTAGTTGGCGGCGGCGGTTTCCGTATCGGTGGCGCGTGGGTCCGTGGGATGGACGAGACAATCAAAGAGGCGGCTGATCTAGCAAAAAGCGCTGAGCAAGTCGTCATTTGCGCTGGCCTTAACCAGGACTGGGAAGGCGAAGGTGCGGACAGGGTCGACATGAAGCTACCGGGCCGCATGGACGATCTTATCGCTGCCGTTGCAGCCGCAAATCCGAAGACGATCGTTGTCATGCAGACGGGCACGCCTGTCGAAATGCCATGGCTGGAGGATGTTTCTGGGCTGCTGCAGGCCTGGTACGGCGGCAATGAGACAGGCAATGCCATCGCAGACGCTCTGTTCGGCGACATCAACCCCAGCGGTCGCAGCAGTCTCTCTTGGCCGAAAAGGCTGGAGGACAATCCAGCCTTTTACAACTATCGGAGCGAAGGCGGAAGAGTACTGTATGGCGAAGACGTCTACGTCGGATACAGACATTATGACACCGTTAAGCGGGAGGTGAACATACCGTTTGGCTTCGGGCTCTCATATACGAGCTTTGAGTTGTCTGACCTACGAGTGGAGAGGATGGGTGAAGACGAGCTGTCTTCGAAAGTGAAGGTAAGCGTCACCGTCAAGAATACTGGGAAGCTTGACGGGCACGAGGTCGTGCAGGTTTATGTCTCGCAACAGTCCCCAGGTATTCGGCGTCCGCCAAGAGAGCTAAAGGGATTCGCAAAGGTCGCTGTCAAAGCCGGGGCCAGCGCGACAGCTACCGTCATGTGTCTGACGAAGTATGCAACGAGCTACTGGGACGAGATTCGAGACTCATGGGTCATGGAGCAAGGAAGGTACGACGTCGAGGTCTGCGATGGCTCGCGGCAACAACAGCTGTTGCGCACCGCATTCGCTGTCCAAGCAACGCAATGGTGGCGAGGTCTTTAAACATCCCAGATCACGAAGGTAAGATACCATAAACGTACTCGATGGCCCCTGCCACAGCTGTGGAAAAAATGAACGCACTCAAGAAGCCTGCCATACCTATTCTGACACTTCTAACGTTCGGAGACTCAAGGTCGGTCCTATGTTTTCGGAGGTGTCCACCCTCTTTGTGTCTCATTGCAGCGACTGAGAGCTGCCTTTAAGTGTGCGTATGCGGAATGTCCACTTGCACCTGCCGCTAAGACGATGTTACGCGTGGAAGTCGCGAGAACCCGATCCGCAACTGCACTCGAAGTCTGGTACTCCGGAATCAGGAGCCTCACCGTTGCACCATTCTGTCTCTGGACTGTGGCTAGACGCTACTCATCTTACTGCTCTATTGTTACTGCCGTTATCACGATGGAGAAGCTGCAGCGTGTCGATTCCTTTGAGCAGCAAAGCAAAGAATTGGAGGCGGCGCATACTCATCCTCCGCCACCGGCTACCGTTCGAGCTAGATTCCTACTGCTAGCAGCGTGGTTCGCCCTCAACCTAGCTTTGACCATCTCCAACAAACTCGTCCTGAGCACGGTAAGCTGCATTCATCCTATCGTCAGTGACATACTCATGCCGCCACCAGCTCCCATTCCCGTGGCTGCTGACAACGCTTCATACCTCTGCGACTGCGCTCGGCTGCTGTGCCGTCTACGGCTTTGGGAACATTCGCGTCACCCGCCTGAACACTCGTGAAACTCTGGTCCTGGTCGGCTTCTCCGTGCTCTTCACACTCAACATCGCCCTCTCAAACATATCTTTGGCGCTCGTCTCCGTACCATTGCACCAGATCATCCGTTCCACGATCCCCATCAGCACCATCTTTATCTACCGTGCCGCTTACGGGAAGACATACTCAACTGCTACGTATCTCACAATGGTACCACTCATTGCAGGCGTCGGCCTTGCCACAGCAGGAGACTACTACTGCACGCTGTTAGGCTTCCTGGTAACAGTCCTAGGCAACATGCTCGCTTCAGTCAAGACCGTGGCGACGAATGAACTAACGACCGGAAGTCTACAACTACCCTCTTTGGAGCTACTGCTGAGGATGTCACCCTTGGCGACATCTCAATGCGTCGTCTACGCCTGCGGCTCAGGCGAAGTCGCGAAGCTGTACGCAGCTCGTAATGAAGGCGTGTTGCAAACTCCAACGATGGTGTTCGCACTGGCAGTCAACGCGGCGATGGCGTTTTTGCTGAACATCATCTCCTTCGAGACGAATAAGGTGGCCGGTGCGCTGACCTTGACCGTTGCTGGGAATGTGAAGCAGGCCTTGACGGTGATGCTTGGAATCCTGCTGTTCAGAGTAGAGATAGGTATGGACGCTATCTATGTACACCTTGCCGCGGCGGAACGCTGACCTGCGTTTCATAGGGCTACTGAATACAGCAGGAATGTTGGTCACGTTGGGAGGAGCGGCATGGTACAGCAAGCTCGAGATAGATCAACGCCAGAGTATATGACCTAAGCACAGGTCCCTACTATCCTTCGCAATCCCAATAACCGTAGTCCTACGTTCCGGTTACTAAGGGAGCCACGAGATCACAAGACCAGGTGAGAACTATGAGATGATCCTAGCAGACATGTTCTGGACCTCGTATCTACTCGTAGTCATCAGTATCGGCGACTGAAGGAATTGAAGAGCATAATGCAGGATGACGGTATCAAGGTTACTCGCATCCTATGTCATTGTCGCTGCCATTGTCGCAGGATAATAATCCCCGTACTCGGCCAACGATTCGAACTATCAATGCCCCGAGCATGCCTACCAGGTCTAGGTATTGAGCGTACCATCAAAGACCAAAAGATACAATGATGAACTGCCGCCAACGCCAACGCTAAGTCTCAAACCCACAAAATTCCCCAAGGAGTACATATACCTGAACTCTAAGCCTTAAGCTCCGGTCAAGTCCAGCACATCAACGCCGCTCTTCCGATAAGCCCTCGCTTTGCCATCCACGCCAACAATGTCAGCTCGTCCTTTACTGGGCTTCCATCCACTGCCATCTCCGCTCATATCCAATGTCTCCGCATCGATTTCCCTCCACGCTCCTTCCAAGCTCTGACGGAGAAGGATAGCCTTCTTCTTCTGTGCTTGGCGCGGTGAGCGTCGAAGAGATCGAGGAGCGATGGACACGGACGGTGACCGCGGTGTCGGATGTTTTTTTGAGGTGCATGTCACAATTGAGGTTGGCTGACCCTGGGCGGTCACTCGACGGTATGGCGGGATTGTCTTCCTAGCCTTGTCTTCGTCAATGGACGCTGGTGTCTCATTTGCTGATGGCGGTCTCTCTTCTACATCCCTGCTCGCTGCAGCCGGTCTGGTCAGACGATCACCCCTACCCTCAAACAGGAGGTTCGGACTTGGCAGGTTGGCATCGCTCTCCAACAAGAAGCCGCCACTTCGCCGTGCCGGTGACGGGCTCGCAAGATCCATTGCCTCAACCGTATGGATCTCACCAAACAGCTCCGGCGTTACTGACCTCAAGCCAGTTGTAGGCAGAAGCACGATCTCTTCCAATACGTCGTCGGCACCCAGCACGGGAGCGGTCTGGTGCCGTTTAAAAGGCCCTTTTTTGCGCCGCTTGGTGACACTATCCGGTAGCTTACCGGGAGAGAAGTCGTATATGTCAGATTGGTTCCGCAATGCAATAATTGCTGGCTGTACTGGGGACGGCGAGCGCACGAATTCGTGCCGCAGGTTGGGTGGAGAAGGTATCCAAGTGCTCGTCGTGACCGGCCTCGCTGGTGAACTAGATATTAGGCTGATGAAGTTGGACTCTCTCTTTTGCTGCCGCTGCTCCTTGTGGGGAGATGGCGAGTAGTAGCTTGCGATGGTTCGTTGGCTCGTAGCTGGAGAAGAAAGGTCCAGCGACGGTCTCTTACGGCGGGTTGGTGTCGCCCGCGGATCTTTCGCCCTCGGAACGGTACCTTTTGGCGACCGTGCAGCGACCGTACGCTTGACCGCGAAGCCAGCAAATGGACGAGGCGTGTCGCTCAGATCTTCTGTTCCATACGGCTGCTCTACCGGTAAATCTGCTTTCGCATGCGTAAGCAAACGCGCAGAAATCTGCCTTGATGGCATCTTGAACCCGCTTGCTGCTTCCGAGGCCATCTCTTCTGCTCGAGGCTGCGTGTTACCTTGCGACATACCATCCTTCAGCGGGTCTCTTGGCTCAATGATGCATACCGCTTTCGTAATGTTCGCAAACGCCATAAGCGCATTGTGCGGCATGTCAGTGATTGCGTTCTTCTTTTGCTTTGCCTTAGTACGTAGGTTGCCACTGCCTGCTTTCACAGCTTTAGCCTTGTGTCTCTGCTTGAGGAACTGCTTCGGATCGCGAAAGCTGGCTTCGTACTCCTCCACCAGCAAGGGACAGCCGACCTGCAAAAAGCTTCGGATAATCCAGGCCTTCTCGGGCGCCGCAGGATCGTACGGTCTGTACTGTCGTTTCTTGGTTGGGGATGCTGGAGCCCCCGACTCAGTTTCGTCTCCGCTGGCCACCGAAAGTGGTATAGAAGTGAAGTCGTCATCCAGCTCGCTTTCTGCATCTCGGTCGGGATCCGCAGGGCGAATTTCGTCCTCTTCTTCCTCCATACTAAGGTCGATCGGGACAAGGCGTGCCGGTATGAAAGAGACGCGATATTCGAGCGTGCCATCCGTGCTGTTGTGGTTGCGCCTGCCATGTACGGCCTTGACAAGCTTGCCTTCAGCTTCTGCCTGAGCTTCCGGAGTCGGTTGGTCTGTGGTCATCCGTAACTGCCGCGTGAGCATAGCTGGCGCCAGGTTCTTGATGAACTTCTTCGCGCCGTTACGGAAGCGCCAGTCGAAGGCATCAGTTGTGAAAGTCCTCAACGCGGCAAAATCAATGTCTTGATCCCACTTCAAGCCGTCGCGCAGTTTCTGCACCTTGTCCTGTTTGGACACACAAGGATGGGTATAGTAGCCCAACACCTCCAGATTCGGAAATTTCTCGGGCATGGTGAAGCTGCCATTTTTCCTGCTGAAGTACTTCGCCTCGTTTGTGCGGATCTGATGCTGCAGCCTCTCCCTCCATAGCCGCAAGCCTGCTGTATCCTTCGCCCCAAGAGCACACAGTTCCTTCCCAAACCCAGCGCGTGCAGCATCGCAGGCCACCTTCGGTCCACATCCAGGTATGCCCTCCGGTAGGTAATCGCCACCGCTCATCAGGGCCACCAAAATCATGCCGTCCCTATCCAAGCCTCGGCTGCGTTGCTTCGTTTCTTCTTCTCGATACACCGAGACGTGCGTGGGACTTTTCGTTGTGCTCCCTTCCGCACTCCAACTCCGGAACGTCACGCCGGAGCCAAACATGAGCGTGTCTACATCCTCGCTCAACACGGCGTCCACCACGCCTTCGCGCTGCAACAGCGCGCATTCTGCCTCAGCCTCACCAGGTGCTATGTGCCAAGGGAAGCCAAACTCCTTCAACAGCTGCTTGGCCAAGAACTCCGGTACCGTTGCGACTCTGACGCCAGGCCCGCCGACCTTCTTGTTGCGCTTGAAGAGGGGTTTATTGGGGCCATCGAAGACGAACAGCGGCCAGATGTTGAGGGTTAGTAGACGCAGAAGGCGGTAATAGAAAGTACGCAAGGCCGGGTTGGAGCCACCTTTGCCCGACTGGATTTGAAAGAGCCAGATGCTGATGTCGATGGCGAGGATGAGTGGGCGGGAGTGGGTGGCGTAGTGGTCGGCGGAGAGCTTGGCGAGGGAGATGCGCGGTGGCGGGCCAAGTTCGCGCAGGAGACCGTGGATGCCCATTCCTCTCCTCCTCACTATCTTCACACCATATTACTTTCTTCCTCTCAACCAGCCAAATCTCGTAACAGTCCGATGTGAATGCTCTAACCACTGCGTAAAGCACAACCCCACCCAATATCCGTTGCCTAGCAACCACGGAAGACCATCGCGCCCACACGTGACTGACTCATATCGAGAACACAACTATTAGCTTCCAAGACCATCCCAAAACACATGTCCCATGCGGGCATGAGACAGGTGATGTATTGATCAAAGAATGTATTCCATATATGTGCACGTTAGATGCATCGCGGCCAGGCGCAACTGAGTGGCCGTAAACAGTCCGTGTCAACAGAGCATCCAGCGATCCAAGATCACCGATGCAGCAGTTTGAGCAACCCAACAAGCGACGCAGGATGGCAGCATCATCAGAGTCAGTCTCTCCGGACCCCATTACGCTGCCATCATCGCCACTTGGTACGCGAATCGCTAGCTCGCCAACGAAACCACTTGCGCCGAGGTCCACCAACGTGCATTCTTCGGCAAGCAAGTCCGTTGTATTGGATGTGGATAAGGCCGGCCATGTCAGTCCGTGGCGCATCAAGGTGACCGTGGAAGCAGAGCCGCGATCCGGAAGTGGTAGCCCCAGCAAGCGTAGGATCGCAAGAAGGACAACGAAGGTGCCGCTTAAAGATGCGCCGTCGAGCAGTCCGATTAGGAATACACGCATAGCTGTGGCCGCTGCAGGCAGTGAAATAGGACATCCAGCACGGAGAAAGCGCAAGGTTACGCCAGTGCGCAGCACAACAAGGACACAACCACCGGGAGAGCCAGTAACGGACGAGGACGACGCTGCGCTCATGCCACCACCAAGTTTACCTTCAAGCTCAGCAGCAAAGGCTAGAAGACGACGAAGCCTGGTGGAAGACTCTGTAGAGTGTTCCCAGCGACTCAGTCTAGCTCGCGAGGAGCTTGATCGGGCGTTGCAGGATGCAGTGGGTCACGAAGGAGAGGATGCTGAGGATGGCGAGTATCATCCTGTACCCGGCGACATGACGGTAGCCGGTGACGAAGAATTCACCATGGTGTCCGTTGATACACTGCAAAGCATGAAAGCCGACACTTCAGTGATCAGTCAGCGGCACGAGGGTGAAAGGAGCACCCTGACTGCCAGCTATCTTCCGTCGTCACCGCCCAAGCTGGACCATGAGAAGATGCCTACGGCAACTGTCAATTACCCAAATTTGTCGATCGTGGTAGAAGAAGCACGTACGAAGGCGAGCATTCTCTATGATGTTATAGACAATGCAACCGGGGGCGCTGAAGAAGATCCAACATCGAAGATAATTCAACAGCCGAATGACGCTGACATTTGGCAAGAAGAAGCCTCTCGTTCGTTTGAGGACGAGAGCGAAACTCAAGTCCTACCACGGTCATTTCGTCGCAACCAGCAGGCGCAACCGAACAGAGTTGTATCGCAGAATCTCAACGCTCTTTTCGCAGGGACATCTAGGCCGCCTCGCTCGAAGATTCCACGGACGTGGCGTAGAACGTCGGGCAACGACTTCGCATATGGTGACTCGCCAGCCCATGCCGAAGGAGAAATCGCGCCCAGTAAGCGCGATGCATCAACAGACGGCGGCGGCAGTCGCGCAAGCAGTGGTGTGATGACTCCGCCAAGCTCTGAGGACGAAGCGAACAAGCAGCAGCAACCAGAGGCTGATGATCACAGCTTCTCACGACCTGATGCGGAAGCAACTCAGCTACAAGCAAAGGGTGTCATGGAGTGTGCGAAGAAAGTAGTCTCGCCAGGCGCACGAAGCGAGATCGCCAGTCCCTGCTCGGACAGCAGCTCAAGCGTCACGAGTCCGGATGGCGATGACACAGGTCTGTTCTGGCAAAGCAACATGCCGCAAGTGTACCGCACCGATCGGCCAAGACCACAGCGCCAGAAGGCGCTGGATCTGAGTGAGCTATTGAGTGCACACAAAGGTCGAGACAGATCGACATCTGAAGAAGCACGTCTGGCAAAAACAGCTCAGGCAGCCAGCACTTCTGCCAGAAGAGCCCAGGGTAGGGCAAGTGAAGGCAAAGCTCACAGTCCGCTCCACATGCGCCCGGTGGAGGGCAAGATCAAAAGCAGCCCGAGTGAAGCTGGGAAGGCGAGAATGGTTAGTAGCCCGCTGCGGAGAAGTCTGCTTAGGAGCAGCAAGCTGGGAGGTAGTCCGGTTGGCAAAGTTGGGAAGCCCGTCCAACCACAAGCTGCTGCGATTAGAAACGTGGGTTTGAGGAGCGCAAATGTACAAATTGCAGGTGACGAGGTGGATGGTGAGGATGAGATTGATGCCAGCTTAAACAGCAAAGCAAGTGAGCAGAGGCAGTTGCTGGCTGAGATAGCTGCGCAAGGTGTACAACCGCACGGCAGCGAAGATGCATACGTTGAAACAAGCCATTTGGCAGAGCTTTACCCGGTCGGCGGCGGTGGCGGTGAGGTCGAGGGAGCCAGCGGAGGAGGCTCTGACGGCGACGAGCCTTCGCGCAGCTACGAGGAGCACCTGAATCTCGACAGTCCACAGAAAATCAGAGTCAAGTTTAATGACTCTGCCGTCAACTCGTCGGTGCTCAGGCCGACTAAGCAGTATCAACCTTTGTTTACGCCAGTTAGTGCAGAGCAGGGGAAAGCTTCACCACCTACCATCACCCTCGTGGGCAAGAGGCCCGAGCCATCTACTCAAGGCTTCATCAGCCGCCTCAGCACCAACTTCTGGTCAGCGGTTATCCGCCCGAGCGGACCAACAGACGTCCTGCCCGCGAACGACCCGATCTACTCTCCCTCTCTCCGCGCACACATCCGTAGTCGCTACGGTGTGTTACCATCAACGCACCCATGGAAGATGGTACACATGCGCACCCTACACCGCATGCACAACTCATGCACCAGCAACAAGAGCGATAGCATTATTCCGAAGTCAGGTCCCTTGCCAGCACATCTTCTCCGCCTAGTGGGCTACAGAATTCACAGTGTAGGCGGCTCGCAGTACGACTTCACGACTCAGCACGCACACGTTGTGGAAGCGTTGATGCAAGTGCTCGTGCCACGCGAATTGGTGGAAGCGATGAAGAGAGGTGAAGTTGAGGTACTGGGTGATGCAATCGCAAGGGAGTACCGGGGGCTGATCATGGGACGGCACGGTGACGATCTGGTATGGAGTCCAGAAAGGGGCGTGCTCACGGGAGATATCACGGCGGAGTTTGTGGTGAAAGCGCTGGGTGATGTGGTCGCTTTTGAGGTGGGCAAAGCGATGGTCGAGCGACAGGAGACGCGAAAGTAGCTCAATCTAGAGCGGCGAGGACGGCTTACGGGATACGCGACGAAGATGACTGTCAGGAGAGCGACGACAGAAGACGTCTACTCACAATAATGATGCCGCAGTCACCGACACCACGTATCCCAAGATTCGTATGAACGGAACCGTGTCCGCCATCCTCTGTCAAAGCCTGCACAATTTGCACTCAAGGCTGCACATGATACTCCGACCCCATCTCTATCATGCCTTGGCCCTAGCACACGCTCGTACAAACACATCTGCAAACATAGGATCAACGCCGATTCCGTACACTAATGGAAGCCGTCCAGCCTGACCCAGTACAAAGCTCGTCTTCTGCGACATCATGCTGGTTTCCGTTTGAATGGTGTCGCTTTGCCACGGCTGTATGTCTGTCTCCGTGAGGTGGCTGTAATGGAGAGCCAAAAACGAGTACTGCTGCTGGTGCTCCTCATCGTCACGTGACAGTTCCGAAAAGGCACGGCTTAAACTCAATAGCGACACGTCTTTATGGGCGCAGTGCAGCATAACCCCCACTCGATCTGCTGCTGATCTTGCTGGTTCAAGTGTGCTCGATATACCGGACGTGGTACGGGAATAAGCATGCGCATTAACTTAAGCTCTACGCATTCCGCGCCCCCAAAATTCAAGCTGTCGTTTAGTTGCGAAGAGACAGCTTGCTACGCGTGCGTTTCGGTCGACTGAAGCTCGAGGTGCGAAAGCTCAATCTTGACGGAGGTGGTGCCGAAACGGGCAAGCAAAATTCGGGGGAGGCTCGTCAGCTGAGGACACCAGTAGAGCGATGCTGCAGCCTCTCGAGTCTTCCTCTAGGGACAGTAGACCAGCCGTAGGTAATTCTAAACCAGGCGGGACGACGGTGGACGGCGAAAGGGTGGAACCAACGCCGTGGTCATCTACATTATACACTCCGTCGAAGTTCCTGATGAACGACTCCTTCGGTACCTCGAGCTCGTGCCTTGTCCGAGTCTGATCCTACTGCTGTTCGAAGTGGCTACACGTGAGTCCGAGGTCGACTTTGGAGCCCTCAGTAGCGACTCGATGCTGGGACTTCAGAAGCTTGGTTGGTGATCTCTTGCGCTTACTCGTCAGAACATCCACGTTAAGCTTGAGCGGAGTAGAGCCAGTCGATGGCGGCTCAATGACAATCTCTGGTATCTCCAGCTTCGTGGTTGAAAAATCACATGAGGCAACCGCCGTCCGTTGTAGGCTGTTCTGGGAACCACGCGTATGCTGCAGAGCCAGCGAGTACGCGGCGCCATCCTCAGGAGGTTTAAAACCCAGGAGTACATCTTCCCATGTCCGGTTCTGAGTGCTGCTGTTGCTGGCTGGCCAAGCTGGTTCAGGCATCTTCCATAGGCGTACGCCTTCCTCACCGAGCAGGCTACTTCCTCGCCTCAAGCCCAGAACAGAGTGCAGCGTGTCAGAAGCCTCCAGCACTGTTTGCACCCGCTCGGCCAGTGTGCTCTCGAAGCAGTCGTCTTGAGAGCCAGGGGAGTCTAGCATCCTTCAATGTGCGTTACTGGCCGGCGGGTACATGTACTTCTTCCTCTGTTGGGGAAATCAGAAGTTTAAGTGATCTACCAACAGCGGTGAAAGATGCAGTTGTTGGAAGAGAAGCGGCGAAGCTGACATGTCTCGTTCAAGACGTACAATGTGCAGCAAGCGAACTCCGCCGATAACTGCAAAGGTCGAAAATGCTCGCACATGAGAAAGCTTGTTATACCAATGAGGAAGGAGTGGTCGGTGGATTTACGGAGACGCCGAAACGCCTTCTTCATCAAGAGCGTGAAGTGAGGATGGAGTCTGGTGGTTGGCGAGCGTAAAGCGAACCACTCTTCGCTGCCGTGCAGTACGCATGTATGCTGGTTGAGGCAGATACCTGCTCCTATGCTACATCTCATGGACGTCTGATTGAAGGTGACCACAAACGTATGGTTCAGCGAGAAGTTGTACGTCGCCTCCAGTACGTACGGATCGTGTCCTGGACTGAGACTTTGGCGGTTGCTGCATCCCCACTCCGGGTTATTGATGCCGTCTGGAAGGCGCAGTGACCGTTACTTGGATCACGACACCAGAAAGAGGACGCTAAGTGTACTTCCCGATCAAGTCTTTAACCTCCATCACAACGCAGCCGAGGTGCGCGCGGGTGCAGACTGCGAGTAACACGTCGCGTTGTCGAAGCTGCGCTTAACAAGCAATGAGATTTCGCTCCGCCAGCGTGATGCTCACCCAAGCACGGTATCGCGCTGACCTCAATTCACGTTGGTAATTAACAAACCCGATATGGTCGCACCATGCGGAACCAAGTATGCCGTAGTGCCTTCGCTTGAGATCATGTACTTGCCCTTCGGCCGGACTGACGAACCATTGCCACGATCGTGGCCAAGGCACCCATGCGCGAAAGAGCAGCATATTGTGGCAGCACAACAAGTGGTATCGCTGCGCTAGCTAGCAGGGTGCGTAAACGGGCCTGGTCGACATGTCGCAGGTAAGGTCGAAGCAATTCGGAATGCAGCTCACCTGGAGACGCAGCGTTACAGCTAGTGAGAGTAGGGACCTACAAGAGCATGTATCCACCTTGGTATTGCCTCGCACCAAACATTAGCGTTCGGCAGGTACGGCAGGATGCGCAGCAATGAGGTGACGCATCAGTCGCATACCGCTTGCTCCCGTCGGCGCCAGAACGTGCACTGTAGCCGTCGGATCCAGGTCTTGTGTGGCTCGCTTCATCTCAATCAGCAGAGGCAGCGAGCCACCAAGGCTAGCCAAGATCCTTCAGGACTCATAAAAACGCATCTGAATGGAGGTCCTTAATGATGTGTCTGTACCCTATGCACAATCCGATACAGGGGAGCATCGGGCTTGCCCGATGCTGAGATGGCGGCGTCAACGGTAAATGCCAACGGTGAGCATCAAGCATAGAGTGCGTCAAGAGCATGAAGTACGAGATGTCATCCATCAGTTGTTCGTAACGCACTGCAGCTTGAACGCCAGTAGGCAACACGCTGTTCGTGATGTAGCCTCCAACGCCACGCTTTTCCGCCTTCATATGCTGAGGGTTGCATCAAGTCAATTCAGCATGGATGCGGTGCGCTCGCAATCTTCGTGAATTACGTTACCGTTCTGGCAAGCTCACCCTTTCAGACCCTTTGCATTGTTGAACAGGAATCCTGTAGCGCCTTAAATTCCACCAATCGCACCTCCATACGCCATCTCTTTGAAGCCCGGCGGTACCGTCCAGCCGTGCGTGTTGCAAGCACGAACATACCCATCCGCCGCCTCCGCCATGCCATAGTCACCAGATCTACCCCCAACAAGCCTAGCGGGCGGATCAGATGCGATCGCGAGACGGATTTGCATCAGCACCGACTCCATCGAGGAGACTGATGACCATCCCGAGTTGGTGAGCAGCTGCATACACATCGCACCGCCCATGACGACGTGACCACCCCCGCCTTGCGCCAAGCTCCTGAACTGAGGACGGATGACACGGACATACGGCGGCGTGAACGGAAAGTCCTTGTTGAAGCGGACCTCCATCACGATACTCTTGACTGCGTTCTTTTTCATGTCAGCCACCAGCGGTAAGTTCGGATCAATGACGTGGAATGAGTGCAGCTCGACAATCCACTGGTACGGGTTCTCAACCTTGTCGACGTCGATATACCACCCAAGATCACCGAGCGGAGTGGCGTTTTGCACTTTCTGCAGGCTTTGCAGCTCCTTCATTAGACGCTTTGTAGCTGCGGAGTTTGCGTAGGACGGCTGCGGCATGAGCGGCAGCGAGCTGAAATCGAGCGCCGCGGGCTCGAAGTCAGTTGCTGTACCCTTCGCCTGCGAGGGCTTCTGGCTACCTTTCTGATTATCGCCACTGTAAGCGCCCTCGGGCGGATCGTCGAAGAGAATGTCAACATCCTCCGCGTCTGTCTCGTCGCTATCGCCATCGCCGTCGTCGAGAACAATAGGGTTGCCCCAGCCATCGCCTTTCAGCCTCTTCATTGGGCTTCCGAATCGCTCGCGGGCCTGCCGGCTGTCGTTGCTTGTGACTTGCTTTCGGGGCTTGATCGCAGAGGCGGGAATCGCTACGCTGTCGCTGATGCCACGGGGAGTGCGCTGCGGATCCTGAGGGTAGATATCCTTCAGTTTACCGTCATCGCGGATTGTGATTTGATCGGTCTCCGGCTTGCAGTTTACGAAAAGATAGCGCGTCTGAATCCAGTCAAGGTGCCTGGAATTCACAGAGTGAGTAATGCTCTAGTCAGTGACTGAACGAAGGAGTCTAACTTACTGAACGACGTAGTAGGGATTGTTGCTCTGAAACTCCGCCGGAGCGTTGACCAGCTCATTCAGTGCAAGAGCGCTTTCGATGCGAAGAACGCTATGCGGCCAATGACACAGATCTCTGTGCTGCCCTCCGTAGCCATATCTGCCAGAATAACCGGTCGAGGTTTGCGCGTCTTTGGCATGGTAGACTCCATCGCCATATGCTCGGCCGTGGTCTGCGTTGCGGTAGTGTAGGCCTTCACGAATGATCATGTGCCAGTTGTGAAGCGGGCTGCCGTGCCAGGCGAATATGGTCGGATACTGCAGGTTGAGGCGCTCCGTCGTGGTACGAACAGCCGACAAGAAGCGCTCTTCCTTGTCTGGGGCGCCCATGGCAAAGCGAAACTGCATGTAATCCTTCATACCGTGCACACGCTCTTGTGATGTCGTGCTGTCGCCGTCCACTTGCATGATGCAGGCACGGTTGCTTGCTATGATCCATCGCAATAGGCTCAGCGCAGCAGGCGAGATGCGCCCCACCCAGTACTTTAGATCTGCCGGTTTGTGCTTGGCGAGGTACTCCTGCATGGACTTCACGTTTGGCAAGGTATCAAGAAGTTTGATGATGGACATGCATTTTCCGACACGATCGAGCTCTTCGAAGTCTTGCTCATAGACCTGGAAGCTGGCAGGTGCCCACTTCGGCGTGGTCGCGGGTGTCAGCGCGGTACTCCTTGCTGTGAGCGGGGCAGATGGTGTCAGGGTGTCGGCGCTCGTTTTTGAAGGAGAAATCATCAGCGGCGCATTGATGGCAATAGTGGGATAAAAGGTCACATCGTCTACGCGACAATGCAGCTCAAGGTGGTCTGAGCCTTGCTCCTTGACGACGATCCAGGTTCCGCGTCTGACAGGGCACTCCTTGGGCACATTGAAGAAGATGACCTCCTGTCTGTCTCTGTCGAAGCCGACCTCGTATGCAGCAAATTGTTTTGGCTCCTTGTTCACTTCCGCTGGTTTTGCAGCTGGTACATGGCGGCCGTAATCGGGTTGGGTGGCATTAGCGCGATACAGGGTCAGGTCAAGAGGTGGCACCATCAGCGCCAGCCCATCAGGAAACTCTCGGAGCTTTCGCGCATTAGCGCTATTGTAGCAGAAGGATACAAGAAGATCGCAAACGTAGGGCTGCGTGATGATCTCGTGCTCGATGCTGGGTCCGAAGCCAAGTGTCATGTATTGGTACAGACACAGCGGCTCATCGCAAACGTACGGCTTGATTGCCTCGACCTCGGTATCCAGCTGACGATGACATACCAGGCAGAAGTCCGTACAGCGAACAAAATGACGTAGGGTAAACTGCATTGCAAGCAGCGGGAAAGAGTACTCTGTGTGATTCCCGCCATAGTGGTCGGCCTTGACGATGCCTGGTAGCGTAGCAGGTAGCTCTTCTGGAACGTAGTGTCGATCGGGAATGCCATCCAGCTTACTTTTCGAGCCTGACGTGCCGACCATCTCTGCGTACCAACTTTCAGCTCCACGCCAGTCCATTCCGGTGGCTCGCCAGCGAAGTATGGGCACGAGGCGCTCTTGTAGGAAGCCATTCAGTGGCCTCGATATGAATGTATCGCGTAGTGAGAACTCGACTGCTTCGTCGGCGGTCGGCGGGCCCGCTGGTGGCACACTGTCACGCTGACTTTGCTTCTTCGCAGCGGTGAACACTTTGATCGCTTCTTGCAGGGTCGGTTTGTACTTCTTGCCCGTGCATACGCGTATGCCGAGATTGGGCGCCAGTCGCAGGCTATCACAACTCTGCAGCTCTTCGTTGGTCTTGTAGCCGTTTGGGTACTGAATGATGAGGATGAGGTAGTCATTCGAAGCCATGTGCCATGCCTGTAGCGCCTCATCTGAGATGGCGAGCTTGGACATACGTATAGAAATAGTGACAAACGAGTTGTAGCCGTCTAGCAGCCCGCCCAGGTGGCCTACCTTGAAGCCGGCCTCCTTGGCCGTGCGCAGATCTTGGCGAAGACGAGCTCGAAAATGCCGGTTGATGCTGTTGGGTCGGGAAAGGTTGGTGTCAGAGACTGATGGAATTGAGTCTCGGGGTCCGTCAAACCCGAATGCTTCATGGTCGCTGTCGTACACATCGTCGCCGTCTTCGACGTCCAGGTCTTCATCGTTATGAGAATCCTGCTGTGAGTCTGGCATCTCGGTATCACCGTCGCTGTCATTCGCAGTCGAAGCTGAGGTAAGCGTAGCCGACACAATGTCGAGCAGCTCGAATACTGCCTTGCGGGCGGTGCCGCTGATCGTGGAGATCGCAGTGGCGAGCCGTGGCGGAGCGTCATCTCCGCAGAAGAGCATGTACTCGTGACTGCTCGGATAATCACTCAGGTCAGGTAATATCATAGCAGTGATCTTGATTGGGTTGCGTAGGCTACCATCGAAGAAGTCGAACTCGAACGCATTGTCATCGTCACCCGCTCTGACATCCAAGACGCCGAGCGGTAAAACATCTCCCTGGGCCTTCTTCAGGTCGGCGACCCACTGCTTCCGAGGCATCAGGTAAAATGATGGTTAGTACGTTCTCAAATGCAGCGCTGAGAGGTTGAGCTCTGCGAGTCGGCCAAGTCGAGGTGTGTGGTATTTGCCGCTGAATGTTGAATGTGCGTTTGCAGGTGGATGGTGCAAAACGGGTGGATCCCTCACTTAATAGGTGTAGATTCTGGCCGTAAAAACGGTGACTGCGATGCTTCACACCTTGCTACGTGGCGGTGCCCCATCTACGTGCTGCATACGGGCTGGCGGTGTTTGCTGGGTGCTGAAGCGCAGTATTACGAACCGAGAAGTGCTTTTGGTAAGGAATGAATGGTGGCGATCCGTGCCGACAGACTTACCGCTGTGTGAGTGAATGTAGAGAATGTGGGAGAGAACATTGAGTTAGGTGACCGTTGGCCGTCACGAGGCTGCACGTTGCGAGTGACTCTGGAAAGATTGCTGCCTTGCTGCTGCACCTCACGACCCACGAGCCGCCTGTTATGCAGGAACGTGAGGCTAGCTTCGAGCTCGGACCATTCGCCAGATGCAGCACGTTTACGTAATATCACATGATCGCAGCATGCCGATCAGGAAGTCACGTAAGGACATGTAGCATCTCTGGTCGAGGTGTTTCCGTAATGGCTGTGAAAACGGCGGGATTGGAGACGGCAGCAAGCAATCAACAGCCGGTCGACAGTTCACTTCAACCATTCCTCCAGCGCGACTTCGATCCCGCAGACTACTTGAATAGCTCTCTGTCTTCTCTCGCAACAGCACCTGCTTCAGCACAGATAGGTGCCAGCAATGGCCAGCCTGTTCCTTTGCAGGAGCTCAGCAGCCAACTACAGAATCTACTTACGCAGTTGAATGCGCAAGCTACGCGGCTATCCACTAACCTTACCCAACTTACCGATGAGATTATCCGCAGCGGTAGCCGGCTGGCTTATGAAGTCGAGGTGCTACGTGGCGATGCGAACAGCCTGACTCATTCGATTGACAGTGGCTTGAGGCAGGACATAGAGCTGTTCACACCCGCGCCGTCTTCGGCAGCAGCAACCGATGCTAGCAATGAAGGCGATGGTGTGCCTCCACCCGTCGGCCAGGTCGGCGGAGAACCAGAGTACCTTGACCGCTTGCGCACTCTCACCAATGTCCGTTCACGCTTGGACGCCGTCATCAAAGTATTCGGTGAGGCTATGGCATGGCCTTTGGCGCCCTCGGAGCTCGCGACAACCTCGCTTGTAGCTGTTTCTGCTCCAGCATCAGATGCTGACTTACAGGCTAGTGAGCGGAAGGGGAAAGGATACATGGAGCAGCTTCGGGATGAGCTTAACGATTTGATCGGCTCAGGCGACGACCCTGCAGGCCTCGATGCTGCAGCCGCGCGTGTAGCGAAGCTGAGATCGCTGGCAGAAGTCTGGAGAGGGACAGTGGAGGAGAAGGCACGTATGAGGCTTGTGGACAGCCTCCAGACGCCAATTGAGGAGAAGCAACGAGCGCTGGAGGAGGCAGGCCGGAGCACGAAGACAACTACAACCCCAGCACGAGGCGTCGATCATCGATACGGTGATCTTGCTGCAACGCGTACGGCAAGCGAAGGCGGCTACGGTTTCCTACAGAATTTGAGGAATCTGAAGAACGAGGTCTACCTTGAGTAGGGCGCTTCTGGCGTCTTCAATATACTGCAGCGCCGTCCTTAAGGCCATGCTTGAGGAAGTCTTCTCTCTCCACTTCGCGCACTCCCTTGATTCGCAAACTTGCTACCATACTGGCGCCGGCCCACGGGCCCAGCGTCTCGACCCCACGGACAACACCTTTGACGATAATATCTTGCGGTCTAGCGCCGTGATTACGTTCAGACTTCAGCGTGACGTGGTCCTTAATATCGTCGTGCTTCCTGTGTCTCGCCGGGACAAAGTCCGGCGCTGCCTGCTTCGTAGGGTTCGCCGACGATTCTCCGTCGGTGCCAGCTTGCCGAGCTGCTGCAATGTTGGCGCTTCTTTCCCTAAGTGTTCGCTCATGCCAAGCCGTGGCGCTGCCATACTTGGCGACGGGATCCCAGCCGCGCTTCCCAACCAGTTCGTTGAGCTCGCAGAGCAGACGGGACCGAAGGCCCGGAAAACTCCCTAAGCCGCCTGTGAGAACTATTCGTGAGATGCAGAGTGCACGAAGGTCGAGTGGTAGGGCGAGAAGAACGCGATAAGCGAGGACGTGGAGCGGGAGATCGTTGTCATCCAAGTCTTGCAGGTCTGAAGCCGTGAAGAACAGGTCCTCTGCGGGCTCCGAGAGACGGCTGAACGGCACCGCCATTGAAGTGGACTGTCCGTCAGGAAGTGGTATCTGCTTAATGGTCTCCTTCTCGTTTGCGCTGGACTGCTGAGGCTGCGGCTTACACCAGCCTAGTCTTTCGACAACATCCTCCGCATGAGCAAAGTCTACTTTGCCCTCCTCGCCTGGGTTGGCCTTCTTGACTTCGTCCTGCAGCATCAACGCCGTGATCTCGCTCAACCGCTTTCCTGCCCTTACGCTACGCCGTTGAAACACCTCCCGATATTCACCAACGGCAGTGATGACGATTTCCTCCCATCCTAGTTCGATTACTAGAGCATTGCGAAGTCCAGCTCCTACGCATGCCAGTATTGGCGTGCTCAAGATCTGCACAGAAGGTGGCTGTGCGTAGTGATTGAATAGTATTCGTAGCGCAACCTCAAGTAGTGGCGTCGGCAGCAAAGAAGGCACGGCAAGTACGGCTTTACGAGGCTTCTGATCAAGCTGTAAGAAGTCCGCATGCACAGTACGCACGGCTCGCTCGAGCTTGTCGTGCACCAAGCCAAGATCAAGACCCCTACAATCCGTACGATAGAGCTCATAGCCATCGCCCCACGCGTTCCGCTTAGTACTGCCGCGCCGTGAAGAGGTATACTGCGGATCGTACTGTCTGTACTCGCCCACTCTACGTCCCATGTCTGGGTGGAAGCGCAGAATGCATCTCGGCCTACTCTCTCCCGCAAAGCCGGCAGATATATGCCTTGCGCCAAGCTCGTAGACTACAGTGTCCTCCTGCTCTCCGCGGTAGCTACCCGGTGATGCAAACTGAGAGGAGATGCTTCGACCGAGTACTGGAGTGCGCGGCGATCCAGGTGTTCCCGGGCCTCCGCCAGTCCGCTGCCTCTCCGGAAGCACGGTCGGTGGAGGTCGCGTGCGCGCAGTTTGACGACCGGCAAAGTAGTCGGCAGAGGGTGACGGCGGTGCCGCCATGCCGGCTACTCTTGAAATCGTATATTGGCTCAATGGCCAATCCGGTTCTGTTGTATCACATGATGTTGGTGCTGTATTGACACTGTATCCGACACGCTCGCATTGCGGGTGGGATGCTACATGCGCCAAGGCTTCATCATGTGGCCCAAGCTCGACGTCCTTCAAGAAATTTGCTCGGCGACACTATTCACACTCCCTTTATACGGTGTAGGAATACATCTTCTCCTATCTCATCGCTAGTAGCCAAAGACTAGGAGCTTATACTATGACGCTCTTTATCCTGACCGAGACGCCGGCGGGCTACGCCATCCTTAAAGCCAAGGACAAGAAGCTGCTCAAGCGCGATGACTTGGCCAAGGAAGCAGAGACTGCGCAGGGCGTGTGCAGTCTGCTCAAGCTAAAAGAGTTCAAAAAGTTCGAGAGCGCAAGCAGTGCGCTGGAGGAGGCGGCGGCGTTGACGGAGGGGAAGGTCTGTACCATAGTCGCCCACGTACAAGGCAGTTAGAGCACGTGATGCTGACAGTCTTCTTAGGTCACACCTATGCTATCGAACATGCTCAACACGCTCAAAGATGAGAAGAAGGTTTCGCTCGCTGTCGCCGATCCTAAGCTGGGCAATGCTATCACCAAGATCCCAGGCCTGCAAATTAGTCCCGTCTCCGATTCAGCTACCGCCGATCTGTACCGTGCCATCCGCGAACACCTACCATCGCTTATACCCGGCCTCATGCCGGAAGAGATCAACTCGATGAGCCTAGGCCTGTCACATTCTCTATCTCGACACAAGCTCAAGTTCTCGCCGGATAAAGTCGACACCATGATCATCCAGGCTATCGCTCTACTGGACGACCTGGACAAGGAGCTCAACACATATGCCATGCGAGTCAAGGAATGGTATGGCTGGCACTTCCCGGAAATGGCTCGCCTCATCAATGACAACCTAGCCTACTCCCGTGTTATCCTAGCCATGGGTATGCGCTCAAATGGCGCCAATACCGATCTCAGTGATGTTCTACCGGAAGAGATTGAAGGCGCCGTCAAAGCTGCCGCGGAGATTTCTATGGGTACCGAAATCACCGACGAGGATCTGGAGAACATCCAAGCCCTGGCCGAGCAAGTCGTTGGATTCACCGAGTACAGACAACAACTCTCGTCTTATTTGTCTGCGCGTATGCAAGCCATCGCACCGAACCTTACCGCGCTGGTCGGTGAGCTGGTCGGCGCTCGGCTAATCGCCCACGCCGGCTCGCTCATGAACCTAGCCAAGTCCCCTGCTTCGACAATTCAAATCCTTGGCGCCGAAAAAGCGCTCTTCCGTGCGTTGAAGACCAAGCACGACACGCCTAAGTACGGCCTCATCTATCATGCCAGCCTCATCGGCCAAGCGAGTGGCAAGAACAAGGGCAAGATAGCGCGTATGCTGGCAACGAAGACGACACTCGGTCTTCGTGTTGATGCGCTCAGCGACTGGGGCACAGCCGGCGAAGGCGGCAAGGATGAGCCTACCGAGGAGGAGAAGATGGCTACTGGAATCCAAGCGCGCGCGATGCTGGAGCGGAGACTACGCGGTATGGAGGGCAAGCCGCTCAAGCCTTCAGGTGTGGCTATCGGTCCGCAAGGCCAGAGGCAGCAGGGCCAACCTGGCAAATGGGAAATCAAGGAAGCGAGGAAGTACAATCCGGATGCGGACGGTATTGCTCCGGACGCGAAGCCTGCTGTCAATGGCGTGAGCATGAATGTAGGCAAGAAGAGGAAGATGATCGAGGAAGTAGAGGATGCGCCGAGCAGTAAGACACTTAAGGCAGCGACTTCCTCGACACCAGCAAAGGCTGCAAAGCCGGTCCCCGAAGATGACGAGGATGACGACGAGGATGACGTGGATGATGAGAATGACGAGGGCGACGCTATCCTCATCACAAAGACCAACATGAATGGCACCGCCGAGCGAGCCGATCCATCCGTAGCGCCACCAAACGATGCTAAGGTCACCGCACCCGATGACAAAGCGGCGAAGAAGGCCAAGAAGGAAGAAAAGGCGCAACGTAAAGCGGAGAAGGCTGCGAGGAAAGCGGAGCGCGTAGAGAAGCGAGCGAAGAAGGAGGCGAAGGAGGCGAAGAAGTCTGCGAAAGGGCACGCAAATGGTGAGGTCAGCCGGGTGACGGACGCGGTGCCAGTTGCTGAGAAGAAGAAGCGGAAAGTAGATGATGCGGAAGGCGAGGAGCCGAAGAAGAAAAAGAAGAAAGCCAGCTCGTAGAAAGGGCAGCGGATTCTTGACGCTTCGGTGAGTCGTGGTGTACGTGGCGGTAGAGGAGGGCGAGAGGAGAGATGTGGGCGTTCGAGTCGTGGTGACCGCGCGAATGCTCACTCCCGAGCAAGAGGCTTGGGCCTCCCGCCCGGTAGCGGCCGCGGGCGCGCGAGGTAATACGGTGGTTTTCTGCACATACGGTCTGAAGGCGGCGTGAGCTCCTGATGGACGGCTCCGACAAGTTCTGTGGCGTTGGAAAGGCATGGTAGCCTACAATGTTGGAGCTAGGTTTGGAGGGATGTACACTTTGGTGGAGCAACGAAGACCTCAAGGCAGTTATGTAACCTACGCAATCGGTTGAATGCAGGCATCGTTTGCCGCTCGCTTTCGACTCTTCAATGGTCATGGTCGGTTTGCAGTTGGACAGTGCGACTGACGGGAGATCGAGGGGACGACTGTTTTCAAGCCAGGCCTGTATACTGGGCAACGCACTGAACTAGAGACGTGGTTCTGCGATACTCGGAAAGCTGGGTTTATGGTTTCCATTGTCGCGCTGATAGCGCCGGCGCACGTGATCACTCGTCGTCTGTGTATGCTGATACTTATCTGTACAGCGCAGCGAACGAGCAGAGACTCCCACTATGAACATTGTCGACTGCGGCCCAGCATCCGTAAAATTCTTGGTGGGAATCGTGCTGCTGCGCACAGCAAAACTTGTCGCTCAGTCCTCAGTCTGGCTATGGAAGCTCGGCGGAACTTTGTCAATGTCGCACAGATGGAGGACAGAAAACGTCAAACAAGATGAGCATCATAAAGCAAGTGGGCAGTAAAAGATCGTGTGACGACCGCGAACGTGTCTCGGTTAGGGATGTTGTGTCACATGTGACAGAGGCTATGACACGTCACATTTGTCACATGTCACGTTTTACTATGGGAAGACACGTGTCATGTGTCGCGCCACGTGCTAAGCCTAGTCGAGCATACATTAAGCCTAATGGGGATGCCGTTCCTTCCCAACTCATATCTGCATACTTTCCTCTTTTACTGCTCCTTCCAATACAGTGGCTCATAGTTATCCTCTTCAGGAAGGCGCCCCTCAAGTACTGCTGCGAGATTCGCTATAACAAACACAAGGCGACTCGCTCTTTCCGCATCCAGTCGATTACGTCGTAATGAGTGGATAAAGCCATGAAGTGACCAATTACGTTCAGCAGCGCCTGTAGTAGGTGCGACTGCCAAAGCAAGTAATGAGAGTTCAGCCAAATCAGGAAGGTACGGCTGATATTGGCTCCACCATGTCTGGGTTGTAACTTCCAATCCTGCTTGCCATTTCACTTCGTCTTGAAACACACCTTCCCCTTGTAGAAGGCAGGAGCAGCTATATGTGTTTGTAAGGAAGGTGCTACTGATAGTCAATGAATGAAGTGAGGTTGCCTTTGGCCGCAGGCGGTCCCTTCCCCATTAGGCTAGTACCCCGCATGACACGTGTCATAAAAGATCGACTGACACGTGTCACATCACGTGTGTCACATGACATATGTCATGTGTCGACACATGCCAACATCCCTAGTCTCGGTACGCCGGGTGTCCCTCGACGCCGGGATGCACGTTGCTCCGCTCGATGAGGGCCGGTCCGTTGAGATTTTTGTGACGGTCCGCTCCGGTATATGGGCTTATCCGTTTCGGTACACGCCACGAACCGGATAGGGTTCAGACGGTCGGTCTATATCAGAAGTAACATTCCGAGTGGTCAAGCTGTTTGCTGCTCGTGCATCCTGCGGCAAGACGTCCATGCAATGCGTTATCACAGCCCTCGCTGAATGATACGATTACAGAGTGAAGCCAAGTGACGATGCCTGCGCGCAACGAGCTCAAACGGAAGTGGTGGTCGCTCGAATCTCGGGATACTGACTAACCGAGCCCTTCAATGGCAGGTATTGAAGGTGCGCATCGCTGCTGGAGGCTGACTGGAACCGGACCTCAGCTCTCCGCAGTCAACACCTCAGCTCCCGGGGGTTTGCAAGCCTGCATGCGCATCCACGCACCTTGCCACCTACTGCCTTCCGAACGCAATAGGAGCGTCCGAGTGGCAAACAACCAGGCTTGCGTCTTCGATGCAGTAGATACAGCAGCATTCCTGCATGCACAATCTCTAATCACCTCTCTCGACCATCACCGCGACAATAGTACACCACATCATGTCGGCATCAGAAAAGGCGCAGCCCGAACAATCGCCACATGCCATTGATGAGTTGCCAAGTCATGCCTTCGCCAAGACCGAAGTCAAGAAAAGGATGAGAAGAGGACCGCCAGGCAAGTCTGAGGATGGCGAGGAAAGCAAAGGTGGAGTTAAGAATTACTTTGTAAGAGGGAGGGAAGCTCGACAGACGAGCACACTATTAACACGCCTCAATAGCGCATCTTCCACTAGGCCGACAAAGTCGATTTCTACTTTACGCCATCGCCCTGGCTGGCGCGGTTGTCACAGGCGCTGCTCTTCCATTGATGACACTGGTCTTTGGAAAATCCACAGCAGCATTCAGCGGTGTGTCCACGCAGGGCAATACACCAGAGTTCCAATCGACAGTCAACCAGCTCGTCCTCTACTACGTCTATAACTTCATAGGACGTTTCGTCATCGGATACGTCGCGACACTCTGTGTATGCGTGGCGGGTGCCAGAACAACGCGATCTCTCAGGAAAAAGTTCTTCGAATGCGTCTTGCGGCAAGAAATCTGGCATTTTGACAAGCGGAGCAATGGATCAATCGCTGCTCAGGTCACGACAAGTGAGTCGTGCTGTTTGTGGCATAGTGCTGTCGCTAATGGACGCAGACGGAAACCGCATCAATCAAGGCATTGCTGAGAAGCTCTACTCTACGGTCGGCGGACTATCACTCTTTCTCTCATCGTATATCGTCGCGCTCGCTGTTCAGTGGAAGCTCGCACTGATTACTATGACAATCATACCAGCAAACATCCTGATATTTGCAACGTGCATTCACTTCTCCATTGCGATCGACGAACGTATCACGAAAAGCTACTCTCGAGCCTCCGTCATGGCCCAAGAGGCCATCAGCTCTATCGAGACGATAAACGCATGCGGAGCTGCGCTACAGACAGTGAAGAAATACGGCGCATTCTTAACAGAAGCACATCAAGCAGGACTCGCGAAATCGCCCCTGACGGGGATCTTCGTCGCAACATCAGTCTTCTTGGTCATGTCAGGCACTGCGCTCGCTTTTTGGGAAGGATACAGGCTTTACTCGAGTGGAGAAGTCAACAATGTTGGCACTGTGTTCACAGTGGTCCTGAGCGTCACTCTTGGAGCGACTTCCATCATATCAATGTTGCCGTCGCTCGAGACCGTTAGCGCTGCTTCATCCGCTGCTGCAGAGCTGTTTGAGGTCATGGACAAGCAGACTCTTCTCGATCCACTCTCTCCTGATGGTGAGAAGCCCGCAAGCTTGACTGGAGACATCGAGATGAAGGAGATTCGCTTCGCCTATCCTTCTCGTCCATCAGCCGAGGTACCACAAGGTATGACCTTGACGCCGCCGGCTGGCAAGACTATAGCACTCTTGAGAGCAAGTGGTTCCGGCAAATCGACAATTATTGGCTTGCTCGAGCGATGGTATGTTCCCACTTCTGGCACGATCCTACTGGATGGTCTCGATATTGCCAAGTACAATGTCGAATGGTTGAGAAGCAATATCGGACTCGTGCAGCAAGAGCCTGTCTTATTTCAAGTTACAATCTTCGAAAATGTGGCCAAAGGTCTCAACGAGGAGCAGCTCGCACTTCCACAAGCTGAGCAATTAGAGTTGGTGAAAGAAGCGTGCAGGTCAAGCAATGCGCATGACGTTGTAGAGCGTCTCGCTCATGGCTATGATACACAAGTCGGCGAGCGAGCAAGCATGCTAAGTGGAGGCCAACGACAACGCATTGCGATAGCTCGAGCCTTGATACGAAAGCCACGGCTTCTGTTGTTGGATGAGGCGACCAGTGCTCTTGATACACAAAGTGAGCGGATCGTTCAGCAGGCGCTAGATAGTGCTGCTGCGGATTCAAGTCAGACGACGATTGCTGTGGCCCATCGACTCAGTACGATCAAGAACGCAGATGTAATCTTCGTCATGGAAGATGGATGCATCGTCGAGACTGGCACCCACGACCAACTTCTACAGCAAAGAGGCAGATACTATGCTATGTGTCTGGCTCAAGCGCTGGATCAAGCGCTGGATCAAGCGCTGGATCAAGCGCACGACTGAAAAGGCTGTGCTGACACCCGTCTGGCAAGATGTCCCATCCCGCCGAAGTCTCGCCAGATGCACGACAACTCGCTTTGAGCGTACTCGACTGTCGAGGAACGATACGAAGCAGAGACCGCACTCTGGCGCTTTCTTGAAAGCATGATCGATCGGTCGGGGCGTCCGCGCATTGCCCACTCGGACGATTGTTGCTGATGCTGCGGCCAAGGCTCTGTGCTGATTGCTCATTTTGCACACCAGGGTGAGACATTGTATCGTGTCCAGCGGGATCGACATATCCTTCCTCTAGATATGGGCAACGGTTTCATCTATTCATTGTTTTTACACGATTTCATGCATTAAATGGATGAATGTTATTGCTCTTCTCATTCATCCATGTATGCACTGACGATGGGTAAGCGATATTGCTATTCTGATTGGTGAAGAAAGCTCGCTTAGATCACATGATTTTTCATACACCTTGTTACAATGAATCGAACTCACTGCGCGACCATCGGGCCAAAGGATAGTGAAGATGTTACAATGACTGAGACAGCGCTGTGTTGCCTCCACTCCTCAGCCGCGTAGGCATGGGCTCGAATGCTTGACGGGATACACCTGCGAGGCTGCGGGTAGTCACAAATGCGTCTAGGATGCGCCACGAGATGGAGACTTTCAGGTTGCTTTGTAGCAGCAGGGTGGCACCTTTCGCCCCAGACGCATTGTCGACTCTTCGGAAGATGTAAGCGATCACTGATACTGCATCGAGTCTCGAAGCGATTAATCGTCTCCTTCTTGTCTCCGTCCTTTCGCGGAGCTGGGCTGTGCTGCCATCAGCGGTGGTCGTCCGACATAGCTTGTGTGCCAAAGACAAGGAAACCAGGCCAGTCAAGCATTTCACTCTGCTTAGCGTCCCGTTGAGCCGAGCCGGACAAGGTGATGCTTCGTGCGGTGTCCGACAAACATGGACACAAAACGGGAGGCACCGCGGGTTCCTGCATTAGCGCTGATCTGTCGCATACCTCGCCGAAAACTTCAATGTCTCGACTGACTGCAATGACGGGAATGTAACGATCATCGCCGAAATGAAGATTCTCGATGCCGGGACGGAGAGCATGTCTAATATGGACGTGCTGAACTGGGTCGCCGACAAACGCCGCCAGTATAAGAAAGAAGATGATGATGACAAAAAGCAAGGCAAGAAGCCGACACCTCGCCCACAGAACCTTATGGCGTCACTCGACAAGCACGAGCGCGAGCTGAAGTCGAACAAATACCCGTACATGAGAAACCCGTCCGCCTACCCTGAGAATGAGAAGTACATCGAATCGATGTCGCGTTTCACGTCTCTGATGACCGAACGCATCTCCTATCCGCTCGAGGAGAAGTACCGTGGCAATGGGATGACGAAGGAGGAGCTAGATAGAACCCTCGGCAAAGAGCAGGAAGAGAAGGCTTTGACGGAGACTGAAGACCTGATGATTCTCAATCTTGCGCCCGGAAATGTGGAGATGCTCAAGCCGATGATCGAGAATATTGATGATCGGTTTACCGAAGAGGAGCAGCAGATCATTGTGGACTGCGTAAAGGAGGTCTACAGATGCGACGAGCAGGAGACTTGACCTGCGCTACTTTCACTGCTGAACAACAGTCATTTGTCTACCGTTGTTTGTCGAACTTCTTGCCTGACAAGGTACCACGCCTAAGCGCGCAGAGAGAGGTCCCCTGCAGTCACAAGACCACTGCCGCGCATTGCGGAAGCGATAGCGAGTATCATGATTCCGACATTCACGGATCCGACATCGGGTACGGACCGAGTGTACAGCAACCATTCGAACTGCTGTCTGTCCTACTGGCTACGCCAAGCCATTTGTGGTCAGGGCGTGGCAACAGGACAAAGCCCGTGCCATGTGCCGCTTGAATATTGTCATAAGATCGACCGGGCCAAACGCTATGCAACTTCGAGACGTCAAGCTGAAGATGGCCAGTATCGAGAATTCGCGCCGACACCAGGCAATGGTAGCGCTTCCGAATCAGGACCGGTGCCTGACTTGCGTCATGATGGCGCTGGTGGACGACATGCTTTCGAATGAATCAAGACGCATGACAGGTAACGTGCCAGAGAAGATCCCATCGCCGTGTCGTGACTGAGGTTAGTCACGTCTAGAAACGCCGATCATAAAATGAAGGCTGAGGCGGCGATTTAGGAGCGCTACCATCACGAGGGATGTGGTTGATTGTAGGATCAAATTCCGTTGTCAACCCACTCGACGATGGTCAAGAATCTGATGAGCTTCACTTCCGCGTGCCAACGATGCGCAGTGATATTACAGCCGAGTTGAACTTCGAGGCGGCGCAGGCTCGAAGGTGTGAGCAATTGCATGGCAAGACCAAACGATGCTTCAGTCGCACGTATACAAGTTATATCGATGTATAGGCTCGTGCTAGATTGCAAAACGGTATCTGAATCACAATCAAATGTGGTCCGAAAGAGATTCTATCCAAGCTGGTACAGCCTATCCTGCCTAAGTGAACACACGGTTCTACCGATCGATCCCTGATCGCTTCGTCCAACTCGTGAGACCCCGCCAAGGCCGCGTACCAAATCCATCCTACTGAGCAGGCCGCTCACCCATCGCAGGCGCCAGCGGTGCCACGGAGGTGGTTACATCCTTCTTTACCGGAAGACCGCCCTGCTGCAACATCTGCGGACTAGGCGCCAACCTCGGCGTAGCTTGTTCCACGCTCGGACTGCTGCCTGCTAGCTGGCTTGAAGACAGCGGCTGCTGCGGTTGCGGCTGGTCATGCTTCTGCGGGATGGCGCGACTGCCAACTTGCCAGGGCCCTGCCATACCGTCGGCGGCAATGCCGTTGTTCGTGGGCGTGCTTGCTGCAGGGATTGCATGCGACAATTGAGGGGTCTGCAGTAATGGCTGCCCGACTCGCGCGCCGTTTGCCGAGGGTGGACGAACGGTTGAGTGCGCGGGCGTTGCGGTGATGCCCGGCTGAACTGAAGCGGGCGCTTGCGATCCGATATTCGCTCTGTGTGCTGGTGCAGGCGAGCTTTTCATGGGAGATCGCCCGCTACCATCTTGCGGGAATTGGTTCCATCCGGTTTCTGCAGGCGGCGGAAGCTGCGTCCGTGGGCTGTGCTGCAAAGCTGGTGATGTTGAAAGAGCAGGTTGTGCTGCATTCTTCACGGGCGATTGAAAGCCGTTTAGCAGATGCGGATGAGACGGTGGGCGTTGCGGCCCCTGTAATGGTGTCGGTGCATGGTGATGAGTTTGCTGAAGTGATGACGGCGGCCTTGGCTGATACTGCTGTTGAGCATGAGGCTGCGGTGAGTACTGGTTGTAGTGATGCGGCGGTTGCTCGGTTTGCTGATGGGACGCATGGTTCATCGGATAATGTCCCGGTGGCACGCTGGGACTGAACCTGTTTGGGTGTTGTGGAGCATGCTGGTATTGCGGCTGATGATAGGCCGGATGCCCACCAGCAGCTGCAACTGCTTGCTGATGCGCATATTGATGGTGCTGTCCATGCTGGGTCGCGGGCTGGAGAGGACTGTAACCGTACCCATTGACACCAGGTGACGAGGATCCAACATAACCAGAGCTTGGGGGTCTAACGAGCGCCTCCGTGTACGGTGCGGTGTGCCACGCTTGTGGCGGACGTTGCGGCGGAGCAAAGTTACTTACGGGTGGGTACTGTGGTCCTTGCGGTGGCGGCGACAACGCAGGTCCGTTCGTGATATGGCCAAACGGTCCTGGACTCACGCGGGGCGGTTGTTGTGGGATGTATGCACCATCGAGCTGCCTTTGCAAGTGCTCGGGCATTGCTAGGGTTCTTGGCCTTGTGTCGTCGTCCTTTGCCTCCTTAGACGATGGCCTCCCAGGACCTTTCTTCGTCTCATTCGGCGTGCCAGGACTCGAGCTCGTACCTTTCTTGCCTAGCTTCAGTGGCGGAATTTTAGGCTTGTCAAGCTGCTCGCCGCCCGCTTCGATCCGCTTGCAGCTCTTGCACACGAACACGAATCCTTCCTTCTCCGCCTGCTTCGGCGTGAATCCGTGACATCGACTATGCTGCCAAACATTGCACCGATCGCAAGCCAGGCTATGGGTACCATCGTCCAAGTTTTCACCATTCATTCCGCAGACAGAGCAGTCGAAGTACCACTTGCCGAAGCTGCCGTCCTCGGCTGCAAGCTCTGCAAGCTCCTTCTGGTGCTGCTCTTTTTGTACTTTGGTTTGCCGAGCCGAGATACGCTTCTGCTCGGCATCTGCCTGTTCGGAAGAAGGCTCCAGGCTTTGCGAGGTTGTCCGTTCTTCGGCTGCCTGGAGCCGCTGCAACTCCTCCTCGTGCAGGATACGCTTCGCCTCCCGCTCCTTGATTCGCTGTTCTCTCGTTTGTCTGCGACTTTCGTGGCCTTCTTCAATCCGTCTCTGCCTGTCCTCCTCTTCATGCGCCATGCGCAGATTTCTCAACCTCTTCTCCTCGGCCTCCTGCTTCTCCCGCTCCTCCTTCTCCTTCTCGAACTTGCTTGCCAGCCGGCTTGACCGTTTGGCCGTAGCGAGCTTTTGTACATTCTCCAGCTCGCGCAGCTTCTTCAGCTGCTTTTGCCGCAGTGCTTCTGCCCGCTTCTCGATGATCGGTCGCACGTCTTCTGTTATGCGCTTGTGCAGTTGGCGCTCATTGGGATCACGCGAGCGGAATATGGACCCGAGAAAGTCGTCGTACTCATCCAGAGTGATAGCGACCAAGGACCATGTCTTCTCCGTGAAGCCATAGCCTGGCTCTTCTTCAGCTCTGCCGGAAGAGAGTGTTGAATCGCCATTCGTCGTGACAGTGTCTCCTTGGGCGCCAGGCTCTGCATCGATTTGCTCCCCGTCCGGCGGGAGCTCCTCATCTTCTGTGTCCTCCACCTTCCGCCGCTTAGACGAACGTGTCTGCTTACCTTTGCTCCTCTTGTTCGCTTTGGTCTTCGGTTTCATCTTTGGTGTCGGCGGTGGCAGAGGCTCATCGAACCGTCGGTACAACCGATTGTCGTCCAGAACAAAGTACGCCCTGTCCTCTCTGTCCCAGCCCACCGGCTCCATACGCCAGTTGAGGTGGTCTTCGTCTTGCGGCATCATACCCCTGATGCGCTCCGCATTGCCAAACGTCCATGTGCTCAATTGCTGCAACACGCGGATTCGTATGAAGATGTCCATCTCGCTGAACTTGGCCGGCTCCTCTTGTTCGCCAAACGGGTTGCGGTTGGGTGCTTTGGCCGTGTATTGGCGGCGCGCATACTCGTCGAAGATGTCGGGTCTGCGTCGCGTCAGTCACTCGTCATAGTGCAACACAAAGGGCGGTACATGGAACGTAGACCTACGTGAGGCCGCGATGCGACGACACATATTTCAGCAGACTCAAGCCGATGCCGGCAAGCTTTGATGAAGGCTCGGCCTTCAAGCACTCCGTTTCGAGGTCCTGCCAACACTCGTCCATCAGTATGCAACTTAGTCCATCCACGTGCAGGTGGCCGAGGTGTGGAGAGGGTAGGTGACGGCCCGCTCACCTCGACATCGAAGTCTTCGTCGATCTTGACCACGTGCCCGAAGAGGAAGATGTACTGCATGAGGCTGGCAAACTCCCACATATTGCGCAATCTCTGCAGAGTCTCGACATTCTCTGGTGCGATCTCGTGCTCGATGGGCAGGTCAAGTTGCGCCTCATCAGCCGTCCTTTTGTAGCGCGGCATCGTGAGGCCTGCGACGGACAGGAATGCTGGAGCGGTGGTGTGTATGTGCTCAAGGAGACGTTGAATCTTAGAAGCGATCTAGCATCGAGAGCAGGCGTGTGAAAGAGGTGTATGGACTTTGCGGTGGCATTAGATGGTCGGGGAGCGCGTGCCCGTCTCTCTCACGCAAGACATCACGAACCGTCGACAACAGCGCGACTGGCGTGCGTCTTGAGCCTGCACTTGCTGCGGCCGCTAGGCGCGGGCCGCGCTTGTCCCTGCATACTGTCGCATACTGCTCCTCTTCCGATCAATGCCACGATCCGTTCATCTTTCCCTAAATGCTACCCACGAACCTGCGTCACACGCGGGATGGTCGACTCACAGGAGGAACACCTCTTGGATGAGCTTCATCGCAGCGACTCTGGCAGTTCGACACCTGCCGAGCGAAGCGCAACCTCCCTTGTATCAGACACCACCATCCGACGTTTACTCTACACCTCCCACTTCCTCTCCACTTGGAACGCTCGCCTCTTCGAGTTCGCCGCGTATCTGTTTCTTGCCGAGACCTACCCGCACACTCTGCTGCCTGCTTCAGTCTATGCTCTAGCACGAGCGGCCGCCGCTGCCATCATCTCTCCGTTGCTAGGCCAGTATGTTGACTCCGGTGAGAGACTCAGCGTCATCCGATGGTCGATAGGCAAGTGCCCCTTATCATCTTCTACTGTCCATTGTGCGTCTGACGCCGTCTTTTAGTCTCTCAAAGACTAGCAGTCGGGTCGTCATGCCTCCTATTGTTCGCGATCACACTTGCACCTATTCTGCAACGCGACTGGCTGTTCTTCCCTCTGGTACTTCCTGTACTCTGTCTACTTGCCGCCATTGAGAAGCTCGGCTTTGTGCTAAACACTATAGCGATTGAGAGGGACTGGGTTGTCGTCATTGCTGGCAAAGATGAGTCTTACCTTCGTACAGCCAATTCGCAGATGCGCCGCATCGACCTCTTCTGTAAGCTCGTAGGACCGCTGGTAATCTCTATCGTGGATGCGGCCTCACCACAGGCGGCTATACTAATCACGGGTGGCCTGACCGTACTCTCTGTCGCGATCGAATATGTCTCCATTGCGAGGGTCCATAAAGCCGTACCTGCGCTTCGAGCTATCAGGGCCCGAGAACATCTTCTTCAAGACGCACCGCAGCCGCGTCGATCTTTCTCGACCGCTTCTTCGACTTATATGTCGGGCACGTTGAGCTACTTCCGCCATCCAGCATTCTTACCTTCTTTCTCTCTCGCATTGCTTTACCTCACAGTTCTCTCCTTCTCAGGGCAAATGATAACCTACCTACTCTCACTCGGCCTTAGCCCTTGGCTCGTGGGCCTCCTCCGCGGCATTGCAGCCGTCTTCGAGCTCTCTGCGACATGGCTCGCTCCCGCACTCATGCATCACATCGGCGCTATCCGGACAGGAATATGGTTCATCAACTTCGAGGTACTTTGCGTTACGATCGCATGTCTATTCTTCTGGCTGGGACCTCAAACGATGGTTGCTACTTGTGGAATAGTAGCGGCTGTGATGGCCTCCCGCGTAGGCCTCTGGGGCTTCGACCTTAGTGCTCAGATTATCATCCAAGATGAAGTCGAGCCCGAGGCGCGTGGAACATTCTCAAGCCAGGAAGCAGGGTATCAGAACATCTTTGAGATGCTTGCGTTCGCCAGCACGATTGTCTACACCAAGCCAGAGCAATTCAAGATACCAGCTACCATTAGCGCGGGTGCAGTGGCCCTTGCGGGCGCCTTGTACACCATACTTGTACGGCAGAGGCGTGGTCATCTGATCCATCTTTCCGAATGCATGGACGCGCAAAAGAGGAAGCAAGCTGGGCGGAGAGGCGTCGCAGGATTCGAAATGGTTCCTCAAGACAGCGCAACTATTCCTGCCTGAACATTCAGTTCTTCTTGTCACACTGAGTGTCTGCACGCTTTGCCGAGCCCAACGAAAGGTGGTGCTGAATGGAAGGTCGTCAGGTGAGGCTGACCGTCGCAAGTCTTGCCGCAATAAGGATCCCAGGCGGACGATCTCGCTCCTTCGTGCCCCGCCGAGGCCGAAGTATATTCCACACTGACCTTCATGTTCTGCTAAGCTATTCAAACGATGCCAGAGCGCTCTTTGCAGAGCACGAATGCAAAACCTGACCGTTCGCTGTTAAGGTCCCAGCCGAAGGTAGCCTCTATTCAACAGGCTCGATCCACGACGCTTCAACAGTACTTCCTGTGCAAAGCGCATTTCCGTCCAACCACGCAGATTCGACGCTGCCACCAGGCTTACTGCTCGTCAGCTCCTCGATACTGGACGCTAGCGAGACGTCGAACGAGTTATACCATTGCTAGTACGTAAGCTGCTTTCCGCATTTGAGAGGAGAGGGCATGGCTCATGCAAGAACCGATTGCTCAGTTACAACGAAGAGCACATGCCAGCTGTGCTCAGCCATCCGACAGTTGAAATTGCAAAAATTGGTTTACAATACAAGAACGTTAACCTGGACTCGAAGATGCCGTATATTGCTCTCTACCCTGTCTGTGATGTGTCGCTCCTCACGTCACCAGACCTGGGCACGCTCAAGCAGGACACCGGAATAAGGTCTGTTTTGGTGGGAGACCATTCCACGACTTCGTCCAGTTCCAACCGAATGCCTATGGAAAGATACAGACTTACGAAGGCCTGCACAAACGGAAGCCTCCCGGCGACCCACAGCCATTGGGCGAGCGTGCACAGACAATCATCGACCAGCAGAAGGCCAAGATCAAGACTTTGATGGCTGGTACCGGAAGCAGCATCTCGACATGCTAGCTATGCTACGAGACTACCGGCGCTCAACGAGGTATAAGCGGCTTGACGGGCGGAAGCCGAAATATCTTGCGCTGCATGAGTTCGATTATGATGCAGATGACCTGCCGGTGGAGCGAAGTATGCTGGTCGGGACAGAGTGGTGTAAGAAGATCAACAACGAGAGTCCGATCTTAAAGCGCGATGTCTTCGAGTTGATTCACGTGCAAGGTGATCGGAGTTTGCAGCTTTAGCGGCGGACATCTTACAACTATATCATGGTAGATGGTGAGTAGTTCGGTAACGGCTACATCGCGCTTCTCAATGCGCCTTCTAGGAACACAACCCCACTGATTACCCCATCGATAATCTTAATCTGCATTCCCCCCTCCTCACCTAGCGCTTCCACACAAGCACTCCTGACCACTTCATCCAGCCCAGCCATTCCCGCGCAGCCAAGACAGATCGCCTTCGCTCCTTTACGCAAAAGACGTTTCGTTGCATCCTTCATTCGGAGATCCAATTCCGACTTGGCCACAGCATGCAACTCGTTGGCGTTCAAGCCTGTCGTTTCCGTGCCAGCGAACCGCTTACCGTTGTCTGAGCCAAGTAATTCTGCGACGGCCTCTCCTAAGATCGCCTCCCATTGCTGGCCAGTACTTACGATGCCGAACTTTTCACCTACGTTCAGATACTGCAAGCAGGTAGCGACGGAAGCCTCGAAGATGCCGGTCACGCAGGGCCGATCGAGATGTTGTTTTCGTATCTCTTCGCGCAGTAGCGATACGAGAGGGTGCTGGGAGTAGCAGCACACCAAGAGGGCGTCATGGTACTGCATCAAGTCTGTTATATTTGGAAGGCACGCCTGGGCGGAGATCACGGCATCGTCTTCGTTGTTGATCGAGGAGACACCATGAGGCGCCGTGAAGTACTCATAGTGTGTCTATCTGAAGACGCTCAGCCAAGAGACTTGCCACTGTAGGTATGCAATTGGCGACTGACGGGAAAGCCTAGTCGCTCTGCTAACGGCCGCAATCCTTCGGTCATAGCTTGCGTCGTGTTCGGATTGATGATCAAAACAGAACGCTGCGGATGCGACATGGCGGGCCGAACGCTAGACTACAACGAGAAGCCTTCAGTGAATTTCTCTTGATGCCTGTGTTACAAGAGAAACGTTCGTGTCCTCGATAACGATATCAATGCATGCTCAGCTATTGATAAGGAAGCAACCCAAACCCTAACCCTCCTCACAATCGTCCATGGCGAAATTGGCACCCTCTGACGGCGACCTGGATGAGAGCCAAACAAGCTTGCTGCGCGGATGTATGAGGGAGAAGATATCGTTGCGATTGCAAGAGTGATGTACAACGAGGCCCATATGAGATCCAGCGCCGAATCTTCGCCTAAGCAACAGCATCGCTCAACCAGGCTTGACCATGTGCCTTAAGCCTCCCCCAACCCTGGCCTTGAGCGACTCGGAGTAAAGCAGATTCGCGACTCCTCCAATACACCTGTCTTAGCTATAGTATTAATGTAGTGGGCTAGGGTCGTCTGCAATGTCGTAAAGGGATGCGCTACTTTCGTTGCGAACACCTCAAAGTGCTTCGTCGGAAACATAAACGTGGTGAGATGCTTCAGATGCTGCCGTCCAGTACTTCCTCAATGCCACCCAGTGTGGGGCCAGCATATGGCCTGGGCTCCACCAGTCGCAGCAGTGCATCAGAGCAGAAGAGCCGCTCCTCTTCTTGCTCCATCTCGGCGACGCTTTTCTTTCGTCGAATAGCGCGTTGCGTTGAACTTAGTCGCTCGTCGGTAGCCCGGCTGGACACCCGGTCGAGGTTAAACCCTGAAAAGCCGAAGGATGATGCTGAGGAGCACACTGACCGGCTTGCTGATAGAGGTGAGGTTGATGGGCTTGAAGCAGCCTCGACCTGCTTTGACGAAGAGGGCTTGATTGCGGCCAGAATGTTGCGGAGTGAGTGTCGCGGAAGAAGTGGTCGAAGGCTTCTAGAGGGCATTGTGACTGAAGCCTTCTTGTACAGTAGGTAGGAGGCAGGCTTGTGTTTGTACCGTGTTTCGTGATGTCCGGTGGAGTTTGATAGATTGCTGATAGCCTCAATTTGTGGTGGCTTGAATTTGGGTTGATATAAGGATTTTGGCGAACGCAAACAAGCTGACCGCTTCGTGTCGGAGAGGCTCTGCGAACACTCTTGCACACTAACAACCGCAGCAAGGTGTAAATGTTCAACTGATTGTGTTGTGCGGAGCTGAGACCAGCCTCATCAATTATGTGTTGAAGGAATGCTGCAGTAAGAGGAGGCGCAGCAGAACGAGAAGAGCAATCGCTGTGACTTGACCGCTAGTAGGAAGTACACACAGTACGAGGAAGTTTGACAAGAGGGAAGAGAGAGGTTGGCACAAACCATGCGGTGTGCGAGGCGTACTTCAATAGTCGTGTGTTTGACCGTTGGTTGCTTCACCACCAGCCAGGTGTCTCACGCCACAAGGGGACCCGTCGGGTGTCACGGCCAGGTGCAGATCCACCCCTGCCCACGGTCATCGTCATCTCCGTTGCGTTCGTTCCAGTAACTGTTTGCTGGGGTTTCGAGACGTTTCGAGACACCATGACCGAGAAATGCAAAACTGTGTGACGGGAGAAGGATGTCGATGGTCATGGCAATATGAAGGTTCACCACAAAAGCCGTTGTAACACTGATTGGCTGTGGAGAATAAGGGAGGGACGACGGAGCTGTGGTTGGTCCTCGGTCGAAGTGTCCCGCAGCCGAAGCTCGAGATTCAACACGGTCAGCCCGACAGTGGTGAAACGTAGCGCGACACATCCTCATTCAATGACCGGGAGCAATCGTCTCGGACTGACGAGCTGACGTTGCGAAACCCAGCATGGGGCTGGATGGTGAGTACATCACATGAGCATATTATCCAGCTCGTCGTGGAGCTACAGTCGTGACCTCTATCTATCTGCGGTTCGCAAGCTTGTATACACAAAACGTATCATCGTTCGACCGCCCAACTCCATGCCATGCTCGCAGGGAACAACCCTACAGTCGCCGAATTCGCTCACATTTAACAATAGAAGAAAAAGCTTCGAGACCAGATCACGTCCATGACGGCCAAAGGAATAGCAAGTACTACGGGCAATCCACGTCTTGCGCGCAGCCGTACACGCCGCCAATCATGCCCTTAGGTGCCCTTTGCGTTAATGTCAAACCTAACGATTCAAGACGACGGCCGTCTGTTAGCGTTGCTTCCCCGCTTAGTTGTCATGCTCCGCTCCATGCTCGCACCCCATGGAGACGAAGAGAACATTCCCATCATCTCGCTTTGGCTGACCGCGCTTCCCGCACGACTTCTCGAGAGCCCTGTAGGCGTCGTAGCGCTAAGGTTCGGGCTCCCAGGCGGCGAAAGTCCCGGGCCCGCATTCTCCATGGCTGCCGCAAAATGCCAGTCCGGCTGAAGACTGCTCGTTGAAGCGGAAGGCCGGTGGCCACGAGGCGACAGCCTCGGCGAAGTTGGCGCAAGAGCATCCTCATGCTCTGGATGGGAATGGGGTTGTTGCAACGAGCTGCTCCGATTGCGTATACCCATGCCTGGATCAGCCATGCCGCTTCTGCCAGCATCCGAGCCGCTGGTCGGCGCTCTGCCGACGCCGAGACTGTCCGCTGTGTCCAAAGGATCATAGTCCACTGGCGTCACGCTGACGGATGGCACGTCGACCTTCTTGGCTTGCGCTATATCGCTGTCGTCGCCATGTACTAGAATCTCTGGCACGTGGAAAGTCGGTATAGCGGTCATGCGCGCATTGTTTCTCGCGTCCAATATCCGTCTAAAGCGACGAGACCAGTACAGCGTGTCGAAGAACCCGACCACAACATGTCGGCTGACAGCCTCCTCAACTCGCTGAAGCCTTGCTCGGCGCCGTAAGAACTCTTCGAGCTTAAGGCTTTTGTTGTCATTGATGACTTTGTAATGTGCCAGGATCATTAGCAGAGCGTTGAAGGAAACGCCACGGTCCGGATCAGCAGAGACCAGAACTTCTTCGTAGAATAAATTCATGCGTGCTCGCCGTGCTCGAATCTGTCCAACAGGGAGTTCGGCCAACCTTCGATTGAGCTTGTAAAGGTCAATCTCCGTGGGAGCAGGCGTGCCGTCCAACGGAAGGGCGTCAGCCCTGGAGGGGGCGAGCTTGCAATCTTCGATAAGCGCCCGTACAGAGAAGTCGCCGTCGTAAATGCGCATCTCGAAAACACCCGACAATTCTCCAAGGAGCCTCGGAAAGATCTCCCTCGAGATGTATCCAGTGCCGTCAGGGTCAAACTCCGCCCAAGCCTGCTTAAACCGCCTGATTTCTTCTCTCGAAATGACCGATAGTCCGCTGCTCCGTTGGTACACATACGAGAAGCTCTCGTAGATCAGTGAGATGAACAGATTGACGAAGATATACATGCTCAGAATGTTCCAAGACACAAAAAGCGCACGAGCCCACTCTGGGCTGCCGCAGTCGCCATCGAAGTACTTCTCGCCAATAGTGCACAATGGCCACGTGATGCTGGCGTAGTCCGCCATGAGCTGATTCCAACCTTCTCCTACGGAGATGCGAAACAACAGGATGAGAGCCTTGGGTACGGTCCGGAAGTTGATGTTGTTCGTCTCATTGCTGCCGAACCTAGTCAAGCCGAAGGTCTGCGTAAGCGCGATGGCGTACACCAAGAACAGCACAAACCACGTAGCGAGCAAGTTGGCAATAGCCGAGAAACTCGCTGCAGCTGTCTTGAAGAGCTGGTCTAGCTGGTTGTTGCGAGGAATGAGCAGCAGAGCGACAGACACAAGGAACAGCTTATGCACCTGAACATAATCACGGGTCTGGTCCTTGGAAGAGAGCGTAAGCAGAAGCGTGACAAACGTCCCACCAACGGACAAGACTGAGTAGACGTCCCAAGCACTCCGTCTGAACCGTCCCCAGGATAGTCCGACAATGCGAATGATGATGTTGGCGATATAAAAAATCGTGAATGCCAGGAAGACGATATCTCTCGCGCGGCTCCACCATGCGGACTCCGGATACCATTCCAAGCAAAGTAGTATGAGATGGATCACCAGCACCGTGGTCATTGTTCGCTGCCACCGGCCGTTCTTCGTAACCGCGCGTCGATAGCACCATTCCTGCCAGCCTTCCCGCTTCTTCTTCGTGTTAGGCCGCTTACTCGGTGCGACCTGCCTCAGCAGCTTTCGCAACTCGAGCCACGAGCGCTGATCAGTGGTCAGAAATGCAACGCCAGTCTGTTCCGTATAATTCCGCATGAAGACAGACACAAACAGGGTCAGCACGAAGACTGCGCCAAGGAGGTTGAAGATAACGAAGAATACCGCGTTTCCTTGCGATGTGAAAGCGCTGGGTTGCGTGAAAACGCCCGTGATAGATTGAGCACTGTTCATGACATCGACCCAGCCTTCCTGAGAGACGATCTGGAAGAGGATGAAGAGGGAGCCGCCGAAGCTGTCGAAGTCGTAGTATGCATTGCTTGCCTGTCGTGGTGCTGGAAAGTTCCAGTTGTACGGTGAATTCGAGTACTCCATGACGCAGTCGCTGAGGTTGTACATCATGCCGCTCTGGTCATTGCAGCTCTGCATCTGTCCCGCAAAGAGGTTGAGCCCGTAGATGGCGAACGGAATGAGCAAGCTCAGCGAGACGAACGCCGCAGACACTACCTTCCAGCCACCGAGTACGATGACAGAATGGAATGTATCACGAGCGCTATCACTGACGTTCAGCAGTCTCAGCGCTCTCAAAGCCTTGAACGCGCCCACAGCTCTGGAATAGCCTTCTGGTTCGTAGAGCGCAGTGATGACATTGACCCACAAAGTGATTAGGACAATACCATCAATGAAGCCCCAAGAGCTGCGGTAGTATGCATTCGGCGTCCAGAACAGGCCGTCGGCGATGATTTTGATGATTGCCTCAACTGTGAACAGCGCTGCGAAGCCTACGTCTGTAAACACGAACCAGTTGTACCGTATGTCCGCACCAGGGTGGGTCCGAAAGTACGTCTGTTGGAACAGGGGGGTCGTCACGCATGCGAGCAAGACCATTGCTACGATCGCCATGTATATGAAGATCGAGAAAGCATACCAAAGGGCCGGATCCGGTGCCAGACCTTGAGCGCGCTCATTGCCGCGTCCGGGGCCTACGATGCGCTGGCAGAGTTGCCGGATTAGATTGTCTGGCTTGAAGACGTACAGTGAGTCGTTGTACCTCGGATGTCGGCGCAGATATTCTCTCTGCGTGACCTTGCGCTGCTCCGTGGCGTTGAGGACCTCCTGGGCCAGCGTATGCGGGTCCAGCTCCTCATATGGCTTGGACAGCTGCAAACGCGCATAGAATGGGTTCTGCTCGCGCTGAAAGAGTTTCTTTGCAACCCAGTCCCGCCAGCGCTCAAGCCACCCGCTGCTGTCTCGCACAAAGCCTGTAGCGGTGTGGGTGGGTCGCGGACTCGGTCCGCCGGCTTCACCATCTGTCTCCAGTTGCTCGTCGAGGAAGTCCCTGACTACTGCATCTTTGAGTAGCATGTCTACTGCCGCACTTCCGAAGTCTAGAGGGTCTTGTCGCTTTGCATGCCTGAATTTGAAGATCGAGCTTAGCGACAGCGTACCCTTGTTAGCGTTGCCTAGCTGACCCTCCTTCTGCTGCAGAAACATCCGGACCTGCTGCAGCCGCTTCTGATCCTCGCTGACATCGAAGTTCTCTTGGATGACAGCAATAAACATGTTCAGCACAATGAAGAATGCCAGAACGAACCAGAGGATGAAGAAAGCAGCGCCATACCATGCAGTGCCCCACTGCACGTCAAAGCGCGTGACGTTATACAATATCGTTGTCCAGTTCTCTGACGACAGTACCTGATACATGCCCAGAAAGGAGTTGTAAATGGTGCTAAAGTTGACTTGTACTGTGTTGCCTTGACTGTCCTCCTCTGGTATCTCGCCGCGGAAGAGCTGGGATGCGAATATTGCAGCCATGAACGTCAGTAGGAAAACAAACAAGATAAGGTTCAGCACACCAGACACATGGCGCAACACGAGTGTAATAAGATCCCGTGTGAGCTTCACTGCCAGGACGACTCGATAGATCCGCAAGATCTGGAAGACAGTGAGCCACGCGTATGCCCTTCCCGAGTTGTGGATCACCGGTATCTGGATGATTGTCGTGATAACGGCCAGAAACAGGTCGAACCAATTACGGGAATGGAACGGGAAGTCTCGCCAGTCGGAGGCGAAGCGCATAACGATCTCGGCCAGCAGTACTAGCGTGACGCCTAGTTCGGAAGCATTGATGAAGTAGGCAGTGTACTGACGGAGGTACGCAGTGCGGAAGCACTGGACCAAGAGCCCGTACACAATCACCACGATCCATAACCACTGCGATCGTTCGTACAGCGCTTTCAGTCCTCGGGCTTTCCGCTTTGGCCTATCTTCCGCGAAGCGCTTCTCCTTGTCAGTGTGGTCGTCCTCCTGCGCCATGAACGCACTGCTTCGGCTCTCTTCGCGAATAACTTGGAAGCTCGATGTGATCACAGCGATGAGCAAGTTGAGTAGCCATAGCGATAGAAGGACGATACCGAAGGCGAAGAACAGGGCTGCGGCTAGGTAGTCGCTGTCGGTGAGATAGTACATCAGGTCGGAAAAGGTGTTCGAAGACATAATGACGAACACCAGCTCAAGCGACTGTAGAATATTGTCGAAGCTCACGGTGCCGTTGTACGGATTCTCGCCTTCGACGCAGAAGGAGCCCCGAGGACAGAGGTATCCTTTGTATCCATCTGAGCCATTGACTCCTTGGGAGGTCAGCCACGGCATCTTTGCGCCACCCTCCGTTATCCAGCCACCACAGAACTGGAATTCACCATAGCTCTGATTCTGCGCATACGGCGGCTGTGTTGGATCGGTAAGGTTCTGCCAGTTCCACACGCAAGTCCGCCGCAGACTGGATTTGAAGCTTTGCACGCCGATGATGGCGAACAACAGCCAAAAGAAGCAGATCAAGAACGCCACATTGAGCAGCGTCGGTGCCGCACGCTTGAGACTGCGTAGTATGACCGAAGTGCCACTTGTGACGAACAGCAAACGCAGAATACGTAGACAGCTCATCATACGAAAGATCCAGATATGGCGGCTGGACTCAATCTCGGTCAATGCGAGAACGAAGCTAATCCAGAAGGATACCACGGCGATGAAGTCTAGTCGGTTGAAAGAGTGTCGCAGGAAGGCTCGGTAAGCCAGGCGCTTCTTAGCCGAATGTCGCGAACCAGCGTCGATATCTTCCGACGTCTGCGCAGTAAAAGACCGCAATAGTGATTGCGGCGCTGGCGCTGCCGATCGTTCGTCATCTCGACCTCTGACTGAGGGCTTGCGGTGGAGCGCGAAAAGGTCGTTAGCTTTGTTGATCAAAGCTCTGCGCAACGTGACAGTGCGGTCGAGTGTGCTGTACTCGCGCGGATTAAATATGAAGCCCGAGACTACCACTTTGATGCATATCTCGATGGTGTAGATGACGAAGATAACGAACAACGCAAAGTCCGTCCAACTTCTGCCCCACGTGGTCCGTCGCGGATGATCTGCAACACTCGGTGCTGAGTCGACCGTAAGGATGATAGTCTGCACCACGATGAGGAGCAGAATGGAGGCTTCGAACAACGGATGCACAAGCACCTCAAGCAGGGCCTTACGTAGCTTGCTCTTAGGGGGAAAAATACCCAGTGATTTGCCCCTCAGTGGATTTCGCTCGATGGTCGAAGGCTTCGGATGAAGCTTAACTTCTGGTATGGGCGATTGTTCCTTTTCTGGTAATGGTAAGGGTACGTGCGGAATTGCTTCGCCATCCAGCCCAATATCACCTTCCTCGCCCGTTGCTGGCACAGGCGGCACGGAAGGTGGTCGCACTGACGATTTGCGGCGTATACTCCGCTCGACCATATCTGGTTCATTGCTGACGTTTACAACACGCTGTGACAACTTTCGCAGCATGGTCCCGGTACGATGAAGCGGCGACTCTCCGGACGAGTGCGACAACGAGCGCTTCCGAGTTGACGAGCTCCTGCTCAGGTCGGCTGAGGAGCTGCGTCCGCCAGACTCAACGTCACGCAGGTCATCACCAAGCATTGAACTGCCCCGACTATGGAAGGACGGAAACTTGACGCTAAGATTTGAGTTGGCTCGTGATCGCTGTCTGTCGTGAGGCTGGCCATTAGGAGTGTTCGGCAAGGCAAGCGTCGAAGGGCGCAGCCTTGATCCGTCAGTCAGTGGTATCGTGTCGTCCTCGTCGACGTGACCGGTCACGGGTGAGAAGAAGGCCGGACCATCATTGAGCTCAACGTGCAACATGTCATCAGCATCGCTGCCGACAGTTCGTATGCTTGGTAAGCTAGGTCTACTGGACCGTGACGGCCGTGGCGGCGGCTCCTCGACGATGTCGTCCTCTTCGTCATCATCCTCATCCGGTGAGCTAGCAGCGTTGAAGCTTAGGCCAGCGAATCCAATGGCTGCCTGAAAGGCTCCGATATCATCAACGGGAAACAGTCCGTCCTCCTCGTCGCCGTCATGCAGTCTGTGTTGCTCTCCAGTGGGCGAAGTCACTATCGCTACAGGCGAGAACGGATGCGACTGTTGCGGCGGGCTGGGTGGGTTCTCTCCGATCGGCGCATACTGTCGGTTTTGCTGCGCTCTTTCCCGGTCTCTCCACAACAACAATCGCCCTCTGTCACTGAGAGTGCGCCTATGCGACTCTTGTCTGCCAACTCCGTAGTCGTGCTCCTGTGCGCCATTGCTGCTGAGATCTTGAAGAGGTATTGAGTTTGCGGATTGATTGCGGCGATGCGCAGACTCATCGGCCATGAAGCCAATACTCCTGTGAAGTACAAGGACGGTGTGAATCCTCTCGGAGCTTCATTGGTATACGGTCTCTCCTATATCACTCTCCCGACCTTACGCTTGCATATGCGCGTGGGTGCCCACGGTCACGTCCACGCCCTCACTCCAGCTTGGCATAAGATCTCGCGCCGAGGATTTGGTTGGCTCTAGAATTCCATGTAGGTACTTCGAGAGGCGCAAAGGATGTAACAGTTGAGTCGTGGTTGGAAAGATGTATATTGTTAGGTTCGCCTTGCCTTGCGTATTGTTTCCGGAGTGTCAGACAAATCTGCGGACGCGTACAGTATCCATCTATCTCGGATGCGACGCTGTTCAGGGTTCCGATTGTGGCTTATGCCGCTAATCGTTCCTGCCAAACAGGGATGTAAGGGACGGCTCGCCAGACTAGATCGTCTCATCCGCAAAGGATTCGAACCCCGTTGTTACTGACTACATGCAATATTCCTCGGGTCTTTCTCGCTCTCGACGTATGTTCCCTTGCAGGGCGATAGAGACGACGTGCGCCGACCATAATCAAGCCTAAGTGTGGTCTGCAGATTGTGATGAATGAGAGACATAGGTTGCCCGCATGCACGTTGCGTGCATGTTACTGTGTGTCTGTTCAAACAGTATGCTCGAGTATGCGCTTACTGTGCCATTGGCGAACTTATCACTGTTTTCGTCAAAGGAAAAGTGTCCTGAAAATGCAGCTACTACAGCTTGAGTTCAGCCTTCATGCTATAGGGACGTACGTATGAGGCATTGTTTTTACTTGCCCCAGCACGTTCCTTCCCTTCTTGGTGGAACGCTCGGGCAACTTATTCCGCTCCTTCCTCTCCTGCAAAGTCAGCGCTGGATCATCGTGGCGATTCACGTCTACATCATGCAACAGCCCTTACGCAAACCATGCAACAGTAAGCAAGACAAGTGCAATGAATCCGACAGAGCAAGTTCCGCAAGCCGTCGGACTGTATGAGCCTGCTGATACGGCAGCGGGAGAACCGAAGAACCACAACCTCAACCCAGCAGCATGCAGTTTTCAGTCCAAGCTACACGTAAGTCGCCATAACCATACCATGCTTACAATGCTGACAACAACGACAGCTGCCCGGCGCCTCCCCTCATGAACTGATCATGCAAGAAAGCCTTCGCCACCTCATCACCGAAGTCATCGAGCTACGAGAGCGGTGTGAGAGCTCAGAGGTCGCGAATGCGCAGCTCTTGGATCGTATGAACGCACTTGAGCAAGCATTCTGTGATCAGATTGCCCAAGCACCGTTGACCAGAGCAAATCTAACCGGATACGCGTCGTCGGAGGGTTCCTCTGGTACGGCGAGGTTTTCTTGCACTCACTGACTGGATGCTGATCCGCCACCAGGTGACGAGACAGTTGCAGCGCCATACGGCAGCGCAGCCAATAACGAGCGATTCAACGCCGTGGCGCTGATTCTAGAGCAATACGACAAGCGCCTCGAGACATATGCTGCAAGCCAAGCAGCTCTGGAGAGACAGGTCGCGGAACTGAACGCGTACCAAAAGAGCTCCCAAGCACTCTTTCGGTCGCTGAAGCTGGAGCTTGATGGTGACCTCGACACCCGGAGGACATTGGGTTCGGTCAGCAGCAGCCTAGAAGGCGAAGGGAGTACTCCGCCGAGCACAGTCAAAAGCAAGCAGACGGACGGTGCAAGCGTTGTGAAGGCCGCTCCAGCAACTTCGATCTTTTGGTGAAGGCCGATTGTCAAATTACACAGATATCAAGCAGTAGAATAATGTGGGTCGAAGTGTACTCTTTCGCCTCTCTATGGTAACGCGATACGAATTGGCAGAGTCAGATGCGTGGCGCTGTCCGGCTGCTGCGCAACATTCGTACCGCTAGTTGGTTCGAGTGCATCTGGAAGCGATATCAAAGCTCGCTGGAACAGTACAGGGTACCGTCTACACATCACCAATCTTCTGCAACAGAATCTTCGCTCCAGCATTCCCGTGCTCAGGTTTGCCACTACCCTTGCCCTTCTTCTTGGCTTTCCCGTTTTCGACGCTTGTCTCGCTGCTTCTTTTCTCCTGAGTCCCAGCAGCGTCCCTAATCTGCTTCTTCCCGCTTACAAGCCTCTTTACTGCAGTGTCCTTGACCTCCTCCGGCACGTCCCGACTCTCCAGCAACGCCACGACAACGAAAGAGCTCGGGCCGCAAGCCCATGTTACCAGGTGCTCTTCAATCACCGGGAAGAGTGCATCTGCGAAGCGCAATGTCGGTTCCGCCAACTTCACGTCCCGAGTCGCGAGATCGAATGGGCCGCCCAACAGAAGGTTCTTGAGCATTCGGCCAGCCGCAGCGTTTTGCCCCAAGTTACCCTCTACACTCGGATCACCTTGAGCAAGCTCTGCAACTCTGTGCTTCGCCTGCTCCCGTAACTCGGTCGTGCCCTCAGTGTGGGCTTCGAACAGTATCTCGGTCATCGCCAGACAACCCACGGTGCTCTGTGCCAGGCTTTCCGTCTTCTTGCATACCAGATCCAACAGCGGCTGAGCGAGATACTCTACCAATTCCGTCCGTCTCACGTCCGGTGCCTTCTTCGATGTAGTCGTTCGAATGTCGAGCACCTCGTCAATGACCGCCTTGTCCTCGTCGTTGAGGAGCCATTTCGCCCGCACGCCAAGAGTGTATAGCACAGGGATTCGAGCGCATCCATCGCAGACCATCTGCTCAAGCCAACCGTGCCTCTGTTCTTCGTTCTCAATATTAGCCCCTAGAAGCTCGTGCAAGATGCCCTTGCCCGTCATGCGAGTATCGTCAGGCACTTCTAGCGCCGTTACCACTACCTTGAACGCGTGCTGATCGCGTGCCATCATCTCAACGTGGTTCTTGAAGCACCTCAGGATAATCTTACGGTCCTTCGCACTTCCATGTGCAAGCGCCAGACATACAAGTCTGCTGCCAGACTTGGTGAACGACAGGTTGCGGAACAGATCGCCGCCACCACTCGCGTCTGTGCTGTCCTTGGCTTCGGCTTTTGTCTCGATATCTGCTTTCAGTAGATCGAGGAACGCGGTCTGCTCTTCGCTTCCGGATGTGAGCACAAGGAAGTATTGCAGCATGGCGTCGTGGAGCATAGTGAAGCCCGTCATCTTCTTCTGTAGAAGAGAATTTATCATCTGAAGGGTAAACTCCAAGATTGGCTTTCTCTTCTCCGGATTCTTCTCGAGTATGGACTTCAGGTCAGCCGTCTCTTCACTGTTAGCAGAACCGCCAACGCCACCATCGCGATTTGCCAACGCAAACTCGGTGCCATACCACTCCCTCAACATCACTGCCTTCTGCCGCGAAGTTGCAACGCCTCGGTAGATGTCATCAACGATCCATCCCGCCTCAGGATGGTTAATGAGGCGCTTGACATGCCCATAGAACTCCGGTACAATCAAGTCGCGGATCGCTTGATCACCTTCAATGACCAGCTTGGCCACCATAAATTTGCCATACCGGCTCTCTACCAGCTGTCTCATCTCACCCCGCAGCTCCTCAGCGATCATGCGCCTCTGCTCCAGGTTGCCATACTTGAGCGCACACTGCACCACTCTCACGCTATCGTGCTTGAACACAAAATCGCGCACTTGGCCGGTGATGATGTCGAAGAGCTCCGCAATAAGTCTCTTACGCTCATCAAGCGGGACGTGCGACTTCCGACGAAGGCGCTCCCAGATCTTCTTGCTGCGTTCGATGATGTCGGCGTTGGGCTTGCTGGCTTTACGTTCCTTGGCGAGCTGGCGTTGCTTCGCATGTGCTTCGGCGGAGCTGGTTTCTAGCTTAAACTTCTTCGGATCGGCATCTTGGTAGGCGTTCTTGTTTTGGTAGCCATGCTGTCCGTTGCTTGCTTGTCCATTGTGGTCCCGAGTCCCATGTCGTTTGGGAGCGACACTGTTACCACTCTCACCGTCGAAGCCACTGAAGTCGTCTTGTGCTGCTGAGGCATCTCGTTTGTCCGTCGTATGAATTGCGCGCTTCTGCTTTTTACCATCTGCGACTGCACCGTTTGGTGCTTCTTTCCTCTTAACGCCGCCCATTTTCACCACGTCCTACTACGGGGAAAGTGGACAGGGAGGCAAAGTCTAAAAAAGTGCAGACCGTACAAGTGTAATTTCATGTCCGAACTTTTCATGCTTCGGGGTTCGCTTCCCCAGGTTTTGGCTGAAACAGCTCCCACGTGACAGTGGCTTGCTGGCGCGCAACAAAGTGCTTCGGTCCCTGCGCTAGCGTCTCAAGTGTAAGGGGGACGCGCTGTGCTTCCATGGCCGATTACCTCTGTTCACTTTGTAGTACGACTTGTTGACCAAGTAACCCTCATTTCTTCGTACATTGTCGCATCCACGTCTATGAACGTCTCGGCTCGATAGAATCATTCTTTAATCGATTTCCTTCAGACTCTTTAATCCGCGCGGCTATAACCACATCGTACCGACACGGTCTATGCGATGCGTGCACCTCTTACTTTAGCAACCCTGGCGGTTACTCTCGGACCAGCTCTCGCACTCAACAAAGGCACACTCGGCTTCGCGTTGGGTACGAAGCACGCCGATGGTTCCTGCAAATTTTCAAGCGACTACGAGCAGGACTTTGATGCCATCAAACAGAGCAGCGGCAGCACTATTGTTCGTGGATATGCTGCTAGTGACTGCAACTGCGCGCAACAGATTCTTCCCGCTGCTCAGAAGAAGGGTTTCAAGGTTATTCTAGGCGTCTGGCCGGACACGGATGCATCATATGAAGCAGACAAGAGCGCCATCCAGCAGTATGCAGAACAATACCCGAATCAGGTTTATGCTGTCACTGTCGGTTCGGAAACGCTATACCGTGGCAACTTCACAGGCCAGCAGCTTCTCGAGAAGATTAACGACGTAAAGAGCGTCGTTCCTACTGGAGTTAAAGTCGGAACCGCAGACAGCTGGAACAAGTATGCAGACGGCACGGCAGATGCGGTCATCAAAGGCGGTGTCGACATACTTCTAGCCAACGCCTTTTCATACTGGCAAGGGTCGCAAGTAGGGCAAGGCGCAACTTACACCTACTTCGACGACATGCAACAAGCTATTGGCCATATCCAGACCGTCTCCGGCAGCTTAGATGCCATCGAGATCTGGAACGGGGAGACGGGCTGGCCCACGAATGGCGGAACGAACTACGGCGCTGCAACAGCAAGCACCCAGTTAGCGAGTCAATTCTACAGCCAGGCGGTATGCGGGCTCCTAGATTGGGGCGTCAATGTCTTTTACTTCGAGGCGTTTGATGAGCCCTGGAAGCCAACTTCTATTGGCGATAACGGTCAAGCTCAGGATGAGACGCACTGGGGTGCCATGAATGCTGACAGGAGTAAGAAGTTCTCGTTGCAGTGTTGAGCGGCTCGAAGTGGCGCTGGCGCACTTCAGCTGGACTAGCAAGGCGTATGATGGTTGATGCTTTTCTGCATCTGGAGCTGCCTCTTGGTTTGATGAGTCCACGATTTGAACGAAACGCAATTGTTCGAGAGGTGCATTGTGCTATCTCATGCCACGGCAGAGCCCGCGGTCTTGTAAGATCACAAGCAAGGGTATCTGAGCCCCATCACCAACGCCAACGCTAAGCACGCAGAAGATCAGTCGCATTTTATGCCCACGTTCAGTCTCCAAACCCGTTAAAGTCTCCGTCTCCGTCTCCGTCAACGTCGTCGTCGTCAGGCGCAGCTGTTTCAGCACCGTCTTCGGCCTTTTCACCCGCGCTCTCCGTGGCCTCAGGCTGCGCCACGTCCACAACCTGCCACTCCTGTAATCGCTCGTCCTCCAAGGCTTCTCGTACCCTCATCCGCACACTCTTCGTCACCGTCTCCTCTTCGAGCCTCCGCAGCGGCTTAAGCATAACACTCAGTGGTGCCCCATGATTTGGATCAGCCTTCTCAAGCTCATCCACGTAGACGTCCACAACATGATGCCTCAGTCCATTAGGCACTTTCATGTCCCTCGGATTGAGTGGAATAGCCTCCAGCATCCGCAAGTAAGCCCCGAGAAGCTCCCCATCCGCCCATCGATCCGCGGCGCATATCTCCCACCCCTTTCGCACGAAGCACCGAACAAGGTACAGATACTTATCCATCCTCAATCGGTCAATATTCGCCCACTCTCTAGCCATCGTCACCCAGAATGCCTCAAGGAAGCCCAGCACATTCTCTTGCCCTTTTAGCACGTCGACCAGATCTGCGAGGTCGCGCGATAGATTTTGCTGGTGCAGTGGCTTGTCCTGCATCCACAGGCAGTAGAACAAGCCTTTCCATAGCTTCAGTAAATCGAGCTGGGTGAAGAATGTCGGGCGGGAGGCGGAGAGGTAGGTTCGTAGGGAAGAGAGTGCGCGAAGGCGGAGTTTGCGGTCTGAAAGGTGCGCATTAGCGCTATCATATGCTGTTTGTCTGGGTATGGTACCGACCGCTTGACGCCAGTTGCTTGATGAAGGGGCTGGATTGCTGTGCCATATCTGCTATGCTCTGCTCGCGTGCAATAGCGACGGATGTTAAGGCAACTTTTTCTGGTGGGTTCGGCGTTAGCGTTCTATAGCCGATGCAGTATCGGCACAAACCAGAATGAGGCACGTGCATTGAGTACACCGGTCTCTGTAAATGAGAAGATGAAAACTGTCCGAATACAGCACCTGTAGATAGATACACATATTGCTATCCTCTTAGGTATCTAATTAAAAGTTTGGATCATATTAATAGGAAAGAAAATATAATCTAGACTAGAGTTAGGATATCTAGAGATTCTAAAAGAGGAAAGTGCGATTCACTATCTCAGATTAATTGAATTAAGAAACGTACACTCTTTGTATAGTTAACTTAATTAGTAACTCTACTACAAGGAAAGTAACATGAAATCGACGAACTACTCCGAACTAACTAGATGAGCTGCTTAGATGCCGACTTTAAGCTCTTCTTGGTCTACTTCTTCTTCTAACGCACGAGCCGCCTATACCGTGCACGCTTCCGCTGTATCTAAGGTACTCTGCCACAGGCTAATTAACGGTGTAAGTAAGCCCAACTAACCTGTGAGTAATACTTTGCACTAGACTGACCTTCATCCATAGAACGAACAGTACCTTGTACGCTGGAAGACCGAGCCGGAGTTTCCTGTTCCGCCGCGAGCAATATGCTCATGGCACAGCGTCCCCGAGCTCCAACGCTCACTCCACCACGTGCAAACCTACATTGAATCGCTCTCCAGGACGGCTACAACATCCACAGTGAACGGCGCCGTCAATCCTATTAATCGAAAGAGGAAGGCGCCCGGAGCGGACCCACTTTACTCACGTGACAGTAGTCTTGGCGCCAATGGTTCAGCTTACTGGAGCCGAGAGGCTTCGGTGATCAGTGTTGGATCCAGCAGTGAAACCTCGAACGAGACTCCGACTCCTGCAACTGAAGTCTACAATGGCGTTCTGCAGCGGAAGTCTGGCAAGATTACTGTGAAAAAGGCAAATACGATAACTTCACTTGCACTATCATCTACAGTTCACTTACATGTGGTACTAGTCACGAGACCCAGCGGTGGTCACCCTAAATGTAACGAAGCTCCCAACTCCGCAAATGCTAGAGGTCGCCGCTACCGCACCGACCAGTGTCGCAGAACGCACGATTCGTGAAGCTTTCGATCACAGTCTAAGCAAACTCAAGCATGTTCGCTGGGAGAACGGGGTCGATGGCAGTGCACCTTCTCTCAACTTCACTTTCGTTGATGGCTTCATTCTCCGAGATGGCGTGTACCGTCCGGATGCTTCAGCAAACGTCGGATGCACAAAACCCTGCAAGCCTAATATGGGCCAGAACGTCGGATGCGAGTACCCCAGGATGTGTACTTGCTTAGAATATGCGGCCGTGGACGAACCGAAACTGGAGCGATCGGATCCTGAGCGGTATGCGCTATACATCCATCAAAAGGAGACCGAGGGCTACTTCGTGGACACGGAAGGACTTCCCAAGCGCTTCCCGTACCAGAAGCCGAACGCGGATCCCAGAGTGCCATCTGTGCTTCTAAACTTCTACCTGGAGTCACGGTATCCGATCTACGAGTGCAACGAGTACTGCGCCTGCGGGCCGGTCTGCAAAAGCAGAGTCGTGCAGAAAGGCAGACGTGTGCCACTTGTGATCTTCAAGACACGCAATCGAGGCTGGGGTGTTTACTGCGACGAAGAGCTTGCCAAAGGTGAGTTCATTGACACCTACATCGGCGAAGTTATTACCAACGAAGAAGCGGACCGACGTGAGGCCAAAGCCGGCAAAGCCAAAGCCTCATACCTTTACAACCTTGACAAGTTCGATGGTGACGACGGCATCACGGCAGATACTTGCTTCGTCGTGGACGGTCAGTACATGGGCGGGCCGACACGTTTCATGAACCACAGCTGTGAGCCGAACTGTCGGCAATACACCGTGAGCCAGAATAAGCACGACCTGCGGATCTATGACCTAGCATTCTTCGCCATCCAAGATATTCCGGCGGGCACGGAGCTGACGTTCGACTACATGGACAAGGATGAGCTGGAGGAGGAAGAGGTGGTGCAGGCGAGGCATGCAGCGGCACTGGGTCCCGACAATATGGACAAGAAGCCTTGTAATTGCGGAAGTAGGAAGTGCAGAGGCTTCTTGTGGGTCTGAAGAGTTACCTTTAAAGCGTGCGCCATGCTTGCTGAAGTCTTTATGCTAGACCTTGGGTCGATGCGTGCGTTGGTGCGCTGACCAATCAGCAGCTTTTGCAAATGTCAACCATCTCCAACAGTTACCGTCTCCATGTTTACAAGCCTACAAACAAAGTATAGGCTTCCACGTTCATGAGGATATTGGGCCTCAGTGTGCTTCCGCCTCACTGCCTCCCGATGCCCCAGCCTCTTGTACGCCTGCATAAGCACTACTGTTTCAAGGTTACAAGTACCTTCCAATGTTGCCTGGTCCAGCCAACGATGTTCACCTTTGTTCGATTGGTACAAGAGGTTGACCGCACTGGCTGAGCCGCGAATTCACATCCAACTGTGCAGCATAGTTCTGGTTTACCTACATTCACCTCGTTTTGACTTCTATACCCGTTTCCCTCGACCAACGCCGTTCGGAGTCCACATGTGCACGCATACAATTTGGCTTCTTGGTTTGCAACCCGCGCTGGTTCGCTGACAAAACGAAGGATATCACGTTCACGACTTGATCGATCTACGACCCGTATGTTTGGGCAAGGCTGCTTCGACATCTGCAATCAGGACGAGAGAAGGACAAGTATATAGAAATCAAGTCTCATAGCCATCCTCAGACTGGCAGAGACGGTAACTACAATGCACTCCGTGACGTTCGTGAGCTTCGATTCTTACGAAGCGTTTAGAAAACGGCCGGGAACCCGGTCGCTCACGCTAACCGCGATTCCGCCCAGACTGCCGCCGGAGACCGGACCGACGAGCGTAAGGAGCGTAGTGAGGCGAACATGGTTGTTGTCCGCGCCGTCCAGAAGCTTATCAACGCGGATGATCTCGAGGACGTGAATCCCCTCCCGGCACTGTGCGCGTTCTCGTGAACAAGTACTGACAGATGGCCCAGACTGCGAGATTGAAGAAGGCGGGCGTGGAGGTGTTTGGTGATGCCGCATTCACCGAAGCCTTGTCGCAGGCTGCCATCACTGCTGAGTGAAACAGCAGACAGGCACCGAGGAGCAGAGATAACGGAGGTGGCCAATAACGTCAGTCGAGTCCTCTCTTCGAGGCCGCAGACGTATAGCTGGCATTGATGACGGCCAGAAGATCAATCGGCCGTGTGAACCTTGTTGCGGAGTTCGTAGCAGGACATGAGGTTATGACGTGCTAGGCCGGTAAGCTTCCCATGCCCCATTACCAGCGGAACCAAGCCTTGAGTACGAGCATAGCATGCGATGTCCTACACGTGCGCGCCAGAATGACCTAGCTGATAAATCGTGACGACACGCTTATGCTCAGTCGTGATGCTGGTAGGAAGCTGCTCCGGCTGTCGTACAAGCTCGATGCATGTTATTTCTGGAATGCACTTGGGTTTCTGACGAACACAACTCGACCTCAACCGTAGCCTCTCAGCTCAGGTCCAGCTTCCACAATCCATCGCCCACATAATGCCCCTCCTCAATGCCTGGCCCTTTCTTCTTCTCCTTCATATCCTTGGTACTCATCTTCAACACGCCGATCATACAAGCAGTCTCCTTGCCTTCTGCCTCCACTACGACCACATCCCCAGCCTCCAAGTCCTTACCATCCTTGCCCCATTCTGTCCCATCAGCACCTGGTAGTCGACCACCCGGACTCGTTAAGCCTGGCACCATGAGCGTAGCTCCTCCCAGCACGAATCGTATCGCTCCCCGATCTATGCGTATCCGCGGGAAAGCCCACGGGTACTGATGCACTATCTTCAGGTGCGGCATGATCGGGTCATCCATGTGCTGCCAGAACAGAGCCTTGTCATTGAGACAGTACAATGAGACTCTATCGGGTAATTTGACGATGTCGAGCTGCTCCTTCTTCGGTAGTATCTCTTCAATATGCGGTTCTAGCTTAGGGTACGTCTCCATTACTTTGGCTCTGACGGCGCGAGCTACTGAGCTCTTCACTTTGCTTTTGCTGCCAGCTGTAAAGTCTTTCTTGAACATCTTGGGCTATATCGTTAGGTCTTGATATGGCAAGACTGAAGGATTACGAGCGAGACTTCAGATGCAGTCCACGCTGACTCGTGCTAACTGCCCCGCTGTAACCTGGCCGGACCAAACTCCGCCATACCCCACCACGTGTGCCAAGGCGTGCCGATGCCCCGATTCATGTGGCCCAGAAAGTTCGATGAATGAGAGCCACGTTGTTGTCGCTGTTGTCGCTATTGCTGCTTCCGCCACTGATTGACTTCCAAGCACAACCACAATTGGAGACCGCCTGACACGACGCGTGTTTCATTCACGACAACAGCCGAGCTTTGACCGCACAGAAAGCGTGACTGCCCGATTGGGCAACGACGACAAAATGGTACGATTGAGCTGTCGCACAGCAATCAAAGTGCTGAGGTGCTGATGTGCTGATCCGTCGTCAGACGACCGACACTCGCAAGCGTCTCGCGCTTGCCATCGTTGACTTCCTCTCCACCTCGCTCAAGGACGGCACGCTGCAACCGGAAGACGCAGACAGCATCGAGATTGCATCGAATTGCATAGCAGAATGCTTCCACGTCGATCCGGCGGATGAGAGCGCAATGAAGGATGCGATTGGCGGGCAGAACCTTCTCTCCATTTACGGCGTCTACGAGAAGCTCAAGGGCAAGAGTGGAGCGAGTAGCGCACCACCACCTACTGGCAGCAGCACGAGCAGCGCTCCCAGCGCAGCCGGCGCCAAGCCCAACATTCCGAAGGAAGGCCAGAGTGGTGGACCGACCGACGAGAGCGAGCGTCTCAAAAGCCAAGGCAACTCCGCTATGCAAAGGAAAGACTACCCATCCGCCATTGAATCCTACACCAAGGCGCTCGAGATTGCGCCGCTAAACCCTATCTACCTCTCCAACCGTGCCGCCGCATACTCTGCAAACAGTCAACATGAGCTCGCCAAGAACGACGCCGAGCTGGCAGTCGCCACTGACCCTAAATACACCAAAGCCTGGTCTCGCCTAGGACTCGCCTGCTACGCGCTCGGCGATGCGAAGGGCGCCATGGAGGCCTATCAGAATGGCATCGAAGCCGAAGGCAATGGCGGCAGCGAGGCGATGAAGAAGGGTTACGAGACCGCCAAGCGTAAAGTGGAACAGGAGTCTGCCGGCGACGTAGCCGACGACGAGCCAGACCTCGACGGCACAGAGCCGACTCGTTCGCAGCCAGCAGTAGGCGGCGGAGGGATGCCCGATCTCGGCGGTCTCGCTTCGCTGCTAGGTGGTGGTGGAGCTGGTGGGGGCGGGATGCCCGACCTCAGCAGTATCATGCAAAATCCGATGATGCGGCAGATGGCGCAGAATTTGATGAGCAATCCGGATATGATGAACAACCTGATGAACAACCCGAGATTACGAGACATGGCGAGCAGATTTGGCGGAGGTGGCGCAGGCGGCGGAGGCGGCGGCATGCCGAACTTGAGCGAGATGATGAACGATCCATCCATTGCTGAGATGTAAGTTCCGCTCTGACTCTTTGTCCCATTGCCTATTCACGAGCTAAGATGTGTTGAAGGGCGCGGAATTTCATGGGTGGAATGGGCGGTGCCGGACGGGGAGCTGGAGCGGGTAATCAATAAGAACGGTGTCGAGGCCGCAGGCGGGTCGGCCGTATTGCCGCATGGGTGTTCGTACTTGTGCCGAGCCCGGCGGACCGACTCAAGCATGGAAGACATGACTGAAGCATAGAGGTACCACGCACCAAAGGATGGAACATAGGTGCATGAGGGTGGACTTGTTCATGGACTATCTGCATTACAATATCCCACCACGGTACAACGTGGCAACCGTCGCCGTGCAAAACTGCGTTTCTTCCCACTGGCAGGCGAACGTGTGATTGACATGAGCGGAGCGACCCTGTTCGGCCTTGGACCAAGCCTGCCAAAAGGGCGTCCAAGTCCTGCTGGTCTGCGTACCGCGTCCACGTAATATGCCTGCCCGTGGAATGAACGTTACTATCGCGCACGTGAGCTGTAGTTGATGTAAACCCGGGGAAGGACGTGCAGGCAGAAAGAGTCGTTCCATCGCTGCCGTAGGTTACGATCTGTCGTGAGCTGGGGATCTGCTAGTACACGGCGCAATTGAAGTATTCGTATGGCCTCGAGCGATTGGAATTCTGTTGTTTCCATGACTACAGTAAGCGCTTGGAAAAAGTCCTCTGGCGAGTATCGTCCAAGCAGTGCTAGCTCGGCCAACCCAGTCGAGATATGCATCTGAAGTAACACAGCGGCTTTGATGTTGAAGTAATGGAAGGATGCTTTTATTGACAAGGAATCAGAGCATCCAGAAAAAGTTCACGCCAGGTACGCCTGCCTGCTGATGGATCCCTCCAAGTATGCTCAATGGTGTACAGGCTGAATGCCTACAGGCGCCACGCAATGTTGTGCAATATCAGTTGAAGTTCGAAGAATACGGTGCATCATCTTCAAGCCGGTCATTCCGGCGAGTCGCAGACCGTTCAGAATTGGTCCAGGGCTTCTGGCCGTTACATCGTCGCCTTCAGTGTCGTGAGATCCGGCCCGTTCATGCTGTTGGCTGTCAAATGTCGAGCGAACAGCAGTAGATCACCACCATTTGAGTACAACAAGCGCTCAATCCTCGTCCAACCTCGCCTTCAGGCTCCCATCCACAACGTCAAGGAGCTTCTTCCGGTTCTTCAAGTTCAGCGCACCGTTCCTCCAGGCCGAGCGTAGGCTCTTGAATGCAGTGCCTTCTAGCCCAGCCGGCTCCGTTCTCACCATCTCAACATAGTCCTTGACGACACGGTCACGGATAGAATTGTGACTTTGTAGCGCCTGATCGTAGAATTTGGCCAAGTTCAGCAGCCCCACGTAGCTGCACCGGTCCTGAGAGTCACTGTGCGCAAAGTATTTGAACTCGTCGTACATCCTCGCATTGAAGTTGCGAATGAGGAAATGGCTCCAGAACTGGTACAGTACTTGCAGGTCGTACGGACAATTGCCGGTGGCAGCTTGTTCACGCTGACTTAGGGCTTTGTAACGGAGGCCAATATAAGGTTCCGGAGTCGTATCGTTTGGCAGATTCTGTGATGGTGACGTCTGCTCCTTCATCCAGTAAATCTCGGGCAGAGTCACGCTGTTGCTGCCACCGCCGGTACTACGCTCGAGAGGGTTTGTCGTGTTCGAACTTGGTGAGGTCATTCCCTGAGAAGGCACGCTAGCATCACCATCGGTGGCAGGCATGCCGTTGCTTGTTGTTTTCTCCGGGATGTCGCCGTTCGTCGTCTGCGGCATATGGGCGCCGTTCGTTGAAGACTTTTCTAGCTCGCCGAAGATGCTCCTCGAGTCGATCGAGCCATTTGAGAAAGTCCTGGCAGAAGCAGTGTGGTATGATACATTGCTCTTCGAGCGAGTGATGAGTAGAAGCGTGCTCATCTGGTCGTCGGCGAAAGCATCAGGCTCTATATCCCTGTCGTTGACAGGTGTTGATTGACAGGTTGGTGAAACAGCGTTTTCCCGAGCCGGTGACCTCGGGGCACGACCACGCAAGTCTTCAGCATGCAGTCCATCTGCGTCGGCTGGCTCCGGCATAGTCGAATAGGCAGCGGGGTGCGACACCATACCGTTCATTGGCGAGTAGACAGCATCGTACGAGTGGCGGTCATAGCGCTGCTGCACGCTAGGAATGCCTGCTGAGGCTGGTCCTCGCGTTGGCGTCCCGGTGAAGGCCGGGACGGCAGTCCTGTCAGGCAGGCGAAGTTCGTTCGGTCCGTCATTCTGTGCGCTGGGCTCGCGCTCATCCATAGGCACCACGAACTGCTCATAGCCTTCACGCTTCCGAACACGTTCTTTTCCGTCTTCGCCTACGCGGATTTCAACCGCATTCGACATAAGGCAGGCTTCCTTCAGCACGTTTCTTTCGTCAGTAAGTTGCTGCATACGATTAAACCGCGCAACCACGTCGAGGAGGACGAAGCCTTGCGAATCCATGTTCTTGCGTAGATACATGTCCTTGAGGAGATTGTCAATTGAAAAGTAGTAGTCCAGCTGCGTGATTACCATAGGCAAAAGGAAGTGCTGCTCAGCCTGCGGTCCGTACGGTACGGCCGTCATCGGGTAGCCATTGAAGTCGTACATGCCAGGAACGTAATGCGGCACTGGCTGGAGCTGGGAATGAGCGCCATAGGCGAAGCCATTACGGGGGTAATAGTTCTCGATCGGTATCGACTGCGAGCGAGGATTACCTCTTGCCCAGCCACCACGGTTCGATGACGGATAAGCAAAGTGTGCGCCACCTAGTGAATGATAGGCCGACGGCGACGGTGGCATCGTGTATGGTGATGCGCCTGGGAAGTCAGCATTGATGTAAGTGCGGGTGGTCGAGTGGCCGTTAGCGAACTCGCGCGCTCCTCCACCACCACGACCGCGGCCTGTGCGCTTGCTGCCGCGTATCGAGCCGTTCATCGCGGGCTCTTTGTGGTTATCGTAGTTGCGCGGCTCGCGTCGAACGTCTGACGCCACCGTTCTGTATGAATTGGCACCGTATCCGTTTTCGTGGGCAGGCTTCCCTGGCCTTTGACCGACTTCAGTCTGCGCTCCGGTCACCTCATGGCGTGGGATGGGCTCCGGGATTGTGTCTCCGCTGCCAGCGTCTGTTCCTGAACGTTCAGTATCGATCTGGCTAGGCGACTTTGTACGCGACATGTTTGATTGAGACTCCAGCCAGGTACTGACAGCGTCTTGCTGCGTTGCGTCCTCCGACCCAACCTTCGATGGGTCTGTCGGTGCCCGTGTCTCTGTGAAGTTCTCTTGCTTCGAGGTCTGCTCCGGCTGCAGACCAATCGTGTGCTCGCGTCTCGAGCCCTCACTGGCTGGATGGTTCGGTCTAGGTGGTGGTGGCATGGCTTCACGGTCTGCTGTGTTTGAGTGGCCGCGCAGAGTGGAGGTATCAGTATCCCCGTCAGCTTGAGTAGAAGAGTTGCGATGCATTGCTCTGTCACTACTGTTGCCGTTTCCGACACCACCACGGCCACTTCCGCGGCCACGCGTGCTCCCACGACCGCCACGATCTCTACTAGATTGCCCACGGAGTGGTATAATGGGCGTCTCAAATATAACCGTCGGCACGACTTCAAGATGGGTCCACTTAGGCTTGTCCCTTGGCTTTTGCGTTGGAGTTACGTCGTCCTCGACCGCTTCCGCGCCCGGCTTGCTTAAAGCGTCTTTGCGGTCCTGTTCTTGCGCGGTTTCTGGAGTGGGCCACGAGACCTCATCTCTGAATGTGTCGGGCGCGCTTTGGAGATTCGAGAGGCTTACACGTTCTTGTGGATTGCGCCGCGCTCCGGTGGCTGACGGAGCTCCCGTCGTGCAGGGTCTTGAACCCTGTTCCCGGTCGTTCGTGCGAACATCGTCAGTACGTCTGGTTTGTGCGCTGGAAGTCTTCCGCTGCAATCCCGCAGCACCACTGGTAAAGCCGGCGCCTTGTAGGATATTGCCAACGGAGTTAGCCTTCCTCCTTGACTCTGCACGCGGGCGCTGGTTCTCTCTCGTGGCGCCAACGTCGGACGACACATTCGAGCCAACTCTCGGTGCTAGTGATGATGGCGGTGCTGGCTGTGGGGTTGCTGTCTGAGTCTTCTGACGCTCCTCTGCCCTCTGCTTCCAGAAGTTGACTGGGGGTGGCGGCGCTTCTTGTAGTACCACTGGCTTCACAATCGTGGGTGGCTGGAAGGAGGACTCCTCAGCTTTTTTCTCATTCTTCGCCATACTGTCGTTTATTTGAGATTTGGCTTGACGTTCTTTGCGCTCGGCAATCCAAGCTGGCTCAGAGACTTGCGACTTGGTCTCCCACGTGCTCTCCGAAGACGTGCCATTAGTCTGCGCAAATGAAGAATCGTCGTCTTTGGTCGTGGTGCTGGGAGTTGCTGTAAGGTCTGGTGACGATACCCCGGAGCTTGCCTGGTGCGCTTTATCCTCGGACTTGGCACGCTCCACCGCGCTTTCCTTGAGAGACGCGCTCCTGCCCGATTCGGTCACAGGTTTTGAGGAGTCCGGTGTTTTCTCGCTCACGCTCGCCTCCATATCATCTGCCCAGTTGCTTGCACCAGTACTGACAACAGGTAGCATCATCGGTGTATTCGGTGCTGTTCCAGGCCCGCCCGAGGCAGGTTTGCTTGCTGATGCCTGTGCCTTCATCGCTGGTGAGCGACCTTTCGCAGCCTGAGCGTACGAAAAGCCGCCCGAACTCACGTTGACCACAGCCATTGCGCCTGTTTCCCTCGCTCCCCTTCTTCCAAGTGCAGGCTCCAGGCCGCCACTGACCTCTCACAAGGTCTTGCCCACAAGGGCTGGTGCCACGAAAGCGCCGCAGTCGTGTGCGTGAAGTTGACCGCAGCCTAATCGTAGAGATCCGACCCTGCGTCCTCCACCACTGTCTGCTGCCTGCCTACCGTTGCCAGTCGCGTTGCCCTCCACAAACAGTCACAGTCGCTTTCGAGGTTCGCTATCACTCACAGTCGCACGCGATGACCAGCCTTACCCTATTAGCAATGCAACAAGCGATGCGATGGTATGGTAGAGCGTGAAGCCAGGCCGAGGAGTGAGCGGAGGAGCGATTGCTTCGTCTGTCGCAGTCAGAATCAGTTAGGATTCAAATAATGATCCAGACAAGATTATCGGATTTGGTATGAGTCAAGTATACAAACAAAACATCACACGTGCTGCGGAAGTGGGCGGGAAACGGTGTACTGACCAGCAAGCTTCACGGTAGCTTGATCGTGCACGGCGGTCGAGCGATATATGTCGCAGAAAGGTAGTTACTCGCTCACGGGCTTACTATGGGTGGCTCTTGTCGTAGCCGCTGCGTCGTAGAATGTGTGCGAGCAACAACTGTCGGGGCGAGTGTGGGCGGATTGGGCGGTTGACGGAGGTGGTCGTAGGGTGTCTTGTGTGCCCGTGCGGTTGGATGTCGAAAAAGTCCAGCAGCTCCGGTCAGTGCACGTTCCTCGGCGATGAGAGCAAGCGGTGCCGACTTCGCCGGCGAGAAACGCTTCCAACTTCTTGCAATCAACTGACCGCAGACGCTTGCACGATCACCAACGCAACCTCTTGCTTGCGAGGCGGATCAAAGAACGAAATGAACGAAATGAAGGGGCCAGAAGGAGGTTTGTGCGAAGCCTGAACCTTGGAGCAATACCGATGTGGAGTCCGAGAAATGCTCGTGGCATCTAGCTTCCGCGACCTCTCCGCAATACTTTATGGTCGCTAAATAAGGTACCTTGATCGATCAGCCTCCACGCGACCTGCACATTTCGCACATGCAGTAGTGACCAACGTTCCTGCAGACTGCCGCGTGATCATCTTGGCAGGCCTACGGTACAGTCCCTGTGAAGACTATTGATATGCTACCGACGTGGGTGAGGGTTCAATGATACAGGAAACGAGTCTTCACGTCGCCGACAGTGCATCGCTCAGCGCAATGCGTTATTCGACGAGAAGTACCATGGCATCAGCCGCGCTACACCATTCGCATCATACGCGCTACCGTACAAGCCCTGATCTCTCCGTCTTCGTACTCGTTGACGTTGCTGCAAACACTAGTCGTTCCGGAGTCGACAAAGACTCTTTTGGTGAGTCGTGCTTAATGCCCTCTACGGCTGTCTTCCGAAGCTGGGATACAGTTGTACTGCGCTGGTGTGGCTTTACGTTCTCTTTTTCGACCAGCGATATGTATCTTGGTCCACACGAGCTACAGGGGACTCCCCGACGCTACGCTGAGTCGTATTGCCGCCCTCCTGGCCGGTTAGCCAAGGAGCTTCGCTGTATGGTTGTCAAAATCAGCCATAGCTAGTCCGTGGACGCTCCAAAGGCCGAACACGCGATTTATTGGTGATGGCAGCTCAACGACTGCTCCGAGGCGCGGAACAACTGATGCATCTGGGTTTCGCGTTGTGGAAGTCGAAAGCGAAGTCCTGCATGCTTCAGGCTGGTGTCGGTACTGGGGTTTTCCCTTTAGTATTCGACATCGCCAACTTAGTTGGCGGCCTGCTGGTTTCGTCACCTGTTCGATGCGGCGTCAGGAGCTGCTGCAAAGCTATGATTCGCTTCGACGTTTCCAAGATACTGGAACTGTGCTCAAAGCCCAAAAGAATGGAACACCTAACAACGATTGCGGCCAACCACTTCCTACTTTCCTCATCCTCTCCTCGAACCCTGCGTTCAATATAGCCCTCTGGTGCTGCTGCAGGGTTGGCAGCTGCACCTGCAACCAAGCCAATCCAGAAGAGCACACCGGCTAGGTGACCCCAGCAGTCGGATGTATCTGTGCGGCTTAGAGCATTCCGAACGTGGATGTGCATGGCGCAGCCTTCAACGTAGATCGCCCTGTGTGACAGGGTGCCAACCTGGAGACTCCGGTAGTGATCCCGAAAGCGAAGCTGGTTTGCTGCTTTTGAGAAGGGCACGCGGTTGATTAATGCCTGTGCGTAGATGTGAGAGGTCAGGCGAATAGCCTCGTACATATAACGGTCGCTCATACTTCCGAACTCCAGGCCTTCTCCTGCTTCGAAAGCAAAAATCCTTTCAGTCAGCACTTGCATCTCCGCACATATCGCAGTTGCGGCATGGTCCCCTTGCGGTGGCCATCGGACAGCGATGTCATTTTCATCACATAGCTCGAAGCATCTGCCTGTGAGCTGGCGAACAGACTCTAGCAAGCGATAAATGTGGCTCCCTGGGCCAAGTACATTAGCGATGGTCAGATAGCCCGAATGTCTGTAGTACAGTGGACATTCCGGCAAGGGTCGTACATGCGTCGGAGGCTTGGTTCGCTGCTCCTTTGCATAATCTAGGTACACCTTTTGCGGTAGGACCTCTCTAAGCGTCGCAATAAGATGCATGGTTCTGCAAGCGATCAGCCACTTTATCCTCGAATGCTTTTCCGGCTGGACTCACATCGTTGTGATACCCGCAAGCTGACCATTGACACCTAATGAGTTAAGACCCCCTCTTTTCTCTACCATAGCGCATAAGCCCGCCTGATGAACTCGCATCACGCGATCGTCACAACCCATGATCTCAGCATTAAGCAGGTGGAGCACGGCGACGATGGTGGCATCTGCAACTTGCATTTGCGTGTCGTTCATGCTTTGATTGATCATCTTCGTAACCTCCTTCCGTGCTAAGGCTCGCTCCACGCTCTCCCTTCGCGGGCGTTGGTCCGGGGTGTATAACGCTCGCCTCATAATATCATCATAAGCTGAGCTTATGCAAATAGTGCTCAAGAATGCGTGTCTGGCTTTGAGAAGCTCTGGAACCCAGGATTGGGATATGCTCCGGCTGCCGAAGTAGGTACTACCTGTTGCGGGACATCAGCGCACCGCCAAGCTATGTGCCTGCCAGGAAACCCACATCTATGTTTGAGCTTATTGACGTCGAGTGTAGCGTCATCGAACTCTGGCAATGTATCGAAGGGATCAAGCTGGCCGAACGGGACGTCCTTCGGATCCGTTCCCAAATACATATAATTGCGGTATCCCCCACTGATACCTCTAACCAATGGCGACAGTGGTGTCGAGGGTCCCTGCACAGACGTTTGCGGTACCTTTGGCCGCGATGATCTGCCTTGTGCGGATCTGGCGCCTATAGGCGCAACGTGCGTTTTTGGACCGTGTCTGGCGACAGTCATAGGGCCGGGGCGCTGGTTCTGCTGGCAAGCCGCGGAGGCGACGCTTGGAGCTGCAGCATGCGGAGGGGCTTCTGCTGGCTGAGGTCGCTTCGATGCCCTTCCAGCGGCTCTCGCTCGAGGATCTTGCGGGTTAGATGCAAGCCAGTGCTTCATCACGTGTCTACGATTCCGTCGAATTGTCTCGGGATTCTTTAACTGTTCATGGTGATCGACCACAACAAAGCGAACTTTTGTCCGGCTTTCCTCACTCTGTCCGCGACTGCTCCGAGACTGCCGCTGAGAAAGCGCTACGCTCGTTCCAGGCGTCGGTTGCCGTCCTCGATCGAGTTGGTTGTGGTCCACATGTGGCAGTGATGTGGTTAGCCGTGCATCCTGTAGAGACGCTGCCGTGGTGAGAGCTGGAGATGGTGTGTTTTCATACTGCGCTAGTAATTGTACACTTTCATCGAACGGCAGAAAGGGCTCGCGTCGAACATCAAGCGGCGAATCAACACGCGCAGTATCTAGTGAAGTTGCTGTCTCGCCGCTATTGAGATACTCTTCCAAATCTAGCGGAGGCCAGTGTGATGGTGTTGCAGACATCTTGGATGTTCGTAAACGTGTATTAATGGTAGTGCAGGCGTCTCAAAAGGATGGACAGTATGTAGAGCACCCGGCCTCAGTGCGCGAGGTACAATGCAAGGATCATTCTATCCTCGCAAGATAATCCGGAGTGGCACGCTTTCTCCATCTTGTCCACTTGATACCATCACAGCCAGTTGACGGCTTGATAGAGACTGGACGAGTATAAGAGTTCACAGGTACTCTGACAGTAAAAGTCATCAATGCAGATGAGGGAGTGGAGAGCCTTCTTAATCCCAAGGCGAAAGAGTGTACGACAGAAAGGAGAGGGGTTTGTCATGCCGTCTCCTCACCGCAGCGCTAACGGCGAGGATGGATGCCTACAAGCCTACATTGTGGGTGAGTCGGCAGGCTAGCATCTCCAGTGTAGAGTGCCGGCTGAATGTTATCCATAGGTTTCGTCACAGGGATCGTGAGTGTACCACCATCCGGACGATGAAGTCTATGTAGCGTGGGGCCCACACCGATTGACGCGTGAGAGAGATTGGCCCAGATGGACAGTACGGCCGAGTTCCACGGCCACGGGTTGCAGGCAAGGAGCGGTAACCGAAGTGCCACTTTCCGTGCTAGAAGAGGCAGTGCCCCGGCCCTCCCAAGCCCAATAGAGCTCGAAAAGGGTATTATTGCGCTATACACTGTTCGAAGCAAGAATAGATGGCGAGAATGCGGACGCGAATGAATGCAGTGCAGAACAGACAAACTTTTGCTAGCATACTGTAGCGGTGAACACAGAGGTTGGCTATTAAGGATCTCTGGACAACCCCGCATACCCATCTCCGTCGTAATACCGAGCCTAGGCTCTTGACTGCGCACTCGGTTTACCAGGCCAGATGAGGCGGCTACATCGCAAGACACGGTAGGATTGGTCAAGCTTGACGAAGTGGTATCGGCTCCCTGTGTTGAACGGCATACTCGCTAAGCAAGATCATGGCGCCCAGTACAGCTGAGCTCGAACAACTCTGCACCCATCTTAGCAGCAGTGATCAATCTCCGTTCTTCGATCGCGTCTCACCGGAGGTCGTGTGGGACGTGCTGGGTGTGTCCCTGCCTGCAACTAGACAACACGATAAGCGATCTAATGGCCACAAGGCACACATCCCGCTGCCGGACACTTCACAAGCCTTCGTAAGTCCGGGAGACAGCTGTACGGCTGGCAGCGAAAGCCGCTAATAGCACTCGCACATCCAGAGTCATGGAAAGAGGGTGCGCTTGGTGTCATTAATAAGGTACTGCGTGAACCCCTGCGTATGAAAGTCATAAATGCTATTAGCGGCGGCGATCAGTCAGATTGGGCGGTTGTTGAGTTGGAGGCAAATTCAGTATGCAAGAATGGTCTGTATGCCTTTCGAAGCGAGCATGGCGCCGGTCAAGCACGGCTGACATGGGCGCAGGTATGCCGTACCCACAACGCTACTCCTGGGCCATGCGATTCGACAACCAGGGCATCATTGTGCAGGTACGTTGCCGCTACTGTGGCTTCACCGGCATGCGAGACACTCATGTATCATGCGAGCTAGGTTCGTGCATACCTGGACTCTGCCCTGGTTCAGAAGGCGGTAGATGAGAATCGATAAATTCGTCGATGCTTTCGGCATACGGTACAATCGGCAGGTGGTACACCAGATGGTTGCTCGATTAGCATATGTGACACCGCCTGTGAGTCTGCAACCGTTGTACCTGTATCTCGGGGACTGGTGTATGTTGTAAGGCTCGTGCCAGCCGGATCCACAACTGGTCGGTCACGTCGCGCTTCTCTGCAGTGTTCGGTCAGCCCATTATGCAACGTCGACCGTTCCTCACGCGCAGTGCACATGCTGGCCAGCCTATTGATGGCACTATAATGGCAACACATCCCACTCATGTGCGAAACGATTGTACCCTCACAACGCAGCCACATTCTCGCTGCATTCGTTCTGCGCACTGGTGCGCTTCACCTGTGCAACCGACCTTTGCGACGTGCTTCAGCCAAGCTGCCTCCCGGAAAAGTAGTCTCCGCTGCGCTCCATATGTTGCCCATTGGCATGTGCTCGAGGTGGTGATCCATTGAAGAGCTGCCCGGCAATGCTTCCATGTCTGCCATTCCCCAGGTCAGCTGCAGCGAGCGCTACAGAAAGAGTATGACCCGTGGCATCGATCCCGAGGAGGAACCTTGCGACTTCCCCACAAAGATCCCAGTCCTGCTCGGCCGCTGCTTGCCTCAATAGCGTAGCAAACTTGCGCACGTGGAAACCCTCCTGTTCCTGCTCGAGCGCATGTAGTACGAGCAGATAGCCCGCAGCGGTCTTCAGTTTGTGCCGCTCGAGAGACTGCTCGAACAGATCCTGCACGGGTGGCAGACAAGAAAACAATGTTCGCCAGCTTCGCAGCTCGGTCTTGCGCGTGCAGTTGACGATGACGTCGAGGTAAGCTGAGAATGAGGACAAGAAAGAGAGTACGGTCGGTAGCAGTGCCGTCTCGGGTGGCAGCGGTGGGCTGTCGACTTCGGTATCCAAGACATTGTGCAGCAGAATCTCCAGCGCATGCGAGAAATACGCTAGGTGCTTATATGAGTCGGCAAGGTGGAGCGCGGCAGGCGAGTTGTAATCGGCAAGATGACTTCGCAGCAGATGAGGCAGGAACAGCTGTGTCCTGGTGGCCAACCGAAAGAACGAGAAGTTGACATCCCTGCGTTGGACAAGATCGGGATCGAGGCCTTGAACTATGCCCTGGTTAACCAAGACGGAGACGGGGTAGAAGTCCATCGATATGCGGACAGTGTTGGGAAGATCTCTTCCCAGATCCGAAGGCGCAGACGCAAGAACATCCTGCACATCCGACCATACCTGACAGCATTCTCCGTCGAAATACCAAAGAGAGTCGCGGAGACTGTGTCCCAGTGGGCCCGTAAGCAGACCGGTCGGCCTGCCATCGAGCAGATTCGGAGCGCGCAAAGCGGCCACAGCGTCTGGGAGGTCTCTCTGCAGAGAATAATATTCGACATTCTGCGCTATCACCCGCATATCGTACTTCAGCTCGCCGTACTCATTCGTGGACGGCTGGAGTAACACCAGCTTGCCGTCCACCAAGAAGATCACAGAAGCTGTAGCAACATCTTGCGAAGGGTCACCATGTTCAAGCTGGGCCTCAGGCAAAAGCCAGCTAAGGGCGCGAACTCGCAAGGGGGCTCTGATGATGCCGTGAAAACCGATCTGGCCGACCTGTACAAGCTTTGCCGACGAATTCGTGAACGTTATGATGTAGTGCAACAGCGTATTGTCGTAAGTGTAGACCAGGAGCGAGTCGCTGCCAGATGTTGTTGTCAGTATTGCTGGTGCGTTAAGCTCTTCAACATGCATTGTGCGCTCAAGCGGCTTCTCTCGGGAGAAGACGCGGATCTGGTATCTGCTCACACCTTCCATAGATGCGATCAAGAAGTGCTGATGCCAGCACATGCCGCCTCGCACTGCAAATTCCTGCTCCTTGACTGAGTCCTCAAACGCCTTCCAGCGCCCACTCGCCACACTATAATGGGCGAATCCACGCCGACCAGCTACAGCGACATACTTACTGTCGGAAGAGATTACTGCGAGCTTGATCGGCCAATTGCTAACAAGGTACTGATGTGGTACGCGCACCGTATGCCACAGCGACTGCTCCGAAGAAAGCGCAGTCAAGTCAAGTATCTCGTGGCCCTTGTAGAAGCTGATGGAGTCTGTTGACTGCAGCAACCCCCTTGCGGTGTTGGCTGGACATAAAACAGCTGCCGCAGCGTTGCGAGCAATGTCTTGTACCGTAATCGTGTCATCATAATGGCTCAGTGTGACGAGCTCACAGCCTCCACCCAACCAGAAGGCATCCTTCACACCATCTAGCCAAAGCTCATTGTTTGCTTGCGAAAGCATCCGATCGGCCACGAAAGAGCTGGCCCCAGTTTTGCCGTACACGCTCCACATAGCCCATCCGTGCTGATAGCCCGCAAACATGGAGCAACCATCTGGTGAATACGCCAGATGAGTAATTACGCCGGAGTGTGTATCCGAACCTCGCAGTCGGACGCGATGCGAGAGCGGCACATTGCCAGTATAGTCCTTCACAGCGTAGATATCAATCTGACAATCACTACGGCCGACCGCGATAAGCGAAAAGCGAGCATTGATCGCAACCTTGACGGCTGCAGAACTTGCGGCATCTGGCGTATGGAAACAGAAGCCTTCAAAGGTAGTGCCTCCACCAGTGGATCCCGCAGGTTTGCACTGTACAGCATAGGCTTTGCCGTCGCTGGTGACCCAACACATCAAGTTCATTGGTCGGTCGTGCACCATATCTGCGACAGTGGCCTCGTTGTTGTACCATGGCATCCGAGCAAGCAACTGTGTGCTGGTTTGAGACGCGCCGCTCTCGGCAACCCAGCGGATGCACTGAAGAGCTGCCGGTTTGAGAGTAGCTACAACAAGCTCGTTATCCAGAGCCAACAACTTGCTGACTCCGGCGTCAATCCGTATGACCATGCGAAAACGGAGAATGACTTCGTGAATGCTATCGCCGGCTCCTTGTGCAGTGTCAGCTGCAGCCTCACTTGGTCGCCGAGTATACGCGTCGTTACCACTCCGTTGAGCCCGGCGATGCGAATCCGGGAATAATATTTGATACACCGACGCATATGGATCCGGAGTAATGGCGTACGTGATCAAGTAGCCTAAAGTCGTCTGCACGACAACAGTGAGGCCATCTGGACGCAACGACAGATCACAAGTCGGTCCATAAGCCTTCAATGACCGCGGAGACCGCACCGCAGCGGCCAATGCGACAAAAGGTTTAGCTTGCCATACCGTCAGCGTTGTACCAGTAATGGTGACCACAACGTCGCCAGAGCGTGAGATGCTCGCTCCAAGTATCACGTTGGTCGAGTCGCCCCCCGTCTTCGCGAGGTCTGCCTCCCCTCCTTGCGAACTGTCTGCTGCTCGCTCAAGCTGCGGCAGAGTGTCCTCTTCTCGCTCCTTCGGCCTTCCATCCGCGGGCAAGTGGCTGCCGTTTGCATGGCCATTTTGGGCGTGATGCTCTGCCGAGTTGAGTCCATCATCAGACAGCAAGGTATTTGACAGTGATCGTGGATGCTTGGTCAACGAGTACACTCGGGGCGTGCCAATGGGCCAGTACATGACATGCGCTCCGTGACTCGGTGCGGTGCAGGAACGATGTCATTGTCGCGATCTTGAAGAGTCGTGCAAGCGCTGTTCACGGCATCGACACTTGAATCTCTCATCAGTCATGGGGATTGGCATGGCGGGAAAAGGTATATGGAAGACACGGCATGTGACCGTCGGCCCGAGCGAATCAGTCTCCGGGGGGCTGACCGCCGAGAGCGAGACGCTCACAACACCTCACTCTTCAGCGTTCCTTCCCATTTACCTTCCACCACCCATGCCAACCATGGCTTGAAAACGCCCTCGGTTTGTCTGTTTGATAACTGTCGCGATGGACGACTACGCAAGCTCTGACAGCGAATACACCAGCTACTGGCGAGACTGGGTAAGTGCCTTCCGCTGCCAACCATAAGATGCCTACATCAAGTACACAACGTTTATGCCAATTTGCTCGCTTTGGATCGGTACTACATGTCGATGAGATGCGCTTGATCTGCGGCGCAATGCTGTGGGCCGTACACTTTCTTCCACCTTTCATGCCCATCATCAGAATACTGCGGAACATTGCACGTCACAGCGAGAGCGCAATGCCTTAATCTTACTCTTGCTCTCCAAGTAGATAGCCAGGCTGCGCACCAGTATAAGCGTCTCGGCTATAATCAACAGCACCCTGCCCAGCAACTCTACACTCCTGCATAGTCCAGCAACATATGGATCCTGATTACATTTAGGCTTACCTCTATGCAGTTCATATCTTCCCGAGGCAACGAGTACTTTTGCGAGATTGATGAAGACTATCTCACAGACCGCTTTAATCTCACCGGACTTAATACGGAAGTGCAGTACTACCAGTATGCGCTCGATCTCGTCACGGATGTCTTCGACATGGAGGTCGATGATGACATGCGAGAGCAGATAGAGAAGGCTGCACGGCATCTGTACGGTCTGGTGCATGCGAGGTACATCGTTACTACGCGGGGCCTGGCGAAGATGGTATGCATGTCAACGCAACGTTGTCGCTTCGGTAACTGATGGCTCACTACTCGCAGATGGAAAAGTACAAGCAGGGCGTCTTCGGCAAATGTCCTCGGGTGATCTGTGAGGCGCAGCACCTTCTTCCCATGGGCCAACATGACGTGCCCAACGTCTCTCACGTGAAGCTTTACTGTCCGAAATGCGAGGACATATACAATCCCAAATCGTCACGACACAACAGCATCGATGGCGCCTACTTCGGGACCAGCTTTCACAACATACTGTTCCAGGTTTATGGGACGCTAATGCCGCAGAAGACGCAGCGACGGTATGAACCACGCATCTATGGTTTCAGGGTGCACGCAAGTGCTGCCTTGATGCGGTGGCAGGAGGAAAGGCGAGAGGAACTCAAAGACCGGCTACGTCAGCGAGGCATTGAAACGGGATTCGAGGAGGAAGATGACGGCGACGAGGATCTCGAAAGCGAGGACGATGAGGTTGACGACGACCAGGAAGGCATCGACGACATGTTCGAAGGCCAGATGCAGGCTGTTTGATCTCACAGATGGCGTAATTAGCAAGTTGGACGGCTTTACTGCCGTTACGGCGCTGGGACGGCACGGTGTTTAGACAGCTATGATACCCTCAATGCGAGCAACACAGATGTTTTGTTGCGATAGAGTGGACGCATGTTGGATCGGTTAGCGCGTTCGCGATGATACAAGGGTATGTGAATGTTGCGAACAGCATGTGCGCGTCGCTAGCAGCCGACCAAGCCATGGAACTCTGCATATCTTCGTCGCTTCACGAGCACAGCACCTCCGCGCCTCCCATCCACGGACACACACCTTCGGCCACAGACTCTCACCTCGACTGGGGATGAAAGGGATCCTTTGGTAGTGCTTCCTAGCATCAACCTCTCGCCTCGAGCAGACATCACACTGCGCGGACGAAGTGAGGTTGAGGCTCATTCACGTGCGTCACTGCTAGGTAATGGCTCACTCTCGACCTCTACACACACATGAATACTCTGCACTTGGATAGGCGACACTGCTGTTACTCTAACTCCGGTGGTAACTGCTACATCAGTCTGCGGGTCTGGATACATTGCGGCTGGCCTGGACGTTGTGCCATCGACGCCACTGAACTTCACACAGTACCATGGCGGCCCAAGCTTACAACCCATTCGATCACAACCCATTGGAGGTCTGCGTCCGAGTTATTGCCGTGGCTCCGAGGCTTTCTGATTAACATTCTGTAGGTCAACCAGCTCATAGCCCTCAACCTGGAAAGCGACTTCGATATCTGCAGGTACCGCCTCGCTTGCAAGTCCACACTCGCCGCGGTTGACGAAGATGGTTGGTCGTTCTGGCGACGCCGCTTCCGCGCCTCCTTCGAGCCTCCTTCGTGGACCGACCGCGGCAACTTTGTGTACAAGCGGGCATACCAGAAACGGCGCAAAGCGCTTATGTATGGCGCTAAATTCGAGTCGGCTGTTGGACGGAAGAAGCCAGTCCCAGATGAGGTCCGGAAAGGCACACTCGCACTCGAGGTACTCCGAGACCTCATCGTTGGTAAGTGAAGGAAGACAGGCAGTGAAACCCCAACAGCTGACACTGTGTAGACTCGTTCTCGGAGAAGAAGGACGATGCAGATGGAGATATGGTCTACGAGTCAGTCAATCTGGCTCACCTCGAGAACTTCACAAACAACCATGACTTGCTCAACGTTGTCCTGTTCGGCGTGTGCCGGGTATTAAGCGACGCCGCAGGCCTTCCGAAGCCCCTTCTACAGGCTGTCCAAGTCGTGCTCTCGCCGTTCCTGTTCCGTCTCGATCGACACCTTCAACACTACAGCTTTCCGGACTCACAGCAAGTGGTCTATGCTACCGCAGAGACGTCTGAAATATTTGGCGGTCTACATGGTCTAGAGATTGATATGGAGTGGGTTTTGCACCACATCAACTTCTGGAAGTACCACATGGTACGCGAGGCCGAATGCACACTATTCGAAGCTTTCAGTGAGCTCGATGTGGAAGACCGGCCCAGGCTTTGGGACCAGAAGCTGAAGCAGGGCGGGAACAAGCTTGGCGTACACTGGAAGGGCAGCTATGCTTACGTTGAACGCAATGTGATCCAAAGGATCCGCAAAGGACAAGGTCACAAGAGCCAGATTCCTGACGAGTTCGCGGGTGACTCGCAGACAGCGTGCTTCCAGGACATGCGTCTTGATCTCGTTGACGACTCCATCTGGCCTCCATTGTTTGAAGAACACCTTCACTCGCTCGCTCCGCCCGAGAATCGTCTTAAGACCCGAGCTCAACATCGCACCACAGTCACGAGAAGCCTCGCGCCTTTTAAACCCATAAACTTCCAGTTCAGTGGAGAAGGTCATGACTCCACGGAGGCCTTCCGCGCTCGAGGCTGGCTGAACGCATTGCCGCCGCAGCAAGGCATACCAGGGTGGCAGCGCATGACGATGATGAAGTATTTTGAGGATCCAGACACCGGCACCATTGACGAGGATGCGATGTGGGCCTACGAAGGCGTCGTCCTGCCAGGCGGGCAGATAATAATCGGCAGATGGTGGTCGCCAGGTGACGGTAGAGGAGAGCACATGTACTCTGGACCCTTCATCCTCTGGTGTGTGGATGGGCCAAGGTATGCGGGAGACGCAACGTCGCAAGTTGACGATGATGACCTGCCATGAGCTCGTGTGCCAAGCGTTTGGGGCGATGATCAGAAACGTGGCTTTGGCCGACTGGTACCTTCAGGCGAGGAAAAACCTCTGAATCATGGAGTCGGAAGGTATAGATTTAATGGTGGATTCAAAGATTTGGTCTTGGTAATATGGCAAGTAAGGGCAGATACGATGCCACCATTTTGAGGATACAATGTATCTCTAGCTACTTGTAACAGCTTCGCGGATCTTGGGATGTACTCAGTCGTACTGCCAAACTAACACTCCACCTCGCGCTAGCCATACGATAGAGATCGTGCTCGCATTCCCACCGACTAAGCTGTCATGAATGGTGCACGTAGTCCCTATGACAAGGCTGCAGCGTCTAGAGGATCCAAAGACAGCCCTACATTTGAGACACAAGCGGAGGAGCCCAAGCGTATCACGTGCCAGGTGGATTGTGGCGGTCTTAGCTTTGGCTTCTTTGGGCTGGGTTTCCATGGTGTCTTCGCTTGGTGGGTAGCCCTTCCCTCGAAGGACGATATGGTATATAGAGGCGCAACGGGAACGTCCGAGTGGGTCACACATGCTTCAATCTATACCTCATCTCTTAACCTTGCGCTTCTTGAAGACGACTGCAGGCACATTCTCAGCTTCTTCTTGCTTGACAGCCACAGCGGGCCCACTAGCATCAGGTACGCTTGCCAGCGGCGTCTCTGTAGCCGACTCTTCTCGCTTGAGAGCCACTCCGTCGGCGTTCTCCTCTTCCTTCACATCTGGCTGCTTCTTCGTAATACCCGACAGCAATTCGTCCAGATTTGCATTGTCTGCTGTGCCACCGCCACCTGGGTAACTTTTCATACTGCTGCCCCAAGGCCGCCGCTTCGATACTGCATCTTCGGTATCGTCGTCCGCGGTGCGCTTGCGCACGCCCCTACCGATAGCTTCTGGCTTAACATCGTCTTTCTCATCATCTTCCTGCTTCTTAACGTCCGCAGACATCACGGGCGTAAGTTCGGTCTCGATTACTCGCTCAGACACCGTCTGCCATTCACCAACACCGGTGACTTCTCTCTTCAGATCCTCCGGGAGTTGCACACCCAGCGCGAGTAATTGCTCAGCATGAGCCTTGCGCTGAGCCGCCGGGTCCAAAGCCGACCTGGGCGCGGCGGTCTGTCTGCCGAGATCTTGAAAGCCTGAAATAGCAGGCTTGCTCGCCGCAGAAGACTTGCCGCCAACGAGTCCGTTAAGCCTAGCGACCTCGTCTTTGGCTCGTTGCTTGTCACGCTCGTCCCGCGCTTTGCCCTTCGCGAGCTCCCTAAGATTGCGCTGAATGGCACCTTGGTGGCGCCCACTGCTCTCATGCGCTTTACGCTCGATGCCGGTGTCTTTGACGTAAACCTGGCAGAACTTGCACCAGTATGATGGTGTGGACTTCCAGTATTCCGCCATTGTGCATATGCGAACATCACATTACATCCCTTCAACTGCTGCCGAACCGGTCATACACCACGCTACCCCATGCACTCACGCGGTTACACAAAAGTCGTGGCACGATGGTTTCACGTTGACGTGCAGCGGGCGAGCGAAAACGGCCCGTGCCGCCGACTGGGTCCACATCTATCGTATCTTCTACGGAAGGCACGCAACACTGTGATCGCAAAAGGCACTACGATACAGCAGCTTGCGTAAGTTTCCCACATACATATTCCAACTGCACCAATTACTTACAAAGCTTGACTTCGAGCCTTAGTAGGCACGCTTTCATGCAGGGATGGAGCTCTCGGCGGAGCGGCATGATGTATGCTCGTCATACCTACATGCGTTACGCGAACGAAGCGCCTTTGCATGATACGGTCCCTAAGCCGCCCTCATCCGTCCACGATAGCGCACGTTGTAACTTTGAGTCTTGCGCTGGCTCGAGGGTATCCTGGCCTGTCCATATACCGTCATCTACCTTCTGAGATACGATGGGTGGCTTGGGTACCAGTCATGAAGCGCAGCTGAGAGCCTTGATTTCCGCGGGCGACCAAGGTTCCCCAACTACTTTATACCTCCCTCCCTGTCTTAGTGGTGGGGTGGTGGGTGGTTATTGAGGTCAGCCCAGCAACGCCCAGAATATGCCGGCACTAGGCACCAATCCGGTGGCCACACCCTTTGGATTGTTGGACGTACGGTACTTTGCACGTCATCTGTCCCTTGTCTTTACCTATGCTTTCACATGCCATTCACCATCTCTCCCTGTTCCGACGGACTCTAGACACTTGATCTATTAAAGAGACGATTAACATCCGCCGTCACACACACCCGCAGACATGCCTTCGAAGGACTCTACACACCATCCCACGGCACGGCCACAGCGCTATGCGCCGCAAAAGGCGCAACGAACGCCCGCGAAGCCGAAAGCGAAGCATGTCCACTTCGGCGGAGCGACTGTCATACCATCCGAAACGAGGCCTGGATTATCGCGACGGACCAGCTCTCGGCCAGTGACGGAACGCAAGTCGTCCTACAATAAGCCCAAGCTATCTGAGCGAAAGTCGTCGCATTCTTCGCAGTCCGCCACGAGACGATCCAAATACGCTGCCAAGGACGAGAACGGAAGAAGCTACGAAGTTATCGTCAACAGATGAAAGCCACCCAAGGCAAGCTTGATCAATCGGTCATGCTTCGATTGCATAAGATGTACGCCGTCATATGGAAGCAGAAACCATCAGAAGACGTCGAGAGAAGGGTGGACGTGAGGCTGTCGATGTGGGTCCACTCCATGACATGCTCGTTTGCGCTGGGACAGTGTGCGCGGTTTTGCCACCGTTCCACCGTCCGTCAAGATCTGCGCAGGCGAATCGTCCGGTGCGCAACACAGCGCCTCATATGTTCGCGGATGGACTTGAGATGAGGTTGCACCGATGTTTACCGCTATCCCAGTCATAGCACGTCAGTGGAAACTTCAAGGCGTCCGGACAGCTTGCATGCCCAACTTCCACTTTAGCCGAGTGGCTAGCGGCTGCGGTCCAGATTAATGGTCATGAAGTGATAGGCCACGCCTGTAGCTCGCCGACCAAAGTACTCTAGTGTACAATAGCGAAATAATTTAGCAAATGCTCCTGTATCAGAAGATCAGAATATGGAGGGGTATCTTCCCAAGCGTCTCCGTGTGCGCCTACACAAATGTCTCCCATCAGGTGCTCTTCGGCCCATCAAACTCGTACATAGCGCCACGCTTGCTCAACACCATGCCCAATGCCGGCACCACTTCGGCCTGAAACGGCTCGAAAGGCACGCGTTCGCCATCAATCGCAATTAAACCTTCCTTCTGTCTACCCGCGCCTCCCAACCAACGCCCTATCTTCGCTCGCAGTCTCCGTTTCGGCGGCGTCGGTGCAGTGCGCGGAGAGATCCTGTAAGCGAACACCTTCTGATAATGCACTTCCGGGAAGTCCATAAGGGTACCCTTCTCGACCTCCGTAAGCATCCTGAGCGCTGTGATTCGGGAGCATCGACCGTCTATGTTGATCATGTCGACTCTGCCGTCTGATGGCAGCGCGGTAGCGAAGAAGGGCGCATCGGGTGACATCCAACACATGTTGCCTACGTAGAAGTTACCCAGCGTGGGCTTGTCCTGGGTCTGGAAACCGGCCGGGAGTGGGTCGGTGGCAGTGCCATATTTCAGAGAAGGCAGCTCGGTCTCGCCGCCTTCCAACAGCGAGGCGTCGTCAGAATCGTGAAGCACACCCTTCGATATGGCTGCGCGATGCTCCTCAACAGCGTGCCGGAAGCTCTCATGAATCGCGCGCTTGTCGTCCGTTTCGGCCACAACCGCCAGTTCCGCTGGATACACCGTCTTCCCCAGCATCCGTACCAGAATGCCCCATGTGAAGCGAAAAGAGCCCATCCATCGAAGTGACTCCGTGCCCAAATCACTCTCAGCGATGATGCCGACCGCTTGCGACAGGAAACTGTAGAAGCGATTGCCTCCCTGCGTGATCGCCACTAAGTCTAGAGGTGAGCGGATGCCTTTGATGATAGCGACAGCGGCTAAGCTCGGAGAGTCCGTCCCGTTGAGGTTCATAGACATGGCATTGCCGCTGCCACAGGGTATTTGTGTAACCGCGACTTTGCGCAAAGCCCGTCGTGGATGTGTCTGCTTCGCCAGGCCGTTGAAGACCTCATGGGGTAGTCCATCGCCACTTGCGCAAGCCACGACGTCAACTTGGTTGGGGTCAATCTTCTCAGCAATCTCCGTGGCATGGCCTCTATATGCCGTCTTCTCCACATCCACCTCACACTTGGCCGCCGCGAACAATGGCTCGACCTCCCTGGTCCAGATCTTCTGCGCTTGGCCTTTACCACCGAACGGATTGATGAGCACTTTGATCCTCTTCCGCCGTTTGGTTGGGGCAGGATATGCTCGATCCATCAGCGCATCGACCCATCTCTTGGTATGTGTCCGGAGACTCTTGTCTGTCACATTGTAGTTGATGTAGGCGACTTTACAAGCCTTCTTGCCGGTTGGCTGCGCATAGTGGATGATGACCTCGAAATCATCAACTTCCGCCCATAGCACGTTGTAGAAAGGAACAGCTCGTGTGGTCTTGGAGAGCTGCGGAAGTAGACCGCACAAATTGCTCGCTGCCCGTCGATGCTTCAAGCCTTCGTCCAGTACGATTAGAGCATCGGTTCCCAAGGTAAGCGTTGCATTGCGGTCGACAGTCAAGACATTAATTGGGTCCACGTCTTCGACACCGGAGCCAGCCGGGTCACGAAATGGGTTCTCATCGTCCATGTCCGCCATCTATTTGCCCCGACTGCGCTGAGCGAATGAAGCGCAGTGTAGCAAGGCGGTAATGACAGGTAGTCGAAGGGAATCTGGACGCTTCAAGAAGGTTTGCCACGGAGCAACACCGGTACCAAGGTACGAAGCAAGCGGGAGTCACCCGCAACCGGAGTGGAGACGATTTACGCAGCGGCAGCATTGAACCACACACCATCTTGAAATAGACCGTAGAGTCGGCGTCGGAGGTGGTGGTGATCATATGAAATACACTGTGGTGTTATGTTACAGAACAGCCCTCCCTACAATTAATGAACCTCCAAGCTCCCTCTATTGCTCCCCTTCAGCCAACTGCGGTGTGTCTCGTTGCTTGCCGTTGAGTCAGTGCTGGCCCGGCGTTTCTTCTGCAGCTTCCTCCCTGCAGCTCCGACACTACTAGACCTAGAACGAGACCGAGAAGATCTGTACGCGTTATGCAAAGATACTGGTGGCGCTGTATGCTGTTTCTCGTGAGAGCCATCATTAGCTGGCAAAAGATGGAACGGCAGGGTTGGGTTGAGCGAGCCAGGCTTGAGTATCTCGAAGCCAGTACCATGACCGCGTAAGATCTGCGACCCTCGCTTTTCGAAGGATGTCCGCTCTGGAGGCGGCGCCATTGAAGCTGGGTGAACGATCAACGCCCTTGATATAGGTGGTGACCGAGCAGGCATTGTAGGAACTGCAGCGGGAAGCTCGGCCGGTATATCCGATGGCAAAGAGACAGTCGTGTCTGCACCCTGATACTGCGCACTGGTGGTCGTGTAGCTGTGCAGGTCCGTCAATCTCCGACGTTCCAGCTGCGGCGATGGAGGCGTGCTTTGACAGAACTGCGTAAATGGTGTCACATCTGGCATGCTTGCCCTGCGCACAGCAGGCGGCAGAGCCTCGACCCTCGGAGTTGACAGTGGACTCGTGGGAGAGGTGCTTTGAACTGGGGATAGTAATGCAGCGCTGCGCTGCGAGGAGTAGTCAGATTGCTCAGGGTTCGTAACAAGCCCAACGTTGGTGCATTCGCCACTCCTGCCGGGTCTTCTAGTCCGTGGTGCGAGCTGACCAGTTTCGGCTGCAAGCGAGACGCGGTGGCTGTTCATCATCTCGAAATCAACCGAGCGGTTCCGAGGCTTTGAAGAGGGTTGATGTGTGAGTAGCTTTGGTGCTGCAGCCGAGATAGGCTCTGTGTCATTCTCATTCTGAACCGAGTCATCACTATTGCTGCGGTCTTCGTGGATACTAGTCGACGCTCTTCGAATGGCTTCGAGAGACGCTCGCTGCACAGCCTCCATGTCTTCAAGCGTACTGTGCGACGAAGATGACTGTCGATAAGCGTAAGGACTATTGCTGTACTTGGTGAACGAGCAAGGTGGATATCGCGTCTTCGCGGGCCTAGAGATAGGTCCGCCATCATATCGGGAGTCGATGCTGGCGTTACTGCTCGGTAGTCGCTCGGCGGACACTGCACGATCGAAAGCTGAACTCGGCGGCCCGGCTGAGGTCGAGGACGAGCTGGACCAATCTCTTGTATGTATTGGTGGCGGCTGCTCGTGAAGGGCGAGATCGCCACTTCTCCGCTGATACTGCTGGAGCACTAAGGAGCCGACAGAATTCTCGCGAGTTGCGCTGTCAGGTGTGTTTGGCCTAGAAACCCAGACACCCTCGACTTCTATGCCGTTCTCCAGCGCACGGATGCCGAACGGAGTTTCGTCGTGGCGTCGTCGTTGGCTCATCTGCCGCTGAATGGCCTGCTCTTTCTTTTCTTTCTCCGCGACGGCGACGTACTTCCGAAGTCGCCAGTGGGTGTAGCCCAGCTTGGTGGTGCCTGCCAACAGTACAACCACGATCGCACATGCCAGGACCTACATCGTGCTTTTTAGCGGACCATACGCAACACTTGGGAGGCGTCAGGTACGTACGAAGCACAGCTTCTCCCACATTGGCCAATCTAGAAAGAACCTATTGCCCATCACAAGTCCAGCTTCAGAAGGGGCAGCCCGCGATTGTGCAGGGTTGCGCAGTAGGTCAACAGTCTGGATGTCCCTTAACCACGGGTATCAAGTACTGGGTGTGGACATGTATTCCGTGTCAGGTGCATAGGTAGTGGCCGTTTCGTAAGAAGCTATTAGGTGCGGTGTGTCAGTGGATAGTGGCGGTGGTGCATCGCGAGCTTTGGAGATCAGTTAAAGCACTTCATACTGGCTCTACATCAGCTGCTTGTTACTTACCCAGTGAACGAGGGAGTCCGCTTGCTTGCTGTTTGTGGAAGGCACGGCTTAGCACCGTTCCAGCAGTCCGGTCGAGCAAGCTTAAGCTTTGCGGAGATGCGTGGAAGCCCAGCCTAGGATGAAGTGTTGGATCACAGAGAGAAATCGGGCTATTGTATATGGGCAAGGTGCACGTGGTCGGCCCAGGTGAGGGAAGGAGAATGCTGGTGTAGCCGGCAAACGCCCCCGTCGATGTCACCACGATAATTTTGAGCCAAGCGAGCGTGTGCGACCGGATGTCGTGAAGCGGTGAAGCAGGTTGAAAGAATGTATCAAGCGATCCTCGGATGAAGCTGTTCCGGCTAAGCAAAGAATGTGAGAGGTGGTGCACGAGTGGTCGTGAATGAGCTTCTAAACGGGGGGGTGTACAGCGTGTACATGGCCCGGCATCGTGGTCATGACAGAATATGAAGCATGGAAGTCCTAGTGAGTGGTGTTACAGTCGCGTCCTGAAGTTACCGAGCCACCTTTTCGCGGCATCATGCATTGGCCCGCTCTCGTACTACCAGAGGCGTGCTCGCTTGTGCAAAACAGCTGCCATTCCGCATATTTGCTTCATTGGATCCCTGCGCGGAGTCGTCCTTACAGTACATCAGGGTAGCTGTTTAGGTTGGTTGTTTGTCGAAGTATTCGTGAAGAGTGACTTTGACGTCGAAACATCTCCGCATGCCTAAAACATCACCCTTCGAACAGGAGTGGTTCCATAGCTACGGTCAATGCGGTGCTGAGACCCGGAAGTTTGCATGCAGTATCAGGTAACATTGCCTATGCTTTGCATAGGACCCATGCATTGCGTAGAAAACGTGCTCGTTGCGGAGAGCAGCATCATGCCAACGCGTGCGTATTGTACCAACGTCTCATGTAAATTAGAATGAAATCAGTAAGACAGCTCGCCTGTCGTGAGATTATTCGCATAGTGAAAGGCGATCGCGGTCCTACTGTGGTTGTGCTGCTGATGGGCAATAGAGACAGAAGATCAACCAAAAAAAGCATTATAGCTGAGAATGGTTTCGATCCATTGACCTCCGGGTAGCATAGCTTGCGCTTATGAGCCCGGCGCGCTGAAGCTTAATCAATAGCTACTAGGTTACCCATCGCATTATTAGCCCATTTCCTTCTCTCTATACACTCATACTTCTCAAGCGCTCTTAGACCCCAACGTAGTCTATCATCCTGCATTCGCCTGGCTATATCTAAAGCAGTATGCTCAAGCTTTAATCAAATTGAAAACGCTTAGATTATTATGTTTATTCGTTGATTATCTAGGGCGATGGAAGACATCTGGTGTAAGTCTCAAAGCAGCGATATCCACCAGCTCGCCTTGGCCGAGAAGCGGCGGAGCTCTTACATAACACCTATGATGACAAGATAAGTAAATGCAGCTTTCTTAACTTCTCGAACATGTCACTCCATACTACACCTGCTAAAGGGTATGATGATGCGTTCAAGCGTTGGTTACCTCATACTCTGCGCAGTTCTTCGCGCCGGCGTAACTCACGCTCATGCCGAAGCTGCCGAGTCTCAGGAAGCATTTGTCGGCTGGACCAGAGAAGACCTTGATGCGAAATGGGGAACAGACGTATTACCTCCCTTCGATTAGACAGCAACGTGATCGAATGTACTAACGGAATATACAGTGGGGATTCTCCGGCATCTCAACCTTCGCCCATCTCCCACACCATCGCTGCCTACAGTACCCTGAAACGGAGTACGACATCGGGATCCTCGGCGCACCGTTTGATACAGCAGTCAGCTACCGACCAGGTGCACGCTTCGGTCCTCGGGCTATCCGCGCGGCGTCTGCACGCCAGACTTCATTTCGAGGCTACAACCCTCGAGCAAGCATCAATCCGTACCGAGAATGGGCCAAGATTATCGACTGCGGTGATATCCCTGTGACGCCCTTCGACAATGAGCTGGCATTGAGGCAGATGTCGGAGGCATTCACCAACCTTGCCCATAGTGTGCCTCCAAAGCAGAGCGTAGACTCTTCGATTGCTTATCGCAGAAGGCCAAAATTATTAACCTTCGGTGGCGATCACAGCATTGCTTTGCCAACTCTGCGAGCGCTGAATAAAGTCTACGGCAACGTGGCTGTCGTCCATTTCGACGCTCACCTAGATACGTGGCACCCAGCAAAGTATCCGTCTGCTTGGTTCGACGCAAACGATCCAGCAGAGCAGTCTTTCTTCACGCACGGCACGATGTTCTGGCTGGCACATAACGAAAGTCTGCTCCTTGAGAACAAGTCTGTCCATGCAGGCCTTCGCACACGATTGACGAATCTTGGCGATAATGAGGATGATGACGCGCAAGGCTGGGCACGTATTGCATGCGATGATATTGACGATTTGGGCGTGGCAGGAGTTGCTCGTAAGATCGTTTCTCACGTCGGCACGGAGACCCCGGTGTATTTGTCTATTGATATCGATGTGATCGATCCTGGTCTTGCTCCGGGGACGGGTACGCCGGAGCCGGGTGGATGGACGACAAGAGAGTTGATCAGAGTGTTGCGAGGCATCGAAGGGTTGAATGTTGTTGGAGCAGATGTTGTAGAAGTCTCACCGGCGTACGACGGCACGGGCGAGGCGACGGCATTGGCCGCAGCTCAGGTGGCTTTCGAGATACTGAGTAGCATGGTCAAGCGCGGTATGGCGCCCGACGCTGGAACAACCAAGGATGAGCTGTAAGCGTATACTGTTATCTGGGCCAAAGTAGGTCCCGGAAAACCCACAGTGTTGGAGGCATTCGGCCTGCATGAAGCGTCGCTAGCTTGTTAGCATTATTAATGCAAAAGTTGCATGACTGCTTCGAACTCCCAAGCAGAGCGATTGGTGCGCATATACCCAGCAGATCTGCGCAATCTACGAGATAGGGGCTTGATCCTGCAGCTAACGATCGTACCTACGTGAACACGATGCAGACATTCTTCTCGTCCAATCGTCTTCGTTTGCATGCCACTGACCTTTTCTTGGGGCCGCAGAGAAGCTTTCGCCCTGACATCATGACAGGAAACGGCACATTCACATGCATACGTAGTACACCTTCGTTGTAATAGATAGTACCCAGTATTGCAGAGGAACCATGCAGGTAACACAAGCAGGTCAAGTACTGCCTGTTCCGTCGCTCTCTCATGGAATTTGATACCAAGCGGACCCGCTACTTTGACGAACAGAGAGCAGTGTTTCACCCAAAGCCGAAGATAAGGAGACAGTCAATCTCGACGTCAAGTTCCAGCAAAATGCCATCGTCCAAAGGTGAACCTACCGATCCGCAATTGCGAGAGAAGGTGAAAGAGGAGGTGAAGTCAGAGGAGAAAGGTATTCGCATTGCTTCCGAAGCCTTTGCGTTCAACGATTAATGTCTGGCTAGGGGGCGGTCCTGGAAAGTGGTCAGCTTGGAAAGCTGGAGAGATGTCCAAACGTTACGAAGCAGAGGGCGGCGACTACAAGGATACTGGTGATAACAAGAACAAAGCGAAGAAGGGCGAACCGGAAAGGAAGGCAGATAAATAAGGCCGTTACGAAGCCTGCATCCTCAAGCCGGGGTATAAACGCAACATCTCGAGTCAGTTGATCCACCGTTCCATGCGTGCGTACAATACGCTACACCTATGGACTTTGATTCTGCACCGGGCACTATTCTGGAGGCAAGTGCGACGTACAAGAACTCAGCTTCTGCGCGAGACGGTCAATTTAGACTGGTTCACGCTTGCATATCCGAGTTTTCGAGACCGGGCTATGCCTCCGATAATACTATAGTAGATCGATCTAAGTCCAATGTTCAACAGCTCGTCTATACTTTACAATACGAGCAAACTGCGGTTCAGCTGCATGATCGCTCTCAATTAGTAGCTTAAGCCACGTCTGGACTGTCCCCTTGCTCGGAGCTTTAGGCACCGTACTACCCGAAACTATGAAGCTCAGCATGTGAAGAAGGAAACCGACCGGTCACTATTTCCCCGTGCCATATGCTTTCAAGCTCAGCAAGCGTCAGCCCCTTAATACGTAGCAGAGAGGGGACCGGATGCGAGTTGTGGGCGTGATGCTATATATTTCCCATGATTGCCAAGGAAACAAACGAGGTGGGAGCGAACAGAGACGGTCGCAGGAAGCAACAGCTCGCCCTAGCCTAGCGGTAAGAAGAATAGAAGTATATGAGCTTGAGTTCGTGACGAAGCCGACGAGGACAATAACAATGCTAGACTAAGGAGGCTACGCTGAAGAAGTCGAAGAAGCAGGGTATAATAGCGGCAAGTTCATCTTCTGTAAAAATACAAGGAGAACCAGGCTACATTTTCGAATCCGGCTACCCTTGAGCGTGTGTAGTCGGCGCTACAGAAATGCCTAAGACTAGGCATCCTCCCTCTGAGTTCTGCTCTCAGTAGATGCAAGAAGTGAAAGCACAAGCCGCGGAAATGAAATACATCCCAGTGTAAAAAAGCACGCAGACCTACTCGGAGGAACGAAAGCACCTTGTCGCTAAGCTTGCGGACTTGAGATAGTATACAATGCTGCAACACTAACGCAGCGCTTTCCCATAGTGTAGGGGAATACGGCGCATCTATAAAGACGACGGCGTGCTCTCGATCACTATGTCGTTGAGATACTGTGTCATACATGGTCGTGCCGCTCATTTGCAGTACTATCAAGATAATGCACGTAGGCCTTGAGGTGCTTTAGACGATAGGGTCGGCTGACGGAGAACAAAAGCGTTGGAAAGGCTTCGCCGCTACCTATACCAACTACCCAAGTCCTGCCAGCTACCGCTACGCCTGGGGTTCGTGGGGTCTTCAACGACCACCCTGCACAGGAGATTTGTGTCCGCACCCTCCTCCAGCCGCATGACGGGATGCCTATGAGGTTGAAGTCGCTGGACAACATCGGCAACAAGCTGTTACATCTGGGTGCGTCAGCGTATTCTGCGCCTGACGAGATTCGCTATCCACCTCGTGACCACTTGCAGGGGATGGCTTGTGAACTTTGCAACGCAAGAAAAACCATGGTATGTAAGCAAAAGACACTCCTTAAGAGGGAGACTGATACTATGTAGGGCAACGATAGAGTGGTCTGCACGAGGCTTGGCATGAAGACCACGTGTGTCGAGTGCGACGAGTACAAGCGGCCATGCACGTTCACGCATATGGCGATAATGAGCGGCAGGGTGGATCTCCAGCGTGCGAGCATGTTTCCGCCGTACAACAGGGAGGGTACCAAGCGCCTTGCTGGGAATCGTGTAGTCAAGGAGTTCTAGAAGTCTGAGAAGTATTGTTTCGACGGACAGGTGGGCATTCGGCGGGACTTGGCGTGTAAGATCATGCTAGGTACAGCATGGTTCGGGCGTGCATTTGTTCTGCAAGCGGGAGTGTTGCTCTTCTTGATAGCTTGACTTGAGAAGCCAGGGCCAGTAGCAAGTGATGTTTTGTTTGGTATGTTTCCAATCTTCAAGCCTGCATCACAATTGCCCAGCGCCAGATGCGTCGGAGTTGGATTGAACGTTGCACGGGTATTCTTCGGCTGTCATTTTCAACGTGATATATTCCAAACCGCACAGTTGCAGTCTATCAAGCAGCGGAGGCTTGCCGTCGAGATATTGTAAACCACGGCGCTTCAAGAAAAATGAACTCCCGCGGAAACTCTCGAGAAATCCTCTACAGAAGCTGAGGTAAATTTCAATCAATTTCGAGCGAAGCTATGCCAAAACTAACCGAAATATTAGTGGCGCAGCGGAAGCGCGCCGGGCTCATAAGCGCAAGCTATGCTACCCGGAGGTCAATGGATCGAAACCATTCTCAGCTACAACTTAATTTTTGGAGGTGTGGTTGGCTATACTGTCTTGTAATGCCATTCTCAGCTGCAATTTTTTTTGGAGGTGTGGTTGGCTATACGGTCTGGTTATGCTCTAAGGTAGCTCTGCGATCTCCAAATTTTGCCAAGACGCGAAACTAAAGGGTGAAGGGCTCAAGGTTGATCGAGCCATATTGGCGCTTAATGACGTCGCTGCCCTTCACCTCGGCGCGTCCACTCATGTCGACGCGTTGAAGGCTTGCAGCGAGCACCAAACGACTCGAACCTCAGCAACAAATCATCGCCTGCTATCGCACATTTGTCGCATTACATCGTCGCACCCGTAGGACATCATAATGCCCGAGGTGCGTACTTCTCATTTCCAATATTGATACAAGGCTAACGTTTGTGATAGATCGGCGAAGTCGCCCGGGTAGTACACTACCTCCGCAAACACCTCGTCGGCCGCACTATCAACACCTGCGAAGCCTTCGCCGACGACATCGTTTACGGTAAAGTCGGTTGCAGCGCCGACGCCTTCCAACAACATGCGACCGGCCGCCGCGTCACTGGTGCAGACCAGCAAGGCAAATACTTCTACATGACCTTTGATAAGCCTCCGCATGCCGTGATGCACTTTGGCATGACTGGCTGGATGAAGTTCGACGCGGAGGAAACGGCGTACTATAAGCAGGCGAAGGAGAAAGAGAAGGGTGCAGAGGTGGAGTGGCCGCCGAAGTATGCGAAGTTTGTGTTGAAATGTGAGGAGGAGACTGTGGACGGGAGAAAGAGAGACCCATTGCAAGCAGCATTTGTAGATGCGAGACGCTTGGCACGGATACGATTGGTGGATTGTGAGGCCGAGAAGATTCGGGAGGAGAGTCCGCTGAAGGAGAACGGACCGGACCCGGTTAGGGATAAAGATATCGTGACCGTGGAGTGGTTGACGGAGCTTTTGCGGAGGAAGAAAGTGCCCGTGAAGGCATTGCTGCTAGATCAAGCTAATTTGTCCGGTGTGGGCAACTGGGTTGCGGATGAGGTTCTGTATCAAGCACGCATTCATCCGGAGCAGTACAGCAACACTTTTGACGATGAGCAAATCAAGCGGTTGCATGATGCGCTGATAGGCGTCTGCACGTTGGCGGTTGAGACGCTCGCGGACTCGAAGCAGTTTCCGGAGACTTGGCTGATGAAGTACCGATGGGACAAGGGAAAGAAGGATGCGAATGTCCTGCCAAATGGTGAGAAGATTGTCCATCTAAAAGTCGGAGGGAGGACGTCAGCTATCGTGCCGAGTGTGCAGAAGAAGACTGCCGCAGTGGCTGGGGATGTGGATCCTGCTGATTTGGAGGATGGAGAGGAGAAGCCAGCGAGGGGCCGAAAGCGGAAGGCGAAAGCTGTGGAGGATGACGAAGCCGCAGAGGATGAGGTGGAGGTCGAAGCGACTGCCAAACGTGGACGAGGTGCCAAACAAAGCAAGGCCAAGGCTGTAGAGGCGAGCGAGCCGGCAGCGAAGAAAGCCGGTCGAGGCAGAAAGCAGGCAGCGAAGACCGACGATGGGGAGGATGATGAGTTAGAAGTCCAGGCCAACGGTGGCGCTGAGGACATTAATGACGTCAAGCCGAAAGGTACTCCGAAGACATCGAAGAAGACAGGTACGACGCCGAAGAAGGCTCACGAGAAGAGTCAGGAGGCTGCGAAGAAGACACCCTCGAGGGCCGATCAGCCTTCGACGGCAGGCTCTCGAAGATCGGCGAGAACGAAGGCCAAGTGATGGTGCCGTATGGATAATGCATGGCCGGTGTTGTAACGGTGTTATTGTGTAGGATAGTGTATGCTTGTTGACCGTATATCATGTGTATGTGAAGCACTGCTGAAATCTTGGCGCTGCTCCACTTGGTGGGCTGTCATCCAAAAGAGAGCCGAACTGGAGAAGAAGCTCATGTGAGCACTCGCACTCCCTCGGTCACACTTTCTGTCGCTACAGCGCTGCCACTCCGCCACGGCATCTGTGGATGACTGAACGAGCTGGCTGGTAGGATGGCTGTATAGATTGCACAGACGAATACATCGAAGTCCTGACGTCCCATTACCCGCACTTCATCGCTCAGCCTTTAGCCCAGCATGGCGCAGAACAACCAGGTCCTCCCTTCCAAGGAGCAGACCCTCTTCCGGCACCTCGTCCAAAACTACGAGTCGAAACAGTACAAGAAGGGTCTCAAAGCCGCCGAGCAGATCCTTCGAAAGCATCCCAACCATGGCGACACCCAGGCCATGAAAGCGCTGATCCTGTCCGCACAAGGGAAGAGTGATGAGGCCTTTGAGCTTTGCAGAGCCGCTCTCAAGAACGCCATGAAGTCGCACGTCTGCTGGCATGTATATGGCTTGCTGTACAGAGGCCAACGTAATTACGAAGAAGCGCTCAAAGCCTACCGATTCGCATTAAAACTCGACCCGGACTCGGTGCAAATACAGCGCGACTTGGCGATGCTGCAGATCCAGATGCGGGATTATGAGGGATATGTGCAGTCGCGGCGGGCCATGTTGACGGCCAGACCGGGCTTCAGGCAGAATTGGACCGCACTGGCCATTGCGCTGCACCTGAGCGGTGATTTGGTTGGCGCGGAGGATGTGCTGCATCGGTATGAGGAGACTCTGAGGCAGCAGCCGAGTCGGAGTGATATGGAGCATGCGGATGCGGTGCTGTATAAGAACATGATCATCGCGGAGAGAGGCGATCACGAGAAGGCGTTGGAGCATATCAACTCTATCATGCGAACTGCGCTTGACAAGACGGCGGTCATGGAGATGAGGGCAGAATATCTATTGAAGCTAGATCGGAAAGAGGAGGCGAAGGAGGCTTACACTAAGCTATTAAAGCGGAATCCGGAGCATCGTGCGTACTACGAAGGGCTGGAGAGGGCGCTCGGCCTTGATCGGAGCAACGGAGACGATCATGAGAAGCTCGGCGAGATGTATCACGGCTGGGCAATGCAAAGCGATAGGATCGATGCCGCCAGACGAATACCGCTGGACTTCAAGCAAGGGGATGCGTTCCGGTCACACGCCGACAAGTATCTGCGACGAATGTTCAAGAAGGGTGTACCCAGCACATTTGCAAACATGAAGCAGCTATACTCGGAGCCGGCGAAGAAGGCTGCGGTCCAAGAACTAGTTGAAGGCTATCTTTCCGAAGAACCACAAGTCAATGGTGGCGCTGAGAAGACGGAAGAGACAAATGGCAGTGTAGATGGCTCGCACAAGGCCGAGGCGAAACCGAAGACCGACCCATCAATAACATGGCAAATCAGTGTCAACTACTACCTTGCCCAACACTACAACTACTACCTCTGCCGCGATCTTGCCAAGGCCGAACAATACATCGACAAGACTATCTCACTCAACCCGTCAAAGACGGACTACACCTACCACATGACTCGCGCCCGCATTCTCAAGCACAGAGGCAACGTCTCCTCCGCCTCCACCGCCATGAACGAAGCCCGGGAAATGGACCTCAAGGACCGCTACATCAACACCAAATGCGCCAAGTACCAGCTCCGCAACCACCAACATACTGATGCGATCTCCACCATGGGTCTTTTCACCCGAAAAGAAGCCGTCGGCGGCCCACTTGGTGATCTGCTGGACATGCAGTGCGTCTGGTTCATTACCGAAGACGGCGAGAGCCATCTTCGCCAAAACCATCTCGCGCTCGCCCTAAAGCGCTTCAGAGCCGTTTACGACATCTTCGTCGCCTGGGAAGACGACCAGTTCGACTTCCATTCCTTCTCCCTCCGCAAAGGCATGATCCGCGCTTACGTGGATATGATAAGGTGGGAAGACCGCCTACGCGAGCATCCCTTCTTCACCCGCGCCGCGCTATCCGCTGTTCGCATTCTGTGCATGCTGCACGATAATCCGGAGCTGGCCAAAGGGAATCTGCAGAATGGGGAGAGTGCGGAGAATGCTGCGGAGCGGAAAAAGGCGGCTAAGAAGGCGAAGAGGGAGGCGGAGAAGGCTGCCGAGGCAGAGAAGAAGGCGAAGGCAGAGAAAGCGACGGCGAAGGCGGATGAGGGTGGGGAGGTCAAGAAGGAGGATGTGGATCCGGAGGGCAAGGAGGGGTTGAAGGTGGCGGCGGAGAAGCCACTGGAAGAGGCGATGAAGTATCTGCAGCCTTTGCTCGAACTCAGTGGTGGGCATGTGGATGGGCAGATCGCTGGGTTTGAGGTGTACTTCCGGCGGAGTAAGTCTTGTGTGTGCTCAGACGGAGATTGTTGTGCTAACATGCCTGCTCGCAGAAAAGTACCTTCCCGCCCTTAGATGCCTCCTAGCAGCGCAGCGAATCGATCCCGAACACCCCAAGAGCCACGAGCAGAGTCTGAAATTACGGCATGCCCTCGGCAACCTGTCGGAACCTCTACCGGAGAAGGCGAAGCAAGTTACCGATTCCGAGTTCCTTTCCAAGCAGCCTAAGGACCAGTCAATAGAAGCCGTCAACGAAGAGTACCTCGCCAAGCACAAGGACAGCGCATCGCACATACACGCTGCTGTACGCGTACGGCAAGTGTTACAGCCTGAGTCTGCTGATGCCAAGGCGAGGAGTGTAGAGGACCTGGTGCAGTCGTTGCGGTGCGAAAATATAATGCTGCGCCAAGCGGAGGACGGGTTGGCTGTCTTGCTAGAGCTGGGTGTTGAGGTGGAAGCGAGGGAGAAGTATGTACAGGCGGCGCGGGAGAGATGGCCGGAGGCTACGGTGTTCGGGGCACGGTAGCATCCGCCGAGCGCGATGTTGATCGGGTGACACCGCCCGCACGCCGGGCAACGAGGCGGACACTGCAAGTTGCTCGAATGCTCCTCGTGAATAAAGAGGCCTACCGGATTTCCTGACGCCGTAAGCCTTCAGTAGGTCCACAATGTCATGGCGGCCCCATTCCCCCGCCATAGCAACCAGGGTTGAACCCTCCTTGTTCGTCGTACTAAGGTCAACCCTATTCGTTTCCAGCAGTGTCCTAACAATACCCGTGTCGCCCTTATACACAGCGTAAAGTAGAGGCGTGTCGCCCACGTAATCTCGCACATCAGGGTCGAAAGTGCTATCTTCGAGGAGAGCGCGGAGCACATCTTCATGTCCCCCGGCAACCGCGAGGAACACTGCCGTTCTGCCTCGCCTGTCACGATCATCCCGGAAAGCACCGGTCTTGAGCAAAGCGTTGACTCTACTTGCATTCCCCATCTTAGCTTCATGCATCAACAGTGTCATACCGTCGTGGACTTTCAGAGAAAGATCGACTTCGCCAGAGGAGAGCAAAAGCTCGGGAAACTCGTGAAGCCGACCTGCAATGCGCGCCTGCTGGTACATCACTGTCCAGTTTCTGCAATCGATCCCGCCTGTCTCGAGTAAACATTCAATGACGTCCAGTCGCCACCGCTTGATAGCTTTTGTAAGCGCTGAGCTGCCGTCCGCATTTCGAGCGTTCGGATTGACCTTGCCAGAAGCAAGCATTGCTCGGACGGTCTCAGTACAGCCGTTACGCGCTGCTATAGAAAGTGGCGTTTCGCCCTTCAGGCATCTGGTTGGATCAACACTGTCGCTCTTCAGCAAGACTTTCACCAGCTCAAATGCGTTGGCCTTGACGGCGTAGAGAAACGGCGAATGCTCGAACTCGTCGTAAATGTTGACGGAGACCGTTCCAGTTGCCAAGAGCAACTCAACCACCTGAGCGGATCGTGCAAGCTCGTCGTCCGATGCTGATTTGCTCAAACGCGTGGCGTATTGCAATGGGCTTCGCCCTGCTCTACACCTAGAGTGAGCATCGACTCTTCCTGTTGCAAGCAGCAACCTTACGCATTCCACAGCAAAGGCACCGCAGGCAAGTGAAATGGGCGTCCGTCCATCTCGACCACGGTTGTCGGCAATGGTTCCAACATGATTCAGCAACAGCTTCACGATCCCAGATCGGCCATGCTCCGCTGCTAATGAGAGTGCACTTTGGCCCTTGCGGTCTTGCTTGTAGATGTCGATCGACGGTACCTGCAATAGCACTTCAATGCACGCCTCATGGCCCTCAATCGCGGCCCTCATCACAGGAGTTTGCCCGTTCGAGTCCACAGCATCAGCACTGATACGGGAGTCCTCGAGCAGTCGCTTCACGATGTTAGGGTTACCATATCGAGCAGCTGTCAAAAGAGGCGTCGTCATATGCCCATCTCTTGGCGCAGGATTGGCACCTCCTGTCCCAAGCAGACAATTCACTATGGAAGGAGATCCCGCGAAACACGCATAGTCAAGCGCCGTCATACCACCGAAGTCCCTCTGGTCAGGATTTACCCGCCTCGTCTCTAGCAAGGCCTGCACTACGGAGAGGTGACCGTTCCCCGCCGCAGCCATGAGTGGAGTCCGACCCTCCCAGGTTCTGAAACTCAGAAGGAGGTCTGTCCTCTCCAGTAACATCTTAACTATCTTCAGTCGTCCACACCAAGCAGCCAGATACAAGGGTGTCTGACCGGACTGATCCGGACGGTTGACGGAGGGAGACTGATCGCCGAGGTCTAGCAGCAGCCGTACAACATCGGACTTGCCGTCGAGGGCTGCAAAGTGCATGATCGTGCGGGCTACTATCATTTGGCCCTCTTCAGCCTCCAGCTCTATCAGCATGTCCATATCAACGGCACCAGTGAGCGCCAGTAGTCTTATAGCAGCATGATTGTTGGTCCTGTATGCTCCCAGCAAAGCGTCGATAGCATCAAAAGAGCCATCGCGGAAGAGCAGAGCCTGCACATGTTTGTGATCGCAGAAGTACGCCCACCATAAACTGATTCCACTATGCCGGTCGAGGAGTGGCATCGCAAGCATGTCTTCTCGCGCTGGGGGCGTAGGATAGCCAGGGTAGTTGCCGACCGCCAGTACAGCATCGCTGTCACAGCCCACAATCGACGCAAGCGAGTGGACCTGCCCACTCACTCCGCCAAGGTTGTTGGGATGTCGGATATAGTGGTCCGCACGCAGTACGTCGTTCAAGAGTGCGGGTAGAGGGACATTGTAGTCCGGATTGAGCCCTTCACAGCCTTTTTTGGCGACGCCAAGTAAACCGAAGACTTTGTCTCTCGGCTCTGTGCAGGATAGGTGAGCAGTCGCCATCATGAGATCCCAAAGTGCAGGACATTCGACTGCCTCCAGCTTCTGACGTACCATCATACCTGCAGCATCAACGGCCAAGAATTCTAAGTATTCACGTCTTTTAGCTGCCGTGGAAGAGGCCTGGCATGCTCGAACGCAGCAAACCAGTGTTCGAGGGTCTTCCACCGGAGCGTTTGATGACCACACACCAGGGTAATCTTCTTGGCCAACAGAAGTTCCTGGAAGACCCAGAGTCGAGTCCAGTACGACCTATTACACAAGCTGTGGATGGCGGCTTCCGGTTGGACTGTGTGCAAGATCGCAGAAGCGCGTGTTCGTGAGTGAATACTGAAGACCCTTGCCAATGGCTCGCATAGCAACGTCACTGTTGTGGTGGGAAGGGCCAAGCCACGCAAGTACACCGGATGCGCTTCCATAAATCTGTGCCATCATACCGACCTGCTGTGTGCGCTCGGCCGAGTCAGCCTGGTTGATACATACGGCGTCGATCCAGAGAAGCTCGGAGCGCTTGGTGTTTGCAGCTCTCCTGCATCGCAGGAAGCGCCATAGATTTTTCGGTATGGCGAAGGTCAGTCCGTTCAGAATTATACCGCGGTTGGCCAGACGGGAGCCCCAGGCTGTATCAGCGTAAGAGCGTACAGGTCAGTTACTCAATCGAAACAACTTGGGTCAAAGTGAACCACTGACCGTACGAGAGCGCAGAGTATTTGAGATGCGCGTCGAGAGGATACACTGCGAGAGTACAACGTATTTTGGTGTCGGCTTTGCCAGGTTGTATCGTTAGTAGCCTTATGTTGCCAGGCTGTAGCGGCAGACGATTGTGAACTGGGCTTTGGCGTAGCTCATCCAGACCGTTTGCAAACGGGAGACAATTGTTTTCAGTGTCGTTATCTTGGCCGTCTGCAGATGCTGGTGTGCCTGGCTCGTCCTTCCCTTCAGCGAATGACGGACAGTCTGACCAGTCCTCCATCAGCTAATGCTGGAGGATCTGATGACTTGTCCACATATGCGGAAGCTGAAATGTGTGACACGTCTTCCACTTCCAAGGTTGCCGCACTAGTTGTCTCGTCTTCCACATCTGGAAAGTACGTGAAATTAGAAGACAGTTCTTCTCAACGGTTGTATCCCTCCCATCTGAGCGAGCAGGACAATCAATACCAGTAGGTTCTGAAGGGATCAGAGAATTCATGACACGAGATGGTGAAACAATAAGGGAACTGTGCCGAGGTCACGATATGGCAACAAGGCTGTGAAGCCAAGGCCTCAATATACCTACCTCGCTTGCGGAAGGGCTGCGACTGGCAGGGTTATACAAATGGAAGGGTATCAGTAACGGCGTGGTGTAGACGCTGGTAGTGTTCATAGTTCGTGCCATTTGCATCCACCCTGACGAAAATGATTGATGGTGCCGATATCGCGCGAGAACCGCTGAACATCATGACTTGATCCCGAGTTTGAGGTTGTCAGGCGGAGGAAAGGTCGGCACCGAGCAGCACAGACGGTCTCTGACTTTGCCTGCGAACCCCACCTTGCCCGCATGCTTGGTTGGCTTCACACGAGGCTATCTTTATCCCAACCAACAGCCCATCATGCGGCGCAGTCAGCCGGCGCAAAGCCGTCTGAGACTCCCATCATCTCCTGCACAAACGCCACCCACATACGTGAACGGCAGCAATGGTGATCGGTAGGAGCATCAAGGTACAATGTTAAAGGGACGGGCGGCGCCGGTGAAGGATCAGATCAGGCCATCCAACCCATGCGATTCTAGCCCCCAAGCAGCTAAAGTCACCACCATCTCCACCATCCCGCCAGCTGAACGAGTCACGATAGTACAAGGACCAGCTGATCGTTTGCCAGCTTTCTCTTTCTTTCCTTGTCCATTGATCCTGTTTCGTATTTCATTTGCTTCTTGGTGTCTCGCAATCGATTGGATTGAAGGGAATACAGAGCGACGCATTCCTGGTTGCTGGCTCGCACTGTAGCGTCACCCTTTCCTTGTCGTCTGCCCCGCCGCAGTACTTGGTTGACATTCACACCAACGTCAGCGCGCTTCTTCAACCGGCCAAGTAAAGATGACATCTTACGGCGACGACGGCTACGACTACGATCGACGGCGCCGACGCTCACCGCAGGGTTACCACGACACCTACCGGCGCCAGCAGTATCTCAACCCTGGTGGTGGCGGCGGCTTACAACGTTCCCGCTCCCAAGGACATGGTCCGACGCCGAACATTTACATCTACAACGATCAGGTGCAGGATGCCAACCAGCGCGCCAGCTCACCAGGTCTCATGCCGATACCCGTCCCCGCTCCCGCACCACCCCAAGCGTACCCACAAGCATATCCGCAACCGTATCCGGTAGCTGTACCGTATCCGGCATCACCCGAGATGCGTGGTCGCAGACACGATCTCGTCGAGGACCTTGCCGAAATGGCGATACTGGAAAAGGTTGGCGTCGGTCGCTCGCGGTCCAGAGGGCGATCGGACGTCGCCTTGGTCGATCGTCCAGACTTCTACGAATGGCGCTTGGAGCAGAAGGAGCGCGAGTTGGAGGAGCAGAAGCGGCGGCAGCTATGGGAGAAGGAAGCTGAGTTACGCCGCATGAGGGATGAAGCGAGGCGGCATAAGGCCGAAGAAGACGCCGAAGCGGAGAAGAAGCGCATCATCTCCGATTGGGAAGATCGCAAGCGCAAAGAAGCGGCCGCCGCAAAAGATGCGGAAATCAAAGCCATCGAAAAGATGGAGCGGGAGAGGAAGGAAGCGAAGGAGGCGGAGGTCCGAGCGCTCGAGAGATTGGAACGGGATAAGAGAGAAGCGAGGGAGGAAGAGGAGCGCATCCGAGATAAGATTGAGCGGGAGAAGATCGAAGCGAAGGCGAAGAAGGAGCGGGAACGTCAGGAATTCTTGCGAGAGGAGTGGGAGAGAGCGGAGAAGAAGAAGGCCGAGGCGAAGGCGGAGAAGGAGAAGTTGGAGCACGAGATGCGGAAGCGGTTGGAGGCGTTTGGCGTGTACAGCCAAGCACAGATCGACTTCATGGTGAGCGAAGAATCTGCCAAGAAGTTGAAGGAGGAGCGAGATCGCCCGATAGGGCGGGTGGGCCAGATTGAGCTGTGGAAACCCGTGCGGCCCGTGTACCCAAAGGTGCATCGCGATTATCTTTCGGTTGACACCTTGATATACTACGACATCGAGTACGAGATTGACCGCGTAAGTCGGAATAGTCGCATGTGGTGAGGATGGGTATGTTAACGATTGTTGCAGGCCGACCCAAACTATATCATCATCCGTCGCGAGATGGATAGGTACGAAACGGAGGTCCTGTTCGAGCACACGAGGCGCCTGCGAGCCGGCGACCGGAAGTTGTTGATTGAGGCGCCGAAGAAGGAGAAGAATTATGCCTGGTATAGAAAGCGCGACCGCAGTTCGAGTAGGGTGCGGCAGGTCGGAATACTGGAGGTCAAGAAGATTATATGAGGCGGCCGGGGGACGACTGATTTAAGCTGGCGCGGATGGTGGATCTTGCCTCGCATAGGATATGATATTGGGACGAGCTCTTGGGTGGCCTGTTGATGATTCCATAGCTTTGGCCGCCACGCAGCGTTGGCGTTGGATCCGGGCTGTGTATACGTCCTCTCGGATACGGCGCAATCTCACCGTTCTTAGGACCACGCCTCCCTCTATGCCCACGTGCGGGCCTGAACGGGCGAAGAAGCTCCGCCTCCGCCTCAAACTCGGCTAGCCCTTCCAGCTTGGATGATCTCGCCTGTATGCGGATCGTCTGCTCGTAATACCGGCCAACCTACCCCGTCTGCCTTAGCAAGCGTCAATTCCAGCTTAGTGCCCATGATCTTGAAACTGCTCTTGTCTGGCACTATCGTGCCGAATGTGCTCAGATTCGTTTTATACTGTTTATGATCGCTCGTATGCAGATCCAGCTCCACCGTCCTGTCATCCGCGAATACCACGCGTGACCTGTCTTTCTCGATCTTCTTCAAATACAGCGACGCTATAACAGTGCTGGCTGTCTGGTAGAAGTCGTTCCGCACTTCGTTTACCAGCTCCTCTGCGTTCGGATCTTTCTTCGCTCCGACAAACAAATGCCGCTTTTTGGTCGTGCAGCCGGGTATTTTCATGAATTCGTCAAATTCCAGCACGCGCCGCTTACAGCACGTCCATCCTTTGCTGCCTTCATGGAACAGTGCTCGGCCCGGATGATGCACGCAGTCCTCGCCCTCTCTACTCTGCCCTGCCTTGTAAGATGCTCCGCAGGCTTTCCGCTTGCAGGCCGCACCTTCTGGAACGGGGAGGTCTGGATCGTCGTCCTCTTCCACATCTGGTGGTGCGGGTGAAGGTGTCGGCCGCGCTGGTTGGGCGGCGACCGGATTCCGCGCTATCGCCGGCGGCAAGCTATCTTGGTTTTCCTTTTGTGCTTTGATCTTGGCTTCAATATCCTCGTTGCTGGGCTGTGGTTCTGGTGTGGGTGTGTCATCGACAGTGCTGTGCTTGCCGGTTGTGCAGGGTGGGATGTTCATGAACTCATCGAAAGTGAGAACGCGAGGCTTGCAGCATTTCCAGCCTGTCACAGTAAGTACGTGGTTACGAGGCCAGAGCCGACTGACGGTGAAGCGAACCAACCTTTTTGGCCCTCGTGGAAGACGGGCGGTCCAGCTATCGAACCTGTCAGCGATGGTTGGTGTTATTTGTTCACTGCTGCTGAATACGTACGGTGATAGCTACATGGCTCGTCTGAATCTGTGAACGCCTTTCCACATCCTTTATGTACACACTTTGTCGCCATCTCTGGTGAAGTGAGAAGTAATAACTGAAGACATCCAAACGCTCACATTCAATCAGCAACTACTTCGTAGGCGGGCGGTGAGATGACCCCCGGCAGAATTCCTGTGCCAAGATTTCGAATGCAGGAAAGTTCCATCTTCTGCAGATCGTCGTTGATGAGAGCGTCAGATGCAGTCATGGCAGCAGAACGGCCGCAGAAACGTAGACGGCTGTCGCCGCCAGATGATAATGATGCCAGCGACTTAGACTCGTCTCTAGCTGGCCAAGATGCTAGCGGCGATGGCGACAGTCTGTTTGAATCGAGTCGCATACCGACCGATACAGTCTCTCGCATCGCCAAAAAGCGCGAAGGTCTTGCGGCGACAGATCAATCGTCTAAGCCGGAGGAGGTATTGCCCAACTCAATCACGGCTTCCATGGATCCTGAGCACACCACTTTCGCTAGGCTAGGACTGGACCCATGGCTCATTGCTTCCTTGTCGCACATGGCTATCAAGCACCCTACCCGAATTCAGAGCGCCAGTATACCTCAAATACTCGCCGGCCGAGACTGTATTGGCGGCAGTCGGACGGGTTCTGGAAAGACTGTAGCCTTTGCTATACCAATTCTGCAGCAGTGGGCTCGAGATCCTTCCGGTATTTATGCGGTCGTACTTACCCCAACGCGAGAGCTGGCGCTGCAAATTTACGAACAGATCGCCGCTGTTGGAGCTAGGCAAGGTGTCAAAGTGTGTCTTGTGACTGGTGGCGCGGATATGAGAGCCCAGGCGTTGGAGCTGGAAAAGCGGCCTCATATAGTCGTTGCTACGCCTGGACGACTTGCCCATCACGTGGAAACATCTGGCGATGATACTGTGCGCGGCTTACGAAAGACGAGGTACGTTGTTCTTGACGAAGCCGATCGACTTCTGGCTACTGGCAAAGGCTCGATGCTACCGGACGTGGAGATCTGCCTTTCTGCCTTGCCACCGAGCAGCAGGAGGCAGACTTGCCTCTTCACGGCAACAGTAACACCGGAGGTACGTGCTCTGAAGCAGATGCCACGCCCTCCAGATAAGCCGCCGCTCTTCATCTGCGAAGTGGACACCGAAGATCTGGCCATTCCACCCACGCTCAGGCAGACCTATCAACTTGTCAATGTAGTACACAAGGAGAAGTATCTGCATGTTTTACTTCTCACCCCGTTGAACATCGACAAGTCAATTATTATCTTCTGCAATCGCACCTCCACCGCAAACCTTCTAGAGTACCTTCTACGCTTGCTTGACCACCGAGTCACTTCCCTACACTCTGGTCTACATCACGAACAGCGCACCTCGAACCTCGCCCGCTTCCGCGCCCGCGCAGCACGTATTCTCGTAGCCACGGACGTTGCCGCTCGTGGACTTGACATTCCTGACGTCGGTTTAGTCATCAATTACGACTTACCGCGCAATCCGGACGACTACATTCATCGTGTCGGTCGAACAGCTCGTGCCGGGCGTGAAGGAACAAGCATCAGCATGGTCGGACAGCGCGACGTGGACCTTGTGCATGCGATCGAAGCCCGAGTAGGACGAGAAATGGAGGAGTATCAGGAGGAACGGGTAAGTGTCGAGGGCAGGGTGATCAGAGAGGCGCTGAATGTTGTTGGCGACAAGAAAAGGGAGGCTATGTTAGCCATTGAGGAGGGAAGGGATGTTACTGGCAAGCGTGTTAGGAAGATGGAGAGTGCGACAAAGCGGAAGTAGGTAGCCTCGAATTGAGAACTGTGCCTCCACCCGCACGCATACTCGCACATGGCGTCCTAGCTATCAGCGAATGCTGCGTTATGGTAATTTGGTGCCATCGACTATTGAAGTCACTGCACGTTTGTGGACTTTCCGAGGGGCAAGACACGGAGGGGAAGGCACAATCACACGGTCATGGCGACTCGGGTATCACTGCATTTAGCGATCACGTCCCGTGTGTTAACGGTGATGCATGGGATAGACGTTGCAAGCTCCGCATGCGGTAAACGCTGTAGCCCACATCGAGCCTAGCTGGATCTCTCTGGCTGCAAGTGCACGTTGTGTTGTATCGCAGGATGCACAAACTGCTCGAAACAGACGGGAAGTGCTTGTTGTTCACTTACCACGAACGGCCATTGCATAGGCTCAAATTTTGACTTCTGATAGCGTCCTGATACTGAAGGCCAATTGTGACTGACAACGGGTGAGGTGATTCATCTCTCAGCTGTGTCGGTGATGCAAGACCGAAGAGCTAAGACGGTGACGGGCCGTAATCTTGACGATGCGTTATGCAAGAGTAAACGTCGTCGAGGCTTGCTTGACGGGCTGGTGGTGGATTGCGATTGCTGTGCAGGGCAACCTTGACAGCTACCGGTCGCTATGCGTGCCAGTGTCAGTTACTGGCGCTTACTGTTGCAACCAATGGATGAGGTAGCTCGCGATGCTTCTGCAAAGGTCATCACTATATGCTTTGCGCACCCAAGTTGCAGATGGCTGATGGGAATGGAAGGCAAGGAGCGAAAGTGAGCCATCAAGGGCGGAGCAGTCCGTGCGCTAGTTCGCGTTCAATTTACGCGTCGAACCGCGTCGACTTCCTTGCGACCATCGAGCAGCAAGCGTAGCAATCTTCTGCACTATGAGGCTGCATCATGGTCACGAAAGTGCTTTGCGTGGCCGAGAAACCCTCTATAGCTAGAGCAGTAGCGAACCACCTCAGTGGCGGCCAAATCAATAGCGTGAGTGGCTTCTCAGAGAATACGGTAAGTGATCGAGGTGGGCCATAGCTAACCATCCTTCCCAAGCGCAACGTACAAGGTAATCAATATGTGAAGAACTATGAATTTCACTGCAACCTTGCCGCATGGGGCGCGTGCAGTGTCACAATGACCTCCGTTCTTGGCCATCTCCTCAGCCATGACTTTGAGGACCGCTATCGCAAATGGAACTCCTGCGAGCCGTCAGCGTTGTTCGAAGCTCGGATCGAGACGTATGTCGAAGACGACAAAAAGGCTGTGGCCGGCAACATCGAGCGTCAAGCCCGCTACGCGCAGTATCTGTACATCTGGACCGACTGTGACCGTGAAGGAGAGCATATCGGGACAGAAATCAGACAGGTCGCTACTCACGGTAATCAAGCCTTGAGACAGCCCGGTAAGACGGTCCGGGCGCGATTCTCTAACGTCGAGCGAGCGCACATTCTCAATGCTGCCAGTAACCCGGTGGCGCTGGACGAGGCCCAAGCCAATGCAGTAATGTCGCGTATTGAATTGGATCTTCGTATTGGTGCTACTTTCACTCGCAACCTTACACTCAGCATCCAGCCAATGCTACAAGGACGCTTTGGCGCTGAGGAGCGCCAGGTAATAAGCTACGGCAGCTGTCAATTTCCCACACTCGGATTTGTGGTCGAGCGGTATTTGCGCGTTCGCAACTTCGTCCCAGAGACTTTCTGGACGATCAAGGTCATGCATGAGAAGCATGGCATCAAGGTCAACTTCCGCTGGGCTCGCGACCACCTCTTTGACCGCGTGGCTGTTATCGTTCTCTTCGAGCGCTGTCTCACTGCGCGTGTCGCAAGGGTGACGGGAGTGCAAACGAAGCCTGCAAGTAAGTGGAAGCCGTTGCCCCTGACTACTGTCGAGCTGCAGAAGTGCGGTAGTAGGTTTTTGCGAATGGATAGCCACCGAGTCATGCAGGTTGCGGAAGGACTTTATCAGAAGGGATGGATTAGCTATCCACGTACAGAAACCGATCAGTTTGATCGTGGCATGGATCTTCGCGCGCTTGTTCAGAAGCAGACGCAGGGTGGTGCTTGGGCACAATTCGCGCAGGCCTTGGTCAATGGTGGCTTCTCTCAACCACGTCAAGGCCGCAATAACGACAAAGCGCATCCACCGATTCACCCTGTCAACTTCGTCCTTCCCACCCAGCTCAGTGCCGAAGAACAGCGCGTCCACGAATTCGTGGTCCGCCGCTTCTTAGCCTGCTGCAGCCAAGACGCAAGAGGCTCGAAGACGGAAATCAGCATCTTATACGGCCCGGAAACGTTCCATACGGGTGGCTTAGCCGTCCTTGAGCGCAACTACCTCGATGTGTATCCGTATGATAGGTGGACCAGCAGCCAAGAGCTTCCCGAGTTTAGGGAAGGTGAAACTTTTGAGCCGACCGAGGCGATGATGCGCGATGGTCAGACATCTCCGCCAGGGTATTTGACCGAGCCGGAGCTGATTGCACTGATGGATGTCAACGGTATTGGCACCGATGCTACAATGGCTGAGCATATCAAAAAGATCAAGGACCGCCAGTACGTGGAGACCAGGCCACGAGGCCGACGTCAGCGTGAGGATGACGATGATGGCGAGCAGTCTGATGGTGAAATGCCGGATGAAGCAGCTGCTGCAGCAGGTCGTGGAAGAGGCAGGGCCCGTGGACGGGGTGCTAGAGGCGGGGCAAATGCTCGCGGCGGTGCAACGGCGGGTGTTCAAGAGTTCATCCCAACCACGCTCGGCGTGGCCCTTGTTGAAGGGTACGAGAACATGGGCTTCGAGACGAGCTTAACCAAGCCTTTCTTGCGCAAGGAGGTTCGTTTTCTGCGCTGAGTATTGCCCTTCGCGTCTTCTTCCACTGACGTATCGCAGATGGAGCTGAAGATGAAAGCAATCTGTGAAAGCCGCAAGACAAAAGCAGACGTCATCCATGAGACGATCGAACAGTATCGCGATGTGTATGTCCGTACACAACTGCGGCTGGACGCCCTGCGTGCGGTGAGAGATAACGATTGACCATGCTGTCGTGTCTTCGCTAACCCGCACACAGGCCGTTCGAAAGTACGTTTTCGGTGAGAACGGCTGAAAATCTTGCCAGTTTTCCGTTGATGGCTCAGCCACTGGCAGCCTGCTTAGCCTTGCTGCGCTCGCTTGGTGCGAAGATATCCGGCAACATCCACCATGTAAGAAGCGGGACCTGCAGGTTGAAGGATGTCTCGTACGTGCTACCAACGAGAACGTCACGCTGCAGAAAAGCGCGAGCCAGACCGCACCAAAGCTTCTTCTGTGTATCGCCGCGCTTGTCGAACCACTTCTCGGCGAAGTGCAAAGGGGCGCCGCAGGAAAGAATTCCGGCAAAGCTATGATCTGGCAGACACAGAAATGGAACGCTCATACAGAGATTGTTCGCCACTTCTTCAACGCCCGCCGTAAGCACTGCATCTTGGTCCTTCGGTCTCACGATCGGATACGGATGTAAACGGGCCACATCCGCAATGGCCTCTCGCACGCTAAGCAAGTTCACCCAGACATAGATATGGCTCGTCGCGCTTAGCAGCGAAGGAAATTTCAAGGCTTTGGGAAACACACTGGCGAGCTCGCCTATCCGGTCGAAGAAGGACGGAAAGCTCTCGGTGTCCGCGAGCTGGTATGGCGTCACATCACTAGTCGAGTCTCGATAGAAGTCTAACAGCCAATTGAGCAGCTGTCGCTCATGGTCCGTCAGTGCGGTCAAGAGGTCAATCACATCATGTTCGGGATGGCGCTTCGACGCACAGAGCTTGTCTGCCCTTTCCAGTAGCTCGCAGATGTGCAAGCAAATGTTCGTTAATCTGACAGCCGGCTTTTTGCTTGGACGGGCATGCTTCAGCCACGTCAGCGTGGTGAAGAATGTCCGCTTTCTGAGCAGTAAGCCGTAAATCACCTAGGACAGCTCACTTTATTAGTCTCGAGTCCCGACTGCATCGCAAAGCAAGAGCAGGTGTTACGTACGACAACCTGCTGTAGGTTATGCGCTACGGCTTGGGAAAATGGCGAGTTGAGATGCTTTGCGCCGCGCTGCGCAAACATGGTGCAAAGTCCAGGTATGTGACTCATCCACGCCGAGCCTTCGTGAGAAACTACACGATAGACCTGACATGCTGGATCAGTGTCAAAGCTTGGGTAAGAGAAATATTGCCAGTTGCTCACTTCGCACTGTGCCATTGTATAGGCGGCACCCAAGACCCCATCGTCGCTTGCTGCGCCCGGCTTCTCGATCTCTTCGCTGAGACATCGCAGCGCAGCGAGATGCCTCGTACGACCTTCGTTGAGAAGCCTGTCGTCACAATGCCGCGTACCAAGGTGCAATAAGACCAGGGCATCTCGCGATGCGTTCATTGCACGGCTACGTGGCGCCATCCAGTGATAGACTCGCATATACTGGGCTTGGGATTTGACAAGGTGCGAACACCAATATGAGCCTACAAAAGCCTCCTGTAGATCTCGGATTTGACGACCTGGTGGCGTCCTAGGCACGCTGCCGAGGTCAAACATGGTTCGCCAGAAGATGGCTGCATCTCGGCTGCGATATTTGGATGTGCGAAGGCTATGCTGAACGAGCTCTATGCCTGATCTTTTACAGACTGAATTGGCAGTAGCTATTCGCTCGTCCACGGTTGTCGTTGACGGTGTTGCTGTCTCACATGCTGAGTCCGTGGTTTCGGCATCGAGGTTGCTGACCTCCATGCTCTACTTGTACCGTCGCTCGATCAGACCACATGCAGCGAGCATTCACCCTTCTTGATGTGCTTTTTCGCACTAGGAGTATGTATGCTTACGCCACTCATGCTTGCCCACGCAAAGAGAACATCAAAGTCACAGGTGAAGTCGCTAGTGCGGATATTGCATCACTCACCGCTATACTTCGCCGAGTGCAGCATTGCGACAGCGACATGCATATGTGTATCTGCCGGTGAATGAGTTCGATGAGACCGCGATCTGTGGCTCCATGTATCAAAAATAGTGCAGTGCCCCATAGGGCTGCATCGGCCGAAAGATTGCTTGCATTTGAGCCGCAGCGACCTGGCGGGGAGGGGTGAACTTGACTCCAGACACTCAGGGAAAATTGATGCAAGAAGAACAGCCGAGCGTTAGCTTGCTGACTGCGCATGCAAGACATCTTCGGCACCCACTTCGGCTGCTACATGATCTGCGCTCTACGACTGCATAACGCCTCGCTAAACCCAGACAGACATCGGAGAGACTACAGCCTAACCCTACCGTCTTCACTCTGTCCGCCAAACCATCGGCTAAGGCCTCCACCGCCTGCAGCGTTGCTCTGGTCGCTTTGCATCCATCGTGGCGTCTTGAACGAGAGGTTGCGCATCCACTCTGGCCGCTCGGCCGTGTCAATGGTATTGCGCACGCGCTCTGCAAAGTCCTGGTAGAAGTACCTTGGACTGTCATCCTCTGGCTCGGCCTGATTCGTAATCTGGTTGAATTGTCTGTTCGCTTCTCGGCTATCGGCTGGGGTGGAAGCCGGAGCATGACTGGAGAGTATGGGTAACAAAGGCTCTCTCTGCGGAGCACGCCCGCGTTGTATGGCATCATGAGTGCTGCCTGCCGTATCACGCTCGAGATCAAGGGACGCGTTCGTGCGGTTCGTAAGCCCTACATTGAATATGCTGGTGCCCCGGGATTGCGACTCTCGCTCAATAAGCGCGCGTCCTTCTCTCCAACCGCCTGTCCCGAAGCCAGTGGGGTTATCTTCGCTCTCATCTTCGAGCACGCCGAAGCCGACAATGTTCTTCATGCGCCCGTACACGTTAAACAAGCTTGCCAGTACCGGCAACAACAAAAAGCACGGAAAGAAGGCGCTGAACCCCGAGCCGAGCGGCGTCAGGTTGATGAGCTTGCCAAGGAACTGGTAAAACGCAGTTTCCTGGTACACAGTCGGTGGGAGCATCGTGATGAAGTTGTAGGAGAGCGGCACTGTTAGCTTGGCGACTTGCAGACTATACCAGCATGCACTCTCCGCATACGTTTGCCGTTTGACCAGCGCGCGGTTGCCCCAGACCTTGACATCGGAGATGGCGTACAGAGCGCAGGTATCCATGAACAATAGCCAGGCTGCTGCTATCACCTGACCGGCAAAGCCGACCTTGCTGCCCTCAGAGTTAAGGTGATGAACGACAGTTATGCCAACGATGGAGACACGTGGTGCGAATGAACTGACCACTTCGGAAAAGATTAGCATAATGCTTGCCGCAGCGAAGACTGCCGCAGCTGCAACGCGGACCATCGGGATGATATTCATATGGAGATAGAAGCGCATTGTCGGCGTGAGGACCGTCAAGCGGCCGAGGAAGCTGCGCTGACCAGGTGCCACCTGCCCAAAGTCTAATTTCTTCGATGTTGCTGCATCTAGGATAGTTTGCGCATCTTGTGCTTGCTGGCAGAGAGAACTCCACTCGCCGACAAAGCGCGCCTTCATGTGTTTTGCCCGCTTGAGCTTACGAGTCAGATCTGCCAGATACCGTTCGGTCACGACAGCCGGTATTTGCGCGTTCGTCGCTCGGACTGCTGCAGCAGCTCCAGGTCTGGCATCCGGAGCAGCCGTCGTGTCCGCAAGCTCATCGATCCATTCCTGCAAGTCTCTGCCAGTACCGTACTTGCGCTGCTTCAGCTGCGCAACGGTGTTCTCGAGCTCCTCCAAGTCGTCTGTAGCCTCGTCAAGCTTCTCTTTCGTCTTGGGCGCCTGAGCCTGCAACCTGCGAAGTCTTGTGCTCACGCTGGCATTTCTGTACAACCTTCGCGGTAGGGCCACTAGACCATGGCCCATTAACCCAATTGCTAAGATTAGACCCCAAGCGTATGCTAGGGCAATTATCATGCCCTTGATGCTTGCAGCATGAAAGCCATTCTCCCATATGAAGTACACCAAGCCTGCCATGCCCACGCCGAGTCCTATTGCCTGATACCTTGCATTGACTCGCAAAGAGTAGATCATGCGGCTGCGAAAGTCACGGAAACCGGAGTCCACATACTCACCGAGTAGAGGGAGGATGAACCAAGTAAGGCAGAACGTTAGCCAGTACGTGATGCGCCACGTGACCAGAACGACTCTATCCGGTAGCCAGACACCCCGAGTTGGTTCCTCGTCTGATGTAGTGGCGGAGGCAAGATCTATTGGTACCAGCAGAATGATGCTACATGGCAGAGCAAGCGCCAGAAATACTGGCACGAGTAAGTACGCCGGCGTCGTCCGGAGAGGAAGATAGTACCGCAACAGCAGTAAGACCAGCAAGGATATAACCAGTAAAGAGACGATGGCGAAGATGTCCGATCCAACTGACGAAGATACAGCCATCGTGCACAGTGCTCGGTCACTCGCGGCTTCAGAACGTCGACCCTATGTCATACTCGCACGTTGCTCCGAGGACACGTTGTAGAAGTGCCTGGGGTCCTCTGCGATTTGGTGTTGATTGTCGTGTGGTAGAAAGGCTGCCGTCGCTGAACAGTCGCGTGTGCACCTAACAGATGACGCTGCCTGCACATCGGATGTCGGCAAGCACCGCTAAATACACCCCTGCAATGATTAATATCCAGCAGCCTGCCAGACGCCAGACGACAATCCCACCTCTCAGACACAACGGTGCAGTGCAAGAGGCTACCTTCCTTCCAGCCATCGCAAGCGAGAGCACTATCGCTATAGTATGCGGCACTTGCCACCTACAACGGGTGGTTGTCCAGAGGCTCTAGGTGGGTTCGTTGAACCGGTAGTTAATCGGCGACGGCGGCGCTACAGCTCCAATTATGGTTGCCTGAAGTAACATGAGGATTCTTTGAGACATAAGTTAGATTGTTCTTTTCCCGGCACCCTTTATTCATGCCTTGTTTTGACTTCGCCGATCCTAGCATAGCTCTGAGTGCTGATGCAGCTCTCGCATTTGTTCAGCGCGCCGCCGAGACGGTAGCAGTGCGAGATCCGGCTTTGCTCACTTCGCAACTACTAGGCCGTTTCCCCTGAATTTCAACATGCAGAACGACACGGAGACAAGACTCGCCGGCGCGAAAGAGTGCGACAGTAATGCGCGCAGCCTTCCATTCACCAGCTTGAACGACAATGCTAAGGCAACTATCCTATTGATTCACGGTGCCTTCGGCGATCGCCACGGATGGGACAAAGTCACGCCTTCTCTAATCGACTACCATCTCCTACTTCCTGATCTTCCGGGGCACGGCGAAGCGGCTCATCTCGCCTTCAGCAATCCGTTGTCCGCAAAACTTCTCTCGGAACTCATCCATCGTCATGCGAAAGGACGCAGAGCGAATGTTATTGGTTTCAGCCTGGGCTTACATGTTGCTGTCGAGCTAGCGACTCTCTACCCTGAGGTCGTCAACGAAATTTTCATATCCGGCCTCAAGATGATGCCCGTCTCACTGGCGAAGGGTATTGGACCATACGCTCTCTTAGCGAACAGCTACCTCGAAGACATAACACCTCAATGGCTCATCAGTTGGCTCATGGACCAGCCACCAGACGTCGACGTACACAATCGCCCGCGACACAGAAAGACGGTCGCTCATTGTCGGGCCATCTTGGAGGTCATCACCACGGCTGACAAGGGCGGACAGTGGCCTGGACCATGGCCTGCCCGGACGTGCATCATCTGCGCTGGAAAGTCTGGCATCCTACCCACAGCGGACCATCCGCACGATGCGGTCAAGCTGAGAGACATTGGGCGCAAGCGCAATGCAGAGGACGTTGCATTCACACATCCCTTGATGAGGCACCCATGGTGCGAACAGGACCCGAAACTGTTCGCTGACGCTGCAAGGAGCTGGTTCGAACACCAGCCATTGCCGATTGGTTTCGTAGAGCTTTGAGTATCTACAGCCAAGAATAATGACAACGAAACTTTGTCAACATGATGCTTCGGGTAGCCAGCCTGCGCCACGCTAATGAGAAAACTCTGTTGCCATGACAGTGACATTTCGTGCTCATCCTGCTTTCTGCTTCTTTCCACCGCTCCCCTTCCCCTCCGCCTCTGCCACGACTTCGTTGCCCCGCTTCTCCATCTCCGCCTCGTCCCACCCCTTCCCAAATAGCTTTGGGATGAACCTTCCTACTCGTTCTTGATAGACCTTGTACTGTGGATACTTGCCACTGCTAGTCCCTTCTGTAATAGGCGTGCTACCCGCAAAGATCAGAAGGTAGCTTAGCACACCGAAGCCTGTCCAATTATACAGAGTTCCGCTGCTGTAGCAACCCCACGCGTAAAGTGTGAGCCAGATAGATTGCTCGGAAGCAAAGTTAGGGTGTCTAGAGTAGCGCCAAAGGCCGGTGGTGTTAAAGCCACGCTCCATTTGCGCGCGGGTCCAACCTGATGGGACCCTAGCAGTCTCCTGGTAGCTATGTTTTGCGGCGTGGTAATCCCATTGCTGCTGATCTGCGAGCCATGTCATGCCGACCAGCGACAGCAGCATGCCGGTGAAGGCCATGTCAACAGGAGTGAGTGCAGGTGAGAGGCGGGACGTCAGCAAGAGAATGTATGTTGGGTTTGTCACGGACCAGAGCAGCACGCTTTGCAGAGAGCTCGTAAACACGACGTTGAGCGCGAGGAAGGCAGGCCTTCCGATGCGATCCCTAATCAGCTTCCAGCGGTAGTCCTCGCTCCCGGCCTGGTAGCCTCCTCTCCGCCAGTAGTTGAACGTTAACCTCGTGGTCCAGCATAGACTGAACAGCAGCACAGCATTGACTTTCTGTGTTGGGACACCGGCCAATCGCGCCCACAGTGCGTAATGGATGTGGTAAAGGGTGGGCAGAACACCCCAAACGCGGTCCACTTGACTATAGTTCCCAGTTACCTCCGACATGCCGAAGAAGACCGGGAATAGGGCGATGGAGAAGGCAAGTCCAGAGATGATTGGATTGGTTGAAGTATAGACCTGCTGCAGTGCTCCCAAATTCGGTATGGAAGCCAGAATGTCGCGTGGAAATGCTGTAAGCTGCGGAAGATATGGAGCGAATGTCTTGCTGTAAGTGGCGCAGTCACGGAACGTTCTGATGAGTGGCATTGCCATGCTTCCACTCAGCGGGATAAGCATGTTGTCGGAGTGTCTTCTGTTTGCGCGTCGACTCCGTGACAAGACGCAATCATGCAGTCGAGGCGAGCTTTGAACGATATTGATATTCGTAAATACACTGCGTCATTGGACGGCTGCTTCCGTCAGGCGAGAATATTGCCGATGACCCCTGGACGAGAACGAGCTAAGATATACAGAGACTACGCTACACCTTCGAGCCGTTAGCACGTCAAGCAGAAGACTATGATAGATTTCCAGTATCGGCCGCCGGAGGCCATTCAATGATCTCTCACAGAGCAAGCAGGACATATTACCGATACCGTCTCTCATCTCTGACATTGTGGCGGGCATACTCGATCGGGCAGAGGCAGCGTCTTGAAGCACAGGACGGGAATGCAAGCATGGCGACCAAACGCCTTTCGGCACAGCTACCGAGACTTCCACATCAAGCAGAAATGCTTTTCGCAGCGTAGACATGCGCATACGACCGCCAAAGACGAAGATGGCGAGTCTGGCGTCCTCACTTTACCTGATGGACGACACCTTGGCTGTGTAACTTATGGCGCAGAAAAAGGTCACCCCATCTTCTACCTTCATGGCTATCCCGGCTCACGTCTCGGCGCTAGTGTCTGGCACGACACTGCTCGCAGCATGGGCGTGAGCATCTTCTCCATGGACCGACCTGGCATAGGCCTCAGTGATCCGCAACCGAACCGGAGCTTCCTCTCTCACGCCCACGACATCAAGGTGCTAGCGAAGTACCTAGGCTACGAAAAGTACCATGTCATCGGGACGTCGGGAGGCGGACCCTATGCTCTCGCGTGCGCCCACTCTCATTCCCCGTCGCATCTACTTAGCACCACCATAATCTCCGGGGTCGGTCAGGCCGGTGTAGGCACGCACGCAATGTCACGCGGCAGTCGCCTAGGCTTCTGGGCTCTTGAGAATGCCCCTTGGGCCATCCGCGTCATGGGCGAACTGTGGAAGTGGCTCGTCGAGAATCCTCGACTAACCGACGATCGCATCTTGAACTTCATGCGGCATCGTCAGAAACAACTCGTCGTACCGCAGGCCGACCGAGACGTCTTCGCAGACGAAGCCATGATGCGCATGCTGCTCGCATCCTGGCGGCAGCACTTCCGGCAAGGCACCGATGCGTTTTTGCAGGACGGCAGACTGTACACGCAACCCATGGGTTTTGACGTGGCACAGATTCGCGGTCCGGTCAGACTTTGGTATGGCAAGCTAGATGTAAATGTACCTGCGGTCATTGGCGAGGATTACGAGCGGATTCTGAAGTCCGCCGGTGGCGATGTGAAATTGCATTTGGAGCACGAAACGCATCTCAGCCTAGGAATGAATTGCCGAAGGCGAGTCCTCGAAGACTTGCTATTATTTGCATAGCTGCATGTGCGCGGTTAGCGAGGCGTTCGGGTAAAAGTTGGTAGAGCACTCTGCTTCCTGTTATGTATGTATTGAATGTATACCGGATTATGCAACCAATGGTGCGTCGCAGAGCGCGAGAAGAGCTCACTTCGAGCTATAGCCAAGTTGTTCCTTATAGTCCCTCTCACCCAAATGCCGACATGTAAACCAACGCCTCCACGAAAGCCATGCCCGTACGCCTCATGATATACCTTACGCCACCTAGCATGGACCACCATCAAAGCGTACCCCTCTCGGCGCCGTAACCTGGCCCCCTGCGATCCAACATAAATCGTTCATATTGCATAATCACATAACAGCACACCCTCCACTCCGCGCCCTCCTCCTGCGCCCGCCACCCACACCCACCCCGGTCCCCGCACCAAGCGGACCGTTGGCAGGGCCGACCCCATCGTCCGCCTCATCCGCATGCATCATCTGCGCCTCCCTTGCTCTTCTCCTCCGTCTCCTGCTTCCCGCCCCAGCAGCACCGGCCTCCTCCTGCGCAATCATGAACTCGGCCCATTTGCGCTCGAGCCGTCTGGCGGCGGCGAAGTCGCCTCGTAAGACGCGCTTGGTGTGCTCTTCGACCGTGGGTTGGTAGGTGTAGAAACACTTGAGCTGGATGATCTCGGATGGGAACGAGGAGGTACGGGTTATGTGGATGCGTGGAGGACTGTCTGGACGCGGCTCAGGTAGAGGCAGTGCTAATTGTTCGGATGAAATTGTTGGGGTAACCGCTTTCGATGCGGTGTTGTTTGGTTTGGGAAGAGGCGGGAGCTCGGTCGTGTGCGTCGTCACGAAGACTTCGGCGTTGCGGGACAACACTTCTCTTACGCCGGTCCATGTGACGTTCTGGCAATCGTAAGCCACCAGTCTCAAGCCGGTGGGTGGCTTGTACTCGCTCGCCGCTTTTCCCTGGATGAGCGTTCGAGGCGCTCGCTGACGGATCATGGCTGCCGCTTCGGTCAAGACAAGATCGGAAATGCGCGTATTGTCCATCTCTAGATTTCTCAGGTTTGTACAAGTCTTCAATAGTGGAATCATGCCGCTATCGCCCATGTTCTCGCAATACGAGATACTCAGATGGCGCAGTCGCTTGGCACAAGGCGCGCTCGCGAGGCACTGCAGAACGGCATTCGTCAAACCCTCATGCTCCTCCAGGTCAAGATGAGAGAGAAGTGGTGTAGTCGGCAGCAGTTCGGTCAGTGTTGCGTCGAAGATTCCCGGCACCTTTGAAAGCTGTAACCCCTCAAGCTCCGGTACGTTGCCGACCAAACTCCTTAAGCCCGTATCACTGATGCCACGACATCTCGTAAGATCTAAATGCTTCAATCTCCGAGGCTGCACGACGGGGCGGCCACTGAGGTAATCCACCTCGCTGTCGTTTCCCTCAATGAGCACCGCCAGCGACTCATCGGTCAGCGTGTCGCAGTTCATCATTATGAGCCTCTCAAGGGCGTTACACTCGAACAACAGCTGCATGACTTCAAGATCATCCCAACCTCTAACTTCACCCGCTCTAAGATCCTTTAGGTTCGGGCAAGCTTCGATAACCTTCTTTAGACCCCGGGTATCGATATTGTTACACCAGGAAACGTTCAGGTGCTCCAGCTTCGGACAGTTCGTGGCAAGGATCTTCATGGCGGAGTTGGTTGCACCCGCGAGGCCAGACACGTTGATGTGCACTAGCCTGCTGTTAGACCACAAAAAGTTGTGAATTGATGTACGGTCAATACGACAGCCCTCAAGCGAGATGTTCTCAAGGTTGGTGCAGGCATCTGACAAGCCCTTAGCGTGCCACCGCTCCCTCAGCTGCACGCAACCGCGAAGATTCAGGTCGCGCACAAAGGGCCCAGCAGAGGTTATTACCTTAACAAGAGCATCTGCTGGGATGTCTTGGTAGAAGTCTGCCGTGTCCAGGATGGCCCAGAGTTGCCCGTCAAAGCACATCTTGTGCCAGGCTTTCGAGACAACCGAACAGCGGATGACCTCTCGAGGCTGCAGGTAGGTCAGAACCTCCATCTTGAGCTCTGAAGGTAGATCACGCCAGAAGTTCAGATCACCACGGGTATGAACAGGCTTGGATACAGGACGAGAGAAGTAGTCTTCGTCGACCTTAGTAATTCCCGACGACAGACCAGACTTCGTTGTTGATCTAAGGTCAGCTGGCATGCCAGCTGACGTCTTGCCGTCCGCAAGCGAAAGATAGCGCAGCCGGGCACGCTCGTCAATGAAGGGTGCCTGTGCGCCAGGAGTAGTGACAGCTGAAGTCGGTGCGGTTGAGTAGCCGAGTGCCAGCTCCTGCGTAAGCGATGACCCCAGAGCTGGCGTATTCAAGGATTGCGCCGACTGCAACGAGATGCAGGAGATCGAGGCCTTTCCATTGCCGCTGTAGGTCCGCGACCGTGATGATCCGAGCCGGTTCACCGACTGACTAGATGAGATGCGCTGCAGACCGGCCAGCAGCCTCTGCCTACCCTTGAGCTTTGGCGGAGGCTGCTCATTGTAGGGTTGCGGGATCAGAGTGATGCTCTGAGGCGATTCAACTGGCGTATGGGTTTCAACCACCGACTCCACCGAGCTGCTAGCCATTCCGTCTCGATTGCTCTTGCTGTCTAGTCGACACTTGCTCCTTGCTCGGAAGACTCAGTGTTCTTAAGCAAAGATTGCGAGGCGATACAGCCAGGCTCGCAGCCTGCTGAAGATGCTTTAGTAATAAGACGAACGCGATATGCGAATGATCAGCGCAGCGGCAGGTGGTGTTGTCACCAATCGACCAGCGGGGTCAGCTGGGCGTCGGCCGTGCTCCCTCGGCGCGAGTAATCACATACAAGGTGCAGGATTGGGATTCCCGGATTACTCGTATGCGGTCAGGAAGTCAATCCTCAACTCGTTGATGTTGCCGTCGATCCTGTCGGCAACGGGAGAAGGAAGATATGTCGGATGGGCGGCCGACTGTCTTGAGTCGAGCGGCGCGCGATACAACCCACCCGCTATCAGCTCGGAGTCTGTGCGTATCGGTATGGTGGGGTTGGGTTTGGTGGAGTAGATTGCGAATGTCGTGGATGTTTGGCTCAAGGACGCTTGCAACGATGCTTTCCTAAAATTTACATGGAGCTAAAGAGAAGTGAGTACTACGTGTGAAGAAAGACGAAGACACTATCAATTCAGTCGCTTCCCTCTCCTCTCCATCTTCGGCTGCAGCAGCTCGGCGCGCCGTAAGCTCAGTACCTAGAATGGCTAGGCTCGAACACGCGTGGTATGCAGGGTTCAGTAGGCCTACCGAGGCTTATCCTGCACGGCTGAAGTCCGTCGGCGCTCTGGACTCGGAAGCACGCGAGCAGCAAGACAACCATATTCGACAGATGTTGGAACTGCCTTATACCACATCGAATCTGCACCGTAGCAAAGCTCGAAAGGCTTGTTGGAGTTGCCTGGTTCCAACCTGCGACTTCTCCCTCCCCCGATCAACGACCGGCCTAGTGAGTTTCAGTCGGCTCGTCTAACCATCATCGACGGAAGTGCCGTCTGACCTCCCAGCCCGTTCGACGCGGGGTACATCCGCAATCGCATGCTGTTCATTTCTCGGCCAGATCCAGATCTCGTTCCGCTGCAGACTTGCGAATCCGGTAAAGCCGCTGCCGAAACGCTCGTAGACTGGTATGGCCACGTGCTCCCGGGTAAAGCCAACTGTACCGGCAGTTCTACGAACTTGCCCTCTTTCCGAGCGGTGTCCTGGGCAGAGTGCAGCGCATATGCTGTGCAAAAGCTCGCCAGTTGTCACCGTGGCTTATTTCAGCGAGGACTGGACATTATCGTTTCGAAGATAGCAGGGAACGGCCGTCAGGAGCAATGTCATGTTAGGTCACAAACAATGCGACCATCTGCTGCTGACTTAACCGTAGTGGCCAGTTCGGCGCTCAGACTCCGGACCTTCTCCAGCACCCACTGCGCATCTGGCTCCGAGGCTTGTAGTTTCCTCGCCGCGAAACTTTCGATCTTCGTAGGGAACACCTCAAGCCTTCTTAGCTTCAACGATTCTCCATCTGCGGTCTCATGGACGATGACTCTCCAAATGCCGCTCAAGTCATTCCGATAGTCGGCCACGAGGGCGTAGTCGTCAACGAAGTCACCACAGCCGTATATGATCAGCTTACTGTTATACTTCTCAACACCCTGGACGTGGTGAGATGAGTGACCGTGGACTATGTCAATGCCACATTCATCGATAAGGAAGTGAGCCAAATCTTGAATCCGTGAGTCCGGCTGCCAGGCGTAATTCGGACCCCAGTGCACTGAGAACACCTTCAAGGCGGCCTTAGCAGAGACCGGACCTGTGATCAAGGCTTTCAATCTTTCCTTCGTTCGTTTCGTATAATCAATGAGGTGAAAGGAGTCCACCTCCGCCCAATCACTTGGATGATCGGCAGCCGCAAAAACATGCACTTCATATTCGCGCTTGCTGCCGCTGAGCATCAGCACCGCCGGTCTTGTAGCTTCCTCACTAGTCTCTCCAGCACCTGCAAAAGCCAATCCCGCCTTCTTCACCGTACGTACTGTCTCCCAAAGGCCTGGCTCACAGAAGTCAAGGGTGTGATTGTTCGCAAGAGTGGCATAGTGTATCCTGGCTGCCTGTAGCGTGGCAATATTGGCTGGGTGCATGCGGTAATTGAACACTTTGTTCGGCCATTTGGTGGGATGAGTGGTCACGGCCGTCTCCAGGTTGATGAGGTTCAAGTCAGCTTCATGCAGAAGCGGGAGAGTATTGCCCCATGGGGACTCTAGTCCATAATCAGAGAGTCCGACACGAGAACTGACAAGTGAGCGTACTATGCGTGCTTCTTCCGGCTCGTGGACATGATGTACGAACAGTTGATCAATAAGTCGACCTAGCATAACATCGCCCAGGAAGTTCAGCGTAAACGCTTGGTCGGCCATGGTGAGGGAGCGATGGAGCAACAGGGTTCGAATAGGATGATAGCTTGGTCAATACATGTAGCCATATCTAGACATGCTTGGCGTCCGGGATGAGTAGAGCTTCACGTGCTGAGACTTGTTTTCGCAGCGCTCCTGGTCAGGACGCACTACACGGTGCTATACCGTGAAAGAACGTTTTGCCATCTTCCGGGCCTGTTGTTCCCTCAAGACGGCCATTACTCGGATGCACTCCCTATTGATAGTCGTATGCACGAGAGTGTCCGTGCGCAGCCACATCACTTGGAAGAAACCTACACGACATATTCCGTGTTGGGATGTTTACTTCGAACGTACTTTCACTCGCACCCAGTAGCGCTTATCGAGTACCCACCAAAGTTCATCTTGTGAGTCAAACACCTGCTTCCACAGCCAGCCATGTTTGTCGACATCAGCTGCGTGCTTCAAGATGTATCTATCAGAAAACTCAGTGGAAGAACAAGATTGTACGACAGCGCCAACAAAGTGATTCTGCAGCACACCCTCTTAGCCACCACTCGACTACGCAGACCTTAGCTAAAAGCCAGAGGTGAAGCTCAACCTTGTGCAGAACATCTACAACACAGTCGACCAGGTGTTCACGTGTTCCTGGTGGGCCGCTCAACCGCCAGATCATTGTTCCGCCACACATCTTTCTTCTAATTCAGGACAGTAAGCATCGAGCAACAATTTCTATCAGCTCTCGTCGCATTTTCATTCCTAAACCACTTATTGGGAGCAAACATCACAATAGATCTCAAACCCCTGGTTACACGGTCGACACGTCAGCTCAGGCCAATCTCTCCACGCAGTATCGTCCACAAACCAAATCTTTTCCAGGCGTGTTAGTGCAGTTGCCACCGATGAGCGGAAGCTGCTGCTGCACTGCCCACAGCGCCGTCGTGAACGAGTGATCGAACACGATGGGGGCGCCTGGTGCCTGGCTATGGTATAGCTGAACGATGTCTTCACCAAGACCGTCAGCGACCGTAATGCTAGCGACCAAATGAGATCTCGTGCTCACCTTTGAATCTCAGTGTGAGATCTTCACGGTTCGATCCACGCACGCCGTACCCGATACCGGTAATGTCCCATGCAGTATCGTTCAGCCTGCCGTCAAGGACACTGATGTCGACTTCCGGGCCCATTAGGACGACTAAGCGAAGCTGCAGTCAGGAAGACCGCTCTCACGACACAAAACGTAATGCGATACCGCTCACCTCGCGTGTTGTATCCATGACTGATCAAATCAGCAGCATCAGCTCTCAGACCAGCGTTTACTGCGCTGCCGTTGAAGCCTTGGGCCTCGACCAGCGGGTGATATGGTGGGAGGCCACTATTGTCCGCTCTTCATTAATACCTATATGTAAGGCATCTTTAATGGATGCAGGTCGGCATACGTGAAGATGAGATTTACACTTCCGCAAGTGGGAGCACCAATCGGATAAGGCCCAGCGCCGAGGTCGTGGTGAGTAAATGTGCTAACAGGGGCGGCTGATGTACAGCACCGGAGAAGCAGGAACGAAAAGACTGCTGCCACGTTCAACATCATGTCGTTTCTCGAGTGTGCTGCTAAGTCGCCAAACGATAGGGTTGTGCTCGGTCGAGGAAGAGAGTGACACAGTTTTTCGATTCGCTCAGTACGGTAGTGGATCGTTGTGAGACGGATAATTGAGGCCTTGCTGCGCATCCCTTTTACATATACGCTTGAGTTGCTTGGGTCATGCTGTGCCTACCACGGTCTTTCGGTATCGTTTCGGGAACCATTCTGTCATTACGGAAGCGGAAGGATTGTTCCAAACGGAATCGCGGTTGAACTTGAAACAAGGCGTCCGCATTCTCACCGAGAAGAATATCGGGGATATCGACTTGGTACTGAACACTCAGCACCCGTCGGGTCATTAGTTGGTCGACCGCTCTCGGTACCGAGACGTAAGGCACTAAGCCCGAATGGGTATAACGGGTGCAAAGCGTAGGTAAAGTCGGACGAAGCACCCTGCGATCTAGGGCGCTACGTTTGCATGCCAAGGCTAGGCCCAGGGGTTCCCACTCTCGGTACGCCACAAAGGTATAGTTCAGTAAGCGACCGTAAGCAAAGATGTGGTAGCTTGGAGGCACGCTCACATGACCGTCGACCCACAGCGCGGCGCTAGGCGCGCTCTGAACAGCCGCTAGCGTACCAGGAGGCCGTCGTTCGGTGACTGGACGATACAAACAAGTGACACCGTGGCGCTGTGGCGCCGGTAATGCCCCTACATCTTCCCGAGATGGCGCCGCCCGCACTGACTGGAGTGTCGATGGCGACTTCGATACTGAAAAGATTACTGGCCGTCGATTTGGAGACGACGATACTATATGGAGCCTCGCTTGTGAAAGAGCATCGTCCTCGAAAACATGTTTCCTGTGAACCAACAGAGGTAGAACGGTTGGTAAACAATATACGTCATCATTCATGTTGGCGCGAGCTTCGCGTGTTATGTCTCGGGCGATGCCTTTGCCGACTAATGTCATGGTTACAGTAGGTCAACTGTCCCACTCGAAAAGGTAATGTAATGTACTTAGAACCAGCCGTAACTCGATAGAGCAAAATCCAGTGCTGCAACGACGTGCAAACTCTGCAAGAAGATGCGTAGGTAATCGGAGCTTGGCGCGCTGCTGTAATTCCGACATCCGAAAGCACTGTTTACTCGACACGCGCATTTACGCCTTCCCGCTTGCTTCAGCACTGATTGCCAGCCAGTACAACCATCCACTTCTGCGATACCTCTCCATCGTCACGTGCGGGAGTAGAAGCAACAACGCTGCGATACCATACACACTCTCGCCAGCCCATGGCCAAGTGCTTGCGACGCCTTGCCTAGGACTCACAGTTGAGGCCCCTCGCCTCGCACAATTCCTTGGTGAGATTCTGCAGCACATTTCGAACAACCTCACCAATATCATCCGGTATGCCACCATCTGGACGCAAGGGTAAGGCCCGTGCGAAGAAAGCGGTGCCTATGGAAGATACACATGTGTCAGACGTCGAGACACCCGACGCCATCGCAACGCCAACTCGTTCTTCCACGAGGAAGAGAGCGCGTGAACACGAACCAGTGCCTGCCGCTCCACCTGCCAGGGCGAAGAGACAACGGAAGCCAAAGGATGCAACGACGCTAGGGCGAGAAGACACAGAAGGCACGGAGGCACCGGAGCAAAGCGAGAACGAAACGGAGATTACCGGCCCATCTGAGCAGGACATCATCCAGCACCTGCAGGTAGCGAACCGTCAAGTCAATGCGACCGAGGACTACGCGAACGATCTTCTAGAAGGTCAGGAGCACGTGCCCGGTTACGGGAAGATTGCAGGCCGTGACTGGTCGTTCATCATCCGCAACCTGGAGGTCAACATTGGGCGGCCGGAGGCTCATGAGAAGTTGGCGGTCGCTGAGCCTGGTGAGGCACCCGCACCTTCCGCCAAAACGGTGATAGACATCGACCTAGGACCGGATCGGCAGGTATCGCGCTCGCATGCAATCATTGCATATGATTCTGATGAGGCGAAATGGTTCATCATCGTAAATGGAAGGAACGGTTTGCGCATCGACAACACCCCGCTGAAGCGCGGAACGAAGATGTATCTACGCAACGGCTGTGTCATCGAGATCGCCAACACTCAAATGGCTTTCATCACGACCGCTACTGCCGCCGGTGATGGGCCGATATGGGATGCGTCGATCCTGAAGCAGGCTCAGAAGTCGTCAGAGGATGACGAGGATGGCGAGGACCCCAATCTAGATGGACGTCGTCAACAGATGCACACTGCTCCACGCGCACAGCTCACCGAGAACGGCGCATACACTCCCGCAATCAGTGGTCAGCAACAGCAGCAACGCATGCACCCACACTCGCAGCGCGCAATGCCGATGCCTGGCACACCAATGCGATCTCAACAGCAGATATTCAAGTCTTCGCCGGCAGCCAACTATGCGCGCGGCGTGATGATGGAGTCGACGGAAAGCATTGACTACGCCAGCGAAAACTCCAAAGACCTCAAGCCGCCACACTCGTACGCCCAGCTGATCGGCATGGCCATCCTCAGCGTGCAGGAACAAGCAATGACGCTTAACAACATCTACAAGTGGATCATGGCCAACTATGCTTTTTACCGATTCAACACCGGTGGCTGGCAGAACAGTATCCGGCACAATCTCAGCCTGAACAAAGCTTTCACCAAGATCGCGCGTCGCACGGATGAGCCCGGCAAGGGCATGAAGTGGGTGATCGAGCCTACGGAATTTGACACATTCGTGCAGCAGGGTATGAAAGGGTGTCGCCGTCCGGCGCCTTTGCCCGCTACGCAGAGCACTTTCGGCTCGCCTCAAAGCCCTGCTCAAGCCCGTCATCTCATCGACGGGAGCAAGCAGGAAGATGACACACCGCCGATGCAAGCTTACCCTTCATCTTACCCGACCGCAAACGAGGCTTACACGCCTGACCGCGGTCCCAAGCGGCAGAAGGACGCTCACGTCGGGCTGGGAATTCACGGCGATACTGAGATTGACTTTATGACGCGCTCGACGCCTCGTAACGGCCTGACAGCCATCGCTAACGCGGCAGGCTCTCCTCCAGCTCTCTATATCAACGATGAGGGTCGGATCGGTCCGCTCGACACGCCATTCCCGCTGCGTCCAAGCCAGCGTTTTGCGCCCCCCAGTACATTGAAAAGACCTAGCGACTTTATCCAATTCAGCAGCCCTGCACCGTTCTGGAAGATGGAGGGGTTGGTTGGTAGTACGCCGTTTAAGCCGTACGATCTCAGTCCACTCAAAACGCCGTTTTCGGGGCTCAAGAAGTCTGAGGTCAACGAGACGAAGGAGGTTCATGCTGACGACGACGAGGAGACAAAGCCAGCAAATGCTGAACAGCATGAAGGAGCCAACGGCAGGAACAGCCCGGTCATCCACTCCAGCAGCCCGCCACCGCATAGCGCCGGTCCTGCGCTGGATGGTAGCCCTACGATGAGCCGTCCGGCGACTGCGGTGGCGAAGACACTGAGTCAGATGGCTGCGAGCGGTAAGGAGCAGGTCGCCAAGCAGCCTGCCACCGATCTTGGCGGCAGTGTGCGGGAGGAAGCTGTAAGTGTTGCAACTCAACTTCAAAGCCCTCCAGCCCCGGCTCCGACACAACAGCCGCAGGCGCCTGTTGCGGCTCCTACTCCTATCCATACTCCCGCGATGGACGTGAATGGTATGAACGGCGTGAAGCACACGACCAACGGCTACCATTCCGGCAGTCAGCCGGCGCCGCAAGCGCAAGCGCAAGCGCAAACGCAACCACAAACGCAGCCGCAGATGCAGTCCCAATCGCAATCGCAGCTCAACGGCTACAGCCACCAGCCCGTGGCGCAGATGAACGGGTATTACATGGACGAAGGAGAAGACGAAGGGATCGATCTCGCAAAGTATGTTACTTCACCAACAGCGTGTTCCCCACCAGACTGGTCGCGAGACATGCTGACCTTTCCTCGCAGAGGCTTCCAGCCAATCGGAGCATACCACCAGCGCAACCATATGGCGCTGGGAATGGGTCTTGCGCCGGCGTTCGGACGGTGAAAATACGTTCCGAGGAAAGGCACGGCGCGATCGTGGGCAACTGAGAGAGAAAACGTATTTCTGCCGCAGTTGTGTTGCCGAGCAAGCAAGCAAGCGGGTATCAGAGGCTGTATGATTACGACGTGCGTTGAGAGATGCGTAACTCTTGGACGAGGGGGGATGATTTGAAACTGTACTGTAGACTATGCTGGCCCGGGCCATTTCGACAAGTGGCGATGGGAGAGTTCCCGGCGGCATACGCACGTGGCAGGATACACAGTACTGTATGTATGTATATATGCGATACTCCGGAGTCCAACTGACCACCAGCTGGTTGTGCCTCCGATCCTTTCCCGAAGTTCATTCGAACGTTTCGCTGCCGAGTTGAAACTCATGTCATGTTTTATTCCCCATGATCATCAGCAGCAGCATCATCATAAGAAGACCTCGACGTTCAACTCCAACACACTCGCCGGAAACGGCAACTCAAAGTGCTTCAGCACGCTCGGATGCAGATTTCCGAACGTGCCGATGCGGTGCGTTTGGTCCGCCACGCGTAAATAGATTGCTGCGGCGCGGCCGGGGAGGTAGGTCGGATCTGTCACACATGAACATCACGTTAGCAGTAGATCATCGCAAGAGTCGTTTTGGCAAGTGAGTGAGTGAGTGAGTGAGTGAGTGAGTGAGGGTGGAGGGAGAACGTACCGTCAACCTCCTCAATCCAATACCCCTGCACGCCCCCCTCCCGCGCCAACCCCTGCTCCCGCGTCACCAACGCACTCTTCAGCATCAACATGGCCCGATCCAGCAAGCCATGCACCTGCTCAAACCCACTCGTCTTCCCATACCAACACGCGCCGAAATGCCGCTCGTTGCGCGCCTTGCGCTCCGGCCTCGCCCGCGCATCCTTGTACACCACATCGCTGACCTCGAAGATCTTCAACGGCACCGCGTGGCCTTTGTTCTCGCGCACGGTCTTGAGCAGGCCCGGGATGAGCGAGGTCCGGACGATTTGGTATTCCGCCGTCTTGGGGTTCTGCAGGCGCACGCAGGCGCCTTGGTCGGAGGGGTGGTTGAGCCAGGCGTAGTTCTCGTCGTGCGAGCAGAGGATCAGCGGCATCACTTCCACCCACCCCGCGCCGAAGGACTCGAGGCGGATGATGTCGGCGAGTTTGTTGATGGGGAGGGCGGCGGCGGTGAAGGAGGAGCCGCGGGGGAATTTTCGAGGTAAGCTGTTGAAGCCGTAGGCGACGGCCGCGTCTTCCATGATGTCGGCCTGGTGCAGGACGTCGGCGCGGGTGATGGGGATGCTGACGTCGAGGGCGTCCGGGTCGTGGGGGGAGGGGACGGCGGTGTAGCACATGCGTTTTAGCGAGGTGCAGAGGGCTTCGCGCGAGGAGGTGAGGCCGCAGATGGAGTTGATGTAGCTGGCGCTTGCTTGGGCGTGGCGGGGCGTCAAGTCGGGCGTTTGTCGGGATTCGTGGTTGTGGGGGGAGATGATGTTGACGGGCTCGACGGTGAAGGGGTCGGCGCAGTATTGGCTGAACATGGCGACGAGGATGTGGTTGACGAGCTCGAGTTTCGTTTTGTCGGTGGCGGTGATGTCGATGAGGACGTTGCGGGTGGCGAGGGTGATTTTGCTGTGGTTGCTATTGATGATCGGTGGCATGCTGAGGACCGTGCGGTTGGAGTCGTAGATGATGGGGTAGACGGGGCTGTCGCGGATGATGGGGAGGTAGCGGGAGAGGTGTTTGTCTTTGGCGTAAAAGTCCATCATCTGGGTGGCGGTCATCTCCTTCGTCTGGTTGAGGGGCGCGAATTTGATCTGGTCGGGTGGTAGGGCTTCGTAGGTGAAGGGACCCTGGATCGTGTCGAGGTCGTGGGTGCCGATGGCGACGAGGGTGCGCTGGCGCGCGAGGTTCTGGTGGAGCTTGTCTTGCAGGGCGATGAAGGAGTCGTAGCGGGCTTGGGTGAAGGTGATGTTTCGGAGGATGGCGCAGGAGAAGTAGGGGCGTATGCTCGCTGTTTCGGGGTGGACGGTGACTGTTTGTAACTGACCGTCACTGGGGGGTTTGAGCGTGTATGTGGGCATCGTTTCCCGGCCGAGGAAGATGTTCAGGTTCATGGCGATGCCTTCGAAGCAGAGCATGTCATATCGATTCGCCGGGATTTCGATCTTGAGTTGCGGTGCTTCTTGTTCGCCGTTGACGATGGGGCGTGGGCTTTCCGATGTGTCCTCGTCGAGTTCTATACCAAAGTCGAAACATAGCTCCTCAAACTCCTCTTTCGTGTATTCCCTCCCCAACGCCTTGTAGAAGTCGGCCTTGTTCACGCCGATCGTCGGCATCTTGTTGTCGTGCGCCTGTCGCGGCGCTCGAATCCCCTATCCCACTACTTCATATATCGCTTAAAAGGCCTGGCTTTGATGTTATTGAATGTCGTGGGAGTATCACTTGCATTCGGTGCTTGAAGTGCATATTCTGACTCGCTCCCTCTCTCTCCACACTTTTTTTGGTTCCCATGTACGGTGGTGGAGGTGGATGTGGCGCATGCTGTGGCTGATGCACGTCAGCGCAAGGCAGACTGGAGCTCTCCAGAAATGCAAGTGGCAGTGGCAGTGGCATTGCTCCCATCGGCCCAGCGCCAGCATCACCGCCCTGCAGAAACAGCTCGCAAGCCTCACTTTTCCAAACACAATTTACCACCCAATCCATATAGACGAGTTCAACTGTCCGGCGACATACCAGGTGAGTGGCATTGTGCGCAAGAAAATATCCCTCCTCCGGGATAGGCAGGCACATGCGCATGCTGTATGCTGTACCTGCATGCACGTAACAATGCGAGCCACTCTACATTGAGCCTGCACCTGAGTCACGAGAATATATGCCGAGTGTGTCGAAGAGTGCTGGTGCTGACGATACACGCCCAGAGCTGGATTGCACGGCAACAATACAGAAACGCCTGCGACCAACACCACCTCAACCCCACCGCTCAAGGCTGTGCACAGGCAGGACCCCCCCAACACTCGCAGTCCTCCTTCACGGCCGTCCACTCCTTTTCCCACGATCCGACAAGCTCGAATGATACAACAACAACAACAACATGGATGAGCAGACCCAGGGCGACGAGCTCTACCCCATTGCCGTCCTCATCGACGAGCTGAAGGTGCGCCTCCACACAACATGCGGATGGGGTGGGATGAAGGAGGATGGGGATATGCTGGACTGACACGTGACACAGCATGACGATGTACTGCTCCGACTCAATGCCATCCGGCGACTCTCCACCATCGCCTTGGCATTGGGTCCGGAGCGCACACGCGACGAGCTCATACCCTTCCTAGACGGTACGTCATAAGCATGTGCAAACCCAGCGACACGCGCCAACGACGTCTCTCTCTGACACGCGAGTAGAGTCGGTGGAAGACGAGGATGAGGTGCTCACCGCGCTCAGTGACGAGCTGGGAGGCTTCGTGGACTACGTCGGCGGCCCCGAGTATGGGCACGTGCTCCTGTCTCCGCTGGAGAATCTGGCCACCATCGAGGAGCCACTCGTGCGCGACAAGGTGGGCCAACAATATCCTCTCTCGCTCACGTGATCACGACGTGCTGTACTGATGACTTTTTGGGCAGGCCGTCGAGTCCCTCAACAAGATCTGCGAGCAGCTCTCCCAACAACAAGTCGAGCAATACTTCATCCCCCTCACCGTCCGCCTGTCGAAAGCCGACTGGTTCACATCCAAGATCTCCGCGGCAGGACTCTACACCACCCCCTACCAGCACGCCACCCCGCAATCACAAGAAGGCCTGCGACAGCAGTTCGCGCAACTCGTCCACGACGACACCCCCATGGTGCGGAGACAGGCCGCCACCAACTTGGCCAAGTTCGTCAAGTACATGCCCGCGGCGATTGTCGTCGAGGAGATGATCCCCTTGTTCCAACATCTCGCCGCCGACGACCAGGACAGCGTGCGGTTGTTGACCGTCGACGTGCTGATCGCCATCGCCGAGGCGGTGCCCAAGGAGCAACAGAGCAGTCATGGCGTGCTCCTGACCGCGCTGAGGAGTCTGTTCGAGGATAAGAGCTGGCGGGTGCGGTACATGGTTGCCGACCGGTTCGAGAAGATTGCCAAGGCCGTGGATGAGGAAGTGGTGGCGCGCGATCTCGTGCCGGCCTTTGTCAAGCTACTCAAGGATACGGAAGCGGAGGTCAGGAGCGCCATTGCCGGGCAGATACCGGGTGAGCCACAATCATCCACAATCATCCACAATCATCCACAATCATCCCTCACCTTGATATCCCCACACACACACACACACACACACACGCACGCACGCACCACCTACGTCGCGTGCACGCGAATACTAACAGAGATATTGTCAGGCTTCTGCCATCTAGTCACCCGCCAAGCCCTCCTCCACGACATCATGCCCGCCATCGAAGACCTCGTCACCGACTCCTCCCAACACGTCCGCGCCGCCTTCGGCACCCAAATCTCCGGCCTCGCGCCCATCCTCGGCAAGCAAGAAACCACCGAACACCTCCTCCCCATGTTCCTGCAAATGCTGAAGGACGACTTCCCCGACGTGCGTCTCAACATCATCTCGAAACTCGAACAAGTCAACAACGTCATCGGCATCGACCTGCTCTCCCAATCCCTCTTACCGGCCATCGTGCAACTGGCCGAGGACAAGCAGTGGCGCGTCCGACTGGCCATTATCCAGTACGTCCCGCTACTGGCGAGCCAATTGGGGGTGGGCTTCTTCGATGAGAAGCTGAGTAATCTGTGCATGTCGTGGTTGGGGGATACGGTGTTTAGCATCCGCGAGGCGAGCACGCAGAACCTGAAGAAGTTGACGGAGGTGTTTGGCGTGGAGTGGGCGAGTGGGGCCATTGTGCCGAAAGTCGCGGCCATGGCGGAGCACCCTAACTACCTCTATCGGATGACGACGTGCTTTGCTGTGTCGGTATGTATTTCACCCCCAACCTGCAGCTTGACCGAGGAGGAAGTTGTTGTTGTTGTGGAGGCAAGGAACTTGGGCTGATGGGGACGCCGACGCTAACGCTACGACAGACCCTCGCCCCAGCCCTGACGTTACCAACACTCACCCGCTCCGTCCTCCCCATCCTGCACGCCCTCGTCGAGGACCCCATCCCGAACATCCGCTTCAACGTCGCCAAATCCTACGCCGTGCTGATCGACATCTTCAAACGACTCCCCGACGACAACACCACGCTTATGCAACTCGAGGCGCAGCAGGGAGGTGCGGGTGCTGGTGCGGGGGGAAAGGCGGGAGGGACGGCGAAGGGGGAGGAGGTGGTGCGGGGGGAGATCATGCCGCCGTTGGAGAAGTTGATGGGGGATGAGGATGTGGATGTCCGGTTTTTCGCTACCGTGGCGGGGAGGAGTTGGAGTGAGGGAGTTGGGGTTGGGGGGAGGATGGAGGGGTAGGGGTAGGGGTGGTTGGGATGGTGGTCACGGCGGCTGCTGCTGGCTTGCTACTGGCGGTCGTGGTGGTGTATTGCCGTCCGTGCCGCTGCTATCCGTCTGTTGCTGTTGGCTGATCTGGCTGAACGGCAATGGTGGTTTCATGGCGAGATGGAAATGAGAAGGGGAAGAGATGAGATGAGAAGATATACCAATGAGTGTAGCCGTCGTGTGAGTTCGTGCTATGTCTTTCCCACGAACAGGTTGCCAGCCAGCCAATCCCTCACGCCATCGCTAGGTCTGTTTGAGCGTGTGTTCAAGAGTGCGAAATCGTCCGTAATGTTTGTCTGGCCTTTGACTTGAACAGAACAGTAGTGGAAGAAGAACAGATCGGCTCGCATCGTAACTGTGAGCAGACATAAACATTAAAGTTCCAAGCAGTTGCATGATGTTTTTCACACACACACACACACACACACGGAACTGTCACGAACACCAGCCACTCCGTACGCAGGCTTCTACGGGTAACAAGATTATCGCCTAGGCCATATCCTCCCCCGTCGCTCCTACTCTAATGCCTCATCTACCCCATCGCGTCTTGGCCAAGTGCGAAGATCTTGCCCGAGGACATGCGTGGACGTCCTAGCGTGGACCCCGCGATCGACGGCGCGGGACTCTCATCAGACTCCTCCTCCTCCCCTCCTTCACCCACACCCTCCTCCTCTTCTTCCGCAACGTTTGGCCGCCCACAAGCGACACAATTCGCCCACGCCACGCTCCCGCGATCTTGTGCTGGATGCCGGATCTGCTTGGAGCGGGTTCTTCCTTCTAGCATGCGTAAGGCGGCGTCTTGGGCGATGGTGCGTCGGGCTTCGGTGGTCAGGGACTCGGCGAAGAGGCTGCTGCTTGCTGAGGCGTGGGTGTGCAGGCGTTCGAATGGCCAGTTGGGTTTGTGGTGGGAGGGGAGGTTCCAGATCAAGTCGGGGGAGGGGCAGCGTGGGGTGGGGATTTTGGGGAGGATGACGCGGGGGCGGGGGGGTGGTGGTGATGGTGGTGCGGGGGGTGGAGCGGGTTGCTGTTTGTGTGTGTTGGTGGCGTGAGGGCTGTAGGCGGTTGAGGGGAGGAAATAGGGTGGGTCTTCTGCATTCCTCTCGGCGGTGCCGGCGTTGTTGTTGAGGGGACGGATCCTGGCGATGGAAGCTGAGTCAGATTGGTTGCGTGGGAGTGGAGGAAGGTCACGCCACAGTAGATCAATCTTTGCTTGTTCGAAGCTGCGGATGTTGGAAGTCGCCGCTCCCTGGTCGACTGGGCCTGGCAAGGATCGCCGCCGCAGTGGAGTCGCGTCTGTGTTGCTTCTCGTGCTGCTTTCGACAATGTTAACCGGCTTGAATCCGTACAACCTTTCAAAGCGAAGCTGGTCCTCGTCCGGTAGCTTGCCATATAGTGCCTCGAACCGCGCTTGATCCTGATCGGCCTGATCGAGTTGCACGAAGGCTTTCGGTGCAGAATTGCGACGGACAGCCTTGAGGCGGGTATTTGTGTCAAAAGCCGGGTACGGGGCGCCGATGAGTAGATCAGCACGTGCGATGTTGTAAGAGAAGGCACCGTTATTGAGGCAAAGACGATCCCGGCCTGATGCCTTGTAGAATGCAGTAAGCTCCTGCAGTGCTGGCAATGTCGCAAGGGCCTGGCGGATTTCCAACGAACGGCGCTTTCGTCGACCACGGAAGTGCCGGAGGAATGAGGCCAGCTCTTCCAGGTCTGGGTACTCTCCGCGCGGATCGCGTGCCACGTAGCGAGGTTTGGAAGGCGTCGGCTCCGCTGCATCGTGTGACCGCTCACGCGAGCGTCGAGAGAACCACTGCAGGATTTTGGGACGAGAGGGGCGCATTCGCAAAGGAGGCGACTTCGTTAGCAACCTGGCTGACCCTGGTGGCTTGAAAGACACTGAGGAGCCGCCTTCCGCCGAAGGACGCTTTCTGCTGCTCAACGCTGGGTTTGCCCTGTGGGCGTCGCTGGCATACAGCGGAGAATGACTTTGATTCTCTTTGTCGCTGCTTGCCCGCTTCGCAGGAATGATTGCAAATGACGGCGGCCCTCGTTTGTATGGTGGCAAGCCCTTCGCCCGCCCTTCGCTTGGCGGTGGCGGTAAAGCTTGCGTCTGACGGGCTATGAGCTCTGCCTGTGAATTATTGCTAGTTAGCGTTGCTCGGATAGCCTTCCTCATTCCCGTGATGGAGTAGACACTGCCGCTCGAGCCTTGTTGTGATAAGTCTGACGGTTGATGCGTGACTTGCGGCCGCTTCGCTGCAGTGAAGTGAGTATCCGGGTGTGGAGTCTTAGACTGTGTTCCGTCCACTATACTTGAGCCGTGGGTCCATCTCGACTCCATTGGCACAATTAGTGGAGGGCGTTCAGAAGAACCTGGATTCGGCGTCTCCTCGGTATCGGCCATCTGGACCTGCGAAGCCCTGACGGCGGAGTGCCTCGAGCCAGTTTGCGCAACTGTGTACTCGGCAAGCACAGTAGATGCTCTCGGAGGAGCCTTGAAGATGCATTCAGCGGGCAGTACCGCTGGTACTGCGGTAGGATGCGGCCCATCAGTGCCATGAATGGATCTTTCCAGAACCGTGCAAAGGCAGTGAACGTCGGCCGTTCTCAGCGTGAAGTCCAGACCACGTGGTGCATAGTTGATATCTCGGCCTTGCAGTTCCCGACGACACAGTGACATCCACCGAAGTGCTCCACCGCAGTCACCAAGTTCCCACTTGAGAATGGCCATGAGATATTGCGTCAGCATGACCCGCTCGTTGTTGCGGGCCACTTCTCTGAGGGTCTCTCGAGCGGTGGCATAATCACCCAATCGAGCCTGGATAATGGTTGCATTCAATCCACAAAGAGTGCGATGTTCTTCCGAAGGGACACGCCGCGCCAGGTCTCGGAAGGCTTCTGCAGCCTGTCCCCACTCATACCCATGGTAAAGTACTGCTGCGTGCTCCCAAAGGTCGAGGAGCTCGCTTGTGAGCTTCTTCGGTCGACTGTCAAGTGTAGTGGTCGTGTGATCGTAGCGTTTCGCGCTTGATATTGCCGATGGAGGACGCATCCTTGTCGCAAGTCAGGTTGCCAAAGTCTGCGAACTGCCAGGAGCTTTGTGTTCGTGAAGTTGACGATGCAGGCTTCCTTTCCCGCAGTCACCGGCTACTGGCGGCCGGTCAAGCATCGTTAGTATAGTCACTACATCAAATTCCGTGAGCACGACAAGCTAGAACAAATCGACACTACCTCGCATGATGAGCCGGGGATTTGGGTGTGAAGAACGGAGCTTAAGCTGTATGCTCGACCTCCTACAACACCTATGAGCTCGACTTAAGCTGCAACATTCGTGGCTTGATGTTCCCTTCGAAGAGCCGATTCGGCTGGACGTCGCCTTTCATAGCTACTATGGCGCTCATAGCGAGGCCACGAGGACAGCCTCATATGCAGCCAAGCCCGGGCCATCAACGATTTCGAGGGAAGAGGAGTAGGGGCGAAGTATCTCTTCCATCTCTGGAATGTCACATTTGTGTCCAAGCCAGAGCAGTCGCTCAACTGCGCCGTCACGGTAACTCTCAAGATACCGAGCAACAATGCTCGCTTTCCGAGGGTATACGAACATGAGTGCAGAAGCTAGCAAAGCGTCAGGATGTAGTGACTCGGTGCACGGTACTCTGAGGAGCCGTTCGCAAGGCAGGTATTTGTTACGACATGATGGCACTTCCACCCCTACAAGGTCGACGTTGCCGTTGGTCACCTGTATGAGGAGCGTCTCTAACAGGCCGCTTCCGGATCCCACAGATACAACCACGGCAGGGCAATGCGGGAGCTTGCTGGCCAGCAAGCATAACATCGGCAGTGAGATGTTGGCACAGCAATCCGCAAACGGCATGGGCGTTTCGGACACCTTCTCCAGAAGCGATGTACCTAATCGCTCCATGGTAAAGTCCAGCGTCATCCTTGCCAGAATCCAGTTGGTGAGGTCGGCGTTGCGACGTCCACAAAGCGCGCTTCTTCAAGTGACGGCTTGATGATGTATCGGATAGCGAATGCCTGTCGACTGCGTTTCATATATAGAGATGTTGTTCGAGGGTATCAAGGTTCAGACTCTCCCGGGAACACACCACAAGTGAGGTGCGAATTGACTTCGGTACGAACGTTCTCGTTGTCTGACGGAGAACGGTCCCGATCAACTTTACGCGCATCGAGACATGACCTCATCCCAACGTTCATGCGATCGTTAGCAAGATATCTCTGCTACAGCAGCATATTGGCAGCGCTTGCTGCTGGGCATGAACCACCCTTCTTGAGCACCTGTGACTAGGTGTCTGAACCCCATGAGTATAGTTGAGCTACGTATCCGCCCCACAATCACCTGAGAACAAGCCTAGAATAATCGGAACGTGTTTTGAGACATGGGAAGGTTTGCTAGCGTGGCGGACGTTGAAGCTTGTCGGCTCGATGCCGGATGCACGGTCCTTGTCTATTAGCCTACCGAGCATCCTAGGGATCACCACTTTCGCAAGGTACCATAATCGGTTAAGAAGTGGCAGTCCCCATGTGCAATGCCTGGAAGACATCCATGCGCATTCGCCACTTAACTGAGCGCGGTCTCCCTTTCGCGGAAGATGATCCCACAAGCGCACGGCCCCTGGGGAGGCATGTGGCGGCACACTTATATCGCTAACCTCCATGCTTGAAACGGTCCGCTCAAGTCAAAGGGGTCGGCTACCTGGTATATTACGGCAAGTCCTCAGCCTTACATCACCATGCCCAGAGTGTCATTTCACTCATCAAAGCCCCTATTCGCTGCCCAAATCTCGCGTTCTAGCCATTTAGCGTGTCTCTCCGCACTTCCTCGCTGTTCCGAGCATTTCCAAGCGTTCGGTGCTGTTTGGGCTATATGGCAAGCGTAGGCTCGAGCTTACGAACGTCAAGCTGGAGGACAAACGAGATACTCGGCGGTCTGCCGCCATCTGGCGACTTCCCCGTGAAGCTCCTCTGGACTTAAAACCGGACGAGGCGATCCTTGTCCGGCAGGATATCTTGGACGAATTGGACCAGGACGACATGACTAATGATCTAGATGACAGAGACGATGACGCCGCTTCTGTTGGGAGCGCAGAACCGGCGGAGGAGTGCGAAGATGATCGCTGCGGAGACCCGCAATTGCCAATATGGCACTGCGTCGACTGTGATAGTTCTTACTGCAGGTACGATCTTCTCTCCGGCGCATACTGAGCGCGTACTTATCGTTGTGCGCACAGCGACTGCTGGCCTCGCCAAGGGCCTCACAAGCCAAAGAAAAAGGGTCGCGACGGCGTTCCACACGAGAAGACCAATCCCTTCGTTGTCCGGAGACTGAAGCAGATACTGAATCCTACCCGGAGACCGGACGAAATCCAGAGGTTGGATTCACTGGCATTTGATGCTTGCCAGCTACTCGAGATTCCGCTGACACTCTTCGCAGGTTGCACGAAGAAGATGCTTCCACAAAATGGTTCGGCGTCGCCCGGGATCTCACCGGCCGGCCAAACTTCGAAGACTACGGCCGCTATGCCACACTCATGTCTACTTTGTCGCCAATCGAAAGCATGGTCAACCGATATCCACAACTCGTATCCTTCATTGGAGTCACGAATGCCGGAAAGTCCACACTGATCAAGATGCTCATCAACCATGACGTTGACGGCGTGCCGGTCGAGAATCGCGATATGTTTCCTTCTCCCGTGGTGGGTAGTGTTGTGAACGATACACTGCCCACTTCAGGCGATGTGCACCTCTATGCTGATCCAAGTACTCACGCGGAACAGCTCCCTCTTCTGTATGCCGACTGTGAAGGCTTCGAGGGTGGGGAGAGGATGCCGCTCGGTGCTCGATCACGGAGGAGAGCACGATCTGACCCCAAGGAGGATATTTTGAAACTCAGCAACGTGCACTCACGACTCATCGAATGGGCCAATACAGAGGAGTCCAAGCAGCGGGAGTATGCGGTAACGGCGCTCTACCCTCGCTTGCTATACACTTTCTCCGACTGTGTCGTATTCGTTCTGCGAAATGCGAAGACCTTTCAATCGTCTGTATTGACAAAGCTTCTCGAGTGGGGAGTGGCGGCGCTCGAGAAGTCTATCAATCAGCCCGCGCTACCACACTGCATTGTGGCGCTCAACGGTACAGACCCTGCAGTCGACGAGCGCGAGTGGGACATCAACTACGCCACACAGAGCTTGCTCTCTTCCGTGAAAGGGGCGCTGGACTATGTGGAAGGCGTTCCACGATTTCGTGAGCTCGCAGACCACTGGCGCTCGTTAGGCAAGCATATCTACACAGTGGTGAGCAGTGCAATTCATGGTTCGTTCTGAGTTGCCAAAGACATAGCTGACATTCATACCGATCAACCTGTAGGAAGACCTCATTCTTCGATACTACAGCTCTTTCAAGGTCGTCAGGATACCAAGCAAACCCCGATACATGACCATCAACGATCAGATTGGGAAGCTGCATGGCATTATCAAGTCGAATTGCGAAGAGTCCTTCCGGACTAAAAGGCGAGCTCGTATGTTGACAAATGCCGATGAGCTAAACGTCTATCTGCAGAGTGGCTTTGACCACTTCACAACTCACCTCAATGTCCCATTCAACTTCATGCAGATATCCCTTCTTCGTAATCCCATCCCAAACGATTTCGGCGGTAAGCAGGGCGACGTGTGGATTCAGATAGTGTCGGACATCTAGCTGACTCTTTTACCTACGGATAGGTCACATCCTGCAGCTCTGCACCACTATCAGCACCCAACAAGCAGCCAATCATGAACCGGAGAAGGTGACATGGATGTTCGAGAAGCTCAGTGTCATGCTGGGCTCCTGTGTGTTGCTGGATTGTGCCCGATTTCGGAAAGGCAGAGTCGATGAGCTCTTCTCGAACTACGAGAAGTTCTTTGACTACGCGATGGGCGAGTTCCTGGAGCTGCACTATCCCTGCTCGTTCGTCAGCGCAGACAGCACGAGGCGATGTATTCTCGTCAAGGCTCGCCACCAGGTCAAGGGTCATCAGGACGAGAAAGGCATTATCGCATCGGGAGACTACGAAGCTGCCTTCGATGCGAGCTTCACGCAGCAATGGAAGTCACAGCTCCGAGCGGCGATCGAAGGCATTCATCGCGACTTTTCATATGAGCTGGAACAGTCATCGCAGCTCGAAGATGCGCCAGCCGTGCCAGAAGAGCGCATAGCGCTAGATCTTCATGTGGAGTATCTAAACCAATTCTTCGAGGCGGTTGGTCCGGCTGCAGCCATCCGCAGCCATGCAACCTGCTTTTGCTGCTTGATGGACGTGCCAGAGCATCCCCTCCCATGTGGCCACGTCTTTTGCACCGCTTGCATCAAAGCTTACGGCAAGCCGGCAAAGTCGAGCATTCTGCTGACGTGTTGTCCATTACACCGTGAGGCTACGAGATGGTCTCAGCCGGCTGTCGTCAAGTTCAAACCAGCGGGAGCCGGCGTACGAATCTTGTCATTGGATGGCGGTGGGGTCCGTGGTATTGTTCAATTGGAGGTTCTCCGAGCTATTGAGCTTGCAGTCGGTGGCTATCTGCCCGTCCAATCCTTCTTTGACTTGGTTGTGGGCACGGGAACCGGCGGAATGCTCGGTGTCACACTCTCGCTGAAAGACCGGACGGTTGAGTCGACGATCGATATGTTCTGCGCTATGTGTGATCATGCCTTCACTCCCAGGCTCAAAGGCATACCAATCATTAGCGAGATTGCTCAGGTATTTGGGAGCGGACCGAGGTACAAGACCAAGCCTCTCCATGCCGCGCTGAAGACGGCCTTTAGCGAGGAGGAAGACTTATTCAGTCCCGCTAGTCGCCTGCGGGAGGGTGCCCGTGTCGCTGTCACCACGACCAGCGTGACCGGGCGTGAGTCAATCCTCTTGGCAAGCTATCGCCGACCAGACGATGTGCTACCTGCCTATTCGTTCGAACGACCTCATGAGCCGGAGATGGAGCTCAAGGTATGGCAGAGCATAGCGGCTGCTCTAGCCACGCCGAACTACTTCAAGCCTTTCAACTTCCACGGGAAGACTTATTTGGACGGCGGCCTTCGGTGCCCTAACCCGTCATTCATTGCTGATCGAGAGCGCCGGCTGATCTGGCCTGACGTTGGTGAGCCGGATCTTTTCCTGTCTCTTGGGACCGGCCAGAACAGAATCACGGTTTTGCAGAAACTAAGCGACCGTCCAAGAGATTCACACGGCGATGCGCTGATTCCGCAACCTGGCCAGACGGCTTTGGAGGCTCGCAAAGCTTCTCGCTGGCGGACCAAACGCGTGGATGACGTGCTCGATGCTGAGATTGCATGGGTTGATTTCAGACAATATGCCGTCCGCGAACGGTCGGAGGCCAAGGGCAGACGCTTCATAAGATTCAATCCGGACTTGGATCACGAACCGCCTGCCCAGGATAGCAAGAGCAACATTGAAGCGCTGCAACTTAACGTACGGAAACGATTGCAGACTCCGCACAGACTAGCGGCTCTGCGAAACGTTGCGCATCGCCTCGTAGCTTCATCTTTCTACTTGGACCTTCAGTCCAAGGTTACGGCCGAGAAAAGCGAACGTGTCGTCTCTGGCGTCATTTCGTGTCGCTTTGAAGACGCCAGTATGGAGATGTGCGCTCTTGGCAAGATTCTGGAGGACAAGCAACCCTTCGAACCGTACTTTCTGATAAAGCCCGATATCGAAACACCGCAGCCGTCCTTCAAGATACCGATCACATTGGTAAGCATGCCGCGCAATGGTTGTCGTGTCTCATTCCGATCGCTTACTAACATCCCACTTACTCATGGCAGGATGTGATTCGAGCGATGACTGACCAGTCAGTCTTTGGCCTGTCAAATGTTACCATTCCGCTGCGAGACGAGTCCAAAGCTACGTCCATTACTCTTTTCTTGTCTGCCCATGACGGCTTAGAGCCGGACGGCTTCCCTATCAGCGGCTTCCCACGAGTTTTGCTCGGAGAGGCTGGCTCATCGCAGCCTCGCCGACCGCGTGTATCAGAGCAAAGCCTCAAAAGCCCAACGCGCCATCTGAAGCACTTGTCTGACGCAGACTCCATCTCGCTCAACGGCCCGACCAACGTCAGCAATCTTAGCAACCTCACAAGCCGGAATGGCAGCAGCGAGGAGTCATGGCAGGACACGCAAGCGAAGATCTCGCCGTTCCTTACCACCGATGGAAAGCCTAAGATGTCACTCGCAGATCTCATTGCTCAGCACCAGAACTCGGGTAGCAGTATCAGGCAGCGGACGAACCGTTTCTGGACGTACATCGGCAACAACCACATGGTGCAGTATCCCGAGATGTACACCGCAGATGAGCTCGCCAAATTCGCTGCAAACACCAGCGTGGGCCCGAGCGAGCTAGGAACTGATGATGGCCCTGCTCCAACATACACTAGTCCAGCGCCGACGCAGCAGTCATTCGGCTCGGCCAGCTCGTTCCAGAAGACTCCACACGAACCACATGAGCTTGAGGCGACTGACGCTACCCTCTTTGAGCCGGCGGAGACGACCTTCCCAGACTTCACGGAGAAGAAAGCTGACCAGGAGCTCGGATACCAACATGAGGTCGCCGCCATGCAACAGCGAGATTCCCACCAAGAGTGGCAGCGTGATATGACTGCCATTCCCAAGTACGAGGTTCGCCACATTCAGCCTGCCGCCGAAGTCCAACAGCACGACGCCCGCCGCGACCTCCCTAGCTGGAGTGTCGGCTGGCGCAAACCAGCGACGAACGGTTTCCAGGCAAACCACGCAGAGTATGAGTCTGGTGAGAACGGTTCGACGTACAGCGACCGGGAAGTGAGGACCGCACACGCCACACCCGCTCAGGTAGGCCCCCGCAACTCCATCGACTCTATCTTGAGCCTGTATATAAGCGGTAGCATGTATTAATGTCAACCTGTCTAGCATCCACCGCCATACTTTGCTCGCGAACGAGGGTCCGGCTTTGAGCAGAGCCCGATTGAGACTGCAATTGAGACGAGTTTGCCGGATAAGAAGTGAGTTGCTCCTGGCATTGTGGTAGCACCTGTGATTAAGGATTGCTGACCGTTAGCAGCACAATGACTCAGCTTGATCGCTGGCTGGCGGCGCAACGAAGTACCGGCACGCTGCAAAGAAAGGCTGGTCGGCTGAAGGTTGTTGACGAAGAGGTTGATGAAGAGACTTGAGCGCGCTATGCTTGATTAGCTTTACAGCATTGGGTGGAGCAATGGCGGGATGCCTTTACATGCTGCGAAGATACCTCTGTACGGGAAACTGTGGATACGGCGTGAAGGTGATTGTAAGTACCATTGAAAAGCGGAGCTTTGTACACCTTTATCCCCTCCAAGCGCCAGGCATTGGCGCTGCGGGAGGCGTCCCCCCTCTGCTCCGCCTTCGTTCTTTCTTCCGATGCTCCTTACTACTCTCCATGCTCACACTATCCCTCCTCGCCTTGACTCGTTTCGGCTCCGCGCTCGGTCCACCGAATCGCGGCTCCTGCAGTGCAGGATCTCTGGGATCGGGGAAGCTGATTACGACAAGACGGAAATAGTAGTCCAGGATTCTCGGATACTGCATGCAGCTGTTCCGCCAGTCTTCGTCCACTCCTGCTTTGAGCGCCACGTTGGCGTGAGCGATTTGGGACTGTAAAGCGTGAAGTTGATGGTGTGGCATGGGCGGCGCGCCGTTATACTTCATGTAAATGGTGTAGCAAGGCAGCATTTGGAGGTACTGAAGATGCTGATGGTAGCGCGCCGCACGGAGTTGCTCGAAAGTGTTGATAACTTGGTTGCGAGCGTTATCTAGCACCCATTTCCTTTCGAAAAGATCAGTCTCGAGCGTAGAGATTACGCGCGTGGTGACAAATCTACTTGATTGCTTCCAGGCCGGCCCACCTTGCCATGGCCTGATCAAAAGCCAGTAACAGTCGCTCGCCTTCATGAGGGCATTCGGGATAGGGTGGTGCGCCGCAGATGGCGCATGAAGCCTCGATGTTTGCGGGTACGCTCATGGTGCCCTTCCTTCTGACGAGCCGTCTCAACGACTTGCAGTCTCGGTGGACGATACTACGGATGCAGGCGGTGGATGTACGTCAGCTCTCCGGTCCCTAGGCGCACCATCATACTGAACGAAAGACTGCTGGAATAAAAGCATGAGTTGTTGACAACTTGGAGGACTGTGGACTGGAGCGAAGACATCTCATCGACTTGCCGTGGCCTCCGTACGGTGGGTTCTCGTTAGACGGAGACTACTGCTAGTCACCTGCAGAGCTTGTTCGCGTGGTCCCATATACGGCCTTTAGCTTTGCCGTCAACGGAAGAGCGGTCGACAACGACGTGCAGAAGCGTTGGACTGCCGATTGGCGGCCAATGCGGGATGCGCTGGCGGTCTCGAGTGCAGCTGCTGGCGAAAACTCAACCTCCTCCGTTCAGCTGACCCAAGTGGCAGGGAAGGTCGAACTGTCAATAGCAACACCCATTCTACCTGTGCGGTGTGTAGATGCAGAAAGATCCATGCAATTACCCTAAGACGTTAGGAATGGAACGGATGGCCCGAGCGTAGGTCAGTCCTGGTATTTCACGGCTCAGGAGAAGGCTCCGCTTCCTGCTCATCGTACACTCTGACGAGCCATTACCCGTGCGGCATTTGAGACATGCGGCCAGCCCCTTTGAAACGACCTGACGAACAATGAGTTCCCGGGAAGCGTCGGAAGTGCCATTGTTGATCATGCAGTACCAACTCCGCCGCCACAGAGCCCGCATTCTAATTGCTCCGATGTTGTAAGCATTTGATCGGTTCATCGACACCTCCAACTTGTCGTAAGCTACATGCGGAAGTCAACCACAGGAGATACCGCAATGTGCTTCTTGCCGCTACAGCCGTTGCAGCTTCGTGCAGCCATACTCTGATAAAGAGCCGGAGCATGACGGCGGACGTGCAATGTGGAACTTGCGTGGCCTCTTCGGAAGCTTGGCATGTTACTGACGAATATGCTTCATGGTCCGGATGATCGATGTCAATGGAAATTACGAGTGGAGTGTGATCGCAGCACAGTTTCGGCGGCTACTCCAAGTCAAAGGATGTTATTCCAGCGTCATGCTAGAATGCAATGCACACTCGAAAGGGCAAATGACTACTTCTCCCATGGCTTCAGTAATTTTTCCTTCTATGAGCCGCATCGACAATCTGACAGGCAACTAGCACAGTAAGAGGGCGGCAAGTTTCAGCTGCACCGCGCTTTCTCTGTTGGCAGCGAACGGCGAGCCAACGCTCCTTCCGCGACAGTTTAACATAGCCACTACGTTGCTTCCACCATATTACACTCGTCACCTCTTGACAGAAACAAACACCATTTCGAGTCCAAGGATTTTCAAATTTGACGGGCCTGCAATACCCTGAGCAGAGACACCAGTGCTACGGTCGAGCTTTAGCCGACGTTATCCACCTTTTGGGCAAGCTGCGACATGGTCGCTTTCTACGTCTATCATATTTCCATAAACTTCCTTGTCGCCACCGCCGCGCTGCTGCTCGACTATCTCTTCCTGTGTGGCCTGCGAAGGATATATCACCCTTGGCCAGCGGGAGTCATGCCGAGCAAGAAAGCCCGTCTCCGAGTACACGTCCAACGGCTGACGAGAGCTTCAGAGAATGATAACAATTGCATCGTCTGCCGCGACATTCCCAGCCGAGGCAGTTCTTCTCCAATCATGTAGACATATTTTTGGTGAGGAGTGTTTGTAGGGACGAGTCGGCACCGTGCATCCGCGCAGCGCCCTCAACACAGCTAATGGATCGCAGGCTCATGCTTGGTTCAGGCGGCGGTCCACAGTGTCAGCGTATACTGTTCGCTCTTGCCCACTCAGCTATTGAGGACCATCAGCCAGATGGTCCTGACAAGCGCACACCTGAACTTCGTGGTCATCGCCATTCTCTGGTGAACGGCGACATCTGGCAAGGGGTTTGCGGCTTTGACGCCTGGCACCTTTATTATACGCTGACGGCAGGACATAGCGCCGTGCTCAACGTCGGCGAACGATAGCCTCTATCACAAGTCTGGGCGGCATTGGTAGAAGGACGTTCAAGCCTGGCCTGCCGGTGTTGGGAAAGCGAGAGGTGCCACCCGCGCTTGTGGTCCTTGCCCAAACTCAATGGGCGTTCGCGTGCTACATTCTGTCATTCATACGTGCATTGTCAAAGCACAGACGTGGGGGCTGTAGGACGTCGAGGATATAACTGACATAGCATTTGTACGGAGCTAGTGCTCGGACTTGGACGGGCCATAGCGACTTACCAAGCTGTGTCACAGCGGTCATCTTGTGCTCCCATTCTAGCGATTAACTGTCAGATCTTCAAATGTCTTTGCACCAAAGGCGGGAAGGGGGGCATTTGCGCCCTTCTATGGCGATACTGGCAGATTAACGACATCGGGCAGGGTTGTGTAAAGTGACCATGACAGTTATACCGTGGAACACACGTTCCCGACAGAGATGCTTACGATCACGTTGCGCTGTCCAACCTTATACCATCACATCTTGCGTGCCTGCTCTCCGGGATTACAGATTTAAGTTTTGCGGCTGCGGCATGTCCCGGCTGAATCTTCCATATCATCGTGGCATTGTTGCCTCATTAGCGCACCTTGTCCATTCCGTAAGCGCTACTAGCCTACGTCTACACATTACCGAATCGCATTAAGGGGGAGAGAGATGGCTGGGAAGAAGGCGGCGGGCGAAAACAGCAAGAAAGCAGCGGGCAATGCGAAGAAGGCCGAGGTAGCGGCGCAGAAGCAAGCGGCATCGAACGCGAAAGCAGAAGCTGCTGAAAGCGAGGAATGGGGCAAAGGCGCCAAAGACAACAGCAAGGCGTATGTGCAACCAAGGACGGTGCACGACCGATCGGTGTGCTGACAACGAACTATGTAGCGCAGCAGCAGCAGCCAAGGCTGAAGAAGCGGCCCGTAAGAAAGCTGAGAAGGCTGCAATACTAAAAGAGGAGGAGGATTCACTGCCCAGCAAATCGACAAAGCCCTCCAAAAATGCTCCTCCTCCTAAGAAATCTCGCGGTCTCGATCTCTCTGGCCTCGACGGCGATGATGCCACTTCCAAATCGGCCCTCTCCGCTCTCAACGCCTCCGGCATCGACTCGGCGTTGGACGCTCTGGACATAACATCCAACAAGACCGAACAGATTGATCGGCACCCCGAGCGTAGGTTTCCGGCTGCTTATAAGGCCTTTGAGGAACGGAGGTTGGAGGAGATGAAGGATGAGAAGGGTTTGCGGCGGAACCAAAAGATCGAGCAGATACGGAAGGAATTTGAGAAGCACCCAGACAATCCGTTCAATCAGGTTAGCGGGTCTTACAACTTGAGTAAGGACGAGATGAAGGAGTTGAGGGAGAGTGTGAAGGAGTCGAAGGAAGGGTTCTTGACTGGGAAGTGAGACAGCTGCAGGACTGGACACCAATAAGATGTCGTCTTCAGATGATGCCGACCAGCGACGAGGAGCAGCCACAGCTGCCATCTGTTTGGCTGCCACCGGGCACAACTCCCTCTACTAGAGTATGTCGCAGCAATAGCCGCTCGCACTGCAAGGTGGCGTAGCGGGCGATGTGGCAGGCCACTGACGACTGACGAGATTGATGAGTCGCAGACGGGGTAGCACTTTTGGGCTGCGTGTGTAGGACTGCGATGATTGTGTGGTGGAAGGGCGAGACATACTAGCATAGTAGCACCTTCCAATAGTAGCCAAAGCTCACGTGCAACAATTGTGCATGCGGTGCATTGGATCGAGCAGCGAGCGGCCGGCATTCGGGTTTAGCGGAGATAAGTTTTCGGCATTGATGCTGTAGCGCTTCGGAAGTGTGGGGAGAGTGGAGGTGCAATGGCGTGCTTGAGTCACGACATATACTTCAGGTATATCATCCGTACTACCTACCTTTCTTGATCGCAGCCAAGCTTGAGTCGATACTACGTGTGGTGGTAGTACTCCGGGGTGCAATAATGGCACCAGACCGAGGCTCCCGTTCCCGCTATGATCCTCTTCACGGCGAGCCGGAAGAGGATGACAACGACGATGAGCTGCTGCGTCACGCGACCTCGCGCTCCATCGCCCAGGAGCCCATCGGCCAAGAACCCGACGCGGACTTCCTCGAGAAGAGATCGGAAGAGCGACAATTCACCTTTCGTGCGCTGCTCATCGGCCTGCTAATCGGCGTGTTGATCGCCTTTAGCAACACCTACTTTGGCCTACAAACGGGATGGATATCCGGGATGGCGATGCCGAGTGCGCTTATCGGCTTCGCCTACTTTAAGGCCTTACGCACCATTGCCAACGGACTGGGCTTTGCGCAAGGTGAGGACGGCCGGCCAGGCTGGGTGCAATGGGGCGCGGGCTTTTCAGAAGTGGAGAATGTACTTGTACAAACTGTTGCTGGCAGTGTGGGCACGATGCCGCTTGGCTGCGGGTTTGTCGGAGTAGTGCCTGCGCTGGAGTACCTGCTCAAACCCAGCGAGACGCCAGGGAGCAACTCGACCGACCCGGAGATTGTGGCTGCGCTGGCCGCGGCGGAGGAAAACGGAGGGTTGCGCTTACCGCTGGGCAAGCTTATCCTGTGGGCCCTCGGCCTCTGCTTCTTCGGCGTCATATTTGCTGTTCCGTTACGGAAGGAGGTCATTGTGCGTGAAAAGCTGAAATTCCCGTCTGGCACGGCAACGGCCCTGATGATCGGCGTGCTGCATGGTGGGGAGAAAACGGGTGCGGAGGGAGAGGTGGAGAGTCATGCAAGGAGGCGGCGGAAGAGCGTCAAGCCTAGTGGGGATGCAAATGGCGGGGACGAGGAGAGCCAGGCGTTGATGGGCGACGCCAGCCCAGGCGCGAGGCAAAGCCATGAGTACGAGATCAACGGCAAGCCTGATCCAAAGGCCGATGCAAAGAGAGACTGGATACGGCAGATCCGCCTGCTAGGCTACGCTTTTGGCGTCAGTGGCACCTATGTATGTACACTATGCGAGACCTTCAACCAACACCAGCCCGCTGATTGTGGCGACTTAGACTCTTGTTTCCTATTTCCTACCGCAACTCCACAGCATTCCCATATTCGGTAACTACGTCGGCAACACCTGGCTCTGGACGCTTAACCCATCTCCCGCGTATGTGGGACAAGGCATCATCATGGGTCCAGCGACTACGATTCACATGCTCCTTGGAGCTATTCTTGGCTGGGCCGTGCTATCACCGATCGCCAAAGATCAAGGTTGGGCTTCCGGGGATGTCGGTGATTGGAATACCGGAAGCAAAGGCTGGATTGTCTGGATCAGCCTGGCGATCATGCTTGCAGACGCCCTTGTAAGTCTCGGCTGGCTTGTTCTCCGCCCTCTGATATGGTATGCTCGTCTCTTTATCCACGGCGCGAGGGAAAAAGGCCTCCGCCGCCATCTCCACGACCTCCTGCGAGACCCTAAGACACGCGGCTACAGCCCCGTCGACCTGGACGACGACCCTTCTACCACGACGAACGGCAACCTCACCAAATCCACGTCCCACCCACTGCACCCGGAGGAAGAAGAATACGACGCACCCCCTTCCCACCTCATAGGCTGGCGCACCACCACTCTTGGCCTTGTTCTCTCACTAGCGTTCTGCGTCTTCGCCGCCCAGTACTCCTTTCGAGGCATCATCTCCATCGGTCTCACCTTCCTTGCCCTACTCCTCGCCCTTCTGCTGAGCATCATGGGCGTCCGTGCACTAGGAGAAACCGACCTCAACCCGGTCAGCGGCATCAGTAAGCTAACGCAACTCGTCTTCGCCTTTGTGATGCCCACCAACCATCGCAATGCCGTCACCATCAACCTTCTTGCCGGCGCAATCTCCGAGTCAGGGGCCGTACAAGCGGGCGATCTTCTCCAGGACCTCAAGACGGGCCATTTACTCGGCGCGAGCCCCAAGGCGCAATTCTACGGCCAGCTCATCGGTTCGGCTGTTGGCGCCGTGGTAAGCGCAAGCGTGTACAAACTCTATACTCGCGTCTACACTATCCCCGGCGGACTGTTCCAAATCCCAACGGGTTACGTCTGGATCTTCACCGCGCGTCTCGTCACTGGCCAAGGCCTGCCGCCAAGGACTCCGGAGTTCGCGGGCGCCGCTGCTCTCATCTTCGCCTTACTGACGATGCTTCGCATTTACGGTAACTCCATCCAACGCCCTGATGGTGGGAAAGGGGCTTGGTGGGTTCCATATGTGCCCGGTGGGATTGCGGTGGCGGTCGGCATGTATAACACGCCGAGTTTTACCTTGGCGCGCACTGCGGGTGGTGTGTTGGGGTGGTGGTGGACGAAATGGAGGGGTGGGCAGGAGACGCTGATGATTGTTCTGGCTTCAGGACTTATTTTGGGAGAGGGCTTGGTGAGCATTGTTAATCTAGCGTTGGCAAGTGCAAGCGTGCCGCACTTGTAGATCTGTTTGTACATAAGGTCACCCTGGACATGAGTATATTATCTAATGTAGTCTGTCAAGTCTGTTCGGCATTTTATCATCTAGCCACTACATGCTCTATCAGGGCAGGATTTCCATAACTGCTCGGGACTATGATGCACCAAATGTACTCCGTGAGAGAAATGCCGTGACTAACAATGAAGCACGAAGGTAGACAAGGGTTAATGACAGATCACAGATACCGAAGCGAACCGGCAGATGAATCGGTCGCTGTAGCTCATCACAGACTAGATGCACGAGTTACAGCAAGCACTATAACGTGAGCGCGATCTTTCTCACTTTCCGCGCCAAGATCCATTGATGGAAAATATCTGGTTGAGTATGTGCTTTGCAACAGACAACGCCATGCTATACAGGTCCTCATCACCCTATATGCATACGCGCCACATCAATATAATACATGAGAGGCCCACCATCCACCTGGTAACGTGCACACTGCTGCCATCAGACTTCTTGCTCGTTGTAGTCGCCGTTGATACCGTTGTGGACAGGGCGATGGGTGTTCGATCAGTGGTCGTGCTGACGAGACCCGATGACTTGGCAGTCACAGTGGGTATGAACGTTGAGATGGCGTCCGTCTGCGTACCGTCCACGACTATTCCATTCGCACCGAACGAGATGACGTGGTCGCTTATAGTGAGAGCAGACCCGTTTTCGGTAAGTGTAGTACCGGGAGCGATAACTGCCTCTGGCGTGACCTTTCCATCCGAACGTGTCAAAAGCAACTCCGAGGCTGTTACAGCCGAGCTGCCAAGCGACACGACGGCTCTTGTGAAGGCAGGCTTGAGGGCAGATATGGCTTGTGTCAATGTCCCATCAATGATAACGCCACTCGGTCCGAGTGACAGAGTATGTCCGTCGAGCGTGAAAACTTCTCCTTGCGTGATCGTGTTGCCGCCCACCACGAGTTCGGTTGTGGGTCTACCGTTAGTGTTGACTACGGTCTCCGCTCCTGTAATAGTTGCGGATGCTCCGAGAGTAAGCACCACTCCATTAGTCTGCCTGGCAACGGCGGACAACTGGAGGGTGCTACCGTCGACCAAAAGACCATTGCTGCCATACGATATGGTGTGACCGTCAATGACTGTTGCTGATCCCTGAAGGATGGTCATTCCGTCTATTAATGCCTCTGCCGTAACCCGCCCGTCTGATCCGGTAACACTTGTCTCAACCGCACGGACAGTGGAGGAGCCAAGCGTGACGAGGACTGCCGTTGCTATAGCCAAGGCGCTGATAGGCTGCGTCTTCGTGCCATCGACGATGATTCCGCTTGATCCAAGACTGATCGCATGCCCATTCACGGTGACTGCCGGCGCTCCTGCCTTGACAGTTGACCCCTCAACCAATAGCTCGGTTGTTGTTTGTCCATCAGTAGTCAGAGTGGCGAAAGAAGCCAAGACCGTCGATGAGCCTAGTGTCAAAACGGCGCCAGCAGGCGGAAGCGCACTGAATGCTTGGGTTTGAGTTCCGACGACCACTTCATTCGCCGCGAGACTTATGACCTGTCCGTTGACAGTCACAGCTGACCCACTTTGAACAACGACTGTCTGGCCGTCCACAGTTGCTTCAGTAGTTTGCCGTCCGTCGGTGCCAGTTACAACCGATCGGAGAACGGATAATGTTGATGAGCCAAGTGTCAAGATTGCGGCTGATGCGATAGAAGGTCGGAGAGATGCGGCAATCGTAGAGCCGTCGACGACGATACCAGAACTTGCTGCAGACACCACGACATTGTTCAATGTGGCTGCAGCCCCGCCAACGGAGAGAGTTGTCGTTCCCACTGCGAACACCCCTGCTGATGTGCCCACCTGCGTCGCAGTAACGGTTGCACCGTTTGCTGTAAAGAGTGCAATACTGGTCTCGACGTTTTGCGCAGGATCGCTGGCATCGTTAAGCGCTGCGACGGCAAGGGGCGTGTAAGCGGAGGAGAGAGCGATCGTCTGCCCGTTGATGACGGCAGCTGTGACGCCTTGGCCTGACGCCGCACTCTGATCACCCCCAGACGGAGCACCCTTCTGCGGGATGCTTACCACTTGGCCGTCGATTGTCGCTTGCTGGCCCGCTACTAGAGTGGTCGTGAGGCTCCCTGCTATAATCACCGCAGATGATCCTTCCTGCATTATGCTCACTTGAGTATCGCCGACTGTCGTTACTGCGGCTGCGGACGACGCGGGAGTTGATAGCGCTACGGTTTGACCATTGATCACGGCGGCCACAGTGGCCCCACCAGCAAGAGGACTGATGGTCTGACTTCCGATCACGGCTGCCGAGCCAGCATTCACTGTGTTTATGGTCCCTCCCCCAGCAATCACAAGCCATGATCCTTGCTGAATCATAGTCACCGGACTACCATCGCTTGCAGATACGACGGCTTGTGCAGCTTGGGTTGATGCTGTGGCCGTGAGCATGATGGTTTGACCGTTTACCACCGCGGCCGACGGACTGTCGCTAGATGCCGCACTGACGGTCTGGCCTCCCACTACGGCCACTGAGCTGGCGGCCAAGGTGCTAGTCGTCCCACTTCCAGCAACTACGAGGAATGAGCCCTGCTGGACAATAGTCGACGAGCCTTCGTTAGGCCTAGAGACCACAGCCTGGGCAGCTTGAGTTGGATCACTTGGACCAGAACTTTGCGAGGCAGGGCTCACAGGGCCAGAGCCGGTTGATCCAGAATTCGGAGACCCACTCCCTGACTGGCCTCCGCCTGACGCCTTTGGAAGAGTGGCAGCCGGCAATCCTACAGACGAGCCAGCTAGGAGAGAGGCAATGTTGGCCCCAGCCGCACTTCCCGCGAAGTCAACTGTGGAGCTGGCCTGGCCAATGTTCGTCGTGCTGCCACCGCCACCGGCGAATAAGGAAGCGATATTGCCTCCAGCCGCATTGACTGCGGAATCCAGAGTCGAACTTGCTTGGTCCGCACTCGTGGTGCCACCAACGATATTAGACCGCCCTGATGACACTGGGCTGCTTCCTGCGGGCTGCTGGTTATTACTGGGTGGATTATCGGTCGACGGAGCCGTAGACGCCGGCACTGGAGCACCGGCACCGAGAGCTGATCCGGACTCGGCGGGGTCGCTTGCTGAGGTCGCACTTGGGAGCGCTGTTGACTGTTGTGGCTGCGATGTAAAGGTGTCTAAGTTCTGTGATACTGCAGTAGGTGCAGTGACGGGATCGCTCTGTGTTGACGTCTGCGGCACTGAGGGCGCGGTCTGCGAAGGCGAGGCGGCGGCGACCGTGCTCGCGCCCGGAGCTGTAGTCACGCCCGCGGCGGTCGCAGCTTCCCCCAAGGCCTTTGGCGGGTCGAAGAAGGCGCCTTGGCCTCCAATAGGCAGGCAAGATGCCCATTCTGGCCGAATACTCTGGATTTGCGAAGGAATAGAAACAACAGGCGAATAAAGACCTTCCCAGATAGTACCACATTCAGGAAGATATCTCCCTGCCGCTGAAACCAGAGCGCTGTGGTTGAAGTACGATCCATTCGGAGACATCCATGTCGGATTTATGAAGGCATTGATTAAATCCCCCCAATTAGAGGAGCCCGGGATGTATGTTGCAAAGAAGTTTAAATCAGTGGCGCAGCTCCTCAATGAGAACCACCTGGCAGCTGGTAAGGGTTCGGAGCCAAATCCGCGAAGTTGAACGAGGTCGCGTTTCCAGCCAATGCCTGCACACCAAACCATGGTATCAACTGGCTGCTGACATCGGTGGGTGGCAAGGTGAGTACGTAGTCCGTCATCGGCTCGCCAACATTGCCGCAGTTATCGTATGCCGACAGTATTGAGATTGAGAACGCCACATCCGGACTCGTCACGGTCATGTTTCCCACAATGGCACTCCTGGGTGTGTTGCCGGTAACGGTTCGTCCAGGTGTATTTGCTTGGTCACAGATATTGCCTCCACTTGTTACAACAGGCCAGTAATACAGTTGTAGGACTGCACCGTTCCAAGTACCTGAGATACCAACAATTAGCGACGTCGCAGACAGCAGTAAAGACTCATACGCTTCCGAGACCTACAGGGATAATCTATATTGTTGGCACACAGGTTAGCCCTTGCCAGGTTTGAAGGCTGTGGACAAGGCGGCGACATTGCAAATGTGTCGCAATCAGGCGGTTTAGCATATTGACGCGAGCAAAGCCAATGCGAGGACCTGTATAATGTTGGTTATCACTATCAGCACTGGCCAAACGATACAAAGGTTTGCGGTTTCCCGCATCGTACCAGACTTCTGAACATTGTGCTGCGTTCAAGCTACACGGCGGCGGACTCTCTGGAAACGGTGTGATCGTGCTTGTGGATAGAGTGATTGTCTCGTATCTATGTTCCGTAGTCGTGAGAAAGCCATCAGTGCCCGAGACTCTTGGCCAGCCATCGCAGAGCGTGGTGTAGGGGGTAGCGTTAAAATTGGGGGTAACAGAGACCCAAGCTCTGTCAAACACCTTCGTGTCATAGGAGGCGTAGCCTGGGCTAGCTAGCCACGCAGCACTCGCTGACGCCCATGACGCCCATGTCGTTATGCAGCTTGGAAACGCGTCAACCGTGACTGTCATCTCGATCTCGCTCGTAAGGATCCTGTTGTAGCTTTGTGCGCCCTGGGGACGGAAGTCCAGAGTCGCGAGCGTGGAGCCTGGACTGGCGTAAAAGCTGCCAATTTCGCTCGCGAGTCGCGAGCCAGCAAACATATGAACCGTTGTTAGCGGCTTGACCGAACTCAAAGCCAACACATTTCGCCCTGGCATCACAGAGCGGGAGGCATACGCGCCAATCGTTTCCATCGACGTACTGGTACGTCGAAAATTTCCCGGTGACGGCCATGTCGCAGAGAACGGTGTATGTCAAGCCATTCTCATCCGTCCACTTGGTACGTTCGTGCAATCGCTCGCCAACCCGCCACCAAGGGTAATAGCTTGCTCTCCGGTGAATATTCCTGAGACGTATCCGGGCGTCATCGTGTTCGAGAGGATATCGATCGAGTCTCGCGAGGTACATGCGTACGTGCCGTTTGCCAGAGGGTAGACCTCGAAATAGAAGCAGCGCTCGTCGAGGTCGCACAGAAGCGCGCAAGCTGTGTAGTTGGCATCCGTCATCGTACTGACTTGCAAGATTGTCCCATTCGACGTCATGCCGCAGACCATGTTATAGACAAAGCCCTGTGAATCCATCCATTGTGTACCATTAACACAAGCTGTCGGCAAGCTGGTGCTTATGCCCGTATTGGCAAATTGGGTGATCGCCGTCGAAGCATTTACGTAGCTGATACCGGTGGCCGAGCCATTCAATCCTGCGTCACCACTCGGCAGGAATGCATACGTCGCCGCGACGGCATCGTCCGTCCTGTTTGTGGTTGCGTTCTTGGTGAATGTTGTGGGATTAGTCTGAGCTACTTCATTGACAAGAAGGGTGGCACTGGCGAATGCGGTGGAGTTGTTGGGTACGAATAAGAAGCCTCCTCGCGAAGTAACAGTAGACGTGCTGGACGTCAGAAGCGTTGCATCTAAAGTTGTTGCAGTCGAGTTTGATGACGTTGATGGGGCAGAGTTCTGCGATAGTGATAACGTCGAACTGGCCAGTCAGCCTCTGCCCGCTTGATCTTGTGGTAGAGTTGCGACGTTTGAAGTGCTGATCCCAAGGCCAAGGAGGATGTAGTCTCCAACAGCGGTGGTGGTGCTGGCTGTCGCTAAGGAATTTGCGCTTGCTCCTTGCGCTGTCGATGCGCTTAACAGGCTCGTGCTAGCTGACGACGCCGCACTGCCGGACGATGAAGACGATATAGAGATGACTGAGGAGCTCGCAGAGAGCAGTGACTCCCTTGGGGACGTGTCCGTGATCGCACTGCTTGTGGAGATCTGCGAGTCCGCTGCGAATATGTTCGGAGTCGCACCGCTTGTCAAGCCGAGACCTGAAGTGGTCGTATTCGGGTAAAATGTGAACGTCGAACCACTCGTTGATGTCGTATTCTGCTGTGTTAGCTGCGCCAGCGATTGAGCGCCAAAGAAAAAGAGACAGAGAAGCGCCATCGATACGACAAACGAAGGTGGAAGGTGCAACTAAGGAGATGCGCACTATACACTCGTAGAATCCAGGGGAATCCACAACGTACGGTAGGTCTGCTGTAAGTGTACCCCAGCGCAGGCTGAGTGAGGGTATACCGACGCCGAGCACTGCCGGCTTGGCCTGCACCACGACCTACAAATCTGCCGCAAAGACAGCAGAGAATGTCTGGCGGTGTCCCATCTGTTGCTAAGGGGTTCGGCTGGAGTGAAACCGGTGAACATCGATTGTTCGCAACTTGGCGGGCATGATCAAGTGCGCGATGGCGCACTGAACTGCATGCACCCATGCACAACAATGTGGGTTATTGGTCAACGCGGTGCTGGCACCGATCCTTCGCAAGTCAACCTTCTGCGCGAGTCAAGAAGGTCGCGCTTAGCACGTTGTAGATAGCAGCATGAACGGCTGCACATGCGAGACGGGATGAGACGAGAAACAGGCTGAGGTAGGGGCGGAGGCGCCTAAGACGGTTCCTGATTGGTCGACGCTTTGAGCCTCTAGTTGGGGGCCAAAGTGTGGACAAGCAAACGCCAAGATACTCGCTTACTGTTGCACAGTACGCATCGTCGTCGCCCACATGATATAACTCACTCTCGGCCGTATCCTCTCAAAGCTTCTGCCGTCCGTTGGAGCAAGTCGTTCTTGTCGTCTTGGCGCGCCCGTACCCGTACCCTATCACCGCGTACGGCTCGTCCGATCCCTCGACCTCAGCTGAAAAGACGAAGAATGCATAACTTGTAGGCAGCGTGCACCATTCGATGCTTCTTGATAATGCAAATATTTGCGAGACCTGCTCGGCCAACATCACCTCTTCCTTGTCCCGATATGTAGCTAATCATTTCGTGCTGCCGGATACATTGCTCACTACTGATACAAGGACTACCACAGACGTTGGCGCGTAAATCGATCGAGGCGCACGTTGTTCATGCACCTGTTCTTGTGACGACATGAGACTGTAGGGGGTCACTAGCTGTAAGCCGTGCGTCCGCAGGTCGACGAGGTGCTTGTGGAACTGCATAGAAAGGGACAGCGAGCCTTCATCGCTACAACGCTTCCGTATTTTGTCCTTGCCCATGTTTGAGGGATACTGCTTGGCTCAACGGGCGTAGCGTGAAGCGAACGAGCTCCGAGATGCGCCTCACGACAACACGGCAAACTGCTCCTACTGTGATGCAGACCCGCTATGAATCGTATCTTACCACGAATAGTTTGACGAGTTGCAACACCCGATCACTGCCCATTCCCTTGCCAAACGGTTCACCACAGTGACACACTCATGCCATCTGCTACTCGCTGGAAAACCTGATACTGCCTCCAAGACATCTTTACCAGAAGGCTACAAGTAGGCATAGAAAAGCTACAAGACCGAGCAGTCTCACATGTGTCAATCTGCGACGAGCTGCACAACGCAGAAGCAGATTCAGATATCACCGGACTACAACACTGTGTCTACGTGCTGCAAACGTGGACGACACCGGCGAAGCGTGGACGTGCTACTGGAAGGATGAAGCGCTTCGGCGGGTCGGCTGACACTGAAGTCTGGTCGGCCAAGACGCTGTAGGCTGCTCGGCTGACACGCGGTCACTGACGAAGCTGTGCGAGACCTCCATCCATGCGTTGCTGAGCGAAGGCAAACTATCTACTCCGCAGGCGGCGTGACATTAATCTTAGCCACCGGCGTACTCGGCGTCCTCCGACTCCAGAACCATCCGCCAGCGGCCTGTCCCTCAGCCGTCTTCCTCGCCAGCGGCGTCTCCCACGGCGTAGCCATCTCGCTTGAACCACCTAATGATTTGTTGTCGCTATCGTACGCCGCCGGCGTGGTGGGCACACTGAGCGAGCCTTCCTTCTCCCTCGCCATGAACTCCTCCCGGGCATGCTGAGCCGCCATCTTCGCGACCTCGGCTTCCGCCCTAGCAGCGTCAGCGCTCTTGTTTGCAGCATCAATTTGCGCTTGCAGAGCCTGCAGCATCTGCTCGTGCCGTTTGTTGGATTGTGTGAGCATGCGCTTGGCTTCGTCAACTTCAGCGCGGGCCTGTGCTTCGGATGTCTTAGCGTTCACAAGCTCGAGGAGAAGTGCTTCCTCGGGCACAGCTTCGTGTTCTGGTGTGGCGAAAACTTCACGGGTCGCAAGGGAGGATGAGCGTTGATGCCACATGCCCGGTGCCGGGATGGCGAGTGCCGGTGTGGGAGCACTTACGGACAGCGGTGTCTGTTCGGCCGTTGCGCTGACGGGTTCTAATGGTGACAGGGCAACCTCTACCATAGGCGGCGCAATGGCGGAAGGTGACGTTGCGGCCGTTTGTTGCGTTGGAATGCTAACTTCGAGCGGTAATGAGCGTTGCGACCGAGCCGCTCGCAGACTCGTTAGCGAAGATGTAGAGTCTCTTCGTCCAAGCCTGAGCTCCCTTAAGCCAGGCGCACCCGAAAGGCTACCCGTCCTTGATAGTCCGCTAGTGAGGCCGTCGATCGTGGTGCTGTTTCTGCGGGATGGTACCTCCTGAAGGATCTCCGCTCTTACAAGTCTGTCGCGCTCCCTACGCTCGACAACCCGAGCCTCCTGTTTCAACTCCTGAATCTTCAGCTCAAGCTTCTGCCTGGCCTTGAACTCTTCATTGACTCGCACACGCAACTCCTCAGCTTCTGCGCGTAGATCTTCGGTCTCACTAGTGTAGGCAGCCAGGCTTGTCTCGGCAATCTCGAGCCGCAGTGAGAGATCCCTGGATGAGATCTCTGCTTGAGCAAGTTGCTCGCGAGTCCGCACCAACATAGACCGTAATTGAGCTTTGGTCTCAAAAGAGAGCGACAGGCGTGCGTGGGTGTGCATGCGCTTGTCAACTTCCTCAAGCAGTTGATCCAGGCTGAGTCTCTGTTCGGTTTGCCTTGGCTGTAGGAACACGCTACTTGGTCGTGCTCGGCTGTGAACGTCCTCATCTTGAAGACTTGTGGCCGTTCGTGGAAGTGGCGGTAGCGTTTTTCTTCGCTCCGCTTTAACGTCAGCTTCCGCTCCGTCTCCTTCAATCTCGTCGTTGCGCTGATTGTCGGTATCACCGCTGCGCATACGTCGAATAAGCTGCTTGACCGCTCTGTGATCTTCGCCGCGTTCCTCGCGCTCACGCTGCAACATCGCCGCGAGCTGCGCATGCTCTCTCTGCAGCTCGCTCAACGCTGTTAGAAGGTCTTCAATCTGCCCGTGCATGTCTTTCTCCTCTTTGCTCAGGCCAGGAGTAGCAGGCACGCCATGTCCAGTACTGACACTGACTGTCCTCGTTGACGCAGCTTTCGACTTCATGCTCATCGTCTCAGCTGTGCTGTCACCGGTTGTGTCGGAGGATACCTCCGGCTCGGTCACAGTGGTCGATGCCAAAGACGCCGCGCCGGAGGAGTTGGTGCTCGACCCGTCACTGCCGTTGGCGTCTACGAGTGTGCTAATGCTGTGCTGACTCTTGCTCCGACGCAGAAAGTGGCCTGCGCGTGCCGTGAGCGATGAGCTCGTACTTTCATTCTCCGCAGAAGGAGGAGATAAAGTGCTTGTGCTTTTGCCTGGTGCATGCGCGGGAGCCCATAACCTGCCTAGAAACCTTGCCGCTGCAGCCTGTACGTCTGGTAAGAAACCGGCAGATTGGCCTACGGCCTCTGAGTCTTGCTTCTCAAACTCCCTCTCGAGCTCCGTTAGCCTTCCATGCGTAATTATGTTGCCCAAGCTTGTAAAGTCGTCTACAAGGTCATCTGCATTAATACCATAGCTGTCCCAAATGCCTCTGCCCAGCAGCAGCTGCATGATTTCCTCAAACTCCGTGCTCTCCATCATACGTTGCTCATTGCGCCGCATCAGCGCCAACGCCACTCTCATCACTGTCTCATTTGCACCTTCGGCAAAGATGACATCGTAGATTCGGAAAAGCATCGGCAGCGGACAGTTAACGGCGAAGCAGGACAAGAACCACTGACTCAAGTATGCCGGCTCGATCCCCAAGCTTGCGAAATGCTCCGAGAGTTGCGGATGATGCTGCTGGAGCAGTTTGCTGAATTGATAGATGCGCATATGGAGCCCGCTCAAACTCGGCAAGAACGATGGGCGCATGGCGTAATGGTCCATGAGCCGTACCAGAACGCAAAAGGCCTCTTTCTCGCCCATGTTCATCAACAGCGGACCCACCAAGAAACCCATCCCTTGACAATAACCGATATCCTTGTCGTATAGTGAGTAGCATTTGAGCACTCTCCCGAGCATTCTCTGGCCTTCACCTTCGGCGTCCTGGAACAGTTCGACTCCTGGGAAGCTGCGACCGACATCCTTGTTGATGATGCCTTCGTAAGGGCTCTTTTCATGCTGCAGGCGCTCGAAGGCGTCTTCAAGCAATCTTTCGCGAGCACCAGCCATGGACTGCCAGACCACGCCTCTGAGTGGCGGCGGGATCCCACCACGAATCTTTGTCGCTGTGAGCGTGGGTAGTCGCGAGGCGGTTGATGGGTAGTTCTGAACAAGCGCTGCCCAGAACTCCAGCTCGGTCATCGGTGGTGGCTCAGGCAGCTCTTCCAATATCTGCGTGTTTGGTGATATGGCCAAGCTATAGCGTATCGAGGGCGCATTGCGATCCTGCACAAGCTTCCTAAGATGGCCCATGCTCGGCGGCCTGCTGCCGCTCCGCATACGGTTCGTACGTTGCGCCTCTGCATTACTTACTTGTGTTGCAGCAGATGCAGCACTAATCTTCGCATTCTCTTGCTCAAGCCGGGCAAGTAAGAACGCAGTGCTCTCGTCCTCAACACCCTCGGGCAAGTCTCTATCCTCCTTCTCCTGCCACTCAGACTCGTCTAATGCTTGCCAGTCCACCTCCAGTGGTGCATCGTCAAACGGCACGGTCACAGCAATCGGCGCGTTAAGGCTGCTGCTTCGAGCGTGAAAACGGTGAGGCTTCGGCACTGCCAAGCTACCTTCTTCCATGACCTGCACAGCAGGTTCTTGCAAGCGGTCAAACTGTTCGTCCTGCCAAGGCGACCGCTCCACGGGTGTCAGTGGCTGGTCCTTCATCACGTCGAAAAGTGTGCTCTGCCGTTCCATCTGCGGTCTTTGCAAGCCTTCCGCAGCCCACATGTTCTGCAGGATGTCGAGACTGCTGATCTTGCGGTGGTGTTTGCTCTCACGTACCCTAGGCGTAGCAAGTACGTCCTCTACCTGATTAGGTGAGAGATGGTCGTAGTCTAAACTGGTGTCGGAGAGAGCCACGGAGGCCATAGAGTCGCGGAAGCCGGAGGAGCGATAGCTCGCTTCGTGAGCAGTCAGTGGAGACACTGGCGCAAGTGGCGTGTGAGGCCGTGAATCTGCGTATATCGAGCTTGGCGAGCGAGGCGTCTGCGGTGTCTGCGATCGCTCGGGTTCCGGAGATTCAAGTAAGGGTGAGGCTGTCACAACTGCGCTGTCATAGAGGCTCGGCGCATTGTTGACGGGTAAGTGCAGGTCTGCATCTTGCGAATGCTGGTGTAGTGGTGGTGAGGGTGGCGGCGAATGGGCAAGCTCGACCGCTACACTCTCGACGTAGTCTGCGTTCGACTTCTGTGTTAATAATTCATTACCAGGCTGTCCTGCAGAATCCGTTCCCACCTGCTCTGGCCGCTCAGACTCACGCGCCTGCACTGTCTGGTTTCTTGGCTCGCCAGGCAGCTCCGAGTCTGCCTTGTCGATCGACGGTGCGTGGCGGTAATCCTCCTCCTCCACCGGGTACCCAAGGTCATCAGGAACAGCATGTCCTTCAGGCAGTGCGATGGGATCTTCATGCAGTGAAGCTTCCTCCACCCAAGGTTCCATCCCTTGCATATCTTCTACATACTGTGACTCCCGTCGAGACTCCACCTCATGAAACTCGTCTTCCTCCTCATCTTCGTCGCCACGCACCGCATGGCCATCGACGCTTCCACCACCCTCTTGGCCATCCCCCTCGGACTGATCGTCCAAGCTTCCCTTCCTCTTCTTCTCTAACTCCGCCTTGAGAAATTCCCGCCCGCGCATCCTGTCTGCTTTAGCCGCAAGGCAAGCGAAGCAGATGCACTTGGCTTCTCCGCTGTGCACTGCTTGCATTCATGCGCGTCTCCTCCCACCAAGACCGTCTACACTCGCAGATTCCACTTTTCCAATAGCAACAACGTGCGGCAACACGGCAATACGAATAAGGAAGGTCAAGGCCGCACAGTAAAGACTGACAATTGCTCGGACCAGGAGATGCAACGACAAGACTACGAAGGACAAGCACTTGGAATGAGACGAGGAAGCCGTTCAGACCAGCATGAAGCCCCTGATGATCGCAACTTCTCCTGACACTTGTGCTGCATTTAAGCTGCAGGGGCTGGCCTGCCCGTTCCGTTACACGCTAGTCTATGGTCGCGTTCGCACGTGAGACAGCGGAGGTGGAGAAACCGTTTCGTGCCATCTTTTGGTTGTCGGTACCGAGATTCACCATCCTTCCCTGAGCCATCTGTAGTCCAGTCAAGTCGAGCGCGACGCTTTCGCATATCTCTAAACCAATTCTGCCAACCAACAAACTACACAACTTTTACCGCTTGTCCCGCTTCTCACAGCGCGAATCTTGTGTTACTCTTGAACAAAAGAATCGCATTCTTCCCATCCCTTCAGTGATCAACATTGTAGATCTCACTGGTCAAAAGGCGGAGAGCTCTTGCATTGCTGCAGGGCCCGCATTGTTGTACACACTTTTCTGTCAGTACGATCAGGAGTTCGTTATTGTGCCAGGTGTATGGGCGGGAAAGCGCTAACAATATCGACTGTGACTCGGCAAGCACTGTGTGCGGATGGAGTGCCCCATTGCTTTGCGAGATCTCAACTTCTTGCAAGCGTCATCTGTCATTACAGAAAGACTGAGCCTGATCGCCCCTATGATGCGGTGTTAGGCAACAAGCGAAGACGCTGGCGTTTGTGGTACACTTCCTGCCTGCTATATTCTTCAAAGCATGAGCCAATTGCTTGAGCATACGGTAGGTGTTCACGCATGAGATTCAAAGGACAGTCTCGAGCTTTAGCAACACTCTCGTATCAACATAGTGGAACGAACACCTTTCCTCGTCTACAACGTAGATCTTGCGCATCCATCGAACATGTCGAGCTTAGAGTATTGGCTGTTTGCATGGGCATGAGTTTAGCGACATACTCACCGAGAGCATCGACCATGAGTTGCACTGTCTCCAAGCTAGGAGGGTATTGCTGTAGCATGGCAGATCGTATGGTAGCTTATGGGGAGGCCACTGACACAGGGTTAGCGTATAGCCAGCCGTGGCTCCACAAAACAGCAACTGGGACAGCGTGCTCACGCCGCCGTAATCTCATAGTCACCAGTCCGGCAAACGGCAGCCTAAGAGTTCCAGTGGGAAGGAGATGTCTGCGTTCCACCCAGCAGCCTTAGCGGCATAAGCCAGCTTACTGCGCTCCACAACCCGGAGATGCTGTCATTCTCGTACAGTTTCGTCGCGTCTCAACGACCTGTCGCTCTGTCATATGGTCATATGCCGTATATGAGGTGGAATGCGCGGTGCAGCTGTCAGCGGAAGCCTGCACTGGGTATGAAGACACCATGCATGATACCACGGCAGTCGGAACACCACAAGCTCCTGTAGCGGCCATAGATATCCTAACGCAAGCGTATGAAACGGAAAGTGAGTTGCAGAAGACTTTGGGAAGAGTGAGAAGTCGGACGCACCGCAAGGCTACCGCGAGCCTGATGCCCGGCGAGTTGGCTCACCCCTCCCGCAGCCTCTCGAGTACGCAGTCGCGAACGGCTACGACGGCTCAGAAAACCACACCATCACGTCCGACGTTGAGTTTAACAGCCGTGCATCTGTGAACAAGGCCAACAAGCAGCGGCGACTCGAGGTTCTGGCGGGCGGAGAGATGGCACAGGCTGATGGACCAGCTCCTCCACCTATCAACGCAGGGTCGCGAGTACAGTCCGGAGCACAATCAGTTCATCATCCAGCAGAATGGGCTGTTCGGCGGCGCTGCTCACGGAATACTTCAACATGCAATATCCGGATCAGCTGCAGGCAAAGGGGACAACTGCCAGCGATGTGGGCCATGTCGCCGAGCTCAAGGCTATGTGAAGCTCGTATCTACCCTGAGTGATTACGAGATCTGCTGAGCAAATCAGTTGTAGCACTCGCGAACGGTGGCTTCAGCGAGGCGTAAGCGACTACCACCTCGTCTCCGTGACTCTGGCAGGGCACACCAAGTCATTGCTATAGCGCGTCAAGATGATGTTGTACTATATGTCAGTTACAGTACCTCTTACAAGCCTACATATTTAGTAGTACATATGCCAATTTTACAGTCTCACAATGCGAACCTATAAACCCTGAAATCTGCTAAGTGGAGACAGGTTGGCCCTATTAAAGTTGCGTCTACCGCGCTATACCCTATGAGGGAGTATGCGACGCCATCGTCAACATTCACAGCTCAGCACAAAGCGAACGCACCCTCGTCTTGCTGTATAGCCTAACGAGCGCGGTCACCATGAGGCTTTCTAGTCTGCCCACCGTACTGCTTGTGGCACTGACGCCCATGATCAGCGATGCGGCGCACACGAATAACTGGGCGGTGCTTGTCAGCACCTCTCGCTTCTGGTTCAACTACCGACACATGGCCAACACACTCTCCCTATACCGCACCGTAAAGCGACTAGGCATTCCAGACAGCCAGATTATTCTGATGCTCCCGGATGACATGGCGTGCAACCCACGCAACACCTTCTCCGGCAGCGTCTTTAACGACAAGAGCCGGGAGCTTGACCTGTATGACCAGAAAAAAGATGCAGTCAAAGCAATAGAAGATCAGGGCGAAGATGTTGTGGGTAGCGAAGGTGGCGAGACAACTGGTCAACCCATGCCAGCTGGCATTGAAGTCGACTACCGTGGCAACGAGGTCACTGTCGAGAACTTCATCCGCCTCCTTACCGACCGCTGGCCCTCTTCCCACCCTACGTCTAAGCGGCTTATGACGAATGCGCACTCCAACATCTTGATCTACATGACCGGTCACGGTGGCGACTCATTTCTCAAGTTCCAAGATGCGGAAGAAATCTCCTCCCATGATCTTGCGGACGCCTTTGAGCAGATGTACGAGAAGCGTCGCTATAACGAGCTGATGTTCATGATAGATACTTGCCAAGCTAATACGATGTATACCGAACTCTATAGTCCAGGAATCGTAGCTACTGGAAGCAGTGAAAAGGACCAAAGCAGCTACAGCCATCATGCCGACCAGGATGTGGGTGTGGCGGTGATTGACCGATGGACATACACCAACCTGGAATTTTTGGAAACGAAGCTGAACAGTACCAGTAGCGATGTGCGGTTGGGCGAGCTGTTCGACTACTACACCTTCGACCGTGTGCACAGTGATGCTGGCGTGCGATATGATCTCTTTCCTGGAGGCGAGGAGGCGGTGCGTGAGAAGCGTGTGCTTGACTTCTTCGGAAATGTGCAAGGAGTGGATGTCGAGACTGGCTCTACGTCTGCGAGAGAAAGCCTTGGCAACTGGCGTTCAGACCTCCAAGCGCTGCAACTGCTTACCGAAAGGCAGCTCAGGCACAATGAAAGCGCGAACAGCGCCTCGCTGGTCTCGGAACATGTGATACCGATTCGTCGGGAGACTGCTCCATTGAAAACCGATGTCGGCGACGGGCGAGTGAAGCAGGCATTGGGTGTGGCCGCGTTATTAGCGCTCGCTGGAGCATGGCACTTCATGTCGAAGCTATGAAGATGTAACAAGCTCCCAAGGTTCTCCCTTACGCTGCGGGTACAGCATGGCCCGGGTCGCTGAAGAGCTGCAAAGAGGTTGTGAACCATGAACGCAGGCCGTTGCTATGTTCTTCGTTTGGGCCGAGGTGCTGTCCAAAGTGGCCTTGCGTATCGCCCACCATGATCCTGGCGACGTTGCTAATCTGGCTAAGATGTCTTATTAGTCTGCAACTCCGCCCGAATTAGCAGATTGCGGAATGGTGGGCGAGCTGGAACACGTCACGCCCATGCTCCTGACGTTCTGTCGCTGGGTTGCCGTGGCATATGGTTGACTTCCCATGCATCCTGGTAGCCTGGCAAGGCATCATCGAGTATATCTGATGGCTGGCCCACTCCTTTTCCCGCGGTAAATGTATAAGACCTGGATATCCTGGGACACCAAAGCCACAAGGGCATGCCAGACCGCGAACCTTCAGCTCGCGCAAATCGTGCGTGCGACTCCATTCGCCCTCGTTCCTGTGACGTACATGTGACGGCCCACTACGACATACAGCTGGCGCGCCACGTTACAGGCGTACCTTCAATGCTCTACTGTCAAGTACGCGAGTGTGGGATGGCCGCTCGAGCCCTACTTTCGCCTCCTCGCCCGGCAGGAGGTAGTTGGTGGCCACATATCTCCTCGTCCGAAGAAGCTCGGCGACAAAATCTGTACGGCAGTGCTAGTCGCAATTGCGCCGCTGGGCAGTTGTCGATGGTTCAGGAGCATTCATGTCCGATATTGTACTGATGCCGTAGAAGGCATGGCGTGGATGGGCTTGCTGCAGGGTTTGAGCTATAGAAGTAGTTCCCGACTGAAGACATCCTCAACTGAGACTTCGGCAACGTATAAGCCCACTGTTGAAAATTACGATGCGGTCGTGTTGTGTTTCAGTCCAGGTGGGTCAGTGAGCTTAATCACATTGCATAAGGCGGTCGCTCAGCCGGCTAGGGACTGTAAGCGGGTTTTATGATACAGTTGCACACGACGATCTGAGCCGATCTGGCTGTCCGAGCAACAGGCCCCATCTAAACCTAGCTCATGCACTCGCATGCTAAACCTACGATGCTTATGCTACCCCTCAAACTGCCGTGTCAAGGCGTCCTAGCCGGCACGGTCAGCAACAAACGCGCCAATTCCATCACTCTAACCGCGGCACCTGAGCCGCCAGCTTTGCGTCCCTATGGTGTAAATTGAGCAGTTGTACAGCCGCCCGCGCTTCGACCGACGTCCACTTGACACTCTTGACTGGCTTTGGCTGATCTGGCATAGACTGGCTTAGAGCGATCGCAGTCATGCTGTTGCTACGCAAGCGTTTGCGAGTTCCAGACACGAATTCCGGGCTTACACCGTCGAGATGCTGCGTACTTCTTACGTGTGGCATGGATGAGTCAATGTTACCATATTCGCGGCGAGACTGGCGGCGCTTGTGTGTACGATGCTTGTCATGAGCACTCGTGGGCATCTTGATGGTTAGCGTCTTAGGCTTGCATGTGGGAGAGTCGTCGGCATCCAATGCGCGCCAGGACGTCGTCGGCAGGTTGCGGGGCTCGTTGAGGAGTGATCTCGAAAGTGAGCTCATTGGCATGTTTGCTGGCACTGGTGGAGTGTTGCTTCCGCGGCTCTTGTTGATGCTCGTCCATCCAGAGGTTGAAACGTAGTGAGTGCTCTTGGGTGATAGCGTGGGCGACTCGACCATCGATGCTGCTGTGATATTATCGTACTTCGAGCCATCAGAGTCCGAGGCGAATGGTGAGCCAAGCTTGAATTTGGGGCGCGGACGAAGCTCCCTTCCACTTCCCAAAGTAGCAGGAGTTAGTGCTGTTGAGGGAACGCTACGAGGGACCTCGTTAGGACCTCCTGCAGAGCTTAGCGGACTGGCAGGACTGTCGCACCGACTACCGTCACCAGCCATCCGCAGGTTCTCCGCCTCCAGTCGAGCACAGCTGATGACCTCCGAGCTAATCTTGAACTTGCCATAACCGGGCTGATCTGGCCGCAAGCAGTCCTTGAGGAAGCTGTGACCGAAGATGGGTGTTAGCGCCCACCGAATGGGGTAGCAGAAGCTGAGGCAAATGGCTCTGGCGCATGAGTACGGCATCCAGTACCCCTGAGCGGCGAGTGCACCGCCAGTGATAGAATGAGATAGTTCTTTGAGACCGTCATTGGTGCTGAGTGCTTTAGCCGGGGTAGTCTGTGAGGTAATCCAACCGTCAGCCGCCTCATCACGAAATTGCAGGGTGGGTAAAAACCATACCTTCGAGTACTTGAGTGCTTTGAAGAATGGTGTGATCCTGACGAGCCCAATCTGATAATCCCACATGACGGTATATGCCTTGCCCGCACCGTCGTCCGGCATCTTGAAGGTGTATTGGAATACTGCGCAAGCACGTCAGTAATTTCCTTACAATGCAGCTGACGAAGATACCAACCTTCGAAACCTTCCCGGCTGGTCTTCCCGAAGAATGTCTTCTTGTCACTTGCGTAAGGTATGTGACGCTGATAGTCTCTGATCAAGCCATCACCGCTACGACCCGAAGGGTAGACTGCGAAGCGCTCGTGCTGCTTGTCCATCTCCTTCCATTGTTGATCGGTAAGACACAATGGCGTATCAGTGCATTCGAACGGTCGATAGTTGACGGGGTCTTTCGGCGTCCCTAGCAGAAAGACTGCATTGTCCTTGACTAGCTTTTGGCGGCCAGTCGGAGACTGGGCTGCTGACGATGGTGTTTGCAGGCGCGGCGTGGAAGGACCAGACTGCAACTCAGTCTGGTTTGGAGTGGCCGGCGAGCTGGCCGAGCTGTCGTCTTGACGCCGGCCGTTATCGAATGGATTGAGAAGGGAGTTGATCTTGAGCTCCTTGATTCCAGTCATACCTGCTGAGAATGTGTGCTGCACCGATGATGCTGCCTCAGTGTTCCTTCCGAAGTCGGAAGAGCACGGCGACGGCAGTTGCGTTGAGACGAGAGAAGGGCTAAGAGGCATCGCAGGAGCTGATATGTCCATGTCTAGACTTAGACACTGACTGTCAAAGAGTTGGTTAACTAGCGCCTACTGGCGGTCAATGCATGCATCCAAGCGCGAGGAGACCATCATTTGTCTTATACTGCATGTACAGGGTCTCTTTGTCCAGTCATTCATTCGATCGTGACATGATGCGGACAATTGTCGGCAAGGATATCCAGTGACCACACAGTGGGCAGAGCTCGGCATGTTCAGCCTTTTTCCGTGTGCTTGTATGGCGTGCAGGCATCAGAGCCGCTCACGATCCCGTAAAAGGCCAGACAATGATTCGCCGGGACACGTCGTTTGTGCGGCATTGCGGTATGCGTGCTGCGGCCGAACCGGTTCGGCGTGACAAGCAATGGCTGTGATTGTGCCGCTAAAGCAGGTTCCGTTCCACAGATCTGGAAAAGGTGCGTGCGGTACGCTCAGGACATCGTGTTTCAAATCGATGTTATCTGGACCTGGTTCGGCTCAGTGCAAGTGATTCAGAAACACCACCAGTGTAGGCACGAACTTGACTGCCTCTTCCCGTAGCAGTAGACAGCACACTACGAAGAGCTCTCGGACGCACAGGGGCATAGAGGGCGACACCTAGGCCTCAAGCGTCGTGATGGGGATATGTAATGCCGTACACTTCAACATAGTGAATTACACAAGCAACACAACAACAGCAAAGCTTGCGGTGTAAAGCCGAGTACCCAATGACCGTTCCGCATGTGGATCGACGCAGTCATGTACACGGAGACGGAGAAGTCGAACGGTGCTAAAGAAGTGCAGATCTTCAACTGCGAAGGAGTGATGCCTTGGGGAATGCGACAGGTGGCGGGATGTTTGGTGGCGCAACCACCACCCGAAGAAGCGGAAACATGGGCATGCTGTCCCACCAAACCTTGGGGTTTAGCGGCAGGTGTCAGGATTATGTTCTGTCTGAAACTTTGCGGTCTTCCGAAGGGCTCGACGACTTCGGCCGCCAAACTCAGAACGCTCCAGAAGTTTGGCTAGAGGAGCATGTATTATTCGTGCCGCAAGCGATGCGTTGTTATCACTCGTATTCTGATAGCAATCGAGCACGGTGGTACGAAACCGCGGCCCCTGCCTCGGCAGATGCCACGCGGCTGTCAAGCGGCTGTTCGCGGGTTTTATGCAGCCATCCAGACGCCGAGCCACATACTGTCGGCCCAATGCTAGGAACAGGCGCGTGTACCCTGTGGAGGGTCTCCGAAGGTTGCATACCGGGGTCCACATTAATCTGCTATACCAACCGAGACAGTCGTCCAACCGGCTTAAGTTGGGCTCGAGTCCTGCGCGGGGCGTCATCTGTCGGTTGTATAACGACGGATCATAGCGCCTCCCGCCGTGACCACTCTGTCTCAAGCCAGAAGAGAGTGTTATAGAGCGCGCACGCAATGCTCGATGGTTTCCATGGCTGTAAGTTGGTTGGCAGCGGTTAGGTGTCACCGCTATTCAGCCACTGCAATGTTGCCGTCAGCGAACAAAGAGCAAGGCGTGGGGACGGCAAACGTGCGGAGTCTGCGTGTTGCATATCGCGTCCACTGATTTTAGCTAGACCATCCAGCATGGGACAAGATTGAACTCCCTGACCGCTACGGTGTCTTGCAGCCTCGGTTGAGGCGTAAGTCATAGCTGCATACACGCACTTTTAGATCATGGCCGTATTCAATAGACTTACAGCGTTATAAGGCAGAAAGGTCAGTACGAAGTAATCACGTATGACCAGACTATCAAGTGTGTTGTCCGCCCGCTATGTGTGTGGTTGGCCTGACGTTCCATTAAACTGCGTCTGGACGCTCGAGCGGACTACCACGGTTCTCCCGTTAATATGTCGTACGACCTGCTGATGGTCATCGTATGACTTCTTATCAACGCTTTACACATGATTATTCCCAAAGTTAGTGGATGGATGTATGTCGCATCGCCGTTCACGCCGCTGCTCCTACCTCCCAATAGCAAGAGGTTGGATGAGCGAATGACATGCATGACGCTAAGCTCAATCGCGAGCGTCGGGACAGCGGGATGGCGTTAAAACCGCGATCGCGCTTACCTTTCGAGTGAACCTCGAAGCTCCCCTCGCTCTTGCACATTAACGGACACGACAAGCTCGGGCGTAAACAAATAAGGCGCGCTCGTCAACAAATCTCGTCCATCGAGGCTCTTCAACTTTCAGTGAAAGCGCAACTTACACACTGCACTTGCAAGCACTCCAACTTCAAGCGAAGCCAAGCAATTACCACACGATCAAGACTTCCAAGTCGGCAAGAACATCAAGATCTTCAAGACACACGACAGGCGCCATGTCTGGCGTCCGCCGCTCTCGCCGTCTGGCTAGCCAAGAGCCTGAGATTAAGAACACCACTGGTTTGTACCCTTATGCTCCCCTCTCCCGCCTTGCCCCTTCCCCCCTAGCATGTATTAGCGGTTACTCACCCTGCTGCTTCTGCAGAAATTCACAAGCCAGCGCGCAAGAGGCCAGCCAAGCGGCCGACCTGCGCGTTTGACGTTGAAGCTGCAATTGCGCGTGTTCTCCGCGACGACTTCATGTACTACCACAGTCTGACCCAAGTGCAACGTGCAGAGGTGGTGCAAGGCATCACCGCACGGAATCGTAGACTCGAAACGACCCTCGCAGAAACTCAGAACACGGTCGAGAAGTACGAAAGCAAGTTCGAGCAGCTTACGAACGAACTCGAAGACCTGCGGGCCCGCCTTGAGCAATCCGAGAGGGCAAGCGGCAAAGCCCAAACCGGAAAGCAGACCCTTCAGCGCGCTATCTTCCTTCAAAAACTCCAACAAGCAGAACCGCGTCACGAGCAGCCGCAGCCTGCCGATGAGTCGCAGCCTGCCGATGAGTCGCAGCCTGCCGATGAGTCGCAGCCTGCCAATGAGCCGCAGCCTGCCAATGACACGGAGTCGCAGCCTACCGACGAACCACAAGCGCTCGCGACAATCGAGGAAGTCGCCACACCTTCTACCAACATGAAGTCCTCCCCAGCACCACCACCCAGCAGCCCCAAGATGCTAACGACCACCAATACCTTAGGCCTTACTGGCATCTTGACTGGCACTTTCCACCGCGTCGTGAACGTGTTTAGCCCTTTCCACCGCCGCACTCCTGGTCCATCATCTCTTGGCGAGCTTACTCCGGACGCTCGCAAGCGTTCCGTAAACGAAACCGAAGAGACGCCGCGCCCTGCCAAAGCTCAACGCACCGACGTGCGCACCGCTGCTACTGACAGCGATTTCAACACCGAGAGCCGCCATCCGGGCCGCCACCGCCCTGCGGAGCGACATGGCAGAACAATAACAGTAAACCGAACGCCACGTACTAATGCCCGCACCCCCGCGCCTGACAGCGATTTCAGCAGTGAGAGCCGCTATTCAGATCGCAATGGCACTGCAGAGCAGCATGACCGAGCTACCACATCGACAGGAGCGCCACACATCTTGCCGTCGCCACTTGCACACTCTGACAGCGATCTCAACATTGAGAGCCGCTATTCAGATCGTCGTGGTATGACAAAGCAGCGTGATGCACCAACATCAGCACAGGAAATGCCACTTACCTCGCCATCCCCAATGGCACGACCTGACAGCGATCTCAACACCGAGAGCCGCTATTCAGATCGCCATGGCGTTCCAGGCCAGCACGATGTGCCCGTTACTGCACAGGGATCGCCAAGCACCTCGCCGTCGCCACCGGCACCATCCGGCAGCGATCTCATCACTGAGACCCGCTATTCGAATGGTCGTGGCAGTACAAAGGAGCCTGAGACGTCCACCACACCATTGGGACCTCGTGCACAGCATGGGACTCCGCGCTGGCACACTAAGACGCCGCGCACATCCATCATGCCTTCGGCGAAGAACAACCGTGTTCCGACGGGTCTCTCTACCGTCACTGAATACACGGAGCTCACCACGAGGGCTGATGAAACCTCCTTCCTCAACGACACAAGCTTCCTGGCATCCACCACGCCGAGCAAGACTCCAACTCGTCCACGTCGTACAGCTGCTGGCGCCCGTGCCGCTCGTTTAGCGCCAGCCAGCAGCCGCAAGACGCAACTACTTAGTTGGGAGCGCCAGATGGCGGCTGCCCACCATCCCGCCGACATTGCCGTCGATGAAGAGTATCAGAAAATGGAGAAGAAGCGCAAGGCGGACGATGGGGATGGGAATGCGCGCAAGAAGGTCAAGGTCGACAACCTGCGGGTGATCCCACACAACCGGCCGGGAGACTCGGAGGGCACATTCCGCGTACCCGACATCGATAGCGATGATGAGATGGAGGTGGACGCGTCAGTAGCTGAAAGCGAGAATGTTTTTGGGATGGTGCAGGAGGTGGAGGAGAAGGAGGCGGAGATGGTCTTCATCTTCCCAAGCGTCGGTAAGCGGACAGAACCACCACTGCCGCCTATGATGGCGGCAGCTTGTGGCGAGATCTTTGGGAAGGGTTTCACTACCTGGAAGGCGGCCAAGGGCTTGTAGATTCGTACATCTTGTATTCTATCCAAAAACTAGCGCTCGCACCTCAATGCTCTCCCTGCCCGGCCACTCCGGCTTCGTCCTAGGATCTACGAACGCCGAATGCGGTGTCCTGGCTCCATCCTTACTGTCGTAGCATTGCAACAAGATCCGCTCATCGTTCGTCATGCCACTCCAGTAGTACCACTTGCCCTTCTCCGTGTATTTGACACCAGCAGTCTCGCCCGTGCGATGCGGATACCGGTGCTCAACGCCTACAATGTCATCGTCTGGAACTGTGCGGCTGTCGGCATATGCTAGTGGAGACGCAACGACAGGGCCATTAAGCGGTCGCCACACGTTGATCAGCCGTACACGATTCTTCAGCAGCGCTTCCGCTTCGTCACCCATGTGGTAATGCACACGCGCCTCCGCGGATTTGGTAGTCTGATCGATGTGTGCACGGTTCACGGGCGCACGTTTGGCATTGGGGCCACTTCGACGGATGGTGTGATCGAAGATAAAAATGCGATTCGCTCCGGGCACATTGTCTAGGAGTACCTTCTCTACCTCGGGGTAATAGACGGACTTGATGTGCTCATCGTCAATAAAATCTTTCTCCTCGCTATTGACTCCCTGCACGATGCCGAAGCCGTTGACGTTCATATCGAAGTCTTTCTCGCGACCACGGATGTCATTGATGGTCACGTCGTGCGGAAACTCGCCATAGTTGCGTTGAGGAGAACCCTCTGGCGGCTCCTCGACGTAGTTGAAGGGCGCCGAGCCATCAGTGGGGGGCGCATAAAAGGTCAAGCTCGAGTGGGCTGGGCCACGAGGAACTGGGATGTCCGCTGTGGTGCCGAACTTGGTTGCGGTCTGTGTCTGTGTTGTGGTAGACATGGCTGTATGTTGCGGGCTTCTTACGGAGATAGGAATGGTAGGTGGGACTGTTAGGAATGGAAAGATGAGAGAGGAAATGGAACGCGAAGAGCCACTATATAATACTCACTCTACGTTGTACGCCTATGTGAGGTCGAGAGGTATCTTTGGATTTGTAAACGAACTGTATCTCGCCATCGGACGCATCGAAAACGTCATTGCCGTACTACCGAAAGTAGGGGACACTTTCCGCGGGGGGACCATGTAATAGAGTGTGATTTATATCCGGCGCTCCGATGACGATGCGGCAGGCTTGGAGGGTACTTTATTCACCGAGAGCTCAAGTGGTGTTGTGCAATTGCGTGCTTTCGAGTGCTGGTGTAAGCGTGCTTTGCCAGCTCAGACCTGTTAGCACGCAGCCTCGGACCGCGATGTTGCCTCGCTTGAACCGCAGGACCCCGGCTAGGGACAGACAACGAAGATTGTTCTGCGACGGGGAAGCTTACGGTGCTATGTGCGATTACAATCAGTATCTTCATGAGTCTTAACTGGCTCCACGCTGAACGCTTGACCGACGCACGACATGCGGCTTCGTGGCATGCTCTTTGCCCACGCAAACCCATCGCCGCCATAGGCTGTTCATGCCTTTATCATTATGGCGTGCCCTCATTGCTCGTTGCTACTCGCTCCCGCTCTGCTTGCTGTTGAACGTCTCGCCTTGCTACCTTCCATTACTCAGAACGCTTGATGACGAGAATGCTGACTTCGATGCCCTTCGTAGGCGTCTGGCCCGGCTTGTACGGGTTCTTGGTGACTCCATCTAGCAAGCGCTGAATGAGCTCGGTCGGGGTTGCAGGGCGTTCGACATGCTCATTGCTACTGCGCGTTTGTGCCTGCTGGGCATATTGCGTCACCACCTCACGGACTCTTGACTTCTCCTGCTTTGTCCACCAATCTCGAGCCCAGGTTTCTCTGCTCACTGGAACCTCTTTCTTGGCGGAATACTGGAGCTCGAATTTGGCACGACGGCCATGGAAGCGCTGCATGCTGGTACTGCGTTGCGTGAGCGTGTCGCAGAGTCTTCGAACTTGCCGCTCGACGTCGGTGTGTTCGAGTAGACGGTCAACAGCCGGCATGCTGCCCAGTTGTCTGCTAAGGTCAGAAGATAGGCCATGAAGCACACATATTGAGCGAAGCAGCGGATCAATGATAGGCGATAGGTACTGATCCAGAAACGTCCGTGCTCCTGTTCGTGTCGGATACACGAAGAGGAGACTACCGCTATGCGGCGAGAGCTCGACGAGTCTGTCTACTAGTATTGATGGTCCTTGAGTGTTGAACATATCCGTAAACTCGAACAGGGTTGATGGCGGAATGTAGCGCTCGACAACGGACACGTCAATGGACGAGGGTGGAACGACTGGTCGTGGTGAGCGTGGCAGAGATGAGAGGTCTTGCTGGTAGTCGGAAATCGGTACGGCGCTGTCGAATACTTTCTGTGTAAAGTAGTCGTCACCCCCAATTGGAGGGCCAGGTGTGCTCGGCGGAGAAGTTGGTAGGTCTGCTAAATTGAACCGGCCTGGTATCGCGTGGAAGACATTAACCCACACTGTTGGCGAGGATGGCGTGGAGTTGTGGATGGCACTAATGACCTCTGGAAATATATGGCCAGTGGCGGACGGACTGGGGAGGGCATGCGAAAGGACTCGAAGCGGATTGCTGGACAACGACGCGTGTCGGAGGTTCTGGACTTTGGAAGTCAGCTCGTTGTCCACGAAAGTATAAAGGGAGTATACCTAGAACTTGCACAGCGTCTACGACCCAAGGAGCAGTATCAGAGACGTCCGGTGGCTGTAGCGCGATGCCAGGTGCCGCGCTGCCCTCGAGAGCTGGGCCTGCAGTCGGCGCGTCTCCAGGTGTTCCAGCAAGATTGCCGGGATCGGTGGATGGCGACTCCATTGGGATGCTTGTCATTGCCGGCATGTTAGACCATGTCAACTCGCCTGTCTCTGCTGGCGGGGTTAGGGTGGAGATGAATTGGTGGACCGGACTCTGCACAGCTCGTCCACCCAACTTTGGCGGCTCGAGGATCCCAATATCGTGCACTAGGCTGAGTTGAAGATCACGACACGCGTCAAGAAGCTCACTGTCAGCGTGCGACATGCTCTCCACCATCCCAACCATGTCCACCCCTGGATGCGTCGCGTCCAGGGCACTGTCCAGTAACTGATGGCCATACCGATCTGGATGCGGTGCCGCGATTCCGAGGGCCTCGAAGGACGGAAGTCGAAGACCGGGTCCGGCTTTCTGCTGTGGTCGTGGTGGCGGGATCGTGTGCACTGGCGCAAGGGCGCCGCCCACGAGCAAGTTCATATCGCAGACTGGTGGTTCATCTGAGAGCGGGGTCGTTGCAGGTTGACTGGCAATGGCCGGGGCGGGATCCGTGGGGAGGATATAAGCAGCATCAGGCAGCAAACTTCGAGGCGTCCATTGCGTTTGCCCTCGAGCACGCGCCAGCGTCCGGCTGAGGGTCGGAGACTCGAGAGAAGAAGGCTCGATGCTAGCCGGTGAAGGCGCAGCTTGCAGTGCAGCGGGCAGCAGTTCACTCACGTAGTGCCCATCAGGCAGGTTCGCTGCCGGAACGGCAGGACCCATCTAAGGGTGCGGATAGCTGCAATAGGCCACGCTATGGGAATATGTCAGCTCCAGGTGGTCGTTATGCGTGACGACGTAGCAACTGCCACCGATAGCGCTGTGAGCAAAAATGCCTATGAGGATTACGAATTAGCAGTGTTCCCTCGAGTCACGAGAAACGCGGCTGGCAGCAGGTGGCCGGCAGCAGAGTCGTGCGGGTCCGGCGGATGTTTCATGCAATTATGGCACCTCGTCAAACTATGCTAGGATGGACACGGTCTAGAACGCTCTCATTCAAGCGGGACGGCGGGCGCTATCCGCTCAATGGAGTGCAATTGGCCAGCAAGCGACATGATTCGTGGGCAACAGGGCTGTCAAAAGCCGGCCTCCCGCTCGTGCAAACTCTCCAGAGACTGCATCTCAAGATCATTGACGAAAGTTTGTGCCACTCACTCCTCCATGCCTTCCGCAACATCTCCATCCTCTTGTTACTCGTAGGCGGTGAGGTCGGTGTCCAAGCCGGCTTTGACATTGACGGACTGACAGATGCACAGCCACTCTCAGAGGCCGGCAAGGGTAATTAGGCCGCTCCCGCCTTGTCGCATTGTGGTGCGAATGCGGGTGAGAACTGATGACCAAGCGAGCTCGTTAGCTTACTGGAAGGTTGTAGCCTGAAGCCGTTGACCGTTCGAGTATAGCTCAGTACCACCCGTGCACAATCTCGCAGGGACTGTTCAAGGCCGGGACATGTGCACAGATTGTAACCGGAGTGAGTGCGTATTGCTTCGTTCCCAACACGCCAAGCACGACCGGAGCCGCCTCCGCGCTTTCGGACGCTTGCCCGAACTCCTCGCTCCAGAGTCGAAGTATGGCGAGAACCAAGGAAAGTAGCTCGCCTTCTGAGTTCTTGCCTGGGGTCAAAGGTCAGACGGCATCCGTTGAGCAGCACACAGCATTGTTGGTGCAGATGCCTACTGACCTTCTCACCTCACTAGTCTACAACCATCACGCTGATGTCTCATTGCCATGGCAGTTCCGGTACTAAATCCTGCGGGGGAGTAGCTGAGCACGCAAACCCGCTGACTGATTCTCCGTTTCATCGTGCCCCTTCAATGTCCAACGCGGTACAAAATGACAAAGAAGTAGTGAGCATCAACACCTGCTGAAGCACTAAGACATAGACGAAGCGAGCGCAAGCTTGGCAATATACGCATGCATGCCTAGCACGGAGTTGCAGCCGGCCCAGGAAAGGAGCTGCTGTCCGCTCTAGAACTCAGAGCATGGAACTACAGACAGCCAGACGAGCATCGAAGATGCGCTCCATGGGCTTAGATCCGTCCTCTTGGCCTGTACTAGGACCAGGTTTGTAGCCCAGCGGGTGCAGAGCAAGTAGACAGTAGAAAGACACAAGCACGCAAACAGTTGCGGGTAGACTAGTCTGATGGCTTGCAGGCCCGCGCATGTGGCTTGATTGGCTTGCATAGAGACTGCCCAACACGGAACATCCCATTTCCTTCACTCTCCTCGTAAGACCCATCACCTCCTCCGCCTCCACCATTATAGGTAAGTAGGTCGCGTACCGTTTCATACACGTGAACGGGTATCAGTCAAACGGACAAGCAACTGGAATCCCACAACTTGTTATGCTCACGCAAACGTGATTCCTCGAAGGTACGACGCGTTATACGTCATCTCAGGCAAGCATTCACCACATCTCTCCACATCCTGTGGCCTTCCGTGTCTCTCATGTTTTGCATTACCTGTACATTATACATCTCGTCCTGTTACCCTTGCAGTTCGTCGTCTCCGGCAAGGATTTGATATACAAGTGACAATGAAGAAGTTCTTCAACAAGGCCAAAGAAGCGTTAGACAGCCACGGCTCCCATGGCACAACCTTCCCGGGTCAACAGCAGCAGCAACCTCAGAACCAGCAACCCATCCAGAGCGATCGACCGTCTAGCATACAAGCTCCGGCGCAAGCAGATGTGACACGATACCGATACCACCATGGTGCTAATCTAGGCTCCGTGTTCATCCTCGAACGCTGGCTTTGCGGGTCTATGTTCCCCGAGCACGCCCAAGGTTCCAGTGAATTAGCCGCCGTCACCGCCTGGATCCATCAAGAAGGTCCTGACAAGGCTCGGGAACGCTTCGAGCGTCACTGGCATGAGTACGTGAGCGATGCGGATCTGGACTGGCTTCGAGACGCCGGTCATTGCACAACTGTCCGCTTACCGATCGGTTACTTCTCGCTTGGTCCGCCGTACTGCGAAGGCACGCCTTTTCAGCCTGTGGCGGCAGTCTACCAGAATGCCTGGGCCGCCGTAAAGCAGCTCGTGCAGAGGTGTCATCAGCGTGGCGTCGGTGTGTTGATCGATCTGCATGGCTTGCCAGGCGGTGCAAATGCACAAGATCACTCCGGCACGAATTTTGGTAAGGCGGAATTATGGGGCTCACGCCGGCACCAAGATCTTGCGACCCGCTGCTTATGCTTCATCGCTCAGGAAGCGCGGGGGATGGACGGGGTGGCAGGAGTGCAGATCATCAACGAAGCAGAGGGGAATGCTAGAGGCATGTATGAATGGTACGATCATGCGCTGAAGGAGCTCTCATCAATCGATCCTACAATGCCCGTCTACATCTCGGACGCGTGGGATCTCAATAGAGCTGCCAGCTGGACTCAAGCCCGCAACAGCCTGGCTGCTGGTAACGTAAGTCCGGTCGTGGTGGACACTCATCTCTACTGGTGTTTCTCCGACGCAGACAAGGCCAAGTCTCCGCAGCAGATAACACAAGAAGTCGGTGGCAAGCTCTCCGAACTCGACGGCAAAGACGGTAGCGTCGTCGACCATGGCGCCGCTCAGACTATCATCGGCGAGTACAGCTGCGTGCTTGACGGCTCAACCTGGGACAAATCGCGAGGCGCACCCAAAGAGCAACTCGTACGCGGCTTCGGCAACGCAGAGTCCGCACGCTTTCAGCAGCGAGCTGGCGGCTCGTTCTTTTGGACGTACCGCATGGACTGGATGCCGGGCGGTGAATGGGGCTTTCGGCAGATGACGGAGCAGCATGCCATCGTACCTCCCAGCTCTCTGACACTACCGGCGAATGATGTCCAGGGTCGTATCCAGGCCGCACAACAGCAGCTCGCACAGCGAAAGCAGGACAATGTAGGCGCACATTGTCATTACTGGGACAGCAATCACCCGGGTCAATACGAGCACTGGCGATACGAGCAAGGCTGGGACGTTGGGTACAATGATGCCATGGCGTTCTTCGGCATGCGGAATCAGAGTGGACTGCAAGGTGGCGACAAGATCGGCATGCTGGATCTATGGTGTCTGAAGCGGCTACGTGAGAGCGGTCAAGGTGGCAAGTTCGTTTGGGAGTTCGAGCAAGGCTTGCGACAGGGCGTTCGGAGCTTGTATGAGGCTGTCGGCGTCTAAGCCAATGACTCGCGAGGATGCCTTGTGGGCGACCATCAATGCATTTACGCCCCAAGCTTACAACATTGCCGCTCAAGCACTTCGTTATCACAATCCGTATGGACTCTAACATTACCCGGGGCGATAACGCCATGCGCCGTCGCTGAACATTGTTGCAATTGACAACAATCGTCACGGGTCATCATTCGTCGACGTCCATCTCCTCCACGCCACCATCTCTGGTAAGCCTTTGCTTTCGCTTGGTCTTGATCCTCTGCTTCTCCTGCTTCTGCACCTCCTCCAACTCTGCTTCGTCCCTCTCCTCCAATTCCATCTCCTCTTTCTCCGCCAACTTGCTCTCCTCCAGCACCTCCTCCACCCGATCCCGATACTGCGGCGGCAACAAATGCTGGTTTTCGGCCACCAGCTTCCGGTCAGCCTCGAGCTGCTTCGCCTTATTGCCACGCATGCGGTTCTTGTAGAATTGTCGCTCCCGCCTCGCCCGAATCTCAGAGACTCGTTGCATCGCTTGGAGCGTGGTGGCGACGAGCTCACGGTTGTAGCGGATGGGGATGTTGCGACGTTGAGCGAACTGCAGGGTGGTGTCGACGGTCATTTCCTTGCCGTGGGCGCGCCGGAAGGCTTTGGTCCAGGCGAGTTTGCGCGGGTTGCGCTTCATTTTGAACTGGACGTATGCAATTAGTCAATGTCGGCGGTATACAGAGAGGGATGGTTATATCGCCTCGTACGTTCTTATGGCATTTTGAGCGGCAGAAGCGAAACATCTTGGCGTCGTTCCGGACGAAGGTGATGCCCTTGGAAGGATAGCATGGCTGGGAGCAGAAGTAGCACGTCTCGATCCTGGTGAAGTCAGCGTTGTACACTAGGACCTGCTCTCTGTAGCACACCTCATCTTGACCGCTGTAATATATGGCCTCCCCGTCTATGGCTACCGATGGATGTTGGTTAAGCGTCGCATGTGAAATCTCTCGCTCGCGTGCCAGGCTAAATTCGAATCCATGCTGTGTGGTCCAAGCGTCATCGGCAGTGTAAGCCGAGGCCCAGCAAAAGTTTCGCGAAGAGTGACAAGGCGCAATTCAACGTTCCGCCCGCTTATTATCGTCACGCCCTTGACATGCATATCACATTACCAGCATCCATTGATTATCCATCAGCGTATGACTCGCGGAAGCCTCCACCGCCATTGCTCGGTAATAGAGCTTCGTATCAGGTAGGGGTTGTAGCTCTTATATCTTTCCCCCTTTCCCTGCTGCCATTCTATCTCCTTCCAGCCCATCCTCAGCATCCACCTCGATTTGACGTCTAACATGGACGAAACGCAACCTCTCCTAGCAGATGCAAGAAAGCCCGCGGACAAGTCGAAACAAAGCGGCAGCCCCGGCACTTCCATCTTCGCCTTTCTGAACGACCATGATCCGAACCCACAGGATTGGTGCACGTCGTACAAATGGTTCATCGTGGGCTTGTTAGCCTTCATGGCCTTCACGACCACCTTCACCTGCATCTCCGTTGTTCCATTCGCAAGTGACATCGTCGCGGACTTGGACGGTCGGACCGGAGGCCACAGTACTTCAACAGCAAGCGTACTACTCGTCACAATCTGGGAACTGGGAGAGGCGGCCGGACCACTTGTGATCGCGCCGCTCAGTGAGACCTATGGACGCTATCCCGTCTTCAACGTCGCCAATGCCTTATTCATCCTCTCCACGGCTTTGGGAGCTCTGAGCAACAGCACCGCCCTACTGATCTTTGCTCGATTCTTGACCGGCGTTTCCGTTGCGAGCAACGTCCTCAACCCAGCGATTATAGGCGACATGTTTCCACCAGAGCGACGAGGGTCCGCAATGTCTATGGTTCTGTTAGCTCCACTAGTTGGCGGCGCCATTGGACCGGCTATCGCAGGCTCCATCGCACAAACACTCGGATGGAGGTCTGTACTCTGGATGAGTCTGGCGCTCGCGCTTGCCGTCGAGGTACTATTCGGTTGTTTTCTCCGCGAGACGTACTCTACACCACTCCCGCCGGGGCTCGTTCCCGAGTATATCGCGGAAACTCCAGACTGCGCCGACGAAGAGGAGATCAAGAAGGCCGCCGTACCCGACGTCCGCGCAAACCACGAGATCTGGACAGCCATAGCGCGCCCCGCAAGAATGCTCTTCGGCTCCTTCGTACTCCAGGCTATGTCCCTGTATGGGGCGGTTGTCTTTGCGTTCTTCTACGTAATGTCCACGACGCTACCCGGTATCCTTCGAGACCAATATAACCTCCCGCCAGCAATTGTTGGTACCTCATTCCTGGCTTTCAGTAAGTTCACACGAACATGACATCTTTACTCGAGCGATTGTTGACATGACGGCAGGTGTCGGCTCAGCGTTAGGGATTGCAGTCTGTAACACTCTGCTCGACCGCATTTACTCTTCGTTGAACGCCAAACGGACCGACAGCAAACCACTACCGGAAGCTCGCCTACCCCTCGCAATCTTTGGCGCTGTGATCCTGCCGATAGTCGTCGTTCTCTACGGTTTCACTGCCGCCTACCAACTTCCTGTTGCGTTAATGCTGATATCTGTCGCATTGTTCGGATTCAGCATCATCGTAGCAATCGTGCCGGTGACGGCATACGTGGTGGATGCGTTTGGGTCATATTCTGCCTCGGCCATGACTGCGGTACTCATCACGCGATGCCTGATGGGAACCTTCCTTCCCTTGGCCGCTGCTCCGCTTGTGGAGCGCTTGGGATACGGCTTCGGTCTTTCGGTCCTGGCCGCTCTTTCCATGCTTTTGGCTCCCGTGCCAGGGTTTGTGATGAAATTTGGGCGTCAATGGAGGCAGACGAGCGATTACACAAGAGATACATGATAGAGCTAGATTATGTTTCACGGGTATACATTGGTAGATATCTCGTCGAGTGAAGCTATACTTTGTGCATGTCTCGATCCACTGCACGTCTGGTACGTTGTTGACCGTCACTTTTTCTGCTCATATCTCGAGCTCGCCTCATCCCAATTCACCACATTCCAGTACGCCTTGATGTAGTCGGGACGCTTGTTGCGATACTTCAAGTAGTACGCATGTTCCCACACGTCAAGCCCAATGATTGGATACCCCGAGGCACCGGAGATAGACTTCGGCATCAGCGGGCTGTCCTGGTTGGCAGTCGTGACAACCTTGAGCTTTCCATCCTCGTGAACGAGCCACGCCCACCCAGAACCGAAGACCTTGGTAGCTGCGGTCTCGAACTCCTTCTGGAAGGCCTCGACGGAGCCAAAGTCCTTCTCGATTGCAGACTTGAGGTCACCACCCAGCGTGGTATTGGTCTTGAGGTTCTTCCAGAAGAAGGAGTGGTTGGCATGCCCGCCTCCGTGGTTGCGGACGGTGCCGCGCTTGTCCGCTGGGACCTGGTCGAGCTTGGTAATGAGGTCATCAACAGCCAGGGCAGAGAAGTCGGATTGGCCCTCAAGGGCGGCATTCAGGGTGTTGACGTAGGTCTGATGGTGCCGGGAATGGTGGATCTCCATGGTCTCGGCGTCGAAGTGAGGCTCAAGGGCGTCGTAGCTGTAGGGTAGCTTGGGGAGCGTGTACGCCATGATTGCCGTCGTTGTCGCTGTGTTGTTGGGCGTCGGAAGGAAGCTGCGATGTCTTCAGTATCACAAGGGGATTAGGCAACGCGTAGAACCGGTGGTCTTACGCTTGCTGAATCGAATCTAGCCTGGTTTGCGCAGAAGACACCATCCAGCCGAGACCTAGCGGCAGGGTGAAGTTCAGAATCTGCATTGGGCCGTGTCGGAGAAGGTGCGAGTTGACATCAAGGTGCTTGTTTGGTCAGCAGGAGCGAGGGGCTTTGAGCACGTTTTCTGTACGCTCGTGACTGTGTCAGCTCGCATGAAGAATGCTCCTTCTATTCTTGTCAAAGGCCATCTGGATTCCGAACGTGTTCCTGGAGGCATCAATGTCCTGGACTGATTCACCCAAACGGGGGGAGGTAGAGACCTCCTTCTGACCCGTCTCGTGAGGTTTGAGGACTGTAGCTAGGACCTACGTTATCCGTGCTTATGAATCGCTCAACGTCACCTCACCCTTCTACGTCTGAAGCACGTTACAAGTGACTAATGGGTGCAGGGTTTTATTACCATGAAAGGCATCAAGCACGTCGAGCACATGTAGACGGCACAGTGTTGGAAATCAAAATGGCCCGTGCGTCCGTGATGGCCCTCTCGGCCGCGTCTTGCCGATAGCATTTTCGGCCTGCAAGAAGGTGACAGCCATCCAGTTGCGGTTACGGATAGGCCACAACCACGCCGTGAATAGTATATATACGGTAAGTTCGCCCCGGCAGACACCAACAGGTAGGCAAAATCAGCTTCTGTGTTCGCTCGTCAATCTCTCTTACTGCCATCTCGAAAACGCTTGGTCAACAGCGCATTAGCACAATGAAACAGTGGGTTACAGGTCAGGATGGGCTTGACAACCTCAAGCTCAAGGAGGCAGAGAAGCCCGAGCCCAAAGATGGCGAGGTACTGGTCAAGATCAATGCCGTCTCGCTCAACTACAGAGACACCGAGGTCGTTATGGGCCTATATGGCCACCACGTATCCATCGGCCAGGACGAGGAGATTGTACCTGGCTCCGACATTTGCGGGACAGTAGTATCTAGCAAGTCTGCAGACTGGAAGGAAGGCCAGCGAGTGATGGCTATCTTCAACCAAACCCACCTCACTGGTCAAGTCAAGGCAAAAGATCTGGCCAGTGGTCTTGGGCTTCCGCTTCCAGGGGTTTTGACGGAGTATCGCTGCTTCCCTGCTGAGGGACTAGTTGCGGCGCCGGACTACATGTCAGACGAGGAAGTCAGTTGCCTGCCCATTGCAGCGATGACGGCCTGGATGGCAATCAACGGGATGCGACCATTCGGCCAGCCAGTTGACAACGCGAAAGGCAGCGAGACCGTTCTCATCCAAGGTACGGGAGGCGTAGCGATTTGCGGCTTACAGATAGCACATGCTGCTGGCCTCAAGACTATCGTCACTTCGTCGTCGGATGCAAAGCTAGAGAAAGCCAAGAAGCTGGGCGCAGACTACACCATCAACTACCGCTCTACGCCGGATTGGCAGAACGAGGTCATGCGTATAACCAACGACAACGGTGCAGACATCATCTTCGAAAACGGTGGCGCGGACACACTGCTGAAAAGCTTCGACTGCATCGCCTTCGGCGGCCTGATCAATTGCATTGGGTACCTCTCCGGAAAGGAAGCCCCAGTGGGTGATAGCCTACACACGAATGTGCTCGCGCTCAGACGTAATGTGACACTAAAAGGGATACTTAACGGACCAAAAGACCGCTTGGAGGAGATGGTGAAGTTCTACGAAAAGCATCAGATCCATCCGGTGATTGACCGAGCGTTTGCCTTCGAGGAGGGTAAGGAGGCGTTGAAGTACCTTTACTCTGGTGGACACTTCGGTAAAGTCATCGTAAAGCTAGCCAGCAGTTGAGCGTCGTATCCTAGCGCACTACGCAGATGCAGCGGCATCTAGCATTGAAACGACTCTACCATTCTCGGTAGCCGCCATCTCTCCCAATGAAGCCCTTCAGTGGCCAAACCACAGATGTTTCCGCCACCTTTCTGACCAAGTCTTCGTTCACTTCGATTCCCAGCCCCGGCCCTGTCAGCTTCTCTACATGCCCTTCCTTAACCGCAAAGACCTCCGGGTTGTTGACGTAACTGTTGATGTCATACTCTCCAGCCTCAACATTATAGTGTATGCCCAACGACATCTCCTGGATCACATGATTAGGCGTACAAATGCCGATCTGTAAGCACGCCGCGAGAGCGATAGGCCCAAGCGGACAATGTGGTGCAACGGCAATATCATAAGCTTCCGCCATCGCAGCGATACGTCTTAGCTCAGAGATGCCGCCGCAGTGGGATATGTCTGGCTGGATGACATCGACACTGCGGTCTTCGAAGAAGCGCTTGAAGTCCCATCGGGAGTATAGCCGCTCGCCGAGTGCTATGGGGCAGGTTGTGAGGCCGTATAGCTCTTTGATGGACTCAGGATGTTCGCTGAGGAGTGGCTCTTCGATAAAGAGCGGTCCCTGTTCCTTGGATTAGTGGCAGCACCATGGGTAATCCCACTGCGGAGACGAACATGTGGTTCAAGAGCCTTGGCAAGCTGCTTGGCCATGGGCTTGTGAAGTCTCCCATGAAAGTCCAGAGCAGCGTCCATGCCTAACGCTTTGACAATCTTAAGCCTCTCGACACTAGACTGCAGCGCGGATGGTGAGTCTAGCCACCCGACATCCTCCGTAGCATTCATCTTGACGGCTCTAAAGCCCTGCTGAAACCTCTCTCTCGCCGCCTGCTCGACATCGCTAGGCCTGTCTCCACCAATCCAGGCATACACCTGCACCCGCTCCCTGACCTTACCGCCCAGTAATTGCCAAATTGGTACATCCAGCTTACGTGCCTTGAGATCCCAGAGCGCGATGTCGATGCCGGCCAATGCGCTCATGAACACCGGACCGCCGCGGTAGAAGGATTTACGCCATGCCTGCTGCCAGATCTCCTCGATATCATCGGCCTCGAATCCGGTGAAGCGCTTCGCGTAGCCATCCAGGGTGCCCTCGACCGCCTCGGTGTGGCCTTCGAGGGTAGCTTCACCCCAGCCGACCCGGTCATCTGTGTCAGTGATCTTTACGAAGAGCCACTAGTCGTCATGAGTATTGAAGACGCGGCAAAGAATGTGATTCTGACGGACTGACTCTAGGCATGACACGGAAGTACTCGATCTTTGCAATAGGCGCCATTTTGCTCAATGGGGAGTCGACCAGTGAAAGACAGAAGAGGAATTCACTTACTAGCCGCACCTTGAACTATTGTAATCTGCTGTGTAGACGTGCCTGGAGTTCTTGAGGGGCGCAGGACTCGGAAAGTGGAGGCTCGTGGGAAGTTCGACCGAGCAACTTCAACATGACGGCAGTTTCGAGTTAGACGGCAAAGTGTAACGTCAGCATGGCACGCCTCGCGGAATATAGCTGTGCTTGCGCGCAACCACATCGCATTATTGCTGCTATTCAACCCATGTTGCGATCAGATCTATCACCGGAATGAAGGTGAAGATGAATTATGCCGAATGAGCGATCCTAGCCACGCTGTGGGTGTTGACAAACCTTAACCATGCTCGACCGCAATAGCATCCATGAGCACGAGCACAATCGCGAAGCCCAGCAAACAGATATGACTGTTCAGATCAAGGTCTTGACACCGATGATAAATAATGGCGCAACTTGACCTCAGCAACACAATATGGCCACCCGCAAAATCCGTATCGTCTGTATGTCAGACACCCACAACCATGCACCAGGCGAAGGCTACACCGTACCACAAGGCGACCTCTTCATACATGCTGGTGACTTGACTAACCAGGGTAGCCATGCAGAGCTTAGGAAAGCTGCCCATTGGCTTGGGCAACCAACATTTACTGCAAAGGTAGTGACCGCTGGCAACCACGACTTATCTCTCGACGAACAATACAGCACCCAGTCCGCTGAGGGTTGGGCTGTGCAATCAGAGAAAGTGACGGAGTGCCAAGAACTCTTCGAACATCATGAATCTTTCACTTACCTGCAACACTCTTCCACAACTGTTCGTCTCGAGGACAAGAATGTCAGCCTGCGAGTGTTCGGTTCTCCATTCTCGCCAGACAGGGGTACTCAAAACTGGGCTTTTCAGTACCCTCCCGACGAAAGCGAGGCCCTGTGGCAAGCCATCCCAGAAGACACAGACGTCCTCATAACGCATACTCCACCTGCTGGTTACTGCGACACAAGCGCACATTGGGTAGAAGGCGGCTGTGCGTCGCTCCTGAGGCGTCTGTGCCAAGTGAGACCTCTGCTGCACGTCTGCGGTCACTGCCATGAAGGACGCGGTGTGCAGATCATTCGCTGGAGCGACTCTGCGGGTGAGGTTGAAAGCGTGCGAACCTGGCGGGATCCGGGTCGCAGCAATAAGAAGATGTCGTTGCTCGATTTGACAGGCGATCGCGACGGCCTACCGCTTGAGGTGGGTAAAGAGACGGCCGTAGTAAATGCAAGCATTATGGCGAAGAGCTTCGGCCGTGGTAGCAAAGCGTTCAACAAGCCGATTGTAGTTGACATCAGTGTTCCGGCGTCCGACCATACACTGTCGGACAGAGAAGGACGAGGATGAGGCTGCCACTTGTGAAAGCTCAAAGCCAGTAGATCATCGCATGCGGCCCCGGAAATCATCTATATCCGCCCGAGTCATTCGTGGCAGTTCCAGCGTGAATATCTCCCTCAGCAAAGCTCTTGAGCAAGGTCACTACGAGCTGTATGCGGCATAATGCGATGCAAGCAGAACTATCGTGGGAGACTTTCCACGTGGTTTACCCGTAGATTATCGACCTTACCCGCGGCTACCGCTGCGGGATGTGAGTGGCCGTATTAGTCTGCAAGCGTACCTGACGCTATGCGAAACGGCCGGACGGAAGCTTGCCGCAACGGATGGCGATCGAACGTTGCAGTTGCGTGGTTTGTAGTGGTCTCGGGCCGGACAGCTGGCTGAGCGTTAGTCGTAATGCTAAGATGCTCTAGTAGTTGGTGCATCAGCAACGAGCACAGAACGAGTTTGTCGGACTGGCGGCTTCGGGCAATTCATGAAAGCTCTTTCCAGCCTGCTTTGTTAGAGCTGTGCAGACGCGAGCACAACCATCAAGCAGTGCCTCAGGTCAGCGACCCCGCTCGTATCATGCAAGGTGTATGTGAAGTCGCAAGTGTCAAGCACTGGTCAAGCGCCTGTGGCCGTCCAGACAGCTTAGCTTGGAAACGTCTGTTCCACGGAAAACGTCCTGTTCACTTTCCAATTGCCCAGAGGAAGAATAGGACGCTTCGAGAACAGAAGGTTGCCTGCTGTGTCCAGGATGCGATGTGTGATTCAAGATGGGCCCTGTGCGTTGATTGGTTGAAAAGGCACCTCGAAGCGCCTGCGACCGTTGGAGCGACCGTTGCCCTCTTTGTTCCTGCTGGCATAGCTCGCATAGCTGTGCTCAAGCTATCAACTGTAATGGTAGCTTCATCGAGCATATCCATGTGGAAGGTGATGCGCCCAGTCAGAGTTGAAGCTGCCATCCCTGATCCAATGAGAAGGATAGTCTAGGTGCAAGTCAGACGTCCTGCAAGCTACTGCACATGTCAGCGAATCGCGAACGCATCGGTATGATGCCTTTACAGCGCCGCCTGACACCGTCGGGACAGAGAAGCGTATGCATTACAACCCGCTGTGCTGTGATTTGGTTCCTTTGAATTTACGCGCGACTGCGCCGTCTCTGCATGTGACGTGTGGTCCTTGACCAGCCTCGCCACGCCGTCACATTTCGCACTATGCCCTCGCCTTCATCTTCACCGTTCAGCTCCTACTGCGTTGCACCAACTTTGGCAATATTGAGACAGTGCTGAAGCATGCAAGATAAATGCATCTACCGCAAGAAGCACAGCCATTCGGGAGCGCATTCTCACTTGGTACGGTGCTCTCTGTCAGTGCCGGAAGGAAACGCCAACTTTGACCGCCTTCGACGCTGCCGACAGGCTAATCCCGCCACTTCGCCCTTAACCGACTCCCTCTCGGATCCGTCACTACCACCACAGTCTCTTCATTATTGCGCGAACTTGCTGCACCGCTCACGGACGGAACATATGTCAATTGATTATTGACTGATTACATTCCGAAATCTCGTCGCTGCTCGAACCATCCATATCCGCCGCGGCTTCTCGGCTACCCGGTACGTCACTGTCCGTGCTTCTTCAACACAATCCCTGATTCAGATCTTGACCCCGAACAGCGTTCCGTTTCCACTCACTTTGCTTACGCATGGCTAGCGTGTCGAGAGTGAGACACACACCGAAACGGCGAGCGAACGTAAACAACAATACATTGCGGTCGCCACAGTCGCACCGTGTAGCGTAGGCGGGCCATTCTTATATCGACATTTGGCGGTGTCTGCCTGGGGGTGGCGCGCAAATTGTGTTATTGTTGCTTGCTGGCATCTCACCCTGTAAAACCCGCTCACATCAGCACTGGATCCACATAGTCATCCACATCATTCCCATGACTACGCGCCCGCCCTGAGGATTACGACATTCCGATCCGGCATCTCGTACTACACACACGTTCCTGACCGGTCACTTGTGCTAGTTTGGCTCCTGCCGGCCTAAGGCCTTTTGGCTCTGCTGGAGGATGGGTTCGCCACTGCCAGATGACCCATACTTGGCCCTGGGCGTGGCAAAGGATGCCAGTGCCGCTGCCATCAAGGCACAATACCGGAAGCTGGTATTAAAGTTCCACCCAGACAAGGTGCAGGATGAAGCGCAGAAGCAAATCGCTTCGGATCAGTTCCACAAGATCCAGACGGCGTGGGAGGTCGTTGGCGATGAGGAGAAGCGGCAGCGGTACGACGCAGCATGCAAATTGGCCGAGCTAAGGAAGGATGTGATGGAGAGGCAAGGCGCGAGAGGGTCTGATGTGAGGACGGCGGCGTACAAGATGCCTACTGATTCCCCCAGAGGCGGCGCTTTCTATGCGAGAGGTCCAGAGCGGAGAGGCGATGTGTCGCCGACCTACGAGGAGCACAAGCCCGCTGGCTATGCTTCTCCTTATGTTGGGACCGGCACCGGGACTGACTACTTTGACGCGATGCCACGTCCGAGCCCAAGCAGGAAGGAGTCGTCATCGTACGCAGCGAAACGCACTTCTCCATGGCATGAGGAGCGCACGAGGTCAGCGAAGGACACGAAGGAGGCTGAACGGGTGAAGCAACGGGCGAGGACGAAGCGCACAGATCGCGACATCAGAAGAGACCGTGATCGCAAAACGGCATACGCTGAAGACATGTCGGAGAGCGACTCCGACGACGATACTGTCCTTCCTTCCAGAAGGGCACGGGAAGAGGATCAGCTACGCCAAGCACGACAAACATACCACGAACAGGCCCGTCGCGACAAGGATACTGCTACGGCATATAGCTACTATGATGGCGAAGAGCGAGCACGCAAGCTTTTCTCGCAGTACGATGGAGCAAGAGAGCATATCGAGAAGTCGGGCGGTAATCGCTCGCGGGCGGAGCCTGAACGTCGACCGTCGCCTGTGCGGGTGTCCTCCTCTCGAGACAAAGTGGAAGTTCTCAAGCGATCTGACGGCCGCCCAGCAATGATGCGCCGGGGATCCAGCCGTGCAAAGCCGACCTCTCGCATTGGAGATGAGCGCCGGTTTTCTGTCCCAGAGAACGGTCGCCGTCGGAGTACCGAATACGATGATGCGCCACGACCACCGCCTCTACATCAATCGAAGTCGTCCCCGGCTGACATCAAGATCCCAAACGACAAGCCTCGTGCGCAGTCTCTACAGATCGATCCGCCTGGAAAAGAAGATCCAAGGTTTACCATGAAGCGTGCAGAGACTATGCCACACATATCCTCGCGGGACGAGCGGAGCATCAGGCGGAGGGACAATGCACCTCAGACAGGTTCGAAGTTGCGGCAGACAGAGATTGTGGACGGCATACCAACGCCGAGCACCACGCCGGAGTGGACAGCTCCGTCACCCACGAAGTACCAGTACCGCACAGAGTATGCGGACGACCATGAGTATGCGACGCCCGAAGGTTATCGTACTGAGGTTCGCCAGCCGGACAATGTGAAGGTCGAGAACGTCAAGGTGTCCGCGCCTCCGCCACCGCCTACAACCGCGCCGAGGTCGCGATACACTAGGAGTCCATCTCCCATACATAGGGAGCGTGAATCACACCGCCCATCCCCAGCAACCCGGTACAACAGTACCGTGGACGCCACTACGCGCCCTACAGCTCCTCGCACAACGAGCCGAAGCTATCGTTACGGTGATCAGGGTCTCACTGAAGCGCATGCTCGGCCCACGCTCAATCGTGACCGCTCTTCGCCCTCTCTCTTTGGCGAGATTCCTTCCACGGAGAGAAGCCCGCGACCGTCGAGTGCGAGTAAGTACTCCCCACCGCCGCCTCCTGCGCCGTCGACAACGGACGGATCGAGGTATGGTGGTGCGACGGAAAGTTCACGGTATTCCCCGAATGAAGTCAAGCCAGAATCATATCCTTACCGCGCCGGACGTTCGAGTCGACGGGTGAGTGAAGGGATGCGACCGGGTTACCCCAGGACCAACAGTGGGAGGGAGATACCGGTTGGAGGCAGTTAGATGCGGCGGACAGGCACTGTGGGATTTACAGAGGACCAAATTTACAGCACGCCATGACAGAGGCGGCAATGTGCACAGCAGCAAATGGCATTGGAATGGGTGTCCCACTAACATCACGACTTTCGGCATGTGAGGCAGAATCCATTTTGATGGAGGATTGTAACAGTATGGGAGGAACTTGTTGGGCAGAGGACTCGCTGTATGCTTCATGATGGCTGGCTGAGCACCACGCACTGCGGTGGAAATCTTGGATACAGTAACGACTTTTGTAATGACCAAACCAAACTCCACATATGCCTTGTTCCACTCCTGTTATCATGAATATACGAATGCGTCTGAATATGGCCGCAGGGTATTTGCTGAGAAACGTATATATCTAAACCTCTGTATAGTCGCCTCGTTGTGGACACGCACCTCTAACAACCTGGAACCATTCATTCCGCCACGCGAATGCCGAACTTAACCGACCTTATCCAAATCATACCGCCGGACAAGGACGACGAACCGGAAGACATCTTCGCCTCAGCTCCCGGCCTCATCTTCACTGACGACCTGCGAAACAACCATGGAGACCCTGGCTCGACTATCGTGTACAAGAGCAAACGCTTCGGCGACATTGAGCTAGAAACGGCAGACCCGAGCATTGAAAGGGAGCGGCAGCTTTTCAGCCACTACCTTTGGAATGCAGGTATTAAGCTGGCGGAACTGATCAGCGATGAGCATGCGGACGGTGGGAAGTGGAGTGTGAATGGTGAAAGAGTGTTAGAGCTCGGCGCGGGTGAGACTGATTATGGTCACTGCTTTGCATGAAATAGGACTAACAGATTTGTCATAGGCGTTGGCTTGGATGGCATAGTGGCGATACTGGCCGGTGCCGCTGAAGTGGTGATCTCCGACTACCCATCGTCCGTGGTTCTCTCCAACCTTCGGGCTAATGTCAAGCGAGCGGTGCGAGACCGGGGGGTGGAGTCTACTTATCGCATTGAAGGCCATGAATGGGGCGAGTTCGGCACTGCCTTCGCCAGCGAGCAAAGACACTCGTTTTCGCGCATTCTAGCGGCTGATTGTTACTGGATGCCGGGGCAACATCATAACCTGGTACTTTCAATGTTGCATTTCCTGACGGTAGACCCTCGAGCTAGGATCTTCGTTATCGCAGGGTTCCATACCGGACGTGCAAAGCTGGCCGCTTTCTTCGACGTAGCACTGGCGGAGGGTCTGAATGTAGAAGAGATTTATGAGGAGGATGCGGAAGGGATCCAACGTGAATGGGCAAGCGAGCGGGATGGCGGGCGTGAAGATCATACAGAGCGGAAGAAGTGGCTGGTAATTGCTAGACTAAAACGGAGGGATACTGCTTGATGAAACGACAACTAACGCCTAAATACCCATGATCGAACAGATTGCGAACGTTCGCACAAACGTCTTGCATCCATCGCCTACCGATAAACTCCACGCCACCCAGAGACACCTAACCAGCTCCAGACGTCTGAGGGCGTGGTAGGAAGATGTTCATTACCCGCCTATCCATGGTCAACAGCGTCAGCTACGTCTCAAACATACCGGAGAGGCTGCACATTGCTGAGCTTACCGGGGTATGCGCTTGAACTTGAGTCCCTCCCAGACTGAAACCAGTGCATCATCCTTGAAGAGGTATAAGTCGCCCTCAACGATGCCTTTATCTTTGTAAGCCATCCGTGCATAGTTCGTCAACCTGCCTTGACTCTCTGTCTTGTCCCACAGCAAGCTCATGTCAAAGTAGCGCGCAGAATGCCAGCCTTCGGAGATGTACACGCATTCCTCCTTCTCGTCATCGAGAGCATTGCAGAGGAAGCCAGACAGATGACTACAATGGTCAACAATGTCCAAATGTCACTACAGTGTCCTCCACGTTGTCCGCTTACCAGCTGTTGTCTATATGGTATGATCCAGTATAACTGTCCGTGTCAGTCTTGAAGGTCACAACCGACGTACCCTCGAGTTCGTCGAAGACGACTTCATCCATCCCGCGATAGTTGTCGCCATACGTGACGAAACGTCCGAAAAGATCATAGGCTGGACTAGCATCCAACTTCTGGGCGCCACCGAAGTAGGCGGCGTCGTGTAACAGCTTAATGCTGTTCCGCACCTCTTCCGCCTGAGCTGCCCATGACTTCCTCCAGCTGTCCTTGTCCTCGTAGCGAACTGTGCAGGACGCATGCTCCTGGATCTTCGTGCCGTCTGGCTTAATGCTCCTGAATCTGCACCGCACGATGCCTCTCTGGTCGCGAATGCTAGCGTCGAGCTCCGCGTTGGCCTCCATCTCCACCCACTGTCCTTCGCTGGGTTGTGGAAGCTTAGCGATCAAGCCTTTCGGGCTCTCCATCTCGCCGACGTTAAGGCCAGGTAGCTCGCTTTCGGGCCGCATAGCGTTCCATATATGCTGCGCACCGACCAACGCCATATCCGCCCATAGTGAGCTAGGTACGAGTGTGACGCCGTTGCATTTATGACCGGCGATAACGCCCCAAATACGAGGGTCGGCGAGATTAGAGCCTACTGTGAGCTTTGCTCGGTTACCGGTGAAGGCTTCTTCGATGACTTGCTGGGCAGAGGCTGAAAGCTCTTTAATAGGCCCGGAAACAGGCATTATTCGAGACGGCGTACTCGGAAAGAGGCTAGAGGCGTCTGCAGTGGTTGCGAATGAAATGTGCTTTGCCTTGGTGGTGATCATACGTAAGTGTAGAAACGCAGACCAAAGGAAAGGGAGTGTAAGGAAACGCAGAGAGTAGTGGTATTGGTGCGGATGATAGAACAGTCTGGCCGTCGAGGAACATAGCCCTTATAGTTGTTTGCGATTTGATGTTGTATCTTCGGTCTCTTACCTTGTCCGATGAGGTCCGGAGGCGTTGTAGCCCGTCGGGAGAGGCATCAAGAGAGAGCTACGACGCAACATTTGCACATCCTTCACAACAATGCACATCTTGACATGCACTGTCATTGCGAAGTGCGGCTTTGAGAGATACGAATGTGACCTCGGCGCTGACATTGGTGATGTGTTGGTGCAAATGTACTGTCGGACGTGGTGTTGATGTGGCTTGGATTTAGGGCTGAACCAGGTTACATTCGGAGTCGGCTTGACGAGACAGAGCCGCGATCGGCCAAAGCGCTGGAGTCTTTGCATTTGTAAGATACCAATGCATCCTCAGACAATCGATCAACTTTAGGTTGCTGCTGAGAGCATATCGAAGTCAAAGCAGCTGGGGTGTCTGAAGATCCAAAGCAAGCGTCCCAGACACCGTACGCAGTTGAGAGTGCTCCGCAAGCTTCACATGCGTCACGAACCCAAATCATGTCGGACTCGTGGTGGGGATGTCGACACGTTCTACCTGCTTCGAATAGTGGCGTCACTCCTTGCATGCGTTGGACGACAAGTAACGGCCAGCAATGAAGCACAGTGTTCCAGTTGCGAAGACAGCAACTCCAGGTGCTGCGCGGGTCCTCATCCAGCTCAACGCAGCACTGCCTGTACCCAAACCGATCGCTGATACCGCGAGACGCCGCGCTGGCGGGAGGGCTGCGGTGGTTGCGATAAGTGCTCCTGCCGCTCCTGCTGCGCTAAGAGCGATCAGATTGTGTCGATCAGCAAGCTTTTGGTGATATGAAGCAGACGACGACGACTCTAAGTTCGCACCAAGCGCCGCAAGTATCCTAGCAGGCAGCCACTCCCTCCGTTTCGCCGCCCTCACTAATGACTCGGACTTCGAGTCGTCTGTGTCGAAGTGCGTGTCTGGGGTGATGGTGTACGGCACTTTCGGACCCTGGCCTATGTTGACCGTCAATGCGTTGTGTTATGTATGGGACAGCAGATTGAGTGCTTACCATCATTGAGTGTGCTATGCATCTCGAATGTCGATCCGTCCTGCCGGGCCCGTCGCTGCATATACGCTCGTGCTTCGCGCGCAATATCCTTCACCTCATTGCCGTTGAAGTGCAGGCTCCAGAGGACAGCTCCGTTACTCCGTACGAGGAACCACCGATCTTGATCATACGGGCTGAGCGCAACTGTGTCTGGAATCTCGCCCTCATCGAGGTGTTTGCTCAACTCGCCGTATCCGTTTAGTCGCCAGTTGCAGGTTTCGCGATCAGACCACAGTACGATGTAGCTATTTTGCGCACCCAGTGCCACATGTAGTGGAACAATGCCTTCCTTATCACGCTGTCTGAACAGCTTCTTGAGTGCCAAGGGCAAGTTGTGGTATAGTACATCTCGTCCCCTCCTTGCGAACCAACTTCCTCCGGGACCAATGGTAATCGATATGTCCCTCCGCGCTTCGGTGCCCTCAGCTTCTCCGATGAAGTCAAACATCCGCTTGTAGCCTCGGTGATTGTCCACCCATGCAGCAGCCTCTGTTGTGGGAATCGTCTTGTTCTCCCACAAACGCTGCATGTCAATGCTCCCATCACTGCTGCTCTCGTACACCACTATGTAGCCACCCTCGGGCATGAGCGTTGCGGCAACGCAGCGCTCCATCAGCACATCTTTCATGGCCCTCAGTACCGTGGGCGAACCATAGTAGCGCCATCGGCCTGGCGAGCTGGACAAGAAGTAGCCTCCGTCTGGCCCAAACGCGAAGACGATGTCTTCTGGACGCCAGCGGCCGCGAAGATAACTGCGATCTGCTCTTTCTTCTGCACTCACCTCATCACTGTCGGTGCTGCCATCGGGTGTTTGCCGAGTGTCGAGTGACTCATCGTCGGCATGACTGGAGGGTGAAGGAGGCTCGAGGCCTGCCATCTCTGCGACCACATAGTATGCGAAAACCACGAGGTGCACTAACGCGAGACAGGCGATCAAGGGGACCTACATGCACTCCTCCAGCGGACGGGGCTGAGACGTGCGCAGGACGGAGAAGACGCCACGTGTGTAAGGCTGCATAGAGCGGAAATACGAGCGCGAGCTTGATCCCACCATTCGCTTACTTGTGTGTGACATTGGCGACGGGAACGTCAGTTCAGTGGTTCTTCCGTTGATTACTCGTAGGAGGGTCGTTTGTCATATGAATGCAACAACATCTCAGATCTGTACAGCGGGCCTTTCGCTGATGTGGAGGGGTGATCGGCACGCCACTACGCTTCGTGAATGCTATATAAGGTAAGCAAGGGTCTGCCCTTCTAAGACGTAAGAGTAACAGCGGTTGCGCAGACAGCCAGCTACATATCCCAGACGAAATCGAGAAAGTGGAAGAGAATTGCTGCTTACAGATATTACACACTCACCACTGGCCGTTGCTGCCCGGGTGTCAAACGCTTGGATCCTAAAGCGGTCGGTGCTCATGCTCCCAGCCACGATAGGAAGGTGCGGGCGGGCTCCGTGCTCGACCACCGTGATGGCTACTTGACTGTCGAAACCACATTCTAAGCTCGACACATCGATCATCCGATAACAAGCATCTTCGTCATCATGGGAAGCGCAGAGTCTACACCTACTCCACAGCGGGCTCCAAGCCGCATTGTGAGGAAGCAACAACAGTCCGATACGCCGGCGGAAACGCTTGATGAGAAGTTCGATGCCTTTAAGATTGCTCAGCCTGGTGTGTTGGACTCAGGCGATCCATCTCATGTTTCTGGCGCCAAGGTCACGGATTATGTTCGTGAGCTGCTCAAGGATAGCAAAGCTCGTCTGGGCTTGTCCGCTTTGAGTAGCAATAATCCTTCCCTGATCCTTGAAAAGCCGGCCGCCATCCTCAAAGACACGCAGTACTTCAATCTCACCATCACGCACGAAGGCTCACCCGTTACCAATCAAAGATCCAGCGGTCGCTGTTGGATATTTGCGGCTACTAATGTCTTTCGCGTTGCCGTCCAGCAAAAGTATGATATCGAAAAGTTCGAGCTCTCCCAGGCCTACCTGTTCTTCTGGGATAAAGTTGAGAAGGCCAACTACTTTCTGGAGTCAATCCTCGATACCGCAGATCAACCTGTGGATGGTCGCTTAGTCTCCTCACTGATGTCGAGCCCAGTTGGCGACGGTGGGCAATGGGGTGCGTAAAGCATCAAAACCTTGCCTCCTTTTCTAGAGTGTGGCTGACGATCACGAACATCGCTCTCTAGACATGATTGTGAACCTCGTGAGCAAGTACGGCATCGTCCCACAGTCTCTGTACCCGGATTCTTGGAACGCTCAGAACAGCAGCTTTATGGATCGCTTGTTGACGACGAAATTGCGGGAAGACGGACTCAAACTACGCTCACTGTTAAAGCAGAGCGCTAGCGTCAATGAGATCACGGACGCCAAAGAGGGCATGATGCGTGAGATCGTTCGGATTCTGACACTGAGCCTTGGACCGCCGCCAGAGGCTGACAAGAAATTCACTTGGGAGTTCTATGATTCGAAGAAGACATTCAAGACGGTTTCTCTGACTCCACTCGAGTTTGCCCATAGTACCCGGGTGAAGGAGTTCTTTTCGCTGCTCAACGATCCTCGTAACGAGTACGAGCGCCTCTTGACTGTGGACCACTTGGGCAATGTTTGGGTATACTCTCTTCTCAGCCCCTAACGTCTTTTCATTGCTGCTGACATTTGATGTGCAACAGGACGGTCAACCAATCACTTACGTCAACGTGGATAAGGGCGTGCAAAAGCAGGCTTGCATCGCCATGCTGAAGAAGGGCTTGCCCATTTTCTTCGGCTCGGATGTCGGCAAATACAGTGACAGTGCAAAAGGCATCATGGACACTGACCTGATCGACTACTCCCTTGGCTACGACGTCAGTCTCGGCATGACGAAGGCTCAGAGACTGCAGACGGGCGAGAGCATGATGACTCACGCCATGGTCTTGACTGCAGTGCATCTCGATCGCGACGGAAAGCCAGTCCGATGGAGGGTCGAGAACAGCTGGTCGGACAAGGCTGGCACGGACGGTTACTTCGTCATGTCTGATGAATGGATGGACGAGTTCTGCTATCAAGTTGTCGTCGATCCAAGTGTTGTCAGTCAGAGCGTAAGGGATGTGTTGAAGCAGAAGCCCAAAGTGCTACCGCTCTGGGACCCGATGGGCGCATTAGCTTGAAGCAGCAAAAATCGCTTCCCGAACAGACTTCCAGGTATACCTAGCTATGCGACTGCTCAGGTTTTATCGATCTAGCGAAGACGCTTGCCTAATGTAAGGAACACGGACTTCGAGTGTGGCCACCTTTCCGAAATCATTGTGAGACGTTTTTCAATTTCTGAGCAACGAAAGAGCATTGCGAATGTATCTGTCTTTGCTCATGGTCTGAGCATAAGAAGACAATTTTTGGTCGCTTACTTGGTCCTAGCAGTCGCGACAGCGCTCGGTCCACTTTCTTCCGGCTGCTTCCTGAACTCTTTCATGGACTTCGCCGTGATTTTCCCAGCTATAACCCGCGCACCCTCTGCTCTTGCGGCCCGACTCAGCTCGTCATTAATACCCATTAGCTTCATCTCCATTAACCCAAAATGCACATACTCCAGCAACCTCCGCACGTTCTTTAGACTGAGCCCCTGGTTCCCCGATGTCCTCGCAAGGATTATGTCACCGAACAGCAAGCCGGTGACTGACCTTCCAAAGTCCACCTCGCTGGGATCGGATTGCATTGTGAGCAGCTGCGCTGCGTAATTGGGCCCGCTATGTTCTGTATCGAGGACGCCCAGTCCGAGCTTGAGGGGGATGCCCAGCTTGGCGGAAAGTGAACATTCGTACCAGCCACAAGCTGGCACTGCGTTTCGCGGCACCTGGTCGACGAGTGACTGAGCTCGGTCACCTGACAAGCACACTATACCCTCGTGCGAAGAGCTGTGGTTCCCAGGCGCGAGAGGCCGGATGATGATGCCTTGTACGCGCTCAGGCGAAGTCTTCATATGGACAGCCGCAATCCGATAGCGGTTTGATTGGGTCTACGAAGACAAAGGCTTGCGACTCTGAGAGCGGGCCAAGGTCGTTAGTCGAAAAAAGCTTGTGAGTCCTGATCCAGAGAGTGAAGACTTCCTGTGCCTTCCGCTTTCGGATGAGCTAGTAACCGCCAGGCTCGAGATAGCACAGTCCAGCTGCATTGACGTAGGCAACGGTGAATTTCATACGGCGTTGATCGACCTCATGTTGGCATGATCGTGCAGCAAACGAGCATCGTCCTAACCACGCTTACCAAACACGCCTCTTTCTCCTCCACACAAAGATTGGCAGCTCTTCACTACAGATTGATTTCAGTCACTGCGCTCTAGTGCCATTGATTGTGCCATACCGCCACCTTAAGCGGTCCACTTGCCCGCATACTGGCTCAAGCTCCAGATGCCCACCAATGCAAGCAGTCTCGTACTTCTCCGACAGCAGCGACGCCTCTTCCCAGCATCAGCAGCCCGTCATGTTACGGAGATTCTGGACGCTTTTCACCGGCTTGACAGGCGACCGCGAAAAGTCGCTGCATCAACCAAATTCCGTGAACCGAAGCGTCCGCGCCTCTGATGGTCTCGTGCCCATCATGAACTCGAGAATCCGAGCGGCCAGAGGTCGCAACATTATCCGCGCTCGGGAGCAGGCCTTGATCGCCGTAGGATACAAGAGGCATTCTTGCGGACCTTGCGAACCCTGCCGGGGCGAAATACAAGGGCTGGCGATGGAGTTGCTAGCGCTGAAGCAGAAAGTGGCTTCGCTCGAAAGGCAGACGGCTGGCATGTCAGTTGGCTGCACATTACAAGCTCCGGTAGTCCAACAGCCTGGCCGAAGACCAAGCACTCCCAGGGTGGGTTCAGACGGGCGGGAGCATGTTGTGGCGAATGCGCTGCCGGGTAGTGACCAAGACTTGCGCGACCCTTCAAGCTTTGAACGAACGGATCTTTTCCGATGAGAACTGAGATGAGCGTAGAGTCGGCGGTTGTTTATATCAGAGAAATTGGTATTAAGCAGGCATACGTACAACGTCAGCGCCACCAGCGCCGAAACCCAGACACCTCGCTGAATGCAGCCTTCTTCGTGCACGATGCTCCTCCCATGCTATCCCAATCATTCGAATCATTGTTATGAAGTGGCCGAGCCTGTACATTACGCACGTTGACCGCATTGCCCTCTATCGTAATGGTATTGACGTTTCAACGTCTCTCGTGCTACACCGTGGGTGCGCATCTAGTCATCCCAGCTCTTCTCCACGGTCTCCCGTACCCGCTTCGTGTACTCCTTCCGGTTGTCCTTGTACAGATTGCTTGCCTCCACGTTCGCAGGGCTCGACGTGTTGGGATCGTTCAGTAAGCTAGTGATCGAAACCCACTCATCAGCAGTCATCCAGACCACTACAATACATGCCACATCGAATCCGTACCTTTGTATGCTTGTAAGTATAGCGGCCACGTCATACGTCGGACTCCACCGGTTCTGCAGGATATCTAGACACAGCTCCCCAGTGCCATACACGTTCGGGTGAAACATCTGACTGATGAACTTGACGCCTGGAGGCTTGTTGGGGTACTGCTCTTCGAAATGCATGACGAGGCGGAAGGTACCGTCTTCGAAGGGTGTGTCTGATGGGCCGATGATGACGGCGTTCCTGTTACGAAGCTCGCGTGAGCACCGGTCATCACCTGGGCTGCAAAGGGAGTGTTACGAGTGCTGGCTTACCATGTCATGACGTTATCGGCGATAGGACTGGCGCTCACGCCGGCGGGAGGGTCGGTCTGCATACGCTTGAAGTCACGCATTAGGCGCCGTCGCGCTGCTGTTGACATCTTGACAGTGCTATCGGCAAGAACCAGGAAGCTCTGCAAGCCAGCCTTTATCTGTGCTTGGTATTCCCTCGTGGGCAGGAACGGCTCTTAGCGGTGGCGGAGGTGGTGACAGGGTCCCGAACAACCGTGATGGATGGAAGATGTTAGTTCGACTCAGCAGGGCGAGGTTGAGGAGTGCGACAGTGGGCTTCGTCGAGAACGTTGATGCGCCGAATAGTATAGGTGTTAGTATGAATAGCCTCGAAATGTGGGAACAAGGGAAGCTCATGAGTGAAGCTTGACGGCATGTGCTCTCGTGACCAGGATCCACTTCACCTTCATCCATGTCCGCCACGTGAAGGCAACCGGCTGAGGTGCAATCTACAATGTAAGGACGAGACGATCACTACCACACACGTCTTACCAACAAGCTCTTAGATGCGTCAGGAGCACGGATGCACGAGTGCATGTATAGTGATACAGCTTGATGGCCAACAAAGGCCGCGTTAGGCCCAATCGGCGGCAATGGTACCTTACCACAGGCGGGTAATAAAAAGTACCCACAGCTCGTTGTTATCTCTGCTGCACATTCGCGCAGCGAACAGCGCTTTCAGAAAGACCATGCGTGGCGGGCTGCTACCGCGGTATGCGCAGCACGAGATGACAGATTGGGCGAAGAGTGCGCTGTACAGTATCGCTATGAAACACCCTGGTTAGCACCGAAACCCCATAGGAAAAGTCCCAGCTCTATGCCGCAAAGTATGGGTATCGTAAGGTTATCATCCAGATTCCACAGGTCAATCGCTTCGCTCACGCTCGCCGCCAGACCAGATATCACACTTAGAACAACCAACGCCGACGCACCGCTAACAGTCGCTTGCCGCTCGCTCAAGCCCAGCGCATTCCTCGCCTGAGAAGGCACCGTGAGAGTGCCCTCGAATGCGAAGCTATTGACACCATTGTTCAACGTACCACCCCTGCCCGAAGGTGCGATGAAGCCCCAAAACAGCACAGCCGTCGCCACACCGACTATGAAGGCGGCAAGACTGCCCGCGAGACTCTTGCCGCGACGTATGCGAGGCGTGTATTTTCCCCACAGCCGCCCGAATGTCGAGGCGGCCGTATCGCACCAGCTCAGCAGGAGCACGCTCATGATACCGACGTCTTTTCGGCAGAAGCGCATCGTGACCCACAGTCCCGCAAGGTAGCTGATAACGCCGTTGAAGCGATCGTGCGCCTCGCTCTCTCGCATGAACGCTCCCACCGTTTTGATGTATACCCTGTTGAACGCCAGCCACCGGAATCTGAGCAAGTCCAGGCTGAAGATCGGGATTAGTAGGCTTAGAAGTAAGGGATGGATTTGCGAAGGCTGATATCCAAAGTAGTAGAGCCCCAGAGCGAGAAAGCCGATACTAACGTGCAGGAGCTTGCGCGGAACTTCGTGTTTGTGGACAAAAGCACGCCATTCCCGATGGATGGGTATCAGGCCGAGTGGTGAAGGAGAGCGGGAGAGGGACCGCCAGTACGCCGAGCCGTAGCCTTGTGGTAGGGCGGCATTGGGAGATAGAAGACTGTCTGCTGTGGGTAGAGGCGCTGCACCATTGGGTGGCTTGATGCTGTCGATATCTTTCTTTCGCCGTGTCGCATGGGAGACTGCGGCGGACGGCATACCGGCTTTGGCGCTTGTTGCAATGCTGCCATTGAGCTGGGTCTGTTTACTGGTAGGTACGCGCTCGAGCTGTGGACTGCGTTCCCGTGCTCGCGCTCGCGCAAGTTCGGGATCGTCTGCGCCCTCTTCGATTGGCTCGACAGAGCCTAGCCTGGCAGTCTTACTGCGTGTCTGGTACGTGAAGTAGCCATCTTTGCTACTCGTATCAGAAGGTGTCGGCGAGGGTGAAATCACCCGTGGCGTCGATGGGATCTGGTATTGGGAGGTCATACTGCGTTGAAACGAGCAGGCGCCTGCGCCGCTGCAGTATACCGTCGGAACTCGTAGGGTGTTGTCGTCGCCCTCGTGAAGGGTAGAAAAAGAGTTGCTCCTCCGGACAGCAGGAGAGACGTTACGACGATGTTTCTACGCGGTGCCAAACCGGTATATGCGCTTCAAGTCGCGAAAGATGTCATAGCTGCCAAGGCGTGGTATGTCTGGTGATGTGATCGAATCGATGCAGTGTCCGCGTCCAGCTCAAGGTAGTCGCTGGACCATGTCGAAGCTCATGACACCTCACGGCGTTCAGCTACAAGCGCCTGCGATTCGGTACATACAAACATCTTCCGAGAGAACAGATGGCTCAATCACATGCAAATGCTTCGTACGGCAAGCGCCACCGACGCGATCCGACAAGCCACAAGCGCCCCGCAAACATTGCCCTCAGAATTTGCATGCATCGAGTCACCACAGCCAACCATGCCGTTCGACCTCGCAAAATGCGCCAGGCCAAACATCCTCGCTCTAGAGCCGTACAGGTGTGCTCGAGACGACTACAAAGATGACGGCACCAACATCTTGCTCGACGCCAACGAAAACGCCTACGGACCAGGACTGGCGTTGAGTCGAGATGGCGAGCTTGTTAATGGCGAGCGAAAAGCCAATATCGAGATTGATTTGCTTGGTCTGAACCGTTACCCGGACCCGCATCAAGTCGAGTTGAAGCAGATGCTATGTCAATTGCGGAACACTCATGTGCACACCCCGAAGGATCTCACGCCGAACAACCTGTTCGTCGGCGTCGGCAGCGATGAAGCCATCGACGCCTTGCTCCGCGCCTTCTGCACACCGGGCAAGGACAAGATCCTGACCTGTCCGCCTACGTATGGCATGTACTCCGTCTCCGCGCAAGTTAACGACGTCGAAGTCGTCAAAGTGCCGCTGGATGTTGAGAACGGCTTCAACGTGCAACCCGAGAAAATCAATGCGCGCTTATCAGAAGATCCGCTTATCAAGCTGGTCTACCTTTGCTCTCCTGGCAACCCAACCGCAAACCTTGTTCGCAAGCAAGACGTGCAGCGCATCCTGGAGCACGCAACGTGGAATGGTATCGTGGTGCTAGATGAAGCCTACATCGACTTCGCTCCTGAAGGGTCTTCGCTCGCGGAATGGGTACTCGAATGGCCAAATCTTGTCGTTATGCAGACCCTCTCCAAAGCCTTCGGCCTTGCGGGCATACGGCTAGGAGCAGCCTTCACATCGCCACCAATCGCCCGGTTGTTGAACAGTCTGAAGGCGCCCTACAACATCTCTAACCCAACATCGCAGCTTGCGATGCAAGCACTCCAGCCACAGAATTTGGCGGTGATGCATGCGCATCGCGAGCAGATCTTGCGGCAACGGGAACGCATGCTGGCGGAGATGCCTCGGATTCCGGGAATTGGTCGCTTTCGCGGAGGGAGAGAGTCAAATTTCCTGTTGGTTGAGATGCTTGATAAGCCTGAGGGGAAGCCAAGTAATGAAGTTGCACTGCAGGTTTACGAGCGGTTGGCGGAGACGAGAGGCGTAGTGGTGCGCTTCAGGGGCAAGGAGTTGGGTTGTGAAGGTTGTTTGAGAGTGACCGTAGGGACGGAGGAGGAGGTGAGCAGATTCCTCGAAGAGTTGACAGGGGTGCTGGATGATGTGTACTCTGGCAAGGTGAGCGTGCCGAGTGGAAGGGTTGAGCAGAAGAAGGAGCAGCATGCGAACGGAGTCATCGCATGATGCACTGGAAATTGCCATGCATCGTTAGATCTAGACTTCGTACACCATGCACAACAGTCGCAGGGTTGACTCGTATCCTTGCAGGCCGTTGACAAGGCTGCGATGCCCTGCATGTCTTCAAAGTCTGCATCGCCGTCTCTGGTTGGCAAATTCGTACGGGAACTAATGGCAGGACGAAACGGTCAACAGGGCCACCTCAGCCATCTGCACGCCGTCGCATGGCGACGCATGGCCGTTGCAAAAGGCTGTTAAGAAAAGCATGCTCAACTTGCATGGGTTGGCGAAAAAGATTTGGAAGCCGGCCGTTACAACTTGCAAGGGTCAGCGTCCGAGATGCGCTGCACGACAAGCGCACAAGCGATCTGTTTCTGAGGGTGTGCTCTTAGACTACATGAGGGGTGTTTTCAGCGCCATAATTCGTCTCACAAAGATAGTCCTGAGGACCATCATCAATACTCTTGTTCAGTCAAAGTGAGAATGACCACATGTGCAGTGTCGATCGAACAGCCGTCGCGGGGTAAGAGCAGATGGGCAGAAATTTGGTCATTGGCTCGCTTGAGAAGGTCCGAGAAGTACTAGCGGCTCTGTCTGCGCGGCAAACCAAGCTTGCCCTGTTCATCAACCGCTGGCGGAGTGGGAGACTTTCCACCGCCTTCATTTCAGCCTACCACAATCGACGCAATCGAGCTTACGGCATACACATATGATTCGCTGCTTAAGAGGCTAGAGGAAGCGGACACCATCGGGTGGCCGCCAAGCATGACAATTGTCTGGATCGCGGGAATTGGACGTACCAGCTTCGCTATGATTGACCGCAACGACTGCTTGAAGTGACGAGCACTACCACGGTAGACTCTGCCGCTTTGAGGGCACGATTTGCTGTGGGAGAGCCTCACCACTTTCGACAGATACCTGCTCCTGCTGTCCTGACACCTCAAAAGCAACACGCCCTGCGGTCTCGGATCGATCCAAGAGCCTTCGCCAGCATGATGGTTTCCTTGCTCTTCGACAGGACTTGTGGATTTCTTGCAATTGGATGTCCCATAACCCGTCAAGCCTCTCCAGTGAGCCCGCAAAGGATCTGTGTTGTGTCGCAGAAGTCACAGACTGCGCCAAGACCTGGTCACCAAAACGTGTTCATTGCGACTATGGTCCAGCTCACAGATTATCATGCACATTATGGTGCCATTCCCGCGCTGAGCCGGTTCTGCAACTAATCCTTAGGAGAAATTGTGGTATGCAGGCTTGTCATGTACGTCGTAGCTGCACCTCCACCACGGTAGGGCGACTTTCTCCAGATCGATCATGTATACATGAAGTTGTCGCCAATGTCGTCTGGGAGGCTTAATGTTCAGTGTTTGAGGCATCAAGCCATATGCGCAACCTGTAAAGGCGATTTGTTTCTGCATTCTCTCACGGATGTTCAGAAACCATCCGCTTCACGTCGAGCGACCAAGTCGTTCAGCGAGTACAACGCCTCAGACTCCGCCAACGTACTTATCTGGGCATCCTGTCCATTTACGCCTTTTGGATCGAGCCTTATACCAAAAGCATGCTCTGTGAATTACGTACAGATAGCACTGCAATGTTATGCAGCGGAGAGTTATAACTGGATATAGGAGCGACTTGAAGATCGATTGCCTCGATTTCACCGGATTACCGAATCGTATGCGCACCCCGCATTGAATGTGGCTGCAACATCTGCAAATGGTGGATTGAGCGCGTGTCCAGCCAGCTCGCCGTCTAATGCGTTTGGCTGCTGCAGCAAGTTGCCCATTGACATGAGCCGTTTGTCGTCAATAGCGCGCACAAGATTTTCCGAGGGCATAATTGGGTACAGCAGCCGCCACCGCTCACACTGTTACAGTGGACAGTTAAGAGGCTTCATGATGTCTAACAGCTCAATCATTTCGAACAGTGGTAATGTAGGTTGGCAAGACCTATGTTTCTCGAACAGCACAGAAATGCTAGATTTACTTGGAACTCATCGGCAATGATCTTTGACACTCACCCCCCTCGCCCGATCGCACTGCGAGCGTCGCACATCTCACCCTCATCTCTTGTTCAAGATACCGATTCCCTACCAAAACTTCGCATGTCTTCCTTGACAGCGAAAGCAACAAGGGTCGACTGACTCGTCACGTATAATCGTAGTGCTCTGCCTGTCAAGGCAGTGTACGTAAGCTACTGCAAGGCTGCAGTCTCGGTCCCACATCCACATGTTAGCTCCGCTTGACTTTCACATGCAAGATTTATAACTTCTGTTCGTTGAGTGATGTTGAGGGTCGCGCGCAGCGCTTATTGCGAACAGCTCGCTAGAGGATATAAGGTAAGTGTATCCCCTCTGCCTTGCCTTGCGCCTGCGCGATCACCTGCCGTCAGCGCTGTCGGATTTCCGTTCTCATTTCTGGCGCGCTTATTGCGCCTGTCTTTCGAGATGTTTTCGCAAGCAGTATCACTATGCTGGCAGCAACGTACATTTACCACGGAAGTATTTACTTCGGATACACCATCGTTGCTATACAGCGTGTTGCCGCCAGTCGTTCAGCGCCGGATTCCGAGGATACCATCGCTCAGACGAACAGCGAGCGAATTTGGAAAGCCAAAAGTCAAGGGCGAACGTGGAAGCAGCGATCGAAGCGAGAAGACTAGGACAACGCCGCCGCCCTCATACCACAGCTCTCCGCGCAGCTCCATGTCAGACGTTGACGAGATGGCGGGGACTCGAGCTATATCGCTGGCTCGGCTCAGCAGACATGAGAGCGAGCCAATAGGCGACACTGAGAGCGGTGTGCAGTGGAGGTACTGTCGGCTTGGACTGGCAATGCTGGACGAGTGCGAGCGGGAGCATTGCTCGCTCACTCAAGATGCGGAGTTCAACCGGAAACTTTATCTCGATAGCATCGGATACCTTCTCCGTGGCCTGCCGCTGGACCTTACTGAGCATGAGACCGCCATGTTACGTGCCGCATTTCATGCGTCAGTGAAATCTGTCAGTGCGATCAGTGCTCCAGACCATGATTCTGCGGTCTCCGGCTGTAGGCTACGAGATCCGCATGGCCCGTCTCCAGCACAGTCGGTGCTGCAGAAGGCAGTCGCGGGATCAGTACTCTTCGCCTTCTTCGCCATAGACTTCTTGCTTCCTTATGCGCAATCTCTCGCTCAAGGCGCGTATTGTTGGGAGCGGAGGTACAAGCTCAGCGATCGGCTTTTCGCTCATAGCATGGTCACGGCTGAGGTTGTGTGGAAGTTGATGATAGTACTCATTGGCAGCGTCTGTACAATGCAGGCTGGCGAAGTGGGCCGGATATTGAAGGCCGTCGCCATATGGTGGGTTGAAGGCTTGACGGCTGGTCTTCAGGAAGGCGTGATGGAAGGGATGCAACTAATGGGTGCTAGAGCTGGCAATGTTGGAACCGCGTCTCGGGAGCATCTAGCTGATCCAAAGGGTTAGGGGTTTAGCTCGCAAGGTCAGCGCACGTAACTACGCCTCTCGTTCATTGCAGGGACTGTCGTGCAGCTTACCCCTCACCTGATCTGCACGGTGCAAGACTTGCCCTCTTGAGAGCGATTTGGATCATGTCAAGTTCGCGGACACGAAGTGTCAAGTACTTCGATGCTCATTGGGGACTGCCAGGCGGCAAGGTCAGCAAGGTCGTGCATGCCCTCAAGCTTACCACAACATGGACCAAAACCCAGACGAAAGCAACGTAGAGCTGAACGGCATCAACTACTACAACCTCCTCGAAGGCCCCGACAGTGGCGACAAAAGTGCACCATGCGTTCTCCTAGTCCATGCGCTGATGTCAAACCTTCACATGTGGGATGCGACAGCCAGAACCCTGAATGCCGCTGGCTACCGAACACTTCGCTTCGATCATGTAGGGCACCACAACACACCACCAGCCCATGGCGTAGAAGCAAGCTACCACATGGACGAGCTAACACGGCATGCTCATCAGCTGGTCAAGGAGCGGACAGGCCAGTCTGCCGTGGAAGCCGTTGTTGGCTGCAGCATCGGAGGGGCGATCGCATGGCGGTACGCAATGCTGTTCCCAGACGATGTCAAGAGTGTCATCTCGATCGCCGCGCCCGGTATTTTCTCGCCGGAGGCCGCTAAACCATTATGGACTGAGCGCATCAAGCAATTCGAGGAAGACCAACAGACTGGCGGTGACACGCTTTGTCACCTGACCGTAAATCGCTGGGTTCCGGGTGATAGACCAGAAGACGACGCCATGCGAGCTAAGGCGCTGACGCATGTCAAGACGTGTTCGCTTCAAGGCTACAAGATTCTGGCGGACACGATCCGTAACTACGACTATCGCGCCGAAGCAGCCGAGATTGGCAAGGTCAGATGCTTGGTCGTTGCCGGCGCAGAGGACACCGCTGGTAAGCCGGATGTGCTGGAGGAGGTCGCGGGGACGATACCAGGTGCTGAATACGTTGTTATGCCGAGGACCGGGCACTTGCCGCCAATGCAGAAGCCCAAAGAGTTTGGTGAAATTATGTTACGCTTCCTTGGCGTGTCATCAGCGTAGGGTGGGACAGACATGTACTTTACATTATCTGGCCTGTCTGTCAAGTGTTGTCGAGACGACAGCGGGTGTCTGTGACGAGTACGGTCTTGTAGTACACCAGTCCTTACGGCTGTACTCTTCACAGGCATCTCAAGCATCTCATGCTTCCCTCCGCAAATCCATTTGCACTGTCCTGGCAAGGGTATAACGAAGGCGCATACGGTACTAGACAAATGAGGAGTCATCGTATCCGTAGCGCGACGTCAAGAGTTCTGAGTGTTGGGGTGTTTGTCCCAAGTCCAAGATTCCGGCAACCGGCATGATCTGTCGCGCGTTTTCCCGCCTGCCGGAATTCTGTAGCGCACGGCGAACAAGCGAAGATGGCGTTATTAGCGGCTTGCACCGTCAGGATAGCTTTCATAGGCTGGCTGTGCGTGGTCAACGCCTCGCGAGCGAACTAAAAGACCGTAGAGCGAAGTCTAACAGCAAAAGAAAGTAATGCGTTTATATTAGCTACATCACCTCACTTCTCTTCCACGTCCAGGTCTTTGTCCTCTCACGCCTTTATGTCTCATCTCGAACAATCGCCTTCCCAATGCGTCTGCCACAATGTGACGGCATGCCCAGAGATCTAGCGCGCACCGCAGCAACTGCAAGGGTTGTCTCCGATGGTAAAGCAGGAACTGGCGCGTGCGCGTTCGATTACGTCGACCATGGCGTCTCTCATCATCTCTAGGGCGCTGAAGCCCGGCTGTCACGGATTGAACGGCCAAGTCTTCGTGCGACGGATGCCAAGCGTCGGACATTGATGATAAGTATCTCCATCAAGGTGTGGATAGGGAAGTGCATGGCATGGCTGGCACGAGTCGCTATTGGCGACGAAGAGTGGTGACGAATGCTGCTTCCCTTCGCATAGCTCACGCGACCAGAGACCGCTCCTACGTTCCTCCACCCCTCCTTCTATCCACAGCCTCTTATCTTCCTGAGCCAAGACCGCCGTGACCTTGGCGTATCGTATAGAGGCTGCTTGACCGGCATCTCTGCTTCACTGCATCCTACCGGCCATCTTCCCATCAGCCCGAAGGCATCATTGTTTGACGAGCCAAACATTTGACCCTCCCGAAACTCACTAGCTGTTTTCGAACGATTGTCTGTTCGCCATTCCTTGATTCACTAACCTCAGCAAACACCGTCAACATCAGCCCTCAGATTCACTCTCTGGCCAGAGAACAATTCACATGCGGTTGGCACCGGCACCCACAATCGGCGCTGGCGTGTGGAGAAGGCAGATCATTGAGCGCCCCTCTGCTGCAGCGGTGCGACTCTTGCCCTTATGAAAAGCTATCTTGCCTCAGCCTTCCTGTGGCTTTCAACGTGCCTGCACCTTGCTTGGGCCGACGCTGGTTCCAATGCCTTCCCGCAGATCCCTCCCTCGCCGCCACAGTACAATGAAGCCATCGACAATGGCACATACGGGTACTATCCAGTACGAACGTACGCCACGCGCGATGACATAACATCACCGGAGACAAACTTCTTGCAGTGGAACTCACGGTGTGATGATGGCCTACTCTACTTCGTGACGCCGCGAGGTTGGAGCTTACCCTATCCAGGACCGATGATACTGGACAGTCACGGGGAGCTAGTCTGGACGCATCATTTCGATAACGGGTTTGGCGGCCAAGCATACGATTTCAAGGTTCAGAGATACCAGGACGAGGAATACCTTACCTTCTGGCTCGGCGATGATCGCGTAAGGGGTCATGGCGCCGGGTACTACTACATGCTGAATTCCTCATATGCTGTTGTGCATCGTGTTGGCGCTGCGAACGGACTTGCTGCTGATCTACATGAGTTCCTCATCACGCCGGACGGGACGGCACTGATGACAATGTACGAGGTCGTAGAGCGCGATGTGACCACGCTTCGCAGCTTCGACTCCAACGAGCCAAATGATGTCGATCCTAATGGTGTCTGGGATTGCATCTTCCAGGAGATTGCAATTGATTCAGGCCGTCTCATCTTTGAGTGGCGTGCGTCAGACTACCTCGAAATTAATGAAACGTACCATAACATCGAATCTGCCGGCACGCTTAGCGATCCTTTCGATTGGTTTCACATCAACAGCATAGACAAAGACGAATTGGGCAACTATCTCATTTCCGTGCGTTACACGCACAGCATACTGTACATTGACGGAGTAACCGGAGACATCATCTGGTCGCTTGGCGGCAAAAGCAATGACTTCATGGATGTTAGCGACGGCTTTGCCATCAATTTCGCGTGGCAGCACGATGCACGCTTTCACGATATTAACACTTTCCCTAACCTGTACACACCGCCACCAGCCCGAGCAGGCTATACAACGCAGCTGCTGACCGTCTTCGACAACGCGGCTGAAGATCGACACTACGAGTACGGCATGACATACTCCCGCGGTTTACTTCTGGAGGTGACCTACCCGACATCGCCTTCTGCGCATCATCGACAGCACGGCCTAAGCGAACCAACAGGTGACCTTGCAGGACGACACGAGTACACTGATCCGGATCTCAACAATGAGAAGGTTGCCAGCATCAACGGCACTGACTCGGATTATACTGTTCGAGTGATACAGTCATATGATAATCCCAAGGCGGTGCGCTCATCGTCTCAAGGTTCGATGCAGATCCTGCCGCAAGCCGGCGACGATCCCAAAGTGCTTGTCGGCTACGGCCTGAATGCTGTGTGGACGGAGTTTGAAGCGGACGGCACCGTTCTCTGCGACGTACACTTCGGCGCGGAGACTTCGTGGGAACGTGGCGACGTGCAGAGTTACCGCGTCCACAAGTTTTCGTGGAAGGGATATCCGTCAACACATCCTGTTGCCGAGATTAGCGATGACGACGAGGAGATCTACGTCTCATGGAACGGGGCCACGGAAGTTGTAGATTGGATTCTGCAGTGCTCTGAATCCGACACCAATGACGAGCTGGCATGGGAGGATGTGGTTCGCGTCCGCAAAGAAGGTTTTGAGACTGTGATCCCCATCTCCGTCGACATTGCACAATCGCGCTTTCTGCGCATCATTGCCATTGGCCGTGGCGAAAGACGAATCACTCATGGAGTGTCAGAGACTATCGACCACCGCGTCGTTTCTGACATTCTGCCCGCACTGCTGAGCAGCACGTTGAACGCCTCGGTGAGCAAGGTCTCACCGTTCAAGGTATGCGTGGCAATGGCGTCGCTGCTGGCCGGCATGCTCGTCCTGTATGAGCTGTACCGCCGCTACCTGAGTTGGAAGACGGTACGGCCTGGCGGTGGCTCGGTGTGGTGGCCTAAGGCTCCGGTATACAGGTTGTTAGGCAGCGACGATACTCTGACGGGTCGCCTCTCGATTGATCGGTACCTCACCCTACCCCTGGGCTTGCGGAGGAACCAGAACTCCTTCGGTAGGTCCTGGCTCGACACCTCAGACACGGAATGTGCGCTCGACGAAACGAATATAAACCCAGCATAGCGGCTCCATAAGTTGTTGAGTAGGGGCGTTATTGGCATGGATTTCCGGACTAAGCATGCCTTCTGCACGAGATTTGTACATATGCATGGCCACGGCGTATACTGGCTGGCATTTGCAGGTCATGCTGCGCAGACAAAGCGCTCTTGTGGCATCGAATGCTGTACTGGGGATGTATGAATGATTGACGGAATATACCCCGGATGACAGGTCACCCAATGTCAATAGTGCCTACTTGCATAGACGCGCAATGTGTTGTGGACTCTGTCGTCCCTTCCAGCTTCTGGTTCGCTTGAATAGCTTTTGGTTCTTGATGCACACCACAGATTGCTCATGTGTAGCACCTCACGTTGCCAGCTTGTAGCCTGCAGCACGTGACCAACTTACGCCCGACCTAGCTACATGCTTGCGTTACTGAACCCTCACGCTCATAGCGGTCATGCCACGCAACACTAAGCTCCTTCGTTCATCACAGCGACAAGCATAATGAATGACTACGAAACTCGTCGTGAGGAAAAGATCAAAGCCAATCAAGCCTTACTTGCCGAGCTGAACATCCAAGCCGTCGCTAGCAGGACCACCAAGCCCAAGGTTGACACCGATGCAAGACCAGCGAAGCGCAGAAAGGTATTCGCTGAGACTGCACCATCTCGAACATCTGCGCGCATTGCCTCAGCGCCTGTGAGGCCAGCGTATAACGACGGTGTTGAAACCAAGGATGTCCGTCTGCCTCGCTCCGCGCCCAAGAAGGCAAAAGTGACGGGGAACCAGAGTGTTGGTTCGCGCATAGTAAGGGATGCGGAACCATTAGTACCGACAAAGGACGTTGAGAGCGTCAAGGCAAGATGGAGCGCATGGGAGGTCACCGGCAAGCCGCCTATCAGGGACCAGTCAACCAAGACGTTTCATTTCGAGGACTTCCCCGAGTTCACACCGAACAAATCGCCCGCGGAGATGTTACGGGAAGGCTGTTTTGGTGGGTCATACTACAGGCCGCTGAAATCGAGGAAGTTGGGTATCATTGTGCAAGATGATTGGGAGGAGCTGCCGAAGGAGTGGTTGGACGACCTGGACATCGAACGATACCTCACAAGTCCTACCTATGACCCAGAGGTCAACAAGTACAAGGTCAGTTGCGGACAAAGTATAGAGGAGTGGGAAGCCGCAGGTTGGATTTCACATGAGCATGATGTGCGCGGCTGGTTTCAGTGGTACACGCGCTTCTTCCGTGGTAGACGGTGCGACGACGATGGTCGGCAGGTCAGCCGGTGGAAGAAGTGTGTTGGCGAGACAGGACGGTGGGCGAAGGATGCTGCTGAAGAAGTACATGCAGTTGGGCGTGCGGGAAGTGTTCGACGACGGCATGGACGAGGACGCGCCAGAGGTGAGTCCGGTGATGCACCAAACGTGCCATCACTGGGCGTTCGAGGTCAGGCAGGAACATCTGGACGCGTTCTGGACCAGTCGGGGGCGATGACGATGGGTTCAAGGGCCCAACTTTGGGACATTGCAGGCACCCAGGCATCATACTACAGCACGTTGGCTACCTACGATCCATTAATAATAGCATCTGCGGCCTTCTCGCTGATCATGAATATCGCACTCTGGATGAAGATGCCTGGGATGCGAGGGAAGACGCTAGCATCAACCACCCTCAAGCCCTCGGTCCCTTTCACGCGGAAGTTGGTGTCCAGCACTGCACTAGGGTCGTCATCGGCGCCAATAGGTGCCGTACAGCATGCGTGATGGCCCCAGGCCCGCTGCTTGATATAGTCGCCGATGTCTGCATCCGACGTAACATTCTTGCCTGGTTCCTCTTCAGTAAAGTCTGTGGTAGGAAGCAGAAGGTCATAGTCGTGGAAGTGCTGCAGGGCACCGCGAGAGATCTTGACGGCTTCTACGAGACTGGCGAGGTCTGCTTCGTCTTCTCCGCTGGCTGTTGTGCCAGTGTCGAAGTAGTTGAAGTTGATGTCGGGCTGGTCGAGAGGATTCGTGGAGCGAAGGGTAACCTGCGAATGTCAGTGTTCCGTCCGGTTCTCGCACATGCTGGGCGAGCCTACCGTGCCAGCCTTATTCTGCGTATGGGCCTTCAACGTATACCAGCTGAAGTGCTGATGATCTTTGACCGCGTCATCGCTCCATTGCGGGAAGTAGCCCTGGAAATTGACCGGACCGCCAAAGATGAATAAGTCAACATCACCTGTTGGAGATGTGGACGAGACCTTGCCCATGGCTGCCGCAAGCCCATTCGTTGCATAGGCACCCTTTTGTGCGAGCACGTAAGGGTTGTTCTCCCATTGAGTGAGGCATTTATCATCACTTTTCAGATCGAAGGTGCAACCGTCGAGAATGGTGAAGTCATCCGGATGATAAGTGTTGATCGGTATCTCGTAGCGATCTTGCATGTTTGATCCAAGCCCGGGCAAGTCGACAAGGACTGGGATATCGAAGCTCTCTAACTCGTCGGCAGGACCGACACCGCTGAGCTTGAGCAACTGCGGCGTGTTGTAAGTGCCTCCTGAGACGATGACCTCCCTAGTCGCAGAGACGCTGCCTGGCGTGCCACTGCCACCACTGAGCGGACTAGCAGTGTACAGGTACTGTCCCTGAAGGTATTCGACGCCAGTAGCTCGCGGCTTGCCAGATGTGGAATTGGTGTCGAAAGTGATCTTGGTAACAAACGTGTTCGGCATGACGGTCAGCGGATAGCCGTCATTTACAGTCTCTACGATCCAGTCTCGCACGCTTTTCCTCGCGCCGTTTGTCATGATGAGCGGTATCTGGAAGAAGCCTTCCGTAGAGTCACGATCTGCGTAGCCCCCGTTCGGACTGACAAGCAGCAGCTCGCCAAGACCTGTCAGTGCATTGAGTGGGTTAGGCCCAAGTCCGATCTCTGCAGCTCCTCCAACGAGATGTTTCGCCAACTTTACATCCCTCGCCACAATTGTAGGGTCGGTAGGCTCGGTGGATTGCCACTGGTACACCCTCTTGTTGAGATACGTGTCACGCATGTTTTCCGCGCTCCAGCTGCTGTCTCCGGTCAGGTTCTGGATGTTGTTCCAATCGGAGTCATGGGGTTCGATCCAGATCAGCGCGTTGTGCGAGACGCACCCTCCTAGCACGCCAGCACGAGGGTACAGTATACCCTTGGGAGTGGCTCCGGCGGGGACATCAGTGCCATTGTAGATAGTGGTAAAGACCGCTCCGTCAACGTCGTACACAAATTTCGGATCGAGCTGAGCGCGCGCAATGTCCTGGTAGTGGTTAACATACATGTCCCATCGAATCTTCGGATCCTGCGTGACCACAGCCTGGTATCCAGGCACAGAGGTGTTTAAGTTGCTCCCCTGGTCATCTCCTGCCTCTAGTAGGAGCGTCTTGAAGCCTGCTCGTGCGAGGCGAGATGCCAGAGGCCCTCCGCCGGCACCACTACCCACCACGATGTACTCATATCCGCTGGGATCGTCTGACTGCCGTCGCTGGGGGAATGCTGAAGTCACAGCTGCGAGCGCAGCAGCAAACGCGACCAGCACGCCAGTCCACATATTGGAAGTTCCTCTACCAGAGGATAGGAGAAAGTACTGGAGACTCTGCTGGCTTGTACAGTCGGCACTCCTAACGAGTTGGGTAGACCTACGATCTAATCATAATGTAATCACACGGGCGACATCTATGTCAGCGCTAGCAGCAACGCGCGAATACCCATTGTTCGCGCACACATCTGCTACTAGTCATAGATGGTCTGAAATGGGTAGTCAATGATGATCGCTGGGGTGCAGACATGAGCCCGTGACCAGACATGCTCCCTTTACTGGAAGGGATCAACAATTGTCGTTTGATCGCCGCCAGGAACAAGTAATAAGCGGCCTGAACTGAGTATAATGCTTACCAGATATGGACAAGTCGACTCTAGGCACCGTTGTCAAGAATCCCCTGAGAGCCTCGGCAATAGTCAACCTTTCTTGGGCGGCAGGCGAATGATGAATTTCTTTCACCGGAGACAATGGCCAGTCAGTCAACCCAAGCTATGAAGGCCGAACTTGTAGGCATTGTCAACGTACTCCGGTGCTTGCAGTGGCCCACGGAGACTGTTAGGCGAACTATATCCGGCACCCAACATGATCGTGTCCTGAGATCTACTTAGAGACGAGTGCGAGAGACATCAAAGTTACAGCAGAATTGCCAACGACACTCAAGAAGTGTAGCAAGACGAGAAAGCCGCCAGATCGTGGCGCATCATATGGCTAACAACTTGCGGCGTGTATAGATATCGCCGAGAGTTTTTCTATCCACGTTGGCGACGACTTTCGATTGCCCTGGAGCTGCAGGCAGTAAAGTAAGGTAGCCTAGACTGCAGCTGCGTTGACAGATCGCTTCGAAGCTCGTTTGATGCATTACTCTCTTCCGACCCTGAGTCTCCACATTGGTGCTTACAAGGCAAGTGCTAAGGAACGAAAACCAGGGCTGTGATGCGGTTCCAGTCCCAGCTTCCACTGCATATATGTCGTTTCCCCTGAGGGGAAGCCTTGGCAAGCCGCCTCAATGTCTAGATCTGCTTTGCCGGCGTCTGACACATTGCACAAACTGTACTGTGAACACGGACAGTCTGCACGAGGGTAACCAAGTGCTGAACTTGCCGCCTTTGGCTGTCACAGTCTCCCGAGCAAACATAGTGCTGCGCCATTTCTGATCCAAGGCAATACGCAGTAGTCCGCATAACAAGCAGACTTCGCCCTACTTGCTGAAATCCATTCCAGTGGCAGCGATCATCGAGTTCACTTCGTGATCTCGCACAACGAATTCCCAGCCTGCGGCCACCTCTGCACTCGCGGTGCGGTATGCGTAGATGTTGGTGAACGTCCAGTCACGTCCAGCCCACTTTGAACCTGCCTTGGGGTGGAATGCCCATTGAAGCCAGGCAAGAGCTAAGGAAGAGCTGTAGATGTCAATCTTTTCGATAGCGAGCAGTTCCAGATGCGTCCCGACACCGGAATCGATGTTCTTGCGCATCTCTCGTTCTATCAGTCGTGCAGCCTCATCTTGGCTCTTGTCTGTTGTTAGCTTTTGCCACTACCGGTTCACGTATGACCTGCCTCGAATCTCGAGATCTCACCGTTCGTGAAGAACGTGACGCCAGGGACGTAGCGTTTGCCTACTTGCCCTGCAATCCCCGCCACGCCTTCAGCTGACGAACAGAGGGGAGAGGAAAACAGCGAAGCGTACTCCTGCGCGAAAACTGTGACCTCGGCGCGAAAGTCATCTGCCATCTTACAGCAGATGGACACCCTGGTACTTGTTCACTAGGCAGGACTGGAAGTAGAGCTTGGGTTATAAATCCAATGCTGCCAAACCCCTCCATCTTTGAACCCCAAATGATGGAGACCAGCCAATCAGACGGCGCCATAAGCGAATAGTCCGTCTGTTTTCAAGGGAGAGCGAGATTCGGGCCCCGAGACTGCATACAGCTAACATAAACTACACTGTAGTAGATCGTGGTCCTGCTTGCATATGGAACAAGTACACCTTATATCTTATTTACCATGACTCTCCCTTACTCTCCTTTCAATCCCGAGCTTGCCGTTGGGATCGACTATTATTGCAGTGATTACAACCCGCAGCCGGATCCCAAACTACATGAGTTGAGCAGCAAAGACGTCCACGAGTGGCTCAGTGCACATCCAGTCGAAGAAGCTGCGGGAATACGTCTGCTCACGCTATATCAGAGCAAGCAGGTGTCTACCTATCGCTTGCCATGGACGGAGCCCACTGTTGAGCACGCCATCTGGAACCCGAAGGTCTACACTGATCTTGCATGTACAACTACCGGTGGTGTAGCCGCGCTTCTGGACTCGCCTTACCGCTTCATTCTCCAAACGCCAGTCGATGATGGGCCGTTTTGCTCGTTCGCGTTGTCCGGACGTGGACATCGAGTGAAAGGAGTTTACATGTACTCTGGGACCTCCTTCGACGGACAGCATGATGACTGCTTTGAGCCTGCCGAGCTACTGGACGGTGAAGTTATGTACTCCGGATGGCGCTCAGATGGGTACCAAATCATCAGCATTCCTTCCGCCTTCTTAAAGAGACACTCGACGTGGATGGCCCGTCAGCTTGTGCATCTTGTCGAGCGTATCGCGGCTGTAGAAGCGGTGCTGTTCACTACAGACGGACCAGAGGTGGATTATCGGAAGCTCAACCGTGAGCTTCACCAATGCAGCACGCGCTTGTTGACTCTTGAGCGGCGCTCGAAGCTCGAGAAACACACGATTGCTGCGATAGAATCAATCACCAACGATTCATCTCAACGCAAATTGAAATGGAATGCTTCGGCAGCGCTGAAGAACCAGGTCGAGGGCCGAGACTATGACTTTGAGTCCCTTCCTCGCCGCATAACTAATGCCAGAGAGACCATCAATACGCTCATCAATCAGCGCAACCAAGCAACCCAACTCTCCATCTCAGAGTCGAGTCAACGTATAGCGCATGCTACGCTCTCGGATGCGGCTAGCATGAAGACGATTGCCATACTGACAATGCTGTTCCTGCCGGGTACCGCAGTGGCAAGCTTTTTCAGCATTCAAATGTTCAATTGGAACGCAGGTGATAGTCGTCAGATTGCGAGTCCGTGGGTTTGGGTGTATTTCGTCATAGCGGTGCCGTTGACGACGGGGGTCATGATAGCGTGGTGGTGGTGGTCTAAGCGGTCGGAAAGACTTGCTCACTTGCACTATGGGTTGAGCAACGACTTGCAGGGCAGCGAAGCTGCAGCCGACGCAGCCTTGCTAGAGCTCGAAGCTGGTCCAGAGACGGCGCAGCATACTGTAGCGCCTCTTGGTGACAATACTGACGTTGAGAAACAAACGTTCAACAATGGTAAGGCATGAGCGTGGAACAGGAATTACCCTATCAGCGTTGCAGCATCAATACGTACACTGGACAGCGCTTGGTCCGACGTCCTGATCATTGGCTCAACCAGATCGGGCAGTCCTGCGCTGACGGTGCTGCCTGGCCTTGTGCCGCGTCTTCGAGCATTGCTGCTAGTTGTTCGGCTATAACTGGCTGCCTTCCTTAGCCGTTGAGTAATACTGCGTGCATGTGAGCGTGACTAAGGTGCAATTAACCTGAATGTGCGAGCGTTCCTGCATACTGCAGTGGACGTCAAAGGCATATGTTAACGGCTGGCCTTTACCGGGTAGAGTCACAATCAGAGGCAGCTCATGGACTCGGAAACAATGCGGTCCACGACTGCAAGGGAGTTGAAAGCACCGCCTTCATGCGCAGTGGACGCAGAGAAAGTTAAAGCCTGCGACGAACGCCATGCTCGGTTGACACACAGCATACATCAGGCGTGCCTAGAGGTTGACCAATCAGGCGCGCAACAGGGCGTTGTCTGTGGATTCTTACGGGCTTATGCTCAGGCAAATAGCACCATGACCATCACATAGCTTACAACGCAACTGCGAGCTAACTGCCGGCAGGCATCAGTATAAAGTGGTCCGGAAGTGCTGCAATCGCTTAGTGCAGGGAGTTTGGGGCAACCCACCGTTACAATGGCCAACGCTGTCAACCGAGCGGCACTGCCCGACTTCGTTTCACTTACCAACAATATCTCATTCTACGAGCCTAAGGCGGCCGAAAACAACAATGCAAGCGTTTCGCAGACCATCATACTTTGTTCCTGGATGGGCGCCTTGCCCAAGCACATAAAGAAGTACACAACAGCTCACCGCTCCCGAAGTCCCAACGCCGAGATCCTGCTAGTTGAATCCACCGTATCAGACATCATCTTCCCGCCAGCGGAGAAAGCACTCCCTGCTCGTTACCAAGCCGGCGTGGACGTCTTGAGAAGCGCGGTGGAGGGCAAACAAAGCATCCTTCTCCACGTGTTCTCCAACGGCGGCTGTGCGAGTGCTATCCGTCTGGCCTCTGTCTGGCGGCTGGAGACAAACAAGCCGTTGCCAATCAATGCCATGGTATTGGACAGCTGTCCTGGCTCTGGATCGTTGCAGCTGGGTGCCAAAGCTATTACGCTCGCGTTTCCCAAGGATGTGCAGTGGCTGGCTGCACTCTTCACCTGGATCATCCTGATTCCACTGTTCACTGTCATGGGATGGCTGGGTGTGCCGAACCCTATCAATGCCGTACGGCAAGGTATGAATGATACTGGGCTGTTTCCACTGAGCACGCCGCGGACATACATTTATTCGAAAGGTGATGAGTTGGTACCGCCAGAAACAGTAGAGTCGCATAGTGTCAGCGCTACTGAAGCAGGGTTCAGAGTAAAAAGTGTACTCTTCGAAAGGTCTGCGCACGTGAACCACGTTGCTGAGGACCAAGAGAAATATTGGAGAGCTGTCGATGAGGTGCAGAAGATGTAAAGTGACAGCGAGATACCGATTGCCAGATCGGGACTGCGTAGTCAGTGTTATTGCCACTGAACATTCTACATGCCTACATTGCCCTGCCAAGGTTGTCATATGTGTACGACAATGATGGTTCGGAGAGCAGAGTAAGCCTGGTGCATTTGAGCAAACAGAATCCTGTGGCGCATTGGGCGCTTGTTGATCTGCAACGTCATCGTCACCAACGCGTGGTTCGATTCGCGACAGCCGCTTGATCATCTCCTTGTGTACATGTTTTCGCACTCACGCCGTGCTCGTGGTGAGAAGTTACTCGACTATGGCGCCTAAGCGAACAAACATGCGGAATGCGGCGGCAAAAGCTGCGGAAGTAGTGAAGCCAGGCGCGCATGGCTATGAGTTTGGCGGACCGTACGCGTTCACGTTACTATCGACTAACACGATGAACTGCTAATACGGCATATACAGCCTCGGCGCATTCGTTATCTCATTTGGCCTTCCGATACTTTGCTGGGCTTTCGCCTTCCTCTGCAACGATGTCTCCGGCTGCCCTGCGCCCTCGCTTTTGTCTCCGCGCAAGCTCTTCGCTTCGCCATCCTTCTCCTCACATACGGGTTGGCAGCATGCCATTGACACGTTGAAGAAGGAGACTGGCTGGCCAGGCTTTGCAGGCTTGATCAATGCCGAAGCTGCCATTGGCACATTGGCATGGTATGGGCTCAGCCTGTTCCTGTATGTGCTCCTACCGGCCGAAGAAGTGAAGGGCACAGAATTGCGGACTGGAGGCAGGTTGACGTACAGGTTCAATTGTGTGAAAGACATCTCCTGCTCCCTCTTATTATTGCTAATAGTCATGCTAGCCTTCATCTCCGCTCTGGCGATCCTCTTCAGCTGCGCAGCAGGCACTTGGGTACTAGGACCTGACTTTCAGGTCTGGACCTTCATCAACCGAAATTATGTCCAGATCATGACGACCAACATCATCATCTCCTATGTGCTGGCCACCTATGTCTACCTTCGCTCTTTCGCAGTCAAGGCTGGCAACAGCGAGATGCGAGAACTAGCAGCCGGCGGCCATAGCGGCAACATCCTCTACGACTGGTTCATTGGGCGTGAACTCAACCCACGCGTCACTTTGCCTTTCTTCGGCGAGGTCGACATCAAGTCCTTCATGGAACTGCGGCCTGGCATGCTTGGCTGGGTCGTTCTGAACCTCGCCTTCATGGCGAAGCAGTACAAATCGTACGGCTACATCACAGACTCAATGCTCATTGTTGTCATCACTCAAGGCATCTACGTGATTGATGCGCTCTACTACGAAAGCGCCATACTGACAACCATCGACTTGACGACTGACGGCTTCGGCTTCATGCTCGCATTTGGCGACCTCGTCTGGCTTCCTTTCACTTACAGCATCCAAGCGAGGTATCTCTCCGTCCACCCAGTCATTCTCGGACCATGGAATGTGCTCGCTATTCTTTCGGTTGCGGGTGTCGGCTACTTTATCTTCCGAGGCAGCAACAGCCAGAAGAACGCCTTCCGCACAAACAGCGACGATCCGGCCGTCTCGCACCTCGAATACATCCAAACGGCCAACGGCAGCAAGCTTCTAACTACCGGCTGGTGGGGTCGCGCACGTCACATCAATTACATCGGTGACTGGACAATGTCATGGGCGTACTGCTTGCCGACAATGTTGTCAGGATACAAAATCGTCAACAGCATGCTTACTCCCGGTAGCAGGCTTGTTACGCAAGACGGCATGAAGGGTGCGGCGATACCGATCACGTACTTCTATATGCTGTACTTTGCGGTGCTGTTGGTGCATCGTCAGATGCGGGATGATGAGAAGTGCAGACGTAAGTATGGCAAGGATTGGGACGAGTACTGCGAGAAGGTGCCGTGGCGGATTGTGCCGTACGTGTACTGAGCTGCGCATTGCACCGAAGTCTGTAATATGAAGTGCGGTGGAACGCCCGGAACAGCCAGCGACACCAGGTGGAGCGGGGAGGGTCGAGCTTCTCTCGGTATGCCCTTCGTGTCTTCGGCTTGGGAAGCATGCGGCGCTGGTCGCAATCGTACCGACATCACGACTGGTAGATCGCCTCAAGCCGCTGACGAAATCACAGTTTGCGTCCAAAAATGTCAAGCGCTGGGATACCAAGACATATGCGGCCAACAGTTGTTCAATGTTTTCGACCGGTGAAGCCTTTCCGACCGGCGCGCTCATAAGGTTCCCGACGCCACTCCACGAACGACATGCCCAGAAATGCTGGCTGCTATTGGAGGCCGCATTTCTGCTTGGCTATAGCCTTTGAGCTTTGCGGCGGCGCCTGGGTTCCGAGGCGAATGTCATACTCCAGTGCGGCATGAACTCCGCATACTTCCAAAGTGCCTGCCAGAACGTCTCTTCGCGTGGTCCCGCCCCGCCAAGCCTGGATGTGCTCAGCCGCTCGCTTGGAGCTCTTGGAAGGCCTTGGCTCTTCTTATCAACCATACGGTCAACTTGGCCAAGTCTAGCCTTGTTGACCGGAGCTGTATGCCACGATGTCTATAAATGTAGGACGTGATTCGCGCACTCCCGACTTATGCATCATATATGTAGCCTCGATCCCGATCGACGACCGCCGGTAGTTGCCCTTCATCCTTACACACTGCATTAAACACAATGTCAAAAGCAGATATTGAAACTGCGCACACGGCTCTTGTGGAGACCGAAGAATTTCGAGCTCATAGCGGCCAGTCTTCGACCGGTGATGAAGAGAAAGGACAGCGTGCGGGCCATGGTTACTGGACGATTCTGCTCCGTCATGTTTGGATCGGATGGCTTCTTGCAATGCTTACCACAGCGATGTTCCTCCTCACCGTGGTGTACGCTGCAAAGCCTAGTGTCTTCCGAGGAGTACAATCTGTTGGCAACTCCATAGGTAACGCGATCCTTACGCTGCGCTTGTTGTCCGGGATCACAGATATTCTACTCGCGATGACCTGCTCGACGGCCTACGAGAGGCTGCAAATGCTACTGATCCACAAACCATCTGGCGCGCCTTTCACGGACGTGCTTGCGCTACATGCGAGTACTAGTTATACTGGCCTGGCTGTGCTGGGTTTCGGTAAAGGTCATCTCAACACCCCTACGCGAGGCCTTGCCATTGGCCGCTTCTGCATCATGGGCTTGAGTGCCGTGCTCGGCATCATCATTATGAGTAATGGCTTATTGTTACTGCCGCGCTGGCTGCAAAGCTGATCATCGCAGGCGACGTGGACACACGCCTCACGTTCCAGCCAATGCGGACGTGGACACTGAACACCACAGAAGGCATTAGCAATTTCAACAAATCACGTGCGCCGCTTGTTGCCACTGAAGTTGATCGGTTCTTTGGGAATTCCATATTGACCTTCCTTAACAACCCGGAGATCGCAGTCGACATAACGCCTGACGATTTGAAAGGAATGTCTTGCGCCAACCAGATCTCTGTTCGCGGTAAGACGCCTTCATGTCAGCGAAGCGTCTTCATGCCTGGTAGTATCCCGACTGTGCTGGTGACTGAGGAAGGGTACGAGGACGCTGAGATCGCATTCGCGTACAACGTCAAAGGATACAACCTCACGTTTGGTCCTGGTGACGACGGGCATAATTGGACCTTCGATGAGCGGCAGGACTGTCAGACGATAGGCTTGGCCTTCGGCGCGGTCCGTTTCTGTCTGAACAATGCGGAATCCAATGTCCTACGAGCACGTAAGCAGTGAACAGTAAACCATTGACATCAAGAAGTGGACTGACCGCAAGGATAGGTATGATCAGATGTCCGTCGTCGCTAGCCTACACATCCCAGCGTTGCCTCACGGATACGAGCTGGCATCGCAACACGACCGCTTCCGTGACCACCATGCTGACCACCACATATCAGTGGGCCGATATTGCCTTCTACCGCTCAAACCAGTCAATAGCGAGCTTCGAGATCTTACAGACTCCAGAGACCAAGGCCAACATAAACTCAACCGAGCTCATGTCCGCGTTTCACGAGTTCACCCTCGGCTCAGGAAGTATGCAACAAGCGATGCTCGACTGGGTGACCACGACGAACACTACCTCTGATACGGCTGGTGGGGGGGACGAAAGCGATCTGCTCCACGAGTACGAAGACCTGATCGACAGTCTTCTTGGGGCAAGGGAGCTCTCCATCACCAAAAGCCGAGAGAATCGCCGGGCTGAGAGCGATGACGTCTCTGGCCTGGCTTCCAGCTTTGGGGACCTGACCTCCCTCTTCACCGGTGGTGGGTCAGTGCCTGGGAGCAACCCTATATTTCCCATACTTCCCTTTACGTACCTCGAGTCTTGCTCAGCCCTCGGCGCAAAGAACTCACGAGCGACGACAACATGCACCGATTTCATCCAAAACTTCCTGGCCGTGCCACTCCTCTATTGCGACTCGCTGCTAGCGCTTCGCATGAGCTCAGGCCTGGACGTGCTAAGTCCCATAAGTGACAGTGACGAGGCTAGCGCCGCGCTGGTGGAGTCATTCATGGAGTACCTGGGTATTGCTGATGCAAGTAAGCAACGCCTTATGCAAGGGACGCCAGGCACTCAAGTTGCGCTTTCAAGGCTACGGCATGAGATCGTTGTCGGCAGGGCTTCGCTTATCGCGTACGCTGTCGGCACCGGACTCGTTCTTATGTTTTGTTTCGCAGCTATCGGCGCTGCAACAACCAACATCAGCAGTCCCGGATACTGGCCGCTTTTGGATTTCATACTCAAATTCAAGGTGCTATATGATGGGGAGGTATTGTCATGTGCTGACAAGGAAGCGATACAAGCCCAGCAATGTGGCAAAAGGTCAACAGTAAGCCGCATGTTGGTGCAGACAGCATAAGGCAACGCGCAGGATTACCAAATGCCCAATATCACGAAATACCCAAGACGGACAGTTATTGGAGCATTTGGGACCGCTTGATGTTCGTCAAGGCGGCGCCCTTGTTCTTCCTTGGAGCACTGCTGTCTGGGACTAATGGGAGTCTCCTTACCTAGTCGTTGAGCTGTGACCGTAGCTTGGCCACAGGGTCGTCATGCTTGTTCTCGCCTTTGTAGTCTCATGAAGAATATATAATATGTGGAATTGTGCAGCTCAAAGGCAATCATTGAGTCTCAGTACTGCTGGTCACTGGAGGGTCATAGGTTATGAAGAGTTCGGGAAGGACGGGCATCCATCAGGTGAGTGAAAGTGTAGCGTCGTGCCTTCATCCATATGCCGTGATATTTTGGCCTTAGGCATGAATAGTGCAACGTCACTATGTGGTAGAAGCTCCCAAGCTCCAGACCAACATGAAGTAACGCTTCATTCATCTCCCATCCACAACCCCAGCAAACAGCACAGTCACAAACCACCAATAAACACACGATTTTCAAAATGGCAGCCGTCACGAACCACGGGCTCTTCTACACCGAGCAGCTGACCACTCCCCTCCGCGTCGCGCAAGTCGTCGGCTTAACCAGCGCCACCTTCCTCGCCGGGAAGACGTTCGCACAGTCCTTCGGCACCATTCCCGCCTTCCTGAAGGCGCCAGCACCGCTCCTCGCCAAGCAATGGAAGACCATGTATGACGGCGACGTGCTCATCGCTCCTGCCACTTCCGCCATTGGGCTGGGCGTGTTCGGATACTTTGCCTACCGAGGTAACGTCTTACCTCCATTCACATCGTCCAACTACCCCATTACTGACTCGGTATGCTCATCGCAGACCCCAATGCCTGGAGCCACCACCAAATCCTCTACACCACCGCCTCCGCCCTCATGGCCATCCTGATCCCATACTCCACCCTCCTCCTCGGCCCAATTAACAGCAAGCTCGAGAAGAAGGCCAGTGATCTCGCTTCCGCCTCTCTTACCGATGCCGAGGCGGAGTCGGGAATGAGTAAGGAGGAGTCGACGCATGGTTTGGTCGATACCTGGGGCACGATCAACTTCGGCCGCGCCATCATCAGTGGTGTTGCGGCTCTCGCTGCCACGTGGGCGGCGGTGGACCGTCTCGAGGTCGTCCCGGCTGTTGCCAAAGTTATGGGTGGTGCGGATCGGATGGGTCATTAGGAGACGTAGTATTGACGTCATGTAGCGATTGTACGGTGCTGGGTGTGGGTGGCGATCTGGTCGAAGGACGTATCATCGTGAGCGTGCGCATGAGCATATCAGACACTATGGGTTATGGCGTTGGCAGGCTGACGTTATGACCAAGATATGTATGTACTATTACACTCCTGAATGGCATTGAGGGCGTTTCAAGACGCTCGTGAGGAAGGAATGCTGCATATCCTATGCGTGCCAACAAATGATTCACAAACCGCTCCCATCTCATGCCAATCTGTATCTTTGCGACTCAGGACGGGCGTCGTGAGAAGTCCGCTTCACATTCGTATAGTAGACTTGGTTCACGCGTTCTTTGCATTTGCATAACACTGCGCAGGACGCTACGAGAGTCTCCTTGTCGTAGGGTACAACGCTACTTACTTGCCTGGTGTGTCAGAGTGATCGGGCGATGTTGTGGACAGTGTCAGATCACAGTTGTCAACGAATCCAACGCGAGATACAACATCTGGAAAGGTGCAAGGCGTGCATATACCCGGTGCATGGTGTCCGTGACTGTGGGACGAAACTGATCAGAGGCAACGCTAGGAAGGTGCAATGTGAAGAAAGATCGTTGCTGCATTTTTCGGCTATGTACAACATGTACAAGATCCGCTTCGCCTGCACGCTGGGGAACGAAAACGCCTAGTCGTTTGTACGTATCGAAGCAGCTCCCAATGTCGGTTGGTACCCGCTCCGACCTCCCATTGCTGATTCAATGTCGAACGCCGCTTGCTGATGCAGGATTCGCTAGATGTTCAGGCGCAACGTAACGCAACGCAACGCAACGCCCGCATGTCAATCCACACTTTTGTTCCCCCAACCCCGCTGTTCTCGTCCTACATCCGCTTCAACATCACCCCCCTCCATCCCCCACCCACCCCAACGCCCCCAACACCCCTCTCACCTCCCCCTCCTTCATCCCATTCACCCCCAAACTGCGCACCATACTCCCCTTCCGCAGCCTCTGCAACCCAACCGCCACCTTCCACGCCTCCGTCTCCTCCAGCACATACGTCCAGCGCTTGCTCTCCGCATCCCGCGCCGTGGCCCTCAATACGTGCAAGCCCCCCAACCCACCATCCTCCACTAATTTGAGCGTCCAGGCCTTGACGTCCCATTCCCGTTGCGGCACGCCGCGGACATCGTCGTCGATGAATAACCCTTCACTCTTGATCCGCAGGATGAGTCCGTCAGTTACGGATCCCACGCCGGAGACTAATTGCGCGATGGGTTTCGTGGGAAAGGAGTCGGAGAATAAGTACACAGCTTTCAAGCATATCTTATCCGGATCTTTAGTAGCATACGGCCCGCGCGCATGGGAAGGCGGGGGCGTGGTCCGCGCCGTGCTGGCGCTGGCCGCGTAGCTCGATTCGCTGAGGCCGGAGACGGAGGAGGCGGAGGAGGCTTTGTAGACGGGGCGTTTGGTTTGCGGGGTGGTGGAAGGGGAGGAGGAGGAGTAGGCGGGACGGAAGGTCGGGGGTGGTTGTGTTTCCGCTTCGCTGCCGGGGTAGGAGGCCGCGGCGGGTTTCTCGTAGCGGTGTGATGAGGCGGCGGGTTTGGAGGTGGGTGTTCGTGGCGCGGAGGCGGCTGCTGCTGACGCTGAGGCTGCTGCTTGCTTTTCAGCTTGCTCCCTTGCCTCGCGCTCGCGTGTGTCCTTCTCCCGCGCCTCTTTCTCTTTCTCTCGTTCTCGTTCGCGCGCTTCTTTCTCCCGCGCTAATCGTTCTCGCGCAATACGCTCACGTGCTTCGCGCTCGCGTTGCTCTTTCTCTCGGGCTCGCGCTTGCTCCCACTTTTCCTTCTCCGCCTTCGCTTTGGCCGCTCGCTCGGCTTCTTCGCGTACGCGTTGTGCTTCCTCGCGTTTTTTGCGCAGGTCTTCGGCTCGTTTGCGCTCTTCTTCGCGCTTCTTCGTCTCTTCCCGCGCTTTTTCCCATCCGCTTGCCGCGCTGGCCTTTGGCTTGGGACGTTCTTGCTCTGGAGGTGGGGAAGGTCGGGGAGGAGGTGTTTCGGGAGCGGGCGGCGGTGGTGGAGGAGGTGGTGGTGGTGGTGCAGTTTGCGGCTCGGGCGGAGGTGCCGAGTGTGAATGTTGCCGCTGCTGACTGCTCGCTCCCGCTCCTCTCCCCCAACCACCTCCACCACCGTCCGCTCCTCCTCCAATCTCTCCCTGCGTCTTGCCCCACGCCCAGCCTGCCACTCCCACGCCCACGACTAGTAGAAGCACCCCAACTCCGCCGCTCTGCGACACGGTCACAAGCCACTGTTTCAGCACCGGCATTGCCAACGTCCATACTCCCACCGCTAGCAGTGTGCAAGCGACGCCGAGTAGGAAGCTATTCCGGTTCGGTTGCATGGAGGGCAGGTAGAGGAAGCCAGAACCTGCGGAGTGGGGAGGGATGATGAAGATGTCGTAGTTGCCGTCGGGCAGTCCGCCGGGTGGCCGGGGGCTGTGGCCGTGCGGAGGAGGTGGTGGGGGAGGCTGGTCGGCCATGTCTGGCTATTATTAAGGTGTGCTGTGTTGTGTGCGCTTGATCTTGTCTCGCTATCTTGGATGCTGTCTTATAGGTCTGCTCGCACGCGCTTTTCGTCGTTTCAGCGAAGGCATAGGCACTGTAGCGTAGCGGTTGCGCGATGAGGCGTGTCCCGTGTTAGGATGCTTCGTTCGGTTGGCTTCTTGCGTGCGCTTCACTCTGATGTATATTAGAATGTCGCGCAAAGACCAGTCATGTGAACTCCAGTAACGCCTGACATGTACAAGACGCAATCGCTTCCGATGGCTAATCAGTATGCGGGCGGGTGGGCAGTTACGCAGCCGTTGCTATCGTGTGTCTCACGATTGTTGACGACGGGCGATGGCTCTGGAAAGCTTCCAAGACAGCTCTCGGCCCGTTTCGCGCCCGCAGTGACACCCGGCAGCACGTTGCGCCCATGCAAACAACGATTACCCCAGCATCTCCCGTCTATGCGCTCGGCAGTTGGGCGTAAGGCGAGACGGACAGTTTGGGAAACAAGGCTGATGTGCGGCACAGCAAGACACGGCACGATGTAAGAAGAAGGACAAGGGAAGCATGTCCTTCTTACAACTACCCCCTCCCTCTCTCCTGACATGGACACAAGCGGAGGCTGGGCGTTGTTAGCAAGACAACACACTCGTACTGCAGGAAGATGATGGCTACGTAAGCGCGAATAGGAGTGGGAGCCGGCGTGGCCACATGGTCATTCGCTGCTGCACGGCGCTACAGCAATGTCTGCATCCCCCCCATCAATACTATTTGCTGATGTATCGCACCGTCTCTACCGCTGCTGCAGCTACCAGAAACAGTTCAGCTGCTCACCGCTCGCCACGTTGGACCGTTGGGGCTGTCGGAGACGCGTCGTTTGGCGATCGGTAAACAGAGCCTGATGCACGAAGCAACGGGGCTAGACTGAATGTGCAGGACATGACTCGGTTGTTGCTTGCATCGGTGTTACTGCCTTAGGCTTCAGCGACTTCGGCACCTTCACTTCCCCTCCATCTCTACTAGACACTAACTAACGCCTTTTGGATCGCTTATCCTACCCCAGCGCTTGGTGGGCAAAGTGTCCAATAGCAGACCGCATCATCTTGTCGCGCCGTGCATGACTCTTCCCTCAGGAACAGCTGGCTCAACCAACTCGAAGACTGATGACAGGGTGGAGTTATCGAGCAGTACATCGTCTCCACCGGATGTAAACCATCTCCACTGGGGCGCGGGTGTTTGTATTATTAAGCCGTCGAACCATTGATTTCGTAGGTGGAGCATGCAACCGCAACGTTCGTTCGTAAGGCCTCCGACAGCGATATCGATATCCTCGCTCTGATCCGCAGCAAGTACAGAAAGGAGTGGTTGTCCAAACTCCAGCTACAATCTCGTTTCATCTCTCCTTCACACTCCACAAGCACTTTACCTTGAGCATCTCTGAGTCCATGTGTCATATCCCGCCGCATCTACACATCTCGTACCATCCCTAGCCCCCGCCTCGTCAACTCCCCTCAAACAGTCCAAGTCATGCCGTTCACGCTCAACCCCGTCGTGGCAAGCGCCAGGGAGAAAATGATGGGTCCCAATGGCCCTCCGCCGCCAGCAGCAGTAAGAGCCCCGCCATAATTAAAACGCAAAAACCAAACCGACTCACAAACCACACCACACCCCAGATCGGCGACATCGCCGCCCGCCGCTCCGGCGCCGACGTCTTCTTCGCCCTCCTCAACACCCTCACCCCGGCCATCCACGACGTGGAAACGCGCGACTTCCACACCCCGGCCTCAGACGGCCACTCCCTCCTCTGCCGCTGGTTCACCAAGAAGACCGACGCCCCCCTCCGTAACTCCCCCGCCATCTGCTACGTCCACGGCGGCGGCATGATAAGCGCCAGCATCCACCACTTCGACCAAATCATCAAAAACTACGTCACCCGCACCGGCGTCCCCTTCCTGGCAGTCGAATACCGCCTCGCCCCCGAAGTCCGCGCCCCCGTCCCCGTTACAGACGTCTACGCGGGGCTCACGTACCTCCACTCCCACGCCGCGGAGTTGGGGGTCGATGCGGCCCGGATCGCGATCATGGGGGATAGTGCCGGGGGCGGGATCGCGGCGAGTCTGGCCCACTACGTCAAATTGAAGGGCGGGCCGAGCGTGTGTAAGCAGATACTGATGTACCCCATGCTTGACGACCGCACGACAAAGGAGGATAACACGAATGTCGCCTCCTTCGCCTCCTGGACCGCCGAGGACAACATCACCGGCTGGACTGCGCTGCTCGGTCCCGAGAGAATCGGCACGGATGCGGTCACGCCCGTCGAAGCGGCGGGGCGGATGAGTGTGGAGGATGCGAAGGGTTTGCCGCCGACGTACATGGATATCGGCGAGTTGGATTTGTTTCGGGATGAGTGTCTGGAGTATGTGCGGAAGTTGGGCAAGGCGGGGACGAGTTGTGAGTTTCACTTGTTGCCCGGTCTGCCGCATGGGGCGGAGGGGTTGGTGCCGGATTCGGAGGTGGCGGGGGAGATAATGGGGTGGCGGATGAGGGCTATCAAGAGTGTTTAGGCGCGGAAAGTGGACAGGTGACTTGGGTTTGATGTGGGTGGGGGATGCTTTGGTTTTATTGGAGAGTCGTGTCGCGGGTCACGGCTAGGAAAGTCAAAGACCAGAGTTCTGCATTCGTACAAGCGTTAGCGTCTGCTGCCTTTTCATTTCTCCGTCCCACAAGCTTTCAGCGGAGGGGGAAGATGGTACCACTTACGTCGGATATCACTCTCCGTCGGACTCAAACCAGGCGGAGGCGGCAGACTTCCCAACTCCTCCCTCACGAACCCCGCGTCGCTGTTGTTATTGTAAACCCAACTCCACACCTCCGTGCTCAACTCCGCCGTGTTCGCCTCGATCAAATCCCACAGATGGTTATACGCTGCCCGCACACGGCCGTAGACTATGCTATCCGTACAGAACGCAGGAGGAGACGGGGAAGAGGTGGCATTCGTCGTTGAACACCGGCCTAGTTGTCGCTGCAGCCCTGCAGCCATCATAGCCATAGGCCAACTCCACACCACCGTCCCGTGATAAGCATTGTTTGTCCAGTTGGCCGCGTAGACGGGATCTCCGCCAAAGGCTGGGTTGGCGATGAGCATGCCCACGGGCGTACTGAGACCTACGGGGAAGGGGGCGAGGATGTTGTTGGCGGTCGAGTTGAGGAAGGACGTAAGTTGGGTTTGACTGGTTGTGTTTAGGAGGAAATGCCGGAAACAGTCGTCGCTGTTCATCACGCGGATGAGGGGTTGGTTGGTGTTTCCTTGCAGGCTTAGGCCGTGGTAGACGATTTCCGAGGTGATGGTGTCGGCGTGTGAGGGGAAGTTGTTGCCGGAGGACGAGGAGGTGTAGTTCGCGAGGAGTTGTTGGGCTTGTGTGGCGGGGACGGTGACGCGGAAGAAGGCGAGGGTGTTGTCTTCCCATACCTGGGCGTATGTTGTTGCCGTGATGGTCCAGTCTGGATGTGACGGGAAGAAACCTGCGGCGGAGAGGGCGGCGATGGACCGGAGTGCGGCGGGGACTAAGGCGGTGTTGACGTCGTAGGGTATTCTGCCTCCTCCGATCCCGTACGTGCTGTCTCTCCACTCGCCTACGAGCTGGTCGGGTTTTAGATGGATGAGGTTTGCTTCGGTTTGGCCACCTGGTTGGGCAAAGGGGGCGGAGGTGTTCATGATCTTTTCCGCGTTGATCAGAGCTAGTTGAGCGTACGAGAGGCCATGATTACCGAAGTTCAGGGTTGATTGCGTTGTGAGGAAAGCTAACCGTCGGCTTTGCCCCACACCGCTGTCGAGGAAGTAGTTCTGCATGACCGGCATGAGGTAGTAGTCCGTGTCGACCATCTGATACGTGCAGCCGGGCGCGGTGCTGCTCACGTTCATCTGCAGGTTGAGGTATGTTGCGTAGTCTCCGATCGTCTCTTCGTGGCACACGCCACCATCTGTTCGGTTGAGGCGCTCTAGAACGGCGGAGATGACGGCTTCCACAGCACCGCCTTGGCCTTCGGAGAGCACAGGCTGCAGAAGCAAAAGGCTGATCAGGCTGTCTCGACCAAAGTATGTGAGGAAGCGCCAAGATCCAGCCAGAAGCTTTTCTGTGTAAGACAGGAATGACAGCGAAGTTGTCTGATCTGGGTACTGCTGAACTAAACTTTGAGATTGCGCGTTCAAGACTTGGTTGGCTGGGAGCTGAGTAAGTTGCGGATAGTCAAAGGTCGCAGTGAAGTTGTAGATTCCGGCCGAAAGCTCTACTGTCCGGTTGTGGATCAAGACACTACTGTTGCTACTGATCGGGACAAACGACATCTGCGTGACCGTGACATTGTCGAACCACAGTCTGGACAGCACCGCGCCTCCGCCGGTAGTACTGGCGAAGTTGATGGCATTCTGGACACTCGGCACCAAGATTGACGGACCTTCAGTGAAGTCTCGAATGGTGCGGATGCTACCCAAGATAGGCACCGTAAGTATCGCCGAAGAGTTGAAGTTGACGAGGGTACTGACTCCGACCCGCGCGTTTCCGGTCAACGGGCTGCTGTTAGGTGGAATGTAGACGCCTGAAAGCGGATGGCCTATCGTACTGTTGACGAGCTCGATACCAAGTGTGCCATTAATCCCGTTGCTGGGAGCGAAGAAGGAGACGACGCCGGAGTTGCCGGCTGGCCATGCGACCAACAGCCGAGAGCCAATGATCGTGAGGTTACTGTCAGGTTGCGGGCTCGTCACTACGACCTGACTCTCACTATGGCAGTCGGAGTAGAAGTAGTTGTTGTAAGGTGGGTCGCTGAGATACTGGGTCGTGGGGACGCCGGTGCACGTTGCGGCCGCAGAGCTAGATGGAGCGCTTGCCAACGTTGACGAGGCAGACGCAGTGCTCGCGAAAGTGGCCGGCGGCTGATAAACGAGCCTGCCGTTGCTGCAGCGGTATGTTGACGGATTGTAGCAGTCTGGTCCGCATTGAAGCGTAGGGACGCCGTTGAGCACGGGGCACAGGAAGTCGGTGTCATAGCAGGTATACTGTGTAGGGAGATAGTACGCGTTTCCGCATGGCTGAAGTCTGGAATCGACGGGCGGCGGTGCAGCAATTGCAGCTGCCGTCACAGGTAGCATAGCGAGGAAGTTGAGTTCAGGAGCCATGATCTGGTGAGAGAGAATGGAGAGCAGCAGCAAGAGCGAGGACTTCGGCAGTTATATGCAGTAGGTTGAAACAGTCACTTACCAAACATGAATGTGCCGGAGCATGTCATGGCCGCGCCGCGAAGGAGCAACACGACTTGCGACGCTCGGTTTCGGTATGGCCAAGCGAACTGCGTGCGGGGGAGTAGGAGTGGGAAAGTGAGGAGGTGAGAGGAACAGGTAAGGTTAGCCCACATGGCTGCGATCATCGCGCGGTATGGCGAGCACGCTGGCCCTCAAACACTCCCCGTGACTGTGCCGTTAGCCTTGAATAGGACCAGGACCGGAGAGCTGAGCGGGCATGTTGAAGCAGGCGGATACATGAACTGAAGTCGTCTGCACAAGCACGGGCCAAGCACTTTCATTGGGCATCTTCTTCCTCCTCATCCGCCATCTCACCATAACCTGCGACAAAGACTGCCCGTCACGGTCCATGATACGTTCCATGTGTGAGACTTGAATGATGATGACAATAAGAAGCTTAACAGGTAGGATTTCCTGCGTTCCTGCCCTTTCGGCGAATAAGTATGCTCTCATCTCGTGACTCCCTCGTCCCCACGTCATCGTGTCGCGTGTATACCTCTTCTGCCAATATCTCAAGCGTGTGCGGGAAGTATTGCGAAAGACTCGTAATGTCTGAAAGGCACATACAACAACTACAACAACAATAAAACGACAACACAGCAACAACATGGCCACCGACACCACCTCCGCACCGCTTACTGACGAGCAAACGCACGCCCTCTTCGACATCCTCACCCATCACGAGACCTACCAAGAGATCCAAGACTTCAAATACCCCGGCGCAGTCCGCCACTATGGACCACCATTCCAAGACGACATTGGCACCTCTGACTCGCCCATCCTGCAGAGTCTACTGTCGAAATTCATCCTCAAGTTGCCCGGCCTGCGAGACGTCAGCCCAGACTTCTGGAAGACGAGAGTATCCGACTTGATCGACGAGCTAGCACAAGCGGAGTTGAGCGAGAGCTATGACAAGGGCTTACTGGGTGTGCGGAAGACATTGGCTACCGCCATATCGGCTCTGATCGAGTACCCGGCCAGAGGCTGCCTCGCGGGAGTCAGTAAGAGTGAAGGGGCGAAGAAAGACTACAACAAGGACGATCCCGATGATGTTATTCGAGCATGGCATGATGCGTTACAAGAGGTCGTGTACGGCGACTTGACGGATACCTTGTTCGCCAAGGCAGCGGAGACGGATGACCTGACCAAGCATCCCACCCTGGTGCAGGCAATGCATGAGTTTGTGATTGTGAAGTAGGTATGCGATCCGCATTCGCCACCCCTTGCAGGCCAGGTTGGTAAGTGTGCCACCCGGAAGCTGACAAGCGTATAGCATAGCGTCGTTGTTGCATTACACGCTTATACTCTCGCCCGAGGGCCCGACGCTGTTACGGATGCTTCAGAGCGTACATCGTCTGATCCCATATATGGCCGTACGACAAGCTCTCAAGATCGGCAACGTCGCCAGCATGCTTGGCGCCATCATGAAGATTGTTCTTGCAAAGGCTAGTGTAGGCAGTCTTACCAATTGGGTTGGCATCACGTCGGGCGCAGACGAGGGCATGAACCTTCTACAGCAGTACGTCGTTCCCAAACAGTGGGATGACTTATCCGGACTAACACTGTGCTAGAATCATCAGCCAAGTACTCGGCTGGGATAAGCGCGAGCTCAAAAAGCGTGCAGAAAAGATCGAGAGCTCCAAAGATGCTCCGCCGAAAGAGGTCATCTCCGAGCTCAAGTCCTGGATATCCTCGCGCTCACGAGAAGAACACGAAGAATGCCGGCGGCAGAGCAAAGATCAAGGCATGTCGATTGTCACTGTGATCATGGCCACCAGCTCGCACTCCGTCGAAATGACCGAAATCCAGCACTCGAATGCACTGGAATACCTCGCTCTACACCTCGGCGCCCGCGACCGCGACGAGATCGTACGAGTCTTGTGCCGCCGCTCACCAGACCATCTCAGCGCCCTCGTCCGCGAAGGCGTGGACGCATACACCCCCATGATCCGCAACGTCCACCAAGCCGTCAACCTCTCCGACACCGTGTGGGACTTTGAGCGTTTCGTCACAGACATGCTGAAGATGTCGAAACCGTCGGGAGCCAAAGGCGAAGAGAAACCCCCCAGCGTGGAGAACTACGTCGACCTTCTCCACCGCCATCAAAGCTGCAGTCACAAATTCATCCACCAAGTGGCGAAGAATGGTAAAGAGGTCACGGCATGGTGGAAAGAATACGTTCACCTCGCCGCCGCGCAATTCAAGCGCGACGTCAAACCCCCACCCACCGAGGCTGTCGTGCCGGAACATGCTGCAGCAGGCGGCGCGCAGAAAGCAATCGTCTCCGCTTTCTCCGACCTCTCCAAAGACGACCAGGAATCCGTCCGAAAGGAGCTAGATACCTGGGCGAAATATCTCCGCGACCTGCACGCCGCATCCGCCTCCCGCGTCCGTGCCGTCATCAAACGCACGGGCTCTACACCGTACGGTCCGGGAGCCTATCTGGCGAGGTGGCAGCATTTGCTCGATACGACCGTTATTACCCCTGGACAACCGAAGGGGCCGGTCCGGTATGGGTCGAGCAAGAGTGTGAAGGAGGAGGGGAGGAAGGATGTGGATGGGAATGAGGAGGGGTTTGTGACGGAGGCGGAGGCGGAGAAGGTGGTGGAGGAGACGACGCCGGATGCGCCGAAGATGGATAAGACGGTTGAGTTGCTGGGGAAGAGGTTCCGGGAGATTGTTGCTGGGGGTTAGTGCGGTTATAGTAGCGATTACCTTCGATTTGAGACATCCTGCCGTGGCCGTAGTGCGCCTGAAGGTTAAAGATGGCTACCTAGACTTCAACCTACCTTTATACTCTTCCCAGAAGTCCCTGCACACTAAATGCATTTGCGGCCCATCAAGCCACCACTCTCCAAAACTATCCTCCACGTCAACGTCGACTTTGCTGACCCTCTCTTCCCTCCTCAACCCACAAAGCGCACAGGCATGCGGCGCCGTCAGTCCGCCCTCACTCGCCTTAAGCGTCCGGATAGGCATCTGCTCCGCCACCTCCGGCACAGCCCTTAACTTCCCTTCATCAGACAAAGTCGTCACAGCACCCACACCCGCAACCGCCGTCCGCAATTTCCCCACCTGGTCCCTCCACAACCGCACCACATCAAGCACCTCCCGCTCCTCCTTCGCCACCTCACTCCTATCCACGCCCGCGAGCTTCATCCCGCCTCCACCCCCACTAGGACCCATGCGCATGGATTGCGAAAGATGCTGGTCGCGCTTCCAGCGCAGCTTACGCCCTGCGATGATGTGGCCGAGCACTATGGCTTGGTGGAGGTAAGCGCGGAGGAATTTGAGGGTGGCGGGGTGAGTGAGGAGGGTGTGGCGTTGTGTCACGTGCAGACGGGTTAGGGGGTCGAAGAGAGTTTCTTGGGCGGAGGCGAGGAGGGAGGGGAAGATGGAGAGGAGGAGGGAGGGGGGTGGGATGTTGGTTGGAGGGGAGGAGGTCTGTGAGTTTGGAGGGCCCAGCGGCTTGGATGGGTGGGCTGGAGTGGTGTGGGTGGAGATGGAGGGGAGGTGAGGTGCGGGAGCGGCATTCTTGGGCGAGGTTGAGTCTTCGAAGTCGTCCCATTCTTCGTCTCCATCTGCGATATGGTCTGCGTGGGGCGCTATGGCATACATGGGGGCTTGTGGTTGGCGCAGCTTTGCATCGGGAGTGAGGCCTTTCTGGTCAGGTCGCTGTAACGCATGGTCCTTGAGAGATAGATTACTCAGTTCCCGCGAGGTCAGATCCGTTGCCAGATTTCCCTGTGCCCTCACCGCGCTACCGGTGGCCTTGAGGCTGCCGAAATCATCATCATTCCACGCGTCTGCCCTGGCATCATCAATATCGAAGAGAACTTCGTTCCGTGACGACGTCGTATACGCATTCGCCAGCGATGTCTTCGTAGATGCGCGGCTTGCGGCATCACGACCATGCTGCTCAGCGATGACTCGTTTTGAGAACGCCATCGCCGCCTCGGGATTTTGTGCGAGGTCAGCCATCTCGTCGCCCCCGGCATCGTAGTCATCATCGTCCGCGGCGAATAGTAGATCCATCCGTCCCGCGAAAGGATGCTGCCCCGTGTCTTTGGCATGCTCGGGCGCGGTCACCCTGCCGCCGAAACCCCTGGGCGCTGGCGCAGTTATTGGGCGTGTCAGAGCGGTAGGCGTCGGCGGTGTTGCGAGATGCTGAGCACGAGACGGAGCCGCCTCCGGCAGCTGCGAGTCATTGGAAGCATCTTCGAAGTCCCCGAAGTCGTCATCTTCTTGCGTGTCTGAAGCATTCAGCTTGGCGCCACCGATCAAGCCGTGCGAAGGGGCAAGCACGGGATCTCCCCGCCGAGGTGATTGCTGGTCGACATCTGTCGGAGGCGGACCAAATGCCGCCAAAAGATCGTGCGACATGAGGTATCATTGTTTCGGATTTGCTACCTCAGCTACAGTGCATGTAGGTCGCAACCGCTGATCGGGAAGCGGCGCTTTCCCCGAATCGAGCATACAAGGGCAGGGCATACAGATCCGCTTCAGCGACGGTGGTCAATCGACGGTCCGACGTGCAATTCAAGATCATCATGGATCTCATAATCCCGTCGGGGCTGAGTCCGATTCCGAAACACAACGTGCATTCGCACCACACAGAAGCCCGTTTGCCATCTAGCGCTTGGGGAGCATTGAGCGATGCACCCACCACATCGCCTACGCTATCTTAGCTGGGCCGGGACAGTCGCAGACGGCGCACTTGATTTCTCGTCGCTATCTCCTCTACCTGTTGTGGTGCGGATTCTACCTGTCGCTGCCATCAAAACCCATCACCTCCGACCGCCTTCTGCGACGCGGCTGAAATGCTTCACTACGCCAACCATGCTCTCGTCTCTGTTTTCATGAATGGAAACATTGTTCCTTTTCAGGCTACTAGTCTCGAAGCCGTTCATCTCGAAGCGCCGCTATGTGAGATGCTCGAGCAAATGCGCAACTCCCGGTAAAGCATTGATATGCATGCAAAGATCAGGCACGGTTGAGCCGGCTGACTTGATTCTCTCCGTCGCATGTCGCTAAGAGCCTGGCTGCTGCGGTGAGAGTAATAACGTTGAGCTCATGATTTCGGGCTGCAGAAGGGGTAGATGTGGGCTATGTCGCCTTCGCACAAACCAACATGGCCGCGCGGGACATGGATCCAGCAATTGGACGAGGCGAACGGGCTGGTTTTCTGCAAGCTGCGCTCCCTGCTCAGCTCCACGGAAACACCGTCGTAGACCGACCGAAGAATGCCATGCCGAAAGATATCCATATGTCCAGATCCCTCGATCACAAGGCTCGTCCCCATTGGCTGCAGGTGTGTTTGCCGGTACATTGCGGTCTCCGGTGTGATACAGAGCTTCGCCATGATTTCGCGCTCCATTGCCATACCAGATAGTCCGCGCAGGTACGGTGTCACAAGGAAGCGGAAGCATGCAGCGCTGGCGATCGGACTGCTTGGAAGGCCAAACACCACAGTCTGCCGTTTCGAGGGCAATGCTGGTGACCTTTGTGGTGATACGAGGGACATGCTGTCGCTGCTGGAGCTGTAAAACTGTCGTGCCAATGCTGCCGCGCTTTCATCCTCCCCGTCCGGAAAGGTGCCGAACAGGACCGACTCCCCGGGCTGCATCTCGACCCCTTCGAAGTATGTCTCGCCAGAGAGCTGGGCTATACAGCTAGCTGTATGCGCTGCAGAGCGTCCGGAGACACCCCCGCAAATGACCAGCAGGTCGAAATTGTCGGCCTGGAGCTTCTCGCGCACGTAGACCGTCATCACCTCGACATTGTCCGGGATCGCGCCAAGGTACACGGCATCGTCACCCATCTCCCGCAGCGCTGCAGTCAGGTACGGACCTGTCGCATCCGGCACCTTGTACTGCGCAGATTGCTGGTTATACATGGTCGACGCCAGTTCTGCGCCGACGGACAGCACGCCGACCCTAGCCAGCCGCGTGACCGGGATTTCCAGCAAGCCTACACTCGCAAGGGCCATTGTATGTTTCGGGGCAATCAACGTACCTTTCTGGATGATGACGTCTCCGGCTGCGAAGTCGCTGCCAGCGATGCGTTTGTGGTAGGTGGTGAGGGGAGACCTGTTAATGGTTAGGATCTTGCCGCCTCCGCCCTGGCTTACCACAGTCGCATGTTCTTGCGGTATGCACGCATCGAAGGCACGGCGTGAAGATCGAGCCACCGGAAATGGCGCGCCCATGGCTACCTCGACACACGGTATCAGGTCATCTACGATGCGGTCGTCCACTTGAAGAGGAGCATCCCCGGCGAACATCGAGCCCATGACTCTGAGTTGCAGCGGCCGACCTACCGTCGCACCGACTGTCTGGCTTGAGAGGACAGCATATCCATTGTACGCGACGGTATCGAAGGTTGGTGTCGAGATAGGACTGCTCAGGTTGCCGTGAACTGTACGCCCGACCGAGAGTTCGAGCGAGAGTCGCTCTGCCTCACGCCTGAATGATTTCGCGCGCTCGCCGGCAATATTGGCGATGATCTGGCGCGCATCGTCGAAGCTGATCGTCATTGTGCTTCGGAAATGGCTGCGCAGTTGTATTGGTGCGAGAATGTTGAGCGCTTGCCCTGTCTTTTCACCTGTGCACCCCAGATAAAACTGTCCGGGCATGTACTAAACGGCTCTCATGCCTATGCTGCAAGCGGAGCATGCCTATGCTGCAAGCGGAGCATGCCCCGGCTCCGTTGGATCGTGATCATGCTTGACCCTTCAATTTGGCACTCTCGCTAAGTTGTAGTTGAACTTGCGGAGAGGTCTAGATCTAGTGTTATATTCGTAACAAGATCCCGTCCCATCCACAGGGAGTTCATGGCTCCGTACACACACACGAATTTCTCGAACAACCGTGCCACAGTGACGGCAACCGGTTCGAGTACAATATTTTGGACAACATATAAGGCCGTACTAGCGTCAGCCTCTCTGTCTTATCCGCTGGACATCAACCGTCTTGCCGTCGGTAGCGTCCCAAGCCTCGCATTGCCTTTGTGGTACTCACCACCAGACGCCTTCTTCTGAACAGAGCCAGGCTTTCACAAATGACCTTCTGTCAATGCACATGAAAGGGTCAATACGGCGAGCGAATTGCAATGATTCTTGCACAATCTCATTGCAGTTGGACCGAAGTGCACGAGAATCCCTTGGCAGTTTTCGCCTGGATGGCAGGCGGTTTCGCAGCGACTCTACGCACGGCACTCTGAGCTGAGAATGCGTTACGCTCTGTTCACCCACTATTGTACCATAAAATCGAAGTCTGCGGTGTTAGCACAGGCGGCTGGTAGCCACGTCGACCAAGAGATGTCATTAGCTCGACTTTCTGATATTCATGTAACCTTTCGACCCGTAATACTTTCGAAATGTAAAGTATCTCATTATACGAGGCCAAGAGGTGCCCAATTGATCGTGATACTTTTGCTAGTTCGACTGAAGGTGGCAAAGTAGAGGAGTTGCTGCTGGTAAAGCGAGATGTGAAGTATCAGTTCTGGCACAGTGACTTTTGTCGTGGTCCGACTTACTCGTGCGGGCCCGTGCTGCCCGACTCTTTTGCCCTTCAGACGAGACTGCTGCAGTTTGGCTCGCGTGGCCCTATGTACATCCGACCTGCAAGCTCATGATCCAGCCGAGATTGTCATACCAACCGATTGGGTGCTTGAGGGAGCACCTGCGCAATATCGTCCTTCACTTCCACCGAAGAATTCCTCCTGACCACCCTCCGGAAAGCAAACGATCTTTTTTTGCCAACTCACGCCTTCGACAAGAGGCGACCCTACAAGCTGAGCCGGAGACTGCGTCGCTTACGCGAGGCCGAGACATACGATGGCATCATATGCATCCCAACGGCCGCATCATTGGCAGGCCGGGGCGCCGTCAACGACAATCATCGGAGCGACTTGTAACGAACGCGCTAGGAAGGCCGGCCGAAGTGATTGTGATGCGAGATGTGTTGGATGAGACTTCGCGCGAAGCACGGCGGCAAACGGAAGATTTCATTAGCCGAGCTACTGAGACCTGGCCTTCAACAGACGCAGATGCCACATCAGGAGTACTAAGCGTAGGTGTCACATCTCCAGTGCAGGCGGAAGTGGATGCTTCCATAGACTCGCTTCGGCCTGACGCCGCGGCATTGGAACAATATGAGTACGACGAGCTGAAGCACAAGATGCTTCAACGCTACAACTGGAAACAAATGGCCGGATACCTGCTTCGATCGGTCATTCAGGCAGGCACAGAAGTTCCGGAGACTGAACGTCCCAATGTTGAGGCAGTTCAAATGCGGATGACATCTTGGCGGCCAGGCAGAACACCGCTAGACCAACGTCTTGGCCGAGTTACGCTTAAGAAGAACGATGTTGGCAGGAGCAAAGCTAGGCTTGCCGAACAGATTCTACGATCCGCGTGGAAGCTTACTGTACAAGCAGAGGAGCAGCAGCTTGGCGAACTTGAGCTCTACGCGACTAGCTGGCAAATTAAACTATTGTTTGACACAAAGTTTAACAGTCAGATCCAGCTTGAACGCGTGATTGACTCCCCCTTACTTCTTCGCTCTTGCGACGTTCGGCAATTCCGGCCAGAGAACATCATCCGCGTGACAGGACGGAAGGCTGATGCTCTGGATGTTGCGCACCGCATTCTGCACGGGTTAGCACAGGTGAGAAGGGACGCTATGCCGTTGACCGCCTTCAAATCCATGCTAGGCAAGCATGGGTGGCCTGACAAGCTCGCGAAGCTATTTTCCGCGGAGCACCTGCAGCACGTCTCTGAGCGAACAGCTTCCGTCATCCAATACGAGGATGAGGGTGCCGTTCTCGCAGTGTACAGCCTGCGGGAAAGGTCCAGCTTGACTAGCCAAGCGCGGCGGTTGCTGTTGTCGCTGCTCGAACTACCGTCACCTGTACAGATCCTGTCCATCACGCCGAATCGGAAGAACAGACATGCCAGGATGTCTGTGTTGGATTTCGAGACGTCTTACGGACACCAAACTCCGAACTCGTCGGACCTGCATGTCACTGGACTTCACCAACGTCTGCAGAAAGCTGGTCTACGTCGCTTCTGCACTCGGTTGCCACAGGGGCAGTTGAGGCGGCGGCTTCGTCCCGGAGATGCGAAGTGGAGCCGCTTGACAAGACGCCTTGCAACTAGGTTAGAACATGCTAGAAGAAGCAAATTGGTATTGTCCGCCGAGAGTCCGACACCACATACGAGCACGCTCGGGTGGGTACCGGGTGCAAACAATGAATCCTGGGTTGCTAGAGTGGGCGCTTGTGTGCACTTCACCAACACTGTCAAACGTCTCGATATGCGCAACGGTCCAGCTGCAAAGCTTACAAGAGTTGCTCGGCTTGTTCCATTCGACAATTTTCTTGATGCTGTACCCGGGCTACAAACGGTGCTTGCGCGCTTCAAGCCGGCGGTATACGAGCAGACAGACGTTCCTGCCGAGGCTGCCTTGCGTGAAGGACTGACGGATGTTGGAAAAGGTCCGTTGAACCATCAACGTCGTGTCGTCGAAGAGAGGGAAACACAGTTGCTGGTTCATCTGATGCCGTCTCCGTTCACGAAAGGAGGGGCGTCAGTACTCGAGCGACTACCGCGCTTGGAGTTGGCCTTTAACGTGCACGATGGCCGGCAGGACGGACATTTCGGCTGTCGGGCATTGAAGCTGGACGGCGCTAGCTTGCATGTATCTGATCAGCTGATGCCCGTGCCCTTCCCGGATCACGCTGCAGATCTTCTGTACAAGCGCAGCAACAGACTGGTCCTGTCTGACACTGAATTGACGGAAGACGAGCATTTGCGGTCCTTTGTGGAGCGTCTCCAGGCATCATACGGGGAAGGAACTGGCTCGCTAGACGCCCTCCCCGAGCTTACATTCAAGTTGCCTCCTGTGCTTACCGACAAGCCATCGAGCGCGCGTGGCCGTCAAAGCAATGCAGAGGGAGTTGAGGCGCAATACCTCCTTGACCGCTTCGAGCAGGTGCAGGTTATGGACTTCGAGCCGCTCAAAGAACGGAAGCGTCTGGACGCTATGGTGCCTATGGCGCGAAAGAAAGTAGAAGATTGGCCGGACGACATTGTGTTGAGGCTACGAGATGTGGATGCTGGCGCCTTTGGAGGTCGGAGGACGGAAGTCGTGTTGGTTCCACGAGCACCCGAACGTAGCGACGAGGCTATCGTTAATCCAGGCGGTGCGGCTGTGCCGGACACAATCAGTGGACCTCCCGAGTCTTCTCCAGCAACAGGGGATGAGCACAAGCCTCGCGTGGTCAAGCGTGAGGTAGCTGAGCGTGAGGCAGGTGGGCGTGCGGCGGAAAGCTATGAGCTTCGCCTGACCAGAGCCGCGATGATACTGCTCGATGCGCTCACGGAAGCTAATTCTGCTTCTTCTCGAACTTTCGGGCCTTAGGACCAGAATTCCTGCCGGGCCGGTGTCCTGCTAGAAAGACAGGCCTACCGCGTTACAGCGTACACGAGACGTCACTTCGTCTTCAGTATCTCCTCTTTTCCAGAAAGCGCTCCTCGATAAAGACGGTGGACATTAGCACTGACAGTACACTGACAACCATGGAAGCGAAATGTACAACACTAATTCCGACGTGCATGGCATATCCTGATCTGTGCCGCCCAACATGGATTGATCGCGCCATGCTTCAGCCGCATCCTAGCCAACCGCATCGGAACCTATCCGAGAGCTGCAGGGCCCGTTGCCTTGCTGCAGGCCCGGCCCATAGCGACTTGCATACATGCGAACGAGGTCGCGCCGCTTCGAGAACGCAACATTATGCAAGGTTCCGATCACTGGTCGAAATGGTACTCTCTGCGATGAGGTGACGGGCCGCTCACACTCGGTCCCGGGCCAGACGTATACGCAGCGGCAGAACAAAGGCCGTTTCACCGTCGACCATCTCAAGCGGAGGAAGACAGCCAGTGTATTCCGTGATCTCCAGGAAGCATACGAAACAGCAATGTCTTTTCGCACACTTTGTTGGACAGAACAAGGATACCTGGGCCTTGTACCAAGGTATCCGAATGCGAATGATGTATTGTGTGTTATCCTAGGCTCTGCGGTTCCATTTGTCCTACGCGAGGACGGTAGAGGAGATTATTCATTAATTGGTGAATGCTAAGTCCACCATGTCATGGATGGCCATCTTGCAAACGGCACGCAGACGGAGGTGAGGGATGTGGGCATTGTGTGAGCTTGTGTCGCGAGAATGAAAATATATACAGGTTACGCACCGAGTAGTATCCTTGAACGGCAGAACCGCCGCTGCTGATCGTGGTGAGGAGGCAGGTAACCAGTGGAGGACATAAAGGAGACTACCACTGCCAACGGTAATCTGCACGCCTTCACGTCTTGCGAAAAGGAAGAAGTGCACACACCTGAATAGGTTGGTTGACTATGTCGTTCAAAGAACTCACTGCCACGTTGGCCACGGCTACCGCTATCTGTCGACGCTATCGTACCTGAACCGGCACCAAGGCCACACTTCGATTGAGCTATGCTAAAAGTGGCACACCGTTGATGAGCAATGAACTTCACTTGCATGGCATACTGCATCTCGCCACCGTTGCTCAACAACAAATGTTTGACTCACCCCACCACGTCACTCAGATGTGTACCGAGGGTCCATGTCAATAGTCATAGTCGTTTCGCCGTAGTCCCATGGCGGGCAGTTCCCCTAATGATGGTACTGTTAAGCAGTAGCTTGTATTGAGTCTAGTACAGGAAAAGGTCAGACAGTGTCTGTTCGAGTCACCAGCCGTTGCGATACCTTCTGGTCCAATGCACGGTAGGTACATGCAGCTGGACGTGGACATGCTTAATGTCACAGAGTGTGGTGTTAGTGGGGCTTGCCGCTTGCTCGCACAGTTAAAATCCAACCCTCTCTGCGCATCAAAAACTTCTTCCCTCTTTGTCGCTCATACCGTCGAGTCAATTGCACTCACATCTGAGTACGTCTGTAACCTCAAACGCATCCTGATGTTCAAGACTAACCGACCATAGGAATCAATCATTTCCAGTACTTCCGACAACTTCCAGCCACTTCAAATAACTCACCTCCACAACCGTCAACATGGGGTACGTCGCGAGCACCGCGCGCCATCGTTCCATCACCATTCTCCAGTACGGTGACTGACAGTGTCTATAGTAAGGAGAAGACTCATATCAACGTCGTCGTTATCGGCCACGTCGACTCTGGCAAGTCGACCACCACCGGCCGTAAGCACGCCTTCCTCACGATGAAACCGTAACAGCACCACTTACTGGGAAATAGACTTGATCTACAAGTGCGGTGGTATCGACAAGCGTACTATCGAGAAGTTCGAGAAGGTGAGTGAAACCACACCCGCACAGTGTTTCGATGCGACGGCGATTGCAGAGGGGCAAAATTTGGTGGGGTGCGGGCGCTTGGCCGTTATCGCCGCGCACGACATCGCCTCCAACTCAACGCTTGCAACATCCTCTCAACACATGTTATGGCTACTAACTTCAACTCCAGGAAGCCGCCGAATTGGGCAAGGGCTCCTTCAAGTACGCATGGGTGCTCGACAAGCTCAAGGCCGAGCGCGAGCGTGGTATCACGATCGACATTGCCCTCTGGAAGTTCGAAACCCCCAAGTACTATGTCACCGTCATTGACGCTCCGGGTCACCGTGACTTCATCAAGAACATGATCACGGGTACTTCCCAGGCCGACTGCGCCATTCTCATTATTGCCGCCGGCACTGGTGAGTTCGAGGCCGGTATCTCCAAGGATGGCCAGACTCGTGAGCACGCCCTGCTCGCTTACACCCTCGGTGTCAAGCAGCTCATTGTCGCCATCAACAAGATGGACACCACCAAGTGGTCCGAGGATCGCTTCAACGAGATCATCAAGGAGACGTCCAACTTCATTAAGAAGGTCGGTTACAACCCTAAGACTGTCCCCTTCGTCCCGATCTCTGGCTTTAACGGCGACAACATGATCGACGTCTCCACCAACTGCCCGTGGTACAAGGGCTGGGAGAAGGAGACCAAGACCAAGTCCACCGGCAAGACCCTCCTCGAGGCCATCGATGCCATCGACCCGCCGTCGCGTCCTACTGACAAGCCCCTCCGTCTCCCTCTTCAGGATGTCTACAAGATCGGCGGTATTGGCACAGTTCCCGTCGGCCGTGTCGAGACCGGTGTCATCAAGGCCGGTATGGTCGTCACCTTCGCCCCGGCTGGTGTGACCACCGAAGTCAAGTCCGTCGAGATGCACCACGAGCAGCTGACTGAGGGTCTCCCGGGTGACAATGTCGGCTTCAACGTCAAGAACGTCTCCGTCAAGGAGATCCGTCGTGGCAACGTTGCTGGTGACACCAAGAACGACCCGCCCAAGGGCTGCGACTCCTTCAACGCCCAGGTCATCGTCCTCAACCACCCCGGTCAGGTCGGTGCCGGCTACGCACCTGTCCTCGACTGCCACACTGCCCACATTGCCTGCAAGTTTGCCGAGCTCCTCGAGAAGATCGACCGTCGTACCGGCAAGTCCATTGAGAATGCCCCGAAGTTCATCAAGTCCGGTGACGCTGCCATCGTCAAGATGGTGCCATCGAAGCCGATGTGTGTTGAGGCCTTCACCGAGTACCCGCCCCTTGGCCGCTTCGCCGTTCGTGACATGAGGCAGACCGTTGCTGTGGGCGTGATTAAGTCTGTGGTGGGTAGAAAAAGAAAAGATAACTGATGAATGACTTCCACTAATCGCTCTGTAGGCCAAATCCGACAAGTCCGGCGCTGGCAAAGTAACCAAAGGCCAGTATTGTCCATATCGCTCGTGACGAACCCTGCTAACAACTCTATAGCCGCCGTCAAGGCATCCAAGAAGTAGAAGGTGTCTGCCAGGCAGTTTCCGCTTTGGTACCCACCAAAAGCGATATGTTTGTTCTGCGGGCGACGTTTGCTTGAGCCCACTATGCGTTTCTCGACGGCATAGGAGGCGCCTGCTATCTTTGCCCGCTTACAACATACCCCCTTTCGCGACACGATTGTTCACCCTTCTACATGCATGCGTTGCGACGGTCGTCTGCGGCTGCGCATGCTTCTTCCGGCACAGCAGCGACCGCAAATCTTTTCCTTTGTACTGCGACACGAGATCACGAGCGATAATGATGGCTGGTTTAGCGAGGAGGGATGGTCATGAAACGATGGCGATGTCCTCGCGGACTGTAGCGCCTGCCTTTAGCTTTAGATGCAGTAGCTCTCGGCAATGACAAAGAGATAGAGAGCATATCCAGTCCCTCCCAAAAGTGGTACCCAATCGACATTGTCGTAGGAAACGCTGATGCCACGACACCCATATGACATCGACCCTGTTTGCAGCCGAAACTTGCTTCCATTGCCACCTTCGTCAAGGAGACTTATGCTCATGGTCCAACCATATGCTATTGAACGCTTCGGATATGCCCAACTATCTGCGAACCACATCTGGCGTGTCTTGACTTCTGACGTAGCATCGAGAACACAATAGAACCTGACACCTTGACCTTGCCAGCGCCAGACTTGTCACCTGCAGGCCGGACTCGACATAGTTGTAACCATGCCAACACATCCCCTGCCCGACGCCATCGCCGAGTGCGTCCTTTCCGCCTTCCACGCTCTACCAGCCAAATGCAAGCCCCGAACGCTGGCATCCGGACGAAGAGAATGGGTACCCCTAGCGGGCATCGTCCTGAGTAAAAGTATGCACCCTACCTACCTTTGCTCGTAAAACCTTGCCCTAAGACGTGTGACTCACACAGAACGGGCAGAAAAGACAACAGCAGCAAGCCAGACCTGACATGCGCCGCACTGGCTACGGGCATGAAATGCCTGTCTCACGCGAAGCTACCGTTGGTGAAGGGGAATGTGCTGCATGATTCCCACGCTGAGGTGCTGGCGATTCGGGGGTTCAATAGGTGGTTGGTTGATGAGTGCGCTGAGCTCGCGAGGAGGGGCGTGAGAGGGGAGAGTGCGTGGGTGAGGTGGAGGGAGGCGGGAATCGGCAAACGAAGGCTGCAAGCCGAGACGCAGTGTCATATAACCCAGCAGCAGCAGCAGCAGCAGCAGGAGCAGGAGAGCGACGGCCAAGAATCGAGGACGAACTACGACGACGACGACAACGACACGACCGAACCCCAACCTTTCGCCCTCCGAGCCGATGTGGAAATACATATGTACGCCTCCCAAGCCCCCTGCGGCGACGCAAGCATGGAACTCATCATGTCCGCGCAAGAGGACGCGACACCCTGGTCCCATCCACCCGACCCCGACTCGATGCAGGGCAGAGGCAACTTCGACCGGCTCGGCGTCGTGAGGCGGAAACCCGCCCGCCCGGACGCCCCCGTAACGTGGAGTAAGAGTTGTTCGGATAAACTCGCTATGCGGCAGTGCACGAGTTTGTTGAGTGGGAGCATCAGTCTGCTTGTGCATCCGGGAAGGGCTTATGCGGCTACGCTTGTTTTGCCGGAGGGGCAGTATGTGGAGACGGCGGTGGAACGGGCGTTTGCGCCGACGGGGCGCATGAAGGGTGCCCCCTTGCTTGCGAAGGAGGGGTGGAGGGGAGGGTACGGGTTTAGGGGGTTTGAGGTCTTGACTACGAGGGAGGAGTTTGAGTACTCGAGGGAACGTGCAGCTTTGGGAGATGGTGGGGTTGAGGAGGAGGAGGCGGCGGCCGTGGGGAGTAATCTTTCGGCTATTGCTACGCTGTCTGGACGGGAGGAGATACTAATCAATGGTGTCCTGCAGGGGCGTAAGCAGAGCGATCCGAGGGGTGCTAGTTGTGTGAGTCGAAGGAGATTGTGGGAGGATGTTTGTGGGGTGTTGGATGTGGTTGGTTCGGACTCGCGTGGTGGCGATACTGTTAGAGGGATGAGGTATAGCGAGCTGAAGGTTAGTTTGCGTGCTCGGGAGGCGGTGAAGCGGGATGTACGACGAGTAGCACTGCAGGGTTGGAGGAGGAATGATGGGGACGATGACTGGTCGTTGGACATCGACAGCTAACAGGCGCAGTGAATGTGCCGTCTGCTCGCCTTTTCCAAATCTATAACTCTATAAAGCATGATCTTACGCGGCCGCCACCTCACCCCTGACGCTCTCCTTCAACTCCGCCCAACTCCCCACCTTCACCTTCTCCTTCGCCTCCTCGGCCTCCCGCTCCCTCAACCCACCCCGCTCAAAGCTCTTCATTGGCCTCAATCCATACTTCTCAAACATGGCCTTATCCGCATCCCAGCCCACAGCCTCAGTGGTCAACATCTTCTCGCCCGTAAACACCGCATTCGCGCCCGCATTGAAGCACAGAATCTGCTCCGCCTCGCTCATCGTCGTCCGCCCCGCCGCTATCCGGATGATGGTCGCGGGCATGACCAACCGCGCCGTGGCAATCGTGCGTAGGATCGCGTCGAAGGGGATCGGACGTTTGCCCTCCGGTAGCTTGTCCCCTAGTGGCGTGCCCTTGATCGGTACGAGTGCGTTGACGGGGAAGGATTCGGGATGGGCTGGGAGTGTGCCGACGGTGTGGATGAGTCCGACGTGATCTTCTGGTTTCTCGCCCAAGCCGAGTATCCCGCCGGAGCAGACGTTGATTCCTGCTTCGCGCACGTGGGAGAGGGTTTGCAGGCGCTCGTCGTAGGTGCGCGTGCTGATTACGGAGGGGTAGTGTTCGCGGGAGGTGTCGAGGTTGTGGTTGTAGGCGGTTAGGCCGGCGGACTTCAATTCGTGGGCTTGGTGGGAGTCGATCATGCCTAGCGTTACGCAGGCTTCCATGCCCATGCCTGGAATAAAGTGCTTGGTCAGTAGGTGTATGAGTAGCGTGTGGTAGATAGGTTGTTATACCGGTAATGCCCTCAACCATCGCCTTGACGTTCTTCAAGCTGGTCTTCCGGCCTCGCATGTCTCGCCAAGCAGCACCCATACAGAAGCGTGTGCTGCCGTTGCTCTTGGCTATGCGAGCCGCTTCCAGCACCGAGTCGACGGAAGACATCTTGGTTGCTTGCAGGCCGGTTTGGTAGCGGGAGCTTTGCGCGCAATACGAGCAGTCCTCGCTGCAGCCGCCGGTCTTGATGTTCATGAGGGTGCACATCTGGATGGCTGAAGGGCGGTGGAAGCGGCGGTGGAGCGTTGCCTGGCCATGCATCACCGTCTCAGCCTGCTGTATGGGCTAGGTGTGTTGGTGGAGGAGGAAAACATACAGACTCATGTGCCAATTGCATCAAGGGCTGGTGGTAGATCTCACGGATCTCCTCTCTCGTCCAGTCATAGCGAGGTCCCCTTGCGTTGACGGCGTTCCGTAGCACGACGCTCTCCTGCTCTTCTGGCGGTGGGGGAGGGGCAGAGGGGGAGACGGGGGAGAGGGCATCGTTGATGGGTGTGCTGAACGAACGGATGGTCGCTGCTGTGCATGAGCGAGCAGCTGCCCGGCGGGAGAAGAGGAAGAGAGCCATAGTGAGTGTGTGTGAAGAACAAAGGAGACCGAGGGAATTAACTGATTGATTGATTGATATTAGCCTACCCGCGGTATGATTTTCCCACCCAAGTGTGTCCTGCACCGAGACCGCTCGACGATGTGGGGCCTCTCTCACTAAATGCCCCGAATGGCGAATGGCGAATGGCGACAGCTGTGTCAAGGGTGAATTTGGTGGAGTTTGTTTGGAAAGCGGGGAGCTGCCGGGTACCTGAGAGGGTCAGCCTTAACCGTCCCTTCGATCGCGCTTATCAACTAAATTGATGCGCTAACCATCAGCACAACCTTTGCAACCGCAGTGAGTCGAGCGACCATCAACAATGGCCGCACTCGCGGCGGCGGCGGCGGCGCCCGACTATCGCGCCCCTTCAATCGATCCCGACGTGCAGACGACCCTCTCCGACTTCCTCACCTACACCGAACACTTCCCCTCCCACCTCACGCGTGCCCTGACCCTCATCGAGCATCAACGCGTACGCGCGGAGCAGAAGATCAAGCTCATCCACGACCACACCACCGCATACAGCATCCGGCCGAAGTTGCAGAACAAGCCGGATCCGGTGTTGCTGCGCAAGGAGGTCAGCTATGCGCTCGAGGAAGCGGAGCGCGCGTGTCGCATGGCGGTGGAGGAGGCGACGAGGCTGGATGAGACGTGTCGCCGTGAGGCAAGACGCCTCGACACCGTCACTGAACGCCTCAAGGCACAGCCTATGCCACCATCACGTGACCCAACCCCGGAGCAGCAGCCTTTGACCTCGCCAAATCTGAAGCGTGAGCGGCGCATGAGTATGGGCATGAGCATGCGCGCAGACGACGCGAAGCCGGAGAAGGCGAGCCGGCATCTGACGGACAAGGCTGCGACGAAGCTGCGCGGGCGCAAGATCATGGTTCCCGGCGAAGTACTGCCCCCGCCCGACCCAAATGCGCCGCTGGAGAGTATCTCCGACTACACTTCCCCGCGCGTCTCACCCCCGGCGGAGGAGATGTCGTCACCGAATGAGAAGAAGACCACGCCTCGGCCTCGCTCACGCACTCCAAAACTGCCGAAGACCGACCGCGACAGGAAGCTGATGAAAGCAAGGGGACCTCGCGCGCCAGGCCAACCGGGCACGAATGCACATTCGGCTGTGGCTGGCATCAGCACCTCAAACGCTCTCTTAGCTCTCACTGCACCGCCCGACGATGCCGTCAAAGGCAGTCGATGGTTGCCGTGGATGAAACTAACCGAGTTCGAGATGGCCAAACTCCGCAAACGCATGAAGAAGAACGCCATCTGGGTGCCATCGCAGACGATGGTCCGTCGCGAGCTGAAGAACCTCGGCCGCGGGGTCGGAGGGAAAGAAGCTGCGAAACAGGTAGCCAAAGACGGCGGTGCAGCGTTCGTCGACGAGCCGAATGAGTCCGACCCGACGAAAGTGGTCGTCACGGGTGAGGAGACGGCGACGATGAACGCCATGCTCGGCCCGCAGATATACGCAGATGACGAAGATGCAGACGCGGAGCTCATCAACCGTGGCATGCGGTTGAACGAAGCGAAGAAGCTAAAACGGCTGCGCATGCTCGAAGAACAAGCCCTGCAAGCGCAGATCGCCCGGGAGCAAGGCGTGGAACCGCCAACCGAGCCGAAAGCGGCCAGCGACACTACGGTGGACGTCTCGAAGAAGCGCAAGCGAGATGTAACTCCAGCTACAACCCTGCCTTCCGCGCGGGGGCAAGAAACACCGGATCCGCTATCGAAGCCCGGGCCGCCACCGAAGAAACTCAAGATCAGCACCAGCACACAAGGCACCAAAATCCCCCTGGCACCCGCCGGCGTCTCGTCCTCGCCCAAGTCGGCAGGTACCCGCAGCAGCCGTCGCGCCGCCACGCCCGAAGCGGCGCGGAAGCCCACCTTGATCCTGAAAGCGGGCAAAGCCGTCTCGGAAGAACCACCGAACCGTCGCGCCAGTCTGCGGAGGGGCAGTAATGCGAGTCTGCCGACTGGCACCCTTTTGACCTCGCCCCTGCGGAGTAGCACTACCGTGAAGCCGAGCGGGGGTGGGAATCGCAGGAGTAAACGGCCTGCTCCGGGGATCCTTGCGCAGACGGACGATGGCGATGCGAAAGTCGGCGTCTCGAAGCGGAAGGCTGCGCCTAAGCGGAAGGGCACGGGTGGTGCTGGTGCTGGTGCTGGTGCTGGTGCTGGTGGCAAAAGTGTGAACACCTCCGCCACTGATCAAACAACCACTCTCCAACCCGCCTTCGAGCCAGCAGGAGGAGTCGGCGCAGTTGGAGGTGGAGGGGAAGACTACATCGACCCGGACGAGCCGCGCTACTGCGTCTGCGGCAACGTGAGTTACGGCACGATGATTGCTTGTGATAACGAGGATGCGTGCGAGAAGGAGTGGTTCCACCTCGATTGTGTCGGGTTGGAGGATTTGCCGCCGAGGAGGACGAAGTGGTATTGTCCGGATTGTAGGAAGAAACTGAGGCTTGGGGTGGGCACGAATGGGCTGGTGGGGAGGCAGGTGGGGAGGTGAGGTGGGGGTTTACGATAAGGCTACTGTTGGGTTTGGGCTGTTGCTGGTCAGCGCTACCAATGTCCTAGCAAGAGTCTTGGGTCCGCTCGATTGCGCGAAATGAGCGCAAAGCCTCGAGGCACTATCTCGCAACACGAGCTTCGAAAGCATACTACAAACTCGCTTGAACGCTCCCGGCAGAACTAGAACGCTAAACAACTCATCTCTTCCTCCTCCAACAACAACAACGACAGGCGCACATCCGACCCACTCAACTAATCTTCCCAATCCGCTTCCGCGCCACATCCACCTTCCCCTGCACCCTCCCCACATCCCCCTCCAGCAAGCCCAACATCTCATTCTGGATCGTCAACTCCTCATTAATCATGATCCCCATATCCTTGAGCCTCGCCACCGTCTTGCCCAGACTCAGCACGTCTTCCTCCTGCTCCTGCATGATCTGTTGCTGCAACTGTAACACCCCTCCATTATCCAACTCCCGCGTCCGCTCCGTCTCCTTCAGCGGAGCCCCCAACACGCGACCGCTGGGTTTTGCGGGGCCGTGACCGCGCCACAGCGCTTCTTTATCGGCCGTGGATGCCACCGCCCCTCCCGAGCCCGGTCCGCCAGATGACGAAGAAGTCCCCCCGTTCGCCGCCTTGCCAGCAGAAGTCGCCATACTCCTCAGCAACCCCTCCAACCCCTCCACCTCCTTCCTCGCCGCCCCGAGTAAATCCTTCCTCCGCCTCACCTCGCCCTCGCCCAGCCGTTTGCTCCCACCGCCACCCCAGCCCGCTTCCTCGCTCGTTTTGCCCAGCCCCCGCAATCCCTCCTCCAACTGCGCGATCGTCGTGGCCGCGCGCACGAGCCCGGCCTTCGCTTCCGCGGAGAGGGAGTGTTGTTCCGCCGCGGTGGTCGCGGCTTCGCGCTGTTTGAGTTTCTGCCGTGCGGACTGGATCTGCGATTTCAGGTCCCGGTGCGTTTCCAGCCATTGCGTGGGATCTGTGATGCCGCCCCCGCCTCCACCACCAGCATTACTACCACTGCCATCGCCGTTTCCGGCTTCTGTTTTCGTGGACAGTTTCCCGTCCGCGCCAACCGTGCTCGTCCCGCTGGGCAGGTTGAGGAAGGTCCGCCATGCGCTGCTACTTCGCCATCGACCGTCGTCCGACTCGATGATGGCGCGGAGGTACTTCTCCAGCGCTTGTCGCCGTTCTGCGGTCAAGGCGTCGTTGTTGACGGTGCGTCGGAGCCAGGATTTGGCGGGTAAAGGCGCGGGTGGGGGTTGGCTGGTTTGCGATATGAGGGCTTCGTGGAGGTGGAGGAAGTCGGTGTAGCGTTTGCGCACTTCGTGTTTGCGTAGGGGCAGTTGCAGGGTGACGTGGTATTGGGTGTAGGGTTTGCTGTTGGGCGGGGTGGCGGTGGAGGTTGTGGGGATGGAGATTTGGAGGGCGGGGGCCATGGTGTGTGGAGGGTTGTGGTGGTGAGGGGGAGTGGTTGGGGGATGGTTTGGCCTACATGGGTGTGCACAGTGTGGACGGTGTGTTTACCAGGGTTCGTGCAGGCGGAAGTGTTCATGCGCCACAAGCGTCACGCTGCCGCAGCGGGAATCAGCATCCCCGATGAAGAAGGCAAAGCTTGTCTACACGACCGCGCCCTCAGCATCACTCACCGAGAACATGGTCGTGGCGAGTTAGTTCATCCTTCGCTCTCCCAAAGTCTTCGATCATGAGGGCGCGCGAGTCATTCGATGCTTTGTACAGATGTACGGTATATGCTCAGCAACGGCAGTATGACGTCTTTGCTTAAACGCTCCATCTGACTTTCGATTGGAGCAGAGCAGATGTTGATCGATCGCAGAGGCAGGCTAGGTATTCTTTGCCCTTCGTATTCATTTCACACTCCACCTCCCGGTGAGCCCTTTCATTCCCCATCTCTGCTTTGATCGTTCGATACTCTAAGAAGCCATGGCTGGTGACGACAGCCTAAGCGAGAAGAGAAGACTTGTACGGTTCGAGCCTCACGACCCCGAGAATCCGCAGAATTGGTGAGAGGAACTACCTATCGACCAGCCTGTTCAAGCGTTGACGCCTTCGTACAGGCCTCAATGGAGGAAACTTCTGGCATGGCTTCCCATCATCCCCGTCGACCTCTGCGTCAGCTTCGGCGCCTCCGGTTATTCCCCAGCGACCACTAAATTCACGCAAGCATTCGGAGTCTCGAGCGAAGTCGGCATCCTTGGCTTATCGATGTATACCATTGCCCTTGCACTAGGCCCGATGCTGAACGCTCCGCTCTCCGAGTACTATGGTCGTTTGCCCATCTACATCATCTCCTACGCTCTCTCCCTACCGTTCTACGTCGGTTGTGCACTAGCGCCGAATTTGGGCGGCTTCCTGGCGATGAGGTTCTTTTGCGGTTTGTTTCAAAGCGTAACAATCGCTGCTCTTGGAGGCACGATCGCGGACCTCTACACAGCGCATCATACCGGCTATCCCATGTCCGTCTTCCTCTGGGCTGCTGTCGGCGGCTCATCGATAGGGTTCTTTCTGCTCTCTTTCGTTGCCCAATACAGGCCCTGGTACGATATCTTCTGGGCTTTACTCGGCATATCTGGAGGCTGCTGGGGCGTCATGTCAGCCTGTCTTCTCTACTGCGGAGAGACTCGTCATAGCGTCATCCTCCGCCGCCGTGCAAATAGGCTGCGGAAACAGACCGGGGACACGACTTTCGATGTTCCCGACGATTATCGGCGGACTGACTTCTCGACACTCATGAGGGTTACGCAAACGCGGCCCTTCCGCTTTCTTCTACACGAAGCCATCATCTTCATGGGCGCACTATACAACGGCTATCTCTACGGCATTTCATTCCTGCTCAACGGCGCATTTACACTGGTATTTGGGCCTCACGGTCACGGCTTCGACACTTTGCACATCGGACTCTGCTTCCTCGGGATAGCGGGCGGTGTCACCGTAGGTCCGCTCACCAACATCCTCCAGGAGCAATACTACCAGCGACGAGTGCGTGCGGTGGATGGTGCCAACGTACCTGAGGCGCGTGTGATGATGGGCAAGATCGCGGCCGTCACACTCCCGATCTCGCTCTTCTGGTTTGCCTGGACAACATACAGCTTCGTGCACCCGGCGGTGCCAATCGTCGCGACTGCACTCTTTGGCTGGAGCTTTTATACCATCCTTTTGATGACCTACACATATACCGAAGACTCCTATAAGCAGTATTCAGCCTCCGCCTTGGCCGGTCTAGGTTTTGTCCGCAACATCCTCGGCGGTGGTTTCCCTCTCTTTGGCAATCAGATGTTCGAAAATGAGGGCTATCAATGGGCAGGTTCGATCTTGGCGTTCTTATCGCTGGTGTTGGTACCCATACCGTTCGTCCTTGACAGGTGAGTAACTTCCGCGATCGTAGTGTCATCATTGAACTATCATCCTGTCGATACCTGGCCGCAAAACCAAGCTGCAGACGCTGATCTGGTTAGGTACGGATTTGAGCTACGGAAACGAAGTCCTTGGGCTCGGGAACACCTTGACGAAAAGGGTGGGCAGATTGCTGAGGATGCTGGTGGGGAAGAGGGCCCGGCACAAGCGTAGAGCGTCCACGCCCGCGTTCATCCTGGCAGCGGTACATATGCACTGCTTCGAACCTAATCTACATTGTCACCGTAATCATCTCTCGTGCTCCAACCCTGTTCTAAGGGCGCGAGTGCGCGTCATTCCTGACGAGAGCACTTCGACACCCGCCAATTTCCGCATACCAACGATCCGCTACGCTTGCCCAAGGTTGAATTGCGGTACGGTGAGAGCATTTCATGCTCTGGCCTTGATTTCGAGCGAAGTCACAGCTCGCATTTAGGGTCGTCTCTTCACCGGCGAAACGGTCAGCTACAATAACAAGAAACCGTGCTATGAAGGTTCACAGTTGGAAACTTCGGAGAATTTGCGTGGGAAACTCGCACGTCATGCGGCTATGCCGGGCTTTCGGCGTCCTAAGCCGGTTCAACATCACCGGCCTATCGGTATTCTGAGTGGTGTTGCATTCATTTATCGCGGAGACCTTCTAAAAGCACCAGATGGTCCACGTGCTTGCTGGTGACAATGGAAGAACTTATACCGCCCAGTTTCCGCTAGATTGAAAGCAGCGTCTGACAGGTTGCGACAGGCTGAGACGAACTGGCAGCTGTGCTACTGCACACACGGGCGGCAGGGGAGATGGCGAAGCGATGGCGTCCAATTACCCGCCGCCGTACCGCCCGCACACGGGAGCTGCACATATCCCGGGAGTCTGACATCCGTCGCAGAATTGGGCACCTACCGGCCAGAAGGACGCCATGCGCGCGGCTCTAAAGTTACTGCACAGTTGCTGGTCAAATGCTATGTGCCACCGCCCAGTTAATCGGAATGCGCGGTTGTGGTAAGTGGTATCAATCTGCGTAAGGTACCTCGTCTGACGATTGGGCGCAGCTTCGCATCCACGCCATCCGTGTAAGAGCCGGCGTGTACAACCAGAAGCGAGCTTCGAAAGCTTCCGTCGGTCGTATGGAAGGGCGTTGCTATTGGCGTGTCACCGCTGCAGCCTGCTTGATGACCGCAGTAGCGAGGGTCAGTCATGGCACAAGTACGCCACGTGGCGTGCTTCAGGGTAAGAACGAGCATCGCTACACTACATGGCCTGCTGCAGGGTAACGGCATGATCAGGTATTTCATAATCTGGTTGGCCATGGTCCGCAGACACTAGCGGAAGTACACAAATTGCCTTTCGCGAGACCGTCAATGGTTACACCAAGTCGGGGACAAGTCCGCTCGCGGCCCGGCTGCGAGTCGTTTCGTTCGCGGCCGGATCGCTCGACAATCTTCGAGATCACAAACGGTGGCAGAAAGCCAGATGAACCAGAGCAGAGGGTCTGGCATGCGGACATGGACGTTCCGATTACTTCTTTTATAGATCTCCAGCTTGCCCACCCTTTCGACAGAGGTGCGTATCAGCGTTCACAGTCCGTGAGCATATTGCAGACCATATCAGCATCGGGCTCGGAGCGGTAAGTAAGACGGTGTTGCTGATGTTTCATTAGAGGATTTGACTTTTAGCGGAGTGCGGAGCTTGCCGAAGGTCTACCGAGTCATGGCGAGGCGAGATCATGGTCTTTACTCATATATCGACGGCCGAGATACTTTGGCCGCTGTGGCAAGACATGCAGCTTCGAACGAGAGAGCTCCATACCATCTGCGGGTCGTACCAAGTGTTAGTATCGCCAACTATCTACACAGAATACTGACGCAAAGCTTTGCACTATATACATCACTCGGCTTGCCATTCTTCTCCCGCCGAAAGTCTGAAAAGCTTCGGAGCTCAATCATTGCTGCATGCTATCGAAGTCAACATTCGGGTCTGTTGCACCGCCTCCACCACCGTTGCTGCCGCCGGTGACGCTCCTGTCTTGTGCGACATCCATATCGACCGGTCTTGGCGTAAGACCACTTGGTGGCAGTCCGCCAGCCATGTCTCCGAAACCTTGACCGAGGTTCGTCCAATCGGGATTGCTGTTGAACAGATTGTTATCATCGCCAATGGTAGGAGGGTCCATGTTGAACGGCATGAACCATGCAGTAGAGGGATCGCCCCAATTGCCGCCAGCGTTAGGATCCGAATAGCCGGAGAAGGCGTCTAAGTTAAACGGGTCCATGTTGCTCGACTGATCGAACATATATTGCTGCTGATGTGGGAAAGCATGTGCGGTGGCCGAGGGGTCGATGCCAGCGTAGGAGTTCAATACCATCTGCCTATCCAATTGGCTCAGCGTGTGCTGCGGTGCATCGAACAGTAACGCGTTGGGTGGAGGTTGAAAGCCTGGTGGAAATGCAATCGAGTGTTGGCGCGCTCCATCCATATCTTGCTGCAGATCTTGACCGTTGAGGAGGTTGCCATGCATGGGTAATGCAAACTCCCCGTCAGCCTTCTGTGGCTGAGCAGCAGCCTTGGCTGCAGCATTGCTCTTGCTGTCCGACTTCGAAGCTCGCCGCTTTTTGCTGCTGGCTTTCCTCTGTTGATGTTGCTGTTGCGTATGTGCTGCACGACTCGGTGGGCTGAGCTTGGAGAAGAACTCTTCGACGGTCTGTAGATCGCTCTTCTGTCCAAGTACGGCATCCGCGCCAGGTTCTTTCTTCACCACCAGAGAAGGCTCCTCATAGTCCGTGCCGCTGACACCATGAGGATAGCGATCGAACCAATCTCCGTATTGGAAGATCGCGCCATCACCACCGTCTGTATGCTTGCTCTGGCCTGCCCCAGACCGTGCAGCATCTGCGTGACGGCGGTACAGCTCTCGCAGATTCTCCGTTACGAAGTGGAACATGCCCCAGTACTTCTTCATCTTCGTTAGAAACTTGACGTTCCATGCCAAGTTCTGCTTGCTCCTGGCTTCCAACTGCGGATTCTTCGCAAAAGCACCGTTGATCTGAACGGTACTACTGAAGAAAGCGGCGTACCCTGCGAACGGCGCCACGACCAGATGATCCATAGATTCGTGGACAAGAGCAGAGATCTGATTGGCAGCTGCAAAGGCTGCTTTCTGAGCCTTCTGCAGGAAATCGGACGGCATGTCTTTCGGTAGGGCAGCGCGACTCCCAGGTGTCGGTAAAGCGAAGCGGTTAAGAAAGAGGATGATCTGGTTGTGTATGATGTGTAGGAATAAGAATTGGTTAGCGATATGCTCACTTGCGTAATTCTGCAGATTGTTGGGCGTGTAATGCAGAGTCTGCGGCAATGCACTTGTCCACTTGTCAAGCGAGCTCTGTATACTGAGAAACATGGAGCCTTCAGCCCACATTGGCAACTCGTCGCGGTCTTTGCCGCTGAGATTAAGATAGTGGATGACTCGACCCCAGATGGCAACTAGTCGAACAAGGTACGCAGCAACGCCCATGTTTTCCCTGGCGTTTGAAAGCTGGCCCGTATCTGGCGGGACTGGATGCGGTACGTTACCCTCAAGATCTTCCGTTGGCCCAGTGATCTCCATTTGATAGTAGCTTTCACGGATAGGTAGCTGTGCACGGATGAAATGCTCTGCAACAAAAGTAGGCCTGTCGGTGCCGCTCGAGGTGAAACGGTCCATTAAGAAACAACTCCACATCGTGCGTCGCCGGATCTCTCGATCAGTGAATGTCAGATCTTCGTCGCCACCTTTGCCGTCCGTGCTACGTCGAACTTTGGGGTCGTGGTCAACATCTCTGTGCAGCTGCAATGCATACGCCATACGTTGGGCCATGCCACTGAACATCCATGATCTACCGCCTTGACAGGTCCCAAATTCGTGCAATCCAAGTATGAGATAACAGATCAGAATGGTAATGTTCGGCGTGTCGTATCGTTTCAGTGCTATTTCACGCGCAGGTTGTGCCCAGTTCTCGCCTCGCAAGAAAGCTGGCTCCGTCCTCACAGATGGATGACTGGAGAAGCGCGCCGAGATAGCGCACACACACAACATCAACACTGGTGGCACCGTCCCCTGAGCCAACTTCCGCATGAAACTAGGCTTGTGGAGGAGATGATAGCTCTGACCGTAGACGTAGTCGAAGAAGACCTCGGAGAGATGTTCTTGCAGCTCCTTCGAAGGAAGCTTATCTGCACCTTCCATGAGAAGATTGCGCTCCTCAGCGTCGTGCGTTGTGACATCGTCCGAGCCTTGTGCGGCATTACGCTGGTCTTTCGTCACTGTGCCTGCCGCCTTTGCGCTCGCCCACTCGTCAAGCTCTTCTCCGAACGCTTGCTCGGCCACTCGCTTCTTGGATGATGACGGCTTGGACGGTGGTGGCGGAAGCGGTGGCTTGACCACAGCTCGGCCAGTATTCGAGACAATGCCCTGCTCATCTTTCGGTATGATTCTGATCACGCGATCTTCCATCCTCTTCAGCCGCTTGTCCAGCATCGCCATATAATCTGTTCGAGGCGCCGCTTTTCGGGTCGTGACCTTGTACACACAAGGTATCCGCGACCGGAGACAATGCTTACAAGCTGGTTTCTCACCCGAGCAGCGAATCTTCTTCCGCCGACAGGCAATGCAAGCCAGCGGTAACCGCTTGCGCTCCTTCCCCGCCTTAGTCTTCAGCTCGGCCCAAGACGGCGGTACAGATTGCTGTTCGCTGCCCTTCACGCCATTTGTGTCTTCGAAACTCTGCGCCTGAGTGTTGAGGGTATCATTGCTGTTGCTAGCCAAGGCATTTTCGCCTATACCGTGGTGGCCGTGCTGGGCACCTGGGCTCGTCGTGTCGGAGCCTGCAACGCTCTCTTTCCGCTCTAGGCTACCATAAGGCGCCGCACCGCTGCCGAAGCTGAGACGATGGTGATGCGTCAACACAGGCGACGTGCCTTTGTGCAGATGCGCTGAGGTGCCGATATGCCTGTTGAGCACACTTCCACCGAGCATCGTTGGCGAACGAGAGAAGGTCGAATCAAAGGTAGGCCCGTACGATTGGGTGCTATTCGCCGCCGGGGCAGATGTTGAATGAAAGGCGTTCATGGCTCCGTTACTGCTGCTTTGCATCATGCCCTCAATACTCACGCTCTGTGGCGTGCCAAATCCAAAGTCACTACCGGACTGGCTGCCCCCGAAGGTAGAGGCAGGTCCGATGGTGCTCATGTGTAGCAGGTCTGAGCCCGGGGAGCTGGGTTTGTAGTCCGAGGCCATTGTGTCCTGGTCAATACAAGCTTTCCAGACTTGTCCTCTGGCTAAAGTAGCACTGCATGTGCACGTCCAAAACGTGCGTTGTTGCTGCGCCTGTGAACAATGAGCGCCTATACGAGGCTCAACAAATAGAGTCGCCGAGGATCGCATGCATCAGCAGCTATGGTGAGCACGGGTGTCGTGTTATGTCATAGTCCAAAGGTCGTGTGATGGGTACAGCAATGGCGGGGAACTCTCCGCGTCTCTCGCAGCAAGATCCAGTGATCGGATACGATGAAGGCCATTGACGCAGAAGGTGGTTGACGCAGAAGGTGGTTGACGCAGAAGGTGGTAAGCTCGGAAAGTTAGGTGTTCGCCCGCCCACAAGAACCATGGGCCCGTTCACGTCACGTGGATGCACGTAAAGACTTGGTGTGGAGAAAGACGCCTAGGCTCCACAACATGGGGACGTTGATCGCCTTCGCTAGCCTTTTCCCCTCATCGGGTTGCGTCGCAAACGAGGTTGGTGCCAAGGAAGAAACAAGGGCCACAGATTGCAGTCTGTCTGGGTTGCGCCCAACAGGACACCTCAGATCATGTTCCCTCGCCCAGCTTCCGGGCCAGATATAGACAATGCGCTTGACAGATGCGGTGCGGCGATGCCACGCGAGCGCCACATCCGCACCCGTCTGAAGCTTTCGTGAATATTGATGTCGATTGCCAACTCTGTCGCCCATGAAGACTTAGACTTTGGACGAGCCTCTGGCGTACAAAGTACTGTAGGTAGCCATCCGCTCTGTCCAACCGCTCGCCCTCCAAATGTCCCATCCCGTAGCCGTGGAAGACATGTCGGGGGGAAAAGACGCGCGCCAACGCCATAGGTAAACGGCACCGCCAGCGTAAGCGAGCTCTAGCCAGCTTTCGGTGAATCCCGGAGGTCACTCCACAGGTTGACGTGGTTGAAGTATAGAAGCTACGGAGTGACAAGCATTTGCAGCTTCCGCATAGAGTTATCGCCTTGCGACTCTTGCGCCTTACAGTACCCTTGCGCAAAGCTAGAAACTTGCAACTGGGAATGCAGATGCATTGTGGCCGAGTGACGGCGGTGTAAGGTCGTACGAAGTACAAAAGCTAATCCAAACGTCAGTCGAGTTCCGGCAGCCGTGTGTTAGTACATGGCTTCTCAGCTTGCCACGCAACTGCGGCGTCCAGGACGTGTCATGGTTTCGTTAGGCGGATGACGAAAAAGAGATGCTTGTCAGGTACTGACAGGACACGAGCGTTATACATATTTCCACGCAAGGTAGAACACACGATGTCACGGAAGCGCGGCGGTCTTCCAATCAAACGTCTCGCGCAACAAGCTGATTCCAACACGATCAATTGCGTGGATCCATGCATGCAAACACTTGGTTCACAAACTCTTCGTCTATAACCGCTATCGGAAGCACCTGTCCAGACCGATATGCTTTCCATGTTTACGCTTTCTCAGCGTCCTTCTTCAAGCTTGAGTCTGTCAAGTAGCGCGCAAACGGCTTCATCTCGTCACTCTGGCTCCCAACAGCGCTCTCCGTCTTCGCCGCTCTGCGCCTCAGCCACGCTCGCTTACCGTATTTGTATGTCTCAACACCAGCGAAGAACAAGAATGATCCGATGAAGACAATAGCCCATTCCCAAGAGATTCCTGTGTGCTTGAAGACGATATTGCTCAAGCCTGGAATGTAGAGGATCGGGAAGATTGTGCCGAAACCAGTCATTACAGCCCAAAAGAGGAACTGGTTGTGCCAGATATCGATCAGCCATTGCGTAAGGTAACGCTTGGATCCGGGTTGCATGTTGAAGAAAGAGCGGCGCATGTCTGGTAGAGGTTAGCTAAGTATCACACAGTGGCCTGTCGAGTCGCGAGAACCTACCGATCACCTCCCATGCAAGAAAGAGGGAGAACTGCAAGCTTGTTAGTGTTGCTCAACCATTTCAGGTACTCTGTTGAGTACTTACCCATGTCAGCGTAGCAAAACAGGTTGCTCGTGCGCGGAACACGGTCTCACAACCGTCACCGATGCTCTCGTTGCATCGGAAGCCGATGACTCCGTCTCCGAAGCCGTATAGAACAATGACGAAAGCGGCCAGGCAGAGCGCTGCGACCCAGAACCCATAGACGACCATATCGCACAGAACCTCTACAGTGAACACGCCTGCCTTGAGGTTCTGCGGCGGGCGTTCCATAACATCAGGCGCAGCCTTCTCGAACCCCAGCCCCATATCCGGAAGGCCGGAGGTGATCATGATGATCCACAATATCTCCACTGGTGCGATGGGGAAGACAGATATGCCTTCACCGTCCTTGATAATAAGACCGATCAACAGGATCAAAGCCTGGGCGATGTTTTGCGCCAGCAGATGCAACACAAACTTCTTGATGTTGTCGAACGTCCGGCGACCTTCTTCAACGGCAGCAAGTATACTGGCGAAATTATCATCGCTGAGGATGATATCGCTCGCATCCTTGGCAACATCTGAACCCGCCTGGCCCATTGCTATGCCGATGTCTGCGCGTTTGAGGGACGGCGAGTCGTTTACGCCATCACCAGTCATGGCAGCAAATCTCTTGCGGCGATGGAGGGCCTCAATCATACGGACCTTGGTGCTGGGCGCGCAACGCGCGATGACGAGAGGTAGCACAGGCAGGTCGTCGATCTGGTCGTCTGTAAGCTTGTCAAATTGTGCGGCTGTCATCACCATCGAGTCCGCGACATCTTTGCTAAGCTCATGTGTGTTCTTCGGCAGGATGCCAACCTGGCTCGCGATAGCACGAGCAGTGCCTGGGTGGTCTCCTGTGAGCATATGGACTTCAATGCCGGCTTCGTGGCACTCCTTGACCGATGCGGCGGACTCCGTCCGTGGTGGGTCGTACAGTCCAATAAGGCCGCGAAACGTGAGCTTGGCCTCGATTGTGTTGCGGTCAATCTCGACCCCATCTTCATAATCCTCATTGAACTCCTTGCCTGCCAAAGCGAGCACTCGTAAACCAAGTCTGGCGAACCCTTCCATGTTCTCGAGGATGCGTTCCCGGTACTCGTCTGTCATCGACTGCAGTTCGCCGTTTCCCTCCCCCATGTACGAGGTACAAGACGTTATTACCCGCTCAACAGCGCCTTTGGTGAACGCGAACACCTTGCCGCTGTGCTGGTCTTTGTAGAGAACGCTCATCTTCTTGACATCCGAGTCGAAGGGAAACTCCTGCAACAGCTTCCACGCCGGCTGTTCTCCGGCAGTAGAATCACGCCTGTTCCAGCGGAAACGGGTGGCGAAAACCTGGATGGCGATCTCGGTAGGGTCACCACGCGCTGTCCAACTGCCGGTCTCGGTCTCTCGGACATGGGCCAGGTTCGCCAAGGAAGCAACACGCAGATACTCTTTCAGGTCGTCACTACGTTGCACAAGCTCAGCATACGATGTCCTTTCTCCCTGCCCCTCTTCACTCATCTCCCGGGGCTCCTTTGAGCAGTGAGATATCTCGCCCTTCGTAGGGTTAAAGGGTTCCTCGATGTCGCCAATGGTGTACGTGCCAGTGGCAGGTATCCAAGCCTTCTTGGCCACCATCTTGCCTTGCGTCAGGGTTCCAGTCTTATCGGAGCAGATATCGGTCACGCCGCCAAGCGCCTCAATACTGCGCAGATTACGTACGATCACATTGCGCTCCACCATTCGCTTTGTGCCAGCTGCCATAGTAATGGTAAGGACGACAACAAGTGACGCTGGTATCATGGACAAGCCCGTTGCAACGGCGTAGATAATGACTTCCTGGCGACTGAGGAAGTAGTTTGCGGCCAAGACGATGATGGTGCAGATGACGGCGACGAAAAATAGGAGCACGGCGAGTCTTGATAGCTTCTGTTGCAGTGGGGTGCCAATGTTGACACCAAGAAAGGCGCCAACTGCATCGTAGACAGTCAGGGCGGCAGCCTCCAGGTAACGATGCGGATGAGCTGTGCCGTCTTCCTTTCGCTTGACTGGCCGCACCTTGCCTTCCTTTTTACGCAGGGCAGCAGCGATGGTGCCAATCTCGGTGGACATGCCTGTTGCAAAGACAATGCCAGTGGCACGGCCCTTGGTGACGGTCGATGAGCTATACGCCACGTTCAGACGGTCACCGGGACCTGTGTCGGGTGCGAAGACGTCACCTGCGTTTTTGCGTACCGGCAAGGACTCTCCTGTTAGTAGAGCCTCGTCGGTCTCGAAGTTCACAGTCTCAACGAGTCTGGTATCTGCAGGTATAGTATCGCCTAGGCAAAATGTGTTAGCGGTGTAGTCCGCGGAAAATCGTGTAACCGAGCGTATACATACCAACCTTCAGCTCGACGAGGTCGCCCGGAACGATCTCACTCGTCGATATGCTGACGTTCTGCTTGTCGCGCACAACATTCGCAGTAGGCGAGCTTAGCGAGCGCAGGCTATCCATCGTCTTCTCCGCTTGAAACTCTTGGAAGAAGCCCACCGAGATATTGATGATGATGACAGCCGCGATCACGCCCCCTTCGATCCACGATCGGATGCCGAATGACACGGCCATAGCCTAAGGAGGAGTGTGTCCGTTAGCGATGGTTGAGATACCAGAGAGCCTTAGGGTTTCTCACTCACCAGAATCAATACTAATGTCATCGCGTTGGCGATCTGACGGATTAGGATCTTCCCAGGATTAACGCCACCGGCGTCGCCGAGCTCGTTCCGTCCATACTCCTCAAGTCGGCGTGATGCCTCTTGCGTTGTCAGGCCATCTTCACCGTCGGCCTGCAGTTCGCTTGCTGTATCAGTCCATTTCAAGGCGTGAGGGGGCTTAGAAAGAGGCTTGTTTGATTGTCCGGAGACATGCTCGTCAACGGGTTGCTTAGATTTCCCCATTCCAAGGGAACGTGTATTGAATGTTGGAAATAATGAGAGAGCTTCAGAACCCTTGCCACCTGCAACCGCTTTCCAGATGAAATGTAATTTTGAAAAAGTGACCAAGCACTTACATCACACAATGGGCAGACCTTATATATGGACCGCCTCGAGACGACTGTAGACGCAGAGCATTGAGCGCAAAGTCCCAAGACAGACAGCCTTGGCACCCAGAAAAGTATCATCACAGTAGCGAACCTTGTGGACGAGTAGCTCCAAGGTGAGCGACAGACCTTCGATGACATGTTGAACAGCCCCAGCATTCGAGGCAGGGTGAGCGTACGATGCAACCGCAAATCTCGATACATTCTCGATTTAGGTTATGAGGAAGTCGAGTGTCACACTGGAGGTATGAGTGCCATGTCAGTTAGCAATATGGCAGAATGCCCGTCCGCCACCGAACCTTCTCCGAGGAGGCTTGGACTGTGCCGGCCAGAGAGTGAGCGCCGAGCAAGATTGAGTTTCGGTACGTACGTCTGACCAAGTGTGGTCAGCAGAATGCCATGGAGTCTGCCATATGAAGGCTCGAGCCAAGCCCCGCTTGCACGGGGTTCCGCCCGCAAGGTGACGACTCTGCTTGGCGAAATTCGCCGCACGGCCCGACTCGGGCTACGTACTTCGAGCACACGACTACATGTAAGGGTCGTCGGGGACGAGGAGCTTGGCCCGTGAGTGACACGCCATCAAACAAATGAAACATCGATACTTCTTTGCTAAGCTCTTGCATTTGGACTGCTACCCGGGTATCGAACTACGCGAGATGTATTAGACCAGCCTCCTTGCTGTGTACGGATGGGCTCACTGGCTTATGGTTGCTCGCATTTGACGCATCACTCTTCATCGTCGTCGTCGAACTCCGCTTCCGAATCCCCATCGTCATCCATCTCAAAGCTGTCATCTTGAACATACTTGCTCTTTGACGCCGCAGCCGCAGCCGCGGCCCGCCTCGCAGGTCGAGCGGCAGACTTCGTGGGAGCGCCCTCGCCGTCACTCAGAATGTCGTTCGCTAGTGCATCCACGTCGTCACCGTCGTCAGAAGCAATGGGTAGCTTAAGCCTTGGTGCAGACTTAGCAGCTGCACCAGCCTTTGCTTGCTTCGCGGCGTATGCCTTAGCTGCTGGCGAAAGCGTTTTCGGTAGGGCATGCACGATAGCGGCTGCCGACGGCGCCTTCCCAAGCTTCAGGGATGCCGGAGACTCCTTGATCGCTTTTGTCTTAGATACCTTCGAAGCGGGCTTGTTCTTAGGCTTGATATCAAGAAGCTCATCGTCGTCGTCCGAGAGAACTGTATGACGAGCAGCCTTGTGCGGCGAGTTTTGTGCTAGCGCCGCCCAGTCCGTCTCATCATCTGAAACGTCAGAGTCTCCGGTAAGCTTCTTGCCGGGTCTGGCAGACTTCGAGCCGTGACTGCTCGTCGGCCGGGAAACGGAGGCTGGATGGAAGAGGCGTGTCGGTCCATCTTTGTTATTGTTGCCAATGCCCTTGACCATGGTGCTGACATCGTCCAGAGGCTCGTTGTTCAAGTCGGAATCGCCCTCGTCCGAGTCCACGGTGTACTTCTTCGGCTTCTGTGCGGCTGTTCGGCCGGTGCGCGTAGGAGCAGCGGACGGCTTCGACGCCATCCTCACGACCTGCGCGAAATCGTCGTCCTCATCTTCCTCCCTGTCGTTGCTCGTGGGCACCAGGTTCTTAGCGACCACAAGCTTTGTCGTACCTGGCTTGGAGCTTTCTCTAGCCACCGCGGTAAAAACGTCTTCATCGACGTCCCTGGATGGATGGGACGTCTTCGTCACTGCCTTCGGCATGACAGCCGGCTTAAGCACGTCGTCTACCGCCAATGCCGCCATCCTAGCAGCAGCCGTAAGCTTGGGCTTCGGCTTGTCGAACGCTCCGTCAAGGGTCATCTGTAGTTCTGCCGGCTTCACGACCGGCTTCTGCTCAACTCCGTTCACGCCAGCAGACTTGTTATTCAGCATGGCCAGCACTCCCCCTTTAGGCTTCGCAGCCTTCGCAACCGGCTTCTTGGCTGCGAAGTCAGAGTCCTCGGCAAAATCCGAGTCATCGTTAGCCTTGCGCTTTTTGCTGCCCCCTTTTGCACCTATGCCGAGCTTCGCACTCGCACGACGACCCTTCGACCTCACCTTCTTCTCCCGCTTCGCCTCCTCCTCGAGCTGCTTCTGCCATTCCTCAAGCAACGCATCAAGATCGGTCTTCCACAGATCCTTCGCAGATTTCTTGGTCAGAGCGTCGATCTCCGTCTCTTTGTCGCCAATCTGCTTCAACAGCTTCTCAACTCGCTCTTGCGTAAGCGACCATATGGCCATGCCAAGAAGGTAGTCATAGTCACTCGCTCCGGCGGCAGTATCTGCATCATCCGCATTCGACTCCTCGCCTTCGGTGCCCGGCTCGATAACGGCTTCGAACTCCCCTTCCTTTTTCGCGTCCACGACTTTGGGGAAGCGCGTGAAGCCAAGCTTCTGCAGCTCTGCGACCAGCACAGCCTTCTTTTTCTTGCTGACCACCAGCTTGCCATCAATGATCATCTTCACGAATCGCGCTTGGTTGCTCAATTTCTCAAGCTCCCTTTGCATCTCTGCGAGCATATGCTGCTTGCGCTTTTGGTACATCTGCAGACGGACTTGGTAGAACTCCTCCATGATGTCGAGAGGCGTAGCGTACTTGTGGATGCGACCGTGAGCGTCAAACGCGACGAGGTTAGATGTAGCCATAGGTTTGCTCAATTTGAAGAAATCAGCCAGCTTGCCTTCGTCGGATTGCATGCTCTTCTCTTCCATCTTGATGATGAAGTGCACTCTTTCAGGTGTATTGTATTCGACGTAATCCTTGATGAAAGAAGGGCTCTTCTCGGCTTTTATTATGTCTTCAAGCTTGTCCTTGAAGTCCTGCGTCCAAACGCGCACAGGCAACTCAGTAACCTCGACCGTGTTGTCGCCAGTAACGGTTATGACACCATTAAACTTGAATTGATCGTCACGAGTCTGCTCAACTGGTCCGGTCCAGCCTCGAAACCATGGAGTCATGGCTTGCATGGCATCCTTGCCGTCACCTTCCATACGGCGCTTGAGGTTCGCAATGACATCTTCGGGGTTATAGTTCGGGATAGATGTGCTCCATCCCGTACCTATTCCGTCAGCGCCATTGATTAAGATCATAGGCACAATCGGCAAGTAGCACTCCGGCTCGATGGTCTTCCCGTCATCGGTGTTGTATGTAAGCAATGCCTCGTCTGTAGTATGGAAGACCTTGCGAGCGAAGGGTGACAGTCTCGTGTAGATATAACGGGCGCTCGCGGCGTCTTGGCCACCTTGTAGACGTGAGCCGAAATTGCCTGATGGCTCGAGGCAATTCATGTTATTTGATCCGACGAAGTTCTGCGCCAGGCCGACGATGGTGCCCTGCATTGATGCTTCACCGTAGGCGTAGGCGGTCAGACCTGAGACTGAGCCGGCAAGCTCGACGACTTTGACGTCCTTCTTCAGGTTGCGTCTAAAGCAGGTGTACAGCACCTTGCGCTGGCCCGGCTTAAAGCCATCAATGACGGATGGGATCGAACGCACATTGTCCGCCATGGAGAAAAGGATGAGCTCCTTGTTGATGAAGCTGTCATAAGTAATGTCGTCCGTTCCGGACATGTCAAGATACGTGCCAGGTACGAATTCCTGCAGCCACTGCTTCCGTGCATCTGCCTTCTTCTTGCTGAACGCCAGTTCCAGTAGCTCCGGCTCACCGTCCTGAATCTTGTGAAACCGCTTCAGGTGCTTGTCGAGATCCGCAAAGTAGATCTGGGCGTCTTTGGTGTCAGAGGTACCCAACCCCTTGTAGTACTTGTGGTCCCAGCCTCTCTCATTACCGGGCTGCTCCTTCCAGGCCTCGTACTCCGGCATGGTAAAGAAATCGCGCTTCGCTTTCGGATTTTTGGGGTCGCCTCTCCAGACTTTGACAATAGGAGTGATGAACTCGAGCAGGAAGCCAGGGATCTTCAACAAGCTCGGGAACTGGACTTGGAGGAAGTTGATGAGCAAGCCTTTGATATGTGAGCCATCGTGGTCCTGATCGGTCATGATCATCAAGTGACCGTAGCGCAGTGACTTCGTGTCAGTATATTCCTTCTTGTGCTGCAGACCCATAAACTTCTTGATGTTCTGGATTTCCTGGTTCTTCGAGATCTGATCGATAGACGCATCGCGCACATTGAGCAGCTTGCCACGAAGCGGGAAGACGCCGAAACGGTCAGGCCCGACAACAGCACGACCTGCAAGAGCCAACAATGAAGCCGAGTCACCTTCGGTCAGAATCAGAGTGCACTTGTAGCCATCTTTCGTGCCCGCATCGTTGGCGTCCGTAAGCTTGCTGTTATTCATGCGCTGCCGACGATTGCCATCAGACTTTGCAAGAACCTTATCAGCCTTCTGTTGTGCAAAGTGTAGGATGTTGGTCACGGCCTCAGTCTTCGCAATGTCTTTGAGGAATTTCTCGCTGACCTGCGGCTTACTCCCAAATGCGCTAGGCTTGGTCGTGAGCTGCTCCTTGGTCTGCGAGGTGAAGGCAGGATTGACAATAAGCGCGTTCACGAAGAGGAAGATATGGTTTCGGATCTGTGCCTTCTTCAGCTTGACACCGCCCTTGTTCTTCTTGTTTACAATCTCCTCGAGCTTGTCGCAGATCTGGTCGGCAATGTAGTTGACGTGCGTACCGCCGGACGTTGTGGCAATAGAATTGACAAATGAGACCTGCTGGAAAGAGCCATCAGAAACTGCGAAACCGATCTCCCAGCGCTCGTGTGGATTGTCGGTAAGGATGACCTGCTCCGATTCTGTACCATTTGCCAGGTTCTCACTCTTGATAGCCTTGGTATACATCTCCATATACTGCTTGAACTTGCTGATTTTGATCCGCTTGTCGTTCAGGAACACCTTGACGCCTGTACAGGTACCAGCCATGTCGTAGACACGGCGCTTGACTAGCGCCTCGAAGTCATCGTCCATTTTGTCCATGCCAAACTTGCGGAAGTCAGGCATAAAGGTGATCTTGGTGTAGTCGTCCTCCTTGCAGGGTTCGATCTTGGCCGTGCCAATCTCCGACATATTCTTCTTCCAGGTCTGCTTATACTTCTGCTTAGTCTTTGAGTCTACCGTCTCCAGCTGGAATTGAGTACTGTAGATGTTTGTGAGCTTCGCACCGTAACCGTTGCGACCACCGGTGACCTTCGCTTCCTCATCATCATAATTGGAAGACGTGAGTAGATGACCGAAGATCATTTCTGGGATGTAAATGCCTTCCGTAGCGTGGATTTCTACCGGTATGCCGCGGCCGTTGTTCTGAACCGATATCACGCCCATCTCACGATTGACCAGTACGCGCATTTCGTTCATGTTCTTGTCGCGCTGTTTGTTGTCGGCAGCGTTAACCAGAATCTCATCGAAGATCTTGTACAGACCGGGTACGTAGGTCACCTTCCGGTTTTCCATCTGATCCGTCTCAGAGTTGTACACCCACATCTGCTCCGTGGTTCGCTCGACGGAGCCAATGTACGTATCGGGACGCTTGAGAATGTGCTCGAGCTGTGTAAGCTTCTGATATTGCTCCGTTGCGCTGCCCTTTGTCTTTTTCGCGGACTTCGGCTTTTCGTCTGCTGCGCCATCGAGCGTGAAACTTCCGTTCTCAACCTCCATGAGCGGCTTGCTTGCTGCCTTCTTCGCTGCAGGCGCCTTCTTCTGCTTCTTCGCAGAAGGAGGTGTGTTCGAGAGAAGCGAGTTGTCATGAACAGAATCCTCATCGTCGTCATTCTCGCTGTCAGAGTCCACCTTGCGCTTCCTCGACTTCGCTGGCGGTGCTGCTTTGGTGACTTTCAGCGTCGTTTGTTTCACGGCTTTTGCCTTGGGCACTGCAGGCTTCTTCGTAGGCGCTTTGGCTTTCTGCATGTTGTTAGACTCGGCCTCGTTCGTATACTCCACGACTTAGTACTTACCGCCTTCGCGACCGGCTCAAAGTCGCTGCTGCCGTTGGCCTCATAGGCAGAGACTTCCATCGAGTCCTCCATTGTTGGGCACGCTGAGATCCGGGCGCGTCTCAAAGGCGTATTATAGGCGCGCAGCGACTAAACAAATTGTGCCACTGACATAATATTTGCGGTAGGATGTCGAAGAGGACGAGCGTATCATCACCTGAACCGTGGTGACGTTCACTAACGTGTTTGAAAGGTGCTGCGCAAACAAACCTCGAGATTGTTTACGCCTAACGGCCGAATTCCGCGGTCGACGCGCCAAACGTAAGGCCTAAGGCAGCACGGGTAGCCAGCTTAAGTGAGCCGGCTTGGCGTACTGATGCGTACGCACAGTGAGCCTTGAGCTGGCGGCTGTCTTGGCGTAGTTCTCGTACTAGGTGCACCATACACGGTTCTGTGCGCAGCGTGCACATGCAGGTGGTGAAGTCGAGGTTTGGTTGTGGTCACACAACGATTTTGGATGGCGTCTGCTCGTTCCATTCGAATCCTCATTCGCAAACCGTGGTTAGTGATTCAGCTGCGGAGGGACATGTTCGTGTTTCGAAGGCCGGTAAAGCTCGCTCAATGTGAGCGCGAGTTGCAAGATAGTGAACTTAGAAGAGTAAAGCCACTGTTCGCACTTCACAGACCGATTTACATTCGCCTCCAACGCCGCGCTAAGTGTCCAACATGGATCAGCCCTTGAAGCCGCAAGGAATTGAATCTGTCTCCAGCGCCACCGCAGGTCGCCGCTTCAACGCACAAAATTCAGCAAATCACCCCATCATTCTCCAACTTGATTCCATCCACGCCTACACCATCTTTTGTCTTCCTTCTCTTCTCGTTCCTCTTCCGCCTCTTCTCTTCCCTCTCCATTTCCTCCGCCTCCCTTGCAACCTCAATCCTGGCCTCCAAGTCCACCACCTCCCTAGATCGCTCTTCGTCCCTCTTCCGCTTCAGCCACTCAAAACGCTCCTTGACCTCCTCCAATGTCGCACGCCTCACTTCCCCGCTCTCCCCAGTCGTCACAAGATGCTGCTTACTGTTCAGGTGCTCCACGAACTGCAAGTTGTCCTTGAAAGTAAGGTCGCAAGCATCACAATAGAAACCTGCGGATTTGCCGCGCTTGCCTTGACCCGCACCAACGGCTATGAGCTGGGTCTTGCCTACTTGATCGGCGACATTGAGCCGTGCTTTGCGCGCTTCGGTCTCCCGCACGTCCTCGGGCGCTACTGTGGGCCGATGGTATTTCTTGCCTTCGAGCGCGGCCTCGTAGCGGGCTTTGCCTTCTTCTTTCACCTTCTGCTCGCGCTCAGCCGCTTGCCGCGCGTATGCTTCGCGATCCCAGGTCTTGCGGAAGGAGGCATCGTTGGTCGTGGATGTGCCGTATGCGCCTTTGCGTTCCGCCATTGTGAACGTACTGCGAGACGGGAAACCCGACTGTTTGCGGTTAAGCAGCCTGGGACGGAGATGGGAGAGGAAGGTCAAGCGAGGCATGTGAAAGCGCCGCGCGAGTCATGACGGTCAGTGCATGTAATACCACGATCGGAACCAATACAAGTAGACCACACTATATCAGCTCACGGCTTGACATGGAAGACACGTGACCATCAATCGACAGCTCTAATAGCCCGGTAGCTGGTGATGATGCGCGGCATCACAAGAGCATGCTCCAAGCCGCGCCTACTACCGTAGCGCTAACAGCAACAAGGACTGCAATGTTGACTAGCGAATGCCTAATTGCCTTTCCTGCCAAGCGCCCGAAGGCTATCTGGATCGTCTTCGCCTCATTTGGTTTTGGAGACCGCACATTCTGCACATCTTCTTCCAGGAACTTACAAAGCGGTTCCCAGCCATCGCTAAGCTCGAATTCGAGCAACCTCTGCTTCGTCACTGTCCCCCGAATGTCGGCATAGTATTTTCGGTATGCTTTCCGTGCGTTCGATCTCGCTTGTGCCAGCTTCGTAGAGCCAAAGAAGCCATCCATCCAGAGCATGCCCGTAGTGACTATGCGACCGAACCGGAAGGGTCCGTTAAGCGCAAGACGTAGTGGCCGAACGGGTCAAAGACACCTTCGAGGAGAACGCAGCAGAAGGCATACCATTGCCCTTCATCTCGCTCGACGAGTACCGCCTTTGCCTCCGGGCACGCATTCAGCAATTCGCGCCAGAAGCAAACTGCAGGTGCATCGGTGATCGCGCCGCAGTGGCCCAGTAATTGATCCCACTTACGTCAAGTGAGAGGTTTGCCGATACCTTTATACGTGGAGCGCAAGGCTTCCTGCCACATATTGGTGTCGTAAACGTTACTAAGAATGCTGCTGTAGTGGTAAGGGGTGGGATAACCAAGGATTTTGAGCGCTTCTTGCATGCTGAGGGTGCCAGTACGGGGAGAAACCAAAGCTGAGAACTTCGAGTGGCACCACGCGGTGGCATTTGCGGCAGTCTATGTTAGCATCTGCATTGAGCATGACGGCCTAGTTTGAAAGGCAACCATAGTCAGCTGCTGTTGCCATTGTGGAGGGTACGTTCAGACTGTAACGAGAGTAGAAGGGAAAAGTCCAATGATAAGAACCGGATCACCTCTACATGGTAAGAGTCAGTCTATGCTTGGAAAGAGTACAGCACCACTTTGAGCAATGCGCTCTTTGTGAAGCGTTTCCATGGCTGATGGTACTGCTGCCACGTTGGCTCCAGCTTAGGAGGATGCACCCTTGGCACGCTGAGCCATTGTCGAAGGCGCAGGATGCAGCTCTGGCGACACGTTTTTGAACATGGCCCACGGTTACATGGGAGCAGGTTGCAGGGGTCTCTTCGGTCAGGCGGCGGCGCGGAGCAACGTCGAACCCTTTCCCCGCCAAAAGAGTTTCGGCATGAGAGGGCGTGGACAAGCCTCGTCGGTTACGGAGGTACACTCCTGTCAACGGAAAGTTTGTTGTCGCTATTTTAATATTCTTCTAAGGAGATCGCCGTTGTGAAGAAAGGCGGACGGTATAACAAGATGATTAAGGCGTGAGGCATTCGACGACGTCACACTGTAGGCCGTACAGGTAAATGTCAGCAGACTGAGACGAGAGCTCTCAACCTCCCGTTCGCTCTGCGTCATACACATAAATGCTAGAGACAACACCAAGGTACGACGTAGGAATGGCGCAGCAACCGGCGGTCGTCATCATCGCCAGACATGGTCCCAGACTGGACGCCGCGGATCAGTCGTGGCATCTGTCAACTCCCACCCCATACGACCCGCCTCTCACCTACGGCGGCTGGAACCAGTCGCGGGCGCTTGGCGTGCGCATCGCAAGTCTTCTCCATGCGCGAGAGCAACAGAGCGCGAACGATGCTGCGGCAAGCGAAGCTACTTTGGCCGACGGAGTCACCACATACGACTTCGCAAGCGGCAATAAGCGCAAGGACACGGGCTGGAGTGATCAAGGGGCTCGTAAGCGGAGGAAGAGACACAAGGTCGTCATTCATACCTCGCCTTTCCTGCGATGCGTCCAAACAAGTGTTGCCATTGCTGCAGGCATGGCCCAATATCAGCCTTCCGCGACAGAGTCAGGCAGTAGGCCCACCTCGAAAGGCCGAGCGATGCACTCTGCATCTCCTCGCCTTCGCGGTGTCGAAGGCCTGGCCTCTCCACGGCTGGACCCAATCGTGGAACCGAAGAACGACTTCGCGCACGCCATAGCGAGAAGGGTGTTGGGCGAGCCTCGCCGACATAGGAAGTCGAAGATGCGAGTCGACGCTTTCTTGGGCGAGTGGCTGAATCCGCAGTACTTTGACCAGATCACACCTCCTCCGCCAAGCGCATTGATGGTAGCAACAGCCAAAGCGGAGCTGATGCAGAACGAGACTGTGGACATTTTCACACCTACGCTCAATACCAAGACTTCCAACAGCAGTCTCTGGAGCGGCAGCAACGTACAGAAGCCGACCACCAGTGGTGGCAGCAAAGACTCGCTGGATGAGTGGGAAGAGGTTAATACCGCCTTACTGCCTCAAGGGATCAAGAGGGACCGCGCGGGCAGCGTCAGCAGTATCGGTAGCAATGAATCCGGCTCTGGCCGCCGCTCTCCGTTCCGAGGTAACCATGCGATGCAACAGCATATTTCCACACTGCCTAAACCCGAGCTCAGCGTGTACATTGCACCGACGCCGCAATATGCGGTCTCTGGTTCTGACTACATCCCACGTGGATATGTTTCGCACGCGCGCCAGGCCTGCGTCGATGTGGATTATCAATGGGACAGTAGTCGGCCACCACAAGATTGGGGCGATGGCGGTGAATATGGCGAAGAGTGGTCCGGGATGCACAAGCGCTTTAGGAAAGGCTTGAACCATCTCGTGCACTGGTACAGCCAACATAATGCTGATGACCGCGCGGAAGACGCTCTTGGTTTTGATCAGGCGGAGAGGCACGGTTTGGACGATGAAGAGGAGGACTTGGTTGTGATCATGGTCACGCATGGCGCTGGGTGTAATGCTTTGATCGGCGCTTTGACAGGCCAGCCGGTGTTGTTGGATGTGGGCATGGCAAGCTTGACGCTGGCGATCAGGAAAGATGACGCGCCGGCCGTTTCTGATTCGAAAGACGTTCTCAGCCCCGAAGCACGACCACGCATCAACCGTCATTCCCGATCTGCGAGCACCCTGGACGTCGGTCTCAGCTCGATCTACGAGATGAAACTTATCTCTTCCGCCGAGCATCTGCGCCCAGGAGCAGACCCTACGAAAATTCCTTCTTCAACAACTACTACATCAGTCGGAACATCGGGCGCACGCAGCGGGCTCACTGCGCTTCCCAGACGATCAGGCACTGGAGTTGACAGCGGCACTCGCAGCAACACTAGTACTGTTCTTGGCTCCGTCCGTAGACCGTCGGCTGCAAACATTAATGCTCCGCCTACTGTGCAATTGCCCGGACCCGGCAATCTTCCTCGGAGCCATACTACACCTGCCACCAACGGCTCGTTCAATACAGGACTTTGGTCGCCTGCACCATCTGTGTCTCCCGCTTTGTCAGCTGCAAAGGGAAAAGACGAGCGCGGCGCCGTCTTCAGCTCGCTCAATGACCCCACGAGAGAATTGAGCCCGGACCACGACAGGGCATTGGACTTTTCGAACTCGCCGCCCGACTCGCGTCCAACCACCTCAGATGGCGCAAAGCCGAGTGCGGCGCCGACGACTCCGTCATCAATGGCTACCGCTCTCAACGGCGGCTTTGGGCATGATGGCACCACGACCACCAGTAACGATGACACCGCGGCCAACGCTATGACTTCTGCGGAAGCCGCCGCGCAAATGATTGCCCAAGCCAACATAGCGCGGGACAAGCGCGGCAGCCTATCCGATATCAGCTCGCTGCCCACGCAGCCACCACAATCGTTGAGTCGTGCGCTCAGTCAGAAGGGTTTGTGGGGTGGTGGAGGCAAGGGTGCCGCGGTGGAAGGGGACAAGGTGAAAAGACAGTGGCCGGCAGGAGTGCGGGAGCCAAAGCGGCGGTGGACTTTGCACCAGGATGATTAGGTTAGAGCGAAGCTCGATGGGGAAGGTGGGAAGAGTTTGGAGCGGTTAGAGACCGAAAAGCGTCGTATCTCGTGTTTGGTAGACTTGCTATAAGTTGTATACCCGACCGCTTAGTCCAGCATCGATTAATGTCCTTAGGAGTGTTGATTCTTTAAGACTGGTGGCATACTGCATCTCCGACTCGTTGCAAGCTCGTATTCATTCACTTCACTGTTTCGGCCTCAGCGTTTGGCCCCACTTCCGTGCGCTCCAATAGCTGTATGGAAGCGGCAACATACATCAACACTCACCAGCTACGGTCGGCAAGCAATGACTTCTTCCAGCCTCGACCTTCAACGCATACTTGACTTATATCCACAACTCGCCCGTGGACCTGGTGGCGTCGCAGCAGTCCTGCGAGATGGCAAAGTCATCGCTCAAAAGGCCTGGGGCTACGCCAACTTGGAACGCCGAAGTCCAATGACAGCTCAGACGCATTTCCCAGTCTGCTCAATCTCGAAGCAGATGATATGCCTGGTCTACGTGTCGTTGCTGAAGAAACCAACAACCCGAATGCGGGAAAGCGAGCAAGATCCAGTTGCTCAATTCGAAGCAGAGCTCAAGAACCTTCTACCTAATCTACCGTTTGGAAAGGATGCTGAGAAACTTACAGTCGCCGATCTGTATAACATGCAATCGGGGATCCGGGACTACTGGGCCATGACCACCCTTTGGGGCGCACATCCCGATGGCCCTTTTTCGCTACTCCACGATGCCCCCGCCTCCCTCGAGAGGCTTAGGAGTTTCCACTTTAGCCCAGGAACAGAGTATTCGTACTCAAATGTCAATTTCCACGTCCTTGGCCGAATCCTAGAAAACGTCTCCGGGATGTCGCTGGCCCAACTCCTCGTAGAGCGCCTCTTCATCCCGGCAGGCATGAGAACCGCGGCTCTGTGCCCCAATACCGCCGGCCTGCCACTACCAATTACGGGATACGAAGGTAATGACAGAGTTGGCTACTTCGCTGCCACGAATCGTATCGAATGGGCCGGTGACGCAGGGATAGCTGTGACGCTGGAGGACATGATCGCCTACGAACAGTACCTGGACCACGATCCTGAGGGTCTCTACGCCACAACATCTCAGCAACAAACCTATAGGGACGGCACGCCAGCAGCCTATGGTTACGGCCTTGCTCGCTTCGAAACGGCAGGCAAGTCCTGCATTATCGGGCACGGAGGGGCCCTGGGAGGGTATCGGCATATGCGGCTCAAGGTTCCTAGTGAGAAACTTTCTCTAGTTGTGATGCACAATCACGAGAACCCGCGGACAGAAGCACTCGTAAAGCAGATTTTGGGCTACGAAGAGCCTCAACGAGAAGTCTTCGTGCCGGGAAAAGAGTGGAAGGGAGACTGGCTGGACGCCGAGACGCAGTTGGTAGTCACTGTTGAAGACGGAGACAGGGAGAAACCTAATACCCTTTCATTCAACTACGGCCCAGGGACTAGCGGCGAGACCATTACCCTGACCTCATCGACCTCAGCTGAATCCACAAGTATGAAGGCCACATTGGACGGCGATGTCCTGCACGTGGATCGGATTGGCGACAATCGCCATCTCGATTGCCAGAAGATCATTCCCCTTTCTGCTGACTCCCCTGCGCTGACGGACACTGCCGAATATGTCGGCACATACTACTCTGCCGAGTCCTCTAGCACGCTCCACATCACAGGTTCAACCGGTACACTCTACGGTTCTTTCGACGGTTTCCTCGGCAAGGGACCGATCTGGCTGATGAGGAGGCTGGGAAAGGATGAATGGGTGCTGGGCAATCCGAGAGCGATGGATCGTACGCCGCCAGGGGATTGGACAATAGTGTTCAACAGAGAAGGAGGAGAGGGAAGGCTGAAGGGTGCCAAAATAGGGTGTTGGCTCGCTAGGGGCGTGGAATATGTCAAGGAAGGGGGAAAGGAAACTGATGTTGCCATGCGGTGAGCCGAAGGGTGTACGTTGTATGACTTGGTGATGTTCAAGCACGGCGCGACCGTGCCGCAGCGAAGTCGTGCCACCAGTCACATCGCACCCCAGCAATGAACCATTGTCGATCTCTAACACTTGACGAGGAGCCGCATCCTGCGACTTAGACAGCTCTAATACGATACTCGGCAGCATGAACACCAGCCATTGCCAAGTCCAAAGACGACGTATAGCGCGGTTTAGTAGAACCTTCTGTCCTCGCTTGGCGGCGGAGGTTCCAGGTATGTAACCTATCCCATTATGTTGCTGACACTGCGCGCTTCGCTCGCATTATTTGGGAATGCACCATAAGTCTATGTGGAGCCGTACTGAAAACTTGTCAGAGGAGAGTAACAATGAAGACGGAGCTGAGCGGTCTCGATATCCCCCGACACACTAACCCATTATCGTATGCGATCAACGCTAACCGACGCTCGTATTCTCTGCTCTCTGCTTTGTCACTAGTGGATGGCATGATTGGCTGGCCGTAATGTACCAAGCAACCATTTCATGCTGCTCTGCACGTTCTATCGACGTCAAGAGACCGTGTCGATGCCGCAATAGCGATCGCTCCGGACATTAGCGGTGTCATGAGTTACCGTCGGCGCAACTCGTGCGATGAATGTAGGTATAAATCCTTTCCCCCCAACATCGAAGCAACCTTTCACGCGCTACCTAGGCATTGCTCACTTCTGACACGTCAGGAAACATCAGCTTGATCCTTGACCAGCACGACCACAACGTCACCATGGCGAAAAACTACATCGAGAACGTTGCTATCGTTGGTGCAGGCGGTCACGTCGGAAGCTATATGTCGAAAGCCTTGGTCGAAGGCGGCAAACACAAGGTTACTGCAATCACTCGGCCAGACAGCACAGCCAAAATTCCCACTGGTGTTGCTCGTGCCGAGGTCGACTACAGCAGCCATGACTCACTTGTCGAGGCTCTTAAAGGCCAAGACTTCCTGATCATTACGATGAATGTCATGGTACGCATTGAAGACCTTAACCTCTGCATGCCAATATGAGACACTGCTAAAAGTCGTCTTCGATAGGCGCCACCAGGCTCCCAGGAAAAGCTCGTAGATGCAGCACTCGATGCCGGTATCAAGTTCATCATGCCGAACGAGTACGGCGGGAAGTATTCTGACGAGAAATATGCTCAAGAAGTCGTCCTCGGCATGAGTGCACTTAAGGTCCGTCGTTACATCGAAGAAAAGGGCGGCAACAACATGCACTGGATCGCACTGTCATGTGCCTTCTGGTATGAATTCTCCCTGTCTGGAGCCGAGATGCGCTTTGGGTTCGATTTCCTCGAGAAGAAGTTGACGCTCTTTGACAACGGTGACTTCAAGATCACCACTTCCACATGGGACCAATGCGGCCGGGCCGTAGCTAAATTGCTCTCACTGCCAATCGAGCCAGAATCACCGGGCCAGCTGAGTGTAAACAGTTACAAAAACGACGCTGTCTACATCTCTTCATTTTACACCTCCCAGCGCGATATGCTGGCTTCCGTGCTGCGTGTCACTGGGCAGAAGGAATCTGAATGGACCATTACCCACGAGAACAGCAGGGTCAGGTATGAACGTGGTCAAGCCATGTTCAAGCAAGGCGACTTCCACGGCTTCGCCATACTTCTATACGCTCGCATGTTCTTCCAGGATGGGTCGAGCTTGTTCCTGGAAGACTTGCAGAATGAGAAGTTGGGACTTCCGCAGGAGGATCTGGACAAGGCCACTGCGTTAGCCGTCAGGTTCGTTGAGTCTGGAGAACACAAGGGCTGGGTATTTTAGTGGTCGAGTTTTTGGATGATGGCCAGTGATCTTTACGAGCGCTTCAGAGTCGGTTGATGCGGGCTCCATGATCACAGCGCAACAAAGCAGTAGTATAGCGAAAGCGCTGAAAGCGGATATCCGAAGTAGCCTTTGACACATTGAGGGTGGGCGAGGCTAGGTAGCATTGTAGTAACCGCGAGAACGCACACACTGGTTTGACCTCCCTTCCCTTATATACGCCGTATCGATAATTTGGGGAGGGAAGATGAAGTGATTGCTAAAATGTGGTCCATTATACCCGTAGCGGAGCTATTCCGCTCTCTCCTCGGTTTAACACGAAATCGGCGGAGTTCAAAGTTCGATTACATGTGTAGTTGCAGCCCATGGAGTAGCTGAGGATAAAGGTTCCGGGCTGATTCATCGATGCTTTCGAGTGCATGCCGCCAAAGCTTCAGTGTACTATCGACAGCAAGGCGCAGCTGGCATGCTCGACCAGCACAGACCCCAAGGATAACTATAAGAACAATGTCCCATGGGCACAAGCAGCCGGATTACACCACATACACTCATGCCGACCTCTTACAACGCGTGTCGGATCTGGAAGCTCAACTGCGCCGTCTCAATGTCTCTCATGAGTCTTCAACACCTGCTTCTGCACCTGGGAAGAAGTTGAGGAAGAAGGCACACAAAACGTTCGATCCAAGCAAGTATACCACACGCCTCATCGCGCTCAAATTCGCCTATCTGGGAGGCGCTTACAACGGCTTCGAGCACCACGCGAACAACACTACGCCCTTGCCGACTGTCGAAGAGGAGCTCTGGCGTGCGCTGAGGAAGACCAAGCTCATCTTCCCGGAATTTGGTGGTAGGAGCGAGGATGAGGTGTGCTGGGATGGTTGCGAGTATAGTAAATGCGGGAGGACTGATCGGGGAGTAAGTGCGTTTGGGCAGGTGGTCGGGTTGAGGGTGCGCAGTAGTCGGCCCAAGGCGGAGGCGACGGTGGATGTAGGTTCCATACCTGGCGAGAAGGCTGCCGAAGACGATAAAATGCGAGACGTGGAGTCCGCAGGCCTCTCTCCGATAACAGAGCAGGGAGCGTTCGAACACGCCAACCGGCTTCAGGACTGGCATTCAGTCCGCGATGAGCTGCCGTACATGCAGCTTCTGAATCACGTACTGCCTACCGACATCCGCGTCCTCGCGTGGTGCCCCCACCCACCACCCAACTTCTCTGCGCGCTTCAGCTGCAAGGAGCGCCGATATCGCTACTTCTTCACGAACCCCGCTTACGCTACGCCACCAGGTCCGAAGAGTGGAGAGGGATGGCTTGACATTGAAGCTATGCGCAAGGCAGCGAGGAAGTTGGAGGGTCTGCATGACTTTCGAAATCTGTGTAAGGTTGATCCAAGTAAGCAGATCACCAATTTTGAACGGCGTGTCTTTCATGCAGACATTCACGCCGTGTCATCCCCACGCTTGCCAGACTCGCACTTAGCCCTCAGCAATGGTGACTTACTGAATGGTGAGATGCCACCCATTGCGAAGTTGTCAGAGCCCGCGCTTTACTACTTCGAAGTCCGCGGGTCGGCCTTTCTCTGGCACCAAGTCAGACACCTTGTTGCCGTCCTGTTTCTGGTCGGCCAAGGTTATGAGCAGCCTTCTCTTATCGACCATCTGCTCGACATAGAAGGACATCCGCGAAGACCATTCTACGACATGGCCGATGACCGGCCGCTTGTGCTGTGGGATTGCATCTTTCCTAATCAAGCTCAGCTTCTGCTGGGTGGTCAACATCAACCTCATGACGGTATTAGCCAGCATGACGGATATGAAGATGGATTAGATTGGGTATATGTTGGAGACGACGCGGGCAACAGAGAGCCTTCTAGGGGCGCCGTCGACGAAGGTAAGTTCGGCCGCAACGGCATTATGGACGAACTGTGGGCTCTCTGGCAAGGCCATAAGATTAATGAGGTCCTCGCTGGAAGCCTAATGGATGTGGTCGAGCGGCAGGGTAGACCTTTGTCTCCTACAAGAGACGTGCCGAGCGACAATAGCCACAACCATGTGCGCAGCGATCGCGTCTTTGACGGCAGTGAGCGCCCACGACCGGTAGGCAGGTATGTTCCTGTCATGCAGCGGGAGAAGATGGAGCCGGTGGAGGTTATCAACGCGCGGTATACTGCGCGCAAGGGTCTGCCTGGCAAGCGCGTCATTGGCGACGACGGCCAGGACATGGACGAGTAGTTGTTAGGAAGTCTTAGGTCTTCGTAGGCTCGTACAAGCAGCCCTTCGCGCCTCGCCAGACTTCCTCTAGGATGTGCCGTCGTGGGAGTATGCTCTGTAACAGCCGTTAGCTTGCAGTGACCCAGTGCGACGCAACGCGCGCGTTTAGTGGCCCACCGGAAAGACCACTACAACGTTCTCCTCCCCTTCCACCACGATGCTCAAGTAGTACTTCACCGTGAAGCCTATGAACGCCTCATGGATGAAGATGTCTTGTATGGAGCTGGTCGGGATGAAACGCGTACTGCTCGTCCAGAGAACGAACGGCGAGGATGTGGAAATCTGCACACCCAGACCCCTGATCACGAGTAAAGACTCTGAAATCGATGATCGTATCGCTGTGGCGTAAAGTGTGAGGGCCACCAAGATGAGACGGTACAACCGTGGGACAGTCTGGGTAAGCACGCCGAGCTGCACTGCCCCTATCTCTGGCGTGGCCTTGACAATGACTCCAGAGAGCGCATGGTTGGCAAAAAGCATTGCGTACTCGTTTGCTAGCACGAGAATGACGGCAGTGACCGCAAGTAAGCGAAGAATCAAAGCAGCGGAGGTCGTTAGTCGATCGGTCAACGTCGATACTGGAGGACGTGCGGAAACAATGAATAGCACGGTAGTCTCAGTCGGGCGCTTGACTGAGAGTCGCATGGCTGCGTCCCGGTCTGCGACTAAAGGTATAGCATGAAGTCTGCTTCAGAAATTGATGTTGTGCCCGTCAAGGGTGATGTGGAGCACTCGGCTGTTCGGTCATCGTTATGAACATCTTGAGGTCAGGCACACTGATATCTCCATTGCTGCGACACTAGCGCGTGAACGGAGTTGACCATTGCTGGTGCATGAGAGAGTGGGCAAAAGGTAAGACAACGTATTTGTTTGTAAACGTCGGTAAGTGAGCTGCAGTCGGCCGCTGGCGGCCGCGCCACAAGCCAACCAACGCCGCACCCGGCTTTTGCTCCTGCATCGCTACATGGAAGTTGAGGTGACAGACATGGCAACGGTGTTCGCTGCCGGCTGGATGCCTATCACGAGAGAACATGCAAGTCTTTGGAACCATATCGATCGCCTCTTAAGAAGAGATGAACTGGGTATAGCGCAATGACAACATTCAACACCAACGGCGCCTGCGCTTGGATCAAACAAGACTAACGGAACCCCGTCGTTAGTCCTCCCATGGTATCTCGCTAGGTTCAAGCCTGACACAAGTCAGATAGCCCAATCCAGCAGGACCAAGGATGCTGAGGTCAAGCTCCAGAAAGTTCCGCATCAGAGGCTTAGCAAGCTCTCGTGCCAGGTCCTTGATCTCTTCCATGCGTCGCTCGAACCGCCGCAAATTGTCGCGCGTGTACAGGTCAGGCTGGAGCTTGAGAAAACGTTTCAGCTCCTCATGGTTGAGGTAGGCATTTGGCATTGAAGAGCCGAGTAAACGGTACACCCTTCCAGGACTAGGCGCCGACGCTGATGTCGGCGGTGCTGGTGGAGGTGGTTGCGCGCGTTGCGAGGCGATGTGATTGCTGCTGCTTCGACTGTTGGATCGTGCCGTGGCTGCTGGCTGACCGGTACCTGGTTGACTGCTGTCCTTTTTCATTCCTGTAGGAGCTGGGGTCGTGTTTTCGGCCAGCCATTGGCGAAATAGGCTCATGCCCAGCCAAGCCAGGTAATCGTTCGCTGGTGTTACCCTCTCTCCTCGTGTAGTCGTGAGGCTGAGCCGCCATAACTTGAACTCCACCCTCTCCTCCTGCTCACGCAATTCGTCCACTTTATCCTCGATCAGATCCATGACCGCAGCATCGATCTGCCCGCGCAGCTGCGGTGCTGCAAGCGGCCACTGCCCGACCACATGTATTAGAGATTCCGTGAATATAGTGCGCGACCGAGCCAAGTAGCCTAGCTTGAGATACGAAGGCGGATACTTGGCGATCTGCTTGAACAGTCTTGCGCCAAAGCGAAGTAGATGATGGTCAACACGTGAGCCCACGATCTCTAGCGCATCATACATGTCGGCCAGGTGCAACAGCGCTTTACACTCGCTGTAGGCGGTGGCGATGTTAATGCTGTCCAGTATCGGCGGGTACTGGTACATTGTGCGGAAAAGGTTGTCGTAGTCTTTGAGCACTTCATCGCCATGTTCTGCTGGAACGCTGGACTGCGAACGCTCATGCAGATTGAGGGCGGAGAAGTTTGTCATGCTCCGGAAGAAGTGCTCGTTCGACGCAGGCGGCTTGTTGCGGACGGGAGGCGGTGCGCCGCCTCCAAACATGGACGACGCCTCGTCTTTCCGTACGAGCATCGGCGCATCGTCCTCTGGCGTGTGCTCCCAGTCTAGTACGTACTTCCACCGCTGTCTCGCTGGCTGATCGTAGGATGGTCGCCTCTCCTGGCTGCTTGCACGCGAGCTACTTCCAACAGTCACGCTCTCATCCTCAGCAATCCTCGTCAGCGGACCTGCACCTGGCTGTTGTCCGCTCCACTCTGCACGGGTGCCTGCCTCGAAGAAGCCTGAACATTGGCTCAGGATCAGTCGGTGCAGCACGTAGCGGTTTTCCCGTCTCCCGTCCGTGCTCGTGATCAATATCTCCACGTCGCCGGTGTAGGAGAAGACTGGAAACTCGTTCTGCGGCGCGTAGGGTGTCGTGCCACCGTGGTGAGTGCGCGCATGACGATGTCGCCTTGTGTGTGAACGGCCCGATGTCACTGACGCCGCACGAGGCGCTATTGCAGGCGGTGCGGAGGGTGCGGGAGATGGTGAGTCCTGGTACGAGGGTATTCGGTGATGCGACACCATCTTTACAATCAACGCCGTCGTTATATGGCACTGGTATTGTTCTCTGTCCTTTGCCTCGAGCGCATGTCCTCCGCCCCGAGGTGCAAGTCGTGGGCTGTTGTAACACGCATACGCATTCACCCATATGGCCACATATTGACACTCTCCACGCGACTGTCCTGGGATCTCATGGCGCACGCGACCAGATGAGAGAGTCTCGATCCCAGCTCGATCAGAAACATCTCGCTTTAGTGACCTTCATAGCGGCCTCTTCACAGCCACTCAAGGCTGGGATTGATCTGAGACCTGCAGCGCGGATAAGCCGAGGTGCATGTTCTTATGGTGGCGCGAAGGCGTTTGCGGATGCTGATTGGCCGTGTACTATAACGGTCCCGGGGCTTGCTACCTGAGTAGGTGGGATTGTGGCTTACAGTAACGCATGCAGGCGAAGGACATAAATTAAGAGAATCGTATGAATGATTTATCCTACTCACTTCAAACTCCACTGGCCGTCCTTTTCCACGATCTCCACAGACCTCTTCTCATCCAAGCTTACTCGGCCAGCCTCGAGTATTGCACCGGTTGCAATCGTGTTCTTCAGCGTTGGTAGACCTCGCTTGTCCAAGTCATCAAGCGTTGCGCGGCCCTCCTTCAGGGCCTGACAGCTGTCAACAAACTTCTCAAAGCTCACATACCCGTACCCTCCTTGGCCCGCGAAGTTGCCTTCCTCGTCCGGCGCATACTTCATGTAGAAAGGGTTGTACCACATCAACCCGTTGTCGTCTTCTGTAACGTCATAGCCACGCTTGGCCTGGTTAACCCGGACCTCCCCTTTCGAGGCCATGTAGTGGAAGTACTGGTTGGAATGCACGCCAGCTTTCTGCGGTGCCGTCCATGATGCCGTATAGACACCTGTAGCTCTTCGGCCGGAGCCGTCCTTCTTCTCCCAGTCCACAAGTAATGTGATGGTGTCCTCGGTCTCCGGTACACAACCCAGGTCAGTGGCTATGCCTTTGGACGCGGATCCAGTTACCTTCGTCGGCCGGTAGTCGGGCACCATACTTTCATTGACGTCGATATGATGGCTATTGAGGTAGTAGGAGATGTCTGATTCCTTTCCCGCCCACGCTTTGAACGTCTCAAGCTGTGACTTTGGCTGGCTCATGTACGAATAGAAGTAATTGAATTCGCCGAGACTGCCTTTGATGGCTCGGTTTCGGGCATCGGCGTATGCTGGGTCATACCGTTTGTGGTGCTCGATATAGACGAAGACGTTGTGCTTGCGGCTTGCTTCCAGAAGATGTTGGTGTTCCTTCAAGAGCTTCACCGCAGGCTTGGTGATCATGACGTGAATGCCGCGTTCTATGGCATAAAGTGCGATGGGATAATGAGTCGGATCGGGTGTGAAGATTGTGATCGCATCACCAGGTGATAATGCGTCAACGGCCCTTTTGTAGGCTTCCGGATCTCTCTCCTCGTTTCCCGGAAAAGAATCGAAGGAGGTATCGAGGCCGTTGTACGCTTCCGTGATGTTCTTGTAAAGGTGCTCACGGATCGCTGGAAATCTGGGTAGACAACGTCAGGTCGCGCAGGACAATAGCTCGGGAGAGATGCAACCATACTTGTTGCCCGAAGTGCCGACCATACTCAGCATCCCAACCTTCCCTCTCCTCCGTAAGTCGAAAAGTGTCAAGCCTACAACCCCAACCTTCTTGTCGCTTCCGGACATGCCACCGCCGACGAAGCCGGTGGTGTACTCCCCAGTCCCTACCATGCAAACATTGAGAGGTGCCATGGTGTGCAGAGTCCAACTTCCGGCACCCTTGCTTTTATGTGGTCAATGTACTGAAGAGCGGACAAAGGAGATGGAGCACGCTCTAGATTGAAAGGTATACTGTACCTGAATTACAGACTATGCCTACCAAATTTAGGAATAATGTTTCCCACATGCAAGAATGTCGTAGCGCGGTCAAAGGCCGAAGTTGTGGGTTAAAGGGTACTCTTGTCGTTCTGAGCTCCCGCTTGCGGAGTCGTGGCACCCGGTCAATGCCGCGGGATGTGTTGTTATTGGTGGAATAACAGCAGCTTCTTCCATGGCAGCTCGGTCAGTTGAAGCAGTTGCCGAGCTCGCCTTCACCAGGACGAGCTCTCAACGTCAGAATTGTGTTCCGTCTCTATGCATGCATCGAATGCATCAACCGAGAGGGCCAAGTAGAGAATATTAACCGTGATCGTCGTAAACTACAATGTAGGTCTGTTCTTATCTGACTCCATTATATCATATCGAGAGGTCTCCATCACTTTCGCTATTACTTAGGACGTAAGGTCATACAAGGATCCTCACTAAACAATCACGATGGCAGCCAACGGGTCGTCCAATGGCTCGCATGCTCGCCGCCCTCTTCGAAATGGCATATATGCACCAACGATGACCTTCTTTGACAACGCGACGGAAGACCTCGACATCCCCACAATCAAAAAACATGCAATTCGCCTCGCAGAAGCTGGGCTCGTCGGCTTGGTCACCATGGGTTCGAACGGCGAAGCTGTGCACTTGACGAGGGAAGAGAAGATCGCGGTCACCAAAGCGACGCGAGAAGCGCTTGATGAAGCGGGCTTCAAAGACGTCGTGGTGATGCAGGGGTGTTCGGAGGCCGGCGTGCGATTGACGGTATCGTTATGCAAGGAGGCCGCGGCCGCAGGGGCAGAGTACGCTCTGGTGCTTCCTCCAGCATACTATCGTGCTCAGGTGTCAGAGCCCATGATTACGGATTACTACCTCTCCGTCGCCGAGCAATCGCCAATACCGATTTGCATATACAACTATCCAGGCGCGGTTAGCGGCGTGGATCTTGACAGCGACTTGATGATTAAACTGGTAGAGCAGAGCAAAGGCAAGATCTGCGGTACAAAGTTCACGGATGCCAATACCGGCAAGCTCACACGGGTTGCTGCGGCGACAAATGCATGCTCTGTGAGCAAATCCATGATTAAAATCCTTCTCGGTCTTAAACAGCGCTGACATGTTCGATCGATATTTTAGGTACAGTCGGAGGGTTCGGGCTGGGCCGCGTTCGGTGGCATTGCAGACTTCACACTCCAGACTGCAGTTTCAGGTGGAACGGGTATCATTGCTGGGGGCGCCAATGTCATGCCCAAGCTGTGTGTCAAAGTTTGGGAGCTGTGCACCAAAGGCGATCTTAAGAAGGCTCAAGAGTTGCAGAAGGTACTATCGAAGGGCGACTGGGTACTGACAAAGACGGCCATTGCAGGAACGAAGGCTGCCATTGAGATGGAGTTTGGATATGGCGGGTACCCGAGGCGGCCATTACCACGACTGAGTGAAGAGGAGCGCAAGAAGATCAAAACCGGTATCAGCGAAGCCATGAAGGTAGAACACGGTCTGTAAGTCTTGGAAGTCGGATAGGGTTCGTCGCCAAATATCGTTCGGTTCTAAGCATGGTTGGGGCCGCGGCAGGAAGCGTGCCCGCATCACGAAGTCCACTTCTCCCGACCTCTGGCCCTATGGAGGTGGATAGGGCTGTGCTCTCATCAGCATCAGTTTCCGTAGCTAACTTGCATCTAATCCGGTGAGGCTTCGTCTGAGGTGTATCTCTGAACAGTGCACTGCGGAGATGTGTGCACAAGGTCAATATAGCTCGGTCCTACCGTAGTTCGCCTTTCAAAAGAACAGCCAGCCGTTCGGAGAGCGGCCGAAGGCCGAAAACCCAGATTGCCAACTGCCCACGCCGTCTGACATGGCAGACATTCGGTAGCGCTGTGAAATCTGCCTATTGTAGCACGTATGACAGAGCCTCGAGGTTTCAGCGGCATCACGTGGAGCTGTCACCATGTTTCAGCTACTGCTTGTAAGCAATGCCTTCAAGCCACGAAAGTCATGATTTCGACCAGTGAGAGTGCGCGCAGCGTGCCCTGCCCGAGAACGTGTTTACAGTCGCCAATCGGACGAGCTAGATATTCTTGATGCAGGCTGCACGTCGAAATGAGCATTGGTGAGCTGGCAGCCTGACCCAGAAGTGGCCACCGAGAGGCGAGCTAACAGCAAGACCTTGCATTGTCTGATGTTAGTCGTTAACCGAGTACGCAAATCTTCCCATCGGACCACACAATCTCTTTGTGCATCCGAAATGTCTCCCCCCCCCAACCGCTATCTGGTAGACACAGCTCCACAACAGCAACCCGGTCTTCCACAAGGCAGTGTGGATCTGGTTCAATGCACTGACTGGGGCGCTGCCCGGAAAGATGCAGGTGTGGAGTGCTTGAATCGACGCCACAGACGCCATCCCCGGTAGTATGGCTCAATTTCCTTGCTGCAGTAACCGAGCGCATGCAGAGCATATCGATGACCCGCAATGTGTGGTGAGTGCGAGGCTTCCGATCCTGCCGCAGCGCAGACCCCATCTCATAGCGTAGAAGTTGAGTTAAGCCTGCGTCGTAGTGCTCTTGATTGAAAGACTTCTATCACCTGCATCTTCACTTCTCGGGGAATTTGTTGCACCATCCCCAGACTTCCAAGAACCGTTGTCCCCCGTACGCCAAGATGCGGCTCGATTTGATTGCGCTACTGGCAACCGTTGGCGCCACGATCGTCCATGCAGTTCCCGTCGGCTACCAGCAAGCACAGCAAGTCGTGATTGTCGGCGAGGCGTATGTCGTCCAGCTGCAGGCATACGTTCTCCAATGGAATACACCAGCTGCGCAGCTTCAATTCAACAAGATTCAAAGTCAACTCACAAACATGGGCATGTACCTTGGGGAGATTACAGACGCCACCTGCATAGATACCCCCGAATACGGAACGGACAAGGGTGTAACAGCAATATCTACACAGGCAGACGTCGTCTCAATGTTGACACAGATGCAAGTGGATCTCATCGAGGTACGTACTTGAGCGGCATAACTCTTGCTTGCTAATCATGATATCGCTAACCGTACTCACACTTCACTATGTAGCTCTCAGCAGGCATTGTTAAGTTGGATATCGAGCTTGCCGTCCTGTCCTGGCAATCCGCACAAAATGACCTTTACAGTTGCTACAGCTACATCTTCTCATCGAGCTCAACGGCATAGAGAGTCTGTAGCACTTTTGACGCAGAAACGGCTGTGATAGTATGCGCGCAGAGCAGGATGGTATGGCCTAGTTGTCGATCAAGAAGGCTATGGCGCTATGAGTACGTAATATGGATTTTACCAACTTGGGATCCTTGACGAAGTGCCCGACATGTAACGACGTACCGAGCCCACGACGGAATTTGCGTGCACATGGCAGGACATAGATCACATTGATTAATGCTGATGAGTCTGCTGTCATGGCTTAGCAATAGTTGCAGTACGGATTTTCCTGTGTCGGTCCTGTAGGCCAGAAAGCAGCCGGCGGAATCTATAGAGGTAATGCAACGTCACGGTCAAGTTTGGTTCCCCATACAGGACGAAGACTTGTCATACTGTCTGCACGTTGTTCAGACAAGTTGTCATGCTCGTATAGCTATTGCGCCTTAGCCCGGCCGTTTGCCGGCTTATCTGACCGACTACCGTTGAGCAGCTTGCCCAAGAATATATCCCTTAATGTGAAGCCCCAATTGATGAAGTAGTCAACCAACAATACAATGAGCAATGCAGCGCTCAAGCCTCTGAAAGCCGCCGAGTCCATCTCGTTTGCGAACATGATAAATGCGGTATTGACTGTGGCCATCGGGAAGATTGTACCCCACCAAAACATCGAATACTTCATCTGTCGTTTCAAGCATGTTTCCACAATGGTGTAAATGGCGAAGAAGGCGAACAGGAGCGCCATACCAGTTGACAGCAGTCCGAAGAAAGTGCCGATTGTAGACAGCACAGAAGCAGCGGAGCTTGTCAGGAAGACACCTCGGTTGTATTTGCCAAAGTTCATGCTTGCCGCGTTACCAAGCGCTTGAAGCGCTGCGCTGGTTTGTCCACAGGGCCCGACAAGCAAGAGCAAGCTTGGAGTCTGCGGTGGCTAAGATAGATGGGTCAGAGGGTCAGCGTGTATCAAACGTCTGAAGCGTTCTAAAGTCCAATCCGCTTACCGGCGGTAGGCCATGGTTCATTAGGCGGACGAAATAGGCCGCATAGACCATGAGGGACACGAAGAAGCCAATACCGGTCAATAGGTAGCCGACGATGATGACCGGCACAGCGACTGGCGCATTGATATGAGCGGAGTAACTCGTGATGAGGCCTCCTACCAAAGCATCCGTTGTTGTCCCAACGAAAGGTATGACGAGGGCTGGTGACATGTCTTTGGTGCTTGTGATCGTCGTCTTCGACAACATCACTATGACCGTGATAGCCTAAGGATGTTGACGGTAACCGTCAGCGTGGGTTCCAACAAGAGACCAGCTCAATAAAAGTCTGGCGTACAATTGAGACCATAACAGCGGTGCCAACCCACCAAAACTAGAGGTGTTGGGCATTACAGTCAGCGTTGGCTCAGGAATGGTATGGGGCTTATAATCGGGGCTTTGCCTACCACGACCGCTACGAGAAAGAAGGCATGTCCGCCCCAAGGTGCTGTGGAGACGGTGAGTCCAACCTTCCGAGAACCATTAGCAGATTTTGCGTTGCGTGAATAGCGTCTTCCAGCTACGAACCTGAGACACTATAGTGAACCATGCAATAGGCCTGGAAATTTGGATGTCAGTAATCGGTCATAGATGCCGAGAAGCTGTCGCTCATGGCTGAACTCACACTGCTCCAGTCATGGTGAGTTCGGTAGGATTGCTGGACATCGACTCAACTATCGCCTTGGGGAAGAAGGTGATTCGCAGCAAGAGCACGATGAAGAATGTCGTAAACAGGACGATGTTGAAGACGAACATGATCGTTGATAGAATTGCCAAACCACGAAACTGTACATCGTCACCAACAAAACTCTCCCTCCATATGGACTTCTATACACACCTGCCATGGTAGCTGATGCATAAGTATGCTAAGAATGCCCGTGTTCATCGATACTGTAAACCAGAGGAAGGAGAAGTTCTCAATGATCGTGGCGACTCGTCCACGCGCAGGCTTGGTCGCGCCCCCAGATTCTTCACGATGGTCGCTTTCGCCGTTCCCCTCAGTGTCTCGATGGCTCCCATAACCGTTTTGCTGTTCTGCCTCCCGGCTGGACATTTCCGCGAAGTAGGTACGGATAAGTGGCGCAAAATATGCAGCCAGAGACTAGGATGGTTGATCTAGATGGTTGCTCTATTCCTCTCGTGAAAAGCGTACCTTGTCTGCAGCGTCCTTCTCCGGTACTTGTATGGCATCAACGGTGAAGTACTCGTAAGTAGTAACGGGCCGTTCTCCGTCAACCCGGAAGAGTGGTGTTTGCAATGATGTCAACATTGAGCCACATGCCTTTTCACTTTGACTAGTAAAGGCTGTTACGTGATGGTCATTTACCTGTCGGTACTGATCGGAGAAGTACACGCCTTGCGCTGTGCGCAGAAGGCGATGGACAAAGTGGGAAAGCAAGCTGTCGATGACTACCACTACCGAGAGCTGATTTCATCTTTCAGCCGGCAGGCCGCTTGCCGAGGAATCTCGACTTTCATTGTCTCGTTGATCGCAGGCAGGTCAATGCAACGCAACTACTGCGACGGTTGCTACGCTTGGATACTGTTCACAACATGAGCCAATATCAAGCCGCTGTACCGAGTGACGGCTCAGTGAAGCATGAAATTCGGAAATACTATGAAGAGTTTTACGCTACATCAGACACGCCTGATGCTCATGAGAAGTATGCTGCCGGTTTCACCAGGGATGCAAAGCTTATTATGGCATCGAACGAAGCGAATGGGACCCAAGGTGGGTATCTCAGTCTTCCTACGTCCAACTCCCCGACTGCTACAATGTAGCAACACGCGCCATAACTAAAAGCCGTTGCAATAGAAATTCTGAAGATGCGTGAGGGAATGTGGGAGAAGGTTGCAAAACGCTCGCACAAGCCAGCCCAGATCTACTCCTTCGGTCCCGGCAGCAACGACGTAATGTTGCTCGGGACGGTAGACTACGAGCTGAAGGACGGCAGGAAGACTACCGTCGATTGGGCGGCGCGCTCACAATTCGCGGAAGAGGCCGGTCAGCTGAAGATGAGCTTCTACCAAGTCTACCTCGTGAGTCGCTTCAGCCGTGCTGTCGCAAGCTCAACTGATTTTCGCGAAGGACACAGCAGCCATGGCGAAGGCTCAGTGAATTGCTACAGGTCTGAGCCCGCTTTCCCAACATGTAATACATTTTTTGGTGTCGTCGACTCTGCAAGAAGGCATTAGAAGTCTAGTTAAACCACGCGTCAGTGAGTCTGCCGGACAATGCTCCTCTCATGAACCCTCCATTTGCAGCAACAAGCCCGGCATGCATTCCAGCGGACCTCTCTCTCGTCCGCAGTGTCTGTACACTGGCTGCATGCGTTTCATTGTTCCCAGGTCCAAACGGAAATTCGTCGATTGGGCAGGTTGTATTCACTGGCGGAAGCTCTCCAGTCTGGAAGTAGCGTCGGATGTACGTGGTCGTGCAGTTACTAGTCGCAGAGCTAGAGCAATGTCCGGCAGAGTCTTGGGTGAGCGCCACGGCGCCTTCGAATCCTTTAGCCATCATGAGAGCATGCTTGACTGGTGTGACAGGGTCCGCAGTGTTGCCAATGAGGAGTAATGGGTGGCTTGTCTTCGCAATCCATGGTCCTTCGAACCTATGGTATGGACGGATCGAATAGTGGACACAGTGCATTCTTATTGTGCTCCACATTGACTATTAAGAGACTGTTAGCGGTGTTTTGAGACAACGAGAAGCGCGTGTGCCCGTTGAATACATACCCCGATACTCGGCGAGACAGCAGCCAGCTCCTTCGTGTAGGCCTCGAAGGTCGTTCGGTTCACCCAGCTCTGATCATCGCCATCCGTGCAGGCGATTGACATTGTGGCGTCGTAAGTCATGCTCAGGGCAGAATGGTTCCTGAGCGGCACGATTGAGAAACCCGAGCCGCGTGACCCTGGGCAAGTCGGCTCGTGGAATGGTCGCAGCAGCTTTGCGAACTCAGTGCCATCGCCTCGCTCGAGACCAGCAAGCACGTTTGCAATATACGGGAAGGACTGCATGGGCGAGTAAACCCCTGCAAAGATCAGGTTCTTGACATCGCTGTAAGTAATCACCTCCGGGTTCGGCAGAACGACCGGTAGCGGATTGTGGTAAAGGCTGTTCGATATCCTTTCGACACGAGCGCGGACTCCGTCAGCAGTGGTTTCGCCAGTCTTGTTTGCGAGGACACAAGCCGGATAGCCCGCACGAGCGCAGTGAAAGAAGAACTGGCTCCAGTCTGCCTCAGTGTCGTCAAGATTATCTGACCACCTAAAAGCCATATGCATTAGCGATGCTTCGAAGAACCGGCGGCCAATCCGATAGCGGCTGCAACGTACAATGATGCCTTGTAATTGTATGCGTTAACCACGCCGTCAACGACCAATCGATGAACACGATCAGGGAACATCGCACTAATAAGCACAACCGTTAGCGACATTTTGCGAGGCCGCCAAAGCAGATAGCACCATCACGTACGCGAAAGTGTTGCCAAGATACGTGCCATAGCTGAAACCCCAGTATCTGTACGAGACGCAAACCTCAGTCAGTCACTTCTCGCTTGAGATAGATGCTCGCTTACAGTATCTTCTCCTGGCCACGCTGGTAGACCAAGCTATTCGGAACTGGTGTTCGTGCAGCTAGGCCTAGGATGCGCCTCGACTCTTTTTCGCGCCACTCGCCATGCTTCTCAACGATTTCAAGCATGTCACGAGCAACCGAAGCCGTTGTAACATACTTGCGCATATCTGGCCAACCTTCCAGCAACGGGAGGGAACAGCTCTGGCTCCGGGCAATCGACATCGACCACAGACGTCCAAACGCAGCATCTGAGGCCTCCATCACGCCCTCCTCCATAACACGTACCTGCCAGGCCTGATCGAGGCCCAAGTTCTTGATGCATGCAATGCCAGGTCTCGTACGGACAACACCACGCGGATCGAAGGAGATGAGATCGAAGTACTTGCCCTCTGTACCGTTCGCCGCATCAATGGTATCACGAACATGCTTAGCCGAGCGGAGTACCAAGCCAACACCAGAGCCTCCGGGTCCGCCTGGGTTCAGGAGTACTGCTCCGCCGTACTGGGCATGAGTGATCGGGACGACGGCAGGACGTCTGATTACGGCGAGGCTGATAGTAGCCTTGGTGGTCCCGTTCCACCAGTCCATCGGTAACTGCAGCCTTGCACACTGCAGGTCATCGTAGCACTTAGTGTACTGCAGGTAAGGTAAAGTCGGTATGTCATCCCATACCGCCTCGTCGTCGTCGAGCGAGGCTTCTTTGGGTGCTGTCCCTTTCGCGCTAGTCCATGTCACCTTGATCGATTGCGTCGCTCGTACAAGCCAGACACAGAAAAGGGCAGCCGCCAATATCTTAGCCAGTCGTCTTCCTGTAAAGTGTGCCGACCCTGGCTGAGATGGAACGCCATGAGTATGGAGTATGCTTTCTTTACTCATCTTGACGTTCATCTGAGTGTAGGATGCTCAATCGGACGGTACTGGAAGAACAGAGACATACTTAAAGCACCCGCATGAAGTAGTCCCAAGCTACGGGTGTCGGTATCGCGAACTCCACCTGCCAGAACAGGCAGCTAGAGCGTCAACCCCGATGGCCGCATCCTTGGCAGGAGCGGACTGCATACCCCAAGATAAGAATCGCAAGTGTAGAACCTTTTGTATGTCTACGCCGGTATCCTAGATACCGACTGTCCGTTGTGAGGAGTGTTTCGCAGCTTCTCCAACGGTACGTCGGCACTGCCCCATTCCACTCAAGTAAGCGGCTTACGTCGCAAGCACGTGGAATCGACTCTATGCTACACAATACTAGCATACTACTAGCAACCAGTGAAGGTCACTGTTTGTGAGATTCATTGACTCCAAGCACCCAGCCCAACCCGCTAGTCAGGCCACCCGTGACGGCGTTAGCAACAATGTCTCGTTTTCTGACCCTTTGCGTTTGAGCTGAGAGGCCGCCCTCACCACCTAAACTGCCCGTAGAGTCTTCCAGCCCTCTTTGTTGCTCTGCGGAAGAGCGCGAGGATGCCGAAGCTACGGAGCGTAACGGGAAAGCATTCTTGCTAAACGCTCGTGCTGCGCTCCGTGTAAGATCGAACATACTCATCGGAGCATCACCTTCGCTGTTAGCTTGACCGGTCATGCGACCCATTTCTCGTCGCTTTTGGTTGAGCAGGAGTTCGGGCTGCTCGCCTGTGATGGTGAAGTTGCCAGGAACCGTACTGGGTCCGCCACTAAGGCGTTTGTCGGCTCTGTTGTCGAAGTCTTCCATAGCTTGCTGTTGTGAAAGCTGCAGACTTGTCGTCTCTTCTTCGCAGCGGCGCCAAGCTGCTAGGATATCTGTCAGTGCTGAAGTAGGTGCTAGAAGCAGAGCCAGAGAAAGCAGCTCCATGCGTTGTTCGAGGCGCCGGAGCGTGGGTGGTGAGGCGGTTGACGGTCGGTAGCGTCCTGCCAAAAAGGCGGCGCGCCACGACATGTCGTCTTCCGTGTCGCGTTTCTGCCTAACCTGGCTTGATGTACTCCCAGCAGAGACGTTGCGTTTGTGCGAGGATGTTTCGCGCTCCCGACTTGACATCGCCGAGATTTCTGTACTAGAGGGAGTCAAGCGGTTCACAATGTACGAGTACGCTGTCTCAAAGTCATCTTCCCGAAGTGCGGCTTGCACAGCCATGAACGTAACCCTTCGTTCTGCCTCTTTGCGGTGCTTTTCCAGTATTAGATCGCCATTCCCAGTGGCGACTCCCCTCAGCGTCTCATCTGCATCAACTCGTGACGTCTCATCCTTGCGAGGTAGACCAGCGGAAACAAGATTGCGTGCAATGCTTGTCAGATCGTCAAGTTTGGTATAGCTCCTCGGATTCTGTTCGAGTATCTTGTCGAGCAACGCGACTGGATCTGCACTGACGCGTATGCTGACAGGTTGAAATGGCACGCCGTGTTGCAACGTGAGTGAGTAAAACGACAGTGAGTGCGTTGCAGTGATGAGCGCGCCCGCTTGGCGAAAAGGCACGCTGTCTGGGAAGTGTGGCTTGAATGCAGTGATGCTGCAACCCCGCGTTAGCTCAGGGGTGAGGAGCGTAGAGAAGCGGGTTGCTTACATGTCGTTCGCTTTCTTCATACCACCTCTGGTTTTGTTGCCGTTGCTCGCGCCGTCATATGCTTTCATCGCTTGCGCAAAGACAACGCACTCGACGGTATCATTTGGCAGCAACTGTCCGGCCTTGTTGCTCTCATTCGTGAGATAGAGTCTAGTCGCCATCTGATAGCCTATCACGTTCGCGATCCGTCAGCCACGCCGCGGGATGTCACACGCTGTATGTCATCTTCTGTGGTGACGAACGGGAAGCTCAAGTTTTCTTCCGCGTCTCCAGCAAGTGCATCTGTGTTCTGCACGGGATCCACTTCGTCCACTGAGCAGATAAAGAGAGGAGTAAGCATATGAGATACATTGAGCCGAGTCGAGCAATTGCTTCGAACAGCCGAACAGAACAAGAACACAGTTGCAGTGAAAGGGTCTCGCCAGACTTACAGCTCGTCTCGATAAAGCATCCTAGCATCTCCTCCTCGAACAACTTCCTTTGGATCTTGCCGAGCACACCTGCACCGGATGTGGCATTGCCTTCGTCATTCTGCTCGATACCCCAGTTCCACAGCCACATCAGCTTCGCTCGATCCGACGCCCATTGCGTCTCGTCTTTGCGAGCGCCGGACCTACTGAGGCCATGCAGAATCTTGCGCAAGACCACGAGTTGTTCCTCAGCATTGCCGTAGAATTGGAGCTTTGCCACGCTGACTAGCGACATGGCGTGACCAAGCCCAGCAAGTTGGTAGGCTGAGTAGACCATCATCTGCAGCAGCATGTACGTCTCCAATCGTGGCGTGGTCAATGGATGCTCGGGTGAGAGAAGTCTGTCCGGCGCAAGATCCGCAACAGTTTGCGAAGCGTCTAGGCTAGTTGTATGCCTTTCAATCTTCGGTAGCGAGTCAACCGAAGTTGCAAGGTCCGGAGGCGGGATGAAGTCGAGTAGCTCAGCGAGGCGAGCAAGGGTGCTATGAGCACCCTTGACAGTCTCTTCCGTGTCGGCTTCGGCAGCATAGCAAGATGCAAAGACGGCTTGTGCGTACTGTTGCTCAAGCTTGCGTTGCATCTCGTCGTCTAGGTAGTCCCTGCTTTTGCCGAGACCGCCCAGATCCACGTCGCCCGGTCCGTCCCAATCCTCGACACAACGTGTGACCATTGAGAAGTGGGATTGTGCATGTGAGACTAGCCACTGATACATGTATTCCCAGTCATGACCGGTCTTGTCATCCTCTGTGACGCCGGATAGCGATATCTTGCTCACGCGCTCCGTTACTTCTTCCGCGCCGTCATATCCACGAGGCTTTACAGCGTGGTCGTGGTCAAGCTTCCGACGCTTTCGCTCGGTGTGCCCATACATCCAAGGCCCGACAAGTCCTTTCACGTCGCGTGCAAGTACCGAGTCCTTGTGCGTGCTTTCAACGTCATGCTTCTCTGCCTTGACGAGCAGATAATCGATGCCTTCTCGGCCCTCCAATGCCTCAAACTCGACCAAACCCAGGCCCTGCGCATCTTTGTCGTTCGGATAGTATTCAAGCTCGAGTCTGAGCATGGGCAATACCACACTGACGTACCACATCCTGAGGAAGTCATTGCGGTCTAGGAACGGCTCTACGAGGCGAGGTATCAGATCCAGCAGACCCGTTTCCCGGTCAATACGGCACGCTCGATGGCACAGAAAGCGCGTGAAGAGATCGGTCGGCGCATGTGGTGGGAACTTGGGCGGGCGTACCTCCAGGAGATGTAGCTTCTTGACTTGTTTCTGCGCCTGTTGCTCTGAGAGTTCCTTCACCGGGGTAGTATCGACCACGATATCTTCGCGGTCGTAGTCCAGGTACAACCTGCTCGCCACTTCTTCGGCATACTTGATGTATTCGTTGGGGTCAACACTCTCCGGTAGATACGTGAGGAGAATGCGCAGCACAAGCTCCGGATCTAGCGCATCAAGGCGCGTGGGCGTGAAGGAGTGGAGTGCCTTGATATTGGCAGACGAGGCATAGTGGACGGCGAGCAGGATGCATTGCGCCGGTGACAGGTCTTTTACCGACATTGCGGAGTTGTTCGCCAATTTACCACCATCTCCAGCAGCGCCTCGGGTCCCTTACTTATGCATAATAAGAGCAGCAGAGCGAATGCCAACAATTTAGAGTTGATGCCAAAGCGCCACTCCTGCAAGCCCACCGCCACAGATGTCAAGCGGCGCTCAAGCGGCGCTCTGGTGGGGCTGATATGGAGCCTCGGAGCTCGCCATTGATTGCAGACTTGAGAATTGACCGACCACTCATCATGCTTCGACGATATGCCTAGGACGTACTACAACCCCATCGCATTCGCGCCCGCTCAGGTAACAATATGGACATTGATTGTATATATTGCGTTATTGGTGACTCTGCTGTGGCAACACACAACCGTTCCGGCTGCTCCAAACAGTCCCACTCCGTCCAAGGGTATCAATCTCACAGAGGCATGGCTTGACCTGGACTTCATCAGCAACGCCTACCATCCTGGGGGTTCGCACAGGAACGATGCGGTACGGCAATACCTTGTTGAGCGAATTGAGGCGATATTGCTGCGCAACGGGGTAGCCTATGAGACCGTGGCGAAACCCAGCAACCCGACAGAAACTGCACCACCGTCAATCACCTCTCGGACAAGCTCTTCGCTTACGAGTAGCACGAAGCGGTCATCTACTGCTTCATCTACAAGCAGCTCTCGCATCTCCACAACTCGCTCGAAGCCGAAAACATCCTCTATCTCATCCACGAGCGACTCCACGACAACCACCCGGTCGCCTGCCACGTCCTCCACTAGCAGTACCTCATCTACAAGCAGTATCTCATCTACAAGCAGTACCTCATCTACAAGCAGTACCTCATCTACAAGCAGTACCTCATCTACAAGCAGTACCTCATCAGCAAGCACTAGCCAATTCTCGACCACGTCTTCGATCACGAGCAGCTTGACTACATCATTGACACGCTCCACATCGGATCAGGACGTGAAGGCTGTCACACTTTGGCCATATGACAGTTCGAACGTTACTTTTGCCGACACCTGGCGTAATGGATCCTGGACCGTGTACCATGAAGGCACCAACGTCCTCATATACATCCGCGGTCGTGAGGACCCAGCCGGTCATTGGTGGTTGACAGACTCCAAGTATAGTGGCCATGGCGGTGTGCTTGTCAATGCTCACTACGATAGCGTTTCCACCGGTTTCGGCGCAACAGATGATGGGGTGGGTGTCATCACGATCCTGCAACTCCTTTCGTACTTCACAACAAGCGGCCAGCAGCCTGAGCATGGTCTCGTACTCCTGCTCAACAATGATGAGGAGCAAGGTCTATTTGGGTCTCACAACTATTTGCAGCATCCGATGAGTCAGTTCACCCATACGTTCCTTAACCTGGAGGGTGCAGGCGCTGGTGGCAAAGCCGTACTCTTTCGCAGTACAGATGCCGAGGTGACTGGGTTCTACGCCAAATCGCCTTATGCGTTCGGCTCAGTCGTTGGCAATGATGGATTCAAGCGAGGCTTAATCCGGTCAGGAACAGATTACTCTGTGTTTACCGAACTACAAGGTATGCGTGGGTTGGACGTGGCTTTCTTCGGCCCGAGAGCGCGATACCACACAAACGAGGATGCGGCACGCGAGACGAGTCCGAATAGTGTCTGGCACATGCTTTCTGCTTCCATACGTACGGTGGAGAGTCTCACGAGCTACTCTGGTGACGAATTTGACGGCTCGGTGACCAGAGAAGGCCGCTTGAATCTCAAGAGTGGTTCAATCGGCGTCTGGTTTGATCTCTTTGGCCGTGCCTTCGCGGTGATACAACTGAATGCCCTCTTCGCGCTCTCTGTCACGCTACTGACTGCCGGACCTATCCTGCTCATCATCCTCGAGGTATTACTGGCACGATATGGGAAGTGGTATCCCTTCAGTCGCAAAACATATCTTCACTCCGCAGAGGATGACAAGCCTGTACTTTTGCATGGTTTCAGAGGCTTCTTTCGCTTCCCCATCGCATTTGGCATCGCCACTGCAGCGGCCGTCGCCGTGGCGTTCCTGCTGACGAAGGTCAACCCGCTTATTGTGTACGGTAGTGAGTACGTGGTATGGGCAATGATGCTCAGCGTCTGGTTCGCCGTCGCTTGGTTCTTTCTTGCGGGCGGAGACCGGGTAAGGCCTACTGCGCTGCAGAGAATGCACTGTCTGCTATGGCTTTATGTGCTCTCGTGGATGGTGCTTGTGGCGGCAACCGTCGGCGAGAACAACTTTAAGCTTGCGAGCGGATACTTCATCCTCTTCTACCAAGCGTCGATTTCAGCGGCCCTTTTGATCTCATACCTGGAGCTCTTCGCTTTACCTAGCAAGACGAAGTACGCCGAGCACGTCACTAATGTTACGCGTGATAGAGATCACGCAGATGCTGTGGTCGATGCACATGGCGACGAAGACGATGATGGGCCCACTGAAAGAACGGGATTGCTTGGAGGCCGAAGCGGCGATCGAGGTGGTGGGACCTTCAAACGTGCACATCCCGAAGATGAGATATTGAATGCTAGCGACGACCCCTATGTCAACCAGGCTTTCGGAGACGAGCAGGCTTGGTCGAGCTCGCTACCGAAGTGGACATGGATCCTACAGTTCCTTCTCATTGCGCCCATCAACATCATTCTTGTCGGGCAAATAGCACTTCTGACCACGGAAGCGACACATCAAACTCCAGCAGATGGCAACCCAGTCCTGCCGATCTACCTATTGATGGCCGCACTGTCTGTGTTACTGATGCTCCCACTCACACCCTTCCTGCACCGCTTCACGTTTCAAATTCCAACATTGCTGTTTGTGGTTTTTGGTGGATGTCTTGTCTTCAACCTCGTCGCATTTCCGTTTTCTAGGGATGCAAGGCTTAAGATCTTCTTCCTGCAGCAGGTCGACTTGCAGAGTGGGCACAACAATGTGACCTTGTACGGGATTGATGGGTATCTCCAACAAGTCGTCGCCGCGTTACCGAGCGCTTCAGGTCAACCTATTCATTGCAGTGAAGGCGGGCTAAAAGACGGGCTGACATGTAAGTCTTCCATCGTCATGACGCACATGGATTCCGCACATTAAGCTAACAATACCTGCAGCATGTACATGGCCCGGTTTAGCGCCACAAATTCACAGCTTGAGCGAGAAATCCTCGCCGGCCACTATGGCAACTTACAGTAACGGCACAAGTCTTCACAACTCCACCAGAGCGTATCAAGATTGGCTCAACTACCGCGTCGCCACCTCCAACGCCACCTCGGAGGCCATCTTTACGCTCGGCGGCATGTCAACCAAACAATGCCGCATCCTTTTCGATCACCCCGTCTCTTCAATCAACATCTCGGGCTCCGGCCCCCCAGATCCACGTTTTCGAAAAATATCTCACGCCGACGGTACCTCCCAAGTGCGGCTCGTCAGTCGAGATTGGGGGAAAGACTTTGAGGTGAGCGTCAAGTGGGCGGGTGACGGTACGGACGGGCAAACGGGTAAGGTGCAATGTGAATGGGCGGAGAGCGAAGGGCATCAGATCCCTGCGCTTGACGAGGTGAAAAGGTTTGCGCCGGTTTGGGCGGCGGTGAGCAAGGCTGGCGATGGGCTCGTGGAGGGGTTCAAGCGGTGGGACATATGAGATGTGGGTCCAATCGCAGTGCGAAGGCGAGGCAAGAGCGCTGTCCATTTCAGGTGAAGTGTGCCAGTGTCGAGTAACGCTTTAATGTCTTAGCTAGTTGTACATAAACTGCTACGTGTTGGTCGCGACATGACGATAGGACGCTTGCTGCACTACTGAGCCGGTATTGGCACCTATATGAGGGGCATCCCACGCCGCTGGTCATTGCTCAGTATGTGCAGCTTTCCATCATTCCTCTCTTTGAGCTCTGGAGGAGGTGCACGCTTGCTGCCATGCGATACCATAGTACGTGAACGCGGAAGAGTGCCCATTCTCCCTCTGCTTACCGCGTTCAGCTTCGCAGCCCATCATCTTGGTCTGCGTGAGGGGCGGGAGGCCTTCAAACATCCAACGGAGCTCCGCCCATCGTGTACAGCCCCGTCGGAGAAGGTTCTGGCGGGCGCTCAGGACCGAACACAGGCCGTCTCACCTTCTCCCTCTTGCTCACATAGTCCCTCTCATTAGGCTTCAATGCCGCTCCACCATCTTCGTCCTTACCAATCCCCCACCCCTCATGGTCATCCTCCACCCTCTCCACGGCCGCCGCAAGCGCGTCCTCCCGCCGCTTCTCCTTCACCTCTTCGTGCTTGACCTCGACATCCTTCTCAGTCTCTACGGCGGCTTTGACGCAAATGGCGAGCATAGCGCGAAGCGTGTAGACGGCGTCATTACCGGCATTATGTAGACTCCAGCCCTCAAGGTCGAAGTGGTACAGCACACGGCCGAGCGAGGTGGGGTTGTTGTCGCCGGTGTAGGAGCGGAACATGATGGCTGTGTCCATGGCTTCGAGCAGGTTACTGCGATTGAGGACGCTGAAGCCGATGGATTGGAGGTAAGCTATGTCTTGACCGGTACCGTGGCCGAGGAGGACGATGTTGCGCCTCTCCTCCACGCCATCCTTCATTGGTAAGTCCGTCGCCTCACCTTGACTAGACTTGCTGAACGGCTCATGGAAGCAAGCGGTCAGCTGCGAGGCGATCACTTCTTTACCAACGAACTCGCTCTTGCCGAACTCGAAGCGATCGGGAGAGCCCTGCACGAACTTGCTGTTGACGAGCTTCTTGTGTTCGACAATGCGGAAGTGGCGCGCGCGGATGTGCTTGTGCCACTCCTCGCCTGCTCGGCCGGGTGCTTGACCTTGAAGGTCTCGTGTGTCGAGTGTAGCGACTCCGACCTCCGTGACGACCTTGGGTGACAACTCATACGCCTCGGCATCGACTGCGATGAAGATCACATCCAGCTCGAACGGATACGGTACCGGCTCGGTCGGATCCAGTGTCGAAAGAGACAAGCTATTAATACCCAGTAGCGAATCCTGTTCGTTCTTCTGCCGGAGTCCAAGCAAGCGTTGAGCGCGAACCACTTGCTTGCCCACCTCTTGCCGCCTGTGTATTGCAGCTTGCTGACCACCCTTCCTCTTTGCCTTGGACTTGTTCTTGTTGAGCTCAGTGACACGGTCAACCATGTCTTTGTACGCTTCAAGGGTGCGGTGCTCAGGGATCTGCATCTGCTCTGGGAACGGGATAGACGCCGTAAGCTGTTCATATTGTTCCTTCGACATACTCTGACCTAGCCACCGCGGACGAAGCTCGTCCGGAAAGTCGTCTAAGCAGAGAACCAAGCCGTCATCTACTAACTCATTGGTGATCTTGACGTGGGCTCTCGGAAAGGCTTGGTTGATTTCGTCCAGCAAACTCTGCAGCTGATGTGTTGGTACGAAAGTGAGAGGCTTGGAAGTTTCATAAGCCGCTGACCAGAGGTAGAAGAAATCCCACGGTCGATCGTAGATCTTGTTCGCGTCGAAGAAGGCGGTGGCAAGTGGCTGCATGTACTCTTTGCTGACGAACTTGTAACAGTACCTTGTGACGGCCAGAAATGGAGTGAAGGTGATGCCCCGCGGTGCTGAAGTGCCCATGTGAGCGGTCGAGTGATTGACCGCGTAAGAAGGTGGGAAAGATGACATTTCAGAAGCTTGAGCACCAGGGATCTGATGCTGTGAATAATCTTGGTCAGAAGCTTGTGAAGCCTGTTCGCGAGCGGCACGTGCAGCTTTGTCTTCTTCTTCGTTGCGCTTGGTCTGGGCGATGACTTCCTCGAGCGATGGTAGTGTCTCGAATGGATCTCGGGTGCTTGCCTGAGGCGGAGCCTGTTCTTCATTGTTCTTCGGCGGTGCTGCCATAGCCCGCTTGGGTGGCAGGTTTTGTTGCCCGCCCATGAGTGCTACAAATCGCTCGTAGCCACTCGGCTGTGCCATTGCAGTGGTAGAGCTGTTGGGTCAGTCAAACGTACGAACCGGAATGGCGTGCACAACAGGGGTCAGTTTGGCTGATGTAGTTGAAGCAGAGATAGGCAAGCAGGTTAAGGAAGGCAGGAAGCTTGGGGGCTATGAAGACCAAGCAGATCATATTACGTGAAACGTGGATGGTGTGAATGTCGATCTGAGCGGTCAAATCACTGCGGCGTTGTGTGTCAATGTAAGACGATTGTTCGTGCTACCTGTCCCGCCGGATGCACGATGGAAGATGCCTTGCATTCCCAGACTTCTTTACGAGAGTCGTCCCGAGTGAGAACAGCCTAGACGGCATTGATTTGCTGCCATTCTCGTAATGAACTTGGCCTCCACGATGCCCACATACGATTGAAGTGTAATGATGGATAGAGCGTGCATAAGGTATCTGCAAGGGTTCATATACAGATACAGTGTACATAAGCTAAGCGTTCAGCGGAAGCCTCGGCAGTGGCTTGGATTAGGCTTCGTGCGAGTCGTGTTGGCGCGTGGGCAGCAAAAACGCATCGCGTTGCGCCGGAGGATGCGGAACGTTATGGGTCATCAGCCTGACATCAAGCCTTTGCTTGCCAGTGCGTCTGACACCCGCGACTATCCCGATGTCGCAAACACCGTTGCCGCCACGCTTGATATGACGTGACACATATTCGAAGAGCAGCCGCAGCAGGCAGTGACACACAACTTCCCAGTATCAACAACATCTCGGTATCTGTGGAGCTATGGCGACAAACGGCACGCCTAGAGGCACCACCACCCAGAGTGTCGCCAACGGCCCGATCATTCAACCGCACGCTCGCCGACCTGTCAACGGACATCTTGCGCAAGCGCTGCGTGGTGAGCTCGCCAACACCAGCAGCAAGGAGGCGCCCTCGACCGCACCACCACCACTCCGCACCAACAGCGGCTTCAATACACCGGTCCCCGCCGACGATGCTCCGCCGTCTGTCAAGGCCACGTCTGCCGCTCGTCGGGAACTGCGGCGGAAGGAGCGCATGTTTCCAACAGTCGAATATTGGTCGAGAGTGTCGTACTTCGACCCCAAAAGCGACTACAGCAACTTCCGCGGCTTCTTCGTGCTGTTCTGGGTGGGCTTGGCGATCATGGTCATCACCGCCATGCTGCGGAACTTGAGAACGACGGGGAATCTGCTCAGTTTCAAGCAGTGGCCGACGTTCACGCAGAATATCTGGGAGCTGGCGGCGGTCGACCTGCTCATGTGCGCGAGCACGGGCATCGATATGCCGCTGCACCTGCTGTACAAAAACAGCAAGGGCTGGCTTCGATGGAATAGGCTCGGCATGCTCGTTCAGAGCGTGGTCCAGGCGGCATGGCTCGCTTTCTGGATCTCATGGCCCTTTGTCAGGCAGTGGTCGTGGACGGCGCAAGTCTTCCTCACTCTGCATACGCTGGCAATGTTCATGAAGCTGCACTCCTACGCCTTCTACAACGGTCACCTGTCCACGACGCTCAGCCGCCTCAAAGCGTTGGACATGCCCATCGAGCCGACAACACCCATGACAGCCCCTCTCCGCTATCCGACACCGCGCGACTACGTGCAAGATGCTCGCCAGGAACACGAGGACTCCGAGTCACCAATCGTATCTCCATTAATGCAACTCCGCGATGATCTTGCCAAAGAGGTCACCTCTCCGCTGGGCAACGTTACTTATCCGGACAACCTTACCCTTGCCAACTTCCTCGACTACCTGCTATGTCCCACCCTATGCTACGAACTAGAATACCCGCGCACGCCCGAACGCAGCTACCTCGAGCTCTTCTACAAGACCCTCGCAGTCTTCGGCTGCATCTTCCTCATGATCGTCACAAGCGAAGAGTTCATCATCCCCGTGCTGGACGACTCCCGGATCCGGCTTGCCCGGACACGAAATTGGATCGATGGGTCGTTGATCTTCGCCGAAACCGTCAGCAGACTGCTTTTTCCTTTCATGGTGACTTTCCTTCTCGTCTTCCTGGTCATCTTCGAATACGTCCTTGGCGCTTTTGCAGAGATCACGCGGTTCGCCGACCGACAATTCTACTCGGACTGGTGGAATAGTCTCGACTGGCTTGAGTTCAGCAGGGAGTGGAACATCCCGGTCCACAACTTCTTCCGGCGCCACGTGTATTCTGCTTCGAGAGGTGTGAAGCTCAGTCGTCCGGCGTCGACGGCTATAACGTTCTTCATCAGTGCCGTGGCGCATGAACTGGTCATGGGATGCATCACGAGGAAGTTCAGGGGCTATGGTTTTATACTGATGATGATGCAAATACCCTTTGTGGCAATTCAACGCCTGCCGTGGGTACGGAAGCAGGAGCTGCTCAATAATGTTATGTTCTGGATCTTCATGATCATGGGGCTCAGTTTGGTAAGTCGACGACAACACGATCAGATATGGCATGGGGAAGAGCTGACAGTTGCTGCCAGTTGTGCGCGTTGTACGTGCTCGTATAGCATAATAATTAGACATACAAAGCTTCGAAAAGCTGATCTCATCATTCATCATCATACATTGCGTCAAAGCTTGTCGGCTCTATTTCGACAGTACACTAACCTCCACCATGACCTTCTCACCCCCAGGCATAGCCACCTCGCGACGGATGCGTTGGCCCCTCGGCACGGCCATGGCTACGGTAGGCATGGCTTTCGCAAACACGGCGTCTTCGGCCTCTGATCCGGAATCTTCCGAATTCGAGACAACCTGGACTGGAGTTAGCAAGCTCACGCAGGAGTAGACGCGAGTAGTCTGCACTAACCTCATCTTCAACAACACCTGCGTGGATGATTGCGGGCCCATTCAACTCAATGCAGAAGTGTTGAGAAGGATCGCTTGTAAGGTCGTATGGCGAAAAGAGAGTCTCGCCGCAGATTTGGCAGTCAGAGAGTGACATCTTGGCTGTTGGTATGTGAACTGGCGGGACGATTTGTCTTCTTGTTGACACTTAGAGTTCAGATGATTGCAAGATGGACACTCTCTTAGGTCTTTGGTTCAATTGGAGAAAATGAGCGACTCCATCGACATACTTATCCCTTTGAGCAGCACTCGAAGTAGGGCTCAGGGTTTTGTGATGACTTCAGAGGCTGCCACGACCGCGACAGTACAAGCACGAGCTTTACCAGGAGCGCTGCGCTCGACGGTGATCAGAATCCGTCATGCTGTTGGTTGTAAGCAGAAGCATTCGTACTGGCCGTGGGACGGCGGCAGGAGTGATATGACAGTCGGCTGTAGCAGTAGGTAAAGGAAACGATCGTCTGCGCTGCTTTGTGCTAATTGGCAGATACGCTGACACGCGGTGACCGGGAGTATACGCCGTGAGATGTGGCTGCTTCTGTGCACAGACATGTAGCAACGTGTGCGACGCTCAGTAGGAACACCGAGACTGAAGATCGTCATGCTGTTGCTGGATTGTATGGTCCTGGGGCTGGAAGGTGCTTGGCTTCCACGTCTGTCATTTGGGGCCACAAAATCCTTCAAGAAGCCCTGACGCAAGGGCTGCGTGCGACGTGTATGCCGTATCCGGCCCCAGTTCCACCGGTCAGGCTACAGATGTCTTATCTCTGTCCAACGACCCGGTCGATGACGCACCCGGTCCCAAATGCTACCACGATGATGGCTCCTGTATGACTGAATCCCTCCCAACCTACAACTGCTGCAGCGAACATCGGACTCGCATGACCCGTGTACGGCGCGCCCAGGTTGTGGAAGCAGTGAGTAATTACGAAGATTATTCCGGCCAGAGATGAGCATCTTGAGTGGTCGTCGTCGCGGCCAACAGCACTCTTCGCATCAGGTCCTTGCGCACAGCAACTGGCCTTGTGATACGAGGCTTGAAATCAGACGACAGGTAGCCGTCACCGCCGTCTGTGCTATGTGCGTCCCGTCATCCTTGGAGCATGCAGGGTCAAAGGACGCCACCAGCAAGGATGTAGGACTTGTGTACTTGGGAAGCATGTCCGCGATATCCTGAAGGTCACGACCTGTGAGGCCGCCAGGAGCCGCGAACTTGTTCGCCTTGCCGCATTTATCAGCATCAAGCACGTCTAAATCCCAGTGGACCATGACATGTTTCGGTGCACTTTGGGTTCGCAAAGCGTGCTCGAGAGCTTCAGCATAGGTACCGGAGCGCGCCTCATCCGCGCCGTGGCCCCAGATCACTTTGAAACCAGCATCGTTTAGTCTTCGACGCTCGGTTTCTGTGACGTCGCGTGTGCCGCAGAGAATGATATTTGTCTTCTTGATTGGTCTGAAGCCGGGTATAGAGTGCACGAGCGTGTGCCAGCTCTCTCCGGTGAGCATTGACACGCCCATGGCATCGAAGTAACCGCTCGACAATGTGTCCGGCACATGATAATCATCGTGCGCATCATGCCAGATCATACCAAGATCGTCAATTGGGATATCGTCAATACCAGCGGAGATGCCTACGCTACTGAAGCAATTGCCCCCAAGGACCACTGGAAACATGTGCTCTCTTCGGGCGGAGCGAACACCATTTGCTATTCGACGCATGAGCTCAAAGCTACGCCCGATCTCGCCCTCGTAATCTTGCACGGAGTCTACCATGCTTATGACGGTTGCAACACCCATCCCGTGGAGCGCTGCGGTCAGTCCTCCATCAAGGATTGCTTGCGGTCCTTTGCCCACGCCTATGTTGATTTCACCAACATGGTATGGCGCGGAGATGATCTGAACGCCACGATACTGCATGGTTGGGCGATAGCGTTGAGCGAGCGGGACTTCGATAGCTGAGTTGTGGTGGTGATCGACGCAGAGCTGTTTGTGCTAGAACTTGTAAACTACGTAGGTGTATATACCATACCGACCTCGTACAGCTTGTCCTACCACCTGCAGCGTACTGGGCAAATACAATGTGGGGATATCACCGCTGACCTAACGGCCTCTGTTAGCAACGGCACAACGCATTAGGATACTCAAGTCTGCCTGCCTGTTGACCTGACCAGGCAAAGCATGGAGGCCCGCTTTGCAATCTATTGCCAGCTGGCCCCATTTACAAAGCACAGCAGCCAAGATCATGTATCGCCGACCCAAGCGTCAGCATCTGTGGGTGGTACTACTTATACACGACGCGACGCTGAACAATCCTAGAGCTTGCTCTACCAGCGCTTACGAGTGTTTCGAAGTCGGCCCAAGCTTAAGCGGCAGGATTGCTGCTAATATGCTGCTTCGAATCGTCTCGCACAGCGACCGCCATGCAAGCCCGAGCTCTCATGAACGCGTGAGAAGGCACCCTCGTGATCAGCTTTGCTTCGTTCGGCTTTGCCGGTGCGGCATGATGCACGTAGGAATGGTAGGCGTCGGCCGCCTTATCTTGGTCTTCGTCATGCTTCCGATAGCGGGAATCGGACAAAGAGGCCCACCGCGAAAGGCGATCTTGACGTATCTTGAGCGCAAGTGGAAGTTTGTCGTCCTCGACTTTGTCGCCCAACGCTTCGTCTGCGATGTTGTAGAGCTCACGCAAAAGCGACGTGCGTCTGCCAGCTGCCGTGCTGATGATCTCTCCATTGACGTTGCGGATGGGTGGTACGAAGAGTCTTCCAGAAGTCTCTAATGGTTTAGATCGCAGAATGGAAAGCTCCTTTAATTCTGCCTCGTACGGCACGACTCTTACACGCTCAATGCGGACTTGACACGTGGTTTCGAAGTCCTGGGCGTCAGTGCCCGTGATGAGAGCTGGTTTGAGAGAATAACGAGCAAAGCCATAATGCTCTCTGAACTTCCTGCAGCGCCCTTTGATCTTGAAGCGCTCATTCCACACACGCTTGGCGCGCGCAATTGCTTTGTCGCTGGCGCTATGAACACTGTCGATGCTCCAGCCGAAATCGCAGTTTGTTTCCACGTCGGGCTCGCCACTATTCCCAGTCTCGGTTATACGACTTAGACGGTTCTTGACCACGACAGATGGGCGGCGTGGTTTGCCTGAGGTGGAGGATAAGCCAGCACTACCACTCGCGGCACCCTGGGAGAGTCGTCGAGCAAGCATTAAGTTTTGACTATGCAAGGCAGCTGGCTTGTGTATCGCCACAACCCAGACATGGTCCGCGAGATCAAGCTGCGTCTCAGCGAGAAACAAGCCAACGTCCCTCTTCTCTTTACTGCCGTCAGCCTCCCACATAGCACCGGACTTGTTCGTCAGCACATGTCCGGCCATATCAACCTTCTTTGCCTGTGCAATGAAGCGAATCTGCGATCCATATCGACCCCACGTCGATGTCATGCATCCAGTGTCACTATCGATTATATTTAATCTCGTCTCCACGGACCGGAAGTTCGGGTTGCAGTGCGCCAGCACCTCCACGCGCTGGTTCGCCCGAACGGCTGTCGTATAGCATCGATCGATCCCAAACATGTATACGTCCCGATCGCTGCGTAGCTCGGCGGTGTAGGTGACGAACATCGTTGTCTTGTCTGTTGTCAAGGCCTGCGCTGCAATTGCGGAAAGAGAGAAACGCTTCGACAGAACGGGACTGGCCCGAGATGTGTTATCCATGCCAACACCATAAGCTGATAGAAGTGCTGGTGGGTATTGCAGTTGAATTTCGTAATATTTTCGAATTGTGAGTGCGCTCCTTCCAGTGGCAAATTATGCGGCTTCGGTTACCAAAGGCGCCTGTCCTGAACGTCACATCACGCTACCCAACATGAGCGCTGCAACACCGTAGTAGGCTTGAAGCCGGATCACGCTAGTGCACCATCGTCTCGACACTGCCCACAGGCCTTTCCACAAATTCCATGCAGCCACTCACCACACCTTCTCTGGCTCCTTTCGAGCTGACCTTCTCCCCTGCCAGATACCCAAACCAGAGCAGTCTGCTAACACGCTCGTCCTGCACCATGCCCAAGCTCTCCATTTCGACCGCGTTCTTGTCCGGCTTCGGCTGATAGAGCACGCTCAACGCACCTCGGGCGTCCCTCAGCAACACCAATACCGACCCTTTCGGTGCCTTGCCACCAGAAAAGATGGACTTGAGTGCTTGCACCGACTGACCGAAGTCTTCAGAGTCATACTCTGTTTCACCACCGTGAGTGAGTTTGCGAGCTTCGGCCGTGCGTGTATTGATGCCAGAGACGAAGCCGTCACGCAAGTGTCCGAAGTCAGTGGGGCGGGTGGGCGAGATGCGGAAAGCTGTCTTGATACCTGGCACCTTTAGCAACTCGGTCCAGATGGCGCGGCTCTGCTCGGGATCAAGTAGGCTCTTCCTCAAGTCCTCCTTCTCCGAAGGAATCAACGCTGATGCGGTTGGGTTGATATGATGGACGAGCTTCTCTTGAAGAGTGCTGATGTCGGTCGTCCTCACGTACATGCCAATTACGTAAACTTGGATGAACAGCACCGTCCGGATACCGAGACCTACAAGGGTGTACTCCTCCTGATTCGCGGCGTTGCCCGGGTTCTGTGCAGCGTTGGGCGCAGCCGTACCGACAGCGCCTGGCGAAGGTGTTGGTGCGGATGAGTCGGGCGATGAAGGCAGATGAATTGTTCGTGGGAAGTGTGGGACGCTGCTGGTGCCAGTCTCGACTAGCTCAATCTCACCTCCCTGCCCCGACGCAAGGATCTTCTTGCCGTCTCCTGCGCCGATTACATGAACTTCTCTGCCCTGGAACGTGGCATTTGCTTCACTTGAAGCGTCCAATTGCTGCCCTCTCCGCTTCGTCTCTGATTCCTTCTGCTTCTTTTCCGACTGCTCCAAGCTATCCAAGTCAATATTGAAAAGCACCAGGAACAAGCCTGCGGTCGTGACCAACAAGCCCATACCTGCAAGTCGCATACGTCGGAGGTGATATTGCCGCTTCTCCTCCCACGCGAGGCGTTGCGCTCGGACGTCGAGGGGGTTCTTCGTTCCTGCGGCAGGTGCACCGTCTCCCACGAGTTGCTGTTTCAAGGCATCGATGGTCGAATTGGTCGGCAGTGTTGCCACGTTGCGCTTCGGCGGGTCACTGTACCGTCCAGAGACACAGCGAATCTGATGGCAAACGGGTGGTGGCTTGCAATGGAGGTGCTGAAGGCGTGGCGAGAGTTGCCGCATTGCCTGCCTTGCACAGTTCGCCATTTTGTGCGATTGAAGCTGTTGTCACCGGTCGTATTAGGATTGTCGCTTGGTACTCTCAGTGGAGGACGATCATCAATCAAGTCGGACATGCTCCGTTGAAATGAAGCTCACCATATGGCCCGTGCATACCGGAGCGTCATTGAGGCGCTTGGCTATGTTCTCTCAGGCTTGTGGCAGGAGTATATAACACGGCTTTTACTTCTCGCATGTGTGGCTGAGAGTGGAGGTGAAAGCACACAGTATTGGTGTGGTGACTCAAGTCCGCTTCGCGAAAGTATCATATATGCCGAAGCGCTCAAAGGCGCGTTCAAAAGTCGGACGGACGCGAAAGCGCTTCCCAAACCGCAACCAACGATCAGTAAGGCGGTCTTGCGGACCAGACTCTCCTTTGTCCGCCATCTCCAACCTTAATGCCTTCCAATATCAGACTGACCTCCCTCACACCTCCCTTCGGCTTGCCTAGCAACGTGGCAGGCGTGTAGCCGTCGTCGCTGACCATATCTCCATCCTCCACCATGCTGTCACTCGCAGTGTCGTCGCCAGCGTCGAACGACACCTTCTTTGTCGATGGTACCCCTCCACCAAGAACCGTGAAACCTCCATCAGCCAAGACCCTCTTAAGCTCCTCCACCCTAAGAGGCGCACGTGCAGCGGCGAGGCTGTTTGCTCGTTCTGAGCCTGCGCTCACGCGCCGGTACTGGTCGTCTGTTTGCAGGTTGGAGATGGCACCCATCGCAGGCTGCCTTGGCCTTCCACTCAGCGTCTTCGCAGGTGTACCGAGGCCGCCATTGCCGTTCCGCGCAGCTCCTGAGTGGACCGCAGTAAGAAGTTGTCGGTGGTTACCGGCGGCTGCTGCTATGACATTGGCGGTGGCGGCGTTCGCAGCAGCACGTCCTAATGCCTCCTCGTTCACACTCTCGTTCAGGCTTATGCTTCTGGGCGCCAGCGATGCAATGGCGGCTAGACATTGCTCCCGACTCCACTTCGCCACCATTGCCTCCCTCGCCCTGCCCAACAGACTCGGGTCCACCAGCGCCTTGGCTGTCAAGTAGCTACTCGCTGTGCGATCGAGCGAGGTCGGCAGGGTGAAACTTCTGCCGGGTGATCCTGGCGCTGAAGGTGCTGGGCTGACGACCGATGTCTGATAATGCTCAAGCACTGTATCGACCAGTCGCTCCCTGTCGTCGAACGGCTTCAGCTCGTTATGGAGCACCGTGTCCTGACTTAGTGTGTCCGCCTTCTCGTCCTCCTCCGTCGTCTGCTCCCAGATGATGGGCAGCTTGAGCGGCGGATATTCCACTTCCTTCACCCAGATGGAGTGACCCTGTCTCCTTGCAATTTCTTGCATTACCGCCTTTCCAGCGACATCCCCTTGACAGTCGAAAGTCTCGACCACGGCCCATAGATACCCATGCACCAGAGTCCCAACGCGAACTTTCCCAATAGGCGAATCGATGCCTGGTATTTCATCTTGCAGCGCAAAAATCATGGGTAGGCCGTTAGCCAAGGCGTTCAGGCCCAGCCGTTCGAGCAGTGTCGCTAGCAGGGTTGATTGCATAAGAATGTCTCGTTTGGATGTCGCAGCGAATTGCAGCACGTTCTCGAAGTTAGCGAGATGAAGAAGTTGTAGGAATGTTTGCGATGATGATGTCTTCTTCAGACTGTTTTGCGCCCGGTCTTTGGTCGCCGAAGCATTGCTTGCGGCGCGCCGAGCGATTGTGCCAGAAGGATCCCGCGCTTTTCTTGGTGGCGAGGCTGGCTTCTCAATGCGGAAGTCGCTCTTCTTCGTCTCGAGCTCTAACCATGTCACCAGAGCCTCGGCATAGGCCATACGAACCTCAACGCAAGGATCACGAAGCAACCATTGTGTCCCTTCCCAGATCGAGATGTGCACGGGATTGCGGCTGTCTGCGACGCCCTTGGCGGTACGTGCACGAGACGAGTGTGCAACAGTCATGATGCTCTTGACCGCTTCGAGCGCAGTTTGACGCGCAATATCGAAGTTGAAGAAGCCGCCGGTGCTGGTCGTTCGCTCGCGAGGCGCTAAGCTGGCGTTTGATGCGAGGTCGTTGACAGCAGATTTCGGTTCCTCTATCGCCGCAGCTGTGGCAAGAGGGTTCTGCGGAACGGTCGGTGATGCGTTCGGCTTTAGCCGTAACAAGATGGCTGAGATCATGTCTGAGATCTGGTCGGTGTAGTAGACATGGGTCGCTAAGTCTGCAATGCAGGCCTTGAGCATCCACAGCAGCTGTATGCGCTGTGGAGACGGCTGCGGCGCTGAGCCACTTGATGTCGAGGGGTGAAAGTCTTCGTTGCTTGATCCGACTTGCGAGGTCATGGTGTCTGGCGGCACGTGGTACTGCAGGATACGGAGCGTGTGCTGGATGAGGCCAAGCAGCACGTCCATGACCGAAAGGCCGATGAGGTTCAGATCTGATCGCAGGATTGTGTCGATCAAACTCGCATGAAGAACATGCTGTATCATGTCGCGCTCCTTGAGCGGCAGATGTGTGAGCTTCTCAACCGCGGTGACCAGCAGAATGAAGCGGTCCTGCACAGGTGTCCAAGCCGTGCATAGCTCGAAGACTTTGAGCGACCAGCTGTCGACAGCATATTCGCTGCCCGCCAGATCAGGGCGTTGGTAGTATTGCAGCTCGCTCAGATAGCTCAAGAGCGCAGCAGTGGCCGCACGGATTTGTGCGCGATTGTCACTACTGAAGACTGCCTTGAGCGAGTCGAGTGCGACAAGTGCGACCTCTTCTTCGGCCAGAGCATCCGCATCCTGTGTGGTGCCTTCTGCGGCGCGAGGGTCCGCTTCGGCAAGGGTTGGGACCTCGCCAGTGAAGGTGCGGGTGGTAGCCAAGCTCTGCCTACGGGTCATGGCCTTGTCCCTTTCTTCACTCGCATTCTTTCTGCTCAAGCGCACGAGGTGCTCAAGCGACGCTCCATCGTCGCCGCGAATGTTGCTAAGGATGGCAGGTATGGTGACGGCGAGCAGCTTTCGGCCGCTTTCGAAGGCAAGAGCGTCAGACGTCAACACGCTTTTGATGGCATGGAGTCCGGTTTGGCGGAGTCGAATGGCGTCATGAGCCGCAACGGGCGAGGTTGCAGTGCCGAGCTTCTTTGCACCGGACTTCTGGGCGAAGGCGGCATACTGGCCAACAACCTTCTCGTAGGAATCGCGGTACTCATGGTCCGCAGCCAGGATACGCTGGTCTTGGTGGATGCAGAAGACGCTCCACGTGTGAATGCTTGCCTCAATCTGTGCGGAAGGAGGTTAGCAGACGTGGTATCGTAGACAGTATGCGAGACCAGGGAGGCGCGACTTACGAGGCTGATGTCATTGGTGTTCTTCAGAATGTCGCTGATGATGCGCATGATGTAGGGTGCGATGAGAGCGAGGCCGGATGCTTGCCCGACAACCTTACTGTCGAGAATGGCGGCCATGATCTGCAGTGTGACCATGACGCGGGCGGACTGCGCGTAGTAGACATCGCGCGCGGTCTTCTTTTCCAGGTACGCGCCGATCTTGGGCAGCTTGCTGCGACGCGTGCTGGCGTAGTAGAGAAGGTAGCTCAGTTCAGACCCATTGGGCTTGACATCCGCGGCGCTGTTCTTTGGCAAACGCGGGTAACACTTGAGGATGAGCAGTTGGTGCTTCGGGCGCATCTTCTGCCGCACCGAGTCCATGTGCGCCGGGAGGTGTGTCTTCGGCATATTGGTGTCGGAGGTGCTCGCATTCTAGACGAAGCAGCCAGCGAGAACGGTCACGAATCTCGAGAACATCTTGTTCTGGTTTGCTGATGTGGTTTTTGTGTTTTTGGTCGTGCTTGTACTTGTGCTTGTATACGTGCTTACGCTTTGTGCTTGCGTTGCATGAAGAAGAAGGAAGAGAGAGTGGGAAGTACTGGAGATGTGTTACGATACCTGTCGGCGACTCGCGCTCGCACGGTGTCATCAAAGCGGGTCCACCACAATACTTCGAGCTATTGGTAATGGGCAACATCGTACGTCTGTTGGTTCAACATGACCTCTTGGGTGCTCCTCTGGATGTAGTGACATATAAGTACTTCGACTCACGATCGTAAGACATTGATTGTTACCTAACATACAGTGTCTATACCAGCAATTACGTGACATGAACGTGCCTGACAACACTCACGTCACCCTGTTAAACCTTCCAAGTACAAGCACGTTTAATCGAGGATACCGTCATCGGCGGCCGCTGTGCCCAGCGTGCGACCAGCCAAGACACAGTGATGCCAAAGTCACGCCACCTGATTCCCTAGTGCACCTTGATACCTCTCAAGCTCACCACGGTCGAGCTGCGAGATGTGATCAACCGAGCTTACCTTCGTCCCGAAGGGTCACCACTCGTTCAAGTGGGCGAGTGCAGCGTACGGGAACCGCAACATCATACTCAACATTATCCGGATAGGGTAGAGGTCGTTCCATTGCCACACTCAGAAAAGTTCACTGTCATAATGCTTTGACGCTCCTGGGACAGTAGGGCTGATGCCGAATGCCGAAGAACCACTCGAGCAATGTCGATATGTTAAACTCTTAAGCCTGCAAGGACAACTATACCGCCAAATCATGTTAACACATCTGCGCTCACGGGATGCTTCTGTGCCCAGTGCGTCGTACTCCATGATATCGGTGCTTCGTAGGCCAACGCAGCAAGGCCTTCCGGCTATATGGTTAGCATGTAGCTTGGCAACGACGAAGCCGTCGAAGCGCGCCCATTTGCGGTTTCAAAGTTCGACTCGCGCACTCTTCGGTCTGTGTAGCATGTTTGGCAGCAGCACTTTAGCCGTTATCCGTCTTGGTGCTGTATTGATAACGTTGCCCTATTGCGGATACCACTGAAGTGCATCACCGTGCTGCACCAGGACCTGGGTAAGCGAAGAGTCTCATATGGCCACGCACGATCGGCCTGCCGCATGCACAAAACGAGATGGAGCGGATGCAGTGTCAACGGTACTGTTCTGGTGAGCGCTTGCACCTTTCATGCAAGACGGTGTCGGTGATGCTATTAACGTCGAGCTGCGCCTCAGCCACATGACAGCACGCGAGACCCACGCCGCAGATCCCCAAGCCTTCGGGTTTTGGATTCTGGTCAGTCTCCCACTCCGTTCATGGAACAGCTTGTAACGTTCGAGAGACACCGATATGCTTGTGCCGCAAAACAGGAATCGTCAGTCCGGCTGGCCACGGTCGGTGTAGTGGTATCCCCCGCGGGTGTGTGTGAAGTGATCCCGAGTAGCTGGAAAATGATAGTGATGAAGATCCGTTGTTCAATGTTGCAGGATGTCGTTGTGCTAACGCACGCTTAGTTTTAGCGGCGATGGTTAAACACACACTTAAAACATGCGCGCTCTTGCACAGCCTCTTGCTATTTCGGAGGCCAACATTGATCACTACTGTCCTCCACATACGCTTCCATTCACGAGACATTTGATCCGACCGGTACGGTGCCGTTTTCCGTACGCATGCACTGTCTTCGATAGCATTGCTTAGCATTCAGAGGATCCGCCACTAATGTAATCAATCCCGAACACCTCCACACCCCTAGCGCCGTAGCGACAGTTTGAACCCTCGAGTGAATGTTGCCCTGCCATTGCAGCGCCGTGGATTTGGAGTCAGTCCTCACTTTCACTTATGCAAGCGGTATAGGCTCTTTTGTTCGTGCCGCATACAGCCACAATGCTGCTCTGATTAGGTGGCACAGAAGTGGTATATTCCCCTGTGCGAGACCCCGACTTGGTGGGATCGTCTACGCTATTGATGCATCGAAGTGTAACCCGTCCTTCTTGTCTTCCTTCCAGTACGCCCTTCTTTCCTTATTCGGTTCTTAGTGATATGCCCAAGCTGTTCCTGCAGGCTGCGGCTTCCGTACTGCTTACGACCGGATCACTCGACGTCTCCTGTATATCATGTGTCGGACACCCTTTGAAGCCTACACGCCCAGTCGACAGTCATTCGGTGCTGATGCACGTCGAATCGTGCATTTGTATGGACGGTCGTCGGTATGGCACTACGCCAGCTAAGCAGCTACGGCACTATGGTAGCAGGGCGTCCCTACAACAACAGCAATCTTCAACAGTAAGCCAGCAATCTTACAACAGCCCACTGCCACAAACGCAATGGTCAGACATCCCTCTGCCTTATCGACCGATCGAATACAACGACCCGGGTCTACAGCAACATTCCCATCCTGGTAGCGCTGAGTCGTACAATTGGCGTCTTCGACCGTCCGTGTCCGGCACAAACCCTCCAGGCTCACTTGCGCCTGAACCGCTAAGAACTCGTCCACGGCCTGGCGGTCTCCGAAGCTTGGTTGAGCGCTCCTCAAGGGTGGCCGAACCACCGCCAGATACTACCTTTCTTTACCCACAGATGAGTCCCTACGCCGATCGCTTCTCCGTATACGGCGCTCAGGACGAGCCTCCAATGCGATCGGTCAGTCAACCCAACACGCCAGCCTATCATCAGCACAGCTTCGAGAGCAGTGAGGACATCCCCATGCACGTACCTAGAACGCCAACGTACCCACCCACGGGGCGACGACGCATGCACAGTGCTTCCGGTGTGACTGATGCCGCTTTCCAAGACGAGCGAGATTTCCGCCTATTCGTGGAAGCCACTTCAGGCCTGGGACCCATCGATACGTTTCGGGCTTCACACTCATCCTCATCTGGCTCTTCGAGACCACGGACGCGGAACAGCCATGGTAGCGGGAATGGCAACAGCCACTCAACAAGCCAGCAGCAGGTATCTCCCATTGCAGACACGCCAACGACAATGCAAGCCTACCAGCACCTCGCACAGATGCCGCAAGCAACACTACCCTCACAACAGCACTTACAGCCATCCGAGGCTCGCTCAGAGTCATGGCGCCGCGGGTCGCCCAGTCCTGCTGTCAGCCCATTGGAGGAGGACTACCCCGACGATGACGATGAGCTTCCGGATTACGCTGCGAGTCAGGCACAGGCGCACGCGGCGCAGAGGGTAGAGGCGTCACGGCGAGCGCAAGAATTGCAGCGGAGGTGGCAGGAGAGTAGGGGCACCCGGCGGGCGGACTGGGATTGATAGGAGGGGCAGGTGAGATGAGAAGGGCTCCATTGCAGATAGCGGTGCACGTAACGAGCTCGGCGCTTGCCTTGAGCTTGCAATGATTGTACCAAGAACCTACTGTTTCGCACATGTTCCATTTCCATGATGCAACTTCTAGCTCATGGACGAATACTTGTAGGATATGCCGTCAGTGATCCCCAGCAGTAGGCAGGCCAAACGAGAACACTGAGCCAGGCAGTAACGTACAATCATGTCGAGTGGTCCTCATATGCTGTTTAAATTCTACGTGCGACCTGATTAACTTCCGTAGATGTGTTCCCCTCCACTACCTCGGCGTCTTAAAGTGGTTTCGTCTCCATCACATCACCACACATATCTGTACCGGTATTAGACCCCGTATTCAGTCCCTTGAGCTGTCCGTTAGAGCTGTGGCTGCTGCGAGAAGCACCCAGCGCCTTCCCAACCTCTGAGGAACTTCCCGCGCCGTCCGCGTTGCCGTCTATAGGCCAGCAAGTGTTCTGGTCACCTGGATCATAAAGGACGCTTCATCTGCGTTTTGGAGCTATTATCCCCTTACGTTACCGTGGATATCCTAGACCGGATGACAGCGGGGTAATGAATGAGCCACCTAAACCTTCCGCAAGGTAAGAAAGCAGACCAGGCTCAGTCTTGCCAATCCCACACAGTCTTCAAGAACTGCACCATGTCAACCCGCTTATTCTTCATATCTATCATCCACGGATGCTCAAGCATGCGCCAGGGTGTTGCACGACGGCTGCTCTCTTTCTCTAGACTACGAATAACGGTCAGCTTGCGCATATAGCTAACGGTGACGGAACAGTGAACTCACCAGCATTCAATGAAGTACTTGAAATTAGCACTCCACTTAAGCTTGCTCTCCGGCTCGTCTTTAAGCTTCGGAATTGGTTGCCGCACGATGTATGTCAGGAGATCGATGAGGTTAGCTCTCGGATTCGTCTCCGTTCCATCCTCTGGGAACGGGAAACGATGCTGTGCCACTTCGAGTAACGTCACGCCCAAGGACCAGACGTCCGAGGTAATGGTATAGCTTTGACCGGTGATCCTTTCCGGAGCCATGTAGTACGACGTTCCGATGAATGTATTCGCGTCGCCTTTAGTGCCAAACTCGCCGCTAACGCCAAAGTCGCACAGCTTCACCTCGCCTTTCCGGGTCAGCAGGATGTTCGATGGTTTGATGTCACGATGAATGATGCGGTGGCCGTGCAGGTACGTTAGTCCGTTCAGCACACCTTCGGCGACCTTGCCGAGCACTTTCTCGCCGGTCCTTCCGCCTAGCTTCTTGACCTCTTTGTATACGGCATCGAGCGAGCCGCCTTCGCAGAACTCCATACTAATGCCGATAGTGCCTCCGGTGTCGTCCATGAAGGCGCCGTAGTACTTGCAGATATGTGCTGACGCGCAAGATTTGTTGAACGATAGTTCCCGGAAGATCTGCTTCTTGATGTCGGGATTCGGATCTGTCGTGATGATCTGTAAAACAGTTTGAGTACAGCATCGCGGCAGTGGGAAACATAGCAGTGCTCACCTTCAGCGCAAAGACGGTCTTGCCACCTTCAAGCACGCACTTGGTCACAGCACCTCCAGCGCCTTCACCAAGGGATCCAAGCGTGACAATCCGACCTTCCTTCTTCGCCGCCTTCCAACCTAGGTCGTCCAGATCTTCTGCATCTAACGGGCCACCCTTTTCCAGCGTGAGTTTCTCGAGGTACTTCTCCAGATCAACTTGGTTGCCCTGCATACTGTTCTCCCTCTCCATGCCAATGCCACTATGCGCAGAGCTTGATGAGTACGCCGCTGAGTCGGGGTCTTTCAGCACGTCCGCAAAGTTCAGCATTGAGTATGAAGACGCGGTCGAGGTTGAGCCATTGGCACCGAAGCTGTTGGTCCGGCTGTGTGCCGAGTCATCACTGCTGCCACCGCTCGGTGTCAGGCCGGAGCCAGGTACGATCAGCGGCGGACCTCGTCGTCTGCCTTGCCCGTTCTCTTGTGGCGTCGCTCGTGTACCCATCGGTGTTGCGAGGCTCAGTTTGGGAGGCTGCTGTTTGGTTGGTATGGACAATGGTGGTAGGCTCGTCGACTGTGTGACTGGAGGCACTGCAGCGCTGTTGACTGGTCTTTGATTGGGTGAAGCCGGTATGGCAAGGCCTAGCCTGGGCACTCTACCACTCGAAGGCGACCGCCCACCAGGCCCAGCACCTGGGATAGGCGGCCGCAGTAAGGGTGCCGGACTGGCCATGTCTGCACGGTTGGGCGGGTCAATGGAGAGGTGAGGTGTTGCTGCAGGATTGGTGGCCAGGATGGGCGAGCAGTGTGCGGTCGGCTGCCGAAGAGGTGCGCCTAGGCCCTCTTTGACAGCCTGCCCGTCTTGCTAATGGTAGAGGTGACGCTACTGCCTGCTTCCGTCTCCGCCTCGCGCAGACAACGCTGTTCCCACAAGCTTACCACTTACCACGCCCCGTTGGAATAATGTCCGTTGCAGAGATGCAGCCGCCCGTCGCAGAATGGCCTTGTTGCACAACGTGCGTTCCACCGGCTGAGACGGTGTACGCAGGTGGGGTTCGCTCCGCGTCCGTAGGTATCCACCAATGTGTCTGTCTGTCGTTCAGTGGCGGAAACTGTATCCCCTACTTTGCTGAGTGCTTCATGTACTGTGTCCCTCACGATAGTGGTGCATGTGCTCAGTATATTCACGCCGGTGCTATGATGAGAGCAAAGTACGAGCTGGGCAAAGCGCTGGTGATGCTGGCGCGAAAGCTAATGTAAGGCTTGCTCGCGTGGTGCTTCCAGCCAGCACAGTCAGCCGTCCTGCCGTAGCCCGCCAGTCTCCACGTTTGATGACGGCGCTTCGTGCTCGTCCCGTGAACTCTACTTGGAGCCGTGCACCGGGGTGGCCGATTACAGCGTTTATGGTGGGATCTGAAAGATGTATATCTATTGTTTTGCATTGCATCGTATTCGGCAGCCGCCTGGTCAATTGGACCCTGTCAATCGCGATCGTCCAGCTTCATGCAGCTCTCCAACTGCTGGCACTTGGCGCGCCGAATTGGCACCTGATTGGTTTTCCGAGGGACAATGAAACACCCAAGCGCAGACAGCTCTGCGCCAGCGTGGCTGCCCGGCACAAATTCTCCGGCTCACGCCAGCGATTGCGTGTTTACAAACTCACTCCACCGCGTCACGCTGTTGGCATTACGTGCTTAGCCGAACCGCTTCGGACGTACTGCCCAGTCGTGGTGTTCTGTATTCAATAGGCCTACCCGGACAACGACAACACACGCGAACGTTCGAGCCTACGTACATTGCCTTCCACTTCCGCGTCCACCACGGCACGTGGAGGCGGGCAGCGGTTACGTCGCAAGACGTCGGGGGTATGTTGTTATTGTTTACCTAGGTAGCTATCTCAGTGCCGGGATGTCCGATGAGTCTCCACCACGCCGCGAGTAGGGCAATGCTTGCGAAAGCACATGTCAGGACTTTCTCTGTTTGATGATAACCGAGGACCCGACTGACGCTCGACTACATGTACAGACCGTAGCGACAGCCTCGACTCAATCCTCAAGTCCCCGGCCCATGGTTCCGGGCTGTCACATGCAAGCAGTCGAGTTGGGCTCTGTTCATATTGGACGGAGCCTCCGCCGAGGCGAATCTGCGCCAGTGGAAGTGTGCATTTGGGCAGCTCGGGCTGATCTGACCGGACCAAGAGCTCGGCGGAGCTGCAGCATTTTATTGCCTCATACGACCTGTACCAGATCGTACGCAAGTATCGTTTGACTGCACGTAGACGCCATTAGGCCATGTTTACTCAGGTTGCCATGATTTGGGAGCACATCGCACACAGTGGAACAGTAATCGGTCTTCCTCCACTCAGCCCCGGAGTCAGCCGGGTGAGCTTACTTCACGCGCAAAGAAGAGAAATCGGACGCTGAAGGTCGAGCGCCTTAACAAGGGATGCAAGCTCCACTTCGACCTGCTGGGTGTACCATGACATAGCCGCAGGAACACTCGTGACAGCCGCTGAAGGGCCCAATCTGGTGCCATGGCATGCCCACTTTACCGAGCCATCGGGAAGACCGATGCATCACCCGATCTTGTCCTTGTTGACCATCAGCAATGTCTTGGAGAGTCGAGGGTCCTCTGACTGGTCAGACTCATCACTCCATCTCGCTTGACAGTGGGACTAACTTACAGTCCTACCGTTTACCATTCCGCCTCACGATGGCAGTACCGATGGACTGACGCGCTGTATGATGGAAGGCCACGCTGCCCGAATGGGAGACACCTACGCTCTGGCCTAGAAGAGACTTTACCGCCACCAAATTGTTGCGTTATTACGCAAGTATCAACGCTATGGACTATAACTGCTGGATATTGACACTCTTCAAAGTACGCCGCGCCTCTCTTTCCTGGATATGTACAGCACTCTCCAGGAGTCGTTCTGTTGAGCTCTGGAGGCCATGTTTGTTGGCAGTCGTAATTGCCTACCACAGCCGCCACCATCGCTTCTTCTTCTCGCTGTTATCCACCTCAGGGAGAATTGCGCCGGTCGAGGCGCTTTCTTCGATGACCTCCCAGTCATCGCCAACGTTGTTGCTAAGTCTCAGTCAGCAGCTTGTTTACGGATTACTCATTATGCGCAGGGCTTCTCTGGAAGAATTTTAACGTACACCGGCTTCAACCCTGCAATACACAGCCCGCCACATTTGCCAGGGCGTAGGATTCGAGCCTCCTTCCTACACGTTGCTTCATCGGAGTCCTTCGCAACCACCGCCACCCAGTCTTCGCGCACGATCAGGAAGAGTCGCCACTCGCTGTTACCAGCATACTCCCAGTGCGGCATCAATGTCTCGAAGCGGAAAGGGTCGGAACAAGCATGCTTCACTAAGTGTCAGCCGAGAACACCATTCTAAGCAATGTGACCTACCAGCCAGTTGAAGACTCCACGGTAGGGTTTGATCCATGGCTTGAGGCAGTCCTGCTCGTAGTCTGCGCTCGGGAAGCATCCACGTTTGAGAGCATCTTGGGAGATGTTGCGCCAGAATTTCTGCTGCCACTTTGCCAGGCGCTCGAGGTCGTACTTCTCGGCTATTTCTTGAGTCTCATCCATCGATGCCTGCGATACACTCATCGTGATGTTGTTGGTGGGAACCCGCGACTGATCAGAAAACACTAAGCGATTCTTAGTCTCATGAAGGTCATGTATTTGTTTTGGCACGAGGCTGAATAGGCGTACGAATGACAAACACCATCCACGATCACTGCGCTTGTGGGAGCAGAGCCTCGACCGCATGATGCTCGCTTGCATACGAGTTACTGAACGCTTTCGACATACTGCCCGCAAAACTCCCGCCACCTATCGATCTGCCTCCGCTCCTTGCCCTCAGCAACTACACTGATACTGTCAGCCATGCCAACAGTCTCGTCATCCCATTCATCAACGTCGCCCACCACTGCAAATGATGGGTCCGATGGCTCCGAGACGTGGTCCAGCCACTCCCAGTACTCCGGCTCCGGCTCCGCCACCATCTCCTCGATCTCGATATTTGAGCATGACGCACTACCATTTCCGGACACTGAAGGTCTGGTATAACCACAGGATTCATGTCTAGCTTCAGCCATTGCGGCCTTCGCTGCCTCATAAGCTGTCTCGGCGGCAACGAGCTCGTGCGTTAAGTCCTGGTATATCACAACCCAGCGGAGATCGAAGTCTTCCACGGTAGCGTCTGTGACCTCTTCGCCATTCTCGATCGCAGCCACTCTCGCGTGCCAGTCAGCTACGCGATCCATGTCGCGCTGGTCAAAGGCCCACTGCGCACTCAAAAACTGCTGCTGAGTCTTCGAAAATGTTTGCCAAAGATCTCGCTCCGCCTGCTCTTCTGCGGTGAGAGGTGGAGGCTCCCTGTGGGGCCGGCTCACATCGAGTGGTGCGACTTCTCGGAACTCTCCAGCACTGTCCTGCTGCTGTTTGGCAATATATGCTGCGTACTACGCCTGGACCTCGCGAGGCTCTAGTGGCGTGTCTGGCTCGTCAATCCATGGTTCTATGAGACGTGCGTGAACAAAGGCCTCTGCGAGCTGGTTGTTAATGAGGCACAATATCTGACGAAGCCAGGACCTCCGGTTTTCCTTTTCCGAGTCCAGGCGCTGACGATGGAAAATCGAATCGGACAGCATATCTTTCAAAACCTCGAGTTCTTGGGACAGTATTTGCCTTTTCTCCTCATCAAAACCGGCCTCCTCTCCCATTAATGCGATTCTGTTCTCATGGTTCCGAATTTCTATTCGCAGCCTAGCTTCGAACTCCATTGCTGCGACTACTTCATCAGTGGCCTGTCTGTCCGCTTTGTTAGTGTTTCGCTGAGCAAGCACTGCCTCCTGAATCTTTGCTGACAGTTCGAAAGTCATCAGGAGCGCTGGGCACTCCTGCACGCCATCCGATGCAGCGACAAAGCGAGCCGGACCTGCGGTGTAATCTGCCGGATTCTCTTCTACTACCGTGATATATGCGCCATCGCGTATGGTTTGCTCCGCCCCGAACTGATTCGCACCGCTCCATTCACTGCTTCGTTCAGGACTCTCTGTTGAGGAGGAAGTGAGTGGATCGTGGGCGACGCCCTCAACGACGCACTGGATTCGTCTTGCTGCATCCATACATCAGGCTGGTCGTTGGTCTGTGTACCCCTGGTACAGGTACTAACTTCCCTCGGAATCTCGTCCTTTCGCAAATGTAATGGTTTGACAATCCGTGGCGCAGCTTTGGCTTTTGGGCCTGACTTTCGCTTACGCTTCGTTGCTTCGCGGACCGTGTTGGCCTGACATTGCTCCGATATGGTCGTGGGCGTCGCGCTCCCTTGGTTACAGAACTTTGCGGCACCACGAAAACGCCTTCTGATGCTTTGAAGCCAACCATCATCGTTTGGATGCAGCTTTCTGCGGATTCGCCAAACGAGAAAGGGGAGCATGAATATGACTGCACCGATGCGCCTGCACTGACAGTCTGACTCGGACAAAGATGCACAATTTCGCATGGGTGTCAATTTCATCCCGTAGGATAAAGGGAGGTCAGTCATGGCTCTTTGTTCAAGACAAGCTCACCTACAATCTCATGTGGATTGTATTAACCAATTTGCGCTGGCATTGTTGGGCGAGAGCACGGGGAGCCGCTACTTGAGCGGCGTACTTAGTTTCATGTTTGGTGTTGTGGACCCAATAAACCGACTTTACGCCAGCAGATACCAGGCACTTTTCGGTCTCGAATTACAAACGAAGTCTTATGACAGCTACTTACCTTCACACCAGGTAACTGACGCCATGATGGCGAAACAGCCTGTTCCACCATCTGACGCAAACGCAAACATACCAAGTGGACCACGACAGCCATAACGGCCAACCACCTACTTTGCAGCGACACCAAATCAGCGCAGCTATGCCAATGCAGCGCGAAGCCACGTAGTGTCACGCGGTGGTGTTGGGAAGGGCAGTACATCACCAACGAGCCCGAAGAGGAGCAGGTGCCTTAATGGAAACCCTAGTAGAAACAACGTACTCAGGAACGCTCTCCACAACGCCGCTTCGCAGGCAGCCTTGCAGTGCAATCGGACGACCTCTGCCGCAGGAGCGCAGTGCGCGCAGCTGCACGTGGCAAGCACAGCTGCCAGCTCATACCCGTCCGTTTACGATCCATCGATCGGCCCAACGCCCTCTATGGCGTCGAACATGTCGATGACCGCATGGAGAAACCGACTCGCAACTTCAAGTCATGCTGGCAGCACGGCGTCGGCACGTCGACCAACATATAACCAGGTTTGTCGAGCCTCGAACCTGACCCGCAAGAACTTCTGGAAGGGCGACGTAATTGCAGTCCCCTTCCACACACCTTGCACTGATCCCCAAGTCGACCCTGAGACAGATGTTGCGTGGTCGATGAGCATGCAAGGACCGGTCTACTCTAAACGACGCATGGTGGTCATCTTATGGATACACGAACGTGACATGTTCTGTCTACCACTTTTTACGTCCAACAAGTCGAGCCTGCGGAATAAGAGTGAGCGAATTAAGCACGAGTACGTCTCCGTGGCGAATCAGGGGAAGCCACATGTCAATCAAGGCCATTACCCACCAGTCGAAGTCGTCGCTATGAAAAAGCCGTTGCACGAAGACAGTATTATTCACCTAGCCGGCGGCGTGAGAGTGGGTTGTAACGAGGATATCACATGGGCGGGCCGAATGACGAAGGATGGCTACACTGCCGTCTTGAAGCTCTGGCAGGATCTGAGCGAGCATGCGCAAGCCGAGCCATGGCGTACTTGATTGGTACCATAGCCTTCGGAGTAAATAGAAGTGCCTGTAGCGTTCAAGATCCCCGCCAGGTATTGCTCCGCATCATTGGTGGTGGACCTTCGTTCAAGCAAAGAAAGGCTGACAATGCATTCCGGAACACCTCGCTAACCCAAAGAATGCCCCTCAGGAAGGCTCACACGGCGGCGTCGCCTTTCTCGGTATGTATATGCAGGCTTTCCTTCTCGGCCACGACTGGCTCGCCAAAGTCCTCCTCTGTTGCGACGCGCGTCGGATGAGGAGCCCGTACGCCTTCCACGCGCTTCACTTTCCGGCCTTCAAGGTAGCTCAGAAGGCCGCCAAGCGCAGCCACAACGCATGCTATGCCGATGAAGAATCCGGTCGCCCAAGACGGACGGTTGTAGCGTGTCATGCCCCACATGAAGCCACAAAGGCACGCTTGCAAGAAGGTGTTAGCTACCTGCGAGTAGACGAAAAAGTCAATCTTCCACAGTGCAGTCGGTGGGGCACGGATGCCAGTCAAAGGCTCGTCTGGCCGTTTGGAGAGTGGTAATGGGAGCCGTAGGTCGTGAGCACCATCAGCTGACGCCAGATTGCCCTCCACATCCCTCTCCGCACCAGGCACAGTGTCTCCGTGCCTATGCTCGTGCGAAGCTAGAAAGCGCACGTACTCTGGGAAAGTTAGCTCGTCGAGGGTGCCTGACCCAGGCAGTCGAACCCAGCCTCGGTAAATGCCTGCCAATTTGCGCAAGCCGTACAGCTTGTTCTCCAACCCACTGCGCTTCTCACCCGTGCAACGCCAAAGGAGGAGGTACCACCAGTCGCGGAAGCGCCAAGGTATCAGTCCGAACCCTGTGACGCAGAAGAGCGCGTTGAGAATCTGACTGTCGATCTCAATCCAAATGCGGCGTGGACTGTTGATGTCGTTGCAGTTGTTATATCGTGGAAACCTACTATTAAGTCCAAGCGCTGCAGCAGGTGGGAGCTGCACTTCGGTCTCCGGCGTGTGTATGGGTGCCCAGCACATCGCAGGACTGGCGTTGCACAGCAACAAGAAAAGCATGCCGCCCCAGGCGACTACATTGAGGCCATAAATGGTAATGAGGAACCCGAAGGGTGTAAGCAACCATTTCCCAAACGCCTTGAGTGCGACGAGGGCGGAGGTGGTCCATGGTATGGTTGGTGGTGGAACATAACCTGACGAGGAGACTCTGCGATCGCGGTCAAGGCGGTGTATTCGGTCGTGATCGGCGCGTCTCGACGTGTTCGCGTCGGGGTGTTTCTGCTCATTGTCCTGAGTCGGAGGTTCGGTGCTTGCGCCTTGCTGTTCAGCTTGCGGCGGATATGCAGGCGCTTCATCTTCGATAGCTTCCTCTGCTTGATCATCGACGCTCTCTTCTTCCGTCAATGCGGGAAACGCCTTGGGTTCACCGTCTCCATTGCGCTCCGCCGCATCGCCTACGGAGACCCTCCGTAGCTTTCGCTTCGCTTCCCCATGGCTATTCCTTCGCTGCCGATCGAGTTGTTGACGATTCGCATGCCATCCATCCGCGCCGAAGCTGCCTCTTCTGATTTCGCCCACGGTCGGCGCATGCGACACCACCTGCGCCGTCGCGGCGAAGAATCCCGGTGGTGGATCCCGCAACAGGAGTTCCGACGCCGCCGAGGTGATTGTATGCGTAGCAGAGTGCACGCTATGCGCAACGCTGCTCACTGTGTTTGTCCTGCGCCGTTCTCGCCCTACCTCGCCCGACGTCTCGTTCGCATTCTCCGCCATGGCGTCGTGAGAGCCGAGAATGCTCGCTGTAAGAATAAACGAACAATGCGGCGGTGGAACTCTACGCTCGCCTTACAACATACTCGTGGCAACGGTTTGTAGCAGGTCGCGCGATGTAGTCTGCCAAAACATGGTTGCCTTGCAGTCTGCGCAACACCACAAGGCGCAGTCGCATTGATGCGTAACTGCTGCAGGGCAAAACGCTACAGGACGCTAGATATGCGCACAATATGCAGGTTCAGGCTCGCGCCTCTCTGCTAACGAACTGGCTATATACGGGGAGAAGTCCTGCTTGACATGACAAGATCGAAATCTTCACGCGATTGGCCTCGACGGCTCACGGTAGCTGCTGTGACGTGAACAACGGGCGTCCACGCCCTCGATTGCGGCAGTGCTTTCCGTGTTCTGCCGGTTGGGCGGGGTGGGGAGGGATGCGCAGTTGGGCTCGAGCGTCAGAAAGCTCTGGACTCTTGGTCTCCTCATCATCCATCTCCAACTTTTCGCGACCACGCCCGGTCTCGATCGGCAAGGTGATTCTGGCGTCTGGTCTGGGGCGCTCCACCCATACTTCAACGTCTAGCATACCTACTGCTGGCGCCTGCAGTTACCCTTCCCATGCTGCTGCTCGGGAAGTGCCGCGGAAAACCTCGCTAAAGCAGCGTCGAATTTGTCAACGCCAGCATTCTTCCAATATAGGCAGCAAAACTACCGATAGTTCAGGTAACAGACAGAAACAACACTAGGTTTTCGAGATATATTGTTATCTTCGCTCAGTTGCGACGAGGCGGTCTGAAGTGGTCTTTAAGCAAGCGCAATGGATTCAATCAGAACTGGCCTACGGCGCTTCATGGACGACAACGCGCCGTCGAGAGCCACAGCGACGGTCGGCACGCAAGTAACAGCCAATCTAGCTCTCCAGATAGCTCACAACTTGCGCTTCGCACACGACTGGACGGAGCTCCGCATACACTACGAAGGGTTCTCTGGAAGTGGCTCCCTTCCGCGTCCAGTCATTTCTGGCTTGCCACCAAAGCGACTGTATGTGCATCCAGACGAGCAGATTGAGCTGTTGGAGAAGCAACGTAAGCAAGGCAGTACGAAGCCTTTAGAACTTGCTCCGGAAAGGGAGTGGGTGCTGCCCAGTCAACTCCACGAGCAGTGGACGCTTGGGCGTTTCGCCGAAGTCTTCGATGCCCTCGATGCTATCCCATCAGTCAGTGACGGTGGGCCGTTGGTCTTCGATGGAGAAAACTCAACGGTCGAAGGCCCTCCGAATGCGATAGAGTCTGCACAAGAGGATTCTGTAGACGCGAACAAGTCTGATGTAAGACACACTCCAGCATCTGACGACCGAGCGACTGGCCATGTGACGAGTCACTGGCGAACAGAGCAACCGAAGAGGCTACTGCTAGCTACGATCGATACCGACAGCACCGTAGTCTATTATGTTCTGCATAATGGAATCGTGAAACCCCGGCAGAACTGACACACCTGCACTTGGCCAGAAATGAGTATGAGTCAAGCTCTTATTATGGCGCATCCGCCTTCTCAAGCTGCTTTCACCCTGTGGTGTGATTAGACACGGCAGATCCAGCAGGCTTCCCAAGAGTGGGAGCTGCGTAAAATCCGTCACCTTGCACGCTTCTTAGGGCCGCCCGGCCTTCTCCCCTGTCTACAAGCATCGTCTCGCCGCTTGTGGTAAGTGACTCTGCCCCTGTACTCAAGCAACTTCTCACAGGGAAGACACTGACAGCGCGTTGAAGCGGTCTAGGCTCAATACGGCCCCGCTCGGTTATGCGGACCACGCCTCTGAAACTGTGGACGTCACGTCCACGGCCGCGGAGACAGCGACTCGTCCATAGTACTCGATGGGACATGGCTGCAACAAGTGCCATTCCGATAGACCTAGCGTTGGCTCTTGATCGATAACCTTTTAGGCTAATCCATGCCATGCATCATTGATGGTCTGGCTCGACCTCGAATGTTCTTCGACGGAGATTGCTGCCTAATCCCGCCATGTTCGACAGCTTTGCGACAGGCGAGCCACTTGGTCATTTCCTGGTCGTCTCGGTCATTGCGGTCACGCAACGCTAGCAGGTTTCTGGAACCAGCAAAAGCGCTTCTTATGCATCCACAAGTTGAGATCGAAACATGATCGAGCTGTTCGCTCAACTCTAGGGTTTCTTCTTCCTGAATGCACCGTCAAGCGTGCTTTGACCACGGACTCGCGTGTGGGCCGACTTCGATGGCGACGCGTCCGAAGCCTCTCTCTTGACGCCTCTCTTCGGCGTCGCTGGTGCACGGTGCCTAATCTCAATTCCGTCTACATTGTCGAAGCTCATCATGCCGCCTGGCCCACCAAGGCCACCTTCGGTCGGACCTTCAGCATGGTCGTCAAAAAGCCGTTTCCAGGTCCCATCCAGCACTTGCGGACTCTTACCACGAAGGCCAACATGGTAGGCCGCCTTCATACCCTGGATGCAGATCTCCCTCTGAGTTGGGAAGTCGAACATTGGCTTTGGATACACTCTCGTGCCATCCCGCTCCTCTTCTTCTCCATCACCTTTGATCAACACGCCTGCTTTCTTCTGGTCCTGGACTGGCGCTTTGTGCGGCTCGTAGATGTATTTCTTTGGCATGTCCTTTAGTTCGGGCACATACTTCCGGATAAAGTCACCATTGTCATCCCACTTCCTTCCAAAGGCGATCGGACTATAACAGCGGTAGAATTGCGAGTAAAATGCCGTGCATGACAGCCATTGCCAGTTACCGATATTGCAGGCTGCTTCGTGGTCAATCAGCCATTCTTCGAACACCTCAGCACCTCTACAGGGATTCATGCAGTTAGCGAGCGGATTCAAATGCTTCTAAAGAGCGGCGCATACTTGCCTTTCCCACGAGATGTAGCAACCTCCCCGTGTCAGGAAGCACGCCACGGCATGACGAGCGAGGTGATGGATCCAGCCTTCGTACTTCAGCTGGCGCATAATGGCGTCTATCCACGGAAAGCCGGTTTTGCCCTCACGCCACCGAATGAACTCCCTCTGCTTGACTTCATCGTCGACCTCGTAGTCTCCAGTTATGAGTTTCGTGCTCACGTCAATTCTACTCGGTAGGTGCCAGGGTATGAAGCGGCAATGGTCATTGTTGTACGTCTGACCGAAGCTGTAACCTAGCGCTGCTTGAGCGGCAAAGTACATATCACGAAATAATAGCTGCCCAGTAAGGCTCGTTGGAGGTTCGGAGACAGGCCGCTTCGCCTTGCGGCGCCTCTCGACAATCTCCTCAATTCTATGATAGAAGTAGCGGCAGCTCAAGGCTCCGAAGTGCAGGTACGGTGAGGTTAAGCACGTAGCTTGCGGTTCGAACGCAGCCGGTGAAGTCTTGGGCTTCTCGAACGTCCCGGTATAGTCTTCATCCGCGAGTATGATGTGAAGCTTCCCCAATACAACGCTTTCGCCACCGCGGTGAGGAGTGGTTGCCGCCTTCAAGCCGAGCTCCTTCAGAGTAGGCACCGAGTAGTCGCCGTTCGGACCAGCTATTCCAAAGCTATACGATCCCTCATCAGCGTCGCGATATTGCTCGTTGATGTCTGGTTCACTTGACGGTCGCTCCTGTTTGATGTCAAGATTGGTATCTCCAGGGTTGGGTATACTTTTCGGTGGCTCGATTGGGAGCGCTATATCGCCCACTTTTGACCCAGCGGACTGCAACTGGCTGATACTCATGGTTGGCTTTCCATTGTGTGCTTTGACAATATCATCGCTATCCCACAGTGTCCGACCGGACTTTACGATGACTTCCACGCCAGCCTTCCTCGCAGACTCAACGACCTGCTTGTCCCGCTCTCTGGCATACGCATCAGTGTCTTTCTCAAACACTATATGCGTGATCCTCCACGCTGTGAACAATTTGGAAAGTAGCGTGACAGCTGGCTCGCGCAAGACAAACAGCTTGCTGTTCGGGTTCAAGTTCGTAATGCTCCTAGAGACATCGTTCATACAATCAATCAGGAACTGCCAGCGGTTGTTTCCGACACGCGCGTGGTAGACGTAATGCGGGTCCCAACACCAGATCGGGTAGAGTACTTCAGGCTGCAAATCCAAGGCTGCTTTCAACGCCGGGGAGTCGTGGAGGCGCAGATCGGTCCGAAACCAGTATAAAACCCGAGGTTTGGACATGGTGAGGATCAATCAATTGAAAGGGGGCCGAAAGGTCACACGAACGTGTTATAGATGAGGCGAAGGAGGACAGACAGAAAGGCGCCACTTAACTTCTGGACGCTCATTGGAGCGCATTGCAAGTAGAACCGATCTAAGACGGGATCTGGGGAAGCCTTTGCCTGGTTCCTGGGTCAATGATGCAGGCACCGCACCGCACAATGCAGGGACTTCGCGAACCCGCTTCGTTCCACTGCATCATCCATATCGGCGTCACGAGGCACATGTTCAAAGTGCCAGACGGCTGATATGGAAGGTGTTGCTAGAAGAGGAGGATAGCAGGGAGAGCAGCTTGCATTGATCGGCCTACGAGCGTGTCAAAGCCTGCAACTTTAGCCTTCATTCTTGCATCATGCGGCGCGTGAAGCTGGCTTGAGCGCGTCCCCGACGCCGACGCCTCCCGATGTACAGTATACGTCGGAGACGGTGTCAGCAACTCTTCGGCACCCGCACCATACGGCGCGCGATGGTTCATGTTGCACGCAGCAGAGCTGATAATGGCAACTTCTCCACGGAAGAAGTCCGCAAATCATCAAAGCCATGCCCATCTACCAGTCGGCTCATCGCTTTCTCCAAGGGTCACTACAAGGAGCCACCGAATCTGGCAGGAGGTTTTGCAAGCCTCAATATAAGCAGCGAGAAGCCTATTCGAGCGAACTTGATAGCGGACAGTATCACAGAAGATACTTTCCGAATCGCACTGGAGACGTGGGCCGACAGCGTTCTCTATTCTGCCAGCGCCACCTGGATCGAACATAAAGCGAATGCGCGAGACTGTGTCTTTGGTCAATTCGATACAAACTATGATGCTCGAAAGCCGACTGCTTCGCCGCGAAAGCGAACAAGCCATCTGCAAGCGGCGTCCAAGAAGAACGCACAAACGTTTTCTTTCCCGCGCGCCTACAAAGAGCCACCAGAGGTTATCTGCTGGCTTAACCGTCTGGATTTACCAAGTGGTCCTGATTACAATTATAAAATCCGAGCTTTTGCTGATGCGATTGATAACCGAGGCTTCACCGGACATCTTAACACTTGGGATGATGACGGCGGGCTAAACGGTGCGGCAATGTGCTGGATCGCGTTTCCTAAGCAGAAGAGGCATGTCGACTGCGGACGGTTTAGCACCAATGACATTCGCAAGCGAACGAATCCGCGGGAGAAGACCAGCGGGACGGTAAAATTCAAGCAGCGGTTCCAGACCGTTCCAACCGTGCTTGCAGCGTTGAGTATGCTCGATGCTGCTGGCAACGCCGACCTGAGGGTGAAAGTCCTCATCACAGACGTAAAGTATGATGGTTTCCGGTGGTCGCTGGAAACATGGGGCGACAGCACCCTGTATGCGGCTTCTGCGAGTTGGATAGCGCTGGGATTTCCCTAACATATCTGAAGCTAGAAGTGCAAATCACCCGGTCGCCCTACCGACAATGTCCGACTTCAATCCAGACGGAGGCAAGAAGTACAATGTACGTTCGGAGCTCTAGAGTATACACGCCGAGCATTGAATCTCGCCGGCGCAGACACCATGCAGGCGACAACAGCTAGCGGATTGGCAGCGGACGCCTTTCGTGATATGTGAGCTGGCATCACATCGCCCAAAGCGGTTCGGAACACCTCACTGAAAGTGGTACGCGGTAAATCACGCGTCGTGGCTTGGAACTAGTTGCGCAATGCTGCAATAGACGTTGCGGAGGCTGTGGCAATATCCCCACTATACCACCTTCACTACCAGTTCTATCCGTTCAAGGTGTGCGGCGACTGCGTCGCGGCCATCACACGTCCTTCTTACCAAAGGCACAGATTTCTTCCATACAATCGATGAACAGCATGTCCGCAGAAACCTTATGCGTCCGCTCCAGCTCGGTAGGCTCTTCACTGAGATCATTCGGCGCCTTGTTCGCAATAGCTTTTATGTTGAGATCATCCAGCATCTCTTTGATTACGCCCATCATGGTCTTAGTCTTTGGACCACCGGAACCCCGCCCACCTCTAGGATCGCCGCCGTAGCGACCCCAGTAACTCGTCTGAAGATCCTCGCAGAAGTACAGGCCGCCTGGCTTCACTGCCTTCCAAAGGTGGTTGAGTGAAGTGATCTGCTGTGTCATACGGTGTCCACCGTCGTCAAGGATGATGTCGAAATCCATTCCAGCCTCCTTCATAAACCTGTTCAGGAAGGCAACGTCCGCCTGATCGCCGCTGAAGATGGTCGCTCCAGTGGTGGAGTTGGCCCACTTGGCCACGCATGCGGCATCATATTCAATGTAGTAAAGATCAACTCGGGGGAAGTACTCGAGCCAAGTGTAGAAGGATTTACCCGGCCCGTAATGCATATCGCATCCCAGGCCGATCTCAAGCATCTTCAGTGGTCGGTCCCGCAGTGACGCCAGGTACTTCTCGTACATCTGGCACCCACCGTCAGCATTGCTACGGCGAACGAAGAAGCGCAGCGTACGTGGTGGTACTTGTGCGTCGTCACTTTGTCCGTTCCATACGAAAGTGCCACCTCGTAGAACGACGGTCTGTTATCCTTCCTGCAACACCGTTAGCCACGCCTGTCGTACCCGGACGTTCACTCCACCACCTTGCAGAAGCTGTGCTCGAAGCTGGCGGCGTGTAGGAGCCATCCTTTCCGACGCTGTCTATGGTTCCACGCCATGCATAGGACACCGAGTCATTCTCGTGCAAGAAGGTTGCCACAAACAGCAGTAAGCCAATCGTGGCCAGGATGTATGGCGCTCGATTAGCTTGTAGTATCGTCGCCGTCATTGCATCAAGGTGCCTAAGTTGTTAGCTTTGAAGATCGAAGGTGAAAGACTGGTGTGCTCGCGCAAGGGCGTAGTCACGAATGACATTCCAGCTATTGGCCCTACGCGCATCCCTGGCTATCGCGAATCTCACGTTGGGCATGACTTGACTTGATTTCCACGAGCTCGACAGAAGATTTGTAAATCCATGGCTCTCAACGAAGCAGCGGACATTCGGGATCAAGGCTTGGCCAGAGTTGAGCCCCCATGCTGCGATCATGCCGACCAGCCATCGCCTGACGATGAGGAAGGTGGACTGCGCGCCAACGAGCCACTGATGGGAGCTGCTGTTGACGCAAGCCTGAAGGAGGACCGTGTCTGGCGTGATGATGGGCGAAGAAGCAGAGGCAACCTCGTGGAAGGCGTTCAGACGTTCATTGCCGTCTTGGCGATGGTGCTGACCGTCGCCGCGCTGGGATGCACCATTATGTGGGAAGCATACCAGATAAGCGGTTCAGAGCGTACCGGACGGGTTGCCATTCTGGACACTTCATACCGTGCAACCTCATCCGACTTCGACATCGTTGTGAACATGTACCGCGAGAACCCTGACGGCGTCAACAATACTCTAAACCGCATTCTACGCACGATACCGCATAGATCGCGGATCTTCGTATATACCAAAGACGAGCAAGCGAACATTGAATCGCTGAGGTCGCACTTCCCGACTGCAATTATTGCTCAGGGTCCAAATATCGGCCGCGAGGGTGAGACATACCTCCACCATGTTCTCACCCACTGGGACGACCTTGGCAAACATACAATGTTCATCCAAGCCGAAGTATGGGAGTTCGAATCCGTCCTCGACCGTATCTCACGCTCCTTCTCCGCTCGGACCGGAATGCAGATCCTTGGCTCTGTATCCGAGATCTGCGACTGCCACCAATGCGCAGACGCATATTGGCAGGATTCTGCCGGCTTCGTGCCGCACTTCTACGAGCTGGCGAACAACTCTGGCAATATTACGGAAACGAAGAGAGGCTGCGGCTGGCTTATGTTGTCGTACAAAGGCCCATTCATCGCGTCAGCAGCGCGTATTCGGGGCTCTGGCCGTACAGTCTTCGAGTTCCTGAATGATAGTATTGCGGATCCGGAGAGCTGGGCGCATCAGCGAACGACGTGGGAAAGCATGCGTGTTGGGATAGGTACAAAGAGTAGTCCATAATCCCTGCTCTGTGTTCGAGACCTCGCTGACCGTGAACGGTATGGCAGATAGTATGAATGCTCCGTCGATCGGATATTCGATAGAGCGGCTATGGGCTGGCATCATGCAGTGCGCAGATTGGACGTTGCAGCGCGTTGCCCTACGATGATGAGTGGGTTCCGACGGAAAGGGGCAGTGTTGAGGGGTGGAGGCGACTGTCAATGCCTCGATGACATTGACCATGGTGAAATTGGATATAGCCATAACGGTGCCGGATAGCTTGTGTACTGTTGATTGTTACCTGGCCGGTTACAGCGCTCGGAGTCTGGCGCGATACAGCGTCACAGCCTGACATACGGGTCTGGCGACTCCGCGTTCCCACCGGCGGAAGGATAAAGGTGTTGCGACGCCACTATATGTCCAGGATATAAAGTGCTAGTCCCATGGTGGAAGACACGTCGCTGCAAGTACGGTTAGGTCTACAGTCAGTTTCTACGGCGCGAAGAGGCACAGATCGTGCGGTCACCCCTTGCTGCCCTACTGCCAGATGATCAGGCCGGTGGAATGCCACGGCACACTCCCTGGAGAGGTTTTCTCACTTCCTCTCGGTTATGCTACGCCGATCCAGCCATGGAGCTCTACACACTCTATTTTGGAGCCATGCTCTCCCTCAATGGTGTTGCCCTGTACTATCGCTATCAGCGCGCCAGGCAAGAAAGTGTTCAAGAATCGATTGCCCTCCCAGAGACCACGTACAAAGACGCCGCAAGCCACTTCAGGACCACTTACTTCGGTGTCTATATCCTTGCAACCGCCGCAGACTGGCTGCAGGGACCGTATTTGTATACGCTGTACAAGGACTCCATGGGACTTCCCGAATCAACCGTTGCGGCGCTGTTCACGACAGGCTTCCTTGCGGCAGCCATCAGCGCCAGCTTCGTAGGAACACTTGCTGATACATACGGACGGCGATCTGCCTGCATTGGCTATTGCGTCTTTTACTCGCTATCATGCCTTACGGTCCTTAGCGAAGATGTCCTGATCTTATTCGTTGGACGTGTGCTTGGCGGCATGAGCACGACGCTGCTCTTCTCGGTCTTTGAAACTTGGATGATTGCCGAGTATAAGAGACAAGAGCTGAGTGCGAGCGGACTCAAGCTTGGTGATATGTTCAGTATGTCGGTCATACTGAGTGGTGTCGTCGCAATCGCGTGCGGCATCATTAGTGAAGTGCTAGTGGAGGAGACAGAGACGAAGACGGCGCCATTCGTGGCCGCGATCTGTTGCCTAGTAACGGCGGCCGTCACAATCTCGAGAACATGGGTGGGTGAGCGTTCATCTTCGTGGTCTACATCAGCTGAGTATGAACGCAGTCCGAGAACTTTGGCACCTCAGCAGACGAGAAGGAAGGTCAGCCAAACGCAGCAACTCTACGCACTGCGTTGGCAGACAGGCGCATCCTCACTCTGGGCCTTGCAACTGCGATCTTTGAGGGCTCAATGTACCTCTTTGTGTTCTTCTGGGCGCCAGCGCTCAAGGCTGCCCGCGCTCAAACAAACCCATCGGTGTCAGGCCTGATTATTGCAGACACGACGAGCCTGCCGTTTGGGCTCATATTCAGCAGCTTCATGTGCGCAATGATGCTCGGCTCGCTGAGCTTTTCGGTACTTCGAATAACTAGTTACCAGGAAGTCAGCACGCTGCTTTTAACAACGATAGCACTCGCAGCTATAGCGCTCTTACTGCCCGTGCTGGCAAAGTCTGAAGCTTGTGTGTTCTGGAGCTTTGCTCTATTCGAGGTATGCGTGGGCTTGTACTACCCAACCATGAGCCGCCTGAAGAGCGAAGTGGTCGAAGAAGCCAGTCGAGGGAGAGTGTATGGCGTCATGCGGATTCCACTGAACCTCTTCGTGGTGATCGCACTTGGCTTGATCAAAGAAGGTGAGATCGATAGCCGCGACTGCCGAAGCCAGGTTTCGTCCGGGGGCACGTTCACTAACAGTAAGCAGGCGAAGGGTATCGTGATACTGTCTCTGCAGTATCCGGAGCGCTGCTACTCATTGCTTTCGCAGCGGTTGCGCAGTATCTGCAGTGAACAGCAAACGCCTGTAAGCTGTGTGGATCGGTACGAGCAGAGCCTTGTCAGTCAGTACAATGAGTTGATAGGCACGGTCACGAGACGAACGAATTCACCGGACGGTTCATCGTCTTGGCATGTCGGGTAGGCTCAGCTCTCGCGTGCTTATCAAAGAGGTTTTGGTGTCGTTAGTATAATTACACGCTACTCGTTCCCTTCAACTGAAATCGTGCGAATGGCGCAGGGTCCTCTGACTCTGCGAAGCAACGCTGAAGCGGCATGCGTGAGTTGGTATCATCAGAACGTTTCCTCTTCGCCTGCAGCTTCCGTCTCCGCCTCCTGCGGGATCTCAAAGCCTTCCTAGGGATGAAGTCAATGACGGCACTTTGTCTGCGTGACCATGAACGCCAGGCTTACCTCCGTTGAATACAGGATGGTCTGTATCTGCTTGAGAAGGCTGCCTTCGTCCTCCTCTAACGACGGTTCAGCCTCCATGGCTTGCTGAATGAGGAGTTCGATGTCCCGTAGCTTGCTGAAGTAGAAGTCCCTCTCCCTTTCTAGACCTTGCACCGTCTCCATCAACTCTGCGTTCTTCTGCTGCAAGGCCGAGCTTGCAGGTCCCCCGCCCGTTTGTCGACTTGTTGTGCGGGGCGTTGCGGTCGCTCCAGCGGCCATTGGTCTCCTTGCTCCGCTGTTTGCAGCAGCTGCGGCTGGTCGAGCAGCAGGCGGCGCAGAAGGTGTCGCACCAGCACCGGCGCCTTTCCGCCTACCCACCGCATCATAGTCTCCTCCGGGATAGTACTGATCCCAATACCGCTTCGTGAATTGCAGAAACTCTAGATTGTCTTGCATCTTGCACTTGACGAGTTGCTCAACGTGGAGCGGCCGGTCCACGTGGTGTTTGCGGAAAGTGTTGGAGAGGATCTTGAAATTCTCCAGGTACCCATACTCGGTATTGACATTGAATCGGACGCGTGACATGGGCACATCAAGGAAGATACTGTCGTAGATCTGGCATAGCGCGGCTCTGCACGCGGGATATCAGCCCGGTTGACGCTATATCCTTCATCAACAACCTACCCAGTCCCGCATTGCTCGACCTTGGTTATGTTGAGCTGCAGCAGGCCGTTCACCCATGCTAGCAGCTCTTGCCTATACATCTGTTAGTTCCCCAGCAGACATTATTGCGCTTTGCCTAGTGTCGTACCTCGACTCCCCCATGTTGGACGCAATAAGTTTGAATGGGCAATCAAACGAGGGTGATATGCACAGACAGAGACAGGGTTCGATGTGACAGTGTTGTCAGTAAGAGCGGTGCTAATCCAATATCTCACAGCTGGACGAGTGTGAATTCACGATGAAGCTCACAAACATTCAAGTGGGGCTGTTGGCGCAGGGTCGCAACGCGCTTCACGTGACCATTTCACGGCATGGTTCGACTCACCACACCATATCTATGTCGGTGATCCCAGCGCTTCTGGGTATACAAGATATTCACACTATGGCGGAGGGGGCAGATACAGCCCTCGTACCTTTCTTCCGGAATAGGAAGTTGCGGCCTCGGTCCAAATGACGCGATCGTTCAGGCTCAATGCACAATCTGGGGTAGAGGTAGAATCAGTCTCTGATATCAACGCAACAACAGGATGCACCTGATCGCGTCTGTCAGCTTCTCTAGATCCATCGCGGCACTGTCTTGCAGAAGGCTGAGGTACATACAACCTTCACTCGCTCCGGCCGTGGTATCTTCGTTTGTTCGCAGGTTCTCCGCATCCACAATGATTGCAGACCCATTCAAGCCTGCTAAGCGGGTGGCAGGCCAGCGGCAAGATGTTTGGAGTATCGTGAACGAGGCGGCTCAAGCCTCGCCAGTGCAACCCATCGTCAATATGGGACAAGGATTTTTCGGTTATAACCCACCGGAGTTCGTGTTAGATGCTGCAAGAGATGCTCTCAGTAAAGTAGACTGCAACCAGTACTCGCCAACCAAGGTAGTGACAACACTACTGTTACTGCTCTTGCCAACCTTACTGACAATATACAATAGGGTCGTCCACGGTTAAAGAAGGCAATCGCAGACGCATACTCGCCTTTCTTCGGACATAATATCGATCCGGAGAAGGAAGTGACCATCACCACTGGAGCCAACGAAGGCATGCTATCCGCTTTCATGGGCTTCCTCGAGCAAGGGGACGAAGTCATCGTCTTTGAGCCCTTCTTTGATCAGTACATCAGCAACATCGAGATGCCTGGTGGTAAGGTGGTATATGTCCCTTTGCACCCGCCCAAAGATGGCGCAATGAAGACCACGTCCGCCGGAGATTGGACGCTTAACATGAAGGAGCTTGAGGCTGCAATCACTGACCGCACTCGCATGATCGTAATCAACAGCCCGCATAACCCTATCGGCAAGGTCTTCACCAAGAGCGAGCTGCAGGCGATTGGCGACCTGTGCGTCAAGCACAACATTATCATTCTCTCCGACGAAGTATATGATCGGCTATATTACGTTCCCTTCACTCGCGTAGCCACACTGTCCCCCGAGGTGGCCAAACTCACCCTTACCGTCGGTAGTGGAGGGAAGAACTTCTACTGCACAGGGTGGCGTGTAGGCTGGCTTATTGGACCCGAGCATCTCATCAAGTACGTCAGCGCTGCTCATACCCGGATATGCTACAGTTCCGTTTCCCCTCTACAAGAAGCCACAGCCGTTGCATTCGAGCAAGCCGACGCTCACGACTTCTGGGAGCAGTCCAAGGCTGAGATGAAAGGCAAGATGGATCGCTTCAACCAGATATGGGACGAATTAGGCTTACCGTACTCTGATCCTCAAGGCGGCTATTTCGTGCTTGTTAACCTTGCAAAAGTCAGGTTACCGGAGGACTATAACTTCCCACCCCACGTAGCAAACAGGCCAAGAGACTTCAAGCTGAGCTGGTTTTGTATCAAGGAGCTGGGCGTCGCGGCCATCCCGCCGACTGAGTTCTTCACAGATGCAAACGCACACATTGTGGAGGACTGGCTACGGTTTGCGGTTTGCAAGGACGACGAGGTTCTGGAACGCGCGAAGGAGAGGCTGAGGGGTTTGAAGAAGTACATCCAATGAAGCACGTTGAAATCTCCTGATGGGCCAAACTCCGGCTGTGGCTAGGGCGTATGACCAACGGCGAGAGGACCGGCTGCTGTCAGCAACTGATGGCTTGGGCAGGAATAACGTGGACCGCAGCTTGCTTGATACTATCACCGCCAGCATAAGCGACCATGGCCTTCGCGGATTCGCCATAGCGGCAGCTTCCACTTGCAGCGGCACGTTGCGCTGTCAAAGTGTCGTTTGTGCCGAACTCTCTGCCGTTAAGTTGACGTGGGATGTCGGGGATGGTCCCAGTCACCAGTGGGATTGTCGAAGCCGTGTCAAGCGATCTTGTACAACGAGAACCGCCTTGTGCACGGCCGGGCTAGCATCGAACTGCGAGCGATAGAGTGGCTCATTGGTGGTGGGTCATTTATGCTCACATGCTTCCGACTCATCCCGTGTGTCCCTGAGTTATGACTTCTTCCCAACTTTATTTGGCGCATTGTAGTCGCTTAAGCATATCATGTGTCACCTCCTTGGCATGCCGCAAGTCAACCACTGTCGAAAATAAGCGAGTACATCTTCTCGCGCTATCCATGGAGTAGACTCGCTTGAGTGATGCCAGATGTGACTGCACACGTTCGGTGAGAGATAATGTTTGACAAAATGAGGCTGGAACAGATGTGGTTCGCGTTGCGCAACTCTCTGAAGCTGCTCCATGTCTGTCACAGTGTAGCTAATCCCAACCAGCGGTTAGGCCGGGAACAAATCGCTGGGCAAGACTGCTTTGTTTGTCGCCTATCGCGCGTCCGCAATTGCGCAATGAAGACTATCTACTCGCCGAACCTAGCGTTTAGCTGCTTACGAAGCAAAAGGGAAGTTCAGGCATTGCGAGCTCCATCGGAGTCCTGGCAAGGGTATGGAAGCGTGGGTGGTCTTGCATGTGACCGAGCTGTCCTGCGGGCAATCTAGCCTGTTCACAGAGATCTGCGATCAATGCCGAGCTGTTGCGACGGTGCAGCTTCTGAGTGTGTAGCGTAGCTGTGTCATCCTGCTACTACTGGCCGAAAGACGCGTCAGTCAGAGAACAGGGCGCTAGCTGCACCATTCCCCAAACACAAAACATTACCTGATTGCCGTCCATAATATTTGTTATCACATCCACCGACGCCATTCGGAGCGGGCTAACGAAGAATAGACGTTGAGATAGCCTTGCTGGAGGCCGTTTCATCAGCAGAGTAGAGTTCAACGATCGCTAGGACGTTCCGTTTACGAAGAGGGTTTCCGTAAGATTTTGCCGATCTCTGATCATAGCTAAATCACCTCCACGTCCTTCATGCTCCGTTACAGTAGGCAACCTTACGGGAAAACTGCAGCACTTGTGCCCACGACTCCAGTACGAGACTTGCCGCTCGTTCGGGCATCGTTGGGCGCGTGCCCGGTTTCATTGGTTCATACTGGTGAAAATCATTGTCCTACAGCCAATTGCAGGCCACCCCGCAGTGACTTGCGAGGCTGAAATCCTATTCACCCGCCACGGTCGGTAATGCAACTCGCGCATGATGCATGATGAGTTTCAAGCCTAGCTCAAGAGCTCGCATGGACCTTGCAGTTTTGAGAACGGTGAGGTTGGCTATCGAGATCTCAGACGGCGAGCAACAAGGTTCCGCAACGGGATCATGCCCTCGTGAAGCCGAGCGACAATCTCCGGACCATCTACCAAATCGAAGCCCACTAACACCTGCTTACTCAGTCCACCGGTTAGTCTGGGCTTGATCTGTGCCATAAATACACACAACCTCAGTACTGACAGACCGGAAGAGACTGGGTTAAAGCATCCGCAGTAACACTAGGAGGCCATGTCTGACAATCTCAAGCAAATCGTATCAAGAAGACGCAACTCTCGAAGGTAACTGGGTTACTTGCAGAAAACTAAAAGGTGCGGAGGGATCGACCAGTCCGAGCGTCTGCAGGTCGGCAGGGAGCCATTCGTGGAACAGCTTCGAGGAAGTTTCGGTTGCCGTTTGCGGGCCTTTGTCTTACCTGCGTTGCACTCCTACGGTGTTGTGTGAGCTCGGAACGTCCATAAAACTGTCTAGAATTGACATAAGGGGTCGTGTTGGTTCTGACGCTTGAGTATAGCGGCTGCTCGCTTTAGCAACGTTGCCCCCTGGCAGTGAAAGACAGCTTCGTAGTATGGACGCAGTTGGTCGCCATGGCGGGACCCACGCTTGAGCCAAATACCCCCGAGGCGGACGATCGGGGCTCACCGCAGGGATATTAAATTCAGGTAGAGCCATGCTCACCCGACGGCCCTGCTTGAATGCCCCTCTCACAGTCGCGCCGTACCGCCATCGGGACGAGCAACCTTGAATACCCTCGTTCTCCGCAACCCGCACGATCCGTCCATCAACCCTGCGTCCTGTCCACTCCTCTTCGAGCATTCTCTATTGCTACAGCTGCATGTGCGTGTCATGGAGCATATCTAGGCGGAGCATGTCGCTACACTCGTGGTCACTGTCGTACGCTTTGCGTACACACGCTGTGCATCACTCAAGAAGCGACAAGAACTCTGTAGCCGCCAGTGTGCCGCGGCAAGCGTCAAGCCACAGCGTGTAGACGCTGTGAGCGCGACGTCGCGCACACGCTACGATCCATCTGGCAGCTCGCGGAACTTACCAACTGCCTCAGGCTTTGAAGAGTCTCAAGGACATGGCCAACGATGACCAGTCGCACCGGTATCAAACATCACCGCCTCTCAGAAACTGGGAACATATTTACCCTCACTCGCATCACGGCACTCCAGCACAGGAGTACTCAGGATTCAATTTCAGTAGCCCACAAATTCCGATGGAGCCGAGCGCATTCAGCAGCAGTATCCAGCAACGGCCTATGTATCAGCAATTGCAACCGTTGGTCATGCCGCAATGGCCGTCGATGCTGAGTAGTCAGTCTCACCAGCCTTTCCAGCCAATCTTTCCTCAGCCGATTCAACCAATCCAGCCAGTTACCATAGGCGCTCTACAAACACCAGTATCGGCAGTCTCGTCCAAATCTTCGTCGACGCCACGCAAGACGTTGACTGATCTGGATCGCAAGCGAATGTGTCAGTACGCTGAAGACAATCCCAACAGCAAGCAGACCGAAATTGGAGGTATGTAGCCGTGACATCTGTGTAGAAGTACTCGCTGATAGGCGCATGAAGCCATCTTTGGGGTTGAGCGGAGGTGAGACGAACGCAGGTTTCTTCTGTATTGCAACCTCGGATGACTAATGACTGCGCAGCACCGTTTCGAAGGTCTTGCGACAAAAGGAGAAATATCTGTGTCAAGACGATGGCAGTCGTTCGCCCGTGAAACGGGCAAAAGGACGATCGCCCGACATCGAACGAGCCCTCGCTGTATGGGCGAAAAATCAGGTACAGTAACTTCGTCGGAAGAGTAAACAACCCACTGATGGCTGGTATAGGAAAGAAAAGGCATGCCGCTTACTGACGAAGTCATTCGGGAGAAGGCGCGCGCTTTCGCGTCCACCTCTTCGACCCCCGAAAGCCATCATGTGGTCAGCTCCAGCTGGATTGAGAAATTCAAGTTAAAGAATAACCTGATGGGCGCACGATCGCGAAAAGGTTCGCTTGCGCCTGATGATGCCGATGTCCTCTCAGCGACAGCGTCCTCGTCACACACGCCGTGTGGCACGTCCCCAGTCTCGCCACAAGGGGTGGGCTCTCCATCACCAGTCGACTTACATAGCACGAGAAGTCAGGAAAGCCTCAGAAATGATAGTCCAGGGGGCTATCTCGACTTCTCTGGACGACACGGTCCGTTCCATTCGCAGAGCGCCACTTCACTGAACAGCGCATTCACAGACACTGCGCCGTCCTCGTTTTCGCCGGGACCGCTGAGTCCCACATCACCTTTCTTTACACCTGACTCGGGAACAGCGCCAAGTCCCTTCATACAACAGCCACCATTGACGGCGCGGCCGGTTCTGCCAGCAACGACGCGTAACAGTAACAACCAGCGACCACGAAGCCAGACGTTTCCACTCATGGATCAATACGCTTCAGCGGACGCAGCAACGCCAACATACATTTCTGCAACAGTCCTTGACTCCCCAATGGAAGAAGCTCCGGACCCGATAGCGAGCATAGATGGGACCGTGCGATCAGCGCGGCACGAGGAGCGTCCGAGCACGACAACCCCAGCAGAGACAATGCGACCGCCGCCGCTGCCGGCGCATGTCCTTGAAATCAGGCGAGAGCTCACTCCTTCAACGTCCAATTCCTCACTCCGGGCGACCACGAGCCCGGAAGAAGCATTGCGCGCTCTCGAGGTCGTGCACAGCTTCTTTGAGCAGCAGCCGAATGGCTTCCTGGACTTCCAAGAGAGCGTCACGATGGGTAAGCTCATGGAGAAGTTGAAGCTGCGGTCGCGCGCCAGCAGCGGCTTATGATTGATGACGACTTTTCCGTGCCTTTACGATCATTTTGCATTGTGCATTAGTTCGTGAGCATTTTCGGCTATGTACATTACTCAACAGATGGACAAACGACGTTACTGCCGATACGGAAGGGACAGAATGGGACGAAGAGGAAATCTACACGCTGCTCACGCGGCTACGAATTGTTTACCTCTGTTCATAGCTTTGCCATCAAGGGCGACAGTCTTCAATACTTCGCAGCTAATGGGCGTGAACAATGCGTGGGATCCAGCACTGCTCACTTCGGTCGTATGCATGTTGGGCACGAGAGTGAAATGTCTGACTCCGCATATTCATGCGTACATGTCATCGACCTTCTTCCATTCGAGCTAACTCAGGGAACAGTCGCAGGACAAGTAGCTCTATGATAGCCACGATAAGGTGCTTGTTGATGTACCCATCGGCGAAAAGGTCGAGGGTGACCTCAACATCTTTGTGCATGAGTTCCACGTCTTGTGTCGCGAAATAACACGTCCTCACTTTCTCTGGCAATGCCCCAACAATGGCTACCGCACATGCATGTTTAATCTCCATCGTCTGCTCGGGCGATGGCGGTTGACGCGCAGGTGCGAAAGAATTACCCGGGAAAGCAGCATCTCTGATCGCTTGCAGCAGGGGCGGAAGGAGTCGTGGATTTAGCAGTTTTGTGTGGATGAATCCCGAAGCGATCCTGCAGCCGTAATCAGCACATCTGCGCCCCTTCGTTCCTAAGTGCATGTGCAATCTGTTCGGTGGGGGGGTGAAACGCTGCAACGTCAGTTTATTGAAATACCCTGATGACAAGAAACACAGTACGACATTCGGCGTGGGTCACGTTTGGAAGCAAACTGCAGCTTAAAACAGCCGGACCCGTATGCATCACCGAATTAGAGCGCAAGAGGGCAAAATCCGAACATGAATGGCTGTGGATGACAATGGTACCGAAAAGCCAGGCGTCCATCATTCGTCAATCCACACAGAGTGCGGGTCCTTTCGTGGAGGTGCTGTGGAGCACTTCGCATTGCGGCTTGAAGCTTGATAGCTTGGTAGAGCATATGAACAGCGTCTCAGCGTGGAGCCTACGCAAAAGGTAGGTACGGCAGGAACGGGCCTTACGGCCAGGCCAAAAGCCGCGAAGGCGAGCCCCGCCTCTTGATCTGATGCATGGTGATGCTGATGCCCAATGATTTTGTCGCCAGCCGCGGATGAAGAGACAATGCTAGCGTGCTACAATGCTGAAATCACATTTCTCCAGATATGTCCGGCCTGTTACGTGGTGCCTGCAGGTCATGCAAGCCAACATGCATGAGTCCACGAACCCTGAGACACCGCAGCTACCAATCAAGATGCTGAACAGGCAGACGGCATTGATCATGTGATCGCATTTGGATGCATCCAGCCGTGCAGGAGTCAGCTTGTGCTTCACGCGAGCTCCTCGGTGACTTGTCCTAGAGCTGTCCACGTAGCCGCCTTGGTACGGTTGCTGCATGCGCGGAGATGCCCAGTGCAATCAATCAGTGCACGTGATAGGAGAAGGGTTGTACTTACTTATCAGGGGTGCTGTCTGTGCAGCCAATAGTTCCCAGACCATGCGTCAACAGCCACTGCAACAACGCGAGCAGGCCGGAGAGCCATGGCATGTGAGCATGAAATGACAACAGGCGACCAAGACAGCTCCAGACCTTCAGGCTAGCCACAGGCCGTCTGATGGGGAACACAGACAAGTCGGTCGAGCCGCATCCTGTCTGCCATGATTCTGGTGTAGCCACGCGGTGTGACGGTGGAGTCGACGAAGCTGCCAATATAGCAGACCGTATCGCACTCGTAACGGTCCAAGTTAAAGTCGCAATCTGCCACATCGAAGCCAGCATGGTGGACAGCCACAACGTAATGCTTGCCGGGATCAAGAGTGCACTGACCTCCTCATCCCGTTTTGCGGGTGATGGAACGAGACCGGCAAGCTCGAGACGGCTGGTCGGCGGTGGGCAATCAAGGGATGCAGCTCGCTCTTTCGGCTTGACTGCATGGATTGCCTTCGTGACAGCTTCCCACAGGAGCCACGGCTCGGAGACTCTTCCAAGGATGGCATTACGAACGATCAACTCTGACAATATCTCAGATACGAGTGCATTCAAACACGGGTTTGACATATCCTCGGGTGGTAGGACCAATGGAAGGATCGCGCCGACCAGAAGTTGGGCCCATACCGTCTCGTTCTCTTGCTGTAGCGCCACCTTTGCATCATCGCTCGGCTCAGGTGACAGCGCGTTGTGTGTTCTCAGGGTGTGAAACAGTGCCCGAGTCTGTTCGAGATTGTTGACGCCGCCCTTATTGCTAGCTTCGCGAACAAGCTGTAGTGCTGAAGCCTGTCAGCCTGCGCACCTCACGCGCAACTAAGCGGTCGCCAGGGAGGTGTACCTTTGATATGATCGTCGACGACTGCAGACACTTCGTCAAGTAGAAACGTTGCGTAATCCAGATCTCTCATGCGTTCCTCAAGTCCTCTGGTGCAATGGGCAATGATGTCAACGATCTCTGCCACAAAACTCGGATCCGATGTGAACTTGGTATACCAGCTTTGGACAACCTGCTTTAGTATAATGGCAACGATCGCGTACAATTGGGTATCTATTTGATTGTTGCTTGTCAAAGGGGGCAAAAGCTTTTCGACGGGCTTGATATTTCCATTAGAAGGCTCGCCTTGCGCAAGTGTATCTGAGGGAGCACTCGTCGAACAGAGCACCTGTCGAATAAAAGCGACAGTGTCTCTTTCGTCCGCTTGGGCATCACCATCACTGCTCGGGGCATGTAGTAGGCCTCCTAAAGGGCTCAATGTTGGCCTGGGGTCGTTGTTCGCCGGCTCAACCGAGACCATATTAGCAGCTCTCGGCTATAATCGAACGGATTATGACTGTGGCATGGTTTGGTCGTTGGTGGACCGACAATATTCCAGTCCTGAAGCTGCAGACTGTGCTGTACTGGTTGGGGGTCAAAGCATTTGAGGTTACACAACGGGTCAATCAAGAACTGGCCAGTGCGGCACAATCCCGGCAAACGCCGATGAGATCCGCTCCAACACTATTCTGATTATGCATCCCATCGTTCCTTGCACGGCATTACCAGCAGCCATCTTATGCATGCGATCCACTCATCTTGCTGGTAACAGATCAGATTGAATGGCAACCGCAACGCTCGCTGAGGTGGACGGTTCGTAGTCGGCCCTGCCAACTTTCCCTAGATTACGGAGCTGAATCCGCCACAGAACACCTTAAAGAGATTATTAGTAACCTCTATTTCATGATATCCCAAGCATACGACTACCATGGAGCCGATACTCAGAACGCCATGACCGAAGAGATCAAGAGACTGATCACCAACTTAGTGAAGCTCTCGCAAACTGCAAGACGCCTGCCCACCCATATCCCAGCAACCATCATCGACTATGTTAACAGTACTCGCAACCCGGATGTTTACACGCGTGAATTCGTGGAGCTCGTAATGAGGTTTAACCAGCAGCTCAAAGGCCGCACCGAGGCATTCGCCATGTTTCGGGATGTTCTTGGGAGGGAGATGATGAGTGCTATCCCGGATATCAAAGATGATGTTCGGGAGGTCGTTCTGTCAACTGGTGGCAGGATTGAAGGCTGATTATCGAAGTATTGCTGACGTTGCCGCCTACTCTCATGATTGGGAACGCTGTGAAAGCACCCTTAACCGAACGGTGGCACGGGTGGTCGCATGGGACACGACGCCGAACTGTTCACCCGGCCGACTACGAAAGGCTGTCCCAAGAGCAGCCTTGAAGTACGAGTTGCGCAATGCTACATTGTCAGCGTAAACCAGGCTTCACAGCTCGCATGCCTGACGAAGAACCTTCGTCGTAAACATGGCCTTTATGGCTGAGCTGAGCAGCAATGATTGAGATGCATTCAGCAAGGTTGCCAGACTGCGACAAGCCGTGGACATAAGCCGCGACACCAGACGCCATACGCTCCACAGGCACGTCGACGATGCTGAGCCTTCGTAGCACGCCCAACTACTTCCTTACACCGAACTCAGAGTAGAAGTGACACTGCTCCACGCGACTCTTGCTTCCAGTCCGTTCGTCGAATATGTGGCAACCGTGGTTCGCTGCATTTGGAGGCTATATGGGTGTTAGCAAAGCGAAAGATCAAAGCCTGGATCAGTGGGGAGAGCCGCTGCTCACAGTGTACAAGTGAAGGCTCACGGCGACATCGGATTTACTGGCGTTCCTAACTCTGTGTAAACCTAGCTGGTCGCTCATATACGTCACCTCGCCTTGTTCGAGTGTCGTTTGTCTCTTCACTTGCAGTGCATGAGGCTGTAGGATTTCGGCACGTGCGGAGCAGGTATGATGGGTGCTCGGAACAATCAGCGACTGGCTTACGCTACACAGAGCCTCACTCTCGTGGAGCTCGCAAGGCCACCCATAGACTGTCTCTGTGAGCGAGCCTTTCAGAACTTTCATGACGCAATGGGCGTCGGCGTGGTCGTGAATAGGAGATGCTTTGCCTGGTGTCCATACCAAGATCAACTGCGTGTTATTGTTAGCGGCCGATTGTTAATGGTTGCACCAAGAACACTTACGAGGTTGCTTTTGCCATTGCAGTTGTCTACAAGATTTCTTGTGTAGTTCCGCGTGTCGTCTGCAAACGCATATCTCGCCCATTCACAATCAGGTCCGACGTACGCTCTCATGACATCTTTGAGCTCAGTGATGTCAACACGGACACTATCAATGCCGTCACTTGAGCCTAAGATGGCATTGATCCCGTTGATAAGAGCGGCGAAACTGTTACGCTGGTCGAGCGAAGGACGAGCGGAGTCATGACGTGAACTCGTCTCGCTCTCAACGCTTCCAGCAATTGTTGTGGCGTTGTCTGTTGCCATCATGTTGGAATCAGCGGAGGACCTCGCGAAATGCTATCGACTGCGCCAGATGCAAATGTGGAGCAGTAAAGGCGACCATCTCCTTCAGTGACGGTGTGAACGAACTTTCGCGTTATATGTAGTCGTATGTTGGCGTGGAACCGATGTAAAATTTGTGGATCCGTAAACGGCGAAGCTTTCGGAATGAAGGGCAGAGGTCGCCGAGTTGGAGAAGGCGTGCACTCACCGCAGTGGTCATGCGACGGTCGTCACATACGGCCGCTGACCCGTCTAGTGTACGTATATAGCATGCTGACTACATGTGTGCTGAGCAGATTGCGCGGTGTGACTATCTTGATTGAGCCATCGCATAACGCGTTCAACTTCTACACGCTCAGCTCAGCATCACCGCCGTATAGGTCTAAGCCACCACAGATTCCAACCACCTTCTGAGAGTCGGCGTTTCGTCATTCCTTCAATGCTGTTAGCGTCCTCTCTTCGTCTCCTAAGTTTACCATTGTCTCCTTGAGTCTGGACAGTCACTGAGCGCAGCGTTAGGCATTAGTCATCGACTTTTCATCTGCCACAATGCCTAGCATGCGCAAATGTGCCGTCCAGTGTTGCTACCTCTGGAAAATCGTAAACGCGGGATTGACAAGGTGTTTGCGCGGCAGCAGGAACAAACAATTCATCCCGGTTTCGTGGCCTGGGCATCCGTGACCAGCCGCTCAATCTTGGGTATGAGCTCGGTGATGCGAAACGGCTTACTGATCGCGTCATCCATTCCAGACGCAATCGCCTGATCCATTTGCTCATATCTTGCATTCGCCGACACGGCGATGATCGGTAGATGTCCCTTGATCTCACCACGACTCTGCGCTTCGCGGATTCTGCGTGCGCAGGTAATGCCGTCCATGACTGGCATCTCGATGTCCATAAGAACGACAGAAACGTGCATGCCGCTCGACGTGTTGCCTGACCAGCGCGACGTTGTTTTTAGGTACGAGAGGGCTTCACCACCGTGAGAGGCGACTTCGACATGGTGTCCGAGCTTCTCCAGCTGTTTGCGTAGAACCTTTTGATTTACTGCCGCCGTCAACGTTAGAATGCGAACGAGTATATACAGGTCTTGGGGGTGTGTATCTTACCAAGATTGTCCTCGACCACAAGGATATTGTAAGTTGCTTGATCCATTTCTGCGCCACGCTGTTTCGGCTCTGCGACAAGGGCGCCTGGAACGTCTGACTTCTTGGCCTCAATATCTCTGGCCGTGATATAAAATACGAAAGTGGCACCCTCGCCAAGACTCGAGGAGACACCGACCTCGCCTCCTTGCAGTTCGACCAACTCTCGGGTGATGAAGAGACCTAATCCAGATCCACCGTACTTTGAGTGAGTTCGCGGCGAAGCCTGAGCGAACCTCTCGAACACAACGGCTTTTTGTTCATCGCTGATGCCACATCCAGTGTCACTGACGACAAAGTAAACGTAGATCTCTCGGTCGGTACTTCCGTTCTGGTGGATGTCGCCAGAGTTTGGCAACGTTGAGACCGAGGGTAATAGCCCATTCTCCCGCTGTTTTGTACTGGCCGGTACGAACTCAACGGCAAGCTCCTTCGCCGACAGGCGGCGTCGAGACGCGCGCATAATGAGGGTGACGTTACGTACCGCCTCGGTCTGGGTAAACTTCAAGGCATCTAACGGTCAGCGGTTAATAGGGTCAGCAGTAGTCGAACCGGAGCTCTCAACAAAGCAGATTACGAACTAGTGACGAGGTTTATGAGGACCTGCAGGAGACGCCCAGCGTCCAGCATAACCCATTCGATACCCAGCATTGGATCAGAGTCGTCGCGCACACGCCAAGTCACAGCGGCCTTCTTGGCATCAACCTCGAACATCTTCTCGGCATCCTTTAAGATTGACCTGAGCTTCACTGGCGATGGAGAAATCGCGAGCAGCTTCGAATCAAGCTTGGAAAGGGTCAGGATGTCGTCCATGATGCGTTTCTGATGAGTAGAGCACGATATGATCGTGGTGACGGCCTCCGCTATGTCATTCTGGAACTCATGGAGATGTGTAAGCTGATTGGCAGTCATATGTGACATACCCACCACAAGCGTCTCCGACATCTCTTTCAAAGCGGTGGCGATCAAATCAGCGCAATGAACTACAGCGCTGAGCGGGTTGCGGACCTCATGGCATGTGAAGTCGATGAAGTACTCTTGCTGACGCTTGGCCTCGAGGGCCTCATCGATTCTCTGCTGCTGCATGCCCTCAGCCCACTTAAGATGGGAAATATCGATTTGCGTGGCCGCAACAGCTCTGACTGAGCCATCCTCGTTGAGCTCGGGATAAACGCTGAAGAGCGTAGGTGGAACATTAGTATTGTCTCGAAAGGGAAGGAGAGCTGATGCCATCAATCACGCACCATGCCAGGAGCCAAACTGGACCAGTGCCTAATAGAATGCAACATTCAGCTCTATCTCAGATACAGGAAGTAAAAGTCTAAGCAGAGAGTTCACGTACCACCTTGCCCGTTAGTCCACGTTCGTCGCAATCGGAATTGGAACTTCGCGGGCTGCTTCGTGTGCAACACCCTCTCGCAAGACTCCTTGACGGTGTTCATGTCTTCTGCGGCGATATATGGAGTCCAATCGATGTCCTTGAAATCGACGACAGGATGACCAACGATGTTGAACCATTCGCGGTTACAGAACGACACCTGGTAAGTTTCACCATTCAGCGCTAGTGATCCACCATGCAGCGAAGCCAGCCACATCCGAGAAGCTGAACCCTACCTGGAGATTCGTGTCGAGAATGACAATGGGAACGTTCGCGTATTCGCAGAAGCGACTGAACCTCATTTCGCTCGCATAAGCCCGCTCCAATGCTTCGGCCCTCTGTACAGCGTCTCTTTGCATGCGCTTCTGAGCATTGATGTCGGTGATGCAGCCAGTGATAGAGGCGATGACACCATTCTTATCGCGGGTCGGCTTCTGAACCATTGAGTATAATCCATCAGCTTTTTCTCACACAGCATCCAAAAGTCGTGAGTGATGTCTAGCTTACGCAAGCAGCTAATACCCATTGCCCTTCGAGGTCTGTTTCCGCACTAAGAGTGGAGGCGGCTTGTGGCTTCCATCTCATTTCGAAAGTCGTCGACTCTCCCCGAGTCAGCATGTCCCAGCGCGAAAGGACGAAGGCTTTGTCCTCGTCAAAAAGACGATCAACGAACGAAAATTCCGGCAACTCTGTCCGCGACGCAACCCTTGGGTGACCGGTGAGTTTGTAGTAGGCATCGTTGCCTTGTATCATCCTGCCTTGCATGTCGAACTCGCAGAAGCCAACGTCGATCATTTCTATCGTGGCCGCCATAGAGGCTAGCTGTTCAGCGGCATCCGTCCGGTCGGCACAGTGGTCGTTTGGCGCATCATCCGCCGATGCAGATGCAAGCGATGCGTCTTTTACATCGCTCGGGAGCCAGCCGGAGCAACGTTCACAACTGTAGCTGGTTGATTGCCATTGCACTACCCTCCATTTCCTCGCAACAGTATAACCGTACAACTGGTGGTCGCCTAGGGATTCACAAAAGGTCCTGCCCAAGCCATCCTGACTTGTGTCCGCAATCCATGCTCGCAGTCTTGCCCGTCCGTCGAGCTGCCCGGCATCGTGCTTGTCACGCAACGCGGCGCGGAGCAGTTCTGGTTGGTCGGAGAACGCTTTATTGCGCCAATAAACATTACCTGTGTCCCATTGTTCAACGGGATACCCTTCAAACTGCTGCAAGTCCACGACACATGTCGGTCGTTGGTCTGCATCCAGTACCTCGAAAGCGCTGATGTTGTCCATCCGCAGCGGGGATTGGATCGCCCGCCGAACCACCGAGGCAATGTAGTATGCAGAGTGGCAATGAGGCTGAGGAGAATACTTTCACAGTGTGAAACGCATGTCTGGCGACAGGGTCGGAGGTAGCACTTTTGAAACACTTCCGTAAATGGTCGGAAGAGTTCGGGTATTGGTCCGAGGTGACATACGCCACTCGCAAAGCGTATGTGTATTCATCCTGTACATTATTCTTTCTGTTCGAAATGTAATATGACGCTTGAGGCTGGCCACTCAGCGGGCCGGCCGCGGTATGTGGAGTCGTTTTGACGAGGTATCCACCTTAAATCTTATGCCCAGAGAGTGATGGACTTGAGACCATTTTTGAGCGAGCACACAATCCCACCGTCAACATAGCCAGTCAAGGCTTGGTGGAGCGCAGTAAGCGGCACGATGGCGACTACGGTGGACAAGATTAAGGCCGTGGAGGAGGAGATGGCTAAGACGTGAGCGCAGAGTTCATGAAGGACCAGTAGTGCATCAACTAATACTGATCTTGGGCATTAGGCAGAAGAATAAGGCGACATCGTTTCACTTGGGTCAACTCAAAGCCAAGCTTGCGAAGTTGAAAAGGGAGTTGCTCACGCCATCGAGCAGCGGTGGCGGCGGCGGAGTTGGATTCGACGTTGCAAGAACCGGAGTTGCAAGTGTGGGCTTCATCGGCTTTCCGTCTGTGGGCAAGAGCACACTCATGAGTCGCTTGACGGGTCAGCACAGTGAGGCAGCCGCATATGAGTTTACAACCCTTACGACGGTGCCTGGTCAGGTTTTATACAATGGCGCGAAGATCCAGATGCTGGACTTACCTGGTATCATTCAAGGCGCGAAGGACGGCAAAGGCAGAGGTCGGCAGGTGATTGCGGTGGCGAAGACTTGCCATCTCATATTTATTGTGCTCGACGTCAACAAACCTTTGACGGACAAGCGCATTATCGAGAACGAACTGGAAGGCTTCGGCATTCGGGTGAACAAGGAGCCACCCAACATCAAGATCACGAAGAAGGACAAGGGTGGCATTTCTATCACGAGCACCGTGGCTCTTACGCACATTGACAACGATGAAATCAAAGCTGTCATGAACGAGTACCGTATGGCGAATTGCGACATTGCCATAAGATGCGACGCCACCATCGACGACCTGATTGATGTGATTGAGGCGAAAGCCAGGGCTTACATCCCCGTCATATACGCCTTGAACAAGATCGACGCCATCTCTATAGAGGAGCTGGACCTCTTATACCGTATTCCGAATGCTTGTCCGATCAGCAGCGAGCACGGCTGGAACGTCGACGAGTTGATGGAGCAGATGTGGGAGAAGCTCAAACTGAAGCGTATCTACACGAAGCCTAAGGGGAAGCTGCCGGATTATAGTGCGCCGGTCGTGCTTCGCTCCGGTAGGGATACGGTCGAAGACTTCTGCAACGCGATTCACAAGACCATCGTCGAGCAGTTCAGGATCGCCATTGTATACGGACGCAGTGTCAAACACCAACCGCAGAGGGTTGGCTTAACGCACGTGCTGGAAGACGAGGACATCATCACCATCATCAAGAAGTGACGAATGCAATGAGGGGCAGATTGCGTCTTGCATGTGTACCTCCCTAATATTGGCGAGGTCGGCTCATATGTGGGGTGAATAAGTCGTCTGCTTTGCTTTGCCACAATAGCCACGAGACCGTCCGGATGCATCCGCTCACGGCTTTGATCCCAACGGACGAGCACCTCCAGCGAAGCAGCCATCCGCGGAACACTTTCCGAGAATTCGGAAGTCGGCAAACACGCTGTGCCTGGCGAATTGGTACAGCCGGACGGTTGAATAGTTTGGCTGCAGCAGGCCCGACGGGGCTCCGTTACAAGTGAATCGGTGTATGCCGGTCATTTGTGGCGTGAAGGCGCCCGGGTACAGTACGGCGCGTGCAGACGCTCACGGTGGAGCGCTCGGTGATGACGACAGAAAGTGTCTATCTAAATAAGTAATGACTCGATGATCAACGGTGGCTTCAGTGCGCTTGCAAGATATGTATCATCGTGTTGCGGCTGGTATGGCTCGATGGAAGCGCAATCCGCAACACTTAGAGGTGGTCACTCTCCGTGTTGCGTAATACTCCGTTGTATTGTGCTGGCACCCTTCTGTGAACAACTTAGCAGTCGTCAATTCTAGCTCGTCTTACTTGTCTGTTCTATTGACAAGGGACCGAGCAGTGTCGTTACGGCCCGAGGCTAGCTGCGGACCGAAATATGCACGTTCGCGGCAGGCACGAGTTTCTTGGCTTGATGACTTGCATACAGCTTGGACAAGGGTGACTTTGCCATCAATCTTCGCGCCCATTAGGTGCCAATCCAGAGTCTCCCACGATATATCTTGCGGACGTCGTCTCTGTGGCCACTCTACCAAACAAGCGAGGTGCCAGTGGACTTGCACGCGACCTTCAACAATCGTGCTATCAGCTGGTCACCGCTTCCTCCGTTCCATGCCTGGTCGTGGTGGGGGCCGAGGCGGACCGCTTCCCCGTAACGTCCAGGTCTCCAAGAAGCTATCATGGCTACTACGACATGGCGCCGCGGAAGAAGGTCTGCAACTCGGTCCGGGTGGCTACCTGAGCGTACAAGATGTCCTCGGCAACCGCAAGATCCGATCGATGAAGGTCACGTTCGACGAGATCAGGGAAGCTGTCGAAGACAATGAGAAGCAAAGGTTCTCGATGATCCCGGCAGCATCGGACCCATCAAAGGATGACGCAGCTAATGAGCTCGACATTACTTCAACCAAGCCAAGCGACTGGCTCATCCGAGCAAACCAAGGGCACAGTATGAAGGTCGAAGCGGAAGGCTTGTTGCAGCCTATCACATCCGAGAACACGCCTACTACCGCCGTCCATGGCACCACACATGCTGCTTGGCCACTCATTGTCGCCTCAGGCGGTCTAAAACCCATGAACAGGAATCACGTCCACTTCGCTGCTGGCCTACCTGACGGCTTCAAGTCTGTCGTAGATGGAGACGCAGACACCGTAGCTGCACCCGTGATCTCTGGCATGCGGAAATCGTCGACCGTCCTAATGTTTCTGGACGTGCCAAAGGCGCTGAACGCAGGCTTGAAGCTCTGGCTTAGCAAAAACGGCGTGATACTTAGCGAGGGTGACGTGGGTGGCCTCGTGCCATTGACGCTGTTCAAGCGCGTTGAAGACCGCACGGGTGAAGGTGTCTTGCTGCAGGACGGCGCGGTGGTCAAAGAAGCGCCAACTAACTGGACGGCAAAGGGCAAAGGGAAGGGCTGAGCGGAGGTGGAGTCAACCGCTCCTGCGCCGCATCGACTCGCGCATACTCTTTTTAAAGCGGTTAAGTGTTGTGCGCTTAGCTACGCTCACAAGGCTCCCTTCCGTGATACCGCTGGGACAACGAGCAAACGTAGAATGCAGCTCTACAAATAGCGAGGACGCTATGCTATGTCGGTTCGGACCAGTCCACCTGCTCTGTTATAGGAGCACCGCCGCCCTTCGAGAACGTTAGCCGTAAACGCAGGCGCAGTCGAGCTGGAGGAGGCTGTTGCGCAGATGTCAGCAAGTCATATATAGAGCGCGTGAACTAGACAGAAGTACTGACCCCTTGTACTGAAGAAATCCTCATCCCTTGGCTGGCCTCCTGCCCTCCCTCCAGCTCCGAAGATGAGATAGCCTGCAGCTGCAACTTCTGCGTCTTCGGCACCGCCGCCTGCAAGTTCAACCCTGTAAGCCGCTCAAAAGCCGATTGGTTCTGAAACCGCGCTTGCACGACAATTGCTTGTGGATTGCTTCGCTGAACAGTGAATGTGAGGAGTAAATCGTTCTCAGCGTATGCGATATGGCCTGCTGTCGCTTGATGCTGCTGCTGCCCTGCCGGGAAGCCGACTCCGGAAGTCATGTCCATCGAGCCTTGCGATGCCGGTGTAGGTGCTGCAGCTGAGGTCGATGATGGCTGTGAGTCGAAGAGATCCATGATTGAGCTGGCATCGTTTTGCGGCTTCGACTGTCCATTCGCCATCCTCCTAGTTTGCTGCACCGGTGAACTCACGCTAGTGCCTCCAAGTATGTCCGCAAGAAGGTCAGCATTATGCTGGGTCCCATTCATCGTTGCGCTTGCGTCTATTGCGGGTACGGCGGAGTCGCCGCTGACCAGATCGAGCAGATCCTGCTCGGTAATCTGGCTTACTTTCTTCTTCGCTGGCACTCGACTCTGCCGCTTCTTCGTCGCTTCACCAAGCACTCTCTGCTCCTCCCGGATCTCAGGAGGTGGCATCCGTTCCAGCACGCCTTTTCTTACTGCATCGTAGCTGAAAAGGTTTCCGTACTCAACAGAGCGCTGTTGAACTTCTACATCGAGGTCAGTCTGGTGGTTGAGCAGTAGGCGCCGTAATCGATCGACTTGTGCTGGATCCTGCAATCGGGTGGTGAGCTTCATGGCGGAAGTAATTATGTACTCTGTGACCATCTGCCCGGCATAGCTGGAGTTTAGAATGGCCGTGAACAGGTCCACAATCTCGCTTTCCTTTACCTCGTGAACGAGCTCTTCCTCTTCGTAAGAGCCACCACGCAGTAGCGCATCGCCGTATTCTCCAATGACCCAAGCACCAGCTAGATTCAGTCCTTCTTGGCTGATGTCTTCGCGCAGGGATGCATACAGCTTCTGCGCACAGTAAGTCTGAAGCTCAGGAGTGGTGGCGATCAATCGCACGAAAGATGATAGTATCTGTTCTCGAACGAAGTTGCCTGCGAGCTTGAGCACTCTCAGCATCGTGTCGACATGCCACCGTTTGTTGGGTGCGAACCGGTCCGCTGCTATGCCGATCTGACTGGTCATGATGGGCTTAAACTCGGTATCTGCGACCTCCAGAAACGCAAGAAGTTCTCTGATGAGCACACGAACGTTTGTTTCATTAATCAACGTGAAGCTCAGATCAAGTGCTCGCCGTCGTATACTGATATCAGGGTCGCGCAAGCAGTCGAGAATAGTGTTCCGATGTCGTTGCACCGCATTTGGCTCGATGGCGACGACTTTGATGAGCGTGTTCAGTGCAACATATCGAATGTTGTTATCCTTGTTGCTGAGAAATTTGCCGAGAATGTTGACGCCGAGCACTCGTAAGCCAGAATCTGCTTCGATGTCGAGGATGGTAAGCACCGCCTCGTACAGAATGGCGTTGCCAACGTTCTTCGACGACTCTGTATTAGTCGCCACCTGCGCCAAGATGTCGTTTATCTGCTCACTCGTCTGAGCGTCGCCGCGTCCAAGCACTCTCAATAACTGCAGAATCTTGACTTGGAGGAAAGGGTCGGTAATGCCTGTCACGTCGTGCTCAGGTGCATAACCCGACTGAGATAGACCCTTGAGCACCTTGACGAGACTTCCAGTTAAGGGCCTAAACATCTCCACCATGCCTTGCTCTCCACCTTCCTCCTCGTCTGCTTCGCACATGCTAATCACCAAAGTCAGGCCGCTAAGCAGCACGCCATGATTCCGATCGTTCAGGATGAGTTTTGCCTTGTCGATGAAGTGTTCCTGCAGGTCCGGCACTTTCCTGCAAATCCTCATTGCACATAACGCCGCTTTCCGGCGAATGTATGGGTTCGAGCTGGCCATGATGGTCTCTACCTCCGGAAACAGATCCCTACTCATCTCCACGCCTGCAATGTTGCCCAGTGTACATAACGCCAAGCCGACGATGTACTGGTTGTTGTGGTTCAAATCGTTCTTCAGGCTGTTCGTGACGAGCGTGAGCACCTCCTGGTTCTCGTCGAGGAGCAACATGGTGCCCAAGTAGCCTAGCCGCTTGTCGGCAAAGCGCGGTGAGGCGAGCAGCTTCAGACACTCTATCTGCCCGAAGTGCGTCCTTTCACCGAGAGTAAAGAGATAGAGCAGCTTGGCCACGTTGTTCCTTCGCGCATCCGCATTGTGATGCTCTTCGCGAAAAGAAGCACGAATCGCTGCACTCTCCTTTTGCACTACAGCGCGCTCGTCGGCAATCGTCTTCGCCGCCCTCACCGATCGAATGAAACTCTTGAGCGACGCCATCTCCTTCCCATAACCCCCACTCCGCTCTCTCTGCCACTCGCTATATAGTAGTAATGCCTAGGCCTCCAGGGTAAACATGCCAGTCTGGTCACATGTCCTTGTGTGGTGTAGTGCAACACGCGTCAGCATTATCTCGCGATGATGTAGTGAACATTGTCCATGTAGCATCTTAACGTTTGAGCTGAGCTTCGAGATCAGTTCTCGCGCTTGGGCCAACCTCAAGACCCTGAAAGAACTTCTAGCAAACTGACCAGCTTAGACATGGCAGTTATAGACCACAGTTCATTTCCGCTAAATCGAGATTTAAGCATGCAGTTTATATGAGGAATCATGATCCGTAGTGCCTTCCAACTCTGATGGTTCCACCTCTATGCTTTGGTAGATGCATGATGGCGATGAGATCTCGGCCTCTAAATCCTGTTGTGCCATGAACGGCACGCTCTCTATCTCATGGGCCATGTCTACATTCGCCATTTCTAGCTTGTACTGCATCCTCTCCTCCACAGCGCGGAGGCACGCTTCGATCATTCCCCAAAGCACCTGCGTTTCGCAACCTCGTGGTACCTTTGTGCCCGGTAAACCGTACGGGAGCGGCTGGATTAATGTCCTACCGCACTGTGACGGTCCGTTAAGAATATCGCTGGAGGACCCGTGCTCGCCCTCCGTAACGACTGAGACCTGAAATCGTTCTTCTTCATATGGGCCCTTTCTTCCCGCCACATTGCAGTGGAAAAGGTCAGGGCGCACTGCTGCTGCAACGGCGAGCGGATCGTGTACCGGCGGTCCTTCTGTCATTCCAAAAACTTCAGCGTAGCTTCCGGCGAAGAACGTCAGGATCTCGAAATAGAGGCGCCGAATCGGCGATGCAGCAGCACTGGTGGGCTCACGGTGTGCAGGCGTGCCGATTCCAAAGAGCAAGCCCATCTGAACCGCTCGTGTCGCGAGAAACTGATGGCTCAAATCCAGTGGAACCAGGACTGTTTTGACAGCCAGCACAGGGTTGCCAAACACCGATTGAGCCGCCTCCGGGTCGCAGTAGATGTTGAACTCTGCGGTGGCGGTATGGTTGCCAAAGCGCAGCCCCTTTCCGAGCACTCTGCCCATGGGCGCAGAAGTGAAGTTGCCCCCGACTGCGCCACCCATGATGCTAAGTCCACCCAGGTGAGAGGCAAGATCTGGATGCCGCTTGAACAGTGTGGCGACATTGGTCAAACTCCCGGTGGCCACCAGCCATGGCGTACCTACTGGTTCAGATGACAAAGACACATACATTGCGTCTATAGCGGACATGTCTTTCATGACAGGAACAATCGGTTCTGGCAGGCACGTAGTTCCATCGAGCCCGCTTTCGCCATGAATTGCCGGTGCGTGCAGAGGATCTCGAAGCAAGGGCTTTTGAGCTCCTTCATATACTGGCACATCGGTCCGATCAATCGCTTGTAGTATGGCGCGCGTGTTGTAAGTCGTGTGCTTCAAGGAAGCGTTGCCGAAGACTGTACTGATGCCCAGCAGCCTTACTTCCGGGCTGTGGCCAGCAAGTAATATAGCCAAAGCATCGTCGTGGCCAGTGTCACAGTCGAGCCAAAGCGGGGTTTGCTCATTCACCCCCATAGCAGGTTGAACCACGTCGACGTCGCGGGCTGGTGACTTGAGTGTCGTGAGGTATATCTCTATGGCAGCTCGGAAGTCTTGGAAGTCTCGGTAGCTAGCCATGACCTCCGTCAGCGACTATGCCGCCCAAGGGACGCAATGGCTCAGGTCGACCCGGGACACTACATTGTACAATCATGTCGACAGTACGAAGAGGTTGTGGAAGTTCGGGAACAAGCTTTTACCGCGGTGGTGGATCTTACTCCAACGAGCCAAATGGCAGTACCCGGAATAGCCAATTGATGAGCCGCTAGAGGAGTGCCGTGGTCAAGGAAGACTTACCGCTGCTGAGTCGCGTGCGAGCCGAAGGCAGCTTAGGTTTCTGATCGAGTGGGAGTGGAGAACCTCGCGCTGTGCGACTAATCTTTTCGGGTACCGTAGCTCTGCGCTTTCCCCACAGATCTCACGATCTTGCGGGAGTATGCACGAGCGATGCCATCAGTGCGCGGTGTGCAGTGCAGACTCGCGGCGATGTTTCTGTCCCTTCCCGATGCAATGGAATCCGCCAACGGATGTGGCTGCGGGTAACGGAGACGATGGACACGGAGCCCGCTCCGTAAGCCCACACCTTGAAGGTTTGCAACCATGGACGTTGTTACCTTCCAAAATGGAAGCGCCTTGTGGATATCGTGCCATCGCGGCTCAAGCATGTTGCGATGATCGGTATCGGTGCGGATTGTGACAATATTGGTCAGCTATCGTGATGGTGCTCCCGCTGTTATCATGTCAAAGCGTAGTTCGCTATGCTGTATGATTGGCTCTCTGCAGGCGGTATACGATCCGCAGAGCCGCATGACCTCGTGGTCATGGAGGCTCATCTTGGACCACACTAGCGCATCCCTGCAAGGCTGCATACGCTATGGATTTGCGGCTCGAGCATCTCATCGACTGGTAAGCAATCGCTTGATCGTCAAGAATGCTCAAAATCCGTGCGCTTTAATGTACTCCCTATGCGCCAGATCGGCCAACGCACCACCCAGAATCGGATCTATGGGAGACCAGTACAATTTACCCCACCGTAAGCCGTACAATCTCACAAGCCAGCATGCAGCCCCTGCGTACATGCCAAAGTCGACATGCTGACGGACTTCTTCCTCGTCTCGTCTGCGTTCCCTGTCGTGAGCCCACCGCGGGATAAATCTCCTGTACTCGAGGCCTGCTGCTTGACAAGCTAGGATTAGAGGCGTCACCAGCAATGTTGTCCGATGCATTGCCGTCAGTGTCTTTGCGTTGTGGAATATGGATGCACGCGCCTCGAGACCGAACTGATTGAGCTGCCTAAGGTAAGCCACGCCACCAACGCCAACAATAAAGGGCGCGATATCCACGCAAGCTGCCTCGATGTCCTGACGCTTGATCCATAGCGCGAGGTTATCAAGGCGCGCGACAGAGCTGGCTCCCGGGACAGGGTGCCATGCGTTGGCCAGTGGGTCTTTGTTCTGCCAGTAATAGAGGTCGCTCACTCTCATCTTCTGTGTTTCGACGAGCGGAGGGCAGCTCGAGGGCGCCGTGGAACAGTAGATGGTGCGCAGATCGCGTCAATCGCCAAGGGTAGCCCGTGCGTCAATGCATGAGCAGTCCAACGACTAGATCCTTCCCACCGAGAAACGTCGCGGCTTTTGAGACGACGTGAAGTTCTGAAGCTCCGGAGGTGTGGCGGGGATTGGCGATCTTCTACGTTGGAGGTTTGGTACGCGAAGCGGCTCTGTGAGAATACGGCCAAGGTAGGGATGAAGAGGGTTCGACGTAGTCTGCCGTATATGCAACAATGTCGATCTCCAGTTAGGCGACACCCACTAATGCATTGCATCGGCCTCGCAGTCTGCAAGTTCTTCGCAACGACAATGCCATCTACGATCTCGCTTGTGGGCTTCTTTATGACTACCGAGGTATGTACATATTGCGCAGCTCATGCATGCTTGAATTGACTCAGACTAACGCCATGCATGCCACGAAGAGTATCTCTCGCACAAACGCTGAGCATATAACCACACCAAAGCTGTTCAACCAAGCGCTTCAACGTCGCAGCCATTCCACCCTTACGAGCTACCACCGTCTCCTCTTGTTACATTCTGAAACTCATGAGCCCCATGCCCGTCAGGTCTCTGCTCCCACTTGCTATTCGCCATGCCCTCCAACCGCTCTTCGGGCGGAATCACATCCCCTACGTCCTCTCGTTCAAAACTCCGCTCCATTTGGCCTTGCGCCATCCCCGCCTCTCTGTCGTCCCATCTCTGGTCGTCACGCCATTGAGCTCCTTCTTGCAGCTTCGCAGTAGTACTGCCTTGCATCATCGCTTGTACACTCTCCTCCATGCGTTTTTCAGAGAAACTTTGGATGGTGATGCTCTTGCTGTCACCTGTGTGCGGTATAGTACCGGACCTTGTCGGAGCCGCTCTTGCTGTGTTTCTTTCTGTCGAGCGCTCGTGAGCTCCATCCAGCCCAGCTGGAGCACTACGATCGAGGGTCTGCGTTGGACTCAAAGTCTCTTCCGCTGCTTGCCTTCGCTCCGTCGGACTCAACACGTCCTCTGCAGTCCGCCCTTGCTCACCCCTTGCACCATCAAAGCGAGGTTCCGAGAAGGTCGGTGCAGCCTTGGCCGCATTCTTCTGCGCTGCATCCATGCTGAACGTCGTACTTGTCGCACTGATGCTGTCGAACGGTGGTTGTTGTGGATCGTTCAGACCGTGTGGCGTCGCGCCTCCACTCATGCCGGCAGCAGGTTCTGTCTCTTCTGGTATTGATGCCGAAGTTGGCATCTGCCTCTGGCTGGGCTTTTTGCGGTCGGTTGGAAGTTTCAAGTCTCCAGGTCCGAGGAGAGAGTTGCGACGCAGCTGCTCGAGTTGAGCATCAGGGTCCTGCATGTTCGTATCCGTCAGTCAGTGATACTGTGGAGAACCGAACGTAGCAGAAGAGCATCGAGCAATGCGTAAGCAAGCAACAGAAATGCAGAACGCTCGAGTCATAGGATCGCCAGCTATCTGAGCTCATATGCTTTCCCATACCACAGGTATCGACGTAATGTCAACAAATCGGACCAGATTGTATAGGTGGTTAGCAGCAACAAGTCACATAGCAGTGGGCAAACGTGAAGGAGGCAGAAAGAAGCCGCACTGAGGACATACCCAGTCCGCCTGATCCGGCACGCCCTCCGCCGCCGGCAAGCCCAGCTCAGCCTCTTCCGCCTCATCTTTATCCCAATAACTCGCTCGCCTTCGGGGGGCAGGAGTGACGGGTAAGCTCGGTCTCTCCACGGCAGAGGGAAAGTCGGTCAAGATCAAACTCTCTCTCCGCTCGCGCACCTTTTCCAGAATCTCAGCCGGTTCCGGTTCGTTGTCGGGTGAGAGGACATGCTGTTGGTCTGCCTTGCTCGTCGTTGGCTGTTGCTGCTGAGCGCCAGGCTGCTGATGCTGCAGTACCTGCAAGTTGCCCCGGTTCTTCTGGAACGCCGTGAGAGCTCGTACGTACTCCTCGATGCCCGCCACTTCGTCCCAAGCATTCTTATTGACTGTGCCGAAGGCGCCCCATGGCGTGTCGTCGTTGATCTGGATTGTCGGCGTTTTCGGCTCGAAAGCTCTCCCGTCTTCATCTGCTCGCACCTCGAGTTCGTCGCCGCCTCTGAAGTCATCTTCCTCCTCTTTCTCCAGTTCCGGTGTCTTTTCGGGCACTTCGTCCAGGAAGACTCTGGTCGGTCGCACCTTCTCTTCTCGCACACGCTCCTCCCACGGGAAGATGGCGGGTAGCGGTTTCGGCTTGCTCTTCGGGACTTCGTACCACATATCACGCGGCGGCTCCGGATAAGAGACGGGCGGTTTGAATGGTTGGGTGTCCTGGCTGAACTCGTAGAGTTGGGTTGGGAAGTTGGCTGCTTCGGGCTTCGCATCGACTGGCGGAGCGGCGCGGGTGGCGTCCCATTCCATCTGCGGAGCGGAGAACTTGCGCTGATGCACGGTGGGCGTAGGCTCAATATGGCCCTGGTCCAATGCTTCTGCGACAGGTTGTGCTGGCTCGGTCATAGGTACCTCGGTTACCATGGGAGGCGCTTCGTAACTAGGTGCCGGTGCCGGTTGCGTGGATTCGACGGGATATCCGGTAGCATAGTACGCTGGTTGTGTCTCTTGCCGGACCTGTTCCTGTACGGCTCGATGTTGGACGGCCTGTCTTCGGCCCGTCGCTGTGTACTCGTAGGTCGAGACGCTGAAGTGTCGATCATAAACTGCCCACCATCGACCGAGCAGCTCCTGGAACGCACCTGACACGCCTTTCGTCCAGCGCTCTTGCTGCCACGGCTTGTCTCCGCCGATGAAGTGCACCAGGCTGATGTCCCGCTTGAAGTACCGGTACGCCGGCTCATACTGGTAGTTGGCGCTCGGGGTGCAATTGTACGTGAAGTTCAATCTCCGCCAAGGACGGTGCTCGTAGTACTGGTTGAGCAAGCCTTGATCGGCGCCGTCGAAGCTGTCTCCCGCGGACGCCATAGATCGCAGCGCATGGTACTCACCCATGTTGGGCGCGATCACCATGACACCCGTGTTGAAGATGTCCGGCCAACCCACATCCGGTGCCGCTGCGAAGCCTTCCGTCACATCAAACAGCTCGTCTGGCGCTCGCAGCGCCACCACATCCGAGTCGATGTAGACAATCTTGCGGAACTGCGTCATGCGCCATAAATGGATTTTGGTGAATGTGTACAGCAGATCCGGCCGACCCATAAGGTAGAGATTCGCCGGACTCGGGTTGCCGATGCGCTCGATGGGGATGACATAATTGTACAGCGATTGCAACTCAGTGATGGTACTCGCTCGCAAGCTGTCTTGGGTTATCAGGCATGCCAGCTTCCTCGTCGTTCCAGTATCACGGAGAGAGTGGGCGAGTACCGCTGCGCCGGGCAGGTAACTGTCCGAAAGCACAAGCTGGACTCATTCAGCATCACATATCGCATACGAGACATATATGGTCTGGTGGTCTTACCGTGCAGTAGACATCCTCTCCAATTGCCATATCGACTACGCTATGCGAGCTGATACTGGCTTGCTGTCTCTTGATAAGCTCGCTGCCGGCGGCGCTGTAGCTTCACTACCACCGGCTTCACCAGTTTCCCTCTGTACATGCCATATTATACACTATCGCTTCTCTTGTGCGCACGTTCAATGGAACGCTTTAATCAACAAACCCAGTACACATCAGCCCACCAAAGATCGATAACTGTACAAGACTCGCACGAATCGACAACGTGACCGAGCGCATGCTCATGCTCCCGGCGAGAAAGTCTCATTTCCCACAAGCTCCGCAAGCTCCTTCGCAACATGCGCAGTGACGCGCCACCCGCAGCGGCGAAAAGCCACCCCGCCCTCTCTCCATCCGAGAGCACGCCGAGACACCCCTCAACCCTTGTCGGCTACGAGCGTCTCCACCTTCTCACGCACGTTCAGACTTTCGCACTGAAGGCTTTAACACAGATCTCAATATGCGGCCTTATGGATTGATCGATGAGCACCACAGGCTCGATCCGCCCAGTGAGCGACGGACAGTTTTATGGTGATACACTACACATTTACACATTCAGCAATGATTGCCGGCCTTCTTCCCGTACCGTTTCTGCAACCCTCGGTCTTCAGCAGTAAGCGAACTTACCCGTTGCAAACTCTGCCATCAAACTATCGTAGCGCCAGCCGGCTTCTTGAAGTCCTTAACCTTGATATCGCGCCATGCCAGCACGCAGAAGAAGGCGAACACTAGCACCGCGGTCGCGGCAATGCACATGTACCGCTGCGTCTCCGCATATGCCTGAATGATCGCCGTCCGCTCCGGAGTGCCAACTGCATAGCTCAACTGCGTGACGATGCTCGCATAGATCGCTGTGGCCTGACCCTTCGAGGCGGGCGGTAGGTAGTACTCCAACAAACCCGGGAAGGTGTTCGTCCAGATGGCACCACTGATGCTCGAGCCGATTGCACCGCCGACGGAAGTGAAGAGAGCCTGAACAGCGAGACCGACGGCAACGTTGGCCGGACCGACGGCGGCCATGATGGCCAACTCTTCCAGCACGACGAGAGTGCCGCCACTGAACGCAATGAAGATCTGGCACATGATCACGTAGCCAATGCCCCATCGTGGTTGGCGGAAGTAGATCATGAGGCCAGTGCCCAGCATCTGCAAAGGTACTGCAGTCAAAGCCAGCCATTTGAAACTGTTAGTGTACTTGACCAGCAGACCAACAACGATCGCCCAGAAGCAGGAGCCGATGCTGTAGATGTTGGCGACGTAGCCAGCATCCTTTATGCTGAGATTGTGCACCACTTGCAGGTACGAGTAGAAGTAGGCGTCCCAGCAGTAAAAGCTGATCCACAGCGTGCCGGCGCATAGACAGGATCCGAGGACGGTACGATCAACGAGGAGGTGGAAGGGTAAGAAGGACTTCCTGGCGAAGAAGCGTTCGTAGATCGCGAAAGCAATGAGGCAGCAGACTCCGATGACCAACATGGCGATGATGGAGCCTGAGCGCCATTTCTGCGGGGAGTACGTGGCCAAGCTAAAGGGCAGCAGGAGAAGTGCGAAGCCGGCAATGATGAGGATCATACCGATGACTGCACACCGGTTAGCAAAGAGCAGCATATTGCAGGAACGTCTATTCCATACCGTCGAACTCGATCAGGTAGTGACGCACAGACTGCGACCATGTACGGCCACTTGCCTCACGCCTTTCCACCAGGATACCCTGCTTCCTTGCTAGGCGTTGGTTGTACCAGAACACGCTCAGGTAAGGGATGCAGATGATAGGCGTAACGATCGCATAAGTACCGAACGCCCATCTCCAACCGCTGGTTTGGAGGAAGCTCTGCGCTGCCGCCGGACCTGCGAATGTAGTGGCAATGTACGGACTGGTGGAGAAGGCGAACATGAGCGCTCGCCATTCCAGGGACGACGTGTCTGCGATGAAAACGTCGAGCACGTAGGCGATTCCGTTGAAGCCGACCCAGTAGAAGACCTGTGCCGCCGCGTATGTCTCGACGTTCTTGCATGCCGCCATCAAGATGAGGCCTGGATGTTGTTAGCGAACTTGTGCCGCTCTGAATCTGACGATAACACTGACCAATCACTGCACAAAACAGCATCAGGAGGAAACCTTGCGGTCGTCCCCAGACATCCATCAGCTTGCCCACAGGCAGTTTGATGACACCCGCAACAAGAGTCGAGACGACTCCCGTTGTTGCCGTCAACCCTTGCAAGGCGAAACTACTAGTCACGTAGACTGACAAGTTATTGGACGTCTGTTGTTGCAGCGAGTTGACGAAGAAGATAAGGAAGATCCTAGAGTGAAGTCAGTGCTGCTGTCGACTCCGAAGTGTTGGGAAACACGTACAAGCCGTATGCGATGAATAGAGACTTGCGAGACCAGACAATGGTCGTCGCTTGCGCCTTCTTGACTCCATCCTGAGCGGACGAAGGAATGCTGTCACCATCACTGGTGTTGAGGTAATTGTTGCTCACATCAACGGGATCTTTGTCAGTCGTGTGGTCGAGCTCATGGTTATCAGAGGCTTCGCCAGAACCAGATCGCTTCTCCTCCGGATCTATCAGTCCACGGTTATTACGCCGAACCCAGGTAGCAAGAGACATAGTGAGTAAAGCGAACAAAACATGCACGAGGGGTGTGTAACTGATGCGGATCTGATTAGATAGCCGATCAAGGAAGGAGCTGTAGGACAAGTGAAGAACTTATGAAGGTTCATGCAACTGCTAAGCTTTGCGCCTGTGCAATGGCATCATTGAGGGCCGACATCGGTGCAAGAAACACACGTGCAAAGAAGAGCAATGGGAATGTCGCAAATGATGTCCCCACTATCGGGCCCAAGTGGACGTCGATAGTGCGTGAAAAGATCGTTATCGTACCACAAGATCCATCTGATAAGCCGTGTTTGGGAAAGCGTGACATTGGCAGCTGTCCATCGTTCTTGGCGCCCAGCTAGTATGGTCGTCGATGAGTGTTGGCTTTTGCTTTGGCGATGTTCTTGACCAGATGGAAGCCTCATTGCCGCGGTGTGAATTCTGACAACCAAGCCTGGTTTATCCACTCATTGTGCGAAACCCTAAGTGGACCCGCACAGCATTGTGTCTGACTCGGTCGGGTTTGGTGGTATCTGAGCGCAGCTGCCGCTATTGATGTGGCGCACCATTTGTAAATGGCTGTAGGGTGTAAAGCTGCTTGTACCGCTTGTCACCTTCCATGGAATATGGAGAATGTATCGGCTTGAACACTCTCGTTCCCAGGTCCAAAGTGCTGATATGCTGTCCTCAACATACTGGAATCGCGATGTCGGATCGACGGCTCATGCGGCAGTGCCCTTCAACACTCACGAGCGGGTCTAGGCCGGCGACAGATCGGTGGTGGAGGTCTATCTGCGCGCCTCGGAGGATGAGGCAAGGTCTGTGAAATTTCCGGCACCGGCGCCCACGAGGCTGTACCAACCAAAGGGGTATGTAAGCGTTAGCAGGACAATTACTAATCGTTGAAGTCTTTGGAACGCGGCTCTCGCCCAATCTACATGATGTACTCGCTCGGCGTGAGATTGGCAATACCGGTTCAGCAGTGCATGCTCATGTGAACGCCCTCTCACTGACGGTCCAGCTTCTTAGGTCCTCTCGGATATCAAATTCGTCAATCTCACCAGGAATCTTCCGTGGCGTTTGCATCGTGCTGTGACGAGCGCCATGCTTACCGTAGCCCATGTGCTTACCACCACCCAAGCTGATCGTGTGTCTGTCTGACCGGCTGGTCTTGCCAGCACGGCTTACATCCTCATGTCCATCTTGGGCCGGCGTACTGGATCCTGAGCCGGGTTGACTACTGTGCTCATGGCCAGGTGCACTGACGTTTGGAGGTCGACCATTCTTACCCCAACCGTCACCGCCTGCGAAGATGTCTTCGATACACTCGTCGGCTTTCAGCTCGCCTGGTTGAGAGGCCCAGTAAGCGGCGAGTGTTCGACGGTACATATCCTGCATTTCGCCCAGCTCCCGACTGGTAGTGCTGAGGTTGGGCAAGGCGGTCACATCGTTTGGATCATGTGGTAGTTCACTGTTGGAGTGAGACGCTACACCGTGCGTGGCGGAAGCTGGCTCAGAGGAGGATATGATACCCGCTATGCCTCCAAACACCGGCGCCGTTCGCAAAGCTGGAGCGTAGTAGTCCCGTGTACCCTCTATATGCCTCATGTGAATACCTATCTTTAGCGTGCTGTTGATCTTCGAGTCCTGCATCAGGTACCGTCTCACAATGCCCGGCTCAACGTCACCGCGCTGCGCGCCGTTGGACACTACTGGTGAGTCCGCCTCGGAGCCGCAGTACTCGGCCAAGTTGAGCTTCACATCGCCGAGTCGAATCCGCTCTGCTCGACCTCCGCTGCTGTACTCTTGAATCACCTCGAAGTGAACCTCGCAGGACTGGAGCATGCCATCCTTGCCTATGGACAGCCGTACGTCCATCTGCTTTGTGTAGTCGTAGACCACACGATGGTCCTTGATCGCATGCTTCGGTGTCCGCCCGCGGTGTTCTGCTGCAGTGGAGGAAGGTAGATGCCATGTGATGAACGATGTACCAGACACTAGCGGGACGTTGTTCAGGTCGTGGATGCGGAGTGACAAGGCGAAACGGATCCGCCGAGACTTGGGAATGAACGCGTCCGGCATCGTATCGTTGCCGTTGCCGGCGCATCTTAGTAGAAGTTCTGTGAGAGGCCACCGTCAGAAGAGTATTGAGCAGCGCGGAATGCGCCGCAGGTCGATGCCAAGCAAAGCGGCAACCGACAGGGCAGGCACGACAACCCAGGCTCGTCTCACTTTTATGCAGCTTGACAACCATCCCACATTCTATTACGATGCGTACACTGCAGGATGCATCGGCGAGCTGGCAGGAGCTCAAGCAGTATAGTACAATCGCCGAGCTGGAGGAAGCGGTTCGTATCGATGGCGGGCATTTCTCACCGGCAGCCGCTGCTGGACTGCGCTCGGTATGCTGGAAGGCCTTCCTCCTGTTCGATTCTGTAGATGCAGTAACGTGGCCAAAGACACTTGCTTCAGCTCGCTCGGCATACGACTCCTTGCGTATGCACTTCCTACGCCACCTGGAGAACCCGGATGACATGGAAGGCGGCCAAGACCCTCTGAGCGCTGATAGCGAGGTACGCCGCTCATGTTACAGCACGTATATGTGTCTTCATTCTGACACTGGCTGAGACCTGAAGTAAGTCCACGTCGCCTGCTGCTCAGCTACACAAGGACGAGGAATTACGAGCCGAAATCCAGCAGGATGTTGATCGCTGCATGCCCGAGAATCTTTACTTCCGCCAACCGGAGACTCAACGCATGTTACTCGACATTCTATTTGTCTTCTGCAAGCTGAATCCTGATGTCGGGTACCGTCAAGGCATGCATGAGCTCTTAGCGCCCATACTCTGGGTTGTGGAGCGGGATGCGATCGACCTTGGACCGAGCAGCAAAGCTCTGGGGGAGGATGTCGTTGTTCGAGCTGTATTCGATGCTGAATACATCGAGCACGACACTTTTGCATTGTTCAGTCAGGTCATGCACAGTGCGAAGAACTTCTACGAGCAGACAACCCATCAAGCAACCGACAATCCCATGGTTGTGCGAAGTAAGCGCATCTTCAGCGACTTGCTGCCGCAAGTCGATCCAGAGCTGGCAACGCATCTGGAAGATATTGAGATCCTACCACAAGTCTTCCTTATGCGGTGGATTCGTCTTCTCTTTGGTCGAGAGTTTGCCTTCGATGACACGCTTGCATTATGGGACGTCATCTTCGCCGAAGACAATGCGCTCGAGATTGTGGACTACATATGTCTTGCCATGCTTCTGCGCATACGATGGCAGCTTCTTGATGCTGATTACAACTCCGCACTAACTCTCCTCCTACGCTATCCCGAGCCCGCGCGCGAGCATCCTGCCCAATGTTTTGCCTTAGATGCTCTATACCTGCGTGAGCATTTCGACCTGGAGGGAAGCGGCTATATCGTTTTGAAGTACAGCGGTCGACCACTTATGCCCAGAAAGGGCGCGGTGACGCCGCCCGCTTTGCAACGCAACATTACGGCCTTCTCTGGCATTCCCACCGCCGCTGTGACTTCAAAGCCACCTCGACCTGTAGCATCTCGGACATCTTCGTCCCGACCGCGCAACTTCGAGGCGCTGCTTCAGTCCACCGCCCGAAATATCTACGCTCGCGGCGAAAGACTGGGCACAGGCCTGCGGAGTGCGGTCGATGAAGTCCACAAGCGTGCCCAAGAGATACGCGAGACACCAACGCCGTCCTCGCTGCAGGCTCGTGCTCGTACTGGGCCTGGCGCTTTGTACGCGCGGGTGAAAGCCTTGGAGCAGCGAAACCGGCATTTAGCAGTACTACTCGAAGGCGCAGTCTCTCAGCTGTGGGAGTACCAGAAAGCTGTATCAGCAGATGGCAGTTTAGCAGTCGCGAACCGTCACAATGAGAAGCAGCAAGATAACGACAATACCACGACATTGCAGGCCACCGAGTATTCGACCGACGTGGAGAAGCTAAGCCTAGCAATTGCCAGGGTTCAGTTCGTGCAGGTGTACCTTGATGACCCTAGCCTACCTTTGCCAGAGACCGATGACCAGGAACACCAGCATGATCAGGATGCGCATACAGCGGCGCCCAACGTTGAGTCTTCTCGCGATGGTGAACGCGAGGCCGTCGCGCACCGTGGTGAAGGAATGGAGACTGAGAAGAATGACGTTCCCTCTGACTCCGTGCATGATCCACACACCGCACACATTGGACGGAATAGCAGCAGGGACGAGCTAGCGGACGCGTCAAAGTTTGTTGTGGAGGACGATGAAGACCGAGACGATTCGGCGCGTCAAGAACCGGATGCTATGGCGACACCACCAAGGCCGCTCACACCGAAGATTGAAAACAATGTGAAGGCATCACCGCAAGCCGTCGCAGGATCAGCATTGAAAAAAGACATGCCAAGCGCTCCACTAACCGAAGGCGCAAGCCTGCATGCTTCGCCACTACCACGCCGGCCCCCTATCGCCGAGAGCCCTTACTCATGGATGCTCAGCAAGGACTCTACAGGCTCGGCCAAAGAAGAGGTTCGCAGTCCCACGCCTCGTCAGGCGCGACAGCGACCACAACGTGGTAAGGGGTTCTTGTTCGGGGATGCTCATGAAGGCGGAGGCGACCCACTGGCTTAATGAGTCTAGGGAGTATTTCTGCATCACCGCATAGTGTGTGACTCGCCGTTATTGAAATGACCTATCTGTTCGTAAAGGCGTTGAACACTAGCTACATCGTACCATTCAATCTCACTGACACGGCAGCCACTCACGCCAAGGTGCGGCCTTGCACGCGTCTTGACGCGTCCAACCATCGCTGCTGCCTCCGTGTCGCGCTTCCACCGCAGCAGCGAACTGGAAGGTAACCTGGAAGGTAAAAGCTTAGCTTAAATGCACCGGCCTGCTAAACCAGACGCTCAACGCACGCAAAGTCGCTACCTTATGTGCATCTCTGCTCTTTGCACACAATGCCACCGAAACGTTCCTCTCAAACCGGCTCGAAACGGGCCAAGAAGCCCAAGATCAAGCCGAGCGTTAGCATACTCAGTCTACCGGCTGAGTTACATTTGTTGCTCATCTCACATGTACGCTCCCCCCTTCGGTTCATGTGTTGCCACGACTGACTTCTGCGAAGCTGCCCAGCCGCAAAGATCTGAAGCGTTTATGTCTAACTTGCAAGAGCCTCTCGGCGGTCGCCACCTCAGTCCTCTACCGTCATGTGGTGCTCAAGCTCTGTCGACTTAGAACCCATCTCGAGAGAACCTTTAACGAGAAAAACGCGGGCCTTCTCCATGTGCGCCATCTAACCATTACGGACCTTCACCGGGAATACGAAGACAACCGTCATGGATGCACCTTGACGGAAGTACTCCGAGCGCTGCCAAGGGACGTTCTGCTTTCGTGCAGTCTGGAAACATCGAAGCTCGTCGGCACGGAGGTCTCTTTCATGCTGCGCATTCGACAGCGACAGCTTACCAACTGCGAGCTTCACGCCATCAAAACCGTGCCCCCAATCGACTGCATTCCGGACCGCGATGAGCTTCGCAATGTTACCTCGCTCTCGCTGTACCTAGCCAGCCGTCACGACCGCCAAAGAGCCGCAGCTGTGCTACTAGCAGCTTCGAATACGCAGAATCTTGCGCTCACTATACCAGATGACGGCTTACGAAAAATCTAGGAAGAAGCAGGCCGGCTGCTATACCAGACTGTATCGAAGTTGTATTCGCGCCATGGCTCGAAGATTCGACCGGAGGAAGGCGTCGTCTGAAGCGTCTCTTCTTCCAAGGCTTCGCATTCGCAGAATGCGCCGCACGTATTGCGACCGCCATCTCGCCACAGCACCTTACGCAGCTGGTACTATCGCAATGCTGGGACACAGAGATGCTAATTGAGAGCCTTCGCCAGACGAACCTGTCTATCGAGGTATTCATGGACGACCAGAGCAGGGGCCGTGCAAGGAAAGGGATGCTACAGGCTTTCGTGGCTTCTTTCCAGGGCCTTCGCTCGCTACGTGTCACCACAATATGCCCTGCACAAGTAGCGGGTTGCGACTGGGCAGCGATTCAGTCTCATGGTTCAACGCTTCGGACGCTCTTTCTTGACGACTTTGAATGTGAGCAGTGGCCATTCGACGCATATACTCGGGATCGCTCAGTATCATCGTTCAAAGCTCTGGTCAGTGCTTGTCCGCAGCTAAGTCAATTGGCTGTGCGAGTTCCAGAGCCAGATGAAGACCTCGACAACGAAAACACATTTGAGGAGATTCTGGCGAGATGTTTGTCGGCCTGAATGCCATATGGTACTAACAGCGGCGTAGGGATCGCTCAAGCTTCTTCGTAGCCTTACTACACTGCGCTTCATATGCTATCTGAGTGTATTGGACATGTTGGGCGAAGACGACGAAGACGTGGAGTGCAGACACGAATACCACCTGCGTGACATGCAAGCTGAGAAGCAGTGCCACAAGATTGCAAACCAGGTATTTGCAACGCTTCATGAAAGCTGTCCGCAATTGCTGGCCCTCGCCATTGATGCGCGATGCCCAGAGGCTGGAATTTGCTTTGGCAGCGACAGTGTCAATTGCAGCTTTGTGCGGGTGCTGCAGCAGGACCCGTATGGACGAAGCACCGCGGCTGCGCTGCCGTGCACCAGAGTCGAGCTGAGGCTGTACGAGCCAAAGTCCGACATTCTGGAGGATGAATTCAGGGCCTTGGGGCCGCAGTAGGTAGGCTTGAGCGAGGCATGGAGGATCGTAGAGGTTGCTGCCACAGCTCGCTTGGTCACGGAGAGATCGTGTCCCTGACGGCAGCATCTGTTGATGTCCATGGCTTTTTACATGATATATCTACAGCTATAGCAGCCAAGTCACTCAGAGCTGGAGTTGGCGGATGTAACGCGGCCAACAGCATGTTGCCCCTTTGCAAGTAACATGTTACAATCGTCATGTATTGTAGCAGCCTTGTACCTTGCCTACCCCAAGGTGCTCTGTTGAGCTTGCGCAACAAGAGGAAGCAGAATGAACGATAATCGGCAACAAGCATTGCCGTGGCTGCCATGGCTACCATGACGCTCCGCTATAGATATGCATCGCTGATTTTGTCCGAAACAATATCGTGCTCACGTTGTACCATGAGTTTCCAGGAAGCTGCTTGTCACGCCTCCCATGCATACATTGGTATCGTTACAATACGCAGCGTACTGCCTATTTCAAGCCAAAGCCCTCGCTCTCTTCGACAGCTCTCCAAAGCTTCTGCTCCAGCACCGCGCGATCCTTGTAATGCCAAAGCACCAGCATGTTGAAGCATGTTCTGGCAATGGGGAACCTCTGTTGCTCCGCCTTGCCGCCACCACCCCAGCCATCACCACCCGCCACGATTCTCAGGACCAGGCTTGTCGCGCCTACAGCCGGAATGCGATCCGTGCCGGTGATAAACGTGAGTAACTTCCGCTGCTTCGTCGGCGGCGCGTCGGCAAAGGCATTCCAGAAGTACCTAATCACTTGCTCATGGTCTTCTGGGTGTGCCATGGGAGTATGGTTGGGATGGTGAGGGTCTTTCCAGTTCTCGTAGACCGCCACCGCACGCAGCGCATCGATGTCCAGTTGCTCATCGCTGCCTCGCACTAAGAGCTCGATTTCCTCCGCGCGGAACAAAGACAGCGCATTGCCGGCGCAAACGGTGAAGAAGCCCCGCTTGAAAGGCTCGAACTGCCGTGCCACCGAAGTGTCGAGTAGATAACGTATGTAGGCATCCACAAACTCTTGCCGGTTGGCGTTGGTGACAGGCGTGCCTTCGCCGTTCGGTATCAGAGGAATGTTGACGAGAGTACCATACCGTTCCACAGGCGCCACGAAATCACGGCAGTATGTGGCTTCGACGTCGCCATCAAAGTCGAGCAGTTGCTGCAAGCCTGCGGCAAGTGAAGGGCGGAATTCAGCAAGATCAGATACGGTGTAGGTCATCTGCCCTTTGGTGCCGGTGATGGATGCCACAGTACCCGTCGTGGCCGAGGACGGCGCCGCAGAGAGCAGTTTACGGAAAGCGAAAGGTGGTAGAGCCACGTCCAGAATCGTACTGTTGTATATAGCCAGTCCAAGCAACGCACCGACGAGGTAATACTGATCTGAAGTCTCAAAAGAGTTTGGGTTGAAGTAGCAAGTGTGCGACTCGTCGTCGTACACGAACATGCCGTGGTTAGGGTCGAAGATGTCTCGGACAAGCATAAGGAACCACTCCTTTCGCGGCCCACCCGCATCAACGCCCTCTTCACCTTCGAAGTGAACTCGCAGCCCCTTCTTTAGTTCTTCGTGGCCGGCACCGACAGCCTCGCTAATCTGCCGCAGGCTGTCATCGACCATGCAGTCTCGCCTGATGCGAAGGTTAAAGTATCCATCGAGCGCTCGCTGCCGGATGACGGAGTCGAAGTACGCCTCCCGAGCTTTGATCTCCATTTGCCGTCTTGCATCGTACTCCAGAATCTTGATTTTGGCGCCCATTGAAAGGAAAAGCGGGTACTGGCAGAAGGCGAACTTGTCTCGACGCGTTTCCCAGACCTTGAAATCTGCGAGTAGATCATGGTAATCCAGCATCAGATTGTAGAATTGCGATGTGTGCATCAACTGCCCACTTCTTGCAGCCTTCGCTTGAGGCGTACTCGAGTCCAGCGCAACACCAGAGTCAACTCTAGGCGCATCATCGTCGCTTCGCTTGCCTTGCCAAATGTTGTTCGCCGCAAACAACAGAGACATCACCTTAGCAGCAGCCTTGACCTGCCAGTCATTTGCCCAATCTGTCTCGCCATCGGGTTCGTTCGTACGCTTCTTCATCGAGCCACTCAAGCCCATCGCGGAGTGAAGCTGAGCCGACGTATTGGCAGCGGATCCCGACAGGTCTGGGATCAGACCACCTGCATCAAGACCGCTCCTACTGCGTGGTCGGCCTGACCTGCGCGAGATGCGGTGCGTGACAAAGCTCGCTATGAGAGCAACCAAACTTTCGAAGCGATCTTGATCGTAGCGTGCAAACCAGCCGATGAGGTATCGATGACATGTATCTGATGAGTTGGCCAACAAGCCGAGCACACGCTTGAGGATACCGGTATGTTGGCTTCCTCCTTCACGGCCTGGTGTCTTTCTCGGCGAAAGCTGTTTCGGACTGGCCAGGCCGTCACCGTCATGCCTGCCAGAATATGCACGCATGGGCTGCATTGCGGACGCAGTGGAGACAGCGCGCAGGGGCTTCCGACTCGAAGGGTATAGTGAGGGATTAGCAAGGACTATAAGCAAAAAGCGCAGATGCTCTGGCTCCTTCAAAGGCTGCGTTGGTCGCTTGAGCACGTTCTCGGTAACTTTGAAGAGCGTTCTGATAGCGTGCTGCCGTGCCTCCTCAAAGTCCTCGTCAAGTTCCTGCGCCTCAGCAGAGTCCCCGAGGCTCGCCTTGGAGAAGGCAGGTTGCTCAGGCTTGATGGTGTCGGTCTTCGTACGCCAATCCTCACCGGCTGAGTGCACAAGATCGTACCACTTGGTCATCTCAGCCCAGTTCATGTTCGGTGAGCGGGAGGAGACAGCTTTCTTGGAGCCTTCACCAAGTTGCTTCCGTTTGGAGACCTTGTCGGAGCGCATACGATCGAGTTTGCCAACCCACCACGAGCTGTTCTCGCCAAGATCGCCAAGCAATAAGGTCTTAGCGTCGAACTCCGAAAAGCCGTCAACTGGGCTCTTCGGAGGCTGCATAACAGGCTCTTGTGGAGTTGTCTTGGTAATACTACTTTCGCTTCTGGTACGGCCTTGCATGATCGGTCGCGTGGTACTGAAGGCTGTGTTCAGCGTCTCATAGTCGCCAAACGCAGCTACCATGTAGTCCTCGAGTGGCCGGAAGATGGCCTTAATACGCTCGTACTGCTGGCGCTCCCTAAGCTCTGCCGGAGTAGGCCGTGGACTGTGTGGTGGTCTCGGTGATGGCATCCCGTTCGGTGTCAGTGCGCCATTGGGGTGCAGGCTCTGGGAGGGCGTGCGGTTCGCAAGGGTCATTGGTGGTGGTGGCGGCTTGCGGTTCGGTCTGCTGGGTAAAGGCTTCCTCGACGCCGGCGCTTGTGGTGGCCCCGGGCCATGTACGGTCGGCTGCGCCCGATTGGGAGATGGCGTATCAGTCTTGCTCATGCCATACATATCGATGCCTCGAAAGTCCGTGATAGTGGCAGTGTGCATCAGAGCAGCCTCGTCCAGACTCGGCTCGTCTGGCGGAGAAGATGAGAGTGGAGTATCCATCAGCTGCTTGCCTGACGAAGCGTCGTTGCACGGTCTCATTGACACGGGCTCTGACGTCGCCCTCTCGATCCGCGACTCGATCGCAGCATCAGCCTTTGGCGGTGGTGGTGGCGCAGGCTGCTCCTGCCGTCTGCACTTCGCTTCCAAATACGTGATCACACATCGATCAATGATCGCCTTCGTCCGCTCCACAGACAGCGGACCCTTGATACCATGTGGGAACGCACCCTGCTGCTGTCCCGCCTTCTTCGCATCTCGCTGTTCGGCCACCGGCTTCAGATCGTTGATAGTTAAGCAGACCTGGCACCGAAATTTCTCCAGCTCCTTCGGGACGCTCAGCTTACTGTCGCAACACATGCATGTCCGCGGCGTTTTGTTCTCGTCTTCTGGCTTCAACAGTTTGCCACTGATCACTCGTGTGGGTGTAGGACTAGCCGCCGCATCCAGCACCGGGACCAGGTCATCGGAATTGATTGGAACATCAGTATCGTTGAAAGCACGCAGATCCTTCGCACTTTTCTTCCGTGAAAACAGCTTCGGCAACGGATGGCTCACAGACCGGTTGTGCACATGCTGTGAGCCTCCAGCAGTCTGCGGGCGTGGCGGAGATGGGAGTGCTCTTTCACCATGCAACGTGGGCGGCGGGTCGAAGTAACCTTGTGTCGTAGGCGGCGGTATACGTGGCGACGGCTTGTCCTTGGTATTCGTGCTGCTGCCCGGTAGCAGGCGTGAGGACCATGATGGTGCCATAGCACGCGCGAGCCATGCAGTAAGACCTCCTCATGAAGCTTCCTCGACCACTTGTCACCACCGAACCCTGTCGCAGTGACTGATTGTGAGGGTCTTATGGTTCGTCGTTAGATGTCGAAGCACACGCCGATATAGGCACCTTCACTGCGCAGGCAAGGGCATCACAGCATGCGGACGAAGGAGCTTACGGAGGCCGCCAAGAAGGAAGCCAACAACTTCCAACAGTGCCTGCACTTCCGGCCGAACGAGGGGGTCGTGTGAGGAGGATGTGCAAGACGAACATTGCTGGGGATAGAGAGACAGATGGGAATACGAATACCCAAGCACCCGAAGGTGGAGAAGCCCAAGGCACCTCCACGCACGCCACAAACCCTTGGCCGCGACGCGGCGTCGATTACCTTCTAGACGAGTGTTCTAGCTTCGGACAACACTACGTGCTGCACACGCTAAAGCCTCTCACGTGGCAGCCATCTCATCAAATATGGAAATGTTAAAATATAGTGGGAGATAGCTGGTCTTGAGCCATTGTGATGCATTGACCTTGACTTGCATTTCAGCTACGCCATATAAAGTGCAACCACCAAGCCACCATATCGCGTGCAACGCAATCGAGAGCCGGTGTGTGGCATGAAGGTCCAGTGCCATTGTGAATAACAACGCCAGCACCTTAGACACCCCTCTACCTGTACCGCCACAAGCTGAGCGTATTCTGCCTCTTCCATACGTGCCTCCTGCCCGAACGGGTATTGTTGTATTTGTGGCCCTTGTTCTGGCCTCTGCTCTTCTTGCCGGTTGCCGTCAAGCCACGCATCTCGCGGTGCTTGTGCACCGGGTTGACGATCCAGTTGATGCGCGGGTCACGACGGATGGCCTTGTGCTCGGGGTCGACGAGGATGACCTCGTAGTACTTGTAAGTGCTGTCCTGGTTGATCCAGTAGCTGTTGAGGACACGCAAGTTGGCGCACCGCTTGCCAACACGCTCTTCGGCTGTGCTCTTGAGAGAGCGCTGGAACTTGAGCTGGTTGACACCCTGGTTGGTTGGCTTGCCTACGACAGTGTCAGTACATGGTGAGCCGTATGGCCGCAATGCGATAGTCCATACCGAATGTGGCACCCTTGGGCACCGGCTTCTTCCTGCCACCTCGCCTCACACGCACACGGTAGATGACATAGCCTTGCTTGGCCTTGTATCCCAGCCGGCGAGCCTTGTCCGGGCGTGATGGACGGGAAGCGCGGTGGATGACGTTCAGTTGGCGGAGCTATATTGATGTACTCTCAGCGAATGTTCAACGAGTACGATCAAGGCACAGGCTTATTTTCCCACGCAGCCAAATGATGGCCGCGGGCGCCTTATGCCGCTCATATTGGTGGGCTAGCTCATACCTCCCAGCAGCGAACACGGAGCAGGAAGCGCATGACATCGCTTTGCTTCTTCTTCGCGAGCTCCTCGAGATATTTGTGAGCACCCATCTGCGAAAAAATACAGTTAGCTTCTAGCATCAAGCGAGATGTTTGAGGAGATTGCTGAGGGCGGGTTGATGGGCAAGGCTATCGTAAACCTAACCTGGTGAGAGGTTTACCCGCAATACACATACCTTGACTGCAGTCGCACTGTCTTAGATGTTGGTGATGATGGTGTTGCTGCTCAATGCGAGCGTGTCTTTTTCGGCTTCACAAGCTGGAGATTTCGAGTGTGGCCTTGGCGTGCCGCTCACGGCGGCAGCTTCCGCACGGAAGTCGGATTCGCGCTTTCGGGGGTCGAGGCGCTTCAACAGAAACAGCAACATCGAACAATGACATCCGTCGCATTGATCCATGTCGTTCGGCGGACAGTTGATCTTGGGTGGTACATGCACTGCGTTGTCCCAGATGGTGACGTCGCACCCACATATGCATCCCAATAAGAGCTCCTCAATGATCCAGGAACAGCCTGAGGTGTTTTTACGTGTCCAGCTGCTCGCAAACAGGAGCGAGGCAGTGCTGACCCGCTTACGGCTTCCCTAAACCGATGGAGCCGCACCACGTAAACAACCTTATAGATAGTGCAGATGATCAGCAGTGGCTTGGATGGCAGTGTGAAGCTTCCGGTATGTTTCATGTCGGTGTCAGCGATGCTATGTCGTCGATCGTTACAGCCTCGATATAGGCCAAAGCCGGAGTTGCGAGGTTGTGCTTTGCATGAAAATTGGGAATCAGATACACGCACTTATATCGCCGTTAGAAGAGTAATACAAGTCTGAAGGCGTAAGACATCAAGACTTCAAACATCGTTCAGGCATATATCATGGTCTACCGTGGCAAACCAAGTGCGGGTTGCGAGAACTGTCGGCGAGCCAAGAAGCGATGTACTCTGGAACAGCCTTCGTGTGCACGATGCATGAAGCTTAGGAAAGAATGCTCAGGCTATCGGGATACGAACCAACTGCAAGTTCGGGACGAAAGCGACGCTGTGATCCGGAAAGCACAGAGAGTGAAGGCCCGACAAGCTCCACCAGCGTCGTCAACATTGTTGGAATTACCTTCAGCGACGTCTGTTGGTATCTTCACACCCGCAAGCACCAACAGTGGCTCGTCCAGCTCAAGCGACGGCAGCATCGATACCAAGCATACAGCCCGACGACCGACAGAAGATTCTACCTTGCCTCAGCGAGAGTTGTCCGGCCTAGGTGGTAGCCTTGCCCTGGTCAGTATAGGCTCCGGTATTCCCTTCGTCCTCAAACCAACACCTGACGAACTCGCCTCCACACATTTCTTCAATCAATTCGCACCTTGGGGTCATTGGGACTTTCTACGGACCTACGCTCGACAACCTCAGATGGACCTATGCCTTGCTTTGGCCACCCGAGCTTGCGGTATGGCAGCGCTGAACAACCTTGAGAAGGTCCCTCAAGGTCGGGAGTACGCGCGGTCCATGTATGTGGAAGCTTTGGTCATGGTTAATGATGCGCTGCGAGACCCAGAGCGCCGCAAGACTGATGCGAGCCTTATCGCAGTCGCATTGCTTGGCTACTACGAGACTCTCGTCTGCGACTCGCGTGAGAGTATCCAAAGTTGGAAGGCTCACATCGCGGGCGCCACCCAGCTTCTTCGGCTGCGTGGCAAGGCACAGTTCCGCACTGCAACAGGTCGAATGTTGTTCCGCGAAACGCGCGCCCAGATCCTGATACACTGCATCTGGGATGACATCGAGCCGCCTGCCTTCCTCTGGGACTGGGCGCCGGCACTTGAAGCGGAAAGCGTGGAGATGAACATAACGCACCCCGCCGACGTCCTCACAAAGATTTGCTTCGACTTCGCCTGCATCCGTGCAAAGATCGAGAGAAAACAAGTGACTGATGAAGAGGCTTTGGCGGCTTGCAACGATATCGACCTTCGCATGATACAGTGGAGCGCGGACGCCGTGACTTCATACGATGATCGATATCACTACACCGACGTCGAAGTGCCAGATCATCCCAACATATGGAATGGTTTTGTACACTCTTACGGAGGCCATCCAGGACCGGGAGTATGGAACACGCTACGTTCCATGCGCATTCTGCTTACCCGCTCACAAGAGGCCCTTTGCGCCAGATTCCCGTTCTCGGCCAGCGAACGAGCGGAGCAAAAGGCGTACTTTCGACGAGTCCGACGGCAAATGACCGACGACATCTGTGCCGCCGTGCCTTACATGCTCGGCCATAGCGGATCCGAAGCGCACAACAGACCCAGCGTGCTGATTAGTGCATACGGCGCTATCTGGCCGCTCTTCTTCGCCGGAACGTGCACGCTCGAGCGGCTGGGTGGTAAATCGTGGGACCGCTCCGCGCAGCAACTAACCACCATCGGGGCGAGCCTATCGCAGGGTGTCGGTGTGAGCTCCGCGGCCGCTGCGCAAGCTGCGTGGATACTGGGCCGACTGGACTACATCAGCGATGTGGTAGGGTTGAAGTGGGCAGTCGGTATCGCGGCGACGCTAAGGGGTGACTTTTCGATGCACTTGGACCTCCTGCCTGCCGGTGAGAGCGAGACGCCGGACCAGCCGGGATGGATTAGAAGGATACAGAAAGCGCATCGAGGGCCGCGAATACTGCTGGAGGAGGAAGGTACGGGAGTGGTGAACGAGGGGCCGATCTGGCTCGGTAGAGCTGTTGGCGAGAACGACAAGATTGGCTGACTTATGCCGAGTCTTCTCCAAATCCCCTGCTTTCTATGCTTGCGCATGCCTCTACGACATTTGTATCCAGCGCCCACTATACAGCGCACTCGTCCTCGCTCACCCTTATATCTGCGTATACCGCAAGTATGGCTTCAGCTCCCGCACATTGCCGAACTTCTTCTCGGCGTCCTCCGTGCTGACGGACGGCGGCACGATGACATCCTCGCCCACCTGCCAGTCGATCGGCGTGCTGACACCCTTGCGGTCCACCGTCTGCAAGCTGTCGATCACCCTCAGCACCTCGCTCGTATTGCGGCCGGTGCTCATCGGGTACATCATCGTCAAGCGGATCTTCTTGTTCGGGTCGATGATGAAGACAGATCGAATGGTAGCAGCGATGCCGCCTTCCCGTTCCAGCTTCTCGAGGTCAGGAGCGGAGATCATGTCGTACAGCCAAGCTACGTTGCGGTCGGCGTCGGCTATGATGGGGAATTGGAGGTTGGTCTGGGAGAGCTCATTGATGTCTTTGACCCAGCCGGAGTGAGATGAGAGGTCGTTGGAGCTCTACCAGAACCATTAGTGGGGAGTCTGGACGTAGTGAGACTGGTTGCTTACAAGACCGATCATCTGGACGTTGCGCTTCTCGAACTCATCCTTGAGCTTTGCGAATGCGCCGAGCTCGGTGGTGCCTAAACAACCATAAGCTCCAAACTTCTCTTCGAGCTATTGATTTATATACCTACAGACAGGCGTGAAGTCGGCGGGATGCGAGAAGAGGATGCCCCATTTGCCGTCCAGCCATTTGTGAAAGTCGATATCGCCTATCGTGGTCTTGGCTTGAAAGTTGGGTGCTTCCGAGCCGATTCTGATGCGTGGCTGCTCGCCTCGTGGTGTCGCGAGGAAGCGGCGGAAGATGGGCGATGCTTGTCGCGCAGCGAAGGTGGCGTGTGTGGTGGATAGGCGGGCTGTAGGATTAGATGTCCTTGCGCGGAACGCGCTGCGTGCGAAGGAGGCTGCCATGGTTGTGGGAGATGTGGTTGAGAGAGAGGGAGTGCGACACACAACAACGAGTCTCTCATACTCAACATTGATCCGAATAAAAGCTTCAAAAGCTTCGGCGGAATTGCATCATCTGGCCGCAAGGTGCCGTTTAGTGAACATGTTACCAAAGGACACGTTGGTCACGCTGATGGTCGCCGCAGTAAATGCTCATCAACCTCGCGCCTTTAGTGATTCTCATCATTAATGTCCTCGCGACAAGGTACCTTAGCTGCGCCCAAACTCACTTCCGGATAATGAGAGGCTTCCTCCCGTCGGCTCGTATGTCTTTGTGTAGGTCCGCTTACTAACAGACGCTAACCTGAGGTCTGTGCGCGTCATGAGAAGAGGTTTCGCTGTTCGCTTTGGAAGCTTAGTCCTTCTTCATACTTACCGTATGTGCTGAAACCCGCCGTTTGTTTTTGCCCGCCATGAATCCAGCTAACATGTCTTCGCAGTTGTTGGGAAGCGGCTGCTCACGAATAGCTTGCTTCAGTTCGGGCCTCTTGCATTGCACCGCGCTTGAGGCCTGGGCTCGAATCTCCTACGGGGGCTTCGCCGGCGCAATTTTTGCTGGTTCACCTACCGCTCTTTCATCAGTTGCTGGTGCTCGTGGAGCCTGGCGTTGGAGAAGGCTGCCGTCACTCACATTCAGGAAGATGAGGTGATGGATACGGTCGATCTGACGCGGTGGTGGGGCGTATAAGGTAGGTCGGAAGACCATACAGCGAAGAGCAGTCATGGAGAGGTACAAGACGTGACAACATGGCGCGGTAGACTGAAAGGGATGGACAAGGCAATGGTCACTAATGTGACGACGTATATGAGCCTGCCGTCACCGCTACGAACACGGTAGCCCTCTCCGGCTTGCCTCTAGCCCACTGGAAGGGTCATTGAAGTACTGACATCCCTCGATGACATACTGTTACGTTGACAAGACTCTGAGCAGGTCACTATGTATGGACGAGGACCTTTGTAGCTCCTCCTTGGTAGCGAGGAACACTCTCCACCATTTCTCAGGGCCGCCGCAAACGGCATTTATCATCGGAGACAGCTTCATGAGTAACCTCGAGTGTCTTTGCAAGAGCTTGGAACACAGGAGTAGAAGACCAGCAACAGCCCGGCAGCCACAGTAACACGTTCTCCATACTTGGATTACTATACACACAGTCTACAACCTCTGCTACTTCATACATTGGTCGAACCGGCTCCTCATGAATCCATTGTCACACCCGGTGGAGGAGTCAGAGCCTAGGATAGACGCTGAGATGCCGCTTCAGAGCACGACGTGTTCGAACCTTACAATGCAACGCGGACTGACATCGTACTCGCTCGAGTTGACATCGCACCCTCTTGACCCAGGCCCCGCTTTTCAACTACACTCTCAATGCATGAAGCGTAAGGCTGCAGCATCTTCCACTCTACGTATATCCGGTATTGAAGTACCCAGCTGCAGTTCAGCTTTCCGCGGTGCATTCTACATGAGTTGACACTAGGAACGCATGTAACAGCAGGCCAAATTATAGTTTGTAGTGCACAAGGCGCGAAAGGGTTGTACACTCCCATTGTCTGTCTCCAGCTCCGCTCTTCTGGTAAGTGCCAACTCATAGCACAACAGATGCATGTTGCAGTGCTTGGCCGCTCCAATGTTGTTGGGTAGATTATAGTACATGAGCGCTGCAACAACCGTTTTGCCGAAAATGGTCTGGGATCGCTTTGATTAAGGTCAGTCTAGTCAATCGCTGCCGGTCACCGTCATCTTTCCAGCTCTAAGGACTGAGCCTGTGACTTCGTGATGAAGCTGCGCGATATTTCTTGCTCGAATGCTCCTTGAAAGAATCAATCTCAACCGGATAGCGCACGGCCGAGGCGGTCCGATAACCACGGCATTGTATCAACACTCAGCGGGCTGCAAGGCCTCGGATCTGTACAATCGAGTACCCAACGGAGTATTCCCCTTTGCGACAACGCCCGCAGGCCGCGTCATCTCCTTTATATGGCCCAAAGAATGCTATGTCGCGTGGCCACGGACGGATCGTTGAGCTTGGATGACACTGCATAAGCGCGCATCGCCAAGAGAGCCAAGTCGTGGCCAAGCTTTGACCTGGATTTAGCCATTGCCGTTGGTCAGATCTAGCGAAACCTTAGACTATCGATCTCCTGGACCACCAGTGTCCCCTAATCTGATGAGCACAAATTGAAGGCGTGTGCGTGGCCTGGAGGGGGCTGCGACATGGCTACCTGCCTTCCTTGCATGAATGTACGTTGCCGGGATGCCGCGCATGCACGCCTGTCCTTTCCGTGAAGTGGTGACGCGACGCTCTTTCTTGGTCGTATGCATGCCAAGTTGATTGCGCTTGTAGTTGCCGTTCGTCCTCTCATGCAAGTTGCCAAGAGGCATGATGAATAGACATTGTTGACTGCTGTGATCCAGCCAGCCAGCACAACACCTCCTGCAAACGTTACCACCCCTGGCCACATCGCAGCTCGCCAACCGCAAACATGGCCTTCCAACCATACACGCCGAAGCCGGTCACTGACATCTTCACCTCCGCAGACACCGACATCAACCGGCGGGAATGTCGGCGGACGGTGCCCATGCGGGTGCTCGCACTTGGTCTTGGTCGCACCGGCACTGCTTCGCTTCGAACCGCACTGAAAGAACTGGGCTTCGCCGACTGCTACCACATGTTGTCCGCCTCCGTGGAGAATCCACCCGACAACCTTATGTGGTCGGATGCTCTGGCTGCCAAATACGACGGACTCGGCACCTTCGGTCGCGAGCAATGGGATCAACTCTTCGGCCACTGTCAGGCCATTTGTGACTGGCCGTGCGTGGCGTTTGCAAAGGAACTCATCGAGGCGTATCCTGAAGCCAAAGTCATTCTCACCACGCGGGACGTGGACAGCTGGCACGCCAGCACGATGAAGACAGTGCACTGGCGTGCTACGGAGCCGGAGCTCAAGCTTGTGGCACAGTTTGACTGGGCGGCGAGCATGTACCAGCCCATGCTGTCGAGTACGTTGCACCTTCGCAGTGTTGAGTAGTGGACTAACAATTACAACAGAGTTCTGGACGTGCTTTTGGGACGGCAACTTTGAGAAGAATGGCAAACGGCGCTTTGTCGAGCACTACGACGAAGTCCGCTCTCTGGTCCCCGAGGAGAACCTGCTCGAATACAAGATAGGCGAAGGCTGGAAACCGCTTTGCGACTTTCTAGAGGTCCCAGTACCGGAAGGCAAGAAGTTCCCGCGCACTAATGACACAGATGGCTTTGTCGCGCGGTGTCGGAGGCGCAACAGAATGCAAATGATGAATGTCCTTTTCCGCGTCAGTATTCTAGGCGGCGGCTTGGCGGCCATCATGTTCAGCACCACCATGACATGGAGACGATTGTTCGGCAGAAGGTAGCAGTCTTGCACACCGTCGCCTCTTGACCACCGTGAGGGATGCGGTACGGAATCCATCCAACACTCTGGTACCGGTCTTGCGCTGTCCCAAGCGCAGGTGTGATCGGTTTGCCACCGCAAACACGGAAGAGCGCATAAATGGTCCGATACGACTTGTACTGACGATAGATCTTCGAATGTTGAGGAGAGCGGTATAAATTTATGCCTACAGAAGCCAAGTGCTAGGAATGTGAAGCATGCCTATGATGTGTCGCGGAGACAGCAGTGTCATTTACCGGAAGTTGACCGACGCAAGCGATGCCACTTCTAACAACAAGCATTGAGCAGTTGCTCTCTTTGTGAAGACGAAGATAACAGGATGCGGTCATCAAGCTTCGTGCTGGAGCGATGTACCGTCTTAAGTGGAGCGAATAGCGGATGTTGGAGTGTATGACCAGACGAGGCAGGTAGTAGCATAACATGGTGTATTCGACTACAGCACACCACGTTATCGAACTCTACTCCACAGCCTGCCACTGGATCTGACGACGACGTTGCACCTCGCCACTCTAGAGCTCTGCCTTCAAGGCGCCAGGGACTGCTCCCGGTGCTAAGATTCTGCACTCATCTCCGTGGAGCCACCCATCCTCATGGAAGCAACGACCGAGTATGATGCCAATGATGAACTCAACAAAATACTTCTGCTTAGAGTCGGGTACGATGTCTAGCTACGAGGCTGGCTGCTCAAGCAAGGGATCTCGGCGTACGGTTCGCCATGCCCCTTGGTTCGTTCCCATATGGCTAGCCTAGCCATTTGGTATGCGGCGTAGGCTCGCACCACGGGCCCCTCGAGCCAGGGTACAGTGCATAGCCGCTTGCTCCAGTGTCTTCTTCGATATGCTTGTATCGCGGTGAGCGTATCGCTTTTGTGTTGACTGTCTCGCTCGTTTTCTTACTGTGAGTGGCGCAATGTAACCATGGGTGGCTTGCATTTGTAAGCTCTTGATGGTACAGCCGCACTTATTTTCCATGGAGTTCCGTCCTAGAACCAAATCATACGCTTGGATGGTGCGGATATTGATCGTCAGTCTGTTGTTGCTCACACGGAGAGTGAATGCACAACTCAACAACTTGACGTCGCCTACCCATCGATTCAGAACGGTACAGGTCTGATGCGACCTTCACTCGTTTCGCCTAGTGCAACTAGCACTGACACGTTCCCGCAGAGGCCAGACATCTATCCACCCTTCATCGACCTTACGATCTTGAGACCGGAGCTAGTAGAGCCAGGGTACATATTCCTGGCACCGTACCGTAATCTCGCTCCTGGACCATATATCTACGACAACTGGGGAGAGCTCGTGTACTCTGGTGGTGGGCAAGGCGGCCCAAAGACCGCCCATGCACCGAAAGTATGCCAGTACAGAGGCAAGGACCATATATGCTACTTCGAGGGCGAACAGCACCAGGGTTTTGCACGAGGCCACGGAGTTATCATGGACAAGCACTATCAAGTTACCAAGCAAATCCGCAGCGCTGGCGCCGGAGCCAGTGCAGATATGCATGAATTCAATGTAACGCCTTACTCCAATGGCACCACGGTACTCCTGACGGTCTACCAGCCACGGCAATACGACCTTACGACGAATCCTAGATTTAACATGCAGGGAGGATTAGGTTGGGTTGTTGAGGGTGTCTTTCAGGAGGTCGAGATCGAGACCGGCGGGCTTCTCTTTGAGTGGCGGTCGCTAGATCATGTCGATCCAGGCCTCAGTTGGACCATGCCTGGGAGCACCGATACCAGTGGGAACGGCCTGCATGAGCAGACACCATGGGATTACTTCCACCTGAACAGCATCGACAAGAATGCTGAAGGTGACTTTCTCTTGTCTGCTCGGCATGTAAGCGCAGTCTACAAGATATCTGGCACCGACGGTCACATCATGTGGCAAATGGGTGGCAATGCAGCTACGATACACACCACTGACTTCGTGTTTTCCTACCAACACGATGCTCGGTGGAAGTCGGAAAACGAGACGCATACAGTGTTGTCCTTTTTCGACAATGGCACCAACAACTACAACCGGACAGCACCGTTCTCTCACGGTCGAATAGTAGCAATTGACCATATCACTAACACTGCAACACTTATCAAGGAATGGGGGGCGCCAGGGCCGGATGGTGGGTTGCTGTCTGGTTCGCAAGGAAGCATGCAGCTCCTCCCAGGTGGAGGGTGTCACATCGGCTGGGGTGAGCATGCCTACTTCTCCGAGCACTTGGAAGATGGCAATGCGGTCATGTACGGCAAGCTCGCAATGCGTGCCTCGAACGTCATGCTGTACCGATCATACAAGTTCAATTGGACCGGCGAGCCGTTAACAAACCCTGACGTCTGGACGTACAGCAAGAACGGCGAGCGGATGGTTTTCTTCGTCTCCTGGAACGGTGCAACCGAAGTGAGAAGCTGGAACTTCTACACATCGACCTGTGCCAATGGGCCGTGGTCTTTCGTGGGGAATGGTAGGAAGACGGGTTTCGAGACAGAGTTCCATATGCCTGCTGCTGCAGATTGGGCTTACGCCGAAGCTGTCAATGGTACGGGCCACGTGCTGAAGCAAAGCGGCATTGTACGCACCCTGCGTGCTCCGGCAACAACGCTCGACGCTTGCGATGACCGTGGGTGCGCGGGCGGGCGATTTACCTCAAAAGACCAACATTACTATTATGAGTGGGCTGCTGAGGTGCCTCCAGATCAGCTGTCATCGAACAGAGGCTATAACACGTCGCACTACTATGCGGAGGGTTCCCAAAATGGCAACGTTCCCACACCGGATGGTAGGCCTCGCGAACAGAAGCAGCGCAGTGAGGTCGAGTTGATCATCCTCGGCGCCGTAATGGGCAGCCTGACTTGTTTCGGCATCATGATGCTTGCGTTCTTCACCTACCTTAACGGCGCGCTGACCACGGCTGGGTCCATTGCTCGATGGAAAAGAAGTTGCATAGACAACCTTTCGCTCTCCTATCGGGCGAGTCGCTATCGACTGAATGGCTGGATGGGGTTTTCCCGCTTGCGTGACAGAGACAAAGAGTCCGAGCCAGAGGAGCATGCTTCGAGCAGCTCGGATGAGACTGAGTTGAGTCAGGAGATCCCACATTAGCGTTGCTTAAACTCTATCCTGAGTGTATAATGGTGTACAGCTTTTGGCAGCTTGTATTCGCTCTGATGCTGCTGCTTATGTCCTTGTACTGCGAACATGACACAATCTGTTGCAAATGCAGGTCTCATGGCTTCCGGTCTGTAACAGCCGTACAAACTCGCTCCGATATGCCAAGCTCCATGGACTGACTTGGCACCTTGGCGACGTTTCGCCTTGCTGCAGCCATTGAGCAAGTCGGAGTCTGTCCGCCTTGGCTGCAGTAGTGGTATCTGCGATGCATCCCTGTCCCACGCGACTGCAGATGCTCTGTCCTGAAGTCATTCCTGTCGGTCGTACGAAGACAAGTCCGATGACTGTGACTGCCAGCCAGGCGCTGCGCGTCTGCCAACGACCACAGGCCAGGGTTCGGAGCAGAGGGGCCGCTCCCGGCACAATGCGTACGTTGCCGACTTTCCCGCCGCGTCGTTTGCAGATTGGTAGCAGTCCACGCAATCCCTGTCACGCGACCTTGTGCTGAAGTGGAAGCAGCGGCTCTACGGATGGCAATGCTTGCTCAGGTGCGCAATCATGCTGCACGGCAGTAGCATGCAACGTCACCCTGCCTCGATGCTTGTGTGGCAGGATCTTGCATACGCATCGCATTTGCTGTGGCTCAGCCAAACGTATGCAGGGTCTCTAGAAGTCACCTCTCCTTACCATGATGGCACATCAACGACAACCATCCAAACTTCGCAATCGTCATGGCTCAGCGAATATCAAGCTGGATGATTTCGCCTTGACAACACCAGCCGTGCGGCAAGACAGATCTGGCGCTAGTCCGGCATACACGGACGAACTACCAAATTGGCCAACGCGTCTCAGCTCCAAGAAAGCCGACTGGCCGCCTGCGATAGACGAGAATGGTGCTGCGCAGAACCCGGATCCTCTCTCTCCATCTCGCATCTTTCGATCAACTCTAACGGATGCCAATCTCCCGCCAAACGCGCCCAACCAACCGTCAAACGTAGGCATCGCCAACCCTGAGCTTCGCATGCCTGAGCAGCTGGTAGCCACACCTCCCGATGGTCCGCCGACATGGTCTAACCTGCCCAACAAAGGCCAATTGGCCATACTTGCCTGTTCCCGTTTCGTCGACTTTTTCCAGATGGCAGCTTTGCAGACATTCATGGTGCATCAGCTGAAGTCATTCGACCCCAGCCTTCCAGATGCCACCATCTCGCACCAAGCCGGGTGGCTGCAAGGTGCTTTCACTATGGCCCAGATCTTCACGTCCATCCTGTGGGGTCGCGCGGCTGATCAACCCACCATTGGCAGGAAGCTTGTCCTCAACATCGGCTTGGTCGGCACTGGTATAGGCTGTATCGGCGTGGCTTTCAGCACATCCTACGCTCAAGCAATGTTCTGGAGACTTATGACTGGGGCTATCAACGGGACTGTTGGCTCCGCAAGAACAATGGTTGCAGAGATCACACCAAAGCCATGGCATCCGCGAGCTTTCTTGCTATTGCCTGCTGCGTTTAATGTGGCGAATGTTCTGGGACCTATACTGGCCGGTCTTCTTGTCGATCCAGTGGGCAGCTTCCCGCATCTCTTCGGCCCCGGCAGTGGGTTCGGAGGCGCCACGGGCGTCCGCTGGCTAGTAGCGTATCCGTACGCTTTGGCCAACCTATTGTGTTCAGTACTGCTGTTCGTCGAAGCTCTGCTCGTGCACTATGCACTTGACGAAACGCTGAAGACCCATAGACCACTTCAGGTATCAGAGTGGAATCCTGTACGAGTCATGCGACACGCGTACGAATCCATGGTAGAGGCAAAGAACCGAGGCTACAGATTGATCCAAGATGCGCAGCGCCAAAGCCTCCTATCTGACCATGACACGTCGTCCACGGAGATGGATGGCCTAGGCCCCACGGACGCCAAGTTGGAGCCACGTTCGCCGCAGACTTTACCATTTCGACGAATATGGACAACTAACGTGCTTTGGACACTTGCAACAATTGCAATCTTTGACTTTCACATGGGCGCCTTCGCCAATCTTTGGATACTGTTCCTCGCTACACCTAGAGAGTTCGTCCACGGAGTACCTGATGATAGCCAGACCGCGTCAAACGCGGCCGCTGTTTCAATGAAAGACAAGCATATAGCGCCGCGTGGTGCTTTCAAGTTCTCCTCTGGCCTTGCCTTTCCGCCACCAACAATAGGCTTTGCCATGGCCATCATAGGGATCATTGGCGTGGCATTGCAGTTTCTGCTATACCCCTGGGCCAACTCGCGATTCGGACTAATGCGGTGCTTTCGAGGTTCGCTCTTCCTGTTTCCCGCAGCTTACTACCTCGCACCCTACATAGCCTTGTTGCCCTCAGCCACATCGCCACCCGGTCCGGCAAGCGGCTGGACTGTCTGGCTAGGCATTAGCTTCGTGCTCTTCCTACAGGTGGCAGCGCGCACCTTCGCGTTACCAGCTTCGATCATCTTACTGAACAACAGTACACCTCACCCTAGCGTCCTTGCTACGATTCACGGCATTGGGCAGGCGTGCTCGGCTACGTTTCGCACTGTAGGGCCGATCCTTGCTGGCTACTGGTACGGCATCTGGACTGAGCGTGGCGTAATAGGCATGTCGTGGTGGATCGTAGCTAGTATTGCAGCGCTTGGTTGCGTGGCTAGCTTCTGGGTACGCAATGGGTCGGGTCACGAAATCTTTCTGCCGGGCGAGGAGCAAGAGATGAAAGAGGCGGAGACCGGCGGCGGTAGTGGGGACAGCAGGTAGCTTCCTATTACGATTCCCCAAGATTCTCCGTTCATTTCGAAGTGTATAGGTGGTCTTGTGAGTCTTTTCGACTTGAGTAGCAGTGGTGAGCGTTTGGAAAGCCATCTCGGTAGACCGACGGGCAGTAGTGGTGTATCAGCTACAACAATCACTCCGGCTCAATTCGTACCGCCTCGTTGTTGCGGTACCTGTATGCATGTCTCAGATGGGCTGCATGGGGCGGGTAAGGTCCACTGCCGAATGGTCGGGTTCCTGACAACGTGATGTCGGTGGCGTCCGGCGCTTCAGGTCACGAGGTCGCGTCAGAAGTCAGAAGTTCACGCTACCGTTATGGGTGCATATCGGCGGCGTGTGCACTGCCCGGCCGTTGAACAGACAGTCCGCCGAACAATTCGTCAATACCTGCTCTCTGCAGGCAATCAATCATGCCCATAACTGTGGTGAATACAGTATCTATAGCCCCGATACGGTAGCGACGGGATTTGCCGGTTCGCTTCGCTGCCTGACACCAACAACTCCAGCAGCAGCGAAACGGTGGTATAGACACCGCACAAGCTCGGGATGAGCGGCGACATAAGCCTTGGTGGGCTGCGCATAGCGAACCCGGACGATGAAGAGGCGGCGATTGTGGCACCGACGTCACCCACGAGACCGAGCATGCCAATGGGCCGGTCACCACCCGCACCCAGCTCGCGATCTTCCAACAGCACGGTGATGCCTGGCTTGGTAGCGGAAGAACGGGATGCGGTGAGGGAGGAAGAGGGCGGTGGTTTCAGGTTTGATCCGGCAACGTACAACCTACAGAATGCCGATGGCACAACAGACTCTGCGCAACCACCCGCATCACCGAGCAGACGGCAAGAGCAGTCCAATAGGTCTTGGGGTGTGCCATCCATGCAGAGCATGCCGCTGGGACACCAGGCTCAGCAAGCCATGCAATATGCGTCGTACTCTCCCAGTCATGCCACACCACCAATGCGCAGGCCGAGCAATCAGAGCACCTCCGTGCGACCCGTGAGCGGCATGTATGCCCAATCCAACATCTCCGGGAGCTCCGGAATGTCAAGCCAGGGGTCCTACAGGTACAGGGATGAAATGGCAGCATCTTCGGACAGTAGTTCTGTAGGGCTGGCACGGAGCGGGTCAAAATCAGCGCGAGGCATCATGAGTGCGACAGTGGTCCGAGAGCCAAGTAGGTCATACAGGCAAAGTGGCCAGCAGATGAACGGTGGGAACGGGCCTTTGCCGCCGAGGCGGAATTCGAAACGTGTAAGAGCACCGGTGGCTGCGCCCAATGGCGGAGTAGAAGGAGCAGAAGCACCGTATATTGGCGGTGCGCCGATGCCGAAGACCGCAGAGGAGTGGCAGGACCGAGGCGCCTCCGTGATCAGGCAGCAGGAGGTCGACTCGTCAGGACAGACAGTCACCCGGACGGTGAAGAAGGGCGTCAAAGACTTCAACTTCGGACGGACGCTAGGCGAAGGCTCTTACTCTACGGTTCTCGCGGCTACAGATCGACAGACGCTAAAAGAGTATGCCATCAAAGTGTTGGACAAGCGGCACATCATCAAAGAGAAAAAAGTCAAGTATGTGAACATAGAGCGCGATACATTAAACAGATTAACCGAGCATCCGGGCATTGTGCGACTATACTATACATTCCAGGACGAGCGATCGCTGTACTTTGTCTTGGATCTGGCGTCTAGCGGTGAACTATTGGGTGTGTTGAAGAAGATGGGCTCATTCGATATGGAGTGTGCGCGATTCTACGGCGCCGAAATATTGGATAGCGTGGCGTATATGCACAGCAGAGGCGTCATACATCGTGACCTGAAGCCAGAGAACGTGCTGCTAGACAAGGACATGCACGTCAAGATCACGGACTTTGGGACGGCGAAGATATTGCCAGAGCCCAGGGTGGGTGGAGCAGGCAGTCAAGAAGCACCTGGTGACCCGACAGACGGCGCAGAGACGGATCGAGCAGTGTCCTTTGTTGGAACAGCGGAGTACGTAAGCCCGGAATTACTGCGCGACAAGAATGCATGCAAAGCCTCGGATCTCTGGGCATTTGGCTGCATCATCTATCAACTACTGGCCGGCCGACCACCATTCAAAGCAGCGAACGAGTATCTCACCTTCCAGAAGATCCTTGCATTGGACTATACCTTCCCAGACGCCTTTCCGGAAGTGGCGCGAGATCTCATCGAACGTCTACTTGTATTGGAGCCGGCGAACAGATTACCGATCGAGCATATCCGCAACCACCGGTTCTTCGACGGCGTGCAATGGGGCAAGGGCTTATGGCGGCAGAAGGCACCGCGACTGAAGGCATATGCTGCACCGCCTGCTGAGCCTATCAAGCTTAATGTGCCAAACCAAAAGATTGCGTCTGCGGGAGCCGCGGCAGCGATGAATATGGCGGCCACGCAGATGGCTTCGCCTCCGAGCAATGGCCGGCCGCAGTTACGAGGCGTCACCGAGCTTCCGCCGCCAAGCCAGCTGGACATCGACTGGAGTCCTGTGTTGACGAGGAGTAACGAGCGGATACTCAAGCTCGGCAACCTCATCGTCTACACCGGCCCGGCAGGGCAAAGCAACGGTGCAGAGCCTGGAACACCGTCCGATAAGCCGAAGTTTAGATCCATCTTCGGTGGCAGTGCGCAGAAGAAACGAGAGCGGCTTGTGCTCATCACGAGCTGTGCGCGCTTGGTCGTCGTTGCGGCAGGCGGCAACGAGAAGAAGGCGAAGATGGAGTTGAATCTGCTCGCTAGCGGGACGTCATGGAAGAGCTTTACTGACGCCAAGGGCTTGACGGCTTGGCAGCTCGATACTGTAAGCAATAACCACAAATAACCCGCGCCATGAGCACTCCTACTAACCTACTTGCAGCGCGAAAAACACCTAACCTTCGAAGACCCGCGCGCCACCACCTCCGACCCGGCCGGCAGCAAATACAGCACTCAAGAATGGATCGAAGCGGTCGAGCAAGCGCGCGAACTCGCCGTTGCGCAGTCGATGGCAGTAAGCTTTACTTACTCCGGCGACTCGCTAATGAACAATCTGGAGCCCATCATCAGCGGTAGCCCGGCAGGGTCACAGGGCAGCGATTACCAAGGAGCGATGCCCGGACCAAACGTGGAGAGACATGCGCTGCGGCAGACGCTGCGGAAACAGAACACGGACGACTCCGACACATTCAAGGGCCGGAAGAGGTTCTCAAAGCGGCATTCGAAGAGTGGGCTTGCGGCTGTCTTCTAACATTGCAAATTTGAGTCTTCACACAGCATTTCGAATTCGGCACAGTCACTATAGCCATCCTTACGACGTTACGACAACTCTACGCAGCGGATTTAATCATCTTTCTTGACGATCTTGAGCGGCGCCCGCAGCATACAGCCGAAAAATCTTTTCTTAAGCGTCTGGGTGGGTCTGTCGGTAGCGGAGCTCAGCAGGCAGGCGTTCTAACTGGCTCACTTTCTTGTGTATTTGGTGCACTGAGTGGATGATGGAAGGCATGTCCTGGTCGGCAGAAGAAGCATTCGTGATGTCGTTGAGTGGTGGCGGTACAGAGCTTACTCCATGGCGGCGAATTCGGTCGACTGTTGGAGCGTGATACCGTACGTGAGGGTAAAAATACATGGGACAAGCTAAACGCATACTGTAGCTTGGCGTATCGATATCCTGCCGCCTCACTGTTTCAATATTCTCATCAGTCCGTTCACCCCTGTCACGATGCGGCTCTTAAGACTGGGTTCGGACGTTACACTAATCACGGAACGCTGATGCAAGGCAGATGCGCTTGATGCGGCTCTATTCGAACCTCAAATCTCCCACTACACTGGCTCGCACACCCTTCGCATGCAGAAATTGACGTGCAAAAGCGTAGTTCGAGCACCACTCTACGTCCTGCATAACTTGGCGCAAGTGATAGCTTCGTCTAGCACATTGCAATAATCATCTCCAGCCAGAAAAACGCCTCCGTTGCATTACGGCGCGTCGCACGTGCCTGTACCTGTATTCGCTGTCGCTATGCAATCATATACACAGATAAGCCCAGAGGGGCGGCTTTCTAGTCTTTACAAGGCACCAACAATAGCCATCATCATCACCATGAAACCGCCAGCCACCACGGCGCCCTTCTCCGCGCTCGCTGCCGAGGCCGCAGAAGTCGCCGAAGCAGCGGCTCCCGATGCCGAGGAGGCCGCGCCTGCAGCGGCGGAGCTAGCCGGGGACGAAGCAGTGGCGGAGCCACTTCGGCTCGCACTCGCGCTGCCGCTTGCACTGCCGCTGCCACTGCTGCGAGGAGCACCGCTCGAAGACCCGCTGGGCGAACCGGACCTGGAGCTGGCTGAGGACTGCGACACGGAGGGGACGTTCACCGCGGCGCCGATGGTTGGGAGCGGGACGTTACCGGAGACCATCCAGAGGTTGCTGGTGTATGACGGGCATTCCGGGGCGGAGTTGGTGGGCGTGTAGGCGCTCATCGAGACACCCGTCGGGTTGAGAGTGGCCCACTGGCTGGAAAGGTTGGGGAAGTCTGGAGAGATCGGCGTCGGGGTGCCGGTGCGAGTGTAACCGGCCACGACGCCGGAGCCTACGGGACCGCTGGTTGGGGCAGGCGCGCCGTACGAGATCAAGCCGTAGTCGTTGGTCTCCTCAATCCACTCGTAGATCATGGCGCCGGACCACGTGTCATCCATATCCGGACCGAGAATGGCCGCCTGATCGCCGAAAGTGCGTGGCTTGATGGTGTTGCAGCCCGTCTCGGAAAACCAAATGGGGATGCTGTAGTCTGTCGCGTTCATTTCGAGTTGCGAGTAGCCGGAGCCCATGAAGGTGTTTTGACCGCACCATTCATATGCGTTCAACGAGAAGAAGTCCAAAGCTTGGGAGGCATTCCCGCCACAGGCCAGATAGTTTTGGAGGTTTGGTCGGAGGTCTGGGATGTCGGAAGCAGAGTAGCCAATGGGGATGTTGCGGTAGCCCTTGCTGCTGCGGTACGCCTTCATGTCGGCGGCGGCGGCCTTGACATAAGGAGCAGCAGGGCTGTTGGAGCCAGAGTTAAGCACCTCGTTACCTACGAAAAAGCCGGCGACGTTGTCGTAGCCGTGGAAAGCATCCATGACTTGGGCATAGGCTTGGTACGCGTAAGTGGTCCAGTTAGGGCTGATGGGGTTGATGTACGTGGTGAATGTGTCAAGATCAATGAAAGCGTAGATGCCGGCGTTGGAGAAGCTTTGCATGCAGCTGTCGTGATTCGCCGTCGGGTCGACATGGTAGACACGGATGGCGTTGGCGCCCAGTGTCTGCATCAGAGAGGCGTCCAGAGCACATTGTGTACCATCCGCGAGCGGGTCGGCGTCTGTAAGCTGGTAGGCGACGCCTTCATCCTCGCGTTAGTGGGAGCTATCACGTTGCCGATGGCGAATACAACACTCACCCTTGATGTACCATTGATTGCCATTGCTGGTAAAGAACTTGGAACCTTTGGTGGAGATTGTTGGGATGGCAGCCGCCACCCCAAGTAACGCGGCGACAGTGAACCCGAGCATTGCAGCCGACAGTATGAATAACAATCACCAAAGGCTATCTACTACACACGAAGAGTAAGGCGTAGTGTGTTTGTCCACGAGGTTGGGACGTTAACGAAAGGAAGAACCTCAGTGAAGTTTAGTGGGAGATTGCTCGAGCAAGCGCAGTGTAAGGGAAGGTAATAATAAAAGTAGGTGGCTGCTGCATCTCGGACTCCCGCCAACCGCTAGTGCATGTATCCGATGGGACAGGGACCCCTGCAACATGCAAGTGAAACGCAGCCGCCACCACTACAACGGAGGAATACATACATGTAGCTCCGCCGGGCGGGTCTTCAATGGCTTGAATGCGTGGATGCGGTCATACCTGTGGCCCAGCAACACTGCTACTACTCTAACCGATGCCCACTGCAACTGAAGGTCAGCTATTACCCGCAGACTAACATTCATCAAATATCCAACATCGATACGAGACAAGCCACAGTTGCTCAGCACGGACATCAAAACATCATACAATACGAACGCCAAGCCTGTCGCCGTTTGAGTTCGCATCAAAGGACGTTGATACAGTCGGGACAGCACGAGCAGCCAATCAACGCAGTGATGCGGCTAGGAACTCGCGGCCGCGCTTCTAGGCACAGAATCCACAATAGACTCCAACGCCATCATGTACGGCATGCATTCGAGAGCCCCAGCTTACGCAATCCTCCAACCATAGAATCTGGCCCAGAGCGAGGACCAATGTGAACAACATAGTGTCGCCTCTTACAGCAATATAATGTGCTGCCGCCATCTGAGCGCACGCTCGGCAGCGTTTCAATTGCGACCCGCGGCCAGTATGTCTTGGCATATGCCCAGCTTCTTGGAGCGAGCGTTGCCAAGGTTGATCTTACTACTGTAGTCACGGCACCCAACGACACAACAGGTACATAAACACTGCCTCCTCCATATATTGCCGTCATGGTAGATGAGGCATACTGTCTGACGCTTGCTGCATGTCGCTTCGCTGGCATAGAGTGAAAAGACTTGCTGCAGGTATCTAAATCCTTGTCTTCCGCAATTGGGTTGGCGAATCAAAACCCTTCCACTTCACCTGATTCTCAAGACAGCACCTCTACTTCTATAGCTAACGAGCAAATCCGCGTTCCTGTCGCTCCTAAGCACGAGCATCCCTACCCACTGATCACTACGTATCCCCAGTACCATCACCGTCATCCCGTCCCCCTTCACGCTCACGCTTCTGCTCCCGCTCCCGTCTCGCCTTCCATCGCCTAATCCACGCTTTCTCCCTCCGATGCTCAGTAGTCATACTCACCGGCAACGCCCGCACACCCTCTTCAGCCTCACTATGGCGACGACGGTAATACTCCCTTTTGCGGCTACGATGGCGCTCTGGGCCGGGTGGGAGTAAGCGGTAGTCCTCGCCCACCCCCGCCGTCTTCACGACTGAACATTTTTTACGTCGAGAAGATGGCGATGCCGCTGTCGCTGTGGCTAAAGTTATCTGAATTTGCGGCGACGTGGACTCTGCCACCAACCCTGGACTCTCTTCACCTTTCTCCACTGCCTCTCCTTCGTCATCATCTCCCTCTTCTGCCTCCTCCACTCCCTCCTCCTCCTTCTTCTCCTCTTCCTCTCCAAGCGTGTCTCTCGAAGGCGGCGTGAGGATACTCCATGCCGCCGCATTCCCATGAAGTGACAGTAGCGAAGATCCTACATTGTTCCCAGCGGCAGGGACTGCATGTTCGCCCCTCTGCGCCGAACTGTAGGCAGTGACAGCACGGACGAACGCGACATCAGCCTCACTCCAAGTTCCGAAAGCGTGGCGATTGCGCCAGTACGCAGAAATGGCCGTGACGAGAGCATACTCGGCCTCGTCCATCGCGAATTGGTGCAAGCGTTACGTTCATAGTTGAGCATGTCGCGTTAATATCTCTATGAAGCGGTGTCCAAATCGCACAAGATCTCGTCAATAATATGCAAGTTGTTTGCCATCGGCTGCCTAGTTTGGCCAGATCGATCGTGTCGGCTACGCAGAGGAGTTCGAATTTCTCCGCAGACGAAAGCAGCAAGCTCACAGGACCGTTCCACAGCCACTGCATCCCGATACGTTTCCCAACAGGCCACCGCACTTCACGCCGGCTTCGTGCCATTGTAACAGATCGCCGAACACCTTCGCCCTCGCATGAACCTCTCGCATGACCAGTCGCGCAAACCCGAAGACGGACCTCATCACCTCGCCGCCGCCCCCGCCGTACTCCCCCCATTCCTCGCCAAAAACAACCCAGCACTCTCCCTCGCCAACCTGGACCCCCACAGCCCCTCCTCCCCACCCCTCCTCCACTCCTCTCCATCCTCCACCCTCCCCTCCTCCGCCAGAATAACTTCCAGATCCCGCTGCTGGCTGCCCACCCACCTCTTCACAAACCCCGCCGGATCCTTGGCCAAATTCTCGTAAAACTTCCTCTTCCCATTCGTTTGGTGCAGTTTTTGCACGAGTAACGCGAGATCATCGTCGACCTTGACGATGGTTTGGAGAGTGCTGAGGTGGGATTTGGAGGTGTGGAAGCGCGTGAGTTGTTGCGTTAGGGTGTTGGGGAGCGGGACGCGGATGTCGTAGACAGTGGGTGCGCATGGGGGTGCGCCGTCGGAACCTTGGATGTAGGATTTGTCGACGCGGATGGTGTAGGCGAGCTTGATGGGTGGTAGGGGGTGCAGGTGCTGCATGAGGTATTCGGGCACGTAGGGGAATTGGAAGCTGTCGCGGTTGAAGAGCTGTGCGTACACGTGGTCAGTAAGGACGCAACGACCACGCAGGAGAGACAGCACTCGGTACCTTCCGCAGCGGCTCGTCGCATACGACGTTCCTCTTCTCTTCATCCTCCTGCAAACCCATAGCTCGACAATACTCCCAAATGCCCTGCACAGCGCCCGCGCGGTCTTCCTCCTCCGTGTCTAGAATCTCCGCCAATTGTGGGCTTAATCTATAGCGCTCCATCTTCTCATCCCGAACCAGATTAATCGTGACGTTGATATTCTCGTCGCTCTTGCGCTCGAACTCCAGCGTGTCAAAGCTGACCTCGCTGCTATTCGGATCGAATGTCGCATTCTGCGGGCCCGGCTGCGGTTTGCGCCATTCGATTCCACTATAACCATCCGGCTGCAGCGCGGGGTTACGCGAGAAGTCGATGGTGATGGCTTTGAAGAAGTTGCTGAAGCGTGGTCTTTGCGCGGCCTTCTGTGGCGTCGTCCTCTCCTTCTCATCCGCCTCACCGTCCTTCTCTGTCTCCTTCTCCTTCTCCTTCTCATCCTCCTGCTCGCTAGGCTCGTCCAGCAGGCGTCCTTCAATCTTCACACGAAAAGTCGCCCGACTCTCTTCCCCAAAGTCAAACGACCCCAGGTCGCCCATGCCACCTTCATCCACCACTTGCCACGGCTGTCCATCCGCGGTATTGCTTATCCACACCCTCATCACGCCTTCCCTTCTCGTGTACCGCCGCTGCAGGTTGTCACTAATATCCAATCTCTTGCGCACCATGACCGCATCCAGCTTACGCTCGACGTCGCGCAGCTGCTGATAGCGCTGCACGCCATCGCCTACAATAACCGAGGCAAGTTCTTCGGGAATGTCGCGGTCGGTCGGTTTCTTGGACTGGCGACGCGCAAGGTCTTGGCGGCGGAGTTCTTCGAGCCGCTGAGCCTGGATCTGCTGTGGGGTAGGGGGTGGAGGTTGCTGGGAGTGGGAGGATGGTGGTGGTGCGACGGGGCCTGCGGCGCGATAGGTACGTTCCAAGTCAGCGAAGCTGATCTTGCGTTTGTGGCTGGCATTGAACGATGTCGCCATGATTGCGACGTCAGAAAGAGCAAGCGAAGGAGTGAAGGAAGTGTGGTTGTAGTCGTAGTAGTGGTGGTTGGTATCATACCTGGCCCACGCCTCGCAGGTTGCGCATGGCTGCTGCCGGCTTGGAAGTTGCGGTACGTCTGCATTGCTGCCCTGGGTTTGGGTGTGCCGAGATCGCTGCAGGCGCCAAGCCGAGCTTGCAAGCTTCACACTATCGCTGCCTCGGGTATCGACACCAGACGCGATGCGAGGGTGTGTGAATGGAGGGAGGGAGATGAGGATGAAAGTTGATGAGGGATCGATGAGTGAGCAACGCGTGAAGTGTGGAGGACGCGATCAGTGGTCAGCCAAGCGAGGCCCGGTCGATGGAGGGGCAGCGCACGCGCATGTAACAAGTACCACCGCATGAACGACTGCTCAAGGACACGCACACGGACAAGGACGAGGCTACATTGGACAGACACTTGGTGCAGTCGTGTGTTGGTAACGTGAACACGTTGCGCGCAAAGAAATGCTGGGAGCGAGATGCCATTGACTCAGCATTCACTTCACCGGACCGTCTGCCTGCCTAATCAGGCAAGCACGTAGTCACACGCACGGCGAGACACATTGCCCGACATCATTTTAGTATTCATGGAACGAATGTCCCACAACTTTCTGATGCCGTGACACTCCGCAATGATTGTGTGCACTCTGCAAGATCATTCACCTAGGCAGACCAACCACCCGCCTCGAACTCCTCTCCCGAATCTGCCGCCCAGCAACTCCAAACATAGCCGCCACGCCGCAAAAGCACGTCGCCAGCCCAGCCAACAGAAACAGCGCGTTATTCGCACCCACCTTCCGGAATATCTGCGACCCAAAAAGCGGAAAGACTCCAGACAGCACCGCGCGCAAGAACGACATGGGTGCATTCGCCGATGCAGCATGACTCGTATATGTATCCGTGAGGTAGCCCGACAGCGTCGTATCGAATTCGACGACTCCGTATCCAATCAGTACCAGAGACAGGATCGCGGCCCATGGCGATGTCGCGCCAGCTAGTGGCGGGACAGTCAGGGCGAAGAACCAATATCCGATCGCTTGGACGGGTGCGGCGATATAGAAGCCCACTAGTTTGTCCTCTGGCTCTGGAGGGCGCCCGGTGAGTTGACGTTGTTTCGCGAGGTGGATGTCATAGAAGCGGGGCAGGAAGGTAAAGATGATGCCGACGCTCGTGGCAAGGTAAATGAGGGATGCCTGCCGCGTGGTCATATGGAAGCCGGTGACGAAGACGTCGGTCAAGGCTTCGGAGAAGAGGTAAACAATGCCATATACGTATGCTCCCAGAACTGGATGGATGGATGCGTCAGCGTCTAGTATAATCGATAACAATTTGATCGCTAGGACGGTAATTTTGTGCAGGCGTACATACTCGAGACAACCGTGACGAGTGGGTCCGTGAAGAAGAGCTTGACAGGATGCCAGAGTCCCGTCTGAACGAAGTGGCCGACTGATGGGAGCGCGTTCCCTATGTCGGCCTTTAGGGATGCGTACTTCATTCGACGGCCGATGCGTTTCACGTGTCTGTGGTATTGGGAGCACTGGTCAGCGATCTTTCCCGAGCCTCAGACTCCAGGATGATGCATACATATGCAACACGCGTGAAGGTCGAGACTCCTGCATGATCAGGCAGAGCATAGCGCAGAAGAATGCAATGATCGACGCGAAGCCGTAGATGAATGGCCTGCGAGGAGATCAGTCAGCGTCGCCGTCCATGGCTTCTAAGCCGATCTCAACTTACCAACCCCATCTCGACGTGCTGATGTACGTCGCTATGGTGGGTCCTAGGGATAGGCCCAGAACGGCACTGCTGATCCACGCATGGATAACGAAGATGCGGCCTTGCGAATCCCACATGTTCTCTAGGCTGCCGCATGCTACGACAGCTAGGATAGCGGAGAAGAAGCCGGATATAGTCCGCATAACCACCACGACAGGCAGGACGGGCCAGATGCAAATCATTAGATTGCTCAGAGCGAAGACAAAGGTGGCGGTAAGGTAGATCAACCTCCCACCGAACCATTCTGCAATAGGAGGGAACACGAGGCCGCCGACACCTTGCGCCATCAAGTAGACAAAAACGAACGAGATGATGGCCGTTTCCTTGCTAACATCGAGTCCATCATGCGTCGCACTTTCTGCCGCGGCTGAGCCCGTGTTGCTCACGAGCGTCATGAAGAACTCCAAGAAGCAGATAAGGCATGTGTCGTAGGTTTTGCGGATGAGCGGCCAGTTTCTGGGGTGAGAGCGGCTGTTGGGGGCCCAGGTTACTACGCCATCGTCGTCCACGACGAAGCCTTTGTCGTTTAGGAGTGCGGCTACGTGGTGAGGCACTTTCATCTCCGCCACGGTACTCAGGGTATATATGCTTGAGGTGGGCGTAGATGGTTCGCTTGACAGGTGGTGAGATGATGCCATCACGAGCGTCAACGCCCAATGAGGTAGTGAGAATGGCCACGAGGTGCGGTGACCGGGGAGGGAGTGATTGGGAAAGAACGGTTGATGAGCAGGCCATCCGCGTCCTCGACACCCTAGCACACGTCAACGGCACTTTTTCCTTCGAGTACACCAACTTCGACTGGTCCTCAAAAGCCTATCTCGAGCGAGGATGGTAT